TTGAAGATCATTGTTGATGCTGATAACACTGCATATGAAATGTTTATGGATTTCACATATGGTGGAAACAGAATTCAAAAGACTCAATGGGCTTTCCAACAATGGAAAGATAATAAAGTTATCAAAGAAGAATTCTTTTAAAATAATTTTTAAATAAATATATAGAAATAAAATTCAATTGTAAATAAAAAAGTAATATCTCTAAAAATAAAAATCTAAATCCAGCTTTTTTAAAAAAAATGTACATATATATTTTATTATATTAATTTATTTATGTTGATACCGTTTGTTTGTTATTATTTGTTTGATTGTTATTGATTGTATTTAAAAATTTATGTTTAATTGAATGTTGATTATTTTGTTCTTTTAGGGTTTTTCTCTCTGTTTGTATGGAATTAGCCAACCAATCGAGTCCTTCGTAGATACCTATTCCTTCGAAAGTCATTGTAGGTTGAATATACCATTTTCTATCTTTTACATCGTGGAGACCCAGTGAATCTGTCAGCTCTGGTACATCCATTGGTGAATCACAATCCTGTTTGGTTCCAAACACTAGGAGAGGACAACTCTTTAACTCCTCTTCGCTCAGCAGTCTTGAGAGTTCATTGGCAGCTTCATTTATTCTTGATCGATCACTACTATCGACAACGAAAATAATAGCATTGCATTTATAATAAAATTTCATTTGTTTCCACAAACCACGAATCGAATCTTGACCAGCCAAATCCCAGACTGTCAAATTTAAATTTTTATGATGCAGTGTTTCAACATTATATCCAAGTGTACTTATTGTTGATACTACTTCATTTAATAATAATCTATATAATAATGTTGTCTTTATTAAATTAAAATAAATAATATTAATATTTTTAAATTAGTTTTTTTTAAAATTTTAATAATTACTTTTCCAGCTCCATCTAAACCCAACATTAAAATCTTTACATTCTTTTTTGATCTAAATGGAAATTTTGAGGATACAACACCCATTGTTTAAAATTCTATTTATATATATAATATATTTAATTTAAAATTATAATTATTTTTATTTTATATCTAAGAAAATAATTAAGCTAAAAACTAAAATGTTTTTTATTAATTTTTTATCTTATTTTTTAATGATTTTATTTGTTAATAAATAAAAGATAGGAAAAAGATATTTAATTAAAAAAGGTTGAAATTGAAATAGAGTTTAAGGATTTAATAAAAATATTGTTAGATTTAATTTAGTAATTGGAAGTTGATAAAAGTGGTAGTTGACAGTAGGAAAGTAAATTTGATTCAGTAATATACAAATCAATGACACTATAAAATCACAAAATTAAAATCAACAACCTCTAAAAAGGGAGTGTACAAATAAATTATAGTTGAAAATGATTTAACAACAAAAACTAAAACAGAGAATGAATGTAAGTTGTAAGTAGATGAAGATAAATAAGTTTGTGTTTGAGCAATGTATAAATTTGAGAATGAATGAATTTAAAATTATTGGAATAACAGAACAGTTGGTTGTGATTTTTTTGTTATATCAAAAACAAACAAAATTAAGAAATAGTTTTGAAAGGTAGGTAGGTGGTCTGACATATACATAATTATAAACTGTACTTTATTATTAAAATAAATTTAAATTAATAAATGTTGTTTTTTTTAAAAAAACAATACAATTTGATTGATTGTTGATACAACAAACAATATATTTTGTACATGTAGATAATATTAAAAATTGGTTATTGTTGTGGTTGTTATTGCTGTTGTTGTGTTTCAGAGAGTGTGTGTTTGGAGTTATAGATGTTTGAAATGGTTATTTTAATATTAAAGAAAATACCATACACGTTATTTTGATTTTTATATCTTTACCGCTTCTTTTATATATATTTTTCAGGAAGGGTGTTTTTTTTTAATCGAGTGGGAATTGGTATTGGTGTTGTGGTTACTAATGAAAAAATAACAACTTTAATTTTTGTGTTGCTGTTGTTGTTTATTTGTATAGTGGTGTTGTGTTAGATATGTTTATTTCTAGGTTTTGTTTTGTTTTGTTTGTTTTTATTATAATGTTGCTGTTGTTCTAGCTCTTGTTATTAAGATTGATATTGCTAATATTACATCGAAGATTGTGATTATGATTCTTTTGGTCAAAGGGTGGTAATGGTGGTAGGATTTTTATTAACCATATGTTTTTTCTTGAAAATTGGAAACTATTGGTGAATGATGTCGATGACTATCGTCATGGTAATTGTATTGAAAGAAAGTGTTTGTTTTGTTATGTTATCTTTTATTTTTGATGTTGTTACTAATAATTTGAATACATACATATAACTATCCTGACTTTTTTATTCTTTATTTTCTTTTTTTTTATAAACAATTTTAGTGTTACTTGATTTTAGATGACAATGATATGGTGTAATCTGAAATGTATATAAATTAAAATAATATATATTTTTTTTTTTTTAATTATTTATTTTATTTTCTATTTTTTTGTTTTTTGTTTATAGATGTGATAAAATATGATGATGTTGATGTTGATGTTAACTGTCTTAAAAAATATAAATGAGTGTGAGAGTGTGAGTGTGGGTTTCTGAACTTGAATTTTATTATTAACCAAAAATTTATGTGGTTATGATTGATTTGATTTATTTTATAAATATTTGTTTTATTGTGGTCAAGAATGAATACCAATAGATTCTCGATTAGATTATATGATATTCTCTACAAGTAATAATAACAAATATGGCAATAAACAGATGAAGATACTGACATTAATGATTGGATGATCATCACCATCTAACAACAGAATCACTTATTTTATTTGTTGATTCTCTAAAAATTTTCTTTATATAGTAACATATGAGTGTTTAATTAAATATTTAATTAAGTAAAAAGTAGTTGTTGATAGATTGATAATTCTCTCTAAAAGGTTACTATCATCAACATCAATCTTTATTTTTATTCGAATATCACAATCAATATTATAATCATAAAATATCAACTGATCTAACTACCTCTTGTTAAAATTATCGTTTTTTAAACAAATAAAGTATCATACCAATATTTATTTAATTAATATTTATTTCTTTTTTTTAAAAATAATAACTATTCTTTAATTTCTATTGTTTTTTTCTTAAATATTAATCAACAATAAAAGTCTGGTTTATCATGTATTTTATTTTATTGTCTACATTTAAAATAAAAATTTAAAAGTGTAACATTTCTTTCATTATTGAATTGTATGATTTCAAAGTTCAAACAACTTTCATATAATAATGGTAAATCATTCATTATTAGCCAATGAATATATATTCAACAATAATGTGGATTTAAGTTTTTTTTTTTGACCGATAACACAATAAATAATTTTTAAGTGTTTTTATGTTTGAATGAAATAAATAAAGGTGAGCCATTGTATGTGTGGTTTGTATTGATTACAAACATCTCTCATTGTGGTAACACACACACAATGATGAATGTACTTAAGTTAATTTCTCATTTTTATTTTTAAAAACTAATCACAGTTGATTGTGTGATCGTTGGAAACAACTGATGAACTTAATGATGCTGTAGAGGTTGTTATCGTGGGTGTTGCAATTGTTAATTCGGTAAAAGGCATTCCATTTTCATCATTGTCATAATAATTATTGTCATCATTATTATTAATAATTTTAGTTGATTCTTCTTCTTCTTTTTGTTGCTGCTGCTGTTGCTGCTGATTCTTCTTCATTATAAAGAAAGTATAAAGAAATACAAGTGTGCCAACAAGTGCAACTGCTGAAAAACTAATTGTATACCAAAAGAATGAAAAGTAGTCTACGATGATCGAACCGAATATCGGGCCAACGAAAAGACCGAGACAGTAGCAGATGTTGAAAAGCGAGAAGATCTTGCCGTTGTGATAACCATTCGATTTCGGGTCGATCGTTACCGTGAGGATAGCGAGCAGCGGTGTGTTGAGAATGGTAAGTGACGAACCAATGAGTAGCGCCGCCACGTAGAGCATCCAGAGATGAGGGACAATACCGATCAGTGGGAACGTCACCACCGTCAGAACCAGTCCGAGCAACGCTGTCTTCGGATAGCCCAAGAAGCGATCGGAGATATAGCCTACCACTGGCGACAACGCCAGAAACGGCAGTGTTATAACGGCAAACATCAAACTTACGTAGGAAGTCGACTTTCCAAATTTTGTTTGAATATACAGTGGAATGACAGGTTCCAACGAACCGAAACCAGCTGAACAAAGAAGAATACAAATACAAATGACACCGACATAGATATTCATAGATTGATTTTTGAAGTCTGTTAAAGTTGATCCATCTCCACCATGAATAATCTCTCCTGTTGTTGTTGTTATTGCTTCTACTTCTACTTTTTCTATTTCTTTTGCATCTTGATCTTTTAATGGTGTACTTATAGCTAGTTTTAAATCTCTGTCTTTTATCTGTTTGTGATACTCAATGGCTTTGTCATTGACGAAAACGATACGAATAAAGAGGTCGGCCAATGCAAAGCCTGCTGCCACCAGAAAAGGTATGTGATATCCAAAGTGCTCGAAAAGAACACCTCCGAGAATGGGACCGACAAGCGCACCCACTCCGTTGCCACCCACGATCGTTCCTATGGTCGTGCCGAGCATCGCCGGTGGATACAAATCGGCTATCAACGCCAGTCCCACAACCCAGGTAATAGCGGAACTGACACCCTGTGCGAACCGCGCAATGAAGAGAATCGCCAGGTGTTTTCCGTAGGCAAAGAGCAGCGTTGAGATGGCAAGCGATGCCATTCCCATGAGAAATGGTATCTTTCGGCCGATTCGATCGGTCAGATAGCCAAAGAACGGCGTCGACAGGATAGAGCCTGCCGAGAACATCGCAAAAAGCAGCCCGGTCACCGACTCGGACACGTGGTAATCGTTCTTGAGAACGAGCGGGATGATCGGCAAAATGATTCCATAGCAAATCATATCGACAAACAACGCCACTGAAATCGAAACCAACACCGATTTCTTGCTGTTCCTTATTCGCTGGAATGTCCTAACCGCCGGATTATCCGACAGTTTCAACTCTATTAATTTTCCGTCATCTTTATTATCATCGATATCAATATCATCGTATTGACCTTCTATATTATTATTATTATCGTCATCGTCATCGTCATCTATATTATTATTATAACTACTATTATTGTTTATAATAAAATTTGGAGTAGTACTACTATTTTCAATGAAACCATTGTTTTCATCGTCGATTTCATTGTCATTTTCGTTTTTATGATATTCATATTGGTGGTGGTGGTGTTCAGATAATGAACTATTGTCGTTGATGATTTCATTCTCGATATCAAGTTCTTCTAGTGTACTATTATCATTATTGTTATTCAAATTATTATATTTCATTGTAAAATATTGAGTGTGTGTTTGTGATGTGATTAAATATATATAAATATAAGTATATGTGTGTATGTTATGTTATTTTAATATATAATAAAATATATAACATAGTATTATAGGAAATTTACAATAAATAAAATAATAAAATGATTATGAAATATATAAATCTCTCGACGGGAAATTAAATAAATAAATAAATAAATAAATAAATTAGTGTTATGTATTTTTGCTGTGTAATGTGTGTTTGTGTGAATGTGATTTGTTTTGGCTTGCTGTCCTAAAAATATAGTAGTGTGTATTATTATTGTTGACAATTATTATTATTACTTATTTGATCAAAATACTATATCACATTATTTGCATCATAATAAAGTTCCGAATTGTTTTCTGACCTGCATATGAATGTTTACTTCATGTGATCAAAAACAATTTTTTTTAAATTTTAAAATTTCCAAAAATAAATATTGGTATAAGGTTATAAGCACAATAAACATAATGAATTCTGTTCTTTTTAACAAAAAATAATATTATTGGTTGAATTTCAACAAATTTATTATATCCAATATCTTAAGATAATAGTTTGATTAAAATTAAATAAAGTCTTTCTTAAACCAAAAAATAAATGATATTATCTCTTCAGGATGAAAATAATATAAAGATATACATCTTATCTTCATAATAATATGACACTAGTCTTTGGTTAAAGTCTGAAACAAAAAAAGAAAGAAGTAAGGAAGGGAGCAGTAATAAAAATCTATCTTTCCACTGATTTTTCAAAAACAAAAAAAATCAAAAAAAAAAAAAAAAAATTTGTCAAAATCAAATTTATTCATTTGATTAAATTTTAGATCTTATTGCAGTTGGTTATTATTTTCAAAGTATTTATTTATATATATATATACATACACCTATAAAGATGGAGGCAAGAGCACCACCAAGTAAAGTATTATTCATCAGAGATATTCCACCAAGTATCTCGAATGAACAGTTTGAGAATCTATTTCAAACACTTCCTGGTTTCGTTTCAATTAGAAGAGTATTTATTATTAATAGCGATGATCGATAGCTTTTTCTTTGATTGATTCAATTATTTCTTTTTATTTTCTATTTTGTTATTTGTTACTAATCAATTCTAAATTTATTATTTTTTTATTATTATTATTAATTAAAAATAGAAACCATTCTTTGCATTTGTAGAGTTTAAAGATAGTGGATATGCTACAAGTGCCATGAGAAGACACAATGGATATAGACACCATCCAGCAGACAAACCATTAGTAATAGACTTTGATAAAGTAAATAAAATAAGTTTAGAAGTGCAATAACAACCAACCAACAACAACAACAACAACATAATAATAATTAATAGGTTAAGTAGTATAGTACTATAATAGTTCGAATTCAATCAAATCAAATCAAATCAATCTATATATATATTATATAAACAAATTTGAAAGTTAAAAGAACTATAGATAATTAAAATAAATGAGGAAGATAGTGAGATAGAAAGATAGATAAAGTAAAGAAAGAAAGAAGATAAGATAAGAAAAGACTAGAATAGAATATAGATAGTATAGAAAAAGATAGATAGATAGATAGATAGATTAAGAAGAAAGAAAAGATAAAGATAAAGATAGATAGATATATATTTAGTACTATTTTAATACACAACTTTAGATAGATATCTTATAATACTAGTTAGTTAGTTAGTTGTTGTTGTATTGCTTAAAAGAGAAAAAAAAGAAAGAATAATTTTTATATTAATAATTGAATATATATAAATATATATAAAAATATAATTTAAAGGATCCAAGATCAAGAGATGATTTCAGTAGTTCAACAACCAGTTCATCATCAACATCATCCAACTATCCATCAGCATCATCATCAACATCATCATCATACTATAGAGATCTAGATAGAGACAGAGACAGAGATTTAGATAGTGTTAGAAGAGGCGAGAGTAGAGGAAGTGCAAGTGAGAGCAGCAGTCATCGTGATGCCTACAGCAAAGAGTCGTCACGTGGTATTAGCGACATGGAGAGAGACGACAAGGATCTCGAAGAGTCGAGATTCCACGATCGTGACGACGACCTCGACGACACCGACCGTTCCGACAAGCATCGACCAAAGCGTGAGGCTGAAATCCTCCAAACTCACTCCTCACTCGACATTGACAAGAAGCGACCAAGAGATTTCGATAGATTCGAAAAAGATCGTGGTAGATATAGAGATTTGTAAGTAAACTATGCTATAGAGTAGAGACAGATAGACAGTATTGTTAAGGACTAACAAACAAACAAACAAACTATTCTTCAAATTACTAACAAAATATTGTAATTCTATATACGATTAGATATTTTGATAGAGATGAATATCCAATGAAGAGAGGTGGTGGTGGTGGTGGTGAATTCCATTCCATGCATCATACTCCACCCTATGGTGAGACGACTGGTATGCCATACTTCCTCCCGACCAGACCATCCTATGACCTTAAAGATGCATGTTCAACATTGTTTGTATCGAATCTACCAAAAGATGTTACTGAAAGAGTATGTGTTATATATCAAACAAAGTTATTTTAAAAGATATTAATTTATTATTATTTGTTTTATTTAGGAACTATCAATTCTTTTTAGATTTATGAGAGGATTTATCAATGTTAGATTGGTACAGAGAGAAGGTAAATATCCAATTTGCTTCTGTGACTTTAGAGATACCTTATCTGCTGCCGGTGCAATGGAGATGTTGAATGGTTTCAAAATGGATACCAAAGATATTTCATCTAGTATCTCAATTGAATTCGATAAATCAAGAACTCACAGACCATAAAAATATATCAATCTTTTAAAACAACAAACCCATTAAATAAATTTTCACAAACACAAAATTACACAAAATAGAAACAATTAATAATTCTTACACCTTTTTTCCATATGGTTCATCCAGCCAATTAATTGTCCAAAGAAGAAAAAAAAAAGTGATGAATCTGAAACTTTCAACTTAAACAAATATATCAAATCTTAATTTAATCACTTGAGAAATTGATAGAAGATATTATTACTTTCTTTTAAAATGCATTTATTTAAAATTTGGATTAATATTAAATTAATATTTTATTTAAAAAAATAATATTTTTTTCATTCGTTCGTTTTTTTTTTTCTAACCAAAAAATGATAGTTTTATTTTTTTCAAAGATTAATTAATTTAATTTGTGTTGTGCTGTGTGATGATAATGGCATCAAAGAAAGTACCTTTATATACTATTGAGGAAGTAGTACCGAAACAACAACAGGGTGCTGATAAGTTGGAGAAATATCTCTCTGGTATATGGGGAACAGTAAAGGAGAATGGAAAGTTGGTGCAATTGACAAGATCATCCGTACAGAAATTGATGGCACAACAACTGGTGTCACTCAATGGCAATGTAATCAAAGAGAAGACATGTAAAGTACGTGCCAACGATGTTATTGTGCTTCGTCTCTACTCGTTGGACATCTTTAAGCAGCAGGAGAATGACACCGACAGAAAAGCACAACAAGATCTCAAGAAACAACATATCGCCGTTCCAACGTCGTCGTCGTCGTCCTCATCCGCCAAGAAACAGGGAGCTTCCAACTCTGAATCATCGTCATCGTCGTTATCACCGTTTTCCAGTGACGATATCGATTTGGTACCGAATCGCGATATACCAATCGATGTCATCTATGAGGATGAATGGTTGGCGGTGGTCAATAAGCCGGCAGGACTACTGGTGCATCCAACACCACAGAGAGGAGGTGACGATAGTAACAGTGAGAATCAAACACATACTCTTGTCAATGGATTGCTCCACAAGTATGGAGCGAAAGGATTGTCGACAATGGGTGGACTTGAACGTCCGGGTATCGTACACAGACTGGACAAAGATACCGCTGGTATTCTTGTGATTGCCAAGACCGACGCTATTCACCAGCAACTTAAAGACATGCTACAGGAGCACACCGAAGATTCAATCTCCGAAACAAAGAAGAGCAGTAGCGGTGGTGGTTCGACAAAGATTCAAAAGAAGTATAGATGTCTTGTTGCCGGTAAACCAAAGGAGCAGAGAGGTTTGATAAAGAGAGCGATTGCCAGACATCCAAACGATATGAATAAGATGATCATTGACGAAGAGAAAGGAAAACCATCGCTCACTGAATACACCGTTGTCAAAGCATGGAATAGTGTAGAGGTTGAAGTGAGCGAGAAGAAGTTTAACAAGGTTGATAATGATGATACGACAACTACAACAACAGACAATAGCAAAAACAATATTAATGTATTAGAGGAATATGATACAATTGTAAATAGCAATAAGAAAAACAAATCAAGTAAACAACAACAAAAACAATCAAAACAACAAAGAGGTGGATTTGGATCATTAACAATTGATGATGATGATGAAGATGAAGTTAAACCAACATTAAAAGTAGAAAGTGATAATGAAGAAGATAATGAAAGTAGTGAAGAAGAAGAAGAAGAAGAAGAAGAAGTAGAACAAACAAACAAAGCAAAGCAATCAAAATCAACATCATCTTCACAAAAGAAACAAGAAGATTTTCAAATTAAAAAGAAAAAGATTGCTAGTAGTTCATATGCTTTATTAGATATAACTTTACACACTGGTAGAACTCATCAAGTATGTTATGTTATGTATTAGTTATAAACATTTTATTAATCAACTATTTTATTTAGATTCGTGTACATTCATTATCTGAAGGTATGCCAATTGTTGGTGACCCAATCTACTCTGGTAAATCTACACAGTTCATGGTACCGTATCTGTTGTTGGCATCTGTTTATCTTTGTTTTGTGCATCCAGTGACCAAGGAGAAGAAGGAATTCACTATTCCAAACCCACCACATTTCCAACAGTTCATTGAGCTTCTCGACCAAGCCGAGAAACAAAAGAAAAACCAACAGATCCAATTCCTCGAGGAGTTGGGTGATGATTTAGAACTACTAAAACAAACAAAGGCTCACAAGATAACATCGTCTTCATCCACCAAGAAACAAATGAAACAAAGACAATATCAAGGTATCACCGACTCTGACCAACTTTTAGATTTACAATTATTATCTTCAATGAACAAGTCATCGTCTAGTAAACAAAAGAAATAATAGAAATCAATAATAATAATAATAATAGTAATAATAATAGTAATAAGAATAAAGATATGTTATCTTTCTTTTATTTATTTATTAATTAATTAAACTATACATTGTTTGATTCAACAATTATTGGATTAGAAGTTGTAGTAGTATTAGTAGTAGTATCATCTATTATATTATTATTGTCATTATCTTTGTTTACTAAGATTAAATGTTCAATTAAGTGTTGTACTACGTCTTGACCAGCACTGTTTAATCCCTCTCTTCTCATAATAACATGAGTATGTGAAAGTCTATAAAAAACATAGTGTTAATATTAGTATTTATATATACAAATATATTAATTAACAAATACAACTTACAGATTATCAAATTTCATATGATATCTTGTGAATGTTAATTTTTGTAGATTTAGTAGAATCTCTCTTAGCTTATCACCTCTTTCATCGTTTTTAAATATATCTACATCTTTGGGTGACAACGCTATGAATTCAGCGGTTGCATCTTCATCGACGATATGAGGATACTTTGTCGATAGTTTCACTACTGCACCTGGCTTTGTATATGGATTGCTATGTGAGATGTTCGAGGTATTGAACATAACATGCAAGTCATTCTCAATGGTAGAGTAGAGTACACGACTTCCAAACTGTGCGAGACCCTCTATAAACTTGCCTTTGGTCATCTCCAACAACAACGGATTATCAACGTCGTCCGTCAACATCAACTGTCTACCGGTTGTGCCTATCAAATTATCGGTAACATATCCCGCCACAACATTATACAATCCTCTCTTTGGTCTTCTACTTCCACAATCTGCTCATGTAGTAACAAATAAAACAATTTTTTAATATATGAATCGTTAATGTTGTATTGATAATAGTTACAACAACAACAACAACAACAACAACAACAACAACAACAACAACAACAACAACAACAAAAAACACTTACGTGGAGATGATAATGTTATGAATTGAAGTGGAATTACTTGGTTGAAATAACCTTGTTCATGGAGAATACCTATTGCATAACGGGAAATAGGACCACCTAAACTGTGACCGATAATTGTGATATGTGTTGGTTTAATGGTTTTGGATATTTCCATTATCTCTTGTGCCATTCTCTCTCCACACTTATCAATACCTTGTCTTGTCAGCATATTAGGATTTGTCGATCCACTCCATATAACTACATCATCTAGTTTCTCTGTGATTTTCTTTGTAATTACATCGTAATCCGATTTGGTTGCGTGCAATCCATGTTGCAGGAAAATCAAATGTTGTTGATGTAGATATTGCTGTTGTTGTTGCTGTTGCTGTTGTTGTTTTTGTTGTAAAGTCATCTCTTAAAAATCAAAATTTTTAATTATGTTTTAAGCATAATTATTATTATTTATATGTAAATTAATAAACTTATCTTAGATATATATTATATATTTGTAAAAAAATATAATCTTTTCACACACACACATATACAAATAAATTTAAAAAAAAAAAAAAAGTAGTGAACTTATTTACGAATAAGATTTGTTAATATTAAAAAGTTGCAAATATCATATTCGTAAGATTTTCCATTTTAGGAATTTGTAATAATAATTATTATTTTTATAATTATTTATATATTTATATTTTGAAATATCTATTTATTTTTATTTATTAGTTTTAAACAAATAATATTACTATGAAATATTACTTTTATCTTTTAATAAATTCCAACTTCACCTATAATAATAATAATCTTAATATTCATATTTTTCCATATTAAAAAAGAATAGAATAGTTTCAATTCCGATGCAACTTTTTATTAGTACCAACCAAATTAATTACCCAAACAATTTTAATATTCTTTAAAGATGAGAATATCCAATAATTATTTAGCGACGACAATCATCTTATTAAGTGGTTTGTTGCTTGTTAATGCTCAATCCAGTTCGGGCAACACCTACTCTTTGAATGTGCTTTCACCTCGATCCGGTATTTACAATGGTATCTACATGAACGAAACACGTGCTTTCCTCGGTATTCCATATGCTCAACCACCAATTGGAAACCTGCGTTTCAAACCACCACAATCCATCTACCAATGGGGAACGATAAACGCCACAACAATGCCGCCTTCCTGTTGGCAATCCGGTAAACCAACCGGTTACAACTACTCTGAGGATTGTCTCTACTTGAATGTCTACACTCCAAAGAACATGCACTACGTCAACCCAGCAGTATACAATTGCAATTTGCCAGTTATGGTGTTCTTGCATGGCGGTCGTTTCTGGACTGGCGCAGCCACCGATTTCCTCGGTGACCATCTTGCCGCCGCCGGAAATGTCGTCAACGTCATCATTCAATACCGTTTGAATATCTTTGGTTTCCAGTCGTTCGATGATAACACCAACCTCGGTCTTCAGGATCAACAGATGGCTTTGCGTTGGGTGCAAGAAAACATTCGTGCGTTCGGTGGTGATCCCGATCGTGTTACCATCTACGGTGAATCTGCCGGTGGTTCCTCTGCTCTCTACCACTTGACCATGCCAAGTTCTTACAATTTGTACAACCGTGTTGTTGCGCAATCTGCCTGGCAATGGGCGATTCCAACCGCTGCTACCTCTAGGGTCATGACAGCTGCTTACGCCGCAACCAAGGGTTGCGCCAACATCACCACTTCCGGTGCTCCCGACTACGCCGCCATCCTGAGATGTCTCAGTTCCAAGTCGGCATCAGATATCACACCAACTGTCGGTAATTCCGACTTCTTTGTCCCAATTGTCGATGGCAATATGATCAAATCTCAATTGCTCACTTCTTTCAAGCAAGGTAGATACAACAAACGTGCCAACATCATCATCGGTCACAACTATGAAGAAGGTCACTTCATGGCGTTCTCACGTCTCGGTTTTGTCACGCCATTAGACCCAGTCAGCGATACCACCCTCCAAAACTCACTCACTAGATACCTAGATGTCTACTTCACACCGGCTCAACGTGATGAAGTTATCTCTTGGTACTTACCAGTTGCCAGTGAACTCGGTAACTGGTTGGGTGGTTCCGAATTCTTTGGTGACTACTACATCATCTGTGGTTCCATTTTGACAGCTGAGTATTTATCTCAACAAGGTGTCCAATTCAACAGCTACATATTCAACTACTCCTCACCAAATTTCCCAGCCGACGAATGGTTCTTGGCTGCCTCTCACGGTAATGAATTGCCATACATTTTCTTCCAAGATGTCTATACACCATACCCATTCGCACCGGCCGATGCCGCCTTGGCTCACCGTATGTCTCGTTCATGGACTGACTATGCTGACAATGGTAATCCATCCGGTCCATTCTCTAGATGGCCATCCTATCCAGATGCAATGTACTACGGTCCAGACGTCATGAACTACGATGACAAACGTCCATATAAAAAGGCAATCTGTGAGAATTGGAGACAATTATTTGAAGCCTACTAAATTATATGTTAGTCATATTGATCAATTTTACTCTCTCTAAATGGTTCCCGAATTCCATCATCAGAGTAAAACAAAAGAAAATAAAAATAAAAAATAATTCTATTTATTCAAAACTACTATATTTTTATCTTTTATTTGTTTCAATAAGTTTATTAATTACTTACTAATATTGAATACATTATTCAAAAGAATGACCGAGAAGTGAAGGTATCAGATGTCAAAAGAAGATTCTAAATATTCCAAACATTTTATTTTACAATTTATCTCTTTTATTTTTTAAAAATTAAAACAAATAAATCGATTCCACAAGTTATGATCATTTTTTTTTGAACAAAAACGAAAAATTATATTTTTTTAACTTTAGTTTTTTTTTTTTGAAAACTATCAAATATATATATGTTTGAACGTTGAGGCATAGGTATATATTTAACTTTACTAATAAGAATTGATTTCTTTTACTAATTGTTATATTATTTTCATCACAAAGCCATGGCCCTATTTAATAGCTTCAAAGATGGTAATGCGTCTGAACCATATTATAAAAGAATCAATGGTATTCTCAAAAAATATCATGAATCGACTATTTTAAAAGAGTTATTACAGGTATGTATAATTAATAATCATTCAAAAATGAAAGGAATACTTTGATCTAACATCTATTCATATTAATAAAATTCACTCAAAGAATGCTGATGATGCCGGTGCCAAAAAAGTGATAATCAAATTCGATCGGAGATCGTATGATACTGAGAAACTATTTGATGAGACACCGGTTTACAAGCAAAACATGAAACAGATGCAAGGACCATCACTGTTGATCTACAATGATTCGATCTTTAAGGAGAAAGACTGGGAGGGAATCAAAAGTTTGGGAAGTGGATCGAAAGAGATGGATCTCAAATCGGTTGGAAAGTTTGGTTTGGGTATCAACTCTGTCTATCATGTATCGGACTTCCTAACGATCATTTCCGACACGCAAGTGTTGATTCAAGATCCACTTGGTTTGGTATCAAAGAATGGTTTGCATTTCGATTTCGTCGAGAATTCGATGATCGATGCTAAGTATCGCGATCAAACTGAACCATGGAAACAATTCGGTTGTGATATGGTGAATCGATTCAATGGTACCATCATCAGATTACCAATTCGTCTAGCGGGCAGTAAAATCAAACCAAATCCAATCACCGACGAAGATTATAAGCTAATCTTTGATGAATTCATTCAACAGCTACATGAACTGTTACTGTTCCTCAAGAACATTCTACAGGTAGAAGTATACGACAATGATAGACTGCTATTTAGAGTGTCAGTATCGAATGCGTCATCTATCGTTGACAAACGAACACTTGTTCATGATTGTATATCGAGAATCGCCGATTTAATGAAGGAGTATGATATTCATAAATTCATTGATATCATCAAGAGTATGGATAAACTTCCAGTGGGAACATACACAATGGATCTCAAGTATGAGAGTGCAGTCAATGGCATATCCAATATGAAATATTGTATCACCCAAGGACTGGTGAATAATGGTTTGGAATCATTGAAGCTGAACAATATCACAACCAAACTCATTCCATGGGGTGGCGTTGCAGTTCCTTTGGGTCTGACACCACAACAAACCAAGTCATTCCAAGGTATACCATTCACATTTCTTCCGATTGGATCACAACGTTTCAATATTCCATTCCATTTGAATGGTTTCTTTGTTCTCTCTGACGCGAGAACCGACATTCACTTCTCCACTTCCAACTATGAAAACAGTGAAGAACATCAAGAGTTTAAATGGAATGAGAATGTTCTGACCAATATCATACCGGAATTATACAATCATAATCTATTGGTTATGATTCAGAACAAACAGCTTGGAAGCAACTCTGTCTACGATTACTTCCCAACAGAGGTGTATAATTCAGAGAAGGATAAGGTTTTGTCAATTCATACTGTCAAAAGACTGTGCAAGAGTAAACTTTTCCGAGATATCAAAACATTGGAATATTATCATTTGTCAGAAAGTTATTGTGTTACCGATGATCACAATGAAGATATCTCCAATGTTTTGACTCAACGATCGAAAGTAACCATTAGAATTCCAAATCCACTCTTAAATTATATGTCCAAATTAAACTGTAAAGCACGCTTAGTCACTCAATTGGATATTTGTGGATTTTTGAAATCAAAACCTCTCACTGAATTCAATGGTTCAGTTCTCAGCTATTTACTTTCAGGTCAACAAATCATTAAGGATGGTCATCTGGATGAGTTAAAGGTATTCCCTTTGTCCAATGGTAGAATTGGTTCGATTAGATCCAAGAATGCTGTGAAACTAAGTCGGTACATGTATTATACAGATCAGAGACAGTTCACTATCTTGGCTAGCAAGAACCCAGATTCACTATTTGATTTCGAAACAATGCTACCATTCAGTATGCACATCAAATCATTGTGTGAATACTATCACGTCTCAAATATGGATCTTTCAATATTCTGTAGGTTGCTCAAGAATTCATTTCCAATGATGGTAGGAATTGATGTTGTTCTACAAAGTCTTCCAAGTGATTTCAATTCAGTTGTGTTCTGGGAATACATGGGTACTCTTAATACACAGGGGATTTCCGACTTTGTTTGTATACCAGCGACTGATGTAAATAATTCATTGGTATACGTAGCTCCTGGTTATCCAAAGTTGATTCTCGACAGAATGAAGGAATCGATCAGACAAATTGCTCTCAAACTTGGATTCTACATGGCAAAGTCAGATATGAATGAGAAGTATTTCTATGCAATTTTCACAATCAACTCGGATATCAACTTGATGAATTCTATTACTAGTAATATGATCTCATCTCTGTCTCCTGAGGAGAAGATTACAATTCGAAAGCATCTTCTTTCCGACAAAAGATCTATTGAACATTCACAAACCATATTCTCACTTCCAATCTTTAAGAATTCTGTTGGTGAATTCAAATTCATCGATAGATATACTGTTTGTACCAATTGGAAAGATATTACAAAATACTGTAGAGAAAAGGGTTATGTCATTTTTGAAGGTGAGAAGAACAATCTACAGAAATGGCCGACCGCTCTGAACGATCAGAATTATATGATACTAAACTATATATTGCCAAGTATCTGTTTGTACACTCCACAAGAACAATTCTCCATTGTTAAAATTGTTCTATGGAGTCCGAACCAATTCAAAAATCAAGAGTTGGTTCAACAGATGGAATGGGTACCAAACTCTGGTGGTTCATTGTCAAATTTGAGTCAGCTAATTATACTATCCTCACCAGAGAGGGTATCACTCTTAAAGTATACTCAAGGAGGACAAAGCAAGGTCATTGCACATCAATTGGCATCCAGCGATTTAGTCGAAAAATGGTCACCGTTTGGAGTACGTACTATCTATCCTGGTTATACTAACAACTCAGATTATAATCTTATCTATGATTGTCTAAAGAATCTGTCAAAATTACCAAAGGAATCATTCAGTTCTGGATTCAATGAAATTATTAGCTTTATGAATCAAAACATCAATATAGTTGATAGTACATTATTATCAGTTCCATTTATTCCTGTTAAACAGTCAATTGATTTTGGTTCAATATCCTACAAAACTAAAACAGAATACGTTTCAATCAATCAATGTTACTTAGATTCAGAAAAGGAGCTCTGCTACAGTCAATGTACAATTGGAGATATCGATACGAAATCACTTGCATCACTACAAATTCATCTACCAACTCTAAAGATAGAAACAATAATCAATCATCTTGGATATCTTATCGAACAATCTCAAGCACCCTCGTTTACCAATGAGGAGAGAGATTCAATGGTAACAATCGTTGAGAAGATCTATAAATACTTCAATACTCATGAGGATCTCAAATCACTCATTTCAAGCAAACTTGATTGGATTTGGTGTGGATCGAAATTTGTATCTCCAACTTTAGTTTTTGTCAATGGTACTTCGATTGATCCTTATATTTTCCAAGTTCCAGATCAGTTGAAAAAGTTCAATCGTCTTTATGAAAAGGTCAAAATCCCGATGAATCCTACCTTTAGACACTATACCAATGTTTTGGTGGAATTGTATAACAAATCAAAGGGTATGGTTCTTTTAGATGAAGATCTTTCAATTGCCATCAAGGTTGCAAAAGAATTGGCACTACAAACAATGCCACAGGAACCAGGAAAGATCTATCTTCCATGTACAAGCTTGAAACTTGTGGAGTTCGGACAAATCATTTTCTCAGACACCGACGACGTTCACCCATCGCTTCAAACCTATTCGATTCTCCACAGAGATTTATCACTTAACGATGCTAGAAAGTTGAAAATCAAGACATCGTTGGACACCATCAAACGAGGTAAAACCATTCTTGGATCAGAGTTTGGTCAATTTGAAAAGCTGTTGACTCGTTTGAAAAACATCAACGAAGAGTACAAGGTGGAATCGCTATTGAAAGAAGTCGTTCAGAATGCCGAAGATAGTAAAGCAACTGTTCTCGAGATTTGTTTGGACAAGAGAAGATACACAATCACCGACGATCTCGATCCAGAGCTACCAAAGAACTTTGGAAATTATCTCGAGCCATCACTTGTCATTTTCAATGATTCCAAGTTCACCGACCTCGATATCCAGAATATCCAATCACTTGGTGACTCCTATAAGAAGAACAACTATTCAAAGATTGGTCACTATGGAATCGGTTTCAATTGTGTCTACAATATTACAGATGTTCCTTCGATAATCACACGAGATTCATTGTTCATCTTTGATCCTCTGAAATCTCATTTTTCAGTAGAACATAGTGCCGGTCGTTCATACGAATTCTCAATTCGTGATCAACTTGTCGACACTTTCAAACCATTGAATTATCCTGGATTTGGTCTCCAACTTGACAAGGAATTCGATCATACCATCATTCGTCTGCCACTCAGAAAATCATACTCTGATCTTTCTTCCAATGTTTGGACTATGGATTCGATCAACAAGTTACTAAAAGAGTTCCAATCGAGTGCAGAGAATTGTTTACTTTTCCAACGCAGTCTCAAGAAGATCACATTCTCTGTCATTGAAGATGATAATTCCAATCAAGCAAAGACTCTTTATTCAGTTGAGAGAAGAGTAACTGGTGGCTATGATCCAATCAATTTATCTTCTGACATTGAAGCTTACAATTGGAAAAACTTCAATCCGAAATCATACTTTATGGACATCATTACCAATGGAAATGTGGTCAACAAATGGTTTGTTGGATGGAAGATCGGTGCTGAACAATCGAGTAATCTCTTCAAGATCTACGAGAAACTTCATCAGAAATCAATTCCATTGGGAAGTATTGCGATATGTATGGATAAAGAGATTATAGGTGTTCCTTTCACCTATTTACCATTGCCGAAATCCACCGAGTTACCTGTGATGGTCAATGGTAGTTTCATTTTGAACTCATCAAGACAAGATGTTTTCAACTCTCTCGATAACAACTACAAATTCGATACCAACTACGAACCGGATTCAGAGAAAGAAAAGTCATTGTGGAACATTTCGATTGTTACTGAGATACTATGTCCTCTATATCTCAACCTTTTGAACAACATTGAATTCAAGAATCACTTTATTGGATCAAAGATCAACAATTTCTATTCACTATTCCCTCATTCAAAAGCTACTCTTTGGAATAGAATAACTGAGTATTTCTACCAGAACGTATCGAAATACTCTGTTTTTTCCAACATCTATTCAAATGTGTTTGGTGGTCTCTCATACCTCTGGGAATCATTTGACAAATCGTCATTGGTTATCAAATCGGAATATAATGATACTTTCAATGATATCGATATCATCAAGTTACTATTACTCGATGAATGTCCGCTAGTTCTGTTGCCGCCAAAAGTATTCGAAATGCTGTCTCCAGCTCCCCTCATACTCGACAAGTCAAGTGTTGCAAATTTCTATAAGCAAATCAAAGACAACAGCTTCCAACTGTCTAATCCACCAAGACCATCACTCTCTTCCAAGGAAAGCATCTTTACATTAGCTCAATATGTTTCACCATCTATATTGGGAACTCCATTTATGCTTCTCGAATCCGAACTTACAGCAATGAAGTTCGACTTTAAATCCAACAAGCTGTTGTATAATTATGAATATATCTCTCTGCTTCCTGATGCAGATCTATTCATTCATCATCGATTTACTGATGAATCAATTCCGGAATTTAAAAACAATTTCATTTCCACCTATGGTTTGGTTTTAGAATTCCCAGAATTCTTTATTAAATACCTAGTTCCTAGACTCCACTCATACCAAACCTACGAAGAATGTAAACCAATATTTTATTCTCTTGTTCAACACTGGAAAGAGTTTAACCAAATTCATTATGAACAACTCAAAGCACTCAAGCTCATCCCAGTTCTTGAAGATGATGGAAACACTATCGAGGCGTTTAACTTGGTTTCTGAGTATTACAATGAAGAAGTACTCAAAATTATCCCATCAGACTATGATCTTCCACCAATCTTTTATGAAAAGAATTATCAATCGATTCTCTCCAAGTTGGGTCTTAAGGATACAATCGAAACCGATATTATCGTTGCACACTTTGAAGCTTTATCGAATAATCCCGATGCCGACAAGTTTGAACAGCTCTATAATTTTATGACAAACACAAAGACCCTGACCAAAGAGGATGTTGTTAGTATCCTCGATGAAATTAAAGATCTGCCCATCATTCCTTGTGCCCAAAACAACCATATTGGAGCAGTCAATCAACCATTTGCTTCTTTATCAATGTCGTCCGATCCTTCTCATGAAGAATATACATTCACGGTCTTGCCAACCAGACTCTACGAAAATATCCAACAACCAACTTCACCAAAGATGCATATTATTGCAGATCATCTAAAGAATCTACTTTTAGATTCACAGAAATGGAAAGAAGACCACAAATTGTTAGATCTTGAAACACTCGTACACAAACAAATAAGTCATCTTGCAAAAGATACGACAAGCGTTCAACACCCATTACCAGATTCAACATTATTTCCAATTCAATCACAATTGGTTCCAATCAAAGACATCATTCTTACCGATGAGAATCTATTACCATTCTTTTTCTCCATCCAAAAAGAAAAAAAATTCTACTATACTTTAGAATGCTTAGGATTCACCAATATCAATGACGACAAGATTGTTTGTAAACTTTCATCAATGGTTACCAAAGTCATAGGTGATGATTCCATTAAGACTGTTATCACACTTTTGAAACATCTCAAAGAAGCTTCACCACCAGCTCTCCTTTCCGAATCATGTGTTCTGCAGCCACATTCATTGGTATATTCAACTCCATTCGGTTCCAGTGATAAACTGAAGAGGAGAAGTAATATCGCTGGTAAACTTTACCAAGTTCACCCAGAGATTGAGCGACACAAAGGTCAGATCAAGATATTTGCTCTTTCCGATTTAGTGAAGGAATCGATCAACCTCGAAATGTCCAGAGTTGAAAAAGTTTCTTCTTCCTCATTCATCGATTTCCATGACCCAAATATCATCGCAAGAGTTCAAAGTATCTTGGATTTTGATGCCAAGAAATTCAAGAAAATTCTTTCCAAACTACAAAGTCTCAACTTGTACAAAGGTAAATTGGTCAGCAAGTTCACTATGACCAACGAGAACAACGACGATGTTACCCGTGAACCGATTGGATCCGATCATATCTATGATAAGGAGCACAATTCACTCTACATTCAAAGTGAACTCTTTGATTCTTTCCATTATTTCGGTTTCATTTCATCGATTTTCCAAATCTCTATGCAACTCTATACTGAACTACGTGCCCATAAAGATCAAGTTTACGATCTCAATCCATTCCACACTTATTCCTCTGGTGAAAAGGCATACTATTCGCGCGACAATAAGACTTTCCAAGCAACCACTGTCGTCCGAATGAACGAAGAGAGTATAGATGAATACTCTGAACTTCGATTCTACTTTATCAGTTTGGACAATGATGATTGCGATGACGATGACATTGATGGTGCTGTTGCGGTCAATCCAATATCAGTTCCATTGGTTCATCTCTTTAAAGAAGGTACCACCGATGTCAGCAAGATAGAGCTCGATCATAAAGCAGTACAACAACTCTACGATGAAGTACTCTCAAGTTTCGGTGAGGGTTTCGAATGCAAAAGAATCAGTGAATTTGCAAAACAACTTGGAATTACAATAGAATTACCGACTGTCAAAGAAAATCAACTTGTGATTCACCGTGCAAAAGCACAATCGCTCACCACAACAGTGTATACAGTTCAACCATCGAAATACTCATCGAGCGTACCCAACGATGAATATGCATCTATATTTAAAAAACAATCAGCTCACGATTTAGAAGTGGCAAAACATTGCCATCTGGGTGGATTCTACTCTTCCGCCTGCTTCCATGCTCAACAATGTGTTGAAAAACTTTTCAAAGCATATTGTCACAAACATGGAATCTACTTTGACTTGCACAGTCACAAAATCAACTACTATCAAATCAAAGAAGATATAGATTGTAGTGATGCTCGCATTTTCGAAAGATTCTATATATCAACAAGATATCCATCCAACAACGGCTATGACACAACTGCACCCTATGAAAACTACAATGAAAATCAATCGGAAGATGCCATCAAAAAAGCATTAATTTTATGCCTTAATTTAAAAGATTTAATTTAAATAAACCACCATTTTAAAAAATAAAAAAATCAAATAAATAAAAGTGCACTGCTTTAGAAAAGAGATATTTTTTTCTTTTTCTAAAACAATGTTTTGTGTGTCAAGTTTGATTCAAAAAAGTGCAATTTTAAGTTCTGATTGATGAATCAAAAATTTAACCACTTTTTAAACCTTTGATAATGTTTAACTTTGGTGAAAAAGAAATGAAAAGTTTAATATCTTTAGGATAGTTTTTATACTAAAAAGTAGGGCATGATGTGAGTTTAGGTACCTTTCATTTTATACCCAACATTTGTTTTTCATTTCTTTTGCAAAAAAAAAAAAACACAACTTCACAAAAACATAAAGAAATGAATAAAAATTGTAGACCAATCAAATAATTGAAATAAGTTCGATTCCTATATCCTTTTGTGGTAGATCTAAATCATCACACTGTAGATTTAGATTAAAATGTATTTTTTTTATTAGCAACTAAATCAATAGTACTATTGATTTAGTAATCAATGAAGATTCATTAATTTTAAAACAATATATCATCAAATTCATAGATATAATTAATATATCTAAACAGGTAAATGTTATTCATATTTTTTTATATCTTAAAATATTGTTTACTAAAGTTAAATTTATTCATCATATTAGGTTAGTCTTCAATGGCGCTATTTAAATTCAAAGATGGTAATGCTGTCGAACCTTACTATAAACGTATCAATGGTATTCTCAAAAAATATCATGAATCTACAATATTAAAAGAGTTATTACAAGTAAGTTTAATATTTAAATATAAAAACAAAAGATACTAATTAATGATATTATCAAAAGAATGCTGATGATGCAGGTGCTTCTAAAGTTATAATCAAGTTTGATCGGAGATCATACGGTACTGAGAGTCTGCTTGGTGAGAATATGAAACAGATGCAAGGACCATCACTTCTGATCTACAATGATTCGATCTTTAAGGAGAAAGACTGGGAGGGAATCAAAAGTTTGGGAAGTGGATCGAAAGAGATGGATCTTAAATCGGTTGGAAAGTTTGGTTTGGGTATCAACTCTGTCTACCATGTATCGGACATCCTAACTGTCGTTTCAGACACGCAAATGCTCATCCAAGACCCTCTTGGTTTGGTATCGGAAAAGGGATTACATTTCGATTTCGTCGAGAATTCGATCAGTGCCGATTATCCTGATCAAGCAGAACCTTTCAAACAATTCGGTTGTGACATGACCAATCAGTTCAATGGTACCATCATCAGATTACCAATTCGTAGAGTTGGCAGTAAGATCAAACTATATCCAATCACGGATGCAGATTTTCAGCTAATCTTTAACGAATTCATTCAACAGCTACATGAACTGTTACTGTTCCTCAAGAATATTCTAGATGTAGAAGTTTACGATGATAACAAACTTCTATTTAGAGTGTCTATATCTAATGCATCATCTATTGAAGGCGAACGAACACTTGTTCATGATTATATATCGAGAATCGCCGATACAATGGAAGAATATAATATTCATAATTTCATTGATATCATCAAGAGAAGAACCGATCTGCCAGTGGGAACATTCACAATGGATCTCAAGTATGAGAGTGCAGTCTATGGTACTTCCAGTATGTCATATTGTATCACTCAAGGACTGGTGAAGAAGGGCTTACAGACTTTGAGAATGAACAATATCACAACCAAACTCATTCCATGGGGTGGCGTTGCTGTTCCTTTAGGTCTGACACCACAACAAACCAAGTCATTCCAAGGTATACCATTCACATTTCTTCCGATTGGATCACAACGTTTCAATATTCCATTCCATTTTAATGGTTTCTTTGTTCTCTCCGATGCCAGAACCGACATTCACTTCTCCACCTCCAACTATGAAAACAGTGAAGAACACCAAGAGTTTAAATGGAATGAGAATGTTCTGACCAATATCATACCGGAACTATACAATCATAATCTATTAAAAATGATTGATAATGGACTAATCGATAAGAAATCAGTGTATGATTTCTTTCCAAGCAAAGAGTACACCTCTGAGAAGAATAAAGTTTTGTCGACATATACTATCCAAAGACTTTCCGAGAGTAAGCTCTTCCAAGACATCAGTACACTGAAGTATCATCATTTGTCAGAAAGTTATTGTCTAACCGATGATCACAATGAAGATATCTGCAATGTTTTAATTCAACGATCGAAAGTAACAATTCGAATTCCAAATCCACTATTACAAAATATGTTGGAACTAGGTTGTAATATCCACTTGATCACTCCAATGGATATTTGCCGATTTTTGAAATCAATACCTCTCACTGAATTCAATGGTTCAGTTCTCAAATATCTGCTATCGAATCACCAGATCATTGAAGGTGGCTACTTGAATCAATTATCCGTATTCCCTTTACCTAAAGGTGGAATCGGTTCAATTGCTTCCAAACATTTACGTCACCCAAAAATGTATTTTACCGACAAGAGTCAGTTCACCATCTTGTCAAGCCGAAACCCAGATTCACTATTTGATTTCGAAAGGATGTTGCCATTCACTGATAAAATCATGTCACTCTCCAAATACTATCATGTTTCGACAATGGATATTACTAAATTCATTGAAATGGTAGAGATATCATTTAAAGAGATGGTCGGAATCAATTTTGTTCTTTCAACTTTACCAGATGATTTTAATTTCGCTGTATTCTGGGACTACATGCGTAATTTCGAAACATTCCAACTTCCCAATTTTGCTTGTATCCCAGTAACCACTTTACATACCTCATCGGCACCCAATGCATATGTAGCCCCAAGCTATCCTAAATTAATTCTTGACACAATTAATGAACCAATCAAGTCAATTGTTTCCAAACTTGGATTCTACTTGGCAAAGGCGTCCACCAGGGAAAAATACTATTTTTCCATTGAGAATGTTAATTCTGAACAAAATTTTGTCAATGGTATTACTAGTACAATGGTTTTATCCTTGTCATCGGAAGACAAGAATTTAGTTCGAAAGTATCTTCTCTCTGGTCCTAGAAATCTAAAACAATCAACAGCTATCTTTGCACTTCCAATCTTTAATACTTCAATTGGTGAATTCAGTTACATCAATACCAAAACTACTTGCACCATTTGGAAAGATATTACAAAGTACTGTAGAGGTCAGAAGTATGTCATCTTTGAGGAAGATAGGAACAATCTACAGAAATGGCCTACCAATCTGAACGATCAGAATTCCATGTTGCTCAACAATATATTGCCATATATCAATTTATACAAACAAGATGAACAATTCTCAATTGTTAAATTGGTTCTAAGGAATGTTGAATATTTCAAAACAAAACCATTCATTCAGAAGCAGGAATGGGTACCAAACTCTGGTGGTACATTGTCAAGATTGAACCAAGTATTCATTCTATCAACACCAGAGAGAGTATCACTCTTAAAGTATACTCAAGAAGGATCAAGCAAGGTCATTGTACAACAATTGACGACGAGTGATTTAATAGATAAATGGAGATCAATAGGAGTGTATTCTATTTATCCTGGTAAAGGTGTCAGCTCAGATCATAATCTTACAAGTGATTGTCTAAATAATCTGCAAAATTTACCAAAGGAATCATTCAATTCAGCATTCAATGAAATTATTAGCTTTATGAATCAAAATATGAATCTGGTTGATCATAACGCAATATCAATTCCATTTATTCCTGTTAAACAGTCAATTAATATTGGTTCAATATCGTACAAAAGTGAGACAAAATATGTTTCAATTAATCAATGTTACATAGATTCTGTTGAAGAACTGTGCTACAGTCAATGTACAATTGGAGATATCGATACGAAATCACTTGCATCACTACAAAAGTATCTACCAACTCTAAAGATAGAAACAGTAATCAGTCATCTTGGATATCTTATCGAACAATCTCAAACAACATCATCGAATGATGAAGATAAAGAATCAATGACTACAATAGTAAAAAAGATCTATAAATTTTTCAATGACCAAGAAGATATTAAATCACTCATTTCAAGTAAACTTGATTGGATTTGGTGTGGATCGAAATTCGTATCACCAAAGTTAGTTTTTGTCAATGGTACTTCGATTGATCCTTATATTTTCAAAATTCCAAATCAACTTAGAGAGTTCACTCCTCTCTATGAAAAGGTCAAAATCCCGATGAATCCTACTTTTAGACAATATTCAGCTGTTTTGGAAATTTTGTTTTCTAAATCCAAGGGATTGCCTCTTTCGGATGAAGATCTTTCAATTGCAATCAAAGTTGCTAATGAATTGGCAAAACAACCAGTACCACAGGAACCAGGAAAGATCTATCTTCCATGTACAAGCTTGAAACTTGTGGAGATTGAAAAAATTATTTTCTCAGAAACTGACGATGTACATCAATCACTTCAATCACTCTCAATTCTTCACAGAGATTTGTCACTTAACTTTGCCCGAAAGTTGGGAATCAAATCATCGACGGATGCCATCAAACGAGGTAAAACCATTCTTGGATCAGAGTTTGGTCAATTTGAAAAACTGGTTACTCGTTTGAAAAGCATTAATGAAGATTACAAGGTGGAATCTTTATTAAAGGAAGTCGTTCAGAATGCCGAAGATAGTAAAGCAACTGTTCTCGAGATTTGTTTGGACAAGAGAAGATACACAATCACCGACGATCTCGATCCAGAGCTACCAAAGAACTTTGGAAATTATCTCGAGCCATCACTGTGTACATTTTCAATGATTCCAAGTTCACCGACCTCGATATCCAGAATATCCAATCACTTGGTGACTCCTATAAGAAGAACAACTATTCAAAGATTGGTCACTATGGAATCGGTTTCAATTGTGTCTACAATATTACAGATGTTCCTTCGATAATCACACGAGATTCATTGTTCATCTTTGATCCTCTGAAATCTCATTTTTCAGTAGAGCAGAGTGCTGGTCGTTCATACGAATTCTCAATTCGTGATCAACTTGTCGACACTTTCAAACCATTAAACTATCCAAACTTCAATCTTTCGCTTGACAAGGAATTCGAACACACCATCATTCGTCTTCCACTCAGAAAATCTGCATCTGAGCTCTCTTCTAATATATGGACTATGGAAAAAATCAACGAGACATTCAATATGTACCAATCGAGTGCAGAGAATTGTTTACTTTTCCAACGCAACCTCAAGAAGATCACATTCTCTGTCATTGAAGATGATAATTCCAATCAAGCAAAGACTCTTTATTCAGTTGAGAGAAGAGTAACTGGTGGATACAATCCAATCAATCTTTTTAATGATATTGAAAATTTCAATTGGGAAAATAAAGAAATTCCGAAATCATACTTTATGGATATCATTACCAATGGAACTGTTACTAACAAATGGTTTGTTGGATGGAAGATCGGTGCTGAACAATCGAGTAATCTCTTCAAGATCTACGAGAAACTTCATCAGAAATCAATTCCATTGGGTAGTATTGCGATATGTATGGATAAAGAGATTATAGGTGTTCCTTTCACATATTTACCATTGCCGAAATCCACCGAGTTACCTGTGATGGTCAATGGTAGTTTCATTTTGAACTCAGCGAGACAAGATGTTTTCAACTCTCTCGAGAACAACTACAAACTCGACGACTACAAACCGGATTCAGAGAAAGAAAAGTCATTGTGGAACATTTCGATTGTTACTGAGATACTCTGTCCTCTATATCTCAACCTTTTGAACAACATTGAATTCAAGAATCACTTTATTGGATCAAAGATCAACAATTTCTATTCACTATTCCCTCATTCAAAAGCTACTCTTTGGAATAGAATAACTGAGTATTTCTACCAGAACGTATCGAAATACTCTGTTTTTTCCAACATCTACTCAAATGATTTTGGTGGTCTCTCATACCTATGGAAATCATTTGACAAATCTTCGTTGGTAATCAAATCGGAATATAAAGAACCTTTAGATGATTTAAATATCATAAAACTGCTTTTACAAGACAAATGTCCTTTAGTACTGCTTCCCGAAGAAGTATTTGAAATGTTGCCGAAAGATGTGGCACCCATCCAATTTAACGAATCAAATGTGGCTAAATTCTATAAAAAAGTTACGGAAATCAGCTATTTATTGTCTAATCCACCAAGACCTTCACTCTCATGTAAGGAAAACATCTTTACACTGGCTAAATATGTTCGATCACTCTTAGATACTCCATTTATGCTTCTCGAATCCGAACTTACCGCTATGAAGTTCGACTATAAATCCAGCAAACTCATATACAATTCTGAATATTTCACACTGCTCCAAGATGCAGATCTATTCATTCATCATCGATTTACAGATAATTCACTACTTGAGAAGCACACCCCAATTTATGGTCTGGAAATACAATTCCCAGAATTCTTTATTCAACACCTCATTCCCAAACTCAAATCATACAAAACATACGAAGATTGTATTCCAATACTTTCTTCATTGGTTCAACACTGGGGAGAATTTAGCCAATACAATATTGATAAACTCAAACAACTTGAGCTCATCCCAGTTCTTGGAAATGATGGAAACTCTGTCGTGAAGTTTAACTTGGTATCGAAATATTACAATGAAGAAGTACTCAAACTTATTCAACCAAAGTATCATCTTCCACCAATCTTTAATGAAAATAATTATCAAATGATCCTCTCAAAATTGGGTCTCAAGAGTACTTTAAATACCAAGATTATCATACGGCAATTCGAAACACTATCGAATGATCCTGATGCCAACATGTTTGAAAAGCTATACAAATTTATGACAACCACATCGACTCTAACAAAAATAGATGTTTTCAATATCTTCGAATCAATTAAAGATCTTCCAGTCATTCCTTGTGTCCAAATCAACAGAATTGGAGCAGTCAATCAACCATTTGCCGCAATATCAAAGTCTTCGGATCCTTCTCATGAAGAATATACATTCACAGTCTTGCCAACCAGACTATATCCAAATCTTGAATTTTCTCCCACTTTAAATTTGGTTACCGTTGAAATCCATCTCAAGAATCTACTTTTGAATTCACATAAATGGGATGATTACAATATGATTGATTTTGAATCGCTGGTAACTAAGGCAATAGGATATCTTGGTAGTCAATGGCATTCCATCCAGAAACCATTACCAGATTCAACATTGTTTCCAATTCAATCACAATTGGTTCCAATCAAAGATATCATTTTGACAAAGGAAAATCTGTCTCCATTCTTTCTCTCTATTCAAAGCTCAATCAAACAATACGGCTCTATTTTAGAAGGTTTAGGATTCACTGGTATCAATGATGAAAAGATTGTTTGTAAAATTTCATCAATGACCTCTAAAGTCATAGGTGAAGATTCCATTCAAACGGTAATCACACTTTTGCTACATCTTCAAAAGGCTTCACCACCAGCACTGATAGATAAATCCTGTATTCTTCAATCACATTCATTGGTCTATTCTCGCCCACATGGTCAATCTGCTTCCTTACTTGATAGATGTCAAATCACCAACAAACTTTTCCAAGTACATCCTGAGCTTGAGAGACATAAAACATATATAAAGATATTTACTCTCTCAGACTTGGTTAAGGAATCTCTCAACCAGGAATTGTCCAAGGTTGAAAATGTTTCTTCATCTACATTTGTCGACTTCCATGACGAAGATATCATAGAAAAAGTTAAAAGCAATTCCAGAAACAGCAAAATCATTAAACTCCTACAAGATCTCAAACTGTACAAAGGCAAATTGGTCAGTAAATTCACATTGGTCAATAACAACACTGATGTTACCAAAGAAGCACATGGATCAGAATATATCTATGATAAGGAGAACAATTCACTCTACATTCAAAGTGAATTCTTTGATTCTTTCCATTATTTGGGCTTCATTGCTTTGATTTTCGATATCAATTCTATGCACCTCTATACTGAACTTCGGACACACAAAGATCTAGTTTATGATATCAATCCATTCCATATCTATTCATCTGGTGAAAAAGTTTATTACTCATCCGATAATATTTCTTATAACCCTGCCACCATCATCCAAATGAATGAAGACAGTATAGATGAATACTCTGAACTTCGATTCTACTTTATCAGTTTGGATGATGATGAAGAATCGGTCTCAGCTCCTTTGGTCCATCTCTTTAAAGAAGGTACCACCGATGTCAGCAAGATAACGATGGATCATCAAGCAGTACAACAACTCTATGATGAAGTAAGAATTAGTTTTGGTGATGGTTTCGAATGTAATAGAATCAAAGATTTTGCAAAACAACTTGGAATTACAATAATATCACCAACAGTAAATGAAAATCAACTCGTCATTCATCGTGCAAAAATCAACATTCTAAAGACCTCTGTTTACACTCTTCAAAAATCTAAATACTCATCGAGCGAACCAAACGATGGGTATTCATTGATTTTTAAAGAACAATCAGCTCACGATTTAGAAGTGGCAAGACATTGCCATCTGGGTGGATTCTACTCTTCCGCCTGTTTCCATGCTCAACAATGTGTTGAAAAACTTTTCAAAGCATATTGTCACAAACATGGAATCTACTTTGACTTGCACAGTCACAAAATCAACTACTATCAAATCAAAGAAGATATAGATTGTAGTGATGCTCGCATTTTCGAAAGATTCTATATTTCAACAAGATATCCCTCCCCCAACGGCTATGATACAACTGCGCCTTTTAAGAACTACAATGAAAATCAATCGGAAGATGCCATCAAAAAAGCATTAATTTTATGCCATAAATTAAAAGATTTAATTTAAATAAACAGCACTTTCATTATATCTTAAGTTAGAAAATTAAATACATAATAAACAAAAGATAATTGTTGATTGTTAAAATTAAATTAAAAAGATAGAAAATATTATTGAAAAAAAAATACATTAATTTTATTAATCGAATGATTTTAATTCTATGGAATCACTTTCATAGGACATGGCAGTGTTACCCTTTGATTCATCCATAGTTGTTGTAGTTGTTGGTAGTTTCTTTTCGGAACTAGTTCCGCTTCCACTGCCTATAATTCCAAGTTGCAAAAGTTTGGATTTGATTGGTGGATATTGAACTATAGCAGAGTTTAACCAGATCTTCTTTGATTTATAGGTTAGACCATACAGCAGGAATACAAATATTCCAAACATTCTAATTAAAAAGTAAAAGAAAAACATTCTTAAATAAGGTGGTCCTTTGACTGTACATGAATCTGGATCCTTTGAAGAAAGTAAACAATCCAAATATAAAACTGCATTTGCATTATATTCATCATCTCTAACTTCAAAATAGAAATGAGTTGCAAGAGTGTAGATAAATGATCCGAAAATGAGCAATACACAAAGGAATGGTTTAATCTGTAATTTAAGGAACCTATTATCATGATGTATATTTGTTACAATCTTTATAAAAGAAAATAAATAAAAATAAAAGTGAATAAAAAGAATTAAAAATTATTTTTACAATAGAAATAATACTTACAGTATAAATCTCTTTAATTACTAATAAAATAAAGAATGTACCAATTGCCAAAGCCAATGAAACAGGGAACCAAAATACACCGTTTTGAATCCATTTTCCACTGACCCAACAACTAACTGCACCACCACCAGCCTTGACTGATTTGATAGAGAGTGGAATAATTAAAAGAATTATTTGGAGAGCAGAGTTGATAATAATTGTAGCTCTTGGTGATAACATTTTGATTTTGATTCTCTTTATCGATGCCCATAATTGAATGGACATGGTAACCCAATATAATAGAGCACCAACCACACCAAGATGGAAAATCGATCCTGTCACTGCACATGCCGCATCATATTGCTGAGCATACCTTCCTGGCTCTGGACAAAAGATTTTCAGATGACCAACACCTGAATAAATAATATCGACCAGATTCATTACCCAAATCGAAACTGAAAAGAATATCAGCGATACGGTAAACTTGTTGTAGTCCCTGCTTAGAATACCAAATGTAAAAACATTAAAAGATACACAAGCGAATGATATGGAAGACATAATAGTTGACATTTTATAAATTCCATTCCAAGTATGATTTCTAAAAATGAATTAAAGTTTGTAAATTAGTTTTATAAACGATAACCATGGTAGGCAAAATTTATAATACAAACGTATAAATTGGTACAGGACAAGGTACTACACAACTAGTTTCTCCTACAAATGTAAAACTACAGAATAGAAAATAGATATTAGTTGAATCAAAAGTTGTCAGTGTATTTAATAATAGACTTACCCGTTATCTTTTGAATAGTGAGGATCTGAACGATTGACATGAAACAAAGGGAATGGACAATATTGATTGGTATTCCTACTTCCATTGGAAAATAACAGTGAATTTGTGCACTCGACACGATATGAACTGCTTCCTCCGTATTCCGATAAATCGTATAATGTGTAGTTATCTGGATATTGACTAGAGTCAGAGCAATTTACATATGCTCCTACTAAAGGATTATTACATGTATTTGTTAAATTAATACATGCTGCTTTACATAATTGTGATTCTAAAACTATTGATTTTGTTAGAGATTCTGTTGGGGTTACACATTCTCCTAAAAACTAATAAACAATATACAACAAACAATGAGAAAAAAATTAATAAAAATTTGGTATTAAAAATAATTCTAAAGCTCTCTTTTTTTTTTTGTACCTTTGCACATAAACCTTTTTGTGCTTGATCTGTTAAACAACCGATTGCATTCAACATGAATGCCGTTGATGAAATATCATCTAATTTTTTACTCTGTGTGTTTGTTGGTGTTGAATATATTGAATCTGTAGGAACAGGTGTTATTAGTTTAGTCGAAATATTCTCGTAAATTAAACATTTCTTTCTTCTTTCTTACCTGGATTGATTAAATTGTTATTACAAATATCTCTACCCTGTGGATCTCCTATAAAAGGAGAGCATGAACCTGTTGGATCAGGTTTTAGAATTGGTTGTTGTTGTCCATCTACTCTATTGAAATAATAAATTAATAGTAGAAATATAAAAAAAGCTGATTGTTTATTATTTAATATCATATATATCATTCTATTATTATTATTTTATTTATTTTATTTTTCTTTGATTGATTTAAAAGATTCTAATTATTTTGTAAATGAGAAAATAAAAAAAAAAGTAAACTAAACTCTTTTTAAGAAATAAAGGCCAACAATAAACTTAATCAGATTGTCCCCTACAAGAAGTGTGTGTCCATTGAAATATCAATATCAACTTGAACAAAAGATATCTATCAAGATTCATTTACAAAGATATTTTCAATTTAAAGCCGATAGATTCATTGAATCTACCAACTATAAAGAGAAATAAAATATCTTTATTGTTGACATTTTTGATTTTTTTTTTTTTTTGTAAAGAATAATAAAATAATGGGCGAAATAGAATCTTAATTTTAAATTTTTTAATGCGTTCAATCCCATTACAATAATATCTATTTTAAATTTTGTAAAGGAGGTCTAGATTTTTTTTGGATTTTTTCATTTTTTGTTTTTTTTTTGATCAATTGTTTAAAGTGTTTTTTCTTTTTTTTTTTTAGATTCGATGGTCGGATTTTAAATAAAACTGTTATTATTAAGCTTAAGGGTTTAAAGTTTTTAGAGGTTTTATTTAGAACGACATCTTTTTGTTCAGTCCGAAAGTCCAAAGTAGATCATCTTTGTAGATGATAAGCCTTGTAGATAAGCTTTTATTTTATTGCTCTCAAATTCCTTTATGCGTAAACATTAATAGGGACGAATGTGAACTCCTCATAACACAACAGGGTGTTTTACTAAAATTACCGACACTTCGAGCTTCACTCAAATACCCGTAGATTTTGTATCCATTTGAACTCACATATTTAATAAAACTTAAGAAATGAATCATTCATTGTAGTAGGTTCGTTTTATTATTATTATTAACTTTTGTTTTTTTTGTTTTTTGACATTGACTAAAAAAAAATATTATATGATTCACAAGACTTTACTTCCTTTAAAAAAACACTGCTAGCAACATGGTCCAACAAACAATCAAACTAAGAGTTTATTTCTTTGTTCTGTCAATATTTACATTATTGATGATAAGTAGTGTAAAAACCCACTTCAATTTAAATTAAAATTATTATTATTTGAATACCCACCAACACAACCAGATAAAACTCTATTCCTAACACCAATCATCAAGAAAGTCAATGAATTAATTCAACTTTCTTCCAATTCATCAAATATTAGCCAAATGGAATCGATATCCTATCCATGGTTATATATAATAATAAAAAAATAATATTAAATATTTAAAAAATTGTTTATTATATTGATTCTAGCATTTAGCATTTGGTATAATGACAAGTTTAATCATCTTTTTTTTTATTTTTTATTTTAATCACATAAATTATCTACAAGATTAAAAAAGTAAATAACCTCAATAATAAAAGAGAATAGGTAATGGTTTATTTATATTTTCTTGTGGTGATCGAATATCAAAAAAAAATGAATCAAAAGCAAAAATCATTTAAAAATTTACATCAATGTTTAAGTCGTAATGTTTTTGAGGACCTCAGCCAGTCTTACCATCCCACGAACCTGTCAGATTCATTTCAAAAAAGTCGATGGAAATTTATTTTATTTTTCATATTGAGCAGGATTTTTTTTTTTGGTCAACTGAATCAATTATTTATTATTATTATTATTATTTTTTTTTTTGATTAATTACTATACTATTTTTTTTTATACAAAAAGAAATATATATTCTTTTTTATCTATTAAATAAATATTTAAAATAAATCATTTTTTATTTGATTTATAAATCAATCAGACAAAACAAGAAAAAGTAACTGAAAGATAGTTAGAAAAAAAAAAAAAAAAAAACTTAGATATCTTTGGTTTTTTGATTTTTTTATTTTTCATTATTTTTTTTATTTTTTTAATTTTTTTAGTGTTGTGTTTTTGCTTTTTCTTTTTTAATATTATTAATATTATTATTTGTTGTATCATTGCCAATCAGCATTCTTTCTTTTTAACAAATCAAATCGATCAAATATATAACATTATATATTTTTATATATATTTATATAGGATATATTATTAAATTAATTACTGTGGTGGTTTTAAATTAATTATAATATATTATAATTATTATTTTTATAAAAGTAGATATTTTTATTTATTTGAACAACATCAACAACAACAACAAGTTAGATTTGTAAAATTATTAGATTTAGTTTAGTTTTATAATAGATTAGAATAGTAATATAAATTATAATAATACAATATATATATTCTGATCAGAAAGAAAAGAAAGAATTTAAAAAACAAACAAAAAGAGAAGAAGAAGAAGAAGAAGTAGAAGAAGCAACTTAAATATTAAAAAAGTAATGTTAGGTTCAGGAGACGACGAATATAGTAATAAAAACAACGCAAGCTCACAGAAACTAGGATCATTATTCAAAGACAGCAACAATATGTCGGGAAATCAATCACTTACCTACAGCAACAACAAACAACAAGGTTCATCGAATTCCTCGAAACAAGATATTCTTCTTGGTGCTCCAGTACATTTGTATAAATTGTAAGAGAACAAATCATCTGACAACAAGTCAAACCAATACAATAATAATAATAATAACAACGATGATTAATCATTATTTCTTAAATCTATTGATATAGTGATCAAGCAACCGATAAATATGTTACAATCGGTAGTTTCTCATCTGCTATCGTTGCATTGAGATCATCTGGTAAATACCAATTGTTGATCTATGACAGCAACCGTAATACACAAGTCAATGCTTCTATTACACCATCATTTAACTATTCCGTAAGTGTTAACATTACCAATGCCATATATTATTAATATCATTCATCAATAATCAACAATCAAAAAAAATAATCAAACAACACTCACTACACTACTCTTATTATTATTATTATATTATTATGTCATGCATTAATATGTAATTGTGTAGTGTGTGGTGGGTCTTTGATTCTGAAAAATCAAAACCAATTTCCAAATTGTTCTTTTTTTTTTTTTTTTTGCATTTTGACCAAAAGATAGATTTTTATTTTTTTGCAAATAATTAATTTTTTATTTTTTTAATTAATTTTTAATAGGTTAATGAATTATATGGTAATTTCACTGATCAAGGTGTAAATTGGTCATTGTCATTCAATTCAAAGGAGGATTCAATCAAGTTTGCCACTTATGTTGCAATTGCAAAGTGTGCCAGCAATGGCTATCAGAATGTTGTAGAGATGGATCTCGGTCCGATGCCAGCCGGTACCAAGGGTAAGGGTGTCGCTGCCGGTGATCGTGTCTCTATCAAGTACTCCGGTTGGCTCGACAACGGCCAGAAGGTCGGATCACTCTTTGACACCAACACAACCAGCGCCAATCCGCTGCGTTTCGTGCTGGGCGAGGGCAAGGTCATTCGTGGTTGGGACACCGGTGTCGTCGGTATGGTCAAGGGACTCAAGCGTATCTTGGTCATCCCGAGCGAGTTGGCCTATGGCAAGAATGGACAATCGTCGATTCCACCCAACTCCAACCTCATCTTTGAGGTCGAGTTGACCGGATCCAAGAAGAAAGAGGGATCGGGTGCACCAGAGCAACAGCAACAGCAACTTCCAAACCTGAACGGTGCCGGTCAGGTTCCACAAGCCAACCTTCCAAATGCGTTGTTCGAGGGATCACCATCGCCACAATCAAACGACAAGACCAAGAATTTGATGCAACGTGTCGCCAAGTTGGGTATTCCAACTGGATTCACTTCTCCACCTCCATCCGACAGTGAACACTCTGATTCTTCATCAAGATCATCAAACAACAACAGCAACCAATCCAACAATCAAAACAACAACAACAATAACCAAAACAACAATCAGAACAATAATAACAATAACCAAAACAATAACAACAACAACCAAAATAACAACAACTACAACAATAACAATAATAACAACAACAACAACAACTTTAATAACAACAATAATAATGGTAATAACAACTTTGGTAACAACAATAATGGATTCAACAATAACAACAACAACAATGGATTCAACAACAATAACAATGGTTTCAATAATAATAATAACTTTGGTAATAACAACTTTAATCAACCAGGCTTTAATCAACCAGGTTTCAATCAAGGTTTCAATAACTCACCATATGGACCAAATTTCAATGGTGGATTCAATAACCAACCATTCTCATCTCAGATCATCTCGACTGCAGGTGGAATCTATCCACCAGGTGCAATCGTTCCACACCAAGGTGCAATTGTTCCATTGTTACAATCACCAACTTCACCAATTGTTATGCAACAACCAATTCCAGTTGCCGCTCCAGCCCCAGCCCCAGCCCCAGCCCCAACTCCAGCTCCGGCACCCCCAGCTCCAACCCAAACCACATCGGAAACCCTCCAAATCTTGGTCGAGGAGAAGCAATTCAAGACTAAGCTCGAAACTCACTTGAATCAATTCAGCACCAAGCTCGACGAGGTCAGCGCCAAATTCGAGACATTGAAACAACCGATCGTCCAAGGTGACATCCCAATCTCTGGTTTGCTCTTGGTCCAAACACTCTACAAGATAGTCGAGGACAACGAGAAGCTCACCAAAGACAACGTCGAGAAGGAGAGCAAGCTCACCAACTACAAGGAAACCATTGCTTCGCTCCACAAGAAGAATGAGATGTTCCTTGAGGAGAACACCAGAATGTTGGAGTCGAGAAACGACGCATTCTCGGACAATGTCCAACAAGCCAGAAAGCAAGTCGTTCAGTTGCAACGTGAGAAGTCACAGATCGAGGAGGAGAAAGCCGAGAAGGAGATGGAGTTGCACAAGGCCCAGAGTCAAATCACCACTTTGAAGCGTGAGTACAAGACTCTAAACGACGAGCTCCACTCGACCAAAGAGGAGATGGCCAAGAACGCCGCCGACCAAGAGGCAGCACGTGCCGCCGACAAAGAGCAAGCCGCCAAGTTGCGTTCGCTCAACAAGATGCTCCTCAACGAGAGAAGCTTGCGTAAGCAAGATCAAGACCGTATCGGATCGCTCGAGGACGAACTCAAAGACTCACAGGACTCACTCCAACAAGCCGAGAAGGCAACCGAGGAGCAAATCAAGAAGCTCAAGGTCGATATGCTCCGTCAGAAGAAGCGTTTCGAGGAGAAGATCTCTGCGCTGAATCTCGATGTCACCGCCGCCAAGGACACCCTTGAGAATGAGCGTGCTGCAATGGGATCGGTCAACACCTTGATTGAGAATGCCCGTCAAGAAGTCGAAGCCAAGTTCTCACTCCAGTTGGTCAAGAAGAGCGAGGAAATCACCTCGATGGAGTTGTTGTTGTCGAACGAACGTAAGATTGTCAGTGACTTGCAAAGAGATATCGATACGCTTAAGGCAAATGTCAGTTCGATCAGCGCTCAACTCACTGAGGAGCGTGCCAACGTTGAGAAATCCTATGAAAAGGGATTCCAAGAGGGTATCAACACATCGTCTGCCGACGACGCACTCGATAAGATTGTCCAAGAGAAGGAGGAACTCTCGTTGAAACTCGAGTCTGTCAGCAAGGAGACAAAGAAGTCGGCCGATCAAATCAAGGATCTCAAGAAGCAACTTCAAGATGCACAAGAAAAAGCTGCCGCTGCACCTGCCGTCGCCGCCGCTGCCTCCTCGACTTCTAGTAATGTCGACATGACCGTCGAAGTCAAGAGTTTAATGCAAAAGGTATTCGTTGGAATTGCCGAAGAGTTTGAAGAGGAAGAGTCATACACCACCGAAGATATCATGAGTACCTTCAAGGGTGTAATCAAGAAGACCACAATGGACTTTATTCAATCGAAACAACAAGAAAAGGAAGATGAAGAAGAGGAAGAGGAAGCCGAAGAGGAAGCTGAAGAGGAAGCTGAAGAAGAAGCTGCTGAGGAAGAGGAAGTCGAAGCTGCTGATGAAGCTGCCGTCGAAGAGAAGGCTGAAGTCGTCAAGGTTGAAGAGCCAGTTGCCGTCCCATCCAAGGTTGTTGCTCCAACTGAAGATGATGACGACGACGACGACGAAGACTTTGATGAAGATGTCATCAACAAGGAGATCGAAGCTGAATTGGCACAAATGGAAAAGGAAGAGGAATCGCAATCCGAAGATTCCGAAGCCATCAAACCAGTTGTTCCAGAAGTTGAAGCTGTTGAAGCTGTTGTACCAGAGGTCACTTCTGCTGCTCCAGTTGAAACTCCAGTAGAAGTACCAGTTGAAACTCCAGCACCAACTCCAGTTGCACCAGTTGAATCAACTGATGATGTCCAAGAGGATGACGATGATGAAGAGATTGAATTTGATGAGAAAGAATTGGCCGAATTGGAAAAGGAGATGGAAGAGGAAGAGAGAGCTGAAAAGGAAAAGGAAAAGGAACAAACAACCGAAACCAAAGAGGATGACGTTGAGGAAGAGGAAACTGAAGAAGTTGTCGTTCCACCAGTTGACGATGCTCCAGAGCCAGTCGAACCAGTAGAAGCTAAAGTTGAAGAACCAGCAGTCGTACCTGCTGTTCCATCTACAGAAAATGTTGTTGAGAAAGAAGAAGAGAAAGAAGAAGAGAAAGAAGAAGAGAAAGAAGAGGAGGAAGAGGAAGTTGAAGAGGAAGAAGAAGTTGTCAGTGCTGTACCACCACCAATTGAAACACCAGAAGTCTCGACTCCACCACCAATCGAAGACGATGAGAAAGATGTTGTTGTTGAAGATGAAGAGGAAGAAGAAGAGGAAACTGCTGCCGCTGCACCACCAGCCATCGATGACAATGAACCAATTCCAGTTCCAACTCCAACCTCTGAACCATCAGAACCAGAACAACAAGAACCAGAATCAACCAACACCACCTCCTCTGTATTAAAGCAAGACGACGACAGCTCCGATAATTCATTCGAGAAGATCCCAGCTGCCACTCCACCAGAATTGGAGTCGGACGAAGAGGACATCGATGTCAATGAGATCGACGAAGAGTCGATGCCACTCGACACCAAGCAAGTACTTTCACACAGAGTCGAGGCAGTCGAAGCCACCAGTTCACTCCCAGTGGCCACACCAGCCACCAAACTCGAGGAACCAAAACCAGCTCCAAAGAAATCATCGTTCTTTGACTTTGAAGACTCCTCACCATTCGACACCACCCCATCATCTACCAACACCGCCACCACCACCACACCAGCCGTCTCCAACGCATCGCCATTCGACAACCCATTTGAATCATCTACCACCACCACTGCCGGTGCCACACCATCAAAGAAAGATTTCTTCTCTGACGACTCACTCTTCTCGTCGGCCGGACTCGACTCATCAGACATTTTCGCCAAGAGTACATCGACAAGCTCGCCATCATCTCAAAAGAAGTCGGGATTCGACTCTGATTCATTGTTTGGTGATTCATTTGTATCAAAATCAAGTACCCCCGTCAAGTCTCAACCCAAACAAGATTTCACATCACTCTTTGGAGCTGACCCATTGGCAACCCCATCCGATGACAATTCCGAGAAAGAACCAGAAATTGTATTGCCACTATAAAGAATGCAAAGATAATTATGAGCAAAAAACCAACAAATATTATTATTATTTAAAAAAAAGTAAAAAAAAAATTAAATCTAAATATATAAAACAAATAAATCATTTAAAAAAGACCACCACCATTTTTTAAAATAGATCAAAAAAAAATCAAACAAACTTTCATTGCCCTATTATTGTTTTTTTTAATGATTTGTTTAGATATTCGTTCGTTTATTCTACTATTGATTTATCTACCTAAAAAAAGTTTGTTTTTAAAATATCTTTTTTGTTTGAAAATAAAAAGAAAAAACTATTAAGATGAGAAATAAAAATATATCCACCCTTTTTTTTCTTCATATCATATGACTTTCTTTTATTTCACCACCATCATTTTTAAATCTGATTCTTTTGCCCAAACCGCATTTAATCGAAAATGTCAATCTAATAATAAAAAAACTAAATTGTTTTTAAATAGTTATTAATTTTGCAACAATTTGTTTCATATAAAATTTTTCATTTAATCATAGTTTTTAGCTTTTTTTTTGCTTTTGGTAGTCGTCAAAAAAATTGTAGAAGTGATTGATTTTTTTGCTGATCAAAACATGCATATGCATGAGGCATTTTTTCAATTTTTTTAATTTTCATTTTTTTTTTTTGTTGTTTTTTTTTTTTCATTTTATGGCTTAACCCCAATGACCTTTTAAACATAATCTTAATTATTAAAGTAGGTGGTAACCCAAGTGCATCATGCTACAAAATTTCACCAAATATCTCACGATCCCACAGATATTTGGATTGAGTTTCACAAAAAAAAACCAATGAAAAAAGAGAATTTATTGCAAAAATTAAAATATTGATTCATTCATTGGGTTCTTTTAAGATTCTCGCAAAATGTCTCTTGTACTTCTTCCTCCATTTATATCCTACCAAAACTGATTTAACAAATTTTTTTTATTTTTTGTTTTTTTTTCATTCTTATTTTGTTTGTCATATGATCGTTCATTATTCAATAAAACCGAACACACCTCATCAATCAAACAATTAAACAAACATACAAATAAATAGTAAAAATCATCAAATTCATACATTACTCTTTTTCAATTAATCAACAAATCATCAATCAATCGTAAATTGTAAGTAAGTAAAATAATAAAATATAAATCATCAGAATTGTTGCAAACTATTTTGTTTTTTTTGTTTATCACAAAATTAAATACCTATTTATTCTCAATTCTTAATTCATGTTATTATTAATTTCATTATTTATTTATATTCCATTGCTCTCGTAAAATTAATTTAATATTCAAGTTTCTTTTTTATTTTACCATTGAAAAGAACAAAGCTCGTTGTTATTCAAAGTGACACCAACCAAATTTAATATTAATGTCAAAATAACAAACATTTTTTTTGTTGGAAATTAATATGAAATTGTTATTACTGAATTAAATTTCGTCCTCATTTTGTTTTTGTTGCTGACATTTTCTGCATCTTGATCATTTCATTAAAAAAAAAAGTCGTTTTTTCATTCATCACAGTTTTTTTGTTTTCGCCCAACAATCAAATTCATCGATAAATTCACCATCATACCCACCAAATTTATTTTGCAACTGACGATTTGCACAATACTTTGAATTGAGCAAAAAAAAATCCAAAAATAATAAACAATACCAACACTTGTATTTTGTGTTATATATGCACACTTTTTCATCCAAACTTTCGACGATATCGTCAATCACACACTCACACAAACCAACCTCTGAATTCAATTCATTAGCAGAGCTGTTGATGGATTAATGTTTGCAAAAAAAATATATGCACACAATTATATTCATTTATGCCTTTTTGAAAATTGTTCATTTTTTTACCCATCACTACTAAACCATCATCGAATCGATTCATTATGACAATTCCGTTTTATTTTCGAATAATTATAAAACTAAACAAGATCTGATGATTTAAAAAAACAAAATTGAAGTTTCTTTTTTTTTTTTTGCAAGGTGACAATCATTTCGAAGAAAAACATCTTTTACCATTTGGTTGTTTTGCTTTTTTTTTTAATTTTACATCCCCCCACCATTTTTTTTTTCATTTTCACCCCCACAACTTTTAATTTTGCAATCTCTTTTATGATTCTCCTGTACCCCTCTGAATGTTTAGTCATCTGACACCTAAAAATCAAGCAAATGCATTGATAATTTCAGCCGTTCGAAAAACAATTCATTCTAAAATTTCACCAACATCACATCTTTTTTTTTTTTTTTAATTTTTGGGTTTAATTTTAATTTTCTTTCTTTTTTTATTTTATTTTTTTGATTAATTATTTTATTTTAAAAACAAAAGAGTTCTCAATCGCATATTATTCTCACTCAATCTTCCTATTCAAATTTCAATCATTTCTCGCAATCACAACACAGCGCTACACAACTCCTTTTTTGTATTTTTAATCCAAACAACAATATAATAATATATATCATATAAACAAATAGACAATTACATAAATCTTAAAAAAGTAAACATTTATTTATCTATAAATCTGTAAACAGTTTTTTTTTCTATTATTTTGTATTTTAGCACATTTGTTTGTTTTGTATAATTCATTTAAAGTCGACTTTGAAAAATTAAAAATTCACTTCAAATTTCTGATTTATCATTTTGTAAATTAAATTTTCTTTAAACTATTCATTTTGTTTTTTAGTCCCTCATTTGTAATCAATCATCACCATCTTTATAATTATATAACCTTGTACATTTTCTTTTTTTTTATTTATTTAAATTGTTTAATTTGTATAGATTTTATTTATTTAATTATTTTTATTTGTATAATTAATTTATTTATTTCATTCTCAAATTTCTCAGATAATTGTAAACAAATCAATCAATCAATCAATCAATCAATCAATCAATCAATCAATCAATCAATCAATCAATCAATCAATCAGTCAGTTATTATTTAGTTAGTTAGTTAGTCAGATCATATCAACCAATCAATACAACCAAATATATAAAAATATTTTTAAAAGAAGCATTAGAAAAGAAAAGAAAGAAATCAGAATATTCATTCTTCAAATTCAATATTGTAGGTATCAATTAAGTTATAAATCAACTTTATAAATAATATTATTATTGCTATTGTTGTTATTAGTTAGTTTTCATTCAGTATTATCAGTAATACCAACTATCATCACCAAACCAGCAATGCAAAATCAGACCAATCATTTAAACAGTGTTTCTCTGCTGATGATCATCTTTGAAACATATCACCAATTTGTGTTTTAGATGGTTTATATATACACCATTTAAATTTAAATATTTCATACCAAATTATGCTAATTAGCAAGCATCATACTATATTATATCTACTTTTCAAGTTCGTTCGTTAGTTATTTACTTCTTTCAGGTGCGATCTCGAGATATTATTATCGTACTTTCACACCTTACTTTTCTAATCACGTGTTTCTACTGTCGTATATCACAATAACCATCTATCACCACACCTTTCTTCATACTTTTATTTGATAAATAATCACCACCACATTATTTATATAAATAATAACAATATTATTGTTTTATTATCATACCACATTGTTATATTTATAAATTTTTTAAAAAAAGAAACATTAACAACACAAAAAGTTACTTAACAAAGTTAAATGAACAAACAAATATTGTTATTGAATACCATATAAAGTATTATCTTATCGCATCGTGTTGAATAAAATACATTCATGAATGGTGGTGTGTTGATCAACCATTTCATTGGTTACAACGCGTATCGCATCGCATTGGAATGTGGTGTGCGCGCGTTCAACTCAACTATGACAAATCTCCTATTTAAATTTAATGCAGTAAGAAAGTCGTGCAACAAAGTCCAATCAAACAAATTGTTATTGTTGTGTCAAGTTGTTGCATAGTGCCTCTTCAAAAACATCGATACACACCCAATTTTTTTTTTTTTTGCAATTTTTTCATTTTTGCACAATTTTTTTTTTAATTAAAAATTTAATCTTGACAAACATTGGCAATCAAAAATTAAATTAATTAAATTGTGAAAAAAAATGTAAAAATTTATCGATGAAAAGGGATATCTTCCTCCTGCATTACATTTGAATTAAAATAGGAATTTTGAAGTGGTTTTTTTCATTTTAAAAATAAAATAAAAGGGTGGTTAGTTAGTGGTTGTGATAAGATGGATAGTACTATAGGTCAGCATCTGTAAGCTTTTGTTTTTTTCTTTATTTTTTAATTGCATATTACTGTATTCACCTCAATATCCTTTTTTGTCATAATAAATCATAACATAACAAATTAAAATTGTTCATTCATATCCATATCATATCTTATCCTATCAATCAACATTACAGAAATATAAATAAATAAAATTAAAGTAAACAAGCAAGTAAGCAACCATATATGTCATTGTGTTTAATACATATGTAAATGTATGATAACAATATATTTATTTATAAAACAAACAAAACAAACAACCAGAGATTAAATTAAAACAAGAACACACACGCACACCTACACAAACAAACATAGATTATATATTTATATCATCACACCCACACACACATCAAATTAATATTGAATTCACCCCCAAAAGACAATAGTGTCCACTTCCATTGTCATCTTATATTATCATCATCATAATCATATTCATCATCATCATCATCAACCAAATTGAATATCACACACAATCTCTCAATAAATTCTATATATAGATTTGGTTGTTTTTAATAACAATTAGTCGTGTTATTTTTGGTCGAAAATAAGGACCATTCCTTGTAGTGGGGCTAATAGTGTTAAATCAGTATTCATGAATAATTATGTTTAGTGGTGTGGTTGTGATGATAGTCAACAAAATGAATATAAAGGGTTAATGGAAAGAAACAACGTTAAATTTCATCAACCCAATTAATTGTTTAGTGGACTGCAAGCGATGAAATAAGCCATCTTCAAACTTGTTATCAAATATCACACACACACACACTCTCTCTCAAGTGTATATCTGTTTATATAAAATATATTATAATATGTGTGTGTCTAAACAAACAAATTCCTAGCTTGTTAACAATGTTACATTTCTTGATGTGTGGTATTATTTTATTTATAAATAAGAATAATAATAAAGTATAAATATGGGTGCCGTACGGACATCTTAAATGAAAAACCCACACAAATCACACTCACTCCTCACCTTCTGATTCCCCTTCATGAATTATATTTCTACTGTTATCACCAACTTCACGATCAGAGAATTAATTATGAAAAACACCAAACATAATCAATTCTTTGGGGGGGTATGATCAATTATCTATTAAATAAACCAAGTTCCCTCCAAATAGATGTAATTTAATGAGTGTATTGACACACACACAGATTTAAACATTAATTCACCCCCATTTATACATATATGTATGAATTCAATTTTAGAATCAATCAACAATAACAATACATATGTTAATCGTTAAATTAAACTTTTTTAAAAAAGAAAGAGAAAGAATGAAATTTGGTGTGTTGGTTATTGTTATTATTGTTTCAGTTGTCAGTGTTTATTGAAATTCTTTAAATTTTTGGATTACCACCATCACCACCATCTCTTGTTAGCACCCATCCATCCATCCAAGTGGTGGTGTTTTATTATCTCATCTCATCATATGATCCACAATCCACTCTATATTTCATCACATTTTGTTCAGTATTATGCATGCCAATTGGTAAAAACAACCTACTGACTGACCTGACCGATTACCTGATTTATTGCTACTGCTGCTTCTGCTTCTGCTGCTCTTCTTTCTTCTGCAAGCTGCTTAATGCATAGCAGCAAAGCAGTCATCATGATCAGTTCAGTTTGTTGTTGTGCTACCCATTACATTACTCACCACCATCACACCCCCATTCACCACATTTATAATTATTAATATGCCAAGTAATAAAACTATAACATATCATACCCCGCTTGATCTATTGGATAAGTAGAACTATTGTGGGTGGCTACCACTATAATATTATAAACTATATGGATTTTCAATATAAAAAAAAAAAATAATTAGTTTTTCTAACGTCAACATCCATTTAGACATTTGGCTCGTTATTTTTGTGTTATTTTTGTTTCTTTTTGTTATAATAATTCCTTCCTTTCCATCCTTATCTTATCTATATCTTTTTTTTAACTATGATTCAGTATTTCAATTGTCACTCCCAGACAACTTTCAAAATTCTACCTTTTTTGCTGTTAATGTGAAACTCTTGAAATATCATAATCACACAACCAACATTATAATTATATATTAAGCACTCTCTGTATGTTTTTTGTTTTTACATAAAGTCATCTATCTTATCTTTTTTTTTCATTTTACCAAATATTTAAAAAACAACAACAATAATATAAAAATAATTGTAGAATAACACAACTCAACTTATAACTAACTTGAAATTTTTTTTCATTTATTTTTTTATTTTATTTACAGATATATCTTTACATTTAAATTTCATTGGTATCAATAGTTATCATAGAATAACACACATTTTTGTAGCTTTCTAAAAATAATAGAAAAATCCAGTACTAGTAAACAATTCCTGAAAAAATAGAAACAAAAAAGGTTCTCCTCTCTTCTCCTCTATCATATCATATCTTGTAATAATAATATAGTAGCGTTTAAAGTATTATATAATATATATTGTAAATAGTTTTTTTGTTCATAATTATATAATTATAATATATTTAAATTAATAAGTAAATAATTAGTTTTGTTTTTTTTTTTACCAGTTCACCAAACAATATAAAGTAAAGTCCATCGAATTTTTAAATCGTTCCAATATCCCTCACTTATTGAGGACAATTCAAAAAAAAAAAAAAAAACAAAAAAAACAAACACAAGTAAAAATCACATACTAAAAACCAAGAAATGTCACACAGTCCAATTTCAAGTCCATCGATCCAATCTCCACATGGTGGTCATATGATGTCACCACAGCACTCACATCATAGTTCGTCGCCACCACACCATTCTCAGTCACCATCTGTTGCCGAATCAGAGTTGGAAGAGAAACGATTCATCAGTTCACTCTTTAGTTTTATGACCTACCGTGGTACACCGATCGAGAAGATCCCGATCTTTGACCACAAGGAGCTCAACCTCCACAAGCTCTACACCTGCGTCATCACTCGCGGTGGTCTAGAGGCTGTCATCGAAAACAAGCTGTGGCGTCAGATCACCACCGACCTCGCTGTCGACCCCGAGCGTACCGACGCCGGATTCCGTCTGAGAATTCACTACTTGAAATACCTCTACCCCTACGAACGCAAGTATTTCCTCAAGATGGATGACGACGAGCGTTTCGACTACGAGGCATTCGAGAAGCATCTCTCCAAGTCGCCATCCGACAAGAAGGGAGCCAGCTCCAGAAAGAAGAAATTCCAAAACGCCATCATGTCGCCACAAACCAGCTCAACCTCACCCAACAGCGGAAAATCAACACCATCTCCAACCTCTTCACCAAGTACTTTATTAGTCTCTGCTTTGCCACCACAAAATACAAACATTCCACAGATCAATCATCATCAACAACAATCGTCATCATCTTCATCGTCATCATCACTATCACAACAACAGAACCATCACTACTCACAATCATCACAACAACAAAGCCATTATCAAACTCAAATCGAATCACCATTAAATAACTACAATTCGAACAACAACAATATCAACCTTATCAACAACAACAACCAACAAAATCATTACAGTGTAAATACAGCTCCTGAATCACCACTCTCATCATCATCATCCTCCACCTCACAATTTTTCACTAGTGCTATTTTGAATAATTCTTCAAGCAATCTCGCTCATCCTGTCTCGGTTAATTTGAAGGTCCTCGAAATCAAATCACTCAAAAAATACAATGCCTACCACAAACTTAAAACCTCAAATCAACCGAGTCGCAAGGAATTAGTGAAAGCTGTTATCCAACACTTTGGACAACAAAAGATTGACGAAGAAAGCATTATCAATTCATTTTTAAAGCGAATTAGAGCTGGTATGTAAAAAACAATTAATTAATGATTATTTTTTTTAAAAAGAAGTCGTTATTAATACCTTTATTCATTTTTTATAGACACCAACACAAGAATTAGACCAATTGAGAAAGTTTAAATTATCAAGAAGAATTATTTTATTAAAATCAATCCACCATGAAAACAAACAACAACAACAACAACAACAACAAATGTATCAGTAGTCAAGTAGTCAAGAAAGTTTAAAAATCCAGAAAACTCGTCGCCCGTTCGTCGTTCTCTGTCATTCATCCGGTTAGAGTAATAATAACAACCATGTCAACAACCAAACATACCCATACCCTCACAAAAATACAAATAGTAATACAAACAGAGTTTCAATATGTTGTCAACAAGAATATTCGTAGTCACAGCCAAAGTAACACAGTCACCACACGGCTCAACCATAACCAAACAATGATTTATCCACCATATATGAATCAAATGATCACCAAAACCACCCCACCACTATCAACACACACACTCAATGTACAAATATCTATAAACTATTTATATTATTTATATTATTTCAATCACCCACACACACACAGTCCACTTCTTCGATAAAATAAAATATCTTTTACCCGATTTTCATCAATTTTACAAAATAAAAAAAAAACAAATTTTCAATTTTTTAAATAAAATAATTTATTCGTTAAAAAAAAAAAACAAAGAGTCCTTTTTTTAAAAAACACTCCGTATTGAGAGAAAAAAAAATCTCCTTGAATTTTGTTGTTTAAAAAAAAACATTCTATCACATATTTAAAATTTAATAAAAGTTGGAATTTCAAGATAGATATATATTTATTGTTAGTCTAGTTTTTATTGATCGTCTGTGTGTTTTCATTATTATTTTTAAGTTTTGTTTTTTTCGTTTTACTCAAATCAAATCAAATACAAATCAACCAATCAAATCAGTTTTTTTTTTATTATTATTATAAAAATATAACAATAAATCATTATTATTATTATTACTTTGAAAAGATTAGGATTAGTTAGTTAGTTAGAATTATCTTTATATACATATACACAAGTACATACCACACATAGTTTATAAAATAATAATTATTTTATTTAAACATGTTTAAAAGAAAATCAACTAGGTTTTCACCTCAGGGTACGTATGTTGCGCTGCCCAGAGGTGGATACATCGTGCAGAGTAAGATTGGAAACATACAGTTTGGAGTACCGCCAGAGACCATCAAGGATTCGATGGCGATGAAGATCGACGTGCCAACGATCTACGTGTTCCCAGAGGATCTGTGGGATCGTCGAACCGGTATCAATGCGGCCGAAGCAGAGTTTCCAGCGTATTTCAATTTCTTCATACTGAAGCGAAAGGTCGTTTTCGTTTGCACCAAAGAGCAGGAATCGCGAATCAGAATCGTCTTCCAAGAGACGCTACTCGGCCCGGCCGACTTTAACAACAACCAGGACCAACAACTGAATCACGATTTCCTCCAGGAGTTCCACTCGTCCTACCCGAAGGAGCAGATTCCCAACCTCGAGAAGGAGTGTAAGTATCTTCGCACGTTCCAATCGGTCGATGAACTCTTCAATTTCGTGTTGTTCGACGACAACGGAGTCGCCAAGCTTACCGATGGTGTGGAGATTCATTTTCTACGCGAGGAATCGGCATTCAAGGTGATTGAAAAGGCAGATCAGGTGGCTACCACCGCCACAGCAGAATCGACAGCAGTCGACATCAACGGACAACAAATACTCAGCAGCACTGAGAAGCAGCAGCAGCAGCCAGAGGAGTCTAGCGAACATCTATTGTCATATTTACCATCAAAGATTAGTTTTCCAGATGTTGCCAACACCATCGCTGCCACCAACGATGTATTCGATCCACCTACGTTCGGTATCACAATCATTGGCTCATCACATGGTTTCGATCCAAAAAAGTCGACCACCGGTTTCGTTCTCTGGGTAAACAAAAGAGGAAGTAAGTTGCTGCTAGCAGATAACATCTATCTAGAAATATTAAGATTTTGATTATATAATAGATATTAATAATATTCATATAAACTATCTATCTGCTATCTATCTATCTAAACTATAGTTATGGTAGATCCACCATTGAATTCAAGTAACTTCCTTTTGAATCAAGGTGTACCAACAAGAAGAATAGATCATATTGTATTAACACATTGCCATGCCGACCACGACTCTGGAACCTTCCAGAAACTGTTGGAGGAATACCAAATCACAGTAGTTACAACACCAACCATTTTAAATTCATTTTTAAGAAAATATAGCGCACTTTCAAATCTAAATCAAGAGTTATTAAGAAGATTATTTATATTTAGACCAGTTATCATTGGAGAACCAATGACCATTGCTGTAACTATCGATAAGTTAATCAATCACACTTTATCACATTTACTAATAATATTACTCTTTTATATAAACATATTTATAGGGTGCAGAGTTTAACTTTTTCTATACTATACATACTATACCAACTATATCATTTGAAGTCTTTTTCGGAGGAAAAAGCATGTATGTATACAACTATCAGTCATCATTTTAAACGATCATAAAGTTTATAGTTATTGATTTCATTTTATCAAATTATATATAGATATTATTCAGGTGATACTTGTTTCGATCCAAGTAGAATCAAAGAGATGAATTGTCAAAACATTATGAATACACAGAGAATGAATTTCTTTTTAAAACCATGGAATCATACAGTTGTTTTACATGAGGCGGGTGTACCGCCTATTCACACACCGGTTTCAGTGCTGGCTTCACTTTCACCAGAGATAAAGAATCGTCTGTACTTGGTTCACATCTCAGAGCACTCTCTGCCTACGTCGAGCGGACTCAAAATTGCAAGAGAGGGTGTCAATCATACACTGCGTTTGGATGTCGAGAAGCAGACGCACTCAGAGGCAGTCGATATTCTCAAGTTGATGGAGAGTGTCGACATATTCCGATCGATACCACTCTCACAGGTCGCAGAGATACTGAGAACGGCGAACCGCAAGACATATCCGCAGGGCAGTGTCATCATTGCGCAGCACACTGAACCCGATGCTTTCTTTGTGGTGGCATCGGGCATTGTCAAGGTCAGTGTTGCCGACCTCGAAAAGAATCTGATTGCCGGCGATTATTTCGGTGAGATGTCACTGATAATGGGTGGACTGCGTTCCGCCAAAGTCTCGGCGGTCACCGACGTCGAGGTACTGGTCTTTAGCAAAGAGGACTTCTTGTCGATCACCAGAAACAGCACAGAGTCTATCAATTTCGTAACGAGACTGTGGGAGATGAGAAACGAAAAGTCTTGGGAAACCATCAATTTAAATAGCGTATTGAACAGATGTACCAATTCACAAAAAACTGCATTACAAACGATATTGCATAGAGAACAAGTAAGTGTACAATTGTCAACTATAGTTTGGTAATAGTCAATTACTTATTAATGTTTATCTATTCTATCGAAAAACGTGTAGCTCACAGAGAATACGATTTTATGGAAAAAAGGAGATGTTGCTTCGTTTGGATGTTTGGTAGCAGAGGGTTCCTTTGAGTTTTGTGAACAAGATTTAGAGAGATTCACCAAAGGTTCATTCTTGGGCGATATAAACGCAATGTCTGAAGAACCTCCATTAACACACAAAACAACTGTTATTGCTAAAGAAAATGTAATATCTTTTTACTTTTAAATCTTAACAAATCAAATCATATTAATAGTCGTCTTTCTTTTTCATTTATTATAATTATCTATAGAGTGTAATTTATAAAGTATATTCAAGTGATTTAATCAAATTTTTCCAGCACAACCCAGGTTTACAACTATCCTTTTTGGATACGATGTTTGTTGATGCTTTTAGAGATCAACCTTTAGTTTTCAATTCAATAAACGAAAGACTAATCTATTAAATATAATGTAAATATATAAAGGAAAAGTATTTCAAAAAAAAAGAAAAAAAAAGAAGTAGTTATTTTTTTTTGATGTTTTACTATGTACAAAAAAAGGTTTGTTTTGTTTTATTCAATGATGTTGTTGATGATGATGGTTACATAATAATGTTACAAAATAAATTATCACTATAAATATTATTATAAGTAAAGTAAAATAAAAGTAAAGTTGATTTCTAACAAATAGAGCAATACCATCTTCTTGATCTAGGTGGTTCTTCTTCTTCTTCTTCATCGAATTTCTCTTCATCGCTAAAATCAATTGATTCTTCCTTTACATTATCCATTTCAAAACTATCATCTAATATATCGCCTGGGAGATTCGAAAGCATAAACCAATTCTCCAATGCATTCTGATCATTAAAGTTTGGATCTTTAATTATAATGGGTGTTGGAGGGAATTCGACCGATTCCTGAACTGTAATGATATCATCGATTGAATCAATAATAGAATCGAAATCTGGTCTGTCTTTGGGGTAGTACGAGCAACATTTCAAAGCTAACTTCCAAAATTCTTCTGGACATTCCTCCGGTCTTATCTTCTCCAATTCTTCCAAGTCGATATCGAAATTATTTTGTGGTAATCTTTCCTCTAACCTACACTGAGTAATCAGTTCTATTAAAACCATACCATAACTAGTTTGTTTTATTTTAAATAAAAAAATATTAGAATAAAAATATGAACTACATAGTAAATTTTAAAATTTAATTTAAAATATTCTGATAATAAACATACCTATAGAAATCTGCAGAATAATTATAAGGCATACCTAATATCACTTCAGGTGACATCCATTCATCTGTACCACAAATTGTATTGGTTAAAGAAGTTGGATTTAAACTCTTTGCAAATCCAAAATCACAAACTATTAGATTATTAAAAGATTGTTAGATAATTTAAATTTGAAATTTTTGTAAAAGCGGAATACATACTTTTTATTGTCCAATCATCACCAACAAGCAAATTATTTGATTTTAAATCTCTATGCATAATATTCTTTGAATGTAAGAATCTCATTCCTTCTGCAATACTACGAGCAATGTGTAATTTAAGTAACCATGGTAATTGTATGGAACTATCTCTTAAAATAGATCCTAAATCTCCACCGTGTACTAATTCTGTAACTAAAAATAATAAAGATTCTCTTTCTCCTACACCAATAAATTCAACAATATTCTTGTGTGTTTTACTAAATAAATCTCTGTTTCCAATTATAATGATAATATTAAAATTATTTTAATTAATACAGGAATTTTATAAAATATTAATTTATACAAAATTAACATACTTTAAAATATCTATTTCTCTATTTATAAATACTAGTAAATCAGGATCCAACATATCTTTCCTTATCACTTTTACACAAACTGATCTATCTAAATACCATCCTTTATAAACTCTAGAAAATGAACCTTTTGAGAATTCCAATTCTTCAACCTGAAGTTTGTTGGGATCCACAGAATAGTTATCCATTTTTTTTATAGTTTTAAAAAATAAAATAATGGAAATAATATAAATTGAATCTTTGTTCTTGTCGGTCTATTAAAAATATTAATTGTTTTGTTTTCAATTATTTAGATTAAAAAATATATATTATTTGATTGATATTGATTATTTATTATTAGTCAAAATTTAATAGGTTATTTTGATAGTTGTAATATTAATTATTATTTGTATTATTTTATTGTTATTATTTTTATTGTTATTATTAATATAATATATTATAAAATGCGCCGAAATATATAGAGAAAATAAATTATCTGGTTTTTGAAAATGAAACTTGACTAAAGAGATTAGACTGTATGTGGTTGTTTTTTGTTAATTAAAAAAATAAAATAAAAAAAAGAACAATATGTTTGTGTAATCAAAAATAATAATAAAGTTTATTGTAATTGGAATAATTCTGTTTAATTAACTACAAAAAATAAAATAAATTAAAATAAAAAAAATGATTTTATTACAATTTTAGTGGTAGGTGTTTTTTTGAGAACACATTCCAAACAACATCACCCCAACAACATCACCCCATTCCTCATAGAAAAAAACAAAAAAACAAAACAATAAAAATAAAACAAAACTAATAACTGTACCCTAAATCATTCAAAGTGACTATTGTATTATTATTGTTATTATCAAACAATCTTTTTAATCGAATCGATCTAGAATTCCCCCTTTTTTCAATTTATTATTATTATTTTATTAATGTTTGTTTGTTTGTTTTTTTATTGTGGTATTAATATAAGCATTAAAGCTATAAATAAATATAATCGAGATTCGAAAATATCTTTAATAGTTTAAAAGTTACAATAAGGAAGGGAATAAAGTAAAATTTTATAAAATAAAACAAACAACCACCAACTCTTTTAGTCTAAGGTAATAAAACAAACAGATCAATCGATCAGTCAATCAATGATAACTTTTGACATTTGATCGCATTTTTTTTTAAAGATAAAGATAGATGTGTGGTGTTTAAGTTAAGCAGTGAGAGATCTCCTTACACAATGTAAGATCAGATTCGATTTAATAATTGATTATTTTACTTCTAAGCATGTCTTTAAAAGAATTTTTAATTTATTTGTTAATTAGTTACTGATATGTTAATAGTCATAAATGGATTTAGGTTCTTTGTATTTATATTCTGACAACCAACATTCTTTATTTCTTATGGTTGGATGAGTCTGAATGATATCATCGATTGGTTTCAGCATCTCATGAATGTTTGTCTGACAACCCTTCAACCAATGGTATCTAATGTGAAATCTTTTGATAACTCTTGGATATAGATTCTACATCTTCTATATTGTTGGAGTGAAGAGATTGCTCTGTTTCGAAGACATTCTGCTGTTTTGATATTTCGATATCTTTTTCTATTTTTGTTGTTTCTTGAAGGGATTATAAAACGTAGCATCTCGCTTCTCTTGAACCTTACAGCATTGAAAATCAATGTATAATAACATACACTCTCGTACTTTTATGAAGAATTGTAACTTATTGAAAGAGTCTTGTTCAATTAGAAAAGAGAATAGATCTCCTCGATAGAATTGAAAAGGATCTACTGATTTGTCAGATCTATTCTCATACATGAACTCTATGAAATGCAAACTAACATCCCTTAAAATAACATCTAAGATTTCAGCTTTAAACTCGCTTATTCGATGCAAATAAAGTAGTTTGTAGATCTCTATGTCATTGCCTCCAATGATATCAAGAGTATATGGATATTCTTGTTTTCCATTTTCCAAAAGAGATCTAATCATTTCTATATTCCCAGAAACAACCGCTCTAGGAAGAATTCAATTCAGCTTCGATTTTCTCGTTTTCGGTCTATTCTGATAGATAGGTTGTGATAAGTAGTTATAGTAATTAACTAAAATATGTATTAACTCTTACTAAGAAATCAATTGTGAATGAATTATAAAACAAGTTTATAGCAATTAATACTTCATTCGAAGAGAATCAATCGTATCTTTAAAGTTCAATTTTTGATTATTTATACAAGAAACTTTTATTTTATTTGTTAATTCATTTTATCTACTAAGTTACTGAATATTAATATTCAATGGATTGATATTCTTTCCATTTATATTTTGACAACCAACATTCTTTGTTTCTTATGGTTGGATGATTCTGAATGATATCTTCTATTGGTTTCTTTTTACTGTTGAAATCCTTCCAAAGCTCCCATCTGAGGTAAAATCTTTTGAGAGTTGTGTTATTCTTGAGAGCTTGAAGAAAATCATTGTCGATTTCTTTACTTTCGTCAAAGGGAATCACATACTTTAATACTCGGTTTGCTTTAAATCCATGTAAATCTTGCAAATTTTTTTGTGCTTTGAAAAGAGATTTGATTCGTTCGAATGAATCTGAAGACCGTTCCGAACGTCTTTGAATGACTTTAATGTGTTTTATTGTTGATAGATTACCTAGGGAAGTCGAATATTTATCTACTATGACGGTCAATTTCTTGAGGTTGTCTCTTTGAATGGTTGGGAAATGGAAAGAAGCCATTTCACAAATGTTAATAGAGAGTTGTTCAATCGATGAGTTCCGCACTAGATACCAGAGACAATCGGAATCTATTGAGTAGAACATGTGTGGCAAGTCGAAGCTTCTCAATGTCTTTTGTTTCTCCAAGTATTCGAGAAGTTTCTCTTTGAACTCGGTCACGATCTTTATATCACGAACGAAAGTGAAACCCAAGTGTTGAAGTGATTGAAAATTGAGGAGACCGTCAAACAACACCGATGAATATTTACTATCCATTATGAAATAACAATAGCTGCCATTTATATTGGTATCTACGATGTCGAGAGATGTCAACTTTTGAAATGCTTCTGACACCAGATATTTGGTGAGTGGAACGAATGAACTAAAGTCATAATAATCGAAATTTAGTCGGTGTAACACCATCTTTAGTTGTTTCAAGTTGGGTGACAACAACTCAAAATCATTGAAATAGGATGTATCGGTATTTATTTCCAAACACTCGAGAGAGTGCATTCCATTGCTAACCATCAGTTCGTAATCATTTGGTCCACCAATACAGGAAAAAGATCGAATGTGCGGTAGAATCAATTTCAGGTCATCAAGTGGCAAAGGATTTCTGCTGCTAAGGTTACCAATTCTTAACTCTGTCAAAGAACTAAACAATGCACATTTGTTTAATGCCTGTGATAACAACAAATCTGATGATTGTCTCTGAAAATGATGAGTGAACAACTGGTTTAATTTCTCATGACTACCATTAAAACTAATATTTAGAGAACATATGACACGGTGGAAGTACCAATTGACCAAACACAATGATCTTGCATAACTCTTATTCTTACTATCAAACCAAAGATATTCTATTATTATTCTATAGATTCTATTTTCAAATATTGTCATTATTTGTTTGTTTACTAATTATACAACTAATATCATTTTAATTTCTTTAAAAGAATGGTAGAATAAAAAAAAGTTTGGGTTTCCTTTTTGGAAAATTTTTGGAATGCATTAGAAAAAAGTATCTGGAGGTCTTTGAATATTCTCATTCAAACCTTGGCGACCAAATGATCAATATTACTAGTTATTTTTAAAGATGTTGGCAACAAGCATAGAAATATTAAAAAAGAAAAAGTTAAGAGATAAAAGAATTATATGTCTTTTGACATTTTTTTTTTATGAACAGATTTTATTATATTAGTACAGCACCACATTCAAATCTTGATGATTTATCGTTGTGATCAATGGTTATCCACTTGTCTCTGTCTACAGAGTAGAGATAGTTTCGATGGTCTTGTCCACCGAGTAGTATGATTTTATTTGGTTGATGATAGACCATCGAATAGTAATCGGATATTTTGAGAGTTGCCAGTTGTTTCACTTCTCGGTTGATGATGGACACCCGGAGGAAGTTATTCTCACCATCTATGAGGTAGATCAAGTTATTGTTGGAATCGAAACACGACGATCTTATACAAGATCTAAAACCAATGTAATCGATAACGGTTTGAATCTCTTGTGACATCGGGTTGTAGGTGACAACGGATTGCGACCAACTGCGACCGTCGTAGCCCGACACGATATAGAGCAGACCGCGATGATAGAAAACAAAGGAGAGGTGACCGGACCTACCTAGATCGATGAGTCGTTCGAAGCGTTTAGTGTGGACGTTGAATCGATCGATACGCGACAATCGCTGGCCATCGAGGAATCCTCCCACCAAATAGATGAAACCGGTGCCACTCGAGCACGTCGAGATGTTCTCACCACCGGCAACTCCGTTCATCTCTGCCTGATAGTCGATTCGTCTTGATTTGATCGAGTAACGGTGATACTGTTTGTGGAATCCCAGCCCACCGAATATATAGACGTGATCACCCGCTGTTGTGATAGAATTGAAAGTTTTGCTTAGTTTCGACAACTTACAGACAATCTCAATCGATGAATTCGATACATCGATCAATGATACCGAACCATCGTCATATCCAAGTGAAAATATATATTGTTTTGGTTGTTGTTGTTGTTGTTGTGATAGTGGTGATAGTTGTTGTTGTTGCTGTTGTTCATCATTATCATTTTGTAATAGTAGATCGTTAAAAGAACTATTAAGATTGTTGTTGGTATCTGATGAATCATCGTTACTGAATACACTGTTTGAACTATTACTAAGATTGACTATTTGAATTATACTGTTGTTTTTAATTGTGATGTTGTTGGAGGAGTTGGTTACTGAAGGAGTCGTATTGATATCGGACAAGTTATCCAACTCGTTCAAAGGAGTATCATTCTCAACAAAGTTTAGTAACTCTTTGTATCGATTCTTTAAATATTCCAACTTGGCCGGATCCACCTTTAGATTCTGTATGGAATCATCGATACTTAGGATCTCTTTATCTACAACACACTCTGCAATATTATTGTCTTGTTGTTCATCTTCTTGTTGATGTTGATAATGTCCACCATAATAATTATAATACTGTTGAATCAATCTTAGAATCGAATAGTCATCAACATTATTCTTATTATTCTTGTTGTTATTGTTATTCTTATCTTTCTGTGTATTGTAAAACAATGTTTCATTGTGAAGATGTTGGAATCTACTCAATGTATTGGTGGAGTAGATCGAATCTATTATCGAATCGAGCTGATACTTATCATTGTTTGACTCTTCACTATCATTACCAACAACTTGATTATTATTATCAACATCATTATCATTGTCATTATTATTATTGTTGTTGTTTGATTGATTGTTGTTATCTTTACTTATTGATTTCAATATAATATTGACAAGTGTATTTAATGATTGTATTTCCTTTAGTTTAGAATCGATAGAGTTACCGACTTGCTCCTTAATCTCGTTGATCGGTCGCAGTAACTTGTGCTCTGTGATTCTCAGAGTTTCGTGAAGTTCGCTAAACGTTTTGGCAATGGCAGACTCTTTGTCCTTGAGTATCTGATACTGCTCCGATTGAATCTTCATTGTCTTCCAAACTTTTAATATTCTACTTAGATATTCATTCTTTTCGAATTCTACATCACTATCAATATCTTTCAATTTTTCTTTTTCTTTCACACTATCTTTATCTATTTCATTACTATCATTCTCATAGTCATCATCTTCTTCTTCTTTATCAATAAAAGATTCTTTAATATCATCTATTGTAATGAATTGATGATTACGATGTAGTGTAGATGAACATTTATAACAAACTAACTTTTGACATTCAACACATAAAACTTCTATCTAAAATATATAATCCATTATAATTTGTTAAAAAAAAAGAACTATTTTTTTTGTTTTTTGTTTTTTTGTTCTTATTATTATTATTATTATTAATATGTTTGTTTTCTGTATAATTACCTCTCTTTTATGTGAAGGACATATAATATCATCTTTATGTATATTATGATATATATCAAATAAAATAGATTGAAATGATAGTTGTTTCATTTCATCTAGATCTATCTATTTATTTATTTCTATTTATATTTATCTATTTCTCTATCTATATATGTCTACAAAAAAAAGAAATTTAAAATTAAAAACTACAAATCACCTCAAACTTTTTATCACACAATTGATTGGTATTAATCCCACACAAAAAAATCAACTCCGAAACTATCAAATCTTGATTTAAAATCTCTGATCATTTTTATTTTATAAATAAATATTTTTATTAAACTTTTTTTACTTTTAAAAAGAAGAGATAATGTATTAAACATATCAAATAATAAAAAAATAAAGATCAATTAAAAATCATTAGATCATCTGATGATGCTAATACTAAAAATCAAGAAAGTCTAATTTCTTAGAATTCAACAATTTAGTAGTGAGGGAGTTTCTTGTTTTTTTTTTATTTATTTTTTTATTTAAGTAAATTAGAATAAAGATTCAAAACTATAGTAAAATTAGCATATATATATTTTATTTATTTATATTACTAAGTGTACACTTAGGTGTGTTACTACTGCATATATATATATGGTGAATTTTAATTATTTTATAATTCCAAGAGTATGGAAAAACTTGTTTGCATTGTTCAATCTGACCGATGAGAGCTACTATGCTTTTATCAATGCCGAGTGGCCACCAACACTAGATAGCTCCAGACAGAGCATCTTTGATTCAAAAGAAGGTCTATACTCTCTGCGATCGATACTATCGGAACTCATCAAAGACATTCCTTTTGTCAATCAGAAAATAACTCTTTCCCAGGAGTTCATCATAGCACTACAGTTTTGTGAGCAAGAGCAATTCGTAAACTTTCAACATTTCATAGAGTGTTCTTCAAATACACTAAAACAATCAACAACCATTGAAAAAGAAGATGGAAAAGAAGATGGAAAAGGAGATGGAAAAGAAGTTAATGATAATGAAATAGATCCAATGTTAGTAGATAGTAATACAACTACAAAATCAACAAAAACTATTTGGTATGAACAAACATATTTTCCTCTTGAATATGAAGAAGGTGAAAGGAACTTAAAAGAGCTATGTGAACATCTTGGAATTGGCAATGGAAAAGAACAACGTTTGAAACCAAGAGAGATTGCAAAGCGACTACTGGAATTCAATAGACAGCTTATTAAGAAGATTGAAGATGTTATCGATATCTATAGATTGGAGGTCGTAGAGAGAAGACAATGTGCAAGGAAGCTACTATCAAAGTCAAATGAAAAGGTTGAACCGACAAGACTCACCAAAGTACTGCAACTCTACAATCCTGAAACATTTAAATTGATGAAATACAACTATGATGATAATGGTGAATCGAATGCATTCGAACAGATGAAAAACCATTATAGTGACAGTCCACAATTTGATTGGTCAACAGTGAACAATAGTGTCTTTACGATACCACACAGGGTGTGTCAAGCGTTAGAGGAATTCATGTCGCATCTCTACGATCTTACAGGTGATCAGCTGGTCAATATCGACTTGGAAAAGTACGGTGTCTATGCAGGCGGCGATCTAGTTACTAAAGCACTGGCATATTCGCAGAGCAATATATTCGATGTTGCTAGAGCGGCATCGGTTGAACTGACATTGGAGTTGTTTGTTGTCAATCAATTCTCGTTGGTAGATGCACAGTCACGTGTTTCTCAATTGGTCGACGACCTCGTCGCACTTTCCAATGGCAACGGTCGGAAGTACTCAGTGTTTGATTCGGAACAATCGATTATCCTTCGTTCACAAAACGGCTATGGTAAAGCTGATCAACTAGTTCCAATTGTTATTCACAAGAATGTGTATCGCTCGCTCTACGAGTTGATATTGCTGACTGAACTCGATAGTAAAGCAGTCTACTTTAGCGGTGCCAATGTATTCCTTTCCTATAGGACGGTACGTGCTATCAAGTTGGGAATAAACACCTACACCTTTAGTATGTTCACCTCGGACTACTATCAGGTGGAGTTGTATGAGAAACTCGGTTATCAAGCTTGCCAATTTCCTCAGAAATATAAGAAGCGACCGCCACGTGTCAATCATATCGATCGACTGGAAATGACCAGAGTGGCTCGAAGGTCGCGTGAGATCATCGCTGCTTTTGCATCGTCGACATTCCTCACTAATGAAGTCAAAGTGATTCCCTATGATAACGATAAGATTGTGTTGTACTTTGCAGGTAGAAACTCAGCTGGGTTGAAAGCCAGCGATTTACCTGCATTCAAAGATTTCCAGTGGCGTGTAGATAGACAACAACCATTCGATTATCAATACTTGGATCAAACATGTCATGCTTGCAACAAAGAGATATCAATGATTCACCTGCAAACAATAGCAACGACAACTCCTTCTACTTCAACTTCATTCATTTGCAATAGATGTAATTGGCTACAACAAAACTACGAGGCAAAGTTTGCATCAGTCGATACTAAATCATCAAATGTTGTACTATTAGATGTAAATGAATCTTCTGAACTTGGATTCCTTCCGGTTCTTTTCAAAACTCAAACACGTATAATCATAGCAACTAAATATCCATATCTAATGAAAAAACAACTTGCCAATGTAATCAATTCGCTACAACAACAGCTACAGAAACTACCAGCAATTGTTATTTACTACCTGGATCCAGAAGTTGTGAACCGTACCAATAAGTTTATCAGTTGGGTGTACAACACCTATAGGAAAATCGATGTATTTCTTTATAATCTGTCGCCGCTCGACTATCTTGAGTATTGTCTATCAGAGGAGAAGGAACGAGTCACCAGAGAGATGCATACAGAACAATATGCTCTCAATATCACCATTGTGAATGGCGAATCAACACCGACCAAGACTGGCAATACAATGAAACAACTCTCAGCAAAGATATCTAAATTCGACTTCCTAACACTACAGACACTTGCCTTGATGGAACCCACACAGATCATCGATCAAATTGCCAGAGAGGTCAAAGAAAGAAGCGATCGTAGCATCACTGAAATGAATTGTGTTATCATATTCTCAAATCTATGCTCATCTAAAAGCAGATTGTCATTCCCAGAAGATCAAGCAAACAACCTAAGAGATTTAATTCATTCAATGGCAATTCAATTACAAGAACAACAAATATACTTATATAATCTTGAATCTACTTCAACATCAACATCAACAACAAACGCTACAACTACTTCAACAGAAAAAACAGAATCGTCATCAGTATCATCACATCGGATTCTAAAGATTATCTATAGTAAATTAACTAATACACCTCTTTCCATTTCAAGATTACATATTAAATAAACTATAATAATAGATATGTTTATTGTTTAACATTGTTAAATATTGTTAAACATTTGTTTATTGTTGAACATTCTTTATCTTATTGAATGCTGATAATATCGATTTCGATGTTGGTGAATTCAACTCATTGATTATCTTCTCGAGAAGCGATAGACTGGGTGCCAGTTGTTTGGAGTAGGTGTTTATGATCGGTAGGAACAACAAACTAAACTTTAGATTCTTAGAGTGTAGCGTTGCATTGTTTGAGAGTACGTGAATGAGCTGAGCAATGAGGTTCTCGTCTAGATTCAGCTTCAAATTGAGAATGGTTTGTATCACCAATATGATATGATCATTCAATTGACACTTGGTGGACATCAAAGCATAGACGATCTGTTGAACCACAACGATCTGAGCGTTACCAAGCACACTAGATTCCTTCAACAACTTATTGAGCAAATCGGAATGTGATTGATTGAAACCACTGCCATTCTTTATCAGCGGTACTATTACCGCTTGAATGAAAGAGGTGTGATGCTTTATAAAACATTCCTTTACACAACCAAAGAAATCTCTTGATATATTCGTTGTAAATGTTTGAATCTATTGTTTATTATTTGTAGCATTGTGTTAATATTATCTATACATTTGTAACAAAATATATATATATAAACAAACTTACTCTTTGATAAAGTATAGATTTAAAATATAATGACATAACCAAAAAACTTAAATCCAACTGTATCAATTCTTTCAAAAAGAATATGATAATATCTTCTTTAGTATCATTATTAATCTCTAATAATTTAATTGCAGATTCAACCTATATATCAAGATAGATGATTAATATGGTTCGTCAAAGGTAATAAGTGGGAGATTGATTGACTGATTGATTAAATCATCATTACATACATCTGTTATATTTAAAAGAATTGGAAGATTTGATTTGAACTCTTGTACTTGAACTTGAGGTGATGAAATGGCATTCTTTAAATTGATAAGAGCTTCTATCTCTTCGTTTAACAGTTGTTTTTTGTCTACTCTTGGCTCATCATCTATGAAACTGGCATTTACATTTCCATCCTGTGATAATTGTGATGATGAATCATCTTTTTGTTCTTGTTGTTGTAATTGTTTGATAGTTGATTTCTTTAACTCTATCTGTGATGATGATGATGTTGTTGATACTGTCTTACTATCATCTTCACTATTATCATTATCATTAATATTCTGTTGTTGTTGTTTCTTCTTATTATCATTCTATTATAAAAAAGATTGTTAACATTACATATATAAATCTTTTAATAATATTAATAACAAACTTACAATATTAATAGATGGTATTAATGTTTGGAATAGATTATCCCAATTATTGATATCATTGTCATTTATTGACAACAAGTCATCAAAATCATCGTTATCGATATCATAAAGATCACTTTGAAATTGAGGTGAATCTATATCAATACTCTTACTATTGGCGTTATTGGTATTATTGTTTATTGTTGATAATAAATTGATTAATCTATTATTAAATAATAATGGTTTTTCATTATAATTATAAATAGATTTAATAAATTCCGTTGAATCATGATCATTATCTTTAGTAATTATATCTTTATAGATTGATGTTAATGATGTTGCTGTTGCTGCTGTTGCTGTTGTTGTTACAATTGATAATAATGATAATTGTTGTTCTGAAAGTATTGATTTCAATATATTATAATTATATGCAATGATTACATTCTTAAAGATTGTATCTATCAATGAGTGTATCATTATATCACTTTGATATTGTCTCTTTCCATTCTCATTCACTTTAAAACATTCTATCAATGTTATTAATAATAATTTAAATGTATTTAATGATAATATAATTGTGTTATTATTATTACTACTACTATTATTATTATTATTACTGTTTTGAATATTATTATTATTATTAATAAAATCAATATTATAATTATTTGTAATAATAGAATGATTAAACCAATCTAATATATTATAAATGATGATTGATTTCAAATTTAACAATCTAACTCTCTTATCGTTATCATATGATTTCAAATGATCAATGAATCTAAATAACAATCTATCGATATCTAAATTCGAACGTAAAACTATTTCATCTAATAAACTAATTATTGGTTTATTATTATTATTATTATTATTATTATTATTATTATTATTATTGTTATGATTATTGATTGTAATTAATAGTAATTGTATTATATTATTATATTGTTGATCTGACATACTAATACTATTACTATTACTATTACTAATACGAATACTTCTTAGAAGATGTATATGTAACTTTTTATTTAATCAGCAACAACAATTTTACTGACTAAATTGTTTTTAAAGTTTAAGTCAAAATGCAATAGTTTAGTTCAAGAAAAGATCAATCCCTTATTGATAACAAATTGTTATTGCTAATTAAATAAAAAGTTAACTCTTTTGAAGACTAGTCATACAAGGAAAGAAATAAAAAAAAAAAAAAAGAAAAAAAACTATTCATTCAATCAATATATTATATTAACAACATCTAGCAGTACTGCTTGTTCAATATTAATAAATAACACAACGTTCATTGCACGATTTATTTATTGTTTGTTTTTTCAAATTTAATTTAAATACATATAACAATATAATATAATATAATATATAATAATGGATAAGAGAAAAGAGAGATCAACAAAACTAGCAAATACAAGATGTCAAAAGTGTTTATTATATGGTCATGGTATGTCATAATCAATATATAATTAGATATAAAGATATTTATTGATTACTAATATATATATATGTATGTATTTGTTTGTATGATTGTAGCAACTTATCAATGTAAAGGAGAAAGAGTATATAATGCAAGACCAACAAGAACAGCTATTTTAAATAACCCGAATCTTTACAAGTTGGACATGAAAGATATCTCTAAAATCGAAAAGAGACGTAAAGATAAAGAAAATAGAAAAAAGAAAAAGAGAAAAGTATACGATTCAGATTCCGACTCTGATTCCAACTCTGACTCATCAGATTCAGATGATTCAAATTCAGACTCGGATGATTCTTTAAATACTTCAGATACTTCAGATTCTTCAGATTCTTCAATAGATTCAGATGACAACGATTCATCATCTTCTTCATCATCTTCATCTTCAGATTCAGACGACGACAACGATTCATCGTCATCAAGTGATGATGATGACTATGGTGATGGAAATAGAAAGAAAAAGAGTAAAAATTACTATTAACAATAATAGTAATATATAATATAATATGATAATAAACAACAAACAAAAACGATATCAAAATGTAATGTAATAATAGTAATGTTTCAAAAAAAAAAAAAAAACAAAAAAAGCAAGTGTAATTAAGCAAGAGTATATATATATATATAATCGTTAATAATAATAAATTTATTTGAGAAATTATCGAACAACAAATGATTGGTTGGTTGATTGATTATCATTTGGTTTGTTTAATTATTAATTAAATCACGATAATCACCACCCATCGATTGTAATGCCTCTGCCCAGAACTTCTCGTCCTTACCCAACTTGAAGATCTGTTCGTTTGTGCAATCCGCTTGGAACCAAGCACCTTGATCGATCAACTTTCTCAATTCTCCCGGTTTCCAAAGTGAGCAACCAACCATCATCATAACCGATTCATGTGGAATCTCTTTTGTTTTTATCTTATCACTAAACATAAACATAAACATTAATACTATTATCAACTTTGCTATTAACGTTGATGTTGTCAACAACTTACCCGACCTCCTTGAAATTACTACCACCAATATATAAACCATCACGTACCTGAATCGATCCAGGCAGCAAATCACTGAATGGATGTATGATCTGAGTCATTGGCAGACCTTCGAGACCTTTGACGATGTGTGAGGTGTGCTCGATCGACGACGGACCACCGCAGTACCACGGTGTCTTGGTGAATGGTGAGAGTGGTCGCTTCGCACTGAATCGAAAGTGTTGTACGAGATTCTTTGAGTACTGGTGGTTCTTCAGTTGCGGTGCATTGTCGAATTGATCCTGTAGTACACCGATCACCGAACTCGTAGGCAACGGCTGATTGATGATGTAACCGTAGTGGTGTTCATTGACCTGGTGTGTGATCAACACCACCGACTTCCTATAGGCCATATCGAGCGATGGATGTGAAACCAACAGAGTACCAGGCTTTATAGAATCCTTTGATTCTATCACCCAGAAATTAGGTTCAACAACATTATTATTATTATTATTACTATTATTACTATTTAAATTGACAAGTGGTATTGGTGTTACTATACTATTATTATTATTTGATTCTTTTTGTTTATCTTTATCTATTTTAACATTATTATTATTATCATTAATGCTATTATTTATGTTGTTTGTTGCTGTTGTTTTTAATGATTGATCATCTATATCATTAATATCTATATTTATCGCTTTCTTGGTAACGGATTCCTGTAGACTTGCAATGATATCATTGATCTCTGGTGAAAGGTTAGATTCAGATGCTAGTGAATTCGGTTTCTTCATTTCAACATCTTGTAGAATTGATTGTTCTTTATCGGATTGCTATTAATAATAATAATGAATTAATATATATACATTTGATATTGTATATGTTTATGTTTGTTTAAGTTTGTTCTTACCTTTTTATGATATGTACTCGCTAAATTTAAATTTCTTAAAACAAAATATCCATCACTTAAACAATGATTCAGTTCCTAATATTGAAAGAGTTTGTTAAATGTTAATGTTAATAAGTGTAAGCAATGTTATTGGTATTGTTTTATTATTGGTATTGTTTTGTTATGATTGTTTACATTTTGAGTAGGATATTCATATTTTGCATATAATCTGAATAGTACTTTAAGATTCTGTGTGAATGAGACACTTGGTAAGAAGAAAGTCGGTAGTTGATAACGAAGAGATGGTGGTGTAACAAAAAATGCTTTATATTTAGGATTACTATCGAAATGATTACACTTTCTCAAAAGTGATCGATACAAGTTCAATGATAATCTTCTATTTTGAGGATTTGAAATAAAAGAACTACTCATTCTCTTTCTTTCTTATTCTTATTTCAATTTATCTTTTCTATCTTATCTTATCCTATCTATAAACTAGTAATATCACACAAATCTATTATTTAAGCCTATATTATTTATTTAATTATTAATAAGTTATTATATTTAAGAATATTTAAGTTATATATCTTTAATTAGAAACAATTCTTAAGAATAAATGAAATGATACGATATTAAAAATAATGCAAAATATAAAAAAAAATCAAAAAAACGACAAACTGTGTTATTAGTTTTTAACGTGTGTTAATTGTAAACTAAAGTGTTAACTGATTTCAGATTTGCGATTGAGAAGTTGAAGTATGTTATCTGTTAGATCTTTATCATCATCATTTTTGAATAATAATAATAATCATAGGTGTATTCCTTTGTTATCATTCAAAAGATGTTATATAAATATAAATAATAATAAGAATAATGTTAATAATATAATAATACAACAACAACAACAACAACAATATAGACATATAAGAAGTTATAGTAGTAATAATAGTAGTAATAATAGTGACATTGGTAGTAGTAAATTAGCAAAACAAATTATAGATGATCAGCTTTCAATTGAAATTGGTTCACATTTAAGGGTGAATGGTTCGGTGTTGTCCAGTAGACCTAAACTTGAGAATGGCGTGTGGACACTCTCTACATCGACACTCGAAACCGGTAGAAAGATGCTTCCACTGCTACTCTCGAGATACCTATTCAAGAGATATCCCAATCTAACAGATCAGTATTTGGTACCACTAATAAGATTCATAACACTACCCGTTGTTTTCTCAAACATTTTCAAACATCTTCAACTCGATAAATATTTAACTTTAGATGTAATGTATTTGAAACAATATAAACAATAACAATTGGTATCATAACTAATAATAATATACTAACAATTATTATTATTATTATTATTTAGTCACATATAACATCACAAGCAGACAAAAACTATATATTTAATAACTATTTGGTATCATTAATTGGTCAAATCTATTTAGAGAATGTATGTTATTGTGTTAACAATACTATGTTATGTTATGTTTGTTTTTGAATGAATATACTAATATTATTTAAATGTATGTATGTATTTATAGGGAGAAACACCGATTATTGATTATGTACTACCTGAATTCATTAATTATTTAGATAATCTTTCAGTTTCAGAATTGGAACTATATCAACTTACGGATTACTCTAAAGATTCAATGTTAAAGAAGATGCCACAAGTCTCTGTTGACAAACTACCTATTCCAATTTGGTTTTCAAGTATTATTCTATCGTCGATTGGCAATGACATTCATCTAACAAGATTACAATCACTCCTAAGACAACAAGGTAGAAATATGTCAGAATTCCAGTAAGTATTATTACTATAATTAATAATAATACATTTTAATTAATCAATTTTATTTTGAACAAATTGAAGATTGGTACAAGAAACAGGTAGAGGTAGTAAGAACTCTATGTTCTTTTATGTTTTATATAATCAGAAGAAGCTGGGAAAGAATGATTCACATGAAATTCTTGGTTATGGCGCAGCATCATCGATGAAACAGGCACAAGCAGAAGCAACAACTGATTCTCTAGTTAGACAACTATGCTATCCACAGAATAAATAAATAATAAACACTTTATTCAAACTCTCGCCGGCGAGAGTCAAAAAGGATTTTTGCAATATATAAAAGAAAATTTATATATTCTTTTTTTTTTTTTTTTTTTATTATAAAAAAAATAACAAATAAGATCAATTTTAAAACATTTTACTTTTTTGTTTGTTTGATTGTTGCACACAGATACATATATGTATAACAAGTTTAAAAAGTGAAAATGATTAAAAGATAATAGGTTGGAGAAAAAAAAAACAAAAGGATTTTGGATGAATAATAGATAATGGTAATGGGGGTTGGATAATTAAGGTAGAGTTTGTTGGTCATTGTTCAAGAGTTTTACATTTTGGTTATTTGCCGATCAGTACCAATTAATGAGAGGTTTTATGCCCCTCTAGTCTCTCTTCTAGAAGTTACAGGTGTGGCATTGGTTATTTTTTTGTTGCTGTTGTTAAGCGTGATGTTGTTGAGTTGTTGTTGTTGTTGGTTGATATTTTTTTGATTCTTTTTATTTTCTGTTGTTGATTTTGTTGATGTTGTTGTTGTTGAAGTTGTTGATGTTGTGTTGTTTATAACAATAGAGGGGCAAACCTGCTCATGGAAATCATCTGTATCATCCTCTCCAGAGAAAGTTTGAAGTGTTGCGCTTGCCTCGTAATTGAGTCAAAAGTCGCTGTCGGATGAGTCGTATTCATTGTCTTCCATACCGATGTTGTCGTAGTCGTTCAACTGTGCCAAGTCGAGCTTGTAACGCAGCAGTCCACCGATACCACCGAAACCCTTGCAGAATTGCGAACCCTCTTGCGAACGGTTGGTGATGAACTCCAAGTGTGCTCCGAATGCACGGTAGTTGTTGGCGAACCACTCGACCAATGGAAGCGCTTCGACCAAGTCGTACTCCATTCCGGTCTCCTTGTCCTTCATGAACGACTGGTCACGCTCTTGCTCCTTGGTGAGATAGAGAACCTTCTCCTTCTCCTCGTGTGGCAGCTTGATGGCGTAACGGGTGATCTCTAGAGCCTCCCAGACGATGAGAGTGCTGACGGCACCCAAGTCGAGCGCCTTGATAGTATCGGCAACACCGAAACATACCTTTCCAGTGTCCTGAGCAATCTCATCAAAGAACTGGCAGATCAACTTCTTCTCTTGGACAAACTTGACGTTGGTCAACACCTCGGCCGACAACTCAATCGCCTGATTGAAACCATTGTCACCACCATAGGAAACATCGACAATCTTCAACACCTTGTCACGCAAACGTTGATCAAACATATCGGAAGTATTCAAATCATTCTTGAAATCTGCACTACCAGCAATAATCAAACCATTTACATTGACCTTGACAAACAACAATGTTAGTTACTGATTGATTCTCCCAATTTCTAAACACTAACACACTAAACTGAACTACTTACTTTATCATTGGTAATGTAGAATTGAGTTGCCAACTCGGATACTTTACGAACGTAGTTGTGACGTTTCTCGAGACGGAGACGAGCGAAACGAAGAGCGGATTGACCACCACGACCATGCTTCTTTGGGAGATCTACGGTGATCTTGTGGAGGACGGTTCTGGTGCTACCGCACAGCACACCAAAGAGAGCACCGTTACCATCGACGACGATGAAACCAAACTTCTCGTCGGACTCGAGCAACTCACCGAGTGGAGCGGTGTGGAACTTGTTGTCACACAGGTAGAGCGAGGTGTTGATTGGCTTGAATGGCTCGATGTCAATGTTTACCTTCTTCTCCTTACCCTCCGAAGTGACGATGGTACCACAGTAGATGACCAAACCGTTGTCTGGCACACGATTGTATAACTTCAAACGCTGTTGAGTCGAAGTGATAGCACCGAGTACCGACAAACGATTCACTCTAGACTTGATATTGGATGCTGTACCAAACTCCTCTGCCAACATCTTTGATACCTTTGTAATTTGATCACCTGGACGAATGATCAAAGAAATCATAGATGTACCATTTCTACAAAAAACAAAGTTTAATAAACAGTGTTAATCAATCTATCAGTCTACTACTAATCTGTTTGTCTGTCCGTCGGACTTAATCTATTTTAAGATACTAACCCTCTAGCAGCTTCAAGATTCTTGATGAGCTTCTTGATCTTCCATTGTTCGACTTGTTTGTCGAGTTCTTGATCTTCTGGATTTCCTGACATTTCTTTATTATGTTGATTTTAATAATAATATTAAAAAAATATTAATAATTTTATTTTATTAATAATTGTTTTTGTTTTATTGTTTCAAAATATATATAGGGATAAAGTAATGTTATAAAAATAATTAAAAAAAAAAAAAAAAGTTTAAATTTAAATTGAATTGTTGTTGTTTTTGTTAAATATGTTTACAATTTAATTAAGCAATTGTTGTTATTGTTTTGTATGTGAATTGTAGTTGTCGAGATATGCTTAAGAAAACGTTTCTTTCTTTTTTCTTTTGTTTTTTATTTTTTTTGTTTTTTATTTTTGTTGTGTGTTTGGAAGAGAGAAGAGAGTGAGAAAAATGGTAATCTCGGTCTCAAAGATGTTTGGATGTCAATGTCAACAACAAGTAAAAATAAAGTAAATAAAGTAAAAAAACATCATCGTAAAACTAGAGAAATCTTTAAGAGTTTTTCTATTTCTATTTCCGACTTCAAAAAGATTGTCGATGTTGCATTGATTGGCTGTTTGTTGTTTCGGTCGTTCATTCTTCTTCTTCTTCTTATTAATAAACTTTAAATTCAATTTCGAAATTGAATGATGATGTGAAGTTTACAATATAATCTGATTATTATTTATTATTCTATTATAATGATTTTGTGGGTAATATATATAGATGTAAATGGTTATTATACATTACATTTGTTTTTTATTTTTTTTTTTAAGTTTGAAATAGAACTTTCAAGTTATATAAATTCTAAATAGATATTAATTTAGGATTTTTATTGAAACTCGACAACCAACAAAAGAAAGAGATAGATAAATAGACAAGTGGTGTTACTGAAAAAAAAAAATGATTGAAAAAAATCGACTCTTTGTTAAACGTTCAAAAAAAAAATTATTTTTTTTTGATTTTTTATTTTTATTTTCTTAATGGCATAGTTATCCACATCACACATAAAAGAAGGAATAAATATTCAAAAAAAAAAAAAAACAAAAACAAACAAAAGTTTGAAATTGAATCCCCCAAAAGGAGTAGTGATAGTAATAATATAATACAAACCAATATTGATTGAATGTTATTGTTAAAGATAATACAGATAGATAGTGATTGAATATAGTTCAATCAGCATTTTATTAATTATATCATGATTTAAGATTGATTCTTAAACAATAATTATATTATTATAAAATAGATTGATTTATATATTTTTCAAGAACAGAACATGTAAATATATATCAGTTAATATAGAATTATTTTTTGATAGTGGAATTAAAGATTGTTCTAATTCTTTCATTTCTTAGAGTAATTAGATTAATAGTTCCAATATTCTTAGGATGATATTAGATTATAGAATTAGAAATAGTATACTTGGAGAGAAAAGCTCTATAGGTTAAAGGAATAGATAGAATTAGAATTGCTATCAATTCCATTTAAATCTTAATATTGAAACAGAATTATATTGTCAATGGAAAAGAGTGAAAAAGATCGCTTGGATTACATAGATCATAAAAGTAAGTTGATTCATCCATTCCAATATAATTTATCGATTACTATTCCAATCGATACATTTAAAATTAAGTATCATTAGAATTAATGAATAGTTCCTTTCTATTTTAAAAAACCACAATATGAATCATTTGAACGAACTTCTTGTCACAATCATCATTAAAAAGTTCCGTTCCAATTTTTACTCAATAAAATAAGAAGAAGTGCAAAAAAAAAAAATTAAAAGAATTTTTAAAAAGAATTTTTTGTGCACATGTTCACAAGAACATCAGACAACACAAAAAATTCTTTTTAAAAATCATAAACAACAAAATCATAATGATGTAGAGTTTGTCTTTTTAACCCAATGGCATAGAAAAAAACTAATTCTTGTGACAAATCATTTTGACTTTGTTTATGCATGGAATGGAACACCACGAAACCTCACAATAGAATCGAACACTTTTGATTAAAATAAAAAAAAATATGTTCTAAAAAAAAATATGAAAGTACCACAAAAATATCTGAAAATTAGGAAATTTTAATTTATGCACAAGGAACCTTTTTTCTCTATAAATATCGGACCATTGACTTAATTGATCATTAATTAAAACTTGTTAATTAAAAACAAATAAAAAACAAAACTTTAAACTTTAACTATATTTATTTATTATAAATTATAAAACATATTTCAAAAATGACTATTACTTTAACTTATGTAAGTATATATCTATCTTTTAATGTTTTTCAATTCATATTTATTAACTTTTTTTTTGTAATAATTTTAATTTATTTATTTGCAGTTCGGTGGTAGAGGAAAGGCTGAACATATTAGATTGATTTTGAACTTTTTACAAATCGAATTCAAGGATGAGAGAATCAGTTCCATCTCTGATGAATTGCGTTCAAAATTGGCTTTTGGACAAGTTCCATTGTACGAGGATGGTGAAGTCTCCTTAGTTCAATCGGCTGCCATCGCCAGATATATTGCCAACAAGTATAACTTTGCTGGTGCCAACGCTGCTGAGAAAGCTCAAGCCGACGCCATCGTAGACAGTCTTCCAGATGTCATCACTCCATATCGTTTGGCAACCGATGATGCTGCAAAGTTAAAGTTCCGTGATGAAACTTTGCCAAAAGTAAGTTTATATTCTTACTTACGTTGATACAAAATAATTAATTATTATTATTATTATTATTTATAGTTCTTAAAGGCATGGGATAATATTTTAGCAAAGAATGGTGGAAATCACTTTGTTGGTGCTGGTTATACTTGGGCTGATATTGCTATCTACTATGGTCTGTGGTTACTTGAAAACAATGGTTTCAAAGAGGTCGTTACTCAATTCCCTAAGCTTGCCACTTTCCTCACCACCTTTGAGGCAATTCCACATATTGCTACCTACTTGAAGAACAGACCAGATACCAAATTCTAAATTAACTTGTATAAATAAATGAAAAATCCTCAATTAAGAGGTCACTTAACTTAAATTGACAATTTTTATTACAATTTTTTTTAATATAATTGGAAGTATCATCTCAATAAGATTAAAAAAGAAAAGGTAATGAATTAAATTAAATCTTGTTAGTTTGAAAATAACCAATTATTATTGTATTGTATAGCTTTTCAGCCAGATAATCAAACTTGTTCTCAAAATTTACTTTTTTTAATATTTTAAAAATTTTCTAGAAATATGGAATAAAAATAAAGGTGATACTAATCCAATTGTTTTTATTGCTTTCTAATATTTTATTATCTAATCAAAATGTATAAGAAATTTCTATTTTTTCTCAAAAAAAAGGAATATTTAATTTTTTAACAAAGAAACACAAAAAATAATTATTTGTATTACTAATATATGCATAAAAAAAGAAACAAAATGATATTTTAGAATTCTGCAAAGAATGTGGTCAGATTTTCCTCACCCCAGAAGCGGCTTCCAAGACAAAAAATTTTTTTTTCTTACCTTTTACAAATGTATTTAACATAAAAGGAAAAATGAATGAATGATCATTCAAATTAAAACAAAAAAAAAGCAAAAATAGTAATATAAACCTTGTAAATATATAATATTCGAAACTAATCTAGATTCATAGACAATGACAATTCCAACTTTAATTTATGTATGTATTTGTTTTTAAAAATATATATATATCTTACTTGAATCTGTCTATATTAACATAAAAAACACAACACTAAAATACTAGTTTAATAGAAGAGGTAGAGGAGAATTCATTAGATTGATATTGAAATACCTGAAAGTAGAGTATAACGATGTGAGAATCGAGGAGATTACCGATGAGTTACGTAGTAGATTACCTTATCACCAAGTTCCTCTCTATGAAGATGGCGATGTCACACTCGTACAATCGATAGCAATCGCTAGATACATTGCGAATAAGCACAACTTTGCTGGTGCTACTCTAGCTGAGAAAGCGATTGCCGATAGCTTAGTCGATAGTACATCCGACACCATCGTACCATTCAAATTGGCAACGCAACGCAACGACGAAGAAGCAAAGAATAAATTCAAAAGTGAAACACTACCAAAGTTCCTAAAGGCATGGGAGTCTGCACTAATTAAAAACGGTGCCAACTACTTTGTTGGACAATCATACACTTGGGCAGATGTCTACATCTACTACACACTCTATTTCTTCAATATCAACGGTTACACCGAGCTCGTCAGTCAATATCCAACACTCAGCACTTTCTACACAGTGTTCGAATCAATACCACAAATATCAAGTTATTTAAAGATTAGACCTGAAACTAAACAATAATAAACCTAATTTTATTTATTAAACAAATTTTATTTATTGAACTTTACATGGATTTGGTTGTTTTGGTACAACTGATCTGTATTCTTTCGATTGTTTGATGAGTTCCTCGAATAGTTTATCAATGTTGAGATCATAGGTTGCAGAGGTAAGAAGATGTGTTTTGATTTGTTTGGATCTACACCACTCTTGGACGGATTCATAGTTCTTGATGACAGTAGAGTCATTCTCTTGAATTGAAGAGTTTGGACTGTTGCAATCTGCTTTATTGGCTGCAACAACAATTGGTATATCAGATCTAAAATGTTTGAGATTGACAATCGATTCATTGTAGTATTGTTTCAACTTTTCTTTGGCATCGGGGTCTGTTACATTGTAAACCAATACAATTCCATCCATTGCGATGAGTCTACCGATTTTCATTCCGTTTTTCGATAGATCACGAATGAATATCTGGAGATCCTTCTCCTTCTCATTCTCCATTCCATCTTGGTTAGCATGATGATCATCGATGATCTTCTTTTGATTATTGTAAAGTGGAAGATTCAAATCATTTTCGGTGATTGTTGCAAATGGTACTCTAACGAATCTCTGAACAATAGTGGTTTGTCCTGATTTTGGAATTCCCATCACCAAGAAATGAAGCTTTGGTTTACTCTCCATTTCATCAATAGATTTCTGGACATTCTTTATTTTCATCGCTCTTTCCATTTCAATTTGTGATTGTTGTTCATTTTCATTATTATTATTATTTTGAATTTCCATGATAGTTGTTGTTATTGAGATTGTTGTTATTATTAAAAAAGATATTTATAGCTATTAAAGATTTATTATATATTATGAATATTGTTTGTTTGTTTTACATGTTTGACTATTCAATTTGTTATCTATTTATAGGTGTTTGACTTTTGACTTTAGTTTGACCAGCAATGTTCTGTTTAGGTTGGTCAACAAGACTAATTTCTCAAATTCCTGAAAAGTCAAAACAAAAAGTCAAACAAATCATCTGATGATGATTCACCACATGTCTAATCAGTTTGTTGACTTTGCATTTAGAGAAAAAAAAAAGATATCTTTTTTAATTAAGTTGAACTTTCATCTGCATAATAGTTTAAAAAAAAAAGTAAATAAAAAAAAAACAAAAAAGTAAATATTTAGTATTTAATATTCAATGAATAAAAATATGTGATTTAAAACTTTGAATCAAAGGTTTTTCAAAACGGTTTCATTTTTCATCAGTTTTAATTTGAAGTAGTTTTCGCCTAGATTTCATTGAGATTTGCTTGAAAATTTACCTTTTTGAGAAATTTTGTTTTTTTTTTTTCTTTCGATTTAAATTTTCAAATTTTTAACAAAATTAATACTTGTTTTATTTCTTCATTTGAATTCAAGATATTCATTATCATATTTTTATAATTGATTTTAAAATAGGTTAGATAGATTAAGAAGTCACCTTAGTTAGTTTTTTTTATAGTCATATTTATAAATATTATTATCAATCATCATCATCATCATAATAAAAATAAAAGAGAGAAATAAAAAATGGATCATGAAGCATTAAAAGTTAAAGGAAACGATGCCTTTAAACAACAAAATTATCATGCTGCAATTCAATATTTCACTGAAGCAATTGGTATGTTTTGTTATTATTATTTTTACATATTTTAATACTTTACTAATATCGATATATCTATGTATGTATAGAAGCATCGAATGGAACTATAGCTGTTTATTATGGAAATAGAGCGGCGGCACAACTCGCTATTGGAAGCAAGAGTTCGTTGGCAGAGGCAATCAAGGACAGTGAGAAAGCGGTCGAGTTGGATAAGAATTTCATTAAGGGATATACACGTGCCTCGAAGGCATTCGTTCAACTCGGTAAATTCGATCAGGCACAAACAGTAATTGTCAGTGGTTTGATAGTGGATCCACGTAACAATGAACTGCTGGCAGAGAAGAACAGCATCGAATCGGTCAAGCGTCAATTCCAAGCGGCACAAGACAACAGCGCCACCAACCCAACACAAGCACTCAACCAAATCGAATCTGTAATACAACAAGCGAAATACTATACACCAGCCATTATCTTAAAGGCCAAACTTTTACTTGAATCGAAACAATATTCAAAAGCATCAACTCTTGTTGCGTAAGTTGAGATCAATTCATGAGAGTTGAGAAATTTCATAAACAACAAAACTTAACTTTTTTTTTTTCGTCATACTATTAGTTCACTTTTACAAGAAGATCAAACACAACCAGAGTATTTATATTTAAGAGGTATGGCTCTATATTATTCAAATAGTTTACCATCGGCAGCACAACATTTCCAAAATTCATTGGTATACGATCCAGATTATGCACCAAGTAGAGTTGCTTTAAAGGTATGTTTATTTGTTTAAGAAGATTATCGATTTAAATGGATAGTTATATTAATTATACTTTTATGAAAACAACAACAGAGATTAAGACAAATTGAATTAAAGAAGAAAGAAGGTAACGACGCATTCACAAGTAAGAATTATACACAAGCCTACCAGTTATTCAGTGATGCATTGGAGATTGATCCAAAGTTTGATTTAATGAATGCACAATTATATAATAATAGAGCTGCTGCTGCTGTACAAGTATGTATAAATAATTATTCATTATTAAATATTATTAGTATATACATATTTATTAACAAATAAATTTAAATTTAGTTAAATAAAATAACAGATGCAATTGCAGATTGTACAAAAGCAATCGATTTAGATCCAAATTATGTAAAGGCAATTTCAAGAAGAGCTCAATGTTATATGAAGGAAGAGATGTACGAGGATGCAGTGAGAGACTACGAGAAGGCAAAGAGTTTGGATCCAGAGAATGCTGATATCCACAATAATCTCAAGCAGGCAAAGATCGACTTGAAAAAGTCGCTCAAGAAGGATTACTACAAGATCTTGGGTGTTTCCAAGGAAGCCAACGAGTCAGAGATCAAGAAAGCCTACAGAAAGTTGGCACTCCAATACCACCCCGATAAGAACAGCACACTGCCCGAAGAGGACAAGCTGAAAGCGGAGCGTCTGTTTAAGGACGTCGGTGAGGCGTACAGCGTGCTAAGCGATCCAAAGAAGAAACAGCGTTACGACCTCGGTCAAGACGAGAACGGCATGCCGTTCGACAGCGAGGGATTCTCGGGATTCGGCGGTGGCGGTGGTATGGACTACTCGAACATCTTCAACATGTTCATGCGTGGTGGTATGGGTGGTGGCGGTATGGGTGGAATGGGTGGATTCCAACAGCAAGGTTTCGGAGGTGGCGGTGGTATGCCATTCCACTTCCACGGTGGTGACGACGACGATGATTTCGGAGGTTTCGGTGGTGGACATCCATTCGGTGGAGGTTTCAGACAGCAACATTCACACCAACACCAACACCAACAACAACAGCGTGGTGGTTCAAAGAGAAGCAGTAGCAGCCAAGGACAATCAGGTTTCAGATGGGGTTAATTTTAATTATAAATACTTTTATCTTTATATATAATAATCATAATAAAATCATATTAACGAAAATATAAATTAATGAATAAATTTGGTTTTATTTAAGTTTATGTTAAATCATTTCAAGTTCAGTTGAATGACTTGGCAATTTCATCAAATAACTCCTCTAAATATAGAACATCTTCTGATTTGTTTAATTTGTCTTTTTGTTGTTGAATTTCCAATACTAATTTATCTTTAAAATGAATGATTTCTGTATCAGTATATTGTTTACGATTATTGTTGTTTCTTTGTGAGTAGATATATGATAACATCGAGAATCGATTTAGTTTGAGTGCCATGATCATCAATGAGTAATAACAAATTTGATCTCTGACTTTGATAAAGAACTGTAATATCTCTAAATTCTTTGATACAATGATATGATAGAATAGATTTGGTTTATAACGTTTGAAAGGATCTGACATAGGATTCTTATTGTTTTCATATAGTAATTCAATAATATCTAGTCTCTGATATCCAATAACCAATCTCAACATTTGTTGTGAACATCTTCCATGACCTTTGGTTGTATGTAAATAAAGTAATTTGAAGATTTCAAAGTTTTTTAACTGAAACATCCATTTCGATAGTTTGATAGTTTCTTTGTTACCATGGTTGTTGTTGATGTATTCCAATAGATATTTAACAGCATCCACCTTTTCATTTGATGCTGCTTCGAATAACACCATGTTTAAGCTCCAAGTCATTGTTGCCGGTGGTTCTTCTTCACAAACCCATTTGATAATATTAAGATACCCTTTGCCAATTGATAGGTTCATTAGATGTGTGATGTTAGATACATATCTTCTCTCGCAAAAGAACTTTATCACTTCAAGATTACCAGTACATGCTGCTTGTGCCAGTAGTCGATCACACCAAAAAGAAATGAATTCAAAAGGTAAACGTAGTTCCTCCAAAAATGCAAGTACTTCTATATTCGATGAATTGCAGGCATTGTGAATCAAAGTATGATACATTTCCCCGATTTTATTTTTCAAGTACTGGTTTGTTTGGAAAAGATCAAACATTCTCTTTGCACATTGGAAGTTACGCTGTTTGATAGCCATCGTCCATGAATTCACATAGCCTAATGAAGGCGTGTTTTTCTCTATTGCTGTGGTTAGCTAGAGCAAAAGTCGATCGAAATATCGATATTGAATGAGAATGGTTGGATGAAGTCTAAGATCTTTCCATGAAAAATGACCACACTGTAGAATAGAATGAATCTCTGATACCTGATGAAATATCAATTGATTGATATACTTTATTCTAATGATTTTAAAGAATAATATTGTTTCTCTATCTATTTTATCAATTGAGTTTGATTTCATTTTGTTTTTTTTTGAAATGTTCTAATAGAAATAATTTTTTAACAAGATTAAATAAATCTGTAAATTCATATTCGATTTAGACACAACAAACAAAAAAAGTAAACATTATCATTTATTTAATTAAATTAAAAATCCAGTAATTTTTGATCAAAAAAAAAAACAATCTAGGAAAACGAAAAGAAATTGGTAAAGTATAAAAAATTATTGTGATCTTTTGTATTTATCTTTTCATTGAATAGAAACTACAATGAAAAAAAAAATTTAAGTTTTGTATGTAAAAACCAACTTTATTTATTTAGTATTTATGATAGTTTAACATTTAGAATGTCATTCGTTATTTCTTCAACTAGGGTATCGCATCTACCATATTGTTGGAGTGAAGAGATTGCTCTGTTTTGAAGACGTTCTGCTGTTTCGATATTTCGATATCTTTTTCTATTTTCGTTATTTCTTGAAGTGATTATAAAACGTAGCATATCACTTCTCTTGAACCTTACAGCAGTGATTATCAATGTATAATAACATACACTCTCTCGTACTTTTATGAAGAATTGTAACTTATCGAAAGAGTCTTGTTCAATTATAATATAGAATAGATCTACCGGATAGTATCGAAAAGGATCTACTGATTTGTCTGATCTATTCTCATACATGAACTCTATGAGAGGCAAACTAACTCTATTACTTAAAATATTGTGTAGAATTTCTACTTTAAACTCGCTTATTCTATACAAATAAAGTAATTTGTAGATCTCTATGTCATTGCATCTAATTATATCACGTCCATAACGATATAAAGGTATTCCATGATCCAATAGACATTCAACCATTTCTCTTTGTCCAGTGAAAGCGGCTTTTTGAAGTATTTCATTGAAATTCCATATGCTTGTCGGTATCTTCTCGCATATGATTCGAAACACATCGAGATGTCTGAATTCTATAGCCTTGCGCAATGCGAACGTAATATCTACATATTCATAGGTTGTTAGAAAGTAATCGATACCTTCAACGAATCCATGCTTTGCCACGATGCCAATTGATTTAACCGATTGCGATAAAGGATATTTCTGCACCCTTTCCCACCGAAGATTCAACTTATAATCTCTATCCATGACCTTGATATGATCGATTCTATTCTGTTTGACAACCGCCTCAAAAGTTTCAAAATACAACGAAATGAGACGAAGACTAAAAAAGAAGTCAATGGGACTCTTTCTTATATGATTGTAAATGAATTCAGCCAATTCATAGTTTCCTTCAAAGATTGCCAATGGCCACACTCCAGCATAAGAATATCCTATTGTATTAATTTGTTTTTCCTCTATTCGCATTAATTCATCTTTCAGCATATCGAAATATTTAAGTTTATACATGATGCGAGGGTGAAGATGTAGCTTTTCCCATTTTATTCCTACTATATTTAAAGATTTGTGAATCTCTGTTATTTGATAAAATATTAATCTTTGAATAATTTTGATTCTAAATATCTTTAAGAATAACATTTCTTTCTTCTATTTCTATTTGTTTTTATTTAGATCTAAAAAAAAATCTTAGACCAACTATTCAAAACGTTATTAAAAATATTGAATAGAAACTACAATGAAAAAAAAAATTATTTAAGTTTTGTATGTAAAAACCAACTTTATTTATTTAGTATTTATGATAGTTTAACATTTAGAATGTCATTCGTTATTTCTTCAACTAGGGTATCGCATCTACCATATTGTTGGAGTGAAGAGATTGCTCTGTTTCGAAGACGTTCTGCTGTTTTGATATTTCGATATCTTTTTCTATTTTCATTGTTTCTTGAAGTGATTATAAAGCGTAGCATCTCGCTTCTCTCGAACCTTACAGCAGTGATTATCAATGTATAATAACATACACTCTCTCGTACTTTTATGAAGAATTGTAACTTATCGAAAGAGTCTTGTTTAATTAGAATATAGAATAGATTTGCTCGATAGAATTGAAAAGGATCTACTGATTTGTCAGATCTATTCTCATACATGAACTCTATGAAATGCAAACTAATTCTAGTTAAAATATTGTGTAGAATTTCAGCTTTAAACTCTCTTGATCGATGCAAATAAAGTAGTTTGTAGATCTCTATGTCATTGCATCTAATGATATCACGTCCATATGCATGTTTAGGTTTTCCATGATCCAATAGACATCTAACCATTTCTCTATGTTTAGTGGCAACTGCTCTTTGAAGAAGTACATTGAATGGAATGTCTTCATAGCTATATTTTGTGAGAAAATAATCGATGCCTTCGACGAATCCATGCTTTGCCACTGTGCGTATCAATTCCGATGTTTGCGATGCATATTTCTCGATTCCATACCACGGAGCAGACAACTTATAATCTCTATCCATGATCTTGATAAGATCTATTCTCTTTTGTTTGACAACCTCTTCAAACGTTGCGAAATACCTGTCACGAAGATGCACCGAGAAGTTAATAGGTCTGCTATTGAGATAGTTGTAAATGAATTCAGCCAATTCATAGTTTCCATCAAATATTGCAGATGGCCACACTCTAGAATAATAATATCCTATTGTATTAATTTCTTTCTCATCCAATCGAGGTAACCCATCTTTGATCCTATCTAAATATTTGTGTTCATACAAGATGCGAGGGTGACGATATAAGTTTTTCCATGATATTCCTTCTGTCTCTAAGGATTTGTGAATCTCTTTTATCTTATTAAATATCAATCTTTGAATAATTTTAATTCTAAATATCTTTAAGAATAACATTTTTTTCTTCTTTTGACATTTTTTTCTGCTTTTTTCTCACAGCAAAATTAAGTAAAAAAAATCGTTGTGTTATCGTTTAGATATCTTGATTTAAAGATATTTACCTTCTTTTGTTATATATTACTACTCTTAATTTAATTTTTAAATAAACTAAAGTACAAATAGTGAAAAATATTAAACAATTATGAGTGGATGAAATTTACACGTATAAGATCATTGATATATACATATTACCACTGAGGGAACTTGACCATAAAATTTTCTAGAAAAGTTCCATAAATCAGTTAAACCAGAAATAAAAACAATATAACTTTATAATAGTTACAAATAGATAACTTTATTTATTATTTATTTCAACATTTAGAATGTCATTTGATAACTCTTGGGTATAGATTCTACATCTTCTATATTGTTGGAGTGAAGAGATTGCACTGTTTCGAAGACGTTCTGCTGTTTTGATATTTCGATATCTTTTTCTATTTTCGTTGTTTCTTGAAGTGATTATAAAACGTAGCATCTTACTTCTCTTGAACCTTATTGCATTGATAATCAATGAATAATAACATACACTCTCTCGTACTTTGATGAAGAATTGTAACTTATCGAAAGAGTCTTGTTCAATTAGAATATAGAATAGGTTTGCTCGATAGAATTGAAAAGGATCTACTGATTTGTCAGATCTATTCTCATACATGAACTCTATGAGAGGCAAACTAACATCCCTTAAAATAACCTCTAAGATTTCAGCTTTAAACTCGCTTACTCGATGCAAATAAAGTAGTTTGTAGATCTCTATGTCATTGCATCTAATGATATCAACACTATATGGATATTCTTGTTTTCCATGTTCCAAAAGAGATCTAATCATTTCAATATTCCCAGAAACAACCGCTCTAGGAAGAATGCAATTCAGCTTCCATTTTCTCGTTTTCGGTCTATTCTGACATACCCACTGAATAACACCGTGGTGATTGTTTTCCAATGCTATGATCATAGCGAATGTGATGTCGTCATACTCGTATTTCGTGAGAAAATAATCGAAACCTTCAACGAAACCATGCTTTGCAACGATGATAATTGATTTGACAGGTTGACTCAAAGTGTATTTCTTATTACGATGAGACTGAGTAGCCAACTTATAATCTCTATCCATCGCCTTGATATGATCGATCCTATTTCGTTTTACAACCTCCTCGAACGTTTCATAATAGATCCGACGGATATCTTCCTTCATCCACTGGTCATAGACTCTTCGACTTATGTAGGAGTAAATGTAATCAGCCAATTCATAGTGTCCATCGAAAATAACCGATGGCCATAGTTTCATAAATGAATACCCAACCGAGCAAATTTCATTCAGAGGTAATCTCGACACAACATCTTTCATCCTATCGAAATATTTGTGTTCATACATGATGAGAGGATGACAATATAACTTTTCCCATGATATACCTTCAGTACCTAACGATCTGTGAATCTCTGGTATCTCATTGAATATCAATCTTTGAATGGGTTTGAATCTAAATATTTTAAAGAATAATATTTCTTCTGCTTCTATTGTCATTGGTTTTTTTCTTTTTTTGATCAAAATTATAATCATTAATTATCTTTTGTCTTTTTAACAAAATCAAAGATTAGTTCAGAGCACTAAAAAAATTGAGATATTTCTCGAAAGAAATTGTGGAATTTTCTAAGATTCACTGATCAGATTCAATGTTGTAGAAAAGATAATTTAAAAAAAAGTGAAGTTTAGAAAACTCGATAAAAATAAGATAACTCTATTTTTTTTTTTAAAAATGAACTTATATTAGTACTATTTGTTAAATGTAAATTATATCTTAAGATTTAAAAGTAATTCTTGTTCTTAAAAGATAAAAGTATTGTCCAACAAACAAACAATCAATGCAAATTTTCATTGAAAATCAAATATGATCATCTTTACAACTACCATATTGTATTAATATTGATTATTTCTAAGGACAATGAATGTATTCATTCATTTATATCATGATTGTATTTATTAATTTAAGTATAATTTAAAAATGACTCACGACTGCAAACATGGCACTCATATGTGTGAAAAAAAAAAAAAAAAACAATTTTGAAAAAAATATTATTAATAAATTGTTTTTTCATTTATAAGTTCAGTTTAGTTCAAGTGTTGTATAATAATAAAATAATAAATAAGCATAGTTTAATAAAGTTTAAATAGTTAAGAAAAAAACATTGTAAATTGAATTGTGAATTGATATTATATATATATATAGAAGTTAAATGAAATCAAATCATAATCCTGGTGGAAATAGTGGAGGTGTTTTAGGACCAAAGGATGGTGGATTGGGCGGTGCCAACAGCAACAACAGCGGCGGCGGCGGCGGCGCCAACAACATGCTGCTTGCACAACAGAGTTCATTCTCGATTCGCGACAAACAAATCGAGAGTTGCAATCGCATGTTGAATATCAAGTCGGGTGGCAATCACGACACCGGCAAAACCAACTGGCAAGAAGTCTGGAAGGTTCTGGTGTTCGATCAGTACTGTAGCACTATTATCGCACCGATTCTCACTAAGGGTCAGTTGCGTCAACAGGGTGTCACTCTGCACTTGCAGCTGCACAGCGATCGCCAGCCGATCCAAGACGTGCCCGCAATCTACTTTGTGATGCCGACCTCTGATAATGTGCGTCGTATCGCAGAGGACTGTCGCCAGCGTCTCTACGACCAGTTCTACATTAACTTTGCTGCGAAGGTGTCGTCGGCGTTGCTCGAGGAGCTGGCGACACTCACCATTCAGTATGACTGCGTGCATCTGATATCAAAGGTGTTCGACCAGTATCTCAACTTTGTATCGTTGGAGCGTGATCTCTTTGTTCTGAACTCGCCTTCCTCTAGCTACGTTTCGTTCAACGACGACACCATCAAAGACACTCAGGCGCAGGCAAACATCGATGTTGTGGTGGACGCGCTCTTCTCGGTGCTGGTGACGATGGGTGTGATTCCGATCATCCGATGTCCAAAGAATACAGCGTCCGAGATGATAGCGATTGCGCTCGAGAAGAAGATCTCTACGCACATCACAAGCTCCGGCAGTTTGTTTACCAACGAGGGTGTCTCCAGCTACCAGAGACCGGTGCTGGTTCTGCTTGATCGTAACATCGATCTCTCGGTGATGCTGCACCATCCCTGGACATACCAAGCGCTGTCCCACGACATTCTCGACATGAATCTCAACCGTGTCAAGGTAGACGTCACCACGGACAACGTCACCAAGCGCATGACCTACGATTTGGACTCGGCAATCGACACGTTCTGGCAGAGCAATAGTGGCGCGCCATTCCCGTCGGTTGCAGGCGAGGTCAAAGCGACGATCGACGAATACACCGCCGACATGGAGAAGATTGGAAAACTAACGGATATCTCGACGGACGACAACTTGGATCCCGTTCCCAACAACAACAAACAGCAGCAGCAAGACAAGGCAGCCAGTGCCGCAGGACTTGGCGACCTCGTAACCAGACTCAAGGAAAAGAAACGATTGATCGACTTACACACACATCTAGCGACAGACTTGATGAAGCATATACGTGACAGACAGATCGACTACTTCTTCTCGATGGAGGAAGCAATCATCACACGTTCCATCATCGACAAGAAAGAACTGACATCGCTAATCACCAGCCCAGTCATTGGTAGCGAGGGAGGACGTGGAACTCTCGCCGACAAGATTCGTCTATTACTCATCTATTTCCTCTCGTCGAGATCACCCGTTCCCGAGATGGATCAATACGAAGAGGCGTTGCGCGGTATGGGTGCGGATCTCGCGCCACTCGACTACTTTAAAAAGACAAAGGCATTCAACGATTCACTGGCGATTGCACACTCGTCGGCATCGTCGGCTGGCGCCAACCAATCCGGTGGATCATCGATGAACAAACACGTCGGTGGTTTCATGCAGATGCTCTCTGGCTACCAGCCAGTAGAGTCGGTCACCAATTTCTTCTCACAGGGAGTGCGTTCCCTCCTGCCAAAGAGTAAAGATCTCTTTGTCACCCGAGTGGTCGAGTCGATCATGGAGTTGAAGAACACGCTCGACGCCGACTACCTCTACCTCGACCCCAAGATTCAAAACAAGACAAACGTACCTCGTCGTACCTCACCCTTCAAAGAAGCAATCGTTTTTATTGTCGGTGGTGGCAACTACGTAGAATATCAAAATCTTCAAGACTACACAAAGAAACAAAACAAAAAGATCATCTATGGAACAACCGAATTATTAACATCAAAACAATTTTTACAACAAACAAAAGAATTAAAAGAACATTTGAATAAATAATTTATTTTCTCTACTATTATTATTATTAAAATAATTTCTTTACTTTTCCAAATAAAAGTTCATCTTTTATTTTTATATCTTGTCTAACTAAAATGGAACATCAATAATCATAGTCTGATTATGTGGTGAGTGAATCGTTCGTTTTGTAAAATGTGGTTCTCTTGAAATCTCTATTCTTTTTCGTTTTTCTAGAGATTGTTTTTGGGTTGAAGTTCTTTGCTATACATTCACCTGTTAGTCGAATATCTTTCTTTAGTATGACTGTGGACCAATAATTGATTTTTTCTTTGTTTTTTTTTTTGAAAATAAATGCAACGTGGTGGTTTATAATCATTTTGAAAATCCATTAGATCAATCAACTTCCTTAAAAAGGGATACATTGTCAAAAAGCATCAGTTAAAAATTAAAAAATTCAAGTTTTTGAAATTTTTGAATTTAAAAAAGGTGAGTACCCTCATATCCTATGACCCTCAAAAAAAACAAATCAAAAAAAAAATAGCAAATTCTTTATTGGGGACTAGACCAGTGTTTTTTTCACAAACGGGTGTATCGTTGAAAATACATCGAGCACAATGTAAAAAAGGTTGTGTTGATTTGAGAGATTTTATCTTTTTTTGAAACCACTCGCTTGTCCTCATTCTGTGATATACCTACGTAAGCATTTAAAAATGAAACAAAAAATTTTCCACAAATGAAATATGATTAATGTCCAACAATAGAAGGTTTTAGCGGGTTAATTAATGGTGACATCAAACTATTTCTCATAATCATATTTCCTAAAAAAAGATCTAAACAATTTTTTTTACTGAAAAAAAGTTTTTATTAAATAAAACAAATGAAATTTTCTGTTCAACAAAATGGTTTGCACTATAAATAATCCCATGGGAGTCTCTCGGCCCAATCATTTACTAAAAGACAATCTTGTTTGAAAATATATTATAAGTACTTATCTTATCTTTTAAAATATATTTTGAGGAAATATTTAATTAGTCTAACTTTTAGCTTTTTTTTTTTTTTACTACACTTTTCTTTGGATCATGACTTGGCTGTTCTTAATTAAGATTTAAAAAAATGAAAAAGATATTATCTTCTTTTTTATTGGTTTGTTTTCTGTTGGTTGTAACCGCTGCTGAATTGGAGTCAAATACTAATTCCGGTGACATTGAGATAAACTTTGAAGGAGATGGAAATGATTTCGAGGCTTTCGATGTAGAAGATCAGGATGCTGCTGCTCTCTCTGACTTTGGAGTGTTACCACCAGTGATCATTCCACGTAGTAACTCTACTCTTTTCACTCAACACTTCCAGAGCTACAACAGTCGTTTGTTCCATGTTCCATACAGCTACTTCATGCCAAACAGCGCCAAGCAAGTCTCACAAGCTTTGACATACGCTCGTCTCAACCGTCGTCGTGTCACCATCAAATCCGGAGGACACTCTTGCGAAGCTTTGTCATCGGCCGACAACACCGTCGTCATCGATATGTCAAAGATGAAGTCAACTCAAATCGACATGGCAACTCGTCAGATCAAAGTGCAATCCGGTCTCAATTGGATGGAATTTTACAACACCACCGTTCCACTTGGATTGGCAACAGCCGGTGGTTCCTGTCCAACCGTTAACGTCGGTGGTCTAATTGGTGGAGGAGGAGCAAACTACTTGGCTCCACGTTACGGTTACGCCGTTGATAATGTCGTCTCCATGACCGTTGTCACAGCCGATGGACGTATTCGTAACTGTTCACCAAACCAACACAAAGATCTTTTCTGGGCTATGCGTGGTGCCGGTCATGGTGGTCTCGGAGTCATTGTCGATGTCACTCTCCAGCTTCACCCAATCGAGCCAAAGCTCTACAGAAACGGTGTCAAGATGACATTCGATGTTTTCCAACAGGTTTTATTGTTCGTCGATCAATACTCAAGAACCATGGACCAAAATATCTACATGAATATGTTTGCAGGAATGAAAGTACTTACTGGACCATCCTCAAGATATGCTCGTTGCAACTTCTTCTACAATGGTGATCCAGCCGTCGGTGACACCGAGTTTAGAAAATTCTTTGGTGCACTCCAAGCTGTTGTTCCAAGTGTCACCACCAATTTCAATTCGACACCGGTTGGATTCGTTCAGATTCTCGGTGGTATTGCCGATCCACCCATTGCTCGTTCCTACACTCGTGGTCGTTTCATGGAGAATTGGACTCCTTTGACTGCCGATCTCTTGGTATCGATGTTTGATAACACCACTGTGCCAGTCATGACCAACACCTCTGACACCACCGCCAATATCTTCTTTGAAATGTATTTCCACGGTGGTCAAATGCAAAACAAATCTAGAAACTTCAATGCATTCGTACATCGTTCTGCACAATGGTCCGCATCCATTGCACTCAACTATCAATCGGCAGACAACGATCAAGTATTCTCTACATGGGACAAGAAGGTCGCTCAAAAAATGACTCTTTTCTCAAAGTCTATCTACCAAAACTACCCAGACACTGACTATCCAGATTGGGAAAGAGCTTATTACGGTGAAAACTACTGGAGATTGCAACTCATCAAATTGAAATACGATCCATTCAATTTCTTTAATTATACCCAATCGATTAGACATCCTTTCGCATAAAATTTGTAAACTAATAATATAATAAACCATAGTTTCTTTTATTTTATTTTTTATCTCTACTTTTGATAAGACAAAGTTTCAAGTAGAAAATTTGTTTTGAAGAAGAGGGTATGCAAATATTTCTTATGATTTTAGATTATCTTGAGTTTTATAATTAAAATGTAAAACATATAACTTTAAATATTATAGAATAAAATAAAATAGAACGACCAAAGTAGAAAAAAAATGCCAAGTTTTTTTTTGAGATTTCTTTAAGATTTGTTTTATTAAATAGGGAATAACAATAAACAAATAATGACAATATTTGAAAATAGAATCTATAGAGTAATAATAGAATATCTTTGGTTTGATAGTAAGAATAAGAGTTATGCAAGATCATTGTGTTTGGTCAATTGGTACTTCCACCGTGTCATATGCTCTTTAAATGTTAGTTTTAAAGGTAGTTTCAAAGATTTAAACGAGTTGTTCACTCATCATTTTCAGAAACAATCATCATCAGATTCATCGTCATCACAACAATTAAACAAATGTGCATTGTTTAGTTCTTTGACAGAGTTAAGAATTGGTAGACATTACTATAGAGAACCTATACCATATGATGATCTGAAAATGATTTTACCGAACATTCGATCTTTTTCCAGTTTAAGACCACGTGAATACAAATTGATGGTTGAAAATGGAATGCACTCACTCGACTATTTGGAAGTAAATACAGATACAGAAATTGATTTGTATGCAGAAAAGTTTCAGTTGTTGTCATCCAACTTGAAACATCTAAAGATGGTCGTGCACCGAGTAGATTCCCTCTGTCATCAATTCGAAACTTACTTTCCATTCACTAGATATCTGGTGTCAGAAGCATTTCAAAAGTTGACATCTCTCGACATCGTAGATACCAATACACTTGGCAGTTATTGTTACTTTATGGCCGATAGTAGAGATTCATCGATATTGTTTGATGGTCTCCTCAATTTTCAATCTCTTCAACACTTGGGTTTCACATTCGCTTATGATATAGTAGTAAAGACCGAGTTCCATGATGTACTTCTCGAATACCTAAAGAAGCAAAAGACATTGAGAAGCTTCCACTTTCCACACAGGTTTCATCAAGAAAATAACCGTTGTTTAAGGCATCTCTTGAAGAAATCATCGATTGAACAAATCTCTGTTAATATTTGTGAACTGATTTATTGGGAGTTTCCAAATATCAATCGAAACAACCTCAAGAAATTGAGAGTCATATCAGATCTAAACAACAGGTTGGATTATGGTAATTTAGCAAGCGTAAAACATGTTAAAATCATTCAAACCAATTCAGAATGGTCTAAACTCTACGAAATCAGATCTCTTTTAGAATCACAACAAGAAGAGCAAGCTTTAAAAGGATTCCATGCAAACAGAGTATTAAAGTGTGTGATTCATTTTAATAATTTTACAGAAATAGACAGTGGTTTTCTTGAATCTCTCAAGAATAACACAACTCTCAAAAGATTTCACATTCGATACCATCGGTTGAAGGGTTGTCAGACAAACATCAATGACATACTGAAACCAATCGATGATATCATTCAGACACATCCAACCATAAGAAATAAAGAATCTTGGTTGTCAGAATATAAATGCAAAGCCGAAGATCTTTAACTTATCAGGAATTAATTAACAAATAAACAAATTCTGTTAAATAATCAATTATTATCATCACCTAAATCTCTCTTTTACTATTATACTACAATACAGGATATTTATATTTATCTTTAGAGATGTGTACAGATTCTTACATGATACCTTAGAAACAGGTCTAAAAAAAACATATTTCACTAGTTTTATATATCTTCTATTTAAACATGTACCCTCTTTTCTATCTTAATTCATTCTCTTTTCTTTCCTGTATAGTTATGTGCTAAAATGGGAGAACAGTCAGGAGGTTCGCTATGTCGATTTGTTTTTGTTTTTCTCAATAGCTTTAATTGACTTTTAACATGTGATGATGAAACCTGTTTTAAAAAACATACTTCACTAAAAGATAGTTTTGATTGATCAATCAAAATCTAATCTCTTTTTTGTTTTGTGACAGGTAGATAAGATAATAAAATTAGGTGTATTTATATGGATAATGATTGAATTTCGGTTAATTGAACTAGGTAAAATGAAAAGTATTCAATCCCGATTCACTTTTTAAAAAGATAGATTTTTTGTTTTTTTTTTTTTGGTTTACCACCCATTTTTTTTAAAAATAATATCTTTCCATGGAACAAACCCAAAGGATTTTCAAATTTGAAAATAATTCGATTTGGAATACAAAACTGAGATACTACATATCTTGATTGATTTTTATTTAATGTTGATCATCTCAAATGCCCATTAAATCGTTAATAACTTTCTAAAGAAAAGGAATTTTGATAAAATCTTTGAAAGAACTTAAATGACCAAGTTCTTTTTGTTTTTTATTAATTTTAAAGACTCAAATAAGAAATCAAAAAAATAATATTCATTTATCACAACAAACAATTTATTATTTATATATTTAAATATATTAAAATGTCATTAGAGGAACAATTGAAAATATTAAATCAAAAGATTAAAAACAATGATCCTATTGAAGAGATTGAAAATTTTTTAAATAATAGTAATTACTCTTTTTATATTTTAAACTTCAGAGGAATTTCATATGAGTATGAAAATTTCAAAAAGTTAAAAATAGATAAAACAGAACATATGTCTATTGATGAAACACATTCACCGATGTACTCTCTTTATACGAAACACCGTATTGAAGGAAAGAATCTTTTGGATGATTTCAACAATATGACATTATCTGAGAATTCAGTCGATGCCAAAGCAAACACAATTCGTGAAGAGATCACAAACAATGAAAGATTGAATAGTGGCTACTATCACATTGAAAAGGGTGCTGAAGATAAACATTATTTCTCCAAGCTTCTTTACTTCCTTTCTCAAGAGTACTCCCGAGATTACGATGCTTTCGATGAAACCATGCAAAAATTCCAAAACGATCCATCGAAGGGTGGTGTCGCCGCCGCTGGTATTCCAAATATGAATTTCTTTGTTTCAACTTCTATGGAGCCTGACCACGCCATCAAATATGCTCTAGGTTTGAAGATTTACCATTCACGAGAACGAACAAATAATCCATTACCCACCATCTCATCTATGTACTCACCGGCTACGCCAGTAGCAACTCCAGTAACTCTAGGTTCTTCATCGAAAAAAACACCAAAAAAAGGCAAGAATGATGAAACACCAAAGCAACCATCATCAGCTCAGAAACTTTTGGATTACAAAAATTATTTGAAAACTAAAGTTGAAAGTGGTAAAGGCGAGTATCCTGTGGGAAAGCTCTACATTATTAAATCATCGATCACCGACATCCTCAAGGAGCGACCAATTGTGCCTTGTAACCTCTTGAAGAATGGATTCATTAAGCTAGTCACTCTTATCGGTAGCGAGAGGGAAGTGTCATTCATATCGCACATTGGAAGTAACCGAGTGATTCACCAAGAGGTATTAACCTTCGACAGTTATAATCTTAATGATACGGAAGCAAGAGTTAATACCATATTGAGAGAAACCACCAGAAAGATCGAGGCGTTTCATTACAAATGGAATTTAGGTTCCAATAAAAGACATGTAAGAATTTATCAATCATATGATGGTGGATTCTGCTTGAACCCCGAAACAACTCCAAACCATAGTTCAACAACTGAACAAAGCAGATCTCTTTACCATATCGATTCTACTTTTAGAAATTTGATGGGACTCATCTATGGTCACTATTATAGCAACAATAACAACAATAACTACAATAACAACAGTAACAACAACAACAACAACAACGATATGGAATCGAAACTACTTGAGCTTTTCCAGAAACATTATGGATCCTTAGCAACACACTCATCTACAACAGATGAAAAAACCATTACAACTACTAAAACAGAAATCGCTCCACCTGTAGAGCCACCAGTATCTACAGGATCTATAGTGGCAACAAGAAAAACCAACATTGCCTCCTGTAGTATTAGTAGTAGAAGATACAAATGCAAAAGTGGATCCACAACTAAGCACAGATAATCCTATTTCATCAGCCAACATAACACCGGTTCAATCACCAGAGTTGCAACCTAAAAAAGAAGGAGAAGAAACAACCAAAAAAAACATCTAGAAATGAGAAATTATAAACAATGTGATTCTAATAACATGCTGACATTAAATAAATAAATCTGATCAAAATTATTTGCAAATAAATAAGAGGAAGTTAGTTTTTTTTTTTTTTGTAAAAAATTAATTAATTTCAAATATGAAAAAATTCTGTTTGAAAAATGAGTGACAACCACTCTCGAATATGTGGGAATTTTTTTTAAATTATTTATTTTGTTTTTTGTTTTTTTTTTAATTTTTCTTTTACCCACACACAATTTTTTTGGTTTTATTCATAACAATACACAAATATTAATTAAAACAAATATATATAATTATATTATATTATATTTTTAGTCAGTCAATTTAATTATTATTAATTTTAATAGATCATTTTTGTAAATATTTAGTTTTTTTATTTATTTTTAGTTTTTATTTATATTTATAATTTTATAATTGTTATTTTTATTTTATTTAATAATATTTAGAAAAAAGATAGAAATAGAAATAGAATATAGAATATAGAATATAGAATAGTTTATTAATAAAATGTGGTCACAAGAAGATGATATTAGAAAGCCACTGTTGAATAACAGTGGTTTTCCATCTGATTACGAACAACAAAGAGAGTCTGGCTCGGGATCATATCGTAGCGGCAGCGGCAAGTCAACGTCGAGAAAATGCAATGACATTCTATTTTTGATATTGTTTGTCGGTGTGCTCATCGGTATGGGTATCGTATCGGGCATTGCCTACAAGCGTGGTGATCCATCGCAATTGCTACCATCGAACGAGTACATCGACCATCTCGGTAACAGCACCGAGGGTATCATCGTCAGCGGTGTGCAAGACGCCGTCGCACAAATGCGTAAAAACAAAGACGTACTCATCTACTCTGTTGCCATCTCCATCGTCGTCGCAGCCGTCTGGATGGAACTCCTCAAAAACTTTACTCGTCTCTTTATCTACCTCACTCTCTGCATCGGTGTAGCACTCGTCATCTGTCTCGGTGCACTCTTTATCTACTTGGGTCACAAAGAAGGAAGTGAAAGGTAAGCTAAACTAATATTAACTAAAAATAGTGTATAAACATCTTAACTAACAAACAAACTTGTTATCCGATAATCACTTACTTAGTACTATGATTGTTGGTGGATGTGTGATTGCATTGTCAGCACTGTTGATTGCAGTCATTCTGTATTTGAGAAAGAGTATCGATTTGACATGTGCAATGTTCACAGAGACTTGTCGTGGAGTACAAAGATCACCAACTGTTTTCGTTGTTGGATTCATTATTATCTTGTTCTTTGTTGGATTCATTGCTTATTGGACATCGTCGTTGATCTACTTGTTCAGTATTCCGGGACACAACATCGAGTGGGGTAGCAACAGTAGCGATAGCAACGAACTGCCACACTTTGACACAAAGATTCGTAACTTGATGTTCTTTATGATCTTTGGTTTCTGCTGGGTCACCAGTTTCATCTCGGCCGTCTTCCAACACGTCGTTGCCGGTGCCGTCTCACACTGGTACTTCTCGCGTGACCCAACCGGACAAACCGAAGTCGGTTCACAGAATGCATTCGGTTCGCTCGGTCGTGCACTCTCTACCTCACTCGGTTCACTCGCATTCGGTAGTCTTATCATTGGATTCATCGAGTTCTTTGAGTGGATGCTTCGTATCTCCAAGAAGGTCAACGCCGAAAACAAACTCGTCGTAATGCTCCTCTCCTGTGTCCAATGTATTTTGGGTTGCATCGAAGGAATCGTCAAGTGGATCAACAAATTCGGTTATATCTATGTTGGTAAGTTTTAATCATCTAATACTTTATACTAAAAATAAGATAACAACATCGCGCTAACAAATTGACAATCTATTATTATTATTCATATTATAGCTATGCATGGATATAGTTTCTGTACAGCAACAAAATCATGTTTTGAATTGATTCAAAGACAGATGTTCTCAGCTGTTATTATGGACTTTATCGGTTCATTTGTATTATTATTGGGCAAATTCTTGGTGTGTGCAGGAACTGCTTTGTTCTCATCGTTGATTCTCTACTGCACCGGTCGTTCTCTCAAGGAGAACGCTCTCACCGTTGGTTTGGCAGCACTGTTTGCCTTTTGTATCGCAAATATCTTTACACACATCATCGGTATCGGTACAGACACTATCTTTGTCTGTTACCTCGAGGATCTCGAAGTCAACGGTCCATCGAACCTCTTTATCTCCAATGATCTCCACGATCTCCTCCAAGAGAAATGTAACGAAACCAAAAAGAAAAATGATTCAAATTAATTAATTTTTAAGAATAATCATAGCAACCTATCAACCTTCAACATCAAAATCAACACCATCAATCAACAAACCAATAGACAATTAACAATTATATATATTATAACAATCTATTTTTTTTTTTAACAACACAACCTCCTCCCCAAAAACTCTATTTTTTATTAAAAAATTACCATTTTTTTTTTTAACAAAAAAATAATATCTTATCTTATTTTATTTATTTGTTATCCATTTGATCAATTTTATTTATTTTTTAGTTATGATTTATAAATAATGATAAAAAATCATCAACCACACTTTTAACCACACTTTTTAATTTACTTAATTTTTAAATGACTTTTATTTGAATTATTAAAATTCAAATAATTGCAACCAAAAACTCTAAGTTTGATGAAAAATTATTCAAATATTTATTAAGATGATTATCAATTTAAGTTAATAGATACCAAGAGAAAGATATGAATAGAATTCAAAGTAGTATAAAAGATATATTCAATCAATCGTTGAATTCAGTGAAGCATAATATTTGTTTGAAGAGATGTAGAGAGATCGACGAGAAGTACCCGAATATCAGAGAGGAATCCTATCAATTCATGATTGATTTGGTAAAGAAGATCATGGTAACCGATGGTCATTCCTATGAAGTAAATAACTTTTTAGAATTCATTGCAAAGTTATCTACCTTTTTATATTTTAAACATACAACCACTACTTCATCAACATCATCAACAACAACATCATCATCATCAACTCTTTTATATATACTTATGATAGATGCATGTAAATGGACAAAGAGTCAGAGTAAAGATATAAGATTAAGATCATGTCAATTACTTAGAGATATACTGACGATACTAAAGAGTAATGATAATGAAATAGAGTACATATATAAATATATTCATTCAAACTATTGATACATATACATACAATATTAATATTAACTTTTATAAAAAAAAGTGTTGTTCTGTTTGATAAAGCAATAAAGAGACTTGGTCAGAGATTATATGATAAGATTACATCCGTTAGAGTTATGGCGGTACTTGCAATTGTTCATCTACAGGATGCCAAAGATAAAGATGACAACGTAACCACAATGTTACTAGAGGTATTAGAGAATGACTCATCTTCAGAAGTAAGAAAGACAATCATCCAGAACATGGCTATCACCTACAGAACACTCTCCAGTGTCATTCATCGTGTTAGAGACAGTGATCCTTATATTAGAAAGAAGACATTCAATGTAAGTAATCCTATCTTATCTTTATTAACAACAGTTAATTAATGAATGTTTGATTGATTGATTGATTTAGTTCCTTTCGAAAAGAGTGAAATTAGATTTGATTGACAAGGTGGAATCCAGAATATTTTTGATTGGTGGACTGCTGGATAGCGATGACAATGTTAAGAAAGCGTGTCAGGAGATGATTTGTGATGGCTGGATGGAGAAGTTGAATAACGATTTCGAAAAGTTGCTGTCGTTGTTCGATATCGAGAGGAATGCCGGTGTTTGCGAGCGACTCTTGCGATGTATCTTTGAGAATGGCATCTATCCAACGTTGGACTTCAATGTCAACACGCTGCAGTCGGCGCAATCGATATTCTGTTGGCGATACTATCTTGACTATCTAAAGAACCACCGTCCGACAACCGAGCAAAATACCGGTGGTCTACTTGTTCTCGAGCAGGAACTGGACAGAGTGACACCGAACCCTAACGAACTACTCGACAACCTCCAGCGATTCAACGTCGTCGATCATTCATTTATACTCTGTCAACTCTTTGAAATTATCAATCAATCCGATAACCCTGATCCATTGTTCAGAGATAAATGTTCATCTTATTTCCGTATGTTTATTATAGAGAATCTTTGTTACGAGTATCATATAATATATATTAACGATGTTGTTATTATATTTTAGGTGATTTATTGGCATCATTAAAAGTTGATATCAAAGTGAAGAGAGTTATATTGAATACTTTGAGATCATTGTATAAAGGAAGAAGAAAGGAATTCAAGTTGTTTATTTTGCCGATAATATCTGATCTTGGTGATCCCATTGAAGGTGAGAGAGAGACAGAGGATATATCGATTATTAGAACCATTCATACTTTGACGATTATTTCGGATTTCATCGAGTATGCACATCCTATTTTCGATAAGGTAGAGGTTCATGGTCTTTACAGTTATATTCTCGAGTGTTTGAAACTCTTACACAACGACGAAATCATACAACTATCAATAAGATGTGCAAGTTTATATTTCAATTTAGATACTGAAAATGTATGTAATTAATCAATCTTTAAAACAACAATAATTAATAACAACTAAACTAACTAATAATCAATAATGGTAATATATATATTAATATATATCTAGAAATGTAGATCAGATTGGAATATTATTTTATTATTTATTCATCAAAATAGTAATATTAATATAAAGATAGAAGCTATTGCTGTAACGTATACAATGATTACAAACTATAGATGTATTTATATTATACTTATTAATTTATCAAACCAAACAAATTATAGACATGTTTCGATATTATTCTTAGTAAACCATCGGATAATACAGTTGAATTCTGTCAAAAGTTTATAAAGACTGTCAAGACCATATTGAATATCGATCATCAAGCGTCAAACGATCTTGATCCAGAGTATATCAATATTATATTTAAAGGTTTATGTAAATTATATTATTTAAATTATTGGACTGATCAAGATGTAAGTGTTAACCTATTTAATAGTAAAAACAAATTTGATATTAATCAAATTGATTCCTATTAAAATATATTTAGGATTTCCAAATGTTGGTTACACATTTTTTCAATCCTATCAAAGTTCCAATCGCTCATAATACATTCGATGAATTTGTTAAAACATTTGTACATATATCCAAAGCAAACATGTTTAAATTTACAGATACATTCGAAACGGTTTTAATAGAATACTATCATCTCTATCAAGATTATAATAGTCCAGATGATAAAAAGAAAACCATTCAAAATATAGTTAATTATTATGTTTCTACTATTAAACCTAAACATAAACTTCAGTAAGTAACTAACAATAACTATACTCCATTTTTATATTCATGAATATAATTAGAAACTAAATCCAATACCTACCTATATTTATTTATTTATAAATAGGGAACCTGTTGTTGCTGAAATAATGTTATCATTGTTAATTAAAATGTTAAAACTTATCATTTATTTTACAAAACGTATGTTCATATTATGATTTATTATTATACTTTATTTTAATTCAATGTTAATATTTTAATTTTGAATATAATATAGATGGAAATACTCTGATTCTTTGTGAAACTGTCAAGTATTTTTATGTTCCGGATGATCAGTCTATATTACCAAGGTTAAAGGCGTTCACAATGATTGCAATGGAAAGATCCAAGAAGAATAAGAAATCAATGACCTTGCTTCAACATTTACAGAAAGACATCGAGAGTAAATGTCCAAATGCACCAAGCGATGATGATTTACACACTGCAAGAAATCAAGTTAAATCATTCTCCAAACATTCAAACAAATATATAGGTATGTTTAATTTTATTATAATTATGATTATTATAACTAATTCTTAAAAAACTTTTGTTTAGATAAAAGATCGGTTGAGGAGGATGAAGATGATGATGACAATGATCAAGATGACCAAAGCGATGAAGACGATGACTCCAATGAGAGCATTGATGTTGATGTTTTAGAACCAGATGTATCAGCTGATTCGATCGAAGAGATTGAAATATCAGATGACGATGACGATGATTATATAAAGAAAGCAACTGATATTTCTTATATTATCATTGAAGATGATGATGATTCTGCAGAAGTTAAAGAACCAGAAGAACCAAAACCAACTGTATATGTCAAGAAAGAGGTGAAGAAGGAACCAAAAGAAGAGAATAAAGAAAGAGATACTAGTAGTAGGGTAACCAACAGAGATAAAGAATCAAAATTAACAACAACCAAACATCAACATAGAGACAGAGTCAAGGAAAAAGAAAAAGAAAAAGAAAGAGGAAGGGAAAGAGATAAAGAACAAGAATCAAACGATCATAATCATCAAAAAGATAAAGAGTTTAACATTGAAGAAAGACCACAAAAGAAACAAAAGACAAATTGTATAATAATGTAAAATAATAAATTATTAAAATATATTGTATTTATAAACATAAATTATAAGGTATTTTTTATTTTACATTTACTAAGTTCGATCTTAGTAAAAATTTTTATGATTATTTACATTGTTTAGTTTTTAGTTGTTTGTATATACATTTTTAGTGTTTAAAAAAAGATAGATCATATTTGATATAGTCTTGTGAAGTTTTTGTAATTATATATTATTATTATTAGTCGACCACCATTGATAACATTACTTATTGCTTTGACTCCACTGGGACGAAATAAGACTTCAACATTGAATAGAAATAGGAGGACATTGTTGCCTCATTGCTGGTGACTTCTAATTTCTTTTGTTGTGAAGCTTGATTTTGTTGGAACTTCTTGATCATTCTATCGATATTTATATCCTTCTTGAGCTTAGATGAATTACGTTCTTGGAAGTTCTTGATGATCTTTGAATAGTTTTCTTGTTGCTTAATCTTAAAGATATGTTGACCTTGACTCTGTGTAGTTATTAAAAAAAAAATAATTAATGTTAGAATGTTAGAAGATAAATATTTTTTTAAATAATATGAAATACTAACAGATCTTGACATATATCTTGACATGATTGCCAATGAAGATAATCTTGATGAGTTTTGAATTAAATGTGACATTATATTATATTATTGGATTTTAAGAAAGTAATAAATAAATTTGATTTGAAAATTGTTATATATTTGTTAATATATTATTATTATTATTATTATTATTTGATGATTGTTTAATGTTTTAATAAAAATGAAAATTCATTCCTTTTATAAGTTTGTTGTAGATCAAAACCAGTCAGATTGTTTTTAGTTATTCCAGAATAATTCAGATAATTTAAAAAATTGAGAAAATTGTTTTATTAAAATTTTAATTTAATTGATTTTGGCAAAAACCAGGTTTTTTTTTTCAAATTAATTTTAATTTTTTATATTTTCGCGATATCAATGTCATTCGTGATCATCATCACTTCGCAGAATACAAAAAATTTAAATTTGATTTACTTTTTATTTACAAAAAAATTTTTTTATATATTTAATTTTTATTTATTTAATTTTTATTTATTTATTTTTCTTTGATTTCTTTGATTTTGAGTTTGACTTTTGAGATTGATGTTGTTGTTGCTGCTGTTGTGGTTGTTGTTTAGTTTCAGGTTGCGAAGATGATTGTTGTTGCTGTTGTTGTTTAACGTCTTTTTGATCCTTAATTACAATGTCGTCTCCATCCTCTTCGGATGGCTGTGAAAAGATCAAATCTCTGAATCTCTGACTCTTTTGATATTGCTCCATGACTTCGGTCGGTGGGAAACGTGAGATTTCACCCTCAGCGTCGAATTCGAAACCAATGTTTTGAAGATCACGTCTAAATTGTTTCTTCCATTCATCATCCGATAGCTTTTTGCCTGGTGCTGTATTTGCTGTTTGCTCGCCAGTCGAGAATAGCTCTTTTGGTTGTGTCTTTGGTGTGAATTCTCTCATGAAAATATCATACCAAGTTGATTTATCTTCTTTATCCTAATGAATGAGCAAATAATGATAATTGATGATGATCAATACATAGTTCATTAATTAAATTCAAATGAATTTCAAGTGAATCATAACTTACAGTTCCTAAATACCACAAGGTGGTGAATACAACTGGCCATTTCAGACAAAGCAAAGCTGTGAAACAACAAAACTCTATACCACCATTATAAAATTGACTGCCAATCAATGATTTCCACTGATCTGAAGGACTATTTAATAGAATATATTGAGAATGTTAGAGTTAGTATATGTTAAAACTCTAACTAACTCTATATGACATACTTTGATTTTAATTCTTTAAATAAAGATTTTGCTCTCCAAAAGAATAATATACAAACTACGACAAACATTAAGATTGTAAATATATCTGAAATAAGAGACATACTAAGCGAGTGTACTCTCTCTTTAAAAGTGTTGCCTTCACCTTCACCTTTTACTAGTGAAACAACTCTCCAACTGAAAATAACCAATCCAAGTTGGACTAAAAATACTATATTGCTAAACATATCTATTTATTTATCTGTTTTGTTATTTATACTCAAGAGTCTATCTGATTATTTCTTCTAAAATAATAAATAATAAAAATCATTGACTGACTAAAAAAGTATGTAACAAGTTTAATTAATTTGGTGATGATCAACGTTTTTACCCCGAAAATTATTACCAAATTAATTATTTTTTATTATTTTTTTTTGCCATCAATAAATTACTGATTTGGTAATGAATTAGTTTTAAAAATAATTACCATTGCGAGTAACATTAACTAAAAAGTTCATAATAAGAGTTATAGAGCTAAATAAATAATATTTGATTAAATATTTACATTTTGTATTTATTAATTATAAATTAGTTATTATTATTGTTATTGTTATTATTTTCATCATCATCTTCATCAGATGAAGAGAAATCGTCGTCATCATCATCGTCGTCATCACCGAGTGCAGTGATGTTAACGACTCTCTCTGATTCCGGAATGAGATCATTAACTTTGCCAATGGCTTTTTCTAACTTTTTGTGAGAATGAATTTTCGAGTTGAAGCATTTCGTCGTCTTCTTGCTCGAGTTGCGATTTCGAGAGTTCTGATTCGTTGTCGCCACCGGTTTCCATTGAGGCGGCAGTCGGGTCATCCAGTGCGCCAGCTGTGATATGTCCACCGGATTTAATGAAATGAGATTTCGCTTCGTTGTAATCCTTGAGATAACGTAGGTATTTTCGGTGGAGAGCGTCAAACTCTTTCTTCTTCTCGACCAGTTGATTGGTGAGTGACTCGAGCGTTGATTGCGACGCGCTGTTCATCAGGTTGGCCGAGACTGTCATCTGGTTGCATGCATCCTCAGCATTCTTGAGCGCGCGTAGTGCACGTTTCTTGCATTTCTGATACTCCATCTCGACAACATACTTGTCCTCTTGGTAACCGAGCATCGTTGGACCGGTCCATTCCTCCTCGAGCGTGATACCGGTATACGAGAAATCCTGTTTGTGATTGCTGTCCAGCTGTTTGATGATATTGAGTGCATCGGATTGCGAACCGGGCAACAGCTTCGATTCACCTTTCGAGAATGTTACGATCCAATTTTGATTGGCGTCCATGACAAACTCTGGTCCAAACGTGGTGGCGATGAACTGAGTGAACTTGGCATGCTTACGAATGATCTTTGAGATGGCGACACGATAGGTGTGATCGAGTGCTGCATCGATTTCATCGAGCAAATAGAAAGGCGCAGGATCAGTACGTTGCAATGCGAAAATCAGGGTGAGTGCAACCAGTGTCTTTTGACCACCGGACAGCTGCTTCATGGTGTGTGTTTGATGTCCTTCACCAAAGGAAACTCTAATACCGATTCCAGTGTATTCCATATCGTCTGGCTTGTGCAGCACACCGTTTTGATCCCACTCGTTCGGTTCTTCACCTTCGTCGTCATTGTCAAACTTTCGTTTGATGATCAAGTTGGCGTGTCCACCCGGAATCATCTCTCGGAAGATATCAGAGAAATGCTTACCGACACCCGAGAAAGTACGGGCGATAGCTTCATCCTTTTTAGCATCCATCGTCAAAATGAGATTGGTAATGGCTTTAACAGATTCATCGAGTTCCGCTTTTCTCGATTGCAAGCCGTTACGCACTTCCAGCGCACTCTTGTATTGTTCATCGGCCTTCAAGTTTCGCGCGGTGTACTGCTTGATCTCTGCATTCACCTGTCTCAACTGTTCATTCGCTTGTTTCTTTGTCATTCCTTCGAGACTCTCGAAATTCAAAGATTGTGCTGTCGCCTGTGCTTTACTCTTGGTGCTAGAGGTGGTGTGATCCTTCAGATCGATGACGATTCTCTCGAGTTTCTTGGCGGTTTCACGCAGCTTTGTCTCGGTGGCAGTGACCAACTCTTTCTTCTTGGCAATGTCGGTCTTCAATTGCTGATATCGCTCTTGATTCGGTGTTTTCTTTTCATCTTTAAACTTCTTGATTGTCTCTGCAAGCTTGCCGACCTCATTGTCTTCTGTCTCGTAGGCAGTCTGCGCTTCCTCCAAAGCCGAGTCGGGACTGCTCTCGTCAAACTGACGCAGATGACGAATCTCCTCTTCGATATCCTTCATTCGCTTTTGATGATTGTTCTTCAATTGATCTTCCATACGATGACGGGTCATCTGAAGTTCCGATGCTTTTTGTGTCAGACTAACCTTGTCCTCCTTCAACTTCATCGTTTGCTCTGTCAGTTTGGCAAGTTCCTCTTTCTCCTCCTCCGTTAGCGTCGTTGCAAAAGGCGAGTCGATCTGTTCCTCGTGTCCTTTAAGCTGTCGCTCCAAATTGGAATACTCGACTTGGATCGTCTTGAGAATAGTTTCCTTCTCGCGAATGGCATCGCTAAAGTTGGAGCTGGATCCGCCCGACTGCTGCTCCGTTTGGAGCAGTTCGACTTGCGCAGAGACAGTATCACGCTCTGCTATCTTTTGCGAGATAGTCTTGTTTACTTCGGCAATATGTTTCTGTTGCTCTGCGATTGTCTTTTCATTGTCGACGATATCTTGGTTGGCGCGCTCCAGTTTCTCTCGCCACTGGAGATAATCGAGGTAGGCGAGGTAACGCGAACGCGTCGTGTTGTGATAACCACCCATAATCGCACCCTTAGCATAGAACAAATCTCCATCGGGAGTAACACAGTCGACGTTCTCCTTTCGCAGCTCTTCGGCACTCTCGTTGTTCACGCAGAACATCGTCTTGCCAAAGATGATCTTCACTGCGGTCTCAAACATCGGATCAAACTCGAGGATGTCGATCAACGGCTGATACTCGTCGGTTGCTTTCGGCAGTGGTTTAGCACTCTTCTTCAGATTGAGACGATTCAACGGCATAAAAGTGATACGTCCGACACTATCGGTGTTGATCATCTCCAGCAGCTTGGCGGCAGTGTCGTCAGTGTCGACGACGACGTGGAACAGATTGTTGGCACCGATCGTATCGATTGCCTTATAGGTATTCTCATCGCGCAACGCGATCAGCTCAATGAGCGGACCGTACACACCAGTGATTTTGCCGTCGGCACGTAGCTGGTTTATCTTGGCGATACCCTCGTAGAGACCACGCGGCACGATCGACTGCAAGTGTCGCTCCGCCCGATTCATCTGATCTCTGACATTCGCCAGATTGGCGCGATGCATCTGTTCATTCTGCAGGTAGATTCTCAGTTGTTTCTCGAGTGCTTCACGCTCTCCCTTTACCGTGTTGATCTCCGCCTGAATCTCTTGCATCCTTGCTCGCTCCTCCACCTCTTGATTACGCATCTCCACCTTTGACTGTTCACGCTTCTCAAACAGCTGTTTCGATCTCTCCAGATCGCCATTGATCTGACCAATCTGATTTCCAAGCAACTTTATCGATTCACCAATATTCTTACATTCATTCTTCAAGTAACCATCTCTTTCCGCCTTTGATTTGAATTTCAACATTCCTTGTTTCACATACAATTGATTCAATCTAATTTCATTGCTTGAGATTCTACAAGATATTAAGAAAATTGTCAATACAGTTAGCTATTAACTCATCATCAGCTATCTATCAATATCAACAGTTACTTACTGTTCATCTAATGTTTTCAGTTCTTCATCGATTGATTCAATGAGTGGTAGGGTATCAGAGATTTTCGAGGTGGTTGAGGTTATTGACTTTTCGAGCTTGTCGCGTTCCGCGCGGAGTTTGTCGTATCGCGACTTTTGTTTCTTGGTTAGATCTTTCAAGTGTTTGAGATTGACTTCTACTTTGGCGCGACGCTCCAAGTGCTCCTCGAACAACTTCTCCAGTGATTCGAGCTCGAGACGGTCGCGCTTCGTCTCCAGGCCGCGCTCGGCCAGCAGCGTCGACTCCTTTCTCAGCTCCTCGTGCAACCGCGTCAGTTCCTTGGCGGCACGATCCGCCTCGATCAACATTGCCTCTTTGTCACGCTCGTGACCGCGAATCAAGTCGGCGGTGAGCGACTGGTCGATTTGCGCGATGTACGCTTCCAACAGCTTCTTGTCGGCGCGCAGCTGCTGGAACAACAGTAGTTCCTCGCGCTCCTTCTGCAGCTGCGCAATCTTATCGTCCATATAGGTGAAGTACTCGTCGATCTGCACGATCTTCTGTTGTGTGTCCAACATCATCTTGACCGACTCGGACTTGCGCTCCTCGTAGACACGCGCACCTGCCACCTCCTTCAGCAGCTCTAGACGCGCCTGATTGTTCATCAACGCCAAATCGGTGATCTGACCCTGCTGCACAATGAAATAGGGATTGGAAGCCGACAGACCGGCCGCTTCCATCAAACTCTTCACATCGGATTTCGGTATCTTTTGTTTGTCCAACGAGTATTCATCTTTCGTTGCACTGAACGATCTTCTTAATGTAAATGATTTCTTTGGTATCTATATATATATATATGTTTTGTTTTGTTAATATCATGTTCATTGTCTAAAAACAATATCGATAACAATAATCAATTCAATAGTTACAGGAAATCTATTATCGGTATTATCAAATTCAATTTCTATATATCCACTTTGTACTGTTTTCGAACCGTATGTAAACAACAATTTGGTACGTTCTTCCTTTTGACCACCACCTAAATCACCCAACATAAATCTAATCGCACTGAATAGATTACTTTTACCTGCACCATTTCTACCAGCTAAGTTATAGTTATAGTTTCATATTAGTATTTATAAAATAGATATATATATTTATTATTACATACTAATTACATTGAAACCTGGTGAGAATGTATTCGATGCCAAATCTAAATGTTGATATGATTTGAAACCTTCTATCTTTATCAATTTAATAAATACCATTGTATAATTGTTTTTTTTCAATTAAATAAATATTAATTAAATAAATAAAAATATATATATATTCTATTATTTTTGTTGTTGTTGTTTGTTAAAATCTATTAAACATTATAATAATATATTAATTAGATCTATACTAATCTCTATTAATAAAAATAATAAAATGAATGATCAATGATAATTATCTTTCCAAGAAAAGCGCGCCAAAACTTTTTTTTTTTTTTGAAAGAGTTTTAATTTCAATGAGGGGAAAATAGTTTATCATATAACTTAACTTAGTTATTGGAAATAAAATACAAACATATTATTATTGCATTAGTATTATTATTAGCATTGTAAATAGATAGATAAATATCTAAATAGATATTATAGTTATTATTATTTTTATTATTAAATGGGACCAAAAAGAGGTAAACAAGTAAAGAATAATAGTAGAAAGAAAAAGGCAGAAGAGGAGAGTGAAAATGAATCCGATGTAAATGAAGAAGAGGTTGTACAACCTGAGGATGAAGAGATGAAAGAGGATGTTGATGATAAGAAGAACAAAAAGAATACTCCAAATAAGAAACAAAAGACATCTGCGACAAGTTCTGTTGTTCCAACTTCACCTTCTACTGGTAGGCCAAAGAGAGCTGCCGCTGTAGCCGCTGCCACTAAGAAGGCAAAGTTACAACCAGATACAGAGCCATCCGATGATGAATCTGACAATGAACAAACACCATCAGAATCAGAAGAGGTAGCTAGCAGCAGTGAAGATGAAGAAACAAACAACAGCAAGAGAAAGAAGACAACAACAAAGAAACCAACTTCACCGGCCAAGAAGAAGCCAGCTGCCAATAAGAAGAAACAACCAACTTCACCGGCCAAGAAGAAACCTGCTGCTGCTGCTAAATCAAAGAAAGTAGAGCCGGAAGAAGAACAAGAAGAGGAAGAAGAAGAAGAAGAACAACCAAAGAAGAATGTAAAAGGAAAAGGAACAAAACAACAGCCACAACCACCAAAACCCAAACCACAAGCAACAAAGAAGAGAAAAGCAAATGTTAGAACAACAGAATCAGATGAGGATGAAGAAATAAATTATGATGAAGAAGAAGAGGAGGAACAAGAAGAAATAGAGATGGAATTTAAAAAACCTACGACACCAACCAAGAAGAAACCAGCAGCAGCAGCAGCAGCAAAAGCATCGTCATCACAAAGTCAGTCATCTCGAAAGAAATCCGGAACTCAAAGTCAATCCAGTCAAACTCCCAAATCGAAATTAATATCTTTCGAGCCAAGCAAACTAAAGAAAGCATTCAACCTCAAGAAATTGAATGTCGATCGTCTCAACGACGAAGAATATCTCAAACCTGAACAACCAGTTGATAAACTAATTAAAAGATTAACCGTAAGTTGTTGTTTACGAAACATTTACTCAGAAATAACTAACTATCTATCCTGGGAATATATTATTTTTAGAAACTGGAAGATTATTTATCAAATGTATCACAGACTGAATTTGAAGGATATAATGACTCCGTGTTGAAGATGTTGTTGGCCGATGGATTGTTAAAGTCAAAGAACGATGAGATAAAACTGTTGGTTGGCTGTTGTCTGGTGGAGTTGTTCCGTCTGAGTTGGCCAAACGTACCGATTGAAGACGAGGAGCCGTTGATGTCGATCTTTGAGTTGTTTGTCTATCACTTGTTTGGACTGGACGAATTGCTAAAGAACCATGAATCGCTATTCCCTCAGTACTACCATCTCATTGAGCGGTTGGCATCGCTCAAGGTGTTCTCGGTGTTGGTCAAGCTCGACAGTCAAGGACTGCACGACTTCCTGCGCTCGACGATCCACCTGATCGATGATTCACTACCGCCTTCGCTGCTCCCGCATCTCAAAGCAATCGTGAGTGCAGTCCTGCAGAATCTCGAGGACTACAACGTCAAGGTGATGGACGCGCTGGCCGAAGCGATGTTGGAGTCGGAGCGCGGTGTTATGACAACGCGTGGCGAAGTGACGCGCGCCATTCTCACGGAGAACAAACAGTTCTTGGAGGAACTCTTCAAGGCGTATGTTAGGGAGATGGTCGGTGGTAGCAGTGAATCCGAGTTGAAATCGCGAAAGAATGAGATTATCTTGCATCTCCACAAGTATCATAGAACGTTCCTCGAGGAGAACGGTATCTTTGACTTGGCCATAGATCTGCTGAATCCCGACGCCAAGATTCGTAAGCAATGCGTGGTGATAGTGTCGCATTTGTTCTCGAGTGAACCGCATCTCGATGAAGTGTACTCGGATCTGTTTGTCAGATTCCTCAAGCGTTTCCTAGACACTGAGAAACGTATCCGTATGATCATGTTGGAGTTTGCCAATATATATCCGGTCGACTCGACCTACAGTGACATTGTGCTCGACTATTTGATATTCCGTTTGAAGGACACGGAAGCCGATATTCGTGCTATGACAATCCAGCCGGTCTGCGAGTACATCATCAAGCGAACGAAGCTGTTGACGCCAAAGATGCTGAAGAACTTTTACGATCGTGTGCGTGACAAGGACAGCAACGTTAGAAAGCGCGCAGTAGTAACACTCTCCAAGGTGTGGAAAGCGTTGCGTGAGAAGAACGGACCGATCGAGGACTGGCCCGCTCATCTCACCGAGTGTTTCGACTGCATTCCAAACGTGTTGTTCTCGTGTCTGTCGTTGCACGACGACGATCGTTTCCGTCTGGAGGTGGCAGTTGATACCATCTTGCTCGAGTGCTACGAAGCGCCAAACGAACGTACCGAAAAGTTCATGGAGATCTACAGCTATCTCGATAATAAATCGAAGGAGTATCTCTTTTCCTACCTCGAGAGGAAGCGTGTCGTTCTCAAGGAGTTTCTCCAGCTGGTTGAGGTGTACGAGGAGAGTCCCGACGACAAGAAGCTCATCGAGAAACACATTGGCTACGTCGATAACTTTATTCCGCGTTACTCCAATGAGAATACCAAGACTCTGTTGAAACAACTACTACAGCCATCCAACAAGAAGACACTGGCGCTTCTCAAGGACATCAGTGACCACAACACATCGCCACAGGAGCAATACAAGATAAAGGTAGCCATTCTCGAGAAGGCATCGAAATCCGAAGGAGTATTCTCTGAATTCATCAAATACTTTGCTTTCCTACTCAACTATACATTCATTTCAAAGTACACTTTAGAGTTCATCTTGGAGTCTGTAGTCAACGATCTACCAGATCCAGGAAGTTCAACATTCGACGAGAAACGATATCTTAAAGAAAAGAAAAAGACATCCGACGATTTAAATAATTCTATTGAAATATTATTGGTAAGTAAATTTATTACTTTGATATTATTCATTCATAACTTCTTGATATTAATTTTATATATTTCTTCAGAGAGTATCAAAGATTTCACCTATTCTTTTTGAAAGTAATGCAGACAAGTTGATCAATTTACTGTTCCACTCAAAGACAATCTCCGATAATTTCGTTGAAATCATTAATAATGTTGTTGATTACTTACCGAAACTATCAAAGTCACCATTAAAGTATGTAGTATTCATCAAAGTTTGACAAAAGAATTATGTATATTAATAACAACTATTTTTTTTTAGGAAACTTCAAACAGCTTTAACTCATCTTTGTCAAATTGGTGAACCAAAGATTGTAAAGAAATCATTTAGAATTTTGGTAAAGTTGACTTTGAATAAGGAAGAGTTGAGTAAGATCATTTCGGATTTGGCAGAGCAGTTGGTTTCGACATTGGAGAAACCAAAGAATGTCATTGCAACTCTGACATGTCTTGGTCTCATTGCCAGAGATCATCATACGTTGATCGATAGTGAGATGTACGAGTTGATCGAGATCTTTGTTTACAAGGGTGTGATGACTGGCAAATCAAAGGTGGAAGTGAATCTAAAGGAGCAATGGCGACACCTGGATGTACAGTATTCAAAGGAGGTGCTGCTCAAACTCTACGGAATCTACTACCTCGGTAACTACTTGCGTGGTCTACCATCGAAGCTGGTAACTCGAAAGACGTACGAGTTGGCAACGTATCTCTATGATTTCCTCTACTTGCCGGAGCGAACCGCCAACATGAAACCAATGGAAGCGTATCACATCAAGCTGGCAGTGAACATCGAGGTGATGCGTATCACTCAGCAGTATCACTTTACCCTGTGTTTCCAACCGGTTCATTTCGTTGGATTCTGCAAGGTCGCTCTTGTAAAGACAGAGTTGCGACACACCGACACACTGCAACACCGATTCTTCCACAAACTCGACAAGTCGGTGCGACTCAACCGTATTCCGCTGCGTTTCATGGCGGCGTTTGGACTGACCGCGCAACAGCCAAACAGTCTTGTCAACATGGTCAAGAAGCAGGTGTCTTCGATCATCAAGATGAAGCGTATGACGATCGCGCGTCTCAGTTCTACCACTAAACTCGAAGGTGAATGCTACCCTGAGGATTCGTTCTACTACTTTATCTATTTGATAGCGCATTTGGAGAGTGTCGACAAGCAGTATCCCGACTTTGAAGAGGCAACTGTTTACTTTAAGCACTACACCAATATGATGATCGAGGAGAAGGACAACTACTCGGTGTTGATGAACTATCTAACGTATATTCGTCAGTCGATCGATGCACTCGACCCGTACTCAAAGAACATCAGAAGAATCGCCAATCACGGTATTCATATCCTGGTGGAGGAGTACAAAGACAAGAAATGGAAGGTTCAAAAGTTCCAATCGCAAATGAATCTACCAAAGGAATTCTATATCTATCAGCCCGATGTCGATTTTAAGGAGTACGACAGAGACACCACCGACAAACTACCAGACTTTTTCGTTGTTACCACCGGAAAGGGTGCAGACCGTATCAATGAGAGTGCCTACTTTGAAAAGAACACTCCCAAGAAAGCACCACCTCAACCCGGTCATGACCAATCTGATTCTGAGATGACCGAAGAGAAAGCTAATCAAGAAGCAGAAGCAGAGGAAGCAGAAGCAGAGGAAAAGGAAGAGGAAGAGAAAGTTGTTAAAAAAGTAACCAAGAAGAAAGCGACACAAAGAGGAAAGAAAAAGGTTGTGGAGGAGGAAGATGACAATCAAGAATCGGAAAAAGATGATAATACAGTTCAAAATGAAAAAGAGAATGAGGACGACGAAGAACAAGATAAAGATGTTCAAATGAAAGATACTGCAGCTGTAGCTCAAGAAGAAGAAGAGAGAGAAGAAGAAGAATTATAAATAAAGAATAAACCTCTTAATTTAAATATTTATTAGATATTAAAAATCTTATTCAAATATTCTTTTTTTCTTGACAATTCTTGGTAAAAAAAAACTTTGTAATCAAGATTTCAACCGGATATCATTTTTGCTAAGGAGAGAATTTGCCTCATTACACCCAAACTGTGCATTTTTGATTTTGATCAGAACCAAATTTTTTTAATTTTAATTTTTTTACTTTACAACCCTCAAAATGTAAAAACAATAGCTTTTCTTCTTTCATTTATCTATGTCACTAATCTCTATAGTTCCTTTCAGGTCAAAACATTCATAAACAACCCACATATGTTATAACATATAACCTATTATTATCAATGTTTTTTATTTAATAAAAATCATTTTATTTTTCTGGGAACTTTTTTCATAGAAAAGAGCGATCAACAATTTTGCATCTAGTGAAGAAGAAGATGATGATTATGGTTATGATGATTATGACGATTTTGATTTCGACGAACAATCGAGTGATGACGAAATAGACAAAAGAGAACCAAAGTACACAAATGAAAGGTTGGAGCAAGACAAAGAGAAACTATTCGAAGTTTTAACAGACACTTTGAAAAGTTTTAAAAAGATTGGTACTTTTCATTGTAAAGGAGAAGAAGAGGTAACTATTTATCGATCACATTATATGTGTAATTTCATTTTATCCCTCCCCCAAAAAATGAAAAAATTTTGGAAAAAAAAAACCTATAAAATGAAATTACACATATCTATTATTATTATTTATAAATAAATCTATAATTTATTAACTTTTAGCTACATTATATTTTAAATTGAAAATATAATATAATAGGTTGCACTACCGAGAATTGAAATAAATGATGTTGGTGTTTTAGCATTCCCAGTGCAAGTAAGTCAAGTGAAACATATCATTGATAAATGTATTAAAGCTCCATTTGGAAAAGGTATGTTGAATATCATATAAATATATATAAATATATTTCGAAATCAATCTATTAATTAATAATAATTTCATTCAGGAACTGAAACTATTACCGATACAAAGATCAAAAATGTTTGGCACCTATCACCTGATTCTTTTAAGCTAATTGGTGGTGATCAATGGAATCAATTCTTTAAGAAAACACTCAAGAGGGTTGGTGAGAAGCTGGGACTTGAAGAGACAAAGATCGAAGCAGAATTGCACAAGATGTTGATCTATGACAAAGGTTCATTTTATAAGCCACATAAAGACAGTGAGATAGATGAGAGAATATTTGGAACATTGGTCATATCATTACCATCTGCTCATTCTGGTGGTTATCTCATTCTTCAACATGCTGGAAAGAGGGTCACACTCTCGCTGGAAAATCACAGTTTGTCAACCATTAAATATGCTGCATTCTATTCAGATATCAAACATGAGGTCCGAAAAGTCTTTGATGGATATCGTGTTTGTTTGGTTTACAATCTTTGTCGATCTGGTAAACTCAATAACGATGACTTGATCACAAAGAAACTAATAGTCAGACAGGAAGAAACACCAAGTGTCAAACAAGAAGGCAATGCACTGAAGAAACAAAAGATGAACGATGTCAAGAAAGAAGAACAAGAAGAGTATAGTAGCAGCAGTGAAGAAGAAGTTTTCATTATACCTGTAGATTCAGTAGCAATCAAGATTATGGCAAAGATTCGTAAATATTTATCGATGGCTTTTCGAAATCATAATCGTTTGGTTTACATCTTTGAAGACGAATACACTGAGGATGAGTATTCCGTACAATGTCTCATAGGAAAAGATAGAAAGCTGGCAAAAGCTCTACTCGAAGCTGCAAGTGGTACTGGTTATACATGTCTCTTTGGTAGCCTGGAAATGAAAGAGGAAGGATATCTAGAAAGTGGTTATCAATATTACGGTGAAACATACCTAAGAGAAGGAGGAGATTTCGATATCGAAGAGTCCAATGTATTTTTTACGTTTAAGAAGTTGATCGATGCTAGCACATATGATAGTTACGATGGATTGGATTTCCAAGTGGATGAATCTAACATATTCCCTTCATTCGAAAAACATCGGATCAGATGGGATTATCCAACCGTAGCTCACGATGGAGAAAAAGAATGTTCTGCCTTTGTGAGATTTTATCGTCACAGTGCAATCGTTTTGGTAAAGGACCTTGAAACGAATTTGTTCGATATGACAAATGGTGAACAAGCAAAGAAATATGTTCGAATAAAAGACACACTTGAATCTGGATGAAAAGAGAAGATGTTTCAAATAAATGGTTAAATCTTTAAGTGAGCATATCCCTCTTTTGTCAAGAGTGAAACCATATCCACTCTTTGATCAATCATTTCTACAGTCTCTATTCACAAGGAAATTGAATTGAACATTCAGATTCAATCATGACAATCTGTAACACCATTGGTAATGATACTCATTTTTGTGACAAACTTTCAGATAAAAAAACTGATATTTCTATTTTATCTACAAAAATAGACACTATAGTCAGATGAATATGATTAAATGTTTTAATAACAAAAAAAAAAAGATTAATATATTCATTAACAAAAATTAAATAAAAATATGTGTTTACTTGGAATTCCCAATTTTTATTTTATAATTTTTTTTTAATTTTTTTCTTTGTGCGAGCCAAAGTTATGTATCTTACATAAGATCTTATTTTTTTTTTTTCTTTTTAATGAGTGCTTCAATGTCAAAACGTACACATGATTTTGATCAAAAATCAAGTGAAGATAGCGAAGTAGACATCAACAATCATAATAATAATAATAATAATAATAATAATATTGTTAATAATAAAGTAGCACCTCAGTTCACAGATAAAGAATTGGAGAAAGATGATGTGAAATTATTCAAAGTTTTAACAGAATCTTTGAAAATTTTTGGAAAGAATGACTTGATCACCAAGAAACCAAAAGTCAAACTCGAAGTCATTGTATTAAAGAAACAAAAGATGATTGATGCCAAGATAGAAAAACAAGAAGAGTCAAGTAGCAGTAGAAATGACGAAGAGGTTTTCATTGGACCTGTAGATTCGAAAAGTGAAGAGATTATCGCTGACATTCGTAAATATCTATCGTTGGCTTTTCGAAAACCAGAACGTAGTTGTTTGATTTACATCTCTGAACATAGATACACTCAAGTGCAGTACAGCATGGAATGTCTCAAAGGTCAAGATGCACATATTGCAACAACTCTACTTCAGGCTGCAGATGGTACTGGTTATTCATTGCTCTCTTGTCTGATTTCCAAGGATGTTAATAGCAGTTACCACTCAGTCGATTTAAAATTAAAGAACTTTACAGACGCTCTTACTAAACAAGAGTACCCTGAATTGAAATTGGAAGCGAAAGAATCAGACGTGTTCCCATCATTTAATAACCAGGTAGAACAATCAGGAAATGCAATCGTTTTGGTAAAGGACATTGAATGGGAATTATATAAAAGTGCAGATGGCACTCAAGCTAAGATGGATAAGTTTGAACAAAAGACACACTTGAATCTGGATGCGAAGAGAAGAAGTTTCAACATAATGGTTAGTTCCATTGCTAGAAATAGTTCATATTACCTGGGCTCAATCTCCCCCACCATTTTTATTAATCATTTCTACAATCTCTATTCACAAGGAAATGGAATTGAACATGCAGATTCAATCATTTTTATCTTTAACGTCATTGGCAATTATACGATTACAGATGCTCAGTTTTGTGACAAACTTTCACGATGTTTCAATATTCTTGCAAAACTTGGCAAACAAGAGTATATCACCAAATCTTTTTATCATTGTTTGCAAAACAAAGTTTTTTCCAACCCAATTCAAAGACATTCTTTAAGTTATTGGAACAATCAATGGGATTAGAACCAACTTTCATCGGTAGAATCGATCAAACATTTACAGAAGACTCAATTAATAGTAATAGAATAAAGGCAGAGCCGAACAGTAACAATAATAATGAAAACATTACCTTTGAATCGAATAATAACAATAATATCAAGTTGGAGTCAATTAATAACAATAGTATCAAGTTAGAATCAATTCCAGCAACAGAATTAGAAACAATAATATTAGAAGCATTTGAGAATTGTCCATCAGAAAAGATATCGGATATTTTTGAAACATATGGTCAGATAAAATCAATACTCAAAAACATTGGCAATCAACAACAAACAGAATCACTTTTGAATACGATCAATCCTTTATTCTATTCAAAGGTTGCAGCAACTCTGAATATAAGTGAATGGAAGGGTTTTACAAGTAGAATTGATTTCATAATCAATTTCAACGAGATTACTGATGAAACGAAACACAACTTTATAGATAAAATTGTCGGGTCACTTTGTTCCAATTGTAACAACTATCCTAGATATTGCGATCTATCTAACAACTTATTATCAATTTATCAATGCCATCTCAAACATCTATCATACTTTAATTTAAGTAATTTCATAAAAATCATAGACCACAGTATTTGTGGTTTATACTTCTATTTTACTGGTGATAACACTCGAACTCAGTTGCTAGAGATTTTATTTTCAATCAAAAATGAACAGCTTCTTGACAAGTTATGTGCGAAATCGACACCAGATAAACTACTCTTGAATTGTCAGCTTCATCTCAACAGACTCAACGAACCAAGTTGCACAATCGAAGAGATCAGGTTGTTTGGTAAGATGTGGTGTCATGCTATACTTTCTCGTTTCAAAAGTGCTGGTAATGTAAGCTATCATACTTGGAATGTTCCAATTGGTTCATATTCATATCCATTTGAACGTAACTATACTTGCAGCGACTACACACCGCAGTGCCATTGTATGAAAGTAGCATCATTCCTTCCAACTGAAACCAAAGTAATAGAGTTCAAATGTCTACTCGAAAAGTTAGATCATATCGAAAATATATTTGCAAAATACAAAAACTTCCTTCGATATGAGAAGAGAATAAATGGTCCATTGTATCAGATAAGAGTCACCAAATTACAACCGTCGATCGAATATTTGAATTCAGATGCACAAGAATTCATCGAGTCACTGACGATATCTAGATCTGCCATTCCAGAAGATGCAATAGCCAAACTCAGCAACGATGATTACATCACAATCTATTACAGAGCTCTCGACACTAGATTGAATGAACTGACTGCTAGACAACCAATCACCCCACTTGATCTTCCAGCTATTCCTCCCTTTTCAACGACCACCACAAACAACTAAATAAAATGTAAATAATTCCGTTTGCAATAAAAATAAAATCGACTTTAAAATTATTACTACCTCTTTTTTATTATTTTTTTTATTTTGCTAAAGGGTACCTCTAGCTTTTTCTTTTCAAAGGGCACTTCACTTCCTTAAAAATTGTTAAAAGTCAACTAGCTAGAGAGAAAAACAAAAAAAAAAATCGACATAGCTAACCTCTTGGCTGTTCACCCATTTTTTTGTTCGACTATCATTCTACAACATTTTCATATCACTATAAGTTCGAATCCTAATAAATGTGAACTGATGATTATCTGTATTGAAATTATTAATTGTTAATATATCAATGATGATAATGTTGTTTGCTTATTACATATTGAACAAAAAGTGTTTTTAACTTTTGTTGGCCACTTTGAATTGTTTGCTGTTCTTGAATCACCAAAAAAAAAAAAATTAAAGTTCAAAAAAAAAAAAAAAACAAAAAAAAAATGATTATTTTTTGAAAAAAAAAAAATCTGCTTGGGTAAAAGCTATTTCATTCACCAAACTTTTAAACACTTTGAATATAAATTACAATTATTTCTTACAAAAATAGACACTACAAATAAAATAATAAATTTATTATTTTTCCAAAGTTACAATGTTAAAACGTCCACATGATATAGTCGAAATATCTGATGATGATTCAGATGAACCAATTGAAGAAGAGGATGAAGATGAAGAGGAGGATAGCAATTTAACTGATGATGACTCTGACGAACAATCAAGTGAAGATGACGTAGAAGTGAACAACAATAATAATGTAGAAGATCAGTTTACTGATGAACAGTTGGCAAACGATGATAAGAAACTATTCAAAGTTTTAACAGGTACTTTGAAAAGTTTTAAAAAAACTGGTTCTTTTTATTGTATAGGAGAAGAAGAGGTAACTATAGATTCTTTAGTAGCTCGATCATAATCTGATTACATAGAACGATGATTATTAACTTTTAGATATTATTATAATTTATAAATTATATTAGGTTGCACCACCAAGGATTGAAATTAATGAGGTTGGTGTTTTATCATTCCCAGTTCCAGAATGTCAGGTGAAGAAGATCATTGATAAATGTATTAGAGCTCCATATGGAAAAGGTATGTTGAATATCATACATATATTAATCAATTATTGTTAATTTAATTTTATTTGTATGGACAATTAATATCAGGAACTGAAACAATTACCGATACAAACATCAGAAAAGTATGGCAATTATCACCTGATTCTTTTAAATTCATTGGCGGCAGTCAATGGAATCAATTCTTTGAGAGAACAATCAAGATGATTGGTGTGAAACTGGGACTTGGCAATACAAAGATCGAAGCAGAGTTATACAAGATGTTGATCTATGACAAAGGTGCATTCTTCAAGCCACATAAAGACAGTGAGAAAGGTGAGAGAATGTTTGGAACATTGGTCATATCATTACCATCTGTTCATACTGGTGGTGATCTCATTCTTCAACATGCTGGAAAGACTGTCACCGTATCATTGGAGAATGACAGTGTTTCAAACATGAAATATTCAGCATTCTATGCAGATATCAAACATGAAGTCAAAGAAGTCACTGATGGATATCGTGTTTGTTTGGTTTACAATCTTTGTCGATCTGGTAAACTCAATAACGATGATTTGATCACAAAGAAACCAAAAATCAAAAAAGATGGAAATGCATTGAAGAAACAAAAGATGATCGATGTCAAGAAAGAAGAACAAGAGGATTCAAATATCAGCAGTGATGAAGATGTTCTCATTGGACCTGTAGATTCGAAAGGTGAAGCGATTGTTTGTGACATTCGTAAATATTTATCGTTAGCTTTCCGAAAACCAGAACGTAATTGTTTGGTTTACATCTTTGAACATGAATACACTCAATACCAGTATAACATGAGATGTCTTAAAGGTCAAGATGCCAAGATTGCATCAAGTCTACTCAAGGCTATCAGTGGTACTGGTTATTCATGCCTCATTGGTCTTCTTTCTATAAAAGAGGAGGGAACTGCAGAAGATGATTACTACTCAAGTAAAGAAGGATTTAACGTTTGCGATTCTGACATACATTTTAAATTTAAGCACTTGATCGACGCAGGAACAAACAAAAGTTATCATGGATTGAAATTGAATGTGGATGAATCAGACATATTCCCATCATTTGATACAGATGACTGCGATTGGGATGATCCTGAGATCGAACACACTGGAAATGAAGGAACCACCTTTGAGAGATTCTACAGTCATAGTGCAATCGTTATAGTGGAGGACATCGAATTGGATTTATACAACAATATTAATGGTGAAGAAGAAAAGATAGATATGTTCGAACAAAAGACACACTTGAATCTGGATGCGAAGAGAAGAAGTTTCAACAAAATGGTTAGTTCTATGGCTAGATATAGTTCATATAAGAAGACTGAAAACGCCCCCACTCGTTTGATTAATCATTTCTACAATCTCTATTCACAAGGAGATGGAATTGAACATGCAGATTCAATCTTGACTATATGCAATATTATTGCCGATCGTACAATTACAGATACTCACTTTTGTGACAAACTTTCACGATGTTTCAATATTCTTGCAAAACATGACAAACAAATCTATATCACCAAATCATTAACATCGTTTGCAAGTCACAGTTTATTCAATTCCAAGTCAAATACATTCTTTAAGTTATTGGAACAATCAATGGGATTAGAACCAACATTCATTGGTGAAATCGATAAAATCTTTACAAAAGACTCAACTAATAATAAGTCGGAGACGAAAAATGACAAGTTAGAATCAATTCCAACAACAGAATTAGAATCAATAATATTAGAAGCATATAAGAATAAGACATCACCAAAGATATCGGATGTTTTTGATACATATTGTCTTATAATATTAATACTCAACAAGATTGGAAATCAACAACAAACAGAATCACTCTTGAATACAATCAATCCTCTATTGTCTTCAAAGATCGCGGTAACGCTCAATATAAGTGAATGGAAAGGTGTACCAGAAACAATTGATTTCATTGTCAGCTGCAACTTAATTAATGATGAGACCAAGCACATATACATAGATACCATTGTAGATTCATTTTGTGCAAATAATTTCCGCTGCCATTCATACAGAATCGGCACATTTTATGATAATCTGGAATCAATCTATGAATTACATCTCAAACATAAATCATATTTTCATACTAGTAATCTAATGAAAATAATAGACCTCATTATATCACATCCTCCCAATGATAATTCTGGCGAAAAGAAACTCAGTAATCTAACTACATTGATAGAGATTTCACTTTCAACCAAGAATGAACAACTGCTTGACAAGATATGTGCACAATCAACCCCCGATGAACTTCTCACGATTTGCGAACGACAGTTAAACAGACTCAAGGAACAAAGTTGCCCGATCGAAGAGATTAGGTTGTTTGGCAAGATGTGGTGTCGAGCAATCATTCCTCGTTTCGAAAGTGCCACCAATGTCAAGTATCCATCTTCGAATATCCCACCTGGATCATACTCATATCAATTAGAACAAAGCTATAATTGCAGAATACCGAAATGCGAATGTATGAAAGTAGCAGCTTTCCTTCTCTCTGAAGCAAAAGTATTAGAGTTTCCATGTCGTATGAATACTTTCCCTCATATCGAAAATGCATTTTCAAAGTTCAAGAACTTCGTTCGATATGAAAAGATAGGGACCTATTCACCGTATAGAATAAAAGTCACCAAATTACATCCAACCCTAACATTTTTGAATGCAGATATTAAAGGACACGTCGACTCACTTACGAGATGTAAATCTGCCATTCTACATGCTGCAATAGGCAAGCTCACCAACGATTACATCCTCAAAATCTATTTTAGAGCTGTTGATAATCGATTGAATGAACTAACTACAAGACTCCCAATTACACCAGTCAAACTTCAGGATATACCTCCCTTCTCAACAACAACCGCATCAAATTCAACTACAACAACAACTAAAAATAAATAAAATATTGAAAATCTTTTTTTTCTTCTCTCAAAAAACTATCAAATTAAACAAACAATTATAAGGAATAATTATAAAATAAATATTTAAAGAATCTAAAATAAAATAATTGTACTGATATCCCAATTGAACAATGAGCGACTACCTAAAAAAGTCACGGTTAAACTATCGATAAAATATAATTTTGTTTATTAACTATTTTTTACTAAATCAATTTACTGTTTACAATAATTAGTTTTTCGATTGTTTTGTTTTTGTATTTCATGTTTTTAAATCTAAAAGATTTACCTTCAACAGAATCTAATAAATACAAATAAATATAGTAATTTTAATTACAGTAGAATCATAAAAAAGAAAGAAAAGTAATTCTCAAAATAGTCAATTCTTATAAACAATGAGCATTTTGTCATAAATTTTTATTTTTATTTGAGCTTTTTTCACTTTGCAAGAGCTTCGCGCCTTAAATCAGTGATACTGCGCCAAAAACATAACACTACTTTAAACGAAAAATTATTTTTGTAAAACAAATCAAAATTAATTAAATTGTTGAATATTTTTGAACAAGCAAAAGAATAGTTTTAGTTTTTTTAATAATTTTTGTTAAATACTAAAGTTACAATGTTAAAACGTCCACATGATATAGTCGAAATATCTGATGATGATTCAGATGAACAATCAAATGATACAGGTGAACTTGTAACAGATGAAGAAGATAACGATGATTCTGACGACGAGGAGAAACTATTCAAAGTTTTAACAGACACTTTGAAAAGTTTTAAGAAAGCTGGTTCTTTCTATTGTGAAGGAGAGGAAGAGGTATATCACATTTTCTTTTTTATATTATAGATCGATAGTTTATTAACTTTTCTCTAAATAAATAATTAATATATATGAAAATATAATAACAGGTTGCAGCACCCAGAATTGAAATTAATGATATTGGTGTTTTATCATTCCCAGTTCACCCATTTCAAGTGAAACAGATCATTGATAAATGTATCAGAGCTCCATATGGAAAAGGTATGTTGAATATATTTCGAAATCAATTAAATTGGTTAGTTAATTGTAATTATTAATTAATTTCAGGAACTGAAACAATTACCGATACAAACATCAGAAAGGTATGGCAATTATCACCTGATTCCTTTAAATTCCTAGGCGGCAAACAATGGAATCAATTCTTTGAGAGAACACTCAAGACAGTTGGTCAGAAGTTGGGACTTGACAACACAAAGATCGAAGCAGAGTTATACAAGATGTTGATCTATGACAAAGGTGCATTCTTCAAACCACACAAAGACAGCGAGAAAGGTGAGAGAATGTTTGGAACATTGGTCATATCATTACCATCTGTTCATACTGGTGGTGATCTCATTCTTCAACATGCTGGAAAGACTGTCACCATATCAATGGAGAATAGTAGTGTGTCCGACATGAAATATTCAGCATTCTATGCAGATATCAAACATGAAGTCAAAGAAGTCACTGATGGATATCGTGTTTGTTTGGTTTACAATCTTTGTCGATCTGGAAAGATCAATAACGATGACTTGATCACCAAGAAACCAAAAATCAAACAACCTTTAAAGAAACGAAAGACCAACGCAAAGAAAGTAGTACAGGAAGAGGAGTCGAGTAGTAGCAGTAGTGACGAAGAGGTTTTCATTAGACCAGTAGATTCCAATGGCGAAGAGATTGTGGCTGATGTTCGTAAATATTTATCGTTAGCTTTTCGAAAACCAAAACGTAATTGTTTGGTTTACATCTTTGAACATGAATACACTCAGAATCAGTATAACATGGATTGTCTCAAAGGTCAGGATGCAAGAATTGCATCAACTCTTCTCAAGGCTGCAAGTGGTACTGGCTATTCATGTCTCATTGGACTCGTTGAATTGGAAGAGGAAGGAACTGCAGAAGATGATTATATTGATTTCTACGACTACCGAGGAAGAAGAACAGGAGGAATGGTGGGAAATAATTTTAGTGTTTGCGATTCCGAAGTAAATCTTTCATTTAAACATTTGATCGACGCTGGAACCAACCAAAAGTACACTGGATTGAATTTGAATGCTGAAGAATCAGACATATTCCCATCGTTTGACAAAGAAACCTGCAAATGGGGTCGTCCTGACTTACAACCTACTGGTAACGAAGGAACCACCTTTGAGAGATTCTACAGTCACAGTGCAATCATTTTAGTGAAGGACCTCGATTTGGATTTATACAAAAGTATACGTGATGAACAAGCAAAGATCGACACGTTTGAAAAAAGAACTGACTTGGATCTGGACGAAAAGAGAAGAAGTTTCAACAAAATGGTTAATTCATTATGTGGAAGTAGTACAAGTTCAGATGTCCAGAGTGAAAACACAACTACTCTTTTGATTAATCATTTCTATAGTCTATATTCACAAGGAAATGGATTTGAACATTCAGATTCAATCATCAATATCTGCAGCTTAATTGCCCGACGTACCATTACCGATACACACTTTTGTGATAAACTTTCAAGGTGCTTCAATATTCTTGCGAGACAAGGTCAACAAGAGTATATCACCAAATCATTAGCAGTATTTGCAAGTCATAGTTTATTCAGTTCCAATTCAAATACATTCTTTAAGTTATTGGAACAATCAATGGGATTAGAACCAACATTCATTGGTGAAATCGATAAAATCTTTGCAAAAGAATCAACTAATAGTAATAGTACTAAGTCAGGACAACCAAAGAAAGGCAGTAATAGCAAGGTAGAAGCGAATAATAATAGGGATAGTATCAAGTTAGAATCAATTCCAACAACAGAATTAGGAGCAATAATATTAGAATCATATAAGAATAGTCCATCACCAAAGATGTCGTATATTTTCGAAACATATAATCATATTAAATCGATACTCAATAAGATTGGCAACAAAAAACAAACAGAATCACTTTTAATCAATCTTTCATTAGATTCAAAGATTATGTCAAATCTCAATGTAAGCGAATGGAAGGGTGTACCAGAAACAATTGGTTTCTTACTCAGTAACAGCGAGATTAGTGTTGAGACCCAGCGCACATATATCGATAAAATTGTAACTTCACTTTGTGCGAATACCAACAAGCGCGATAGATTTGAAGACCTTTGTAATAACTTGGAATCAATCACTCAATACCAACGAAAACACAATTCATACTTTCTTGCTAGTCACTTGACGAAGATAGCAGAAGCCATAGCTTCACATCTGTCCAAATATAGTAGTTCTTATGGTGACCAGAAACTCAACACTATAACTGTTTTGATAGAGATCACATTTACAACGAAAAGCGAGCCACTTCTTGATAGGATATGTGAACAATCGACACCGGATGAACTTCTCAAGCAATGCGAACGTCAGTGCAACAGACTCAAGGAACCAAGTTGCACAATCGAAGAGACAAGGATATTTGGAAGGATGTGGTGTCGTGCAATACTCTCTAGATTCGATAGTGCCGTCAATACCAAGTGTTCACCTTCGGATACTCCAATACGATCGAATGTATATCCATTACCACCAAACTATTCTTGCACCACACCAAAATGCGAATGCATGACAGCGGCAGCTTTCTTTCTCTCCGACGCTGAGGAAATCGAGTTCTATTGTCGTTTGACTAATTTCAAGCATATCGAAAATGCATTTTCAAGATTCAGAGACTCGGTTCACTATGAAAAGGTAGGAATGAAAGCACCGTACAATATGAGAGTCACCAAATTAAAGCCAGGCACAGCCTACTTGAAATCCAACGTTCAAGTACTCATCGACTCACTGAGGAGATGTAGATACTCCATTCCAGAGGAAGCAATAGCCAAGCTCAGCAACGATGATTACATCACAATCTATTTCAGAGCTGTCAACACTCGATTTAATGAACTGACTGAAAGAAAACCACTCACACTATTCAATCTTCCAGCTATTCCCCTGCCCAAATGCTACAACCAATAACCATATAATAAATTTATTATAATTAACAAAAAGATAATACTTTTATATTTGAATAGTTTAACTTCATCTTTTTTAACCTCTGTACCGAAATTTAATGCTTAATATTCAAATACAACTAACATCAAAATAATAAATAAAGTAAATATTGTATACAAAGTTTTAAAGTTAAAAATCATATTTCCAAGAAAGATCAAATCAAATTTTATTTCCAAAAGTCTCTTACCATTTGATTCTTAGTAAAAAAAGGCAAACAATGTTAATAGTTTTATTATCGTTTCCTCCTACTCATTTAATGAAGTTAATAGACTTCATTCTTGCAAATCTCTCCAATTATAACTCTGGTGAAAAGAAACTAAAGACTCTAACTACACTGGCATAGATTTCATTTACAACCAACAATGAACAACTACTTGACAAGTTATTTGCGCAATCGACACCAGACGAACTTCTCAAGAATTGCGAACGTCAGTTAAACAGATTCAAGGAACCAAGTTGCCCGATCGAAGAGATCAGGTTGTTTGGTAAGATGTGGTGTCGCAATACTTACTCCTTTCGAAAGTGCCACCAGTGTCAAGTATTCATCTGCGAATGCCGCAACCGGATCATATTCATATCCAATAGAAAGTAACTATACCTGCGGCACACCGAAATGCGAATATATGAAAGTAGCAGCCTTCCTTCGTGGTTTGTTTAATTCTACCCAACTACAACAATATCAACAAAAAATTAAAACTAGTAAACTGAAAAATTGGATAATTTGTATATTCAATTTTTATATTAAATTCAAAATAGCTTTTAAATATTTTTATTAATTTATTTTTTTATAAAACAGGTAGAGATATCATGTATGTTAATTTGGTTTGCGTTTGCGTTTGTTTGTTTTGGTTTCATCAGAAATCAATTTTAGAATACCAGTTGGATCACCAAACTTTTTGATGGTTTCATCCAAAGAAAGATGAATTCCTTTTCTATGCATCCAAAACAATGTGTCGTAATAATATTCATGTAGCCTTGGTACAAAGTTCTGGGCATTGTTTGTTAATAATTTCATTGCATAGGGATCGATTCCGAATATTAGGTCAAGAATTTCGTTCGATGATCTTTGAAGGATATCCAACAAGTTGTCTTTAACGGCTTGATTCCATTGAGATCTGTGATTTTCATAGATGAATCTTAATAGATTTGGATTTTGCTTAATTGTCATTAGTTCTTTGATATCAAAGCAAGAGAGATTAACATCTGAGAAGATTTTGTTCTTCAAGACATGAAAGATCAATTCTGGATCTTGAATTATCTTTTGATCAATCTTTAGAAAACCCTTGGCATTTATTGTCAACCAATTGAGGAATTCTATCGTTTGTACTTGATAAAAATGATATGTACCAATCCCGATACCAACAAGAAACATTCGATGAAAAGTTGGTGCATATTTGATTCTAAAATCAATTGCATTATATTTCTTTTTGTTCCATCTTGATTGATCCTCAGTTGTTGCTTGGATGATTCCTTCATATTTCAAAATGTGATCCAATTGCTGCTTAGTTCTTGATCTTTCAATAATATGCCATGCTTCATATGATAGTGATCCATCTTCATTGATAACTTTTCCACGCATTACCAATTGATCAAAAATGAGTGAACCAAATCGCTGAGTAGTTTCATAGTCATTATAGTCTAGTTTCCATCCATCAAGGTTATCCATGAGATAAAGAATTGATTCTTTTGATCCAGGTTTCTGATGTGATCTTTCATATCTCATGCAGGAATTTCCATGGTCTCTACGATCTTCTTTAAAGTTTCTGAATAACTTTAAACCTTGTTTGGTGAAAACTCTCTTTATGTATTCAATCATTTCAATTGCAAGATTACCATCTTCTCTTTCGAAAAGTGATGCAACACATCGATAAATACATTCTTGAAGAGGTACTTCAATGATTGATCGATCGGTATCTATTCTATTGACAAGATACTCAATTTGATTGCGAGATCCATGATTGAATAATAATGTTAGAGTCTTTCGAAGATTGGTTTCATCTTCTACATTTCCACGATCATCTACATTCATATTGAGTGAAACGATCTTCGATAGAATATCATCGATGATTGATTGGTTTGATATATTTAATTGACCTGCCAATTGAAGTTTAATTCTAACGATTTCTGAGACTGTTTTGCCAATATAATTCCTTGAGTATAATGCATTGTGATGATGATACATAGCATCAAGAAGTATGAGATTATAACAAAGATTGTCAATCAGGGGTGATTCAGGAATTGGAAATTGTTTTACTATACTCTCTTTCATTGATAAGAGGTATTTGGTATCTGTTTCTGAGGTAACTCCAAGATGATTGCTCTCCTTATTAACCATGAGATATGATAATAATTCTATAGAATTACTGAGAGAGAGATTGGCTTTAATGATCGGCTCTATTATCTTTGGACCAAAAGTATAACCATGTTTCTTTAATAATCGATAGATAAATACTTTATCGTCGCTCAATTGTGGATTGAAATGTAAAGCTCCGAGGGTAGTCTTGTACTTTTCCATGATGATATCCTCACCGAATTTAGCAAATAACCATTCGATTGATTGGATCTTTGGGTAATTGATTAAATCATCCATTATCTTCTTGTCCAATTCATTGATAGGATCAATTCCATTCTCCACGAGATAATCGAGTATTTCCACTTGACCACCTAACATAGCACCTTTAAATGCACCATCTCTTTTAAGTTTAATCGGTGATGTTTGATTGAGAAGTATCTTTACAATTTCAATGTTACCAACTCTGCATGCATTTGATATCAAATCTCTTGACATAAATAGAGTGTCTCTGTACTTGTTGTACACCACCATAAATTGATTGATAGTCTTTACTTTCATACAGAAACTTGATATGTCAGACCCCGAGATCTCTATATATCGACCTGTTTTAATCTTGTCAACAAACAAACCAATATGATTATTACGAAGAATTTCAAATCCTCTGCACCAATGATTGTACTTTCGCTTTGTAAATAAGAACATTTCATCTTGATCCGAATGACCATTGATATCTTCTCTCACATGATTCAGTAGCTTTTGAAGAAGTATCTTATTTTGAAATACTTTTGTAAAACATATATCTATTGCATCTATCAACAAAAAAAAATTAGAAAAATACATTTTTTAAAAACAGCAACAATTTTTTTTTTTTTCGTACCATTGCTACTAGGCATTGATGACATTTATATTAAAGTAACTTTTCAATAAAATTATTTGTTAAGAATTATTATTTATTATTGATTTTATAAAAGTAACAAAAGAACAATTAGTTTGTTAAATGGTTTTAAAAAATTCTCCCTCATGAGGGATAAAAATAAAACTCAAATTTTAGAGAGTAAACTTTTTCATACCAATTTTTTTCTTGAATGTAACAGCAAGTTAACACCTTTCTGAGGAATCATCAAGTAAAATTTCTCTTACAGAAATATAAAATATTTAATAAATGAATAGTTATTTATTTAACTCAATGATATTTGTTATTTTTCTGTTTAATTTTGAAAGGTGACCACCTGTCTCCATTCGTAAACAAGAATTATATCTATTTTTATTAATTTTAATCTGTATTTAACTAACTAAAAAACTAGCAATATACTTTTAATACATTTAAAACCATGGCTGATTACCAATAAATCCACCTCCACCACCATAAGGATTTCCACCAAAACCAATTCCACCATTAGAATTTCCTCCAAAAGGATTTCCACCATATGGATTTCTATTAGTATTACCTCTGTGATATTGAACCACTGAGTAGTCTGGTTCATTAGGATTACTGACAACTGTACCTCCATGTAATACGCTATTGCAATTTGGACATCTTCTTGGAGTCGGGACTGATATCCATGATCGGCAATCTACACCGAATGTATCTGTAACCCATAGTAAACATAAACTCAACAACAAGTCTATACTATATTGATAAAGTAAAGTAATATAATAATACAACCCAATAAAGAAAACTATTATTTTACCATGTGACCCAAATTTTAATTTTTTTTCCATCTGTCATTGAATTGAATTAAAAACAAAACAAAACAGGCTCTTTCTTGTAACCATAAATCGAATAAAATAAAAAAAACCACTCTGATAACACATCAACCCCACTAATTTTTAATTTTTACATTTTTTTTATTTTTTCATTTTGAACATGCGAAGATAATTATTAGAGTAGTTTTTATTTAAATAGATTCATGTTGAGTTCTGTTTGTTTATTTTCTCTTTCAATATTTTCATTCTAAGTTACAATGTTTAAACGTCCACATGATATAGTCGAAATATCTGATGATTCTGAAGAAGAATCAAGTGAAGATGACGTAGTAGTTAACAATAACAATAATAAGAATAATATTGTTAGCAATAAAAAAGTAGGATCTAAGTTCAGTGATGAACAGTTGGCAAATGATCAAGAGAAACTATTCAAAGTTTTAACAGACACTTTGAAAAGATTTAAGAAAGCTGGTTCTTTTTATTATGTGGGGGAAGAAGAGGTAAACACATCATTGACCTTATAATAAGGCTCGATTGTTATTAACTTTATTTTTTCATTGAAAATATATTAGGTTGCACCACCAAGGATTGAAATTAATGATGTTGGTGTTTTAGCATTCCCAATTCAAGTATATCAAGTGAAACAGATCATTGATAAATGTATCAGAGCTCCATATGGAAAAGGTATGTTGAATATCATTTATGTATATACATGATATTCGAAATCAATCAATGAATTAATAATGAAAATTATTTTAGGAACTGAAACAATTACCGATACAAACATCAGAAAAGTATGGCAATTATCACCTGATTCTTTTAAATTCCTTGGTGGTAATCAATGGAATCAATTCTTTGAGAGAACACTCAAGACAGTTGGTCAGAAGTTGGGACTTGACAAAACAAAGATCGAAGCAGAGTTATACAAGATGTTGATCTATGACAAAGGTGCATTCTTCAAGCCACATAAAGACAGTGAGAAAGGTGAGAGAATGTTTGGAACATTGGTCATATCACTACCATCTGTTCATACTGGTGGTGATCTCATTCTTCAACATGCTAGAAAGACTGTCACCGTATCATTGGAGAATAACAGTATTTCAAACATGAGATACACAGCATTCTATGCAGATATCAAACATGAAGTCAAAGAAGTCACTGATGGATATCGTGTTTGTTTGGTTTACAATCTTTGTCGATCTGGTAAACTCAATAACGATGACCTGATCACAAAGAAACCAAAAATCAAACTCGAAGGCAATGTATTGAAGAAACAAAAGATGATCGATGTCAAGAAAGAAGAACAAGAAGAGTCAAGTAGCAGTAGTGATGAAGATGTTTTCATTAGACCTGTTGATTCGAAAAATGAAGAGATTATCGCTGACATTCGTAAATATTTATCGTTAGCTTTTCAAAAACCAGAACGTAATTGTTTGGTTTACATCTTTGAACATGAATACACTCAGAATCAATATAACATAAGGTGCCTCAAAGGACAAGATTCAAAGATCGCAACTAATCTGCTACATGCTGCAAGTGGCGCTGGCTATTCATGTCTCATTGGTCTCCTCGATATGGAAGAGTCTGGATATGGAAATGATAACTACGGTTACTATGACTGCTCTGATGAAGATTTTACTGTTGAAGAATCTGAAGTACATCTTACATTTTCGCACTTGATAGATGCTAGAACCTACCAAAAGTACACCAGATTGAATTTGAAAGCAGGCGGATCAGACATATTCCCATCTTTCGATAAAGAAAATTGGGATTGGGGTGATCCTAAGATAGAGCATACTGGAAACGAAGGAACCACCTTTGAGAGATTTTACAGTCACAGTGCAATCATTTTGGTAAAGGATCTCGAATTGAATTTATACACAAAGCATTGATGGTGAACAAAGTAAGTTCACAGTGTTTCAAAAAAAGACTTACTCGAATCTGGATGAGAAGAGGAAGAGTTTCAGCAAAATGGTTAATTCTTTAGGTGGATATAGTTCACTTGAAAGCACCCCTACCATTTTAATTAATCATTTCTACAGTCTCTATTCACAAGGAAATGGAATTGAACATGCAGATTCAATCATCTCGATTTGCAGAGTCATTGCCAAACGCAGAATTACCGATACTCACTTGTTGGACAAGCTTTCACGATGTTTCAATACTCTTGCAAAATTTGGTAAACAAGAGTATATCACCAAATCATTAGCACCATTTGCAAAACATTGTTTTTTCAGTTCCAGATCAAAGACATTCTTTAAGTTATTGGAACAATCAATGGGATTAGAACCAACATTCATTGGTAAAATCGACGAAACCTTTACAGCAGATTCAACCAGTAGTGATAGAATCAAGTCAGAGACGAACAATAACGATAATATCAAGTTAGAATCGAAAAATAATGACAGTATCAAGTTAGAATCAATTCCAGCAACAGAATTAGAATCAATAATATCAGAGGCATTTAAGAAAAGTCCATCATCAAAGATATCGGATATTTTTGAAACATATTATCTGATCAAATCAATACTCAACAAGATTGGCAATCAACAACAAACAGAATCACTTTTGAAAACAATCAATCCAATATTTGATTCAATGGTTGATGTATCTCTCAAGGCAAAAGAATGGAAGGGTGTACCAGCAACAATGGATTTCATAAACAATTCCAACGAGATAAGTTCTGATACGAAGCATATCTATATCGATAAAATTGTCGATTCACTTTGTTCAGAGTATTGCAAACATAGATACGATATTTTTGGTAACTTGGAAGAAATCTATCAATACCATCTCAAACATAAGTCATACTTTAATCTTAATCATTTGATGAAAATGATAGACCTCATTATTACACAGCTATCCAAAAATACCTACGGAGATCAGAGACTCAAGACTCTAACTACATTGATAGAGATTTCGCTTACGACCAACAATGTGCAACTTCTTGACAAGATATGTGAACAATCGACACCCGATGAACTTCTCGCTCTTTGTGAAAGTCAGAACAAAAGACTCAAGGAACCAAGTTGCACAATCGAAGAGATCAGGTTGTTTGGTAAGGTGTGGTGTCGTGCAATACTCTCTCGTTTCGAAAGTGCCACCAATGTCAAGTATCCATCTTCGAATGGCATTATGGGATCATATTCATATCCATTAGAACGAAGCTATACTTGCATCTTGCCGAAATGCGAATGTTTGACAGCAGCATCTTTCCTTCTCTCTGAAGATAAAGAAACAGAGTTTAATTGTAGGCTGGATTCGTTCTCTCATATCGAAAATGCATTTGTAAAGTTCAATAACTTCCTTCGCTATCAAAAGAATGGACATAGACGCTACAAAATGGCAATCACCAAATTACAACCAGCCATGGAATATTTGAATGCATACGTCCAAGAATTCATCGATTCACTGACGAGATGTAGATCTGCCTTTCCACAAGAGGCCATTGGCAAGCTCAGCAACGATGATTACATCACAACCTATTACAGAGCTCTCGACAATCGATTGAATGAACTGACTGCAAAACAACCAATCACACCTGTCAATCTTCCTGCTATTCCCCCTTTTCAACGACCACCACTAAACACAACAACAACTAAAGAATGAATAAAAATTTAGAAAAAAAAAGATATAATTCGAATCGTATACATTTAAAAATATTAGTTCAGTTTGAACATTTATTTGGTGTCAATATTTTCGACAGACGAATTCGTTATTAATTTGTAAGTCTCTTCTTCTTTACAAAGTCTCTTGGAACCTCAAACAAATCTGGCTTGATATCTTCTCTCTCTACATAGTTTTGGAATGTCACTGTTGCTGTGATGGTTGGTACAACAGGGAAATCGAGTTTCACTGGGAATCCATCCGATGGGAACTTTAGTGACACAAACTCATTCAATCGACTGAATAATTTGTTGGTTGGTGTCAAAACTTCGAATATCGGTAGTAAATCTGTAATCTTTCTTGGAAACTCATCTGATATCCAAATAGTTCCCTTTTAAAGAAAATAAATTTAAATTAGTAAATGATGACAATACTTTAGAAGATTAAAATGAAATCTTACCTCAAAGTTTTTACTTTTAACACTGACAGATTCGCCTTCACACAACAAACCGGTCTCCTTTATCTTTGATTTATCGATATTATCGATATGATACTTCAAATCGAAATTCTGTGGTACTGCAAAGTAGTCTTTTGTCATAATCTTACTCTTCATAGAGCTCTCTCTGATCTTTAGATCCTTTCTTCTTTGAAAATGATGATGAATATCAGTTGATGATGTAGGTGTAATTTCATTAGAGGAGGTGGTGGTTGTAGTTGTTGTTGTCGTTGTAGTAGTAGTATTGGTCTCATAATCACAAATCTCTTTATCCTTTTCCTTATCCTTATCTTTTTCTTTTCCATTTCCATTTGCCAAACGATTCTTTCTTGACATTATCTTTAAATCTATACCAGAGACATTGTAGATCTTTGCATTCCATCCATGATTATCACCAATACGCTCAAACTTTTCATTGCCAAACCAAGACTTTGAAGGTGAGAAAACAATTTGATCCTGTAATAACTTTACTCTATTGATATTCTTTACACTCAACAGGATGTCGACTTCCTCTTCTTCCACAGCTTTGGCATCCGTTGCCTTGGCCAATGATAATTCAGCATATTGTTTCTTTCCAAAATCAACTGAATATAGTTTCTCTACAAATCATTACATATGTATTCATTAAATTAATGATCTATAAAAATTACACAAGAACATATATAACATAGTATTACAATTAAATACATACGTTGTTCACCATTGAAAATAAAAGATAATTCACCTCTCTTGAATGTAATACCCTCGATACCTGTAATTGTTGTATTCACTCTAAATGAAGATCCTCTCTTATAGATTCTATTATTTAATTTTAAAATGTTAGTCATAAATGAAACAAATATATAATCAATCAATCAATCCCTCTATTATAATATTATAAATACCTACTTATAATTATCATATGGACAGAATCTACTAACAAGTGGTACCCAACTTTTGAATTCCCATTTCAAATCTTTATAAAAATAAAATAAAATGTTAAAAAGTTAACATACATTTTACATTATCAACAAAAGAAAAACTTTAAAATTACATACCCATCTCAAAATCAGGAATCTAATAAGTAAATTTAATTGATATATAATTGATATTTAGTTAGTAACTTTGATATAGACATATAATATATTCAGCCAATTTATAATATAAAGATATATTAATACAAACATTATTTAAAGCACTTAATAGATTTGGTATTCTTTTCTTGAATTCATTATGTATTTTCAATTTAGTAGCGTGTAGAATGATAGCAACCAACTCTTTATCACATCTACCGAGAGCCTCTTGCATACATGACCAACCTGCTAAACTCTTCTTGGTAGGATCTGCTCCATTTTGTAATAATATTTGTAATATTTCTTTATATCCAAACTTGAATGAATGAATGAATAGATGATTATTATTATAATTTATTAGTATTTATTATTCTAAAACATTTTTATTAAACAAACAGATAAAAAAACAAGCAAACTAAAACATACATGTATAGCATAGTGAGATGCAGGATAACCATGTAGATCTCTAAGATCAATATTATCACGATAGAATGTTATTTTAAGTAATCTAACTACTTCATTAAGATTGTTTTCACAAACTTTTGAATGTAAGAGGAATGGACTATTATTGATAACATCATCGCCACCGTTGATCATGATTGTTGTTTATTTAATTATATTTCTAATTTTAATGATTAAATAAATATTTATTACAATATATTATACACTTTATCTTTTATTTCTATTAATACTTCAAGATGAATAAGAAAGGAATCAAATCACCTTGCAAATATTAACAAAAAATTGCAAAAAAAAAAAATAATTAATTCGTGTGATTAAAAACAAAATTAAAATTTACATTTTTCTGTGAATGTTGTTAGGTTGGTGGTTAGAAGAAAAATGTGATGCAGCAATTCAAACTCAGAGATATAACTAAAGGTTTTTTTGTGTGTTTTTTTTTAATATTATATCTTAATTATTTCAGTTTTTATAAATAAAACTAGAAATGAACACTTGATTCAAAAGAATTGTTAAAAAAAAAAATATAAATTTATTTTATTCTATATATATTACAATTATATCTGGTTTTTTCTTTTCTTTTTTTTTCGTATTTTATTATGTTATTATTATTATTATATTATTGTTATTATTATATTATTGTTATTATTTTTAGTTATTATATTAATTATCGGCTGGATCTTTGAATGAAGATGATCCTGTTGGGTTGACAACGGCGGTGAGGAATGCTGATTTGGTGAGTGTCGAATGATTGTATGGTGAGGTCTTTCCACGACGTTTGTCTGGAAGTTGTTGCATCTTGATCTGTGGAAGACCGTCGTCTTCTACTGGCTTGTAGATCTTCCACATCTTGGAACCGAAAATGATGAGCAATGTTGTGAAAGTGGTGAAGACGGCCATCGAAGAGATGATGGCGTCACGCGAACGTTGGTTCTCGATACCGGCCATCAATGGGATGACAATGAACAGTGTGAAACTGATCAAGTAGATGGCACTGGCGAATTCGTGTGTCTCTTCAAACTCTTCGAGATCTATGGTTCTTGTCTTCCAGGAGATCAAGCAACCGTAGAGCAACTGTAAACCGTGGAAAACGAGCAGAGCATAGATGATATTGTCACCGGCTTTGTTGTTGACGCAGTTTTGAGTGTACTCGTATTTACCGATGCCGTCCAATCCGAGAGAGTCGTGGTTGGAGGGGTTTCCGACACCGGTGTAAAGGGCGAGCAGCAAAATGTTGACGAGGAGCAAACCGGTGTACCAGCTGTAGACTTGCGCGGGTGGAATTGGCGAGATCTCGTCGGAACGTGTTTCGAGGAGTTGTTTGAACTTGAAGTAGATACGGGTGTTCTTGATGATCATGAGACCGATGAGGAAGTTGTAACCGAGTGACAACATCCAGATACGCGAGGTGCAGATACCGGTGGTCTTTTGGTGAGTGTTGAATAAGATGACACCGATTGGCACCAAGATTGCACCGAATCCCAAACCGAAACAGAACAAGATGTTCGAGTATTGAATGGGCAATCTCTTCTTAAAGACGATGCAGAGCACGAAAAAGATAAAGGCAACACCGATTTGGATGGCGGAAACCGAAACAAAGGCAGAGTTGATTTGCTTACGATCGTAGATCTCAGTGGTTGGCATAGCAAAGTATCCTTGATCATCGATTTGACTGTATAATTGCTCCATTCCCAACATTTGTCCAAACTTGATACAATTATCTCCAAACATTGGTTTGTTCAATGGATTACAAAGATATGGATGATCGGCAGCATTCTTTGATCTCAAATCATTATAGACTGCATTTGACATTGATTTGAAATTATCATCAACCTATAATAAAATATTATTAGTAATTTTGTTGGAAACTTTTAAAAGTTGGTGGTTTGTAACTTACAATGAATGAATAACGATCCAATGTATAGAAACCAGAATTGAAATCTAAATAATAATCGTTTTGAGTGTAGTTTTGGTATTGAATTGTGACTCCGACGTAGGAAAAGATGGTCTCGAAATTCATGACGATACTCTGGATGACGGAACCACCGAGGATCGATTCGTATGGGAATCCATTGGATCCAAGTCCGAATGTTCCATTGTGTACGAATGCTTCACAAACTTGGTTGCTAGTTTGCGATTGACTGACAATGTCAATCTTGAGTTTACTCAAACGATCGATTGCACCGCCAGCAGTGTCAGCGTCGTCATACGATGAAGTGGAGACAGTGTAGAGCTTGGCGTTTGGATTGGCTTTGTTGGCACCGGCATAGAATGCGTTGGCAGTGTAATAGTTCTCAGTGTCTGGACCTGGAACGACCAATCCGATCTTGTTGGTCATCTGAGCCGATTGCAAACCGGCAATGTATCCGAGCATGTAGAATGGCGAGACTGGATTGATGTCGTAGGTCGATACCAATGTCGATTTCGACGAGTAACTACCGTCGGAACGAATCAAGAAGTACACTTGTTTTTTGACACTCCAACGGTTGGCGGCGTCAAAGGCGGCTTCCTGTTGTGAGAGATCGCTGGTCATGATGTAGTTGTAACCGTTGTCGACCAATGTTTCAATGTTGCTGTAGACGTCGTCGTAGTTGTTGAGTGACTCAATGACTGTAGAGTTGAAGACCTTCATGATCTGTTCGGTTTTTCCGGCACCTTGATTGACCATGTAATTGAAAGCGAGATCAGCAATCATACCTGGCAACAATACCGCCAGTTTGACTTCGACCTTTACGGTATCATCCATTTTGACCGCAATCAAACTGGATAATAAAAGTAATAATACAATATTTATAGATTTATACATTTTAGATTTATAAAAGCGAGCGTGTATAGTATATATATAAAATGGAAAATTTTGATTTGTGATTGATTGGTTTTGGATTCGAAAAAATAAAAATCAACGAACGAATCAATCAAATCTTTGATTTTATTTTTAACGTCCTTAAATTTCTTGTTTTATCTTTTTTGTGAGAGTGAGTGTGTGCGTGTGTGATGAGCAAGACACACTGTGTTTTAAATTTGTTTGTTTGTGAAGTACTAATACAAAAAATAAATATAATATATACTAACTAAACTATATATATTTTATATATATATAAATAAGTTACGAAAAAAGTGATTTGAGATTGAGTGTCAGTGGTTAGTGGGTCAAGAAGCTTTGGACAAAAAAATCAAATCAAACCAATTCAAACAAAATTTAAAACTAAACAAAACAAAACTAATTCAATAAGATAAGGATGATGATTGCTCTGAGATATTGACAGGGCAAGAAGTCAGTTGGTTGTTTGTTGGTGGGGATGGAGAGTGGAACAAATGTTTTAATTTAAAAATAAGTCTTTGGTTGGTCTGGTATGGTGTCCAAGCGTATAAACTATTTAATGAGATTGAGGTGTTACTTTGTTGGTAAATTTGTTTTTATTTGGCGCATGAATGTGTGGTTTTTTTTTGTGTTAGTCGAGTGGTGGTGGTTAGTGGTATAAAACGTGATCAAAATAACTAAAAATTGGATTGAAAAAAAAAAAAAAGTAATTTTTATCGTATATTTTTGATTTTTTACCAAAAAAGATCAACTGAATGCTTTTTGCACCCACCAAAAAAAACAAAACAATTTGAATTATTTTTTACAACCAAAAAAAAACTGTGTTGTTTTTAACTCCTCCCATCCATACCAACAAACTTTAGATCCAAAGCACGATGCAAAATCATCATTTAAATCATTATCTGAAATCAATTTCTAAATATAACAATACGATGATATGCAAAAGTCGACGTGAAATTGATTTGATTGGACGAGTTAACCAATCTACTATGGTCTGATACAAATCTCGAAAATCATCAGATTACTGTTTTTTATTTTTTTGATTTTAATTAAAATTAATAAAGAGGCGTCTATTGTTGCAACTTGCCCTTTAGATTAATACATCTTTTTTCGATCAAAACGAAAGTGTTTTTGTTTTTAACTTTGAGACAAAGTACCAAATTTCTTTTTAATTGGTTTCTAGATAAACTTGATCTGGTTTCGAAACGATTTCATTTTTTATCGAGATCTAGAATAACTTACTAAATAAAATGGTGCTCTACTTTCCGAAAGTTATATTAATATAATCTTTGAGCAGAGGTGACCTGAAGAATAAAGGATTGTTGTTTTTAATTTCATTGGTAAATCAAGTTAAATTATAGATATTTATAGATTTAATAATGTTAAATTAAAAAATAAAAATAGAGAATTAGTTTGAGAATGGACAGGTAACAATAAATATATTTATTGATTATTGTAGTTTTTAAATTTAATTATACCATCTTGGAGCATAGTTTACAGTTGCAGAGAAATAATGACCTTGGTGTCGGTAATAGTAACCTCCAACCCAACCCTCCAATTGATTGTCACTTTGGAGAGTATTCGCACCTTGAGAGTGTTGTGTGTTAATCATAACATTTGATGAAGGTGAACTTAAAGAGAGTTTTTGAATAGTTCCTACAAATATATATTTAATAATTAGTTTTTTTTTTTTAGATAATAAATTAAAACTTACCAATTAACATTATTTAAAGTTTGTTTTTAAGAATACTATTTGATATCAAAATGATTTCATTTTTGTCCCTATTTATAATAAACTGAACGTCCAATCCATCACATTATTTTTTCAACTGATATCAAACCAATTGGGTCCTTGCAATCAGAATTCTTGGCACATTTTAAATTGTTATTTTTGTTTTAAAATTTTATTTATAACTTTAATAAAACATCAATTAAATATTATAGTTAAAAATACTCTTATTCAACTGGTCCTATTGATATGATGAGATATAATTATAAAATATAGCTAATTAATTTTTATCTTTAGTTTAAAGGGGGTGATGTTGTTAAAAGTCAACTAAAAGATAGAAAAGCAATCTTTTCCTGAAGACATTCAGCAACAACCAAAAATTGTTTGAAGGTATGAATATTTTGTCCTGTAGTAAAAGTTCTACTACTCTATCATCCGGACGAGATATAATAGATAGATGTTTTGTTATTTAAAATTTCGAAGTAAGAGAATTTGTTTAAGCATACTTGCGTATGATTGCAACATCTCTTATTTGATTCAATTGAGGTAGGTATACTTTCTATCATGTTATTTATATCATTGATAACAAAGTTTCTTTATTCCATTTTTTATGGGCAATATCATCACCTTTGCTTTCACTTTATTTCCACAAATTGCAGTGCTTTATTTTTAATAATACATTTTTCATTCAAGTGAAATTTCAATAATAACACACTTTTGATATGAAATCAATTTAATTTAATAGATAACTTTTGATCAATTGAATGATGTCAATTCGCAATTGTTATCATGTAAAGTAAATATATTCTAAATAACCATTTTTTAAATATTTAAAAAGAAGGTGTTATCACAATATTATTTTTATTAAATTTTCAACATGCTTTTATTAAAGTTTGATATCTATTATAGCGTCGCTATCTAATTTCAAAGTAGCTGATATCATTATTATTATTGTACAATTGCTTATAGCGTTAAAGATTAATGAGGGATATAGTAGTAGCATTGTTGTGCATGTATGATATGTAGCTATGAATTATTATTATCATTTAAATGTTTTTGATTGTAAATATATTGTAATCTCATTTTACAACACAAATAAATTGATATCTTTTATCTTAATATTTATAATATTTTAGTAAAAACAATTAAAATCTGTGATATTTTATTATATTTAATTAATTAATGTGTATTATATTAATGTATAGGGTGTGGTCATTTTTTTACACAAAAATATTTATTTGAATTGTTTGACCAGGCAAAAAAAAACAAGTAGTTCATTTATTTTAATATACATAAACATTTTTTTATTTTATTGAATTATAGCTATTAATTAATTAAGACTAGATTTATTTATTTATTTATTTTTATTAAAAGTTACCAATCCAATTATAGTCTATAACAAATATATATATATTTTAAAACAAAAGAGAAAGAAAGAAAGAAAAATGTATCAATTTATAAAGAGTCTTTTACCAACGAGAACAAATCAGATAAAACGACAAGAGATGATAGAGGATATCTCTGAAACTGTACAAGAAGCAAAACAAGATGTATGTTTATATTTAATAGTAGTAGAAAATAGTCTATTTGTTTTTTAATTTAACATTTTATTATTGTTTCATTTTTTTTTGTTTAGGTAACTAGTGGACAGGATATAGAATTTGAACTATCATTGGCTATCAATAGAACATCTACAACATTAGATAAATTAGAAGCACAAAAAGATGAACAAACTAAAAAATTACAATTGTATGTTGTGTTGTATTTATTCTTTATTAAACATTAAGGTTAGTGTCGTTTAGCTCAAGCAAGATATTAATAGTTTTTTTTTTTTTTTTTGTTATTCTATAGAATGGAGAAAACATTATCGGATCTATCAAAGTATGAATTGAGTGATCAACAAAAACAAAGAAGAGATACATTGGAGAAACAGCTGAATGAAGTCGTTAAGAAACAGCTGAAGGAGACAGAGTTGGAGATTGACGAGCTCACGAGAAAACTATTGGTGCTCTACAACAAGAGAGACATCATCGCTCAGAAGAAGGTCAATGCTCAAGATGGAATAGAAGGTGCGATATCACTGCCATTAGCAAATTCACAGGATATCAGATTGGATAGTTTAGATGGTGAACAAATGGTTGGTGCAGATTCAATTAAAACAACCGAAGCGACAACAACAACAACAACAACAACTACTTCTCCAACTCCTACACCTACTTTTATAACAACAGATCAAACTATAACCAATAATGAAGAAGATGATTTAACAAATAGTATAGCAAGTGATTCAAATAGTATAGTATAACAAACAAACAAACCAAACAAACAGACAAACAAAACAAACAATTGTAAATAAACTTTTAGTAATATCACTGATGGATGTATATACTTCCATAATTTTATCTTTTCAAACTCTAAGAAAAAAAAAAAAAGACTTTTTTATTAGATATTTAAATTTAAATTAAAGAAGTAAATTAACAAATAAGATGACTTCAAAAAATATAAACAATTTTTATTTAAAAAACTAAATATTAAATCTTCTAATTTAAATTAATTTGTGTTGGATGAGATCTCAATGTCTCTATAGAAAGACACTAGATCTATAGCCATGGGAGCGTAGTCAGAAGCAATAGGGATATCATCTGGCCATACGAGATCCAACTTACTAACCAAGTGACGAGTAAAATTCTGACAGTTTGTCGATGATCCCCAGGTCAAGACACCATTACAATGATTCTCTATGAAATTATTAAAAACTATCATTGCCCAAACTCTCCATCTAGCTTGATGGTCCAACTGTTTTGAGACCCTGCCAAGTGCAATGACTCTATTGAGGAAATTTGATGGTTGTTGCTTGTCGTATCTATGGACTTCACAAATGACAGTTTGAGAAACACCTCTCTCCGCTAGAACCATGTGCATCATCAGACCTTTGGGGTTGTTGGGCCTCTGTAGTCTCCCCTTTGATATCGAGAACGATCGCATAATGTCCAGCCAATGTTGTACCAGAGTCAGACGGGGAGGAATATATCATTAGGTAGGCGTGGTTAGCAATACTTTGGTTTATTATTTTTGGTGGGAATGATTCTAGACCAGACATTGGAAAATTGTCGTAGTTGTAATATGATGGTTTGTTATAAAGAGATAATATGTTTCCCATGATGAAAGTGCTGTATTAATAGTTGTTTGTAGGATTTGATTATTATTTAAACATTTATAATATATTTACAAATTTAATCATAATGATTTGTGTCACCCATCTAATAATTTTATATAAAATGTTAAACATCTTCAAATTTTTAAATATTTTATTTATCGATATAAAGAAACAAATGAAAGAACTCACTATTTTTATAGCAACAAGTTTCAGTGACGTTATTCTAAATTAAGATATAACTCCTTTTCGGTCTTTTGAAATAATAGTTCAAATAATATGTTTAAATTTATACAATCATCTGTCTATCAAAGAAAAACTCCTAAATAAACTTTTAGTAGTTGTTGGATGATGTTATCTTTCATAGTTTTATCTTTTCAGTAACTTTTAAAACAAAAAGATAACTATTGTTTTATTATGTAGGATTAGATTAATCCCAATATTTTATCTTTCCATCCCAACCACATGTTACTACCTTGGATGACTCAATTGGATGCCATTCTATACCTATACAAACATCATCATGTGCTTGTAATGTTCTATTTAAATTAAAAGATTGATTAGATTAGATTAGTTAATGAATGTTGTTGATTATAAATTTAAAATTGACTTACTTATAAACTTTAGAAGTTTTCCAATCCCAAAAGTATGCTTTTCCAGAGGCATCACCACTGACTATATATTTGCCATCGGGTGAGAAATTGAGTTGACAAGCGTAACCTGCGTTGGTATGTCCGAGGAATCGCTTCTTTTTGTTCATTCTGAATTTGTCACGAGCACGATACACCAGAATTTGATTGTCCATCGATTGTCCGGCGAACCATTTGCCCTTGGGATGTAGTGCAACCGCTGGCATACTGTGCATCTCGGGATCACTGATGTACTTGATCACCACGGGTATACCCCACTCCCATATTCTCATGGATTTGTCGTCACTCGACGAAACGAACCGACGATTGTCATCGATAAAGGTGAGCGAATTGATCGCGCCAAGATGCTGGTCGTACTCCTGCACGATCTGGTTCGACTTGGTGTCGTACTGCAGAATCTTACGATCGGATCCACCCACCAAAAACTCGTTCTGTTTGTCGTCGTCGGGATTGAACTTTATACAGTAGGGAGTGGAGCCGTTCGTATAGCTGGAGATGACTTTGCCCGTCTCCGTATCCCAGAGTCGTGTCACACGGTCGTAGCCACACGAGAGGAACTGTCGTCCGTCGTTGGCAAACGAGATATCACGCACCGCCTGCTGATGTCCCATATAGGTTTGTATACAATCGCGCTCGTTATAGACATCCCAGATCTTTACGGTGGTATCCATGCTCGCAGAGAGCAACAGGTTTCCGTACTTGGGCAGCAGACGGATTGCCGAGACACCCTTGGTGTGACCGGTCCACGTGTGAATCAGCTTCTTTGGCAGGTAGCTATCGTTGACGCCAGCACGCAGCTCGCTTGGTGGCTCCAGCCAGCTTCGTCCCATGTAGTCGAGCTTCTTCTCGCGATGCATAGTAGCCGATGTCTCTGGTGTCTCCTTTGTCTTTTTCTGTTGTTTCGCACGCATATCCAAGTATTGTTTCTGTACATCGTTCATCTCGATCTTTGCATCCTGCTTGTCTTCCTCTGCGATCTTTGCTTTCAACTCGATCTCGAAATCCTTCGAACCCCAAGGTCCTTGATATCCTTTAATATCACCAGGATCTTCATGTTGTCTCTTTTTCTTTCCACTACCACTACCACTTCCATCACCATTATTATTATTATTACTACTACTACTACTACTATTGTTTCTATTTGGAGTTACACCATTATAAACAGTTACACCATCTCTATAGTTATTCAAATTACCGATAACCACATTCGAATTGGACGGATCTTTTGCATAACCGTATGATTTAAATGTATGATATTGTTCTGAAAATGCAAAGTCATTGATATGAAAATCTTCGATAATACCTGTTTTATGATTCTTTAATGATGGATCCATTCTTTGTTCTGTTGTTAAATCATGAATGATTTATGTTAGTGTTTACTGTTGCTATTCTAATAATAATGATCATCATCATACTGATATTCATTCATAACATTCCTATAGTTTACTTACTTGATCTTGAGTATGGAGTATGTGGACCTTCTGTTTCACCGTACATTTGATCATATGTTGCATTATATGTTAATGATTTTGAATTTGGATCTATTTTATTCTCAGATACCTAAATAGATAGATATGTTATTATATTAAATGTAGAATGTTAATAACAATTTAATTAATCTTTATGCAATAATAACTAACTAACTACATACTCTAATTGATTGTACAGAAGGTGCAATAGCAGTAGGTTTAAATGAAGTAATCTGTTTTATTTCTACATTTTTATTTACTATAGTTTCTTTACTAGTTGATTCACCGCCATCTGAATCTGAATCTGAACCATATCCTTTAATAAGATCCATTTTTATATTAAATAAAATAAAGAAAAATAATATATATTATATATATATTTTAAGAAAAATAAATAAAAAAGATAGTGTTTAGACAAACTATCTATGAAATATTATATATGTGAATGAATTATAAACTATTATCTTTATTAATAGTTTTTATTAAAAAAAAAAAAGATTCGTTATAAAATTTGTATTATGAAAAATTTGAAAATCAAATTGTTGATTTTAAAATTAATGTTTGTTGTATTTAATGATATTTGTATTTCTTTTTAATTAATATTTGCTTTAACATCATCTTGGTAGATCAACTTTGGTTCGTATGGACCGGTTATTTGTGCTTTCTTCCATCCAGTTCTTTCATGTGGTGATCCAAATGCATTTTGTACATATTTAACTTTGTCAATTGTTATATCCTCTACAATAATAATAATAATAATAACAAGTCAGGAGTGATTTGATTTTGATTTTCATTAGTATTAGTATTACTATGATTAATAATAGTTAATTAGATAAGATAAGATGATCTCACTACTTACTATCGATATGAGTATGACCATATACATGAATGTTTGAACCAAGCTTTCGGAGTTGACCATCGAGTTGGGTGTCACCGACGACCATCGGTAACGACTTGTAGAGTAGTAGTTCTTTCGGTGGTAGCAAATCTCTTCGAGGCAGGAAATGACTGAATGTAATGATGTTATTCGGATAGGAGTACTGATGTTTCTCCATGAAATCATCGATAATCCTATCGTTCATGTCCAAGAAGCGTTTCGAGATATCGAGATGCGCTATATCCCATTTGCAATGTCTGAAATCATTCCAAACCGTATATAACTCTGTGAATGTCTCTTTCTTCTCTTTGTCCGAGAGCTTACTCCAATCTTCATCGAACGATGGATGATACCAACCAAACATTGGTACAATAGCCAACTATATATAGTTGAATTCATTGTTATATTTTAAATTAAAATCTATGTTTTTTTAAAATCTCAAATAAAAACAAATAAACAAATAAATAAACCTACATCTTCATGTACACTGGTAGGTGACATTATAACACCGATTCTCTTACATAGTTCAGTGATTAGATTAAGTTTTTGCATTGAGTTTGAACACTAATCATAATGATGATGATGATAGTAATAATAACAATATATTAATTATGATAAAGTAAGTATGATATAGGAAATTTCACATACATTATCTGATCTTCCACACCATAGTTCATGATTACCAGGTATGAAGAATACACCGGCAGGATATTTCGACTTTAACGAGGTGAGTGTTGTTTCTATGATTTTAATATTATCAGAGATATCACCACATACAATAAGTACACTATCTTCTTTTGCAGGTAGTTGTTTAATATGTTCCAAATTCGATGGATAATCAGTGTGGATATCCGATACACAATATACTTTCACCATATTTATATATATATTTCTATTTACTGGATATTTCTAATTTCTAATTTCTATTGTTTGGTTTGCTGGTTTTATCAAGATATAACAAAACAACAAACTATATTAGTTATTTTTTAACAAACGATGTTAATTGTTACAAAAAATATATTAAAAAGGTAATAAAAGCAAACTTCTTATTTTTAATATTACAAACACCACACACCACATAAACACAGCAGACTAATTTATTTTTAATTTTTTTATTATTATTTATTATGATAAAGATAAAAATAGATAGGGATTATTATTACATTTTCAAATATATTTAAGTTTTGATTTTTTTTTTTTAGTATTTAAATAAATAAATAAGGAATAAGATAATATTATTTTATTGGTTTTTGTAATTTTAATTTTAATTATAATTGTTAAATTATTTATTCACCTTTGTATACAGGTGGTCTTTTCTCTTTGAATGCGGTGAGACCTTCGGTTCTATCTTTGGTTGGGATGACCTGTGCGTAACATGCCTGTTCGATAGACATACCTGTGGCGATGTCTACATTCATGCCTTTGTCAATGGCGATCTTGGCTACTCTGATGGCGATCGGTCCCTTTGGTAGGATGGTTCGTGCGAATTCCACTGCCTTGTTGAATGTCTCGCTTGGCTCGGTCTCACGTTGAATCAATCCGATTTCGAGGGCGCGCTTCGAGTTGATGACGGCACCGGTGAAAATCAATTCTTTTGCGGCAGCAGGTCCGATCAATCTTGGCAATCTCTGAGTTCCACCGGCACCGGGAATGATAGCCAATCCGGTTTCGGGCAGTCCGAGCTTCGATGCGGTACTGGCGAATCGGAAGTCACAGGACAGCGCCATCTCAAGACCACCGCCCAGCGCGACACCGTCAATGACGGCGATCGTTGGCTGTGGCAGAACTTCGAGTTCGGTGAATGAATTTCGCAAATCATAGACAAACTCCGATGCCTGTTTCTGTGACATCTGTGCACGCTCCTTCAAGTCGGCACCGGCGCAAAACACTCCGCTGACAGAGGAACGCAGAATGACAACACGTGTTTCCTGGTCGAATCGCACAGTGGAGAGATGCGATTTGAATTGACGCAACAAGTTGGCACCGATCGCATTTTTCACAGCACTACGATTGAATGTGATAACACTGATACCTTTGTCAGCACCTTCCAATCTCTCAAGAGTACATTCATCTCCTACTGTTGCTGAGGCTGCTGATGAAGCTGTTGATTCACTGGCAAAAGATCTAACTAAAACAGATCTGAATTGACTATTCTTTAATAGACCAAAACTGAAATTTCTTAACATTTTATATAAAAATATATAAAAAATTAAAATAATAAAACTAAATAGTTTGGTGTCATCTGAATAGTTTTTATTCATTTTATTTATTTTTGCATAAATTTTGTGCATCATTTTTTTTGATCATTTTTAAAATGATTGTTCAGAGCATCGTGATTAATTAATTCGGAACAAAACTTGGAATCACAATTTTTCCCCCTACATCTTTTTTTTTTAAAAGTTATAAATAAATAAATGGGTAATTTTATTAAAACATATTGTTTGTGTGTAGTTTAAAATAACAAAGATAATGCAATCAATGTGAATAAATAGAATAGTGGTACAGCTAAAACATTGCTATCATTGAGAGAGTGTGATCCTTCAGATAGATCTGTAGTTGATGCTTGCTCAGTAGTGGTAGTTCCAGTTGTTGTTGATTGATCGGTGGTTGTAGTAGTAGTTCCATCGGTGGTTGTTGTTGGCTTAGAGGTGGTACCAGAAGTAGTTCCAGTTGTTGTTGTTGGTCTTGTGGTAGTGGCACCAGAAGTAGTTCCAGTTGTTGGTTTGGTTGTTGTTGTTGTTGGTTTGGTTGTAGTGGTACTTGATGTAGTTGTTGGCTTTGATGTGGTCGATGAAGTTGTTGGGTTGGAAGAAGTTGTTGGATTCGAAGAGGTTGTTGGGTTAGATGTGGTCGATGATGAAGAAGCTGGAACAATCTCTTTGGTGCTCCAAGCTGAGCATTGGGACGACGATGATTTAACGGTGAAGAGTGAACCGGTACTTGGATATCTGTAGGTAACTCCACCGGCAACGAATACAAAGACGTAGGCATTGCATTCATTAGCGGTAATTCCATTGGCATCGGTGTAGGCATACGATCCCTGTGAGGCAGATCCCAAATTCAAAGTCAATGGGTAGGAAGTGGCTGAGTTTGCATTGGCTGGCATGACATAAAGAGTGGCAGAGGTAATAGTTGCACTGGCTGAATACCAGTTGGCAATATAAATCAATCCATTTCCTGTCCAGAAAGAGTGAGATCCACCATAGATTGGACCGTATTGAACATCACATGAACTTGCTCTTGAAAAGTCTTGTGTCCAATAGTTCGAGTATTTTGAATTTGAATTGTAAGCAAATCCACATCCAACACTTACATAAGAACTCAACATAATATTACTACGATGACCTAAAATTTTATATAATAACAAGTTAGTTAGTTTGATTTGTTGTTGACTCACAACTCAAAGAAAATATTATTTTATACTAACCATCGTTTGTACCATCTGGAGTACATGGAGCGGTAGTACCTTCACATGCCAAGTACATGTTGGCATAGTAACCTGGTGTAATACCGGCAGCGATGTTCTCACCCATTCCTGTATCACAATTTCCCATCCAATTTTCGAATCTAGTATCGATCGTTGTACCATTGCAATCGTTGTGGGCGAAACAATTCTTTGTTGCCATATCAACACTGTGAGCCTTGGCCATTCTCTGAATTAAATCATACATATACAATGGCTTGACTGCAGGATACACAGATGGATTCATAAATGTATTACTTACAAATGATGGATAATATGTTGAAACAAATTGTTTTGGTGCTATATATTATTTTTTTCTAATTAATATAAAAATATATTATAATATAGTTTAATATAATTAATATCTTACCCATTCTCATAGCATTTAACCAAGCATGAAACTCACGTTCTTCCCATACTGGATTTCCATCGGCATTCGCTTCTCCATATTGTAAGGAATCTCTTACAAAAATGGAAACAATAATTAATATTACAAATAAATATATTTTCATAATTATATTTTTTAATAAATAAATAAATTTTAAAGTACAAATAAATAAATAGAATTGAAAGATTGAAATGATTTGAAATTGAATTTATAAATCTAGAGAATAAATAGGGTTTTCAAACCCTTGTCCTATGGATATTTTTTTTACTTACTACTTCTTATCAATTGAATCAATAAATAAATCAAATCAAATAAAATAATTGAACGATAAGATATTTTAATCAACCGTGGTTCACCACTGTTTGTTCCACTTGTTTAACCATTGAGAAGTAGCAATACTTAAAATTTAGTTAAATTTTCAACAAAATCCTTATCAATCTTAGCTCTATATCATAAAAAAAGACATTACAATAAAGAAAAAAATAAAAAAATCTAACTAAAATGATGATGTTAGTATTTTAGGAAACCAATTCATCAATAAAACAACCATTTTTCTCCCAATTGGCTGGATTTTTTTTAGTTTGTTTTCTAAACCAGTAGGAAACCTTCCAACCCATGTCTTTTGACAATTTTTTTTTAAAAATTTAAATTTTAATTTTTTAAATTTAAATAAGCAATATGTGTTGTTTGTATAGTAATATATTTTGTAGAAAGAAGTTTAAACTTACCAAACTGTTGTTGTGGTTGTTGTGGTTGTAAAATTAGATTGTTTTTAAAACAGAATCTACCAAATTTTTTATCTGCTAGCAAAAATAAAATAAAATAATATTTGAAAATGATAATAATTATAACTGTTTCTTCATTGAAGTAATAATAATAATATTGATCTCCACCAACATTCTATTTTTACTATTGGACCATTGATTATAATAACCAACCATTGTTCCTAATGGTTTTATGCACGTTAGTTTGATGTATTAAGAAACATTGTTAGAGCAAGTAAAAATATGATTAAAATACTATCTGATGACACAACTCAGAACCTTTGTTGACGATTTATTAGAAAAGTCTAAAATACAAGAAGATCAAACCAAGTTTGACTCTACCATTTCACTATTTATTAAATCATTTTGATTGATCAATGATTTAAGTAAAACATGATGATTCAAATAATAAATACTACTAAAGTAAAAAATTGGTCAAATGATTATTTTTTAATGTTAGTTTATTAATCCTCATCATCTGACCACCTATCTTCATCTGGTAAAGTAAGATTTTGATTCGTGCTATTATTATTGTTATTATTATTGTTGTTATGGCTATTATTATTGTTATTGCTATTGTTATTAGTATTATTTAATTCAGCCATTCTTTGATTATATTCTATTTCTTGTTGTCTTTTATCTTGTTGTGTATCATTATAAGTGAAATCATTATAGTTAATTGAAGAACGATCATTATTATTATCATTATTATTATTATTGTTGTTGTTATTGTTAATATTATTATTGTCATTTAATATCATATCATTTTGATTATTATTGTTGTTGTTGTCTGGATAATTATCTGTTCTTTCTTGATTTGAGGGATCCCATACTAGAATATTTCTATCGTTTGCACCGCTCAGCAGTAGTTCCTCGTGAGGATGAAACACACAACAATTGACACGTTCGAAATGACCTTTGAGATAACGCACCAGATCACCGGTGTTGGCGTCGTACATATTGATCTGCTTGCCATTCGGATGAAACAGATAGTTGCCGTCGTACGACAGACACATCTGATTGCCCGTCATATTGCTATTGTACACCGCAGGAAAATCAACAAATGTATTCGTACCCAGTTGCATATCCCAACGCCTGATCTTCTTATCACTACCGGTACTATATAGAAACTGGCCGTCGTGCGACCAAACCAAGCTCGTAACAAATCCATTGTGTGCAAAAGGTGCAACTTTCGCTGCCATATTAGGTGAACTCTGTGTTAGATCGTTCGGTTTGATCGAACTGATTGAATATGCTTTGGTTCCTTGTCTATTAAAGTATTTGGGTCTGTGTGATTTCAATCTTTCGTTTGCCGCGTCGAATCCTGACGAACTTGATGACGAGCTTGATTGCAACTGCTGCTGTTGTTGATATTCATTAGTGGGGAGTTGATTCGTTCTATTTATTTTATCGGTTGTTTCATTGTGTTGATCCAGTGCCATTAGGAAGTTGTCGGATCTCCTAATGTCCCAGAGACGTATCGTCTTGTCTTTCGAGCCGGTCACCAAGTGGAACGGCGAATAGGGTGACCATTTTATGGCGAGGATAGACTCACGGTGACCCGAGAGACAGTGTGTAGACATACCGGTTCTGATGTCACAGAGTCGCGCTTTCTGGTCGGAAGTGCCAACCGCTATCAAGAGCTGCGTCGACGGCAGCGCACTGAACGATATGGCATTGACTGAATTCTCAAGATTGAAAGTTCGTGAGATCATCTCTTTGTTGGTATCCCAGACATCGACAGTTCCTTCGGTTGCGCCCGAGAAGAACATCCCAGTGTCGAAAGGGAACCACTGCACATCGGTAACCGCGCGAGTCAACGACTGACACGGTCGTCTCATTTGCGACACCGACGATATAACTTTCCTTCGCTTCTTCTCATTGAAACTCGATTCTAAAATATCATAGATTGCAATCGATCCATCCGCTCCACATGCTAACAAACTAATTATTAGTTAGTTAGTTAGTTAGTTAGTGTCTTACTTAAGTACGTTTATATCTTTTACCTATAATAATACATACTATCTCGATTCAGATTTATCTATATCTAAATGATAGACGGGTGCATTATGAGCAGAGAGTATCTCGTTTTGTACGGATAGATCTATTGAACGAATTCTTCTTCGGATTTCATTCGATTTGTTTTTGGTGTGTAACGATCTTGTGAATCTATTTGAACTACTATCTCTTATCACATTGTTATGCTCATTGTGTTTATATATATTACTATTAATACCACCAAGCTCCGATGAAAACAAATAATTATTCAATCCAAATATATTGCTCATCAATTACAATATATATGTTTAAATTTAAACAACAGACACAACACAATTAATTTATTAATCATTATTTCTATAAAAAAAAATGAAAAAAAGATTATACATTTCCCAAATTTCAATAATTTCTTGGAAAAATACAAATTCAACTCTCATTTATTAATATCATTGTTATTGCAAAAACAACATCACCAAGCAAATATTTATTATCTCAGTTTGTTTATCTTAATCTATTTAATTTGATTTCATTTTGTAGTATTTTTTTTCACTTCATTTTGTTTTTTGTGTTTGGTTTTAACAACAATAATATAATACAAACCACAAATTGTAATGACATTGTTAACCCCACTCATGTTGTTTTGATTATTATTAGTATTTTGACTATCTTTCATAGTAAGAAGACAAACGACTGATTTTTATTATTTTTTTATTGGTGATTAAAGATTTATATCTAAATATAATTAAATAATGTTAATTCCTTTTGTATTTTGACAAATTGTTTATATATATATTTTGACTATTGAATTATTATTGTTTATTTACAAAAACAACTGTTTAGTGTAATAAAAGATGTAGACTCGTGATCCAAACAAATGTAACTTCAACCAAAGCTCTATCTATTTAAAGCAACCAGAAAACAATGAATAGCAATTATAAATCATTCAATTTCTAAATATTAAGATAGATAAAAAGAAAGATAATGGGTAAGCATAGTTTTATTAATATTTTAATATTTTAATATATATATTTCAGATTATTAATACTTTTTTTTTAATATTAAAGGTAAATTTAATATACAATTAATATTGGTATTATTACTTCTTGTTGTTGTCAGTTGTTGTTTTGCTGTTAAAAAAGATGTGAAACCTGCTAATTTGGTACCGAATAAGGCGTCAAAGATTAGATATGTTCAAACTCATGTCATTCCAGCAGAGGGTCTGTCTTGGTCACTCCCAAAGAAGAACTCATCGTTGCATTTGGTTGGTATCAGAGACACTATGATTTTGGTTGATTTCGAAGGAAACGTTAATGATAGTGCACCAGAGATAGCGGTGTACGAAGGTCACTGTGTTAATCCATCGATCATTCTCACTTTGAATACACCCGATAAGTTGCCACCAACTGAATCGAATGGAACTGCCTACTCCAAGACTTCCTACTCTGTCACCATTCCTGCGAAATACGTCAAGCCAAATATGACGGTGGTAGTCAGCTCCGACCAATCCTCGGGCACCTCCAAGCCAAACGTCGGACAAGATTCAACGATGCGTCTTCAAATCCTGCCATTCTACATGTACGGTGCAAACTCTAGCAACTCGCAGCCATTCGATAAGATCAAACTTCCACCCTCCAATACAATTCACGAAATCTACCAGACTTGGCCAGTATCCAATTTGGATGTCGCCACTCATCCAATTGGTAAGCTTGATCTACCATTTGTAATCATCAAAGCGTCGGATGGTGGACAAACCTATCGTGTTAGCAACACCAACGATATGAGATCGGGTTACGTAGTGATGAATCTCATACTTGAAATGTTGAACGGTATTAAGTCGACCAACGGTGAGAGTCGTACAAACAATATGGTTTACACACCGATTCTCGCTTTGAATAAATTCGGTAATTCCGTTGGTCCAGGTGGTGGTCTTGGTAGCATCGGTGGTTTCAGAGGTACCGGTGACGCTTCCTACACTGGAATATTCATCCACGAAGCTGGACACTCATGGGGATTGCCTCACAGTGGTGAAGCATACGCCGATCAGAGATATCCATATGTAAATGGTAGTTTACTTGGTAGCCAATGGGGATTCAATTTCTTTTACAATGAATTCCTATCGATCTATGTTCCAACCACTGCCGAATACTACAAGAATTGCAACCGTTCGCATGTCATGGACAATGGTAAATGTGTCAAACAGGATTCAATGCAAGGTGGTGCCGGTGACCAATCGAGAGGTATGAGCTTCACCATGTTCCCAGACTTTGACTTGGGTATTATGCAACAGAACATGGAGGGAACCACCACATCAAACAACGGTACTCATTCGATTAGCGGTGGTTTGCTTCACTACGATCCAACAACCAATATGTATCAGCAATGGGATCAAATCGATAGGAAATACGTAAACTTCACTGTCAAGAACGAATCTAAAGGATTGTATGGATTCGATAGTGGTCTTCCAATGCTGAGAGACATCGAGGTGTGCACCGTAATGATCCACTACAATGCCGCTGCCGGCAATTCCACTTCCACCTGCAAGAATAACTGTACTGTCATCTATCCAATCTCTCAGGCCAAAGGTAATCTTATGCGTTACATCGATCCAAGAGACATCAAACAAATTCAAACGGTCACACCAAACACCGGTGCTATTCCATGGTACTGTCATGGTTCTGGATGCGACTTCACCATTAGAGCAACCTACAAAGATGGTACACAATTCGTAAAGATGATTCCAAGAGGTTTGAGAAAGTATTGGGATCCACTTGGTCAAGTCTCACCAAGCACTTCTGATCCAAACAGCGGCGACAGTTTGATTCTCTTTGTCGAAAATATCCCAGCAGACAAAGCACTTTCAAAAATAGAATTACTCTTAACACCCTATGCATTCAAGACAACTCTTCAAAGCAATGCGACTGTTTTAGTTTCTCAAAACTATTAATTATTAAAACAAGTTTTTAAATATATTAATTTAATTTGATCACACAAGTACACATATTAAAATAATAAATCCAAATAAAAAAATAAATAACAATTTTTTGATATAAATAAACTTAAAAAACTAGGATATCAATACACTACACTCCAAACAATATTATTGTGAAGTATATTATTTCTTGCTTTTTTTTTATCACCAAATTATTTCTAAAAAAATAAATTAAAAAATAAAATTTTAAAACAAGTTACCTCAAAAAATCTCAATCGGGAGTAAAAAGCACGGTTTTTAATAGAAATATTGGCACTATTGTTGGGCAATATGGATCGAAAAATGGTTTTTGAAAATTAAAATGGATTTTTACCATTCTAAAAGACACGTTTTTCGTATCCATTTTTAATGTTTTAATCACTCAATTATAATATGTAATCACAAACGTTCTATTTTGGGTATCATCGGGCTGTTACCATTTTTTTCCAAATTGAATACCAATGTAGATATGTTTATTTGTTAGATGGCTTTTTGAATTGTGAAGCATTCAACAAGAAAAGTAGTAAGTTTGTGGAAAATGTAAAGCTATAAAAAGAGTAAGTCTTTTAAGACATTTAGTATTGTATTGTATTATAAACCAAATTAAAATATATAAATATTTACTTATTTATTTATTTATTTATTTATTTATAACTTTTTTTTTTAATTAAACTTTTTTAAAAAAAATGGTTGATAAAAAAGTAATTGTAATTTTAACTATTGTAATAGTAACATTGGTGGTTGCAGCCGTTGTTGTTCCAACCTCAATCATTCTAACAAGAAATAAAGATGATGGTAATGAAGTAGTGCCGACATCGTCCAGTGAAGAACATAATTCCACTTCCAGTAGTGAAGCTGGTAATCATTCATCATCGTCAGAAGATGTAGGTGGATCATCAAGTGATAACACACCTACACAAACTCCTACTCAGACTCCAACACTAAAACCGGTCAATATCGTTTCAAACCAAGTTTCAAAGATCAGATATGTACAAACCCATGTAATTCCAGCTGAAGGACTTAGTTGGACCCTTCCAAAAAGAAATGCCTCGCTTCACCTCGTGGGTGTTAGAGATACAATGATATTGGTTGACTACTCCGGTACTGTTTCTGGTGTTCCACAAATTCAAATCTATGCAAAAGGTGCCAGTACTGCTTCAGTAACACTCACACTAGATCCTCCAAACAAGTTACCACCAACTGAATCGAATGGTACTGCCTACTCGACCACCTCCTACTCTGTAAAAATTGCAGCCAAATACATTGTACCATTCATGAAAGTTGTTGTCAGTACTCACAGTACAGGAACATCACTTCCAGATGTTGGCCAAGATTCGACAATGCGTCTTCAAATCCTACCATTCTACATGTTTGGTGCCAACGACACCAACACTGAACCATACTCAAAGATTAAATTGCCAGATCTCGATACTCAAAAAGCAATCTATCAAACTTGGCCAATCTCAGTACTCTCAAGTTCAACTCATCCAATTGGAAAGATCTCCTATCCATTTGCAATCATTCCAGCTTCAGATGGCGGACAAGCTTATCGTATCACCTCATCCGACCAAATGAGATCCGGATATGTAATGATGTCTTGGGTACTCAGTTTACTCAGTGGAATAAGATCAACCAATGGAGAATCAGATACCAATAATATGATCTACAGTCCATTGTTAGCATTGAATGACAAACATGAATATTCTGACGTTGGTGGTGGTCTTGGTGGAGGTTGGAGAGGTACTGGCGATACTACCTACAGAGGAATATTCATCCACGAAGCAGGACATTCATGGGGATTGCCTCACAGTGGTGAAGCATACGCCGATCAAAAGTATCCTTATGTCAATGGTAGTTTACTTGGTAGTCAATGGGGATTCGATTTCGATTTCAACCAATTCCTAGATATCTATATTCCACCAACTGCAGAGTCATACAGTGGTTGTAAAAAATATGCTGTCATGAACAACGGAAAATGTGTCAAACAAGATGCAATGCAAGTAAGTTATTTCAAATTATTTACCATTATCCTTTCAAAACAATATTGATTATTAACAAATTGTTACTAATTAAATAAAAGGGTGGTTCTGGTGATCAATCTGATTATCTGAGATATGCAACATTCCCAGATTTCGATATGGCCATTATGCAAGAGAATATGGAAGGCATCACCGTAGACATGGGTAATGGTGAACATATTTCGAATGGTCTGCTCAGTTATAATGCCGCCTCAAAGTATTACCAGCAATGGGATAAAATCGAAAAGAAATATATGGAGTATATTATTAAAAATGGTAGTGACAATGGATTGTATGGAACTATCGATGCTGGTCTTGCCTATCAATTGAATGTCGATGTCAATCTTGTTGTCATCCAACTTAACTATGCAGCCAATTCCACATGTACCACTTGTAGCTCGATCTATCCACCAATTAAATACAAAGGTAATTTTAGAAGATACATCGATCCAAGAGATCCAGCTCAGTTGGCATTGATCGTACCAAACTCTGGTGAATTTGCATGGTTCTGTCACTCGAGTGGATGTGATTTCACCCTGAGAGTTACCTTCTCTGATAACAGTCAATTTGTAAAGTTACTCCCAACTGGTGTAAGAAGTTGGTGGTCTCCCAAGGGACCAGTCGCAATCGAATACAACGACCCGAATAATTCTGATAGTATGTTGTTGTTCGTTGAAAACGTTCCAGGCACTAAGAAAATCTCCAAGATTGAACTACTATCCACGCCACTCGGATTCAATGGATTACCATCAAACCCACAAGTCCTACTCAGTCAAACTTACTAAACAGGCACAACTAAACTAAATTTATTTATTTTCATTCTATAAAAATTCAATTATTTATTTGACCTCTCTTTTTTTTCTAACCTCTAAATGATCACAAAATGGTATTATAAAAAAGTTGAAATGAACTTTGATGCTAAACATTCCAAAACTAGCAATAGTCACAAGAATTTTTTGGAATGTGATCATTTTTATGAATGTCAAATCAAAACAAATAATTCGCCATAAAAAATGATAAACCAGTCAGCACACCTTTAAAAAAAAAAAAAAAAAAAACTTTTTTAATAAAATATTTGTGATGTTCATTTATTTAATTTACTAGATGACAATAATATTATTTAAAGATATATATAATTATAATGATAGTGGTGGTGGTACTAGGAGAATAAGTTTTTTAAAAAGTAATAATAATAATAATAATATAGTAACAAGAACAATGTTGTCATTGTTTTTGTTATTAGTTTTACTGTCAACAAGCAGTATATCTAATGCAACAAAGACAACGATAACAAATGAACAGATATTTAATGAAGAACTACTAGTTAAACCTTTACCAAATTCAAAGATATATACACATGTACAATTTACAACGGAATGGTCTGCAAACTTTAATGATCAATCAACTTGTAAATATTTTTGATTAAACAATTAAAACTTTAATAAGATAAGCGATGGATATAACTAATCATATAGATACTATTGTTATTGTTATTACTATTAGTTAAACATTATGATTTATTCTCTAGATCAATCGGTGATTTGGTATCTAGAGTGGGTGTAGAGGAGATGACACTGCAATTCACACAGGGAAGATGGAATTATGGAGAGTGGGGATATCCTGTTCGCGCTGCACCGGTCGGTGTCGAGTTGGCTGCATGGTTGCGACCAGAGGCACGTGGAATCGATGCACAGTGGCGTGAACTAACACATACGTTGTCGGGATTGTTTTGTGCAAGCATGCAATTCCTGTATCAGGTTCCACATCACACTTCTTCGCCGCTGCGTTCGTTCCGTCCGGAGGGCGAGTCGAACATCTACCATCGCTCCTCAGAGAATCCATCGATGATTCCGGCGATACTGAATCTGCGAGACAACAGTACGACACCGCTAGAGCTACGATATGGAATATTGCCACGTGAATCGGTGTGCACTGAGAATCTTACGCCTTGGGTCAAGTTGCTGCCGTGCCGTGAACAAGCCGGACTTGGAAAACTGTTGAATCCACTGCGTCTCTACGATGTTCACTACCACTCGATGTCGATCACCGTGAGAAAGATCTGCAAGGACGGAAAGAAAGAATGCGATTCTCCGGTGCTCGAATCGATACAGTCAATCTCGATAGTCAACGATCTGAAACAGCTGCAATCGAAACACACCATTCCCGCGCCGCCAAAGGAAAGCGACAGGATCGAAGTCGACCTATCAAAGCTTTTTGGCATTCAAGGTGGATTGTCGGCGTGTCCACTCGCTTCGCTCAGCAAGATCTACATCAAGGAACAACCGGATTTGAACATTGCACTCGAAACAACACCGGAGCCCACCGAGACTAAGAATCACTTTAGAATCTACGATCTTGCGAAATACTCGGCAAGCGAGGAGAGCTCACTCAAGCTGCGACTCAGCTGGAATAAGTTCAACAAGAATTCGTTCAAGTCGCCAATCACAGCGCACAGCCATCTCACTGGTTACGGACAGGAACGCGGTGGTATCGCCATTCAGATCTACAACGACTATCACACCCCGCTCAACATCACCTACTACCAAGCCATTCCATGGTATCTTCGTGTCTATTTCCACACATTCCAATTTGCCATTAGTTCAAACGATCAAACACAACAACAGCAACAACAAACCACTGATTATTCAGACCGTCTTTTCTTTAAGAATGTATCGCCTGCAGAGACAAGATCATCACCATCCACTTTAGAACTTCAATTTGAGTTGCCTGCCAACTCTGTAGCTTCAATGTCGATCGAATTCGACAAAGTATTTTTACACTACACTGAGCATCCTCCTGATGCCAATCGTGGATTCGACCTTGGGTCAGGTATCGTCACTGTACAATTAGATGAATCAAAACATAGTCATTCAATCGATATTGAATGGTCACCCTACACATATAGCCACAACAACAATGACAACACACAAACATTAACTACCATACCTGTTAGAGTTTATACTGAAGGTCTATTAATAACATTACCAACACCTGATTTCAGTAAGTAACCAAAACAAATCAATACATCTATTAATACATTCTAATTTAAATCTAATTAATCTAATCATTTAGGTATGTTGTATAATGTAATTACATTAACAGGAACTGTATTTGCATTATTCTTTGGTTCGATGATCAACATCTTAATTAGAAGATTAAAAGATACTTTTACAGGTGAAGATTTTGTATCTGATAGACCGATTGCAAAGATTTATAGAAAATTAATGAAATTTATTGATGGCAATAAATAAATATATATATTATAAAAACATGTACTACTATAGTTTATTCTTTCAAAAATAAAATGATTAAATTTAAATTGTCAAATGAATTTTGGATGAGGTATCAATGTCATCACTATAGAAAGACACTAGATCCATTGGCATGGGAGAATAATCAAAAGCAACAACAAGGATATCATCTGGCCAACTGACTAACTAAATGACGAGAAAACTTATGACAATTAGTATATGATCCACAGGTCTTGATTCCTTTCATGATTCTTTATGAAATTTGAATAGATTGTCATTGCTCAGAATCTCCATTCTTCTGGATCTTGTAACTGTTTTGAGACCCTTCCAAGGTCAATAACTCTATTGAGGAAAGAAGAATGTTGTTGCTTGTCATATCTATTTGCTTCATAGAAAACTTTTGGAGAGGTACCTTACTCGAATGGTACCAAGTGCACCACAAGACCTTTTGGGGTATGGGTATCGGTAGTCTCACCATAAAGGTTTAGTAAATATATTGTTTGTCTAGTAATTAATTTGTATTCACTATTAAAATATTTACATATGATTTATCTCATCTCAAAATACTCAAATTAACTTTTTTAAAAAAAAAACAATAAGTTTAAATTTAATGTATAAATTATATACAATTATCTATCTAGATGTTTTATTATGATATACTCCTACTCTACCAAAAGATTTTTTTGGAAAAACTAAAGTTTGTTTATCGTCTTGAGGTCAAACTTTGGATTTCACTTTATCTTTTCAGTGGCTTTTGTCAAAAGTGTAAATGTGTGTTTTTTTTTGGTTTGGTGTTGTTGTGCTTGGGAAGGTCTGCAAAATTAAGCGACAATTAAATCGCAGCTAACGTTTGATTCAATGACTTCGGATGAAGCTGACAGTACTTTTTCGGTTTGTTTGGTGTAGTTGCACACGACGACGTCGTAACCACCATCGAATCCGTGAACAGTCTTGTTGGCGATGGCAAACTCTGGAATGTTTGGATCGAATGCTGAATATGGATCACCACATGGAGCACCGTCCTCACAGTACAAAGCAGCGGTGAAACGACCTGGCTTGAATACGTTAAGGACGTTTCTGAGAAGATTGTTAAAGTCGGGCACGGCAAGGTTGGTGTCGAACGAGACGTATGAACAGTGATCCTCCGGTGTGATATGGATGGTCCAGTACCACTTGTTGAGCAATCCGTTCATTGAGTAACCGCATGGTTCGAACTGGAAGTCATCGATGGTCGATCCCGGAATCAAGTTGGCGATGCCGCTGCTGACGGTGGTGTCCCAGGCGGTGACACCCTCACGCTTAAAGAATTGCTTCATGACCTCTGGGTCGAGATCGTGCATCATCACCTCAAAGGTTTGTTCGGTGCGTTGCAAGGTGTTGTTCTTTCTCATGTCGGCGATGTAGAGGTTCCAGTGATCCTTGGTGAGTGGACCCATAACGTAGGCCTGTCCATCGAATGTCTTGTTCAAATAATCGATTTCGTCGTTGAACGAACAATGTGGGAAGATTTGCTTGTGTGGATTGTTGAGGTTCTTACGCGAGAAGAGTACCATCTCAATCTCGAGACCACATTCCTTGGCCACCTCGCTCATCTTACCGATGAGATGGAGGAGAGTGGTAGTTCCACAGGTCTTGATCATCACACGACGTGGGTAGACAAACAACGATGATTCAGACAATACGAAACTGTCCATAAATTGATTACTAGTTTGACTGATGATTGTGCATCTTGCAGAGTCCAATACTGATTGCCATCTCTCTTTGTTGAGTGAACGAAGTCCAAGGCGTGATGGTTGGTTCTTTCCAGTCTTTGAAATCGGACAGAATCTAATATCCAATTTCTTCTCTGGTCCTTCAAAACCACCTGGGAAGCAGTTCTCTTCGAAGCCGGCATCTGATTCGTTGAAGATTTTATCGTTTGTCCTATTTTTATAATAATAAAAAATTGTAAATATTAGTGTGCAAAAAAAAAAGGAAAATCGTAAAAAAAATATGTCAGAAAGTTGTCCAAAAAAAAAAACAAAATATGACTTATTTTTTTGTCATGTTTTTTTTTGTTTTTTTATCTGAAACTTTTCTGCTGTTATTATTATAATAATATTGACACTTACATTGTTGGCATTGAATTTGTTTGATGAATAATTAATTTAAATTTGATAATATTGTTATTATACTAAAGCTATGATTTGATTTATATTTATCTTTCTTTTAGTAAAACTAATGTTGATGTTTGTTGTTGTTTTTATATGTTTTTTTTAAATATGATTTTTTTTTCTTTTTTTTTTTCTATGTGTCTAAGTTATTGCAAAAATGTAGAGCAGGAGTAATTTATAAATAATGATATGATGGTGAAAAACTATATATATAATATTGTATAGCGAATGCTAGGAAATTCCAGTGTCAGCGTAGTATGAGGCTAAGGTGAAGTTGAAAGAAATGGTTGCCCTTTTATTCCCCTCTAACATAAATGCTTGAGATAAGGGGAAAGGAACTACTTTCGAATCCACGAAGGGTAAGTTTGTTTGTTTTACAACAAAGATGCTTTTAAATTAGAGCTCTATCACAACCTTTGATGGATTGGTGACAAAACGTCTAAAATAAAAGGGTAAGAGGTTTTAAGTTCTTAAAGAAAAGCGACTATGATTTATTGTCAATCAACAAATAAATCACTATCTAAAAAATAATAATAAATATATAAATATTTAAAATTTACTAATGAAATATGAAATATTGAAATAAAATAATTTGTTACAATTGAATAGAATAAGATAGATATATAAATTATTATTAATAATTATTATTTGTTTTGTTGAACGTAAATAATAAATATCTAATTATCTGAAACTAAAAAATAATAAAATAATTGTGTGTTGTTTTATTATTTATGAATAATGAGGTGAATGAAAGCGAATGAAAATTTCATGCGTGTTTATTTTTTTTATTTATTTTTTTTCTTTTTTTTTCAAAATCGAAGAGGAAAAAAAATGGAGTGTGGGAAAAAATAATTAAAACATTTTTTTTTTGATTTTTCACACCACTATGCACGAAGTTCAAGCTGATTTGATTCTTGTAAATGGTTTGTTATTTTTTTTTTTTTGCTAAACCAAAAAATTAAGTAACTAAATTATTATATTATAAAACAGCACAACAAGAAGACCAACAAACATATCAACCAAATCAAAAAAAAAAAAAAAACAATCTCATCACCATTGTAATCTAAGTGATTGTTGTTACACAAAAACTGACATTTCATTGCCGATAATTTTTGATTTTTTTTTTTTTTTTTGGTGTCATTCATTTTCATTCCACTTTTTTTTTTTTAATATCAAACAGCTTTAACCTGGTCCGATTAGACTAACATCGCAATTTATTAATTTGGTACCATTCCTTTAATCAATTGTGTTTGGGTGTCAAATTTATACCCGCTATTGAAATATCCGACTAATCAAACCAATACCAAACCATCGATTTATTTATCTCCTATTACAAAAACATCGCAATAGTAAACAATTGTTAACCCCTACACCATCAATCAAAAATAACAACTATATTTTGGAGCCAAAAAAAGAAAAGAAATATCAGAAAAGTTTAATTTTTTTTTTATTTTTTAATTTTTTTCGCTACGAATTAGAAATAAATATACCTGGTAATCAAATCATCGTAGATTTGCTTGCCACTCAACCCACAACTACAACCACCACAAACACAACCAACACCAACTTTAGTAACAGCACCAAAAAGAGTAAACAATAATAGGAATAGTCATTATTATTTTCTTCATAAAACTGTTTTAAAAGTTTTTTGTTAAAGTCATTGATTTTTAGTGACACACAGCACACACACACTGACAACCATCATCATCATCGTCATCATCTTTATCAACAACATAAGTAACAATAAATGTCGGAGGAATCAAATGATAGAGTACTCTTAAAAGAGGATAAAGGATTTCTTGCATTCTACAAATCATTAGACAAGAGTGATAATGTAATTAGATTCTTTGATAGAAAGGTATGTAGCTATGATAGTTGATTTGAGATATGAGAGACACAGAGCATATTATTGATAGTCTAATTGTTGTTAATCACAGGGATATTATTCATTGCATTGCGAGAATGCAGTTTATATTGCAATGTTACACTTCAAGTCGATGAAGGCATTAAAGTATTGGACAGAGTCAATAACATCTACACCACTAAAGAAAGCAAGAACAGATACAAATTTAAAGACAAAACCAAATGTATCATTGTTATCGTCATCATCATCATCATCATCACAAGATAACGATTCAAACGATGGTTATGCATGTCTGACTATTAGAGAGGGTATAGAGTTTGAAACGGTCTGTCAGAAGCTGCTGGCTGAGAAACTTCGCATTGAAGTGTGGACACCGAAACCGAATCGTTTGAATCAATGGGAGTGCTCGAGACATTGTTCACCGGGCAACATGCAGATGTTCGAGGATATCCTGTCGGTGAAGGGTCAGTCGTTGATGGTTGCGCTGCGCGTTGCAACCGTGCGTGGTAATCGTGTGATTGGTGCAGCGTTTGGTGATGCCACTCTCAAGTCGCTCGGTGTCCTACAGTTTGTGGACAACGAGCATCTCTCGAATCTCGGATCGTTCCTCTTGCAGATGGGTGTCAAAGAGTGTCTGATACACATCGACGATAAGAACGTCGACAACAAAAAGGTGGTAGAGAAACTACAGGATTGCGACATACCATTCACCGACGTACCGAACGCCGACTTCAACGTAAAGAACATCGAGCAAGATTTAACAAGATTATTAGGTTCCGTTAATAATGTATTAAGTAAGTAATTATTATTAATAACTAACAATGATATATATATACTAATATTTATATAATTAGATGAACTTGAACAAGAATATGCAATGCAATCTCTAAGTTGTTTAATTAAACATTTAGAGTTACTATGTAATGATAGGTATTTTGGTAAATTCAAGTTGGAGACATTCAATCTTGATAGTTATATGAGAATGGATTCAGCTACGTTCAGAGGTTTGAATATCATCAACGAGAAGGAATCAAGTAAGTCTGGAAGTGTATTTAGTTTAATAGATCAATGTAACACACCTATGGGTTCAAGAAAGTTATCACAATGGATAAAACAACCATTGGTTGATTCAGAAGAGATTGGTAAGAGATAATAAATAATAAGAAGTCAAGTTAATCAAGATAACATTACATATTAACTAATAATATTACTTAATAATTGATATATATATATATATATATTTAGAGAAAAGATTAGATTTCGTAGAGATATTTACAAATTCATTGGAATTAAGACAATCACTTAGAGGTAATGATTTGAAAAAGATATGTGATCTCGATAGACTGTCAAAGAGATTCGTTGGTTCCAAGGCAAACTTGGAGGATTGTGTCAATCTCTATGATATTGTACAGAGAATGCCAGTGTTGGTCAGTTCGCTACAGGCATACGACGGTCAGTGTGCAGAGTTGATTTCAAGTACTTTCGTTGAGCCGTTGCAATCGATCGTCGCTAACTTCTCGCAGTACCTGGCAATGGTCGAGCAGACAATCGATCTCGATCGTGCCAACGAATCGCACGAGTATGTCATTCGTGCATCGTTCAGCGAGCGACTCAACGCCATCCAAAAGAAGAAAGAACAGACCGTAGAGAAGATAGAACAGTTGCGTTTGAAGATTGCCGACGACTTGGACATGGACGAAGCGAAACTGAAGTTGCATCAATCCGATAAGGATGGTTATCTTTTTAGATTGTCACGTAAAGATGAAAAGTTGATATCGAATGCCAGCAAGTACTTTACGCACGCCACCAATAAGGACGGTGTGCGTTTCTCGACTACCGATTTGCGTCGTCTGAGCGACGAGTGTGGAAAGTGGTCGAAGCAGTACGCTGAGAGTCAGCAGGCGCTTGTCGACCAGGCACTACAGGTCGCCAGTAGTTTCGTGCCGATCATTGACGACCTAAGTTATCTCATTGCGCTGCTCGACGTCTATGTCAATCTGGCGCACATCTCGTCGGTGGCGCCAACACCGTTCGTTCGTCCAAAGATCTTCCCAATGGGCACGGGCGATACCGTTATCATCGGAGGTAGACATCCATGTGTTGAAGTACAGGATGGTGTCAACTTCATTCCGAATGACATCGAGTTGAACCGTGAGCGCTCACAGTTTCATGTTATCACCGGACCCAACATGGGTGGAAAATCCACGTTCATTCGTCAGGTCGGTGTCATCATTCTGCTGGCGCAAATCGGTTGCTTCGTCCCGGCGGAGGAGGCATCGATTTCCGTCGTCGATTGCATACTCACTCGTATTGGTGCTGGCGATAGTCAGCTGCGTGGTGTCTCCACCTTTATGGCAGAGATGCTCGAAACCTCGTATATCTTGAAGACCGCCACCAAGAATTCGTTGATTATCATCGATGAGCTCGGTCGTGGAACTTCGACCTACGACGGATTCGGTTTGGCTTGGGGTATTGCCGAGTACATTTGCAACCAGATCGGAGCTTACTGTCTGTTTGCAACGCATTTCCACGAGCTGACAGTGCTTGCCGAGTTGATCCCGGTTGTAAACAACCTCCATGTCTCTGCCAACATCACCGACAACAGACTTACACTTCTCTACAAAATTGAAAACGGTAGTTGTGACCAAAGTTTTGGTATACACGTGGCTATTATGGCTGGATTCCCAGAGGAGGTAATTGAAATTGCACGCTCAAAGGCATCAGAGCTAGAGTCATTTGAATCAAACGTAAGTATCATCATCAATAATAATAATAATAACAATAATATTAAAAACAAAACGTGTTTGACCAATGGCATTCAAGTTTTCAAACACATCCAATTCCCACCCATATTTGATATTAATTTTAAAAACAATTTTCTTTTTCTTTCACACTCTCATAACTATTAATTCAAAATTTTCCAGTCTTTGAAAAAGAATATACATCAGTTTTTGGAGGAGTTCAAATCATTAAATCTTGATGAGAATTCTCCCGACAAAGGATTGGATATGGTCAATAATTTGCTATTAAAATATCAAATTGATTTAGATTAATTTTAAAAATATTGCTATATTTTTCATAGATATATAGAGATTCATGGTGTATACATATATTTCAATAAAAATAAAAAGTTTGTGGCGAATTAAAAATTATTTTATTATAATATTAAAGATTCTCGTAGAGATATTGAATAATTATTCCAGATTTTATCTGGAATTTTCTAAATACTACCGCGGTGTTATAGCATTATAATGATATCATATTTATTGAATGTCATCATTGAACAAATGCTATTAAACTATTTTAAACTCCAATCATCTACAAGTTTTTCGCCAACTAAAATAATATTTATTTGAATTTGAGGTTCAGCATACTGTTCCTAAAATTTTCTTTTTTTAACAGGGCCTTAATTATTATTTAAAATCTCATCAATCCAGTTAAATATTTTTGTTTGTTGCTATTTTAGGTAAAAAATTTTTTTGGTTAGGTTTTGTTTTCGTTTTTGGAAAGGCAAAAAAACAAAACCTTACCCAACAGTTGGATTTTTTTTGGTTTTGTTTTTTTTTCAAAACATTTTTTTAATTTTTTATCGGTTTAGAAATTTCCTGATCGAAAGAAAAACATATAAATAGACCCGAATTCGTCAGAGTCATTTTAAAATCAAAAAAAAAAAAAAAAAAAAACTAAATCTAAATCAATAGACTTTTCTATATTTTTTTGTAATATTCAATAATTATTATCACTACTCCTCTTTTATGGAACCAAATTATGTTGTTGAAACGGAAGGAGACGAAGAGATTCTTTATCACTATGATGTGGTTATCGTTGGATACGGCCCGAACGGTGCTACCTTAGCCAACATACTTGGAAAGGCAGGTATCAAGACACTGGTAATCGAATCCAATCATGAACCATATTCTATTCCTAGAGCTGCTCACATGGATGATGAAGCCCTAAGAATACTTCAATACATTGGATTAGATCAAGATATAATAAAGCAATCATATGTAAGTTTCACAATGTTTTCTTACCTTTTCCTTATCCTTCTTCTTTTTGTTTCGACTGATTTTATTAAATCAATTTTATTCCATAAGGAATTACCTGTAAAATTTAATAGGAGATATGATGACGGAACCATTTTAATAATTGAACCAATGAAAACTCAGTTGGGACATCCTCGGTCGATCTTTTGGCATCAACCAACTTTTGAAACAATCCTAAGAAAAGGTGTAGGAAGATTCGATTGTGTCGATGTCTGGTTGGCTCACAAGGTGATGAGAAATTACTATATCAATGATTCCGACGACACTGTCTATCTCGATGTTTTGAATATGAAAACCGGTGAAGAGAAAACCATATGGTCACGTTTCTTGATTGGAGCAGATGGAGCAAGTAGCCCGACGAGAAAATCAATGGGTTCAAACTTTTCTGGTACTTCCGGTGACGATAAATGGTTGGCAATTGATTTGATCCTAAACCAAGATCACCCAAAGCTACCACATTTCTTCCAGTTCATGTGCAAACCTGAGAGACCTGCTGTTGGATTCCCCAAACCAGATAACCATTTCCGTTATGAATTTCTACTCTCTGGCGACGAAGAAGATTATATCACTGAGACCAAACATGTAGATGAGCTGCTGGTCAATCATGGAGCGGATCCCAATCGTCTAACTATCATTCGTAACTCTGTCTTTACTTTTCACACAAGAATTGCTGATCGATGGTATGACAATCGTGCAATGATGTTGGTTGGTGACGCTTGCCATTCTCTCCCGCCATTCCTCGGTCTTGGAATCAGTAGTGGACTCCGCGACAGTTTGAATTTGGCTTGGAAATTAAAGTTGATTCTCCTCCTTAATGAAAAGAATAACATTAGCGATGAACACACAAAAAAGATTCTCAATACCTACATGCAGGAGCGAAGACCGGATTTGGAGTTGATTGCTCAAAATACAACAGGTGCAGGTGGTGTAATTATGTCGAGATCCAAGATATTTTCCAGAGTCAGAGATATGCTTCTCATTCTACTGGTATCGATTCCAGCGGTTGTAAGGTTTATCAAAGCCGATGGAATGAAGCCAAGAGCAAGAGCAGATTCCTTCTTGATCGATCTCCAGTGTAGACCAAGCTTTATAATGAGTTTCGTTCCACAGTTCCTCAGACCGTTGAGTGTCAACCGAAAAGAAAGAGTTGGATTACCATTAATTCAACCGGAGATAAGAATGAACCAAAAAACATTGTTACTCGATGATGCAATTGGATATAGATTCTCGTTGTTACTGTTCAATTTCTCGCTCTCCAGTCAACAGGATATTGAAGCATTGGCAAAGTTACAATTGAATTCAGAGTATTGCAAATTACTCAATGCCAAGGCTTTCCAAATTTTAAGAGTGAACGAAACCATCGATTGTATGAAGCACATCGACGATTCTACGGAATACTACTCGCAAATAGAGGATATCGACAACCAACTACACTCTCACCTGCAACTTGTACATGATATCACTTCGAAGGTTATTGTGGTGGTGAGACCCGATAAGTTAATCTATGGAATCTACCAAAACGAGGAGATTAATCGTTGTTTTGAATCTTTTAAATTTATTTTCGATCAACAAGAATGATAATTCTATTAACTTTTGGAATATTCTATTTAAATAAAATTGATAACTGTAATTTTTAGATTTAATAAAATTAAAAAAAAATTTGGGTTCCAAGCAAACCTTAAATAAATCATAAAGATTTTTTAAATTATTTTATTTATTGATAAATTAAAAATTTAAGTTAATTTTAATCAGTGAGAGGGTTTTGATGATAGTGTTAATCCCAATAAATAGTTTTTTTTAAATTTTATTATTTAAAATTTTTGTAGTTATTAATTTTTTAACTGTTTTCAAAACTGAATAGATTAGTTAACAATAATTATAATGATTAATTTAAAACATATTTTTATCAATTGGGTAATTTTAGAGATCTTTTCAGTTTCTTTGTTACCCTTTAATTTTACTTCTATTGAAACAAATTGGTATTCTATTAAAACTGAGATAGATCCTAAAACTGGTGCATTTAATTTAACTACATATAATTTAGTTGAGGCAGTAACAGAAACAGTAAGTATTTAGGAAAACGATACAAGTATTTTATTAATTTAATTCAAATTAGCATAATTCTTCTGGAATATTCAAAAGTAATGAGACTTATAGTGATATGGAAAGACCACCACCTCAATTGTTTGGAGACCTTTTTTCCTTAATGTTCAATTGCTTTTGGTTTATACTCATTTTGAATATATTTTCAATAGGTTCACAATATTTTGAAATTACACCGAAACAATCAATTGTCGCTTCTATATTGGTAGTAATAAATGCAGCTATTATTCTTACACTCCATATAGTAACTATTGTCAATATTATAACTCTACCCAATTCCTTTAGAAAAAGTTATAATTGTCATTCAAAATGGTGTGCCAGTTTGGCTGGGAAACAAGATAGAGATGAATGGGGACCAAGAGTTGGACTTTACTTCTGCTTTGTGTGCTTTGTTTGTTCTTTAGTTTGCCTTATCCTCGCAATAGTCAGAGTCGGAATGTGCATAAAATACATGAATAGAATTCAAAAGGAATCATCAGTACCACTTAAACCAATACTACCAAAAAAATCAAAACAAGTAGAACCAACTTTAACTAATCTTCAAATTAATGATCATGAAGCTCAAATAATCATTTTTAAAATATTTAATAATATTCAATTTAAATAAATATGTTGCAACTAATATTTTATACATTATCCTAATTCTTATATAAAAAATAACTTTACATATCTATTCAGACAATTGAATATCTCTTTAAAAGAATCAAAGTGCATTTTATTGTAGGTGATCTATTAAAGATATTTTTATTGTTTGGTTTCAAAGGAGACTACAAAGTTTTTTTGAAGTTACCTTGGGCCATTCCGAGTAGAGGTGGTGAAGAAACAAGCGGTCCAGATGATGTGACTGGGTTACCACCGTAATCATCGAAGTCAGAAATAATGATTTTGGATAGTGGTGTCGATTTCCATGGGTAGTTGGGGAAATTTTGTGGATCGAATGATGAAACCACTGTGATTGATGTTGAGTCATCCAAAAACATGACAACTTTGCAACCGATTTGTGGAGTTATCAATGCATACATACTATCGGCAGCAGTAAATGTATAAGTTCCCTTCTCAAAGGTTCTTGGGATTGGACGAGGTGTACCTGGTACGCGATAAAGAGTAATACTAATACATTTTGCATCTATTTTGAATTGATTTATAAGTTTAGTTATCAGGTACAAATAGATTTCACTATACTTTTAAAATACTTACATGATACAGTTAAATACATATTAATTATTGATGGTCTAGTTGCAGAGTATGTCATTGAGTTCATAGCAACATTCCAATCTTGATTAAAAATAGGGTTTGTGGAAACAGTGCAATAGCAAAACCATGAACAAACCAGAGTATCAAAGGTATAAATAGTATATATATTTGTTCCAATTGCATAGTTATAGGTTGCTAATCCATTTTTAATCTGAGCCCCAGCACATTTCGAAGCTATTCATATAATTAAAATAAAAAATAAAAAGGTAAGTAATTAAATTCATTTTCTTGAAAAAAGTGTTAAATATATTTACAAAGGTAGTTGAAGGTATAGGTGTAGGTCATTGGTTGATTCGATATTCTCAAGGAGATGACACCAGAGTCAGGCATAGTATTTCCAAAAGCAACTGTTAAACATGAGATAGTGGTGGAGTTGATGAATGAAACCAATACGCAAGAATATGTATCTATTTTCACGGAAGATACAGAGGAATAGAAAGAAGATAGTTCTTGTGACGGGGGGAAGTTTTCACCTTTGATCAAAAGTTCGTTGGAAAACAATCTCGATGGTTGTTTGACGAGTCCTGTGATCGTGGGTGGAATTCTACTGAATTGGTAGTTTCCATACAATGCCAAATTTCCATATTTAATGTCGATATTGCAGTTCCATGAGCCAGCGGGAATTGGACATTGATACTTCGATTGGTCAGCTAATAGTGGACAAATTGTATATGGGGCATTGGTATCTGCACAATATTTAACTTGTGGAGGTTGACTTGACCAATTGTTAATCATGAACGAGCCACCAGTGACCGGAATATTGATGTTGTTTGTGACCAGTGCGGTATCTGAGTAAACAATGAATTTCAACAAATTTGGCGATGTAACACCTTGTTGTCCTTCAGTATAGAAAACACCATAAGAGTCTGGTGCGTTAGCATTGTAGACTAATAAAACTTTGAGTGATGTGGCCACTGTGAATGATTTCACTTTGTTTACCCACGACACTGGAAGTCCAGACAGATAGCCATTTTCATACACTCCAATTGGAAGTTCGAGTGTTTGACCAGTGTTACCTGGTTGGTCAAAGAATTTCTGAGATGGAGCTGAGTATTGGTATTTGAAGAATGGGAATTTCAATGTCTGACCATTGGTTATAATATGTGTAGAACCAGATACCACTGGTCGAGTATTGATGACTGGTGTAAATTCAACCATAATTTTGTTTGTAACATCAATATTTGCTTTAGTGCTTCCGGTGTATGTAACCAAAGAATATGAATTGTCCGGGAAATAATTGTATATTTTGGTGACTGTTTGTTCAAATAATCCTGGTGAAGGACCATCATTGATGATATTATCCAAATTCTGATCAATATAGAGATTTAAATTGACAAGGTTGGCATATCTAACTCTGACATAGGAGAGGTTATTGAAATCCACAGCACAATCTGGTGGAGTTGTACTTGAAATCACACTCATTGTACATGTTGTACTAAGTTGAGGGTTACACCAACCATAGTCTGCAAGGTTAAACGTTCCATATTGTAGATACATAGTTTTAGTACCTGAGGTGAGTGTTACTTGACATTTCTTTGTTGTATCTAAATAAATAAAAAAATTAATATTATAAATTTGAATCAATTGTTCATTTTCAAAACTTACCGTATCTGAGGAGTCCAATGTTTTGATTTACCAATTGAGTTGGATTGACTGTAATTTCGGTTGGTAGGAAGAAGGTAGCAGTTGAAACAACAGAGAGTACATAACTTGATTGATCTGAAGGCACTGTGAACGAATAGAAACCAGCAGCATTGGTGGTTGTTGTAAATGTGGTTCCAAGCTTAACAACAATTCCAGCAATACCATTTTCATCAGAAGCTTTTTGATTGTTAGCGTTGGTATCTTCATAGACAGTACCTTGAATAACAGTGTTTGTGTAGAGCATCTTGTACTCTGAGAATGGATAGAGTTGTTCTTGTGATGGTGATGTTGATTTCATTGACAATTGAACTGTTCCTCTTCCCTGTGGTATTATACATTGAACACGTGATTGATTTCCATTGATAGATTGACAATTCATTACATTGCTGAAGCTTGGAGTACCATAGTAAATCGATGGGAGAGTAAGATAGGGTGAGAAGAATTCAGCGGATGTTTGACCACCTGCTTGATCTAATCCTGTGAACGAGTTGAACATTGGGATATAGGATACTTCAATCAAAACATTGGAGAATGGTGAAACTGATATTTCCAATGGTGCATTGGTTTGAAGGACAACCGAATTGATATCTGTGCTCGATGATGACAATGTAACTCTTTGGTTATTGTTGAATGCATTGATTGCTGTAATTATACCGTTGGAAATCTTATTGCTCTGAACTAACCACCCCATATTCTGGAGTGTTTGTAAATTATATTTACCGACTGGAAGAGATAGTTTATATCTCAATGAATTGTAGAATGCAACCGGTGGTACAGAATCGTAGTTCCATTTGTAGAATCCAAATGAATCGGATACTGCACCGGAAATATCATAGGTTTTACCACTGACGATTGAATAGAGTGTTGGTTTTGATGATTGATCGAATTGGAATGAAACTTTAAGCAATCCACTCGAAACATAAAGTGTTTCTTGTCCGGATGACACAAATTGTTGATTGTTAATACCACTTCCATCCTTTGAATAGATAATGGTAATAACATTTGGATCTGGTGCATTCTCGTTGGCATCTTTAATTCCATTAAAATTGTTATCCATATAGAATGTTAGGGTAAGTGGAATTCCTTGGGTGATAGTAACTACGTCATTGGTGGATGTGGCAATACACTGAGGTGGAGAAGTAACAGTGATAGGATATAAACAATTTTGAGTGTTGGAACAAATTCCATAGTTTCTCAAATTGATTGTTCCTTCTTGGAGTGTGACAATGGTTTGTCCGTCGGTCGTTGTGTAGGATTTAACACAAGATTTCTTTTCCCAAATTGGAATATAGTATTGATTGGTGATACTACCAAACACTTCAACCTTAAAATTATTCAATGGAGCCACGAAGTTGGAACCGACATTAATGATGGCAGAGTAAATTCCAGCCGCTGTGGTGAGCACACCTCCACTTCCAGTTATAGAAATGGTTTGGTTGATAGTTCCAGTTGAGAAGATAACTGTTCCAGTTAACAATGGTTCATTTGGTTGTCTTATTCCATCAAAATTATTGTCTTGATAAAGTTGAACAAATACATTAAAGTTGTATTGAATATTCATGACATTGGAAGGACGTCCTCCAATAACAACCTTTACCGAAGTGAATTGTGATTGTAGGACATTGGAATTCACTGAAATCTTGGCTTCATTAACAAATGTTTCATTGAATTTGGTTATTTGTGATTGTTGATTAGTGAGTTCAATCCATGAGTTTTGATCATATGGCATTTGATTTGGAATTAAATTGGATCCTTCAATGATTAGAGTGTTGAGCTGTGGCAATGCTGACAAAGATGCAATAACAGGATTCTGATAGACGTTGACAAGTGTTGTGTTGAGATAATCACCGGATGCAATCTTGAGTTCAATGTTATTGTTGATACCTTTGGGAATCATACATTCGGTAAATACGTTGAATGACTTGCAATCAATAGCTTGAGAATCAAATTTGGCATAGGCGATATCATTGAGTGAGTCACCAAATGAACTACCTCTGAATTGCATTAATCCTCCTAGTGTTGGAATCGATCCTGATTGTGAGTTGATCACCGATGATTTGTATCTAAAGTATTGACTTGACATGACAAGTTGAGTGTTTGGTGTTTGGATCGAAATGTATTTGTTCGAGATTCCTACTGGTAATCTACAGTTAATGATTGAATCTGAGACTGAAAGAATTGTACATTCTTTGATTCCTACATAAACCTTGACACCAGTTACATTGCTACCGAATCCAGATCCATCGATTCTCAAGATATCCAATGCATTACCAGTGGTTGGTGTGAACGAAGTAATAGCTGGCGGTTGGTAAGAGAATGTAAGAGTGTTTGGAATCGTATATCCATTGAACTTCAAAGAAATGAATAATTTGGAACCTGTTCCAGCCGGAATATCAACAATAATGTTTGTATGGTTAACCGATACAAGATTTAGAAGAATATCACCAATCGTAGCTGAAATTGTTGAATTGTCTATTCCAAAGTTTTTACCATTGATGATGAGCTGAGATCCAGTAGTTGGAATTATCATTGGTGAAATAGAATCAACGGTTGGTACTATTTAAATAATAATAAAAGTTAGTCTTATTTTAATACACAGATAAAGTAAATAAAAAACCACTTACAATCATATGAGAATGTGAACTCTGTCGATTGAGAATCATATGAATCGGTTGATACGTCATAAATGGAAATATATTGAATTCCGGAACCAGGTGGTACAATACATTGGATGTAGGTACTGTTGATATAGTTGGATTGAAGACAATCTTGATCTCCAATGCTCACTGTCATACCTGCTTTGATATGGAATGCGTAGATATCCAATGGATAGTTACCGTTGGTCGGTCTAACGCTGGGAGGAGAAACACCATAAATGACTGGTCCACTTCCCAAACAAAGACTCTCTTGAATTTGAACAGTGTTTAGTGGTGGAGTAACAAGTGTGAAATCACATATTCTACCTTTGAGTGTTGCAATTGCCAACACTGGTGATCCTGCGGGCTTACTATCAATGTAATAGAACTTTAGGTCTGATTCCAATGAGAGTAGCTCATGGTGAGAATAGATGTGAGTTTGCAATAGTTTGGTGAGTGAAACCAAAGAAAATGGATCACACAATCTCATGACCGATGGCTGCGATGATTCACAAATACCGAATGGTTCCAATGGATTAGTAAGGAGGAGAGACGACAAGAATTGAAGTGGTTTGTTTGCTTGAGCTGAACTCTTTGGTGTTTCCAAGACTGTTTTGATTCCATAGTTTGTATCGTTGGTGGAGTGCCAAAGTGCAAGTGAATCGAAAATCTTGTCGATTTCAGTCTGATCGAGATTTGAGATTTGAGATTGAGTGAAATAGCCTGGATCAACCAATAGTTCTTTGAGAACATCAGTTGTATAAGATGGAATATTGTCTGATGTCAATTGTAATAATAAATTGAAACGACTGGTACTTGCACTGACAGGTGGAACTACTGGTGGTTCTGGATATCCGTTGTAATACAAAATATTCTCATTGACTTTAACTCGGTATTTGGCATCCAGCGAATCATATAACGACTTGATAGTTTGACAATTTTGAACATTCTTCAATAATTCGGTCCATGGAATTACGGATGGAGTGTTGAAATCACCAAAAACTATGTTCGGATCAGGGCCAAGTGTTTTGTCATCCAATTCATCCATCCAATCCCAAAATGTGGCAGCATACCAATAGGCAGTTGGAGGAGCAACTCTACCAAGTGAAGCACCCTCTAAATCAACACCAAACGTAGCTTCCGGATTATTCCTGAAACAACCAACCACTGTTGATCCTGTTTGTTTTGTCATTAACTAAAATAATTTTAAATTTTAAATTTTAAATTAAAAATGGCTTATAATATTTAGATGTAATTGCTATGGACTTACATTGTTAATATGTTTGGAGACTGCCCATGCCATTCCTTGAATAACTGTATTATCAATATTAGTTTTGTCAACTAATAGTGAATCAATAATCTTCAAAGTTAATGCATATGCAACTTCCTCCTGACATGTGAGACTGAAAATATAGAGAATATCGTTTTCCAATCTGGTCGGTCCATTTGATTTAACCATAACAAAGTTTGGAATTTCAGTTGGCCAAGCAATATTGGTTTTCATAATTTGTAGGTATTTGTCGATAAATATCAATGGATTATCGGGTGGTACTGTAAAGGATGTGTATTGAGAGTAAAACTGCACCGGTAGATATGAGACGTACGTAAATGGGTTGGTAGTGAGATCAAATGTTGTGTCATAACGCAGGGCATTAGCAAGGTTACATGGCTCCACAATGCAATAGCACAATTTGAAGCTTGGAGTTTCCATTGCCATCAGTTGTTGGACGTGAATTGGGTTGGGTGCATGTGCTTTGACCTTGGATGACCACGTCAAACCCCACTCAATAGTTTCACTGCTCGACGCACGGTAAATAGATATGTTCACTGTGAATTTCCGCTTGTCGTCTAAGACCGATAAGGTTGGAGGATAGGTTGGAATAAAATCGTAATTCGTTCCATCGAAGGTGACATATTGGAGAGTTTCAAAAATGCTACCGGTTGGTGGGATCATTGTATCTTCAGAAGTAATTAGAATGTCGATCACAGCCAATCTCATCCAAGTGGGAATAGTAGCGATACCAAATGACTGAATGACAAAGAGATCCTCTTCATTAGCTCGTATAATATTGGTATAACGACCAACTCTGTTGCTAAAATAGTTGACTAGCTCCTTGCTGAAGAAACAGGCGGCACCACCTCCACGTATACCTTGACCATTATGACGATTGCTATCACCTGCACAGAAGATATTGTCGAACCTCGTATCAGACCATGGCTGTGGGCGCATGTTAAACATCAATTTGGAATGGTCTCTAGCGGAGTGATGAATGTAACCATTTTCGAGATTCTCCGGATTGGTGGTTTCTAGAGAGTCTTCGACATTTGCCAACAGTTTTTGATTTTCCAATGTTTGGTACTTTCTCTTTGCACCACCCATCTGAAGAGTCTGAACGAAAAACGGTCTACCGTTTGCAGTCGGATTGAAAGTTTCAAGCATTCGCTCATAGATATCGAAACCCTCCAAAATATACTTTTCATTAGGATTTGGTTTGACATAGAGAGCAGCACCTGGGACAGGTTTACGTACTTTAACCATTTGAACTTTCTTTTCTTTGTAGTTATTAGATGCTTTCGAAAAAATATTCAATTTGATACCGCTTTTGGTTGTCATGTCGGTATGCCACCAGCATTTATCTTTAAGGGATGGAAAAGCATTGGCAGTTTCTGCATCACAAATCTGAGGAAAAAAAATAATGTAAAATTAATGACAAATTAACACAATATTATTAATAGGTGAACTTACTGTTGTAATGGGATCTATCGATGTTGTAACACCATTGGGATCTATGAGAGCATTTAGCAATGTGAATTGTGGATTTTTTAAATTTTGGACCGATTGGAATATCAATGGAATATTTTGACCAATGTATCTAGAAACAATATTGATTCCGGTGTTTACGTCGGTAGAAGCACCGAATGTATAACAATAGAAATGTTGATTCAGTGATTTATCACCAAGCCAATTAGGTGTATTGATTTCGTAATAATCATATGGTGGTGCTTTTGTTAGTGGTTCACCGGTTGGCGCGGTCGGACTGTTGTATGTGAAAGCTGGCCAGTATGGTTGTGAATGGATAATGTGAAGTCCACTTCCTGTATTGTGGTCGTAAATAACCAGACCTTTGGTATGTCCAGGTTTGGAATTGGCTGCAGTGTAAATACTTTTCTGTTTAAGGGGATCGACTTTCGGCTTCACCATGGAACCGTCTGGGTTACGCATTCCGACCTGGTCATTGTAGAAGTAATAGGAGTAACCATATTTGATTTGATCGAATGTCGCTGCCATTGGTGATAGCGAGCTGGAGATATCTGTCAATCCTTTGTGTCGCTCGACGTTGAGATCGTATTTATTGTCAATATAGAGATAGTTATCTTTCTCGGCAATGGGAGTGTCTTCGTTCTCACGGAACTTATAGGTGAACGACCAATCCACTGGAAGATTCGGAACATTGAGGTCTGGTGAACGACCCAAACAGGACAAACCAAAGAAATTGAAATCGAATGGATCAGATTGAATGTCATTATTATAGATTAATCGGACTTCGGTAAGGATTTCACGTTGACTCTTGATAAAACATGTGAGATAGGTGTTGATTTGAATGGTTTCACAATTGAATTTACCGGTAAAAGCACCTTTTTCAGTGAATTCAATTTGTGGTGCGATTCTAGAATCGAATCCAGTTCCATAGATGGTGATTTGTGTTATCACTGGGTCGGTATCGAAGTTTTGGAAAGAATATCTGGCGGTGGGTGGATAGATCTTTGTAATGACCGGATTGGATCGCGAGAATGAAATAGGAATGATTGTACTTGGAATGACTGTTGGTGGATTGGGAGTCCAACGCATTTCGATATTATATTGATGATTTGGATTGGAATTAAGAAAATCTCTCTCTACTGGAATGGTGACATCGATTTGATAATGTAATTCTTTCGATATCAATACCATTGTAGGTAAGAGAGTACTTGTGAGAGGATTTGTGGAATCATAGAATTTCGGCTCTACAATACCGACGTTATCTCTGACAATATCTTTGGTAAAGACCACCATTTTATTTTCTTTAGTGGGATCAAACACTCTTTCTCTAATCAAAAGTGATGAATCTATATACATTTTGTTTATAGAAACGATTAAATGAATTAATAAAATATGGTAAATGAATAGTAGTATAAAAATAATACTTACGAAAATTAAAATTATTTTGGGTCAAGGTTACTCCATATTTGCCTAAATGGATTTCGATTTTGTAGGATCCAGGTTTTTTGGCTTCTGGTAGACAAAGTATGGTGACATAGGTTGTCTTAACTTCGACCAAGCATTTGGTAACAGCGTTGCTGGAATCGGTCATTAACACTTTTGGAAGAAAGCCCATATTATCCAAACCTATACCAGTGATCTTTACAGTTGGAACCTCAACAAAGTCAACAACTTCAATACTATTTAATTGAATAACTGAAATATATGTATATAAAATAAATTAATGAATGATTGGTAAATTAATAAAATAGATTGACATACCAAATAATTGGACGGGAAGTGGTCCAAATAATAATTCGCCTGCATCTCCGGATAAATTTAAATTATTGTTGCCAAGTGGGAATCCGATTGGAACTTGGAAACTCATAGATTGGTCATTGATGTATCGTGTGAGAAGAGGAGCAGCGAGGCCATCTAAAGTGGCGGTCTTGATACCATTAACATTGTCGGCAGTAAAAACGGTTGTTGCTCCAACTGCTATTTTACTTGGTACTCTCATATTACTTGGGTCTTGATGTAGTTTAAAAAAATCAAATACATTTTTAATAAATTCTATATTTAAAAATAAATATAGATATATACTTACAATGAAGATAAGTGGTTGTTTCTGCTCCAAATTTGACTTGATAGGTACCACTGTATTTTAATATGCACTCTACATGAAAAGTACTTTTGGAATTAGGAGTAGATGGACCAAGGGTTTGGCATGTCATTAGTTGGGGTGTGCCAGATTGGGTGATACTCACTTCTAGATCTATTAATTTGAGTTTCGTAGCCACAAAGTTAACACCTGAGTTTAAAACAAACCATTGATATCCTGGGGAGACATGTTTATTTCTATCTAAACGGTAGAAGGAAAGTTTAGCTTTACCAGCAGCAGATGTTGATGCTACCAGTGCCATCAACAACAACGTTAATGACAATAAGAGTTTCCTATTTACTGCCATTATTCGATGTTGCTTGATGAATAAGTTTCACTTAAAACAAATTAACTTTATTTGTAAATAATATACTAATTTAAATGTTTAATAATAATTAGATAAAAATAATAATAAGATGAATTGATAAATTTATCTAGCTATGAAGATATTTGTAATTTCGAAAACAATGTAAATGCTTTCATTGATCAAAACATAGTTTGGGTCATTTTTTTTTTAATCTGTGCAAGATTTATTCGTTTTGTTTATGATTCGTTCGTTCCTTAAGGTTATTGAAGCGACATTAATGAAGATTGGAACGCAAAGTTCAATCATTTTGTGATTTTGTTTTTTTGACATAAATAGGTTAAAAAAAAAGTATAGAAGATCAAGTTGCTCGCCAAAATATAAAAAAAAATTGTTTTATCCCCAAAAAATGAAAAAATTTGCGTTGTGCTAAAATTCCAAAAAAGCTGTGCAAACAAAAACCCAACCATTAAAATGAAATAACAATTTTAGATTGTTTTTTTCTTCAATTCAGATATTTATTGATAAAAAATATCTTTGTACAACTCAAATCACATAAAAATGAATGAGTTCTATTGAGAGAAAAAAACATAAAATTAAAAAAAAACTTACCTGATGAAAGCTATCTATTCTTTAAATTTATCTCTTCGTTCTCTATTAGTTTTGGTGAAAACATCTATAGATTTCTTAGGTTTAGAGTCGCTTGGCCTTCAGGTTTGAGTTTGATTCGTAAAGCTCTACAGTAAAATTATTAAAAAAAAAAAAAAAGATTGTTTTTGAGCAAAAAAAAATAATATTTTAATAAATAATGACTTCTCAGGTATTATATTCATCTACTACGAATTGATCCACCATCACACCGGTTACAGTAAAAATATATTGTTTGAGAGCTTGCATGTCTCTGGCGACGTAGGGTGCATGTTTTACACCAAATGTTATCAATAGTTATTTTTATTTGGATTTGAAAATAAAGAATAAAAATTTATTAATTGTTACATTTCTCACCTGATCTCTTTTAAAAAATTAAATAAATTATTATTATTTATTGTTTCATTAGAGAAAAATTCTTCTTTTTTAAGATTGTTTAAGTAAATCAAACTTAAATCTAAATTATAAAAATAAATTAAATATCTTCAAAAGATTAAAAAATGATAAACTTATCCCAACATTGTGTTAATACTACATTGCCATTAATAAAACCTGCTTTAATCAGAGAAAGTTTGTCTCGTATGCTCTTTGATACATCTTAAATTTGGAGGGATGCTATTTATTTATTTATTTATTTACTTATTTATTTATATAATATTACAAACTATCTTTGGTGAATCATAAACACAAACTTCCGTCAACCATATCTTTCAGATAACAATTTAGTTTATGGTGATAAAGTGTGGTTGCTTGATGGGCTTGATGGACTCTTTGGACTGGTGATATCATCCTCATCGAAAATGAAATCATTATCTGGACTAAAATATGTTTCTTGTGAAGGTGATGAAACATTTGATCCAGCTGTAATTCTCTTTGGTAGACGTTTCTAAATATTACAAAAAAAACAAAAGAAACAAAGAATGAGAAAAAGAAAGTATTATAATTAATAAAAGTTTAAACAATATTATTATTACTATTATTTTATACATACACTGAATCTCATTAAAAAGTCTCTCATATGATTTTCGTTGGACCAAACTTTGAATTGATCGACGCTATCACGTACTTTACTCCTCAGTTGGTTGAATTTCTCTTCGACCTTGAGTGCATTCTCTTTGAAGACACCGACGTTCATCTCCTTTCCGGTGTATCCACGCTTCAGGTTACGCATAACGTAGCTATCGTAGTCCTTGACGATTCGAAGGATGATGTCGGATGTAGAGATACCCTCGGTACGCTTGATGGTCATGAATTTACCTTGATCCTTGACGAACTGGTAGATATCGTTGCCATCCTTGTCGAGACAGGCATCTTCACCGTGCGATACAAAGTCGATTTGGTGTTCATCGATAAACTCCTGAGTGACGATCCACGGTGCATTCTCGACGACCTCGTCTACCCAACGACAGTGACGCAGCGACTCGGCACGTTCAATATCGGTCATAACGGTCTTTCCTTTCAAACGGTGAGTCATCTCGTCGTTACAGACACCGACAATCAAATAAGTGTTGGGGAACAACGACTTTGCTTGTTTGAGTGAACGCGCATGTCCAAAGTGGAAGAGATCGTAGATACCGTCGGCATAGACACGAACGGGTCTGTCGGTAGGTGGTGGATTTGGTGGTCTATGAGTTGTTGTACTACCATTTGAATGACTGCTACTGGTAGATGTATTAGAGTTGTCAATGCTGTTACTGTATTGTTCATATGTAGTTGAAGAAGAAGAAGATTCAACTCTTTGTTTCTTCTTTGGTGCAACTACAGTAGTTGTTGTTGACGATGTTGTTGTTTGTTCATCAATACTACTATTATTATCATTATCAATAATCTTTACACCATTACTACTACCATTTAACTTTTTATTATTTTGAACATGATGATTACCATTATTATTATTATTATTTTTAGTTATTATTGATTGTATATTGTTTTGTTCAGCAACTTTCTCATCAGGGTTACTGTTGTTGTTGCTTACAGAAGTAACATCTGTATTATTATTTCCACTAGACTTTCTCTTTGACATTTTTATATAAATAAAATGAACAAACAAACAAACAAATTATTAAATAAATAAATAATGAAAGTAGTTTTATGTTATCGCAACACCCCTTTTAATTGAACTTTTCTTTGTGGGATATTTATTTATTTATGAGTTGTGGGCTAACTGCCCAAAAAATTAGGGGGGTGAAATTTTTTGATCTTTGCTTTGACTATTCCAAATCATTTATTTCCTTTTTCAGTTTATGATTTTTTCAAGTTTCAAAGCTGATCGGTGCAAATGAAAAGCAGAGTTAAAATTAACGAATGAGTCATCAATACATATTTGTTTGGACTTTCTTGTTTTTTTAAAAATAAAATAATATTATTTATCTTTATTACGAATTAATAGGTACTCCACCCGGGTGAATATGTAATTGAGTTTGTTGAAGGTCGTGTTTTTTCAGTAGTTTAGCTACTTTCTTCTCGGATATCTTATGCTTTCTAGCGCCTTTGCAGAAGCTGTAGGTATCGATACCGTTGGAGTCGAGACTAGAGAAGATACTGAGTATCTTTTCAAAGCCTTCTTTGATGAGTGTGTCTTGATTGATTCTGAGGATGTGGATGACCAGCGTGTGAATGACATAGTAACCGTGTATCAGTACCAAATCCCAGAATCTAATGAGCAGAGGGAATGGCACGTTACCACTGAACACCGTGAGGAACCACTTGGTTGCATACATAGAGGTGGTCACTCCCTCGATGCCAAAGTGTGATTGTATACGCGGGAGTTCATCGTGTAGCAACGACTCGTGAATCGCATAGTGTCTATAGAGCAGCGGGAATGACGGTAAAAACAATCCTCGCAACTCATACTTTTCATTCTCCATCAGTGAAACCAACGACCAAAATGCTTCCTCCTCAGTCATATACATCAGCAAAATAGAAGCGATTCCACTCATTCCTTGACAATATCCTACCTCTTGATCATAAATACTATATGCCTTTAATACATTGAACAATGATTGTTGACTAATGTTGATTATTAATGAAAATTAATAAAAATTGATTTTGATTTTCATGAAAATGATTCATTAACACAACAAACTTACCCAACTGAAAATCTCTCTCTAAAAAAGATATGATTTCTATAGGTTCTATCAATGTCCAGATCGATTTGTTTTACAAATTCAGAGTCACCATTTAATATTTGTTCAAATGAAAGCTTGGCCTTGTCTCTGAGGGTGTGTGGCGCAAGGATCAACTTCCAGAGCATGCCTCTCACGGAATCGGGAACACTCTTCCAGGAGAGTGAGTGAACCTTTGACATCTTCTTGGAGGAGTACTTTCCCCAGTTTTCTGTAATCTTTAGCCACTTCTTTTCGCGTTGCACTTCGTAGGTCGATTTGTGGCGGTGCAGTTGATTGTAGAAGTCTTTGTTTTCCGACCACTTCTTGACTTGTTGCGATGTCATCGAGACGTCCGGCAGAAATCCAAACATGTCGGCGATGGTTCCTTCTTCGGGTGGGTCGTCCAGTATGTCTCCGCGATACTTGGGTCGCAGTCCATTGGCATACTCTCCTTTCAGGCCGTACTTGTAGCGCAGTGTTACATCGGCGCCACCCGACACCAACATACTGCTAATGGTTGGATTGGCAATATCCAGTGAGAAGTGGAGCGGTGTCTTGTTCTGATAGTCTTTTACGCTGGCTTGTGCACCGGAGCGCAACAGCGCTTTTACATTCTTTGGATGACCGGAGCGCGACGCGTAGAATATCGGTGTCTGTCCGGTGTTGTCGATCGCATTCACTTTGGCACCGCGATTCACCATGAGCTTGACGGCTTTGTGACAACTCTGATTGGTCACTGCATAGTGGAGTGGTGTCGCGCCAAGGTAGTCGGCAATCTCAACGTTTGCGCCCTTCTCGACGAGCATCACAATGCACTTGATCTTGCCGAGAATGGCGGCAATGTGGAGTGGCGATTTCTTTTCACGGTCTTTCGAGTCGAGCATCGATCCGCCACTGACGAGTGCACTCACAATGTGAACAGAGATGTCGTCGGGCGATGACGACTCCACTGCATAGTGGAGCGCAGTCTTTCCTTTCTTGTCACGTGCCTCTGCTTTGACGCGTCTCGGTCCCTTCTCAATCATCGTTGACGCGCACGATATCGATCCAATGGAACAGGCGAGATGCAGTGGAGTGCAACCATTGCTATCGCGCTTGATATGCGCTCCACAATCCAATAGCACCGACAGTATCTCAGTGAGTCCATTGAAAGCGGCTCTGTGCATCGCAGTCTGACGCTCCTGGTCACGAAGATTGACACGTGCGCTCTTGGCGAGCAGGAATCTCAGTGTTTCCAACTTGTTTGCATACATCAGCGGTGTGCGACCCAAACTATCGCGATCGTTAACCGAGAGTTTGCCAGCTTCCAACGGCGAGTCGTCGTCGTCTTCGTCGTCGTCGCGATCTTCATTCTCCTTGTCATTGAGATCGACTGCAGTTTGCGGTGAAAGTGCTGCGGATTGCTGTGATTCGGTGGTGCTGTTGTCGACTTCACCCAATATTTCAATGAGCGTGTTCATATCGTTGTTGTAGACCGCCTCGTGAATGAGGAAGCGGCCTGGCGCGTGAGGAAACGGCTCCAGCGCGACACATGGAATGTTGGTACCGCTATTGGTGATTGTGTTGTTTGTGAGATAACTCTGAGTAGTAGTGGTAGTTGTATTGCTGCTCGTCGTACTAATGTTATCGACCACATTCACTTGATGATTGATGATGATATTTGCTAGATTTCCATTGCTACCATTCTGCTCTGTAGTGATGATCTCCGTTGAACCACCAACTTTCAGACTTGGTTCCATTCCTTTTCTTTCAAATTCGAATAGAATAATATATAATTATTTAATCTTCTCACTATATCTGCTTTCACTATTTATAGTTTTTCCAACAGCTTTACAAATTGACTTTTTAATCCTTAAAAAAAAAAAATTGAAATTCCAATTCAAAATTTCAATGCTGATTAACTTAAACTGTTATATAATTATTATTATTATTATTATTATATTATTGTTAAACTAAAATACAAAGTTGATAATGATTTTCTCTCTTTTTTTTTTTTCTTACAAATACATATATTTTTTTTATAAATAAATAAGTTTTTTTTTTGATTTGATTTGATTTGATTGTCAACTCTTTAATATTATTATTGCTGTTGTAGCTATGTTATTATGAATATTGTTGGTTAGTTATCTCGACTATAATGTCCAAACAATCGTTTGTTATCTTGTCAATTTTCAATTGAATAATAATAATTGGCACAGATTGAATGAATGAAAGTTGTTATTGCTATTGTCAACTGTAATTAATTAAAATGGTTGTATAGTTAGTATTGTGTTATTATTTTTATGATAAAAAAGGGTAGTTTTATATATTATTATTGTGACAATCAGTATTATATTTTTAAAAAATAAAAATATTGATTGATGATGATTAACAATCACAACAGATAATAATTAAAAACAAAAAAAACCAATAAATATTTTATAATTCAATGTTTATTGTTCTTATTGTTCTTGTTGTTGTTGTTGTTGTTGTTTATTGTTATTGCTATTCTATTTTAAATAAAGTTAAAATGAATTGAATTGGAATAGTATGGAGGAAACAAATAATTTATAAATATATGTTTGATTGCTACTACCAATGTTGAATTTAATGATTATTTAATTTTGGATTTACATATATTATAAATTATTATTATATAAATAATAATGGTGGTAATTATTTCTAAACAATTTTAATAAACACAATCAAATTTGAAGGGAGATTTATCATCATATCAGTGTTGTTCTGTGAGTTTGTGTTGTGTGTGTGTGTTGGTTTGGATATGTTTTGATTGGAGAAGGAATAGAGTGAGTGAGTGTGTGGTAATTTCCAAAAAAGTAATAAGTTGGGATTATATATAAAGGAAGGAAGATTGATATATGAACACACATATATAGTGGATCAATGTTATAATATTATATTATATCATATCAAGTTTGAAATATTTATATATTCATTAAATTATATTATTTGGGTGATCTTGATGTTTTTTTTTTTTGTTTTGTGTGATGTGGTTGATGGTTTGGTGGTTGTGTGGTGGTGGTGGTAACACCACTCACATTTATATATCTAATTCTAATATGGTTTTGATTGATTGATTGATGTTAGCAGGAGGTTTAGTGAATGTAGTGCGCTACTGTTGTTGTTGTTGCTGATGTTGCTGTTGTCACTGTTATAGTGATGATGATCCTACTGTTTCTGCTGTTTGCTGTTATTGTATTGAATCGATTTGAATTGAATTAGGTTTGTTTTAGTGTCTGTAGGTTATGTGTTATGGTTTGAATTTTATATTTTTATGGTTATAGATTGGTATGGTATGAAGAAATTAAAATAAACATTTTCATGGAGCAAGCAACAGAGCAAAACTAATTTTTTGTTTGTTGTTGTTGTTGTTTGTTTTAGTGATGATAGTATGACTACTATTACTACCTGCTAATGTGATGTGTTACTGGCATTCATTCATTTATACTTGGATCAAAAAAAAAAAAAAAAAAAAAAGTAAAAAACTTGAAGATTGAATCCAATATACTGATTAACTCGGCGTGTATGTGGGTGTGTGTTTGTGGTTTGTGATACAATACAAAATTGAGATATATATATTAAAACTACAGTGAGTGATGTATTTTAATTTGGTACTCTTATTGCTGCTGTATGAGGTAGGTGGTGGAATGATAGAGGGTAAATATAACAGATCTGTTAAACTATAGACTATATTCTATTCTATGCTATTTTATTTTATCACAATAGTTTACTCTACCTATAGAATTTACTAAAATATATACATATAATACAATAAAATAGAGTATGTGGATTGGATGTTAACAATTTATTTGATAAATCATTGTTTTGTTTTGATTTGATTTGATTATTTATGTATTTCAAACAACAATCACCAATAAAAGTTAAGTTAAGTTAAGTGGATGATTTGAATTGTGTTGTTTTGTTTGATTATGTTGTTGGTCAACAAAAGCATTTCACAATTTGAGCAATTTTTTTTTTTTAAGTTATTATTTGTGTGTGGCAAATGCATTTGCAATATTGAAGTGATAATGAATACTTTATTCATTGAACAGGGTATGATAATGATATATTGAGCATGTTGTTACACTGTTACAATCCAAAGTAAATATACAATAAATTGCGTTTATCAATATTCTGAGTAACGACTACTTGAAGCTATTCTAATTACATCGTGACAAAAATGGAAATAAATAAATAACATGTTTTTATATTTATTTATAAATATAATGATTTAAGATACAATATAATAGGGTTTATTAAACAATGAAAACTAAAAATAGTTTAAATCCATTCCGTTTTTGTGTCTTGAAAAAAAAACAAAAACATAAGTTGAAAATAGATGTAATATAAATCTATCAATCTATTTTTAAAAATAGCACTAGTGTGTTGTGTTACTGTGGAGAGGATTATTAAAACAGTGTTGTTAAATTGTTGTTGTTATAAAAGAAGAAGAAGAAGAGGAAAATGAATAATCTAAACTAATATTATCTTTCTACTACTAAATAATATTCAATAATATAATATTATTTGATAACTAAAAATATGTTCATATTCCTATTCTTATCTTATTATTATTATTGTTCAACTAAATCTACTTTGAATCTTACTTTAGTTTTGTTATATCTTTAATCTAATCTTAACTTTTTCGTAATATTATCTGATTTTGTTTTTCTTTTTTTCTTTTTTTTTTTTCTAGAAAAAAAAGTCAGATTCGATTCTTTTCTGTTATAATAAATAAATAAATAATAAAGTATAAGAGGAATGTTTTGATCCTTTTATCTTTTTACTAGTAATAATACAAAAAACAACAATAAATTTATAAATTACTTTGTTGTTGTGTAAAAAAAAAAAGTTTTTGCTCCAAAAACCAAACTAAAAAAAAAAAAAAAACAAAAAATTAAACTAAAATGAATTTTTTTTAAATCTTGTTCTTGAGATTTTTTGTTTATTCATTTTCATGGGCGGTAAGATTTTATGTAGTGGGCAATAAAATATTATTACATCAACATAAATAATTTAAATTTACAAAAAAAAATGATTTATATTTAGATATTTTAGAAAAAAAAATATAAAATTAATTAATTTATTTTTAATTATTATTGTTAATTGGTTATTGTTTGTTATGGATTACATAATGCTGAGAATCTATCTCTAAGTTGACCAGCACTAAACGAAATGTGTCTCTCATTGAAACTAGAGTCAGACACCCATATGGGACGGTAGAATCCGATGGCGGGATCAAAATTTTTCGCCAGTGGATAGGTCACCAGTACACAAACGTCTTTGGTATTGGTGGAGTAGGCCAATGGGAACAGGCCGGACGGTAGCTTGCCAGTGTTTGGCAGTGTCTCAATACGATTGTACCAATTGCTAAAGATTTTCTTGTTGGCGATGTCTTTCTTCTTGTCGAAGGCCTTGGTGGCTTCGCTTGTTCTCTCGAGGAAATCAAGCATGCACCGCTGTATTAGCCTGTGTCCTTCGACGCCGTACGCCGCGACAATCTCTGACTTGCTCTTTAGTGGCGGCAGCAGAAACAACATTGAATAGAAGAGAGCTGGACGTCCATCAAACTTGTGCAATTCGCTCATGTTCTCACTGAAGAGATGCGGTAGAAACGATTTGTACAGCTGATAAAGTACTTCGCCTTTCTTTTCGTTCTTTAGATACCACTGTAGAGTTGCTGATTCCACCAGGTTTTCATTGATGTTGTTAACGACATTGTTAATGGGTTGTTGTTCGCTAATAAACATTGGCTGTTTGTTGCTTGCTGACGTTGAGAATATCGAGAATTCATCTTCGTTTGGAATTTGCGATAGAACTATGGCCATACTATCGTCAAATACCGAGCTGTCATTATCACCTCCGTCCTCCTCCATGATCAGTAGCTTGCCTACCTCGCCCTCCTCTTCATCTTTCTTCTTCTCGCTGTCCTCTCTTCTCTTCTTTTCTTTCTTTCTTCTCTCGCTATCTCTTCTCTCCTCTTCTTTCTTTCTTTTTGCTTTTTGTTTTTCCTCTTCTCTCTCTTTTTCTCTTTCCTTTTCCTTTTCCTTCTCTTTATCCCTCTCCTTTTCTTTCTCCTTCTCCTTCTCCTTCTCTTTTTCTTCATCACTACTATCATCATCATCATCATCGCTTTGATTTGATTTATCGCTTTTATCACTAACAATAATTGTTGTAGTTGAATCCTTACTTTTCGCAAAGAATCTATTATAATCTGCTTTGAGCTTATCAAATAGTTGTTGACAAACTTTATTGCCCAGTAGAGTACCATGCTGAGCAATCTCCACACAAGTTACAGCAAGATCCGATTGACACAGAGTATAACAGTCTTTAACCAACTCTGGATCCTTAATAGTAGTGATTTCACCACTTATCGCTTTCAGTTGTCTCTGTTCATAGTGTACAATCCAACTCTTTACAGAGTTACCAACAAACCTTGGCCACAGACGTGTATTCTTAACTGTTATTTTTAATGGTGCATCTGATTTCGTTGTCGTTGTTGATGCTGTTGCTGTTGTAGTTGGATTGCTACTACTAATTGCTATTGGTGGTTCTGACTTTGAAATTGTTTCGTCTTGTTTATCATCTATTATTGTTGTTACTTTATACATATTGTTATTATTATTTTCATTATTATTGTTATTACTAATTTCATTATTATTATTATTATTATTATTATTATTATTATTATTATTATTATTATTTATGGTTGTTGTTGTTGTTGGAATATTTAAGAAATGGTTGAATGGTTCTATTAAAACAGTTGGAGGAATGAATGATTTTGCTATACGTTGTTTATAAGTGGAAAAGTCGAATGTTTGAAAATGTTGTTGATCGAATATCGTTTGAAGATCCAACTTGGAAGGACCAAGATGAAGTGATTTAGAGAGTTGTTCGATGAGTGCGATTAGACATAGCTCTAGAGACGCCATACAATAGACTCCACTCGTATTTGGATTGGTGTCGTCAGTGAACCATTCGAGTTTATTGAATTTGCCAATGGAAAAGTGTGATTTGATTGCACTGTCCAAGTGGTAGTTCGATTGTTTCAGTGGATCGATGATATATGCAGTTCGGGTATCGTTCTCATCGATGACGACAACGATCAAGATCCAATGATAGTCACCCATCACCGGTAGAAATATAATCTCTGAGCGCAATGTGAAATCTCTTTGATAGGGTGGTGATGATCTTATTGTTGTTAGTGTTGTCGTTGATGTCGTCGAAGATGTTGTCTCTGTTGAGGAAAAAGGAATGATTGAGTTGATATTCTCATTGGGGAGTTGGTGTTGCCGAAAGTTCTTTGGATGATATATCTTGATGTACTTTAGTTTCTGTCGATCCTTCTCGCCAAAGTGATACCAGAGTAGTATTTGACTGAATGACGCTATTGCATTCTCAGTGAGGGGTTCGTCCTCATAGAGCTGAGCAATATCAGTGTTGTAAAGTGGCAGTCTATGTGGGTCATTTACACACCAATATGGTGTTGAGTTGATCCTATGAATCAAAACTGGTTCCACACACACCGATTTGTTTGGTGTAGTTGGTGATAAAATTGTTGTTGGTGTATCATCGACAACACTGTGATGTTGATGTTTTTGTTGTCGATCTGTGGGTGATCTATATGGTGATGGACTAAATAATGGAGTATGAACAGACGTTGGTGTTAAAGGTGCAATCGTCGTCTGAGTCGGTGGAGGTGGAGGTGGTGTAGAAATCGGATTTGTTAAAACATGTTGTGGATAATGATATTGTTGTTGCTGTAGCTGTTGTTGATAATGCATTTGGAGTTGTTGTTCTAGATATTGTGCGTGTAATTGGTGTTGATATTGCTGAAAGTATAGTTGGTTAAGTTGTTGATTTTGTACTGCTGTTCCCGCAGGTACACTACTACTGGTGTTGGTGGTAGTGGTAGTAGTATTAGTTGGTATTGAAATTGGTGTTGTAAGTGGTGAAATTGGAATTGGTGTTGGATGTTGTGTAGGCATAGGTGTTGCTCCAAGAATTCCAGGTGGACGATGATGTTGTAGTTGTTGCTGTTGCTGTTGCTGTTGCTGTTGCTGTTGCTGTTGCTGTTGTTGTAGTTGCTGTAGAAATTGATGTTGTTGATATACTGCTTGTAGTTCTGGTCGTTGTGTATGTACTTGTGTTTGTGTATGTACTTGTGTTTGTGGATGAGGAAGGTGAGGTGGAAGTAGTGGACTACTCGATTTAAAAACTACTTCTTCATTACTACTGTTATTACTGTTATTACTATTATTTTGATTTACATTGTTACTATTAGGAACATCATCATTCTTTCTTTTCTGTGGTGTTAGTTTATCTATAGACATTATCTTTATATAAAGTCAAATGTAGAAAATGTGTGAATCTGTTTTAATACTATACAACAATAATCTGTTTCAAAAAATTAATTAAGGTGTTATTGTTTTGGCGCTTTTTTTCAATAGTCTTTAAAAATTTTTAAATTCAAATTTTGTTGTGCTCATTCCCAAATAATAAGATCTTTATAAATAAATAAATTATTAGGTTGTGGTGAGGTGGGTTGTTTGTTAGACAAACCGTTTTTAGAAAAATTAATTAATAAATTAATAAAATAAATCATTAATTTTATTGATTTTGAAAAAGTTATTGTATTTATTTAAAGATTTACAGCCAAAGAAGTTATCTCCTTTAAACAATTGGATATGAAGCACATGATGCTGTTATTTTTAAAAATTTGATAAAAAAGAAAGAAAAAGAAATATTAGTACTATGGTTTTATAATAGGGAAAATGTTTTTGTTAATTAACTTACCAATACCTATATAAAGTGATAGATAAAAAAATTGTATTTAATTAATTAAAAAAGAATAGAAAATAAGATAAAAGAAACAAAAAGATTAGTAAATGTTTTTTTTTTTTGAAAGATTATTGATATTAATTTTTAAAAATACATTACCGCAATTATTCTTTCTATCCTTTGACATATAGATATAACCTTTATCACCCCAGGTATCAGACCAGGAATTCTTGACGATCCAGTAGTTTTTGGAGCTTGTGGTGTCTACTTTTTCAACTTTAAGTGATTTCTTACCGTGATAATGGTCAGTCTTGGCAGTTTTCTTGAGAATCATGTGATCCATATCGGAGTTGGGTGGGTTACCGGATCCGTATCCAACAACGAGTACACCATGATCCAATCGGGTGGAGGAGCACAACCACTCGTAGTAGATACCGTGTGAGTAGAGTTGGAAGGAACGGTGGGAGGCATCAATCTATTAATGTTTTGTTAGCTCTTTTTTTTTAAAAGTTAGAATTTCAATAAACTTACCGCAACTGACACCGGACCGGCTGTCTTTACTGCATTGGCGAGATCAGTCTCTGAACCCGGTGTGATACTCTTGTACGAGGAGATGGTTGCACCGACATTGGTCTTATTGAACTTACATACGCTACCGGTGTTGGCAGTGTATGGATACGATTGCTCAGTGTCAATACCGTGATTGGATATGATATAGTCGAAAGCATTATTCATCAATCCACCATTGCAACCCATATTTCCTTCGGCGGAGGAGCAATCCACCAAATTCTGTTCGGACAACTCAACCATATTTCCAGTCTTTATTTGGTGAGCTCCTTCAACTGATCCAGTTGTAGAGAATGACCAACAGGATCCACACTAAAATTTTTTTTGAAGTAATAGGAAACATGATTAGTTTAGTTTTGATTGTTTTGTTTTGCTTCGTTTCGTATTTTTTTTAATACTCACTTGACCTTGATCTTTAATTGGTGAAACAGCACCTTTCTTTCTCCAATCTACGGTTGCACCAGAGTCTTCGAATACAGTGCTGAGTTGGGTGTTGATGTGTGTACCTTGTACGTTGAAATGGATATGTTTTACACGAGTTCCCAAGTAGAATTTCTTGTACTCCTCTGGTGAGTGGTCGGCCAAATGGTTCAACTCCAATACTGTATCAGAGTTTTTAGCATTCCATGAATGGACATAATCCATATTCGATTTAAAAGTATGATATTTCTTTAAAAATTCATTATTGCTATATAATCTTTGGAATTTATGTGTCCAATCAGTGAAAACTTGTTTATATTCCTCCTCTTTAAATAAGGAACCATTGACTATTGTCAACAATCCTATAAATGCTATTAATAAAATGATTTTATTCATTTTATTTATATAAATAAATATTTATATTTTATATATAAATAGAAATTGAAAAAAAAGATATAAAGTTTTCTTTAACTATTATCCTTTCAAAAAAAGTTAAAAAATAAACAAAAGTAACAATTGAAATGTTGCAAACTTATATATAAATATGTTTTTGTCTCTAATCAAAAAAAAAAGATAAACTTTTTCAATAATTACAATTTAAAATAAAGTTATTTAGAACATTCGATTGAAATTTATTCCAGTATCTGTTGACGGATTGTAATTTAATTGTTTTAAAGATGGTAGAAAAATCATATAATATAGTATCGATAAAATAATTTAATAAAAGAGTTATTGTTTATTAGCAAAAAAAAATCTTTTTAATTTGAATAGATAGATAATCGGTAGATTTTTTAATAAGAATGTAATTATTATATGTTATTGTTATTAATTACCACGTTCTGACATGTGATGATTGAATTTATATTTTGTCTTTTGTTTGATGATAAATATTTTTATGCATAATTGGGTGTATTTGTAAATAAAATTAATTTTTCTAAAAAAGGTTAGTCGACCAAACAACAACCCACCTCACTCCACCACAACGTAATAATTTATTTATTATGATGGTTTATTTTTCATTCGTATTTATTTCAATATTATAATAATAAGATCAGCAAAAGGGATATACTTATATTTATATAAATTTATATATCTGAAGTACCAAAAAAATAAAACATCAATATTAACAATAACGGTTTAGTTTTGCTTGTTTGTTTGTTCCAAAGATTGTTGAAAATGGAATGTTGTATTATTATCTATCTATCTATTTAATTTGAATAGAAATTGATTATTTAATTTCAATTTATTTGTTTTAACCTGTTATTACTGTAATCTGAGATTAAAATTTGGATCAAGTTGTTAAACTTTACCATTATTATATATGATGTATGTGTATGTTGTTTGATTGATCGATCGATTTGCTTTTGTTATAAAAATTTCTATATATTTTTGTTTTGTTTTTTTTTTTTTGTTGATGATCGATCATCAATTGGTTTCACAATTATTAAAAATGACCAAAGAGAATGACTGCAGTTTGTTTGTAGAGTGTACCATTATTCTTAAAATGTTCATCAGTGCTTGATTCTTTCTTATTATAATTTTACCTTCTTTAACTATTATATTGATATTCCAATTAGTGATTCTATCTTTCTTAAAAATACTTTAGAACATACCTGATGATAGATTTCCTAATATTTTGAGTGCTAACAATAATAATTCATGTGATGTATTGGTATAATTGACAATAATGATTTTAGACAAAGTATCGAAAAGTTCTTGTTGTAATAATAAAGTAAAGTTGGTTTCTATAGTTTGTTTGAAAAGAAAAAGAAAGTATTTTTTTTGATTAATTATAATTTCCAATCTTGTTTTCTAATAACGAATTCAACTTACGACAAAGTGAAAGATAATAGAGTGTTGTTGCTGCATATAATGGTATTTTATCTTGATTCGAATAGTGTAGTAGATTGATCATTGGCCGAACTCCACCGACCTGTCCAATCGATATCTGATTGTCGCTGTTCTCTGAAAGACTGGCAAGTGATGCCACGCTATACAATATTACTTTTTCCACCGGTGAATTAATCATCAATATCAAAGGAGGCAGTGATCCACCTTCAACTATTTTTCTTTGATTTTTAGCTATATTATTGTATAATTAGTTATCTATTTGTTTCTGCTGGAGATGAATCAATATTATTATTATTATTACTTACGATTGGTAGATAATATGGAAATAGCGTTGGTTGCAGCCAGTTGTAATGATACCTCGTCAGAGAGTGACATGGCGATGAATGCTTGTATGATGCCACCGCGTATCGCCTGATCTCTGGTGAGTGTGTTCTTTGTAAGATTGAGTAGGATGATCGATGCCGAGTGTTTCAGTTGGTTGTTGTAGGAACGCGCCAGCTCGATCAGCACGGGCATACACCGGTCGGCCAGTGATGTCTTGATGATCGCATTCTCCTCGCACGACAGATACTCAAAGCACATGCATATATTCAAGATGATCTGGTGGTCGTCGTCGTGTGGATTCAACATGTAGTCGACGAATGCACCAAAGATCGACGATTCAATGATATCGACACGATTGATCTCGTTCTCGGCGAGATTGGCAATGGCGCGAGTCGTGTGCCGATAGACCGACGTTTCGAATCGCGACAACAGCGTTAGCATCACCTCGAGGAAATTGGTGATAATCATCTTGCGACCGAGCGCATCCAACGACATATTGCAAAATCCTTTCGACGACTCTATCCGCTGCATCACATCGTCTGACAACGCCAACTTTGAGTAATGCGCCAAGTCTGAACATCTATTACATATTCTAACTGGTCTATCATAATGTAATTGTGGTAATGATTGTCTTTTACTACTACAATTATTACAAAATATATTACCTATTTACATATATATAAAAATTATTATTATTAGAAAATCAACTATTTTTGTTTTTTTAAATTTTCACATCACAAACAATGTGTGATTATATATCAATCGATTTTTATATATCTAAATTGAATGATGATGTTGATTTTGATGTAAATATAACTATATCTAATATACATACCACATTGTCTACAATGATGACGTCTTAATAAAGTATTGAATTGAGATGAACAATTTAAACATTTATCTTCTTGTTCATCTGGAATCCACATTGGTCTCCAAAGTTTCTTATCAGCACTTTGCATCATCTTTACTTTGTTCTCTTATTATCTATTCTATCTATTACTACTAATATTTTCCTGTTAATATTGATTTGACTATATTATCTATCTATCTTGTGCTAATTTGTTATTTTAATTATTGTTATTATTATTATTATTATTACGATTAAGTTATCTGATTTATGAAACAAACAATTTGGCGTCAAATTAATCTATTTTCTTTCTTTAGTTTTAAAGCTTTTTTATTTTTGCAAAAAAATGTTTCGTGTGTGGTTGAGGTCAGCGCTGCTTGGTGTGTGATTCGTATAATAGAGGGGTCAGTTGCAAAATTTTTGTTGTGTGATGATATTCTTTATGATCACAAAAAGTGACTGTCTCTGTTTACAAAAAAATCTTGATACTTTTTGTATTTGATGCTTTGGAAGTTAAACAGAAGATAGAAAGGAATTTTTTTTTTACAATCTAATTATAATTCTTACGAAAGGTTTATAGACCAACTGACTGAAAAAGAAAAAAAAATGATGAAAATTCTTTGCAAATAAATATGGTTGGTTGATGATGAAAGCACCCACACCGAGTGTTCTGAAAAAGAATTAAAGGTTTTTTTAAATTTCCCTTCATCAATTTTAAATTTATAAATTTAAATCTTATTTTTTATTTACAAATAAATATAAATATTGATTCAACAAATGATATGTCATTGTTTAAAAGATGTCTAATTCTTTGAATAATATAATATTCTCAAATTTAATCTAACATTTTCATTTAAATAATATTAAGTTTCAAGTTTGTTTTAAAAATAAATGTATATTTTAAGATCTTGAATCACAACTTGGTATTTAAATCATTATTCTGACTGATCAAATAATTATAATATGAGTGTCAAAAAAAAAACTAAATTAAAAAAAAAATTTAAAAAAACATATGATTTAATATTTATTTTCTTCACATATTGAGATATTTTTTGTAAATATATATATATTAAATTTTAAATTTTTATAAAAGCTAGCTAGATAATTGTTATTGTATAGATTTTAGATATATATTTTTTATTTGAAGAGAGTTAGATAGAGATTAATAATACAAAATGACAGCACTATTATTTTATGGATGCTTGTTTGTTGCATTCTCACCGAGTATCGTATTCTTTACGATGGTGATATCGCGTAACAGTCAGTTGGTTATCATGGCAATTGGTGGGTCATTCTATTGGTTGTTGTCGATGCTGCTGGCGAGTATATGGTGGTATATAATACCACCGATGAGACAACAGTATTGGTTCAACATTCCGTTCACCATTATGTTCCAAGAGGTATTCCGTTATCTATTCTATCGTCTCTATAGCTGGGGATTCGACAACCGTCCGTCACTCGCTCAGATTCAATCGCAACTAAACCAGATGAAACAAATCAACAACCCTACACAAGAGCAACAACAAGAGCAACTAAACATCAGATTGGAAACACTCTCTGCAAGACCCAATCATACATTATCATCTGCAGGTAAAAACAAACTAAAACTAAATATCTTTGTATATACATATATATGTTAACATAATATAATATTATTATATATATAGCAATTGGTACAGGTAGTGGAATTACATATGGATTTGTAATGTATGGTACTATTCTTTGGGAAGCACAAGGACCTGGTAATTTGTTCTCGCCGGCTTGTCCAACGGTCAGTTTGTTCATTCTCTCAGCGATATATGCACTTTGCTTCTCGTTGTTGCATATCGCTTGGAATATCACAGCATTCCAAGGATACAGAACTAAGAACTATTTCAATGTTGGTGTTGTTTTATTATCTCATTTCGCTGCTTCTTATTTTGTAAGTATAATAGTCAACAATCTATTTGTGCACATTACTAACTTTACTAACAAATATTGTGGTGTATCAGACATTACTTAATCAACCAGATAGAAGCTGCTATGGTTCGTTAATACCAGTTTTAATTATTACAGCAACTGTTATTGGATATACATTCAGAACAATGATTAAAGGTGATTCAATTACAAAGATTACATAAGATAAGAGTATTGTTTGGTAGTAGTAGTAGCCAACAACAATAACAATAAGCTTCACGTCAATCAATCAATCAATCAATCAATCAATCATTGATAACTACACAATAATTATTAACAAAACAACTACCTACTTCTCCTTTCCAACAACTATCAATCATAATAATGATAAATCAAAAAAGAAAAATCAAAAAAAAAAGATGTATTATTCAAAGTTATATAAAGTAAATATGACTTGTTTGTTTGTATTATAATAGTGGAATTGGAATTTAAGTTGATTTTGTTTTCTTTTGCTTGTTGTAATATATACTATGATATTATTATTATTTGATAGGTGTAATAGTTTAATATTATATTGAATATCATATACATTCGATTCGTTTTTTTTTTTGTTTAGATAGATATCATATAGATATTATTATTATTATTACACGTCGAGATTTATCTTTAAAACTTGTTTCCAATGATTTCATATTACAAATATATTTTATAGATTGACTATTAAGATTATTATTGCTTTAATTCACCGATATAGAATTCATCCAAGATCTGTTGAACTTTGACTGGATGTTGATCACCATGGAATCCCTTTGAAGAATCTTTACCGGCGTTGTTCATGATTGCCATTCCACCCATATGTTTATCTACGTATGGTGTAACATCATATACCTAAATGATTATTATTATTATTATTATTATTTGATGATGATGATCATTGATTTATTAATATTGACACTCTCGAACATAACATATATCTATAATGATAATTATATAATGTTACCTTTCCGTCGATAATTAACCATAGATCAGTCTCTTTGTTGTGTACTGAAACTTCTTCAGCGGTATAGAACTTTGGGTTTGCTCTCTTTGCTTCGTAGGAATTTTGTTTGACAACCTTCTTAACAGGTGCTGGTGCTGGAGCAAATACGTAGTTCTTTACATAGTATGCAGCTGCTAAGATAGCAACAATAACCAATAATGAATTAACATCCATTTTATTTATCTTTTTATAATGATATTATATATGTTGAAAATTAATAAATTAACAAAAATATAAAAATAAAAAATAGATAGATCAATCTTCTTTTTAAAAAAAAAAAATAAACAAAAAGACGAAAAAAGATTTTTAATTATACAACTTTTAAAGATGAGTGTGTAGTGTGTTGATCATTGATCTGTTCTTTTTTTTAGTTTAAACACATATATTGATTTGGTCGATTTTAAACTTATAAATACTGTTTATTAGTTGATTTTCATTTTTACTATTATTAATTTAATATTTTAACTTGTTTTTTTTTTTTAATTTTTTGAGATCATTTGATTTAAAACATTGGTACTGAGTTCGTAGGTATAAAATGCTATTGCTGAAGTTGGTATGACCTTAATATAGTTAATGCTTAATCCCTATTATTATTATTATAGTTATTATAATTATTTGTTAGTTAGTTGGTTATTAAGAGAAAAAGATTTAGTAAATCTCTTGTTGATAAAGAGGTTAACAACTACTTACTTTGTATAAACTTAATAAACCTTCAGATCTAAAGATACGATATATATTTGTGAATGATGAGTGTTTCAAATTGATTTCGACCTTGCCATCTCCGTATCCGTGTGTTTGCATACGACGACGTACGACATCGAATGGATATGAAACGGTCTGTGCGAAACCACCGGCCAAACCACCGGCAAACAGCTTGTATGATGTCGTCAGTGAACCGTCGTGGTTACGTGCATAGTGTGGTGCGAATGATTTCAAGCTCTCGAAAGTGGAGAACGATATACCGGCGTACGGCAGAATTCCAATCAGAGTCGGTTCGATACCACGATAGATTCCTCTGATTCCGTCCTTCTGTAGTGTACTCATGAACAGCTGTTTCAAACCGGTCTTGTCCGGAGTGACTTCGATTGCCAGACGCGCTCTCAGCAAATCCAACGGGTAAGTTGCACACACTGCAATGCCACCCGCTGCACTTCCCGACAAAAACATATTGACCGCAGAGAAATCTGTTCTACCTGTATTGAATTTCTGTAATGTAATTGAATGCAATGTAATCGAATGCAATGCAATCGATCCGATAAATCAATCAATCAATCAATATGAATTCTAATCTCTAATCAAAGTGTTGTTGGTTGTTATTGTTGATGTTGTTATTTCCATACCTTTTTAATTGTTTCATATGAAAAGAATTGAACTGCAGCGTATGGGAATACTCTTGTAATGGTTGCGGTGTTTCCTCTCCAGAGACCTTTCCAACCTTCGTTTTGGGTGATCTTGTTGAGTGAACTGACGACACTGTCGAGTGAGTATTGTGCACTTCTAGTTTGATATAAAATCTTTACACGTTCCAATGGTGCAACTGCCGATTTCGCTGTGACACCTGCAATTCCACCTGCAATGAATGATACCAATTTACTTGGTGGTGGTGTTCCTGCTGAAGCTGTATCCATCTTTATATTATTACTCTTACTATTATTATAATTATTACTATTACTATTTAAATCTTCAGCTGCCGACTCTGTTGCAATAACAATTTCCTCTTCCTCTATTTTTGATTATATATAATGTATATATCTAAATTTTTACAAATTAGATATATATATAAAAAAATATTATTATTAAGGTTAAGGGTTATAATTGAATTATTTACTTTAGTTTTATTATTGTTTTCAGTTGATTGTAGCTGGTTATGGTTGTTATTGTATTTATATAAATATCAAAACAAAAACGATACACTCTTGGACAAGTCGTCACACACACCTCTTTCTTAACACCAAAACAAAAAACACAACACCTAAATAATAGTGTAATTTATTAATTATAATTAATTTGAAAACACAATGATTTTGTAATAAATATGTTTATCGATGATGATTCAAGAATTTCGTCAAAAAAAAAATAAAATAATAAATCAAAAAAAATAATAAAATCAAAAACAAAAAAAAAACAATTTTGAAAAATTAAGTATGTGGTAACTCAGAGTGCATAATCATCCAAATTTCCAATGACCTAATTTCATTGCAAAATTTACCCGATTAAACTTTTTTTAAAAAAAAGAAATAAAATGTAAAATATTTAATATTAATAAATTATATAAAAAAAAAAAAGTATGAGAGTTGTTTAATTAATACATTCAGTCACAATGATTTTAATGGTTTGTGATTGATTAAATATAATTTGGTTAGTTGTTTTGTTTGGTTTTAAAAAAATAAATGATTAGATTTTGATCGTTGGATTGTATTGTAGATTTGGATCATTATCTTCAATGTCGGTTATATTATTATTATTATGGTTATTGTTATGGTTATTGTCAATAATATTATTATTATTAGTATCAGTAGATAGTCAGTTTCCTCTTTCATTTTCATATTGAATGGCACTGGGTGGAGGATATAGGCTGATAATATTCTTGGCAATCTGATGAGCTGTTGCATAGATTGTGATCATCGGGTTCACACCGACTGCTGTAGGAAGTACTGATCCGTCGGAAACAAACAATCTCTGTAAATCCCAACTCTCACCGGTTTCTTTGACAACGGAATTTTGTTTGCTCGATCCCATCTTACAGCTACCCATTTGATGTGCCGAGAAAACTGTGATTAAATTCGTCTTGTATGTCAATCCTCTCACCATCTTTAGGTATTCTTCGATGTCTTTGCTGTCGACCAGCGGTACACCGGCCAGAGGAATACCAATCTTTTGAGCACCGGCAGCCACCAGTGTTCGTAGAGCACCCTCGACACCGGGAATCAGATTCTTCCAATCCTCTTTCGAGAGTGTATATTCGATTCTTGGCGATCGAAGATCCTTGTCGAGCTTGATTTTTCCTGGATTCTTGTCGCGAAGAATCGAGATGAATGCGCACCATTTCCTGAGATTGAGAATCTCCTCTTTGATGTGTGCAGAGTTATTCCAGAGGAACGATCCGAATGACGATGCCACTCCAGGGTGTGCATTTGGAATCTCGATAATCGAGCCATGTTTGTTCATGAATTGCTTGGATACCACAGACATTGGTACTCCACTCCACACCTCGACATCCTTCTCGAATATTCCGACGGACGGAACTACCGGATGCAGATACAGTGTCTTTCCGATGTTGGGATTGTTGATTCCACTTCGCAAGAGTAGTGCGGGCGTGTGGATTGCACCGGCCGAAGACACAACAATGTTGGCTTTAATAAATACACGGAATCGCACACCATCTTGATGCATGACACTTCCGACGACACCGTGAACGGCGCGACCACCACCCGGTGCATTGGTGATGGTGATGTGCTCGGCAAAGCAGTTGGTAATGATCTGTGCACCCTTGGAGCAGGCATCCTCGAGGTAGGTAACCATCGACGACTGTTTGGATTTCGATCGACATCCCATCGAACAATATCCACACTGAGTGGTATCGCAATGCTTTACATTTCTTGGGATAACGGTGTTCTGATAGCCAAGCTCGTCCAGACCATCAGAGAGGATTCGGTTCGCAGAGTTATGCACGGATTCATCGATGTTCACATTGAGACGCGCACACACTGTGTTGAGCGCAGTCTTGTAGCTCTCGCCAAAAGTATTTGGACACGATTGTCGCCACTCTTCAACAACGGAATCTGGTGTCTGTATGGATGCAGCCCAATTTACAGTGGTTCCACCACCAACGCAGCTACCGGCCAACACACTTATACTCAAGTCGTCGGAAGTCATTGTTCCAGCCTGCTCATACAACATTGGGAACGCTTCGGATTCCTTCCAGGTCATGGCGTTGGGTGACACGTATCCACCCTTCTCCAGAACGATCACACTGTAGCCTGCTTCGGCTAGCATTGCAGCAGTGATACCGCCACCCGCGCCACTACCAATGACAACAACATCTGCCTTTAGCGATCGCTCGCTATTGATTTGAATGAAGCTGAGATTCTCCTCGGTCGGCAGATGCTCAGCGGGTGGTGGTAATTGATACTTTAATGCATCCCAATTGGCATTGATGCCGCTTTCCTTGCCCAAAACCGTGACATACAGCGAGAAGGTGAGTGGTGCAATCGCTTTGAATGCCTGTCTCCTCAGTGGATTAGCCGAGCATTTGAGACTGGACATAATCTTTTGTCGCTTGCCAAGCGAGAGACTAGTGAATGTCGAAAGAGTGCCCGTCAGCAAGACACCGGCAGGCGATGAAAATAAATACAAAAGTGTCTTCAAATCATTGATTTGTGCTCTAGTTCTAGTTCCAGTAATCAACTTTAAGAAATGTGAAGCGATATCTAAATCCGTTGCAGATCTAAGAAGTAATAGTTGTTGTTGTTGTTGTTTAAAATAGTTAGAATACAACTAGTTATTGTTTTGTTACAGTGTTACTCTACCGTTTAAAGAATTGATTTAAAACATCAATGTCAATGGTTGTCCTTGTTGAATATTCATGTAGAATCGCTTCGGCTACTGAGTCACTGGATAGGAGTGTCTCGCAGATTATGGTGAGTGTTTGGTGTTCTTTGAGAGTGAATATACCACCCGACTCCATATGGAGATGACTGGTGTTGCTATGGCCAGGCAAATTAAGGGTGATTTGGTGATTGTTATGTGGTGATTCCGTGCTCATCGTTTTTGTTTTTCCTTTAAAGAAAATATGATCGTCTGTTGTCTCTGCAAATATTACACCACGTTGTTTCTGTTGTTTGCCTCTGTAGTAGTAGAGCAAATAGAATAGCGATACTACAATGAACACCACTGCAAAGAGTAGTTCCTGTGAAAATAGTGTGCTATATGCAAATAGTTGTTTATTGTCAATTTGTAAAATCGACAAAATATTATGTTGTTGTCGCTGTTGTTGTTGTTGTTCTATATGTATATTCTCTTTATTCTCCACAATATTCATTGGTATTGATTATCCTTTTTTATTATTTTTTACCAAATGAATTAATAATTAAAATTGGAAAAAAAAAAAAAAAAAAAAAGAAAAAAGAAAAAAGAAATAGAATAGAAAGACAACACAACAACTTTATATATATATATATATTTATATGATAGGAATGAATGTATTATTATAATTTATTATTACACCTTTTTTATTTTTATTTTTAAAAAAATAAGTTTTAATTAATTGTTGTTGGTTATTGTTTGTTTATTTTTGGTATGGTGGTAAAAGAAAGAAGAATCACTAAAAAAATCAATGATTTCACAATTTACCAATAGGACAACAATATTATAAAGTTTAAACCGGAGGGTTGTTATTGTAGTAGTAGTATAGTTATATGTGTGTGTTTATTTGCAGAGGGAATCTGTTGTTCTTATACAACATTAAAATTCCATTGATAGATTATTTTTTTCCAATTTTAATTAAAAAAATATCTAAAATTAGTTAAATAAAAAAACTGTTTTTTTGTATTTTTTAAAAAACTGTTATTTTTTTTTCACTTTATTAAGTTGGGGGTTGTTGTTTTAATTATTATTATCAATAAAAAGTATTACTTTATTTGTTTTATTTTTTATTTTATGATTAATCATCTTTTTGATGCACAGAAAAAATTTAGACCGGTTTGTTTGCTTTCGATACTCTCTTTGGTGAGTGCATTTACACAAACATCTTTGTTTCTGCATCCAAAGCAATTAGAAACAACATTTGGGGAACCGTTTTGTTTTTTAAGTAAACAACCACAGCATGTGTATCCTGGTTCCAAACAATAGATTGAGCAAACAGTCCTATTTACTCTATTTGAATCTAGATAGGTCATACCACAAGGTGTTCCTGGGCCAACACACGATTTACATTCTGGTGGGACTACAATCTATTTAAAAAGAAAGAGAGAAAGAAAGAAAAAAACATTTTTAAATTAGATTAGTGAGAACATTGATGATTTATTAAAAATTAAAAAGATATTTATTTATAATACTTACAGATTGTACAGAATTGAGAATAAATAAATATAAAATAAAAACTATTAAAGTTGTATATATATTATAATTCATTTCTTTACTATCTATAAAAAAAAAATATATTATTTCGAATGATTTAAAATAACATTTATTTTCTATATATTTTGTATTCTTCTCCTAATATTGATTTTATAAAATACAATATTACTGACCACTAACTAATCTAGATCCAATTTATAAATAGTATTCATATTGTTTTAAATAGTTACTGGTCAACTGAATTGCAAATTTTAAAATAGAAATAAAACAAATATTGTACTCATCAAACACAGTTCTCAAAAGTCAATTCAATCAAAAATGTTATTGATGAAAAATAATAATTGGTATATGTGTTTTGTTATTTTTATAGGTTCAACTGAATACTACTAAATTGATATTCTTAAAATCAATAATCAATATCAAATACGAATTAATGTTAATAAATACAAAGAAATATAATCATAACTATATGAATATTAACTCTTTTGAAATTAAATATTAGTATGTTAAAAGAGAATTAAAAAAATGTATATATTTCAATTGTTTATTACCTTTCTTTTATTACTTCAAAAATAGTTGATAATGAGCTAAATCAAAATAATAGTTCATGAAAATGAGGTATTTATAGTTTAAAAATTTGATAAAATTTGCATGATTTTTGCTGAGAAAATTAATTTTCTTCGCTCATTTGTGTTTTACATTCTCGACGTCAGATGTTTCTCTTTACAATTCCACGTCATGTCTTCCTAAAAAATCAAGGTGAGCGGAGAGATTTATATTTTAATATCATTTATATTATCTTTTTGATCTTCAAAGATATTTGAAAGATAAAATATCATGATCTAGAATAAAAAATTATTCTTAATATCTAAAATATCCAATAAAAAGGGTGTGAAGATGATTTTTTTCGAAATGTTTGCTCATCTTGCAAAATAAAAATTTTGATGAATAATGATTTCAACCTGGTTGAAACTGAACACCAAAACTAAAGATTATTTTTTATTTTGCAATCTTATTTTTTATCCGATTCTCTGATATTTTAGATTTTTTGATTTTTTTTTGTTTTTCTTTTCAGAAATCTTTGGTTGTATGGTCGGCTTTACAATTGAATTGAATGTGTGGCGTGACAAGGTGGTTTTTTTTTACAGTTTTCTTTATAATTTGTTAATGTTTATAATGCCGTTTACTAAACTTGGAATTTTATAGTGCACTTCAAATAAACATTAACAACACTGCTTGTTATTACTTTCTTTGATTTGAAAACCCGTGATTTTCTTATTTTGTAAGATTGTTGTTAAGCTTTAATGCCGACCGAAAAGTTAAGATGAAAACTAGTTTGTGTGTTTGTTTGCACCATCCTTTGTACCCATTAAGCATTCTTAAGATGAACACGATAAAGCACACCTACGGAAATATGAGAAAAAATCAATATTCTAATCTTATCACACCTTATCTCTACCAAAATTGTTCAATTTCAATCACTGGATCACACTAAAACTTCTGAGTAAGAACGAATCAAATTGACCAATCATATAGCCCAAAATAGTTTGATTGAACCATCATCAAAATAAACATTTGTTTTTACATCAATCTTACAAAATAAATCTTTTCAAAACTAGTAGAAAACGAGTAACTACAACTAATAGTATCACTAGTGCAAAGATTATTTTTGTAAAAACCAGAACAATAAAAGAGTAACGACAAACAACAACCGAATGTAATTATAAATGGTATGTACATTTTAAGAGAAGTGTAGTGTATCAAAGTTGTACGAATATGGTTTTACTAAAGTTTACTTTTGAATGATCTTTTGAATTTTACTTTTGCTTTTCGTATTGGGTTGATGAATGTTTGAGTGTGTTTGTTATGGGCTACTACTAAATTATTATTATTATTGTTTTACAAAATATCATTGGATATATTTAAATAATTCCTGAAACATATCTCTCTCACTGTCTCTACTTCGGCAACAATAAGATGTTGGGCAATGTAATGTAGTGGGTGATAATTTTATTTTGGCGGTGGTATCGAAGCAATAAAATTTAACACTAAATGGGTTTTTACAATGGATACTTAATATCACTATTGTGATGGTTTTGAATTGAGAGAACTAGCAACCCAAAAGAACACTATCGAAACACTGAAAAACAACAATGCAAGATCTCATACCCTACTTCTCGAAATGAAAGTGTGGTTAGAGTTTTTTTCTTTTTTGATCCCGATAACTCTATGGTTGTCAAATTGCTGCAGCAAAAAAAAGTCATCTTATGAAAAAAAGCTATGACGTTAGAACCTGTGGACAGGTTTTTGTAGTGAGTTTTTTGCAAAATGGAATTGATTGAAGAAAAAAAGAGTGTTAGATATTTTGGGAACAAAATCAAAAAAAAAAACACTTGCATTGATCAGACTTTTTTTGTTAAAAACCCACCACCATCAAAAAATAAAAAAATAAATCTTAAAAAGGCGACCCAGTTTTCATGTTTTTCTGTTGTGGTTATGCATAGAGAGGGAGGACTTCAATGTTTCCCCTCTTCGGTTCAAAACACGCATTACACTATTTTAAAACAAAACACATCACCCCATTCACACTAAAACTAATATGATTTCAAAATAATATCAAAATATGATAATTCTGGGTGATCCGATAACAACAATAATTTACATTTTTTTTTCTATATAATAGGAAAGATCTTTCTTTTTTATTTTATTTTATATTTTATTTTATTTTATATATTTTCCTACAAAAAAAAACTCATCTATAAATCTTATACCTTTTCAATTGATCATTTTTTATTTCTAAACAAAACTACACCACTTTCTTTAATATAAAAAAAAAGAAAATTAGTAAAACAAAATATAATTTATTTACCAAATTTATTAAACATTGTCCATAGCTATTTATATATATATATTTAATTCCACATATCATATTTATTTATTTATTTATAATTTATTTATTTTATTTATTTATTTAATTAACAACTTTTCACCAATCTTTTTTCGAATACCAATTCCAAATTAGGTTATTATTAAATCATTTTAGATTCCAAATACAAAAATTACAGAAATATATTTCTTAAACGGTAAATATTAAATTATTATTATTCCATTAATTCATTTTGTTTTTGTGTTTATTGCTTTCATTATTTGTTTTTGTTATTAGTCAAAACAATAATTTGACCTAAGATTGTTCTTATTCACATCAAGAACATAGGTTGATAATTTTGGTAAACCTGTGTGATTTGAAATTATGTATGGCATCATCACAATCCAAACAAAACCAATTCAATTTCAAATTTGTAAATCAACAAGCAATTTTGTAAATGCAAATTTTATTAATAGATGTCGTTGTTTTTTTGGATTTTTTTTGTGAAATACCAGCAATTAGAAGGGTGTTGCTGGTTCTCATCCATCATGGAGAGAATGCCCATTATTTTTAATTTTTCAAACCAAACATGTTTTACTCATTAAATGCAAAAATGTGTTTGTTCTACAAAAAATAAAAACACAGCGATTTCCCATTCTCGCTTTAATAAAGCATTCTAAATCTGACACCTATGCAGCTTTAAAGTTGATTGTAAAAAATCAAAAAAAAAAAAAAAAAGAAAAAAAGTAAAAAAGAAAAGGTGTTTGTAAAAATCATCAGAAATCTCTTTCAAAAAACATTTCACCTTTTCAGTATCCAAAATGAAGTTGAAAAAAAAAAATACAGATATTTTCGAAATTCAACAAAAATACCGTTTTTTTTTTTTTGCAAAAAAATTTTATTTTTTTGGTCGAACACCCTTTCATTTTTTCAAGTTCACTTTTTTATTTTACCACTTTCAGTTCGAAAAAAAAAAAAAATGAATCTTTTAATTTCCCAATTTGAAGGGAACCTGACACTCCCACCTCTTCTCCAATACCAAATAAAATATTGTTTTTATCTACATTTTTTTTTTTTTGTTTTTTCATGTTCATTCTTTTCTTTTCCAATCTACATACTCCAATTTTATTAATAAAATTGATCATATATAAAATAAAAACAACAATTTATTAAAAAAATAACGAATAGTCAATACTATCTATTATCTTTACATCTATTGTAATTATCAATGATAAAACACATGAAAAAAAAAAAAAACAAAACAAAAAACAACAAACCACATCTCTTCTTATTAGATTTTAGTGATGTAAAATTCTTTCTTTTAAGGGTTGTTTTTTTTGACATTTGGTTGTTGTTGCTTTTCAAGTGTTTGATATCGGATATATTGAAATTTGAGTTGAATTGAATTGGGTTGGAACCAATGGGTACCACTCAAGAGACAATGGCAACAACAAAACCTTATAATCTAATTAGCCTTGTACAAGCAACCACACACCCTGACCACTCATTCCATTTTCATTCGATACACACATACACACAACACCACACACCATACAAACTGCTATCATAAAAAAAAAAACAACTTAACCATATATACGGTTATGTATCATGTTGAATGGGCACTACAATCTGCTTTGAAGCATTGTCCTCAAATCGAATTAGTTACTACAAGACTGGAGTCTCTTGGACACAATCCAAATAGTAAATAGTGAATAATAATAAAAACAACACACAACAGCAGCAGCAACAACAACAACACAGTATAGATAAATATATTCATATATAAAATATTAATAACATAGCATTTATACAAAGTGTATAAAATTAATCAGTTTTGATAGTAAACAATCTTGTAATATTAATAATAACATTAATTAAATCCATCCATCCCATCCATCTATCCATCTTATTCATTAATCTATTCATCTTTAAAATTTACTTATTTATAAATACTAACATTTATTAATTTCATAATATATAGTATTTTTTTTAAATATTAAAAAAAAGGTAAAATAACAATAATTATAGTTTATTTCTATTATTTTTATTATTGTCGTTGTCTTTTCATAATTATAATCAAAAATTAAATATTGTGTTCTAACTATATTTGTAAAGTTACGATAAATCTAAAAAAAAATAATAATAATAATTATAATTAATAATATTTTTAAAATTTGAAAGAAAAAAGCTATATATCCAAAATCAGATATGTATAATGAACATGTGAGGAGTTTTCATTGGATGTTTAACAATTAATTAATTAACCAAAAACGAACAAACATAACTTCAACTACAACACCATTCAAATTAATATTTCGCAAACCCACCTACATCACAAATCCAGTAATTTCCATATTTGAATTTAAAGTAGTAGAAAAGTCAATGCTGTTGTTGAACCAGTCGTAGTAGTGCAGAAGTTGTAGTCATTCATTTTTGTTTGTTTGTCTTTTTTTTGAAGCATCAAAAGTCAACCAATCCACCCCTACAATCCCATTGGAGCAGTAACTTCTCGTTGTAAACAAATTTGTTTTTACTTAAGGAAACTTCAACAAAATAATAATAATAACAATAGTAGTGTTAGTTGTAGATCCCTTATTTTGTTACTACATATGCAAAAAATTTAATTTAATTTGTTAACATAAATTAGATTTAAACAACAACAGCAAAAACAAAACAATTACATCAACCAACAACAAAACCAACAAAATACCAAATCAAAATTGTCAGAAGGATTCTTTTGACTATCCAATAATTTAATTGTGTGTGATGCTAGTATATTTAAATGATTATTATCCAATCTAAATTGCCAAAACCGTCAAATTTAGATTTCCATATCCAATTTCCATCAATGGTTTGTGTTTTATTGTATCCTTGTTCTTATTTTTTTTTGTTTTAGTTTTTCAAGTAATTTTTATTTTTATTTTGTGTACCTACTCTTTCTCTTGTTTGGCATCAAGAACCAAACCCACACACCAACACACACAGTAACAACCCTAAATCCATTTTTATAAAAACAATTTTTTTTTTTTGTTTTTCCCAATTATATTTGTGTGTGTGAAATTAATTTTTTCATATATACAATCGCTCATTGTTCCTAAAAAGGAAATTTTTATTGAATGGTTTTCAACAACCATTTTTATTTTTTGTTTTTTGGATTTTGTTCCAACGAGTCTTACAACCAAAACGATCCTATCACATCGACCCAATTCTTGGGGCCACAAAAGAAACATACCTACCAAAAGGTTGGCCAACACCCCCTCATCTTATTTTATTGTGTTTTCAAAAAACCTTGGAGTTTAAACTTTTCAAGCAAATGGAAAATAAAATAAACATACAACAACCACTACCTTTAAGTTACTGAAACCCACTTTGCCTAAATCTTATCTATTGTTGGAAGTTTAAACTTTTAAGAATTTGTAATTATTATTATTTGCAAGTGCAGTAATTTCATTTATCTGTCTCAAGTTAGGACTCGAGACCACTACTTTTTACTTAAAAAAAAATCAAAACAACACACATATAAAACATCAATATAAAAAAATTTATAAATATAAAATAATAATAAATCATAATAATAATAATAATAATAATAATAATAATTTTTTATTTTTTGTATATTTATATTTTTAAATATATATAATGTTTGTTGTTTCGGTAACAACAGACCACTACTACCACCACAAGTACATCTCTTTTCAAGATAGTTCTGTCAGTTAGTCAAGTTAGTTTTGATATTTTTAAGCAAAAGTAAACTTACTTAAAATTGTCTACAACAATAACAATAGATAAACACACACTTTCCACTACACACTTTTAAGTAAGTAAGTTTCAAATTGTGTGTGTGTCAAATAATAATCTACAACACCCAATTCACTTAAAACACACAGAAAACAAACACTTAAACTAGTTTGGTTTGTCTTTCCCTCACTTCATGGTTGTGAGGCAATAGATATCAAATAAACCACACCGAAACAGCTATATTTTTTGTGTAGATAATTAATTTAATTAATTTAAATTGAAAGAAAATTATATATTTGTGTTTTTTATTTTAAAAAATGGTGAAGACTGGTCAAGTCTATTTGTCGATCTAAACAAACTGTGAAAACAAGAAAGAAAGCATGCTTGTATTTAAAATTTCTTGATTATATTACTACTACTACTATTGTTATTGTGTTAAATATATATTTTGTTCACTCATTTAAAGCTATCATTAGGATATCCATACTTTTTAAAAGAAAGAAAACATAAAATTATTAATCTAACTCTAAATATAAACAAATCTTAACTTCATCAAATCCTAAAAGTAAAAACAAATTAATATTTTAATTTAACCAATAACATTTCATATTTATATATATAATTCGAAATTTTAATTTTTTAAAAATGTGGTGGTGTGTGAGTGCTTTATTTATTGTTGGTTACCATCAAATAAATTAAAAAAAGCCCAAACTAAAATAATAAAAACAACCACACACATACCAAAATACAAACCCATCTTTATTCCTATATACCTTAACACTTAAACCACCCACACACACATTCTACAAAACTTCAAAGATTGTTTTCTTGTTATTTTAAAATTCTATATTATTATACACATATATGTGACGGAATGAAATGAAGTTTTGATGTGATGACATGTCTATCTTTATCAAATGACTAACCCCTAGTAAATCTTTTATCTCTCTCTCAATAGAATAGAAAACAAAGTTGTAGTTTCTTTCAAAAAAGCTGAAATTTTATTTTCCCTCATTATATATCTTAAAGAGTAATATATAGAACATCAAAGACTTGATTCATTAACCCTCCTCTTCTCTTTCACAAAACCTATCAATTTAACGACCATCTCTCTCTATTCGAAAACAACAAAAAAAAAAAAAATGACATGTATAACACACATCATCAATAGATTTATCTTTTTTTGATATACACCATTCTTTTTTTCATTTCTTTTAAAAACAAACAATAACAACCATATATAAATCATATAATAATACAAAACCATAGATTGTATTGATTGATGTCTCATATTACGGATGACACAATTCCCATCTTCAATGAAGACACTATTGGACTTGGTAAATCTATTTTCTCATACCATTTAATCATTTACAATATATGTCTTCTTTGAATCATTTTAAATCACAATTTTTATCATTGTCATCATCATCATCATCATCAATAGTGTTGGACCTTGAGATATAATTGTTATATAGGTGACAAGAGTTACAAAAACAAGGCAAGTGTGTGCTTGTATTTTTGGATTAAACATTCTACATCATTCATCATCATACAACCAACACACTACTCTACACTACACTGCTACTACTCATCTAAAAACATTGACATAAATACCTTTGTTTACTTTCATTCATTTATTATTATTATCAACAACTTTAAAAAAAAAATTATAAATATTACCTATCTATTAAATATTCATACATTCATAACCTTTTCCATATACATACACATTGATCAATTAATTCTCCTTAAAAAAAAAAAAAGTTACAATTTATTTTTAAAAGAAAGAAAAAAAAAAAGGTATAACAAATCTCTCTAAATTTCTTTTTACAACTTTTTGATTAAAGAAAATATCGACAACAATTTTACATTATTGATTTGTTAAATATATTTCTAAAAACTATTCAAATCGTTATAATCTTTAACTGGTAATCAGTCATAATAATAATAATCGTCTACTACTAAGATATACAATTCTAATATCATCAATATTTGTCGTGGACAAAATAGAGAGTTATCATTGTACCCACACTATATTCTCAAAATTTTAAATTTTTCCATTGGTCAGTTTAATTTAATGATTGACAAATTATCAACACCACCCCTTTTATATTATAATGTTACCTGCTATCGTTTTATAATATAAATCATCACACTATTATTCTACTTTTATTACTACTATTAGTAGTAATAAATAAATAATTTTAACACAACACACACAAACACACACACAAAAAACATTCATCTCAATCATCATCAAAACAACACTAGAGACGATATGATTAGAGGGAGAGTGTTAAAACAACTCAAGATTTTTGTTTATTTTTATGTTTTGCCAATGTTTTTTTTTTTTTTTTTTAATTTTATTTGGTCATCAAATAATAATCATAGCACACCACACCACTCTCTACAATGTATAGAAATTAAAAAAGTAATTTATAATCTCTCTGATAAATTAACCGACCGACAAGAGTGATGTTTTATGATAGTTTGTTTTAGGAGTGTTTTAAGGTGTGTGTAGCCAGCTTTTTCTTTTTTCTTTTTTTTTTTTTTCATCTTATCTTTCCATCCAAATCTTTATTTAAATTCATTACCAACAACAACAAATAAACAAATAGCACATAGTTCTACTACTTTAATATTCATTTATATATATATATATCTCAGTTTAACTCACCAAAAACCATCGATTCCAACAATTCATTTCAATACTATTCATACCTATTCAGCTGAACGAGTAAGTTATTCACTTGCTCATTCATTCACTTTTCAATTGTGTCCGCTGACACTCATTAGCAATAAATTAATGTGGCACAGTTCTAATTTTTTTTTTTTGGTTACGGAAGTAGCATTGATTAATTTAATTTAACTATTTCTTACTCATTTTTGTCGTCGTCAGTCTAATCCTTCAATCTACCAAATCCATTTATTCATATGACAATGTTACAACTTTTAAACAACAATCAATTATTATAGAATCCAAAAAAAAACTAATTATAGTTTATAAAAAATAATTTCATTTATATTATAGTCAAAACCAAACAAATCTGGTTATTATATTTAGTTCGTTTCCCTTAATCGTACTTCATTAAAAAGGTAATTATTTCAATCAAATTAATATAAATCTGACACTTTTAATTTTATATTATTATTATAATAATATCTGTATTTTATTTTAATTTTGTTTTACAATATTTTATAAAATAATGTTATAATAAATATAATTTTATAACAAATACATCATAAATAATAACGAACCAATCATAAGCAAAATTAATAATAGTATATGTATTTCAACCCAACAACCACTCGCCAAATAATAATTATAAAATCCAAAAATCTCACTCCTGGAAAATCATTATTCATCACATTTAATGGAAATTATAATGATTCCACCAATCAAATTCAGTTTTTTGCCATAAAAATAAAAAAGCAATAATAACAATGTTGTGGAGAATAACAAAGTTGTAAAGTATTCTTAAAAAGGAAATCATTTACACAATTATTAACTTTATATGTTAAAAATGCAATATAACAACACTAAAATAACAATAACAACAACGATAGATATATTGTTGTTAGTTCACCAACACCATCAATCAATCAAACACATTCATAATTTACTACTTATTTTATAAATTTGATATTCTACTCAACTCTTGCTGTATTCATTTGTTTTTGGTATTGGAGTGGAATTTTGTTAATTTTATAATTTTATTCTATTGGTTGCGTTGTTATTGATGATGATGTTGATGATAATGGAAATGAAATTATTTAAATCGAAGATTATCTTTACTTTGTTTCCAACCAACTAAAAATCATCACTACATTGTGTAGTTACTGAAAAACAATAAACACTCAGCATTCTGATGATGATGATGGTAATTTCATAATACTTTATGTACAATTGCACTACAAATGCCTGATGATCATCCAATTCAACACAAATACCAATCGAAATCTTGTTTACTCTTTTAACTACTACCTCACACTTTTTTTTTTTAATTTTATTGATCAAATCAATCGTTCCAACCAACTCATTACCACCAACAACTTCACCACCAATCAAATTATACTACTATTTTGATGATCAACCACACACCACCACCACTACTGCTACTGCTTCTGAACAACATCAACAGACAATAATATAAAAACATTAAATTATAAACAACAAAAACCCACACGAAAAAATAAATACTCAAAGTGATTCATACAAATTATTATTCAACAACACATCAACTAAACTAAATTCATCTCTAACAACAACAACAGCAAGAATGCATGTTTTCATTTACTACTACTACTACAACCAACCACTACACAAAGTCATCAAATTAATTATAATTAATATTAAAACATGCACACACTCACTTATGCAAATTCATAAACTCACACCACTTCCAACTGCAATTGGAATCACTTCTACAAAATTTTATAAATATATTCCACACCACTACTACCACACGATATACATAATCGAACAAACCAAGATCAATTTTATTAAGATATTATTTAATTTATAAATGCCCACCGCGCCGATGATAAATCAACAAAAAAAAAACCAATTTATAAATTAATAATAATATAATAATAATTAGTAGTAGGCGGAGTAGTTGGTAGCATTGTTATTGCTACTACTACTGCTGATGTGAATGATAGTGATGTTGTTGTTAAAATTGATGGTAGTATTAGTAATCAATTGCTACTACAAAAAATCTACACAACTCTGTCTGTAATAGTCAATTCCTATCAATCATATTAAATATCTTGTTTTGTTGCATTGTGGTGTGGTGGAATGTGTGTTATGTTATGTTCTACTTGCAACATCAAAATAAAAACAACAACAACAACAACAAATTTTATTATTGAGGAATTTACTTTCCACTTTGAATATTTTAAAAGTCGTAGTTTAATATTGTCAATGTTGACATTTAGGTATTGTAATCCTGATTAGGATCGAATACAACAGCAGCGGTAGCAGTAGAGTACTACTACTATTACTAGTAGTTTTAATCAATCTATATACTGTACTACTTCTTACTCTCCAAATTCTGCATCATCATTGTTAACAACAGCGTGTGGGTGTTTTAAATAGTGTCTACTCGAATCAAGATGGATAGTATTGATATTTATTTACTTTACTACCACCACCACCACTGCTGTTGCTGTCAAACTCAATTCGGAATCATCATCTTTTCATTACCATCAAAAAAATAATAGTAGTACTCTCACTTCACTCTACTAACATCACACCACTCGAATCAAATCAAAATCAAATCAAAATCAAATCAATCAGATCACATTCATAATACACATTATTTATCATTTTATTGTTATTATTAAAAATATTTAATAATAATAATAATACTAACTTGTTTCTCCTTTACGCCTTTCCAAAACACAAATACACACACACATATACTCTCTCCTCTTGATATTCTTGTTTTTTCACAATAGTATAAGAGAATTTTGCAATTTCATATTTCGCTACATCCACTACCCACTCAGCACATTGTTTGGCTTGTAGTTTTCGCCTCTCACTTTTGAGACATTGTTCCGCCAACCACCAACAACAAATCAACTTTATTCAAACAAACAGATTATTATCAAAAGAAAACACACAATTCCAACAACAATAACAATAACACACTCCAGACCATCGTTCTACTAATATCATTAACATCATCAACACTACATAAAAATACATTTACATACCCACACACAAACACACACACATATATAAATAATATAACAAAACAAAACACTACTCACACACACCACACACACTACAATTATATCAGTTAAAAGTGTCAAAAGAAAAGATAACATCAAATCATCTAGCAACCAACATCTAACAGTATTTCTCTAAATTAAAACAGAACAACATCAAGCAAATCAACTATTAATTAAAAATCAAATCACCAAAAGTGAACAAGAAGAAGAAGAAAACAAAACAAAACAAAAAAAAAGGTAGAAGTAGCCCAGTGTTAAATGAATATCAAAAATATCAGTAACAGCAACAGCGGTAGCAGCAGTTACAACCTTGATACTTTCCAACATCAACAACAAAATCTAAAAAATAATAATTCATTATTAAACAACAACATCAACAACATCATCCAACACAATAATAATATAGTTTCGTTTTTAGGAAATAGAAGTGCAGAACATCCACAACATCTACTCTCTCCAATACTTTTCTCTGGCGCCGGCCTCAACAACGCAAAGCAAACTCAAATGTTCCAACAAGAACAAACCATTTCAACTCCAATGATTCCTCTAGATGAGGAGCAAGAGTACTCTGACAATGACTATGACATGTCACCAAAAGATGATATAACATCCCCTTCAAAGGTTAGTTTAAATTAAAACACAATTAATTTTCCAGTCGAATTTTCCAGTTTTCTAACTTTCCAAAAATTTTTTTTTTCTTTTATTTTTTTTTTTTTTTTACTTTTTTAGAAAAGAGGAAGAGGACCAATTCACAATGGAATTAGAAGATCACCAAACAAGTGGACCAAAGAAGAGAATAAGAGATTATTCGAATTGGTAAGCCAGTATGGTGAGAAAAAGTGGAAGCGTATCTCTGCAGAGATGGGCGGTCAAAAGACTGGTGCGCAATGTGCTCAACACTGGAAACGTGTCTTGAGTCCAGATATTAGAAAGGGTCCATGGGATGAAGACGAAGAGGAACTCCTGCTGCGTCTTGTTAACCAACATGGATCGTCGTGGAAGAAGATTGCCAAGCGTATCTGTAAGCGTACTGATATCCAATGCCGTTATCAATACTTGAAGGCACTGCAATCACGTGAAGTTCCCTGGATTCCCAAGGAAGACGAGGCAATGTTGAAAAAAGTCCAGGAACTCGATATGAACTTGTCTTGGCTCGAGGTATCAGAGTATCTCGCCAAATTGAAACATACAAACACCTTGCGTACTGCCCTCGAATGCAAGACTCGTTACATGCAGTTGACCAACGAGATTCCAATGGCCACACAACAAGCCGGTGGAATGCCATCCTCGCCAATCTCAGAGTGCAACCAATACGACTCGAACAGTTCTTCGCCAACGATGGAGAGTTCCGAGTTGGACAGCTACACACGTCGTCGTAACCTGCCAACTTCCGCTTCATCATCGTCGTTGTTGTCGTCTTCCTCCAGCAAAGTCACAATTTCCAACCTAATGAGTCCAACTTCCTCACCAATCCAATCACCACTTTCCTCACCAGTCTTTAGTAACAACAACAATCCACTCTGTAATAATACAATGGACATCAACAAAAACATCAACAACCCACTTTTGTATAGATCAAATAGCCATAGCAGCATCATTTCCGCATCACATCCAAAGAATGTATCAACTTCACCATCCTCCAAAAACTTTAGTATCAATCATCTCTTAGACAACTCACCAACATTACAATCCATTAATTCCTCTGTCGACACCTATAAATCAAACAACACCGAACAACCACTCTGTAAAAAAGTAAGAAGCAATGGTGAATACTACATTCAACCAACCGCCAATACCTCCACTTCACTGCCATCCAACGCACTTAGACTCCAATCATTTGGTACCGGATTCAATAGCGACAACAGTAGCGACGACGATCACTTCCGTTCAAACAGTTTGATCAACAATCCATTCTTGCCAAAGAGTTCGTCCAGCATGTTGTTGCCATCCACCTCAATGTTAGCACAGGGTGCTAGCTCGTTTGGTCACCACCATCACTCAAGCAGCAGAAATCCACTCTCAAGCAGCGGCAGCAACTATCCAAATTCATCCTCATCGACACCGAATAATACATCTTCACCACTTTCCTCACCATTCTCTTCACCATCGCGCGCTTCACCACCAACACTCTCAACCATCCAAAAACTAAAGAACACATCATTTGATTTTTTCAACTTGGAATCATTGGCAGCAGTAGCATCCTCCCAACCAAGAGAAACAAGACCAAACAATATAGATCAACTTCAACTTCAAGTGAAATGACTTGAAAATTAATTCACTCAAAAAGATTGAAATTAAAAAAAAAAAAAAAACAAACAAAAAAATATACCTTTAAAAAAATAAACAATAAAATTTGTTGTAAATTTCAACATATATAAAATATCTATTATTATTTTTCTTGAGTATATATAAATAGAATAACAACTGAACTTCCTTTATTATTATATTTTATTTAATAAAATAAATATTATAATATTGGAAATATTAATAAAAAAATTTGTTTTATCTATTCCACTTAATTATTTAAAATAGTTTATGGACATTTGAAATTGATTTATATTCAGATTTTACTCTGTTAACTTGAGAAATACATTCGTTTGGTAAATCAAACCATGACTCTGTATATGAATTTTCAAAGTTTAAGTACTATTATTAAAAAAGATTGATTGTAAGTAAAAAAAGAATTAATTCTGAAATTAATAATACTTACATTCATTGTAGCAAAACCAGGGTTAGTAATATCTTTGTTGTTAATAATACTAGAAACCATTGCACATTGTTTTATATCATAGAGGATAGTTTGGATGACTGGAGAAGCAATTTCATCGAGAATATAGATATCTGTTGGGAATTGACCAATCTTAGTTGTTCCAATGTTTTTGGTATCGTTGATTGGATATGAACTTGGGAGAGTAAATTCCAATTGAGATAGAGTACATTCTCCATTTACAAGTTCATAAAATTGATTCTTTAAAAAGAATTATCAAAAAAAGTTAATAATAAATCTAAATTTTATAAATTATTTTTTTTTTTGTAAGTTATCTTACAGTTTTACCAAAAGCCCAATAACTTCCTATTAAGCTAACTCCTCCTGGCATTACTACTAAATAATCCACTCTTTGACGTTGTCCTTCGAGATCTAATGAAGTATTTCCCACTTGTATTTATTAAAATTGTAAAGAGTTAGTAAGGATCTTTGTTGAAAAAAATATGATTATTGTTATTTCATACTTTCAAAGAAAGACATTTCAACTTGATGATTTCCATCCGGAAATATAGTATTAAAAGATGAAATACTATAGCTAGTAGTGAATCCATTGGCATCCAAACATTTGTTTTCTGATTGTGAATACACAACTACTTTTAATAAAAAGAAAATTATAATAATATTTTTAATATTCATTTTGAAGGTAGAATTAATATGAAAAATTTTATATTTTTAGATAATGAAAGGATGTAAGGACCCATTCTACCTTTTATACTATTTTAAAGTAATATCATTAAATTTATACTAAAGTTATAAGAAAATGAGGTATTATCTTGAAAATTTAATAAAATGAAATGGTCCATTCTTGCCCCAATACTTTATTTCCAAGAACTTATTTTGAAATTTACATAAATTTGATGTTCTTTAACTTTGTTTGTGCTTTGGCCAAAGGAATCAAGAAGGAATCGGAATAGAAAAAAAAAAAAAAAAAAATTATAAAAAAAAAAACAAGTTATTAAATATTGTTCATTTTAAACAGTGATAACTTATAACTTTATTGTTATAAAACTAACAATTCTAACATGGATATTATTATTTAGGATAAGAACTTCATCATGACATGACTTGTAATTTTTTTGATTTTTTTCAATTTTTTAGAAAAAAAAAACTAATAAAACGAACTTCTTAATTTTTAAATTGATTCATTTTATTGATATTTATTAACTGAGTAGTAGTTTAATAATAACTTATTAAGTATATGCACATATAATATATATATATATTAAGTTAAGTAAATAGATAAAATAAAATAAATGAATTTAATTATTTTATAAAATAATAATTATTCTTTAATATATATATATAAATATATGGTTTTTATTTAATAATTGTTTTTTTATTAAGTTATTTATTATTCTTATTTATTATTAAATATCAATAGAACAGAATAGAACAGAATAGAATAGACTAAAACAAAACAAAGATAGATATTATTCAATAAAATAATGTCTTCTTATAGAAATCAAAAGAGGTTATCATTATCACCTCCTCAAATTCAATTGAGTGAGAGTCAACAACAACAACAACAACAACAACAACAACAACAACAACAACAACAACAACAACAACAACAACAACAACAACAACAACAACAGATACAAAAGAATGATGCAGAGAACCTACTATTATATGTAAAGGACTACACTTTCTTTAGATCAGATAGAGCATTATGGTATTTTAAACATCTACTTTCATTAAATTCAAATTTAAAGGTATGATTGATTGATTGATTGATTAATTACAACGATCGTTCGTTAAATATACGATATCTAATTTCCAATTTAGTTATCAATGGATAAAGATGAATCGATTATAGTATTGTATATAGCATTGGATAACGGTGTAATTCTCGATCTATCACAGAGACATCAATCATTTGGTAATATAGTTCATTTCAAAGAGCGAAAAGATCATAGTAAGCGAAAGAAGTTTGATTCCAGCAATAGAAATGACGATATCACCATTGATGATAATCATCAAGAAGAAGAGGAAGATGGATATAATACAACACAAGAATTAGAATATAATATAGATGATTTACAACATCGTAATCATCATCATCATCATCACCATAGATCATCAGACTATGACTATGCAGAGTTTGTCGATACCGATTCAGACTCTGATGATTATCAATATCAGGAGAATCGGACTATCAAAGTAGATAGACAGCAGACACTCCCACTGATATCGATGACACCAAAGACACAGATATCACTGCTCTGCTCCACCTACAAATGTGTATACTATCTCGACATGTCACCGTCGATGGCATCGGTAGATCCCATCACTGGAACCATCCTAATTGAATATCTCTATACTTCCCTACAGTCTCTACTTCTCTCACTCTCACATCCACTAGAAACCAACTCTTACAACGTAAGTACTTAACTACTCACTCATTCGATCAATCTTCAATTACTAATAATGTTTTGATCAATCAAACGAAACTTAAACAGTTTGAACCAAAGATATATATTACTGTTATTGCACAAGGAGTATTCCCAAACTTTAAGGTTTTGGTGCAGGGTGCGTTGTTGAATCGTGATACCGTGCTGGCGTTGTTGGACGAATTGAAAAATCAGTTGTGTAGCTACGAGAATGAAGTTGCGCATCAATATGCTAATTGTAAGGGAACGACGAATACAGGTGTTGCAACAGTGACTGATTTGGCGTCGGTTCTCTCCACTTGTTTGATGGCGCTGTCTGTCATGCCGTTGGGATCGTGTCCGTCGATCACTGTGATCACCGACGGTGTCGTTACGATTGCCGACGCCGATATAAAGTCATTCGATTCGGTGGTGATGCAGTGTACGCGTAGCGATACTCACATTCACTTGGTGCAAGTAGGCAGCGGTGTCTACAGCCACGCCGACTATGGATACACGCCGGACACCGACTTGCTCCGATTCCTGACGATGGCCACAGGCGGAACTTTCTTTGACCAATCGACACTGCCCGAATTCAAAACGATACGCGCCGCCACCACCAACAACACCAATGGATTCAGCTCGTTCCAAGAGTCAATCTCGTTGGATGTGATGCCGTACGACACCGACAAGATGCTGGACATCCAACACTGTTACTTCATAAGAGAGTTCTCACCAAACAAAGTACATCTCCCTTATAGATCATCTTCTTCAAATCTAACAATTTCACAGCAACAACAACAACAGCAACAACAGCAACAAACTAATGGTAATATTCATTTCTATAGAATAGATTTGTTTCAACCGACTGTTGGAAATAGTTTGGAATCAATGTTTAATGAAGATCGTTTCGTAATGAATGAACAACAACAACAATATCAACAGAGATACGGCACAATGGGCACATCGTCATCAACTGGAGGAGGAGTTGCATCAAAGTATTACAATGGAAATAACAATGGAACTGTAGTGAATATCTATCCTTCGCAATCTTCACCATCGGAGAATACAACTATTCCTTCAGAGACTATCATCAGCGATATGTCGATTGTTCATGCTTTGATGGCCGTCGATTATGCATTCCCATGGGTTGGAACACCTCCACAGGTTCCACTGCTACGGACAACCGCCAAAGAATACACCGTTGAGGTCGACGTCCTAAAGTTACTGGATCTTCATATTCGTGACGGATTCATTGTTAAAATGGTCAGTTTGAAACGACCGGATTCAGAATTGGGTGTTAATTTACTTTACAATTGGTTGCCAAATATAAAGATTGAATATAAAATTAGATTCCTAATGTTGGAGCGATTCAACAACAACAACAATGACAATGATATCAATAATAATAATGAATATCAACAACAACAACAACAACAGAATATGTATAATAAGAAACAACAACAACAACAACGTCAACTGATGGAACAAAAGTTGAATGTAAAAGTTTGTATTGAAGTCATGGCATACTATGACTTTTTGAAGGAGTATACTGGAGGCGGTAACTCCTCAAAGCGTGGAAACATGTCGTCCGTTGGCAAGCTACAGAGTTTCATTAACAACATTCACGAGAAGGACAAGCTGTTGCAGGTTCTCTTCCTTCAGTGCCAACCATCGGCCATCCCACCGGTGCCAACTTTCGACCCGATCCAAGCACACAACACACAGGCATCTTCATTCCTCAAGATGCTCCAACAACTCGGAAACTATCAGCAATGGGAAAAGTGGCTGCGTGCCGAATCGATCAACGTAGTTCTCGAGCCAAACATCAGTATCCTACCGGGTCCAAACTACATCGTCCAGTACGAAGCATCGAGAAACGCATTCCTCGGACATTGCTCGAAATGGGCCAACAATACCTATAATTTGAATACCAATCTTTTCGTGCGATTCCTATCGCCCAGTACAGCACCTTCGTTCGCATCGCCACCATTACCGCCCTTGATCAACGAGAACATGAATTTGCATCACCACTTCCCTTCCACCTCGTTCTGTATCATGCGATTCCAATGGGAGGCAGCTGGATTCGCCAATATCATCTTACAGTTCTTCTCGACGAGCGAAGCTATTCGTGAAAAGTCATCAAGGATATGAAGCGAGATCTTGCACAGATTCGATCGTCCATTGCCACATTCAACGACGAGGTGGAGGACATGGATATGGTACATGACTTGTCGGCCACAAAGTCGGTGAAGTCGGTGCGTCCTCTCAATAGAGAACTACGTCGTCTACTGGTGAAATATGACTTTGAATCGGTGACACCAACGCAATCCACTGGACCATCTCCATCCACTTCGCCAACACCGCCATTCACCTCGGTGATGGCATCTCCGAAAATCAATGGACAACAGCTACAACCGTCATCGTCATCGTCGTCTCAACAAGTAGGAGTTTTAGGATCTCAACAAAGTGGACAAGGATCATCCTCTCAGAAATATGGAAACATTCCACCAATTGCTTTGAGTCAACAACAACAACTTCAGGTTCCAAATGTCGTCGGCAATTCAGGTGGTGTTCCAGAGAGTAGTAGATCGCCACCTGCCACTGGACGTCTACACCACCAACTACAACAACATACTGCCAACAACAACAACAACAACAACTCTAGCAACAACAACGTTCACTCTATGAACCACAATCAAACATCTTCAAGATCGTTCCACTCCTACACTCAGACACCTTACCTTTTGTCACCGGAACTCAAGAGTTATATGTGGTCACAACGATGGGTCTACGACTTGGGTGACGCCAAATCCGCTGAACTTGCAATGGGTCACATCTTCCAGGAGCGTCTATGCGAAGGTTATACTCTTTTGAATCTATCTACCTTCCTCTTCTTCAAGGAGATACAACTACACCAGGAGCGTTGTCCCGACTCCCAGACACACTCTGTCGCACTGCAATATCTCATCTATATTCGCGCGCCACACTGTCTCGTCATTGAATTCTGGATGGAGCCACAAAAAGGCTATCTATGCTCCACTCTGAAAGGCGCCGAGGAATGGATGAACGAGCGTGAAATCTACCGATTACTCAAAAAGTGGCTAGAGGAATCGGACGGTCACATCATCAGTGGAATCTCCAACTTTAATGATCTCCTCATGATCTCGCTATCCTCCGAGCCAATGGCAGAGATGCAGGAGATTCTCTATCAATCGCCAACCATCTCGCTGCCCTTCAAGGACGGCGTCAAACTCCCAGAGTACAAGGTGAGCGCAATGAAACCAGAGTTCTCACTCGACAATCTCATCTCATTCTCCACGGTCACACAGAAGCTCTTCCCAATTATCAACATCACACCGGATCAATCACAAGATATGGTGAAACTCTCGATTAAATCCAACCAGAAACTCTATAGTTTGCTTGGTGAGATTGTCAAAGCATTGAATGCATTCGAGATACCAGCTACTTTCTTTTCAAAGAGTAACAAATTTAAAAAGTAAGTAGTAGAAGAGATTGCCATATAATAATATATTAATACTAACTATTTTTTACTACCTTTTTAAAGTGGAAGATGTTTTATAAAAGCAACCAATAGTACAGACTTTTTATTTACATTCTTACATCCTTTGAATATCGATGGTACCAATCAAAAGGCAGACAATAGATCTATATGTTTGTCATTCTATGAATGTTCAATCAAAGGTTTCATTGATGTAAATCATTCACCGTAAGCGTCTAATATTTATTTATTAAACATAATAGTTATTTGTCGAGATTATACTAACTTTAGTAATTAAAGTAAAACATTGGAATATTTATCGAGAATATTTAATGTACCATATATAGATACATCAGATACAGATATCTTATTAAAGAGTTACTATAATAAGAAATGTAGTCTACACGAGAGTATTCATCATACGACACCTCAACATCATGCGACAAGACAATATATAAGAACGATAAAGAATGGATTCGAAAGAGCATTTCTTCAAGCATTATATACCAATCTACGTGATAGTATACCAATTGAACCAACTGATCTATTAAACGCAATAACATCTTGTAAAGAATATTATATTGATGTAAGTATAACATAACATTACATTAGATAGAGACTACATATATACTTATTAACTTAATATTATTTTTATTAGATTGATATCTCACAATTGATAAAGATATTACAGAAATCAAATAAAGATATCAATGGTTATCTGAATGATAGATTCTCAAAACAAGTGATGGCCAATTACTTTAAGAGAATAGAGAATACCGAGTACTATTTCTATAATAGAAATGTATTGCAACAGTCAAGCGATCCTTATGACGATGACATGCAGCTTGATGATGACACCATCAACAGTGATGAAGATTCAGAGATCTATCGTGATGATCTTTCGATCGACGGTGAAGACCTAGACGATGACAGCGATGACACTATCTCTCTCAACTCTGATCTCAAGAACAATCATCACGATATTGGTAAATCAAAGAAAACATTGTTCAATCAAAAGAATACTTCTACTGGTCATAATCATAATCATCATCATCATCAATCGTTAAACTCTAGTTCAGGTGATACTCCTGTCGACAAGAGATTGGAGTCGATACTTGGTGAGTTGCAAGTCGACCTCGAGAAACGTTCGGCAGAGTTTGGTTTGTTCCCATACCCGCTGTTTATCAAAATGGAGATTGTGATGTTGCACAACAATAGCTTGTACCAGTCGCCTGTGTTGGAAGGTGAGGAAACATACACCGCTTCGCTATCGATCAACAACCAGCACAATCCATATCAATATCGCTTCACTCTGGGACAACAATACGACAATAACAACAACAACAACAACAACAACGCCTATCCATCGCTATCGGAACTCTCACCGTCTCGCTCGCTCCTTCGCTTCAAATGCATCACTCCCCAGCCAACCATTAGAATGGTCAACAGCATTCCTCAGCATCTTCAAATGTCCTACGGCAAACGATCGCGTTCGTTCAGCAATCAACTACCGAAACCACTGGCAACCATTATGCGTCAACATCGTCGCCAAGTAGTGGCTCTGGTGAGCAGTGAGATTCTCAGTTGTCTGCGAACGATTCGTCCTGTCAATAAACACGTTTTGGATCTGGTGTTGTTCCATATGAATAAGCTTGCTTACCACCGATCGCCACAGCATCACCTTCATAGCTACACTGTCAATATGCAGTTTGTTGATGTCAAAGAAGGAAGTTCGTTGTTACTAAAACAACTAGAGTCGTGTAATCATGGAATGAAGTTGATGCGATTCAACGATCTTCTTTACTACTTTGAGGACAATGCCTCTGAGGAGCAGATATGGACTTGCTCACATAAGGACATTGTCGAAATCTATGCGCACTCGCCACTTCCGCCATTGCCACCTTCACCTCCACCACTACCACCCATGTCCAACTCGAATCCCGCCAGTATCAACAGCAGCAGTAACAGTGCATTCGGTGCATCCAATCGTATTGAGGATCTAGTGAATATAAACATTCCCTATTGGTTGGTATTTACCTATACTTCATCCAAGAATCTTTTGAAAGTTCATTTCTTCTCTGAGATTGTAGATGGTGAATCTTCCTCCTCGTCTGCACTTGACAAAGCAACACTTGTTGTCGGAGCAGATCAACAACAGCAACAACAACAACAACCATTCATTACTTCACCATCAAGCTCATCCTCTACCACTTCCTACAACGATGCCAACAATGCTCTGGCAGCAAAAAAGGCAACGACTCTTGGAAGTTCTATAGAGTTGGAATCCTCTCAGGATTCTACTCGTGGACTAAACTCTAGTTGTCAGCATCAACATGATCTCACCGATACGAAAGAACGTGTTCGTTTGGTGTTGGGTCAAGTGATAAAGAGTGTCAATCAAATGGTGTTGTTGAATCAGCTCGATGAATTCAGAGCTGCCAGTCCGTTGCTTCTGGCACCGGAAGATGCCATTCCACCCATCTCTTCGCCAAGTGGTGCCGCGCCACTCAGTGCCAAACATCAGATAGTCGCACCACCCTCACCATCATTCTACGACGATCCCTATCGTAAGAACAAAAAGAAGGGACCGTTTGTCAATGGTGAATTTGCATGTCCACTAGTACACTCGATGCATCTGCAACTGAACGAGCGACTTCAACCACACGTTGCCATCGGTGGATTGATAAGTACGACACTTCATCCATTCTCCATCACCAATAGAAAGAAGATGTTTGTATACCGTGAGAGTGGCGGTAATGTCTACTATATGAAACTATCGGAACCACAATCGATCCTCTCGGAATCACCTCTGACTTCACCCTCGCCAACTCCTCAACAGTCGCCACGCCACTCACCAGCTCCATCACCTTCGACTTCGCCACCCAAAGATTCAATCCTTGCCAATCGACACCAACACGGTCATCTTCACCTCCACCAACAACAATCGACGCTAAATTTGTTTTCCGCACAACAAAACTACTTGTTGCTAGAGGTATTTGGTATCAATTCTCCAGGACCTGAGATTACAACGCAACTCTACCAACTGCTGGAATCCAAACTATCGAATATTACACTTCAATACATATCGTCGCTGATCATGAGAAATCCAATGTTGAAGTTGTCTCCACAGGATGTAGAGTTTATCAAACCACCACATGTCATTCCATCGATTGCCTATATCGCGGTACCAGAAGCCGTTCAAGACTGTCATTTGTTCCTTCAGTTGTTGAAACAAAATCTATTGCAATTCCTCACATTGATGTATCTCACAACCACACAGAATCCTACAACAACAACAGCATCAACAACAACATCGATCAACCCACTTCATTCTTCATTGATCCTACCAAAGGAAGAAAAAGAGGTTCCAATTCAGTCACTTTCCAACACAATGGAAATTCCTCACCCCAATTTGAGTGTTGCTGCAGCTACCACTCCTAGCTCTTCACTCTCACCACAGGTATCTCTAAACAGCTATGAATTCAAACAATCGGAATATACTTTTATCTACAATTTCATTGCTTCAAACAATACTCACAATCCAATTGGTCATGGTATTGCCACGATCCTGTTGTGTCTTACCGACAAGAATGGAGATCCAATCAAATCGATTCCAATGGATATCAATAGTATTCAAAAGAAAGATCCTATTGATGTTATCAATATTTTGCTGGCTGGTTCAAATACCTTTGATCCACCTGCCGGCACCAGTGTTGTTGATCCCAACTCTCCAAAACCAACCAACTTTAATATTCAATTAAAGATCTGGTCACGTGGATCCGTCAATAACAATCTACTTGTAGAAAGGCTACACCAATCGATCAATCAAACACTTTGTGAATATCTTCTTGAAGCGATTCTACCTCAAATCAATGTCACACCATCGACATTCAAGGATGACTATCTCACTTATTTCGAACGTATTATCCTCAGAGGAAGACAAATACAAACACCAAGTATTCAAGAGGTTAAGATTGCCCAATTCCATCTACCAACTTGGTCGACCAACGACTTTGTTTTGGATATGAAAGAATTGATTGCCGATATCAACTCTCGACTCAATCCATCACTTTGGTATCTCGAAGATACCATCTTTGAAAAGTTCAATCCTAAACGACAAAATATTTCAAACTCGGTTGAACTGGAGAAACCAAATGGCAATGCTGGAAATAGTAATATTCATATGAGTGGAGAACAAACACCTATACTCAATACAACTGTCAACAACAACAATAACTCGAACAACAGTCGTATCAACTTGATGAATAAGAACAAGTATAAAGTCATTATCATTGCTGGTAAGACTGTAAACGAAGGTCTACAACTCTTACCAAACATTGATACTGAACCATCTTTGCTATTGACCAACAACGAGGATATTCTATTCTATCCACAAATTAAAGATTCGCAATTGACACATGCCATCTACCGTCAATGCAATCTACTTGTTACCATCACCTCGAGTTCACTTTGTATCAACACTTACAACTGGGGACAAAACAAACTTGACATCCTCTTGTCCGCACTCAACAGAATGAACACATGGAGAACTCTCAGAAAGAATCTTCTCAACCAAGTACTCCACCAAAAACTTGGTCTATTCAATCATGTTCCACCTGTTACTATCAACCCAACGGTGACTTCATTCTTCACTGACAAACCAGCGACACAAAGTCAGAACAACAATTTCGTTCGTTTCAACTATGACAATGTCGATATCTTTATCAACCAGCCTGCAGTTCCAAAGAAGACAGGTTCCGCTCTGATGTCGATAAGATCTTCCGACGAGATGAGAATGCAACCAAATCCACAGCGACAACTTGTCAAACAAAAGTCAGCTCTCAATGTTCCACCATCGGCCAACAGCAGCGCTCAAACCAATGTATCCACAGCCAACAAGAAGCGTGCCAGTTTGATTCCGGAATTCGAGGGATTACTCAAAGAACATTTCCCAACCAATTCGAACCTGCAGAGATCGATACTTCCAAACCTTGTCGATCCAATCCACAAACATGTCGGACAAATCAAATCGATGGCACAACAGGTGGAGCGTACACTCGAAGCGAAATCCATATTCTCTCGAGCCTCTTCGTTCTTTATCGACACTGATAAATCACCTTCGCAACACCATCTCGAGTCGATCATCAAGATGTCGCGACTTGTTCACTTCCGTTGTGTTCCTTTCCTCTACGATGACTTCCTCAACAAGGATCAAAGAGACAGTTACAACCAACAACAACAAGTCATTGAAAAGACAGCAGTACATATCATTTCACCATCGTTGGTCGGTATTGTAATGGCGCCACTAAAAGGTCCAGCCAACAACACTCCCTATCTGACATTCACTGAATCCGCACTCGTAAACACTGGTAATTGGCGTGGTCGTATCATGGAGTTCTTCCTCTTTGAATATATCCACTATATGGAGAATGCACTTCAATCCACCAAGATCTTCATTACCAACAATGATGCTCCACTGACGTCTTCACCTCCGCTTGCCTCAAGCGAATCGTCCATCAAGATCAGTGAACACGCCAAGATCGACCTCAGTATGTTGTCATCGATCAGCTCATCGAGCGCATCGAAATCACTGCGTGCCTATTTACAACAGACCTTCAAAGGTGGATCGTTGCTCATCAAAATTGGATTCCGTGATCTCAGTGTCACCTGTGAGCTGTTTGCCATTCTTCAACCGACCCTGGAGAATCAGAATTCCAGCAAATATCAATCGACCTTCTTTGCTGAGGAATACGGTAGATTCACTCATCATCTACATCTGAATTCGTTTGTCTATGATTTCCACATCCGTCAACTCTATGATTTCCTCAACAACAATCATATCTACTACAATCCATCCAACTCTGACAAGACTCCGACTCCACCCTCGAAATATTTCATTGAGATGCTTCAGTCGCTCTCGAGATACTATCCGAAACCACCTGCTCATGCCTATGGTTATCTACAAGACTCGATCTACACGGCACACTCACCGATTCCACCCATCATGTTGTTTGAATATCTCACAAAGAATGCCAAGCAATATTCAATCTCGAATCTGCAAGACAAGGGAGTATCTCCTGCTCTATTCTTCTCGATTCCCGACCAGACTCAGACTGGTTCCGATGCAAAGATCACCTTCAATTGGGACGTTGTTATATTCTGTCTGAACGACCAGAGTGAGGAGGAAGATGAGATTGACCACCACATGATTCAACCGCCACCCACTCTACTTGGTGAATCTAAATACAACCTCAAATTGCAATACATTATCATTCGAACAGCCAACAATACAACATTCCCAAGAATGGATCAAGTTGGACATCATTCATCTCACACTCATCAAACACTACCTGTTAGATCTAATAATGTCAATGATTCCTCCTCTGTAACAACGAAACAATCATCCCAATCACAATCTCATTCACAACAATCTCAATCGATGACACTCCATCTTTCACTGAGTGGAAGTGCAGGTGCCATTCCAACATCGACCTCATTGAATGCTGGTGCCACCTATAACCCACATCTAGCAATGAATCCAAGCTCAATCGATCATCTCGAACGTAACAACAAGGCAATGGCAATGTGTGAGGAGATAGTCAAAGGCAAACTCAATAAGATTATCGTTGGTGCAAGTGTGGATTATCAACGTGATCGTCTCTGGCTCAAACTACTACGTGGAAATCCATACGATCCAGCTCTCAGCATCCAAGAGTTTGCACAATTCACTTCACTTGTCAAGCGTCGCTCCATCAAAACAATGGATATCTCTCTTACCACTCCCATCAATCTATTCCAATGTATGGGTAATGTGTGGAGTGGCCTCTGTAGTTACCTTGTAAAAACCTGTGGTGATCGTATTCGTCAGCTTCACAACGATAATGTCAAGCATATATTCATTCTCAATCCCAATGTTGATTGTCTCATGTTGGAGCTAGTCTATAACGAAAGAGAGAAAGAATCTGATGCATTCATCTGTCGTAAGGAAGGTGGTAATCTCTACACCAACAGCAGTTCACTACAGAAATCAGAGATTGATGATCTAGAATATCTACACGCCAGTCAACTTGTCAATACTTTATGTCACTATCTATGGAAACAAATGTTGATGAAATAAACTAATAATTATTATTTAAACAAATTAAAAAAATCAAGTAGTCATTATAGGGCATTTAGATTGATACTCTGTATCTTTCATTTTATCTCTACAATATCATATCCAAAACCAATGACCCCTCTACTATTTGTGACTTTAATAAAAGATTAGAGCTTGTTTATTTAGAAATCAAATCACAATAGATGAATCAAGATTATAGTAAAAATAAAACTGCCACAATATATAGTTTTTTGATTAAATTACTTTTCTTGGTGTCCATTTGTCTCTATAGCATTTGGAAAGATACGAATGTACATATAGGATTAGATTTCTTTGGGTAATGACTAAACCAATATTGAACCATCTGGAATGGTATTGTCTTTTAAATAGCTTTTTTGATACTGGTCCAACCCACAACAATAACATTTCTTGTCTTTTTTCCAAGTCATGTAAAGGACATTATAATATGTTAAAAAATAAAACTGGAAATAATGGATACAACTAATTATCAGCAAACTAATGATAGTAGTAAAATATAAAACTTTAGACTTATACTTATTTATTTAAATTTTGTTCTGCTGATATTTTACAATGTCCAACAAATCTTAATATTACATTTGCACAACTATTGATTGCTTTGTTTTAAAAAGCTTTACAAAATTTAATTGGATTTTATTTATTACATAGTGGTTTTATTTTAAATAAACAAGCTCTAACCGATTAGTGAAAGGCTGGGGATGTGACTGACAAAAGTGGATAATACATAATAAAAAATATTTATACTTTTATGCCTGTTGACTTGGGTGTGCAGCTTCACGATTGGTCAATGGTTTTGGATGTGAGACAGTAGAGATAAAGTGGATGATACAGAGTATCAAACCAACTGCTATAACGACAATACCTGAGAATTGAGAAAATGAATAATTGCATAAGTAATTGAATGATTAATTGATGAATTTAATAAATGATTTATCTGATTGTACCTGCAAATAAAAAGAAGCCTGAATCTGACAAAATTAACAAGCCAAGTCTATAGATAATTAAAAGATTGTTCGTTAAATATACTATTCTTTATCTATTTTTTGATGTAGCCATAAACTTACAAAATGAAAAACAATCCTTTTCCAAACCAATAAGCATAGAAACCGAAAAGTGAAAGAATACGAGCTGGGAATGAAATCTCCAAAAATACAATCATAACACCAAATATAATATAATATATTCCCAGTACGAAACCGATAATAGATCTCCAGAATCCACTGACAAAACTATAAATTCCGGCGGCAGTAATTAAAATACCAACCAAGATTGATAAAACTGTGAAAATAATTGAAACTCTGTCTCCGTGTACACCCATGTTTTTAGTTTTCTAATTCTATTTAAATAATATTATTATAGTTTCTATGTAGTTGATTAATTGCTGTTAGTAATTGATTTAATTAGATTGAAAAAAATGAATTCAAGATATAAAATATTTTGATTTTAATTTAATTTAAATTATTATTTTTTAATTGTGAAGTTTTTTAATTGAACTAGTTCAATTTGTAACATATTTATCTATTATTATAATGGTGGTAGTGAAATAGTGAAATTTATCTTAATGATTGATGTGTGGTATGTTTGTCTTGGTGGTATAAAAATATGGATGACATTTTCAGAACTATTGTTACCACATTATAATGAATGATGATAAAACAATCATAAAATTATATGACAATTTTATTGTTTAAAAATAGTGGGAAATGTAGTAACAAGATATAGAATTGATTTTCTTATTCTGATTTATGAATTTGAATTATATCTTTAGATGAGATGACTTACATACACAAATAAATAAACAAATCGATTACTTCTTTTTTTTTCTTTGTATAGTTGATAAAATAAGAAATGAAAGTGGAATGTAAGAAAAAAGGTGAATACTTTAAAAAAAAAAATTAAGAAGTTAATAACTAAAAATATAACAAAAAAAAATTAATAATAACCTATGCATCAAAAAAAGTCAGAATCTCATTTTTTATTTGAAATGAACACAATTTTTTTAATAATCAAAAAACGCAGGTGGTGCTTACATGCCATGGTAATCAGATTTTTTTGATCTTGTCTTGTTTATTTTAAAATTTGCGCTGTTTTAATTCTAAAATAGTTTATTTATTTTTTGTTTTTCGCAACGAAGTGTTTTGTTTTTTATTTTTTTCTTTTTTATTCTTATTCTAAAAGTATGAATTTGTAATGGTCAAAAGATTAAACTCTGTTTACTGTTGTTGGTATTTAAACAGATGCAGTAAAGACTTAAACACCAACCACCATCAAAAATGCAAACAAAAAAACATAGTTGTTGTCATGATATTTAAAATAATGGTTTTGATCCCATGAACTGAACAACACTATCACCATCATTCACCACCCCATTCCACACTGGGATGCAAAGATTGTAAAATTTGATTTAAATTTTATTAAATAGATACATAGATATTATTTCAAATATTAAATATTGTATTTGATTAATAAATTAATTAATAAATAAATAAATAAAACCAAAATTTCTTTCTTTTTTAAAGTTTATGAACTTTGGTTTAAACAACTCCCTTCCCCACCAAAAATTTGATGAGTTTTTTTTTGACCACCAAACTAATCAACAACAAATATGACAAAAATAAAATTAATAAGTGATATTTATATAGACAGAGATAACTATGATAGTGTTATCAAATTGTTTGAAACTGATCAAGATGAATGTGCAGAATCAATAATTTTGTTAGCAGGCAATGTTGGTGTGGTGGAGAAGGATGCAGATGGTACAACACCTATCTACCGATTGCTAAAGTATTTATCATCGAAATACCGTCTTACTTTCTTGGTGGCAGGTGTCTATGAGTACTCTGGTGGTATGACATTCGAACAGACCAACAGACAATTGGATAGGTGGTGTCAGTCAATCGATTCATCCAATGTACACTTTCTAAACAACAGCGATTACAACCTGAGTGAACATAATATCAATGGTAATGGCAATGGTAATGACAAGTGGGTGATCATCGGTAGCACTATGTGGCCTTTTATTCCACCTGTTTTCGATATACCACCAAACTTTAAATTCGACTATGAATCGATCAAAGGCGACAACGACAGACCGGCATCATCAATGAGAGATCAAAACAACTGGAATAAGAACGATGTCAAACAACTAAAGACATTGATACAATCATATTCATTCACTGGTGAAAACATTATTGTACTATCTCATTTTGCACCTACTTCAAATAACTCTGTATTCAATGATACCAATATATCTAAACTTAAAAAGTAAGTCCACAGGAGTAGAATAGAAAAGAATAGAATAGAATATGAAACTAATCATTTATTTAATAATTTAATAATAATAGATCGATATCATGGTGTAAATGTGAATTGGAAACATTGGTAGATGCTAATTCAAATCTATCATATTGGTGCTATGCTAATACAAATAATAATTTAATGAGTGGAGACGGTGCAGTTACAAAGATACAACAAATGTCACTATTGACAAATCAAGCATATATAAAGAATGATATAAAGAAATTGTTGGATAGATTCGATAGCAAGTTACTTTCAATCGATATTAAAGGTTTACAATTAGACAAGTTAGAAGAAAGTGATGATAGTACTGATATTCCTACTACTTCTAGTTCTGAATCGACATCATCTATATCTAGTTCAACGACTCCAACAACAGCAACAACAGAGACAACAACAACAACAACAGTGAATAATCAAAGTGTACTTAATATAAAGAATATAAGTGAAAGATATCAAGAAAAAGAACAACAAAACAAGCAATTACTAGAGTCAATTAAATCAGTGTTTAAAGAAGATGAGAGCGGTGGTAAATCAACAGATAAGTTAATTGAGGCATTACTAAAGAGTAGTGGTGGAGGTGTTGGTGGTTCATCAATGAATAAAGATGAAGAAGAAGATCAAGACAGTCAAAAGAAAAGAAAATTCTTTAATCTTGATAACAAGACAAAAGAAGTAAATAGTAATAGTACTAAACAATCTTTTGATATTAACGATAATGGTAATAATAGTAATAATAAGGAAAAAGAGATAGTATATGATGATACAGATGAATTAGAAAGTTTCTTAAAAAGTAAAGATAGTTCAACTAAAAATAACAAAATTAATAGTAATAGTAATAGTAATAATAATAAAGATAACAAAACAATAAAGAAATTTAGATTTTAAAACTATTATCAATTACAACTCTATTTAGACATTAAAGTTTAGATTGGTTGGTATATAACAAGTTAATTTTTATTTATTACAAATTTTGTTGTGTTTGAATCATGATAGCAGAGTAAATTAGATATACACACACATCATCTTAACACATCTTAATAGCTTTACAGACGTGTCCTGGTGAAGTATTCTTCTTCAACTCATTAATGATACTGTGAGTTGCTTTGTGTACGATCTTCTTGCAAACTTTGACGGCTGGCTTGACACCAAAGGTATTGCAAGAGTGTTCCAAATGGCTCTGGATTTCTTGGGCTGTCTTGTTGATCTTTACCATGTGCTCAGCGCGCGAAACAAGGAAATTGCATGCTTTGCACTTGTACTTCTTGATGATATTCTTTCCTGGAATATGTGGTTTCCACTTTCTCAAGTTCTCGGCAGTGACAAATTCAACTTCATCATTCTCGAAATCAACAACATCTTCGGATTCATAGTTTTCCAATTCGTAGTATTCTTCCAAAACCTCTGCCAATTCGTCAAGAGTGAAATCACTGTCGTTGTCGTCACATTGGCCGTTAACGCCACAGATACGTAGTTGTTGACAAACCAACTTTGGTCGTTCGTGATGGATGATCTTTTGGATGATGAGTGGACCATAGAAATCTACCAATGCAACACATGGACGTGAGAGTTTAGCGGGTAAGAGTGAACATGTCTTCTCCATTGACTTGATGATACGTTGTTGTGTTTCATTCTTTAGAACCATCATCTCTGCACGTCTAACAAGTATTTGACATAGATCACACTTTAATAAAATAAGTTAATTATTAATTAATTATTATAATGAATGATAGATATTTAGTTAATATATACCTTTGCTCCATCGTTAGAGGCTTGGCTTACAGATGCCAAAATCGTAAAGATAACTAATAGTGATAGAATTAATTTCATTTCAATTTTAAATAGTATTTGATTGGTAATTGATTAATAATTACATTTTAGATCTAATCAATTTATAGTTTAGTTTACTATAGAGAAGAAAATCTATAAAATAATAATAATAACAATAATGATTAAGATTGTCTATTTTAAACCTGGTTTTAAAATTTTAAAACCAGCTTTTTATATTTTTTTGCAAAGTAAATTTCAAAGTGTCTGGTATGCAAATATTATTGGTGAATAATATATATTATTTAGAATTATAATTAATTAAAGAAACTAAACAGAATAAATAAATTTCTATATTTTAAATTGATTTTATTTTATTTTTTTAAAAGTAATAAATAAATTAAAAAAAAGAAATATTTTTATTATTAAAAATAAAGAGTATAGAGTTTTTTAAATTATAGTAATACAATTTAAATGGAAACCTAAGCAAATCAGATGTGTTTTTAGTTGTACAAGAAGTAGATTAGATTACCACAAACAAACAAGTGCACCGGTGGTTTTAACAAAACATATAAATCGATGTTTTCAAAAACGTTGCATTTCTCATTTTGATACTTTTGAATTCTCAAAAATTTTCATAAATATTTTCATTGATTGACCGGTACCTATAAATGGAACAGTTCTTTAATATAAATAAAACAAAACTTAATTTAAGAGTTGATATCAGCTCATTTATCAATTACATTTAATAGATATCTATATTTATAATTGTTTGTTTGTTGTTTTTTTTTTTATTTCTTTGTAAATTTATTAATTAATTTAATATGGAGTCGATCAATGAGTATTTGGTTGTAGGAGATAATATTGATGAAAATAATAATAATAACAATGAATCAACAACTCAACAACAACAAGATGGAAATGTACATTTTAATTTAACATCTAATATTTCAGATTTAGATATTAATGTTAACAATCAAACAAATTCACCGTCATCTACTTCGAATGTATCATTTGTTACCGATTCAAATCAATCGATTACTTCAACTTCTACCGTACCTACAACTACAACATCAACAACATCAACAACAACTACACCACCAACAACAACAACTTCAGAATCTGTAGTAGTAGAATCAACAGAAGATAAAATAAAACCAATCAAATGGAATATTGTTCCAACTTCAAACAATCCAACACCAAGATTTGGTAAGATATTATTTAGAATATTTGATCTTGTTTGTTTATTTACTAACTTGGTTATTTTCATTTTATATTAAAGATAATACATTAGTACAATATCAAGGATATCTTTATTTGTTTGGTGGTAGTGAAGTTGGTAGTGAGATGAAGTCAGCGTTCTCACACTTTCAAAGACTATATCTTGATACTATGGCTTGGCAATCGTTACCATGCACCACTGTCACCAGTAGAGTGTTGCACACTGCCATTGTCCACGAGAATGCAATGTATATCTACGGTGGAGGTATCTACGAAGATGAAAAGTCATCGTATTTCTGGTCATCAAACACCAAGAAGCTATTCAAAACGATCGGTTCACTGTTAAAGTTTGATTTCCTCACGAATGAATGGACGACGCTTGGCGAGCATCAACCACGTGACGGTCATTCCTCGGTGGTAGTCGGTGACAACATCTATGTTATGGGTGGATCGCAAACCGTCTACCAAAAAGGATCGATCTTCTCAGTGTTTTTCAATACTACAGAGGTGTACAATATCACCACCAACAAATGGCGACAGATCAACTCACCACAGTTTGGAAGACTTGGTGCCGCTGCCAGCTACGGACTTTCCGAGGACAAGAAGTTCATCTACTATTTCGGTGGATACGACCAATCGGGACGTTCCAACAACGATCTCTGGCGTTTGAATCTCGAGACTGAGACTTGGCGATTGGTAAGCGCTGCACCCAAGGAAGTGGTTCCGTCCGACCGCCACTCTCACACCATCAACTCGTTCGACGATAAACTCTATCTGTACGGTGGATACAACAAGCGTGGATTCCTCCGTGATCTCTTCACCTTTGATTGTAAAACCGAGAAGTGGACAGAGATTCCATGTGAAGCGCCACCCAAGCGTCGTCGTTGCAATTCGATCGTTCTCGACAGTGGAGGACGTTCGCGTTTGTTGTTGTACGGTGGAACCTACCTCTCTTGCTACTACAACGATATCTGGGAGTTTGTATTCCCATCGCAAGTTCACATTCCCAAGGATCGATTGCTCTACGATTTCTGTGAGTTGTTTGACAATGCCCAAGATTACTTTAGCGACGTAACGTTCATCGTTCAGGACAAGCCGATCCACGCACACCGCAATATTCTCTCGGTGCGTAACCAGTACTTCAAATCGATGTTCACCTCCGGTTTGAAAGAGTCGGGCGAACGTGAGATTGTCATAAAGAGCGAGCAATTCGCAGAGTTCCAATCGATGTTGCGATATATCTACTCGGGTGACGAGACGATTGTCACTCTTGACAATTGTATCCCTCTGTTGCATCTCTCTGATTTGTATATGATCGATAGACTCAAGACTATCTGTGAAGCCAAGGCAATCGAGGGTATCGAGTTTGATACTGTAGTCGCACTCTACAAACAAGCAGACTTTTATAAACTTTCCAGTCTTAGACAGACCTGTGTTACCTACATCGCCAAGAATCACAAGGATGTATTGGCCACCGGAACATTGAACGATGTGGATTCCTCATTCCTCTTGGAGATCATGTATTGTTTAGATCCATCATTAAATCAAAAGTCAAATGATAATCAAGAATCTTCAAAAATTGTAAAATAATAATTAAGCTCATCTCAACAACAACAACAACAATCTGTCAATAGACATTTACTTGTACTAAAATAAACAAATATAAATATTTACATTTTTATTTACAACAAATAATAACTATTGATATTGATAATGATATTGATGTTGATATTGGTATTGGTGTTGATATTGATATTCAATCTAAAACATGGAATAGTATAAAAATGAAGAGTGTAATAAAACATTGTAGGAGAATAGAGTCATCCAGATTGGCATCCTCTACCAATAGTTCATTGGGATGACTAAACGATGATGTTGATGTTGATGTTTCTGAAGAAGAAGATGTTGTTGATGATGTTGGTGATCTTTTGGTAAGATATGATTTGCTATTGAATATAAAACATAGTATGGTAGAGTAGAGGTTTCTAATATCACTAACAGCTGCACCACCAGATCTGGTCACCAGAAGGTCTTGATTTGTTTTCTCTGGTTGGATACTCTCTAATCCACCAGCTGGGGATGATTCTTGAACTTCAGTATCGGATAGCCCTTCAAGGTCAGAGAATCCATCTTCAATATCACCACCATATTCACTACTACCACTATCGAATGACAGTTGTTCATTGTAACTTGTAGATGGAGATAAAAGAGATTGATTTGTTGACTGGATAATCACCAGTTGATTGTTATTATCGTTATTATTATTATTAATAATTATATATTTTTCATCTTCTTTCTCTTCTTCATCATCATCATCATCACTCATCATTTCATAATTGCTTTTCTCATCGACTTGATTCAACTCTTGATCTATAATTTTATAATCAATAACTTTTTCCTCTTCCTCTTCAAGTGGTACTACTCTAAATCTATCATGTTCTTCTTCTTCTTCTTTTGGATGTTGTTTTTTGACTGAAATTGGTGAGAAATGATATGATTGTGACTTTGAAGGAGATGATATTTTCTCTCTTTTCTCTGATCTAAATACTTCTAGATCAGCATCTTCACTAGAGCCATCGAATGATCTCTTCAGTGTAGTTGATTTCTTTGTTGGATGAACCAAGCCAGTGTATGTATAGGGTGTCTTTTTATTATATTGACCGCTATCTGATATGTCGTCTGTTAAATCTACGATGGGTACTATCAAAAAAAAAAAAAAAAAAAAAAAAAGAAATAATCAAACAAAAACAAAAATAAATTTTTAAATTAAAAGTAAGAAAATAGAATCTAAAAAGTTAGGAATCTCATCGTTTAATTTAATAAATACCAGGATTAATAGATTTTGTCATATTGCTAATCTTTTTTTTATTTTTATTTTTTTTATTATAGTTTTAAATTATCTCACTATCTATCTTTATATAACTTCTAACAATCTAACTATCTAACAAAACTATCTAACTTTGTAAATAATAACATGTAATTATCTGTTCATATGTAATAAATGAATGTAACTAATAGAATAATATTATTAATACCCTACCAATAATAAAATAAATTAACCAATTCAATAAATAAATCTTTGCTAACAAAACAATCAAAGAAACTAACAACAACAACATTTAATAACAACATCATAAACTAATTAATCACATTTTACTAATAATGTTAAAATGATACTTTATTTTTATTATTATTATTATTGGTTTAAAAAAATATTGTAGAATAAAGTAATTATTACTTAATAAATAATTAAAGAAACAACAAGTTGTCAAAAAAAAAAAAAAAAAACAAAAAAATAAAAGAGTCTGGAATTTTGATCAAGTTTAAATTAATTCCCGAAACACTTGCGCAAGTGAAATTTACCCCCAATTTTTGATGATATTTTTAACAATGATGAGTGATGCCAGAAGAAGAAGTGAAGTGGTAGTAATTAAAAAAAAAAAAAAAAAAAAACAAAATAGAATAAACAACTTTATATCAAAAAGGTTTGTTTTAAAACCCCTTTTTAATGATCATTAATTAATAGTAATTATAATAAATAAATATTTAAATAATTAAATATATATAAATAAAATAAAAAAAGGTAAATAATATTTGATATATATTTATTTATATGTATAAATAGAATTTACAAAAACTAATATATAAAATTTTTACTATTTATTTTATTTTATTTTTATTTTTTTTACTACTACTAAACAATAACAAAACAGAATCAACAAAATGTGTGATACAAATCTTATTACTTTAAATACATGGTTGTTAAGAGAGGAACACAGTAAATTGATCAATAGAGTAGAGTTTGCCAATTTGATGAGTGGTATCGCTCTGGCATGCAAGATCACATCGAACGCTATAAAGAGAGCCGGTTTCGAACAGTTGTTTGGTTTGGCCGGTGTTACCAACGTCCACTCTGAAGACGTCAAAAAGTTGGATATCGTTGCCAACGATGCATTCAAGACCGCTTTGAAGTCGACTCGTGAAGTCTTCTGTATGGTCTCTGAAGAGGAGGAGTCAATCATTCCAGTGCCAGAGCACCAATCCGGTCAGTTTGTCATTACATTCGATCCACTCGATGGTTCATCCAATCTCGATGCCAATGTCTCTGTCGGTTCCATCTTTGCCATCTGGCCCAAAGTATCAACTGATTCCAATGTAACTATTTTGATATCAAACTTTACAACTTACATGATCTAATTAATAATAATTATTACTATTATCTCTTGCAGTTCTCAGATAAAGATGTATTGAGACCAGGTAGACAAATGTATGCCGCTGGTTATGCACTCTATGGTAGCGCTACTATGTTGGTGTTGACACTGGGTAACGGTGTGTTTGGTTTCACATTGGATTACACAGTCGGTGAGTTCGTACTGACTCACGCCGATATGAAGATTAAGCCACGTGGATCGATCTACTCGATCAACGAGGGTAACAGTGTATTCTGGGAGAAGGCAACCGCAGAGTATGTCAATTCAATCAAGAGTGGCAGCAGTGGTCGTGCTCCATACTCATCGCGTTACATCGGTAGTATGGTTAGTGATGTCCATCGTACTCTGCTCTACGGTGGTATCTTTATGTACCCAGGCGATACTAAATCACCAAACGGTAAGCTCCGTTATCTCTACGAAGTCGCACCACTCTCATTCATCGTCGAGCAGGCCGGTGGTAAGTCTTCAGACGGTAAACAACCATGTCTGGATATTGTTCCAAAGACCATTCATCAACGTAACCCTGTATTCATGGGAAGCTCACATGATGTAACCGATCTTGAATCATTCCACAAGAAATAAATAGTAAATAAATAAAAAAACAAACAAACCCATTCCAACAAAATTATAAATCAATTTAATAGGATTTTTTTTTAAATTTTTAACATAATAGGAGTTTGGTTTAAAAAGCCAACAAATTACTAACCTCATTCAAACCAAGTAGAGAATCATTTGGTGAACATCAGATGCTAGAACCAAATATTGGCCTGTAATGGAAATAATATTACCATCATCAAATGCTCGGATCGTATAGTGGCAGTACATGAGGTTGTGGTCCTCCTAACCCTGGTTCGATTCCAGGTCCGAGCACTTAAATCCTTTTTAAAAATCATTTGTCCGCCTGCGGTAAGTAACTTTTTTTTTTAAAAATTTTTTTTAAATTTAACGTTTATTCAAAATTAATGTAAGAACTTTTTGTTTAGTTTATTAATATAAATTTATCATACCTATTCAAAACTAATGTAAGAACTTTGAATAGTAAAATTGATCGATTGTTTTTTGAATAGTTGTTGAGTTTTTAAAAATGAAAAATAATTTGAATTTTGAAAAAGTGGTATTATCGTTACATATCTCCCTCCATGACATCAAATATTGAATTGGAAATTGAATAAGCAGAGTTGAGTATTACTTATTTTTTTTGTTGTTTGTTGAATGAATCTATCATAGTTGGAATGTATTGAATGAGAGTGTTTTCATTTATCCATTTGTTGTGATACATTATGTAATCGCTGTCAGTATCGAATTTAACCAAGTATTCAATAGCTGTAATGTCAGTCGCCCATGAGTCAGATACTATAGATGAAGGAGCACCGAATACGGCAATGATCTCACGTGCAAACAAATTAACAAGCTGGATAGCAGTGACATCTTTGTGACATGGGAATAATCGGGTCATTTTGGTGAATCTGTCCACCACTACGAACAGATTGTCTTCGCCTGTATCAGCAGCAGGCAAAGCTAATAGATCCATTGATATATCACACCAAGGTCTGTCTGGAAGAGGTAGTGATGCCAAGATCCTTCTTTGATTTTCTTGATGTATGAACGTTGGCATTGGACACACTTCTTCACAAATTTAGAGATAGTGTCACACATGTTTGGCCATACATATGACTTATTTAACTTACTGAGCATTCTTCCATAAGCGACGTGACCACTAAATGGCGAAGAGTGCGCTTCGTTTATTATTGACGTGATCGACGCTGGATCGAGCATGACCAATCGCATATTATCACCATCGATCCAATAGTAAAGATCATTGATAATGGTGATGTCCTGTCTTCGTTTGAATGATTGGAACCAATCTCTAGTTGCTTTGGGGAGCTCTGAAGAATATGATGCAACGATGTCTTTGTGGAGATCGTTGTCCCAAGGAGTGTAGAAATCCGGAACACGGGACAAGTAGTCGGCCATGCAGTTCTCCTTTCCGGGGATGTATGATGTCTGGAAAGAGAATCTGGAAAGAATTCACTCCACCTGATGAGTCGTGGGTTGTCCATGTCATTCTGGGAATTATAAATCAGGTTCCTGTGATCAGTGTGAAATACAAATGGTCTACTTAGTAGATAGCCAAATCTGGTAACGGCATGGATGAAAGAGAGTAACTCGCGATCACGTGCACTGTAGTTCCGTTGGGCAGAATCAAATTTCCCTGCGTCGAATAGCACGGGACGGAGATTGTTGTTGTCGTCGTACTGGGCAATCATGAGACCAGATCCAACGTCCGATGCGTCAGTGTAGATAAGACATCTGGATGAGCATATCTCCGCTTTGATATCGTTGAAGTCTGCAATCTCCTGATCGGTGAGATTGATCTTCCTGTATTTGGTACTGATTGTACTTGTCAATCTAGCTAGTTGTGGAGCGAGATGTGTAACGATAATACCACTTTTTCAAATTCAAATTTTTTTCATTTTTAAAAACTCAACGAATATGCAAAAAACAATCAATTTTACTATTAAAAGTTCTTTACATTACGAAAAAACTAAATAAAAAAATTGTTAAAAACAAAAAAAATCGATATCTAAAAAAAACAAAAACAAATTAACCTTATCATTCTAATTTTATCTATTAAATAAATAACAATATCAGTATTTTTTAAATAATTCCTTTGAAAAAAATTAGTTTAAACGATTGATTATTTATACAAAGAAAATTTTAATAGAAAAAACATATAACATAACAAAGGAGAGTGATACCAAAGAACTATTTGAGCTACTACCATTCGAGCCAGTGGTAGATGATGGAGTTGGTGTTACTGGTGTTTTGTCACATGTGATATGAAATCCTGGATCTATACAAGTGTTACAAACCCAAGATAAAGATTGTTGATTTTGATTTGAAGTACATTCATCCATTGAGTTAAATTCATAGCCATATGCAACATTATACTCATCAATGTATTGGATCAAATATGTTTTCAATCCTGTATTTCCGCTGCATGGATCTTTAGAGGTGCTATAGTTTAAAAATAAAATGAAAATTATCATTAATAAACAAAGGTTTTTTTATATAATTACTTCAATTTTTTGTACACTTACAAGCATTTACCTACTGGAATTACCATTTTTACAGTTGGAGCATCAGTTGAAGAGCATGGTTGGGTACCACCAGTTGAGTTACAACTTGTAGACAAAGTGACTGTTCCAGTTGTTGTTTTATTGGTGGATGGACACAATAAAGTGAAATTGTCTTCGCAACTACTACAATTTTGTGCAAGAGGTCTACCATTCATTTGTTGAAAACAATCGAAACGAGATGGATAAAAGGTACCAATAACTTGTGAATTGTTGATTCCTGTTATATAGAAACTACCATTTCCACAAAAAGAAAAATCTCTATTCAATTTAAATAATAAAAAAAAAAATTAAAATTTAATTGAAATTTTAGATTTTTCTTTTGATCTATCATAAAAATACTTACAAACATCTTTTATTTGGAACATTCTTACAAGATAGATCTCCTTGAACCGCACAACGTTCAATGGTGCCCTGTGAACAACGACCACAAACTTGAACTTGATCATCTTGTGAAACGACCACTGAAGTTAATGCTAAAACTACAAAAATTAGACTTTTATAAATATTCATGATTTATTGATACATATATAAATCATTTAAGACATTTAAATAGAAGTGCTTTTATCCTGAAAAAATTTTAATGAGGGAAGAAAAAATAAGTTGAGATTTTCCCTCATTAGCTGGTTATTCTAATAACTATTTTGGGGTTATCGTGATCTCCTTTTTTTTTTTCATTTTTTTAATATGAGAGAGGGTCATTTTTTTTTTTCAAAAATTTAAAGTTAATTTAACAAACATTTTATTCCACCATTAGTATGAGATATGCCTATTTTTTTCAATAAATTAATATTCATTCACCCATCATTTAATATTTTTTGGAAGTAAAAAAAAAAAAAAAACTAGTTTCAAAAGTCCTTCTCCTGCAACTAAATGTAAGTGGGGTTGACTACCCACGACAATTATTAAAATTTTTTTTTCAATAAATTAATATTCATCCGGCATTTATTATTTTCTATCATTAGTATGAGATATACCATTTTTCATTAAAGGTTATTTGATGAACAACTCAATGCTACATAATCAACGAACAAACTAATACCCATTCAATCAAATAACAAGAAATAAAATTGGTAACCATAAACCAAACAATTTTTTATTTTATTTTATTTTATTTTATTTTTTATATAAGATATTTTTTAGATAGAGTGACTGATTTACCATCGTCGCTGATCGAAGATGCGATCATGTTAGACACTTGAAATCTAGCACTAAAATAAAACTGCACCAGTAACTATATTGAGTGGGTGTGGTGGGTAGAAATTCTCTCATTATGACGTTGATGAAAGTCATAATGAGAGAATTTTCAAAGTCAATATATTGAAAATTTTAAAGTGGTTTCGCTAATCAGAAGGTCGATATCAATCTTTGTGTTTAGAATTTGAGGGGAAAATACCCAGTTTTTATTAATTAATTCTTGTTGTCTATATATTCGGGTCTTGTTCCTGCTCTTTTTCTTTGTTCAATCTGACCAGCCAAACGATTTGTTTCGTCCAGTAGTGAGGGGGAGCTCAATGAAACAGGGGATGATGCGATTGGTGTGTGAGTTGGAGAGTGCTGTTGTGCCATCTGCTGTAGCTGTTGCTTGTTTAGCTGTACCAATAGATCCGATTCTTTTTCTTTAAATAATACAGTTAGAATTTTACATTTGTTTTGTTCTTTTTTGATCTCTTCGCGTTGCTTGTTGATACCAAGATCCTGTGTTGTGTAGTCGTTGAGTAGCTCTTGCAATGAGAGATTGGCATTCCAAACATTCAGCAGTTGCTGATAGAGATTGCTCATTGCCGAACAGAAACGAGTCTCTCCGATTTGAATTTGTAGTTCCTCACTGGATATTCCATTCTCAAAGAGTTTGGCACGAGTGTTGTTAGTGATCGTTCGCAAATCCGTGTAGATATTGAGGTGTTGAGTGAATAGTTCGATTGCCTTTTCACGGGCATTCATAAAGGCAGTGGCCAACGATGGTTTGGCATCGATCATTCGTTTGTATTTCTCTGACATTTCTTTGGATTTCTGAATTTCCAGCTGAGGCACGGTGAATGCTGACTTTTCAAAGATCTCCACTGAGAATGTCGATACCTCAGAGGCAATCGATGACATCAGAGGAACACACTGAGTAAACAGTGTTTTATATTCAATGGAAATCTGTTGTACAAGTTGCGAGGCGGCAACAAAGACATCGAAAATCTCTTTCTCTGATTGGAATTCGATTTGTTCCGAACAGGAATTCCACCAACTCTTGGCGGCCGTAACGTTAAACGAGAGAGTGGAGAGTGTCGAGTTTGTTTGGAATTGCATTTGATGTCTTGTAAGAGTGGGTGAGTTTGGATTACCAACTGGTTTCTTTGAGCTTGCAGCAGTGTTGGTCGATGAGAACGAAGAGGTTGACGATGAAGGTGTCGATGCAGTTGAACTTCCACCGCCATTAATTACTGCGGGTGAAGAATTGCTGATATTTCCAATGGAGGGATGTGAACTTGGTGTAAGTATTTGACTAGAGGTAGTTCTCGCTGGGTGTGTCTTGGTGATTGGCGAAGTCAACGGATGATTACTGGAAATCGAGGAGTTGAAACTACTGGAGCTAGAGTTGGTAATCAAGAAAGATGACTCTGGTGAGGAATCTTCTGTTGACGATTCCACTTGGTGTGCACTTGCAGCGGAAACGTCACCAATCATTGACATATCACCAAGTCCCTCGAGAATATCGCTGAATCCTTGGAAGTGAGGGAAATGATGGAAATCTGAGATGTTTCCATCAAAGGTGGTGTCGTTGGCCGAGTGGATCGTATCGCTGTCAAAGTCACCGAGATCCGACGATGGATTGTGTTGAGTTGATGAGGAGACTTCATCGCTATCGTCGTTGATATCGTATGGTTTGGGAGGTGGTGCCATGTCGTCGGTCGACGAGAAGAACTTTTCAAAGATCTGAGTGGTTGTGTACATTGACTTGGAGAGTGAAGTAGTTGATCTCGTGCAGGAATCCAGTACTTTCGAGAGACAAACACTGGCTAGGTGAGTTCCACGATCGACTTTATTCGAGAATTTCTTTGGACCAACTTGTGAGAGACGCGAAGGTTTCATGCTGGCATTATCAATTTGTTGAAGACTGGTCGGTGAGTTTCCAGATGATATCTCGACGAGACGCAACGATTGTGCAACGATATAGCTAGGTGTTTTGTGGTCGTTGATAAACAGTGCGATAGTATCATACCAGTCAGCGACACGACTCGACTTTGTCTCGGCTGGATTGACTCCACCTTTGACAAGAGTAGTCAACAGTTTCAATATTGGATAACGGTATTCCTGTGGTCCGTACTCCAAGATATTAAAGAGCAGAGAGAATACAATGGTTGGATGTTTTGCTACCATCTCACAGAGTGGAACGGCCAGGTCAGAGAGGAAGTTATCCAGCTGTTTGAGATAGGTCTGTTGATTGTAGTTCTGGAAGATTTGTGATAGACGTGTCAATCCGTGATTGTCAGAGACAATAGAGATTCGTTCCGCAGTCAAATAACAGAGATGATCTATTTGAGTCTCTCCGATATTCGAGCACAAGAATGGCAGTAGTGCAGCGAGATTGATAAGGAATCGAATCGATTCCGGATGGAATATCTCATCGCATGGCTGCAGTGTCATCTTACTGAGGAAGTCGACAGTCGGTGGCGTAGTGTAGTTGGACAACATACCCCTGATCACCATCGGTTGTATGCCATTAAAGAAATCCCACTCCTTTGGTATCGATGCCAAAAATACATTCTGAACGGCACGATCTTGGAAGTTGACGGTTTCCAACAGCACTGAAAGCATCTTGATTGCATTGTTGAAATGCAGTTCAAAATCGGTGTGTAGCAATGCAAGAGTTCCCCAGAACAACTGGGGGAATAGGATCAACTTTGATGGATGAATACAACGCACCATGATCAAGAGTGTCTCTTGTATCTCGCTGATCAGCACGACATTGTCGTTGGTGATATTGGCGAGATTCTTTCCAAGACTTTGCATGACATCCGTCAGCGAATCAATGGTGGTAGTTGGTTCCAATCCACGGAGAATCTGATAGGATCGCAATGCCAAACGAATATTCTGACTGTTGGTCGCCCAATTGAGTGCGTGTGCACCCCACAACTCCTTCAAGTCATTCGATCCACTAGAGAGAACTGTAACGACACGTTTGGTCAACATGACAACATACTTTGGATTGCTAATCTCCTTCTTGGTGGTGAGTTCCTTGAGGTTGGAAGTCGAAGAGGATTCATCGGATCGATAGACCGACGGCAACAGGAAATCAACGAGCTGAATGGCATCTTCGTAGGTCGACGACTCTGTGTTGCCAGTCAACTGACACTTCTTGATAACGAGCGATCGTATCAGATTCAGTAGAAGCATACGGCAATGTTCATGTACCGGTTGATGATTGTAATACAATCCCAAGAATATCAATTGTAGCAATAATGGTAGATGACTCTTGAATTCCTCACCGACCTCAAACGAGACCTCCGAGAGGAAGATCAAAGGCAGTTGGAATCTCGTAAGTGGATAGTTCTTGGTGGCACGTTCCGAGAGGTCGGTAGCCGTATGGAAAGCAACGGAAATCGACATACTCGCATTGTAGATATCAGAGCCTGCCAAGGGAATCGATGATTTGCTGCTGGTGAGTTTCGTACCTTTGCCAAGTGTCTTTGTTTCGCCATACTCTGTAAAGTTTTGAGCAGCAGAAGTCGATGACAACTCACTGACCAAGCAATCCACCAGCTTCTGTGGTGACGAACGACCTAGATACACACAGATTCTCTTGAAAACCGGGATGAGATCATGGTTTCTTGTCTTTTCCATAACACGCAATATGAAATCAATGATGATCGATAGGTTGTCTTGGTTGAGACCGAGGATCTTCCAGATTCGCTCGATGAGATGTTGATGCAGCGTATAGTGTTTCATCGTTATCAATACCAATCCTTGTAGTACAACTTCGAGAGTGGCTGCACTGACCGATGCCAAGTGTAACAGATTCATCTGTTCGATCCACGGCGCTACATAGTTCAACATTTGGTTGTGTTGATCCTTGTGGTTGACGACGTCGCCACCCTCAAGCCTGTACACCACATCCATAAAGAACTCGTAGCACAACTCTGGATTCTCGAGTGACAGTGTTTTGGCGAGGTTACACTGCGATGTATGATAGGTGTCGGTCAGCTCCGATCCCACTGCCGACGGGTAGTATCCATCGCTGTAATGGTCGATAGTCGAGGCAGCCTTGATAAAGTACAACAGCTGCAACGCCTGTTGTCTAACGACCGACGTGAAAGTACCGGAATTAAATATGACAAGATTCGTTAGAATCGATTCAGAACATCCGAATTTCAATACTGAATCTTGGCAGAGTTCCACCAGAGTTAGGAAATAACCGTTGGCGACGGTGGTTGTCAGAGAATAACATTGATTGACACAATGATAGATTAATTCGGGATGTGAGAGATTGCATTTCAAAAAGTTTTGCAGCGCCAGACGAGTGACCGATCGAATCTTTGTTTTCATCTTGGAGACAAACATGCTGTTGATCCACTGGAAAATGACACCACTTGGATCCTTGAAGTTCTCGACAAACGGTGGTCCCAACAAGATAACAGAAACTGCATGTGAAGCAACATTACTAAGTTGTGAAGCATGTTCGAATATTCTCATTTCATATTCCTTTCGTTTGGTAACTTCCTTTTCCTCCTGTTGTAAAAATACACTCAGTCTCCTTGAGACTGCTTCCTCCCTAAGTACTTCTTCACTTTCACTCCATTTACTAAATACTCTAAATAAATCTTTTCTCAAATTCTAAGTTGAGTTGTAGTATAAAGAGATATTAATATTTAAAACCACTAAACTTATCAATATTAAATAATGGTTGATTCTTTCTTACCTTGTCTAAAAATTCTTTGGCACCAAAATAAAGTTGTTGTACAATACGATGAATCAAAACACAAAAGTTGAATCTAATGTCGTGTAGATTATCCCAGATATAATCGTTACTTGATGCCTCTGGAGAATTTAGGAATTGCAATACCTCCTGTATGAATTCGACGTATGAACGTTTCAGGACTTCTCTTCTGACGAGTTCGCCAGGTTTCAGTGACTCGAGACAGTGTCTTCGTATTCCGATGACCGATCTCAATCCATCGGTCTTCTTCTTTGTTTTCTTGGTGATGTTCAACTCGTGTTCGAACGGTCTCATCAAATCAAACAACACCTCCAACACTCTGGGATGTGTCTTTTCCATCGCCATCAGCGTTGACTCGACAAAGAACTTGTCGGTCGATTTCAAATAGGGGATGATCAGGTTGAATAGTTCACGGGCCGATGTCGGTGCGGAATCGGGAATGTCTGTTGTCTTCTTTTTGATATCGATGGCTTGGTTGTCGGTGACCTGGATGGTGGCGCACGCGAAAATGATGTAGTTACGCCACCAGATAGACAAGGCGTCGGCTTCCGCTGTCGACTGTGTCTTTGGATTCTCCTCGGGCTGGATCGGTCTGATTCTCTGGAGAATCAACTCTGTCGACTTGTTGACGGAATGTGGACACAACTCCGATGCCGCTCTCACAATATCCGAGAGACAAGAGCTCCAGAGTAGCTGATCTTCTTTCGACTCGGACTCTGCCAGTCTCTCGAAATCCTGTGTCGACTTTTGCTTCTTGTATTTATTCTCGAAATGACTGGTCAAGTTCTGTGCATGCCGATAGAGAACTTCATTGCCATTCTCATCGATGATGTCTTTGATGTGCGGTGTCAACTCGCCGACCAAGTCGGGATGATGCTGTTGCTGCGCATTGATGAAAGCGTCGTGTACCGTTCTAATCGTATCGAGAATACTAAAGGAGATACGTCTAACTCTGCCATTTGAACTGCAGAGGAATACGAGTGCAACCGACTCTACAAATGCCACTTCGGGAGCGTAGTCTGGTCCGTCCGTTTTGAATTTCAACAGGTCATCGTTGTCGTCTGTGGCCACTTGGAATTTCATTGTCTTTGACTTTGCCCATAGTTCCATAAGCTCTGCCATCTTCAGCAAAACGATATGAATGAGATTGGACTGACGATCGGAGAGTGACAATGCAAATTTACCCAATCCACCAATGATGTATGGACGCAAGTCGGGTCGCGTCGACATCAACTGTGTTAGGACGATCGACGACTTCTCACAGACACCCTTGTCCAGATGAATCAAATACTTTGAAAGCATCAACACCAACTCTGAGACAGTGAGACGCGATGGAAATGCAATAGGGATGGTAGTGATTGCGATCTTTAACAACTCCAAACAAGACGGTCCGGGTGGACGCAGCTTTTCCAGCAACTCATTGAGAGGCTTTGTCTGGGTGGAAGTCAGGAGCATTCCAAACGATCCGTCCAACGCCACAAGGATCTGAGAGAGGAAAATAGAGAGTGTCTTTACATAGGGTTCAATGAGTGATGCAGTCGATTGTTTCTTCATGTTTAGCGTGCCGTAGCGCTGGCGACGAACGGCGCGAACCTTGTTGGACGAAACGACGGGGTCGGGAATCGGACTGGTTGCGGGACTGCCACCCGGACTATTGCTAAACGACTGCAGTAGTTTCGGAGTGAGAGGATTGGTGCCTGCCTGGTCGATGAGCAGCACTGCACGCAGTCCAATAATCATTCGTTCGGGATTCGAAATGTAACCGAGTGTATCCTTGGGATCGCCGCCTCTCAGCAAGTCGAATATGATTTTCTCAAAGGAAAAGTCAAGCCGACTACTGGCAATGACACAAATGATATCGATAAAACTGTTGAGCGAGTCGGATGCACTCACCGTTAGCTTCTTGGTGTGTCCAACTGGGAATATATGTGAAACAAACTGATGCAGTCGTTCGGCCACCTCCTCAGGCTGCTCGCTATACTTTGTAAGATAACATTCCAGCAGATACTGACTGGATTCCAAAGCATAAGGACGAATTGCCTTATCCTTTATCTTTATGAAATTATCCATCAAACCCCAGAAACTCTTTAAAAATACTTCTTTCTCTGAACAACATAATAAAATTGATAATAATGGATATGATGTCTATAATTAAAATATACAATATAATTAATAACAAGTTAAATTACTAATTCAAATGATAAATAAACTTACAACAATATCTTTGGTTTTCTTTGTTTTCTTTGATATATAATCAAATAGTTCCTTTATACTTCCAATCCACTCGGTATATACAACATCTGGTTTAAATTTCTCTTCTGTCAAAGGACGCAATATACTTGCTAAAATTTCGGATATCGCTCTCCTGAGATCTCCTTTAATCTTGTTATTCTTAAATAGATCCAAAAATGAATTTATAAATTCTTGTGATTGTTTTAGTTTAGTTGTTGATGATATCTAGAAATAATAATAATAATAATAATAAAATTGAATAAGTAAAGTATAAAAATATATAGAGAAAAGAAATTCTATTCAAATTCTTATCATAAACTTACTCTAACTTTTAAAAATCTAATACCCTGTAAAATTGGAAATGTCTTTGATTTGAGTGTGTTTGATGAGAGACAGATTTGAAATTCCTTAAAGAAACGAGTCGATACCGATCGTAAGCGGTACTTGGAGAGTTGACCCAAGATCGATGCACACAAGTCTGGAATAGTCGATTGCGAAGTCGACGATGATGTCATTCTACGCTCCAACTTGAAGTGGTCGTAACATATCGATTCGATCTGCGTTCCAATCGTATCATTCAAATTGTCTTTGGTCAACGAATTCAAAATCGTCAACAGCGAAATACAAAATATATAATCTACAATCAATTTATAACGTTCATCTACAATCGGTGTAATATCTTTTTTCGTATCGGTACCATCTCTATAATAATAATAATTATTTATAAAAAAATAAATTATATTAGAATATTACATTCTTTTCCACATCTTTCCACATCTTTTTCATTTCATTTTCATATTTCTGGCAAAAGTTCTAAACATTTCATTACTTTCCAATGCAAATCAATGCGAATGCAAGTGCAAATGAAAATCGAGTTTAGTTGCAATTCCGAAAAATAAAAAAATAAAAAAAAAACAATAATATCTGACACCTGACATTATAATGGGGGTTACTGACTGCTTTGTTGGCTGGGTGGTAGTGGTGGTGATGAGGGAATGATGATAATAATTATACATACAATTTTGGCTTTGATATACTTTTCGCAGGAATGACATGCTGTGATGACCTCCACTGTAATAATGCACCGGCAATCAAATTCAAATAGTATTTCGATACCTCTGTCAAACCTTCTAAAACATTGTTGAATGTCTTTGAATCTGATCCTTCGAAAAAGTCTTCAATCTTTATTTTATCATCCTGCATTATTATATTGTATTTATATTAGAGTGATGTGTCAATAATGATTGATCTATTTATTGATTTGAGTTGATTTGATTTTATTTGATACATTACTCTAACAAAGATATCTATTTTAACTTTTGTATGTTCTTTGAAATCACCTAATAGACGAAACATAATATGATCTGCGGGAAGTACAGCTTTCTGATCTGAATCACTTCCGCCACTACTATTACTGCTTGCTCTTGTTCTAAGAGAACTATTTGAAACTGTCGCCATCTTTATATTACTTTTTATTATTACTATACTATATATATTATTATTACTACTACTTATTATTTTATAAATTACAACATGAAAAATGATTAATTTCTAATATTCTAAATTAAATGAATGATTTGAATATAATTTGTTTATTAGATTTGTTTTGTTGATATGTTTGATATGTTTGGTTGAATGTCAGACTGACTTTACTTATTAACTTGTATTATTATGATTGAATTTTGATAGAATTGATTGATAGAAAGACGGTAATTAAATTTAGATAAATAGATTATATTAATTAATATATTGTTGTTGTTGTTATTATTTATATATGATGAAATTAAAAAAAGAAAAAAGAAAAGGAATTATAATGACTGGTGTTTAGTGTGTGTGAGAAAGGTGCTGTTTAGATCAATAAGTGAAGTAAACTTGTGTTATTGTGTTTTGTTTTGTTTTGTTGATTATAATACCTGTCGTAGTAAATATGAATGAAACTAGTGAGTGAATGATGATCTATCTAGAAAATGAAATATTTTGGTGATGATGATGATGTTGTTGCTGCTGATGGTGTGTGTCTCTCTTTTCTGAATTGACTTCAAACATGTGAGTCTAGGGTGGGGTTGTGAGTTTAATGACTAATTGTGCTAATTGTGTGTGTGTGTTATGTGTGTGTTGTGTGTTTATATAAAACTGATATTGAATATATATATATGGATGTTGTTATTGTTTGAAGTTGTTACCAAAAACAAACAAAACAAAATTAAACAAAACTAAAAATATATTATAGTTTGTTTTTGTTTGCAATAGAAATTGGAATTACTAAATACTGTTTATTAAGTTTTGTTGTTCCAATTGGATTAGACTTATTTAAACAAAACAAAACAAAACAGTAACTCCAAATTATTATAATAAAAAAATAAAATAAAATAAATTAATTAAAAAGTGAAAATATATTTTTTATTTTTTGCACCAAAAATTAAGTCCATCATATAACCATTAATTTTGCAATAAAAATCAAATTTATTTGAAAATTTGACAAAAAAATAATTTTGTTGTTTTTGCAAAAAAATCCTTTTGTGAAAAAAAGTTTTGATCAATTTTTAGTTTTATTTTTTAATCACATCTTTTGTGATTGATTAGTTTTTGTTAAATATATTATTTAATGTTCCAAAAAAAAAACAAAAACCAACTTTATTTATTTATTTATTTATATTTCTTTTGATGTTTAGATTGTTTATTATCTCCATTGATGTTATTGTTATTATCTCTTTCTCTTTCTTCTTTCTCTTCTTTCTCTCTTTCTGTTCTCTCTCTTTAGGTATTCTCTTTCATTTTGATGTGCTACAATCTGTTGATTGATAACCCCCAGTGTTTTGATTGATTTCGGATAGTAATCTTCGAGGATTGTCTGATATTTTATCAATTTGTGCAAATGGAAGTGGCGAGTACCCAGAATCCAATCGATCTCCTCAAACTTATCATGTTCGATCAATCCGGTAATGATATAATCTTTGATATTGTAGCGGTCCTTTGTGAACTCTGTACGATTGCAAAGCGCCCAACCAACAGCATCAATACAATCGTTTTCCAGTGCGTCATCGATTGATTCCTTGCTGCAAACTTTAGTTGTATTCTCAGAAAGCTTTCTATTGCATTGTCCAATGCATAAGAAGAACAGCCTTCCGTTCGATTTTCAAATAGCCATACCTTGTTGGTAAGATTCTATGTTCAGTCAACTATTTCACCATGTCAAGAAGTTGCTTCTTCGATTGCCTCCTCTGGAAGTTCAACATTGATAAAAGTGGTAATTAGCCATTTCAACATATCTATATTATTGTTTTTTCAGAGAGTATTGGATTGAAAGTTGTTTTGATGAAATAATTTCATCATTTCAACCTACCACCTCCATTTGTAGGTGTTGTTCTTGGCTGCTTTACCAAAACAATTTCCAAAATCATTAGACAAACGCTGGCGATCGATTAGATTATCCAATTTCAAGAGATATCGTACCACCTCCATTTGATTGTAATTTGCAGCACATCGATACATTTCATTATTATCTCTGTGCTCCGAGTGGTTTTCCATCAACCATTCAATAATTATGATGTTTCCAACCTCTGCTGCAATATTAAAGACCTTGGTGGCATAGTATTCTTCAGGTTCCGATAGATCCAATAGACTCCATTGATTTTTAACTGATTCCAAACAATCGGAAAGTGGGAGTCTGTAAAGCCATTCAACTAAGTAGTTCCTTTGAAAGTTACCATTGCCAATCAATAAATGAGAACTCTTTACTATCGATTTCCACTTAAAATGACCACCAGGTTGTTTTCTTCTATTTATTTCTTTAACTTTTGAAAATATTGATCGTAATATAGTTTAACAAAGACTAATGTTTTAAGTTAACTTATGATCTTTTTTTCAATAAATGATTTTCTTTAATTTTATTCGATGTTTTTTTTCAATAAATGATTAGAATATTTTCGATTCTTTTTATCTTTTTTTTTATTTATTTATTTTATCAACAATGAATAAAGATATTTTTACAAGTGTTTTCAACAATATTATTCTTAAAATAAAATGTAAAGATTTTTTTTTTTTTTTTTCTTCACTTGGATATTTTAAACTACATTTTCATCTTAATTATATATATTATTAGTTGCTTACTTGAAGATTTTAATAAACTCTAATTTATTGTTTTATATATTTGTTTATTGAATAATATTTATTCTATTGTTTATTTACATTGATGTCTATGATCTTCTCTTTCACTTCTTTAGATCTTCTCTTTCTTTTGATGTTTTGATTGTTTATTATCTCCATTGAAGTCATTGCCATCTACTCTTTCACTTCTTTCTCTCTTTATATCTTCTCTTTCTTTTTGTTGAATTTCAATGCGACGATTGATAATCTCCAGTGTTTTAATTGATTTTGGATGTTTATCTTCGAGAGTTGTTTGATATTTTATCAACTTGTAGAATTTGAAATCATGATTATTCAGAATCCAATCGATCTCTTCAAATTTGTCGTATTCGATCAGTCTAGTGATGATTTGGTCTGAAATCTTGTAGAAGTCCTTTGAAAACTCTGAACGATTACAAAGTAGCCAACCAACAATTTCAATATATTCGCTTTCCAGTGCGTCATAGATTGAATCAACACTACACGCTTCAGTTCTATTCTCTGAAAGCCATTTAATAATATCTAGACGACCTCTGGCTATAGCATTGTCCAACGCACGAAATGAACATCCTTCAGTTCGATTTTCATGAAGAAACTGAATCACATTTAAATTTCCTGAGTAAGCAGCACTGTCAATTGCATCCTCGGAACAACCTTCTGTGCGATTCTCATGGAGCCACTTCACTATATGGATGTGGCCTTGAGATGCCGCCATATCCATGGCATCAGTTGAACATGATTCCGTTCGACTTGAGTGAAGGTATTTCAGAATTTCGAAATGGTTCATTTGCGCAGCTATTTCAAAGGCGTTCTTTGGTCGCAAAGTTGTATGTTCAGTCAACCATTTAACCATTTCAAGATTGTTTCTTTCAGTTGCCGCTTCGATTCCATCCTGTGGAAGGTCCACTTGAATAAAAGTGTCAACTAACCATATTAGCATTTCCAAATTGTTGTTTTTAAATGAGTATATAACAGAGTTATCCGAGGCATCTGGAAAGTTGTTTTGATGAAACAATTTCATCATTGCCAGATTGTTATTCCTGGCTGCTTTATCAATACAATTTTCATAGGTATTTTTAAACAAACAATCGCGGTCTCTTGGACTATCCAATTTCAAGAGATATCGTACCACCTCCATTTGATTGGATTCAGTCGCATACATAAACATTTCATTATCATCTCTGTATTCTGGGTGATTTTCTAAAAGCCAGTTAATAATTTCTATGCTTCCAACCTTTGCTGCCAGATTAAAGACATTGCTAGCACTGTAATACTCTTCCTGTCGCCATTGTTCAAATAGATTCCATAGATACTGAACCATTTCCAAACAATTTGAAAGTGGGGAGTTCATAAATCCATCGTAGTAGTTCCATTCAAAGCTGACATGCTCAACCAAATATTTGATCATCTCCATTCGATTGTATTTAATTACATCTTTAAACATTCTACCTAAACCTAATCTTTCTTGCTTTTCTATTCTCTGATTGATGTCGAATCTCTCACATAGATATTTAAAGATATCGAATCGTCCAACTTTGATGGCAGCCTTCAAATCTTCCCACAACGATGTGCAATCGTAACCAAATAAATCTTCTATTCCTTCGCCCTCGTCACTGAGCAACTCTTTCAAAAGATCGAAATAACCATTGCCAATCAACAAATGAGATGTCTTTGCAATCGTTTTCCACCTATAATAATGACTATATGGTTGTTTTATTCTATTTATCTCTTTAACTTTATAAAATACTAATCTTTCAATAATAATATTGTTGAAAACACTTGTAAATAAATCTTTATTCATTTGTTTGTTGATAAAATACATGTAATAAATGGACAAATCTTTATTACATGAGAGAAATTTTGGCCAAAGGTGGAACTTTTTAACCCCACCCACCCTCTCTAAAAAAATAAAAAACCAAAAAAAGGTGGCTATTACCATATTAAAGGGGTATAGATTTATAAATTAAACAAATAATAAAAGTGTAATTATCTCAAAGACACCCATCTTTGATTTTTTTAAAAAAAATATAATTTTATTGTACATTATTATTTTGATCTAATCGTGCAAAATCCTCCAATAGATATTCCAAATCGTCAGTTAAATATGGGTCAGCATTCACAACATTGGCTATGACCTCAATATTAGCATTATACACAACTGGATTGCCTACTTCACCACTATGTTGATATGCTGAGATTGTGTTATTCTCAACATTGAATATATATCTATGATTTTTTGTAATATTTGTCATTGTGGGAGGTGCTGAGGGTTTGGTGGTGATATGAGCTATCTGAGCTCTATGGTTAGCCATTGTATTGATTACATCTCGAACTTGTTGCACAGTATACAAAGGGATGCCAGTATCTCTTTGTAATACATTAATCTTTTGCTTAATTTGGGATGCAGCTGCGTCACAAGAATTACATCCATGATAACTGGCAAAAAAATTGTAATATATTGTCATTTTCCCATGAAATATGCTGCTAATGAACAACCACAAATACATGTTAGTTGTCATTTTAAAATGCTTTGTACATCCATCGGTCCAAATATTTAACTTTTTGATTGTCTTAAATACTGGTTCATTTGTTAAGAATTTTAGAAGACAACCAATTACAAACGCGCAATCATTCTTTGTGGTCGTTGTTGGTGCTAGGTATGTGTGATATGTAAAGTATACTGCATTTTCTTGAACGCAATAAACACTTATAATTAATGCTTGACGTAAAGATTGTTGGTGTTGGATTTGTGAGAAATCCATAAGAATAACAGCACTTTCTCCAGTTAGATCATTGATTACAGCTTGCTTTTGTTGTCCATATATCTCTCTTTGTTTGTGAGCAATAAATTGATGCAACTTTAGTTTTGCAATTTTCAGACCTTTGGTTGAGTTTGCTGGATATGGATCAACTCTACGTGCTTGCAATGCCTCTAGTTTCTTTAATTCTTCACAATCTTTGCATCTAATGGTTGTTTATATATATTTTGTTGGTTAGTATTTGAATAAAGGTAATCATGATACAATAATGAAACTTACACTACATCATATTTGGTGTGGTGAATATATTCTTTTCTCAAAAAATGCTTGTACATGTAAGATTCAGATGGTACCAAAACACCATACGCTCTGCATCTACTCTGTACTCTTCGATAAAACTCTTCATTTGTAATCGATTGTAATCTAAATGGTTGACCACTAAGGAATGGTAGTATGTCATCCATTATATCATACCATATATCCAGTACACTAGCATTAATTCTATCTTTTTTTGTATTTGGTGTATACAAAACCAAGTGTACATTATTAGTGTTGGTATATATATCATTTAATCTATATGTGGTGGTAGATGAAACATTAAAAATATCCATAATGTTTTTTCTATTTATGATATTTAAATTATTGAAACCTCTGATGTTGTTGATACACCAATACTCGATAGATCTCCGATAAGGGTTGTTGTGTGGAAGAGATTGTAAAAAATGTGTATATTATGACTTGACTTTAGTCGATCCTTGTCTACCTCTGATTTATTCCCATTGATAATTGCTTTAACAGGTTGAAGAAAGATTTCCAAGTTTGATAATGATGCTCTCAATGACTCCTTTACATTCTTGCAATCCTTTTCCAAATAACTCCAGACATTGGTCATTTCTATTTTGAATTGAGATAACACTCCTAACAATGAGGTTGACGAAGTCATCTTTCTTTTCTTTGAAGTTGTAGATGCATAACTCTCCAGCGTCATTAAAAGATTGTTGTTTGTATCTGTTGTTTGGTTGGTTTGTTTCTGTTCTATCTCTTTGAATTTCTTCTCTTCTCTTTTCAAGCTCTCCTCTTCTTTTTCTGATGTCAACTCTTTCGTTTTCTGTTTGCTTATTTTCTCGACTAATTGACTCTCTCTCTTGTCTAATAGATACTTCTTCACCTTCAATTGATTTAATCTCTCTATCTTCTCTTTCAAACTCTCTTCTGATAAACTCTTCCTCTCTTTCAATTGATTTAATCTCTCTTTCTTCTCTTTCAATCTCTCTTCTGATAAGCTCTTGCTCTCTTTCAATTGATTCAATCTCTCTTTCTTCTCTTTCAATCTCTCTTCTGATATACTCTTCCTCTCTATTAATCTCTCTTCTCTCTCTTTCAATCTCTCTTCCCTCTTGTTCGATATGATCTCTATTAATTGTATTTTTGACTCTTTTTGATTGCAAGATTGAATATCTTCTTCTGTACTGATCAAGTATATCTCTCTCTCCAGCATTTTTGATAAATCCAATACATTCTCTGGCAATTGATATGAATTCATCATTTTCAAGTTTAATGTGTCGAGCGAGTCCAAGCATCTTTGGATTGTATTCACTGAGTTTTGTGTATTCCCTTTGAATCAATATTAATTGACTCAATCTCTTCTAATTCTATTGATTGATCTGTTAATATTGGTTGTGTACTGTTCCATTCTTTGAAGAGTTGTGTTTTTTTCCTGTTGGTTTCGTTTTTGTTGTTGTTTTTTCTTTCTAATGCTTCTTTACTTGTAGTAGTCATCAATAAATAATATTTCAATTAAATCTGTGAAATAAAAAATGATTTTCAATTTGATTTAAACTCAATATTCAATATTGTTGTCTATAAAAATACAATCCGAAGTACAGGGGGGTTACCCCCTCATACAAAATATATTTTTCAAAAATGCCAAAAAAGAGCAAAAGGTGTGTTGAGATCAAAATACAAAAAAACAAAATACAAAAAAAAATTTAGTAACTTTTTCATAAATAAAATGTAGATTATATTATAAGTTGCTTGCTTGAAGATTTTAATAAACTCTAATTTATTGTTTTATATATTTGTTTATTGAATAATATTTATTCTATTGTTTAGTATTTACATAGATGTCTATGATCTTCTCCTTCACTTCTTTAGATCTTCTCTTTCTTTTGATGTTTTGATTGTTTATTATCTCCATTGATGTGATTGCCATCTACTCTTTCACTTCTTTCTCTTTATATCTTCTCTTTCTTTTTGTTGAATTTCAATGTGACGATTGATAATCTCCAGTGTTTTGATTGATTTTGGATGTTTATCTTCGAGAATTGTTTGATATTTTATCAACTTGTAGAATTTGAAATCATGATTATTCAGAATCCAATCGATCTCTTCAAATTTGTCGTGTTCGATTAGTCTAGTGATGATTTGGTCTGTAATCTTGTAGAAGTCCTTTGAAAACTCTGAACGATTGCAAAGCAAATAACCAACAACGTCAATATATTCGCTTTCCAGTGCGTCATCGATTGATTCCGCACTACACGCTTCAGTTCTATTCTCTGAAAGCCATTTAACAATATCAAGACGACCTCTGGCTATAGCATTGTCCAACGCACGAAATGAACATCCTTCAGTTCGATTTTCATGAAGAAACTGAATCACATTTAAATATCCTGAGTAAGCAGCACTGTCAATTGCATCCTCAGAACAACCTTCTGTGCGATTCTCATGGAACCACTTCACGATATCGATGTGGCCTTGAGATGCTGCCTTATCCATGGCATTAGTTGAACATGATTCCGTTCGACTCGAGTGAAGGTATTTCAGAATTTCGAAATGGTTCATTTCCGCAGCTATTTCAAAGGCGTTCTTTGGTCGCAAAGTTGTATGTTCAGTCAACCATTTAACCATTTCAAGATTGTTTCTTTGAGTTGCCGCTTCAATTCCATCCTGTGGAAGGTCCACTTGAATAAAAGTGTCGACTAACCATATCAGCATTTCAAAATTGTTGTTTTCAAATGAGGATTTAACAGAGTCATCTGAGGCATCTGGAAAGTTGTTTTGATGAAACAATTTCATCATTACCAAATTGTTATTCCTGGCTGCTTTATCAATACAATTTTTATAGGTATTATTAAGCAAACAATCGCGGTCTCTTGGACTATCCAATTTCAAGAGATATCGTACCACCTCCATTTGATTGGATTCAGTCGCATACATAAACATTTCATTATCATCTCTGTATTCTGGGTGATTTTCTATAAGCCAGTTAATAATTTCTATGCTTCCAACCTTTGCTGCCAGATTAAAGACATTGCTAGCACTGTAATACTCTTCCGGTTGCCATTGTTCAAATAGATTCCATAGATACTGAACCATTTCCAAACAATTTGAAAGTGGGGAGTTCATAAATCCATCGTAGTAGTTCCATTCAAAGTTGACATGCTCAACCAAATATTTGATCATCTCCATTCGATTGTATTTAATTACAACTCTAAACATTCCAGCTAAATCTAATCTTTCTTGCTTTTCTATTCTCTGATTGATGTCGAATCTCTCACATAGATATATAAAGATATCGAATCGTCCAACTTTGATGGCAGCCTTCAAATCTTCCCACAACGATGTGCAATTGTAACCAAATAATTCTTCTATTCCTTCGCCCTCGTCACTGAGCAACTCTTTCAAAAGATCGAAATAACCATTGCCAATCAACAAATGAGATGTCTTTGCAATCGTTTTCCACCTATAATAATGACTATATGGTTGTTTTATTCTATTTATCTCTTTAACTTTATAAAATACTAATCTTTCAATAATAATATTGTTGAAAACACTTGTAAATAAATCTTTATTCATTTGTTTGTTGTAAAATAAAATACATGTAATAAATAAAAAAATGATTTGAAAAAAAAACTAGAAATTATTACAAAACAAAACAGGCTCTTGCTTGTAACCATAAATCGAATAAAATAAAAAAAAACCACTCTGATCACATTAACCCCACTAATTTTTAATTTTTACTTTTTTTGTAAAATAAATGCGAAGGCGAAAGTTGTTGGGAGCCAGTTTTGTTTTGTTGTCCAATTATATTCCATGATTTTTATTGGAAAAATAAAAACCAAATAATATTTAATCAAGTTTATTTATGTAATTTAAAAAGTTAAAGATACATATATTTATATTTAAATTTATTTACAAAAATGTTGAAGCACCACCCAATAAAAAGAGTGCACTAAGTCCAGCCACATATCCAAGATGATTAGATCCAATCATTGAACCCAAAATATATCCAACGGCAACAGGAATCAGACCTAATGATATACCAAAGGTTTGTTCTCCAACTCCATTGCGTTTTCCTACAAGCGTTCCAACTGCCATGAGTCCTACAAGTCCCACTGATCCTTTTAGTATAGAAACATTGAATAAATGTGGAATGATATACATCTTTAACAATGATAGAGAACTACCTGTTCCTGCAGCAATCAATGGTAGTCCCAAAAATAGAATCTAATTATAAAATATCAACAATAACAATAACAATAATAATTATATAAGTAAGTACTTAAACTTTAAATAAAAATCAAACATCTAAAAACCTCAAAAAAAAAAGGTTACAATCACAATTAGTAGCAATAATTACTTTATAACTTTGTGCAATACTTTCTTCTCCTTGTTTTTGTCTTGCCATTTCTCTATTAGTATTAAAAAATATAATATAACTAATTAATTAATTAATTAAGATTAATTGATTTTTTTGATAATCGAAAAAATTTTAATCCTCTTTTTTATTATAAAAAAGACAACACTCACAGTTTTTAACAAAATTTCACCCCTTTCAAATTTGGGATTTGTGGGAATTTCTTAATTTTTTATTCCAAACATCTCTGTCTAAAAAAGGAAATCTATGTGTTTTAAGTTCATAAGTGACGATATAATTGCTACTTTCAAAAAGAAAAATATATTTAGATATATATAATGAAATAATTGATTAATTCAAAGAATAAATTATAAAAAGTTAACTTTTCCCATATCAAATAAAGATAATTAATAATATCTTATAATATATAAAAACTAATATTTTATAATTTAATTTATAAAAAACCACTGTAAGCACCAAATAATGTCAATCCTGTGAATAAACCAGAATACAACAGACTATTCGCTCCTATAAGAGTGGAAAGAGAATAACCAAGACCGACGGGCAGTAATAATACAGAGATTGCTCCACTCTTTGAAATTTGAGAGTTGAACCTAAAGGTCTTGAAAAACACTACGGCAGCCGCTGCCAATCCAATGAGAGCCAACACTGCAAAAGTTCCTGTTGGTAGGAATGTTGGTCTCAATAGATCAGGATAGAAATACATTTTTAACATTGCCAATAAACTTCCAATACTTGTTGCCAAACAAGGAATACCTATTATTACCATCTATTATAATTATGAAATTATTATTATCAATTATTATATTTCAAAAACAATTATTTAGCTTTAGAATCTTTTTTTTTAAGCTTTAAAGTTTGTTTTTTTAAGCTTTGTAGTTTGTAACCTATACATACTCTATATCCTCTAGCAATTCCACTTTCAGCAGGATTATTAGATGTTACTTTTTTATTTATTGGTTTACTCATTGTTGTTGGTTTTTTTTTTATTTATTTTAATATTACAAATACAAATATTACAATTATAATTATTACAATTTTTTTTACGACAAATAGATTTTTTTTTCTTAAATGAATCAAATTAACGTAATCTTTTTTCTCTATTTATCAAAAAAAAAAAAAAAACTAATTAAAGTGAATCATTGTAAATCAAAACAAATCAAAACAAAGATCTGTCGTTCGAACATTCAAGCGTAAAAATTTTATTGCAAAAATCTAGATATTATTAAAAATCTTTTAAAAAATTATAATTTATTTTAATTTTTTTTACCAAGATTGATTAAAATGTTTAAAAAATGAATCCTACTATTTAATTTGTGTACTACAATCTCTAAACAATCAAGAATAAATTTTTAATATCTATTTATATTTGCACTTGTTCATTTTTTATCCACAAATTGAATAATATTTGACTTTGAAATCATGATTTTTTTAATTTTTTTACACATCTAAAACTGTTATAGAATGAATGATTAGAATAAAGAGGGTTAGATTAGATTAAGTTTGATTGATATACAATCAAAAAAGGTTTTTTTTTTTTTTGTAATAATTTAATTTTATTTATTTTTTAACAGTTTTTTTTTTTTTTTTTTTTGTGGAGAGGTTTTTCGAAATTTATTTATTTGAAGGTGACATCAAAGAATTTCATGGCACCGTCGTTACCGGCTGAAACAAATTGACTTGGGCTGGTCCAAACGGCAATGTTGACACCACCTGGATGAGCATTCTTGAGTTGAATTGGTTGATCTCCCTTGACTACATCCCATACAAATACGCAACCGTCGAGCGATGCGGAAACGAGGTGATTCGAGTTGGCAGTCCATGAGAGTGAGTTGATACGGGCAGAGTGATTGACCCAACCGCTGACCTTCTCGGTCTTTCCTTGCCAGACCATGATGGAACGATTGGCGCAACCGGTAGCCAAGAGTGTTCCGCATGGCGAGTAGGTGACGGCGGTCACGAAATTACGGTGGTGCTCCAAAGCGCCGGCGTCAGTGAGTTTGTCACCGGCCAAGTTGTAGAGATGTACTTTGTTGTCCTTTCCACCGACGGCAACCTCCTTTTGGTTGGTGTTGATGGAGATGCTGGTTGGCTCCCAGGCGGCAGCGGTGGTCGATACCAACTTTCCGGCACGGATAACGTAGATCGATTTCATGGAGGCGGCAACGACAACGTCACCGGCAACAGAGACACCTACAGCTGGCGAATCGATTCCAATCGATGGACCGTAGGTACGGCTGGAGATGGTTGAGATCTTGACGCTGTCGTCCTTGGCGCAAGTGATAATGGAGTCACCAGAGATTTGGATTTGAGTGACTTGATTCTTGTGAGCGACACCGGTGAATGGAGTGGCGATACCGGTGTGGAGATCCCATTGGTACAAGACACCGTCGATCGACGATGAGAAAACAGTCTTGGTGGTTGGATCGTAAGCGATGGCACCAATACTTCTGTTGTGTCCCTTCAATACCTTTGATGGCTTGGAGACGTTGGCTTCGTCGAGGAATGAGATCTCACCGTCCAAGTTGACAGAGATCAACGAGTCGTTGATCCAGAGACATCCGAGTTGTTGGTCGTTGGTGGTGTCACCGAAAGTGAAAGTCTTGAGACAGGCACCAGTAGTGGCATCCCAGACCTTGCAGGTTTTGTCTGCCGAGGATGTGAGGATACGAGCGTTGTCGGCCGACCACGAAGCACCGTAGATTCCACCGGCATGACCACCCTGGAGGTCAACCAACTTGTCACCGGTCTTACCGTCGAAAATGACACCGGTCTTGTCGGAACTGACGGCGACAACCTTGTCTCCGTTTGGTGAGAAACGCACGCAGTTGACGAAACGACCAAAGGTGGCAGCCATCTTGTTGAATTTGAATGGTGGACCTTCGAACCAGTTGACGTTGAAATCTTCTGAACCGGTCATGGCACGGAATGGACGCGACGACTTGATGTCAACGGTCTGGATCAACTTGGAGTGACCGATTATCTCACCGCAACTGGCACCAGAGTCCCAGAAGACGGCGGCACCGAAACGCTCCTTACCGTCACCGACGACAACCAAACGCTGTGAGTCTGCACTCCATGCCAAATCCAAGATGGCACCACCCAAAACCTTCAATGTGATCTTCAAGATGTGCTCCTTTCCGACTGTGTCCCAAATACGCAAGTTACCTTGAACATCACCCGAAGCAATATAGAATCCCGATGGTGAATAACGTGCAACGGTAGTGGCTGCTGGATGTTCATAATAGATATCTGCAACAGTAGCATCCTTTATATTTCTAATAATAATTGCATTACCACATGCATAAACCAAATTGGTACCCTTTGGATCAGCATTTACAAATACTGATTTACCACGAGTTACTGTTGGTGTTGGTGCAAAAACATTCTCTATAATTAATTATCAAAAAAAAAAATATATATTAATAACAAAATTTCCCATTTTTATAAAATTAACAATCATTCTATTCCTAAACATTCTGTTCAATTCAATTCAATCCAATCCAATTTCATATCCATTAATTTCTTCATCATACTAAAAAGTCTAGATGTTTCACTTCCACTTTTAATTTTATTCTTTTTTTTTTTTTTTTTTTTTCAACTTTTTTAGTTCTGATCTTCAAATCAACTCCATATTCTTTTAATTATGTTTTGTAATGATTGATTTGGATTGAATGGATTTGAAATTGAAGACTGTTTTATTTTATTATTTATCTTGTGGATATGTTGATTATTGGTGGACTATTATTATGATACCTACTTAATGTAATAGACATATTTATTTAAAAAAAGAATAGGTATATGTGAAAACAAAGATTAAGATGATAGTTTTTAATATATTAAATTATTTTTAATTTAACAATTGAGTTTTTGATATTTATAATACAACAGAATTAGTAGGTTTTATCTTTACAGACAGAATAAAATGACAATGTTCACTACCTCTGATTTGACAAGTGAAAAAATTCAAATTTTCAAAAAAAATTCAAAAAAAATAATAATAAATAAAATAAATGGATACTATTTCAAGTCATCCACCCAATTCAAAACCCACAAATTTTTCAGTTTGTATTTTTTTTATTATAAAATTTTTTGAAAATGCAAATACAACAATATTTGTTTTGGATGGGTCTTTTCATTGATTAATCAACCTTACCTCCTATTATTATATAGTTTATATTATTTTTAATTTATTTGTCCAAAAAAGTAAAATAAAAGATTATTTTATTTTATTTTTCAATTTATTAATATAAATATATTTTTTGGAATATATAATAAAAATAATAGTAAATATAAAAGTTGTGAATAACTTTTTTTTATTAATTTTTTTTAAATATTGATATTTATGTAAATAAATATTGATAATGTTTTGAAATCAACCAAAGATGGTATGCACACCTGACAATTATTTATTTTACTTTGTTTATTGGTAAACATTTTAGTTGATTTTCAAAAAGAATATGATCATAAGAATAATGTATATGATAATATTAAAATTTATTTATATTTCATTTGACTTGACTGATCAAATTCAAACAAAATTTAGTTTTGAGAACGATTCCAATGCATTTTTCCAATGAGTTTTCGAATTGCTTTAATTTTTATTTTTTATGCATAAAAAGATATTATTGTGTGCAAGCACTTTGAATCATATTTCATTTTTTCATAATAAGGGTCTAATATTTTATATCTCTTTTTAAAATATACATTTATACATCTTCACACACATACACCAACACACCAAAATCATATATAGTAATAGTACTAGATTACTTCTACTTTTCTTTAAATATCTTTTTTTTTTTTATTATTTATTTATTTTTTTTGTAATATTAATAAAGTATAACATATCATCACAAGATAAACATTGTGTTTTTTTTTTATATAGAAAAACTGTAAGTTGTTTTTGAGATTTAAGATTTTAGATTTTAAATCTAAATATAATTAATGATCTAATAAATTATAATTTATTAAGTTTAAGGTTAAATTGAATTGATTGGTTGTTTTTTTTTCAATAGAAAAGTTAGAAAAGAAAAGTCATGGCTACAAACGCCCAAGATGCAGAATCAAAGACAAAACTCTTGAAATCTTTAAAGAATGAAATCGTCGATATGAAACTGACACAACAGAATCAAAAGAGTCAGTTTGAGACGATCGATCAACAGCTGCGAAATGTCGATCAGATGCTCAAGGGACACAGTCAGTTGATTTCAGAGGAGAAGGCGACACGTGCCAAGATCACCGCTTGGATCAAAGATAACCTCGGTCCCGACATGTCGGTGTTGAACGAGCAGATCGAGCAGCGTCACGTCGCCGGTCTCGAAGACAAGCTGAAACAGCTGTACCAGCGTCTCTCAACGGCGATAGCGTCGATCCAGGAGCAGGTGCGTGCCAACCAACTTGCATCGTCGGAATCGAACAGCTCACTTCTCGAGCAGATCCGTTCGAATCACACCACCCTCAACGAGCAGGTGCGCACCCACCAAGCGTCTGCCTCCGAGGCAACCGCTTCGCTTCTCGAGCAAATGCGTACACACCAAGCGAATCTCAACGAGCAGTTGCGAACCAACCAGACAACTCTCAACGAGCAAATAAGAAGCAGTCAGAACTCGCTACAGGAATCGGCGAGAACCGCTCAATCTGCAACTTCCACTCGTCTCAATGATTTGTCGAGTGATTTGTTTGAGAGAATGGCTCATCTCGATGCACAGCTAAAGTCGGCTGAGAATACACTCGATAAGAAACTCTCTTCTAGTGTAACCTCGACCGAGAGCAGACTCTCCTCTGCTCAATCCACCTCCGAGCAACGACTAAACTCTTCGTTGTCCGCGCTGGAATCACAGCTATCGGTGGCTGAGAGTAACCAAGATAAAAAGTTGACTTCTCTTTCGAATTCGTTTGACCATCGTCTCTCGACTGCTATCAATACACTTGACGCCAAGGTCGCTACCTCGGCGACTGTTGTTGGCGCGCGTCTCGACAGTGTAGTGAGCACGCTGATGCAACGTCTCGAATCCTACAGAAAGGAACTCAAGTCAGAGTTTGTCTCTACCTCGGACAAGGAATCGCAGCGCGTCAATCGTCTCGTTGACAAGATCACCGGTGACATGTCGTTGGCGCGTGTCGCTCTCAGCGATGAACTCTCAAAGCTTCGCGAGACAATAGAGAGCGTCGCCAAGCGCGAACGTGAACACCTCCACGAGCACACTGTCAACTACGTCCAAGATCAATGGAAATCCACCATGGTTCCGGCGATCAACGGAATGGCGTCGACACACGCACGCAACGAAGGTCGTCGTGTCCAAGAGGACGTCTCCATGCTCATTCAATCGGAAGTCAACCAGATTCAATATGAATGCGAGCAACGTCTACGCTCGGAAATCCAAAAACTCAAATTCGAGATGCAATCGATCGTCAACCAGAAAACAGAGTCACTCCAACAGGAACAACGTGACTTTTTAGCACAGGAGCGACTCTTGCGTGAAGAAGACAGAAAGTATCTCGAAGCATTGAAAACCTCTGTCTTTATGTCACTCAAAGACGCAAAGTTAGAACGTGAACAACTTGCAAATCAAATCAGCCTATTCATTAGAGATAAGAATGTAATTGATGGTATGTTTGTTTTAGTTAATTTGTTAAGATCTATAATCTAGAGATGTTTGTTATATTAATATATTGTTATTGTTGTTTGTTCAACAGAGAATTCATTGGAAAAACAATCAAATTCATCAAATGCTTTATTGAAACAAAATGAAGAGCTATTGGCACAACTCGAAGTTAATAGAAGAAATAGAATGAAAGAGATTGAGGATAACGAACAAAAGTTGAAGGAACAAAGAGATCGTGTCGAGAAAGAGCATCGTGAGATGGAGATTCTCAATAAACAATCTAGAGAGAATGAAGAAAAGTTGCATTTGGAGCAGTTGAAGCTTGAGAATATTCAAAAGAAGAAGGAGTATGACGAGCGACAAAAGTTGAGAGAGGAGGAGCGTGTCCGTGAAGCCGCTGATCTTCTTCAGAAACAACGTGATGCCGAGAAGGAAATGGAGAAGGAACGTGAAGCCAAGAACAAAGCAAAGGCAGAGCGTGAACGTGAGGAACGTGAACGTGAAGCAGAGGAGCGTGAACGTGAACAACGTCGTCGCGATGAGTACGAGCGTAAGAGAAAAGATGAAGAGGAGGAATGGAAGAGAAAGGAGCGCGAGTACGAAGACGAGTTGCAACGTGAGAGAGAGCGCCAACGTGTACTACAGGAGGAACGTGAGTTGGAGATGAAACGTTTGATGCAAGTCGAAGTCGAGAAGCAAAAGGAAGCACAGGCACTCATTGAGCGTGAGAAACTCAAGGCAAAGGAGTTGGAAGATGAATTGGCCAAGGAGGTTTCCAGACAGGAGAAAGAACGTTTGGATTTAGAAGCACAAAAGGAAAGAGAGATTGCATACCACAAGCAATTGTTGGCTGAGAAGACCGCTAAGCTCGAGGAACAGATGGAACAAGAGAGAAAGAAACAAAAGGAAAGAGAACTCGAGATCGAAAGAGAAAGGGAGTTGGAAAAGGAAAGAGAAAAAGAGAGAGCTCAAGAGAGAGAAAAAGAAAGAGAGAGAAAGGAAAGAGAGAGAGAAGAGAAAGAAAGAAAAGACAGAGAAAGAGAAAAAGAAGAACTCAGATTGAAACAAGAGCAAGAGGTCAAGAGAGAGCAAGAGGATCGTGAGCGTGAGCGTGAAAGGGAAAAAGAACGTGAACGTGAGCGTGCAAAGGAGAGAGAACGTGAGCATGAAAAAGAAAAAGAACGTGAACGTGAGAGAGAAAGAGAAAGAGAAAAAGAGAAAGAACGTGAGCGTGAAAAGGATAAAGAAAGAGAGCGCGAACGTGAAAAGGAAAGAGAACTTGAAAGAGAGCGTGAACGTGAAAAAGAAAGAGAACGTGAACGTGAGAGAGAAAGAGAAGAGAAAGAAGAAAGAGAAAGAAAGTTAAAGAGAGATGACGATGATAAGAAACAAAAGGAACGTGAACGTGAAAAAGAAAAGGAGCGTGAACGTGAACGTGAGCGTGAGAAAGAAAGAGAAAGAGAAAAAGAAAAAGAACGTGAGCGTGAAAAAGAAAAGGAAAGAGAACGTGAGCGTGAACGTGAACGTGAAAGAGAGAAAGAGAAGGAACGTGAGCGTGAAAAAGAAAAAGAAAAGGAAGTCAAGCAAGAACAAAAACCAAAGTCAAGAGGAAGTCTTCCAACTGCTCCAAAGAAAGAAGAGGTCAAGAAGGAAGAACCAAAGAAGGAGGAACCAAAGAAAGAAACACCAAAGAAGGAAGAGCCAAAGAAAGAAGAACCAGAAAAGAAGGTTGTCTCCGTGTCAAACAAGAAGATATTCGAACAGGTCAAAGAGGAAGAGCCACAACCAGCCAAGAAACAAGCTCCACCACCAAAGAGAGACACCACTGAGAATCCAGATGTCGAGTGTGATTTGTCCGATCCAGCATTGAGAGATGCCTGGGAGGATATCAGAGATGACACAACCTCTACCAACTGGATGTTGATTGGCTACGGTTCAATGAAGAAAACCTTGTCACTCTATGGTAAAGGTTCGAACGGTTTGAACGAACTCCTAAAGAGTCTCAAGGAGGAGGTAATGTATGGTTATCTCCGTGTGCTCTATGGTGATTCCGATCGTGCCAAATTCGTGTTCATCACATACGTACCGGACTCCCTGTCCGGTATTGCCAAAGCCAAGGCAAACATGCACAAGCCACACGTCGACAAGTTCTTCAAGTACAATCACACTCAGCTGCAAGTGATGTCACGTGATGAAATCTCCGACACCATCATTGAGAACAAGTTGAAGGCTGCTGCCGGTGCCAACTACGGTAAGGGTACTTCGCCAGACGACACCGCCCGTACCGAGAACTTCAAGGGTATCAAAGAGAATGCCAAGATGTTCTACAACACCACTGAGAGTTCCACTGCGAAGGGTGGCGGTGTTAGCATCGTCTACAACAAAGGACCACTGGCCAAGACTACTCCTGTCAGTTTGACTGGACGTGCCGGTATCACTGACAAGTACATCAAATCCGATGTCAAATCGACCGGTGCCGCTGATGATCGTGATGACTACCGTATTAAACCACGTGAGCGTGCCAACTCTACTACTTCCAACACCTCAACAGAGTCGACCAGCGATGCTGAGCCAGAGACTGTTGTTGTCCAGCCAAAGGTGACCAGTAAGAAGTCCGCTGCCAACAAGGAAGTGGTGACCAAGCCAGCAGAGCCAGAGAAACCATCGGAGCCAGAGAAACCAAAGTTGAAGCCAACCATTAAGAACAAACCAGAGGTAAAGTCAGAGAGTGAGAGTGAAGAGGAGAGTGGTGCTCCAACTTCCAATCGTTTCAGACAAATGGCAAAGAACAATGAAGCTCCACAAAACTTGGGTTCTGAAAAGTGTTTGGTTTGTTCAAAGACTGTCTATAACACTGAGAGACTCTCTGCCGATGGTAAAGTTTTCCACAAGGCATGCTTCCGTTGTGGTGTTTGCAATTGTCAATTGAAGCTCGGTTCATATGCCAGTATGGAGTCCAAGACCTTCTGTAAGCCTTGCTTCAAGAAGACATTCTTGTCCAGAGGTAACTACGATGAAGGTTTCGGTAAATTGAAGCCACAACACCAATTCGAGGCCAAAAAGGGTCAGAAAGCAGGTGGTGATGACACCGATGCCAAAGAGTTGGATCGTCAAAGAGACCAAGAAAAGTTGAGACAGCAAGAGGAGCTCAGAGAAGAGAAAGAGAGAAGAGAGAGAATGAAACAATCATCAAACACAACCACCTCAAAGAAACCAGCAAAAGTTGAAGAATCTGATAGTGAGGATGAAAATGAAAGAGAAAGAGAAAAAGAAAAAGAAAAGGAAAGAGAAAAAGAAAGAGAAAGAAGAGAAAGAGAGAAGGAAAAAGAAAAGGAGGAAGAAAGAGAAAGAGAGAAAGAAAGAGAAAGAGAAAGAAAGGAAAAAGACGAAAAGAAGAGAAGAGAAGACGAGAAAAAGAAGGAGGAAAAAGAAAGACAAGAAAAGGAGAAACGTGAAAAGGAACAAAAAGCCAAAGATGAAGAAAGAGAAAAGAGACAACGTGAGATCGAAAGAATGGAGAAAGAGAAGGAACAAGAAAAGAAACATTTATCCAAGACTGAAGAGGTCGAAGTTAAGACTCCAGATAGATCAACAAAGTCCAGTGGTTCTGACTCTGGTGATTCTTTCCTCTCTGAGTACCAAAAGAAGAAAGAAGCATTGCTCAAGGGTTCATCATCGTCCAACTCATCATCACAATCATCGACCGGCAAGAAGAAAGAGTTCTCATCCACTTTATTCGACACAACCGCAGAAGAAGATGATCTATTCAATTAAGCTAAATATGTAACCAATCAAACTTGTTTATTTATATACCAACCAACAACTATAACAATAACAACAACAATAAAACAAATACATTTATAAATTTTTTATACAAAAAAAAACATTAAAATATATGTATTATGGCTAATTTATTATTATTATTATTATGAATGAATTAATGAAAATTCTAATTAATTGGATCTTCTTCTTTGGAACATATATTTCAAAGCTATTGAAACTTCCATGACAGCCTCATTTGATTCATCGAGACCCATAGCAAAGAATCCGTGTGGTGAGTTTGTGTAACGAGTATGGTTGACCTGTACACCTGCAGTTTTCAATTTCTTTACATATAGCTCACCCTCATCACAGAATGGATCGTGTCCAGCGGTGATGACGTGGGCTGGTGGTAGGTCGGCTAGTCCAATCTTTGAGCTTGAGGCAGCACGTATTGGACTGGCATAAATATTATCTATATCGTCGTTGTGACAGTACTTGGCACTGAACCAATGGAAATAACTCATTGGCATCAAATATCCTTCTTTGTGGATGACTCTAGAGTAGTAATTTCCTTCGTTACGCTTCAAGTCTAAAATTGGATAGATCAGTACTTGACCACATAGTTTTGGTGCTTGTTTATCACGTGCCATCAAGGTGACTGCTGCTGCTAAATTTCCACCAACACTGTCACCGGCCACTGCAATACGAGTGGGATCACCATCGAATGACGATGACTTTTTGACTGCCCAACAAGTTGCTGCATAACAATCCAAAGCTGCTGCTGGGAATTGATTCTCTGGTGCCAATCTATAATCTACTGAAATAATTACACATCCCTAAAGAAATAATAATAATAAAATTTAATTAATAATCAAACAGTTATATATGCAATGATTATTTTTCAAACACTTACAGCTTGGTTGGAAAGTAGTCTACAGAGTCCATCAACAGATGGTGTTTCAATTGATTTTGTGCAAAATCTAGATTATGATTTTTTTGTTTTGGGGAAGAACAAAAATGAAAATAAATTTTTGGATATTGTTGGTTTTGGAAATATCTGGTAAGCAACTAAAATAATTGTTATTTTATGTGACAATATTGCTACTTACCCTCCAGTGTGGAACCACATTAAAATAGGGAAGTTTGTCTTTCTTTGTCCTGGTTCCATTGATGGATTGTAGATTCTAACTCTGAAACCTGTGCATCCTTGAACATCAAGATCACCTGCTTCCAACATTAAATCTTGAACCTAAAATTTAAATTGATTATGTTAATTATTTGATTGATTGATTTAATGATTGAGTTGATTGAATTGACTTACTCTTGAAACTGGAATAGCAGTTGATGGAGTTTCAAATACATCTACTACGGATCTGTCGAAATCACCATCTTCATGAGCACCCATCTTCCAGAGCAATACTTTATTCAAACCGGATACAGCCTTTGTCTCTTTGCTAACACCACCAATGTTGATGGTAATAGTTGACTCCTCTCTGGCACGATCATTGAGTGTAGTGGCAAAGCATTTAGAGCAAACCTTAACACGTGTAGTGTATCCAAATTCTGGTGGTAATGAAACATTCAATGAACAACACTCTCCACAGAATAAATGTCCACATCTTCTACAATGATGTCCTAATATAAATAATAATAATAAAACAATCAAAATATCAATATCATTGATTATTATCGTTGAGTTGTAATAACTAACTAACAACACAACACAACACAACTTACTTCTATTAAATAATGTGAATTCACTTGAACACATTTCACATTTTGTTGATGAGTTATCTGGTACCCATTCCGGTCTCTTGATGGCAGGTGGTGATGCAGCTGGATCGGCTGAAGATGTTGTAGTTGTTGTGGTGGTTGTCGTGCCTTCGGCAGCTGGCTTCTGTACTTTCTTCTTTGGTTTTGGTTGTTGTTGTGCAGGTGGTTGTTCATCCGTACTTGATTGTAAAATATTATTATTGGTTGCAGTGGTTGTTGTTGCACTACTATTATTATTGCTACTACTACTACTACTGTTGTTGTTGGTGGATGTATTTACATCGTCTGCACTGCTAGTTGGATAAGAGAGTGAAGAGGTATGTACAGCAGAGCTAGTAGAGGCAAAAGGTGAAATGAACTCACCTTCCTCTTCCTCAGCCAACGATTGATTTAACATTGACATTATTTTATTATTCTAAACTAAACCAACTCAATCAATAATAAATAAATAAATATTATAAAAATGATGATGATGATAGTTTAATAATAATCAATATAATATAATAAACAATAAAAAAAATGAACTTTTTAATTTTGTGTGTTGAAAAAAATAAAAATTAAAAATAAAAAATTATAAAACAAAAAAGTCTTTGGAAAATTATTTGGTCAACACTTTGTTTATATTCTTGATATTCAATCATTCATACTGTTTCTGTGTGTTAATCATTGACTTAATATTAAAATATTTGTTAACTTAACAAATATTTTTCAAAAAAAAGATAATTAATTAATTATAGTTTTAAAAGTTTGATTGAAATCAATAAATATAAAAAGTAATTTAAACCTGGTAAAGTTTATTATTAACTATTACAAATTGACATTAAATAAAAGTTTGTGTAAAATAAATAAATATCTATTTTAAAAATTTGATTAATTGATTGGATAGTTTACAATGTTTTAAATTAGGTTGATGATAAGTGACACTATCACTAAAAATAATAATGATAATGGTATTAATGATAATAAAATTGGGGTGATTCATTCTTTCATTAGGTTTGGTTTTAGGTCCGATCAAACCAACAGAACCAACACAATTGTAAATCAATGTTGCTACCAATAAAAATTTCCGATTTAAATGAATTGTTTGTTTTTTTTTTAAATGTTTATTGAGGCAGAGTAAAAAAATGATCATAAACAGAAAAAGTTTGATTGTTTTTTTTTTAAAAAAAAATAAGAATCAGCAAATTAAAATTGGATTAAACTTCAGTGGTGCAAATATATAAAAAAAAAAAAACAAAAAACAAACAACACATTTTTGCTTAAATGCATCCCATCAAACCACCACATTGTTATTAAAGCAACAACGATCACTCACACACATTCACACACACAACACACACATTGGCAAAAATAAAAAAATAAAAAAAATATATATACAGGTGTTTGCAAATAAACAAACATTTAATTAGCTTTCATAATTAGATACATATATATTACAGATACATACATATATCTCTATTTTTTTCACTTTTTTTGATTTTGATTTGTTTTTCTTTTTTAATTTAGTTTTTTATATTTTAAATATAAAAAATTATTATCAAATCAAATCAGATCAATTCAATTCAACTAATATAATATATATATATCAACAGAATAACATCATCATCATCATCATTCAACAGATATATATTTTATTAATACAATTCTGACATTGTTAGCAACAAATTATATATTTATTAAATTTAATTTCGATAATAATAATACATATATAACAGTAGAAATAATTATAATCAGTCCTTTTTTTTGAATGAATTGAATAGTTTTCAATTATTCTTCTTTATTTATTAATCTTTTTTGGCTGTATTTTAGTTAATAATATATCAGTATCATTTGACGCATATATACATACGTATAGTCGTCTTTTTTTTTTTTTTTTTTTTAATTTATTTATTTAATGATCATTCATTCATTCATTGTAGAAGAATAAGTAAACAGTAAACAGTAATCAGTATTTAGTTAATCATTTCATTTACTTTGAATTAGAATAGTATCAATTCTGTATATAGTTAGTTAGTTAGTTAGTTAATAAAACCGAAAAATAAGACAACAACAATAAAACAAACACAAACACACAAAGATAAAAATGGGATCAATAGTTGATGAGAAACAAAAGGAGAGAATCAAAGAACTGCTGAAGCTACCTGAGAATGCTATATGTGCAGATTGTGGATCACCGGATGTTCAGTGGGCCAGTATAAATCTCGGTGTATTTATTTGTATAGTTTGTGCTGGTGTACATCGACACCTCGGTGTGCATATATCACGTGTTAAATCAGCCAATTTAGACTCTTGGAAAGAGTCAGAGGTTGACATGATGGAATCGACAAACAACGAGAAAGCAAATCGTGAAATATGGGAGGCTGCACTACCTCCAGGCTTTATAAAACCAACCTATGGTGATTCAATGTATGTCATTCTTACTTATTCAATTATCTTCAAACCTATACCAAACTAAACCAAAGCAAACTAACAATATTCATATCATAATCATTGTTAATCTTCTTCACCACTATACAACAGAGGATTAAAAGAACAATGGATAATAGCCAAATACTCTAATAAATCATTTTCACCACCAAATACAAAAGATGCAAAAAGAATTAATGTAAGTATACTAATAAAGATATAAATATGCTATTTGAATGAATCTAGACAATTTTAATTAATTAATTTTTCGGTTTTTCTTTTTCTTTTTCTTTTTCTTTTTTTAGTTTGAAGTAAAAGAAGGATGGATTGTAAAAAAAGGAGAAGTTGTAAAGAGTTGGAAAAAGAGATGGCTGAGACTGATCGACGGTGAATATTTATATTACTATAAGGGACCAACAGAGAAATCACATTGTGGTTTCATATCGCTGAGGGAGAGTGGACAGATAGACTCGGTGTCAGAGGTAGACAGCAAACCATATTGTTTCATAATTTCAACACCCAAAAGACGTTATTTAATTAGCTGTAATACAGGTGAAGATATGTTTCGTTGGATCGAGGTTTTAAGACAGGCCGTTATCAATATGCCACCTGGCACTGCAAGCAACGGTGGTTCTGGAAAAATACCAAAAATGTAAAAGAAACCAACAAAAAGTCTTTTTTTTTAAAAAAATAAACTATCTTCATATATATACATTCATATACACAAAACAAAACAACTCAAACTCTCAATTGTTGAAATTTGAAATAGGTGAATTTCAATGTTTGCTACTCTTCTCCCTGCTAACGTCGATAATTAATTATCATACTGCAGTCACACACAAAAAACTTCTTTTTTTTTTTTGATTGTCTGTGTAGAGTGCAACGATCAATCCTAATTGATCTATCATATCTGAATAGGTGTGTTTGCAGATATATGAAGATCAGGCAAATTGTTTTGTTGGAACTGATTTTTTTTTTATATTGAATTTTTTTTTGCATTTTGGTGTTAATTATCTTAAAACAGAAGTTTTCAACTTTTTGTGAATATAAATTCGCATGCATGACGTTTTCAGAGTTGATATTTTGTTTTTGGTGGTGGTGGTGGGAGAAGGTTGTGGCGACGCAAAAACCAGTAAAAGCACAAGTTTTTTCACATGGATCGGGTCTTGTTTTTTTGATTTGCATTAGGAATTTTCAAAATTCTATCCGATTCATGCATTTGTTTTTTTTTTTTTATTTGCTTGTTTTTTTTTTTGAAAAGTCATTTACATTTTTTAATTGATTCGAAATTAATATTATTTGGTTGTTTTGTTTTGTTATTTTTTTCTGCATTGATTTTTTTGTACTTCCATATCATACCCTATTATTTCATATCATTGTTTATTTGTTGATAGAGTAAAGTGATTATTTATTTATTTAAATAGGTCCTATTGAGATAAACATTTTAATAAATAATCAAAAAAAAAAAAAAAAAACAAAAGATAAAAATAACATCATTTTGTTTGACCAAAAGTAGTATCACTATTAAGAAAGATAAATTTGAAGGTTGACTATCTAGAGTTAGTTACACAGTGAATGTAGGTAAAAAGTGTGTTTTTGTTCATTCCACCACTAATAAGCACCAAAATAAAAATTATAAAAGTAACACTCACTATTTATAAATAAGCACATAAAGAAAATATTACAAGTGGAGATCAATTTGATACAAATTCTATCCAAAAACAAATTATAATAATAATAATAATAATAACAAGCTAAGCAACAACAATAATATAATAATAAAACAAATACAGAGTGTATATAATTGTTTATTTTATAAATACATACTTTTAGTAAACATAGTCTTATATAACATTAGCATCAATACATTAATAATGTGAAAGTTTATTATTTGTCGACAACAAAACAACATCAACATAATAATATCAATGTAGGTTGGATAATATTACCAAGACAACCTCACAAACGACAGATTATTCATATTTTAGTGATTTTTATTTTTATTTTTTTATTTTTCAATTTTATAACCTAAAATTTGCAAGAACTTTTTTTTTTTTTTTCCCCAACACCTTTTAATTAATTAATATGTTATGAGACCCGACGATTTATAGAATATTAGATCAACTTATAACAATAATAATATCTATCATTATAAAATAAATAATTAACATTGTTTTGTATACTTAAAGAAAGAAAGAAAGAAAGAATTAAGATAGAAGAAAAGTAGTACTGTAATATTATTAGATATTATATAAAAAAAATATAAGATGTCTAGTAAATATGGAAGAATAAATGACTCGGATGATGATTCATCTTCATCGTCGTCGTCGTCATCATCTTCCTCATCATTGTCAGAGTCATCGCCATTGATATTGCCGGCACAGCAAGTCACTCCAAATTATATAGATGAAATCAAACCAGATAACACAAAGAATATCAACATCATGGTGCTCACTGTTTTCCTTATGAGTATAGGTTTCACATTGATGATGCCATCAATGTTAGATTATCTAAATTGGGTAAGATAGTAATGGTGACAATAATGCAAAACAATAGATTGATTATTAACAGTTGTTTTTGTTATCTATCTAACTATCTATCTCTAGGTTAATCCAGATTACGGAAGTAAATATAATGGTTTGGTAACTGCAATTTATAGTGCTGGACAGTTTGTTGCATCACCTATTTTTGGTTACTGGGGTAATAAGAGACCAACTCGTGAACCTCTGATCGTTTCAATCATTATCTCCATTCTTGGAAATGCGCTGTATGCAGTCGCCTATTTGTTTGGCGATGGATACATCCCAGTGATGGTGATCGCTAGATTCATTGTTGGTGTTGGTGCCGGTAATGTTTCGGTATGCAGAGCTTACGCATCGGAGACATCGACTCTCTCCAACAAGACTCAGACAATGGCAAAGATGTCCGGTGCACAGGGTGCCGGTTTCGTTTTGGGTCCAGCTTTTGGTTTCGCATTGTCCTACCTCAAGAACACCAGCTACAACGGATGGTACTTCTCACAATACACCGCACCCGGTTACCTGTCGGTGTTGTTCGCGTTGGTCAATGTCATCGTTTTGATTCTCTATTTCAACCCACAAAAACCAAGACCAATTGCAACGGGTATTCTCATCAATCAGGCCGAAGAAGAACGGTTGCAAGCAAAAATCAAGTCCAACGAGCCCGAGGAAGATCGTCTGCCAGTGTTTGTATCGATCTACTTGTTCGCAGTGGTTATCTCGATTTTCGCTGTATTCGAATCGGTCATGGCAATGATGACTTTGAAATACTATGGTTGGGGACCAAAGGGTAACGGTTTTATTATGGGTGCTTCTGGTGTGCTCTCTGTGGTGGTTTTCGTTGCCATTTCGACACCGATCATCAAGAGAATCGACGATAGAAAGACAGCGTTGTTTGGTTATGTAAATTTATTTATTGCTTTGCTTTTCTTGGCCAGCTACGACAATGGACCGTTCCGCTGGGAGACCGGTCTTCCAAAGTGGCAGTTGGTTATGGGTGCCATCTTTGTATCGATCGGTTATCCAATCGCTTCGTCGCTGATCTACGCCATCTTTTCAAAGGTACTCAATCCAAAGCTACAGGGAACAAAGATGGGTTGGTTGACAGCCGGTGGTTCACTGGCAAGAATGTTGGGTCCAATTTGGGCAACCGCTTTGTTTGGAGTTGCTGACGACATCCTCTACTTTACATGTGCAGGTCTTACAGCTACAGGAGTTATTGTACTATTAATTTTCTACAGAAGATTGACTCCACACAAAGACTACATTATTCCAGCGCCAGTAGCAGCAGCAGCAGCAACAACCACTCCAACACCATCATCAATCTCTGTCAGAAATGATGACTCCTAAATAAGATAGCATTTAACATAACAAATAAGTAATTTTCACAATTTTTTTTCTCCCAATATATACGTATATAAAATATTTATTAAATATATATATTAAAATAGAAAAGGTCCGAATTTAAATAATTCTAATAAAGGTTTATTAGGATTAAAAAACAAAACAAACAAATAGTAGTTGGTTCACAATATTGATATATATAGTATTTTGTTGTTTGATTTTATTTATTTATTTATTTATTATTCTGATTCTTGGTAGTAAACGATTGCAGCGTTGGTTTTACCTTTGGTGAATGTACATTGTCTTTGAGTTTCTTTCTTTGCGTATGGTGAGAATGAGATCACCCAATCAGTACCAGAGTTACGAGAGTCACGTGAATTGTTAAAGGTGACGGGTTCTCTCAACAAAAGTGGTATGGTGTTCTTTGTGAGTTTGAAAACCTGCTGGACAAGAATGGTTGCTACCTCTGACACCTTCTCTACAGCATCACATCCCAAGTCAATAAATAGATCTCGCACGGGTGGTTTGAAATGAATTGCCAAGAAAGTATCTCTCTTACTAGATGAACTGAGTGCCACTATCAAATGAATCTTTAATCCAACTTTCTTTCTAGTGTATTTCTTTGGATCATATTTATAGATATGTTGATCTGTAATAATTAGAGTACGTAATTGACATTTTCCCTAAATTGTTATATAAAGTTTTATAATATGAGAACTTTCTGTTTAATTCTTTAAATATATTTAAAACACCTACTCTTTTGTTTACTTTAATAACATTATCAGCGAAAAGAATTTCTTTATCATCTCCACTTGGGAAAAGTGATTGGATAGCTTGGACATACTGAGCTTTCTTTGGGTTGGAATCGTTATTTAGATAGTCGGCGAGGAATCTTCGTTTTGGATCCCATTCTTTCTTGCGTAGTGTACCGCCTCCACCAAACAGATCGAGCGCCAACACTTTTTGACGGATGAGAGAACGCTGCTCGGCTGTGAGTTTTGCAACTTTGACATGTGCCCACCAAGCACGCTGGATCAGCACAAGATAGTCATCAAACTGTCGTTTCACTCGCCAGAGTGTTGGCATCTGACGACCCTTGTTGTAGTAGGGTGCTTGTGTCCACGGTGCAAGCTTAGCAATGAGCGAACGCATTTTATATCTATAGTACACCTCAGAGATCTTCACAGCCGATCGCTTCTGTAGCAACTGTCGTTGTATCTCTTCCTTTTGCAACTTTAACTTTTCCAATTCCTTCTTGAACCAGCAACGTGCTAGATAACCTCGCCAAACCCTCTGTATTGCAATGGCAGCCTTTGGTAGATTGTCTTGTCTCTGCTTCTCAAATAGATACAAAACTCTAGCTGACTTTATAAAGATCTTCTTTACACCAAAGAAACACTCGCTTTGTCTTTCATGCGATGGTAAAATAGATTTAATAATTTCATTACATCCTTCTTTTACTGATTTCTATTAAGTATATATAAAGCAATAATTTATATTAATATAAATTGATTAATAATCATATATTAATAAAGTTAAAACTTACATCATATTTAGGATTCCAAGTTGTTGGACAACATATTTTATATCTTGAAAAGAATTTGGTATAATGATATTTCTGACAATAACCTGCTTTTCTTACTCTAACCGTTTCTACAATATTTAAATATCTAATCTATAATATACATGAAAGATAAATATTAGTTTAGAATATTTGTTGATTAATGTTATTTGTTGCTCGTTGATATTTACTTGATTTCTAACGAGTGATTGATTGAAATTGGATGGTTGTTTTTCATCGTTTGATTTTATACATCTGATATAATGTGGTTGACATTGTTGAAGTGAAGCAATCAGTTCGTTGATCGATTGTTTGAATTGATGACCAGCCATCGTCGGTATCTTTCGGTTGCCAGAGCAGTTCAAGGATGGAAATAGAGCTGAGAGGTATGGATCGTTACTGAGTTGAAGTGTCGCTAGAATATCTTGGTTGAGAGGGTCACGATTCTTTGCAATAAAGTGTTCCAAATCGTAGGTTACAGGTCCGGCGTAGTGTTTCAGCGTGAATTTCTGTTGTTCCATCTCGCTGCTCTCGTAGTTTGGATGTTTCTGGAAGAATCTATTGAATTTCTGGAGTAGCTGTTCTTTTGTAGTCTGTCCAACCAGGCAGGCTTCGTCCAACAGCTTTAGCAATCCTACGGGCTGTCCCTCGATCAACTCTATTATCTTGTCGTTCTCAAAGTAATCGATATTCAACCATTCGATACCCTCATGTCGGTACTCCTCTTGCTCCTGCTTCAAGACGAGCTGGATGAACAGCTGCTGCAGCTTCTCATTGGTGTAGTTGATGATGAACTGTTCGAAGCTGTTGTTCTCAAACAACTCGAATCCATAGATATCCAAGATGCCGAGACTGTACACTTCGGGCTGCTCCGATTGGATGGCGCGATTGATGCGCTCGAATATCATCTGGAACAGCCGGTCGTAGAGAACCTTTGCCAGCGAGTCACGTGTGCTATTCGCCTGGTTGAGATCGAGCAGCACGTGAATGTTGCTCTTTCGCTTTCCCATACCGGTGGTGAGCGAACGTGAGATCAACGCTTTCTCCAGCATCGACGCATCGCATTCCAGAAGCTGTGCGATTCTCAGTAGCGTATCTTGGCTTGCAATGAACACGGAATCAACATTCTTGTTGGTATCGACCTCGAACTCGAGATTACCAATGAGAAGAACGGCGCAGAGTATACGCCAGAGGAAATCAGTCTCTTCGGTGCTCCAACCCAGTGATTCGAGACTGTTGAGGACCGATTGAAATCCATCCCTATCGTTTACAGTCGATTTCGATACGGAACCACTGTCATTTCCGAGGTAGTTGTAAGTAGCTGGATCGCTATTCAGCTTGAAACGCTCCACCAACGATTGATTGGTCAGCAGCTGGTAGAATATATGAAAATTTCGTTCGCCAGCAGCTCTAGAATGGATTCTAGATTTCTCCAAGAGAAACTGTGTGATCTTTCCACCGAGTGGTACACCGGCAGCATCGAACTGTATAGTAATATATTTTCCAAAACGTGAGCTATTCTCATTTCTCTGAGTCTTTGCATTACCAAATGCTTCCAACAATATATTTGAATCTAAAATACGTTTCATTATACTTGTTGTTGAATTTTGATTATTATGATTATGATTATTATTTCTATTATATCTTTGTCTATTTGGTGTTGTTGAGGAAGAAGGAGTAGAAGAAGTAGATGATGATGATTGTGGATGATAATGAGAGATATAATCCATTACAATTTTAGATGCTTCAGTCTTTCCAGAACCAGATTCACCGGTTATAATGATACACTGATTGGTACCGGTTTGTAACATCTTCTTGTAGGTATCCTCAGCGAGTTGGTAGATATGTGGTGACATTTCATACATATACTTGTTTCTGTAGGTTTGTTTTAGACGCTGATCCTTTTGCTCTGTGACATGCTTATTGTTGAATGGATTGATACTGATGATTTGCTCACCAATTCTAGTGTAGATCTGACCTGAATTGAATCGATGTTGCATGTTGTCGAGAATCGATTGTTCATTGATCTTCTCGAGATAACAAAGATCATCGTGATTCTCAGTAGTGGTACCACCACCTCTTTCCTCAAAATTTATACTATTCATATGAATTATTATGGTTTATACTACTAATACTACTATTTAAATTATCATATTCTTTGGAATTATGATTGATGTTGTTGAATTAAAATAGATGATTGTTTTTTTTTTGTTTTAAGCTAAACAAAAATGGTCAAGGGATTATTTTTTTATTTTTGATTAAAGTTTATTTTTTGCAAAAAAAGTTTAACCCACGTCCTTTCAATCATTGCAAAAAGAATCATGATTAGAATGAAAAATAAAAAAATGTGCAAATTTTTGGGTGTTGATCAAAAAAATCTCTTTGTGGTAAAGAAGAAAAGTTAACAAACAAATAAAATGATATTTATTTGTTTGATTACTTTTAGTTTTTTGTAATCTTGTCTTTGTATCAAACGTGGAAAAAAGTCCACTCTTTTAACAGACTTTGAACAAGGCAGTTGTGGTGAGGAATTGGCATTGACCTATTATATTAGATTAATTAAATTTAACCAACTTGAAACTTTACACCACAACCAGTACAACGAAACTCTAAAGATATTAGAAACATCAACATGAAGCTGATCCAGTTGGGTGGATATTAATGTGGCTAAATTCAATACTAATGAAATATGGAGTTATATGTTCAATGCATTTCAAAAACATTACAAAAGGAAGTAACACAGGTAAAGACAATTTCAAAACAATAAATAAATATCATTTTTTATTAATTAAAATTGACAATAGAATTATAATCTTAATTTGAACACTTTTAAATAATAGACTATATATTAGATTCGTTATTATTATTATTATAGATTTATTTTGTTTGAAAACAAAAGAGTTTAACTTTTGCTTTCAAAATAAAATACTTTATTTGTTTTGTTATGTTGTTTTAGCTTTGTTTTTTTTTTTTGTTGATGATGATGATGATGATGATGTTGGGAGTTGTGGGAATGTTATTATTATTATTATTATTATTAATTACAGATATTATTATTATAATTATTAAATTTACAATTTTAAAAATGGTTAATTAATTAATATTGATATATCGATTCGAATAGTGATCGAATTGATTGATCGATTTGGTCGGTCGATACCGACACTTTGGCAACAAAATAGTTTATCACTGATTCAGTGAACGATAGGATGTCATCTACATCCATCTTTCCGGCTTTGCTATTAACCATCTTGAGAATCTGATCGAATTGCATATTCTCCTCGATAATCGTTGATCGATCCTTGAGTAGAACCGACAGACACATAAAGATAGGCAGACTCTTTGTCATATAGTTACACCAAAACACTTCCCACAATGTCTTTACCTGTTCAAATGGGAATTCTCTCTTGAAACAAATTAGAATCGATTGGAAGAAGAAATACATATTCGTTCCATCGATATTTTCTAAACCATTTTTAAATAGTAATAATAATCATTCATATATATATTGTTAGTTTTTAGTTTATAAAAAATATATTTATAGTTTTAAACTTACCAAAATGACTATATAAATCATAATCCATGTATTTAAGTAACTTTGAAAGAGTATTGAGTTGTGTGTGCATTCCATTTTGATCTTTGTGAAAGTTGAGTTCTACACGGTCCATCAAACCTACGAAACACCAGAATGATTCAACCTCCTTTTGGATGACAGAGTAGATCGGTGTGAGTAGATCACTCATTCCCTGTACGTATCCAATGTCAAAGTTGTAGAAAGAATAGGTGAGGAGTATCTCTTTGACGATGACCAGGTTCGGGTTGTCCATTCCAATGCCTAGGTACATCGGATGCAGTCGATCGGTACGAATGACATCCTTCTCGATCAACGCCTTTCTCGAAGCATACTTTGAGAATCGCAGCTCCTGGTCTGCGCTAATCGATTGCCATTGTTTCTTAATGGTGAAGTACTCACGTGTCTTCTCGTACTTGATCACCTCACGCGTCGAGTGTGTCGAATCGAACGGATAGAAATTCAAGAGGAATGGCCATACCTCTGCACGAATCGACTCGTGTACACCTCCATAGAATATCTTTTTCTGGAGGAGCTGTTGATTCATGATTGAGATTCGGCCTTCCTCATCAAAGTAGCTATACCACTCGTTGGCATTGAGCGGGTTACACTCTGTTCTATTGATAGCTGGTTCATCCAAAATACCAGAAGCATTCAAATTGAACGGAGTGAAGAAATCTGAACTTGAATTCAATGAAGAATTCAAACTTGTATTATTACTCTATAATAACAGCAACAACAATAATAATAATAATAATAATATAAACAACATTAGTAATCAAATCAAAGACTAAAATAGTTTTTTTTATAGATTATAATTACGTGTTGAGGTGATGTCTTTTTTGAACCTAATGAATGTGTCAAGTTTCTAAAATGATTATCTATTTTCTTTGCTGGTTCTTCAAATATATCTAGATATATTAAAGATAATTATAGATTAGTTTGTTTGTTTGTTAGTTTAGTTTTATAATAGTAAAGTATATATATGATTATTACTCTTTTGAGCATTCTTTGCAAAGTTTGATACTTTTGCAAAAGAATCTAAGATATTCGATGATATTTCTTTGGTGAGTCTACGTTTGCTGGTAGAAGATGAACCATTCTCTAGGAGCGATGTTGGTGTTGCAGAGTTTGGTGACGATGAGAATGGAACCGATGCTTCAGTGTCAAGAGGTGATCCATGACTGGTAGAGAGTGGTGTCTTTAGTGTATTCGGTGAGAGTGATATCGTTGACGATGCCATCGAAGATGGAGAATGTGATCTTAGATTTAAGAAACTACCACTACCTAGACCACCCATAGATGTTGTCGTACTGTTACTACTATTATTACCATTACCATTACTCTGATTATTATTACTATTACTATTACTACTACTATCATTAATTGTCATAGATTGAAAAGAAGCACCAACTAATAAAGATGAACTATTATTACTATTAATATGTGATTTTGGTGATAAACTTGATAGGAATGAATCTTTCTTAATGGATGTACTGGTTTGTATCTCTGCTAGATCACTAGTGTCGCTCATCATCATATATAGATTAGTATCAAGTGTAGATCTATTGATTTGATTTGATATGATTTGAGAAATCATGGATTGATAAAGTTAGTTTAGTTTGAATAAATTAGTTAGATAGATAGATAGATAGCTATTGCTATAATTACTTTTTAAGATTAGGATTAACAGATCGCAATGCTTTGATAAATTCTCTTACACCACCATTCTCAAAGAAGAACGGTGGCAATGCAGTTCCATTTCGCGTCAAAACAATTATATATGGTGTTCCAATGGTCGGTGTATACTTTTTAATTGAATGTATCTCTTTTGATGATAGTTTTATTTGTTGATATTGTTGTGCTATATCATTACTATTTGTATTTGATATTAATGCACTTGAATTTAATGAAATAGCAGATGATTTCTTTATTGATATCGGTTGTGATCTTGCTAATGGATTACTATTACTTGAACTATTATTACTAACAGTAGTGTCATCATCATCAAAAGATGATTTACTAGCTATCCATGAGAACATTACAGATTTCAACATTGTACTGGATAGTGTCGATGATGTTGTCGATGAGTTAGAGAATGAAGATGACGATGATGCTGCTAGATCATCTTGTTGATGGTGAGGTTGTTGTTGTTGTTGTTGTTTGGAAGGTGAAAGCACAGCACCTGTATCATACGAATAATATAATGATATAACACCTTCAATACCTTTGCTATCACCATCTGTCGGATATATCGTTACATCTTGCTTTGAATATATAATCTTAAATTCGTATGGTTGTGTTGAAATTGATAAATTACTCATAATTATTATTATTACTAAATATTAATACTGCTAAATATATATATATATGTGATCGATAAAATTTGGAAAAAGATAGATTAGATTTTAAATTAAAAATAAAAAAATACGAATATAAAAGGAAAAATGTTGTTGATATTATTAAAAAACAAAATTGATCAAAAACAAATATTAAAAAATAATTAAAAATAAATAATCATTTTTAATAAATCTTTTTTTTTAGTGGTTTCAGATTTATTCAATTTTAAAAGAATTCCCTAAAAATCAAAAAAAAAAAACTGTGTGTGGCCGACGTCTCGTCTTATTACCATCGATCAAAATCGATAAAGGTTAGAATGATTTTATATAACCTTAGATAATATTAAACTTTTTGTAAAAGCACTCACTTCTAAAACTAAATCAATTAGTTCTGTTCTTGCATTAGTTTATAGTTTATATTTATTAATTTTATTAATAATAATATTAATATATTGGTTTTGTAGTATTGTAATGTTTTGTTTTGTAAATATAATGTAATAACATTGTATTGTAATAATAATGAGTTTTTTCTTTTTTTTTTTTAAGCTGTATTTGGATTGTTGGTATTACCAATGACACGTTGTAAGAAATCATTGACAAGTCCAAGACCCATTTGTGAAATCGAGTAGAATGAATATTTCGAAAAGTTGGATGGTGCCTTTGCAATGCTGATACATGGTTTCTTTTGACTGTCAGTTCCTTTCCACGCCAGGAAAATCTTGAGTGTACATCCCTTCTGGTTGGTGTCGACCTCGTTGACATCGTAGGTATCGCCATCGCACAACATTGTCGATCGCTGCACAGCACACTGATTCTGCAGACAAAACGGACACTGCTTACAAATCGAGGTATCACGATCACCGTCCCACTGCACCTCTATCAACGTTCCGAGATCCACCGTTGCCACCACAGTGAATGTATTCACCATGTACTGTATTGGATTGCCGTTGCCATTCGGCTTCTCATAGTAAACACGCTTGGGAGGTAGTGACATATTCGAGAATGTTGTGAAATTACTGTAGATTGCAACGGGCACTGTGAATGTCGGTTGCGATGCATTGCATGCTCCTGCCGGTGGCGTTGGAATCGATGTATTGGTAGTGTTGCTTGCGGGTGTTGTAGGACAAGGAAAAGTCTGGTTCTCATATCTATACACATCGTTTGTAACTGAAATGTTTGCAAAAAATTCTATCCAAATGGTTGCATGTGGATTAAATAAAATTCCATATCCAGCTATTATTTTGAAAAGTTGATGAATATTTTATTAATATTCATTCTTTGATGATCGATATCGTATTGTAATGATTTAGCTAGTTATTTACCTAGTGGAACTCTTAAAGTTGTAAATTCATCTACTCTTGGATGAAAATCAGCGTATCCTGTATAGTTTGTTAGCTCATCTCTAACGTGTAATCTGCACCAAGTCCAATCGTATCTGGCTTTGGCTCTAGTTGTCATTATATATTTCCAACTTGGATCTGATCTATATTTCGTTACATTTCCAGGTTTACCTCCTGCAGAGCTACCTTGAAATGATATACCCTGAGCTGAACTACTATTTATATAAAATGTTATTATTACAAAACATAAAAATATTATTGATAAATTAAATTTCATTTTTTGTTATTTATCAATAAATATATATCGTTTCTTTATCTTTCTATTTCTTTCACTCTTATAATTGAATTTTATAATTATTATTTTTTAAAATATTATTTCTAGAAACAATTACAAAAAACTATCTATCTATTATTACAATTTGTTTTCTTTATATTTTTTATTATTATTTTTAATACAATTACTATTGCTATTCTAAATTATAAGAATATATTTTGGTAGTATTGTATCAACTAACCAGGATAAACAAAACAAAATCAATTTAGTAATAACGTTTCAAAGTATTCATCAATAATTCAGACATTACGAGTTGAATAGTGTCTATACACACAAAGTAACAAAAAAAAAAAATTAAAATAATTAATAATATTAAAATTAATCAATTTAATTATTTTAACACCCACCACTACCGATCAATCACATAACTAAGTGTTAAAAAAAAAATTTAAATTTAAAAAATAACAAAGTTATTATTAAAATTAATAGATGACCTATCAAAAAAAAAAAAGATTGAACATTAAAATAAAAACCCAATGACCTTTCAAATAACGTCAAAGTCACTGAAAATCAAAAAAGGTTTTTTTTTCAAAGTTTAAAATCAAAAATTGTTTACCTCAATCTTTTTTTACATGGTTGTTTTCACAATTCAGTTTGATATCAAAAAGAAGATCAATAGTAAGGAATCAATGATAATAATATTTAGTTATCAATAATATTGTGTGATTAATATTATTTGTTTTAAATAACTAGTTTTTTATTTATCAATATCTAATAAAATATAATAAAAATAAGAAAAAAGAATATAAACAAAATGGATAAATGGTTATTTAATTTTAAATAGGTTCGTATATAATTGGATTCTTATCATTATTATTAAATTAATTGTTGGATGGTTTTAAGGATTTTTTGTTATAATGGTTTTAATTTTATACATTTTATGAAAATGTATAATTTATTTGATGTAAATATTAAAAAATATAAATATAGTGTATAAGGTATAATATTCCTGTTTTCTGACTCTTTTTTTCTTTTTCTTTTTTAAGCTGTATTTGGATTGTTGGTATTTCCAACGACACGTTGTAAGAAATCATTGACAAGTCCAAGACCCATTTGTGAAATCGAGTAGAATGAATATTTCGAAAAGTTGGATGGTGCCTTTGAGATACTGATGCATGGTTTGTTCTTACTGTCGGTTCCTTTCCACGCCAGGAAAATCTTGAGTGTACATCCCTTCTGGTTGGTATCGACCTCGTTGATGTCGTACTCGTCACCGTCGCACTTCATTGTCGATCTTCTGACTGCGCATTGGTTCTGTATGCAATACTCGCATTGCTTGCAGATACTCTTGTCACGATCGCCATCCCACTCGACGTTGATCAGCTCACCCTTGTCGACGGTGGCAACAACAGTGAATGTATTGACCATGTAAGGAACTGCTGCGAGGTTTCCGTTTGGCTTGATATAGGCAACACGTTTTGGTTGCAAAGTCATATTACCGTAGGTGGTAAAGTTCGATTGTACCAACTGGGTGATAGTGTACTCTGTTGTTCCAGTGACATTACACACACCTTCGGGTGGTGGTGGATTTGGATTGGTTGCTCCATCGGCTGGACATGGATATGTATTGGTCACATTGTTATAGATAAAGTTGGTAGTTGATACATTCGATAAAAATTCTAACCAAATGGTTGCTCCTGGATTGAAAAGTGCTGCATATCCAACTATTATTATTATAAATTGTGTCCGATTTATTAATTAGTATATATGTAATTGAGTTTTATCGGTGCAAAAAAGAAGATATATATATAACATACGATATGGTACTCTAAGAGTTGTAAATTCATCTACTCTTGGATGGAAATCGGCGTAACCACTGTATTTTGTTACTTCATCTCTAATGTGTAATCTGCACCAAGTCCAATCGTATCTAGCTTTATTTCTAAGGTTCATTGTTCCCGCTGAAGTATATAGACCCTTTAGCGTATCTCTGGTTACATTACCTGGCTTACCACCTGCAGAGCTACCTTGAAATGAAATACCTTGACCATTACTCTGACAAACATACATACTGAGCAATATGATACCAAACAGTATCACAAAATTATTTCTATACATTATTTTTGTATTCTCTATATATTATATAATTTATTAAGTTTTTATCTTTTACTAATCTAATCTAATTTAATTTATCTTTTCTTTTCTTTTCTTCTATATTTTTTTAGTTTAGATAACAATCTAATCTAAATAATCTAATAAGTAATAATACAATGTTGTTGTAAGGTTTGGTTTTGATTTATTTTGTACAAAACAAATAAATATAAATATAAATATAAATAAATTATATAAAAAGAAAAAAGAAATTGAAACAAATATTGATTTAAATTTATTTGTTCGTTATTATTGAATCTAATATAAAAAATTGTGTAACTGATTCTTTAAAAACCAACCAGGACAACAAAAATTACAAAAAAAAAAAAAAAAAAAGATTTATTTTTTTTTAATTTTTTTCAAAAGTAATTCGAACAGGTCCTCGTCCATAGTGCTTTCACCATCATAACCTTTAAAACCTGTTCACAATTTTCAATGAATTTTTTTCAAATATTAAAAAATTGTATACCACATCGATATCTATAATATCATTTATATTTGATTCTGGAATAATAATAATATTTTATTTTTTATGTACATTGAATGTTTCGGACTTTTATAAATATTAATTTAATATTGGTTATTATAGTATATAGTACTGAGGTCATGAATTATAATAATTTTAATTATAATTATATTATCCTCTAAGTATTGTTGTTGTTGTTGAAGTTGTTATTGTATCACTTGTTGGTTGGTTAATTATATTAATTGTATTAGTTTTAGCTTCAACGGAATTGCTTTTACCAATTAATGCTTTTCTATTGGCTTGGTCATTGTATCTTGGTGCCACAGAACAAAAACCAACAGTGCTGGCAGTTATACGTTTAATACATTGGATACATTGTTGTAGAGTTTGGTTATTTGGGAATTGATGTTCTATTTTGTTGGCTAGTAGTTCCATCTCGTGGTATCCTCGGTGGACATATTCAACAACCTTTTGCATTGATTCCTGAATTGTCGCTCCATTCACATGACAATTAATCTTTACATAGTTGGAGAGTGATTTATCATTGAATTCACTTACGAATGAATATAAATCGTTTACCAAAGCATTGATTCCACCGTATTTCAAGAGGAGTTGTTTGAAATTTTCATCTTCCATAATGTCTTGGGTGAGTGTGAAATCTGGTCTGCTCGCCATGGCAATAGCCAATCCAAGATGGGCAGCACTCTCATAAGATCGGAACCGGCAATACTCTTCGATATCCGAGAGATTCGACCATTCGATATTGTGAATTCCTCTGACAGCACTGTATGACCATTGTTTGGCTTCTTCGATAATTCTGTCAATGAGAAAAGGGTGGACACTACACGCTGAGAGATCATCAATAGCTGACCAGAATGCCTGACTCCAACGATCTTTTGTAGGTTGTTCCGGATCGAAGAGTGAATCTATATATTCTTTGCTGCAACAACCTTTTTCAATGACAATGTCGTCGATGATGAAAACCCAGTCGGTCAGTTTCACCATTGGAAGAAACAGTTCTGGTCTATCGACATCTAGGGCCATCACTGAATACTCGAGAGTTTCCTCCTTAAGGAAAGCTTTGTAGAATTTTGGAATCAAGTCTTTGACCCAAATTTCATATTCCGGTTTCACCATTTTTCCAACTGGATTCCTCGAGAAATCGAATGGACATTGAATATTGGGTATCCTGAAGGATTGATCTTGAAAGTATTTATCACTCCAACTACTACTATTTTGATTCATTATTTTTGGCACAACCATTTTTGGTCAAAGAATTTCTCTATTTTTTGATTGATAGATGATTGGAAAAATTATTAATTTTATAATAATAAAAAAAAATATAAATAATCAATTTCTAAAAACAAACTATCCAATTATCATGAGATTTAAAAAAAAACAATTTATTTTGGTTGGTTATTTTTTAAATTTAAATTGGTCTTTTTAATCCATTGCAATTTCATAAAATTTATTATTGTTTTTTTTTTATAATAATTAAAAAAGGAATTTATGATATACATATATATGAAATGGTTATATAACATGTGCTCTGTGGTTTGGTGGTTTGCAAGATGATTTGTGAATGTTGGGGTCTGCTTTCAAGATTCCAGTTCCATATTATTATTAGGATTCACCAAAATTGAAGTTAAATTATAAGATTGATAAAAATGGGTTAAATTAATGATAGTAGGTTAATTAATTGTAGAGCTTTGAAGTGAAAGCACTACAACCAAAAGATTGTGAACTTTTAAAAAAAAACGCTACACGTGTAAATATTACCCATTTTATTAAAAAATAAACAAAACATACCACTTTTTTCTTTTATTTAGCAAAAATAACACTTTCAATGTTAATGTAAACAATTGGAAATACCAACAATTTTATTGGTACATACAATAAAATTTTATTTTATTTTTTTATCAAAGGTGAATTGAAACAAAGATATATTATTTTTATCTAATATTATAATAGTTCAAAAACTATTTTTAAATTTTTTTGTAATATATAAAAATAACTATATAGTGACCTACCCTTTTATTATCGATTGAACACATTAGAATGTTTGAAGAGAGAACACCCCACTATCTAATAAAATGAATAATAATAAAAGGTCAACAAATTGTTTTTTTTAAAAAAAATTATATATGGTTACCACAGATGTGGTAAAAAACAATATTTAAAAGTTTTGTTTTGTTACTATGGTCTACTGCCAATAGTAAAAATAATTCATTGGTGGTATCAACTTCACCTTGTATCAACAATTTTTTGAAAAAGGAATGAGTATTATTGATAATTTTTTTATTTTTTCCTATGTTAACCACTTTGCTATCAATATTGACAATAGACGAATTTTGTTTTTAATTTTGAGTAGTTTCAAAATAATCACCAGCAATAAAGTTGGGTTAGTAGAGTTCTATAGAAATTTAGTATTGGGACAACGACAATATGATAACATCTTCCAACATGTTTGTATCCTTTTATATCTTTAATAATTGTGTTTGTTTGCTAAGAGAACTTCCTCATCAATACACACACCCCCTGTTTTTGAGAGAAAAATAAATATAACCATTGTCAAAACAATCTATTGTTGTTAAAGAGACGATCATCTTATTGTTTATCACATTGTTTTTAAATATTTTATCGTAGTTGTTTATGGTTTGTTTATGTGTGTTTATTTCAAAATATTATATATAATAATTCATGATAACAACGAAGTTCTGACAAATTTTTATTTATCAGTTGTTAGAATACAAATAGGTATATATTTAAATGAATATCAAATTTTGTTTGTTTCTCACAATTGAACTTATACAATATATAATATATTAAGATGATCGAAATATAATAATTCAGATTGTGGTGAGATCGAATAATTAAATAGTCAGTTAGTTGTTAGTTCGTTAAAAATGAGATGAATTAAGGTTACTGCTAAATTTGAATTTCAATTGGTTCTTCTACTAATAGATAGATAGTTAAAACTTATTTAGTTTGTTGGTTTGGTTGTTTGTTTGCTTGCTTGTTTTATTTAATTAATTGTTGTTGTTGTTTGTTGTCAAATAAATATTACCAATATGACAACTATTGAATTGATCTCTATTTTGTTGGTACAGTTCATCGTTGAATCGAGTGGGTGGTGTGTTGTTGTATAGTTGGTCCAGTTGTTCAAGACTGAGTGTGTCGTCGGATTCATAGATCGGATTGGCATAGATATCTTGTACACGATTAATAGTTACGACAGACATCACTGGACTAACACCACCAAGACACAGAGGCCATCTCTCATATTGCTTTTGTATGATTACACGATTGCCGTTCGCTTCCAGTCTATTGGGATGACTCATTGCACCACTCTTTAAACCCAGGTACTTTACCATTGAGTTTACAATATGCTGTACAGAACTACTCCTATAGATCGTCGAGCACATATCCCAAGCATAATTCCAATCTCTCTTTGCCAATCCATTCTCTAATCTATTCCATACAATAAAACTATTATTATCATTATTATCATTATTATCATTATTATCATTGTTATTATTGTTATTATCATTATAATGTTTTAAAGGTGGTATTGGCATTTGTTCATTGGCAGTGTGACAATAAGTAATTTGAGGTGTCATCTTTAGAAAGTATCCAATTGCCTCTGGAAACTTTGCAAGTCTTTGACAACATTGTTTGAAACTAAATTGACTGTAGTAGAGTATGTCATCGACACCAAATACAGTATAGCTATAGGTTAACTTCTTCTCTAGCAGTTCTCTTAGTTGACCAGAAAAATCAGATTCTTTAATGAATTCAACTTGAGGATATTGCTGAATGACTTTGTTGTAACTTTCACCATATGATTCTTTAGAGTAAGTATACAATACATAACATTTAGTTGGGAACACTGTTGTTGTTGTAGATTTTGAATCTTTTGTACTATCATTGTTGTTGTTGCTGTTGTTGTTGATGAAATCAATATTATATTTATATAATGTACGAAGATATTCTGATAATTGGAATGCTCTATCTTTTGAAAAACATATTATTTGTATACCATCTGTTTTATTACTATTATTGCTATTATTATTACTATTATTACTTGGAATTAATGAAGATAATATATTATTATTATTATTATTATTACTATTATTACTACTATTATTATCGTTTGTACCCATTATTGATAATAAAGATACAATATGAGATGTTGGAGATCTACTTAGCCATTGTGACCATAGTTGTGATCTAACATCGCTTTCTGGGTATTTAGAGAGTAAAAGCGCTATTAATTCTCCCATTCTTCCATTGGTAGACTCTTTTATGATTTCATTATTTAGATTTGAACTATATTAATATATAAATTGTTAAATTAATATATATAACTAATTATATATTAAAGATTATTAGATTACTTACAATAATTTTAAAGATATCTCTTCTATGAGTAATAAAAGATTGAAACATTGTTTTATAGTATCGGGTGATTGAATTGTCGATGGAAATTGAAGTGATTGTATGTTGTTTTGATTTAATATAGTGTCATCGATTGCTATTTGATATTTGTTTGCAAGTTTAACGAGACAATCAAACGATGCTTGTGTGGCACTGTCTCTTTGTATCTGTGAGTTTAACTTTGATATTGAAGTAGCATGCTTTCTCAACTGAAGAAGTGGAATGCCTGGAAGATTGTCAAACGAAATATCACCATTCGATATCATCTCCAACCAAAGTGCATAGTCTTCACAATGTCTATAACGACTATCATATCGATAACCAGCACTACCACTACCACTACTACCACGATTCAAAGCATCTCTTCTCAACATTACCGATGGATGTACCAAACAGCAATTGAAGAACATCGACCATACAACCATTTGTATTTGATTAGGGTGTTCTATTACCTTATTATTATTATTAATGGTTTTATCACTATCATTATACTTACTACTTGAGAACATTACAACGTTTGTACCTAGTACATCGATATTCTTATGTGTGTTCATGTAATCTAGTTGTCGTTGTAGACGTTCAGGGTGGGAGATGTCGTCGGCATCCATTCGAGCAATGTATTGACAGTCTGGTGGTAGTAGATCGATAGCTTTGTTGAGTGACTGTACAACACCTATATTCGTATCGTTTCTAACAACCACTATTCGACTATCGATATTGGCATAGTTTGATAGTAGTTGATCTAGCTCATCACACTTTGAACCATCGTCGACAATGAGCATCGTCCAATCTTTGCAAGTTTGTCCAACAATACTATCGACTGCTTGCTTACAATAGTCTACCAATAAACTTTTATTTTCATTGCTATTATTTATATAAACAGGTAATACTACTCCAATCATATTTTATTAATTAAAATAAAATAAAAAAACAAACAAAATCAAAACAAGATCAAACGAAGAAAATGGTATTCTTTGATCAACTTTGGTTTTTAGTGAACTTCACTTTGTAAAGTTTATTGAATTTTATAAAAATTAAAAAACAGACAAACCAACAAACTAAGTAAGTATAATATTGGGAGTACAATAAGATTCACAGGGTCTTAAACAACATCTGAAACCAGGTTTGCAAGACTTGGATACCCCACATGCTGAAAGATTCATTTGAGTACACCAACTAAAGTCACTTGGTGGACAGGGTAATATATTCCCCTCTCCCAATGTATTACCGCTGAATACTGATAGTAACAAAAGAGTACCAATAACAAATAGAATTATTTTAGAAAATTCTCTCATTTTTTGTTTTTACTAATAAATAAATTACTTAAAATAAAATAATAAAAAAAGTAATAGTTTATAAAAGGTTAAAAATAAAAAAAGATAAAATGGATAGATGACATTTAATTTGTAAATAATATTAATTTAAAAAATTTATTAATATGTAAACAAAATATGAAATCTATTATTATTTTTGTTATAATTTGAATTTTATATCATATTTTCTTTTGTCAATGCTAGAGTATGGACTTCCTGTGGAAGCTATTCAGATAAAGTAAGTACTATTATTTTGTAAAGTAATTCAATCTAATGTATGTAAAACAGTTCAAAATTACAACTATCTCTCTATACCCAAATCCTGAGAACCTGAATGGAGGTAATGTACATATTCACGTTTTTTACGGGTTCATAGTCATTGCCAACAATGACGAGGCAATCTGTGACCTAGGCTCACCAATAAAGTGTCCAATTCAAATGGGTCCATTCAACAAAACATTTTCAGTATCCATTCCATCTAATGTGCCATCTGGAGAGTATAATGGCATCTAAAAATGAGATTGCATATATCAACTTTGATATTACCTTTTAAAATAAATTTAATTCTAATCAAATATTACTTTGTTTTTATTATTATTGTTGTACAATTTGAAATTCAAATTTTATTACTTTGATTTTTTTTTTTTTAATTATTTTACCAATGATGATTACAACCAGAGAATGGTGCAGAAATAATTACAGCAAAAACAGCTGCAGTAATAATACCTGCAGTTGCAAAGCCTTCGGCAACTCTTTGTCTTGATGTCTTTCTTAGTTTTGGATAGCCATGAATGATCTTGAAGTCACCGTGTGTAATTTTACAATAGTAAGGTCCCATAGCTGTATCTGTTTTTGAAATGAACGATGATGTCTTTTTAGTGCCGGGCAGGTTGCTGAAATCCTTTCTCTCGAGTGGCACCAAGTTATTTCTCCAATCAATATAAGTAGAGATATAGTTGGGAGGAATATTTGTAAGACCAAAATCTAAAGCTGTAATAGCAATCTCTATTGAACCATGCTTTGCAAAATATAATTTTTCATTTGTTCTAACTTCAACACCCTTAAAATAATAATAATTAATCATTGTTAATAAATAATAATTTTGTCATATAAATATTAATAAAACTTACAATTGGTAATAATGAAAGATTTACACCGAAATAACCTAATAGATCATCACATCCAACAAGATCATGGTCGTAAACCTTGAACATTAGCAATTCAGTTCTAACACTTTCGATCGATAAAAAGAAAGTTTCTTCCCAAACTGGGTTGAGATTGTTGGAAATGAATTTGGTTTTTGGATGTGAGGCAAAGCATGACGATTTAATGAGGACGTATGGATCTGAACTGTTGGTGACAGCATCACCCACCATCAAATTATGACCACGGATAACTCTAACCTTGAGATTACCTCTTACTCCACAGCCACCAACGAACTCCGAACCTGATGGAGCATGTAAGACACCATTTGCAACCTCGGCAGCTACTCCATTTGGATTGACATTGGAAACGGTGGTACTAATGTTCTCAGGTGGTTGTAAGAGAATTTGTTGGTGAATCTCTTGGACTTTTTGGAGATCGATCGGTTTTTCTAGTTGAGCTTGCAATTGATTCGATTGTAATTGAGCTCTTTCAAACTGTAATCGCTGAAGCTCCAATTGTTGTTGTTCGAGTTGTTGTTGTTGTGCGTACAACTGTTGTTGAATTTGAAGCTGCTCATTTTGTTTAGCCTGTTGGAATTGTTGTAATTGTTCTTGTTGTTGTTGAATAATCAATTGTTGTTGTTGTATGATTGATTGTTGTTGTTGTTCATATTGATTCTGTTGTTGTTGATAAAAAGCATCATCAACTTTTGTTAAAGAAACTGGTTTATCCATAGTAAATATTAGATAATAAATATATATATTTATATTATTTTTTTTTTGTCTATAAATAAATATTGGGTTTTGAAAAAAATAGTTTTAGATTTTTAAAAAATATCGTTGTGTAAAAATTTTTTCTTCTTTTTTTTTGCACAACGTTTCTCAAGAATAAAAAAAAATTGATCAAAATGGTGATCGATCACCCCATCGTGCTTTTGCAGCAAAAAAAAGCCATTTTATGTGTTTTTAGTAAACTATTCAATCTTAGACTGACACTTTTTGCTGTAATGGAAGTACTCCAATTTGATCATAGGATAAGCAATTCAGGATTTCACCTAACCACAACTCTATTTACCTTAGAGAGTTGAATATATACATCAAGGAAATTAATACTCTTAAATCAGTTTTATTTCAAAGGAGAAGGCATTGGAAATTTTTTTATATTAAAGTTTTAATATTGAATAAAATAAAAGAATTTAAATTTCTAAAAAATGAAGTTTTATTTTTAATCTTCAAAAAAAACAATGATTAATTCATTAATATATATTAATTCATTTATATATATTAATTCTTTAATATATATATAAAAATAAATCTGAAAGGTGAAGGTTTTTCCCACTTTTTTTGGAACAAATTAACTTTTTTCGGAAAAAAGGGTAATCTGTCACGGAATTCAATTAAATTTAAATGATGGTTTTTTCCGAAAAATCGAATTTTCATTGGTCATTTAAATAAAAACAATTAAAAAAAGTCTTTTTTTGTACAAACATGAACTAAATTTGAAACTATATATAGTCAATATAAGAAGATTTAGTAAAAAAAAAAACGATAATTTATATTTTTAGTTTGATTCATATGAATTTTCATTAAATAATATCTATTAACACCCAATATTTATATTCGAATTAAATCAATTTAAACAAAATAAATCTAAAAATAATAATAAATAATATAATTATTTTTTAAAAAAAATATAACAATGAAAATAAATGATGATTTCAATTTCAATTGTCACCAACACTCTAAGAAATTAAAATTTATTTGTACCACTTGCAATGAAATTTTGTGTCTAGATTGCATACCAGAATACAAACATAAATCACATATATTTGATGATATCGATAGCATTAAAAACAAACTATACCAACAGATTCATCAACAAAATCAACCAATATTTCTCTACCAATATGAGATTACCAACAGCAACGATCAACTAAACAATAAACCAACATACAATTTCATCAATAGATTAGCCGAGATTTGGAAATACCTAAAAGAACTTAGCCTTAAACATCAATTGTTTGAGGACACCGGTGCAGTCGTAAATGAATTCTACAGGAACCTTCATGAATACCTCAGATTGGAGGAGTTCAAAATCATGAAGCCGATCACCGATGAAAAAAACAAAGCTGAATCGATCATAGAGTCACTGGTGGAGGAAATCAAATCGATCAACAGTATTCTCATTGCTCTCAACTCCAACCCAAAAGAGAATAGCAGCAACTGTCATTGCACTGGTTCCATTCCCAGCTCTGGAATGAATGGAAAAGGCGACAAGAAAGGATATATGGATGTAGTCAATTACCAACTCTCCTCGATTATCAACAAAATTAAATCTTGTACATCAATCAACCAATTTCTACTGAGCAATCAATCAACTATTTTTGCTCCTGTCGACCCAGTCTGTGATAATCCAACCTATGATACCCTGTTAAAGATCAGGACACACCAGACTATCTTTCCGTTGGAATATCAAGAGCCAATATCCTACCAGATTAGATTCGACGAGTTGAAGCTAGAGTCCATTAAGAAAGAGTTGCAGACACTCTACGAATTGGTGAATCTCAACGATGACATCGACCGTAGCAGTGGTAACATGATCATTACCATTGGAAATGATGGAGCCAATCTCTTTGATATTTCATCGGAGGTCTGGATCGATTTGGAACCGGACACAGAACATCGATTCGCAACACTAAACTCCATCGTTCAAGTTGGTCAGCATTGTTATGTGTTTGGTGGTGGCGACAAAAGTACAACATTCTCAAGGTATTCGATTGTCGATCACAAGTGGGATTATCACGGTGAGATACTTGGCTCTGCTGGTGAACATGTAGCGGCTTGCTACGATGGTAACAAGTACATCTATGTCTATGGTGGATTCATAAATTTGAAACATTTGTCGCGACTCGCAAGACTCGATATTGAAACGATGCGTTGGGAGAAGATTGGCGATAACGACTACGCATCGACCTGTGCCTATATATTCTACTATGAGAATTCAATCTATATTGTCGGAGGCGATTGTTTCAAGACACATCATCGTACCGTTATGAAATGTGATTTGGAGACACTGCAATTTTCGACGTTCATCAATGACATTGGGTTCAGTACGCATACCAACTCTGTCTGCTACGGTGACGGATATATTTACATTCTCGATGCAGACTCGACTTTCTATAGGATATCGATAGTCGACAAGAATAGGACAACTCTTAAATCACCATTCTCTCAGTTTGTTCCCTATAAATCGGCAATGGTCTATGTCACCGACAACATGGGATCGCACATCTACTTTATTAGCGGTTCGCAATATGGAAATCATCACTACTCCATTCAGAACGACAGTTGGTTGAAGATTAACGACAAAGATACCATCAATAGATGTTGTATTGGTGCTGCACTCATTAAAAATGTGGCTAAATAATAATGTCATTTGTAAATAATAACTGGATATAAATAATAGTATACTATTTTTAATCTTTTTTTGTAAAAATAAACATATAATTAAAACAAGAACAAGATAAATATGAAATTCCTCCTATCTTTTTATTTATTTAAAATTAAATATATTAATTTAATTTGTTTATTCATATCTATGTACAATAATAAAATAATCAGGTGTAAATCATATTAAAAAAAAAAAGATATTTAAAGTTTGTTTTGTTTTTCATGTGAAGTTGCAAGATTCAAGATTTTAAGGTATGTAGGTAGGTACAGAGAGTTGGAGAATTTAGGTAGGTTAAGGTTAATTAGTTAGAAAGTTAGAAGGATTAGATTCAAAAGTAGGTTTGTAGATAGATTACTCGTCTCTAATAAAGTTGTTAAAAAAAAAAAGGAAAAAAAGAATTAATAAAATATTAAAAAAAAGTTTAAGAATAAACAAGATTGAATAATAAAAAAAAAAAAAAGAAATATATTTAATAAAACAAAAATAAAATATATGTATAATTAATTCTTACAATGATGATTTAATAGTATCATCTTTAATCTTGTAGTGTCGAATAAGTTTGTCATCTACTCTCTCTAAATAATAATTTCCAATAGCAATATTCAATGTTGAATCCATTGGTGTGTATGATAGTTTTGAACAATTCTCTTCTCTATATGATAAAAGCTATTATTGGTTGTAATTACAAATTTTAAAAAAGCTAATGTTAATATCAAATCGTTTATCAACTAAATAGTTAGATGTAGATTAATAGTGAATGTAATTACCGTAGTAAACTCTGGAGGTGAAATTTTGATTCTGTTTGTTAAACGTTGATTAATATTTGATTGTTTTCCAATGTTTTCAGTCGATGGGAACATTGGATTATTTGTTGAAACACCTTTAAATGAGAAAAAGGTTGCTGCCAGACCAGATCCATATGAAAATACCAATACTCTCTTACCAACCTATTTTATATTACAATATTGTTATTAGTAATCACAAAACAAAATAAATTTTATATATTTTTGATAGCTTACCAAACTATTAACATTTGATAATAAAGATAAGATTCCACCATAGACAGATCCAGCATAACAATTTCCTAGTTCTTTGGAAAGAGTCATCGATGGAATCACTTTGTTTTTATAGTGTTCATCGGTAACTTTAAGACCAACCTGGTCGAGCTTGGCATTTCCATACGATTCCTTGCCAAGTCCGATCTGGTTGAACTCTTGGAAATGATCTTTATATTTATGACTGGATTCATCGGAGTTTCCCCCACTCAGAATGTAGTCGTTGTAGAAGAGACGTCCAAACGACTTTTGAACGAGACGACCATATGGCGAGTGCATCACACAATAGTCAACTAAATCCATTGAGAAGTTCTGGTCTTGATTCAAACGCTCGAATGCCGCTTTGTAGTTGGCATAGCATCGATCGAGAGCACGCAAGTAGCAATCGATAGAGAGCTTACCGTCGACGTACGGATACTCGCTCTTACCGTCGGGCTTGTAGAAATCATATACATTCTCCATGTGAACACCACGAATGCCCGGCTCCATTACGAGCGGTGCATTTGGACCGATCAACATTGCCACCACACCGGCACCACCCGTTGGTCTGGCCGGTCCCTTTGCGTAGACAGCGATATCTCCTGTGACAACCATTGCAAATCTACCATCCCAATAGCTACTCTCAATCCATTGAACACTGTTGAACAATGCATTGGTACCGCCATAACATGCATTATATGTATCAACACCTAGTTATCATATTAATTAGTTAGTTTGTTTTTAAATAAGATCATTGTTTATATTACACACCTTCGATTGAAGTATTTCCATGTTCTTGAAATAGTGTCATTAGATGAGTTTTAATTGACTTTGATTTGTCAATGATGGTTTCAGTGCCTACCTCCAATCTACCAATCATAGAGTAAGGAATATTATATTTTTTCATTAGAGACTGAACTGAATTCATCGACATTGATACGATATCCTCACGATCACCACAAAATGCCATATTAGTTTGACCTAAACCAATTGTATATTTACCAGCTGACACTCCATCGAATGATTCTAAATAATAACAATTAGATTAATAACTATAAACTATAGTAGTTCTATTGCTATTCTAATTCGATTACTTACCTAATTCAGTTTGAGCAACATATGTTTCTGGAAAATAGATATCCATTGCTAGGATACCTATATTTTGTGGTCTATCATTATTCATTATCATTCCTTAATCAAATGAGTATATATTAAATATTTAAAGAAAGAATGTTTTATAGATAAAGAAAAGTATTAATATATATATATTCTATATTAATTAAAAACTTTAGTTCAAAATTAGTAAGTTTAGTTAGTTATATGTAAATATATAGTTGTTGTTATTATTATTGTGTAGAAACAAAAACAGAATAGAGAAAAGATAATATTATAATTTCTATTAATAAAACAAAACAAAAAAAAACAAATGACAAATACAAGCAAAGCTGACGTACCCACACCAAGAGACAAAACAAAACATTACACCTTAATACTTCAATTCTTTTTGCAACTCAATTAATTGTGTGGTGTTGCTGTGTGTGTGATATTGAATTGAAGGGTACTGGTAAAACAAAGAGGTCATCCAGTGGTTATTTTAAATTTTGAGATATCAGTGGGGATACTGCTTTTTTTTTTGTTTTTTAAATTAAAGTTTAATTTTATTATCATAGGATAAGATGTAAATGTTTTGTTGAATTGAATTGCAAAGCAAAGCAAAGCAAATAATGTAAAGTACTGTATATCTATCTATCTAATTTAAATTAACACCAACAATATGCCCATAAAAGGAACTGCACTGCTGATATATTACTGTATACTCTATCATATTGTGAAATGATTGGTTTGGTTTGGTGTTTTAATTGTACATGTGTGGTTAGTTATTATTTATTGTTTTACGATAAGTGTGTTATTATTATTACTATTTTTTAACTTATTTGTTATTTCAATAAAGTTATTACTGTTTGTTCATTGATTGTTAATTTGATTAGTTATTTATTAGTGTGTGTTGTTTTGTTTTTACTATTCGTGGTTGTTTTAACTGTGAGAATTGAGAAGTGTGTGTAGAGAATGTATACCAACACCCAACAAAAATGAATACAAGATAAGAATGACATCGATATCATACATGTTGTTGATTGACATCACAACTCTCATTGTAAACTCTATAGTATTTCTGTTAAACAAAGAAACAATTATCTTGTTCCCAAAAACGAAATAAAATAATAAAACAAAACAGTGTGATAGAAGTGTGTATGTGTATGTCTCTCATTGACATCATTCACTAATACAATAGTTATTATCGTTCGTTCATTCATTGCCAATAGAATCTATAATTACATTTTAAAATGTTCCCTATATGTATCTGATAAAGATGTTCTATATTTATATATTTATATATTTGCTTTTGCTGTTTGTTTTTGTTGCTAAAAATAATACAAATCTAGAGTGTAAAAAGGTGTAATTGTATTAAATAGATCTAACAATATAATTTAATTTAATGTTGGGTTGGTCAGAGATGAAACCAGATGAAAAAAATAAAACTTTTTTTTTTTTTTTTAAAAAACAAATAATTATTGTTGTGTTATGTTAAACAGTTAAAACCTACTTGAAATCAATTGTTTTTTTTATTTTTATTATTGACTTGAGATGTATTGAACTCGTTGGAAATTGATATTTTCATGTTGTTTTCGAAACACTGAAAACTGTATCTTTGGAGAGATTCGGTGACTCTTTCCGTGGCAGGACTATATTTCACACCTTTCATTCGTTGAATTGTCAGTCTTGGAATTCTTTTTTGTTTGAAGATCCGGGACAGAGGGAGTGGGTGCGGTGATACGCTTGTTGGTTGGTGTCACTTCCGCACTACTGGTAGTGTTGGTAGCTGTCTTGGAACCACTCTTGCTTGGTGAAACCTTCGCACTACTGGTAGTGTTGGCATATGTCTTGGATCCTCTTCTTGGTTGTCTTTACAGCACATAGATCATACGATAGTAGAGGTACATACACATGTCGGATTGGATGGGTACATTGTCACCCTTGAATACCAACTTTGGCATGCACTTTGGAGTATTGGAATCGGTGGAGTCGATCTGCTTTGGATCATTGGAATCGGTGGAATCGATCTGCATTGGAGCATTGGAATCGGTGGAGTCGATCTGGTTTGGATCAGTTAACTGATTGATAGGAATCGATTGCAATGCAAAGTTGAACAATTTTTTCGAATTTAATGATTCACTGTGCTTCTTTGATCGCGATCGATCCAAATCAACCTTTTGCCATGACAAAGTCGATACTGATGGAAGACAGATTTATGCTGGTTTGAGTGGTATGGAATGGTGGTGTTGTTTGAGAGGAAGACTGGTTGCTCTTTCTTTTTTCCGACTGCCCTTAGAATACCATATGATTTGATATCTGAACATCTTTGTTCTGGTGGTAAAAAAAACCGATTTGAATATAAATTCCAAATATTACAAGATCTGGAATATTGTTTATACTGGATCCTAAGATAAAAAAATCAAAATAAATAGTATTTATAGTTAGTAAGATAAACAAAATTTGATAATCTTGTGAAAAAAGATATTACCTTTGATCATCTCCACTGCAATATTGAGTTGAAATATTATTATTAATATTATTATTATTTCTTATCATCACTCTCTACAACCTTGTTATTGATAAATATCAATCTCCTATTTCTATTGCTTTTGTTGATATGAAGAGATTTGGAGATGGTGGAATCCTTGTTTTGTTATTGTTGATGAATAAGTCCTTGTTATAACTTATTCATCAACAATAACAAAACAAGGATTCCAACATTACTCAAACTGGAAAAGGGAAACAGCTAACCACCCTCATATAATATCACCGACTCGGAGATGGTAAAACCAACTACAACCACCAAGTCTTTAGACGGTTCGCCAAGAGCAACTTTCAATTTCGTAGTATATTGTATTGTCATGCAACCTTCCCTTTTGGTGAACCATTGAATCAAGGTGGTCTGATACAAATACGAAATAATTATTATTGCTGTTGTTGTTGTTGTTGTGGTTGTAGATTTTGAAACATTGTTTGCTGTTGCTTTGGTTTCTGCTTTGGATTCTTCTTTTCTTTCTTCTTTTGATTCTTCTTCTCCTTTTTCCCATGCTTCTCGTTTTTCTTGTTACTTTTACTATCTCGATGATCATACTTCACCTTTTTCTCTTTAATATCTCTATTAAAGTATCTATATAATTGTCCTTGATTTAAAAACTTCTACTATTATATCTTTTACTATCTCTTGATTTTTTTATTTTTTTTTATTTATTTTTTTTTGTTTTGGTTTTTTTTTTGTTTCACAATAAAAACAACAGAAAACAGACATCTATTCTTAAAAAATAGTTATAATTTAATTATTGTTTTAATCTTTATCACCATGTAATAAATTAGTAAATAAAGGTAAAATATTGGACAATGACCGATTAGCATGCATTTCAATAACAGAAACAATTACAAAGTTTGAGTTCAAAAACTGAAGATTTCTCAACTAAAAAGTAAAACAAACATATAAACAAGCACATGTAATCATAGATTGATGTAATATTTATAAAGGTATAGATTTATTTTATTTTTTCACTTTAATTACCTGACTGGTTAAATTATTTATTTATAGGTATTAGATTTGTTAAAGAAAGATTGTTATTGTATACAAAAAAACCATCATCATCATTCGGAGAATTCTATAGGAGAAGAGCAGCTGAGAAACGTGAACCTTTTTAAATATTGTCAAGATATGGTGATAACTAATGCTATGATGATTTTTAGTATTTACTATTAAAACAATTATTATTTATTTATTTTATAGACTTTTATCTAGTTTAGTTTCATTTATATCAGATATGGTCTTGTAATTAAAGTAGATATTTATTCTTAGAGCAATTCAACATTGTTTCGATTGTCAAAGAAAATATATCTTTGAGGAAATATAATGTTCAAAAATCAATCCATCTCTGAAAAAAGATTTGAAACATCTACCAACTCTTGAGAAAAGTTCCAAGATGAAGTCGACTTTAATATACCTATCTCAAAAACTAGAACTAAATAAAAATTAGTAAATTTAATATTAAAGAGAAAAGTTAATAATTGTTTTTACTAAAAAATAAAATTTTATTTTTTATTAATCAGTTGAGGAAGATAAAGAATTTAACTTTTTTATTGAAATCTGTCATTATAGGTATATAGCAAGCTAACTTCAAAAGAATTTCAAATAAAAATAAGTTGGTTACTTGTTATTTAATCAATAGAGTTAAAATTTTAAATATTTGCATTATTTTATAGTTTGCCAAACTCCTTTTTGGGACTATTTGAATTAAAAATTCAATTCTGATGAGAATTTCTTTAGTGTGTTAAAATAAAATTTAGTTTAAAAATATTAAAAAAAAACATAAAATAATGTCTTAATTAAATAAAAATATTTAGTTCAAAAAATAAGATGAAAGAACTTTTCATATAAACAAGTCTTAAATTAATCTATTCAACCTATATTTTTGATATAGAAATTAATTTCTTAAGTATAAAAACAAACTATAAAATGGATCACCGATTCAAAGTGGATGAAGAATTAGTTCCCTTTTTGGAACCCAATAACTACAATAATAATTGTCAAGCTACAAAATATGATGCAGTAGCTGCTGGGAATCTTTATCATGTGGAAAGAAGAAAATTGATTTTTAAAATTATTTTTTCAATAATTATTTTAATAACTGTAAGATTTAATATATAAAAAAAATAATCATAGATTTTATTGATAATAAAAAATTAATTTATATTATCTATAGTTCGCTTCTACTATCTTCTATTTTGTAAAAGTACACCAAATAAAAGAAATTGCTATTATAGATGCTGCTCATGTAGTTGTTCGGAGAGTAGATTCCTTTATTGAAAACTATGGACGATTAGATTACCTAAATATAGGTGATGGAGTTGCCATTGTACAAACCAATTTCACGCCAACTTATGATAATGGATCGAAATTGGAAGTTGTAGTATTGGAAACTATCTATTGTCCGAACTCATTCATGGACACTGTAATATTGAAGGAAGGTCTGGGTATTGAAGTTGTCAAAGTCAATTCCACCACCTATAGAACTACAATCTATTTTAGTTTCTCTGATAAACCAGAGATCTATTTTGACTGCTATTTGCCTATTGAAGATACCAAGATCTATACAGGTGGGTGGATAAAAGTTGTATCCCGATATGGAGAACATTATATGTCCGCAGCTCCAACACTTTTAAAACTCAATTCAGATAAACTATTAGATAAAATGAAAATAGTAAGCTACTTAGTCAAGAAAAACACTAAAAATATCAGAAATTTATTCTTTAATTGAATGTATATTTCATAGATTTTTTCATTTATATCTTTGTTAAATAAATTTTATTTATTAAGAATAAAATTTTAATTTTAAAACCAATCAATTCCGATTGAAAATAATTTAAAAAAGTTATTTTATTTCATCTCAACTTCTACTTTTAGTATTAGAAATTGCAAGTTCACTAAAAAAGAATGATTGTAGTAGAAAACATCTATATAATTACTTTTTTAATACATATGTAAAGAATTTATTGAGAAATAGTTATAAATTTTTTATTTTTGGGACCTCTCTGAATTAAAATTTTAATTCTGATCTATATGTGAGTTTAAAATTATAAAAATAAAATATATTTTGATGCCTTATAAAAATATATCACTTATGATATTGAATGATAAAAGGAACTTTTCTAGTATAGAGATTTAGTTAAATCTTAAAATTAGTTTTTCTATTTTTTTCATACAGAATTTAAATTCTCAAGTTTAAAATGTCTAGTCTACTTATCAATTATGACGATGAAGAATCAAAGCCAATTTTGAAACCCAATGAAATTAATAACCATAAACCTAACATATTAGATGGTTATGCTCCTGGAAATCTTTATCAATTAGAAAGAATAAAAAGGATTTTAAAAATAATAATTTCAATTTTTATATTATTAGCTGTAAGATATATTTTTAGAAAAACAAAAATAATTTTAGTATTAATTTTTATTATATTTAGATTATCTCCATTTTCTTTTATTTTGCAAAAGTTGATCAAATAAAACAAATTGCTATTATAGATGGCAGTCACATCGTTGTCCGAGAAGATGATTCATTTAATCAAGACTACTCGAAATTAAAATACCTTAATGTAAGTAATGGTATAGCCATTATACAAACCAATTTTACACCAAGTTATTCCAATGGATCAAAATTGGAAGTTATTTTATTGGAAACTATCTATTGTCCCAGCTCAGAAATGGAGACTGTTATGTTGAAGTCAGGTTTTGGAATTGAAGTTGTCAAAGTCAATTCAACTACCTATAGAACTACTATCTATTTTAGTTCGACAGAGATCTATTTCGACTGTTATTTGCCTATAGAGTATACCGAGATCTATACAAGTGGGTGGCTTAAAGTTATTTCAGTGTATGGAGAACATTATATGTCAGCTATTCCAACGTTTATTAGGTTTCAACCGGATACTCTTTTAGAAAAAATGAAAATGGTTTCCTACTTGGTGAAACTAAACATTAACAATATAAGATATATTTTCTTTTAACTTTAAAAATAAACAATAATTCCTATATGCTAAAAATGTCTTTTTGAGGTGAATGTATATGAAGAGTATTTTTATTTTCCCTATCTTCACAAATTAATTTGTTTTTCCTTTTTTTTTTTATGGTTTGAAACAAATTGATTTATGTTTGAGAAGTTTATAATCACCGGCTTGACAATCTCTTGAACAATAATATGAACTCTTGCAATTTCCACATCTTTGAAGTTTATCTGATTCTTTGAAGCAATAGAAACACACTTGGTTGGGTTTGGCTCCGTCAGTAAAAAGATTTTTTAGGGAATTGACTCTGATTGCTCCAACTCCATCCAAACCGACTCTAAGATATGGATCAATGATGGTGATACCTTGACCAACATATAGAGTTTGATCGGCAACCGATTGGTTCTTGACTGATTCATCATATATCATAATTCTCAAATAATTTCCTTTGTTGTCCATCAAAATCGAATGAGCACCCATGTTTCCAGCCTTCATGAGACGTTCAACAATGATACCTTTTAAGAATCTTCCTTTGTAAACCATATCACGATTTGGATCAAATTCATTGACGACAATCTCTTTGTATTTATCACCAATGTCTTGAGGTGCTTTTCTAGCAGTAATATGTATTGGCGAGATTGATTGTTGTACATGTTGGGTACCTGGTGTTGGTTTTGAATTTATATGACTAATAAAGTCACGTATCTTTGAAGCATATACTTCACGTTGTTTAGATTCCACTGATAATCTTGCTCTGTGTATATCCAATACTGATGGTGCTAATCTTATTGTTGTTGAGGTTGTTGAAGTTGTTGATGTAGTTGTTGAAGTTGTAGATGTTTCTGTTGAAGTTGTAGTTGAAGAAGTTTGTTCGCTTTTCTTTTTCAAATCATCTTTGGTGAAGGTTGGTGTTGTTTTTGGAGGTTCCTTTGCTTTTTGTTTAAACATCTCTGGTTTAGGGTTCATCACATTCAAATATACTTCTACAATTTCTTTTTGAGTACTTTTCACGGGCATAAAGAATGGAAGTTGATCTACCTCTGTTTCCAAACCCAAATTGTAATAATGAGTTGCCTTTTCAATCTGTTTAATACAATAATATCTGAAAGCAATATGATAGAATGATTTTGGTCTTTGTCTGTCATCTATTTGAATTTAAAAATTGTTAATAATTTATAAATATTCAACATTTAATTATTTACTTACCTTTTTCACAACGTCGTGTAAATTCCAATAGATCAGCAATTAGTGCTTCAGTATTTCCTTTACATTTATTTTCTTCATCCAATTTCAATCGACAAACACCAGTTTGGTATATGATGTTAAGATCTTCTGGCAATCCTTTCTCCTTTATAATATCTTTTGCGCGTTTGAGACAATTTAAACCCTCTTTCCAATTTGATTTGAATCCATAAAAAATTGGAGCAGAGAATAAAGAGTTGATGTGAATCTGGATAATCTTGCAAACATTGTTTGGTATAACGAAGTCCAAAGTCAAGTGATTCGTAACCTTTGATAAATGCATAACAAAATCTGGCATCGTAATCTGGTGGGAAGTTGTTCATATACCACTCAAGAATTGGCAAGAAAGTGTCAGTCAAAATCGGTACAATCAAAATCAAATCTGACATTTCAAAGCATCTGGCAATATTGGAAATGATTTGTTTGGTAAACAAAAGGTTTCCATTTTCCATCAATTCAATAGTGTGGAAGAATAGACTCTTTGAAGCAAATAGATTTGCAGCAGTCTTTGATGATTTAGCATATCTCTCCAGTTCGTCTAGCGGGAATGAATTAACTCCTCGATTACTGGATTTTCGGAGTGGTGATTTACCTTCAAATTTAATCGACTGCAACTTATTGAACATATCTTGAGCGGCATCCGGTAGCTTACTCATCGTCTTTTGATACTTAACAGCTTCGAGTGCATTGAGTGCACGTGGATGACTCAATTTAGCAGCACGTTTCAACCACATTTCAGCAGCTTCCAAATCCTTCTCCACACCGAATCCATTGAGATAGACATATCCAAGATAAAACATTGCATCAGGATAACCAGATGAAGCTGCCGTTTGGAAGTATTGAGCTGCTTTACAATAATCGTCTGGATCTTGATTTTGTAAATACAATTCACCTAATTCCGTTAGATCTTGATCCATTACCTAAACAAGAAAGACTAAAGGTTAATGTGATTTGCATATTAAGTAAATACAGTATTTACCGATAATTTGTTTGTCATCTTTATACGTTCTTCCAAAGTTGCTTGAGCTTTACTGATATCAATATCAACACCTAAACCATATCGATAACATTTGGCAATTTGAGTATGTGATTCTAAACCACCTACATCTTTGGAACGAACAAAACAATCGAATGCATCTTTGAAATTACGACGAACTGTTTTACCTTGTTGAAGGAGAATACCAGAGTAAAGGAGTGCTTCAGCATTGTTTGGTGATGATTGGAAATATTTAAGTGACTTGGCAATGTCTTTGGTGGTTCCATCATAACCATAGAGATATCTGAATCCATTCTCAACGTTCTTGTCTTCTCTCAAAAATGCTTGGCTGAGAAAGGATGGATTGATATTACGACCTTTCAATAAATCCTTATATTGTTGAGCATCATACTTTTGGAAATCATCTTTGTATCCATTGGAGATCATTCCCAAATCGAAATTAATGAACACAAGTAGATCTTTGGCTTTCTGATAATGTGTGTCCAAGACTAAACATGCCTCGGCAGCTGCTTTTGCTTCTTCAAACTTGTCATCATGGAAATAAATCAATGCCATCAGGAATTTGGTACATTTCCATTTCGGTTTGATTGCACTTGTTCGACTGAGGTCAAGAAGAATCACTTCTCTTGATACTGCTGATTGTCTTGATTGTAAACGATACATTTCATTGGCATATCCACGATAGAAATAGAGTTTCGCTTGTGATTCGATCGATAAACCAGTCACCGCAATTCCTTGATTGCAAAACTCGACTGCTTTTACATAGTCATGCTTGCCAATTGATAGTTTGGTTTTGCTTATTAGTTCTTTTGCTTGGCTATCTGTGGAATTGGTAATGGGTGTTGAGAGTCTGATGCATTCAATGACATCACTTGGAACACCAATCGATGACAATGTTTCAAGAAACTCTTTGATATCATCTTCAAACTCGTCACTATTTGTAACTGTTGGGTTGATAATATAATGATTATATAGACTGCTGACCAAACTTGAAAACTCCAATGATTGTTCTATTGTCTCGTCCAATTGTTGTTGTTGTTTTGATTTCAAAGATGAAATAAGCAACTCGAATACATGGTGGAGGAGTGGTGATTCCCAGGAAGAACGATCACCACTATTCAATGAAATATGATACTTTTGTGGAATATCTTTCATCTTTAGGTTTGGAAGCAATGATTTCAGTTGAGTTGCAAACTCTGGAGTGTCATTCCATTGATTACCGGTCAACATCGTGTAATACTTGGCAAGAATATCTGATTGATATCTTCTTGCAACTGTCAATCCATTTATCATTATTTGATTTTTGCTATTGTTAGTGTTCTTGTTTGTAGTCTTTGTGGATGTATTGGTTGTAGTAGTTGTAGTAGTTGTTTTGATCTTAGGTGACTCATCTTTCTTTGTTTGTTGTTGTTCGTTTGCTTGTTGATTTGATTGGAATAACTGTGATTTTGGTAGTTGTATTGGTGGTTGGTCAAATGACAACTTTTGAATACGTTGTTGGATATCTTTAAATGACTTTTGATTCTCTATTAATCTCTTTAACTCTTTTAGTTGAACTATTCTTTCCTTAATCTTTTTTAGAGCCACCGTATCGTCATATTCCATACTAGATATGTCCACAACTCTTGTAAAAGCTTCTATCTCTTTGATTTGCCGCATTATCTTTTCCTCATGTTTTTGGAGATCCACAGAATCCAGATTCATATAAGAAGTAGGTGAAACCTTTTCTTTTTCAACTTTTGGTTGTTGAGTTGAAGCAGAAGCTGAAGTGGTAGAAGAGGCAAAAGTAACATTTTCTTTTTCTATTTTTTGTAGAGTGTTCGAAGAAGTGGAAGAAGTAGAAGTGGAACTTGTTTTCTTTGTTTTATTATTACTCTTTTTCTTTTTACCTCCCATTTTATGTTATCTTTATATCTATTACTCTTTATATTACAAAAAAATTGATAATAAAGAAAATTTCATCGCACTTTCATTTTAAACAAAATCAATAATTAAATTTTGATTATGTTTTTTTTTAAGTTCCTAAGTGAACAACCCCCAGATATTTTTAACCACAACAAATTTAAAAAAACAACACTCTACTAGGTGATGTTGTTTTTCCTTTTATTTTTTATGGCTTGAAACAAATTGATTTATGTTTGAGAAGTTTATAATCGCTGACTTGGCAATCTCTTGAACAATAATATGAACTCAGGCAATGACCACATTTTTGAAGTTTATCTGATGCTTTGAAGCAATAGAAACACACTTGATTAGGTTTAGCTCCATCCGAAAAGATGTTTTTAACGGAGTTGACTCTGATTGATCCAACTCCATCAATTCCAACTCTAAGATATGGATCAATGATGGTGATACCTTGACCAACAAATAGAGTTTGATCGGCAATCGATTGGTTTTCGACTGATTCATCATAGATACTAATTCTCATATAGGTACCTTTGTTGTCCATCATAATCGAATGAGCACCTCCGGTTCCAGCCTTCATGAGACGTTCAACAATAATACCCTTCAAGAATCTTCCTTTGTATACCATATCACGATTTGGATCAAATTCATTGACGACAATCTCTTTGTATTTATCACCAATGTCTTGAGGTGGCTTCTTAGCAGTCATGTGCAATGGTGTGGTTGTAAATTGTTGAACAAGATATGTACCTGATATTGTCGCTCCAACTAGTTTACCAATATAGTCACGTAGATTAGTAATATAAACTTCACGTTGTTTAGATTCCACAGTTGATCTTGCTCTGTGTATATCCAATACTGATGGTGCTAATCTTATTGTATTTGAAGGAGTTGTTAAGGTTGTTGGAGATGCTGAAATTGCTGAAGTTGAGGTGGTTTGTTCAGTATTCTTTTTCAAATCATCTTTGGTGAAGGTTGGTGTTGTTTTTGGAGGTTCCTTTGCTTTTTGTTTAAACATCTCTGGTTTTGCTTTCATATGTACTTCCAAAGTCTGTTTATGTGTACTTTGCACTGGTAAAAAGAATGGAAGTTGATCTACTTCTGTTTCCAAACCCAAATTGTAGAAATGAGCTGCCTTTTCATATTGTTTAACACAATAATATCTATAAGCAATATGATAAAATACTTGTGGTCTTTGTCTGTCATCTATTTAGAATAAATATTAATAATAAAAATATTAACTTTTAAGATTAATTATCATACCTTTTTCACAACGTCGTGTAAATTCCAATAGATCAGCAATCAGTGTTTCAGTATTTCCTCTATAACCATTATCTGATTCATCCAATTTCAATCGACAAATACCGGTTTGGCATAGAATTTTAAGATCTTCTGGTAATCCTTTCTCCTTTACAATTTCTTTTGCTCTTGTTAGACAATTTAAACCCTCTTTCCAATTTGCTTTGAATCCATACAAGTTGTAACAGAGAATAAAGAGTTGATGAGAATCTGGATAATCTTGCAAACATTGTTTGGTATAACTAAGTCCAAAGTCAAGCGAGGTCACACCTTTGATAAATGCATAGCAATATCTAGCATCGTAATCTGGTGGGAAGCTTTTCATATACCATTCGAGAGTTGGCAAGAAATGCTCCATCAATATCGAAAAATCCAAAACCAAATCGGTCATTTCAATGCATCTGGCGATATTGGAAATGATTTGTTTGGTAAACAATGGTTTTCCAGTTTCCATCAATTCAATAGTGTGGAAGAATAGACTCTTTGAAGCAAATAGATTTGCAGCAATCTTTGATGTCTTGGCATATCTCTCCAATTTGTCGATTGGGAATTTATTATCTCCATTGACTCTTCGGAGTGGTGATGGTTTACTTGCAACGTTAATCGATTGTATTTCTTTGATTAAATCTTGAGCGGAATCAGGTAGTTCGCTAATCTTCTTTTCATTCTTGACAGCATTGAGCATTTGGAGTGCACGTGGATGATTCATCTTGGCAGCACGTTTCAACCACATTTCAGCAGCTTCCAAGTCCTTCTCCACACCGAATCCATTGAGATAGACATATCCAAGATAAAACATTGCATCAGGATAACCAGATGAAGCTGCCATTTGGAAGTATTGAGCTGCTTTAACATAAACTTCTGGATCTTGATTTTGTAAATACAATTCACCTAATTCAGTAAGATCTTGATCCATTTTCTAAAAAGGTAGTGATTTTTTAAAATAGAAAGTTAATTTAATTATTAAACTGAACTGTTAATAGAATATTTACCACTAATCTGTCTGATTTCTTTATACGTTCTTCCAAAGTTGCTTGAGCTTTACTGACATCAATATCAACACCTAAACCATGTCGATAACATTTGGCAATTTGATAATATGATTCTAAACCACCTAAATCCTTGGAACGAACAAAACAATCGAATGCATCCTTGAGATTACGACGAACTGTTTTACCTTGTTGAAGGAGAATACCAGAGTAAAGAAGTGCTTCAGCATTGTTTGGTGATGATTGGAAATATTCAAGTGACTTGGCAATGTCTTTGGTGGTTCCATCATAACCATAGAGATATCTGAATCCATTCTCAACGTTCTTGTCTTCACTTACAAATGCTTGGTTGAGATTGTCTGGATTGATATTACGACCTTTCAATAAATCCTTATATTGTTGAGCATCATACTTTTGGAAATCGTCTTTGTATCCAATAGAGATCATTCTTAGATCGTAGTTGATGAGATCAAGTAGATCTTTGGCTTTCTTATACTGTGTGTCCAAGACTAAACATGCCTCGGCAGTTGCTTTTGCTTCTTCAAACTTGTCATCATGGAAATAAATCAATGCCATCAGGAATAGGGTGCATTTCCATTTCGGTTTGATTGCACTTGTTCGACTGAGGTCAAGAAGAATCACTTCTTTTGATACTGCTGATGGTCCTGATTGTAAACGATACATTTCATTGGCGTATCCACGATAGAAATAGAGTTTCGGTTGTGATTCGATCGATAAACCAGTCACCGCAATTCCTTGGTTGCAAAACTCGACTGCTTTTACATAGTCATGTTTGCGAATTGATTGTTTGGCTTTGTTGAGGAGCTCATTGGCAAGGGAATCAGTGGAATTGGTAATGGATTTTGAGAGTCTGATGCATTCAATGACATCACTTGGAACACCAATCGATGACAATGTTTCAAGAAACTCTTTGATATCATCTTCAAACTCGTCACTACTTGTAACTGTTGACTTGGTAATATAATGATTATATAGACTGCTTACTAAACTTGAAAACTCCAATGATTGCTCTGCTGTGTCATCCAATTGTTGTTGTTGTTTTGATTTCAAAGATGAAATAAGCAACTCGAATACATGGTGGAGGAGTGGTGATTCCCAGGAAGAACGATCACCACTATTCAATGAAATATGATACTTTTGTGGAATATCTTTCATCTTTAGGTTTGGAAGCAATGATTTCAGTTGAGTTGCAAACTCTGGAGTGTCATTCCATTGATTTACCGGTTAACATCGTGTAATACTTGGCCAGCATATCTGATTGATATCTTTCTTGCAATCGATAATCCATTTATTATTGTGGTTATTGCTATTAATGCTGTTGTTGTTGGTAGTGTTGTTTATCGTAGATGTTGTTGTGGTTGTTGTTGTTTTTGCTTCCTTATTGATTGATTTATCTTCTGTTGTTTGTTGTTGTTGCTGTTGTTGTTCATTTAAAACAGCCGGTTGTTTTTGATCATTTGGCTGCTGTTGCTCTTGCTTTGGTTGGAATAACTGTGATTTTGGTAGTTGTATTGGTGGTTGGTCAAATGACAACTTTTGAATACGTTGTTGTATATCGTTAAATGACTTTTGATTCTCTATTAATCTCTTTAACTCTTTTAGTCGAACAAGATTTTCCTTAAACTCTTTTAGAGCGGCCTTATCCTCATAGTCAATACCAGATATGTCCACAACTCTTGTAAAAGCTTCAATCTCTTCGATTTGCTGCATTATGGATGCTTCATGTTTTTGGAGATCCACTGAATCAAGAGACATAGAAGCAGTAACCTTTTCTTTTTCAACTTTTGGTTTAGTTGAGGCAGAAGTAGAAGTGGAACTAGTATTCTTTGTTTTATTATTATTAATCTTTTTCTTTTTACCACCCATTTTATATTTATATTTATTATGTTTAAACTAAAAAATAAAATGACTGTGTTAACTTCAAAAACAATTTAATTTAACCAAAGATTTTTTACAAACCAAACTTAAATCTTCAATTTTGTTTTGTTTTAACCAAAAACAAAACAAAAATGGCTCTTGCTTGTAACCACGAATCGAATAAAGTAAAAAAACCACTCTGATTACATTAACCCCCACTAATTTTTAAAATTAATGCTCTGGCGAAAGGTGGTTGGGAGCCAGTTTTGATTTGAACTTCAAAAACAATTTAATTCACCCAAAGATTTTTTACAAAACAAACTTAAATCTTTCGAATACTTGAAAAATTTTTTAGTCCTCAACTTCCATTGATTAAATTCTAAATTTCAAGTTCAATAAAAGTATAAATTTAGAAACTCAGAAGAAATACACCATACAAGCCCAAATCCTATATAGAAAAAAAAACATTTAAAAAATACAAATAAGTCCTTTTTCAATTTTGGAATATTAATTCTAGTACCTCTAGATTTGGTTATTTAAGATTCAAATCTAATAAATAGTAAAAAATCTAAAAATTACTTTCACCCATTTCTATCTTGTTTTATAGTAGATATATAAGGAGAGATAAAAAATTTAAATAATTTAAAAAAATACTGATCTATTTCCAAAGAGATACTTTATACCAAATTCTATTGGTTGAATCATTAATCACATTGATTTCACCCACTAATCGAAAATCTATGAATATCATATTTTTATATCATTTAAACCAATTTATAGGTAAATGATTGGTTATCAACACACTAATAGATATCTTTATATTTTAAAGTAATATAAAAAATAGTTCGCTTAAATTTATTAATCAACAGATCAATAAAATAAGTAACATATGTTGTACGAGTAAGCACACCAAAATAAAACAAAAACAAAAGGGTACTCAAACACCACCAACACCCTTTTTTATTTTACCACAGCACATCACAACAAATCACCAAACACAATTAATCTTTCAATCAATAATAAATGATTTTTGATTATATAATAATTATATTAATATAATTAATTACCAACCACATATAATAAATTTGCACACAGAGAATATTAATTTAAATCAATATTACTATTTTTTCTCATCAAATCATATAGTTTATTTACTCAATTTTCAATAGTGACATCAAAAATTCTTTATACATTATATTTTTAATTAATCAGCTCACCTATTTTCACTATTCTCTGTCACTTTTTTTCTTTCTTACCATTGGCATTTAATCCATCCATCATAAAAAACAACTCATCAAATAACTGTCTAAAAATATACTGTTTGAAATAAAAAAGATTATATATAAATAATAAATAATAAATTAATTATATAATATATTGAATTGGAATTAATTAAAGCTGTGTTTATTATTTTTGTATAGGAAACCAATTAATTAATTGGTACAACTATAAATATCCAATAATAGAAATTTTTTTTTTATTAAAAATTAAAATATCAATGATTTATATTTATAAAAAAATAATTAAAATAATAATATGTCAAATAATAGTAATAGTACATTCTTTTGTTTGGATCATAGTCAATGTGGAGATCTAGGTAGATGTGTAAATGGAACATGTATATGTAGAAGCTACCTACAGGGTCCACAATGTGAAACTTCATATTCATCAGTGTTAGGCAGATCGTTTACAATATTCAGATTGGTTTTTCTATGTATAGTGATCCTTCTTACAATATATGGATCTTTCAATTGTTATAAATCGTTTTTATATTGGAATCGGAAAAAGGTTGCTTATAAATTGAAAGCAATCGCTCATATTGTAGTATTATGTTTTTGTTTAAGTAGGTTTTAAAAAGAAAAAGATAATAATTAAAAGAATATTTCCTAATTTAATAATATTAAAAAATAATTAGTATCAATAATATATTTCGCAGTTGATCCATGGGCAACTCTGGGAATTTTTCCATTTCCTCTATCGATGTTTTTATACCATTTCCCTTTGTACATTTTATTTACATCATATCAAATGCTGCTGTTGTATTGGAGTGGAACCTATCATAATGTTGCAACTCTTGAAAACGGAAGACTGTTCATTGATAAAACAAAGCCAGTATTTATTATTGCCAATGTTCTATGGTTGGTTTTGGAAATCACAGAAATAGTAGCGGTGGCAATCAACAACAGAAGTGATACCAACTTTACATTCTATAAATATGTTACCTATTTCTATAATATCTATATTGCGCTCTGTTGTATTGGATTGACCGTTGGATTCAGTGTCTACGGTACATTACTCTACAAAAGAATATCATCATTACCAACCAACAAAGATAAGAAAAGAAAAACACTTAGAAAAGTAAGAAAAAAACAAAACAAAACTAATAATATTAATTAACTAATTATTACTCTGCTTTCTTTAAATAACTTAGTTATTAATATCAACTGTGGTATTAGCATTTTCAACCGCTATCGTTACTATTCCAAGTATTATTTTATACTTTAGTAAATTGACCAAGGGACCGTCAGGAGCACTTTTATATGTCTCTTTTATTCATGGAATCGAGTGTTTCTTGGTGATGGAACTATTTTGGATTATGAAACCAAGAGAAACAATGCCATTTGCAGCCAACACTCCTGGATACTATGATAACAATCAAATCTATCTTGAGAAATGTCCGACTGACCATAAACCAAAAGATGATTATTATTTATCACCAAAGAAAACATTGTTCTTTAGTACCAAATAATATTTTTTAAATAATAATATAATAAACATAAATATTTAAATCACACATATTAATTAATATTATTAAACAAACCAACAAACCAACATTCTTAGAAGTTATTCTTTACTTTCTTTATTAAAAATCTTAAGATAAATTAAATTATACAAAAAAAAAAAAGTAAACATACTGATAATGTTTTCGATAACAAAGAAAAACTAACAATAAAGTTCCAATGAACTTTACAATTGATCAAGAAGATTTTGGTACTCACCGGTTTTTTAGATATTTATTTTCACATTTTTTTTGTTGAAAAAAAAAAAAACAAATTAAATGAGTGCTTTTTTTTCAATGCCAAGAACACCCTGCACCCCTTCACATTAAAAATTTGAAATGAACAAAAAAAAACAAAAAAAAAAAATGAGTAGAGGCTGTGCCTCCCATCTCAACTGAGAAAAAAAACATGAAAAGGAAACTGTTTGTTTTTTTTATTTTCATTTATTTTTATCCAATAAAAATTATTGTTATTATTATTTAATTAGAGATAAATAGATAGTAATAATAATTAGATCTAATTAGAGATATATATATATAAGAATAATAGGATGTTTAACACTAAGTCCAATTTATTAATCCTTTTCGGATTGATGTTGGTCTGTTGTTTGTCGGTCAGATCGACCGACGCCGCAGTCCAATCATACATTTGGGATACAACTGTCGATTGTTCGAATATTGCCGGTTGCGATTTCTACAACGCCACTAACTATGTCGGAAATGCACCGGTTGCCGGTGTAGTGAATGCCGGTGGTGTCATTATCGATTACTCGAATACCACCTTCACCACTCCACAATATATTACAGTGATCAACGGTAGTACCATCGATAAACTCTACGTACGTGGTCCACAAACTAACGGCTCGAACTTGCTCGACTTCCAAGTCTGGAGAGACGACTCCGGTTTGGTCGTCGACGGTAGCGTCTGGTTCGATCAAGCCAACTTGGCAGTGCACGACGGTGTCTTCACTGTGAACAACGATTTCTTCTCTCTCAACGGATCGACTACCACCCTTGTCGATGCTGCTTTCATCGTTGTCGGAACCACCGACTTTAGTGAGGACAGTAGTTTCACTGGTACCAACCAATCGACGATCGCTTTGGACGGTGACGGATACATCTTCTTTGGTTGCACCCCAGTTTTGGATCAAGAAACCATTTTCAACGCTGGTGGTGCCAACACCACTTTCGAACGTGGTATCAACGCCGAGACCAATGCCGGTATGGTTTTCTTGAACGCCACCACCCTCAACGGTATCTCGTCCATCCAACAACTCCGTATTGAGAACTACGTCAATTTGGGTAGTCTCGCCACACTCAGTATCTCTACCTATTGCGGAAGAGGACCAGCCACAGACAAGCCAGTCATCAACGTCGGAAGTGGAAATCTCCTCATCTCTGGTGGAACTCAAGACGAGAACGCCCCAACCGTCGTCGACTTGTACGCCATCAACGCTGGATATAACGGTGTCGTCAGAATCGTCAACTTTGTCAACGTCAGCATCGACTACGTCTCTTCCCTCGGTCCTTTCACCTTGGACACCGTCGACAACGCCTACATTGGTGGTGCCGTCAGTCCAGTCGATGGAGTCACCCCGATCGTCTCATCTCTCAACGATTTCAGATTGGCCGGTTCAGTCGGACTCACCGTGAATGCCACAACCATCCTCTCCATCTCCTACATCCCATCACAGCTGTTCTCGCCAAACAACATTGGTGCAACCATCTATGTCTACGGACAGACCGCACTCATCAACGCCACCACCCTTCTCAACAGCACCATCTTCCAAGTGCAGAGCGGTGCCAACTTTATGGTAGAGAACGATTTGCAATTCACTGGTAAAGCCGGTATCTACTTGATGGGTGAGATGACCTTGAACGGAACCATCTTGTCATTCGACCAACCCAAGCCAGCTTTCACCTTGAACGGTGGATCGCTGTTGGCCATCAACAACGTAACCATCAACGGTAACGTCAACTTCCTTAACGGTTTGTTCCAGCCATCGGGTGTCACAGTCAACGGTGACTACTACCAGATCGGTGGAACCATTCTTTTCCTCGGTGTCACCGGTGAGAATCTCATTGTATCCGGTGACTTCACCGTCAGCGATCAAGTACAGATCGGATTCGACAACGCTTTGATTCCCGACGTTGAGGCAGTGATTCACGTCGAGGGTCTGCCACAAGTCGAAGCTAGCATCGTCATCCAGATGTCACAGGCACCAGAGCCAGACACTGAGTACTACCTGATCTCGTCGCTCAATCAATCGATCTCTGGTATGATCGCATCGTTCGATGTCGTCACCCCTGTGATCAACTCTTACAAATCATCGATTGTCCTCACCGACCCAGCCTTGAGCATGGTCTTGGAGTTCACCTCTCAGCCAGCCGGTCACCACAACAAGATGGCCGGTTGGAAGGTATTCTTAATCATTCTCGGTGTTGTCGCTGGTATTGCACTCATCGGTTTAGGTTATAGATATTACGTTCGTAACAAGGGTTACATCGCTTTGTAAAAGTAACCATTTTTTAAATATATATTAAAATTAACTTTCAATATATGTACTACTTTTAAATGTTAAATCATCATTTATCTGTACAAATAATATAATAACAATAATAACAAACAAAAAAATAAATAAACTTAAAAATATAAATATTATAAACAAACAAATGATCATTTATTTTGATAAATTAAATTAGTTTTAATTCTTTATTGTTATGTTATATTATTTGAATTGTTGTTGTTGTTTTGTTTTGTTTTATTTCTATTCTATATCTATCTAAATTTGATTAATTCATTCTTCAAGATGGCAGCATCTTGTAGTGATTGTTCAAGATCGTTCGACATTGATTCAACAGAGTTTGTCATTGTTTTGAAAAGAGTAAAGAGTGATTCTAGTGATTCTGGACGTAGCTGGAAGTTGATTCTTTCGCTCTCGAGATTGTTCAAGAGTACTTGATTGCTGATCTCCTCTACTTTGGAGGGAAGTGAATTGGGTTGATTGAGAATATCCAAAATCTGTTTTACACGCCTCAAGAGATGTTCCTCTGCATTGGTAACTGGTCTGCCTTTGCCTCTGTAGATCTCGAGATTACTCCAAACCTCTATGTACTTGTGTAATAACAGTAAATTACGCTTCTTCATCGCTTCATATTGTGATTGTATCTGTAATGCTAAATAGTTTTGTAATGACTTTATATTGTTCAATGATTCCTATAATGACAATAGTTGATTGTTTTGATTAATATCTTTTAGATAACCAATGTTTTATGTTATGTATTTACCATTGTATTATTAAAAAGTAAATCTATATTCTTTTCTTGTATTATCTTTCTTTCTCTTAAATCATTGAATGATCTTGCTGCTACAGGTACAAATCTAATTAAAAAGAACAGCATCAATATTAATATAATCTGTTACTTCTATTAATATTAAACTAATATATTTACAAATTAGGATCTGGGTTTTGTGATTGAGCATATATCCACTGTTCATCTGTAATATTAGGTGGTTTCGGTACTAACTTTGGATTAATAACTTGACCTTGATAGTTATAAAACCAATACTAAATTGATTTATTGATTATTATTAATGTTAGATTAATACAGTAGATTACAATAATAGTTATTATTTAATATATATATACATACTAAAAATTTACAATATGGACTCTCTGGTGATATAGATTGTATATATTCTGCTATTCTTGATTCAACTGATCTACCTATAATATTATTAGATAATATCAATATGTTAGAAACTATATTTATGTTATCTACTGATTATAATCAAGTTTACTTACCGTCAAGTATCTCTTCAGGTCTTCTTGGTTGATTGTTTGTTGATGATGAAATGAGTGCTAATGAGTTTGAGGTTGTTGGTGGTGTTGCAGTGGTAGTAGCACCAAAGAGTGAAGAAGTTGGTTGTTGTTGTACACCGAAAGGCGATGATGTTGTGTTGTTTGCAGGTTGTCCGAATAGTGATGTCGATGCTGTATTATTTGTTGGTGTTAACGATGAAGTTGCACCAAACAACGATGAGGTTGTAGCACCTGCTGGTTGTCCAAAGAGTGAAGTGGTTGCAGTTGTCGATGTCTGTGTGTTGGATGTTGTTTGTCCAAACAAAGAGGTACTGGGTTGTTGTGAGGCGGCGTTGCTACCAAACAACGATGTACTTGGCTGCTGCGCAGTGGTGGCAGTCGATCCCAGACTGCCAAGACTGCTACCTGTAGAACTCAAGCTACCCAAACTACCTAAACTGCCAGTTCCCGAGCCAAACAAACCACCGCCAGTGCCAGGTGTGGTTGTGGCAGAGCTAGGAGTTGAACTACCAAACAGGTTTGGTGTTGAAGTGGATGCGCCAGAGGGTGTTGCAGAGGCGCCAAACAACAAACCTGTCGATGGTGTAGAGCTAGTAGTATTCGATCCAAACAACGAAGACGATCCACTTGCAGCTGGTGTTGCAGAGGCACCAAACAACAAACCTGTCGATGGTGTAGAAGCTGTAGATGCAGATGTACCAAACAATGACATCTCTTTTTTCTATCCTTCAATATATCTAAAAATATAGATATATATATGTAAATGTAATTGATTGATCACAAACAAACAACAATTTCCTTTTTAAAAAAAAAAAAAACTAACTAGCTAGTTTTTTTTGATCACACACGCGCCCAAATCAAGAAAATTAATTTGTTTAATTTTTGAATTTATTTGTATTTTATTTGTTATATATTTTTACGTATTTGATAAGTTAGGAAATGGTAAATCTAAGAGATTTGAATTAAATATGACTTGATCATAATCAATGGTATTGGATGTATTGAGAGCTTTCAATCGATTGATTATCACTTGCTTTTCTATTAGTCCAAGGTTAAAGAGGAACAGGTTGGTTAGTTTGGTGTTTTTGAAGATTTCCGTTGTCAATTCTGTTGTGGGTTCAAGCGGTTGATTTTTCAAACAATAACGCACCAGCTTAAAGTTTTTCTTTTCCAGACCGTAGCGTATTCCTCGCTCTGTCCATCGCTCTCGCCTGTTCTCCACCACGAATCGTACCGTTTCGAATTGATTGTTTGCAATGGCTTTGTCGATACCGACGTGACTACATCCCTCAGTTCTGTTGGCATGCAGGTATTTCAGCAGTTCCATGTGTCCGTTCTGTATGGCACCGTCCATCGCAATGTGAGAACAACCTTCTTTACGCTTCTCACTGAGGTATCGAACAATCTCAATGTATCCATTGAACGAAGCTTGGTTAATCGCATGCGGACTGCAACCTTCTGTTCTGTTTTGATGGAGGTAATCAACAATGTGCAGTTGGTAGGCTGCGGCAGCTTCATCCATGGCACCGGTATCAATGGAAAATCCATAGCGGAGAAGTTTGATCAGCATTGGAAGATCGCCAAGCCGACAGGCATTCTTGATGGGATCGATCGATTTTAAATCTAGAAACGACAGACAATTCTCTAGTAGATAGTCTACTACCTCTGTTTGGCCAGCTTGAATACACCATGCCACAGTATATGGTTGACATCCCTCAGTGCGATTCTCCTTGAGGAATTTCACCAGTTCCAAATGACCGTGTCTGGCTGCAATGGTCATTGCCTCTGGTGTAAATTCACAACCCATATCATGAATGATTTTCATTACTTGAATGTCACCGACTTGCGCTATCGCATTTATAGTTTTGGTCCTCTCACCTTCGTAGATCTGCTTATCGATGTACTTTGAAGAGACAAAGTGGATAATATCCAAATCTCTACCTCGCAGAGCATAGTCATAGATAATTCCGGTATTGAATTTCGAAGGACCCTCGAAAGCTACCAACCATTGTAGTGTCTTCAGATTGTTACGCTTGATTGCGTCGGCCTGTGATTTGTGTGCTTCGTATTCTGGAACATTCTTTGGGTAATACTTTGCCAACAACTCGAAATCGTGACCCAACAGATCTACCAACTCGGAACAACGATTTGCAGTGATTACCATTGAGCCGCTAATGATATCAGAGAAATGTTTCTGAACGAAATAAAACATTTCCAAACCAACCTGTACTGTTTCATCCAACAATGACAAGTAACCAATAATCTCAGGTTCTTCGGTTTTAAATGTATATTTTTCCGTCAAAATTAAATTCAACAATTTCATATAGTTATTTCTAATGAATTTCCTAAATGTAAATATGCTGATGATTATCTCGGTCTGTGATGACATCTTTTGGTAAACATGTATCACTATATCTTCTTTGATTGCATGCTTATCACTACGACCATTAAAAATCTGGTTCACCTCTGTGATAGTGAAGGTGTCCAGAGTCATTACATAATCTACAGTCTCGATGTTGTTGGAAACACATGCATTATTAAGCAGTCTATGTTTAATTTGATGAGTGAATCCTTTGTCAACCAGAAATTCAACTATCTGCTTATTGCCAGAAAAACATGCTTCCTCTAACACATTGTAGGACTTGCTATTGTTTGATTTGACGAGTTTCATTGCCAGTTGAAAGTAGCTATTGAAATTCTCATAGATGTCGGTTAGCATCTTAAAGTCTGTATTGTAACGAAGGAAATACTGTAAGCCAGAAAAGTTAATCAGAGGTGTGTACAGATCGAGTCGTTCGTCATACTTGTCGAGTGACATTGGTAGCTTCTTCAATACAGTTCTCTCTAGCTCCACACAAAGATCATAGTGTATCGACATCCAGTATTTCAATAGATTCATATATCTATTTTTGCAGATCCATTTAAACGATAGACGATCCCATCTTTTAATACTGATTTCAGAATAGCCTTTGTCATCCTTATCGAAACTCCATAGTAATTTGAAGACTAAACTAGATATAACTTTATTAAATATAACCTTTTTAAATAAAATATCCATAATCTAAATAATAAAAGTAACTTTTTGTTTCAAACATTTTACAAATATGAATTTACATGTGATGCCTAAAAATTTCCATTTTTTTGGTTACAAATATTTGATATTTAAATTATTTCGGCATTTTCTGTTCAATGAATTTATATATTTCCTTGAAGAATAATTAATTCAAATCTATTTATTTTAAAGAATCATTCTTAATTTTTATTGGGCAAAGAAGTTTTTCAATAGTTTTCAGTGTAAAAAGCAATACATCCCTTGTCGTGTATACTTAGATGTAGCATGGATAATATACTTTACCAACTTCTATCTTTATCTCGAAACTATGACAATTGTATTACTCACAAAGAATAAACCTCATAATTAAGTTCAATTTAAACAAGATCTGATCGAAATATCACAATTTAATTTAGATTAGCTTTATTTGCTAGTTATTATTAAAATTAATAAGTTTATTTATTCTTGAGGACGACATTCACCAGCATGGCAATTCATTGAAAATTCGGGGAACATTGCATTGAATACATCTTGACTGTAAACACAATTTCCATTGGGTTGGCAGTCGAATTCAGATGGTCCTACCATTTCATTAATGATTTCAGTAATGAAAATTGAGCAATAAGTTGTACATTTGCATGCAGTGCTTTCACATTTAATGTGTTGAACCCCACTTCCATCGATATCAACAGTGCATTGTGATAGTTGACAACCAATAAATTTTGGTTCACCCGTTGGTTTGTAAAAAATATTAAAATTACATGAACCGGTATTCGATGAAGAAGATCCTGTAAAGCCACATTGCATAGATACCGATACATTTGCATTACCAAAGTCTTGGTTGATAGCCTGAGAAGTTCCCAGACAGCTGTACGATTTGTTTTGATAGATATAAATGGAATTATCACATTCGTAACCAGAGGAACATGCAGTGTTGGATGTACAAACACTACAATCTACACCTTGGTATGTTGGTGGACAAACACAGGTTCTATTGACAGGTAAAGGAGAATAAGTAGGTGGACAGAAACGACCACCATTCTGACAATTCATAATGTCCCAATTGTGGGTGGTATCGTTGTTGTATTGACATTGATCACCATTGTAGAGTGGATTGCAAATACATTGATAGTCTCCATTAGCTGTTGTCTGGCAAACTCCTTGGCCCCACACCGAATAGCAATCGGTAACACCACACGGACTGCTCACATTATTAAACACAAAAGTGGTGTCATCACAACTTTCGATATTTAATGTGTTTGCACTTACAACAAAAGATGCCAATATAACAAATAATAATAATATAGTATTTGAAAGTGTAGACATTTTATAAGTATAATTCATAAATATTTTAAATAAATCATCATAATTAAATATTTTAGGGATACGAAATCTAAAAAAAAAAAAATAAGAATGATTTTATTTCGCCCATTACAATAAGATCCTATGATCTTTTTTCATTCATTATGTATGAACAGATTCATCTATTAATTTTTTTTGCAAAAATGCATTTTATTTTCTTTTATATATGTTGGCTTCTTTCTATGATAGATTATCTAACACCAAGAAAAGTTTTACATACTGCTTAGTAATATAAATAAGTTACAGTTTTAACTTTTGAATCGATTTGTTACCACCACATATATATTTATTGCAATTACCACTAGTCATTTTTGAAGAAGCTTGTTTTTTTTTTTATGAAGACAAAGCGAAAAGCAGAATAGATAGAGGATACTAATATAAAAGGTTCAACCTACATAGTTATTTATTTATACTTGTTGTCAATAAACTATAAACTATCATATTATTATTTATTGTTGTTATATTTTTTCTTTTACATATGTTGATTACTTTCTATGATCGACTGTTACATTTCTTGTTAACTCTTTTTCACAATCTAAAAATTATTATTAGCATATCAGAACAAAACACTCTCTACAACGGTTTACTCAAATCTGTGTGGCTTCATTTTATATCTCCCAAAAATGAAAAAATTTTGCACAGCTTTAGTGTGCATAAAATCCAAAAATAGCTGTGCAAACAAAAACCCATCCTACAAAATGAAATAACACATCTATAGTTGTTTAATCATATATAAAATAGTAAACAACAAACTTAAAAACTTAATTTTAAACTTAAATCTCCAATTTAATCCAATAAAAAATAAAATAAATACTCTGATTTTTGCAATATATTATTAAAAGGATCAATCATTAATAAGTGTTTTTATAGGGAAATAATCACACCAATTTATCTATTCTTAATTTTAATTACATACTTTCTATTCTTATAATATAAAAATTATTTAAACAAATTATTTACATCATTAGTCAATTTAAAAATGACTTCATCAAATTATCTAGAACATGATCTTAGACACACATTTAATAAAGTAAAAGAGAGTTTGAAGGAGGAAGAGAGGAAACCAGTATTTTTTTTCGTTGGTCCTGCTGGTTCTGGCAAGAGTTCTGTAATATGCAACCTCTGTGAAGTAAAGAAAGGTTCAGCCGAGTACACAAAGATGAACATCAACCCAGTCAAAACAGGCACAACTGAGAGCATTAGATGCGACTCTACCAACTTAACATGCATTGACTATTGTGGTATGGAACGTAAAGAAAATATTTCCGACTATATTGAACATGTTAGTAAAACGCTTTCCAAGAATGAAGTAATGGATGTAGATTTTTTCATTGTAGTATTGGATAGTTGTGGCCCTCGAGATGATGATATCATAGCAACCTCTGATTTTATGTCAAAACTGGCACCAAAATACGATCGACAATTCATTGTGCTTTTTAACAAGATGGACAAAATCAAAACTGACGAAGAAAAGGTGCAATATGTACATAGAAAAGAAATTGCTAATTTAAATTTCAACCAAATCAAACCAAACAAAGGAAAAGGAATGTTTTATAACTTTTTTAAAATTCCATCTCTTTGCCTTGGTATTTTCGAAGTGTCAGCTGACCCAAGAAAGGAATTCGATACCGAATGCCCAAATGACGCATCACATGAGTCGTTTAAATCCAAGAATGGACGTATTTGTACGGATTGTAACATTATTTGGGCGTATCCTGAGGCTGTAATCACCGAGAAGGAACTTAAAATGGTTACAAATGGCCAAATTATCGAGATAAAATTAGATCCCGTTGGATTTAGAGTACAAGATGAAGCTATGAAGATGATATTGGGTAATTGTCGTGACAGTGCTTCATATGTCAAAGTTGCCAAGGCTCTTTCAAAGACTCATATTGAACTATTCCAGAGTATACCTCTTTTGGTAAAGAAGAACAATTCTTACATCACCAACTTTGCAAAGGCAGACAAGGAAATATGCAAGTCCATTGCAATGTTGTTTGACTTTAAGTTCTCATCTGATTCTCTAGGTGCTACAGAGGGAAAAAGATGGGAAGACCCCTCTACACTCAAAACCATTGCACAGGTTCTCACTACCCTTATCGTATGGCCAATCAACGTGCTATTAACCGATCCATCAGAAGATCTTTTAGGTGCCTGGGCTCTATTCTATGGACTTCGATACCTTGAGATCAACAACGAACTCTTTCAGCTAGCATCCTCGACTGATCACCAGAATGAAGAAATTACCTTTGAAAAACTCAAAGCCATAGTAAAGACAGCTGAGAACAATGTTCCAGAGTCTAAAGTCGTAGAACTTCTAAACAGTATAAAGGCATCTAACCTCCAGACAGTTTGTGATCAGTTGATAAATAATTGTAAGAAAAATCTCCCTGAAAAGAATAAGGTTTTTAAAATAGTTAATTCTGCTCTCACAACAATTCAAACAGACAAAAAGAATTAATATCAACTAAACCAACAATAATAAAACTTTAGAAGTTTTATTCTTTCCTTTATGTAATCAAATAAATACCTCATTTAATTGTATTCATCTAAGAAATTGATTTTACCAATTATATACATACTTATTTTACTTTATTTTTCAAGTTTATATTATACTATAAAGTTAAATTTTTGATTCCAATTGCTGAATGTTTGAAGAAATGATGGTAGAACAGTACCACCACATATAATAATATTACATATCTATGTTTGTTGATTGCGACTATCACACTATGTCATTTTTGAAGCTTGTTTTTTAAGTTGATTAGACATAATTGCTATACTTGTTGCATATGTTGCTATCGGTATCAGTGGGAGCGCAGCCATTGCTTTTATGAAACCATAACGATATGTAGAATAGATAGAGGATACTAATATAAAAGGCTCAACCAAAATTGAAGTCCAACCTACATAGTTATATAATTATGTTTGTTGTCAATAAATTATCATTATTGTTGTTATTTCACTATATTAAAAGTAATAAACAGTTGTTGTTATCTATTTATTTAGTGGTAAATTACATGTAAATTGACAGAACTCATATATTCGATTCTGCTTTGTAGAAGGTATTGTTAGCGTAAAGCCAGTCAAAGCCCATACTGGTGTTGTAATAAGTGCACCACTCCACACTCCAATGGTTGACAACGAAGAGAAAGTATGTTTTTTAAATAGTTTTGACATTATCGATAATAATTATTATTTGATTGCCTAATCATGATTTGGTAAAGAAAACCTTTAAAAAAAACAAAAAAAAAATAAATTGTTTTTAAGATCTGCTAGATTTTTGATTGTTTTCATTAAGTCTTAGTTGTATAACATCTTTATTAATTTTTTTTTAAGAACATTTTAACTATGTAATTGTAATCAAGATAATTTAATTCTAAATACAAAAAAAATAACATTCTTCTATAAAATAGATAGTGAGACAGACACGCCATAATTTTAATGTCTTTTCTCAATTTGGTTCTTTGAAACACCAGTGTGGTATCATTTTATGCTCAGTTCCCAACGATTCCACCAGGATTGATTAAAATATAAAATATTTAGTAAAATAACAAAATATACTAAAAAAGTATTTTTTCTTTTTTTTAAAAAAATCTAATATATTTTTATCAAACAAACAGTTTTTTTTTTTTTCCTAATTGTTTTTCGCGGTTGGTGTTTGATACCATTCTTTTTCTGAAAGATTCAAAGCTATCAAGATCTAAAAAAACTCAGTATCAGAGACACTGAAAGTCATGTTGATCATTACCATTTTTAAACATTTGGATCGATATTTTTCTTTCAAAAAAATAAAAATAAATAAAATAAAATAAAAGAACTTAATAATAATTTCCGATACTGCCTCCTAACTAGTGAAGTGTCATTCCATCATGATTACTTTCTTTTAAAAAAAAACAAATATTTTTATTTATATAATCTATATTAATAATTTAATTGATGTATTTAAATAAAATTTTTATATTTTTAATTATTGTTGTTCATTTTACTTTTTTAGTTAGTTCTCAAAATGTAAAACAATTCAATAATCATTATTATCAATATGTTAAAACCAACATGTCATCAACTCAAGCAGTTGACTATTGTGGTAAACAAAAATACAATAGTTTGATTGGATATTTAGTAACAATTACCACCTTGGAGGAAAACAATTTTGTAAAAAGTAACTATCCAACATACTTTAATGATCAACAAAGTGTTTGGATATCTGGTAGTGCTGAGACTGAAAGAGGTATCTACAGATTCAATAGTGGTCCTGAAAAAGGTGAATTAATGTATAACGTTTACACAGATCAAGTAAATATTTAAAACATTTTGCTAAAAATAAAACTAAATTTAATACTAATATTTTATTTCAAAGTCATTTTACTTTACAGATTGGTCAGTTTATGAACCAAATATCATTCCTAATCTAAATGAAATATTCGTTGTACATGCTACCTACGATAGTTTGTTTTGGAACAATGTAGATACTACTCTCAGTGGTGTACTTGGTTATGTGGTTTGTGAGTATGGAGGAATGGAACTACCTTTCATCCCAACAGTAAGGACTGTTGGTAATCAACGTGTAAATATTACAAACATTCTCAATTGGAACTTGGTGGCTGGAGTCAACACCGATATTGTTATCAATTTTAAGAGTTCAACTTTAAACAGTCAATTTAATATTACCAATTTTAGAGTAGTATCGAATAGCAGTATAGAAATACTGATTCCTCCTGGAACTGGAGCATATGTTGTCACACTATCAAAGAATACCTTGAGCTATCAAATCAACTTCCGATACCAAGCACCATATATATCTGTTGTATATCCAGTTTTAGCAGCCAATGGACTGTTCACGCTATCTGGTGATAATTTTGGAACCAATATTGCACTAGTCACCAACATCCAAGTTTCAAATGTTAGTGTAGCTTGTACCAACCCTAAATTTTTACAACCATCCATTATAACATGTACTATAGCAAGTACATTTTCTGCCAGTAAACCACTTTATCCTATTAGAATCACAATTGATAATTTAACTCAGAAATCTGTTAAAACTGTTATATGTTAGTATCTATCAATTTGATAATTTTAAAACTCTCAAATTACTAACTTTAATAATACTAGCTCAAAACAAAAGGTATTTCAGTTGTTGGCAAGCAAGTGGAGACTATCCTACCACTGTTGCTTATGCTTCAAATCAATTGGTTGAGGGTCTAAATGGATATTTAGGATTTATTGATACTCAAGCAACTCTTAATCTACTGCAACTTATGTGCACTGGAAATAAATGGTTAGGACCAGTTTATTGGACATCATTGTACTATGATTTAACAAACAAAAGTAATTCAATATTTTTAATCAAATTAAAACAACTATCTTATTATACTTATTATTAATTTTTAATCTAAAATATAGGATATTCAACATACCAAGGACCATATAAAAACTCTGGAGTTAATGTCTTTCCCACTCCTACACCAAACCCAACAACATCACCCAATTATTTCTATTTCGATTTTAGATCGACTGTGAATCAATATTTTTCATGGCAAGCATCCGAGAGACTTGGTGCAATAACTGAATTTATGGTGGATGGTAAGTTTTGATTAATTTATTTATCAGACCAATAGCTCTAAACTAACTGTTGATGATTGTACATATAGTTCCAACTTTTGATACAAACCAAACCAATTGGATATCAACTACTGGTGGTAATGTTACTTTTCCAATCAGTGGAGGTGGAACAATGTTGGGATATTCCTATCACTTTATATATCGTGGAAAAGATGTCATTGTAAACAGAGATTTCTTTGCACCGGGAGTGCCTTTTACTTTTGACCCTGGTTATGGTGGACCTTATGATATCCAATTCTATTCTCTGTCTGGAACCACAATGAAGTTTACACCGGCAAACACACAATCCGTTCAATATCTACCACCATCTATTAAACAAATGAATACGGTTCCATCAAAAGGAGGTGTTCTGACCATAACCGGAAATGACTTTTATACAAACTCTAGTTTGGTGAGTGTTAAAGTTGGTACACAAACATGTCAGGATGTTAAAATTACAACACCTCACACTGTAATCACTTGTAGCTTGGCACCTGGTTGTGGAAGGCTGAATGCAGTCATTGTGGCACTTGACAAACAACCATCGAAATCAGTTAATATGAAATATGCTGATCCAACCATTCAACAAATATCACAGATAGGCGCATCCGACAGCTGGTTGACAATCACCGGTAATAATCTTCCAGACATTTCATTCCTTTCAATCAAACTTGGAAGTATTGTTTGTAGTAATCTGACTGCAATCTCACCTTTTACCCAGGTAAAGTGCTTTGTAACTATACCATCTGGAACCCTAACAGTTTCACAAACTCTCTCACTCCTCCAATGTGGAAATACATTTAATTCTACATTCAATTTCCAGAAACCACTTATCAAAGAAGCAACACCTGGAAATGTGAATCAAACTACACCAATAACAATATTTGGTAATTATTTTGGTGATAGGAATTTGACTGTTACAATCGGTGGTGAGAGATGTTTTAATGCTACTACCAACATCGACAAAACACAGATTATATGTTACTTTAACGGTAGTACTCCACAAAATGGAACTCAGACAATGGATGTAACTGTAACTGTTTCCGATGGAATAACAGGATCGAATCAAGTGTTCTATTACAACTCCATTGAGAAATGTCCATCGATTAACAATCTAGAGTGTTCAGGCAATGGTATTTGTAGTCAAGGAACTTGTTATTGTAAGAGTGGCTGGACATTTGCCAACTGCTCGCAACCAACCGGTGGCAATGGTGGCACTCCCGAAACGAACAACAATGGAACTACAATCAATCCTTCGCTAGTAGACTTTGTCACATCGATTAGCCATCTTCGAGAGCTGAATGAAATTGGTTCGCCTGTGAAAACACTGTCTCTTGCCAACAACATCCAATGGCAGAATCAAAGCAATCAGATAATCGGTAGCTTCGCCAATGAAACCGTACAACTCGGGTTGAGTATCAACTATTATCCCGATGGCAAAACTATTATTTTCGCCGGTGAAACCATTGTAATTCCACCAAACTCCATAAAGTTTGAGATCGATCTTGCCAATTGGACGTTTGCATCGGCATTGAATACTCTCGAGGTTATCATGCTCAGCAAGACTGCCCTCACGAGCGAAATAGATTGTCAGCCAATAGATACTACCGGTCAGCTCACTGGCAATGCCTATTATATTACCTCGGGTAAATCGGTGCTAAAAGTTAGCTTCGCCAGTCATTTGTTTGTAGACGATCGTGTAAGCTTGGCTAACTATCAGCAACTGCCAGACGACGATCCAATCGTTGTGCAATCTAGACAACAGCCATCGAATGCCGATCAATTCCTCTACTATCTAGCTATTGGTGTGCCTACATTCTCCGAAACCTGCAAGATCGATCCTAGTATGCAGTCTTTGGTGTTACCAAGCAGTGAGAATCCGGCAGACTGCACTCCGGCCTCCAATAAACTCGAGCGATGGAAGATCATAGCTATCAGCGTAGTATGCAGTGTTGTTGGTGTTGCAATAATTACCGCGTTGGCAGTTACATTCCACAAGAAGATTCAATGGAATAAAGATAATCGTAAATTATCAAACAGATTATCTGTTATGAATACAAGTGAAGATAAATAAATAAAATAAAAATAAATAAAATAAATTTGAAATCTAAATAAATAAAAAAAAAACATTCATTGTTGTGTCTGAAAAACAATCACTTACTTACATATACAACCTTAGATGTATGTAAATGTTTCAAAGAATGTGGTTCAACAACAACAACATCAAAAATAAACGAATCCGAAGTGTTTGAATAAATAAAAAGAATCCGACTAGCCCACCTCTATGTCTTTCTAAATTTTTGGTGGTGAAGAATTGGGTGTAAAAAGGGTGAAAAAGTGTGTTTTAGTTGTTTTTTGTTTTTTTTTTTTTTTATAAAAATTTACAATATAATAATAATCGTGTTTTTATCAATTTAGATCGATAGAATCACTCTGTTTTTTTAATTATATACAAACTAGATATATATATATTTATTTATTTATTAATTATTTTCTAGTTTGTGGTGTGTTTGTGTTTCATTAGTTTAATACATAAAATCTTTATTTTCACTTCCAAAACAAAAAGAGAGAAGATAGAGTGAGTGAGAGACGGTGTAAGATTTAATTTAATTTTATCTAATAATATATTAGATTTAAATAGTAATTAAATAGATAGATAAACACAGATTAGATAGATAAATAGATATTTATTTATATTTATATATACTTTTTTTTAGAAAATGGGTAGATCACATAAAGGAAAAGATAAATTTAAAGTAAAAGTAGAGTATTTTAGTGAAGAAAGTAGCGAATCTAAAAGAGTACAATGGTGGCTCGTTGTTTGTTTCATGGCGTCGTGGTAATTCAAAGCTACAAGGAGAGACATCGCATGTCATCGTCAGAAATGCAGAGGCAACCTTTGAAGAGAAGATCACTTTCGAATCGAAATTCTTTATCGATTCGAAATCACAGAAGCCTGACGAGAAGAAGTTCTCAATGACTCTAAAGGAGGAAAAGAAAAAGTCGTCGTCTGGCAAAGTACTCGGAAAGATCGAACTTGATCTCACATCCTACATGAACTACAAATCAACGCAACCAGTCAATCTTTCTTTCTCAAAGGGTATTAAACCTGAACCAATATTGACAGTATGTTATTATTATTATTATTATTATTATGTAATCACTATTCTGATTTATTTTACTAATTTTATTTATCAATCATATTCATAATGTTCAATAGTGTACTTTTAATACAATTCCACTTAAATATAACGATAAACCATTGGTAAAGGTGCTAAACAAGGAAACATCATCGAAGGATCCAAGATTGGTAAAGACAATCTCGGGTGAAGATTACTTTTTGGACAAGACAGACTCTGCTTCCGATACATCTGTAGATCACTCACAATCTTCTGATATTGTAAGTACAATTGATAATGTCTGCATATTTGTTGTAATGTTATTAATTGTTGTTGTTATATATTTTTTAGTCATTTAATGATTCATTTGGTGATGATGATCCTAACGATGATTTAGGAGAATCAAAGAAAGAGTTGAGAGCACAGATAGACCAGTTGACAAAAGAGAGGGATCTAGCAGACAACGAAGCATTCGAGAGACTTCAGAAAATGAAAGAAATGGAGACTGAAATTGAAAATCTAAAGAAACAATACAAAATATTACAAGAGGATATCGATTACAAAGAGAAGCTAATCGAATCGATTCAAAATGAAAAAGATAATTTAATCAACCAACAACTTATTGAATCATCAAAAGGTATGTTTATAAAAATATCAAACATCTTTTAATAACAAACAAAACACATTATTATTATTTACTAACCAGTTTTATATAGCTTTAAATAGTAGTAATGGAATGTCAGAGATTGAAGTAATTAAACAAGAAAAGTTGGAAAAGATGACAATCATTGCTAATCAGGAGAAGGAGATTGCAAAGTTGAAGAAGCAGGTGAAGCAGAGTCAGTTGTCAAATAGCGAGTTGGGATCGTTGACAGGTGCCGATATTCGTAGTAAATATACATCGTTGCAACAGGAGAACGAGGAGATGGAAAAGACAATCGCAAAGCTCGAGAAAGAGATCTCACAGATGCAAGAGAAACTCAGTGTTGGTATCATACCGACAAGCAAGAAGAACGATGCCTTCAATGGAAACAACAGTAGCAATGAGATTGGTGTGGTCACCACCAAGTCTGGTGGATCGGTCGACGAACTTCGTCGTCAATCGCAATCATACAAACAGGAGCTCGACGAGAAGACACTGGTCGAGCGAACTATCTTCTTGGCGGAACCACAATTCAAAGGAAATCTAGCAGTCTCTGGTATTCACTTGTTCGACGGTCTTGTTGCACAAGGCATTCTCAAGGACAACAAGAGCGGAACACGTTTGTTTTCATCGATTGGAATAGCACTTGAGACAACACTGAAGAAGTGTACTAACGATAATAACCTGCTAGCCTATTGGCTGTCTACGAGCTGTCTGTTGCTCGCCAAGATTGAGGCGGCACAACAAGCCAGCTCCGACGACAAAGCCGGACTCTCGCCAATCAGCAGTTTCGAATACCAGCTGAAAGCCACCATCTTCAAATTCTACTCACGTCTTATTCACAATACATATGCACGCATTTCACCCATCCTAATGAAATCCATTTTACAACATGACATTCACGCATTCAATAGCGGTCGACTTCAAAAGCGAAAATCGGCACCGGACATTCCATCGCTCACCGCACTCAAAACACTGATGAATGGAACCAGCAGTAGTCCTGCAATTCTATCACCATCTACATCGAAACCAAACTCAACTGGTAGTGCTGCATCAAACAACAACAACAACAATAATAACAGTTCAATTCGTCATAATCAGTTCAACAGTAATTCACTATTAGATATTCTACAGGAGTTCTATGAAATCCTTAGACACAACTATGTTCACGCCAATCTTATCACACAATTCTTCTCACAGATATTCTTTTACACGAATGCACTGCTACTCAACAGTCTCAACTCGATCAATGGATTGTGTAGCACTGCCAATGGTTTCCAAATGAGAATCGAACTCTCAAAGATTCAAGACTGGGTTGCACTGGTCAATCTTGAGGAATCGATCGTTCAACTCCAACAGATGTTTGAAATCACCAACCTGCTTGTTATGGACAAGAAATTGGTATCCGACGCAGACGTACTGGAGCAAGTGATTGCATCACTACAACCACACCACGTACGTCATATCCTAACACTTTTCCAAACCGATCAGATCAACGGTGATCCAATACCATCGGGTGTAATGAAGGCAATCGAACACATCATCGCCAAGAGTGGCGAACAACAACCGGAAACCTATGATATCGATCTCACATACATGAACCAACTCTCATTGGACTTCCTCAAGGATTCAAGCTATCGTGCATCTGATAGACGTGAAATTGGTAGAACTAATACTAGTAATAGTTTATTAAAAAGATAGATAGATAGATAGATAATCATAATGACATATTAATTTAATTAAATTTCTTATTTAAATTTTGTAATATATCTGACAATCTTTTGATCTTGTATATGAACTTTATTGATTTGGTTCAAAAATTTATTATAAACATCAATCAAAATTTATAACAAATGCAAAAATTCAAAGCAGAATATAATTTGTTTCTATCATTATTTAGATGTAAGAGTTTATTTAATTGAATACAATCATTTTAGGTTGAATGTTTGATTGATCAGTCAAAAATGTGATTCTATTGCTTTAAAAGATATCACGTTTGTTCATCAATAACTCTTGTGGTGACTTTTCTTTAAAGTTCTTTGCAAAAGTTTCAGCAACGAGTATTGGGAAAACAACGGTTGCCTCTGCATAGATTTTCACTGGCTTGGCGGTCACCTTGATCTTTCCCCAGGAGACAGCTTCGTCTGGACGAGCACCACTGTCGGAACCATCGAATTCCTGACCGGTGTTGAGGTACACTGCGAATTCCGCACCGTTTCTAAAGAGATTGGCGTTACAGATGTGATGCTTGATGACACCACCACCGAGAATGATCATACCGGTCTTCTTTGAGTAGATGGCGTGATTGTTGATATTACGAATATCGGTGATCAAATCCAACACTAAACCGGGCTTGTTGTACGAGTGGAAGTACATCATGTCACCGATGGAACCATCGGTAATCGCCGGACAAAACACTGGAATGTTATTCTTCCACGCCCAATAGTAGATTGACTCCTCGTTGTTGATCTCCTTTCCGAGACGATTGATCACACGCGACGGTGTCCAGAGAGTGCCGTTGTTGGTTTGCTCATCGACCATCTTATCCAAGATGGGCATGATCCAATCCTCAAACTTGCAGTAGTTGTCGTTGGGAACCAACAAGTTACCGATACGATTCAGTCCACGACGACGCAAGTCGGCACCTGGCAGCGAGAACTCTCCGAGATAGGTTGGAGCGAGACACTTGATGAAATCCTCTTCGACTCCACCGGCAGTCGTCACGAGGACGTCGACCATGCTGTGTTGCACGAGATAACGGATGGTTTCACGCACACCCGACGACACCAAGTTGGAGGTGTATCCCAAGAAGATCTTGGTACGTGTATTCTTTCGTTCCTCAACGTTGTTCTCCTCGCCTTCGGCCAACGGTTCGTCAGAGAGACGCCAATTCAACATACGATTGATCTCTTCGATTGCTTGACCCACTGAAGATGCTTGGAATCCAGTGTTGATATACGATTCGAATAGCTTACCATAGTCTACACCATTGTTGAAATCGTAACCCTTGATGGTTGGACGATTGGCAAGATCCTCTGGATTCGATTGGACAAAAACGAAATCCTTGGCACTTTGATCTAATTTTTCAAGTTTTTTTTATTATGAATGATTTAAACAATTAATATGACCTATCACTTTAATAACTATGTTATTATTGTTGTTGTTGCTTTACCATTATTCATCATTCTATAGATAATATTATTATTGCTACTACTATTATTACTGCTGCTAATGTTATGTTATTGTGTTATTAGTGTTAATGCTTTATTATTCTACTAGTAAAAAACTCTGAAAGTAGATATAAAGAAATATTGATTGGATTAAATAAGCTGTAAAGAAGACTGTGCTGTTATTAATCAACCATTCATAAATCTGAAATTGGTAATATACCAAAATTTAATGTTATATAATTTGAAATGTAAGTTGTAAGTTTACAAACCTTAAATGATTTGATTTTCGAAGGAACTCTTTTTATCATTAGCTTGACAAAAAAAACAATCGTTTTGCCCAAAAAAATAATTTTAATTGTTTTTTTTATTTTGAGAAATTTCAATGTTTTATTAACAATCTCATCACTATTTTCAAACACTTTAATTAATTTCAAGTTACAATTTTCAAGATATAAGTTTGATGCAAACTACGCTTTGTATTTATTCTAACCTCAAGTTTGCATCAGTGTTGAGAAATTTTAAATTTCCTTTATAAAAAAATAATTAAATTAAACTCAAATTAAAATATTCATTCTAATAAATAATTAAGTTGGATATTAAAATATCTATGTTTCAATTTAAATAAGATAATTAAAAAAAACCTAGAATTTAAATTGATTACCACCATTATTATTTTATTTTTACTTATTTTTTCTTATTTTTTTCTAATTTTTTTGTTGATTCACAATGATTCACAGAGTTTTAATGGGCACACACAACACTCAAAAACAAATGTTTTTTTTTTACTTAACACCATTCCATTATTAAAGTTCTCACTTTTTAAATGAAGTGGATAAATTAAGAATATACTATAATTATAATATAGAATATCTAAATATAAAAATGTCAGAGTTGAATAATAATAATAATAAAGATGGTGAAAGAAAAAACAACGAAAGTAAAGAAAAATCAAATGATATAGTTAGTTCAATTGTAAATGATTTGATCGATGGAATCATTTGTTGTTTGAAGAAAGACGCTAGATATGATCTAATCGATTGCAAAGAAGAGAAGAATCAACAACAACTACAAAAAGAACAACCGATAAACAACGATATCCTATTCACAACAATAAAACACATACAAACTCAAGAAACTTCAAACCAACCAAACAAAATAATATATTACCGACAAGAAAGTGAAACAATCAATCGAAATCAAACAGAGACTGTTATTTGGCAACCAAGAGTATTAAAACAAGTTAAAAACGATTGGTATGTAATAGATCCTATAACTATCCCTCCTTGTCAATCACTTTAAAACGAAACGCTGCAATTGTATATCACCAAAACGAAAAAAAAAAAACGAAAGAACGAAAAAACGTCAAAATTTTCATATGCATAAAACATTTTCGTTTTTATTTTTTTTGCATAAGCAATTTTGGTCTAAGCGAAATTCAGTGAAAAATTGATCAATACAAAAAAAAAAAAAAAAAAAACTTGATTTTATATTAATTTGTTATTTTATTTATTTAGCTGTGGATATTATAGTTTATTTAATGGTATTTCCGTTTATAAATCATGTATTGCCAATAGCTTTGAAGATAGAGATAGTTATTTTAAGAGAATGACATGTCGTCCTTTGTTTTGGCATATCTATTCGATAGCTTTGAATCTACTGGTACAAAAAGCAAGATTGGCAAAGAAGACATACTATCCGTGGAATGAAAAGTACATTGTAAAAGGTATAATGGAGCGTTGCTACATCGAGTATTTGCTGTCGAATGACAATGTTATATCCCGACAGAAATATCCTATCACTGTTTTACCGGATTGGGCAATTGATTCGCTGCGAAACAATCGAGTACCACTGGAGGAGATCAACGAGCTGCGCACCGTCTCCAAACGATTCAAAGACAACGATAGCTACTGTCATATATTCATGATTGGTGTAGCTGTGCATTGGATATCGATGGTGGTGAACAAGCGAAACAACCAATCGGAGATCATCGTACTCGACAGCAGGAATCACGACTTGATGGCTGGAACCGACGAATACTTCCAATCACTCATAGACAAACATCCCGAGGTGCCAGAGAGAATGAAGAATGGTTATCTAATTTCATTGAAAGATCCTAAATACATTGTAAAGTAAGTCATCATTAAATAACAATATAAAATCATTGTATAATAGTACTAATTATTACTACTACTACTACTACTACTATTTTCATTATTAGAATTCTTCAAGATTGTATACTTGGAGATAAAGATATTGTTAAAGAGATTATAGATATAAACTTGAATGGATTCCTTGATAATTACTATCAATATGTGAATCCGATTGATTCAGTATCGATACACGAATCACTAGATTTAAATGATATTAAAATGGTACAATTAATACATTGGCTTGAGAACTATTGGCCACCATCAGTAATCGAACATAATATTGTAAGTAATTTAAAACAAACAATCAAACCTGGTTAACATTATTACCATATAATAATTAACATTTATATTTATCTAATATATCATACATAGTGTCAAGTATTAGATTGCATTATAAAGAGTAAAGAAGATATGAACGATATAATTCATCAAAATACATTGGAATCATTCTCAAAGTGGACCAAAGATTTGTCTAATCACAGTCTTGCAACTTCCGAAATTAATTTATTAAAACGATTTTCAACTACAGTCGAGTGGTTTCAATATAAATTTATTAGACCCTCATAAATTAAATAAATAATCGATAATAAAAGAATATAAGAGAGAGATATAGTTATTTTATTTAAATATAAATAAATGAATGATTAATCATTATTCTGACTCACGCTCTGAGGATGTTCATTAAAAAAAGTTTTATCATTTTTTATTTTATTTTTTTTGTTTTTTAAAATATAATAATAATAATTAATTATTAGAGAATGAGTAATTTTGTTTCAAATAATAATAAGAGAAGATGGGTATATGATGCTACTGTTGGATCACAGGGAAGTAGTACATACGACAGTAAATCAGCAGCTGCTGTTTCTAAATCACCGATTCCAATGATCGCTGCCACCAATGCTGCTGTTGCAAGTAGTAGTGGTGCTGCTGCAAATACAAACAATGAAGTTTTAATGAATAAGGTAATAATAATAATAATAATAATAATAACGATAATCGCTAATATATATCATGATGTTCAGTAAAAACTAACAACAAGTTTGATCAATATATATATAATATTATAGAAAGGTTGGGAAGTTGCAAAATCACCAGCAAAGAGTATATTTATGACAGGTTTCCTATTGTGGATGATAGGTAGTGGTATCAGTATTTTCACAATGCCAGTTATTATCTACTCTGTTATCAACCCAATTAAAGCTATATTTCAAACAAACAACTGTAATATCGATCGAATCAAACCATTCAACTTCTTTAAAAATAACAAATAGTAACTAGATGTACTAACTTACAATCATCTCAATATACATTCTCTCATCTATACTATTATCATTGTTATATTATTTAGTATTCAGCAGATTCAAAGGAAATGAAACACTTCAAATGAAAATCACATATATTGCTATTCAACTTGGTCTTCTCGCAGTTGCACTCTACAAGTGTTCGAGTATGGGATTACTGCCTATTACACCATCCGATTGGATTTCAAGTTTACCATTAAAGATTGTAAGTTATGAACTTTTTATTGTTTGTTTTTACTTTTGAATAACGATAACTAACTTGTTTATATGAACATCAAATATCAAATATCAATAGAATTTAGATTTCTCAAGTGGTTCATTTGTAAATTGAAGATAGTTAGATAGATTAAAACAAAGAAATAATAAATAATAATTAAAAAAGTATTTATAAATATTATATATATATTACTATACAGAGAGGTTGTTGGCAAAGTTAACCACCACTCACAGGTGGAATTATAGCAACTTCATCTCTCTTTTTTATTTCTAAATCATTGGATCTATCGATGTATTCTAAATTAACAGCTACCATACATACATCCAATAACTAAATATTAATAATAATAATAATAATTATAGTAGTAGTAATTATTAATACCTTTTTCTAATGATTCAATTTCAAATTTAATTGTATTACATTTGATATATTTGGGTATTTAAGCTTTAGCTCTGATATTAGTTGGTGTGTTGTACATTTATTGGCAGGTAGATTTACAATCACTGAATCATCTTTCGAATGTTCACCAAGAATCATTTCTTTTACTTTGGCAAATAAAAGACATTTGATTTCGATTGTATTTGGTTTATCTGTTGTTGTATCTGTAGTTGACATTGTTCTTAATATTAGAACTGAAAAAAAATAATTTATTAAAAAAACTTATTTTTTTTTTAAAATATATTTATTTTTTAAAAATCTACCTATTATTCTTAATAAATCTTTTATAAGTTCCTTGTATCCATCTTCTTATTTTTTAGAAATTAGTTTATATTTCATTTTTGATGTATAATTGTAAGTTAATAATTTAAAAAAAAAAATAGAAAAAAAAACGCAATTATTATGTCTTTTAAATTAATTAACACGAAAAACACACTTCACACACAATGAAAAATTAGATTTATTATTATTAAGATCCGTTTTTTTAAATTTCATTTATTCTTTTTTCTTTCTATTATTTTATATTTATATTATTTTATTATTTTAGTATAATTTGATAGATTTACAATAATAAATAGTTACAGATATAAAAAAGTATTAGATTAAATTGTAATAATATATATATTTTTTGTAGTTTAGTTTTGTTTTTTTTTTTTTTTAGGTTGTTGTAGTATTAGCATTATCGTTGTTGAATTGATATCATCATGTTATCACCAATTTTAAGAAAGAGTAGTAATACAGTTGTATTATCACCGCAATTAAGATCTATCTCGACAAGATCATTTTCGTCAAGCTTTAGCATTGGTGGTGGTGGCATAAAGAGCAGTAATAAAACACTCAACCATAAGAGTAGCACTACCAGTTTCTTTACATCCTCAGATAACTGTAGAAAACCAAATGTTAATAGCAATTACTTTTCTTCACAACCAATTACAAACAACAAGAGTCAACATTCTAATTTCTTTGGTCTAAGAGAATTTTCGACTACAACTCCACAAACTCCACAAACTCCACAAACTCCACACGAGGAAAAACAACAACAACAAAAAGAATCGAATGACAACAACAACAACAACAACGATAACAATCAACAAGAAGAAAAAACAAAAAAGAAAGAGTAGCAAATTCGGTAGAACATTGCTATTGTTAACTGGTTCGGCTACATTAGCTTCCTATCTTTACTTCAAAGTCAATGGTCAAGATGTTAAAGTAAGTGTTTTCTTTAATAATAACAACAATCTGAATAAATGAACTTATAGTTATTATTATTATAGTTGGAATATTTAAAGAGAATTCCATTTAGAGTTACTTCTAATCTTTGGGGAAGAATGGCAAACATTGAAGTACCAGTTAGTTTGAGACCGACCGTCTATGGAACCTATGCATCTTTGTTTGGTGTAAAGGTTGACGAAGCCGAGAAACCACTCATTGAATATCCATCGTTGGCTGCATTCTTCTGTCGTAGACTCAAGAAAGACGCCAGAAAGATTGACGACGCCGCTCCACTTGTCAGTCCGGTCGACGGTAAAGTTATTTACTACGGTCCAGTGACAGGTGACTCTCTCGAGCAGGTCAAGGGTATCAATTACTCGCTCACTCATTTCCTGGGTGACAATGAAATCAAGCAAATCGAGAACAAGAACTTGTACCACGTCGGAATCTACTTGTCACCGGGAGACTACCACGGAATTCACAGTCCTTGCCAATGGACTATCAAAGAAAGAAACCACTTCCCTGGCTATCTATTCCCCGTTGCCAAGGTGGCGGTCGACAACATCCCAGGACTGTTTGCACTCAATGAAAGAGTGGTGTTGGCTGGTCAATGGCGTCACGGATTCTTCTCTTTGACACCAGTCGGTGCATCAAACGTCGGAACCATTGAAATGGATTTCGATAAAGTAGGTGAAATACACTTCTTCTCTTTCCCAAAACCAATATTAACTAGTTTTGCTTTTTTGAATATTTTAGGGATTAAAAACCAATAATCAAAATGATAAGTATGGAAGTCCAGAAAACTACTATTTCAAATCATATTCTCCACAAATCAGCCAACAAAAAGGTGAAGAACTTGCATTCTTTAAGATGGGATCTACAGTCATCTTGATCTTCGAAGTACCAAAAGATCAAAAGTTCGAATTCGATCTTAAACCAGGTCAATCTGTCATTCTTGGTCAATCTATTGGTAAATTAGAAAAGAAATAAAAAGAATATATAAAAAAATAATAAAAATAAGACTTTATAAAGTAAACAATATTGTTTTTTTTTTTTAATATTTGTTTTTTATTTAATTAATTTAAAAAGATATGTACATTTTTAATTGGTTGGTTGGTTGATTAATTGTTTTAAAAAAAAAAAAAAAAATAGACCAAATTTGGGTCGGGATCAACCAGTCAGGTTAATCTTATTATTGTGTCATGTTGTTGATGTTGTTTACTTTGATGCCTTGGTCTTCTTGGTTGATTTGGTGGCAGATTTCTTTGCCTTGGTGGTGCTTGCCTTTGCCTTGGTAACTGTTGCCTTTGCTTTGGTGGTAGTTGCTTTCTTGGTAGCCTAAATTAAAAATAAAATTGACAAAAAAAAAAAATTAATATTTTTTCACCAGGATTCAATTTCACTTTTGGTAATAATAATTTCATTCAATGAATAAAATTAAATAGTGTAAAATTAAAAAGTAAATAATAATCATATTTGATAAGGGTATGATGTGGAGTTGATAGTAGTTGATTTGTTATAAAAAATAATTGGTCAATTCAATCTTTTGTTAATATTAAAAAATAAAAATTAACAAAAAAAAAATAATAAATGTTATATGTGATAAAAATAATATAAAAATGAAGGTATAAAAATAATATAAAATTAGGTAGGTAGGTATAGAGTATAGATAGATTGTTGTTGTTGTTGTTGTGTTGCTAATGCACATTGAATAATGGTGGTTTGATATTGGTGGGGAGCAATAACAAAATATAACAGAAAAAAAAACTAAGTTGTTGTGGAGTTGAGTTGAAAAAAAAAATTAGTAAATTTTTTTTTTTTTTCCTCACATAAAATTTGGTTTTTATATGAGAACATACCTTTGGCTTGACAACTGCTCTCTTGACAGTGGCGGTCTCTGATTCTATTGAGGTGGATAATAATTAATCCAAAATATATGATTAGATAGTGCTCGACGAGATACATCCGACGATGTAAAAATGGTTTACCTACCTTCTGGATATCCAAGACGCTTTGGTGGAGTAATGGTACGAGTGCGAGTAGCAGATGGTAGTACAATTGCTACTGGGGTCTTACGAGCGGCTGGCTTCTTTCTCTCGGTCTTTTTGGTGGTATCGGTCGACATGGTTGATGATCTACTCTCTAAGCGGAACGTATTCAGATTGGTTTGGAATTGGTTGGTTTGGAAATGATAGGATAACTTTGTTGTACAATCGAAACTACTCTCTGTTGAAATAGAATGGCGATGAGCTAGATGATTCGAATGCTTGACGTTAGCGATTTGATGAGGTGATAGGCGACAACGCTGAGAGTCACCAAAAATTTATTTTGCTACTCACGGATTAAAATCTCTTTTCTATATATCCTTTCAAAGATAATTATAAATTTATTTTGATTAATGAAATAAAGAAATTAATTATTTTGACAAAACACATTTTGGAAAAAAAAAAAAATCTTTTTTCAAATTAAAATTTATTTAATTTTTTGTGTTTTTTTTTCAAAAATTCAAATTTGAATTAAAATTTTCTCAACAGTTACATGGTGTGTTTGTTTTTATTTTTGAAATTTTATTTTCAATTTTTTTTAATTTCGAGAGTAACGGTTAAAAAAAAAAAAAAAAGGGTGTGGTTTCAAAAAGTTTTTTGCAATTATATTTTTGGTTTTTAATTATTTTTGCAATCACTTTTTTTTTCTTTTTGTATATCTTGTTGAATGGGTGTGATTGATCAATTAAAAATGATTTTTTAAAAAAAAAGAAACTGAGAGCCAATTTCTGCTTGCCGATCACAAAAAAAAAATCGAAAAAAACAAAGAAAAAGATAAAACAAAGATTTATAAAATTATATAAAACAAACAAAATTTATAATTACTTTACTTTACTTTTTTTTTTGCATCATTAGATACTATCAGATTATAATTATTTCTTATTTTTTACATTTTATTTTAATATATATATAAATTAATGGTTGTCGTTCAAAAATCATTAAAAATGGATATACTACAAGTACCACATTTAATATTAAAGTATATCATTTCACATTTGGATACAGTAGATAAAATATGTTTTGTAATATCCTCTAAAAGATGGTATGAGGAAAGATCTAGTTATCTTACCCTACCAATAGACGATATGATGCGTAATCCATCAGACTTCAATCGTTGCTATATATTTATGAAATCTTTTCTTGAACAAATGCATATTACAGAGAGAAAGAAAATAATAGATCCATATTATGACATAGATCAATGTATTTATCAATTTATTTATTTATTTATTTATTTTTATATATAAAAATAGGAGTAACCTTCCTTTCATTAACACATTTTTTATTTTTTAATTTTTAATTTTTAATTTTTATATTTAATTTTAATTTTAAATTTAATAGTATCACAATTAATAAAGGGAATATCAAATACTGTAACACATTTAAGATTCGGCCCTAATTTCAACGATATAATACCACCTAATTTGATACCGAATCACATAACACATCTCCATTTTGGCTACGATTTCAATCAAGAGCTGAAATTGAATCTAATTCCAAGTTCCTGTGTGTTTTTGCAGTTTGGCCACGAGTTTAACAGTAAGATTCAAATTGGTGCCATTCCAGAGTCGGTAACCAAACTCATATTCGGCTATGACTTTAATCAAAAGCTGCAACCAGGAATGATACCGATCGGTGTTAAATATCTAAAGTTTGGTGATCACTTTGTTCAGGGTTTGGAGCTTGGTACTCTTCCACAAACCATCACACACTTGGAATTTGGTTATTTTTACAATGGTTTCATCAAGAAGAATATATTACCTTCAGGTTTAACTCATTTAACATTCGGTGGATATTATAATCAATCATTACCAAAAGGTAGGGAAAAGTGACTCTGGGAGATGTTATAACGCCTTTCAAAAAAACAAAGTTATCTAACAATATTAAATTATACATAGGTGTTTTACCAAATGGTTTAGTTTATTTAAAGTTTGGATATAGATTTAATCACCGTTTGGATTCATTACCGGACACACTTAAAGTTTTGATTTTTGGAAAGTATTATAATTATAGTTTGCGAGATTTGATACCAAGTTCCACTCATACTTTGGAGCTGGGTGCCTATTTCAATTCATTTACCACGAAATCACTGCTTTCCACCATAAAATATTTAAGATTCACAGAGGACAACGAGATGGGATACACTAAGGTGGTACCTAAAGGTTTCTTGTTGTCATCGATCGACACACTTTGTGTACCAACTCAGTTTTTCCAACACAACAGCCTAGAGACAATATCATCACACATTAAAAATATTATTATTGAGAAGGATGGCGAGGCACTGCACATCCGTTTGCTATCAAAAGATTACGCATTGGCACTGACGAAAAATGTAATTGGTGGATTCATTTCCACCAAGCAATTGAATCAATTGGTTAATGCAGATATCATGACAATCGTTAAAAAGATAAATGCTAAACTATTCAAGTAGTTTAAATACAATCTAATCAAAGATTTTTAAATTTTGATTTTTTTTAAATATTATAAATTACTGTTAATTTATTTATTTAGTTATGTTTTAATATTAATATATTGTATATACAGTTATAGTTTAAATTAAAAAAGGATTGAATATAAAGTTTAAAAGAACTCTTCTTTGACCACCAAACCATTGTTATTCCATTGTTGGATTGCCCATTGAGTCTTGGTGGCTTTATGACCTCCATATGTGAAATCCATATACATTTCATAGGCTGTGTTATTTCCATCAACCAATAATTTAAGAACTATTTTTATTATAATTATTAATATTGATTGTTTTGTTAAGTTAAATTCATTAATTAAAATGAAAATTTATAATACATACGTTTTACTTCATGAATGGTTGCATTATTGACAAAACCTTCTTCAGCTTTTCTGTTTTGATCTTTTCCAACTCTGTTTGTGTTGTCACCTTTCTCGTACATCACAACATCATCAGCATAATATTTCTCAAAGACATCCAAAATCTTGTTGGATTCGATACCTTTGATGATTGCTTCAATATTTGATCTAATATTTATGGACATTTTTAATTGGATAATTAGTTTTTAAATAAAATATTTGAAAAAAAGGATATTTATATTATATATTTATTTATTAATTTTTAATTTAATTGTTTGTTTTGGTAATGATATGATTATTGCACTAAAGATTACTATTTATAATTTTTTGTAAAAAAAATATTAAAATAAAAGAGATTAAAGAATTCTGTTATTCTATTTCCTTCTGTATAAAATTTGTAAAAATTGGGGGTGATGATATTCAAAATCATTTTACTTCCTGAACATACAAGTTAAGTTTTTGTTTTCTAAAATATTTTATTCTAAAACCGATATGTACAACTATATATTATTAATAGGTTAATAATTACTTTATTTAATTTAATAAAATAAAAATCTAAAAGTTTTTTTTTTTTTTTTTTTTGATTTTTTTTTTTTTTTTTTTTTTGTAAAATTTTAACTGATCAGATGCAATGCATTCGTCTAACTACCAATCAATCAGATTTAATAATGATGTTGTCGTCAAAGATCTCAAGCCTGAATAAAACAACAGTAACTTCGGTTACCAATGTTCTTTATAGATCACTTTCGACTTCATCAGAGTCGGCAGCCAACCTTACCAATAGTTTTAATAATAGAGACAAAAAGATTTTGATTCATGGTAGTGATGTAGCTGGTGTTTCATTAGGTAATTAGTTAACAACAATAACAACAACAATAGTAACAATAACATCTAATCGTCGTGATTTTAACTTTTAAATAATAAAATCATATCATTGATATTTATATATATATAACTATTTATATTATTAGCATTGTTTCTAAAGAAGAAAGGTATTTCAAGTGAATTGGTGGATACAGGATCAAGATTAGATAGAGGTATTTTGATAAGTGCAAATGCATCGAAAGCACTGAAACAAAACGGTGTATTCGAATCGATATATCGCAAGGGTAAAGACGTTACCTCTTCCATTGTCACCTCGAAAGACGGAGAGATCTATGGAAGTTGCAACTTTGAAAAGTACGACCCAATATTGCCTTTTGCACTGACAGAAGCGACATTTGTAGAGACTTTACTTCAAGAGTGTCTTTCCACACCACAATCCGGTGAGGGAAGCGTAAAGTTGAGAAAAGGTGATCAAAGACTTACATTATCATTACCAAAACAACAACAACAACAACAAGGTCAACAACAAAAGATATATGTAGGATACTCAGAGACAAGTAAAGCAGCTTACGACTTGGTGGTTGGCAGTGAGGGATACGGACAAACCTCTGATCTACTCTCAACGTCACCTGTTAGAAACTACCTGTTGAAAGACGCTTCCGTACCGCAGACCACACAGTACGCAGAGCAACTCTATCACTTCAAAACGGTTATCAATAAGCCAAGTTTGTTCCCAGCGATCGTACACCAACAGTTTGCAACAGAGAAGCGTTTGCTTACATTCCCACTGCCAAACGACCGTCTTGCCATTAGCGGTTCGTTCAAGCGACCGCTCAACCAAATCGGCGAGCCAGAGAATGCACGTAACAAGATATTCAACACATTCACCGATTTCGAGGATATCGGTGCACACACCGTTATCTCATTCCTAGAGTCTGCGCCGGAGAACTTGAAACTCGAGAAATCCGATCAACATCGTTTGCAATCCTATATCTCATCGACAGGTAATATCGTTGCAATTAGCGATGCCGCCGATAAGTTAGCAAGTGGTTCATTCGAAGTAAGTAAAGTTAATCCTTTAGTTATTTATATCTAACTATTAATTTACGCTTTATGTTTGTTATCATGTTTACTATAGAGTAATTTTATTGGAATTGAAGATGCATATAGATTATCAGAGATGTTGAGTCAATCACCGGAGTCAATCAGTCAGATTTTAGAATCATTCAATAGAGATCGTCAACAGAGAATGAAATTGATTCTAGCTGCAATCGATCAACAAGAAAAAGTTGTATATAAAGGTGGCTGGCAAGTAAGAACTCTTGGAAAATATTATCTCAAATTCTACTACTCTCAAAGACAACAAGCAAAGAGATTGAGAGAACTGAGAAAATAAATAAATAAATAAATAATAATAATAATAATATATATAAATTTTTTTTTTAAAGAGAAATTGTAAAGTGGTACTTTTTTTTTAATTTAAACTAATTTCTTCTCTATCAATTACATTGCAATTGTCAACAACTATTAACTAATCGTTGTTAGCATTTACTGTTAACTGTACTTCTTGAGGATATTAATCTTTTTTTCAAAATTAGTCGTTCACTAATCAATGGAATGATTTTAAAAAAGAGACATTAGCTCTTTTAATTAATATAATTCAATTAAATATAAATAAATACTGATTCTTTCTCTGGTAGATTTAATTAGATTGATCAAAAAGAAATTTCAAAAGTTTATAAACTTTTTTTAAATAATTCTGTGTATTGTGTTAAAAACAAATATGAATGTGTGTGTTTAATGCCTTCTAGAATTTATTAATATGGTATTCTACAATAATTTATTATCTTTTTATTTATATGATGATATATATTTAATAAAAGTATCTCGAGAAATAACTATCTATATAAATAATCAATAATGATTGATCAAAAAAAAAAAAAAGAGATATTATTTTTGTTGTACTTTTAGATTGTATTTTTATAGAGATAAAGATTCTGTTAATTAAAAATGGATTATGTAAAATTTAGAAATGTATCTTTTTTAATATATATTTTATTTGTAATTTTAATGTACAGTATAGAGTGTGCCAATGGCTATGGAGAGATTATTAAAGAAGAGAAAGTTATCGATCAACCCTGTAAAGATAATTGTGTTGAAATTTATTTTCTTTGCCGTTGGTCCTTCAGACCGAATTGTTTCATCGACCTATCGATATGCTATCAGACATGCGAATACTTTAAATACATCGAAATACTTCCTGATGAAAAGAGTGATGAATCTCAACTTTTTAGTAATGACCAAATTTATTCAAACATTCGACAACAAGAAGAACAAGAAAATATTAATAATAATAATAATGAAATAATTACTCTCGACCTCAAATAATAAAATAAAATTAAAACCTCAATTATTTCTTAAAAGTTTACTTTTTAACAGATCTTTTGAAGTTCACAATCTTACACAAAAAAAACAACTCTTAGTTCCGAAATAGTTGAGAAAAATTGGTGGGAATTTGATTCCAATAAATGGAATTTTTAATTTTTGTTTGCACTCAACACCTCCCTCAATAACTTTTAAATTTCACACAAAACCAAAAGTTAATATTATTTTTTATTATTATTATTATTGTATATTAAAATTATTTGTATATATATATTTATTTATTTTTAATTAATTGTTATTATTATTTTTAAAAGTATTAGTAGTAGAAAAATGGATAATAATAATAATAATAATAGAGTAATTGATAAACCAAAGATTGTTGAAGAGGTTGCAATCATGTTTCCTTTGTTCACCAAAGATCACTTTTTATATGCAACACTCGACCGTTATAATTGGGATGTAAATGCAGCTTTAGACACTTTACAGAAGCGACACGATGCACTTGAAAAGGAACAGAAACATATAGAAGCGGTTTTGGAAGCAAAGAAACAACAAAACGAGAAAAAAGACAAGGCATTCAAAGAAGTCAAGGATATCTTTGGTGAGTCGTTCACCGATGCCAAGTACTATAGTGCTCTCGCCAAGTACAAGATGGTTGTCGAAGACACTGTCAATTATTTAATGCACGAGTTGTCGATTGTCGAAGAGGTCAAGCGCAGAAAAGACGTCGAGACCAGAAAGAGAGAGGAACGCGAGAAAGAAAAGGCAAAGCAAATCGAAGTGGAAAGACTTAGAATCGAAGAGGAGAAGAACAGAGCTGAGATCAAGCGTCAAGAAGATGAGATCCAAGCACGAATTTTGCAATTGGAGAAATTGAAACTCGCCGAGCAAGAGCGTGCTAGAAAGGAAGAAGAGAGACGTTTGGCCGAAGAAGAAGCAAAGAGAGTAGCTGAAGAGCGTGCCAGAAAGGAAGCTGAGGAAAGACGTTTGGCTGAGGAGCGTGCCAGAAAGGAAGCTGAAGAAAGACGTTTGGCTGAGGAGCGTGAGAGATTGAGAATCGAGCGTATCAAGAGAGAGGAAGAAGAAGAAGAGAGACGTTTGGCTGAAGAGCGTGAGAGATTGAGAAAGATGGTCGAGGAGCAAGAGAAACGTATTCAAGAGATGCTCGCCCAGAAGAAGTTGGACGAAGAGAAGCACAAGCAATACCAAGACCGTATCAATTCGATTCTCTTGGAACTCAAGAATCAACCAACCGAGTACAAAAAGGAGATTGCCAGCTCCGAGATTTTCCAGGATCTTCTCAAAGACTTCCAATCGGTTTTAAAGTTGAGTGAAGAAGAAAAGATGTCACAAGTCAAGCCACCTCTTGTGCCAATTCCAAGCACACTCCCAGTATCTTATAAGCCAGAGTTGGTTGCGCCATTTGGATTCACTGCAACAAATGCAGCACCATCGCAAGTCAATGAGCAAGACATTCACAAACCATCTTCACCATTCCAAAACCTCACAAAACACCCGTTCTATTACAACCCATTCAGTGATCCAATTTCACAACAGCTAAATGGCGAAGAACCATTCGTTCCAACAACACCACCCTCATCACCACCACCCTCATACCCATTCACTGCCAACTTCCCAGTTGTATACCCATTGTCTGGACAAAACTCACCACCATTCGCCAGATACAATCAGCCTCAACAAGGTCAAGACTGTTCAAATACTGGAAAGCCAACTTTCGAAAACTTGGCCTCTTTTGTTGCCTCATCTCAATGTCAACCACTTGTTGTTTCACAAGTGATGCCAACTGAAGCTGATATGATTGCACAACCAAAACTATCATCTCAACCAACCATTTCCCCAGCCAGAGCCAAGAAGAACGAAGCCTTGGAGAACCTCCGTTCAATGTTCTCAGCAACCTCGCCAGAGATCGTTGGATACGTATGGGAAGCAAGCAATTACGATATTTCAGTTGCCATTCAAAATCTTCTTGACATCAACTCTCAAAAATAACTCAGAGGTTAATCAAAAAGGTGACTTAGGAGAATAATCCTTTTTTTGTTTTTTTTTTGCAACAACACAATAAACAATTTATTTTTTTTAAATTAAATTTTTGTGAAAATGATTAGATAATTGATCTTGAAAAAGTTTTAGTGGAAATGGGTGACTCAAAACCACTTTTGGCGTTTTTCTCCGTTTTATCACAAAAAAAAATTGGAAAATGGGGGTTAATATTAATTTTTATATATAGCCTCACAATTAATTTTTAATAATCATCAGTCATTTCACTTTTACTTTTACAACCATCATTTTATTAATTCAATAGTTATTCATATTATTATGAATCTTATTAAAATACCTCCACAATGTTATATCCATATTTTAGATACTAATTTAAATACAACAAGACTTCAAATTGGACCAATAACCTATTTATGCAAAGAGCATGAAAAAACCATTCAGGCTGGTCCAGTGAAGATGCACATCATTCCAAAACAACACTATTGTATTATTGAAAACCCTGTAATTTTAAAATCAAATCAAACAGATCCAGAGTTGGACAAACATGGACAAGCAAAGTTAAAATTTGGCCAAAGAGAAATCAGATTGGAACAAGTTGACCCATTCCCTTTGTATCCAGGAGAGAAGATGGTCGGTGACAAAGTCCTCCCTATGAAGGTTGTGATGGACAACGAGGCAATCAAGCTAAGAGCTCTCTGTGACTGTGTATCCAATGGAAAACCACACAAAGCCGGTGACGAGTGGCTATTCAAGGGACCGGGAACCTACCAGCCAAATGTCGATGAGGAAATAATAGAAACCGTCAAAGCAATCATTTTAAAGGCGCATCAGGCATTAAAGCTGCGCGCCAAAATCGATTTTACTGACAGAGACAATAAGAAGCGTAAAAGTGGTGAAGAATGGCTTGTGACTGCTGAGGGTGCATTCATTGTCGATCCATATGAAGAAGTGGTTGAGAGAATGGAGGCAACCGTTCTCGACGAAAAGACTGCTGTTCAAGTTCAAGCAATGAAGACATTCGACGACAATGGAGTCGAACGTAAGAAAGGAGAGCGTTGGTTACTAACCAACGAACAAACACCACTATATATCCCACCACCAGAAGTCAAGATTGAATCGGTGGTGAACATTACCGTTTTAGCATCGAACGAATTCGTTGTGATTAGTGACTTCCAGGATGAGGATGGTGTCAATCAAATGGGAAAGAAAAAGCAAATCGTTGGACCATGCAACTTTTTCTTAAAGCCAGGTGAAAAAATCGTGACATTGGAAGCAGCCAAGGTTTTAATGCCAGAGGATGCTATCTATGTTACCGCTTTAGAGGAATTCGAGGATACATTCATGGAAGGTAATCTAATGAAGACAGTCACAAGAAAGGCAGGAACTCGTTGGTACGTCTATGGACCCCAGAGTTACATCAGACCCTTCTCAGTTAAGGAAATCAGACAAGATAAAGCAATCATCAGTTTGGATGAGTGGAATATTCATATCTTTTCACCAATATACTTCTTCCTAGCTTTCTTCTTGGGTTGTTATATATTTTTCAAACTATTGGTCTATATGTTTTTCGGATAGAAAAAACAATAGAAATCATTAATTAAATCAATCTGTTTGGACTCAAAGAATAAATTTTTAATAAACTCGTTATATATATATATATATATATTATTTTTTTTTTAACCACATTGTATTTTTACTTTTCTTTTTTTTATTTCTTTTAAAGTTGCAACATCGTTGTAGTGTTATTTGATTGTGTGAATGAGTGGTCTGTTTGTATCGATGTCGAGCTATAACACTGATTGGTTTTTGCTTTTTTCTTTTTTTTTTTTTTTGGTTTCTTTTGAATTTACTTGTTATTTTTTTTGTTTGTTTTTAGTTTATGTATCTGTAAAAAGTTATTATTATTATATGCTGTTGATGTTGAGGTTGTGGTTATTACCATCCATATAAATTTGAGGATTGATTAGAGCTGGAATCATCATCTTGTGAATTAGTTGAGGTAGAATCGTTCGATTCAGAGTCGGAACCAGATTCTGCAGAAGAACAATAGAAATCGGATGAGCTTTGGATATCTGATCCAGAGTCGTTGGAGTGAATCGAATCTTCAGAGTACTCTTCTGAGGATGAGGATGTGATATTTACAAATTCAGTGTGGTTATTACTGTTGGAGTTGTTGGTTGGTGATGAGTATATAGTAATTGGTGAGTTGGCTTGACCAATTGGTGGTTGTTGATGAAGGTTGTTGTCAGCGGCACTGAGTATTGGAGATTGCGATGTGACCTGTGGAAGTTTGCCCATTTCCTCCAATTGCTTCGCTACTTTAATGACATTGTTACGGTCCTTGGCCTGTTGTTCGACGAGACGCTCCTCGATAAGACGCGACAGAATAGTGGGGAACTTCAAGGCAGAGTATTTATCCTTTAGGAGTTCGTCGGATGTCATTTTGAGCATGGCATTGAAGAATACACCACGGATAAACGAGATGTTGAAACTGTTCTTACCGACATCGTTGTTGGCATCGTGAGGATCTCTGATTGTCAAATAGATACCGTATTGCTCGCCTTTCTTAAAGTAGAAGCCACCATTGTTCAAACAGATACCGTGACGGGTATACTGAAAGAGTTGACCATAGAGCTTGAAAAAGTCGAGGATCATCTTTCCATAGTCGGTATCGTTGCCTGCGTGACGATGGTTTTCACTGTCGTGTTGGTAGTTTGATCTCTTGTGGTGCACTCTTTGGTCCATCGAAGCATATCTTAACTGTATATAACTGACAACCATCAAAGCCAAAGCATACGAACCAATACCGCCACTGTATGTCTCATTCATATTATTTTGGAACATAAAATACTTTAGAATCAACAGCAATATCTTCATTGATTTATATTTCTAGAGAAAATATAAAATAGAATTAAAAGATGTTAATAAATATTCAGCTGAATGATACAACATCCAGAATAGGTGGTGTGATGTTCAAATTATAATAAATTATTTACCCTTAAAAACTGTTTAACGATCTCTGTATTTTCGATACCATTTGGAGTATCAAAACAAATGTCGACATTATACCAAGTACTCTTGTGCGCCATTTTGATGATTGGTACTTTGGCAGCAGCTATTAAACGGATGTTGGTAAACTCTCTTTGATGATGCTTACTAAGTGTATTATATAAATCATTAATTGGGTTGGAGTAGGTTCTTCCATTGCCTGATGCAACCTCGGTAATACCAGAGATTTGAATATCAATATCACTCGAAGGTATACATAAATCTGTAGAAAACGAACCAAAAACAATAACCTATAGAAATATATATGATAAACAATTAACAATTAATATGAATTGATTGAAGTTGTTGAAAGTTATTACTAGTTACCTTTGCTTTTGGCCAATTCTGTTTTACGATAGCTTCGATGTCATTGACAATTTTTTGTCTCATACGGTTTTCATATTGAGTTGGAACCAGCCATTGGTAAAAGAGTTCGATCTCCTTCTCCAGGTCGAGATTTGGAAGGTCGTCGCTTGTGCAATAGCCCTGTAGCCACAACGGTGGTGTCAGAGTGGACAGTTGTTTATAAAGGTCGTTGGTTTTGTAGTATTTGTTATGTTTGTTGAGAATCATATTTGATAGTCTATGATTGTTGACATTGTTATTAAATGATGGTAGATGATGTTGGTTTTCATGATGATTATTATTATAACTATTTGATTTGTGATGGCTATGATTTAAATGGTTGAGTTGGTTTTGTTCGGATTCTTGTTTTTGTTGATTGTTGTTAGATGGTAATGGTTGTTGATTTTGTACATTATTACTATATAAAGGTATAAATTCATTATCTTGATTTGCGAATGACAAAGGATCGTTGTTACTATTTGTTTTGGAGGAGGTGGTGGTGGTGTTGGTGGTGTTGTTGCTAGTATTTGGTGATGCTGTTGTTGTTGTTGTTGTTTGGTGTATCAGATTGACTGATTGTGGTTCATAAATACTATTTGTAGATGATTGTGTTGTTTGTTTGTTTGTGCTTGGTGGTTGTTGAACATCATCGACAATGATGATGGATTTCATATCGGACGATGTTTGTTGTTGTTGTTGTTGATTCTCAACGATTTGTTGGTCAGAAAATCCTTTTTGCTTCTTCTTCATCGGCAAAGAGGTTGGTGAAGTTTTACCGTTGGCTGGGTCCTCAACAGTGTTGCTGCTGCTGCTGCTGTTGGGTGCACCACCAGTGGTAGTATTGGTATCTATTGAATTTAGACTTGAATTCAAATGAAGATCTTCTAGCTTCTTCTCGGTTGGTTTCTGCTGGTCGATATTGTTATTACCGACGGAAGCTACAGCAATCGATTCATTATTAATATTAATATTATTATTATTATTATTGTTGTTGTTACGGGTACTAGATGATTGTGTTGTTGTTGTAGTTTGTGAAGCGGTCGATGGTGATTGTGATGAAGTTTGTTGTTGGTTATTGTTATTATTATTTATTTTTTTTTTTTCTTCGTATAGCTGGTTTTGGTTGTTTTTTAGTTGACTTGTATTTCCTTGTTGAGGTGGTTGGTGATGGTGTTTCAGTCATGTGAGATTTTGATATACTGTTTGACTTTGATTTGTTGTTATTGTTGTCGTTACTGCTGCTATTGTGTGAATGGTGCTCTGGAGAACTGTTTCCACTGCTGCTACCACCACTACTACTGCTGCTGCTGCTGCCACTATTAGTATTACTACTACTAGTGTTGTTGTTGTTGTTGTTGTTGTTGTTGTTGTTGTTGTTGTTGTTGTTGTTGTTGTTGATTAGATCACCACCAAATAGAGGCTTGTCGGTTGTCTCATAAATCACGGAATGGCTTGGAGGTGATGACGATGGAGAACTTCCAGATGACCTTGGTGATTTCTTTCTCTTGAGCATCCTATTGGGTCTGTTGTTATTGTTATTATTGTTATTATTGTTAGTATTTGAATTACTATGATGCTGCTGTTGCTGCTGTTGTTGTTGTTGTTGTTTTTGTTGAATATTTTTCGATTGTATCTGATTGTAGTGGTCGGCAATCATTGCCATATAGGAATTTTCAACAAGCATAAAGTGAACGAAATGAAACAACAAATAGTTGGCAAGGAAATAAAATGAAATGACTAAGAGTATCAATTTTGATGTTTTGTTTGTGGAAATGTAAATCGACCCTCCGTCTAACAGAGAAATCGATACATCTCCCAACTGTAAAACAAACTCTAACAATATTATTATTAAAATGATTGGTATGTTTGATGGTGATGATAAGTAGTTAAGTTGATAAACTAAATTTATATCTATTTAATAAATGAAATAGGAAGTGATTGACTGATTGACTGACTAATAGCTATTATTATTTAATTTATTTTTTTGATTATTAATTAATTTTTTGTTGGTTGTTGTTGTTTGGATGAATGATTGCAGAAGCAATAGAACGATGAAAATGAAAAATAATAAAAATCAAATGTTACAAGCACACAGCACACAATTAGAATTATCAAGAGAAAAAAAAATGACGACAAAAGGAGCCTGCTTGTGATTCTTAGAAAAATGGGCAACCAAACCAGATTGATGATTGTGATTTGATATTGATATTAACTTTGCAACCCGAAAAACAAAATTGTTTATAAATGATGATGATAAATCATTAAAGAAACCAAACAAATTTGATATTTTGATTGAATTTGTTATAGTTGATATTACTATTGTTATGATTATTATTGTTTTATTAATGGAGATAAAGCAATATTTAATTGAATTATTATTATTAATAAATATAATATATAAATAATAATATTTATTTTAAAAATATATAATTTTTTTTAAAATAAAAAATATAAAAAATATTTGTTATTGTTTGTATAGTTTGGTTGTTTTTGTGTAGGGTGTCTTGTTATTTGACTGTCAACAAGTTGGTTTGTTTTATTTGTTGGTGCAACAACTACTGAAGATAGCAATTTGATATCATAAATTATCAAATTTTAATGAATAATGATTGTTTGGTTGGTTGATTTTTTGTTTGATTTTGTTAATAGATTATTTTATATTTGTCTTTTTGTTGAATATTATTATTGTTATTGTTATAATTATTATTTATTTAGATAATAAAGTAAAAAAAGAGAGGTTATATAATTATATCTAATTCCCAAAAAATTAAAAATAAATGCAACAAATAGTAGTACTACTAGGAAATGTGCAATAAATAAATAACTAACTAATTTTTAGTTAAAATGCTTGATATTAACAGAGAGACTGACAGACAGACAATTAAAATGATTGCTTTTGGTAGTGGTGTTTCAGTAAAGCAAAGGGGTACACTGTGTTCACAAGAGGTAACAAGATTTTAATAAGCAGCGCTGCTTATAAATAAATAAATTGAATAAATTCATAAATTAAAATATTAATTTAATTAATTTGTTTCTTTTTTTTTTTTTTTCTTTCTTTCTTTCCTTCTTTTTCAGTTTCACTATTGTGTATAATTATAATTTTGATGGCAAATCACCAAGCATTTGTTGGAGCCACAAAGTGTGCACACCCCACCTCTATAATGAAGCATACTAATTATAATTATATAATAAGAGTGGGTGGTTTGATTGGTTGTTTGTTTGGTTGTTGGTTGGTTTAGTTTAGGATATTCAATTTGAAGTAATAACAACCAATTTGACTATGATAATGCTGTAGCTATGTGGTTTCAGATTAGATTCTGATTGATATTATGATTAAAGAGTAAACCAATCTTGTTTTTGGTTGCTTTGATTTTGCATTTCAATGTTATTGTTGTTGTTGTAGTTGTTGTAGAGATAATTATTGAAATCTGCTTTTTTTGTTTGAATATGTTTGTATTTTTCATCTTTTTCTTGTTCCTCTTGCTCTTTGCTCCACTGTCTTCACTAAGTTAGATTCTCATCTTTTGTTTGAAACTCACAACACATATATATAGAAACCACCACCAACACATACACTTTTATTTATATATACAAATACTACTTTTCATTTATATATTTGATTTGGTATTGCATTCAAAAAAGGGGTTGGTTGCGTTGAGTGATGAGTGATGATTGGATGTTGTGTTAATTATATCTAAAAGAGTTAAAGTGAATTTATAAATGATGATAAAAGTAGTAAAAGATAAGATTAATGGTATTGGTAGGCACTTTATCACCACCACCACCACCACCTGACTGTGAACACAATATAAGTGTTGTTGTTGTTGAGTTTGAAGTGAAGTGAAGTGAAGTGTAGTATAGTATACTGGGTGTCTAATAAAGTCATAGACTATATCTATACTATGTGCCAACCACTTCCATTACAATTAAACTAATTGAATTTAAATGTTTTAAAAGAGTGAGTGAGAACTCACATATATGTGTGGTTTTGAAATGAAAAATCAGTTCTAACACCATCAACTATAACAATCACCCAAAAGAGTGTTGTGATTTCATTTTTGCAACCCACTGGTTACTGTATATGTGTGTGTGTGTGAGTGTGTGTGTAAATGAATATGGTTGTCAACAGGATATATATATATATATTGATTACTATAACATAAATAGTGTATGGTTGTTTTTTTTTACTATAGTCTATGAAATTACAATTTCCAACTACATATATATCTACAAAATCGCTAGAATTGTTGCATATTTGGAATCTGAATAAATATAGTGGTGTTCAAATAAAATAGTTGAATGTTTCACTTGTTTAAATTTCTTGATTTGATTTGTTGTCAATGACAATAACCGTAATGTAACATAATACTATTACAAAACTAAAATTATAAATTTTTACCTTTCTACAAATCATAAATATATCTTTCTTTTTCTTACTATTATTATTAATATTTGTGTGGTCAGTCAATCACAATATGTTATTATTATATTGTTTTCCATCGATAAGATTAAAAAAAAAAAAAACAAAACAAAACAATTTTTTTAATTTTCGATTGAAACAAAATGCTGCGGTAAAGACAATGACAATATTAGCTATGATAATGACAATTAATTGAGGTGAATCGATCAACCGATTAACCAAAGATAAATTAAAGTTTGATTGATTTCACTCGATATATAACCGTTCTACTTATTATTATTTAGTCTATTCAGTATAAAATTATTAACTTGTGATTTTTGATTCATTGCTTGATCAATGATGATTGTGGTGTGGAGAGTGAGTGAGTGAGTGAGTGATCAGATTACTTTTTTTATAAATTTGATTACTGTTTAGTTAAACAACAAAAACAACAATAACAGCTATCGTATTTTTAAAAAATAAAAGACGATTCCTTACTGCTATCGTAACGTTTATTCGTTATTACTTTACTTTTAATTTAATTTATAAATTATTTAGAATGATGCTACTCTCTCAAAATAAAATATAAAATAAATTGTTTTTTGATTTATCTATTCTATGCCTATATATATATATATCTATCTAACTATCTAATTATTATATAATACTCTGATATTCGTTTTTTTATTTTATTTTTATTTATTCTTTTTTTTTATTTCTATATATATATATATATTCTAAAATATGATATGTTTCAATGTAATATTTACTAATTTACAACAAATATTTAATTATTTCTCTCTTTTTAAAAAAACATATATGTGGGGTGATGGTGTTGGGATCTGAAACCCAAACTTCACTTTCATATTTTGTCCAAACCAAAAACAATTAGTTTTAAAAGAAATTTAAAAAAAATTCGAATTTTTTTTTTTTTTTCGTTTACCTCCTAAGATTGAATCAAAAAAAAAAAAAAAAAACAAAACTTTTCGAAAAAAATGAGAACTTACTTAATATAGTTTATTGTAAATTAAAAGTTAAGAAGTCGTTTAATTTTAAATAGATAAAACACTATTTTTGATGTAAATAAAACCTTTAAACAAAAAAATAATAATAATAAATACTTAACACTTTGTTTAAAGCTTCATCTATCATTGATGTGTTTTATTTCAACGAACGAAAAAATCAAAATAAAAAATAAAATAAAAAAATAATATAAATAGTAAGTAAGGTAAAAAGTGAGAAAAATAAAGATTGTTGGTGATTTAAAAGGTTATTCAACCTTACAAATTTAAAATAACATATTTATTTATAAATAAGTGAGAATCGTTTTATTTTTTTTATTTTATTTTTTAAATTATTTTTAATTATTATTTTTTTCGTTTTCCAGACTCTATTCTCTTCTTTATTTGCGACATTGTTGAAGTTGTGGTTTTGTTGTTATTCTTGTTTGCTGATGATTGTTGTTTTACTAGTAAATTATTTGACTGCTTTCTTTTGTTTTGATTCAAATCTTTTAGTTTCTTCTGAATCATATTCATATTTGTTGTTTTGACTGACGATGATTTAATGTTGTTGTTGTTGTTGTTGTTAGTCTTTGAAAAATCATTTGAAATATCTATTTCTTCTTCATCATTATCATCATCATCCTCATCATCATCCTCATCATCATCATCATCATCATCTTCATCTTCCTCATCATCATCGTCTTCATGATCATGATCATGATCTTCAATTTCAACTTCCTCTTGTTCATCCAACATGATTGGATCCTCCCATGTCTTCCAAACTTCGACACCCATATTCATTTCTTTGTCGGTGAGAAGGCATTCATTTAGTTCCTTCTCGATCGATGCTCTGTCCATGAGTGCCGTTCCAATGAAGACGACCTCTTGTCTACGATCACCATGTGGTTCCACCCATGACTTCATGATCGACTCGACCATGTCTTTTTCTGGGTACTCGTGCTTCTCCAAGTCGGCCAACCAGTAGCCTGCTTGTGTTAGAGTCAGACCGGTACCGGCGATACACCAGAGTCCAATGAGTTGAGGAGTGGTGGCAACCCACATAAATCCTTTCGATCGTAATACACCATTGAATATCTTTCCACCATTCATAATAACATTCTCCAAACGCATCGGGTGGAATGGTCTTCTGGCACGAAAGACAAAGTTACTGATACCATATTCAAGAGTCTCTGGTGTGTGGGTGCCTCTCATTTCTTGTAGCCAACCTGGATGCTCCGATGCTCTCTTAAAGTCAAACAAACCAGTGTTGAGAATCTCTTTCAATGGCACTTTAGAATACTCTGACCGCATAACTTTGGCATCAGGATTGATGTGTTTGATCAATCCTTCGATTAAATCAACATCTTTTGGCTCTACCAAATCCATTTTATTTAAAATAATAATATTGGCAAACTCTACCTATTTATTTTTGTAGTTAGTATTGATTTGTTTTTGATTTTTAAAGATAGTTAATGTACTTACTTGGTCAATTAATAGATCAACAATAGTTCTTTCATCTTCTTCAGATGCCGCCATCTTCTTATCTTGTAGAGTTTCACTACTATTGTATTCAGAAAGCCAGGTAGAGCAATCAACTACAGTAACCATGGTGTCAAGCTTGGTCAACTCGTGAATGGTCTCTTGGTTTTTATCATCATCAAACGTAAATGTCTCGGCAACTGGCAATGGTTCGGAAATTCCAGATGATTCTATGAGCAAATAATCAAATTTACCAGTTTTGGCCAACTTTAGGATTTCAATGAGAAGATCCTCTCTAAGAGTACAACATATACAACCATTTTGCATCTCTACCATCTTTTCAACAGTCTTTTCTTTTGGAGTGGTTCTGGATATAGAGAAATCAGAATTTACCAATCTTGCATCAATATTCACTATTTTAAAAGAAATAGAAAAAAAATTAGTTTATTAGAAATAATTTTTATAATTTATTTAATTTTACTTACCATCACTCATATCATTAACAATCACAGCTACCTTCAAGCCTTCTTGATTATTTAAAATATGATTTAAAAGAGTTGTCTTTCCACTACCAAGAAATCCAGATAAAACAGTAACTGGTAATTTCTTTTGGTTTCTCTTTCTAAGAGAATGGACTCTTTGAAGATATTTATTTGTATTATTTTTAATTTTTTTTGTAGATGGTGACATTTCTATTTAAAAGGATAGTAATAGTTATATTAGAACTATATTCTATTTCCAGTTTTGTATTTATAGTTACCTGATGATCTTGGAAATTTTGTGAAAAACCGAGTGAAGCAAAGTGAAGTAGTCAGGCGTGATTTTTTTACAGAGTGAACAAAATTCACTTTGCTGTCAAAAAATGAAGTGACCGACGAAGTATTAGATTTTTTTTAATAATCATATAGCAATTGTAAACATTTGAATTATATTTAACCTTCTTTTATTATTTTTTTTTTTAAAAACTATTTACAATGATTTATTGTTTTTGGGGGAGTTGAGGAGGAAGTTATTTAAATATATACAAACTTTATTTGGTGCCAATGGCGACAGCGCATCTTACGTGTAAATTCATTTTACCATTTGGGAACATTGATTGAAGTTCGTCTCTAATTGCAAAGTGGAATAGATCTTTCTTCTCTACTGGTAAGTATGATTGGAACATTTTGATGAGTGGATGTTCCTTGAAGAACTCCATCATATTATCTATTGGCAATGGCATTACTTTAATGAAGGTATGTACTTTGAATGAATGGAAACCGGCTTTCTCAAAGGATTCTCTTAAAAATTCACCATCACCCAATGTAATTCTCTTGATAGCTTCATCTGGCATCTCATCTTCAGAGATACGACGATATGATCTCTGCATCCAAGTAAAGAATTCACAGTCATATGGCCAAGATGTAATAGTTGCTTTTCCACCCTTTTTGACAACTCTATGTAACTCCTTAAGACCCTTGTCACGATCGCTGAATAGGATCAAACCGAATGCCGAGTATACATAGTCAAATTGGTTGTCCTCCAGTTGTAGATCCTCACCATTCATACAAGCAGAACTGATATTGTTAAAACCTTGGGATTCAATCTTTAGTTGCTCCAACATTCCTGGAGAGATATCGATGCCCATAATCGAGCCACCAGCTGGTGCAATTCTTTGGGCAGCAGGAATTGTGAGGGCACCATATCCGCAGGCAACATCCAAAAGTTTGAGTGGTTGCTGAACGTCCTTACCAATTGTGAGATCCAGAGCATCCAAACAATATTGAGTGGTGAAAGCAACTGGTTTCAAAATTTGTCTATATGCAGTGGATGCAACTCCCCATAATTTGGCACGTTCTTTTTGATCGTGTTGATCTTTATACTCGCATGTTGTTGAATTTTTATTAATTACAATTACGTTGGAAATCATTCTTGGATTATTTTATTAATTTAATACACAAAAAAAATATAGCAAATAAAAGATTGTTGTAGAAATTATTTATTATTATTTTATTATTAAATAAATAGAAAAAAGATAATTACTATTAAGTTTGATTATTAATTTATTTCCAATGATATTTAATTAAATGATTATTTGTTTTGTTTTTTTTTAGTATCCAATAACTAAAAAGTTTTGGGATTGTTATAATTGTTATTTACAATTTTTATTTGATAGAATTGAATAACTATTTATAGGTTGTCGAAACCAGAGCGGTGATGTCCAACATCATTGAATTACCGTTTGTTTGACTTGCTTTTTTTTGGGTTGTTTTAATATTGTTATTTTTTTCAAAAGTTTAAACTATGAGGATTGTAGTTGGAGGTTGGTAATTCCAAGGAAACTGTTGGTGATTTTCTGGATCGAATAGATAGATATTTTAAACAAAAAATACCACTTTTAATAATGTAGACTTCAGTTGGTGATTAATTAAAAAGAAAAAAAATTCATATATCCTGATGGTAAGCTATGTATTTACAGATCATTAGAATTTTTAGTTTCAATTGTTTTACCATTTTTTTGTTTAGTGTGTGTGCTTGTGTGTTATGAATTAATTGATTGTATGTATGTGTGGAATGTTACTTGTGGTCTGGGTTGAATTAATTGATACACAGTATTTATTTTTTTTGTGATTGTTTTGTTTGTGGTGTTTGTGAGTGTGTTAGTGGATTGATTTTAGATTCTGTGTAATAGCAATAATGTTCTACAATCACCATAACAAGTAAAATACAACTGTATTTAAAAGATCAAGATTCTTTGTAGTAGTAGAGCAATATATACTAATGCTAAGGTGTATGTAATTTGTTAAAAGTTATTTATCAATAGTTTCTGTTTTCTTAATGATCTATTAATAATTAGATTGTGTGTTTGTGTGTGTTGAAAGTAGTTATTTGTGTATGATCAAAAATTTGCTTCATTCATTTGATGATTTAATGATGATGATGATGGTGATGATCTAGATGAATGTTATTATTATTATTATGTTTTATAAATGTTATTAAAGTGGTTGGTGTGGTTACAATTGATGACCGTTATGACAATCTGTTAAATAATCTATCATCCAATCAAAAGTGTGTGATCGAGTAGAGGAGTTCTGAAATACCAATACAGTGTATAACAATGATATCCTACTAGAGTAATCTAATCAATGTTTAATAGACCTTAGTTGTACCAATGTGTTTAAATACCAATACAATTCTCTAAATCTCTTAGGTTAACCATACACCACCACAGTACTGTTTTTACTATTATGTTAAAAGTCTATTCATATGATACGAACCGACACTACCAAACATTGTTACAAAAACGCATTAAGTATGTTATACTTTCATTGGCCAAACAATTCATCAACTCTGCTAGTATACTAATGTTATATATGATTGGTAGATAATTCTGTCTAACAAAATGTAATGTAATTAACGAATACCAATGTTAAGTTAAAATGGAGTGACGACGTTTCCGTAGCAATCCAATGCTTTTATTTTCCCAACTTGATCAGAAATAATGAATTCTTATTCAGTCAATTTTTTTGGCGACACTTCAAAATTTTATTTAAATAATAATTTTATTATTATATTAATATGAGTGATATTCATGATGATTATACTATACTGTTGATATGATTTGAAGAGGAGAGGTTCTAAAGATATATCTTAAATTGAGCAGTATTAAAGGATTTTTAAACTTTATATTGTTTAAGATGCTAATTCAGTTGGAGGTTCAGTCAAAATCTTACAGACATCGGTCAATGATAGAATGGAAATGGGTTTTCTGTTTCTATCGACAATCCAAACTCTGTGTATTTTGAATTTTGCCAACATTTCAATTGCATCCTTAAATGTATCTTTTACACCTAATATAATTGGATATGCTGGTTTCTAATTTAATTGATTTTTAACCAATTAGTTTTTGTTTGATAAAATAATTTTAATAATTCTAAAGTAATAAAGATATTTACATGTTTGTTTTGATCAATGAAAACATTTCTAGAGATAAACTTCTCTGTTGATTGAAGTAAGAGGTCTATGTTCTCTTCGTTGATACTACTGAGATCGTTTATAGAGAGAGTACCTACGATTGAGCCATTCTCGTGGTCGAGCACAGGCACAGCGGTAACACCGGCATCATTCATTTTCTGGAATGATCTGATAACTAGCTCCGATGAACTGGTGGTTACTAACTCCGATTGGTGAACCAAATGATCCAAGAGATCTTCGATCTTCTTGTTGGCAAGCGATCCCAAGACACTTACATTCGAGGCAATGAACGATACTACACACGATTGACTAACGATATCGTCGATGTCACTGAATACAGAGAGCAAAGCAACTCTATGTACACCCTTGGCATAGACCTTCATGACCTCAAACATACTCTGTTCCTCGAGAACCACAGTGAATTGATCCTTCTTTGACAGATCCATAATATTGGCGACACTAGACGACAAGAACCCAATGGAAATTAATCTAAGATCACTTGTTTGTCTGTCAACATTCTTTGTTAACTTTGCCAAAAGTGCCAATACATCATTTGTATCAACAAATCCAATTACTCTATTTCTTCCTATTTTTAAAAAATTATAAAATAAATAAAATTGTTTTTTAAAAACAAAACAATTAATTAAAAATTGATTACCTGTATCAGGATTAACAACAGGACATGATGTTAAACTATGTTTATGTAAAACCTTAAGTAATTCTTCAACTGTTGCTGTGTTTGGAACTGCAATTAATGGATCCTTACTAATGATATCTGCAATCGATGTTTTAATAAATACATTTTTATCATATTCTTCGGTCATTTTTTTATTTATATTTTATTCTTACTATATATATAAATAAATAAAAATAAAAGATGATAATAGATGATATATGATTGTAATAAAAAAAAAATTAAAAATTAAAAAAAATTAATATAAAAAGAAATTAATTTTATTCCAAAAAAGGATCTGCTGTTGTGGTGTTTAAGTGTTTAATAAAATGTCAATAAGTGGGGTTAAAAATATAAAAAATATTTTGATTTTTAAATTAATAATACTTTGTTCTAATGTTATTCGAATCAATGAAGCAATGGATAAATATTTATTATTCTAATATAATGTACTTTTTATATTATTAAAAATAATAACATTTCACTGCAATTTAATAAATTTATCTTTTTATTTTTAACTTTTTTTTTCTTTTTGAAAATTCAGAGGCAAGTTGTGTATGAAGTTCAAGGTTTGTTAGACCTTTGAGTATAAAGTCAAGAAATAATTTAATTTATTTTCTATTTCATTATTTTTGGAAATGAGAAGACTTCTTGTCTTCTTTGAAAATATGAACAATGACAGTGACTTTTTTTCTATATTTAATGGTGAATTCAATAAAAAGTCACAATTATTGTTCATATTTTCACAATTAAAGATTTAGTTTCTCTTTTAAAAAAACTATATATTTTTTTATATTTTTTTTCTATAAATTATATTAAAAGTTCAATCTTTTTATTGATTTTATTGGTAAAGTACTTCTTGATCTCTTGGAGATTGACTTGGTATTACTTTTGCTCGTTGAACAATGTTGTTCTTAAAATACTAAATCAACTCTAGAGGTACTCTTGGTCAGAGTCTGTGCAATACAAGTGATATTAAATACCAAGAATGTCAAACGAGAGAACAGTAGTTTTTCGTCATCAACTAATGTTTTTATTGATCAATTGGATGATTTCAATAGTAATAATAGAATTAAATAAAATATAATCGATGACCACGATGATGATGCACCAATGGAATGTAGTACACCAATGGTTTTATTTTATTTTATAATTATAGTTCACTAACTAAATGCATATGTGCGTCAGTACTTATGGTTAAACCAACGATAACTTTACCATTGAAAACACCAACACCTGGATCCTGAAACATATCACTTGTGTTGACAACTTGATCGGCAGACCAAACACCAAGATTGTTACATGTGACAACATGAAGTTTGGCATTGGTTGGATGACGATGTACTAAAACCAGTTTACTTGCAGTGGCTGTTAGTTTTGGATCACCTGATACTTGGACATTTGGAATGAGTGTTGGAGTGGTCCAAGTGTTGGTATCTGATGTGCTTGTAACATAGACACCATTACCCAAAGCGGTATTGCGGAATACAATGTATATCTTTCCATTGAATGTTGCCATCGATGGTGATCCAGTTATTGTGATACCCGGTACTTCTTTATAACTCCAATTGGAAGCTACACCATCGGGTGAGGATGCAAGTAGCAACTTTCCATTGTTATTCGGTCCATGATAAGCAAGGTACATAAGGTTGTTGAAAACCGTTGCAGATGGTGAATTGGACGATTTCCATTCAGGAAGACCATGAATTGGGTTATCCTGTGTCACAGAGTTACCAGTCACTTTTACATAATTCAGATCACCACTACTATTTGGACTTCCATTATGGAAACCGTATATAATTGAATTGAACACAATAGCAGCTGGAGAGAATGTCGTCTGTACATCTACAAACTGGGCATCAGCGGTCCAAGTAATTAAATCATTGGATTTGGTGTACCAAAGCTCATGATTATTTTCATAACCATGATGAATACAGTACACTGTACCACCTAATTGTATGTAGGCTGGTGAATCAGTAATTCCATAATAGCTTGGAGTTGTTATTATAGTTTCTGGTTTAAAATTCATATTTTAATTGTTATATTATTAAATAAAGAAAAATAAATAAATATTTATTTGGTTGTTTTTAGGTTATTTATTTGAATATAATAAAGAATGTATTTGAAATTAGAATTAATAATATTGAATTGATTTGATTTTCTACTTGTTTCTTTACTGTTATTTATAGTTTTTGTCTTTCATATTCAATCAAATTCGATGCAATCAAAATAATGATCCAAGTTTGCAGATTTTGACTTATTTACAAACCCCAACAACTTTTTTAAGAATTCATAGAAATTTTTTTTTTTTTTTTTGATTTGTAATTTGCTCCTACCCTGTTCAAAAAATTGTTTCAACCTCGAACTCTCATAATCTACACCATTTATTAATATTTAATAATATCAATTTTATGTTTAAAAAAAATCAATTTGCTTTTGTTTTGAGTCAGAAGTTTATCCAATCAAAACTCAAAAGAGTTTTTTTTGTAAATTTCCACTTTCTGGTTGATGAAATAGATCTGATAGATTTGCTATCAAAAAAGTTTCACTATTCTGTTAATATATTTGATATTTATTTTTTAAGTATTTTTATAAAGAAACTCATAGACATATCTTCTTAACCATTCCTTTTATAGGAGGTTATATTTTTTCCAATAATATATATTTGAGTAAACTTAGTAGACAATGAGGTTAAAAAATAAATAATTTATTTATTTAATACAAAGGAGTGTCCAAAAATTATATAAAACAACCGTTTTATTTTAATAATGAAATGAATCCTAAAGTTTAAAATTTAATATGACTTATGAAATAAAAGAAATGTATTGAACAAAATTAAAATGAGAAATTGAGTTCACCAATAAATATTGATAACAAATTAATTTAAAAACAAATTGGAAATGTTTATTATTTATTTTATATCTATTGTTCAAGAACTGTATGCATATATGCATCATTACTAGTAGTTAAGCCAGCGATAACTTTACCATTGAAAACACCAACACCTGGATCCTGAGACATATCACTTGTGTTGACAACTTGATCAGAAGACCAAACTCCAAGATTGTTACATGTGACAACATGAAGTTTGGCATTGGTTGGATGACGATGTACTAATACCAGTTTACTTGCAGTGGCTGTTAGTTTTGGATCACCTGATACTTGGACATTTGGAATGAGTGCTGGAGTGGTCCAAGTGTTGGTATCTGTTGAACTTGTAACATAGACACCGTTACCCAAAGCAGTGTTACAGAATACAATATAGATCTTTCCATTGAATGTTGCCATCGATGGTGATCCAGTCAATGTGACACCTGGTACTATCTTAAAATTCCAATTATTTGTTTCACCATCTGTTGAAGAAGCAAGGATCAACTGTCCATTACCTTCAGGATGGCCCTCTATTCCTCCTCCTTGATAAGCAACATACAAAAGATTGTTGAAAACAGTTGCAGACGGTGAGTTGGCAATTCGGTATACCGGTTGTGGGACATACACATAGGTGTCTCCTGTTACTGTTGAACCAGTAGCTTTTACATAATGCAAAGTACCTGCAGGAGCATTTGGACTACCATTATGGAAAGCTAATAGAGATGAAAGAAACATTACAACAGACGGAGAATATTTCATTTGTACACCAATAACCTGAGTATCAGCAGTCCAGGTTGCTCCGTTGGTCGATGTTGTGTACCAAAGTTCGTGATTTACACCATATCCATGATGAAAACAGTACAAAGTACTACCAAGTTGTCCATAGGCTGGTGAGTCAGTTATTCCTACATATCCGGTAGTAAGAGTTTCTGCAAGGAAATTCATTTTTTTTATTTATGTATAATGTATGTATATTTTAAAAAATAAGTAATAATATATTTGTATGTTTGTTAATTGATATCGAATTGAATTGTATTGTATTGTATTGAATTCAAACCCTAAACTATTAGTATTTATATTCTTATCGTTTCATAGTGATCATTCATTATTAATCTAATCCTAACAAAAGAAACGATATGATTTGTCCAAGTTACATTAAAAAACAGATCTGTAAGTCAACTTACAAAGCCATTAACATTTCTACAAAGTGATCCCGAATAGTTAATGTTGTTCTTACCCAATAATATTTCAATGATTGCAGTGTAACCTTGTTATCTTCAATAATTAACTAATAAACCTTTATAGCAACGGACGACCAATTGATGTTCTGCTCATCGAACACTTGACAAAGTTGTACATTTGGTTGTGTCTGTTTTGAATATTTTTTAATTTGTTTTTATTATTTTTCTATTTTTACACACAAAAGGAATTGGTTGCACCTTTTTTTTCTTGGTGATCAATATCTCAAGAAAATTTTCAACAAAATAATCGCCAATATCATAAGTGAATTCAGAGCTGAATATTTTTGTTTTAATAAAAAATTCTATAATCAAAGAAAGTACCAGTCGAATACATTAGAATTAGACTTCTTGTCTTCTTCGAAAAAAACTAATTTATGAGGCGATGAATCGATTGATAAAGATTGAACAAAGTTATCAGAGACCAAATTGAATACATGGTTATTTTTTTTTTATAATTTTAATATAGTATAAGTTTATTAATTTACACTTGAATAAATAACCGAAACTATTCTGGGGTGTCAAATTTTAAATTGAAAACAAAATCTTTTGTATTTTCTTAAATCTATCTTGACTTTATATTGAACAAGCAGCTAGAGTAATTTTTTCTCTGATCAATCATTTTTAAAATGATTAAAATTTAAAAAAAATGAATTTTTTTTTCAATATTTCCAATATAACTTTGGTTAGAATAACACATTCTTTGTTTATTTTTTTTTTATTGTTAACTTTTTATATGTTGGATTTTTATTGGTATATTCTGTATGAAGTTCCAGGTTATTTACACGAGTTAATATACTTTTTAAGAAATAGTAACTTTCATCTTCTGTGTAACACATTTTGGAAAGTCTGATTGTAGAACACACGAGTTGATGAGACGATGAATCGAGAGTTAAAATAAAGTCTTTGAGAGTTTCTTTCAAAATCTCACTTGGATGATAATTGAAGTCATGAATAAATGATTCAATTGATAGTTTTGTTATGTGTTTGTTAGATTTCAGCATGATGGCAGTCCATAAAAGATGTTTACAATCGAGATCAAAAAGTTTTAATTTTGTTATTGTTGTATTCTTGTTGGATGCAAGCATTGAGTAAAACGATTCATCCAGAATATCACATGATATTTCAAGCTTTGAAATTGTGGTGTTGATTGATAAAGATTGAACAAAGTTATCAGAGACCAAAATGAATATAGATAGATCTGTGATTTTGTGAATAACACAAAAGTTTGACAATGATAGATTCTTCAATGTTTTATTGTTGGCAAGTCTTTGACAAAACTCCATCCATTCACTTGTTTGATTGTTATTGCTAATTAGGTTTTGAATATAGTATTGATCATACTCATTTTCTTGATATTCATATTCCTCTTCTTTGAAATATACCTCTTCATGATAGACACATCTACATTCATCTAGTTCGTTATTTACATCATGACCAAATAATCCGAGTACCGTTGCACATTTCATTGATTCAACACGATCGTTAAGGAATAACTTTAAATCTTTGATATCTACATAATCGTTACTGCAAATTTCAATAGATGTGAGTGATTCGATTTCAAAGAGTTCGGTGTATGGAATGTGCAATACATAGTGGCTAGAATGATCTTGATTATGCTCAAAGTAAAGAGTATTGACACGACACACTCTGACACTATCGAAATCAAAATCAAGTTCTCCATAGATACCGATGACTTTAAAATTGTGATCTATGTTCATAGTAACATGTTCTAAAACCGAATAGTCGATATACTCGAGATCAACACCGTAATTCATTGAATTGAGATATAAATGAATTTTGATTGTGGGTTTTATTTCTATGATCTCTTTGATTGATCCCATGTTGGTAGTGTTTATGTTCAATCGCTCCAGATGATCAAACTTTGAAATGAATATGCTAACATGTGGGATTTTAGTGTAGGGATTATCAAAGTTATCAAGAATGTATAGATCTTTGATATTGTTGATAGGACATATCGACTTAGGTTTTGAAAGAAGACCAATTGAATGATTTAAAAAATTGGAAAGACTTTCATACTCAGAGTTGTATAAGTCTATTAAATATTTTGAAGACATTGACTTTGATATGATATCGAACCAATCTTTACAAACCAAAGCATAGTTTATAAATTTATTGACATCATATGGTTTGACTGGACAACAAAGATACTTTTGATAATAATTATTTTTATTTTTAATAACTAAAGAACCAACTGCAAGTGTAATGATTTTCTGAAGAATTAATTTTGATTTTATTATTATTTGTTTATTAAAGCTATTACTTTGTTCTGTCATTTTTCATTTGTTATTGAATAAACTATATGATTTATTTTTTTTAGAGAAATTCAGATACTTTGCTCGCTAACACAATACTTTCATGATGTTCACGAATCATTCTTTAATGTGTTAATATTTTTAATCAAATCAAATTGTTTGTGGGGGTAGTGGTAGAATGAGAAATAATTTTTTGTTTTGTTTGAGTCAAATGAATGATATTAAAAAATACATGTTATTTTTTTTTTATGTATTTTAATATAGTATAAGTTTATTAATTTACACTTGATTCCAATTAATTGTCTTGAGATCGATACCTTCTTGTACCATCTCCCATAGTGGACTCATATCTCTCAATCTTTGTACATGCTTCTTGAGTAGCTCGATGGTGAAATCGATTTCGGCGACTGTGGTGAATCTTCCAATTCCGAAACGGATCGATGAGTGAGCCATGTCTTCTTCGAGACCTAGCGATCTGAGCACGTAAGATGGTTCGAGTGATGCCGAAGTGCATGCACTACCACTGCTACAAGCAATGTCTTTGATGGCCATCAGCAGTGACTCACCCTCGACATAACTGAAGGAAATATTCAAATTACCATAGTAACGGTGTTCGGTGTCACCGTTGATCTTTACATGAGGAATCGATTCTTGAATGCCTTTGAGCAGACGGTCATAGAGGAACTTGATCCACACTGCATCTCTTTGCATTTCGTTCTGTGAGATGGCGCAGGCAGCACCGAAACCAGTGACCAATGTTGCTGGCACCGTTCCCGATCTGATACCACGCTCCTGTCCACCACCACTCTGAATCGCCTCGATTCTGACACGGGGACGACGACGGAGATAGAGTGCGCCAATACCCTTTGGGCCGTATACCTTGTGTCCACTGATCGACATGAGATCGATGTTCATCTCGTTGACATCGATTGGGATCTTACCGACGGCTTGTGCCGCATCGGTGTGGAAGAAGATTCCCTTGGAACGACAGAGCTTTCCAATCTCCTTGAGTGGCTGAATGACACCGATCTCGTTGTTGACCGCCATGACGGAAATCAAGACAGTCTGTGGAGTGATGGCGGCTTCCAGTTGTGCCAAGTCGATCAAACCATTCGACAACACTGGCAAGTAGGTGACTTTGAAACCTTCTTGCTCGAGATGTCTGCATGAATCCAAAACGCACTTGTGTTCGGTGACGGTTGTGATGATGTGATTCTTCTTCTCCTTGTAGAATCTAGCGACACCTTTCAAAGCGATGTTATTAGACTCTGTTGCACCACTGGTGAAAATGACTTCCTTTGGATCGGAACCGATCAAACTGGCCACCTGTTGTCTTGCGTTCTCTACGTAGTCCGACGATTTCCAACCATAGTCGTGTGTCTTTGAGTGTGGATTACCATAGTTCTCTGTATATAAAGACAGCATTACATCTAATACTCTTGGATCAACTGGTGTAGTTGCTTGATTATCTAAATAAATTGGTTGTAAACTATCTATAAAAATAAACAAAAACATATAATTAGTCTTTCAAACATAACAAACAAATTAAATCAATTCAAAAAACAAATACCTTTTGATGTATTAGGTGTTGAAATAGTTGCATATGATCTATTTAAACAATTTTGATTCAAATTGCTACGAACAACATTATTTACAGAGAAACTGGTCGATGCTGCAGTTCTGTAGCTACCACCAGTGGTGGTGAATCTCAAAGTGTTCTTTACCAATGAATTCATTCTATATGTGAGTTTGTTTTATTACTAAATTGATTTGTATTGATTATAAATATTTATTTATGAAAAACAAACGAATAAAAGTAATTTTATAATCTATCTTTCTTTAAAGAATCAAAAAAAACAAAAAAATTAAAAAATAAGAAAACATATGAAGTGGTGTTTGGCCCAAAAGTAAAAATCTTTTTTTTTTTTTTGCCAAATATTTTTAATTAATTAATTTAACGAGCATTATTACATGACCAGCTAAAAATTAATCATTACTTCTATTGGAGCACCAATAGACTAACGATAGGATTCTTTTGCAAAGAGATATTATGCTATCATCATACATCAGAATTACTTTTGTTTTTCAATTGGTATTTCTAAACAAAACAATGCATTGTCAAATTATCTAAAGTTAAATTTTTGTATAACCAAATAAGGAAATGATTTCAGGTGATACTTTGGTAATAAATAAATCATATTTGTTAGTTTTTTTTTTTTGAAAAAAATCGATTAAAGTAAATTCAAGAACTCAATCATTTTAAATATTCACCAATCTAATAATTTTTTATAATAATTTAATTTGATTTATTTTAACTGTCAAAGAAGTTGTTTTATAAAAATTATATAATATTTTAAAGTTTCTTTGTCTTTTGCAAAGCTTGCCAGGTATTCTTTGTAATTCTGAGCAAACTTCTGGTCCACTTGATGTCCAAGAAAATAATGAAGAATGGACCCATTGAACAAAACAATGCATCATATCCGAATCTCCAACAGTTGAGAACCAAAAACCAGGTGAATGGCATTCTATATCCAATAAAAATAACTAAATAAAGATAGATGATATTAATATTAAACTCTATAATTGTAAATATATCGATAAAAAAAAAACACTTACAGTTTGAAATCATAACGCATGAAAAATATAAATAATTTACAGTGTGACCGAAGGATCTGCAGAGGAAAATGATAGTACTGAAGACGACAGTCAAATCAAAAGATGAACAAATATGTAAAAGGTAATGAGCCTTTCTGATGTAACGCTGTTGTTTTGGAAAAAAAAAATTGGAATTTGTTAGTTTTTTCAAATTGTTATTGTTGAGTGTTTGTTTGTAGACTTACCATTGTGATAAAAGTGAAACCAGAGACACAGACATGGTGGAAATACATATCGTATGACTGACTACGGTAGAGGAAAAGAATAACTAAATCGGCAACATGGAATAAACTGTATGCCAAACAATGATAGATGGAATTCTCTAAGCTGGTGGTGTAGTACCAGTTGAGGATGTTATGGTAGGCAAAGTAGGCACCGTAGAATGCACGGACGAATCTCTGACAGCACTCGTAGAATGCTCCGCTCTTTATAATGGAGTCGATGTGTTCTCTCATCTCTTTGGACTTGTGGTTTCTGAAATACATGGTTGCCAACTGTACAGTGACTATATAGAAAAATATTGGCAGGAATACAAACAAAAGCACGACATGGATCAAATTTTGATTGGAGATGTCAATGTAGAATCCGTATTGATTGAGGAAATTACTGTTATTTGGTTGCTTTGGCCATTCCTCAACGAAACAGGCCTTTAAATTTTCATATAAATGATTATAAAGTTCCATATCCAAAACTTATTATATAAATAAATATTAAAAATATATATATATGGAAAAATAAAATAAATTATATAACTATTATATAAATATACAAATATATATTAGTAATTATAATTATAAAAAATAATTATTATTTAGTTGTTGTTTGTTTGTGCAAATGTGTTTACAGAGTATTTAAATTTAGCAGTGATCAGAGCAAGTGATACCGAAAGAGTTGCTTGTTTGAAAAAGAAAAAACAAAATAAAAATAAAAAATAAGAAACTTCGGTGTAGGAAGTGAAAAGTGGGGTGGATGTGCGCGATTTGATGACCCAACCATAGAAAAGTAAAATTCAATTTCCAATAGTTGTTGTTGATAGTGTGTGTTTGTTTTTTTTTTTTTTTTTGCAAGTGGCTAATAACGGGGTTTTCATGCAATTTTTTTGTTTTTTTTTTGTTTAAAGAGTTTTTTTGCTGAAAGATATTTTGTTTTTTATAGACAAATATGTCACTGTTGGTATTCTGATTTTTTCCAATCACCATGTTTATAAATAAAATAATAAAATAAAATAAAACCAAACAAGTTTAAATAAAAAGGAAATGAAAAGTTGTAAACAAATCAAAAACTACTTGCGATTCTAATTTGATTATTGAGATTGTTTTGAAAAGAAACAGTTTAGTGCTAATTAGTTTGTTTTACTTGAAGTGGTAATAAATCGCAATTGTGCTTCGAAAAGTCAAGATAATTGTTGTGTTGATCCACAATTAATTTTGATAATGGTATGAATCTAAGTGGAAAATCGCAATGAAATATGATATGAAATTGTTTGGTGACGATGATGAATGAGCAATTGCATGCTTTTGCCAATACAAGTTGAAAATAAAATAGATAGTGGTTCTAAATTTTATAAATTTAAAGTGGACATACATTAATAGATAAATATTTATATCTAATTAAACGATTGTTATAATATCAATGATCAAACATTTTTTGTAGATTATAAAAAAAGTAACTTTAGCCCAACAAAAAAAAAGAAAAAAAAAAAAAAAACTTTTTTAAAAATAATTCAGTTTTTTTGTTGGTATGATAGTCAAACAGATGTGCCCTTTGATATTTTTTTAAAACTTTTTCGAAAATTTGAGCAGTTACATGTCTTTGGGTATGAAATAATCATTGATTTTACATAAGATTGGAAAAGTTGTAAAACAAATTTGTTTTTTTTGAAAAATAAAAAAATGGAAATAATATCTTTCAGAAAATAAAAAATCCAGATATTCATTAAAAAAAAAAAATTAATTTACATCTGCAATATGAGATCACTCATTGTCTCGGTAAACAGCCTGATCCCTTGTGAAAACAAACAACTATAAATCACCTTTTTTGTTTAAGAGATTTTCGTTAAACTATTCATAGATTCGCATTTAAAATAACTGAAATTGAAAATCCTGGTGATAATATTGAATTACTAAAATGAACTCCGATCCCAACAAACTTTCAACATCATCTTTATTTTTAAACAGTTGCTGCACATAATTTAAAATGATAGTTTCATCTTTAATAATTAACTAAATGATTAACCTAACAATAAAAAAATATAATATGTTATTTTAATATTAAATTTACTTATAATATTTTATTAAAAGGTCACACACTTTTTTTTTTTTAAAATTGAAGGTTGATTGTTTTTTTTTTTTTTTTTTTTTTTGTTAAAGTTCATTTATTTTTTATTTATTTATTTATTTATATTTAATAAGAAGAGGGAAGTTTAGTAATATGAATATAAATTCACCTATTTTTGATAATAATGGGTTGGTAAAGATAGATGAAGAGCAAGATCTCACACAGATTATGTGGAGAGATCAAGTATGGCTGTCACAATTCCCGCTGAATAAGATGACCATACTCAACTACTTCTCACTATCACAGTTCTACGATAAACAATGTAATAATGAAATATTGAAAATGCAAAGACTTGATCCTTCTGCTTTAAAGTATGAGATCTTCTTACCTATCTATTATAAATGATGTGGTCAATGATTGATTACTAACAAACTTTTAATATGTTTAATATAGGACTATGGTTGGTTTAGAGTATGAGGTAGTCGTCGATAAGGAACCACTGTTATTTATTATTGCAAAACAAAATCGGTTGACTGCTAACGATGCTATTACACAGACTCTTTACTATGTTATCAATGGTAGTATCTATCAGTCACCGGACATCAAGAACGTATTGGAGTCAAGAATGATACAATCGTTGTTCCATCTGATCAATGCATTCGAAAAGATATTGTCTACCGTTAACTGGGACATTGTCAAAGGCTATCAAATCAATTTGGATGGTTCTCAGATGAATCAACAAGAAAAGTCAAAGTTGGTGGCATTCACACGCAAACAAATCGAAGATACCAAGCGATTCGATAGTTTAATTAATACTCTTTTACAAAAGGTAACAGACTACATTGATCAATAGTCTACTATCTTATCTTTGACCACATAACTTATTATTAACAAACTTAACTAATTATCATTTGTATAGTTTCCACCAATTATGAAACCAGTAGAGCAACAACCTCAAGTTCAGAATCAATTGCAATCACAGATACCACCACTACAGCTACAGCAACAGCCACAACCAATGTAATAATTAATATTGAACACATCACACATATTCATGTAGGCTTGTACAGATATCACACACACATATATATAATGATAGAAATAGTTCATTAACATGTACATTCACTTTTTGAATGAAATTTTCAAAGATCTTTTGTTGCGATGATTATAAGATTTAATTCTCCACCGACATTCAATTTATAAAGCAGTAGATAGCTATATAAATATAATAAATAAGAAATGTATATTTTGCTCTCAAATTATATAAATACAAACCACCTTATTACTGAGATAAAAGACGTCAATATAAATCTATTTCGTGATATATAAACACCTAGGCTATTTATATCGATATATCTGGTATAAATATACAAAGTTAATACAGTTTAGTATTTGAATATTTTATAGTTAAGTTTATTTAGATATTAAGGGTTATAAGTCTATACAGGATTAATAAAAAAGATTAAATGGAGTATCTAAGGTTTAAAAGAACTCTTCTTTGACAATCAAACCATTGCTATTCCATTGTTGGATTGCCCATTGAGTCTTGGTGGCTTTATGACCTCCATATGTGAAATCCATATACATTTCATAGGCTGTGTTATTTCCATCAACCAATAATTTAAGAACTATTTTTATTATTATTATTAATATTGATTGTTTTGTTAAGTTAAATTCATTAATTAAAATGAAAATTTATAATACATACGTTTTACTTCATGAATGGTTGCATTATTTACAAAACCTTCTTCAGCTTTTCTGTTTTGATCTTTTCCAACTCTGTTTGTGCTATCACCTTTCTCGTACATCACAACATCATCAGCATAATATTTCTCAAAGATATCCAAAATCTTGTTGGATTCGATACCTTTGATGATTGCTTGAATGTTTGATCTAATATTTACGGACATTTTGATTGAAAAGTTAGGAAGATAGGTAGAAAATTTATTAAAATGATTGTTTTTTAATTATATTGTAATTTAATTGTTTGTTTTGTAATGATTTGATTATTACTCTAAAGAGTACTATTTATACATTTTGTAATACATTGTGAATGAAAAATAAGAATAAATTAACAACTTTTAATAAAAGGTTCCGGAAGAATCTTGAAGCAATTTTTATTTAAAAAAATGTGGGGGTTTGACTATTTTATTCAAGAATCAAAGTGCTTGTTCAAGAAGGTGATCAATATCCATCTTAATGAAAAAAGATTAAATTAATTGAAATAAACAAAATAAGTAAAAAAAAAAAAAGTATATATTTTAAATAATTTACAAATTTATTGTTCGTTTATGTCAATTGATACGGATGATGAACTGCTATCACTATTATCGCTACTATTATTATCATTATTTTTGTTTGTGTTGTTAGGTTCATTTATATTTATAACTGTGTTGTTGTTGATGTTTGTTTCCTCTTCCTGTTCTTTAAGGTTGTTGTTGTCCATGTTTGGCTGGACATTACTCCCTGATTCAAACTGTTTATCATTAAAAGCGGTTTGAAATTCTTCAGTTGTATTCTCTTTGATTTCCTCTTCCTCCTCCTGTTCAGGACCGTTTCCAAAATTGGGTGTATCAAATTCGTTATCATTGTCTTCAAAGAAAGTATTCTCTATTTTTTCTATTTCTTCACCTTCGATCGATGATCTGAGTCTGTTGAATTTCGATGATGGTGGTGGAGGAGGTGGTGGTATGGGATGGTTGTTCGTCGCTATGTTACCACCCTCTGCATCTGCCATACTCAACGCAATTGCCATTTGTAATTCAGTATCGTAAGATTGATTCAAATGGTATTCATTCTGATTGAATGTTCTATTATTTCTATTGTTTTGATTTGTCTGTTGTTGTTGGTGTGAACCTCTATTGTTATGAGTATGATGATTATTATTATAGTTGCCGGGAGGTGGAGGAGGTGGTTGTGGAGCATTCAATGCCATCGCTGGATGTTGTTCAGCAATTGGAATTGCACCTTGATCCGACTGGTCAAGTCCGGCATCCAAGATAATGGAGAGACTGGTATTGTACTGACAAAGGACACCCATCTTCTTCCAACCAAAGTCCTTCTTTCCGTATTCCACAACGAAATCAAATGTTGGATTACCATGCTTCATAATATTGTTGACTGTCTTTATGAGTACTTTCTTTTTGTAGAAGCAATCCAGAGCCAGCTGTACCAATGGCAATCTTGAAGGTGATGTTCGAGCGTTGTTGGTTGACCTCTTCGATCTTGAGGAATTGTGGACACAGTGAAATTGGATAGCCAGTGAACATGAGAGCGGCACGAACCTTGGTTTTTCCAATGGCGTTTTCAATGGTCTTCCAAATCTCATCGCCAACCAACGACAAAGCGGAATCGGCAATAACAAAGTTTGGATCTTTCTGTCCTTCAAAGGTAAAGATGATTCCACCGTCCTCTGGGACATCGACAAACACACCGGTAAGCGCAACCTTTGGGGTGGCATCGGCAATCACTGGCTCACCCCAATTGTTTCTAATGATACGATAACTCATAAAGATGAGGAATCCAGTGAGCAGACCGGATGGAATAAAGATATAGTATATCTTAGTGACGATTGGAATGATGATTGGCCAGCAAGTCCAGATCAAGAAGAGTGGGAACATGAGGAATTCACCGATGAAGCAGGCACGACGCAGACGATAACATACATAGGTTGGTTTGGCAAGGAGCATCTTGTAGAATCCCCAGAATCTACCGACAAACACCTTCTTCAACAACCAATAGTATGCCTTCCACGGTGAGAACAATGGGAAGAATTTCTTTCCTACCAAGAAAGTTACGTTCCAACACACGATCATAACGAGCACCCAGAATGCCTGTGCAAACCAGATTCCAACAGAGAATTGCTTGGTGTTGTCGTGCCAGAACGCACGATTCGAGAAGAAAGCATGCCAGTAGTCGGCGAAGCCAAGATTCTTTACGTTGTAGGCACCAAGAGAAATGATGATTGGCAGCATCAAGAGGATACCTTGCATGAATAGGAAGACGGGGAAGAACAATGCCTGTAGGATAACAGTGATATACTCGAGAATAACCATTGGACCTTGAGCTTTTCCAAGCTGTGTCCAATTGGCATTGATACGCTTCTGGTTCCACAATGGCGAACCAAGAGTAACCAAAAACATATAGACACTATTGATTCCTACCATTGCAATACCCAATTCATTTGGAACACTAATTAATGCACCTACAATATTGAAGACAGCAAACTTATCAAACTCCCAATAGTCAAGGAATGAAATAGAACATTCTAGAGTATCAAAATAAAAAAAGGATTAATATATATGCTTATAAATATTAATATTAATATTAATTAAAAAGTAAAACTTACCATGTAACCAAATTAAAATAAGATTCAAGAATGAATTGGTTGGTGTCTTTGTTCTCTTTGAGAGGTAAAGGTGTAGTGGGAAGAATACTAAACCTACTGCTTTGATTGGTGCAAATACAAGGTGAGGTAGATCTCTAAGTGATTCCATAAAGTAGAATGAAAGATATGGACGAATGTCGTGGATTTCAAACTTTTCCTTTGATGCAGATTTCTCTTTCATGATTGCTTGCCAGCAGAGTTTAACTCTTGTAATACAAATTAAGATGACCAATGCTTGCATGAATCCCAACATATCCAATAGAATAAAGATCAAAGTCATACCGGATGCTTCTATCACTGCTTGAGTCTCTTTCCACTTGCTGCTTCTGACTTCTCTCTTCAATTCAGCTTTCAATACCTTTATGAATGTTGGTATTCTCCAAACAGTAACTAATATCACCAACACTAAATTATATTAAAATAATTAACTTGATATTAGTATAGCAGTAATATAATATAGTTATGAATATGTACTTACTGAATATAAATGATATAATATCAATAAACATAATACCAAAGTATCTGAGTGCCATTAATCTTGACTCTCCGTCGGTCTTACAATCTTTGATGACAGCTCTAACGAGATAGATACCTCTCCATGGGAATATCATTGTGAAGAGTCCGAGAATTACGAATGGTATATCGATGATGAGATTTTGGAAAACGATCGCTACTTCTCTGTGTTCGTTGTCGCCACGTTTGTACTCACGAATCACTTTGATAAACGATGGTATTCTCCAGAGGGTGATAAAGATGATGAGTGTTGGTACGATACAGAGTATGTCAAAGAGAACATAGAGTAGATAACGTAGAATCAACAGACGACGTTGTGCGTATTTACGTGCTGGATCATCGATTTCTCTCAGACGACTGATCAATATAGGTAGACGCCACATTGTGAGTAACAATAGTACTGGGAATGGAATATCGATGATCAACAAGAAGAATTGTTTACCAACAATCTGATGCCACGATTGATTCGTAGTCGAGGAAACAGTGGCTGCAGGTGCTGGATTGTCTTCATCGTCTGCATTACCATTAGCATTGCTTGTATCCATATTCACAGAGGTGTTGTTGTTGCTGTTGCTGTTGTTGTTTGAACCTTCGTTGTAACTAAAGATTTTAGCTGCTTTGAGATGTCGAATGGTTGTCGGTGCTCGATAGACTGTCAGCATCAATATTAGGAATGCAATTGCTGTTGGGATATCGAGTAGCAAGAACACGAATTGTTTCATAATGTATCTTCGCTGTACCCATCGCGATACACCCGTTGGGAATCCACGCACAAAGAAGTACGCTCTCCAACCTGTTCCCAAGATGATGAACGAACACAGGATGAATGGAGTATCGATCAGGTCGACAAACAACCAACCGAAATGGTGGAGAATACAACGACGACGTTGATGATTCTTGGTTGCGGCATTGCAGTCGCGAATCATAAAGGGTGCACGCCAAACCAGTATGGTGACGAGTGCTGCCATCGCTCCGTATGGAATGTCACGCATCAACTTGAGCCATTGCACCCAGATGATGTATCGATAGGACTTGTTGTTGGTTGGTGACTTGAGCTTTCTGTAGATTCTTGGCAGACGATAGACAGTTGGAATCAAAAACAACATAAATAAAACCATTACAATATCGACAAAGATGTACCAGATCTGCTTGAGAACCTCGAATCTACGATCGCCAGCACGGATATTCGGTGCGCGCAACTTCTTGATGGTGATATACAGACGATAGATTGTTCCAACAATGAAGATTGTGAACAAAACAAACATCAGGAGATCCAACAGCGCCCAGAGAACTTGTCTGATAATCTTTATTGTCGAGCCATCCCACGTTCTGGCGGCAGAGGCTTCACGATAGGCATAGACAACTCTGTATGGCACCAAAACAAGGAAGATCGAGCAAAACATGACGAAAACATCCCAAAACAATTTGATAAACTCCCAGATCACCAAGACACGCAGTTCAAAGCTGAATACAATCGAACGTTCCTTGCGGTGTCTCTTCAGTGAGATGAATCGCCAGTGGAACAGTGTGACGACCAACAGCATCGGGAGACACAGCAGATCTGGGAAGATCAGCAGCATGTGCTTGTAGAGTTGCTTACGTACAGTGTCTTGTTTGGAGTATCTGCCAGTGGGTTGCTGTGAGTCTGAAAACGTTGAGTACAAAAGGAATGGAATACGAACGACGGTTCCAATCGAGAGGATCAGCGCAAAGAGTGCTCCGAGATCGGCAAACGCTTGGCCAACCTGCTTGAAATAGTCGCCAAACTTGATTTTAATCGATGGAAACTTGTAGGTTGTGAAAAAGAATCCGACGGCATTCACCGCTAGCATTCCGAGTGCTATTACATATGGCACATAGGTCTTGTGGTCTGGAATAGCCTTGCTAATGAGCCATCCATACAAAAAAGACAACCCAAGAAAAGCACAAGGGAAAAACGGTAATACCACCACAATTCTAGGTATACTCAATACCGCATGTGTAAATTTATTATTTCTAATATCATCATATTTATTTATAAAAAACTAAATTTAGAATAAATATAAAAAAAATGTTAATTAAATTTGTTTTTTTTTTTTTGATTGATTGATAGATCGATCGATCAATAGATTGATCAAACACAACACATGTTAAAATAACATTACCTGTACTACTATTGAATAGAGTGTTAGTGGTAAACTTATTATACCACATAGGTAACCTAGTAATTCTAATAGTTTTATAATTAAAAACAAGATTAAAGGTGACCCACTATCCATTTTTTGTTATTGTTTTTAACTAAATTAAAAGAGATAACTAAAAACTTTTCAAAAGGGTCTATATATATATCTATATTTGGTATATTATGATGAGTTGAATGCAGCTTTTATATATATGGTATTTTTGTTTTTATTTTCGATATATTCTAACTAAGAGAAAAAAGAGTAATACTACAATTAATTATAAATAAGTTAAAGTTATGAATTGAATGTTTATTTTTATTATTATTTATATATTTATTACGATTTTAAAAAAAAAAACTTAAATATAAAACTGTTTTTTTTTTTTTTTTAAAGATTGCTTTTTTTAAATGATTTTTTTCACACACCCATTAAAATCAAACGATCAAAGTTTTCATCGAAAAATTTTTGACACTGAATTGATCAAACAACAACCATTCCAAAATTAAAAAAGAAAAAAAATAGAATGAAACACATCGGCCAACAATGATGGCATTTTGGGAAATCGAGAAATTTCAATAAATCATTAATCTTAATTTAAATTGATCATCATACTTCCAAATTTAGAAATCAATGGCAAACAAAGTTAAATCGATAACTTTTTTATAATAATAATTTCAAACAAATATTTGCATTGTTTGCTTTCCCACATAAACTAATGGAAGTTTGCAAATTACTGAGCTGTTAATTTTTTTTTTGTTCATCTTTGGGAAATATAAACAAACCTAAATAAATGATTTCAAAATTTAAGAAAAAGTTAATTTACAAACATAATAAAATTGATTTTAATATCATACTTTAAATAACTTCTATTAATAATAATTTTTTTGAAATAAATAAAACCTTTTTATATTTATTCTCAATAAATTTAACTTCAATTATAAATTTCTAATTTTCTATTAGAGACAAATAAAATTTAACCTTTTAATCAATAAACTAGATTAGTGTTCATTACAAATTCTTTTTTAACAAAAATGTTGGAGCAGTGTTTTTTTTTTAAATGGGACTACAAGCGGTTAGTCTGAGAGTAGACTCCTGAGATCCTCTCAGATACGACCAAAACACACTCATTAATACTATATGCAATACATTCTCAATTGGCTAAGTTAGGGATAATCAATCTTTCTTTTTCCAACCCAAGGAGATTTCGAAGAGAAATGTATATCACTAGACAAACTGTTGTTGTGCAGCCAATTTCCAGACATTCCAAATTTGGCAACTGTGAGGATGATTCACAAATTAGAAAATATGGAACCAATCGCATTTGAGTGCCATCCCCACTCATTTAATTCACCAACACCACAGATCTCTGAGAGCATTCCGGGCGGTGCTTCCATTACAGTCGCCGACAAAGCATTTGCTCTTACCTATGCCGACGCCGATAAAGTAAAGACGAAACGAAAGAACCTTTTCTCAAAGGAGAAAATGAAGAAATTCAAAAACAGTGTCTATCAAATCTTGGCGCCATCCACCCAACTACCCATTCATCTTGTCGACTCTGAGACACTGGTGACCTATCTTGTGCCATTCCTCATGGAGCGCTTTTCATGAGTGGTGTTCCTGCGCATCGTCTCGAATACGAGTTGACTTTGATCAGCTCAACGTTTGGTATTGACGGTAACTACTATTCTTAGATATTTTAATTTAAAAAATATAAATAAATCTTTAGAAATTATTTATTTTTAAATTCTTTTTAATAAAAAAGTTATGAATAACAGAATTAATCTAAGAGAATGTAAAACTATTCATCTTTAATCATTATAGTAATTTATTCTTTTATTATACAATTAAATTATTATATTTATTATATTACTATAACAATGCGTTTAGATAAATCTTTTTTTTTTTTTTTTTGCTAAAAATATATATATTTGTTATTTTTAATTATTTCTTTTTACTCTTTTCCTTCTTTCCTTCTTTTCTAAGTTTTGCTTCAGCTCTTTGTCTTTCTTCAACGATTGATTTATATTCTTTAGCTTTATCGGTGTTGCCTTCCTTGAGATACCTTAAATCTTCACGGAAACGACAATCGGTTGGAAGTGGATTCTCTTCGTAGACGATACCTGGCGGCACCATCTTGATATCCCAATATACAGTGTTATCAAACGACAGATGAGTCAACCATGATCCCTCAAAGCTACAGATTACATCGGCGTCTTGTTTCTTTTCTTTTCCAGATTTCGACTCGGTTGTTCCAGTCTTGAAGATCTGTCCTACAAAATAATCGGAAGGTTCTTTTTGTTTCGAGAAAATTGATCTTACAAATCCTAGCGCATGTGGATTAAATGTAATTTCACAACTATATCGTGTTTATCAAAATACAAATTTTAATTAATAACAAAATAAAACAACAATATTTTGAATCAATATTTTAAACTTACCATATCTTATTCTTTTCATCGGTAAACAATATCTTTCCATTGAAATCAGTTAGTCTGTCACCCCAGAAGATACCTTTGACCAAGATCTCTGGGAGTGTCCAAGTGATGGTTCCTCCATCGTGGAACTCAATTGTATGTGTACCCTTTTGGTATCCTTTGACGATGTTTCCTCTGCAGCTGGCAGACCACACTCCGTAGCCGTAGTAGTGATATCTGTTGTCTTTGTCTTGCACCTGCCAGTTACTGATGGGTGGATGATGTGAAGTCTGTTCACAAAACACCTTGGTACCGTCGTAGAAATGTCCCTCGAATGTCTCACCCAACAGTGGGTTGAATGGTTTCGTTAGAGTACTGGTGAGATGCAAACCACTCATAGTGAAAGCAACTACATACTTGAGTCTCTCAACTGGATCGACAGCAGCCGCAGCCTTTGATAGATATACAGGAGCGTAACACCAAGTATCAGTCAACTTCTCCAAAAACGATCTCGGTTCAAACAATGCAATTGGTAGTGAAGTATTAACCAACTCTTTACCTTCGATCAAACTGTTACCTGCACTTTTAACCAATTCCCAACAAACTCTAAAACAATATGAAATAAGTTAGTATTTAAATAAATATGATAGCAATCAAATTTTAAATAATTAATAATAATTTACCCTCTTTGCTTTTTTAATTCAACCTCATCAACGAATTTCCAACCACCAGATGGATGTCTTTGATTCTGTGCAAATACTTTAGCCTGCAATTGTTTACCATTTCCAGGATGAGTTATCTCTGATGATGAGGAGACTAAAGGTATTGATTTACCAAGTGGAAATGGAATCTCACCACTTGAAGACATAACCTTTGAAGTCATTTATATTTATATATATTTATAGAGATAATTAAAAAAAAAATAAAAGGTAGATGATTTAAAAGAATAAAACTTTGGTACAAGTAGATAATTTACAATTAAAATTGAAAGATTTAAAATAAACGATAAAAAGTAAATGATAATATATTAAATTATTAAAAATACAAATGAAATTATATAAAATAATAATATTGGTAAATTTAAACAAATATAAAAATAAGAATTCTAAATGAATTTAAATTACCAGGTATGGTATTACTTTCTTAATAATATTATGCTACTGTACTATTATATTAATATTATTATTATTGTTATTATTACTATTGTTTTTGTTTTTTTTTGATAAATCTAATAAAAATAAAAATAAAAGAGATGTTAGTTAGATACGAAAATAATAAAATGATATTAATAGAGAGAGGTGTTCAAAGATAGAATTAATTAAATTGTTTTTGTCCAAAAATAATAATAATAATGGTTGAATATTCGACCAAAAAATAATCATATCATATGGAAAAGAAATTAATTAAATGTGTTTGTTAATTGACCAGTTGGAAATAGTGTGATGTGATGTTATGTTATGTGATGATCCTTTTTGATAATATTAATATTACTTGAGTGCAAATTTATCAAAATATAAAAATATGTGATTGTTCCAAAAAAAAATTAATTGCAACTCTGTGAAGAAATACGAGTTATTTTTGTATGGTTGTATTATTAATATAAATATTTGTAAGTGGTACTGTTTCTTTGTTTTCTGATGTTGTTTGTTCAATACTAACTTGTCAACACTGCAGTATGGTATGCAACACCAATCATCCAGTAGACAGACTCTTGTCTTTGTCAGTCAGTTGGTTAATGCAAAAATGAAAAAAAATAATTAAAAACAAAAAAAAAAAAAAAAAAAACAGGAATGAATAATAATAATTAAACTAAACAACAAACAATCCTACTACTATCGATAAACCTAACCAATATAACCAAATAAAATAAAATAAAATATTTTTATTTAATTATTAAATTAGAATTGGTGAAATGATAAACAAAGAGCAACCTTTTAGGTGGTGGGGTGGGTGTTTTTTTCGTGTGTGGTGAAAAGAGGTGAGAATGTGTGTTGTTTGTATAGGTAAAAAAATTAAATTTTTGTGATTCTACGTTTTTTGAATTCTCAATTCAATTGAATTGTGATGTTGCTTGATAATAACAATAGCTCTGTTTTTTGGTGTTGCTGAAGATTGATATTGGGGTGGATTCTAGTGATATTGAAGATGTTTGTATTTTCTTTTGCAGAGATAAAAGGAAGTTGTAATGCTAAATATATCTTAGTAAATAAATAATGAAGAGAATCTATAAAATCTGTTTTAATTTAAAAGATATAAATGTATGAAAAAGCAAGCAAATCAAAAAACAAAAAAAATCTTTAGTAAAAAATAAAAACAAAAATAGTTTTTTTTAAAAATAGATTGGTTGGGAGTTTTTTTTTTTTGCCTTTAAATTTTTAATTTAAGAATATTTAAAGATATTAATAATTTATTTACCTTGACAATAATATTTTATAATAAATAGATAAAATGATGATATATATAAGATTTGATTATTTAAATTAAAAATTGTTGTAAAATTGATTTTTTATTTCTAAAAATGAATTATCATTAATAAATGGTAAAATTTTGACATTTATTTATCAATTTTTCAGATGATTTAAAAAAAATTAAATTAAAATTTTTATAAGGTTGTGGTTATATGTTTGCACCAATCAAAAAAAAAATTGGCATCAAATTCCTAAAAAAAGGAAACAGTTAAGTTGAGTGTGGTTGTCGTGTGCACAAAATATGGTCATATCATATGGTTGTAATATTTTTATATATAAATACAACTCTGAACCATTCAGTGGTACATTTGGACAAACTTTAGTTATCTTTTATTTTTTGAAACGACTAAAACTTTTATTCATTTCATTAGTAAAAATAACACACTATTAATGTCAAGTTAAGTTCATATATACTTACTTAGTAAACTATTTTATAAATACACACGCACACACATTACAAGATTTCTTTATAGGAGTTAGTTTAGAGAGGTTAAATTATAATACAAGATTGTTTATTTTAAAAGAAAGTTTTGGGTTCTTTTCAAGTATAAACTTTGACTTGGCACTATCGATTGCCAAGAATCTACAGTTTTCAGACATTAGTGTATATTCATGTTCAACTTCAACTTGAGCTTGAACCTCTACTTCTAGTATTTTTAATAGCATCTGTTTATCATCTTCAATGTTGTTGTCTTTGTCATTTTTCTTCTTTTTCTTTTTCTTCTCTGATTTCTTCTTGCTTGGTAGAACAAGATTTCTTACGACATACCACTTGAATGGTTCTTTTTGTAGTGTTAGATCTCTATGTTTCTCAAAGAAGAGGAATTTCTTTTGTTTCTCCCCGGATGCCAAATACATATCGTTATACTTTATGAAATAGCTATATCCATTGGTTGATTGTATTTCGAATTGATTGATATCGATATTTCCAAACGTTACATTAAGTTGTAGATTGTCGTTGTTGTTTTTGTTGTTTTTTGATTTACTATTTTTAGATAGTTCTAATATTGATGTTGGTGATGGTACAATCGCAACGGCCAAAGAATGAGTTGACGAATCTCTGAGATGTTCGAGTCGGTAGAGTGCAACATCATTGCGTCTCTGAACTTTCGAGAGTGAATGATAAACTTTATCGAGTGGATCTTTGAACCATTTGTATTTGACGATCGACATTCCAACAACAATCGGTAGCGAAATGAACAATGTCCATGGTAGCGCCAAGCCGACGACAGCACTGCCAGCGATGAACCCACAATACGCAGTGTTGAAAGCACCACGACGATAGTCACACGATTTGAAATCTACATAAGCTTCGTAGCATAGCGGTAGCAGCGATATAAAAGTAAGTGGCAACATCACAGCACCAAACAATACTCTTGTATTGGCGAGGAATGCAAACGACGTATTCTTCAAGGTTGACATTGCAGGCCGAAGAAAATCCGTCAAGTAAACGACGGTCTCTCCACAATATTCGAGAGCTGGCCGAATTGTTATCATTATTGTGTTGGCGAATGACAATGCCAGTTGTATTGATGACGAAATAAACGATACTATTTCAAGCGAGCTAAGTCGCTCTGCACTCGCCACACTATAGACAGTCGCCGCCAATCCGGCAACCATACATATTCCGCCGAGAATATTGATAGAGTTTGCCGGTAAATATGGGAATTTATTAGAGATCGATGCTCGTAGCTGCTGAATGAACGTTGATTGCTCATTTCCAGAGACAGCATTGAAAGCATAGCTAAGTTCAATCGCCACCTTGTTGAGACCGATGCCAGCTATCACACCGGTGATATCATTGCTATGCTGTTGGTTGTAGTAGTCGAGCATCGCTTGGAGATCGGATGGTTTCAACTTGTTTAGAGTGACAAGCGATGGCAGGTTAAAGATAACGCTATGTCTAAATCCAAGATCCGACACGACAGAGAGCGCTTCTTTCGTTTTCGAGGGATCGAGTATATCGAATTTCATTTTGACATCCAAGATAATTTCTTTGATCGTTCGGTAAAGACCACTAACAAAATACATTGGATCTATTTTCCTGAGGAATTGCAAGTATTGGCTGGCGACATCCTGTGGTGGATCAACCAAATATTTCGGTGGAATCAGCCGTCGATATTTCAAGAGTCTGATTTCTTCGACGTGTGTTTCGAACTTCTTGTTCGAAGAGAGAAACTCTTGTAGTTGGCAATCTAAGATCTCTTGATTGATTGGATGTTTATTTAGTGTCTTCTCAAAGAGAATGAGTGGTAGGTATAGGTTCGACGCTTCTTTATAAAATGCCAGATCATCATTGATTATAGCTTGTATTTCAACATCTATAACAGGCCTTTCTAAACCTAGTCTTTTCAGTATCACTTTGTCAAACATAGAGATTAAGATATTTCGAATGCATATAGTAACATCCTTATTTATTGTACATTGTAAACTGTTTGTTTTGTGATCATATTGAAAACTAGTTACTTGATGTAAATCTTCCATTTTCCTCTAATAAATAATACTAATACTAATCATACAAAATAAATATTAAACCATATCTAACATTAACAATAATATAAATAAATATAATAATAATAAAGAGAAGGACATTTAAAAGGTATTCATTTGGTGGTGTTTTACAAGACCAACTTAAAAATTTAATTCATTTTGCCCAACAACAATGATCATGTTGTAAGGCTTTTTTTTGTTTTGCTTCGCCACACAAAAAAAAATTGGTCCTTTATTATAAAATAGAAATATTAATCTGAATTCATAGATAAATTAAGAAAATCAATAGAATATTGACATGATTGTCGTGAGAAGATGTGTAGTTGTAATTTTTAGATTGCCGACAATACTTATAAATAAATTATCAATATAACTATTAATAACTAATAGTTATACATTATATATCGATTGTTTTTTTAAACAATATGCAATATTAAAATAAATAATAACAAAACAAATAAGTTGATATTTATGCCCAAAAGAAAAAAAAAAATCTAAAGGTGGGGTGAACATCACCAAAATTTTTTTTTAATTTTAATATTAAATTTTGTTTTGTGTTTAATTTTAAACAATCTTTCAATTTCATTGAGTTATTTTTTAAAACAAAGTAATAGATAATCAATTAAAAGATAACAATGTCAACACGTGCCTTTGCTTCATCTGTCATCCCTGTACCTTCAGAAAAGGTTTGTATTCTCACAAATCATTATAATTATAGATAGATAGATAAATATTGTTTGTTTTTTTTTTAGTTATGAATAATAATAATAATTCTTATCTATTCATTATTATTATTATTATTTTATTATTAGGTATGGAATGTATTAAGAGAATTCACTTTCCCAGAAAAAGTATTCAGTTCTTTGATTGAATCAGCTGTTATGGACGAAGGTGCATGTTCAACCTCCGTCGGTGCCGTTCGTACTCTAAAGTGGAAGACCGGTGAGGTTCGTAAGCACCGTTTGTTGGAACTCAGTGACTTTAACCACTCTGTCATCTGGGAAGTTATCGAGAGTAACCCACCAACTGAAGTAACTGGTAATTATTGATAATAATAATAACTATTTTTTTTTATTTTTTTATTAAATCATTACAATCACTCATTCATTCTCTTGATTGTTAACAATAGCTTCGATCAGTTATTTGAAATTGTACCGTATTGCCGATACCAATCAAACTTTGTTGACCTGGGAAGGTGAATTCAGTAGTGATGTAAAGAACGACATTGTTCAATTCGAGCAAAAGTCATACCAAGTCAATCTCCAAGAAATCAAGAAGTACTTTACCAACTAAATCTACAAAGATTGAACTTTTAATACAATGTATAGATAGATTGAATAAAATAAACAAAATATAAAAATATGGTCTTTTTTTTTTTACAAAGTAAACAAATTTTCTAACAAAAAATCGAGTTTATAGTATTTTAAGAATAAAATAAACTAATATATAATTGTGAATTCGATAAAAAATCACTGTCATTGTTCATTTTTTCGAAGAAGACAAGAAGTCGTCTTCTAATGTATTTGATAATAGAATCTTTTTATTAAAACATAAATAATTAATTTACAAAATAAGTCTGATTAATTCGATATTGACGGTTTCAATCGAATGATTGTTTTGTTGAAAATTTTCTTGAGATATTGATCACCAAGAAAAAAAAGGTGCAACCATTTCCTTTTGCGTGTAAAAATAGAAAAATAATAAAAACAAATTAAAAAATATTCAAAACAGACACAACCAAATGTACAACTTTGTCAAGTGTTCGATGAGGTGAACATCAATTGGTTGTCCGTTGCTTTAAAGGTTTATTAGTTAATTAGCGAAGATAACAAGGTTGCACTGCAATCATTGAAATATTATTGGGTAAAAAACAACATTAACTATTCGGGATCACTTTGTAGAAATGTTATTGGGCTTTGTAAGTTGACTTACAGATCTGTTTTTCTTGTAACTTGGACAAATCATATCGTTTCTTTTGTTAGGATTAGATTAATAATGAATGATCACTATGAAACGACAAGAATATAAATACTAATAGTTTAGGGTTTGAATTCAATACAATACAATACAATTCAATTCGATATCAATTAACAAACATACAAATATATTATTACTTATTTTTTAAAATATACATACATTATACATAAATAAAAAAAATGAATTTCCTTGCAGAAACTCTTACTACCGGATATGTAGGAATAACTGACTCACCAGCCTATGGACAACTTGGTAGTACTTTGTATGGTTTTCATCATGGATATGGTGTCAATCACGAACTTTGGTACACAACATCGACCAACGGAGCAACATGGACTGCTGATACTCAGGTTATTGGTGTACAAATGACATATTCTCCAGCTGTTGTAATGTTTCTTTCATCTCTATTCGTTTTCCATCGTGGTAGTCCAAATACTCCTGTAGGTTCTTTGCATTATGTAAAAGCTACTGGTTCAACAGTAACAGGAGACACCTATGTGGCTGTCCCATATGAGGTTTATCAAATTGCCAACTCTCCATCTGCAACTGTTTTCAACAACCTTTTGTATGTTGCTTATCAAGGAGGATCAATAGTGGGCCATCTTGAAGGTAATGGACAGTTGGTTCTTGGTTCTTCAACAGATGGTGCAACATATAATTGGAATTATAAGATAGTACCAGGTGTCACATTAACTGGATCACCATCGATGGCAACATTCAATGGAAAGATCTATATTGTATTCTGTAACACTGCTTTGGGTAATGGTGTCTATGTTACAAGCACATCAGATACCAACACTTGGACCACTCCAACACTCATTCCAAATGTCCAAGTATCAGGTGATCCAAAACTAACAGTCACTGCAAATAAACTGGTTTTAGTACATCGTCATCCAACCAATGCCAAACTTCATGTTGTCACATGTAACAATCTTGGTGTTTGGTCTGCCGATCAAGTTGTCAACACAAGTGATATGTCTCAGGATCCAGGTGTTGGTGTTTTCAATGGTAAAGTTATTGCTGGTTTAACTACTAGTACTGATGCATATATGCATACAGTTCTTGAACAATAGATATAAAATAAATAAATTATCATTTCCAATTTATTTTTAAATTAATTTGTTATCAATATTTATTGGTGAGCTCAATTTCTCAATTTAATTTTGTTCAATACATTTCATAAGTCATATTAAATTTTTAACTTTAGAATTCATTTCATTATTAAAATAAAATGGTTGTTTTATATAATTTTTTGACACTTCTTTGTATTAAATAAATAAATTATTTTATTTTTTAAACCTCATTGTCTACTCAGTTTACTCAAATATATATTATTGGAAAAAATATAACCTATAAAAGGAATGGTTTAGAAGATATGAGTTTCTTTATAATAATACTTAAAAAATAAATATCAAATATATTAACAGAATAGTGAAACTTTTTTGATAGCAAATCTATCAGATCTATTTCATCAACCAGAAAGTGGAAATTTACAAAAAAAAACCCTTCTGAGTTTTGATTGGATAAACTTCTGACTCAAAACATAAGCAAATTTGATTTTTTTAAACATAAAATTGATATTATTAAATATTAATAAATGGTGTAGATTATGAGAGTTCGAGGTTGAAACAATTTTTTGAACAGGGTAGGAGCAAATTACAAATCAATAAAAAAAAAAAAAATTTGGTGAATTCTTAAAAAAGTTGTTGGGGTTTGTAACTAAGTCAGAATATGCAAACTTGGATAATGATTTTGATTGCATCGAATTGGATTGAAAATGAAAGACAAAAACTATAAATAACAGTAAAGAAACAAGTAGAAAATCAAATCAATACAATATTATTAATTCTAATTTCAAATACATTCTTTATTATATTCAAATAAATAACCTAAAAACAACCAAATAAATATTTATTTATTTTTCTTTATTTAATAATATATCAATTAAAATATGAATTTTAAACCAGAAACTATAATAACAACTCCAAGCTATTATGGAATTACTGATTCACCAGCCTACATACAATTAGGTGGTACAGTATACTGTATTCATCATGGTTATGAAAATAATCATGAACTTTGGTACACCAAATCCAATGATTTAATTACTTGGACCGCTGATGCTCAGTTTGTAGATGTACAGACGACATTCTCTCCAGCTGCTATTGTGTTCAATTCAATTATATACGGTTTCCATAATGGAAGTCCAAATAGTAGTGGTGATCTGAATTATGTAAAAGTGACTGGTAACTCTGTGACACAGGATAACCCAATTCATGGTCTTCCTGAATGGAAATCGTCCAATTCACCATCTGCAACGGTTTTCAACAACCTTATGTACCTTGCTTATCATGGACCGAATAACAATGGAAAGTTGCTACTTGCATCCTCACCCGATGGTGTAGCTTCCAATTGGAGTTATAAAGAAGTACCGGGTATCACAATAACTGGATCACCATCGATGGCAACATTCAATGGAAAGATCTATATTGTATTCCGCAATACCGCTTTGGGTAACGGTGTCTATGTTACAAGCACATCAGATACCAACACTTGGACCACTCCAACACTCATTCCAAATGTCCAAGTATCAGGTGATCCAAAACTAACAGCCACTGCAAATAAACTGGTTTTAGTACATCGTCATCCAACCAATGCCAAACTTCATGTTGTCACATGTAACAATCTTGGTGTTTGGTCTGCCGATCAAGTTGTCAACACAAGTGATATGTCTCAGGATCCAGGTGTTGGTGTTTTCAATGGTAAAGTTATCGTTGGTTTAACCATAAGTACTGATGCACATATGCATTTAGTTAGTGAACTATAATTATAAAATAAAATAAAACCATTGGTGTACTACATTCCATTAGTGCATCATCATCGTGGTCATCGATTATATTTTATTTAATTCTATTATTACTATTGAAATCATCCAATTGATCAATAAAAACATTAGTTGATGACGAAAAACTACTGTTCTCTCGTTTGACATTCTTGGTATTTAATATCACTTGCATTGCACAGACTCTGACCAAGAGTACCTCAAGAGTTGATCTAGTATTGTAAGGTTACTTCTTTGCTTCTTACTTTAATTTGATCTGCTTCTTATTTACTTGATTTTGATCCTTTTTCGTAATCTTTTTGTTTTAATAATAGACTATTACTAATATCAATCAATTGGTTAAAAGTTTGAAAAGATGAACAAAGTTGTTGAAAATGATTTTTTAAAAAATCTTTTTTTAAGAAAATGATGATCGTAAATAATTGTTTGCGATGGTATTAGGTGTTACATAGTGATAGTGTTCGTTGACTCTAAACTACTTTAATGATAATTTAATAATAAATTAAAGTTTAGATAACTTTAGCAATTTTTATTTTGTTTTTAAAATAATATATATATAAGTAACTTTTTGTTTTGTTTTTGTTTTGTTTTGTTAATTTTGATTAGCTCTTATTCTTTAAAGAATTATTTTATTCTTTTGGTGCCTCTGTAATTTGAATGATTTCTTGTGGACCTGTTGGTGGCTTGAGATCGGCATACGAATTGCTACGGAACAATTCACCACGACTGTTGATACGGAACAATTCACCACGACTGTTCATACGGAGTAGTTCACCACGACTGTTGACACGATCGATGTTGGGTGGACGCTTCTCGTTGACCAGATCCATCTTTCTGGCTTTGGCAAAGTCACCGAGTGCCTTCTTGAGTGCATCGGGTCCTTCGGTGAGCAGACCCTGTGGGATGGTTCGCGACGGAGTGAAACTCTTGATCATCATGATGGTCTCACGCTCCTGTCTCAAGATGGTGAACATACGCATGATCTTTGAGACCGATCTGACCTTGGCACGCAACATCTGCTTACGCTTCTCCTCTTCGTGGTCCACAACCTTGGTCTCTTGCTTCTCGGCTTCCTCGTCGTCACAGAGATTCAGAAGAACCAGCAACATCTCAGCGACCTTCTCAGAGACAAACGGCATCGACCACGAGAATACATCCATAAAGTTTGGCAACCAGTAGGGATGTGGTGAGCAATTGAATTGTCTAATATTCATAACGTTGTTCTCATATCTCAAGACAGCACCCTTATTGTTATAGGCATCAAGGTAGTTTGGTGCTGAAAACAATGTAATAACCGATGGGAATCCAGTTGCATCATTTTGTAAATGCATCTTATAACTAAATAAAGTAATAATAATAATAATAATAATAATAATAATAATAATAATAATAATAATAATAATAAATGAATTAACATTCACAAACTATGATTCAAACTTTGTTATTATATATATATATATTGATTTATACATACCCAGCATTTTGAGCTTCATGTGCTCTGATAACAGATAACAATTTGTTTTGTTGTAAGAAATGACAGACTGCTCTGTAACTATAGGTATATGAACATCCTCTTACATCATTAGGCAAGTAATGATCTCTAATTTCAGGAGAGAACTCTTCCATTGGATCTGCCCACAATAAATCACTGAATAATACATATAATAAATTGATCAATATGATGATTATTAATCTACTACTAAATTATTAATATCTTAACATACCACATTGGACCACTAGAAGGTGGTTCCTTAAATCTATCTATATTTGCAATGTCATCCAACTGTAAAAGTGAATCATCATCATTATTAGTATACTGTTAACAGTTCGATCGAACTAACATATCTAATTATTGTTGTTTGTAACATACAGTTTTAACATCTGGTGATAGACCACCATGGATACACAAGAATTTACCATTCATTAAAGCAGCCAAAGGTAATGCATTGAATGACTCTGTAATGAAATCATAGATTTCTTCAGAATATTTATGAAGACCTATTTTGATTTGTTTTGTATTGATAATTTGATTTTCATTCATTTAGTTAGTTAGTTAGTTATTGATGTTGTAGAGATGTGTGATAGTTATTGAATACATACACTCCTCTTTAAAAGTAAAATAATCAGTCAAGTGTCTACATTCGTGGTTACCACGCAACAAGGTGAAAGTCTTTGGATAATTGATTTTACAAGCATATAGATACAAAATGACCTCCATTGAGAAGTATCCACGATCTACATAGTCACCCAAGAATAGATAGTTGGTGGATGCCGGTGATCCTCCGATATCATTTTCGAAAATCTTTATCAAATCATAAAATTGACCATGTACATCTCCACAAACTATTATTATTATTATTATTATTATGTATAATTTAAAAGTAGTAGTTGTTTTTCTTATTAGTAAAGTGTTAATCTAATCATAATAATAAATAATGATAAATTTACCTGTAATTGGTGCATCTACACAAACTAAAGTTGGTTCTTTTTCTAGAATTTCAGCGGCACGCTCAACGATCTCTTTGACATCGTCGTGGTTGAGTCTACCTTCGTGGAAGAAGTGTTCCTGTAGTTTTGGTAAATTAATTGTGTTGTCTGCATTGAATAAAACATTGTGTGCCAGTGGTTCATTTCTTGGATATTTGACACTTGACACAACACGGTCGGTGGTAGATAACTTTATATCTGTCATTGATTTGGTCCAATTCAACTTGGCACGATTACCTGGTGATTTTGGTGGTTGTTCTCCATCTTTATTGTTACTTGTTGTTGTTGTTGATGATGATGATGATGATGGTGTTGTTGTTGATCCTGTTGTTGTTGTTGATGATGATGTTGTTGTTGTTGATTGTTTATCCTTTACATTTGATGAATTGGTAGTAGCAGTTGTTGTTGTTGATGATGATGGTGATGATGAAGTAGATGGTTGTTTATAGAAATTAATAGGAGAGTTAGATACTTTGTTAGTTTTGTTTTCATGTTGTTGTTGATGATGATGAGAATGAGAATGAGAATGGTGACTATTCTTTGATGATGATGAAGTAGCAGTAGCAGTAGAAGTAGTAGGTTTAGAATTGATAGAGGTTGGAGTAGTAGTAGGAGTAGCAGTTGTGATAGATTTTGATTTAGCAAGAGTTGTAGAGGTAGTAGTAGGAGTAGGATTAGTGATGGATTTCTTCTTTACTTCTTCATTTGACTTTTTATCATTGGTTTTAGAGGTGTCCATTGGATCTGAGGGTGGTGATGAACTCATTCTCTATAATATATATATAACTAACTGTTGTTGATCACAAATCGATTGATGATAATATATACTATACAAGCTATTTATAATTATTTACTATATATAAATTATTATTTAGAATAAAATAAATATTAATATTAATTAAAAAATTTTGATTAATATGAAAAGGAATTAATTGGTTTTGAAAAGAACAAAAAAAAATTTTAATTTTAGATTTTTGATTGTTTGATGATTCTGCGAATAGCTAAAACAAATATTGATCAATATGATTTTTGACAATAACTATTATTACTTGTATTTCAAAGAATTCGAAAAATATATGTTGTTTCTATTGTTTGTTTGGTTTTGTTGTTTTATAAAAATATTAAAAATGACTAAATTTTTAATGTATTTAAATTTTTATAAAAATAAATCAAATAAAAATAAAAATGATAAATGTGTGGTGGTTTGTTTATTTTTGATTACCTGTTTGTTGTTAGTGATATGATTATTATTATTATTATTATTATTATTATTATTATTATTTAATGATTTTTTTTATAAAAATATATTTATAACCAACTATCACTATTCTTAATAACTTTTTTACCAAATTACAAAAGATTTGACTTTAATAAGACTTTGTATTGATTTTCAATTAATTTATTTAAAATCATTAATCAACTTGAATTCATTGATTTTGTGACAAATTTTTCTGTTTTGTCCGGGCTGACAACATCACCTTCTAATTTTTTCATTGAATTTTCATACCTTTCATTTTTTTGACACTTTCACATGTTTATAATAAAAAAAGATTTGAATTGTTTTGTCAATTAATCATATTTATAACTTACCACTATATATATATTTATTTATATATTAGGAAGTGGTAGATGAATTTGTTGTTTTGATTAACTATGTTTATTATTATTATTGTATTATGGTATATCCATCTATTCTATCTAATGCTTTATTGTAGGATAACTGCCATGTCTTGTAGAGACTCTTTACACAGTTTGGTATGTCGGTGAGTTTTGTGTCGTCGTTGAAGTTCCAGGGTTTCGGCAGCTCTTTGAGTCCCGCTGTGAAATGAAGGAAGTGCGTGCTCTCGTAGTCCCAGAGTCGCGGATCACTGCACTCGCAGTGTGTGATTTGCACGCCGTACGAAGGATAGTCGAGTGCCTTCCAGCGCAGTGTGTAGTTCATTACGTCCTGGTCGTTGATCACCGGCATCTTCTTGGCGACGACATTGATATTCGCGACGAGTCGTTCATACACCTCTGGCTTTGGCGCCAACACCACCAAGCCACTGTTGATGAGCTTGAGGCGCGCCGGCTGGTACGCGCAGCTGTTGGCGTCGGCATCGACAGTCGCGTAGATCGCCTCCGAGTCGTTCTCATCGATGTAGGAGAAGAGGTGGTCGATCGAGCGCAGAATCAACATGTCCGAGTCGAGCCAGATGATTCTGGTGTACTTGGACATCGCCCACGATTTGAACTTGGTGAACGCTGGCATCCAGCGCGCGATCTGCACCGACACCTCGCTGCCAACCTCGATTGGCTTGACAAGCTCCACCAGACATCCGAGTTTAGTCAGTCGATTTACGGTGGCATCCGAGATCTTCTCGGTGACCAACACCACCAGACTGTAGGGTGTGCCACTGTCGTCGAGTGATTGCTTCAGTGCAACCACGCCCTTTGCATACTCATCGTTATTCACAAAAGTAACGTAAGCATACTCTCCATTTGAATTTATTTTTACATCTGTACCTTTATTATTATTACTATTGTTATCATTATCTTTATTATCTTTATTTGTTTGTTGTTGCTGCTGTACATTTACATTTTTATTTTGATCAATATTACTTTGTTTTATATTATTTATATTATTCTTGCTATTTGTGTTGTTTTTTAAATTTACATTTGACTCGTCATCACCAACTCCACCTCCCAACAAAACAATGAAAAATATCAAATGAATTGATAGTAACAGTAAGATGACTGGATTAACTTTAGATTTCGCTCTCATTATTAGTTAAATAATATATATAAACTAATCTAATCTATCTCTAGCTATCTTATCTGTCAATCTATTTTTATAAAGTTGTAGAATATTAATTAATGAAAATTAATAATGTGTTTTCTCATTTTTTTTTTTTAATTAAACAAAACTGACTGACAACCACTACTACTAAAGCTTAACTTTATTAAACTCACATGAGCAAAAAACAAAAATGAAAAATTATCAAAAATTATTATTATTAATTTCACATTTTTAAAACACATTTTTTTATTTTTTATTTGTTTGAATCAATTTTTGATTTCATATCTTTAATATCTTTGAACTACACTCTCTTATTTTCAGAATAATCTTATTTCTTTTAAATTAGATTGTTGTTTGTTCATTTTTTGCCTTATTTATCGATCAATTTCAATTGATGGGAAATTTAGATAAATAAATTGAGAAATTTGATGTTTATCTTTTTCTTTTTTTGGTTAATTAATTCAATTCAAATTTGAATTGAATAAAAAATAATTAATTTGAAAAAAACACTAGCTTAGAATGTATCTGTATGATTGTTGGTTGGGATTTTGATGTGGTAATGATGTTTTTTTTTGTTTTTGCAAAAATCCCATTTTGCGCACACATGATCCTTTTTTGGAACAGCGTAATTTCTACCATGTAAATTTAAAAGTGTGGAACCCGATTTTATTCAATATAAAAACAATCTCCGTTTCTTTTTGTTTTTTATCATTCATTTACTTTGCAGTTTTATCTATTTTATTCAAATTTTTAATTTTTGTTTTGTTTTTTTGTTTTGGTGAAACTTCTAACATCTTCTTCTTTTTACATTACCAGACAATAATAACACACACACACCAATATTAATATCAATCATAATATATCGTTTTTTATAAACAACAATAAAAAAAAACAATTGTTTTTATATTTTTTTTCTTTATTTTTATTCTATTTCATAATTATTTATATTGTTATAATTATTTGTTTTGATAAGTCAAGCAATATTCTTTATAACTTCATTTTAATCATCTTTTTGATCGTCGTCTTCTTTTAAATTAATTAAATTAAAACAAGTCAGATAATTTTAATTGAATAAGTGGTATCATCATATCAAAAATCATCATTAGTAAACATTTTTGGTAAACAAATATTGGCTATCAATACCACACTCATTATATTCTTCATTTTTTATTCAACACGAAAAGCACACTAACACCATATTTATATATTCACACATTCATCATACAAACAACTTTCGTTATATAATTGTATCACTGCATTTGACAACAACGACCAAAAAAAAAAGGAACAAAAAAAAAATTAACAACAAAAACAACAACTTTTGTTATTTATTTATCACATCACATCACAGGAAATCAACCCTCTGTGGCAACGACACGACAACAGTAAATAAATATCCAGCATTAGTAAGATCTATACTACTTTCACACTTACACAGTTTTTATATATTAAATAAATAATAATTCAAACGATAGATTCTATTTCATAAACCCTATTAAAAATTATAATAATTCCAAATATATCAATATTTATTATAAAATTATAATAGTTTTCTATAAACAATAAATAAATAAATAATAATAATTTAAATAAACATAAATAATTTTTAAACAAAAATCCAGAAACCAATGAATTTTTTAAGGAACTCTAAATTGGATTCAAACATCCATTGTTTAAGATATAATAATTATCCACCAACTCATTGTTTCAATATATATAATAATAGTAATAATCAAGGTTATAAATTAAATAATAATAATAGTTTATATAGTAACAATACAAGTAATAATAATAATAAATTCGATACTTTAAAATCATATTATTCCAGTAATAATAGTAATAATATAAAATATGTAAATAATAATAATAGTAGTAGTTTATTTAATAATAGTAATAGTTTTAGAATTGATAGTTTAGTTAGTAGAAACTATTCAACACATACCAATGAAGATGCTGCAGTGGTAAAGAAAACAACGATTTTAGATATAAAGAAAAAGTATAAACAGTCGATACCAATATCGATGGTCACTGCCTACGACTATTGCAGTGCCAAAGAGGTCGATAAAGCAGGAATTGATATCACTCTGGTCGGTGACTCTCTAGGTATGGTCATGCTTGGCGACAAGGGAACTACCAATGTCACAATGGATGCGATGATTCACCACTGCAAAGCGGTGATGCGCGGTACTCAACGTTCATTCGTCGTGGGTGACATGCCATTCGGTAGCTTCGAGACATCGCCACGCGATGCACTCCACAATGCAATTCGCTTGATGAAAGAGGGCGGTGTCGATGCCGTCAAACTGGAGGGTGGCGCCAAGATGAAGGATACGATCCGCGAGATTGTTCGTGCCGGCATTCCGGTGGTCGGACACATCGGTCTCACTCCACAGACGGTCAGTTCATTCGGTGGATTCAAACTGCAGGGAAAGACATCCGATGAGGCACTCTCGATACTCGAGGATGCCATGGCACTGCAAGAGGCCGGCTGTTTCTCGATCGTCATCGAAATGGTTCCACAGCTGGTCGGTGAGATGATAACGAAACACCTTTCCATCCCGACCATTGGAATCGGTGCTGGCTCAGGAACAAGCGGTCAGGTGCTAGTCTACCACGACATGCTCGGACTCTACTCTGATTTCATGCCCAAGTTCTGCAAGCAATATGCAAGTCTTTCATCGACAATTCACGAAGGACTAAAGAATTTCAAAAAGGAGATAGAACAACGACAGTTTCCAACTCCACAACATTCATTCACAATGAAAGAGGAGGAGTCTAAAAAGTTTATAAACATATTAAATAGCAACAACAACAGCAACAACAATAATAATGGTACAGATGAAAATCTTTATAGTAAGAGTCAATATTTAAATAATAGTGATAATATTAAAGAGAAATTAAAGGAATTAAAAGAAAAGGAAAAGGAAATCGAGAGTCTAAAGATTGCTTCGACAAAGACAGCCAAATCAATCACAGAGCAACAACAGCTACAAAAGCCAAAACAACAAACACTAAAGATTGAAACCGAAAGATTCTTCCTCACACCAAATGGAATCAAACGTCCAAAGATTGTTGTTATTGGTGCTGGTGCAATGGGTAGTTTCTTTAGTGCCAAACTAGCTGCAAAAGATTTCGCTGATGTTTGGATGGTATCTGCTTGGAAGTAAGTTAAACAGCAACAAATTTAATACATAAAGTAATTTATTAACAACCGTTACTTTTTAAAACTAAATAGGGAACATGTCGATAGAATAAATAACAATGGTTTAACATTATATAATTTGGAAGGTAAATCAGAGTCGATCACTTCAGTCAGAGCAACTTTGGATGCGTTGGATGTTATTAAGGATGGATATCCAGATTTATGTTTTGGTTTTGGTAAAATCACACTCTACTAGACAGGCATCGTTAACCGCTGCCAAGATGGTAGGTGGCAATCCGAATGCCATTGTTCTTACTCTTCAGAACGGTGTCGGTAATCGCGAGGAAATAGAAACAACCATCAACGAGAAAGGATTCAAAAACAAGGTGTGGCAGGGTGTCACGAGTAATGGCGCTGTCATGGCTGGCGCTGGTTCCGTTCGTCACACTGGCAGTGGATTGACCTACTTGGCGTCACCTTCACTCGCTGGACTGATGATGGCCGGCAACAACAACAACAACGGACACTATCAAAACCACCCAACCACTCTGGACAACGAACCAAAGACACTCGAGGAGAAGCGTGCTCTTGAAGCACTCGGTGAGATTCTCAACGAAGCTGGCATCGTCAGCGAGCTCACCTACGACGTTGACGCACTGGTCTGGAGCAAGGTCGTTGTCAACGCCGCTATCAATCCACTGTCTGCAGTGCTGGGTGTACCCAACGGTTACTTGGTGCAAGATGAATACTCAAAGAACCTGATGAAGAAGATCATCGTCGAGGGAATGGAGGTGTGCAAAGCCAAGGGTATCAAGTTGCCATATGGCGAGGACACCGAAGAGGGATTCAAGTATGTCGCCAACATCGCCGAGAGAACCAGCACCAATTACTCTAGTATGTTGGTCGACGTCATCAGAGGACAACCAACTGAAATCAAGTCGATCAACGGTGTCATTGTCAAAGAGGGTGAACGACTCGACGTAAATGTAGCATACAACAAAATGATCATGGAGATGGTTTTAAATTATCACCCAAAAACACCAAACACCTCTTACAATCAACTTTTAAACTAAAATATATTTAACAAAACAATCATAATGTACATACATACCTAACTACCTACCTTCAGAAGTCAATCTAATATTAAATCATGATTTTACCTTTTTTTTTTTAATTTTTTCATTCTTTATTAATAAACAAAGTATATAAAATATACAATAGTTTTAATAAGACAACGTTATTACTCTATTTTTAAAAATCATCACCCATTTTTTTCAATTATTCTCTTTTTCTCAAAACATTTTTCAATCAAAGATGATGTATCAATTAACTAAAGATCAAATCGATCTATTTACAAATAATGGATATGTTATTATAAATGAATTCTTTGAAGCAAGATTATTAGATAATATATTTGTTGATGTTAAAACAAAGCTTGATCAACTGATCGCTTTGTTGTTGGAGAATAAAAAGGTGGTCGATGTAAATGGCGAAATCGCTAAGGATACAGATCTAGATAGAAAGATCATCTCTCTAGATTCACAGTTTAAAGGTACCTCTATTATGTTGCATACGATGTTTGCTGGACATCTATGTCGTTCGTTCGGCTCACTCTTTAGCAATGAGCGACTGCTCGATGTAATACAGCAACTGCTCGGCACCGCTGAAATAAGTGGACATCCCGAGTGGAATCTACGTGTAAAGACACCGAATAACACTAGCTTTGAAGTACCTTGGCATCAAGACGCTGCCTATCTCGTAGAGGGTGCAGAGTCACTCGATCAAATCACCTGTTGGATTCCATTGATCGATATAACAGAGTCGAACGGTGCATTACAATTGCTTGCCACTCAAAGCGATAGTAGTAACAATATAATACCTCATCGCTTACAGAGATTGAAAGGTGGCGATTTGAAAGATTCATGGTATTTAGAGATACTTAGAGATCAGTTACCACCAGACTATCAGAATATCGTTGTTGACACCATAGGTTTAAAGAGAGGATCGATCGTACTATTTAAAAATACAACCTGTCACCAGAGTTTGCCAAACACCACACAGAGAATCAGATGGACGGTCGACCTTCGTTTCCAAAAGACAAAAGATCCAAGTGGATTCTACCCACTCGATCAATCTGACAATGAATCAAAAATGGCATTGAGATCAGCTGAACAACGGTCAATACCAATAGACTACAGTAAATGGGATGGTGAAGTAGATATTCTAATGAAAAAAGATAATGATAACAACAATCAAGATAAGTTAAACTATCAAATAGAAGGACCATGGTTTGATAGATGGTCATCTAAATAAAACAACAAAAATAAAAGGTAAATAAATATTAATAAAATTAATTAATTTCTTTTTACTTCTTTCTATATTATTATAGCACCATTACAAATGGCATATAATATTATAAAATGATGTTTATTTCTATCTATTGTTTTAGTTTCAATTAATTTTGAAAACAATCGCTGTAGAACATATGATTTCTTTTCGATACTCAATTGGTCAAAGAGCAATTGGTATATTTCTACTTGATCTTCAAATATTGATTCGACAATATATTGATCATCATACTTGAATTCGTCTAAATAACTTTCCGCAATATGTTTATGCCCAAAACGAATAATATTCATCTTATCCTCAGATGAAAGTGATTTCTGGTAATTATTTGAAATTAGATATTGAATTAATTCTAATCTTCCGTGTTCTATTGCTTTCTTCATTGTTAATTCCAAAGTATGAGGTGTCATCTGTTCTGCCACTAGCTGAAATTGATCAATGTATCCAAGTTTACCTATGAATTGACATGGAATTGTCAATTCTTGATAGCTAATCCACAATTGAGAAGAAACCAAATACTTTGATAGCTCTTCATGCTGACCTGCGAGTGATTCCTTAAACATTTGACTTAGTAGGGTAGGTGTGAATATCTCTGGAAGTTCCACCATAAGAAGTGAAACAATGTTTGTTAATCCATTTCTGCTGGCTGTCAGAGCAATTGCTGGAAGGTTAAGAGGCTCCAATATTCTTGGTACAAGTACATTCATCGATACCAAGTAGGGTAATAATGATTTATCCAAAATGACAAGAGATGATTGCGGTAATTCTATGAATGGATCTTTCTCCAAGAGGTAACTAATAAGATACATAGATCTTTCGTTGATTCTAAAAGAATGACTTGTTGAAACTATTTTCAGAATCTCCGATTGATATAGTTCAATTAGAGTTTGAATAATTGTAGTATTGCTATTTAATATTGCTGATTCAATTGCTTCCCTAGGTGAGATATTGTCAAAATCGACAAGTTGAAGTGCTGCATTCAAATGTTTGAGAGTTCCATATCTACAAACAAGATTGAAGGTGTAAGATTGAGATATACAATGTGTAATATATGAAACATACAGCGAACTGTAAGGATCTGATTGTAGGATTAAACCTAGATGTTTCAATAAAGATTCCTCTAAACCATCAAATAAATTTGACACTCTTAGAAGATAGATGATTGATTCGATCAAGAGAAAATTACTTTCCAATGAATTTATCTTTGATAGGTAATAGGGGAATTCCGATGGTTGAATATCCAAAGATTTACATGCTGCTTTCAATTTAGTTATAACCTTTTTTGCCAAATCTTCGAAATCTAAATGGATAGAATAGAAATTGACCATGACATATTGAATTACATGAATTAAGTTGTAGTCTACCTTTTCAATATTGAATAGATGATAACCAATTGAGCTGAATTCTGTGAAATGATATTTATCTACTTCTAAAATTGGCATGAATCTCTGTATTACTTCTAGATCTACTGTCAATACTACACTTTCCATAGGCAAACCCTTAGTCTCTTCAAAAAGTTTCGATAAAAACCAACTTGGTGCTCTATCCAAAACTGTTCTTATACTATTTGGGTGTTTCTTGATATTTTCCAAATTAAATAAATCTATTGCCTTTTGTCTGAATCCAAAAGAGTCTGTTGTTCCATTAAATAAATTTATTAAATAGAAATAAATTTCATATTTTGATCTCTGCCACACGGTATTTAATAATTTTACAATATTTGTATAGTTGTTTTGAAATAGTGAACAAGGATACGATTGATTGAATAATATTGTGAATATATCCAAAGATCCATTCTCAATTGCTGAATAAATTAATTGAGAATCCAAAAACAGATGTCTTTTTTTAATATAAAAATAATTGAAAACATCAATATTTGGAACATCTTTAACAAATTGGTGAAGACTTGAATTACAAATACTGAAATGTTTTTTTATTTTTAATTTGTCAAATATTAATCCAAAATGTTTATTTTCAACCAGGTCTTCTAAAGAATTCCAATGGGAATATTGTCTTCTCCAACTACCAGCTTTATTTAAATCCACAACTTTTGACAATATGAATTTAAATAAATTTTCATTGGTCAACACTTTAATAATTGGATTTGTCATATTAAAATTTAAAATAAATAAATAAAATACATATATATAAATAAATAAATAAAAAAAGTTTTGATAGGTTTTAAAATTTTTAGATCAAAGTAAACAAAAATAATCTAACAATACATTCTTTAGTTTAGGTGCCTCATTTTTAACCTGTTCGATTGGGGATGAAATCTAACTGATTTTTTTTTTCGAAAGGTGGATTGGGGATAAACAATCCTCAAATTATTTTTGTTTTCAAAGAGTTTGTCAAATTTTTGTGTAAATTGTAAAATGAGGGCTGAGCAAATATTATTAGTTTTTTCATCCCTGTATTAGAATTCTCAAAACCTCAGAATATATATTCATAGATATTATTTTTTATAGATCTTCTCCAATCAAAATACAAATTAAATGAAGAAACCTCCTTCATTCAAATTTCTTGCTATAAAAATCACTGACAATACTATTAACTGTCAGACAATAAGTAAAAAAGCAATCAATAATGACTAGACTTGTTGTTGCAACTACTTTATTTACAGATACCAAATACGATAATTAATTGTAATTAAAAAACATAATAATTGATTTTACAAGTGAATTAATTGTGTGTTTGTGTGTGTGAATGTAATAATGTGTGAATTAATTGTGTGTGTGTGTTTAAGTGGTGTGGGTGTTTTTGTTTAATTTAATTTATCAAAATTATATAGATAAGTTTAACTTTGCTTTGCCTGTCACTAAAGTGAAACTAATAACATAACAATAAAAAAAATTAAATTATAATAATAAATAAATAAAAAACTAACAATATATATTTTTTGTTTGTTTTTCTTTTTTTTTCTTTGTTTTATTAATAAGAATAAATATTTGCTGTTTGTTGTATCATATTTTTATAATTATCATTAATTATTATTATTATTATTAAATAATAGTAATAGTAATTTAAACATTAGTTTATCAAATAATTTGGTTGTGAAAAAAAAAATTTATAATCATAATCTAATAGAAGATAGAAGATAGAGAGAGAGAAAGATGACAACAACTGCATCTACATTGAATGTTCCAACCAGTAGCACTACCTCTACTGGAGGAAGTAGTAGCGGTGAGAAAAGAGATCCTTTACAATCACCGGTCTTTAAGTTAAGAGGTCTGGAAATGACTGTCTACGGACTGGAGAAGGAGAATCTCGAACTTCGACAAACAATAGAGACACACGAGAAGGAGATTACACAGCTTAGAAACGTAATCCATGAGTATGAGTTGGAAAATGAGAGACACGAGCGACGTCATGCCCAACTCGAGGAAGAGATCATTGAGTTACGACAACAACTTAAACAGATTGCTGGACATAATAATAATAATAGCAGCAGTAGCAGCAGTAGCACCATCATCAACAACGGCAACAACAACAACAACGGCAACAATAATAACCTCTCACTAACACCAAATTCTTTGAATGGCGTCGATATGTCATCGCTTAGACTGAACAACTCTTCTGGTGGAATGCCAGAATCCAATAAATTCTACGATGACTCTGCTCTCTATTTGTACACCGGTCGCCACTCTCCAGCGCTCTCACACGCATCCTCTTTCAACAGCACAACGACTAGTAGCAATAACAACAACAATAATAATAGTAGCAGCAGCAGCAATAACAACAGCAATAATAACAATATTAATGGTACGACTACCACCAGCATCACTACCAGCAGTATGATAATGAGTAGTAGCAATGGTAACAGTAGTAATTGTAACATAAATAATAGTTCCGATATGATAAGCAACAACAATAGCAACAACAATAGTAATAATAATAATAACATTAATAGTAATAGCAACAACAGCGGCGGCGATTCTATGCAATCCAGTTCGACTCCGACGATCACTACTTCACTACCACCGATCTCCAATCAAAACAGATCGCCATTTCAAAAGAGTAAAGCACCAAGTTCACCTACCATTGTATCGTGTGTCACCGACGGTGTTAACACCGGTGTAAACATATCGATGACACCTTCACCAGTGATGCCACAGCCAAGAAAGAAATCCATTATAAGTTTATTTTCACTCTAACTAAACACAAACACAAAATCAGACATTGTACATTTTTTAATTGCTATTAACAAACAACACTTTTACTTAAAATTTAACATTAAAATAAAAATGAAAATAAAATACCAAACACATAGATATTTTAAATAAAATCAAAACACACAAAAACCAAAAGCAAACATATGTTTGCTACAAAATGTTACACCATACTTTATTGGGCTAAGTTGCAACACCCTTTGGAACCAAAAAAAAAACCAAAAAAATTGAAATAAAAATCTAAATTTTTTTTTTTTTTTAAATATAACTTGGTTGGATTGATTTGCAAATAACATAAACCAAACCAAACAATACAATCCTCACTGAACACCCCCATTGTGTTTTAAGTTGTTTCTCAAAGTTATAAAAACAAATTTAGTTTGCTATTATTAATTATTAATTCAGTTAGAACAATTAAAAAATAAAGATATCAACATATACCCACACAACACACATTACAATATTTTACAACAAAACCAGTCGGAACATAACAAATTATTAGTACATATATTATTATTATTATTATTATTATTATTCATTGTATATTTTTTGAGAACAGTTGTTCTTAGTTTTAGATCTATTCTCTTCTAGAAGAAGTATAACAGAACATTTTTATAATCATCACACACGTTTTTATTTTGTTTTTTTACATTTTTTTTAAAAACATAAAAAAAATTCTATTTATATTTATTTCTATAGTAAGAAAGTTAAAGTAATATTACAATCAAAATTGTAGTTTGTTAGTTATTTATATAGTATATTTGGTCAATAATAGTTATTTATATTAAAGTTAAAAAAGAAATTAATAGACAGAGGCGAGAGAAAGAGAAATAATACATTGTTTTTAGTAATAATAGAAAGATGGTAGATCAAGATCTATTGGGATCTCTTGCTAGAGCATGGATAACAAGAAAACGTTATGCAAAACTATGTAAGTTTAAAGGTTTAAAGAAATTACAATGGTAATTTAAATATTAATTTCTCAATCAAAAATGAAATAAAGTAATTCAAAATGAAAACAGAGATAAAGTAGCAAAGGAAATTTTAGATACAGAGATCATTTATGTGAGAAATTTGGAAGTCATTGTACAGGTAAGTCAAGCTAGTCATCTCATTCTCACAATCAACATTCAAATCGAATCACACAGATTGTTTTTGTTTTTATGATTTTGTTGTTGTTGGATTCTTTTTATATCTTGTTGTTTTGTGAAAAAAAAAAAAAACAGAAAACCAAATATTTATAACCCCACAACACATTAAATACATCATCAATCAAATTGGGATGTCTTATGGGTTGCGACCTCATTAATCAATAATTTTACCACTTAAATCTGAATTTGATCTTAAAGAAAAAAAAAATATCTAATTAACTTAATTATTATTATGATTATTATTATTATAGTATTATTTAAAACCATTGCGTGCTATCCAACCACCATTGGTTTCAGTAAAGACATTACAACAGGTGTTTGGACATATTGAAGATTTGCTGACTGTGAATAGAGAGTTGTTGAATTCGATTCAGGATCGTATGACAACATGGTACTCCAACAAGAAGATGGGTGATATCTTCTTGAAGTTGGCACCCTACTTGAAGATGTACACAGAGTATTGCTCCAACTATGACAGAGCCATTTCGAAACTCAAAGAAAAGTCGACAGAGTCAAAGGATTTCGGATTGTTTCTCAAGAAGATCAGTGTGGAATCGGCGTTTGGATTGGATCTGACATCGCTCTTGATCATGCCAGTGCAGCGTATCCCTCGTTACAAGCTGCTACTTCAAAGTCTTATACATCTGACTCCAAAGGAGTTCAGCGACTACAAAGTCATCGAGGAGGCACTTGCCAAAGTCTCAGAGGTGGCCGATCACATCAACGAGAGTATACGTGAGAAACAAAACTCAGAGAAGATTCTGAGTATTCAAAGAAGATTCACTGGTTATGTACCTGTAAGTTAAGAATACAAATTTGTATCTTCAATCGATATTAACATTTTTCAATTTCACCACATAGCCATTACTAGCACCACTTAGAACATTTATTAGAGAAGGATATTTAACAAAAGTTTGTAGAAAAGAACCAAAGAAACGTTGGTTCATTTTGTTTAGTGATGCTTTAGTGTATGGAACCAAAACAGAGACAACTGTTGCCAATCCAATTTATAAATTTCATAGATTATTGCCATTGGCAAATTCTAAACTTGTTAATTTAGATGATAAAGATTCAAGTAAATATTATTTTACATTTACATCCACTCAATTTTAACTAACTTTTTTTTTTTTTTTTTATTTTCTTTAAATTAAAATTAGAATATAAAAATTCATTCCAAATCATTCATACAACTAAATCATTTACAGTGTTCGCCGACAATGAACAGGAAAAGGCATCTTGGATACAATCTATTGAAAGTCAACTCAAGTTTTTATCACAGAATGAAGGTTCCGTTGCGAGAATGAACAGACAATACAGTAGTATGTTATATTTATAAGCACAACTCTCTATTCATATTTAATATTTCTAACCATATCATAATAATACATTACAACCACCAAACTATTTAGATATTAAAATTTTAAAAACAGAAGAAGAAAAAGATAAAGCTTCAACAGCACCTGTTTGGATTCCAGATAGTGAGGCACTACAATGTATGGAATGTAGTATTAAGTTCACTACTATAAGAAGAAGAGTAGGTTTATCAATAATCATTTCAAATTTATTTATTTTACTAATTGTGATTGTTGGCAATTCACCTATTTTTATTATAGCATCATTGTAGAAGATGTGGAAATGTAGTTTGTGGAAAGTGTTCCGATCAATCATTTAAACTCGATAATCATAGTAAGCCGGTAAGAGTTTGTAAATCATGTTTCTCTTATTTGACTGTAGCCAATTCAAGAAAAGAAGAATCACCTATGAATGGCTCCAATCAAGATTCACTGGAGAGTTTGTCTGTTGAATCAGTGCTATCCACTATGAACTCGAATGTATCAACATCCGCTGCCGCTGCTGCCGCCGACCACACAGATACCTACAGCGATAACAGCGACAATGAAGATCGTCTCATCAGTGACTCACTCTCTGAGATTCCAAATATCACTTTGCCAGCATTACCAGGCCAGGATGCCGACTCAACACGTTCACTCTCACCATACTCTGGTTCACTTTCATTTTCACATCTTCCACCTATCCCCGCAACATCAACAACAACAACCACAAATCATTCTTCAAGTTTGAGTCAACTCCCACCGATTCCCATTGCTTCACCAAATAGCAGTTCCAACACATTACCACCACTTCCCTCGAATACTTTACACCCAACATCACCCAAACCAGCACTCACTCAGCAAAACTCATTGCTATCTTTTTGTAATTTTGTTCTCCATGCCAATCCCAACGTTGAGGTGGCTGGAACAAAGAAACCAGCTACACCATCATCACCAGAACTTACACCATCGATATCGAAATCGACATCCACTGAAGAATTCACACTGCCAAATATCAAATCCATACCACTTCCAGCCACATCCGAACCAGAAATACAACTTCCCACCATTATCAATCACAATCCACAGCCAATCAGCGGATCATCGTCGCTCTCCCAACAAAACATAAATGCTGCACCAAAGAAGCCAGAATCAAAAAGATTCACCTATGCTTTTCCTACTAATCCTGTGCCAACTGACAATACACCACCCAACAGACTACAAAACGGATCCAACATTACCGTTGGTCTCAAACAAAACCCATCCACAACTCCTCCACTTTCATCAACTCCACCCATTTCTCCAAACTTAACTCCATCTTCCCCACCAAATACATCCACCAATCATAAACCAGCAGTTCCATCTAAATCATTACCACCCACACCACCAAAGAAAACGCTACCACCAATTCCACCAACACCAGCGGCATCAGCATCACCTGCAACCTCTGCAGCTCCCGAGAAATCGACCACAACTCCTTCACTTATCCAAGGTGTTTATTTTGTACCAAGCGCATCTACACCCGCTGCTAGTGCTGGCAACGGAACTCCACCAGCTCCGCCACCAAAAAGAGTTTCTCACAAACCACCAGCTACCCAAACATCTGCGCCTCCCTTGCCACCAAAGAGAGGAGCAGCTCAAGTCAATTAAAAAAAAAAAAAAAAAAAAGTCATATCATTATTTAATATTAACTTCTTCAAAGCAACAATTGTAATAAAATTGTTAATTGGAATCTATTTATAACCAATCAAATCAAAACAAAACAAATCAAAATCAACAAAATATTAAAGGTTTTATATTATCATGATTTGGAATTGTTTATTTTTAATATTGGTATTCTTGTTTGATGTATGATGATAATTGGAAATTTGTTTGGTTCCATACTCCATCTGTTGGGAGAGGTACAGAGCTCATTGGTTGTGAAACCAATGACAAACTATGTGACGATGGTAATAGTGGTGATGGTGATGGTGGAGTAGAATTACACGATTGTGCATAGTTGTTTAATTGTAGCAATTGAGGGTGAGGTATACAATCATATAGATTTAGTTGAGGTGTTGGAAGAATTGATGGTTGATTATAAAACAATTTACTATTGTGTGAATAATCAACATTAATTGGTTGTTGTTGTTGTTGTTGTTGTGGTGGTGGTAGTTGAATTTGTTGAGTTTGACTATCATTACAAATTGGTTTAAAAAGATGGTTTGAATCAGTAAAATTACAATTGATATTTAAGGTATCTAATAATGGTGAGTCAGTTGGACGTTTTCCATTAATATTAAGAACAGAATCTAAATAGGAAGGATCTGAAAATGGATTGGGACTACTACTAAGTGATTCGTTTGGTGAATACACAAAACTTGTGTATTGGTCAGAATTGGGGTTTGGATACAATTTCTTTTGAACTTTCATATATTTGGAATGGTTTGCAAATTTTCTTTGTAACTATAAAAAAAAATTATTAATATTAAATTAATAGATTAAAAGTATATAGTAAAATTTAACATACGTCATGATCAATATAGGTGGTTGATTTTTCAACTGGAAGAGGTAATTGTCTCATTACCTCATTTGGCATGATAGTACTTTTATATTGGTAGAAGGATAACCCGCTCTGTAATGGATTGCCAACCAAGACATAAACTGGAGCATCACAAAGGAGGCTTAGTTCAATTGCTTTCTTAAACAAACCATCTTTTCTCTTTCTGAAAGTGGTCTGTCTAATTTTATCATCTGTAATTTTTTCAATCTTAATTTTCTTTCTTCCCATTTTAAGTTTGATTTATAGAGTCGAGATAAAATATATATATAAGTGGATGTGATTTTTTATTAATTTCAAGGTATATAGAATATTTATAAAAAATTAAAGGGACAATGTTTTTTTTATTTAAAAATTTCAAAAACAAAATAAAAATATACTGATTCAAATAGGGAGCAATCAATATATATTAAAAGATGTATTGCTATTTAATATGTTTAAATTCGAATAATGAGTAGGTGAAGAGATATGGGTATAGGATGATTTTAATGTTTTTTGCACAAAATTGGTGTTTTTAGCAATATAATATTTTTGGATTTAAAAATCTACTTCCAAAATATATATAGTAATTTGTTTTAGATTACAGTATTATGTTTTTTATGTTTTGATAAAAGTAATAATACATTTGATAAATCCTGATTGTTTAAATATGTCTGAGATCTAAACAAGTTTGAGATTCATCCCAGCAACCAACCCTCAAAAACAACACATCACTTACACAGCAACAAAAACAACAAAGTGATTATCATCAAAAACCTCTAAACTAAACATTTCTACCCTTACACACCACAATTGCAAACTCGCAGCATATAAGATAAGAATATTTAGCTATTACCACAAAGAAACCAAAAGTTACCTGATTCTCATTCCAATTTGTCCCCACTAACATCTCTTACACCACCACACATGTATAAGAATTGAACCACTACTACTGTGACTACCTAAAAAGAAAATTTTTTAAGCACTACTACTTTTCCTTGATTTAACAAATTTAATATTAGTTTCAAAAAACTGTGTTCATAGTAATCACTAAACCACGACTCACATCTATTCTACCCACACCCACGCACAAACACTCTAAACACTTTCAAAAATCACTCTTCAAAATCCAACCACCACATTGAAGTTGATACCAGTCATTCACCATAATCACCAACAATAACCATTTTTTGTTGTTTTAATCATCATCATATGTTTCAAAAATAATAAATAGAATTATTATAAATATCGAATAATTTGAATATTTATATAAAAATATATGTGTATATATAAATATTAACCAACACTTTAACCACAATCTTATATCAAAATCGATTTCACTCATTCTTGTTAATATAATTTCTTCAACAAAATTGATCAACACAGACACCAAGAATAATTGAGATCTAAAACGAAAACAAAATTAGTGAACTGGGGTGATCACCCAATTAAAATGTCTCTCAAAATAATAATTTTACATCATAATAGGAAATCTATTTACTCACAATCATATGTTTTTTCTCTTGAAATCAACTGCTTCCTACTCTGAGTTAATATTAAAAATAGAATTCAGCAAAGTTTACTTTCCATATTAAAAAATGAATGATCTCTCTATATTCGATGTTGTTAAAAAAATTTTAAACACAGTTTGAAACAACTTTAAATTTTTGTCGATTCTGGATAGAACTATGTTAATCTTTAAAATTACTATTGAAGATCCTCTTTATTGCTCCATTTCAATCAGAACATATTTTATCAACCAATAGTGTTTTGGTAACAATTGAAGATAACTACAAATAAAATTCCCTCATTAATATAATTTTGTTTGATTTCCTACTATCCTATTGTCAGTGTAGGGGTGTTAAAAATCTTTGAGAGGTAGATTGAACACAATACCAATAAAATTAACAAAAATAAACAAAACATATAATTTAACCCGCGAAATTTAATCAGAGATGAGTGGTTTGGTTTTTGATTGGTGTGATCATCAACCACACACATCCCCCATCATATTATTGGTAAAAAATGAACAGAAATCATCAGACACTGATTGATATATTGATTTAATAACTGTAAATCATGTGTTGTTGGTTTGATATGTATTTAATACATAGTAGTAATAAAATTATTAATAAAGTGATAATCTAGTTAACTCAACCAAATATTTGTTTTTAAAAAAAATTTTAATTCATTTTGAAATTATTTAGTGAAAACAATTTTTTGAATTAGTAATAAAAATATAATTCATTATTTATTTTTTGATTTGATTTTATGGTCTTGTTACATTCTCAGATTTAATAAAAAAAAACTCAGATTTCTAATGATCAACCGAAACACTGCAGTGATAACTGATTTTTTGAAGAACAAAAAAGGTAAAAAGTGTTAAAATAGTTTCCATCATATGAATTACTAACCACCTCATATATTACTATTTCTAAGAACCCTTCCCTGAACTTGATTTATTGATAAATTTATGTGATATTTTTTCTTGAATACTAATACCAAAAATAATGAATAATTGTTTTCATATTATTTTTCACATGACCTTTTAGTATAGGTTACACAAGTGTGTCAAAAAATTTCAAAAAAATATTTATTTTTAATTTTAACTAATTATAAGAGAATAAGAAAAAATAATGATTTTCTATTTTTTATAAATAATATTATCAACTTTTTCAAAATCAATGATTTTATTAATCTTATTCATTTCTATTATCCTTATTTCATGACACAAAAACTCTGCTACTAATTTGATCATCATAGTAGCTGCAAACGAATTAGTATAGACAAAAATGATGATTATTAATATTTGCAGTAAAAAAAAAAATTGATCTTAATTAAAAACAACAATGATGACCTAATTTATTAAAATTGTTTACTTTTTTTTTTTGCATATGTAATTATTCGATCAGAATATGGTTTTTTCTGTGGTTTGTGTGGTTAGCAAAAAAACAAGATAAGCCTGGGTAAAATTTGTCGTCTTTGCTTATTTTTACATTTTTATAAATATAAGTTGTTTTGCCCAATATTTTAATTAACTAACTAATAATTAAAATATAGTTTAATTATCTAAAACTTATTAAATATTGATATTTATCAAAAATAATTAAAAATAATATTTTATCTATCAGTCATTTTCAAAACAATCAAAATTTTTTTTTTTTGTTTTTTTACAAAATTAGCCTCTATTTTTTTAATTTTATTTTATTTAATTTTTCAATCAATAATCATAATATTTTATATAATTATTATTAAAAAAATGAATGGTTTATCAAAAGTAACAAGATTTGCTAGCTCAACTAGAGCCTTTAATCCAAGTTCATTCAACAACACCACCACACAATTATACCCTGGATTCAAATGTTTGTCACAACATACACGTAGTTTCTCATTTTTGGGACAACCACAATACAAAAAACAATCACCAGAATACCATCGTAACAGTACCCTCTACGCTCACACCAGCAGAGACAAACTACTCAAGATTGAAAAGGAATTCATACCAATCGAACGCCATCAACCACAAAACATCTCTGATAATGTAGCTCGTTTTGCTGTCTGGTTATTAAGAAAAGCTTCAAATCTGTAAGATTATCAAAAAATTAATACAATTTTCATATATCTTTTGAAAATAATTAACAAATAATCACTTAGTGTATTCAAAGAGAAATATATTCATTATGCATGTGTTTTGGAGACTGTCGCAGCAGTGCCAGGTATGGTTGCCGGTATGTTGCAACACTTGAAGACATTGCGTCGTATGGAGCACAACAACTGGATCAAGATACTTCTCGATGAAGCCGAGAATGAGAGAATGCATTTGATGACATTCATGGAGATTTCAATGCCAACCAAGTTGGAACGTAATCTAATCACACTGGCTCAAGGTGCCTATTGGAATGCCTTCCTCTTGTTCTATCTCATCAGTCCAAAGACTGCTCACAGATTCACCGGCTATCTTGAAGAGGAAGCTGTCATTACTTGTATGTATAATTATAATTTCGAAATGGATCAAGAATTTAAAACGAAAGTTTAACGTTTTATTTCCAACCATATCTACTATACAGATACAAATATGTTACACGATTTAGATGCTGGAAAAGTTGAGAATGTAGAAGCACCACAAATCGCTAGAGAATATTGGGGATTGCCAGATGATGCTAAACTCCGTGATGTTATCTTGGTCATTCGTCAAGATGAGGTCGATCACGGCCATGTCAACCATCAACTTTCAAATATGATTGCAACTGGAAATGAAGATCCAGTGTTGTTTGAGTCACACGATGATCCAATCAATATCAATATCGAGAAAGAAAAGCAACATCAAGATAAATTACATCACCAACAACAACAACATAAAAATTAAAAAACAACAAACAACAAACAGACAAAAAGTGAATGAATTGTATAATTAGCAATAAATAAATAAATTTAAAAAATAAATATAAATTTACTATAGTAATGTAATGTTATGTGTTTAATTTAAATTTGTTTTTATTCGTCAGCTTCTTCTCCTTCATCGTCATCTTCTTCATCAAGCTCTCCATCGAAATCTTCATCACCTTCAATCATAGTACCAAACTCCTAATTAGTTTTATAAAATAGAAAATAAAAGATTTGTTAGTTTAAATATTCTATCTCTATCTTGATTAAATTTATATCATATCATTACTTGTTGATAGATTTGTAGTGGATTCTTCCAACATTCACCAACTAAAACAGAGCAATATTGATTCGATGGTTGAATTAGGAAACCAACGAACGGACATTCTGAATCTTTCTTTTTCAATTTCACTTCTGGTTCGACAGTAACATCCAATGTATCTTTCAAATCTTCAAGAGTAACTGGTGTCTTGCAAATAATTGTATATTTCTCATCTTTAACAATATTATTCTTTCCAAATGTCTAATAAATCGAATAGTGATAGTGATGATAACAATATTATGTTAGTATTTGTTATTAAACAACAATGAATGATCTACAATAATAATTACAAAAGTAAGTTTGAATTCAGTATCAGTATCCTCTACAAAGAAATCGGTGAGAGATGAAAGTAAACCGTCATCTTCATCAGTAAATAAACTTGGTGCTATTTTTTGGAACTGGGGATAGAGTTAGAATTTCTGTTAGCTATAGTACTATTTAGTTTGTTGAAATGCAAAAGCTTTGCTACATACGACATTCTTCCAAAAGTGTTCTAATTTAACTAATTCTTTAGCTCTCTTCAAATAGTGTTCCTTTGTAACTTTATATTCTTCTTTGTCGACTTTGAGAATCTCGAGTTCACGCTTGTCACCCAACTCTGTGATTAAGTTGTACTGAGCAAACAACTCTTCGTTTGCACTCAACTTTGCATATAATTCAGTTACAGTTTCATCTGAAGCTGCTGTAGTCTTTGTTTTCTTTGTTGCCATCTTTTATATATCTAATTAAATTAATTTAACAAAAAAAAAAATTAAAAAAAAATTATTAAATGAAAACGAAACGAATGATTTTGAAATTAAATTTAATTTTTTTTTTTTAATGATCAAATAATAAATAAAAATTTTTATTTTTATTTTTTAAATTAATATTTATTTATAAATTATAAATAGAAATAAATTAATTGATTATTTATAAAGTTTCAACTTAATAAATAATCATATCTATTTTAATATTGATACCCGCGAATAATATTAACAAGATTTGTTACCACAAAAAAAATAAATTTAAATAGTTTTTTTTTTTTTTTTATCAGATTTTGACAAGATTGACGATTCAACTCAATTTGTTGTTGAATTTCAAATAATTAGATATTATTGTTTATATGTATAAAGAATGGATCAACCATTAACAGAGGAAGAAGAGGATGAAATCTGGGCTAGAAGTGTAGAGAAATGGAAACAACATAAAGAGGAAAAGAGATTGGAACGTGAGAGATTAATAGCTCAGGGTATAACGCCACCCGAGGACACTGAGGATGACGAATGGCAGAATCTACCGATTTTCATGCAAGAGATGCCACAAGGTTCGAATCCAATGGTCGACGCTCTACAGGCGATTACAGACGAATGCACACCGGAAGAGCTGTGCGACAGCTTCAAGGAGCAAGGAAACGAGCGTTATCAACTCGCCAATGCACCGACCACCAAAGATCCAGAGGAAAAGAAACGTTACAGAAACGAAGCAATCTATTTCTATAATCGTGCTCTCGACGCCAAGTGCAAGGACATGAAGCGAAACTCTATGTGTCTATCGAATCGTGCCGCCGTCAATATGGACTTTAAAAACTATGGACGTGTCATTCAAGATTGCATCATTGCAATCGAGTTTTACGAGGGAAACGTCAAGGCTTATTACCGTGCGTTGAAATCGATGATTGCTCTCGCAAAGTATGACGATGCCGTCAAGCTTGGAGACCGTGCACTCGCAGTCGAGTCGATCAAGGACAACAAGGAGATAAAGGCATTGCGAGACGAAGCTGCTACGGCGATAGCAAAGATCGCACGACGCAAACAAGAAAAGGAGGAAGAGGAGAGCAAGAAGCAAACCGAGCTAATTACACTCGCCAAGAAACTGGCGACCAAGAAGATGACTCTTGGCAAACCTATTTTCGATCTCACACAGTACAACACAAAGATTTGGTTCGACGATGACCGTGGTGTGGAGAGTGTCGGCGAAGGTCACTTCCCAACGGTGTTTCTCTATCCAGAGTTTAGCCAGAAAGACTACATCGTAGACTTCCAAGAGGGTTGTACATTTGGTGACCATCTTGAAGTGATGTTTGAACAGCAGGCACCATGGGACAAAGATCACCGCTACCGAATGGACACTATCGAAGTTTATTTCCAAACCAATTGGACAGAAACAATACTGCCAGATACCAGCAAAATAGACAGAACAAAGAAGAGATGGATACGTGTAAAACACACCACTACCATCGACACGGTACTTTCACATCCGGAATACATCATTCCAGGCATACCAATTTTCTATATACTTTCAAAGGATTCTAAATTCGCCAAAAAGTTTTTAACTGGTGAAACTTAAATACACAATAATAAAATAAAATATTTTTTTATTTTGTTTATTTAGATGTTTTTCTTTTTATTACTGGGATATCTAATATTACATTTAAATAGTGGATGTTAATCCTTCATTTAAATGATTGGTTTGAGATCAAAAACAGAGAGATCTTTATTGTGTACCAGAGTTCCACCATTTATTAGTTAACCAACCAGATGTAACAGAAGCAGCAGCAGTACTACTAGCAGAAATGGCACCTGTAGCTCCAATACTTTGAAGTGTGCTAACAACAGCGCATGTGCCTAGTTTGCTCATCATTGTTGCCGCAAAAGTACCACCTACCACACCTCCACTACCAAAACCAATTGCTACTGTGACGGCCGGGATTACTATTGGAGCTGCTACAGCGGTACCTACAACTGCACCAGCAATGACTCCATACTTCTTATAATCTATATTCATTTTTTTTTATATCTATCTAAAATCATAAAAAAAAAAATTTTTGTGTGAGATAAATTAAAAAAAAATTGATAATTAGATTTTTTTTTTGATTGTCAACTTAAATTTCTAAATTCGGAAATTGTTATATCTTTATATCTTTTTAGATTTAATCAATAACTTGAAGTTGAAGTCAAACTAATACTTTATTAGAGCAATTGCTCTAAGTTCTCAATCATAGTACAACTTCTACATCATCACCAATTTGAAATAATATCGTCATTCATTCTTTGGCTAATGTATCTCTAAAACCCTATACACTTATGTTGGATAGAAAATCTTTAGTAACTTCTCAAATGGTTTGGTTAATGATGTCCTGCAAGCTGTTAAAATTCCAAAGTCACGAGTTAAAAGATATCAAAGATAAAGTGAATATTTTGGTTTAGTGTAAACAACTTAGTAAGCGAGTCAGCAGGCAAATTGATTTTGTTCTTTATCTCAATACTGGTGGGTTATTTGGAGATGATTGATAGAAGCTATAGAAGATTAATTTCTTTTTAATTTACCTCCAAAAAATAACAAAACTCTATAGAAATACATAAAATGCCATTGAAAAAAAAAAGAACCAAATTTTCAAAAACATCAAAAAACAATTTGTCAATCAAAGATCTTTTAAATTAGGGTAATGAAGAAAACATACATCACTCTATACTTAGTTTTGTTTGCAGGTCAAAGTTTAAGGTTTTTATTTAATTAAATTTAATTTATTTTTTTAAAAAGATGATTTACTAACATTCATCATTAAAACAACATTTAAAAATATATCATAACTTAATGACAACATTTTTGATTGACAAATTGCTTTTAATGGATCAATATACAAATTATCTCTTTGGTAAGTGTGAAATATTTCTTTTATTGATCTATAAACAATATTAATTTATAATTAGAATTCTCAGAACAATCAACCCTTGAAAGTAATTTATTTCCATTGTTCAATGGTGAAATAAACATTGATTATGGTGACAATAATAAATTAAATTTATATAGTGACTATCAATACCCAACTCTAATATCATTGGATCAACCTTTTGAATTCAACAGCAATTTGATTGACAATTCAAAAAACACAAATTCAACCACTTTTTTAAATAATATAAACAATAATCATTTATTAAATAATAATGAAATTTCTTCTATTAGAAAAAATACTGTTTCATTAAGATTCAAACATTTCTTACAAAAACAAAAGAAACTATGCGCAAAAAAACAGATTGATCCTGCGATTTTAAGTAAGAAATTTTCCAAATATGTAAATAGAAAGTATACTGGTTTTATCTATAGTGATGAAGGAAGGAGACAAAAGTTAAAGACTAAAGTTTTCAAAAAAGTATTCTCAAAACCAACCATCTGGCTATACAGATTATGTAAAGCAAAATCAAGAACAATTGAGAAACAATATAAAGTAAAAAAACAATTTCTATTAGAGATTCTTGAAGAGCTATTAGATGAACCACTGTGCATTCCAAAGAAAATACAAAATCCACAACCATTATATAAAGATTAAGAAATAAACATTGTTTATTAATATTTATATATTTTTTATTTTATTTTTATTTATTTTATTTTAGTTGGTGGCGTCACCAGAGGCACTTTTTTTAATTTTAAAGTTTGTGAGCTGACCTTCGGTATCAGAAATCTCTCCACATGACCAACGTTCAAATTTGGTCATTTCCAAACCTCTATAGAATACATATTCGCAATAACGTTTCAGGGTGGTGGTGTCTTCGAGACCGGCTGCGAGCAAAGTCTTGTAGTTGTCACCACCGGTCTTCTCTGTGATATAACTGAGGAATACGGTTGGCATGTTGTTGTTGGAGCTGACGATCGCGGCGGCACCTTCAGCTTGAAGCTTACGGTCGAGCTTGTCTTCGGTGTTACCAAAGTGAGTAACGATAACATTAACTGCTACACCATCAACACGTATAATGGCATCGATGAGACACGCCAGTTCACCCTCTGGTGATGGCAAGATGACGTGTTTGCTGCTTTCGATTGGGAAAATCGAGAGCAAGGCACAACCCCAAGTGTTTTGCGATGGAGCTGGACCAAAGTCGCTGTGCATGTGCAACTCACTGGCGAGCCACTCAACGAGATCACGATTCGATGTCATGATACGCGAGAGATCCGACTCTAGCAGACCGATGACGTTGGCTCCGTGACTACGGATCGCGTCAGTGATGTTGGGGAATGAGTTTCTACCGTAGTTATCGTATCCGAAATGAATAGTCCAGATCATCGATTTGATTTCAGTGGGTGGAATGTTCTCGACGCTGGTCGGGGTGACGATTCTCTCGTAGTGGTTACCGGCGACAGCGGCTTGAGTTGGGTGGGAAAGGTTACGGTTGACAGAGAACAACAAGAGGAGAACCAAACCGACGAACATTCCATAGAATACTTCACGTGGTGGATAGCTGACGATCGATGAGTGTCTGCTGTCCTTCTTTGGCGAGGATGGACCGCGTTCGGAATCAAAGTTGAGTGCACCCGCTCCCATAGCAAGAATACCGGCGATCACCATTGTCTGGTGACGCTCTCTGAGCAATGTCGAACCCAAATACCATGGTACAAACTTGTAGGAAACAACGTAGATGGCCCAGAACAACAAGATTGTGTAGGTGATGAAAGCATAGATAAACATTGAGACTGGACGTTGTGTATTCGACATCTTCTCGATGATGACATTCCAAAGAGCCATTGTGTAGCTCACTAAAATACAACCGAGAACCAAGCCGAATAGACCGACGGCAGTTGGAACGGTTCCAGAGCAGAAACCATAGAGTGCACCGACGACCACCATGAAAATGAGGGTGTTACGCGATGTCAACATCGAAGTCTTCTTGGAGATAACGACACCGGCAATCATGGCAACGATAACCAAGATACCGGCTGGATAAGGTCCGAGATTCAACCAACGTGGAATGACACCATAGGTAGAGAGGAACAACTGTGACATAAAGAGAACTCCACCGAATCCAATACCGGTGGTCAATGGACTGGAAGCGTCTTCCATGACTGGACGACGACGTTCCGACTCCTCGGTGCTCTCACGCAACAGAACGACCGCTGCGAAAACAACCAACGCTGCACCGAAAACGATCCAGTTCTTCCAGGTCATGAATGGATTCACCGACAAATATGGCAAACGAATCAAAGCGTGGAAGACGATAGCCATCATATAGGAGAAGGCAACACGCTCACGACGTTGGTTCGAACCGGCATTGGCAATGAATGCACGACACTGACAGAGCCAGTCGAGTGCGAGACCGATACCGACAAACACAGTCTTGGTGACGTGTGGATTCTTCCAGAGAATGAGCTCATGCTTCTCGACACTCTTGGGATCGTTGATATCGTATGGGTAGAGTGCGGCGAGTGCAACCAACAACGCGGCCATACGCACTAGTACGCCGGTCTTGCCACCGAGAAAATGACGAACGAAACCAAAGAGAAGTATCGGTGTGAACATCATCACCAGGAATGCCTCCATACCGGTGAAACCCATGAATCCCATCGGGTAGAACCAGATGATCGAGATGTACTCTACGACCAACGACCAATTGAAAAATGCAAGAATGGTTTCACCTGCCAACGAGCTCATCGAGCGCAATGGCAAAGAACCTCCACTACTTCCATAATAAGCACCACCTGCATTACTACTTCCTCCACTCTTTTTTTGATTCATTTTTCGTTTATTTTGTTTCTATCTAATCTATGTTATTACTAATAAATAAATAAAAAAAGATAGAGATATTAACAACAAATAGAAATTAAAATAAAATAAAAAAGACTAATTGGTAGATGTGGTGTGGGGGTAAAAAGTAAAAAAAAAAAAAAAAAAAAACTAATGCTGTGCAGTTCATTTTTGTTTTTTTTTTCTTTCTTTTTGCCGGTTTATTCGGGTTATAATTCTCTCATAGTTTAACCAATATATTCTACAAAAAATAAAGTATTTTAAATATTTGTTGATCAATATAAATATTACTTATTTTGAGTTCAAAAAATATAAAATTTAAATAAAGTTAACAACCACCCAATTAAATTTAATTATTCAATTTCAATAATGATAGGATAGATCTTAAAATTTTCAGAGCCATAGCAATATACATGACTAAAAAAGGAAGTGCAAAAAAAAAATATATAAATAACTAAATAATGTAATTATTCATATTGTACAAAATAACAATCATTTTCCTTTTTTATAAGGAAATTATAGATATTTATTTTTTTAAAAGAATGAAAAAGGGACTAATTAATACAAATAATAATGAAAAGACGAATAATTGTTAACAAAAACAATCATTTAATATCGTTTTTTTTTAAATTTTTCATTGCAGTATTCATTTTTTTAAAATTTTTTTGCACTTCTTTGCATTTTGAATGAAATTAAAATAGAATAGACTGATGAATCACCAGTCTTGGGTAACATTTTTTGGCATTAACCTGTTTTCATACCCATTTGTTGTTTAAACAACAAAAACAACAACAACCAGACGAGAACAACAACAGCAACAAGATATCTTTTTTTATCAAACTTTTCATTTAATTAAAGTCTAGTGTTTCTTCGTTGCACCCTATCATGATTGATCAGATAAATCCATCATCCATTCAATTTCATTCTTTTATCTAAATTTTTACCCCAATAAATCTAAATTCCCACACCCAAACCCCAAAGCAAATAATAATAATAATCATTTTGAAAAAGAATAAAAATTAGAACCTATCGACTTTTGTTCATTCTCTCTCCTCCCACTTCATTTCACTTTTCTCTTTTGTTTGTTGATAGATAGCAAATAGAGATAGAGTTCGAGTTCGATCATGAAGAGAACAAATATAATTAATGGTGATGAATATCATCAGATACCGGTGAACGAAGATTTCTATGAGGAAGAAGAAGAGTCCGCTTCATCTAGTAGTGGACATGCTATGGGTGGTGCTGCTTCTCCCTCCTCCTCCTCTTCACAATCCAATAACAACTTCAAACAACATGAACTCACAAAAACATTGGCCTCTCAAAATAGATACGATCTACGTTTGTTTATTCGTTTGATTCATATCATTAAGCTGCTATATTCCTCGCCAATCATTCCTGGTATCATGGTGCTGTTCCTCTTGGGACTGGCCATTTCTCAGACCTATGCTTCCAGTCTCACTGGAAAGCTGCTCGCCAACGTCTATACCTACTTGGCCGACGGTGACACACACTCATTGCTCAGATCGTTGCTTTTCGGTTTGTTCTCGCTGACTTTGTCTGCCCTGTTGGATTCCACCATCAAGTTTACAGTTGGAATCATCGCTTGGCGCTGGAGAAAGACACTGTGTCTCACCATTCAAAACCAATACTTTGACAACAACTTGTTCTACCGAATCATGGCGTTCGACACACGTATCGATAATCCCGATCAACGTATCACCTCTGACATTGATAACTTCACTACGTTGATGGCCAATGTCCTGTCGCAGATGATCACCGGACCGCTGGTCGTCGGATACTACACCTTCTTGACGTGGCGTGGCATGGGATGGTATGCACCGGCCATCATCTACGGATTCTTCATCCTCGGTTACATTGCAAACAAATTTATCATGTCACCACTTGTCTCAGTATCCTATCTTCAAGATAAGCTCGAGGGTGACTTCCGTTATCTTCATTTACGTATTCGTACATTCGCCGAGTCTATTGCACTTCAAAGTCTCACTCGTGACCCAACCGTTTCCCAGACCATGGTTGAAGAAGAACAAGCTAAACAACAATTCGATGTATTACTTGAAAATAAGAAAAAACAAATCTGTTGGCAATATGGTTTAAATAGTATGTTAAACAACTACATTCTATTTTTTTTTTTTGATATCTATACTAACTAAAACACAACATTCATTCATTAACTTTAGCAACATCCGATTTATTTACATATTTATCACCTCTCGTAAATTATCTTATTATTGCAATTCCCTTATTTATTGGTACAAAGAAGACTATACCATTTGCAGATGTATCAGTTGTAAGTAAATGAAATAGCAAAGACTCTATGATATCATAGATGCTGGATATTAATATTTATATTTTATTTCACAAGTTTTCATACAATTGTATTATGTTGGCAAGCGGTTTCAGTCAGTATATCAATGTAACAGCTAACATTTCCGATTTATCTAGTTATATTCAACGTATTTCAACAATGTTGGAAGTATGTAATCAAGTTAAGCAACAAAAATACGAAGCACAACAAAAACAAGAGAATGACATCGTCAGCTCTACCGAAGTTCAAAAGCAAGTCGGTGAGCTCAAGGTTGAACCATCGACACTTGAAATATTACTTAAAGAAGTATCATACTTTACACCAAAAGGTGAATCATTATTTAAAAGTAAGTTTGAATAATATTTAATGATTGACTTTGTATATTCTAACTTGGTGTCATCTTACATTTAAAAATAGATATATCATTATTAATTGAAAGAGGAAGTAGTTTATTAATTATGGGTCCAAGTGGCTCTGGTAAGAGTTCATTGATTCGTATCATCAATGGTCTGTGGCCTTTCTTCTATGGAAAGATTATCAAGCCTGCCAACGAGCAGATGTTCTTCCTCTCGCAGCAACCGTATCTGATCTACGGTAGCTTGGAAGAACAGATCCTCTATCCCTATACTATTGCCTCAAAGAGAATATCGAAGCAACAGATGCGAGAGCTATTTGAGCGATTCGATCTTGGCTACCTGCTCGATCGTGAGAGAGACATCATTGCTCGTGGTGATTTGAATGATCTTACTCACAACTGGCTTAATGCTTTGTCGCCTGGTGAGCAACAACTAATCTCATTCCTCAGGTTGTTGTACCACAAGCCGGTGTTTGCACTCATGGACGAATCGACCAGTTCCATACCACAGTCAATGGAGAAGAGAGTATATCAAGCATGTAAGGATCAAGGAATATCGACTATAAGTGTTGGACACAGACATTCTCTGACACAATATCATCAAAAACTATTGACACTTGATAAACAACATAATTGGAAATTACAAAACATCGATAACAGCAGCAACAACAATGATAACAATAAGCTAATAGAAACTGATAGTAATAATAATAATAACAATCAGCAGAGCAGTTTAATATGAATAAATAAACTTTAAAAACTGAAATATACTTTTATCGTAGTTTAAATACTATGATATTAGTTTTGTTTTTGTTTTATTGATTTAAATCGAATTCATAGCAATGATTAGTTTTGTTTTTTTTTTTGAGATGATAGAATGATCAATGATTACATTTAACATTTTTTATAAATCGGAGTTAATTGTTTTTGTTATGTTATGTTTTGTTTTGTTTTGTTTTGTTTCATCAATTTACAGTATCTTGGAGTTGTGTTTGAATATCAGTTAACTTTCTCTTTATAATTTGTATCGCTGATAGTACCACTTCCTCTGGTTTTAATGATCCATTTGTCTATAATAATAATTGGATCCGGTGTTAGTACAAAAGGAAGATATCTATATGATTGAGATTTTAATATTGTATAAAAAAACTTACTTCAACATTAAAAATAAATTTATCTGTTTTCTGTTCGATGGAAACTAGATCTGGTTTACCTAGAGAGTCTGCTTTCTTTTTGCATTCCATACAAAACATACAACGCATTTGATCTTCGATTGTTACTTGTTGACGTTGGTGTGCGTTGAATTGATAGACGTTGGCAGGGCATGACTGTACCCATTCCTCTTTCTGACGATCTGTCAACTCGTCCATTCTATTCTGATTGATAACGATCTTTGGTTGGAATTGATAGGTTGCGACACATGCTGGTGACCATTTGGCATGCTCCTTACCAACACCTTTCTTTGCGATAGCTCTCAGCTTCACCTCTTGACCTCTATGTAACTTAACTATTGGTATAACTGTATCGGGTCTGCCATCACTACTACCAACTGGAATTACATGGTCATTCTGTGACAATAAATCTAAACTTGTAACCTATTTGAATTGATGTGTAGTTTAACAACAACAACAACAACAACAACAACAACAACAACAACAACAACAACAACAATTATAATAAAATAATATTAGTTAGTTTCAACAAGACACAACAACTGCTACTAGTGATAGTATAATATTATACATACAGAATAACTATGATCATTACATCTGGCATTCAATTTAAACTCTACACTACAATTATCACATCTTTCAGCACAACTACAATCCTAAAAAAAGATAAATAGATTAGATAGATTAGCAGATATATTAGATGAGATGAGATGATAATAGATGATAATAGATTATTTACTCTTGTATAATTGAATTGATCTACTTTGTGACTTGTCAATGGAATTAAACCTAATCTATGTGCAATGAATTCATCTACCAATACAGAGTTGTTTGCTTCGAATTCGACGAGATCAATGCACATTGTTGGTACTTCAGCAATCATGACACGTCTCAATGCATTGGCAACACTGATATCTGTATTTGACAATATAAATGTTATACTATCATTCTTTATCTCTAAAATCTCTAGATTTGGATGACGATAAAGTGTATGTGACATTTTATTTATATTGTGATAGGTATATTATAAAAGTGTGTGTTCAAATTGAATGAAGCCAAAACAAAATCAACCAAATAATTATATATAATTAGATTAATTAGATGTTGTCGATTTGATATCGTCTTGTCCTTAATAAACTTCAAAAAAAAAAATATATAGCAGTTGAATTTAAAAGTTTGAATTTTTTTTCATTTTTTTTTTTATGATTTTTTTGTATTTTTTTTCATAGCAAATAGTGTGGGTGTGGTAGAGTGACTAATAATGATTGATACTTAAAAGAAAGTAGATTAGAATCAATCAGTGATTAAGAATTTAACAACAAAGAAATGAATTATCTATTTAGATCAAGTGGATATAGATTTGCTTTGAATTGTGGTAATCAATTATTATTTAGATCAGCAAGTCCAATACAAAAGAATGTTGGTTTTTTGAATAGTTCAATTAGAGGAGGACCTAGATTATCATATTCAACAACAACAACAACAACAGCTACAACCAAGAATGATTCGAAAAAAGTAGTAGTTGAACAAGTGGAGGAAGACGATCATGATCATTCACAATGTGGACATTCACACTCGCATGGTCATGGACATTCACATGCTCACAATGTTCATCATCAAGCACGTCCCGTCGGTGATTCCACCATCAGAGAATCCGATGAACCAGTACCATCATCTGCTAAATCAATATTTGTAAAGGATCTATCATCCCCAGAGGATTATAACTATGTATTCCAGCGTGTAAAGTGAGTGTTATAACAACAACAAATAATAGAATAGTAATCATAATAACTGACTGACTGACACTGTTCCACTACTACTACTATAATTTTATAAACAGACAATTCGATCGTGAAAACTATGTATGTTCTATTCTTATTTCCGATGAGTTGGCTCGTCGTGCTGCATTTGCAATCCGTGCATTCAATATTGAAACTGTCATTCTCCACTCTGAAGTCAAGAGTGATATTCGTTTGGCTAAATATAAATTATCGTTCTGGAAAGATGCTATCAACAATATTTATAATGTAAGTTGGATAAAAAGTAATTTCAATCTATTTAGATATAGACGTATGAATAGAGATAAAGATATTAATTAATATATACCATTTATTATTATTATTATCATCATTTAGGGTAAAGTATATGATCAACCATTGATTAGGGTTTTAGCACAACAGATTAAAGAGAGAGGATTATCAAAGACATGGTTTATTAGATTGTTGAATCGTCGTGAGAAGGATCTAAACAGTGTACAAATGAAGGACATGGATGAGTTGGAAGCGTATGCCGAGGAGATTCACGGTTCGTTGCTATTGTTGAATCTCGAGAGTCTGGGTGTGCGTAACTCTGATGCCGAGCACGCTGCCAGTCACTTGGGTCGTGCCATGGGAATTATGACACTGATTCGTGGTACACCCTTCCATATCAAAACGAGAAAGATCTACATTCCGGCATCACTCACCACCAAGTATGGAATTGTTACCGAGCGTCTCTACCAAGGTGAAGACGAGCAGGTTCTCAAGTTGAAGGAAGCCATTTTCGAGATGGCATCGGTTGCCAAGATACATCTAGAAAAGGCACGTTCATTCAAAGTGCCTGCACCGGCTCACGAAGCATTCTTGTGTGCCGAGTTTGCCGATGACTTTTTGGAACGTCTAAGAAAATCAGATTTCAACATTTTCGATCCAACTCTCAGAGACAGAAGTACTTTCCTCCACCTAAAGCTCTACAAAAATAAGTTCTTTAAACAATTTTAAAATAAAATCAATTTATAATATATACGAGTAGATTAATATTTAAATATTTTTGGCTTATTGGGTGTGGATCTTTATTTAAAGGAATCCCTTAAATATAAATAGTTTATTGAAAAAGGTGGTGGTGATGGTGTAACATTTTAATGTGCAGAATCTAGATTTAGTGTAAAAGTATTGTTGTCTTTCTTTAGAAGAATTTGTTGTGGTGATAACCATTGTATTTTAATATTCTCTACCTTTGGTGCGGGGTTGTATTGTTGTTGTTGTTGTTGTTGTTGTTGGTGATCCGTTGTGATTCTAACTGATTTTGTACAATTAAATTGTGATCCTAAAAATCCAAAGAAACTAGAGTTGGTTTGGAAGATCTTCAGTAGATTGTCTTTGGTGGAGAACGATGCCAGCGCTTTTCCACTCTCACTGAAACTGACAGCCGATATCAGTGCACGTTCGTGACCTTCGAGTCGGTGCCAACGAGTGGCAGTCTTCAAGTCGTAGATCACAATGGAACCGTCCATAGTACCCAACATCAATCTCTGTGATTCGTGATGGAACGACACCATCGGATACTTATTGACCATCAGATGCAAAACAGCGGTGGTTTGTTTCAGACAAGCCTCTCTGAACGCCGGAATATGTGGATCCAAACTCTTTATAATACAATCGATGACACGTGGCAAATAGGTAAGCACTGAATCAGGGTTGTTCTTGATCAACAGTCCTATCAGAACGATAGCGTGTATAGTTGAAGACAAGTTCTTTGATTCATTCGATATTTCATCACCAATTGTTTGAATAAATTTCTATTATTATTTAAAGATTAGTAAAATAAATAAATATATTTAAAAAACTAAACAGACATACCATTACATCTACAGTACCAATTAATAATAATGAATTGATAGCTGTTGTACCTAGTGTATCATTTTGCATAGTTAAAGTGAATAAACATTTCAATAGTCCCGGAATATCTTTGACTGAATCTTTCCATAAAGTGAATCCTTTTCCTATTAATTCGACTGCAGCAATTGTCAAGTGTCCTTTTCCTTTGAAAATCATCTTTAACAATTCATATCCAATCTTTAATGATAAGCTATTATAATATTAAATGTTAATAAGATGTAATTAATATATAAACTAAAATTTATCTACTTCAAAGCTAAAAAAATAAACATACTTTTGTGGAACATCTTCTTTTCTATGAGATGCAATCTTTGCTAAAACAATAACAGCTCTTGCTCTTTCAACTGATCCCAATGAATCTGATTTTACTATAATTTTAAAATAATGAACAAATTAGAAATTATTATTATAAATTAAAAAGATATAAATATAAATTTAAAACTTACATAATTGAGAATAGAAATCAATTAATGATAGGAATTGAGGTTTTGGCATTCTTTCGATTGCAGTTTTAAATACTGATCTAGCGGAAAACATAATGTCTTCAGAGTTGTCTTGACAATAGCTGGCGAGGTAAGAAAAGTCGGGATATACATAGTTTGTAAGTGTATCTGGTAAAATAATACAATAGTAGGTTGAGATTTGACTGCATGCATTCTCGAGACCACCAATTCTCAGGATGGTACGACTTAGTGCAACGGCAGACAACGTGGTCTGAGCGGTGAGATACTCTGAACATTGCATCTTTCCGCTGAAGCTCGATGCCTGAGGAGTAAGGATACTGAGATTGCCTCCCTCACCGATGACACCGAATGAAAAGTCGGGTTGTGGTGGTCTCAACTGAAAGTCTTTCATAAACATCGAATCGAGGTTTCTCTCCATACCCCAAGGCATTAGATAAGAGAATATCGACACCAACTGACTAAGTTCTTTCTGTACCAATAGAATGGCAGACGATTGTTGTTGTTGTTGTTGATTTTCAATATTACCAAGTGAACTGGAAAGCGATTGACTCGACATATTCGATGGGAATGAAGTATTATATTTAGTATTCATTTCTGTATACTTTAAGATTTCATCTGATATCGCTTTGATATTTAAGAATATAGTTTGAATTGGTGGATCTTTGAGAAAGATATAAAAAAAAATGAAGAGTTAGTTTATAAATAAAGCAACAATTGTTGGTTGATCAATGTTAACTTGTATATTTACCATTCTTATGTGTGAAAACAAATGATTGAGTTGTTTGTTTTGAATCATATAATCCCAAATCCTTTGGTTGATAGTTATTGTTTGATAGCGGTTGAGCATGGTCGATAATATCCTTTGCAATCTGTCCGTAGACAACACCCTCGAGCTCACCGGAACCGATCTCCCAGAGTGACACGGAACCGTCGATAGTCTCCACAACGAGATATCCTTGTTCAGGCTTCCAGAATACACGAGACAATGGCGACGAGTGTACACCAAACATGTGCTTACAAGACAGATCCTCTGTAGAGTACATTCCCACGGTTTTGTCTTCAGAGATCGACAAAAAGTTGGAACGTCCGGCGTGTGGCAGCGTGAAGATCGATGTTACCGGTCCGGTATGGTGTGAGAAGGTGTGTAGTAGCTGGAAGCTGGTGAGATCCCATACTTTTATGGTGGTGTCGTTCGATGCCGAGAAGAGACGACGCTTCGAGTTGCCGCTGGTTGGCGAACTCATCAAGCAGTTGACCTTACCCTGGTGAGAACCCGGATGGAATTTGGTGTGCAAGTCGATCGGTAGCTTCGAAGTACTGATACTGCCATCTTCGTAACCACGGATGAGCATCATCGAGTCCTCCAGAACCAGTGAGGCCGTCACTCTCGACTTGTTCTTAACGTCACAGCCTCTCCAGCCATCAGCGATATTTCCAATGAGATTAGGCTCACGAACCATCTTTCTCATGCTGTGCACTGGGATGTCGTCAACTGGAATCACCCATATCTTGACACGACCAAATGAATCACCAACTAAAAATACATTACTCCACAACATTGCAGCACCAATCTTTTTAGTGATATCACTATTATTATTGTTGTTGTTATTATTATTATTTTGAAGATTTGAAGTTGAACTATTAACACCTCCATTTGCATTAAATGGATATTTCGAAGTTGTATCATAATTTGCAAAACTGAGTAATAATGTTGGTGGATTCGTTCTAAAATAATAATAATAATATAATTAATATAAAGTGTTGTTTGTTCGACATGTTACTAATAGCTAAACACTCAACTTACTCTGGTGCTAAATGAGATATCTCAATTGAATCATTAAACATAATACCAGGTGATGAACTGGTTATATCGATTGGTTTCGGTAGATTTAATGGTGAAGTTCCTGGTAGTGGTACTGGATGACCCATCGAAAATGACTTTCCATCGAACGGATCCATTTTATAGAGGAATGACTTTCCATCTTTTGTCCAAACCAATATCATTGAATTGTTTACAAAACTACCACCAAACCAACCTTGTGGATTAGGACATTTAATAGAACATAATTTATATGAATTATTGGTTGTAAATATCTAATTAAATTAACAACAATATAGATTAGAAACAAACTGCATTATAATTGGATGATAATGATGATGATGATGATAATGATGTTAAGTACTTACAGACCAATGATCTTTAGATATTACTAATAATGATTTACCATTCGGTGAGAATTCAATTGCAATTGGTGCGTCGTTTGGAGAGCAATGACCTTCACCACCGGGTGTCAAGCATATCGTTTGCAAAGAATAGTCATATTCGCCGTCATTCAACGACCAAAACTTAATGGTACCATCTAGACTTGCACTCAATAACAATGGTGATTGATCTTGTGATATAGTACATGTAAATAAACATGATACCCAATCTATATGTGATGTTAAAGTTGCAATAATCTTTAAAAAGATAATATTAGAAATAGGATTGAAAAGAAAATAAAAGAAAAGAAAAGAAAAGAAATAGTTATTTTTATTAGTTCATCATCTTTTCGTTATGTTTTGTTTTGTTTTTAAAAAAACATGTACCTACCTTTAATGTTTGAACATCAACTATAAAGATTGAATTCGAACCTTTACCAACGACGGCAACACGTCGTTTGTTGGGAAGGGTTACCATGAACGATGGCGAACACGTTAGGAATGAAGGTTGTGAGGCAACCAGACAGTAGCCATCGCTTATGCTCCAAACGGAGATGGAACCGTCTGCACCGCAACTGACGAACGCTTCACGACCTTCGACTTCGCACATCGCCAAACACGTAACGGATACACCGTTGTGACCCATCGTGAACACACGGGGAATGAATTGATTCTCCTTTGGCTGTGAATCGAGATAGACTGATGAAATCACCAAGTGACCCGCTTGTGAACCTGTAATGATCGTTCGCTTATCGGGTGTAATCAATATTGCAGTGATTCTATGTGTAGGTGCACCACACCACAACACTACAGGCAACATAATATCTCTGTGCATTGCATTATTCAATCCACCAGTACTAATCTTTGTATTATGTCCAACTCCACTTGAATTGGTTGTTGTTGTTGATGTTGCTGTAGATGTAGTTGTTGCTGTTGTTGTTGTTGTATTCGAATTTGATGTAGTAGAAGTAGTTGTTGTTGTTTGTGTATTATTTGCCTCTTGTTGTTGTTGTTGTTGTTGTTTTTGTGGTGTTACTGATGGATTACCAATATTACCATTACTATTATTAATATTGTTATTTACACTCAATTTTTCATTGTTATTAATATTGTTAGATCCATTCATTCTTTTAAAACAACAAACTATTCAATAGTGACTAACACACATTATAATGAACAAAAAGATAATCAATACTGCAGAACAAAAAAATCATTAAAGTTCATAATTTGAAAATTTTTTATTTTGTTTTTTTTTTATTTGGTTTTTTTGTTATTAAAGAACTTTTTTTACCCCTGGTAATAATAACAAAATTTTAAGTTTTTATTTGTCTATAAATTATATTTATTTATTTATTAACTATTATTTTAATTAAAATTTTTTGATAAATCTAATTAAGATAATTTTTAATTTTTAAATGTTACTAATAAACACTCATCAAATATAATGATCTCTTTATTGATGTAGATGGTGAATCTGGGGAAAGTTTATTCAGGAGTGTTTAGAATCAATCAGAGTAGTGAAAATGGGGAGTGGTGATAAGTGGTGAAAATAAAGAGAAAAAATAAAGAATGTGATTTATTTGAGAAAACTCATGTGGTCTATCTAAATTTAGAATTAATAAATTAAGTAAAATCATCAAATTCAATGAAAATCTGAATTTCATTTTAACCTGGTTGAAACTACTTTCACCAAAATAATGACATTCCTGCAAAAATAAGGTGATTCATCAAATTTTTTTTATTTTTTTTTAATTAAAGATTTTATAAATATATTTTTAATTTCATTTAAATTTTTTTTCACTGTGCACACTAATAGTTTGAAAATTGCAATAAAAACAGTTAACTTGTTTGTGGTTTTTATTTTCAAATTTTTTAATTTTAATGTAAGAACAAACAACGACAATAACAACAACAACAACAACAACAACAAATACTTTAATTTAAATAATATATTTAGTAATAAAATATATTAATACTAATATATAAATATTTAAATATAGATATCATTTATTATATATATATACACATTTATAATTATATAAACTAAAAAAAGATTTTCTTTTTTTTTTTTTAATTTCACATAAATTTAATTAGCAATGGGATGTGGATCATCAAAGCATCACGGTTCGCCGTCACCTAACAACAACAATACAGTATCGTTGGCAAAAACAAATAGTAATAGCAATCCTCATGCCAAACAAGCTTCATTGTTCAGACCAATCAAAGATAAATTCCAATCGCTCGATGAAGTACAAAACGCTCTCAGACAAGCTGGTCTTGAGTCATCTAATCTTGTCATTGGTGTAGATTATGTATGTATATATATATAAACTAACTTTTGAATTCATATATTTTAACAAGGTTTGAAACTAACACTCTTTATAATAATATTACTTATAGACTAAAAGTAATACTTGGAATGGTGCAAAGACATTCGGTGGTAGATGTCTTCATCAAATTACACCGGGTCAATTGAATCCATATCAAGAAGCCATTGCAATTGTCGGTGAGACACTGTCTGTGTTTGACGATGACAATCTCATCCCAGTCTATGGTTTCGGTGACAGCAGAACCACTGACAAGTCAGTGTTCAAATTCACAACGGACAGACCATGCTTTGGATTCCAAGAGGTACTCAACACCTACAATGAAATCACCCCATTGATCTCATTGTCTGGACCAACTAGTTTTGCTCCACTCATTCGTGAGGCCATCAATATCGTTGCTCAAACCCGTCAATATCACATTCTCGTTATTATAGCCGATGGTGAGGTCACCGTTGTAAACGAAACCACCAAAGCAATCGTAGAGGCTTCTTCCTATCCTCTTTCCATCATCACAATCGGTGTAGGTGATGGACCATTCGATTTAATGGAGAAATTCGACGATGAACTTCCAGAAAGGTAAATAATTGAATCATTCATTATCATTTATCAATTACTAATATCTTACATTAATATATATAGAAAATTCGATAACTTCCAATTTGTAAATTATAATACCGTTATGTCTAGAGCTGAGAACAGAAAGGTTGACTTTGCAGTTGCTGCTCTCCAAGAAATTCCAGAACAATTTGCTGTATGTAATTTAATAATAATATAATATTCACAAATGATAGATTATTAACATTTTTTTTACTTTAGGCAATTAAACAATTAGGTTTATTGGCTAATTAGAATTTTTTTTTTTTTTTTTTTCACTCAATCTTCTTTTTAATATCAATATATCATTGTATAAAGTTTTTTAGTTTTAAATAAAAAAGAAAGAACAATACAGAAAATAGCAACTATTGGATTATTATTATTATTTGTTTTCTTGAGGAGCGATACTATACTATGATTTAGGAGTTATAATTTACAAATAGAATGTTTACATTTTATTGAAAGTTGTTTTTAAAGAGATCTGTCGATATCCAATTTCCTCAATATCAATCTTTTCTCTCTTTCCACCACAGGGTTTGTTTCTATATCTATGGATTCCATGAGTCTTACACTAATGATTGAATAGAGAGTTTCAGAGAAATTTAGATTGTGTGATTTCGATCGAATGTACATCTGTAGCAATAAATTGGCAGAGTTGTATCCAATCGCCACTTTTGGTAGGTCGGAGTCCAATAGCCTTAGGAGTTCTCGAACTAATAGGTGATAATATTCGAAAGCAGATTCCTGATGTGTATTAATAAATGTGAGAATTACTGGCATTGCTTTCAACTGAATATCTGAAATATAATTGCGACACTTTGAATGACTGCAGGTTGTTAGATGACCATCGGCAGACAGTATCTCCAAAAAGAATTTGACAACAAACTCTGGTGAAGTAAATAATCTATGTATGATTCTTAGATAGATAGGAGTGGTTTTTCCTAGTTTCGGTACACCTTGATTAACTATACAATCTGGAATACGGAACTCTGAACCAATCTTGCTCCCAAAAGTAGTAAGAAAGAATTCCACCATTGTCAATACCTGTTGTTTTAAATCTTCTGAGATAATTGGATATTGAAGATATTCTATAATAATGTTTAATAAATCTTTAAAATCCTATTTTTTTATATTTTGTTTTTTTTTTTTATTTAGAATTTGAAGAGGTAGAAATATTTTTTAATTAATAGTTATTTAATGTACTTACATCAAAGTTATTCTCTGAAAGATTAATACTATCTATTAATGATAGTAAACAGTTGAAACAATTGATTATCAATCGTTTATCATTGAGTTTTAGGTGCTTCATTATAAAAGGAAGTATCAAGTTATACTCTGTTGTAGAGATATTGGAGTTAAAGAACCTTAGCTCTAAGCATTTCCAAAAACAATACAACTTGCTATTGATAACATTTAAATCAGTTTCTTGAATAGTATTGCTATTTTGTTGTAAGAGTATATCATCCCATATCTCTTTTTCAAAACGTTTCCATTCTAATCTCATTCCTATACTCATATTTGCTAATATTATTCCCATACAATGATAATATTCTGATCTTACAATTGGTTGTACATCGTTTCTTAAAGGTAATAGAATACTTTTTTAGAAATAACCAGTTTAAATTATTAATATTAAAGTTGTTTTATAAAACTAAATATATATGACTAATTAATTACTTACTTATAATATTTATCGAAATCATCAGATATTATTGATCTAGTTTCTTCTTGATAACCTAGGATAGCCAAGGAGAGAAGTGAAGCTTGTCGTTTATACCAATACTCGGAGCTTTGCAGGTTTGAAACGATGTGATACATATTAAATTTTGACATGGTCGATATCTTATAGAATGTTTTACAACCCATTACACAAAAGCTGTCGGTTTCATTGCTTTGTAAAAGATTGTAGTTATCATTGAAATGATGCTGATCTGTTGGAGAGATACCAAAGTATGCATCTAAATCGAGTTCAACCATTGATTCATCTCTTTTCGTTATCCAATGGATTGCTATATCACTATAGTCCAACAATATATCGTCCAAATAACTCAAATCCGGTCTCATCTTTAACAGCTCCTTGATGTTTGCATTGAAAAATCGCTGACTGTCAAGACTTGCTTTCGAATCGATTGAAATCACTTTGATCATCGTTGGCAATATACTTTCAAGTAATGATTGATTCAATTCTTTTTTCCATAGCTATAGATATTTATAGTTAGTAAGTGAACTATCAAAAACAAAGAGAGAGAGGTCTTCTGTGTAGTTACTTGTTTAAATTTCATTATGATTCTTTCTAAATTCGGATAGATTGTATCTGTAGATGCAATTAGTGTACAGAATTCAATCATTGTTTGTTTCATCATGGTATCATAGTCATCGATTGATGTTAGATTCAATAGTGACGCTAGTTCGCATGTCAACATAGATGTGTCTAATAAAAAGGTTGATGGTGTTATATCAAATATATATGTATAGAGTTGTAATAAACAAATTGATTTACACTTGAAAATAGAATAGAATAGAATTCATGTGATATACGCATTTTAATTAGTTTAAAAATAAATTTAGAAAGGGTGAGGTTGTAATGATATGCTTACAGAAGAAGGTATATGATTGTTGTTGACAGCAATATCATTTAGATAAAGAAACAGTTGAACTACATCTCTTTGACAATGAACTTGATCATCAAACAAAGATACACCATCACCTATAAATCTATTTTGTAATGCCTCTATAATCAATTTATTTGTACTAATCATATTTTTAACAAACAAACTGACCAAAAGAAATAAAATTATTAAAAAGATATATTTTTTATGTTTCAACAGAAGGTGCTATAGCCATGTTTTTTTTTTATTTTTTTTTTTATTTTTTTTTTGTTTTTGTAAGACATGGAAACTAGCTAAAAGAAGTGATTGTCACTTAGCCGAATTAGCTTTCACTTAATTGCAACAATATTTATTTCCTTTCTGAAGGAAATTGCAACTATTCAGATCCAAATTATTGACTTGCATGAATTGGTTTAAAGACACTCCACATCCTTGAGCCATACCGTAGCAAGTATTTGGAGGAATATCTCCAAGAACAAACCATGATGAGCACTGTCCGGCACTGGCAACATTGAAACAAAGTGCCAACATCATTAAGAATCCAAATGTTAAAATTACCTATTTTATTAAGAATTTTTAAAACAAAAATTAATAAATGACAATTAATTATTAAGTTAAAATCTACTTTCTTACTTTATTCATTCTTTTTTAATTTAATTAATAGTTTTTAAGTTTTATTTTGAGTTAAGTTTATCTGATTGTGAAAAATAAATATCCATTTTTGTTGGATATTTATATTGAATTTTCAATCAAATCTATGTCTTTTTATAAATCTGTTTTATTTTTACTTTTATAGGAACTGGTCTTATTTATAAATTCTAAAAAGAAATAATTTACAACAATTTTAGATAAAACCACTTTTTTGTTTAGTCACCACTAAATTATTTATTTAAAAAAATGATCTTATCGAAATAACACAAATTAAATTTCGGTGATTATTTATTTATATTTATATTTATTATTTTCTTTAATTTAATTCATTTAATTTTATTTATTTAATTTTATATGATATGCTGATTTATAAAAAAATTTAAGTGAATCACCTACTTAATTTATTTTTTTATTTTTAGTCTTAAATAAATATAAACACTTCATTGTTTGATTGACTGTAGTTAGAAATTTTGAACTAAAATAACTTTGTAGGTTGAAGGATTGTTATCGCCAGACACTCAATCGTGAGGACAAAGAGAGTAGGAGAAAGGGGATCGATCCCTTGCTTGGTGCCTCTATTGATGAAAAAAGTTTTGGTTTTGAAACCTTTCACCAGAACAGAAGAGGGAGAGTTAGTTAGCATTGACATGATTAGATCAACAAATGGGAGCGGAACACCGATATGTCGCAGTACGTTTGATACTATCATGTGAGATTGAGTCGAAAACTTTTATGATATCAAAAAGTGTGATCAAAAAAAAAAAAAAAAAAAATTTGTGTCAAGTAATACATCACCAATATTTTCTCTATTACCGGCTGCAACTGGACACCTGGGTTGTGGTCAAGTTCTAAAGAAATGCTCATCGGTTTCTTAAAGAAGAAACAATGCATTAATCAATCAAAAGATCTGAGGAGTCGCCACCTCTTCTCCTGATGAGATCAGAGATGCTTTTTGGAAATTTTACTCTAAACTTTATTCTAAAATACAATTTTTTTTTTTTTTTTTTTGCAAAAAAAGATTTGTTGGCTAATGATCAGTCAACAAATTGCAGGTATTGATATTAACCTGCTAGTTCGTGTTTTATATTATATATACATTCTCACACAGGCCGTGAGAAATAGCAATAAAATATTGTTATTAATATTATTATTATTGTTTATAATTATTATTAATTAATAAGTTAGTAGTATTAGGATAGAATAGATCTAACAGTAGTTGAGTGTTGATGAACAACAGTATACAGTGGTGGCACGTAGTTGGAAGGATTTAGATTCCAATCAGATTTGAATTTACGTGTTATAGCAGAGCAATCGACAGTGATTCCTTGGGAGATAGAATTAGCGATTGTGAAGTTAAGCTTGTGGTAATTGGCATCGATTAATTTGGTGTAATGGGTGACAGCTCTCTTGACGGTATTTTCCAGCTTGTAATGGGTACCATCACCAAACATTTCAGAGGACAGCGCCTGCCATAACGAATGTACGATAGCAGCAGTAAAGTGGGTGAAGTGGATAGTAGTACGAATAGGACCGTCGAACTTGATGCACGAGTGCTTCCAATTGCGAAGTCTATAGTTACAGTACTTGTGGTATATATGTTTGATAAAGGAAAGGAACTGCTGTGAAACTACATTCCTGCATTTGAAGAAGAAATGCTCATGTGGGTTGCAGAGTTCAGTGAAGGTGTCACCACAGACTCACAGACATGACCAGTGCGCTTTTGGTTGATGGGGAAGGTGTGAGAGTACAGCCGGAATATGCTGTTACGTACGAGTTGGTTTTTTTCCGTGTTATTGCAGATTTTTTTTTTTTTTTTTTTTTTTTTTTAAATTATCCTTGTACTACCATTACTGATAGCCAAGGTGTAGAGCTTGATATTACCCTACAGTTCGTGTTTATTTATTATTTGAGCAGTTCAGCCACAGGCCGGCTAAGATGGCCATCATTTTGAGTAAGGATGATGTTCCCATTGATTTGGTTTGGTTTGGCAGACGGAGTAATTAAGCCACTTAGAATTCTAAGCGGGTACGTGTAAACCACTCGGTGTTCACCTGTGATAAGCCTGCTAGTTACTGTCGGTGTCAACTTCATGGGGTCCAAGATAGTATTTAAGATACTAGATCACTTCAGAAAGTCGTACCCCACTTATTTCAGTTTTTACAAATTTGGAATAATAAAAAATGAAAAAAAATTTGAAAAAAAATTTGAAAAAAAATTTGAAAAAAAAATTACATCACATTAACATCTATTTTGATCGATTATACGATAATATATCAAATATTAAAAATTTAAAGCATATCAGGAACAACAAGTTCAGCAAATATGGATAGATTAAAAGATGAACAGAGTTCACAATAAAAGAACTTTAAAAAAGTAAGAATAATATTAAAAAATAACTAAATATTTTGTTTTATTTTTTTGTTTCTTGTTTTGCTTCTTATATTGTATCTTCTTATCTTGTTTCTTGTCTTGTTTCTTATCTTGTTTCTTGTTTTGTTGTTTATCTTGTTTCTTGTTTTGCTTCTTATATTGTATCTTCTTATCTTGTTTCTTATCTTGCTGATTATCTTGTTTCTTGTCTTGTTGCTTATCCTGTTTCCTATCTTGCTGTATCTTCCTTTTCTTTTGTTTAATTCTCTCTTCTTCTCTTTTAAATCTCCTATAGTCTTCTTCAACTACTTTCTGAAATATGACTGGATGTGTTAATTTGTTTTGTGAATGTATTTCCAAAAAAGCGATTAAATTATCGTTGAATGTTATGTTCTTAATATCATCACATTTTTGGTTCATAATATCATCTAGTATATTCTTAATGTTGTTGATTTCCAATCTGATGTTTGTTGATTTCCATTTGGCGATTGATATTTCGACTACATACAGCAAAAATCTATGAAACCGGACAGAGGTATCAAAATATCAAACAGTAATACATTTATTTGTTATAGAAACTAATAAATATATTCTAAGATAGATCTTTGTTAAAGATTAATTATTAGAAAAAAATTGAAATATTTACCATTTTAAAAAAAAATAAAAAAAATAAAAAACTAAAATTAACTGTGCAATATTTCTGAAGTGATAAAATATTTTTTATTTATATACATTTAAATTGATTTAAAAGAAAACAATTAATAGGATGTCCAATAACCTTGGTTGAGGATTACTTGATTCAATCTGTTTGGTATTGATTCATATAGTGATTGGCAGTACTCCGGTGTCATTTCATATCACCACTATTAACATTATTTAAGAGCTCTATTGAGTTTAGAATGAATGGCATCTAGTATATATATTTATCTCAAGAATACCCAAGAATTTTAAAAAACATTCAGGTCCTGACTAGTTTGTTTATATATCAAATTTAGTTAAGAATGCATTTTAAGTAAAAAATATTATGAGATTTAGAATATTGATGACAAGTGAGATGTCTTGTACAGTTGTGGAATATACTAAAATTAGTTAAACAATATTATTTATTCGTCGATCTATATCATACTCTAAAATTTCTAAAAAATCTGGGAATCTAGAGCTTAAGATAGATTGTCTAAGTATCCAGTTCCATAATAAATTAATGAGAGAAAAGATTGAATTTGAATCTACCACTTTCAACTTAATGATAGAATATTAGTTGTTCTATAATCGGGAACTCCTTTAAAGAATAAACTTTCTTTATACTATACTCTCCTTGTTTTATTTTCGTTTCATCTGTTAAATTACTTTTCTAAAAAAACAATATCCTTGTTTCTGTAAAATCAGTTAAAAACCTTTACATTTTGAATATGAAGAAGAGTCTAAAAGGATTTTTTTTGTATTATTTCTGAAAGTAATTCCTTAATCCTTTATTATTCTTCTAATAATGTTATTGATTTATCTTTTTAAAAATGTATTGTTATCCTTTTTTTTTTTAATGATATAATTGATTTTTAAAAAAAATTTTAAATTTTATTTTAAAAATAATTGTAATCTTTTAAATATTTATTCTTTTTATACATATAGTATTTGTGTTCAGTGCTGAGTTTATTTTTGCTTAGTTTTTCTTTAGTCTTGAAACTGTTGAAAATTAGAATTGTATTTTAAACCAATAACTTCTTGTGCCGTTCAGTAATCCAAATGAAGTATTCCACAAATCTTTTATCTTTCTGTTAACATTTTACTTGGTATCATTCTTATATATAATATAATTAAATTTTTCAAAATAAATTTAAAAGTACTATAATAAAAAATATTTTATCACTTCAGAAATATTGCACAAATTAATTTTATCTTTTATTTTTTTTATTTTTTTTTAAAATGATAAATGATTCATTTCTTTTTAATTATTAATCATTTACAAAGATCTATCTTAGAATATATTTATTAGTTTCTATAACAAATAAATGTATTACTGTTTGATATTTTGAAACCTCTGTCCGGTTTCATAGATTTTTGCTGTATATCACCATCAAAGCACAACTCCAATTCGAATACCTTATCCAAATATTCATCATCTCTTTCTGTAGTATTACAGTCAAGAGTTCTTAGTAACTTCTTACTTCTACAAATAGATTCTTTTGTTCTAAATATCGATCCAAACACATGTCAATTTGATTAAATGTCAATCCACCAATACCTTCAAATACTTTGAAAACTTATATAACTAGTATATTAATTCTAACTTTTTTTTTTTTTTTTGTAAATAAATAAATAGGTAAACACACTGAAGACAATAAATCTATTAAGATGTCAAACAGGAGTAGACACAGCAAGGTTATTTCTCTCTCTTTTGATCTGATTATCCAATTGTTTTTGCACCCTTAACATGTGATTTCGTCTAATTCCAGTTTATTATTCGTTTCCCAACAAGGATGTTTAGTTTTCAGATGCTTGCATAGTTTGATAGAGTCACTTTTACTTGACAGTTGTTATGACAACACTGCTTCGAATTTATATCTGCATTCACTTGGAGTGGTTGCTCCCAATGTGACTTTTTCATTTCATTGGGGTGCTTTTCTCTCTTGTGCCTATTGAGTTTGGTCAATTCACCATAAGAATATAAACAATGCTCACACTTGAATTCAACACAATTAACGTGGTATGTATTTATTTTAGAAACTGAACTATTACTATTTAATACTACCACTACTACCACTACTACTACTACTACTACTACTACTAATATAATTATTTTCATTTTCAATCACTTCGAACAAAATATTTAAGCCATAATCAACCGAAACGTGATCTCTTGGGTTATCATTTATTATTTCAATTTCCTCATCATTGAATACACACTTCTTGTTATCATTTTCTTTGGTAGACTCTGGTTGCTCCAACTTAAACTTAAACATATAGTTTTCCATCTTTTAAAAAAAAATCATAACTAGAATAATATAATATTCTGTATACAGGTAACAATTAAAAAAAAAATTAAAAAAAATTAAAAAAAAAATTAAAAAAAATTAAAAAAAAATTAAAAAAAAAAAATTGTGGGTGACCACACAACTGCCAAATTTTTTTTGTTTTTCAGTGAGGATGAGAATCTTGCTTGGGGTTCAAAAGTACCTACTACGTTTTTCCAAATATAGGTGCTTTTTTTCAATTATTTTTATAAAAAACATGCCAACAATGTGTGAGATAGGGGTTTAAATCATTTTTTTAGACGTACGAGTCCCCGGAGTGTTAGTACGTGGCGCGCTCCTTTCAAGTCGGGAAAATTTTTGTAAAAACCCGGGATCGATCCCACGACCCAAGTCCTCTAAGGCTTACTAATGGACCAACTTGGCCAAAGAGTCTTGGGCGTTATTGCAGAGCAATCGACAGTGACTCCGTATAAACCCAACTCGTACCGCACCCGGGGACATCATCAATGAAATAAAAATGCCATCTGTCGGGATCGAACCAACGACCTTAAGATCTTCAGTCTTACGCTACTACCAGCTGAGCTAAGACGGCATTTTTAAGTGTAATAAAAATAATAATTTTTGTTTTTATTTTGTAAAAATTAAATGTCTTTGAGAATTTATTTTGGCTTCACATCAATGTGCCATCTTGGCTCAGTTTGTAGTGGCTTAAGTAGATTATGACGACAAATAGAACGAGTTTTTGGTGGGTGGATCCGATCGTAAGATTCTGCAGTACGACACCAAGTCGAACCAGATCCTGCAGGAGTACGACCAGCATCTTGGCGCGATCAATTCTCTCACCTTTATCGATGACAATCGTCGGCTGGTTTCGTCGAGTGACGACAAATCCATGAGAATATGGGAGTGGGGTACCCGTGGTCATCAAGTACATCAGTGATCCCGAGATGCACAGTATGCCAGCGGTTGCACTACATCCCAAGGGCAAATGGTTCGCCGGACAATCAATGGACAATCAAATTCTGGTGTATCGTGCTCGTTACAAATTCAGAATGAACAAAAAGAAGCGATTCCTCGGACATACCAACCCAGGTTACGCTTGTCAACTCAATTTCTCACCCGATGGCAAATATATAGTCAGTGGTGATGCCTCTGGAAAAGCATACTTTTGGGATTGGAAACTTCTAAAGTTTATAAGTAAGTCAAAGAATCAATTTTAAATTTAAAATCAACAACATTCATTAACTAATCTAATCTAATCTATTTTTTTAATTTAAATAGAACATTACAAGCTCATGATGATGTTTGTATAGGTATAGAATGGCATCAAATTGAGTCATCCAAGGTAGTAACATGCTGTTGGGATGGAAAGATAAAATATTGGGATTAATCTAATCCTACATAATAAAACAATAGTTAACTTTTTGTTTTAAAGTTACTGAAAAGATAAAACTATGAAAGATAACATCATCCATCAACTACTAAAAGTTTATTTAAGAGTTTTTCTGGTGATAGACAGATGATTGTATAAATTTAAACATATTATTTGAACTATTATTTCAAAAAAGACCGAAAAGGAGTTATATATTAATTATTATTTTAGAATAGAGTGAGTGAAATTTGTTGGTATTTTGCTATAAAAATAGTGAGTTCTTTCATTGTTTGTTTCTTTAAGTCTATAAATACAAAATTTAAAAATTTGAAGATGTTTAACATTTTATATAAAATTATTAGATGGGTGACACAAATCATTATGATTAAATTTGTAAATATATTATAAATGTTTAAATAATAATCAAATCCTACAAACAACTATAAATACAGCACTTTCATCATGGGAAACATATTATCTCTTTATAACAAACCATCATATTACAACTACGACAATTTTCCAATGTCTGGTCTAGAATCATTCCCACCAAAAATAATAAACCAAAGTATTGCTAACCACGCCTACCTCATGATATATTCCTCCCCGTCTGACTCTGGTACAACATTGGCTGGACATTATGCGATTGTTCTCGATATCAAAGGGGAGACTACAGATGCCAACAACCCCAAAGGTCTGATGATGCACATGGTTCTATTGGAGAGAGGTGTCTCTCAAATTGTCTGTTGTGAAGTCCATAGATACGACAAGCAACAACCATCCACTTTCCTCAATAGAGTCATTGCACTTGGCAGGGTCTCAAAACAGTTGGACAATCAAGGTAGATGGAGAGATTGGGCAATAATAGTTTTTATTAATTTCATAGAGAATCATTGTAATGGTATCTATACTTGGGGATCATCGACAAACTGTCAGAATTTTACTCGTCACTTGGTTCGTAAGTTGGATCTCGTATGGCCAGATGATATCCCTGTTGCTTCTGACTACGCTCCCATGGCTATAGATCTAGTGTCTTTCTATAGAGACATTGAGATCTCATCCAACACAAATTAATTTAAATTAGAAGATTTAATATTTAGTTTTTTAAATAAAAATTGTTTATATTTTTTGAAGTCATCTTATTTGTTAATTTACTTCTTTAATTTAAATTTAAACATCTAATAAAAAAGTCTTTTTTTTTTTTTTTTTTTTCTTAGAGTTTGAAAAGATAAAATTATGGAAGTATATACATCCATCAGTGATATTACTAAAAGTTTACAATTGTTTGTTTGTTTGTTTGTCTGTTTGTTTGTTTGTTATACTATACTATTTGAATGACTTGCTATACTATTTGTTAAATCATCATCTTCATTGTTGGTTATAGTTTGATCTGTTGTTATAAAAGTAGGTGTAGGAGTTGGAGAGGTAGTTGTTGTTGTTGTCGTTTCGGTTGTTTTAATTGAATCTGCACCAACCATTTGTTCACCATCTAAACTATCCAATCTGATATCCTGTGAATTTGCTAGTGGCAGTGATATCGCACCTTCTATTCCATCTTGAGCATTGACCTTCTTCTGAGCGATGATGTCTCTCTTGTTGTAGAGCGCCAATAGTTTTCTCGTGAGTTCGTCAATCTCCAACTCTGTATCCTTCAGCTGTTTCTTAACGACTTCATTCAGCTGTTTCTCCAATGTATCTCTTCTTTGTTTTTGTTGATCACTCAATTCATACTTTGATAGATCCGATAATGTTTTCTCCATTCTATAGAATAACAAAGAAAAAAAAAACTATTAATATCTTGCTTGAGGTAAACGACACTAACCTTAATGTTTAATAAAGAATAAATACAACACACATACAATTGTAGCTTTTTAGTTTGTTCATCTTTTTGTGCTTCTAATTTATCTAATGTTGTAGATGTTCTATTGATAGCCAATGATAGTTCAAATTCTATATCCTGTCCACTAGTTACCTAAACAAAAAACAATCAATAGGACCAGTTGAATAAGAGTATTTTTAACTATAATATTTAATTGATGTTTTATTAAAGTTATAAATAAAATTTTAAAACAACAATAGCAATTTAGAACGTCGGCATCCAATTCTTTATGAGAAAAAACTTTTGGTAATACTTTATCATATTTTTTAATGGTTTAAAAAAAGTTATATTTAAAATTAAATAAATATTTTTATTAATTTATTTACTAATTTAATCTAAAATAATATGTTCATTAGGATTGAATCCTACATCTTTATATTGATATCCGAGTTGATTAGAAGCAACCAATACATTGTTATAGGTGAATTTTGTGCAATAGTGGGTGTGTCCAAATATCCATGCTTTGATGTTGTGTTCTTTAACCATTAGTGATCGCTGATCGCTTTGAAATACATTGGTTATCGACGATCCAATGTGATCTGGATTCGATGTATACCTTCCTTTTGACTTGTCACTATACAGAGGTGCATGATGTGTAAGAATAACATTCTTTTCACCCTCTGGTGTCGATTTAAGTAACTCTAAAATATATTGTACAGATTCCTCATGTATCTTTGTAGAGTCTTTGGCATGCAACTGTCTTTTCTTTTCTTTTTCATCGTCTATGAAAATTCCAAAGTAGTCACACCATGAATCCGATATTTTGTCGGCTTCATGCTCTTTAACCTTGGTCCAGAAAGTACTACCGATTATTCTGTATTCATCCAATTGGTAATACCCGTTATTCAAATAGGTGATATTTGGATATTTATCACAGATTTGCTTTAGGCTCTGTGAGATCTGGTCCATTGTCAGAATAGTTTGACTGTGGTATCGATAGTGATATTCATGGTTACCAGGCACGTAGAAAACTCTCTCATAGACTTGCGATAGTTTGGCAAAGAACTTGTCTAGCATATCAAAGTTACCGATATCACCTGGTATTGCCAAGAAATAGCGAGTGTTAGGTTCCTTTTCAAATTCAAAGAGATCTTTAACACTTGATAATGTAGTAAGCTTCTCTAGATGTAAATCTGATGCATATTTAAATATTCTTTTCATATTTCTTTGATTTATAATGTAGTTGTATTTATTTGATAAAAACAACTATTCTGATTTAAAAAAGATATTTTTTTGAATAAATAAAAAAATTTTTCTTTGTTTTTTACTTAAAAAAAATTCCTTAGTTGGCTAATTTTACTATGATTTTCTCAAAAAATAAATCATAAGTTTATCTCTATTACTTTATTTAGATCATATTGTTAAAATAATGGGCGCCCTCATGAAATAGAAACTTTTACATTTAAATTCCCAATTTACAAATATTGAAAGAAATTTTATTTTAAAAAAAAGATTAAAATCTTAAAGTTTTTTATTTAGAACATTGTTTCGAGTTTTCACACTGCTCCAAAGCGATGTTATGAGTAATAATCATTTGTTCAAATTCATGATCAGTAACATTAAATGGACCCAATGGTCTAGTATCATCTGCTGAAGTAAGAAGAGCAGAAATACTGAAACGATCACTCCAACCACATGAATTTACACCAAAAAGTTCCTTACATAATTGAGGAGATCCATCGATAATGGCAATACCAGCATCCTAATTCAAAAATAGATATGATTTTTAGAAAAATATTATATTTATGAATATTCATATTACATACTTGTTCTACCCACATTGCAGGACCAGCATCAATAATTTGAGCTTTAATACAATGTTTATTAGAGTTTCTACAGACATTCAAATATTTTCCACAACCAAATCTTTGAGAGTCAGCTGTCAAACGGTATATTAAATTTAATAAAAAAGATTCAAATTGAAATATAGTATTTTGATAAAATATATACCTGTAAAGTATTGTCCCGCAGTGCAACTGGGAATTGGACCACAAGCAGATTGAGATCCACCTAATTAAAGTCAACTCATTAGAGTTTGAGTTTTAAATTATCAATAAATGAATTACTTACAGAAATCAGTTAAATAATATTGGTTATTTGATGGGATTGAACAACACTTTTAGATAGTAAAATTATTAGAGAGGTTGTTAATGAAATTGATTCTTTACCAATATCAAAACTGTAATCACTTACCATATTTCCATAACAGGGCTTGGCACAGGTGAAACCTGCATGGGCTGTTGACAATACAATAGCAACAATGAAAAAGAATAATGCTTGTTTATACATATTTAAATGAATAGTTTAGTTTGATGATTTTACAATGAATAAACTAAAGAGATCTTTTCATTTAAATACCGTTTGGTGATTTTTATTAAATTTATTTATTTTTAAATTAAAATATCTGAACTTGATTTTTTTTTCCCAAAATATCTTTTGTCAAACCCAAAAATGTTATCTAGCAAAGAATCTAAAAAAGATAGTTTTTTTATTTTTTTTGACACTGCACCAAATTAATCTTACAAAAATTTAATGAAAATGTAAATGAACTTTAAGTCCTTGGAAATGGTTCAGCCTGGTAAAGAACTGATTTAAAATTCAAAGCAAAGATATTATTTGAATTTATAGTTTATTGGGTGAATGTTATGCATCTGCTGCTCCGTAGGAATAAAACACATTGTTTATTTGATATTTCCTCCTACTAATACTGTTTTACCAATAAAGTAAAATTGAATTTGATTGATTTTTTTTTTTTATAAAATACTTTTAAAATATCTTGTACCGGAGGCTCCCAATAATCTCATCTCACGTCTGAATGTTGCTACGTTTTGAGTGAATTTATCCCTATTCTTTGTCTCTAAATTATCGTGGATATCAGTCATTAATTGAGTAAAGAGCACTTCAATCTTATCACTAGAGTTTTGATTCAATTGTAAGAACTTTAACTTGATTGCATTGAAACTCTGTGGCGGCGGTGTGTTTTAAAAAACAAAAACATGTTAGAATAGTTCTATTGGATTGATATTGTTAGTATTGTAACACTTGATACTTACATCTGGAGAGAATAGAATACAACCCAATAGAGGCTTAGAGATAGACCATTGATTAAGGTTATCCTCATAGATGACAACAAAGAATAGTTTGTCAATCAGTTGCTTGAGAAGAGTGTGATGTTCTGTGAAATGTTGTCGAATTGCATTCAATGTCTTGGAATCCTTCTTCTTGGCTTGTGAGTGACACATTGATATTATTTTATCTAATGAAACACATGCTTGATTTGATAAATGAATATCTATAAATAAAAGAATAGAGGAAAATACAATAAAAACATTAATATGTTGGATGATCATTGTTAGTTTGATAGTAAAGTTAGTTACCTTGATTATCTATTGCTTTCAAGATTGAATACATAATTAAACCAAAGTAAGTAGAGTTTAATTCCAATATGGTTTGTGTATGATTGAGACAGAGCGCTTCAATGAGTACCATGTATATCTTTGATACCTTTGGGAAGTTGACTAGCTCATCAAGAGTGATAGAGTTTAGCAATTGGAGAGTGATATCGAGTAGGCTGTGGAATGATCTGTCACCAAACAGCTCGAAAACACCAAAGTTACAGTAGTTTCCTGTGAGTGATCTAGTAAAGATAATCATTAAAGTACTGACACCCTTTAATTTAAATTTATAAAGTTCTTGTGTTGAACATTGTAAATTTAATATCGATGTTCCTATAAAAAAACAATTCATTAATATAAAGTTGAGTTGTGTAAAACATAACAAATATCGAATAGCATACCATAAGCAACAAGTATCTTACTTGTTTCTCTGAATACAACATAGCCATTGGGTGAAGAAGATTCAAAGTTTAATCTTGTCTGTTTGTTATAAACGTATTCCGATAATAACTTTAAGAGTATATTGATGACCTCTGGACAATTTATTAAACTTTGTACAATCTTTAAAAATACACTGAAATGTGGATTTCTAAGAAATAATAAGAAATAATAAAAGGATTAGAAGTTAATTATTATTATTATTAATACAATTGTTATTAATACTTACAAAAATTCAAATACTTGTTGATATGATTTCTTTGAGATTGCAGATGTAATGATACCTCTTAGATCTCTCATGAGACCTATGATCTTTCGCTTGGTCTCTTCTTGTCTGAATATCTCAACGGATTGGATCATCTGTAGTTTATTCATGATGTCTTCGAAAGGCTGAATAAACTCGTCAAAGAAATGAGTGTTCTCGTCGGTGAACAACAACTTGGCGATTGCCTTGTAAAGAGTGGTACGATGTTTGGTGTTTGGATTCTTATCGAGGAATGGGAAGATCTCAGAGTTGTGATTCTTTAACAAATCATGAGTGATCGATGTATTCAATAGTATCTTTGATGTGGAATGTCCATTTACAGAATCCCAAAACAACTCTAAACTTCTTTTAATAACTTCATCTACATCACACCAATATTTAAAGTTGAATCCACTTAATGAATGAATAATAAAATGTATGTTATGTTAATAAATAAATAAAAAAGAGTATATTTAATAAATACTTACATCTTTCTTATTATTGAGAATAATATTGTATTATGATCAGTTATTCCTAGTAATTCAGAGAGTCGAGGATAGATCTTTGATGAGTTGATAGTACTTTCACCAATGTAGATCTTTCTAAAGTTTTGCATAAAGTAGATGAATGAGAGCTCCAATGCAATTCTGCTCTCACGGTTGTTCTTAAATGATTCAACCTGCATCTTCTTGTCGCAAAAGTCGATCAACTTGAACACTCTTGCAGAGAGATCACCGTCGAGAGTATCGTACTCCTCTGAACTATTGATAGCTGTTCTACCAAAGATTAAACATCCAATCGTATAAACTAACCATGCACATTGTCCTGTTGATATCATATATTATAATTTAATTATAAAAATACAATCATAATTGTTGTTTATTCGTTTGTTAGTTAGTTAGTTAATATAACAAAAACTTTTTATAGAAAGTTTGTTAAAAATCTACTTACTCTCTAGTACAGTAATATTATCGATGTTTGTTTCAACAGCAATCTGTTGAGTTGCTCTATCAAAGAGTTGTAGTATTTGCTTGGCAGTCAAGTTGTATGTTAATCTACCTAGGAATGGTATATTCTCCAACATTTCAACCATCTTATCGAAATCCATTAAATTCTCATCTTCATCCTCCAAGAATGACGATCCTTCTATTTTAGAATTAATGAATGTTTCCATGATCTTTTAATTGATTGAACACAGTTTGTTAGTACTATCATATCATAATTAATAAAGATATTGTCTTTTGTTTTCAAACAACTTACAGTTGGTGTATATTTATCTAAACATGCTTTTGTAGTATCACCTCTGATATAAGATATAGATGCAACAAACTTTGCCCACAACGATAATAAATAATATATACTATTTGGTGAAAACTAAGAATATCATAAATGATTGATCACGATTGATGGTTAGTTTTAGTTATTAAATAAAATAATAATTGTAATTGTAATTGTAATAATATATAATAATAATATTATAACATACTTGTGGATTCTTTAATGTTTCAATGGTAAAATGAGATAATAGTTGAATCCAGTCGGGGTAACCTTCGATGGCAACCAATTGATTCAAATGATAGTTGGTTTTGATTCTCTCAAGTATTCTACAGAATGAGAGATGATTGTTTTCATTGAAGAATCCTGTATTGTTTGTCAAGATATCTTTGGTACCCTTAAAGATGTTGGTAATGAACTTTACTCTCTCATCCTCTGTATGAAACAATGATTTTCTAACAGATGCAACTGATATTAAACATTCTAAACTCTATATTTAGTTATTTATAAAAGTTAATAATGACAAACACCAAAGTAAGTATAGATATTATAAACTATTGAATTAATGATATCGGTTTTTTACCTTTGTAGAAAAGTATGTTTTATAGATTTTAAAGTAGAGATCGGTTGTATTGAGATCATCAAATATATGTTTCCATGCAACCGGTATCTGAACTGTGAGAATCTCTTCTGACGACTCGATAGACGATGCTTTAATAAAGTCAAATGTAAGACATGCTAAACTTAGATCTAATGCACATTCTCTAATTCTATCAACTTTTTACCATTTGTTTTGTGTGTTTTTTGAAAATTAAAGATTAGCTATGTTTAAAACTATATATATATATCTATATAGTTTATGTTATGATATATACTTACTCTTTTCATTCTTTTCGATGGTTGACAATACGAATTTCAAAGAATCGAGTGAGATTGTGTAGAATCGCATCAGTACTTGATCTCTGAGGAGAATCGAGAGGTTACGGTGTTGTGTTAGTGAGAGATGATCGCCTGCCTGATCGTTGAACTCTCGAATGATATCTCTGAGCTGCTTCAAAAACAGGATGTGGTGATCGTGTGACTTTTTCGACATGGTCAGCATGTTGTCAACAAACTCTGTCTTTCTTGTATCTTCTTGCCATGAGAATTTCACCAGTCTCGAATACAGCTTCAAGAGTGTAGTCAATGAAAATGCTTCAATCTGTGGAATCGATTCCATATACATTGAAATATTACTCTCTAAATGATTGATCATCATGATGTGACGATGTTTTAACATATTAATATACTACTACTAAAAAAACGATACTATATATATTCTAAAACTAAACATTTTTTTATCGCATTGTTTTTACATACTAATATCATTCCGTTGAGTGGGTGGAATTGAATTCCAATATTGAGTGATACACTTGGAGAGACCTCTTGAGACTTGTGCAACGACACATGAGTTCTTTGAGTATTGAAGTATCTTTTTATATTCAACCAAAAAGTTTGGATTCAAGAAGTAGTGTTGTAGAATCTCTTCGATTCTGATGGCTTCCTCTGGTTTATGAAAGGAATCAACACACAACTCTTCGAATCGAACATAGTCTTCATTACTTTGAATTGACATTCTCCAACCCCCCTTTTTAGTTGATTTTCTTTTACTTTTTTTTTATAAATATACTACAATAACAAACAAACGATTACAATAACAATAATAATAAAATATTAATCTACAAATATTTAATGGTTTATTAAAAAAAAAAAATTCTTCTAAAAATTGTTCATGGTTCATTTTTGATCAAAAAAATTGTTCAACAATTTTCATTTTTTTGTTTTGTTTCTTTAAAAAGATCCAAAATAGATGATCAATCATTTGGAGAGTAATATTTCAATGTATATGGAATCGATTCCACACCAATTTTAATAATAATCATCAATATATTAAATTTAAGAATTATTATATTTTTAATTTTTGTATATATTATTATTTATTAATTTAGTATAGTTTTTTTTTTTGATTTTCGTTTTCGTTTTCCTTTTTATGAAGCTTTTCCAAGATCAATCTTTCTCTTGAGTGATTTTGTTGTTTGATAGATGAATGAATCGAAAATACCGGCGACTGTGAATACACCACCTACAATAGCACAAACACTGGTGATGAATGATGCAAATGATTTACTTCGCTCGACTACCTTCATCATGATGGGCGATAGATCGTACATAAAGAAAAGACCTGGAAGTCCTGTCATCTCCTCACCCTTCTTTGCCAACAATCTGTAGTGTTCGGTGACCGAGTATTGATTGGTATTGATCAAATTACCATTCAATCCTTCGTAGATAGTCGGTACAATCTTTACATAATATTGGAACATACCAGAACCAACAACTAAATTGTGATATTGATATTGATTAGCTAAAAAGTTACAAAGAAAACTTTGATGATATTGATTGATTGATTGATTTCCTTACCTTCAGTTTTAGATACACCGTCTAATGGATTTTTAATACCTGGGAAATCATTTCCAAATGAAAGACGACTGATTGTGTGAGAGAGATTGAATTGACCCTTGAATGATTGCAAGTCGTGGACGTGCATGTGATGTTGTTGGAACGATTTGCCCGGTGCGAAATGGAAGTTTCCAGCGACCTTGTTGACGAGGAGGAATCCGTATACTTGACAACCCTCACCGTTTTGCTCGACAACATTCTTTGTGAAACCTTCACGTACACACTGTGGTGTGTCCGATGGATCGAATCCCCAACCCATCTTTTGGTAGGCAACACGTACCTCTTCGCAAGTGTTACAACAGTTGATTCCCTTCGATGGGTTCTCTGCACCCATACAACTACCACATTCGGGACGATCGTTCTCGTTCACCTTTGGCTTGATATTGACATTGTCCTCACGCTTTGGTGCATCTGGAATGAATTCTCCGGTCGGTGACAAACGTCTCTTGAAAATATTGTGTGCAACATCGAATTGATGTTCTCCAGAAACATCCATAGCATCCAAACTTAAATCTGATTATTTTAATGAATAATATATATATATATAGATATATATATGTGTGTGTGTATGTTAGTATTACTATTTTATCTAATTATTCTTCTTATCAAATGAATCACTTACATGCACATGGTAAATGATGGAATACAACATCGATGTTGATTTTCAATTTCTCAGCACGATTGGTATCGACGAAAAGTTCGTGGTGAGTCTCTGTTGTCATATAGATTGAAATCTGTGATAGGAATAGCCATATAATGAAAATACTAGAGACTATAGATACGATAGCACCAGCATATGTTTTTACACGAAAATCATCCACTGTCTTTGGATATGCATCAAAACTTTTTAATTTTTGAAACATTTCTTATATATTCCTCTCTTCTTCTAACTCTATTTTACAACACCTCTCCAACTATCTGTCTTATCTGAAAGTATAAAATACAAATATATAATTAATTAAATAATAATGATCGGATCAATTTTTAGAAAAAAAAAAAAAAAAAACCAAGTCAAACAATCAGTTTTGGATGACTCACACCCCATGTTTTAATTTTTAAAAAAAACCTTTAAAAAAAACTTTAGAAATAAAATTGGTTGTAGTATCTCTTTAAAGTTATATATGTATATTTTATTTAAAAATAAAACAAAAATAAAACCTTCTTATTTTTATATATTGTATTGTATTAATATTATTTTAACTTATCGTTAACGCAGGTGCATTGTGTGATTTCTTTGTTGTGTTGTTACTATTTACAGAGATCTTACTCAAAGCTGTTTCCTCCTCAATTTCAGAGGTTTCTATTGTTTTGTTATTGCTATTACTAGTATTATTATTGTTGTTGTTGTTGTTGTTTGATTTGATATTGCTATTATTATTGCTATTATTGCTGCTATTATTATTTAATATTGTATTTTTCTTTTGAAGTGATAAAGCTTGTTCATTGGGTGATCTTGGTGGTGAGTTTGATGAGAGTGAAAGTGGTGGTAATGATGATTCGTTAGAGTCTTTACTGTTACCATTTCCCGTTTGGTTGGTGGTGTGTATCGAATGAGAGGTGGTGGTTGGAGTTGGTGTCAGCGAGTGTGCGCCACTTATGCTGCCGGGCGGGTAGAGTGAATTGCCTTTCATGAGCGATGCAGGCGTAATCATTGGACTGGTTCCCATGAACGAGGAAAGCGATGGCGATGGCGATGGCGACGGTGAGATAAACGGTGTCAGTGTCGGCGAGTTCAGCGGAGAACGGTCAGATTTCGAACTGTCAATCTGTCGTTGTTTCAAGAGCAGCATGTATTGCTTTTCGACTTCTCTGGGGAAGCGAGCGGATTGCTGTGAGTGTGTCTCCTCGAGCTTGATACGTTGCTCCTTATGTTGTTGCTGCATCTTTTCGCTGTCTTCACTGAATTTAGCTTTGAGTGCAATTAGCTTCTCTGGGTTTCCGTCTGCAGAGAGTTTGTCACGTTCATACTGTTCGAGTAGCGACGAACTAGCTTCATCTTGTTTGGACATCATGCTTAGAGCCTGAGATTTATGAAACAGCTCTACTTTTTGAAGAGCATTCTGTTTGTATTGAATAAAGTGACTGTCATTGGAGGTGTTGGATGCTGAAAGTGTGTTGGAAGATGTTGAAACATTGGCCGCGTTTGAAGAGTTTGATGTCATGTGTGATGAGAGTGATGCAGATGTAATGACTGGCGTTGTTGTACTTTCAATTGATGCAGGTTGGTCATCTTTGGCAATGTTGATAACAATGTTTGGTGTTTTGGGTGCTTGTGTTGGTGTTGATGTAGTGGAGGTATGTGGAATCGTCGTCGTCGTTGTTGTTGTTGATGTTGTTGGTTTGGCATGGTTGAAAGGCATACCCATTGCCGCTGCCATTGCCGCTGGATTAAAGAATGGTGGAATGGTTCCAGCTGCTTGATAGCTCTTAAACATCATTTCTTGCATCTGTCTGAATGATTCCATCATCTGATAGTCGTATCCTGCTGGCATTGGGATGTTGGGAGTGGCTACAGCCGCTGGTTTAACTAGTGGTGTAGTTGGTGGTGGTGCCTGTTGTGATATAGTTGTGCCAGGTATCTCTGTAAGAAATCCTTGAAGATTCTTACCCATTACATTTAGATCGATTTGGAATCCTGTATCAACAGAACCTTTGATAGCAAGTCGACCATTGAAAGGACTGGTGAATACAGTTTCCATGTTCAACGATGAATTCAAACTAAACGGTGGCATTGAAAAGTATGGTAGATATTGGAAGCCAGGTGCTAATATTGGCGTACCTTGTGTATTTGGAGGAAGATGATCGGTGTTTTCATCGGATTTATCGCTGTTGGGTTGCATGGATGGCGGACGTATGAGTGGGGTTGTTCCACGCATCGGCTGATTCATTGATGGCGATTGAGGATACATTAAACCCTTGCGTTGTGGAAGTTGGAATGGTGAAGCTGGTCCATGTAAAGGCGATGGGGCGGATGCTGACGATGTCATACTTGTCGATTGAATCGACGGGGAAGTGATATTATTCGAGGATGGAACAGCTGCATTCTTTTTGAATCTTGGAATGGATAGGGTGATTGGCGTCTTTGGATGAATGCTTGGCGATGCTTGTCCTTGAGACACCAAGTTTGGCGATGCTTGTATTCCTTTCTTCTGCATTAGTGAAGAGACTATTGCTTGAGGTAATTTCGACGGTAGAATTGGCGGACTGTTTGGTAGGATTGCTCTTGGTTGCATGGAGAGAGAGAATGGTGAGGTAACTTGGGAGGTAGCAGATCTTGTTGGTGGACTTGCTATCGGTTTGGAAATGGTGGTAATTGACGATGTTGTATTGTTACTCTGGTTGTTTGATACTACCACTGGTTTGGTACCTCTTGAGTTGATGAGAGGAGAGCGAGGTGGTTTGGTTAGGAGCAATCGTTTGGAATTCAACTGAGGCGAACTGGATGCATCTTGTTGCTGGCTGGCCATCGACTCTGTTGGACTCTCAGATTTACGGCGGCTTGAAACAATGGGACTGGAAGAACCGTGCTCTTTGTTCTTTTCATCTTGTTGTGGGTCACTCGAGTCGGAATGTTGTCGGTCATCGCTACCAACATCATCTTGAACTACTCTTGAGTTTGGATGAGAGGTTTTTTTCTTTTTCAATTGAGAGGGACTGTACTCCTGTGCTCCATCTTTGCTTAACTCAAGCTCCATCTCTGTTGTATTATTATATTCCATATTTTCGTCATCATGTAGATGTTTCTTTGGTTGATTAATTATTGGTTGAGATTTAATTGATGATTTGTTTTGACTTGGTGACTGTTGCTGTTGATGAAGTTGTTGTTGTTGTTGTTTATATACAATGGATTCTTCGTTACGACCACGTTTCATTCTCGTTAGTAATTGTGAATCATAGTCATCTTCAGAGTGGATAGATGGTTGGTGTATGTCAACTTCATCATCGTCATGATGTTGTTGTTGTTGGTGATGTTGATGAATTCGGTGGCCAACCATTTCCTCTTCGTCATCCTCACAAATTGTCATTTGATGATCATCGTCATCGCTATTTAATATTTGTTGGTGATGATTATTTTGTTGTTGTTGTTGATAACTCTTTATTGATTGATGTTGTTGTTGTTGCTTTAATAAATTGTGTTTTTCTAACTTTTGATTTTCAATCTCTTTCAATGCCAACTTAAATAATTCATATTCAATTCTCGGCATATCTTGATCTAAATACTCCATAGAATATTCTTTAACATAATTATCATTAATCCAATGACTAATTTCAAATAATTGTTAGTATAAAGAAAAAAGAGAAAGCAAAAAAAAAAAAAAAAAAAAAAAAGACTTACACTGTATGATATCCAAAGAAGTATATTAATACAGAATCTGGCTTTTTCTTATCCATAAAATCTTGAACATCCATTTCCTCAGGCGAAATAGTCTGTTTGAGAAAGAAAAAAATCAATATCATAAAATTCAATTTTCTTCAAAAGCAACCAACATACCTTTGAAGGCCACCATAGATTATTTTTGGGAGCCCTTGCCCAAACTAAATTACCAATCATATTTTGTTTAATTTGGATGATATTGTTGTAATAATAAAAAGTGGTTCAATTTAAAATAATTTGGAATGACTGGAATGAATTGAAGACAATAGAAAAAAATTCAATTTCCAAACTCTTTATTTAATTTGATTATTCTAGAATAAACTATTATGTTTCCAAAACAAAAATTTTTAAATACTATTACAGTATGATGTTTATACTATTTTGAGAATGAATTGTTAGAATATGAATAACTACTAATTACTACTATAATAATTAATTATTTTATCTATTGAATAATTTCGATTGGATGAGGTAATGGATTGATTTTAATTATCTTATTAAAATTATAATTGGGTCATCAATAAATAAATAAATATAAAATAGATATGAAAATAAATAGATGGATACGATTTGTGATAATATTTTTAGTACAATAGACAGAGATTGAGTAATTCGAATTTTTTAATGGATAAATAAAAATAAGTTGTTTGCACCCAAAAAAATGGAAATGATTGATTATTAGAGTCAGTATTAAATAAAAATCAACCAAATCAAAGATTTATTGAACTAACTACTAATATTGATTAACAATTTTTAATTTAAATTTACTATACGACTTTAAATTAATTATAAAATAAACATGTATTTAACGAATTTAATTGAATGTAATGATGACTGACTGTGTTTTAGATATTTTTTGGTGATAATTATTTATTTTTGTTGTGATGGAGCTGTTAAATTTATTTCTACCAATTACTATTACTATATCCTTTTTACTAATATTTAATTTTATATAAAATATTTGATACTACTAATAACTGACTACTAATTTAATTACTAGTTCAACTACTTCCAACCAACGACTACCAAAAACAAAATAATTTTTTTAAATTAAATTTAATAAGTTGGAGAGTAGTAGTAACAAGTAGTATTAAAAAAAACAAAACAAAACACAAAACAATATCACAAACAGTGGACAATTAATATTAATATTGATATAATATAATGCTAAATTAGATGACTCTTTGTATAATGATAATTAATTATTTAATTAGCAAACTAAAAAAAAAGAACAACATATTGTACAAACAACCCAAATCAATATGATTTTCAAAATTAATATTCTACTACTCTGCATCTGGGTCACCTAATATTATTATGATCAACAATTAAAAACACAAATACACACATATTCTTACACAAATACTTTTTACTACACCTCGCACATTGACAATAAACATATCAATCAATCAATCACAATACTGATTAATAACATGATGCTTAAGAGATGATTCTACACTACTCCTCTTACAACAACTACACTACAAAGGAGTTTATTTTTTTTTTGCTTTGTTTAATGATTCAACAAAAAAGTATATAATAAATCAAAGTATTCAATAAAATTTTGATGTTTGATTATCTGTCAATACATGATGCTCCAGTCTACAATAAATCCTACCTACACACACCTAACTTAACAACTGAACCTAAAAAAACCAAACTAACCAACCAAACTAAAATAAACCAAACCAAACTAAGCAAAAACAAATCCTCATGAGAGTGATTTAAATCTATTGCAATTTCATTAAACAATAAGGAGTGTGCTGGTGATATAGATGTTTTGATAGTAAATAGAAGCAATATAAAAAAAAAAAAATGATAACAAGTAGAACAACATACAACTAGTACTACTGCACCATCGTCATTACCAATATTACATACTATTATTGATATGGTGATGATCACTGTGTAACAAATAACATCCAAAAAAAAAAAGCAAAAAGTAGTAGTAAAGCAGTAGTATATTTATTATTTTTATTACGATATAAATACCAACCTATTAAATAGGCAAGATATCTTTTGGTTATTTATGAAATCAATATCAACAAACATTGATTGATTTTCAAGTAGTAGAATTTGATCAAACACGAATCAGTGTCTGAAATTAATAAATAATGCACACCATAAACATATAATGGAATTGAAATAAAGATAGATATATGCTGATCATATATTGGATGGTCGGATTGATCAACACCCACACACTCACACACACCACACCATGATTGAAGAAAAACAAAGTAACATATATAAAACACAAACAATACCACTAATTAAACAAACTAAAAAAAAATTAATATATATCTAATTTTATAATTTTATCTATTGACGCCCCACTAATATAGCTTCTTCTTTATCTTTAATAAATAATTATATTGTTGTTAGTGGCAGTTGTTTGTTCGTTATTTGGTTATTATAATTAAAAATTAAAGTTAAAAGAGTTCTGATATAAAATTAAAATGTTTTTGAAATGTTGTTTGTTGGTGTTCCAAATTGAATCAATCATGATTTCTATTTTGTAAGTTGCTTGTATAAATTTAGTTGTATACCCGAATAAGAAAAGTACAATAACTAATAAAGGTGATTCGTTTTGTTGAAGATGTGAGTGGGAGGAGGGTGAAGATGAAGGAGTGGGGTGTTGGAGCGGAAAGTGTAAAGGAAAAAGTAGGGTGGTGAGTGTAACATTAGGTTTGTGTTGTCGACACTTCCAATGTTGGTAGGTATGACCGTGCATACATAATGTGGTGGATAGATCTATCAGTATGATATGTACTTCCGGTACCAATGCTACAAATGAACATACCATACTGAAATCTAAACTATAATTGATGTTCCACACCACAAACACATAACTAACTACTATTTAGATAATTCAAAGTATTTCTTATTCTATTCTACTACTTTTAATTGTACTAGGAATAGTTAACAAATAGTTTTTGTGGGTTGGTTCAAGTTGTACAAAAAAAACAATAAACAAAAAAAAAAGACATCCAACAAACAAATGTTACTGTAATTGTTTAAATATTATATTTAATGTTTGAACTTAAAAGATTCATTATTCGACTTCAAAATTATATAAATTTAAACATGCTAATGCTGATTGATCATCAGTCAGATGATACGAAAAAAAAAAAAGGTGAAAAAAGTTTTATGTATTTTATTTTTTTACTTACTTACTTTAATTGCACATATTAATATTTCTTTTGACTAATAAATTAATAGTCCACTTTTTGATCTATTTATCATTTTATGAATAATTATATAGTAAAACATTATTATCAATATTAATTTTTAGTTCTTTTTGCTCTAGTTGGCGGATTGCTAAAAAATTTGATGTCTCTCTTAAATTTTCATTTGTATTTGTATGAAACATTACAGGCAACTATAAAAGTGTAGTTATTCAATTTTTGGGCACCTATCTCAGATGTTGATAGGAGACAACAAAGCGTCTTGATATTTAACCATTTGATCAGAGATTGTCAATAATAGCACAATTCCATAAAACTACTCCATTATTGGCGAACTGTAAGCCCTCTTTTTAATTAATTTAATCAAATTCAATGCCCAGCTTTGTTCATTACATCGCCTAAGACCTGTTTGTTTGAATATCAGAAACCACTATCCAAAAAAAGAAAAAGTTTTTCATTAGTTACTGAGTGAGTGATGTGTACAGCTGCGTGGTGGGTGAAGTGGAACCGAGTACCTATGTTACTTAAATTTTTGTTTTTTATTTTATTTTTTTGGTTGGTTTGATTTGTCACCCACTGCACAATTGTTCTGTTGTAAGTTGACAAGAGACAAAACTACAATAAACAAAATTACATTCTGAAGCCCATTAACTTAAATAAACAAACTTTGGAAATGAATGATTTAATTCTTGCAATCTCGTTTGGAAGATTGTCCAACATTTTGATTTTTGGTTGTTGTTTTGTTTTAAAAATTAGATTTTTTTCAGTGCAATTTCTGATGATGGTGAAAAAAGAACTTCGAAAGATTATTTTTTTTGTAAAAATAAAGATTTTACAAAAAGTATTCTTTTTACAAATAATGTAATGTAAATTATTTTTGTAATTACATTTTATTGAGAAAGATTTAAATATTTATAAGATCCGTTCACTTTAGCTTAAAAAAAACTTTTTAAAAAAATAAAAATTTTCAATGGAAATCTATAAAATTCTTCAAAAGGAAATTTCCTTTTTTTTAATTGAAAAACAAGGACAAAGAATAAATTAAAATGGATTAATATAAATATTTTATATTTATAAATATATATATAATTGAATATTTGAAATAATTAAGTTAAAGAAAAATTTTGTGATTATTAAAGAAATTTATTTTTAAAAAAAACAAAAAAAAAAAGTTATGGCATCAAATAAATATTATGGATCACCAATTCCACCTCCAAACTACCAGAGACGACCACAACCAAATTACTACCAAGGAGTACATCCAATACCTGCAACATATCCACCAAAAGGAGGAATGGTACTGCCTCCTTCGCCAAGTATGCTAAATGAGCAGTTTATTACACCTCAAGGTATTCAGGTAACTTTCAACCCAGAGACAGGTCAATATAAAGCATATGAACAAAAAACATTTATAAATGCACCGCTCTCCGCTCATGAAATAGCAATTGGAAAGCATCAAGGTCCACCGACACAACCTCAGTTTCTGCCAAAGAATATGCAAGCTCAACCATATGGTCCACCACCACAAGGAATGTATCAACAACCTCAACAAAGACCTCCCCAACAAAGACCAGGAATGCAAGCTCCACCTCCACCACCACAACCACAACAATTCCAACAAAGACCGGGAATGCAAGCTCCACCTCCACCACCACAATCACAACAAGGAATGTATCGACAACCTCAGCAGAGACCACCTCAACAGCAGATGCCATATCCACAAAGTGTACCACTTCCTCCTCCACAAAGACAACAACAACAACAACAACAACAACCACAACAAATGCCTTCGTATATGCAAAGATTCCAAAGTCAAAAGTTTGTTGCAGATCCTAATAGCAATAGAGGACCACCACCTCCACCACAACTAAATGGATATAACATGGCACAAGCACCTATGCAACAACAACAGAAAACAACGGCTATTCCCCAACAACCACCAATGAATGCAAATCCAAATGTATATAATGTAAATAAACCACCAAGTATCCAAACAGAGGCACAACCAACAGCTGTTACAGATCAAGAACCATTCGCCTTACCACCACTTAAATCAAGTGCAGTACCACCAAAAACGAATGAAGTACCAAAACTAGAGGAAATACCATCAAGTTCTGCATCCTCGAAAGTTCCACCACCTACACCTACCATCTAAAAAAATGAATTTTCAAATAAATAATATATAACAAACTTAATATACCCAAAATAAATAAGAATATTAATATTAAAGTATAGTTTATTTCATATCATATTCTTTCGGAAAGAACAGTGCCATTAAACCTATGGTAATCCAGGTATCTTATTGACCAACATATTCTCTAGCTTCTTAACAGTGTTGTCTTCCAATAGATTATATATATCTGAATAGAAATCTTGTTTTGTAATATTTAATGATATAGGTACTGTAGGCTATAAAAATATTAATCATTTTTAATGTTAGTTAGCAAGCATTGTTTTGAATATAATAACATTAATTATATATAATTACATTGTTTCCTTTTTTCGCTTGATTATATTGTTCATGTATATCTTTTAGATGATCAAGATTGATTAAACCATTGAGAAGATTGACACCAACCAAGTCAACGGGTATCACTGTTGCACCTACAGTCGTACTATTGGTCTTGAAGATTGGTAATGATGCAACCGGATGCAACGAAGCCGAAAAGTGGAAGGCACCTCTATCCATAAGTATCTTAAACACATGATATGGCTCGGCAAGTCTATACAACTTGAAACAGTTGAAATACAACATTAAACCATCCCATATATCTAATAATAATTATATTAAGATATAGATAAAAATAAGTAAATCAATATTATTATAATTATAATTGAATTGATTTGATTTGATTTGATTTGATTTGATTTGATTTGATTTGATTTGATTTGATTTGATTTGATTTACTTACTTAAAGTTATATCGATTGGTATTGGTGGTTGTATAATTTGACAGGTGTACAATACGTAGAGTAAGTAGACGATAGCAGATTTACTGTTGACCGGTTGATTCATTAGAGTGTATCCTATGACACCGTAGTAGAGGATGTGTATAAGTTCTGGTTGGTGTGGCTGTATCTCAAAGAACTCGAGGAGACAAGCCTCTTGCTTCCAGATCTCCTTGAACGTCGAAAATGTAAACTCTGTCGATTGTTGAAACTTGAATATGACATTACGAATGGCTTCGAGTAGCTCCTGAGGATTCTTGTCAAAGTATTCCGCTCGTTCCTTTCGCCTCTGTATCTCAATGTTAATGTCGAGTGTATCATCGGAAACTGCAGCATCGTCTTTCTTTCTTTTTCTTCCACGATGAGAAAGTGTCGGTGTATTCAATCTCCTCACACCAGTCAAAGGAGGTGATGATATCTGTGGTGTCGAAGGTGTAGAAGGTGTTGTTTGTGTCTGCTGCGTAGTAGATGAACCAAGTCGTGGTGACTCAATTGATAAAATCGGTAATTCATTTCCATTATTATTATTATTTACATTATTGACACTATTTTCATTATTATTATTTGTTGTTTCGGGAGTTGTTGTTGTTGTTGTTGGAATACTTGTAGAACCTGTTGAGGTTGCCGAAGTTGTTGGACTGCCAGTAGAAGTTGTAGAAGTTGTTGGAGTTGCTGTGCTGTCTGTCGAGGTTGTTGGAATACTTGTTGTTGAATTGCTTGTTGAAGTAAGTTCTGGTTGGTTTGTGGTAGTTCTCACTATTTCGTGTCGTGTTGTTAATATTGTTGATGTTGTTGATGTTTTAGTCGGTGTTTTTTTCGCTGTTGTTTTGTTTGTATTTGCATTTACTTTTGTTGCTGCAGTGGTGGTTGTTGTTGTTGTTGTTGTCGATGTTGTTGCAGTAGCTTGAGAGGTAGCATCATCGTCTTCTTCAATCTGTAACTCTTCATCACTGTCATCAAGATCACTCAACAACGATGATATCTTTGTATTGATTTGTAATGGTTGAAGTAAAGGAACTATAGTTTTCCTTTTATTATTATTATTATTATTGCTGTTGTTACTCATAACTCATACAAATGTTCCTAAAAAAAAACAAACAACATTTTAAAATCAATTTTTTTTTATTTCAAATCAAAGATTTTTTTAAAAAAGTGTATTAATTAATTTTTTGGTCAATATAATTATAAAAACTAAGAGAAGAAATAACTTTAATTTCAATCTTGAAAAAAACAATTATTCCAAAAGTGTCTTTTTATTGATTTACTCATTAATCTCTTTTTGGAATAGGCGCTAATGAAATTGCGGTTTTTTTATTTTTATTTTGACTGTGAATTTTTGCCTCGACTTGATCGAATTCACAGAAAAAAGTTATTGAGAGTAAAAATAAATAAATCAGTGGCTCAAAGCTTATACCCTTTGTAAAAAAGGAAATATTTTTTATAACGTTAAAGATCTAAAAAACATTGAGACTTTTTTATGATAAAATTATTCAATGAAATGAAAGATGCAACTGACACAAAAAAAAGTTTTGATTTTGTTATTATTCTTGATATCAATAAAAAACTTTTTTTCATCAAAAACCCCGTTTCAAGATTTCAAAGGGGTATTTGATGTGTCAAAATTTGAAAAATTAAAAATAGAAATAAAAAAAAACCAAAAAAAACATCATCAAAATCACAGAAAATGTTAAAGCATTTTGATTTTTTGATGAAGAGTCTCATCCTATATGGCACTTGCGCCGTTGTGGTCGACCACCCCAAAACGATTTGAGTTTTCATCAATTCAGCTCAATTCATTCTATTTTCTTAAAGGTTTATTAAATATTTATTTTTAATTTTATTCAACAAAAAATTACAAACTACCAAAATAACTTTTACCTTTTTGTTTTGTTTTTTTTTTCATTTTAGAAAATAATTATTAAACATATATTTATAATTATTTATATTTATTTATATATATAGAAAATAAAATGAATATTAAATTTGTTTTAGTCGTTTTGGTATCATGCATTGCCTTGTCCAATGCCGATTGTTACTTGAATCAATGTGCTGCAGGTTTGAACTCTGCATGTAACAACGATATGTACAAGTAGGTATAGAAATAAAATAAAATAAAATCAAATAAGTAGGAATTTTTTCCAATTTTAACCCAAGTACAAATTTCTTTAGTTCAATCAGAGCTGCTTCCGCCTCATTGGTCGGAGATGTCGTCCCAGATGGAGCTCTTGTAACCTGTCCATCAGAATTTTACTGTGGTATAAACCCATCTTATATTGCAGGATCTTCGAACCCATTGCTTGTTTCACCAAAGGTTTGTCTTCCACTCGGTAAGGGAGGTGATGTTTGTGTTCAAGGATTAGTTTCCTGTGTTTTCGGTCTCAGTTGTTACCGTCCCTCTACTCCAGCCCCAGACTTAGTTCAAGGTGTTCAAGCAACAGCACCAGCAACTTGCCAAGCTCTTGGATACGCTGCGTAAGTATTGTATAAGAATAGACAAAAACAAATCAAAACTAATTTCCATTCCAAAAAATTTCAAAAAATAGTTATGGTGAGAAATGTCAATCTACCAACCAATGTTCTGGTGATTTGCAATGTGACTGGGAACAAAACATCTGTTTGCCAGATCTCCCAAATAATTTCGAAGGAGACTGCCAATCCAACTCTGACTGTGCCTACGGTAACTACTGTAACGGTACTTCATGGTGTGTTCCAAAGGTTGCCATCGGTGGTAACTGTACTGATAACGCCGTCTGTGTTGACAACGCTCTCTGCACTCCGATCGAGGGTCAAGATCCACAATGTCTCGAAATTTTCTCGAGAACCGCCAATCAAACCTGTTCCAATTCCGATACCTCTTTTGATTTCTACGGTGTCAGACAAGGATGCACTGGTAGCACCTACTGTTCCAACAACAACTGTACCACTTTGCCAACACCAACTCCAGCCTCCACCAACTGTACATCCAACGCTGACTGTGTTCCAGGTTTCGAGACATGCTATTGTGACGGTCTCTCCAACAAGGGAACCTGTGCCTCACTTATCCCATCATCCTTTGACAACTGTGCCACCAACTCCAAGGCATTCTACCAATGTGCCGTCACCAACAAGTGCTCTATCGATGTCGACTACACCGCTCCATTCTCATGCATCTATACTCACTGCAAGTCTGAAGCCTGTGCCATGTACTCATCATGCAACAATCAATACCCATCTGCCAACTGTTTCACCAAAGGTGAGTCATTGGCTACCTTGGGATTCTGTGGTGGTGGTGATCTCAACGCCAACTCTGCCAATATTTTCAACCCATCGATCCTTTTGGTTCTTTTGGCTTTTGCTTTCGTTTTGTTGTAATAAAATAACTAGTCAAACAAAATAAAATAATTTATTTAAAAACATAAAGTTAACTTATAAAAAATATTTTAAATATACACAGAGTTTTTATTTCTAAATATTACTTTCCTCATTTAAAATCTAAAATACATATTTTTAGCTTTCAATTTTTTTTGATATTACTTCAGAATTTATCGCTTAATATCTTATTTGAAAAAGAAAAAGAGTTCAATAATACAAAGATAGGATAATAAATTCAAACTATAAACAATATAATAATTTATGTTTTATAGTTTTTTATAGTTTTCGAAATATTTAGATTTAAAAATACAATTTGATAAACATTTGACAAAATAAAAAGGAATGTAGAAACTATTTATATAAATATAAATGGTTCAACAGTAATAAGAATTTTTTTACAATGATTCCAATTTTGATTTTTTTTTTTTTATTGTTGTTTCTGAATGACTTGTATTCCTGCATGGTTGAGTGCATCGATTGCCCATTGAGGACAGTCACCCTTGGGATATTGTAATGAAATAAAACGATTGATATATTCTGAAAGTTTGTTGTCTATGATTGATTGTCTGAGTTCACGCATCAGACGCATTTGGTAGGCAATGTTGTGATAGGTGAGTAGTTGTCCACCTATACTCTCTTTACCGGCAACGATGTGCAGGTATGCTCTTGTGTAGTTCTTGCATACCATACATTCACACTCGCTATCGATCGGTCCAAAATCATTGATATACTCGGCAGACTTTAAGTTGAGTGAACCGGTGCTCACCAACGCCGTTCCGAAACGAGCGGTTCTCGATGGGAATACACAATCGAACATGTCGACACCGAGTGCCGTGCAAACCACCAAATCCAATGCGTATCCAACACCCATGAGATAACGTGGTTTATTGGGTGGCAGTCCGGCAGTGGACAACGCTACCATACGCCAAAACGAGTCTTTCGACTCACCACCTGAAAGTCCACCAATTGCATAGCCAGGGAAGTCACGTGCGACCAGTCCTTCAATACAAGTTTTTCTGAGTTCAGCATCCAATCCACCCTGTACAATAGCAAAGATAACTTGTTCGTCGGTTCGCTTGTGTGCAGCGATACAACGGTCGATCCAACGAAGTGTTCTGTACATTGCTTCCTCAACACGCGGACCTGTTGTCGTAGAAGAAACGACGTCGTCCAACGCCATCATAATGTCGGCACCAATTGAATTTTGTATCTGCATCGACAGCTCCGGTGTCAAAATCATAGTGGATCCGTCGTGTGGCGACTGGAACTTGACACCCTCCTCTGTGATCTCCGCCAGAGACAACAGCGAAACCATCTGGAAACCACCAGAGTCCGTAAGCATGGCACGTGGATAGTTCATGAATGTGTGGAGTCCACCGACTTTTTGCATGACGTCGGGACCGGGTCTGTGACCCAAGTGATAGGTGTTTCCGAGGACGACACCGGCGTTGAGATCGACCAACTGCTGCGATGTCAGACCTTTCACAGTACCTTGTGTTCCGACCGGCATAAACATCGGTGTCGAACAGACATGATGTGGCAGTGTAAGATTGGCAGCACGTGCCATTCCGCTGGTTGCCAACACCTCAAACTTTAATGGAGGATTGTCAGACTGTGGATATTTCACACCCGAAATGACAACATTCTTTGGTTTCATTTCTTGATCTGCTCCATTTACAGTTGTACCAATATCACCTTCTATCATCATTATATCTTCAATCTAGATTGTAATCTTATTTATATAATAGTAATACTAATAAATGTAATGATATAAAATAATTAATATATAACAGTTCTGAATAAAAATTTTCATGAAAAAAAAAAAATCATTGATCACGAAACCGACAAATTTTTTTCTCAAGAATAATTAAAAAAACAGTTGGTTGAATCGTTTTGAAACTCTAATATTAAAGTATTCATTAATGCTCTCGATACTTCATGAAGGAAATACTTATACCTATAAATACAAAGTTGGAAAAATATTGTATTTTTTGCAGAATTTTGATCAAATTTGATCTAAGTAGGCTTTATATTCATCAATTAAATAATAATAATATAAATGATTCTCCAAAAATACAAACATCTGACGTTGTCAACAATTAAATCATTTTTCACATTATGTGGTAAAAACTAATTCAACTTTTTTATGATGTGATTGATTTGATTATTTGATATCAAATAATTGTGTGAATTTTATAGCAACACAAAACGACCAAACCATCAAAAATGTCAAATTTAATATTAAATCAATTTTTATTTGGTAATCTATTTTACATTTTTTATTATGCATATCAATATATCAAATCAAACATTTTTGTTGTACAACAAAAATGATAATTTTTTTATATATTATCAACAAACATTTCATTTAATCTAAATATTTCACAATTCTTTTTAATTATTCTAATTTATAGTTCACTTTTTAGTAATTAAGTTAGTTGGTCGGTTACGACAAAAAGTTTCTGGAAAGAAAGAGAGAGACGGTATATACAGATTTGAATATTCGTTCACTGCAAAATCAAAAGCGGAACACCAAACAACCTGAAGTTAACGCAACAAATAAAAAAAAACCAAAAAAAAAAATTAAAAAAAAAAAATAACAAAAAAAAAATCAAAAAAAAAAAAAATTACCATTTGTTTTTGAAGCAGCTCTTCTCTCAGCTGCTGGTTTAAAAAATAAAAACAAAATAATTCTTCTTCTTCTTTTTTCATTTTTTTCTATTTTAAAATATAATATATATTTTATTTGTAATCATCAAAACTAAAACTAATCGTTAGCAATTCAATAATAATAATCATTTTTTTTTTTCAGTGCCACCTAATAATAATAATAATAATAACAATTATTTATATATAACTTAAAGAGTGCGCACATCTTAACAATAACAAACAAACAACAACAGCAACTAATAACTCAATTCAATTCAATCATTTTATATACTTGTAAATCTTTGTAACTAGATACCTATAAATAACAAACAGGAATAGAAAACAAGTATTATAAATAATGGCAACACCTAACAATAAACAACAAATGTAAGTCATTATATAAAGAATATATATTTGCTTTTTTTTTTCTTTTCTTTTTTGGTAAAAACCGATTTCGATATTATTCATCTATATACATTGTTGTAAATCACCATTATCATAGTTTTTAATATATAGTAATTAGTTTGGTTATTCAAGCGATAATTACAATCAGAAATATTTTAATCATTTGATCAAATATTGTATTATCTCAATCAACAACAAATAGAATTGACAACTAAAATACTAGTAATAATATTAATAATGTCAAATAAGATATTAAAAAGTTTAAGATATATTGCTTTTTGTCATTCACTTCACGGTTTTTACTATAACGTTATAAATTTGTTCAAAAAAAAAAAAAAAAAAAAAAGAAATTCAAAATTTTTTTTTTTTTTTTTATAAAACTATTTTTTTATTATTTTTCTAATAATATATAATCAATATAATTAATTAATTAATTAATATGAACGTTTTAATATTAATTTATTTCAACTTAAAATAGACCAATTGTTGACGACAATAATTGGAAAGCATCACTTGTTTTACCACCAAAAGACGAAAGAAAACAAACAGAGGATGTTACAGCGACCGAAGGAAATGAGTTTGACGATCTTCATCTCAAGAGAGATCTTTTAAGAGGTATCTTTGAGAAGGGATACGTCAAGCCATCGCCAATCCAAGAGAAAGCAATCCCCATTGCACTAACCGGTAAAGACATTATGGCTAGAGCAAAGAACGGAACTGGTAAGACCGCATCGTTCTTGATCCCCGCATTGGAAAAGACCGACCCCACCAAAGATTATATTCAGGTTTTGATTTTGGTGCCAACCAGAGAGTTGGCTCTCCAAACCTCACAGGTCTGTAAAGAATTAGGAAAATATATGAACGTCAAAGTAATGGCAAGCACTGGTGGTACCAGTTTGAAGGATGATATTATGAGACTGTATGAAACCGTACACATTTTGGTTGCCACTCCTGGAAGAGTTCTTGATTTGGCACAAAAGAGTGTTGCAAACTTGAATAATACTCATACTATGATTATGGATGAAGTAAGTAACAACAACAACAACAACAACACACTATCAATTGATAATGACAATGTTTATTAATTAATTTCTTATTCTCATTTTCCTTTTTCTTCTTCTCATTCCCCAAATTAAAGGCCGATAAATTGTTGTCACCAGAATTCCAACCATTGATAGAACAATTGATTCACTTTTTACCAGCACAAAGACAGATTCTCCTTTTCTCAGCTACATTCCCAGTCACTGTCAAGGCATTCAAGGAAGCCTATCTCCAAAAGGCATACGAGATCAACTTGATGGAGGAGTTGACTTTGAAGGGTGTCACTCAATACTACGCATTTGTTGAGGAGCGTCAAAAGATCCATTGCTTGAACACCTTGTTCAGCAAGTTGCAAATCAACCAGTCAATCATCTTTTGTAACTCTGTGAACCGTGTCGAGTTGCTCGCCAAGAAGATCACCGATCTCGGATACTCGTGCTTCTACATCCACGCCAAGATGCTCCAGGCTCATCGTAACCGTGTCTTCCACGACTTTAGAAACGGTCACTGCCGTAATCTTGTTTCATCCGATCTTTTCACCAGAGGTATCGATATTCAAGATGTCAACGTCGTCATCAACTTTGACTTCCCCAAGCACTCTGAGACTTACCTACATCGTATTGGTCGTTCTGGTCGTTTCGGTCATCTCGGTCTCGCCATTAATCTCATCACCTACGAAGATCGTTTCTCATTGCACAAGATTGAGCAAGAGTTGGGTACCGAAATCAAACCAATTCCACCAGTTATTGACAAATCTCTCTATGCTGTGTAAATAGCACCAATCAACAAACAATCAAAACCAACTTGAATCTTAATCCATCAAATAATAATCAACTCATAAATATTCAATCAATCAATCAAAGACAAATAACCAAGATAACATAATATTAATCAAAAAAAAAAAGATAACCACAATGACAACAACCAAAAATATAACATTAATTTATATAATATTACAATTCCAATATAACTACAATAATAAGCAGCAACAACATCAGCAATAACAATAACTTAATTACAATCCAAACCAAAATCAAAACCCACAAATTCACTCAATCAACTTCATAACATTCAAACAACAACAAGAAGGAAGAATTCTTTTCTTTTTCGATCGCCAACCCAAATTTGAACGCAAGCCCACTCCCACCAAATTCAATCCATTCACCTCCATAACGAAAATTAACAAGAGTCTTACGAAAAACAAAGGATGACTATCCTTCTCTTATGTTTTAAACCATCTTTCTAACAACCAACAACTAACATCTAATCAAACACAAACCACCCCCAAACCCAAAGTATTTTTGTACTTTTTGTATGTAAGATCCCAACCATTCAAATTGACAATCCTGATGATTGTTACAACAATTATCACCCAACAACATCAATTGCTTTGAATATCTCTCTAACAGGAGTTTTAAGCAAGTATCAACCTCCACATTCACTCCAACCAACTAAAAATGACACTCTTTATTCTTTATTCTCTACATTGATTCACCAATCACCTAACACCCTACATTCACTCAAAACCTAAACTCATCCTTACCTTGACTAAATATATAAAGAATAAAATTACAACAACTAAATTAACCACACCAAATACAAAAACAAAAAAAAAAAATAAGTGTTCTTCTTTATTTTTATTTAATAGTGAGGTTATTTTTATTTTTCTACAATTAATGTGACCATCGAATGTGTGTTGTTCCAGGGTTCTACCAAAACACACTTCTCATTCGAATTTTCTGTATTGATTATATCATAAGATTTTTTTAAACAATGTGTTGTTTAATTTTTAAACAACCAAAAAATTTTGATCCATCTTTATTGTTGTTGTTTTAGTTTGTAACAAAGTGATTTATTTTTTTTTTTATATCTTTAAAGAATCTTTTTTTATTTTTATTTTATCTAGATGTAGCATTTTTAATGCACAAATGGTAGAGATAAATAATTCTTGGAATACTGAGATTAATAATATTAATAATAATAGTAATAATCATTGTATAAATGAAAATAGTTTATTGTTAGACCAAAATATAGTTGATGAAATAAACAACAATGAAAGCTATGAAGAGATAAATAATTTAGTAGATTCATATTGTTGTCGTTGTTTATGTTTTCGAGGATTTAAATTACCACCAAAGGAAAGCACAGAATATCTACGGTACTATGTGATTGGCTTGACTGTTGCAGGTATATTGGCGGTCGGAATATCTTTATTATTTGTTTTTCTCAGTTTTCTTCCATTTTTTCAAGAGTCTGCGAGGTTTGTGGCAACCGATTGTCTGGTCACCAACCAAAGCATTGTCAGCATTGAAAACTCTACACATTCCTGCACACATTTCAATAATCGAATATGGTGGTACTCCAAGCAGATGGCAAGCGAATCTCAGTTTTTCCATTATGTAAGCAACGGTAGTGCAGAGTCTGGTTATGGATCATCGAGCGATTCACTATCCACCGATATCAACGATGGAAATCCATGTTACTTTGGACAAAACCAAATAAAATTCTATGATAACAGACGAAAATCTGTTGCGGATCAACAAATCATTTATGGTCTGGGCTCAGAGCATTACTCATGGGTCTACAACTATGTACATAATTTTCAAGTAAACTCGAGTTATCGCTGTTACTTTGATCCAGAGAATACTGAGCATGTTCTGTGGTTCCATCCAGTTCTTTTTACTGTGCACACATTACTGCCATTCTGTTTTTTCGGAAGTCTGTCATTGATGTTCTTTGCACTCTCTCTCTGTTTTCAGTCATTGAGACGTGTTAAAGTAACACCAATACCAAACATAAACAATGACCCTTCCAATAGTACGCATTACAACAATTTAAATCATTACTTTAATAAAAAATTTAATACCATTTAGGAAACAAAACATTGTGAAGCAATAATTGACTAAATTTCAGTTCGAATAATCTTTTATTTATTTAGAAGTAAAAAATAATTATAATTATAATTACTTTTGTTTTAAATTTTATAAATAGGTTATCTATATAGATCGTTCGGTCTTTTCGATTTTATGATATGTCTCACCACCCAAGTTTACCAACTTTAGGCTTTGTATTCGTTTCAAAGACAATTCTTGGATTCGGTTAATGTTCAAGCATTAAGTTGGTAAACTTGGGGAGTGGGTGATCAATAACGACTCTCTTGTCCAATAATTATAAAAAAAATATTGGAAGATTTTCATAAAATTTGAAAAAATTCACAACAATGTGATAATTTAAAAAAGAGATGGAGAATGATAATATAAAAACTACGAATCTATTTAAACATATATTAAAGAATCAATATGTTAGATGTAAAATATTTGATTTTATTCATTGGATTCATGTTTTTAGATTTGGTAAGCAATTCATTGTCTATGCTCGTGTTGGTTACGATGGGTTCAAACGAAAGGTTCTCCGGTATGAACAGTGTTGGAGTGTAAAGTGGTTGACAGAGAATCGGTATCTAGAGTTGATTATCGATCGTTTAAAGAGGAACAAACGTTTGCGTTTTGGTTGTGGTGACTTGATATTAAAGACTGTCGAGTTGGTAGAGAATGTGGCGCAGTTTGCATTCCTATCGCGACGAATCGGTAATCTTATTGAAGGCAATGGATACAGACTGTTGAATGCACTCGCTCTCTGTCCGAACGATGTATTACTGGCGTTGGGCGATCAGTATTACGGCTCGACCGCTGCCATTGACCTAGCAGCCACACACGGTCATCTTGACAACATCCGGTACCTGGTGGGTCGCGGACTGGAGTGTACAGCTTCCGCACTGTCGGGTGCCTGTTCCAACGGACATATGGAGGTGGTTCGCTACTTGATAGATAGCAAACTGGCCAGCGATTATCTTGGCAGCAGTTCAGATCCACTTGATAAATCTTCGGAACGTGGTCATCTCGCGATTGTTGAGTATTTACATTCGGTTGGAGCAATCGCAACAAAGATGGCCATGGACAAAGCCGCTACAAACGGGCACTTGGAGGTGGTGCGGTTCCTGCATGAAAACAGATCTGAGGGATGTAGTGAGTCGGCAATTGATGGCGCTTCGGGCAACGGCCATTTGGAGGTGGTAAAGTTCTTGTACTATAACCGATCGGCGTCATGCACAGGTGCAGCGATTCGATTGGCCTGCAAAAACAATGCCGATGGCTCGATGATATCGTTCCTCTTGGATCAACCGCGTCTGGTTGGCCAAACCACAGAATACACAGCCATCAATTATGCTCTAGAAAACAGAGATCCAAACTATCCCGACTATCCTGCTGTTAAAATAACTGTTGGATCGGTATCCACCCGCGCTTTATAATCCACAATATTCACTTGGCTTTGCGATAGCTACGAACAACGTGTCGGTAGCCGAGCTTTTCTACCAAGCGATGATTAAATCACTTCCAAATTTGCAGAGTTGTGTCATCAGCTTGATCTTGGACAAATCGATTGGTCGTCCAATGCTCGATTGGATTAATCAGCGAATTCCACTGGAATGCACAGAGAACAGCTATCATAGTATGAGAGTTTGTGACTTGACCATTATAAAATACCTGGTGGAAGAGCGTCGGATCAAAGTAACAGCAAGGCTTATCGAGCGATGTGTAGATTGTCTTGACAACGTGGAGATAATAAAGTATCTTCTCGGGAAGTGTAAAGAGCCACTCTCAAATGGAATCATATTTCAATGTGCAAGAGAGAATTGTTTTGAAATCACCAGGTATCTATTGGAGAACTACAAACCACAGCTTGAATATAAGCGTGATAGTGTCGACATGGCAGCGATGTTTGGAAACTACGAACTCTTTGTTTACCTAATGGAGAAAGATCGATCCGTTGGTTTCAAAGATGCCTATGCCTATGCTAAAACCTTTCATTACCACGATATTCTAAGATATATCAAAGAAAATAAATTAAAAGCACATGTGCCCAAAGCGTGGTGGCAGGTCAACTTAAACAACCAAAAGTGGTGAAAACCAGAAAATAAAAAAATCGAAAATGTAAGCAAAATTTGTGTCAAAAAAAACTTCTTTATATTTTTTTTTAAAAGAGATTTTTTTTTTTTTTTTTTAATTTTTTTTTGTGTTTTTTTTTTTTTTTTTAAATTATTTTTTTTTGTATTTTTTTTAAATTTATTAATATTATTTATTTTAATTATATAAGGATAATAATAATTCAGTTTTAAAAAGAACAGTGTCCCCAAATAAAAAATTATTTAATGATTATTTTGTTGTAGATGAAATTTATAAGTTAGCCACCAGAATCAACGGTCCTTTGCCAATGCATGAGGAGACACTAGTAGTGAACCCAATACATGGAGTAGTGGACCTAACACAGCTGGACCCAATAGAAGTAGGCTCTACATTAGTGGACATAGTAGAGTTGGACCTATGCAAATAGACCCGGTACTAGCTGTGGATCTAACACAGGACCCAATACATGGAGTAGTGGACCTAATACAGGTGGACCCAATTCATGCATACCCGACATTAGTAGAATTGGACCCATTTCATGCATACCCGACATTAGTGGACCTAGTAGAATTGGACCCAATGCCGCTAAACCAAGAAGGAGTGCGTGAAGACCATTTCTATGCCATCAGACCTTGTTTGAAACAATCAGATTAGATCTATCAACTAATTTGGCTGCATACTACTGTGCATCCAATGAATTAGCTCATAGTCAAGGTGCTAAATATAAGACTCCTCACACAGCTTTTAATCCATATACGATTACATCATTAGAGCGTACTCAGCTCCTTCATTATTTTAATCATCGCTATTATGGTACCCAAATGATCCCTAAAGACTTTAATGATGGATTTTTCATCTTTAGTCATCATTACAACCACACAACAACCAATATTCCTATTTTGCCTCGACTTGGTGGAAATATTGACGAATGTTTCCATTCTATAGACAAGAATGAAATTTTAGATGATCTCAAAAATGGTCTACCAACTCAATGGGAGCAGAACAACAAAATCGATTTAATAAGACAAAGTCAGAATGGTCTTTTAGAGTATGGTTTTTTTGATAGCAATGAAGAAGCAGAGGAATGGAGATATCATATTTGTATAATTTTATAACTTTTAATATAAAGTAATACAATTAATAAAACGAAGTCACTTTGAATATAATGTTTAAATTTATTGATAGAGAGTTTTCATCTCGGTTGTTAACAAGATATGATTTTTATATATATTAATTTTCAAATAATTAATTATTTTAATACATCGTAGAAATCATGATCCATTGCAGCGAGGATATCAAGAGTCTTGAGTTGAATTTTGATTTCTGTAGAATATAACTTATAAAAAGGAGATAAATATTGTATGGAAGTTTATTATAATAAAGATTGATAAAAAAAGTTTATAGTTTTTATAAATGAGTACTAGTCATTCAACCAGTTAAATGATCCACAACCAAGGTCTTTTTTGGTGGTTCAGTGTCACGAATGCAAGCAGCATCACATTTCCAATTACGGTATTTGAAATTACATGTGACCATCCAAGTATAATGATTGTATACAAAAGACACACAATCTATCTTTGAATTGATTATATCTTTACTTGTTCCAACAGATGTCCTTGCAAATATATTCTGGTGCCATCCATCGGTGTATAATGGTGGTAGCTTAAAGAGTTCTTCATTCATTTTCGAATTTGATTTATACCTAGAAAAATCAAACGTAATAGTTGGAGTTTGGACATCTAGATATCCAATGCTATATTTTACTTTTTTGTTGGTCATCTTCATGTTTGTATCTGATAATATTTAATTAGGTTAAATATAATGTGTACACTTATAAAAAAACAAATAAAAAATAATTACTTACCTGTTTGATGCTTGTTAAAGTGTGCCACCAACACTCCAAACTCCACAGTTCCAATATCCAGATTTTTAACGCATTTTCCGCCACGTACCCCTAGTCTGTCATTGATTCTGTTTTCAACCAGGAATAGAACTGGTCCAACATTAATATCTTATGTAGAAGCACTAAATCCTCTGTTGTAATACGAACTTCATTCCCGATATTGGTATTTTTGACGATATTCATCGATGTGCTCATCAATCTGTGTGGATCTTTACTTTGATTACATTTGATGGATGGATCTGTTACTGCTACTGAGTTGAACTGTCGGTCGTCCATGTTGCTCTCATCTACATTGTGTATAAGATTTTGTTGATATGGAAGATTCGGATATTGCGGAGAATAGATAGTTGGGCAAGAATAATACGATAATTCTACTTTTTTCAAGTGATGGACCATGGGAGTTTGAGATACTGGGACCAAAGATTGCAACCTCATAAGACTGGTCTGGAATGACTCTCTTATCATCAGCATCCACCCATACTATTTCTCTGCGAGGACAAGGAACCACTGGAGCTGCAGGAGCAATGATTGGAGACGGTGTTGTTGGAACTATATTTGAAGTATCGACTGGGAACTGATCAATAACTGGTATTGGGCTAGGTATTATAATACCTGTAGTTGGTTGTGGGGCAGTAATGAATGGAGACTGTGCAACCGGTGCGATGGGGGGTAGAACATCCTGAGTTGGTGCGATAACTGGAGTTGGTGCTACAGATGGAACAACTGAAGATACTACTTGTTTTGACTTGGATCTTCTTTTAGTCAATGTGGTTCTATTAGTTCATAGCAATTTAGTCTTTCGGGGAAAGTGGATTTTCTTTTCTGTGAATTCTTTGTTCATTTTACCAAATTAGTATAAAATTAATAATCAAAAATTGTTAGTTTTTTTTTATTAAAAACCAAAATGAATAAATAATAAAAAAATGAATAAAAAAAATAGTTATAAATAGCAATACAAAAAATAATAATAAAAAAATAAAAAATAATAACAAAAAAATAAAAATATAAAATAATAAATAATAAAAAACAATAAATAATAAATAAAAAAATAAAATAAAAATAACAAAAAAAATAAAAATTGGCAGGTCTCTCATCAAAATTTATAGTGGATTAGTCTCATATACAAAAATACTTTCGGTCTGCCACCACGCTTTTTTAATTAGATCAGAATTCTGTTGTGAAAAACTTCGTGGTGCCACATCAAATCTACAAAAACATGAACTTGTTCAAATTCATTTTTTTTAATATTTAAACAAATAACTATTTTTAGTTTTTTTTTTTTTCTTTTCTTATTTTTTTTTTTATTTAATTAGATTCTAAAATAATTAGTTTTATAGTTTTATATTTATATTTAAAATAGTTTTATAGTTTCTTTTCTTTAAGATAGTTTTAGATATATATATATATATAATTATTTATAAAAATAGTAGTTAGTTTGTTAAATGAGTATTCAAGTGGAAGTTGATCATTTGAAGTTCTTTGATATTAAGAATGGTCTGAGGAATATACAGATAGTCGATGACAAAGAAGATCAAAAGACATTCAGTAGATTCTCAGAAGCATCTTCGTTGGTACAGGTTTGCAATAGATATGGCTATTTGATATTCGTCAATTCGAACGATGGTCAATTACTATTGGCAGAGATAACACCACTTCTTAAATCATTGTTATCGGGCAATGATAATGATGACGATAGTCAATCGTCACTTAAAATACCACTCAGCACAGTACAACAACACATCAAGAGTATAGCAATACCGTCATTGAAACAAAAGAGAAAGCAATCATCGAAAACTACATTGTTACTCACAGACAATGAACAGTATCTAGCTATATCTATATCATCAAATCTATCTATATATTCAATAAAAGATTTAATTAGAGTAAGTATCAATCAATCAATCAATCAATCAATTAAATAAACTTAGATATTCAATGATTAACAAAACAAACATTCTTTTCTATAGAATAAGATAAAAGCATTAGTAGAGTTTGAATTTAAAGATCAAATCGATACTATTGAATGGAATAAGGATAACGACAGATTGTTGGTAACTACCAATGATGATAATCTCTATATCTGTTCAATAAAAGAATCTAGTCAAGATTTAATATGTGCAGATTCTGTAAAGACTGGTATGTATATGTATTAATAATAATAATAATAGTCGTTTAATGACAATGTTTGTTATACTAACATAATTATTATTAAATATATATTCAATAGCTTGTTGGAATCATAGTAATAGCGATGAATTATATATTGGATTAGCTGCTGTTGGTAACATCGATTTAATATCACTTAATGATATCGATACACCAATCGTTACAATTGAGATGCCAGAAGAATTGAAAGATCAAGACAATCAAAGTAGGTTAACAACTCTTTCTACTTTATTATAATAAATAATGATAATAATAATAACTTTACTAACTTCTTTATTGCTAAATAGTTTATTTTATGAAGGTAATAGAGAGTTTTCTATTTGTTAGTTATCAATATATACAAGATGACGCGTTCATACAATCAGATATATACATATTCGACAAAAGCAATCACATATTGTTAGACCAATTCATGCCAGCCTCATTGCCAAGAGATACCGATAATACTATACAATTAAATTTTATTAAACAATGGTATGTATTTAGTTGTAGTTATTTGTCATAGATTGATAATAATAATAATAGTAGTAGTAGTAACTAACCCTAATGATTGTTTTATTTTAGGAATACATTATTATTGCTATCTAATAATGGAAATGGAGTAGAGTTGTTTCAATATTTAAATAAAGAATGGCAGTGTTTATCGTTACCAGATACTTATAGAGCTGACTTGGGAGTGAATACCTATCCCACCGGAATGGCATTGGTCAAGTGTTTCAAAGAGATGCCACTCACCGAAGGAACCAACCTGAAGATAAACCAACCCCTACCGATTGTTGTCATTCTCGATACCGACTATAGACTTAACCTTTATAATCTATATAATGAAAAGAGTAGTGGTTTACAGATAACATCACCAAGTGAAATATCACCATCTCTATCTTCATCATCATCATCATCATCATCATCATCATCATCATCATCATCATCATCATCATCATCATCATCATCATCATCATCATCATCATCATCATCATCATCATCATCATCATCATCATCATCAAAAGATAGCAACAATCAAAAGCAACAACAACAGCAACCAACACTTCAATTAGGTGGTAATAACAACAACAATATTCCTACAAGTGCTTTCACAAGTGGTGCATCGATGTTTGGCAATCCAACAACAACATCAACAACAACACCAACTACATCTTTGTTTGGTAATCCAACACCACCCACTCCATTCTCAGTTAAAACAGCACCTGTAAGCGTTAGCTTTGGTCAGACTGGCAGTAGCACACAAGAATCATCGATGTTTGGCAATCCAAATGCTAGCAAACCTACAACAATGTTTGGACAGAATATTGTACTTGGTGGTGGTGGTGTTGGTAAACCAACTACTACACCAACAGCTACAACAACACCATTGACAATGTTTGGACAGAATATTGTACTTGGTGGTGGAGGATCTACCACAAGTAGTACAACATCATTCTTGGGTGGTGGTAATAATAACAATAGTAATAATAGTGGTATTCCAAAAGTAAACAATAGTGACAACAAAACATCTCCACCAACACTATTTGGCAATCCAAATCTTTCAAGCAAGATCTCAACATCAATATCACCACCATCTTCAAGTTCATCACCACTCTTTAGTGCATTTGGTGCAACTTCTACACCAATTTCAACAACAGTCAATAATCAACCAAATATTACATCACCACTGATTAAAGCAAATATTTCACCACTAACACCATCAACTACATCTTCATCTTCATCTACACCATCAAAATTAACAACAACTAAATCATCAAGTAAAAAGACAAGACATGAGTTGTTAATGGATAAATTCAAATCTACATCGATGTACACATCTAAACATTCGCTGGCAGAGCTACTCAGAAAGAATACAGTGTCACTCGAGTCATCGTTGAGTAGCATCGAAAAGGCAACGACCGACACTACCAGATTCGTCGAAGCCGTTAAAAAGAACACTAAAACACCATTCTCAATTCCACAGATCTCAAATGAAGTCAATCAGCTCAAGCATATCATATCGGGACTCTCTAAGGGTGTCTCACAGGTTCAAGACCAAACACATCTGATGGAGACAAAGATCTATCAATCTCTTACGCATGCCGATGAATCAATGTCTTTCCTCGATGCCGAACCACACCTCAAAGACCTGATGCTCTCGAGAAAGCTCGACGCCAAGACCGCCAAAGACAGAGAACGTCTACACCTCTCATATAGAAATGTAAATCTCGAAATCCAAAAGTTGGAAGAGTTTTTCGCATCGTTGGATCTACAAAAGTCAAAGAATAACAAGGTTTCCGCTGTCATTTCAAAGGAGGTTTTCTTGGATATGACATACGATTCGCTTCACAGCCACGACAACGCACATCGCAAACTTGCTCAGACACTCGATGAAATCAATGAGAAAGTCGATCAACTCTGCCTAAATACTAGACATCAAAACAAATCAACAACTAAAGAAGAGAAGAATATCGAAAGTAACTTTGACAAGTTGATGATAACAACTGGTGATAAATCAAATGTTAGTGGTGGAGGTAGTTCAGCCAACAAAGAGCAATCTAGATACAGAAAACCAAACTTTAATATCGTAAAGAATCGATTGGTTGAGATCTCCAGAGGTCAACAGGTTGTAAAGTCAACCAATCTTAAACTTGGAAGATATCTAAAGACTGATGATATCCTTGATCCAAGTCAATTGGTGCCAGTGGCAGAGTTGCCCGCTAGTACTGTCAACGCAATGACCGACTCTGTTGATTTGTCGCTGGATTTGGATACATCATTCAATGCCTTTTCATCCTCGAGATTCTCTTATGATGCTGCTTCTAGACGTACTCCAATTCCAGAGGTTTCAAATGTTGCTGATAGTAGCAGTGAATCAGAGTCTAGTGAATCGGAATTTGACGACGAAGAAGATGAAGACGAGGACAACAGCGATTACGAAGATGAATATGAAGAGAATCGCTCACCAATTGCTCTAAAGAAACCAGAGGAGGAGCCAGAGCACGACAGAATCAAAAGCAATAGAAGTACCAAGCATCAGAGACAGTTCTCTTCAAACTCATTCCCTGCTTCCAATGTGCTAGGCCAAGGAATTTCAAAGGATATATTAAAACCTGATCTCTCTGGAAAGAGTCCTTCGTTTATCAACACACCAATAGTTGCTCCAACAAGTTCATTCTTGACTAAGGATACAACAACAACAACAACAACTGCATTTGGTACATCATTTGGATCGACACCACTTACATTGGGTGGTGGTAATAGTGTATTGTTTGGCGGTTCTAAGCCACAGGAGCCAAAGATATCAGAATCGTTATTTGGTGTAAAACCAGGTTCAGAGTCAAAGCCTACCAATACCCCATTCGATGTTAAACCTAGCACTGAAGTTAAACCCACTACTCAACCGTTGTTTGGTTCAAAGCCAACAGATACCAAATCTGTATTTGATATGAAGCCAGGTTCAGAGTCCAAGTCACCGTTTGATGTTAAACCAGGTTCAGAATCAAAACCAACTGAATCAAAATCGCTATTCGATATGAAGCCAGGTTCAGAGTCCAAGTCGGCATTCGATGTTAAACCAGGTTCAGAATCAAAGCCAACTGACGTCAAATCACCATTCGATGTTAAGCCAGGATCGGAATCAAAACCTACAGATGTAAAATCACCATTTGATGTTAAGCCAGGATCAGAATCAAAGCCGACTGAAGTCAAATCACCATTCGATGTTAAGCCAGGATCAGAGTCAAAACCTACCGATGTCAAATCACCATTCGATGTGAAACCAGGTTCAGAATCAAAGCCGACTGAAGTAAAGTCACCATTCGATGTTAAGCCAGGATCAGAATCAAAACCAGCTGAATCTAAATCACCATTCGATGTGAAACCAGGTTCAGATTCTAAGCCTGCTGAAGTCAAGTCACCATTCGATGTTAAGCTAGGATCAGAATCAAAGCCAGCTGAATCTAAATCACTGTTCGACGTGAAACCAGGTTCAGAATCAAAACCTACCGATGTCAAATCACCATTCGATGTTAAGCCAGGATCCGATTCCAAACCAGACGATGTTAAATCACCATTCGATATGAAACCGGGCACCGAGCAAAAACCTGAAGTAAAAGATACAACCTCACCTCCAAGCTCAAGTGGTGGAGAATTGGATTTGGGCGGCTTTGGATTAGGTTCCTCAAAGCCAATATCCAACAAGCCATCACCATTTGCTATTGTCGAGCCAAAATCAAGTGACCTAACAACCTCACCAACAACTGGTACTCAATCAACAACATCAGCCTTTGGTGTATTTGGTACTTCAGCACCCACCTCTGTGTTTGGAGTCAGTACAACAACAGAATCAAAACCACCGACCTCTGTCTTTGGATCTGCTTTTGGAGGTGCTTCATCGACTGGTCCAACAACCTTTGGTGTTTCCGCAACACCTTCGACTGGTGCTTTTGGCGGTGCTGCATTTGGAGCGACTTCAACCGCGCCTGCAACTTCAGGATCTGTATTTGGAACCAGTGCCACCGCCTCACCATTTGGTAGTGCACCAACTTCAGTCTTTGGTACTACAGCATCAACCACACCGGCATCAACAACCTTTGGTGGTGCCTCAACACCTTCAACAGGTGCATTTGGCGGTGCTACCTTTGGAAGTACATCTGCTGCAACTTCAGCATCTGTATTCGGAACCAGTGCCACCACCTCACCATTTGGTGGTGCATCTACAACCACCACCACCACTCCAACCAAATCTGTTTTTGGTTCCAGTACAACATCTCCACCAAGCGTATTCGGCACTCCATCAACTCCCCCATCTACTACCGGCGGAGCTTTTGGAAGCGTCACACCAACTGCATCTGTTTTCGGAACTTCAACACCAGCAGCAGCTTCACCATTTGGAAGTACTTCAAGCTCTGTATTTGGTGCTTCAACAGCAGCAGCTTCACCATTTGGCGGCGCAACTTCTAACCCCGCTGGTTCAGTCTTTGGAACTTCAACATCAGCAGCCTCACCATTTGGAAGTAGCGCTCCTTCATCCAATCCCACTGGATCAGTATTTGGAGCTACTACCGCACCGGCATTCGGATCTACCTCTGCATTTGGTGGTGCCTCATCTGCCCCAGTAGCAGCCTCACCATTTGGAAGTAGCGCCCCTTCATCCAATCCCACTGGATCAGTATTTGGTGCTACAACCGCACCAGCATTCGGATCTACCTCTGCATTTGGTGGCGCTTCATCAACACCCTCTGCATCACCATTTGGAAATGCACCAAGTAATACATCTGTATTTGGTGCTTCTAATACATCAGCTTTTGGCGGAAGTGCACCAAATACTTCAGCTTTTGGTGGTGCCTCATCTACCCCAGTAGCAGCCTCACCATTTGGAAGTAACGCTTCATCTAATCCATCTGGATCAGTATTTGGATCAAGCTCAACACCGACCTCTGCTTTTGGTGGTACATCTGCTTTTGGTGGTGCTTCTAATACCTCTGCTTTTGGAGGTGGTGCTCCTAATACCTCAGCTTTTGGTGGTGCCTCTAATACATCAGCTTTTGGTGGTGCTTCTAATACATCAGCATTTGGAAGCGCTTCAGGTAATCCTACAGGATCAGTGTTTGGATCAACCTCCGCGCCAGCATTTGGATCTACATCGGCACCCGCATTTGGATCTACATCAGCTTTTGGTGGTGCTTCTAATACATCAGCTTTTGGAAGCGCTTCAAGTAATCCTACAGGATCAGTATTTGGTGGAGCTTCAACGGGTGGTGCTTTCGGTCAGCCATCAGTATTTGGTGGTGCCAATAATTCTCAACCACAACAAAGTGTATTTGGATCTCAGCCAAATAAAGTATTTGGATCTAACAGCGGACAACCAGTAACATTTACAGGTTTTCGATAATATAAAATAAAAAACAAAAAAAAATAAAAAAATGAAACGAATAAAATTTAAATTACAAACAAATGAAAATTTGACCATCAACTTTACATATAAAGTAATAATTTGTTTTTATTGGTTATCAATTTGAATGAATGATTTTATTTGCTTTTAAATTCAATTGAATTGAATTGTGTGGTGAGGTGACCTAAAATAAAAAATCAATTTCATTGGTCAAAGATGTTTGTCTCATGAAAGAACGAACAATTTTATTTTTCTTTCGAGAAAATTAAAAAAAGAATTTCCTTTTTTGGTTGGTTTTTGTCCTTTGACAATTGAAATTTAATTTTGGTTTTAGTTCAAACTCCAAAAAACAATTGAATATCACACCTGGTTTGTTTTTGTTTATCTAATCAAACTCAAAAAGGTAATTCATTGTCCTTTTCAAATTTGTTAATATAAAAAAAGAATATTTTTTTTTTTCAATTAAATATTTATAGTTGATCCGAATTCTGATTTTAGATAATTATTAACTTCAAACTGTTTATCTTTATAATTATTATTATTGGTGTTCACAGCCAATACATTCTTTATTAAAATAATATTTACAAAAATAACGGGGGACTCACAAAAAAAATAGAGGAAAGGAGAGTCAAAATAGGGAGTGCAACTAATAATCAGACAAACAATTGTTTAACACACCATTTTTTGACACTTTTTAACTTTAAGATCTTATTTATTTATTTATTTGGTATCAATTAATTTATTTATTATCGTAGATATTTTTTTAAACAAAAAACAAACTACCAAAAGCACATCAATTAAAAAAAACAATTACAAAAAATACATCATTAACGTTTTACTAAACAATTTCATCATTAACATAATCACCTTTAAATCAAAACCATCATCCATCTTTGTTTTCAACTACAACAATAACCTCCTATTTCCAACAAAATCATATTTAAAATATCTATTATCATTGATTATTTCACCCATTTTCATCAAAACCACCACAATCTTTTATTTTAAAACAAAAGTAGGTTAAGTACACACACATTATCAGTTAGTAAAAACAAAAAAAATAAATAATCAAAAAATAATAATAATAGTTGTTCACACTTATTTGAAAATTTTCGGTGAAGCTCTTCATACTTTATATCATAAAATAAACCAATAAAATTATTATTTATATTTATCTATACATATTGTATTTCAACAACTCATCTTTTACTATCTACCAATCTTTTGATTTGAAATAAAAATTACACCATCTTCTTTTTTTTTATTGTTTATTCATTTTCTATGCTTGTAGAGAATAGTAAATAATTGAGAATCGCCCAATAGTATCTCTCAATCTTATAGTAACTTTTTGAGCAATTAACAATAGAATTGCCATTGTAATCGTCAAAAAGGGTGTTATCTTCAAAGGTGTGCCGCTCTATAACAATTGAACCACTCTTTTTTTATTATTGCATATAAATCAATTCTCTATACCCCCCAAATCCTCTATCCCCCAAACAATAACAACAACCACAAATAATTTAGTTTTTGATTTTAATGTATATCTTTGTTTTGCTGTTTTGACCAAATATCACTCCGAATAGCAATATCAACAGTAAAAGATATTTATTACCATTTAAGCGCTAGACATTGCAAAGTTCACTTGCACTAACACACCACCAACACACACACTCACTCACTACCACTTCATAACATAATACCACTAAACACACCAATAAAATCATTTATTTTTAATTAGACACCATACCACCAAAAAAAAAAAAAAGTTTACTTAATATTAAACTTCATTTTTAGCTAATTATATATTTGATAAGAAACTTTCATTGATTTTTTCTCAAACAGTGAACTGTTCAACAATTAAATTATAAAACAATAAATTCTAATAGTTAACTTTTCACTTTTCTATAAATATATATTTTCAAGTTTGATTATCTATCAATGGGTATGTATATGCTTTTAAATATGAATCAAAAAGATTTTACTAATCAAAATGATAAATAATAGCAAACTTTGTAAACTCTGGTATTCTTGTAAGAAATCTTGGTAGATTGAGTTACGCAAGATGTCTTGATGTTCAAAAGACTCTAGGTGAACGTGCCCATGAAGGAAACAATACATTACTATTGGTTGAGCATTCTTCGCCAATCTTTACCGTTTCTAATAGTGAATGCAAAGAAGGTACCAATCTCCTGAGGAAAAGAATGGACCCAATGGGTATTGAAGTCCAAAGAGTAGCAAACAGAGGAAAGGGAATCGTTTGGCATGGACCGGGTCAACTCACTCTCTATCCATTCATTTCTGGTTTTTCAAAGGAAGATCTGGTGCAATCGATATCTAAAGTAGTCAGTAAAACCATGTCATCCATTGGACTTGACTGTACTGTTAAAGATGATGGAATATATGTTGGTAATGAAAAATCGGAAAAAATTGGTGATATTGAATTATTTTCAAAGTAAGTATTAATTAAGTAATTATTAAGGATACACTTTATATTTAAATTTTAATTCCATTTATTTTTTATTAAAATCAATAGTGAAATGAAGAATCCAGGTTTCTCAATCAATATAAATCCAAATCTTTCCTATTATAAAATGATCGAGCCAGAAAAGAGTGAAAGCGATAATAAGAAACCAATGACCTCCATTTGGAATGAAATGAACAACTCAATATCGATTGGAGAAGTTGTACCAATTTTATTAGATGCTTTTGAGAAAGAGTTTGGCAATAATGTATTCGATTCAAAAAAACTGTACCAAATGAGATTCAAAGAAGAACAATTCCAAGTACCAAGCAATTTTAGTTTAAATTCTAAACTATCTATCAATGATATGCTTATCAACAACTATCAACTAAATCCAAAAAGACATTCATCATTGTCATATTAAAAAAAGTCTGTTTGGAATGTAAATTTTTGTAAATAATATAAAATCGAATCAATTATTAGTTGTAATTTGTTAACTAATAAAATGTATAAAACAATATATCTTTTTATTTGTTTTTTATCTGTTTATTATATGAATAAAATAAATATTATTTTAATTAATTTAATAAAACTAGCAAAACAATAATAAAAAGCAAAAGTGATGGAATCACTCTATTTGAGTTATTGATAGGGTCAGAGGTAGTTGATGATGTTGTGGTAGTTGTGGTTGGAACTTGACATTCATTTACAGTGACAGGTGTGGTTGATTGACATCCAGAGATTTCAGTGATTCTGACCAAGTAATCAGCACCATTAAGATTGTTGAATGTGTATCTATTGGTATTCTTCAAGGTGGTGATCACAGAGTTATTTGATGAATATAATAATTCAAGAGTTAAACTATCATTGAGTGATGCTGTTGAAACGATGTTGATGGTTCCACATGATGGTGAGTTGATTGTTGAACTGATAATATTACTTTCAACAGTGAACAATGTTTGGAGAGCGAATTTACATGTTCCAGAGGCAACGTCTGAAACGATTGAATAGTTTCCTATACCTAGAGACAATGAATTACTAACTTGAACTCCATTCAAAGTATAGATGGCATCGGCAGCTTTAGTTCCATAGAAACTGGAAAGTACAACTGATCCATTTCTACCAGCGACACATTGATTTTTGACATTGTATGTCGTAGTGAATTCAGTTGCTTTGAGATCGAAATCAAACGAATTGGTACACAAGTAGTTGTATCTGCTGACAACAGCAATTACAATATTTCCACTGTCAAGACCTGTAAAATTGAGATAGGTACCATCACTAATTTCGGGTAGATTACGATTGTCTCCTTCGATATTAAAGTACGCTCTATAGATGTAATCAGGATCGGGATTTGTAATGGCGACGAAACCATCTTTTCCTAAACATGTAGGATTTCCATAGGTAATTGTTGGATAGGGAGCAAAACTATTGATTCCGAAAGGAGCATTCTGTTGGATTTTAAGTACTCCGCTGGACTTTTTGTAATATAGAGGTGAATCTAAGAATACACTCATTTTGAATGAGTTGGTGTCTACCTTTTCATTATCAAGGAACATTTCGTAATCAGTGTTGGAATCGGAAAGCTTCATAACTATCTCTAAGTTCTTGCAATTGTAACTAACAGGCTCAAACAAATCAGTTATTGATTCTGTATATGGCACATCTAAGTTGATACGGTAGTTTTTGGAATTGTAATAGACATTCAATGAGGTGGAATCTTGAACTCCATACACCTGAGTTAGCTCTCTGTTGATGAATCCAGATCCAGAGACGTATGGTTGGATTTGATGAGGCTTTCCCTCCAAAACATCAGTGACCGAAGCAAATCCATCCACATAAGGTAATGGTTCATTTGTCAAATTAAGGGTTAGAGGATCTTCAACCCATCTTGGATCTTGTGGGTCATAACTAACATCAAACATCCATCTGCAAAAGTTTCCTTTCGATAGAAATGAAGTCGCTCTTGCATCTGTGATATCACCAATCAGATGAGCAAATGGATAGTGGTTGTATCCTTGGACTAAAGTTGGTGTGATCTCCGAACCATTATTATCCAAAATGGTATATTTCAATAAACCATATCCATAATAGGGTTCAACGAAAGTTTCAATTTCGAAAGTTCCATCCATTCCAACAATAACTGAGAATTCACCAAGACCACACACACTATGGTTGAAATTAAATAAAAAAGTTCCCGGATAGATATCTGTGGCATTAGTCACATCTTCTCCTTCTATTGAAAGTGAGATGAAATCATTCAAGTTATTAAAGTAAATAGCAGCTGTTGGGAAACTACAATTGGTTGCCGATTGTGGTACAACATTATAACTTATAACATTTGCTATAATAATTATATTCGATAATAGATTAATAAATTGAAGAATAATTAATTGAAAAAATGGATAATTTAAAACTATACCTTTAGTATATGGAACATAGACTTCAAATACATCAGAACATGATCCATAATTGACAAAAATTGAATGATTGCCACCAGAGACCACAGTTTTGTCGATGTCAGTAAAAGTGTTAGAATCTACACCAATACTGTAGACATGTACACTTGAATTCACACGAACTTTTGTTAATGATTCTTGGCAAACAACACTGTCAAAATCCACAGTTGATAAATTGGGACCTGATTATTTGTAAATTAATAAAAAATAAGAAATGAAACAATGAAAACAAAATGTACATACGCGGAGAAGGAGTATAGAAATTAAATTCCCTACAGAAATAATATGGAGGTATAATTTCGAGAGCACTATAAATATCCAGAGTAAAAGTTGTATTTACAACCGCATCATCATAACGACGACCAAAAACAATGGGAGTAAAGCTACCAAACTGATCGACGCATCCATCAAATTGGTTATTGCTCAATTCAAAGTGAATATCACTGGGTTCGACAGGGTTAATATCAATCGTGAAGGTATAGGTTGCTTCTTTTTGGCATCCTTTCTCTTGGTAGTATACAGCAAAGGTGTTTGAGGCTCGAACATTTTTAAAAGAACCATCGACAGAAGTGTAGTTGATATTTGAGTATTGGTCAGATAACACCAAAGTAGTGAACAATTGATAGTTGGAAACTATGACAGTAAAGTTTGAAAAACAGTTTGCATAGTTGAAGTCCTCGGTGTAATATTCGATGATGGGTTCGGCAAATGGGAAGGCGATACTGTCTTGGAATGTGGAACATTCCTTGGTAATAGAATAGGTCTCTCCATAGTTTACATTTCTTTTAAAGTTGGAAGCGATTACCTCTCCATTTACTTTAATATCTTGGTAATCACCGGTATAATTAATAAAGAGGACGGCACTGTCTGAGAGACAACTGAGAGGATGGTCTATACTGTAGGTAAGTGGTAGTTCTTTTGTTATAGGATTTGGGATTAAGACAAATGTATTGAAATAATATTGATCATTGTTTATGTTGAATGAAAAAAAGTATTCATTTGGTAAAATGTTAAGTATCTCTCCGGCTTGGTATTGATTGCCGTTGAATTGATAAGTAACTTGATCGTCGGGAACACCTTCAAGAGTGATTGACATATTCACACCCATACTTGGTTGTCCACACTGTGAAGCGACTAAATTGACAATCGGATTTGGGTAGATAGGTTTTATTGTTAAAGGAATGTATTGAGTACCACACTCATTCGACACAGCAGATAGATAATAGGTTCCACTGACCAAACCAGAGTACTGACCTGGAGCAGAGGCAGCGATATTGACACCACTCGAATTAATCAATTGAACATTGGTGAACTGATTGAGATTTTGAATTTGAATAGCACCATTTCCAATTGAATAGTTGGAATGTGAGAGTGAGATAAGTGGGACTTTGTCGCTCTCGGGTAAGACTAGTACACTGAAATCGGTGTCACCCATAGGATAATCAATGATAACTTTGTAGCCACCAAATCCGGTCACTGGAAAACTGATGTTACTTCCAACGTTAAAGGAATAAGATATATCCGAAAAGTGGTCTTCAACATGATAAGTAAGAATTAGATTGCTAATTATATTATGTTGGGTAATAGTGGCATTGGTATATAGACACTTTGGCTGAGTCACTCGAAGATCTGGAATATACTCGCTGAAATCGATATTGTAGGTTCTGTTGCATTCACTGTACATAAAGTAGAAGTGGACAGCTACTGGCTGTGTTGCATAGAATTTGACTAGACCGTCTTGATAGAAATGACTAACTGATGAATCGTTATATCCAAAGCCGAGAAGATCTTCGGAATCCGTATATACTAAAGATACTCTGCTTGTTAATGAATTGAAATACTGTAAGGTGCCTGGTACAGTATCACACTCATTACCATGCACATGGTTTAAAAAGTTTCCAACACAAAATAATAATAATATACAATTAAGATATTTCATTTCAATCTTTGAATAAATAACAATAAAGGTGATTATGGATAATGATAGAGAAGTGTTTAAATCGATGGTTAGGCTAACCATTTGGCCAATGGAATGAATTAAACTTTAATTTTTATTTTGGTGAAATTGCAAAGATTTAATCAAGATTGGCAAAGACACGAATTCCTTGAAAGGGCACTAACATGAAAGATGATTAATGAATAAAAAAAAAACAATAATTAAAAATGGAAATTCGTGGAATGATAAAAATATCTTGTAAATCTCAAACAATATTGCAGCTGCAAATAGTTTTTTTTAAACTACCACTATTGATCAATTCAACGAATCTCAATAAATCGTTCAGATTTGATTAAAACAACACAAAATAAATATTCAATCAAATTAAACAGAAATCACTTTTTATTATAATATTAAAAAAGTAATAACAAAAAATAAAAGAATTGGAGGAATCACTCTACTTGAGTTATTTATCGGGTCAGAGGTAGTTGATGATGTAGTGGCGGTTGTGGTTGAAGTTGCGGTTGTTGTGGTTGGAACTTGACAATCATTTACAGTGACAGGTGTGGTTGATTGACATCCAGAGATTTCAGTGATTCTGACCAAGTAATCAGCACCATTAAGATTGTTGAATGTGTATCTATTGGTATTCTTCAAGGTGGTGATCACAGAGTTATTTGATGAATATAATAATTCAAGAGTTAAACTATCGTTGAGTGATGCTGTTGAAACGATGTTGATGGTTCCACATGATGGTGAGTTGATTGTTGAACTGATAATATTACTTTCAACAGTGAACAATGTTTGGAGAGCGAATTTACATGTTCCAGAGGCAACGTCTGAAACGATTGAATAGTTTCCTACACCTAGAGACAATGAATTACTAACTTGAACTCCATTCAAAGTATAGATGGCATCGGCAGCTTTATTTCCATAGAAACTGGAAAGTACAACTGATCCATTTCTACCGGCGACACATTGATTTTTGACTGTATATGTAGTAGTGAATTCAGTTGTCATTATATCAGTGGAATATTGATTGGTACACATGTAGTTGTCTTTGTTTACAACGTTAATATAAACCGAACCGGCGCTGAGATCGGTAAAATTGAGGTAGGTACCATCACTGATTTCAGGGTGCAAACTGGGTTCACCTTGTGCCATGTTGGTGTACAATCTATAGATGTAATTAGGATCGGGGTTTGAAATGGTGAGGAAACCATCTCCTCCCAAACAAGTTGGATTTCCTATTGTGACTGTTGGATAAGGAGCATAACTGGCAGTAGAGAAAATTCCTCCTTCTTCTACCAGCAGAGCACCCTTGGATTTACTATAGAACTCAGAGTATTGCAAGAATGCATTGGTTTGGAATGAGTTTGATGGTACACTTTGCTTGCCAATATACAACTGAGTGTTTGGGTAAGAATCTGGAAGTTTCATTGTTATCTGTAAGTTATTGCAGTTGTAACTAAGAGGTTCAAACAAACTTGTCAGTGTAGGTTGAAATGGAACATTTACAAGAGTAGTAAGGCCTCTTTGATTATATATAGTAAAGAAATAAGTAGATGATTTAACTCCATAAATAAGACTGAGATTTTTAGAGATGAATTCATATCTATTAAAAGATCTTGGCTCATTTTGATGCATTACACCCTTCAAAGCATCAGTAACTGTAGCTATACCATCGAAATATTTGGAAGGAGTGGATATTAAATCGATTGTGAGTTGGTTTTCATTCCACTTTGGGCTGTTTTCGTCGTATGTAACTTCAAAGTTCCATTTGCAGTAATCTCCACTTGATAAATATCCTTTTACATAGCTATCAGAGATATCACCAATTAGATGTGCCATAGAGTAGTGATATAAAGGAGTACTAACTGATTCTGGCGTGATTTCAACGCCATTACTGTCATTGATTGAATACTTTAAGTAACCAAGATTGTAATAGGGTTCAATGAAAGTTTCAATTTTGAAAGATCCCTCCATTGGAACGTCAATAAAAACTCTTCCAAGACCACAAACCGTATGATTGAAACTAAAAAGATATCTATCTGGAGAAAGAGCTGTGACATTGCTAATTTCATCTCCACCAAAAATAAGCGATGTGTATTCATTCATGTTATTAAAGTAAATTGCACCTGTTTCAAAACTGCAATTGGTTGCCGATTGTGGTACAACATTATAACTTAAAACATTTGCTATAATTATTGACATTTCAAAAATTAATATAACTTGAAAAAAAAAGTAGTTATTATTAAAAACATACATTTAGTATATGGAACATAGATTTGATATAGATCAGTACATGATCCATAGTTGATAGTAACAGTATGGTTACCACCAGTGACTTTAGCATCGGATGGATTGGCATAATACCAGTCATCGACATATACATTGGAGATCGTAGTTTTGGATTCAAAAGAAAGTGCTGTTAATGATTCTTGGCAAGTGACCGAGTTGAATTTAATTTTTGTCATATTTGGATCTGTTAAATTAAATAATTGATTTAATAACAAAAAGTATTTAAAAAATTTTATAAACTATCTACTTACACAATGGTGTGTCAGAAAAATTATATTCTTTACAATAATAGTATGAACTTGGAATATCTACACTTTCAACTCCAAATCTAAAAGTAACGTTCTGAGCTGCATCATCATAACGACGACCAAAAACAACGGGAGTAAATGTTGCAACCTGAGAGGTACATCCATTAAAATCGGCATTAGAAATTTCATATCTGTAATCGCTTTGTTCGAGACGAGCTATTGGTAGTTCAAAACCAAAACTTTGTTCATTTTGACATCCTTTCTCTGTGTAGAATACAGTTAAGATGTCGGTTGCACGAACTTTCTTGAAAGTACCATCAACGGCAGTGTAGTTGATATTGTTGTATTTATCGACAAGTACCATAGAGTTGAACAATTCATAATTGGAAACTGTTACAGTAAAGTTTGAATAGCAGGTTGCATAGTTAAAGTCATCGGTGAAAAACTGGACATTGGGTGTGGCGAATGGGAAGTTGAGTATGTCGTTAAATGAGGAACACTCCTTGGTAATAGAATAGGTATCTCCATAGTTTACATTTCTTCTAAAGTTGGCAGCGATTACCTCGCCATTTACTTTAATATCTTGGTAGTCACCGGTGTAATTGATAAAGAGGACGGCACTGTTTGAGAGACAACTGAGAGGATGGTCGATACTGTAGGTAAGGGGAAGCTCACTAGAGACTGGACGTGGTATTTTGAGAACTTTAATGAAACTATATCCACCCTGGATCGCGAATGTGAAGGTGTAATCCGATGGCTGAAGGAGATGGACATCTCCAGCTTGGTACTGATTACCGTTGAATTGATAAGTAACTTGATCGTCTGAAATACCTTCAAGAGAGACTGTCACATTGACATCAAAAGTGGGTGTTGCACACTGAGTAGGTATCAAGTTGACAATTGGTATGGGACTGATTACTTCGATTTCCAAACTAACACTTTGAGTACCACACAATTGTGATTGTGCAATTATATAATAGGTTCCACTGGCCAAACCTGTAAATTGGCCGGAGGAGCTGGCAGCTATGTTGGCACCACTGGCATTGGTCAATTGGATATCAGTGAATTGGTTGAGATTTTCGATTTTAACAATACCATTATCTATTGAGTAATTGGTATGTGTGAGTGTGATTTGAGGTATTAAATCGTGTTGGGGTGTCACTTGTACACCAAAAAAGTTGTTATCTGTGAATAGTCCAATATTAACACGGTATGAACCTACTCCATAAACAGGGAAAGTCATTGTCATAGGCACACTTCCGGGTTGATATTTATAGGTTTTGCTTGTAAATGGATCATATACATAGTAATATTCATAGATAGTAGTGGTATGGTGGGTAACAGTGGCATTGGTAAATAGACAATTTGGTTGGGTCACTTCGAGATTCGGGATGTTCAAGCTAAGGTCCCGGTCATAGGTCTTGTTGCAATCACTATAAGTGAAATAAAAGTGGACAGGCACGGGATATCTAGTGTAGAAGAAGATATTTCCGTTTGCGAAGTAATGGGAAACAGAAGAATCGTTGTAACCAAAATCGATCAAACCTTCTAGATTGTTAAAGGTGAGTCTCAATCCATCTTGCAAATAATTACTATCGGAAAGTGTACCAGGTACAGTACCGCACTCCGTACCAGACACCTTTGAAATAATGTTTCCAAAACAAAATAATGATAATAAAAATAATATACAATATTTCATTATTCTATCATAGATTAAGAAATAATAAATAAATAAATAAAAAAAGTCTTAAAAATTGATCCAGATGAACACTTTATCAACATGTTGTTCGAACATAAAAATAATAATAAAAAATCAATTCATTGATTCTCTGAAAGGTGTTTAATTTGCAGATTTAAAATAGATCACCTTTCAGAGAATCTGTTCAACTCAGCCTTTGTTAAATTTTTTTCAATGATAGTGGCTGTTTTTCACAATTTTTTTTTAAGTTTTTGCATTAGAGATTAATATTAAAAAAATAAAATAAAATATCAAACCTTGTTAGATTTTAATAAAAATTAGATAAATAGAAAGTATTTTTATAGTAGATTTAGAATATAAAGTTTGTTTTATTCTTTAAAAAAATTTTGAAAGAGTTTGGCCTCTGTTTTTCGATGGGTAAAATGAGTTTTCCAATCTGCATCGGAGTTCGGAGCAAGCTACAACGAACCCGAGAGATCAAAGAATACAGGGACAGACATATTTATCAATGTTATGAAAGATTCAATCAAATTCTCAAAGATCTTCAATCAAAAATTGGTGTTCAAAAAATGGTTATTGTAATATGGGAAGTTTATATGAGAAAATCAATGATTGGCAACTAGCGAAATAGATATTTAACAATGGACCCTACTGATTAAATAAAGCACATACATCAAATAGAAATGGTTCAACACACGATATGTGAGCTTTAATTTCTATCGATTCCTTGAATAGTGGATAAAGCTGGTATCTTTCACTTTGCCAATCTACACTAAATATTAAATTTTTGGTTTTTATTTGAATCAAACACAATCAAATCAACAATAACCATATAAAATTCAATTGTATAATGTTAGCGATACGAAAAAGCAACTTTGTATGATAGTAGATTGACAAGAAAGTGAGTTAATAAATGAATAAATGAATAAATATAATATATATGAATATAAATATATAAATATAAATAAATATAATATTTAAATAAATATAAAAAATATAAATAAATATAACACTGAAAATAAATATAAATATTAAGATAAATATAAATAAATAAATATAATACATATAATAGATATATAGAGAAATAAATAAATTATTGGATGAATAAATAAATGTATGAAAGGAAGAATGAAAGAATGGGTGGATGAAAGATTGAAAGAAAGAAAGAAAGAAAGAAAGAAAGAAAGAATATGGATGAAAGGAAGAATGAAAGTGAATTAGGTGCTAATTCACTGCAGTGCAAATAAATAGAAATATAGTGTAAGAATATAAATATGTAACGCGTTGACAGCACAATGTGCACTGGACTAATACAGTACTTATATTGTATTACCTATATCTATTTATTTATAGAATGATACATACCATATATAAACAAATTAAAGGAAAAAATAACCTATACTTTTTTGGAGAAAAAATAAATAAATTTGAATTAGTTATCTTGAATATACTTGATTATTTACCCACTCCCTGTACTGAGTGTGCCCCTGGTAATCCATTCTATTATTATTCACGACTATCATATCAAAATGGAGAAAATATAAATGATAACCGGGTGGCTCGTTCGATGCACCTTTATTGTTGTTGCTCAACAATATTTTTCTATTTAAAACAAAAAAGTTAATGAATAAGAATGTTTATCCAAATTGATTTTCCATTTGATACATTTTATTTTCAAAGATTGTAGCTGAGTCGATATAATAACTTGACCACCTTAGTTAGAAATATTGACTAGTCGGCCCTTTATATATTCTAAAGTGGTGCATTTTAAAATATATAGTTTTATAGTGTGCCTACCCTATAATGCCGGATTGGTCTGTATCAAATAAGTTAGTATAAAACATTAATTGAATAATGTATACTAGACATTATTGAGTGACAGCCAGATGGGAGTCTTCATCTTTTACATTCGGTAATACCAGAATAATTTGTCGTAGGCATACAAAATTATCTGATATGTTGAACATAAATTAATGACATACGAAATATAATAAAGAAGTAAATAAAATTTATATTAATAAAATTATATGCGTATACCTTTATTGGACTATTCTCTTGATTAAAAATACAAATAAAATCTAGAAAGATCACATTCTTTGTATGAATTGACCTTTGTATAATAGAATGAATTAGTTAAGTACATTCACAACTGCTCAGCTGCTATATAAGGAACTTATACTTACAATGAACTAAAACATAATATAAAACAAAATTTACTACTACCAAATCAATATGCTTCAACATTCAAACACTCCAGATAATGAATCAGGTTGAAAGCGTTATTCTAAAATAATATAGCAAAGTGCTCACATGTTGAATTGTGTTTTTGTTAATAACCAAAATCACCTTATTCAATGTTGAAATAAATTTGATTTGAAATGTACTAGACCAGACTCCCATCCGAACATATACATAGCTTCATCAAACCCATAACAACAAATGAAAAAATAGGCGAATTGATTGCAAGATTCTTTACACACTGCTGCATATACTATTTCAAAACAAGCAATCAAAAATTATTGAATAATTATGATCCACTAAAGATATGTCAAAGAAATAAAAATTAGTAATCTGTATTCATTAAAATAAACAATTATTACTTACACTATCTTTTATGCCTAAACATCTCCACATACCAAAAAGATAATAATAAAATTTGAATTATAAAAATGATTTTAAAACATTTCCAATCATATTTTGAATTGGTCTTATTACCAGGTTTGATAATGGGTTCTTAATGAGTAGAGTGGAGAAGAGCTGTCCATAGTCCGCTATGGCTGTGAGGCATGGAATTCTTATAATAAGTTCTCGTAGAGATGGCCAATTGGATAAGAAGTCACCGGCATTGTTCATGTTTTCGTCTTCTTCTGCGGTATTCAACTGGTCCTTGATCTTTTCATATGGAATACAGAATCGATCGATCTCCATTGCATCGTCAGTTTCCTCAACTTGTTCCATGATAGGATCTTCATGTGATGTCATTTCTACATCATTTGATGCTGCTGCTTCTGACTGTGGTGGAGATTGTTGTTGCAGTGTTTGTGAAAGTTGTTGTAAATAGTTGATTTGTTGTTGTTGTCTATAATCTTGAATCTGCGAGTTGTAATTGTTATCGATTTCAAAGATTACGACAATTTCTTTTGCCGGTTTTGATTGTTCCGTTGATTGCACAGTAGTGTTGTGTTGAATAGGAGTATGGAATGGTGTTTGGGTTGGAGATTGGATTGGTGATTGAGATGGAGTTTGGATTGGTATTTGGGATTGTGTTGGAATTGGTGTTTGGATTGGTGTTTGGGATGGTGTTTGAATTGGTGTTTGGGATGGGGATTGGATTGGTGTTTGGCTATTTACATGAGTTGATTTGTGATGTTTTTGATTGTCCATTGATTCTTGATTATCTTCTTCTCTTATTCTTTTTTTTGTTGGATTGTTATTATTATTATTGTTATTTATTTGGTTATTTATTTTATAAAGATTGAATTCTAACCTTTACCAACGACGGCAACACGTCGTTTGTTGGGAAGGGTTATCATGAACGATGGCGAACACGTTAGGAATGAAGGTTGTGAAGCAACCAGACAGTAGCCATCGCTTATGCTCCAAACAGACAATAATAGTCAACATAAAATTCTGATTATTGTCACAATCATCCTCTCTTTCTTTTCTTTTACCACTATAAATCAAGCTCGATCCGATATCATGATCATCGTCACCAAAATCAATCGATTCGATATCAAACAATGGTTTACTTTTGGGTATTTTGTGTACTATTATGTGTATTATTCTGTGTATTATTCTGTGTATTATTTTGTTTATTATTTTGTGTACTATTTTGTGAATTATTTTTGTTTATTATTCTGTGTATTATTTTGCGTATTATCTTGTGTATTATTTTGTGAATTATTTTTGTTTATTATTCTCTGTATTATTTTGTGAATTAGTCTGTTTTTGATTTCTTTGTTCCTCTGTAGCCTCTTCTTCTTTTGTTTGTACCAGAGAGTGTTTGGTCTGGTGTAGTTGTGGTAGCTGGTTTTGGTGAAGATTGAGATGAAGTAGAAGCAGCTTGTGAATTTGAAAGTGTTGGTTGAGATGGTGACTGAGGTGACGAAACAATTTGTTGTGTTCTTGAAGGTGTGGGTTGTGGAGCTAATTTAGATGTTACATTGGCATAAGTATTTATAATATCGCTCATCTCTTTTGCCTTTTCCTTATTTGATTCGTCTACATTCTTGGCAATCTCATTCATTTCTATCATGGTGTTTAGATAGGTGGTATGTGCCTTATCTCGAGCTGGTTTCCAAGACTGTGCCTCCTCCTTGGTGGTCGATTCGTAGCCTTTGGAAATTGTAGTCTCTTTACCAACTTGACTTTTCATAGCAGAATATTTGTAGATAGTCATTTTGTCAACTTCATTTCCACCCATGAATTTAATGTAATGTTTATTGGCACGCATCTTTTTTTTGTAAAAAAATATTGATTAATAATTGTTTTGAATTCAAATTATATAATTGATTAACTTACTGATCTATTATCTAAAAACTGGAAACGATGATACTCTGTAAAACCAGGAAAGATCTTTATTTCTTTCTGTTTCAATTCCTTTGGGTTATGAATTTCGACTGTTACTTTGATGGTAACAGCTTCCTTCTCTGATTCAGAGGTCAATTTGTATGTTCTTTGATAGTTGTTGTTGTCAGTGGTACTCTTGATTGCATTGATAACATCTTGATCTGTATAGATTGAATCTTTGAAACTCGACTTGTCTGCTATCGCTCTAGAAACCATTGAAAAATGTTGATCGCATTCACTCTTTCCGTGATAGGGTGCAAAAGTATTCAATTCGACGAGATACTTTCTTTTGGTTTTGTTTGGAGTGTTTGGATCAGCTACTTGCAACTTTGACAATGTATGCATATATGAAAGTATTTCATTTGACTTGAAGTGTCTAGCATTATCACACCAAAATGTAATTTTGTTGATATTTAGACTGGTGAATAATGGATCATTGATTAATTTGTCGAGACATGAAATTGCAAATGTCGAACAGTGATTAAGTACTTGTGAAAGACAGTCATAGTAGTGAATCTTCAGCTTGTCACCTTGCTTATAGAAGAGGACCATTCCAAAGAAGGTACGAGCAGGTTGTTGGTAAAATTCATGGCTTACTTGCACTTTGGATTTACCTAATGATATATTCTCTTTAAAATCACAGAGAATAATACACTCTCCTGCCTTTAACTCATTTTTCTAAATAAAAAAAAAAAAAAAATTTCATTAATAAATCATTAACTAAATGTATTAATAAAATTATAATTACACATGTCAAATAATCATTCTTTCTTTGCTGAACAAACATCTTGTGAATAGTCAAGATTTCAAACAGTTTATGATCTTGATCTGAAAGTTGCCCAAACTTAATTCGTTTTGACTCGAGAGCCTGATACTGAACACACATTGGACACATGTCGGTTCGATTCTTCATTTCTCTGACATACTCTGGTACGAAACTGTAAAATGCACTTCTACCCATGAGTGGATACTTGACTTGATCAACTTTACTCTTCTTGAGGTAATCTGAAAAGCAGGTATTTATGTTTCCTAAAGCAAGGTTCTTGATTGGCACCAACTCGAATGCTCGTTTACCATCTGCGTCGAGTTCTTTGCTGTACAACCTCATGTTTTTACTTGATTCTTCAGTTATATCTTTCATATTGAAGTAACCTTCGACGGCTGTCCTTAGCATCGTGGTTCTTTGTCTTCTTGTCATTTGTCCATTGTGTGTAAATTTAGATCTCCAATTGCTGATCTCTTCTGCATTAATCAGTCTACCTGCACCATACTTATGTACGTGTTGAATTGCACGATTCCATGCATTATTATCTATTGTGATTCCAAACTCTCTGATTTCCTTAGAAGTGTAAGAAGGAACTAAACTTGATAACAATCTAGATTGGGAATATTAGTATCAATGATATACAAAATCGCGAGCATTACAAAACACTTACCTTGTTTTTTCATATCCATCTCTATCTGTATATTGGCCACTCTGAAGTGATGAAATAACATATGACAACGCAACAGCATGTGTGGTTGCTCCAGGTATCTCTTCATATATCTCCTTATATCCCTTTCTGAATTCTTCTGATGTAGTAATACTACCATCTTTCTTTAATTCTTCAAGAACCTGAATATATTTATAGTTAAAAGTATTAACAATAATCATTCAAAACAACAGTTTATGATATGTATAGTTGTCAATAGTGTACCTGCTTTCCAGTGGTATTCTTTGTTAACCAATCTTTCATTAAATGTGTCTGTTGATCAATCGTTACTTTGTTATGTTTTTTTGGTGATGCTATTACATTAACTGAAGTTGTTATTAAATTTAAAACTTTACTTTTATTACCAGACCTCTCTGATAATTTACTATAGTCCTTATAACGATTACTCTTGACTGGTTTAGTGTTTGGATCACTAACTGATTTTATTGAATTCAACACTCCTTGTGTATAATTATTGAAAGAGGGAGCCAATGATCGACTATTATTACTCTTATTTGTGTAGTTAATCTGCTTGCCATTTTAAAATAAAACTTGATTAAAATAACGAATCAAATATCAAATATAAATAATTAAAAAGAATCAATCACAACCTAAATTTTTTCCTTTTTTTTTAAAAAAAAGCAAAACACAAAAAAGCACAGCCACATGATAATAAGTATTAGTTTGATGCACCTCTTTAACAATATTTCTGTTAATGATTAAATCTATAGATTGTTTTATTTTTTCTTTATTATTAAATTTTAAATACATATATTGTGTTTTGTTTTTTAAATAACCACATGACCAACAGTCTACCTGTATGTAGAATAATACCAAAGAGGTTACGAGGGTCATAATTCGCGTTCATGAATTGATTGAACATTATATTTCCTCGATATATTTTCTTTGACAATCGAAACAATGTTGAATTGCTCTAAGCATTATTAGTTAGCTAAAATAAAACCATTGGTTTTCACCATATCTTGACAATAATTAAAAAGGTTCACGTTTCTCAGCTGCTCTTCTCCTATAGAATTCTCTGAATGATGATGGTCTTTTTTGTATACAACAACAATCTTTCTTTAACAAATCTAATACCTATAAATAAAGAATTTAACCAGTCAGTTTATTAAAGTTTTATTTTATTTTATTTTTTCACTTTTAAACGACATCTTTGATTTGATAAACAAACAAAAATATGTTTCGTTTAAAGTCGATGAAATGGAAGTACCATTGGGTTGCAAAGTTACATTCAAAGACACCAACGACATTCTCAATTTCCAATTAGACATTACGGTATCTTTTATGAAATTAAACAAAGATTAAAATAAATCTATACCTTTATAAATATTACATCCACTATCCTTTTTAGCCAATCTATGATTACATGTGCTTGTTTATATGTTTATTTTACTTTTTAGTTGAGCAATAGAACTAATTCTGTTATTGAACTCGAACTTTGTAATTGTTTCTGTTATTGAAATGCATGCTAATCGGTCATTGTCCAGTATTTAACCTTTATTTACTAATTTACTACATCTCGTATATTAATATCTTGGTGATAAATATTCAAATAATAATTAAATTATAACTATTTTTTAAAAGAATGGATTAAGATGTCTGTTTTCTTTTGTTTTGATTGCAAAAAAAAAACCAAACCAAAAAATAATTAAAAAAAAATATTATTTTCAAATTCAACATTTTTTTTTGAAAAACTTAGTTTTCATATGATCCATAACACAAAATTTGGAAGAAATATAAAAATGTCCTGATTTAGAATGTTTGCTAATATATTGGTATGATCATAGATATTAGAAAAGATTCTTTTTTTTTTCTTGATCCTCAATTCTTTTTAAAAAACTTTTGAAACTAAGTTTTCAACCTTTCTTTTTAATAAGGAGAGAATTTGCCTCATTACAACTAAACTATGCTTTTTTGTTTTGATCAAAACCAAATTTTTTCATTTTAATTTTTTTACTTTACAACCTTCAAATTTAACAACAAATACAATCTTCAAATTTATCAACAAATATAATCTTCAAATTTATATAATAGTTATTATTTCTTATATTTTTAAAATATTATATCTATTCTTTTTTTTTATTCTTTCTCTATTCTTTATATTCTTTATCTATTTATCTATTATTTATCTTTTTATATATTGTTTAATATTTATCTATTCTTATTTATCTATTCTTTATCTATTTATATTTATCTATTCTTTATCTATTTATATTTATCTATTCTTTTTTTTTTTATTCTTTCTCTATTCTTTATATTCTTTATCTATTTATCTATTATTTATCTTTTTATATATTGTTTAATATTTATCTATTCTTTTAATTATTTATCTATGTCACACATTTCTATAGGTCCTTTTAAGGTCAAAGATGTCCTAAAGGATGAATTCTTTACAACTATTTCTTCTAATCTATCAGAAAATCAAAGAAGATCTTTAGTACAAATTAATGATTTTCTTCATAAATTTATAATTAATAATCAAGATAATTTCACCAAAAATTTTCCAATTGTTAATAATATTATTGTTAAAAATGAAGATGTTTTGACAAATTTAGAAAAAACAACTACCCACCTCACTATCTCATATAATATAATAGCGTATATTTATAGGCGAATAATCGGTAGCGAAGTTCTAGAATCTAATCATATGGGAGAAGTTTGGAAATTGCTTCAATTTCAACCTATAAATATTCATGAGATAACTAATATAATTTCTGAAGAAGATACAAAGTATGTATAAAAAGTTTTTTTTATTTAAAAAATAATTCTCTGTTTATTTATATTTATTTTTAATAGAAAAAAGATTTTAGAATTATTTTTATCTTTCAAAGATGAATTCGATATAAAATCGAAATATTTTGATGAAGTACCTAAACAAGTGGCAACCAACTTGTATAATTTTCTCTACTCCCAGCTCCAGTCTCATTTAAGAAACCTTACGAAAGTTATTAACACTTCTATTCAAAAGAATTTAATAAATCTTGAGATCAATGATAGTATTGACTCAAAGATTCATTTTTTAGATTTTATAATAAACAACAATCTTGTAAGTATCAATTTTTTTTTAATTTACAATTTTTTTTAGTTTTAATCAAAATTCCTAATTTTTTTAAATAGTTTCCCATCTTATCGGACCACCAAGTAAAGAATCTAGTAGATAAATATAAAATCGATACAACAATCAAACTAGAGGAACGGTTGATCACACTTTTAGCCAATCACAAAAATGGCAAAGTTTCTATTGATTTTAGTGACTTTAAATTTAAAGGTAAGTTTTAAGTATATATATTTTAAGAGTATTTAATTTTAATTTATTAATATTAATTTTCTTTTCTAAAAATTTAAATAGAATTAAAAAAATTATTTTATTTTACACATTATGATCACCAAAATATTAAAGAACTTGGTTCGAAAGATTTCAATGGATACAAGTACTATAGATTGGGACTCGGTGGTCTATTCAACAAGATAAAGTATACTCTGAAATACCTGAATCCTCTCAAAGCAGTAGAGGCCGATCTTACTGACGCACTCTCTTTACATATATTTTTTATTAAATTTTTTAATGGTAAATATTTTTTTAATAAATATTAAGTTGAATTTTTATTAATTTCTTTTTTTATAGGACTAGATGATCCGAGCGATGTTTTCATCAGATTATCGAATTGGGGATTTGATTTTCCAAAATTACATCCCAAAATGAATCCTATAGAAGTTACATTCAATGAAGCTTCTATTGTCAAGATTGCACAATCTATACTTGGGGAAACCTATATGGATTATTCAAATGTTAAGCAATTTACCGACTTGGTCGAATTTGTGGAAAGATTAAAAATGCAAGAAGAAACTCCACACACAGTGGGTGAATATCTTTTATGTAAGAACGATAATCACAAGAATGTTGGTTTACCAGATAACATTTTCAAAGACTATATGCGTAATTATTATTGTGCGAGTTGCTCTTCATATTATTTCAAGGAATACAGAAGAAAGGATTCGAAATCAATAGAAGTAAAACCAGCGAAAAAGAAAAAAATAACTAAATCAATTATTAGAATTGTAAAGTTTTTTTCTGAAACTGTAGAGAGATCAGATCTCAATTTATCATCAAATGTAATAGATCTAATACATCAACTAATTGGATTAATCTCAGAGTTTTTACATCATTTAAATTCTTCTTTGCCTAGGCCTATCTCATCACCTTCCAAAGCCATCAATGATCTCAAATCTACACTGAAATCATTAATCAATCAATATGGTCAAGATCAAAAGTCTACCGGTACCCTTAAGGAGGATTCCAAGATATCAAATCCTAATCCAAATTCAAAATCGAAATCAAAATCAAAATCAAAATCAAAATCAAAATCAAAATCAACCAGTTCAAACTCTCAAACTTCTGTAATTTTAGATCAATCATCAACATCAACAACAAACCCTACAACAGAAACAACAACAAACTCTACAACAGAAACAACAACAAACTCTACAACAGAAACAATAAATGAGGAATCTACTGATAATAATCAATTTTATTCGTTAGCCGATCAATTTAGAAATATTCAAACTTCCACTGCATCACCAATATCAAAAACCTACACCGACCCTAACTATGTTATTGATACTGAGAAGTATCCAAGGTTTGTTGGTTCACCATTGAATACCTTCTCAATGACCCCTCAAGTCTCTTCACCCACGTCTTCTATTATCACTCATCACCCTCTGGGTCCAAATGACATGTCACTCAATAAGGATAGAAAACAGTGTGCTACCGCCAATAGAATTCAAACATTATCAATGTTTAATGGAATTAGAAATACAAATTGGTTAGATTTACACCCATTCGTAGCTAACAACATGAGTGAATTCCCAAAGGAACACAAACTGATAATGCTCGATAGTCTTCAATCAATTCTATCCGATGGCCCCGGATTATCTTTGTTATGTGGATCTGTAAATTTACAATTGCTTCATACTCTCATCAAAGATGGTGTTGTAGTAGTAGTTTCAAAACAATCATTTCAATCTTCATTCTCATTGAAATTAAAGATATTAGATAAGTCGGTAACAAAAACTATAACAGTTCATTTAACACGTCATCCTTGTTTTTACTCTAAGGAATTTATCTCAGCATTCTATTATTTTGCAAATGATATTAGAGTTCAAAATAACAAGAACAATCACCACAACAACAATAGCAATCTCGATAACAATAGCAATAGCAATAGCAATATCGATATCGATATCGATAGCAATAGCAGTATCGATAGCAATAGCAATATCGATAACAATAACAATAACAATAACAATAATAATAACAATAATAATTATTATTCTATTATTCAAAATGATATTTTTAATAATCAACAATCTTCAAACACCTCTTCCTCTAATAATAATAATGAACCATGTTTTCCTAATCGTCCTTATCTCTTTAAAATTAAAGAGTATATTGACAGCAAACCACCAAAAACAAAAACAACAAAACAAAAGAAAAAAAGAAAGTCAAGACATCTCAACCATTTGTATAATAAACAACAACAACAACAACAACAACAACAACAACAACAACAACAACAACAACAACAACAACAACAACCAGACACATCAACAACAACAACAACATCTAATTCTTCCAATAATAACAAGTTATCGATTAAAGAAAATATCGATATTAGTTTTTTTTATCATATCAAACGTTCAATCAGCGTTCTACTTATCCCACAAGTAAATAGGTATGTTTATAAAAAGGTATAAGTAAATTTAAAATTATTTACTAATTTTTTTTTTTTAGTTTTAATCAATTTTCTATCCACTATAATAAGACAGCTCTCGGTAAATTGTTAAATAATGAGAAGATCAATGTGTCAGATATAGTAAACCCCAAATTCAATTTAACAACATATGAGATGGTTGGTATTCGATCAAATGGTGATTCTTGTTATATTGTATATGCCAAGAAAAAAAAGAAACCAACAGCCAACAAACCAACAGCAACATCTACAATAACAACAACAACAACAACCACAACCAACGAAACAACAACAGCTACAACCAACAATACAACAACTGAAACCAACAAACCAACAACTACTAAAACCAAAAACGAAATAGTTGTTACAAGTAAGTTTTTTTTTTTAATTTAAAAAGTTAAAATCATTAAAAATTTTGATTAACACTTTTCTAAAAACTTGTAGAAGAAATCAAATTATATGATAAAGTGAAGAAAGATCCCCAATGGAAAGAACTTTCAATCATTGCGGTTGATCCGGGTCGTAATCACAACACTTATTTATTCTATCCTGGTGGTCTTAGTGATGATGATAATGGACTAATTCCCAATACTCCACAACAATTGGCACAAATGGAAAAGAAATTTAGTCTTGACATGATCAGTGGCACTCATTATTACAACTCGCAATCAGGCAGGCGTAAAAGTATTAAAAACAAAAAGAGAGGTAAACAAGTTGATGAATGGGAATCAAAAATCCCAAGTCTTTATGGTATGTAATAAAAAAATATAAAATAATAAATCGTTATGCCATCAATTATTAACAAAATTTTTCATTTTTAGGTGGTTTTGAATGTAACATATTATCAATAGATATTTATGAAAAGAGAAGGAAATATCTATTTGATAGACCAATTCATTTTGTTACAGATTCAAAAGAGATTGATCTATTGAAAAAAGAGTCGGTAGATATTCAAAATCATATTGACCATTTGATATTGGAAATTGGCAAGCACGAACCAGATGATCCTGTTTATCAAGATTTAAAGAATCAAATTTTATCTTTTGAAGCTCATGGTACTGTTTATGCGAAAAATAACAATGGATTATTTAGGAAGCCCGAGATTCAAGTAAACCCCAATAATACCGAAATCGATGGTATTATTGATCGCTTAGGAGAAACTACAAAGAATCTTCATGCTCTTATCGAAAAACGCCAGTCAATTCCAAGTCCTTTATATTCTGCAGCAATTGAAGCTCATAAATCCTATAGATTGGTTGATTCTTCATTTGATAAAAAGAAGAAACACAGTCAACTCTTAAAAGCAGACCTACTTTTGTATCGTGCAATTGAGACCACGTTACTTTCGGAAGAGTCCAAGCTGTCAAATGTTTCAACTATCACTCCGCTCAATGATATAGTTATGAATGATCAATCTAGTTCAATACCTGCTCCAACTTCAACACAATCATCTTTGCCCCGACGAAAACGACGCTCCAAAAAACGTGCAGATGAACGACATGCCAAACATCGTGCCGCTGAACAACTCTCCAAATCTCTCTCCAACGATACAGTTATGACTGATCTACCTACTACATCTACTACTACTACTACTACTAATACTACTAATACTACTACTACTACTACTAATACTACTACTAAGCCTCCACGTCGACCCCCTAAATCATCCTCCAAAGTTGGTCTACCTAGTTCCAAGACTGCTCCAACCTCAAAAAAACCATCTACATCCCGTGCCGGTAAAAGCTCCAAAGATACTGACGTAGTCATGACAGACCTACCTCCCGTAAAGAATCTACCATTGAAACCACTTCAATATATTTACAAACCTTTAGATCCAAAAGTATTGAATCTCCCTGAAGTTGTTCCAGAGAACTATACCAAACCAGAAGTCACTATCACTCATAAACTAAGATTCAAAGGGTCCGATACAAAAAGACACCGAGATCTTTTATATTTGACAAAGATGGCAATTGGTTCTGAAATAACAAAAGAGAATGTGGAATCTTTCAAAAAACGATTCAATAGTTTGGTTGAGCTTGGAATGGACTTTGATTTCAATGTAGTAAAGACTTTCTCTGAGGATTTTAATCGAATTCAGCTCCAATCCACAGAAATTGATCAATTACGCGGGAAATTAGCAAAACATAATCTTGTTTTCAAAGTTCCTCAAGGTTTAAATGATCCACCAACTAAACGATCTGTCATATCAGCGACACAAAGATATGGTACCAATTTAATTCAACAAGCATTAAATATATTGGAGTACGTCAAACTATCAAACTCACTTTTGTTGAAATGCAAAGAAGAATTGAAAGTTGCTCTCATGCCTAGCGTTGAACTCTCTGGCCTGTGCTCTGAAATCCTAGTTATTTTGAATTCCAAGGATTTCCAAACTAATTGGCTTCATCGAATAGGTTATATTCGCTATTGTGCTATAAGACGATTCAAATTTGACGAAAGGCAGAAAACTTTATCTGTCTCTACAGTCATCCCAGATTTTGAGTTTTGGATAAAGAACAATCAACAATCTAAACCCATCAACCGTATTAATATGAAACAATTCCAAACAACAAAAGAAATTCCAACAACATCAACAATCACATCAACATCAACAACAACTTCATCCTCTTCTTCATCTTCTTCTTCATCCTCTTCTCTTTCATCTTTAGCATCATCATCGTCACGAAAATCAAAAAAAAAAGAAAAATCACAACAACAAACCAACCCAACACTTGAAACCGAATGTAATAATAATAACAATACAACTCCTTCAGTAGCTCCCAATCCACCAAGCAAGAGAAAAGGTAATGACCCTCAAACAAAACAACCAACCAAGAAGACAAAACCACCTGAGCCCTCTCCTAGTAAACCTCTTGAGCCTCCTCCTAGTAAGTATTCTTTATTTTTTATTTTATTAAATTTATTAATTTATTTTTTTATTTTTAGAAAAAAGACGTCGGTGGAAATGTATTAAATGTAAGAAGATCCATAACTATCGATTAGTCGATTTTAAAGGAGATTACTTTGCTACCAAATGCTCACATTGCGAATGGAAATACATAATCTTTAAGGACAAAGCAATAGCGACATCAAAAGTAAAAAAACAGAGGTTTTGTAAGTAAAAAACAATATTGATATCATTTAAAACTATAAATAATTAATTTTTACTATTTTTTTTTTGTTTAGTTTATGGTAAAGGTGCAGGTCCCAATAACTATGTCCAAAATGTAAAAGGTGTCCAATATAGTCCCACTCTTCTTAAAGAAATAGATTTCTTAGAAAGACGTTCTCATTCTCGATATGGTGCCAGAGTAAAGACCTATCTTTTCGACGAGTACAATACATCCCAAGTAAATATAATATAAAAAGCTTATTTAAATTCATTCATTTATTAACAAATATTTTTATTGTTTTTTACAAAATAAAATTATAGATTTTTGCACCAAAGCTAAAGGAAATGGAAAAGAGCTATGTTAAAGAAAAGTCAGATGCCAAACGAAAAGAAGTGTATAAAGCCGCCAAAAGTCAAAAGCTCCTCCGGATGATCCTAATTCTTATGTTATCAAATACTATTTGGATGGAGAGACAAAGTATTACATCAACCGTGATTTCAATGCCTGTTTGAATATGGTTACTATTGCCGAAGCATATTTAAAAGGTAAAGACCGTCCAACTTTATTGTGTCCATTCAAAAAGGACAACCCGGAGGATGATTGAATAGATCTCCCCGAAATGAAATGGTTTCATCGAAAGATGTAAGTAAAATGAAATTTTTTTAAAAAAAAAAATGAAAAGCACAAAATTAACTTTTTTTTCTGTTTCTCAAGAGAATAAATCAAATCTCAATTGATGCACGCAAACATTTGTTTTTCGCAGAAAATTTTTTATTTTATTTTTATTTTATTTTATTTTATTTTTATTTACTTATATAAATTTTAGTTTAAAGAACACTCCTCTGATCTTTTGTTACATCGCTTTTCGTTACTTTCAATTATATATTAAAAAAATAACATTTTCTATTAATGATTTAAAGATATACTAACTCTTGTAACAATGATTTAAAAAAATTTGGTAAAAAAGAAAAAAAGAAAAAGGGGTACGGCTAATTTTACTATTTTTTTTTCTTTTCTTTCAACGAAAGACTAATTATGAGAATTATTATTTTTTGTTGCATTGTAAAAAAATTTTTTTTAAAATCAAATTTTGTTCTTGAAAGGTGGTTTTTTTTTTTATTCGTTGCAAAGAATTGTTGTAATATTTGATTTTACTAAGTTGGCAAAAATACAAAATAATTTAGACTATCAATAGAAATTTATTCTTTTTATATTTTAGTTATTTATATATATGGTTTCCAAATGTAAGTATTAAATACTACTATTATTCTTGTCTGTTATATTTGCAACATCGCTCAGAGCTTTGCTGATCATCGATCACACAACAGCAATTACCAAAACAAAAACAAAACGAAACAACAAACATAGATACAAACTTACTTTTTTTGCAATAACACATCTTTTCATCAATCAACACAATCACTCACACAATTATTGAAACAATCAAAAACAAAAATCACACACACACACAACACACATGCTCACACACCTTTATTAAAATAATATATGTATCAAATAATAGAAATCTGAGTTGGTTCTGATGGTGTCTCATTTATTCTTTCTTCTAATTAATTATACTTATTTAATTATTATATTAAATATTATTTAATTATATTATCACAACAACCAACCCATTTTAAATTTAGTGCTACAACGAATTTTAATCACATGTAATAATTCATTATATATAAATCACATATAATAAATATAAAAATATAATAATCATTCATTTCAACATCACTATATATTATATAAATATACAACAATATATATCATCAGAATCAAAGAAAATTTTAAATATATCTTCATCATCGTTTCTAAACACTTCATACTTTGACGCAACAAAAACAAAAACAAAACAAAGCTAAGCTTAGCTAGATATTATATAGACTATAAAGGTTTGATATTCAATTCATTCAAAACAATAAAAGATATTTGAATACACAGAAATAGGTAAAAGATGGATTTTGATGGGGATAGATTTATTTATGTCACAAGTGGAATAAAAAAATGGCTTCTCTTGTTGACTTATTTGTTATAAAAAGATATTATTTTTATGCTATAGCTATTGGGTCGAACAAATACAATTTCAATCAAACAATGATGAAAATTTCACATTCCCAAAATAACTTGTCACTTCTGTCATGTTGATCAAATGGGTTTTGATGTTTTGTTTATTGTTTTTGGCTTTGCAACACCCATTAAAATTTCACAATAATAATGTTTTTTTTTTTTTACAATTGTTTTGTTTTTTTTCTTGAATTCCATCCAAGTTTTTAATAATCACAGTGCATCATCAAAATTCAAACCCATATCAAATTTTACATAACAACAAAAAAAAAAACAATAGTTCCCAATAAAAAAAAACTACTACAAACAAAAACAAAAACATAACCAGATATTTTTATTTTTCAACAAAACATTAAACTTGGCTAACTAATAACCTAAACTGACTGATTCCTCTATATAGGTTACTTACTTTGCAAATCAAGAAATACATTAGAAATAGATAATTAGTTGTACAATTTAATAGTGTAAAATTTAAAGTAATAATAGTAATTGTGTGTTGTATAGATATTAGATAGACAGGTAGATAGATTGATAGATAAAATAAAAGAAAATAGTAAAAATAATTAGACTTTGTTGTAGATTAGAATATAGATATATATATATATATAAAATATAAAGAAGACAATCATCAAGAATGAGATTGTTTGGTGGTGGTAGAAAGAAAAAGGAGAAATCGGAATCTGGAAATAGAGATAGTGTCGATGGCGATAGCGATACATTGCAACTTCCTGTGAAGCCAGGAAAGCGATACAGTATGGCATACTCACAGCACAGCAGTGGAGCATCTTCGTCGTCATCGTCGAAACTCTCTGATAGCGGTGCCGACGGAAAGGCCGTCGACACGCCAGAGTTCTTTATCAACACAATCAAAGTGTTGCCAAACATGGAGATACTGGCATCGCTTTGTTCAACGCTACAAGCAAAGGGACCGACATGGGCAAAACAATTCATTGACAGCAACGGAATTGAAGTGCTTCTCAATGTGTTGGTACACATTGAGAAGAACGACCACAAGAAGGCAGACGACGTCGTCTTGCAGTCGCTCACAATGACCTGTCTTCTCTCGCTGATGAACTCAAAGACGGGCATTGACACGGCGATAAAAACACCAAACTCTATGAACAAGTTGATTCTCTGTTTGGACACACCGAGGATCGACACTCGTTCCTCGGTGATCGAGTTGTTGACTGCGGTCTGTCTGGTGTCCGACGAAGGATATCGAACGGTGCTCGACGCGTTCACTCACTATCGTGGAGCACGCAAGGAAAAGGTTCGTTTCTTCTTCCTCATCGACACGATGAAGAAGACCGATACAACGGATTTCAGTGACATTGATTATCTCACTATTTGTTTGGGACTGATCAATGGTTTGGTGAATTCGTCGGAGGAGGTAGACGAGCGTGTTCAACTGAGAACGGAATTCACACGTTTGGGACTGGACGAGTTGCTCTACAAGAATAAAACGATTCCCTACGAAGACGCACCCGATCTGCTGACACAGATCGACGTCTATGAAGACGAAGCGCGTGCCGACCAAGAGGAAATCCTTGACAAAATCAACGGACTCGACATCAACATTGATAATCCCAAGGAGGTATTTGATTATATTCTGGCGCAGGTCGAGAAGCGTCCACATCATCCACTGCTCCACATTCTGCAGTGTCTGCTCTCGATCCCGTCCAACACAGACACTGGAATGCTCAGCTGGTTCCTCATTGAGAAGCTGGTCCAACAGATCTCCATCTCGAAACAGACCATTGGCGACATTGACGGCACTACTGACAAGGTGTCGTTGGAGGAGCTGCTGGCGTCGACCGGTGCTTCGGTTGCCATGCAAGCAGAGCTACAGAAAGTATCGGAGGAACTCTACAAGGTGAAGGATCAACTGAAAAAGGTTACATTCGATCTCAACATTGCTCATACCGAGCTGAGCTCGCGTGAGCAAGAGACCTCGGTGATGAAGAGCAACATGTTCAACACTGTCAAGATGAAGAATCAAGAGTTGAGCAAGCTCAAAGGACAAATGAAAAAGATTGACGGTGGATTCTTTACGCCACCCAACGAGTCGCCACCACTCGACTCCTCCGATGACTCTTCATCCACCAATCTCTCGGATTCTGTTCCATCGCCAAATTCAACAAGCAGCGGTTTGAAACCACCAAAATCATCGAGTTCCAATCCTAAATCCGGTGACGAACAAACACCACCACTAAAGAGTGCACTCAAGAAATCAACTTCTTCAACCACCTCCACCACAGATCTTACATCATCATCATCAACATCATCAACATCATCAAGACCACAACTAAATGAAAATACATTTACAATTCATAACCCTGAACCAACAACAACAGAAACAAAACAACCAGAACCTGTAGCAGCACCACCTCCTCCTCCACCACCCAGTGGAGGCCCACCACCTCCACCACCTCCTCCCGGTCCACCTCCACCCCCTCCTCCCCCTGGCGGTGGTCCTCCACCTCCACCAGGACCTCCTCCTCCCCCAGGTGCACCGCCTCCTCCAGGAGGTCCACCCCCACCTCCAGGAATGAAACTTGCAGCGAACGCACCGAAATTCAATATCGCCAAACCAACGACCAAAGTCAAGCAGCTGCAATGGACAAAGATCCCACAGAGAAAACTAGGAGAGACTATCTTCTCGACGCTCGGTAATGTCAAGACCGACTGGATCAATGCTGAACAACTTGAATCATTGTTCATAGCGGCGGAAGCAGTCAAAAAGACAGATGAGAAGAAGAAAGATACCACTGCAAAGCCTGGAACAGTGACAGTCATCGATGGAAAGAAATCACAGAACCTGGCAATCTATTTATCTAAATTTAAATGTACAATACCCGAGATTAAAAATGCACTGTTTACTCTGGATGAAGAGATTCTCAACAACGAAACATTGAGATCATTAGAGAGTTATTTACCAAAAGAAGAAGATGTAAGTGGATAAAAAAAATATATATATATATATATATAAATATCATCTAAATCACTAACAAAATATTAATATTAATATCATTATAATTAGATGGAAGCAATTAAGGATTATCTAAAAACAGGTGATGTAAAAATGTTATCAAAACCTGAACAATTCCTTATTGAATTCGATACCATAAGCAATGTAACAGAGAGAGTCAGAGCATTCTATCTTAAACTAACATTCCCTGATAAATTACGTGAAATTAAACCAGTAAGTTTCAAAAAAAGAAAAAGATATTTAACAAAGTAATCGATATTAACTTTTTCTATTCTAGGATTTAGATCTTTTTATAAATGCAACAAAACAAATTAAGAGTAGTAAAAAGTTTTTAAAGATTATCGAAGTTATATTGGTCATTGGTAATTTCTTGAATGGTGGAACTGCAAGAGGTGATTGTTTCGGTTTCAAGTTGGACGGTTTGCTCAAGTTGACCGATACAAAGACATCGAACAACAAATCGAATCTCTTGATCTACATCATCGGGGAGTTGGAGATTAAATTCCCAGAGGTGCTTCACTTTACTCAGGAGTTGAGTGATGTGCAATCCGCTGGAAAGATCTCACTGCAAAACATCGCTGCCGATCTCGCCAAGCTCAAGAAGGATCTGGAGGTGGTCGACGACGGCCTCTCAAAGATGAAGCGTACACGCGAGGAGAGCTTCTTCTTCTCGACGATGGACGAATTCGTCAAGGACGCCAAGATCGAGATAAAGATTGCGTTCGACCAGTTTGAGAAGGCCGAGAAAGACTACGGTGCTCTGGCATCGCTCTTTGGCGAGGAACCAAAGATGCCGTCCGACGAATTCTACTCGTACATCAACAAGTTTATCAGTACGTTTGAGCGATGCTATCGTGACTTCTTGCGTGACCGTGAGTCGGCGGAGCGTGCAGCCAAGCGTGAGGCACTCAAAGCCAAGAAGGCACAGATGACCAAGAAGCTCACAACCGGACGTGCTTCGATCTTGAAGAGCAGCTCTTCGAACTCGGTGCAAGATCCCAACTCTGGTGTCGATGATATTCTTCAGACGGTGAGAGACGGTGATGCCTTTAAGCAGCGTCGTCAGCGAAAGGTTAATCCAAATGGCAGCCAGCGTGGTGACAAAGGTGACTCGGTGTCGTCCATCGACAAGCTATTGAACGGACACGACAGTCAGCGTGGTGAGAGAAGTGGTGAGAACGGTAGCAGCAGTAGTAGTAGCAATGGTATTGGTGGACCAAAGAAGAAAGATGTTCAAGTCGCAGCAAAAGCATTGACCATAGTTATGAGATCAAGACAAAACTACTCAAGAATAGATCAATTTTCATTTGGGAATGATGAAAAACATTAAAACATAAACAATAACAATAACAACAATATATTCAACATTCAACTAACATATAAACTTCAACTTCAATGTTCAATTTAACATCTCACTATATAATAATAATAATAATAATATCACCAAAACAAAACAAAACAAAACAACCAAAATATATTTCAATTTATTTATCAATTAATTGAGTGTCAAAAAAAAAAAAATAAACAAAAAAAAATTAATTTATTTATTACTAAAACAAAACAAGTCTATAAGCAAGGTGACAAGCTGAAGATTCACTACTATGACTGTCTTTCACAAGTACTTAGTCACTTTATTTTATGTTTGAATTATATATCTTACTGAACACACATTGGAGACATGTGGGTTCGATTCTTCATCTCCCTGACATACTCTGGTACGAAACTGTAAAATGAACTTCTACCCATGAGTGGATACTTGACTTGGTCAACTTTACTCTTCTCGAGGTAATCTGTAAAGCAGGTATTGATGTTTCCTAAAGCAAGGTTCTTGATTGGCACCAACTCGAAAAATCGTTTACCATCTGCATCTCTTTCTTTGCTGTACATCTTCATGCTTTTACTTGATTCTTCAGACATAGTTAAAATATTAACTGAAGTTGTTATTAAATTTAAAACTTTACATTTATTACCAGATCTCTCTGATAATTTACTATAGTCCTTATAAAGAATACTCTTGACTGGTTTAGTGTTAGAATCACTATCTGATTTTACAGAATTCAACACTCCTTGTATAAAATTATTGAAAGAGGGAGCCAGTGATCTACTATTTTTACTCTTATTTTGTGTGTCATGAAAACTATATTTCTTACACTCACATTTTTCCAAAAAATATTTTCCAAAATACATAGTTTTATCTCAATTTGAAACTTGTTTCAATCTTTTAAACCTAAATTAACACTTTAGAATTTTGTAAAAAGTGCTCTAATTTTAGGATTTAGGCCAAAACTGGTATATTGTATTTTCAAAATTAAATTTCAAATAAAAACCTTTTTAAACGAATATCATTTTCTAAAAAGTATATATTTTGATAGATTTTTCTTTACACAAATTCTACTCCGCTATATTCATTTATTATCTTTTTTCTTTTATTCAAAACATATATTCTTTTTTTCATTGTATTTCAATTTTATTATTGTCAAAGTTTTTCTTTTTATTTTATTAATTATCTATTAAAAATTAATATTTTATTTAATATTTAATCATTATTATATCAATTATATTATATTAGTATTGGTTTATTGGTTTTTTTTCATTTTGATACACCAAATTGAGGAATAAAGCTCCACCATGGAAACTTTAGTTCTCAATTTGGGGAAACAATTTGAGGATGATGTTGCATATGAATTCATTGTTGATGAATTTTGTAAATACAATTTAATTTTTCGTGATTTATAATTTATTGTATCTAATTTTTAATAATTTTTTATTTAAAATATTTTAATTTATTGGGTAGAGACCCAATCAATCAAATTTTTAAAGATATAATAGATAAAATTGAAAATATTTGTAAATTAATTAGAGAGAATAAAGATCTTTTTTATTATAGAAATTTATAGCATTATATTAATAAAGAAAAATTAAAGATCTATTTAGATCTATTAAGAGTTCCAGAAGAAGATGTCATCCAACAATCAGAAAATATCATTTTTAGACTGAGAAACATGGATTCATTAAAGAGTTTTCCAGTTTATACTTATAATGGTAGTTTCACTATGCATAGCATTGACTGGTTTCAGAAACAAAAGACCACAATAGTTCGATCAAGCTATGATATATCAAACATCATGGATATCCATGATTCTATCAAAGGTAAATTGTTATTTTTATTTATCTATTTATCTATTTTTTATTTATCTATTTTTTTAAGACAATCAAAACGATTTTTAGTGAATTTACAAATACCTTGGGAAATTATTTTATGTATGAATTGTCAAATTCTTTTGAAGAACAGAAAAAAATTAGTAAACTGTGCTTTTTTTTCTAAATAAAATTTAATTTCAAATTTCAATACCAAGTTTTCACCCTTGATCAATCAAATCTGTCTTTAGCTTCGTCCTCCTGGAGCCGTGGAAACTTCCTTACAAATTTTCTGTTCTTCAAAAGAATTTGACAATTCATACATATATAAAACAATTTTTTTTAATAATAAACAGAAAAACATTGATTTAAAAATAAATCAGTGATTTAATAATCTAAATTAAATTAAATTTAATTCCGACCCATTTTTTTTTTCAACAGACACAAAAAAAAGTCGAAAAATTGGGTTGTTTGATTTAATTAATATTAATATTTAAATGAACTATATATATAATGTTGTATAACCACCTTAGTAATAGTAAAACTGTATTAAATGTGTTGGTGATTTACTTGTCGTTGTTGTTTACTGTACTTCTTAGTCAATGTGTTGTTGAAGTGATCGGTGCTGATCTCTCATCAAACACAAATGCTGCATACAGAATGGAACAAACAGCACGTCTAATCACAAATAAAGCTGGTATCGTAGGTGAATTCAATGAGATACCTGTAGACAATGAAGATCTTACAAATCTTGTAAATGTAAGAATACTTATATTTTCATCTGAAAATCGTAAAGTTTCTAACTAATAATCAATCATCTTTAATAACAACAGTCAATGAAGAAATCTATATCAAAACAAAGATTCATGTATGTTCATAGATTTACTAGAGATTCAAGCGATACTTCGACCAATACTATCAAATCTAAAACCTTTGATTATACTATACTTGATGCAAAACAAAAGGTATGAATTAAGATTAACATTGTTTGTTTGTTAAATTGATAAACTAACAATGAATTCTTTGTTATCCCTGTGCCTCACTGTAGGATTGCTATTTGAATTCAGATGGTACTAAACTTCTACAAGGAAGAAAGAATATCAATATTGGTGGATATTCATATGTAAAGATGGATGACTATCAAATTGGAACAACCTATCAATTGTTGTTGAAACTCAAAGATGTAGAAGAGAAACAATGTACATATCTAAGAACAAAACTCTATAGGGATCATGCAAAGATGGTATCTATTCAAGAACTCATTTGTTTAAACAAAGATCCATCAGAAGCATCAACATCTGAAAATAATAATGTAAATGAAGAAAATCATCAAGTTGGTGAAACAACAACTACATCAACAACAACATCATCATCACCAACCTTTAAAATTCTTACATATAATCTTTGGAATTACAATAATCCTTGGAAACAAAGAAGAAACATGATTGTTGACAATATTGTAAAGCAAGATCCAGAGTTGATCGCTTTCCAAGAGGCAAGATACTGTCAATGGGAAGGTGAAACTGATTACATGCCAAATCCGAGAATGATGGGACAAGAAAGAAATCAAATACAACACCTCGTCAACTTGCTATCTTTCCAAAACAAAAAATATCACTACACATTCATTCCATCGATGGTCTATTTAAATGGTCAACAAATGCAATATGAAGGATTAGCTATACTCTCCAAATATCCAATCAAAGATACTTCATCTATAAAGTAAGTAGATAAGAAGAAGAGAGAGAAGAGAAGATCTAATCTAATCTAATCTAATCTTTTTCTCATTTCTATAAGAAGAATAAACACTTACTAATTAATCAATTCATTTAAATATATCTATAGATTGTCAAGAGATTTCAATGATAATGAAGATGTTCATCAGAGATCTTGTCTAAGAGTGTTAGTTGATACACCTAATGGACCACTCAACCTGTTGACATCTCACTTCTCACTGTCTCTTAGCGGTGCTGTTAGAAATGCCTTTGAGGTGACCAACTATACCAAACAGTTTGAGAGTCCACAGATATTTGTTGGCGATTTGAATTCCGTACCAGATTCGCATGCAATTCAGTTCCTGGTTGGAAAAGTTGTTGAAAACAATCAGACTGGTGACTTCCAAGACTCATTCACTGATTGGACATCAACAAACAGACCGGTTGATTTCGTGGGTACCTACTCCACACTGGGTGGCACACCAAACAAGAGAATAGACTATATCATGAAAAGAGGCGCTGAGCTAGAACTGGTAGATTTCAAGCAACTAGGATCCGAGCCACAACCAGCTGATGACGATCCAAATCGAGAAGTCTACGCCTCCGATCATCTCTCACTGGTGGCAACATACAAGTGGCTATCAAAAACAGAATCAAAAACAACAACTGTTGTTGTTCCTACACCAGAGATCAAAACCAACACCGGTGTTGTTGAAACGGCTTTAAAAGAGGACCACAATATGGTTCCCCCAATCGCACCAATACCCCTCACAAAATAAACACCATCCTCCACCAAAACTGGTGAAAAAAAAAAATCAAAATTCAAAATAGTCTGTTTAAAACATGTTGTTCGGTGAAATTAAACAGGGATGATCAAACTAAAATAGTAATTGATTAGATCTAATAATAAAAAAAAATACAACAACAATTGTTTCATATTATTATCTATTAAAAAAAAAAACAACAAAAAAAAACAACCTGTTTAGTTTTGGTGAGACCAGACTGAAAACAACATGTTTAAATAAAAAACCCCCCAGACAAAGATTTTTCCATTTTACAAAAGAAAATTGTTATCTTTGCATCACACTGGTTAATTGATTTGTACAAAATCAATCCTGGGATGGGAACCTGTTCATTTTATATTTTTTTCAATTTTTTTTAAATATTTTTCTTTTTTCAATTCACCATGAATATCATTTTTTTTGATTGTTTTTTTTCTTTTTGTCGTAAAACTCAATGTTAACTTTCACACCAATAATAATTTTTGCACATTTAAAATTTTTTTAAATAGATTTTTTCTGTAAAAACAACATAAAAATTTGATCACCAAAGTAATGGTGATAGGGTCGTATTCGAGACTTACTCAACACACAACAAGATATTATTAAAAATGTGACATTTATTAATTGATGTTTGGTAGTGGAATGTAATGTTTGGCTAGCACTCGACTTGTGGTGGGAGCTTCATTCATGGCATAAGGTCGTTGTTATCGCGTGTGGGAAATTTTGACAAAAAAAAAAAACAAACAAAACAAACCAACATCAAAACACATCAACAGATCAACAAGCACAACAAAAAAATATTGTTGTTTTTCGAATGGGTCATTAATCAATTTCATATCCAAAAGAGTTGTTAGTTCTCCATAGAATTAGTGTTCTACAACACCACCTAAACAGCGGAGCAGCCATGCCATATTGCAAGTGGTCAATGCTAACTTGTTTGTAAACAAAAAAATCAAAAAGATAATTGACAGAACAGAAAGGTTGATTGATTCATATTATTTTTAAATTTATTTGGTATTTTTCTTTTTAAAAAAAAAAAACAATTTTTTTATATTTTTTTTAATGAAAAATATGCAAATCTAAATTTTTAAAACAGAATGATACCTCTTTAAGATTATTTCAACTTGTTGTTTGAAATTTTATTCCACTTTCTCACTCCTGTTCAAACACAACAAAACAAACAATAAATAGATTACCTAGTTTATTGTTTTTAAAACAATTGTTGTATTTCATTTAATCTTAATCTTTTAAAGGTAAGTCGAATATGCGATAATGTTATGACTAAATTACATTTTCACATTTTTTTTTTTTCAAAAAAGCACCATCATCATCCATCAGCTTAAACCAGTTAACAATAACGAATTTAGTGATAACATTGTAAATTCAATTATCATAATGATCAAACCTAAATTTATTTATTAGATAATATTCGAATCACATCGTCGCAGTGTTGTGTTAGTTTTAAAAGTTTGTTTTATCGTCGATCTTTGATAAATATTCGTATATCAAATTGATTTAGATTAAAACAACAATAATTTATCCAAATTTAAAAATCTTTTTCTCTGCCACCAACATGTATTAAAAACAACCACATTTTATATTTTTATTTAAAAAAAAAAAAACAATCTCCAATCATAAAATTTTTAGAAGTTCTATAAATAAATTAAAATTTTATTTAAAAAAAAAAATCATACTCCTCTATTTTTAAAAGTAGAAACAATTGTCAATTCAATCATTATTTATTGGTATACCATTTTTGAGTATATTCCAACATGTCATTTTGTTGTTCGATGTGAAATTAATAGTATATATACCACTCACTGACAAAAATGACATAGTTGATTCTTTATTTTAACAAACATAATTAATTATATGACCAGGAAAAAAAAAAACAACATTAATTGTGTGTTTGTTTATGTTATGTGTTTGAGTAAATATTTGTGTGTGTGTGTAAGAGTGTTTATTTAATTTTTAATTGGGTCACAATCATTATAATAATTCAACTACTGATGATAGTCAAAACCACACAACAACAACAACAACAACAACCCAGTGTCGTTTAATTAATAAACTTATTCATTCTCACCAAACCTATTATCAATAACACCATAAATTAATCATGACATCTCTATTGTTTATAATTATATGAGTATTCATCCTACCATTAATACATAAATTTAAATTACCACACTTTAAAATTTCACCACCATCACACTCTATCATCCAATAAAAGCAATTGGAAATTTCACTTTCTAGTGGAATTGATATTGATATTAATATTACTGTGTAGCACTTTGACTGCCATCATTAAAACAAAAAAGTAAAATTTGTTTGAAATTTAACAATACTTACTTTTATCCATTCTTACCGATACCCCCGACCATATCATATACCCTATTGTTGTATTGGAAAATGGAAAAATGGAAAATGATAAAAAGTAAATTAGCTATTCTACTAGTAAAATGATAGAGTGTTTTCTGTATAGGAAGCGATTAGATGAAGGGTTATTAGGTTTTGTTTAAATTGGATCTACATATAAATATGTGTTGAACTGTGGTTTGCTACTTTCTACTTTTAATTCATAAACAAACAACCTCATATATAACTCATTAAAAATTTTGTACACTATCTCTATAAATGATTTTGTGTTGTTGTTGTTGGTTTCACAAATTCAATTTTTATTAAATTATAATAAATTGCTAGAGAATAACAGAATTGTGAATTTAAAAAACTTCATTTATTAATAGCAGAACTTTTATACTTTTATACCTTGCTACTACTACTTCTACTTTTCAGATAAGAATCCAAAAGACTACCAACTTTTCAATTTGAATATTCAATAGAGCTCTTAAGCTTGCTTGCCCGCCCACATCTGGAAATTTAATTTCTCCTCCTTTGTCGTCAGATCTAGCAGCTGCCTCGTTTCTCGATTTTTTTTTCCCAACCAATCCCTGTAGATTTTTTTTTTTTCCCCGCTTAAAATTCCTCGATACACAACATCCAACATCACACACATATAAATTCCCGACATGTCGTCCGATACACCAAAAAAGCTTTCTTCAAAGAAAGTTGAAAACATCATTTTCTGTGTATGTCTATTTCTGTTCCAAGTGGTCATGATTATTTTGTACTCTGTTTGGGTACGTTATGATAAAGATAGCAATCACGACCCACTTCCAAACGGTGAGAGTCCAGTACAAGAAGAAGTCGATAACCTATACGGATACTTTAGAGATGTCAATATTATGATCTTCTTTGGTTTCGGTTTCCTCATGGTTTTCCTCCGTCGTTATGGTTATTCATCTCTCGGTTACACATTCCTCATTTCAGCTATGGTTGCACAATGGTCTGTTTTGGTCTGGGGTTTCTACGATAGCATGTTGGAACACAAAGAACTTCGTGAATACTATTACGTATGTTAGATCCACTACTTTATTAAAAATTGAAAACAAATCATCAATCACCAATCATATTAATTAATACATATTGTTTTATGATTATTAAACACTAACAGTTTACAATGGAATCATTGTTGAATGGTTTATTCTGTGCTGGTTCTGTTATGATCAGTTATGGTGCTCTCCTTGGTAAGGTTACACCATTGCAAATGTTATTCATGGGAATTGTCGAACCAGTTCTCTTCTTTTTGAATATGTACATCATGGAGAGACTCCACGCCTTTGATGTCGGTGGTGGTATGACTATCCATTTGTTCGGAGCTTACTATGGTTTGTCGGTCTGTTGGTTCCTTACCAATAGTAAAGCAAAGCACAGCAAGGAGAATGCTGCTTCGTACAGCGGTGACTTGTTTGCCATGGCCGGTACTCTTTTCCTCTGGATGATGTGGCCATCTTTCAACGCTGCCATTGCACCACGTGGACACCCACAAATGCGTGCTCTCGCCAACACTTTCCTCAGTTTGACCGGTTCAACCATCGCCACCTTTATTGTCTCGAGATTGTTCAGTCACTACGGTTACAAATTAGATATGGTTCATGTACAAAACAGTACTTTGGCTGGTGGTGTCGTTCAAGGTGTCATGGCACATCTCAACGTTAATCCAGGTCCAGCCATTTCGATGGGTTTCATCATTGGATCGGTCAGTGTATTGGGTTACATCTTCTTGACACCATTCTTGGCCAGAAGATTCAACATTCAAGATACTTGTGGTATCCACAATTTGCATGGTATGCCAGGTCTCGTCGGTAGTATTGCCGCTGTGATCGCCGCTGCACATGCCATCAACAACCCCGATCTTTACTCGGCTGCAGAGTTCAAAGTTTTGTTCCCAGCTGGAGATGACCAAGCCAAGCGTAACGCTGCTATGACTTTTATCGCCCTTGCTGTCGGTATCATTGGTGGTATCATCTCTGGTTTCTGCATGAAGCAAATCGGTAAGATCGGTAAGCTCACCAAAGAAGAATATTTCAGTGATCACGCATTCTGGGTTGTTGCATCCGACTATCCAAAGGAGTTCGAAGGTGTTGACCCACATCAATATATCCACGACGAAGAAAATGGTGTTGAAATGGATCAAGCTGAAAAGAGAGATGAATCCATGCCAACAACATCCGATCATCAACAATAAATAATATATATAAGAAAACAAAAAAAAAAAAATAATAAAAAAAAAACAAAAGAAAATTAAAATATTGAATATTTCATTTGTTGTAACTCATTTCATTGTCTGATTGTAATCTAAAAAATAAAGATAAAAGATAGCTTGGTGTACATTATTTTATTTAAATAAAATTTGGAGATTGGTATTTGTTTTCTATTTTTTGGCGGTAAAGAAAGAAGATGATTTCTTCTTAGGATCGGTTCCGCTGCTGATAGACATTGTTCTTGTTGTTTCTTCACACAAGTTTGAAGCTTTATATAACTATAATAAAATAATTTGATTATTAATATGCATACTTGTAGTATTTATAAGCTGTTTAAGCACATACATCTTTATCTTTTAAAACTAAACTGGATTTCAAGAGTTTTTCAATATTTTCAACCTTTTTTAGATGATATGGTACAGACTGATATCTTTGAACATCAGATAAAACTTTAGAAATCATTTTCATCTTTTTGTTTTTACAATGTTAATATATATATATGACTTTTAAAAGATAATAATAATAGAGAGTTATTAACATACTTTAGCAAAATTAACATGACCATTATCCAAGATATCTAAATTGGCATCCTCTATAAAAGTCAAGTCTCTAAGATAAACAGCGAAATATGGTAAACATGGGTAGGAATGTGTGTTCATTGTCTTTCTATAGTATGCATAGTTTTGAGAGGCGCTGGTTTCACGCGTCAGTGTTTCAAAGATATCCAACATATTCTTTGGTAAACATTCCCATGTCTTCTTTAATCTCTGAATACTTCCAAGATTCAAACCTAACATTACACCCATCAAAGAATTCCAATTGTTCATTTTTCTTAATATCTATAAATATTTAATAATTTGATATTAGTTATTTTTTTTCTGCTTCAAATCTATCAATTAGCTATTTCAACATACACCAGCCATTGTAATAAATCTTTTCAATACTGTTGCTCTTTGTTTTAAATTGGTTGATAGTAAAATTTCCTATAAAGATTATAAATGGTTTGTTAGACTATAATTTTAACAATAATGTTATAATAGATTGTGAAGCTTACAGTTGCTACCCAGTAGCTCAATGTATTAGATCTCTTAATGAATGCCAATACATTTGGTGCATTTATCTCTGAATCTTTCTTGTTCCAAGCTTGATGTGATAGCTCTGAAGGTGTAATCTGACAAAATAAATTAAATTCAATGAGTGTAAGTTGTCTGGCAACCTCCACTGGATGTAGGTCAAGGAATGTATTGGATGGATGGAATTGTTTTGGTATGATTGGTTCTGGATAGTCTGGTTCACTTGTTGATTCATGTTTGGAAAAGTAGTAGACGGTGGAATCTTTATCTTTAAATGTCAAGTTTGGTGACCAATGATTGTTTTGTGATGTAATTACAGGTGTTGATGGTTCTGATTTGTTTTCGTTTGTAGTAGAGTTATTATTATTATTATTATTGTTATTGTTGTTATTGTTGATTTGAAGATTTGAGAAAGAACTATAGATTTCTTTGGTTTTAAATGAATGATGTTTTATGAGTGATTGTGAAAGCATGCTGTTGAGTATGTCGATTGCTTCTGCTCTTGTCTCAAGATCGAATCTCTTGGTGAGCCATTCGATTGCTTCGTGCGCCAAGAATGAGTTTCTGATGACTCTGAGTTTCTTCTTTCTGTCTTTGAGTGGCAGTGTCTTTGACATGATGGTTGCTATCGTGTCGATCTCTGTCATTGGTACCAACTCCTTCATGCTTCTCGAGAGATGCTCAGGATGATTGGTGTCAAAGAATTTAACAACATGTGCAGAGAGCAGCTTCTTTATGTAGTTTCCCCACTTTGGATTAAACTCATTCACCAACTCCAAGAATTGAATGAAAGGTTTATACAAACTGACATTCTTGAAATCATAGGAATGTCCTTCAACCCATTTCTTTAATACATTTATAACCCTAAAACATAATTATATAGTTAGTTAAAATTTAGTTTAGCTTTACAATTATTTTCTCTTACCTAATTTTAATTTGATGAATGATTTGTTCTTGTTCTTTTTGATTCGCAGAGTTCTTTTGTTCCTGTGAGAGTGGGTGGAGGAATCTGTGTTCAAGTCTTGCAAGTAGTTCGTGATCTTTCATAAAATAATGGTAGGTGTAGAGGAAGTCCTCTACATATTGTGTTCCTGTGTATGTAGAGATATCAGTGAGTAGATCTACTATACGATCGAGTGTTCCTGCCGATACCGATTTCTCTTGATCCAGTACGAGATCGGATGATGCCATAGGTACCATGCTTGGCAATGGTAGATGTGTGACACTCGATCTACTTGCTTCATCTGCGTGTTGATTCATCTCGTTGTGAATATCATCAGCTTCACTGTTTTGAAGATAAAGGTGACCACTTGGGTGCCTTCCAAGGAGGTGATTCAACGATGGATTGGACGTTGATCTTATCAGTGTGTCGTGTATCTCTTGGTTGAATTCTCCTTCGTAGGAGGTCTGTTCCCATGATGGAAGTACAACATCACTCTGGCTTCTCTGACGTGTCGGGATTCTCGGGGAATCTGGATTGGCAGAGACTGGTGTGGCGTCTGTAGCCTCTGGAGTGTCGCTGGGTTGGCTTTGAGGTTGTAGTAAATTGAAATATGAAACCGATCTGTTTTTAAGATTGGCTGAAATTCGCTTGCTTGTATTACTGTTGTTGACTATGTGCGATGGTCTTGGCGATATGAGATTGGGTGATGGTGTGCCTTTGAAGACTGGCAGCTGTGATGAGCTGATTGGTGATGCCGATCTTCTATTCGGGTTTCCGAGGAAAGAAGATGTTCTGGGCGACATCTTGTCGGAAAAATCGCTGCAATCAGAGGAACGTCGAAGTTGAAACGATAGAAGTCCATTTCCCACGCTGTTGCTATAGTTTAGACTACCGCACTGTGAGTTCATATCGAAATCATCCAAATTTGAATTGGTATGGCTGTTGTTTACTTGCAATGTTGGTGAGTTTTTACTGCTAGATGAAGCTGGACTACTACTGCTGCTACTACTGCTACTGCTATTATTATTATTGCTGATGTTGTTATTGTTGTTGTTGTTGTTATTGTTGGAGGTTCTGCTTGAATCTTGAGATACTGATAGTGAACTTGATCCTGGGCTGCTATTTTTACTATTTTTACTACTACTACTATTGCTGCTAGAGCTTCCACTACTTGATTTTCCGGTAAGTGGAAATGTATTGTGCTGGGATGAAGACGATTTGGATATTAGATTCCTCAACTTCTTGAGAGTTGAGGTATTCAAAGGCTTTGAGTTTTCATGCTTTGGGTTTTCTGGGATTGGCTCCATTCTTCCTGGGTTAATTGAAAAACCGAGTGGTTGCCTCCAATTAGTGTCCTCTTGTGTTTGATTGATTTAACTATAATAAATAAATAAGTTATATAACTTGAAAAATAAAAATAAAAAAACAATTTAATATTATTATTGCTATTGATACAACTATGAAATTCAAAGTTGTTGTGGTATAAGCTTTTTGAAAGATTTACTGTGAAAATATGTTGTCTCTTGTTTTTTTTTTTTTTTTTTGTAAAAATGAGAACAAATCCTGATAAAAGAATATCTAAGATAGATTGTGGGCCAAAAAAAAAGTAAAACTAAAATTTATAAAATATCAAAAAAAAAAAAAAGACATTTATATATTTTCGAAAAAAAAAATCTAAAAACAGATCTAAACCACAAATCATTTTCAACAGTGAAAATAATTTTTACGATCGTTGGACTTACATATATGTAACAATTTTTAAAAAATACTTCTAATTTTACACTTTTTTTTTTTTTTTTTTTTTACTTTTGATTGACTTTATTTATAAATCTTTAAACCATTATAAAATAGAGATTTTCCTCTTTTAAAATAAATAGTAAATATTTATGTAACATAAAGAAATACTTTAGAATACAAGAATAGTTTTTATCTACAATTTAATAAATTGTAAAATCAAATTGTTTTTAACTTTTTAGTTTTTGAACAAACAAAATCTTTTTGTGTGATAGAGAAATGTAAGCTTAAAACAGTGGAATATGGGTGGAATAATTTAAATTTTTTAAACAAAACATATAAATTCAAAAACCTCTTTGTTTTTTGATATGGGAGCTGAGGAGGGAGATTAAGTGTGTGTATTGAAAATAGAATATTTAAAAATTCAAAATTACAACATGATAACAATATGTATTTAAATAAATAAACAAATAACATTAACTGTAACATATGGTAAAATTTAACGACTATGTCCAACAAATAACACCCTTTATATCAACATCCATGATTTTCCTAGTGAAATAAACTTCCAAAAGAAATAGTAGTATTTATACATCCCCCACCACCATTCCGAATACACTTCAAACTCTCCCAAACAACTACTAAACAACCACCAAAATCACACCTATAAATTTTTGGTTTATTGTTTATTTTTTTTATAAAGTTTTTCTATAAATAATTAGTCCAAAGAAATATTATTAAATTATAATCAAATATGGATGATGGTTTATATAATATTTTTAATAAATAAATAATAATGAATGAAAATTGGAATCCATATTTTAGATTGTGAAATTTCTATGAAAGTCTATAAAAAATTATGATATTATCTTTTTATAATTTGATTACCTTTTTATACAAATGAAATGTGAACTAGAATAAAACTCTTACTTTATCTAAATATTGATTACTGCCAAATCAAGTTGAAATCTTTAAATTCTCCACTATTTTTCTGTTAGTTGTTGATGTTAACTGGTTTTAAAAATTTAAATTGAGCTATTAATAAGTTATCAATTTTGGTGAAATATTTCTTCATTGTTTAATTTCCTCAACATTCATTTAATATATAAAAATACATATTATTAACAAGGTGATTTATACAGTTATTATTTATCTTTTACTCTTTACTTAATAGGGTTGGAAACTCATGGCAATGATCAATGTATAAACACACACACCACCCACCAATCACCGAAACAATTTATTTTGCTATATACAGTGATGTTAATTTAAGCTCAATGTTTATACCATTGATTAATTAATAAAATAAAATTGTCATTGTCAGAAACTTTCAATCCATATTACATTTATTAATTTTATCTTTTATTTATTTATTTATTTATTTATTATTTTATTTTATATCTATTTTCAGTTTAATAGAATTATAAACAATTAATAAAATGAATAAATAAAAAAAAAGATACTAAATAAAATGAACTTCAACTTTGTTTTTTTTTTGTTATTTATTTTTAAAAACAAAATATTTCCTCAAATTTATTAGTGCAATTATATTCAATTCGCATTATAAAATTGTAGATTCATATGAATTCATATGATTATATATTATAGCATGTTCAACTTTAGAGTATATTCTGAAAGGGTGAAGTTAACATCAATTTAATATAGTGATCAATTTGTGTTTCTAATTTCTATTGGTGATACCAAAATAAAATGAACAATGATCATCATGGGAACTCCAGCGTCAACATCCCATCATCATGTTCAAAACAGTAAATATAGTTTGTCTCGCTCAAAAAGTAGAAATAAGATTAGATTGCTGAGCAATTCTTGTATAATATAATTACACACATTGAACAAACCAAAAATGTTTTTGCTTTAAATCATTGTGAAGGTTTATCTCTTTGAAAGTTACACCAAAATTAAATTGATATTAAACAAAAAAAAAAAACACAATTGAAACAAAACATCTGGGTAATCCTATGCAAAATCAATGATAATTAATATAATATTGATTCAATCTAGATAGTGCCATTGGAGATGAACAGAGGTCATACCAATGTCTGATTGAAATTCAATTGTTTGCAGAGATGATTTTTTTTGGAGTTCTCAACAAGTAGAATATATTCATAGATGAAGAGAAGAGAAGAGAAGAGAATTAACTTTATTTGTTTTGGTATGCCTGTAATAGTGTGTGTGTGTGTGAGTATGAATAATAAAAATAAATAGTTAAATAACTAACCACCACCATTATATAATATTTGGTATTCTATGAAGTTGGTAATATTTGGAAAGTTGTGGTTGTTAACAAAATAAATTCAAAGTTGTTGGTGATATCACCCTTTTAACATGATCATTGATATTGTTTTAATACTATTTTCTTATATTAATATACTGTTTAAATTGGTGATATGATGATGATCGTTTCATTGATGTATTATACAATCAAAGTTGTTGCTATGTGATGCGATATAATAATATTAACACAGTGTGTAAACCATAGTCACCACCACTCCACTCCTCTTTTTCTCATGAATTGAAAAAAAAAAACAAAACAAACATTTGTTTAATGTTTTTAATGATATCATAACCATTAATGAAAGTGCACTATTAACTCTTTTTTAAAACTGATATTGTTTAAAAGACAACTCTACATTAACAACAAAAAAACAGCACACAATCTAAATTGAATTACACACAAAAGCAACCAACTAGAATTTACCACACATCTATATACATTCATACACCTATTGAATGAATTCAGTTTAGTCTGATGTGTGTGTGTGTGTGTAATATATAAACATATTATATGTGATTATGTGTTTGTGTTGGGTTGATTTTAGTGTATGATTGATGTATTGTGTGTGTGTTAAGCGTGTTTATATATTAATTTGTTTTAATATTGATAGTGACATGGTATTCATTTTTCATTATTAATCATAAATGTATTAATAAACTCAATATGTTAACGGGTTCGTACATTCAGAGTTCAAGTAAGAAAGTGCTAAATTAACATAACACTCAATTATTTATTTCTATCTATTAGCTATTCATCTATCTATTACTTCATAATCAACTGTGACAACAAAGTACCACGTACTTTTATATTCCAACTTCTTAAATAATTACTAATATTAAAATTGCCTCTGTCATCAACTTGATTTTAATTTGGTATATAATCATCCATCATCATCAACCAATTCAAATTCATTACAAATCAATCAAAACAAACTCAAATACCTAATTTATAGTAATAACTTTATTTATTTATTTATTTATTTATTATCAACTCTATAAATTGAATCTCTATTGAAAATCTAATAGAACTTATAACACTTTATCTCTTTCCTTATTTATTACCTTATATATTTAATTGTTAATAGATTTTTAAAAAAATCAAATAAATAGCTTCTTATTCTTCTCATTCTCTAATTATTTTTCACAACTTCTTTGTTTAAATACAAATCATACTTCACATCTTTGTAATACACAACAATAAAATATCTTTTTTTATAATGTAAGTTAATAAAAATAACTAAGATCATCACCATCTTTGTCGTTCAACATGCTATGTAAAAGAAAATATCGTGTTTTTCGGTATTTTAACAAAAAAAAAACAAAAAAATCTTTCATCCATCTATACCAAAAATTATCTGATGTTCATCGGTATCTTAATTTTTTTTTTGAAAAATGTGACACTGGTGTCGGGTGTAGAGTCGTCTAATCACCATTTCCCAACTTAATTTAAAAATGATAATCTTACACACAATTTGATGTGAACAAATAGCCTATTTAAATAAATCATAGTATCTAAAACTGTTAAACTAAAAACTCTCGGTTTTCGTTTTGAAACAACAATCCATATCCAGAGAAGATGAATCCAATGACAACATCGTATTTTGATTCATTGAGCTCATAATCATATCATATTTATAATAGTAATAAACTATTTAACAAACAAACATATTTTTCTTTTCTTTTTATTGTATATAACTAAATTTCACAATTATTTCTAACAATTATTTTATTTAATAGTTTAAATCAACAAATTATCTTAATATATTTATAAAAGCAAATAAATACAAATAAATATATATTTAAAAAGTAAGTTAAGTTTGTAATTTATATATATATATTTGTAGTTTATTACTTCATTATTCAATCTACTAATATGGAAATGAAGCAACTTCATTCATATGAAATCGCCAACCAAAATAAAGAATACAACAACCAACCCCACCAATATTTATAAATTTAGTATTGTCTTGTTTTGGTATTTTTTTAAAATTTTTATAACATATTAAAAAAAAAAACCACATCCCAAAATGTCAAATTTATATTGTCTGTCCTATTATCTCTAGAGATTACCATACACCAACTATTAAACCACCATGATACAATTTTCTGATAACAAGAATAACAGTTCGTTGATGTATATATTTGTATAAAAATAAATACGAATTATTCTTTTTTTTTTTTGATATTATTTTTATTAATCTCCTGTCAATCATATATAACAATTATATTGCCATCTATCATCATTATAATACGACAGAATTGATATCAATTACATCATCATTTATAATTAAGGTAAACGTACTATTAGTATTACCAACATAATGTTTAAAAATAGTGATATCATTTTTTTATTTTTATTTATTTATTACCTATAATTTTAATTTACACCCCTCTCAAAAAGTGAACACCCACACACCAACAACATTTGTAATTTAAACTCTATCTATCTGTTAATTCATATTTTTTTGATGATTATCTATCAACTATATATAAATTTTTATTTCTTTAATTTTATTATTAGACCGTTGCAATAATTTTTATTGTTATAATTATTATTATCAATTCTATTTGTACATATGTAAATATTGTAGGTAAACATTAATAAAAATCGAGCTTATTACCATCTATCATCATTATTATTGTGTGGTTGTTTGCTGATGTATTATGTGGTTGGTTGTATGTAGTGTCTCGTCGACAACCAACCAACCAATAAGAGGATAGTTTGATAACTCGGTGGTCATAGTTTTGTGTTTTTCGTGATGAACCTATTTTGTCATCGGGATTAGAATTTAATCAATCTTACTACATTCTCTTGTCTTATCATATTCTAACATCTTTACTTTTCTTTCTTTCTTTCTTTACTCTTTCTACTCCATTCTAGAGTTCGCCCAACAGAATTTCGTATTTAATCTAGCTAGTCAGTCAATCAACATCAATCAAGTTTCTAAACTAATTCAATCCAGAATTAAAAATATATAATCACCTATATATATAATATACTATACTATCCTCAATAATCCACTAAACAATATATTGTTGTTTCTTTCTAATTCCGAATTCCTATACAACCAGAGTCTATTTACTACAAACTCCTATTCTTGAATATTAATCATTTCTACTACTACTAGTACAATTACTACAACAACATCTTTGTATCAAATCAATTCTATACTCAAGAATAATCTTACACCAATCAACAAACAAACAAACAATCTGTATAAAGTTTATATATAATAATAGTAAAATGGAAAATTTCGAAAAACCAACCATTTCAATTTCATCATTGTCTTCAGAGATCAGTCCATCCTATGCAATGAAGATGTCAAACTCTTCGATCAATGACCCATGGGCCGACAACCTTGAAGACATGGAAGAGCAAATATTCCCATCATCGCCAATGTCATGCTCAATTGGACATCCATTTAACCAACAATCAATTTCACCTCTCAAAGGAGAATACTATAATTTCAACTTTAGAATGGGTACACCAATCGGTGGAAACATCTTTGATTCAACTCCAACCTTTACTCATGGTTAAAGTTTTAAACAAAAAATATAAATATTTTTAAATAAAGCGCGATAACAACATTTTTTTTCCTTCTTATAAGACTTAAGTAATACACAAAATAATTTATCCATTTCTCATTTTATCAAAATTAGTGTTCAATCATAAAAAAAAAAAAAAACCAAAATTGTAAAAATAAAAATAATTCAAAATATTGATGTTACACTATGATATAATGATTTGTCATTAAAAAAGGTTTTTGTGGTTTTAGCAAATCAGTGGGGATACAATGATGAATATCAATATAATATATTTATTTATTTATATTTTTTTATTCACTTTATTATTTAGTAGTAGTTAGTTGATTTACTGTTGAATTTAGTTGTTTGAGATGTGGAAATTATTGAATATTAGAAATGCAGCAACACCAACTTTTAAAGCGGTGAATTCCACATCGTCAGCAGCATCTTCTGCAGCACCTATAAATCAATCTACGACATCTTCATCGAATGTGAATAGTAATCATAATAATAATAATAGTAGTTCGATTGGTAGTACGAAATCATTGTTGCCTCTTGTTGTTGCACCAAGCTTTGTACCATCATCAGCTACCACTAAAAAGATTATCAATACAAGTCTTCTTGTTGTAAATTCAAATGACGCAACCTTGAAATCAACAATAGCTACTTCAAATACAACAACATCAACCGTTTACAACAATCAGTTTTTGGTAAACAACAATATCAATAATAGATCTTATTCCTCTGCATCTTCATCTGCTTCACAATATACAAACAATTCCCCTCCAATATTACAACAACAACAACAACAAAATCATCATCATCAACAACAACAAAACTTACATGAACAAAATCAAGCATATATACAACATAATACGAAGAGTGAAAAAGATATAAATAGCAGTAGATATAATAATGATTTCATAACAGTATCACAGATTGGTAAAGGAGGTTTTGGTGTTGTTTATAAGTGTTTATGTCTTTTAGATGAAGTGGAGTATGCCGTAAAGAAATTGGATTTCTTAAATGGAAGTAAGCAGGCGAGGAATGTATTGAAAGAAGTTAGAATAATGGCAAAGCTATCACATAAGAATATAATAAGATATCATAATTCATGGTTGGAAGCTAAATCGAATCTAGCAAACAATATTAGTATTGATAATAATCAAATAACAGATCCATCTTTATCAACCTCTTCCAGTACCGACTCACTTACAGTCAATAGTAATCATGTACTATGTTCATCGGTAGGTGACGAGATCGATTGGAATACAATAGATTCAACTACAGCTTCATTATCATCGATGTCTTCATTTAGAAGTAGTGACAATGAATATATTCTCAAACATCAGAATAATCAGTATAATCATGATAGCAGTGCAGACGTTCATTGTCAACAAAATAAATCAATAACTAATAGTGCTTCACAGTATCTATTCATTCAAATGGAGTTGTGTTCGAGTACATTGCGTGGTTGGATACAATCAAAGTCTGTCGCAACTCAATCACGTTTGTCAGAGTATAAGGAAATCATTAAACAGCTATTGAAAGGTCTATCCTATTTACATTCAAAGGGAGTGGTACATCGAGATATTACACCTGACAACTTGTTCATCGATTATTATCCAGCATCAGCTAACAGCAACAACAATAACAACAGCATGGTCAGTAAACCAAGGTTGAGTTTGAAGATTGGAGATTTTGGTCTTGCGACAACTCAAGATTCACTTAGGAAGAACGGTAAAAGAAAATCGGTTGGCACAATATTGTATAGTAGTCCAGAGCAGGAGGAAGGCATTGCCTACAATGAAAAAACAGATATATACAGTGTAGGTGCTATCTATTACGAATTGCTTTCCAACTTTAATACGACAATGGAGAGGGTAGTCTCTCTCTCGAATTTAAAAAAGTCACTCTCACTTCCTGTTTGTTTTAAGTTGCTCTATCCGATCGAATCGATATTTATCGAAAAGATGGTTCAGCATCATTCCAATCGACCTACTTCTTCTCAGCTTATAAATGATAGCATTTTAAATATAGCCTAATAATAAAATTGTAAATACATCATATAAATATAATTATAAAAATTCTAGTTTGTATCGTGATTTAATTAAAGTCCTATATTTATTGTTTGACATACTAAGAAAATAAAAAAGGATCTATATATATATATTTAATTCTGATTATTTTAATTATTTTACTTTATTATAAATAAAGATAGTTATGGATTTGGAGTGGTTTCCTCTTTAAATGCATCTATAATTTTAGTTATCGAATCCTTTTCCTTCTTATGCTTTCTAATCTTGATTACAGTAACAACTGTGGCAAAAAGGGTGAATATAAGCACAGTACCACCGACTGTGGAGATTGTAATGATAACCCATGATTTGGCAAAGATATTGTTATTGGCTCCTTTTCTCGATTTAGATTCCTCAGAGCTATCTAAAGTTTTTACCAACACACCCCAGTCTGGATCTATCAAACACTCTTTGCACTGTGGAAGATGAACACCAATTATCATTGAATCGGCAGTCAATGTCATCATCTCGATCATAGAAAATGACTTGACTCCATCTGATAATACAATGGTTAGGAAACGACTATAGAAAGTAACATCTCCATAGGAAATGTAATAGTTTACAAAAGGTTCTCCGATAGGTGTATCGCTGGTTATTGTTGGAATTAGTGAGTCTGTTTGATTGGTGGAGTTGAAGGAGGAGAAATCAAAATTCATCTTGAATATTACACGCAGGTGGCTGCTCGAGACTAAATATGGCCAACCAGTAATGTTGATAGTTGCTTTGGAGGTACCTTCATCAAAGAAGAGTTTCTGATCTGAAAAATATTGATATCCACTACTGTTAACATATTTGATATCAGATTCGATTGAAATATTATAGCCTTGTTGAAAGTAACTCTCGATGGATAAATTTCTAATGATATTGTCTTTGGAACCAATCTCTTGAATCTCAACCAAAGAGAAATTAAGCTTTCCATTTTCAATTGTAAAAGTTGCTTCTGGTTTTCTTACATTTTGACTATAGTTTGCTTTAAATACAACTAATTAAATTTAAAAGATTTTAGTATTATGTTTAAAATTATTATAAAATTTACTTACCACTCGAACAATCTATTCCTTTATATCCATCTAAACATTCACATTCTCCATTTTGATTAATTGAACCATACTTACATACAACACTATTTGTTTTTGAAGATTCAGTATTAACTAAATATTAAAGAAATATCAAGTTAATAAATGATGTGATTTATAGGCGAATAGATTGCTTAATCATACCAATATTAACAATTGAGTTGGATGTAAAATTATTGCCATTTACAGAAACAATCAGAGGAACTGTTCCAGATATTTCAGTAAGATTTTGACTACATTTAATTTGACTCTCACTGTATGATTCTATATTACAATGTTCGCCATTAATGCTCACTATTACATCATCAAGGGAACTGTTTCCAAATAATCCATTTAAAATTACAATAGTATCGTTTGATAATAAAGGACTTGCACCAGTAACAATAGGATATTCTAAAATTAAAAATAATATTAATGTTAACTGTTATTAAATCATCGTATCTATAAACATACTTAGAGGTCCACAACTGATATTAAACGCAGGATGAAGTGAATATGGTAACGAGAAATTTGCTTTATCATAATAGTTACAATATGATTCAGGAATACTTGTTCCATTATCAGTTGGTTGTCCATTTAAAATATTAATCTTTGTGGTATTCAACTCTCTGATTTTAATTGTTAGTCAGTTCAATATTTTTTGTTTAATGATTATCTTACATTTTAGAAAGATTGGTCGGAATAGTTAAATTATTGATAGGCACTGGCGAATCTATTACTCTATAAATTTATAAATTTATTAGTATTAAATTTGATTATAAAAAACAAACTAACTTACAAAGATCCATTGTTTCCTCCGAATTCAACAACAATGTTAATACCTGTGTTGTTGGTTGTATTTGGTTTATTACCAATAGTTAAACTCCTAAGAAGTAATATTAATATCTACAAAGATATTTGTTTTTGTTTAGTCTACTTACAGGTCAATAAGATTTGGAAAATTCAAAGGAGTAATGCTAACATCCAATAATCCTAATAAACCAATATTGATTGATCTACAAAAAAAGTTAATCTTTGAATAAAAAGTAAAAATAAATTTACTTACAATGATTTTAAAGAGGATGATGGTTGATTTAAATTTATATATGTCAATTGGTTTCCAGATAGATCTCTAAATAATAATATTAATATTATTTCAATAAACTAAAAGAAATAAATCATATAGTTACAATTTTTGAAGATTTTTTAATATATTATCTGGTACTGTTTGGACCAAGGTATTTCTTAAAACACTATTTTGGAATGTTAAAATCTTTTGTTATGTATCATTAAAATGGAATACTTACAGTGATTGTAACTTTGGTACTCTAGTGAGTAAATCTTGGGGAATTGTGGTAATTGTATTATCATATGAAATTCTATTTTTTATTTTCATAATAATTAATTATTTATTTTTTATTGGAATTAAATATTTTCACTTACTGAATATCTGTACATGTTTGAGAGGCTAAAAGATCAAGTATGGAGCTGCTTGGAGTTGGTGGTGCTGTGAGATTGTGTGGTGTAAAAGTAATTTGGAGTGATTGTAAATTTTGGAAATTGAGACTTAATGTGGGTGCAGAAGATGTCAAAATATTGAAATCTGATAAAGTTCTATGAAGATGGTTAGACAATTATTAAATTTATTTGATTTCTTTAATATACCGTACAATTTTATAGTTTTAACATAATTAAATCCTAAAAGAGTGGGTGTTGTACATCCTACATAATTGCAAGCATTGAATATATCGATATCCCAATCCAAATGATATCTATTGGAAATCCATTGTAGTGAATCGACTTCACTAACTGATATATATCCATTTATATAATTAATTGGTAAAATAAAAAATAAAGAAAATAATATAGTGAATGAATTCATTGTGATTATTAAATTATATGAAAGTTCTTTAAATATTTTAATTATATTTTAATAAAAAAGCATTGATTGTTATAATTTACAAATTTTATATGTATTATATATATATCGTTATAATTTACAAACTTATTTATTAAATATTAAATATGGATCATATTTAAATATTTATTCATGAGGATCAATAAATCAATCAACAATTGTTAAAATAAATACATTTAAGTATATAATATCAATCTGAGTGGATATTGAGCTTGAGTATCATAATCAGGGTATAGTTCTCCAAAAATTGATTGACAGTAAATCTACATACTACTTTTTTTATACCTCTCTTTATTTTACAAAAAAAAAAAAGTAATACAATAATAAATAGAATTGTCTTTTTGATTGAAAAGTGTTGTGTGAGTGTGTGGTATAAATTATTGTGAAGTAGTACACATTGACTTTTTATTTAATTGCTCTACATTTAAAATGAGATGACCACCCTATCTGTTTATTATGACGATGTCTAAAAATCAAAATTTTTGATCACACTGCCATCGATAGAGGGTTTGATAGGATAGTGGTAGGGTTATAGAATTTATTAGTTAGCTGTTAATTTGATGATCATCTGTGGCTTTTAGTACAAGTGATGTTTTATGTGTCAAATGGGGACATAGTGTGTTTGTATGTGTGTGTGTGTGTGGTGTCTGTTGTTTGATATAGATTTAAAACATGCCAAGCAACAAAGTGTTTTTTTTTGTCCAAAGTTAAGTTAAGAATCAATTGATTGATAACTGTAAAGATAGATACTAAGAGTACATCATTATCAATAAAGTGGTTACAAAGTGGTGTGAAGGTTGCTACTATTCCCTACAATTGACACAAGCTGTGTTGATCTATTTTTTGTTTTAATTTTATCTTATTTTAATTTGAATGCTCAAGAACACTTATCTTGAGAGATATAAGAAAGAGTGTCAGAAACAATAGTGTCAACATATAAATATGGGTTAAACAAGTGGCCAATGTCGTTTTAAAGAATGCAGGACTTTCTGCAGAACAACACTTTTGTTCCCTCATATCTATATTTCAAACAAAATTTCACTCTAATATATCGAAAATATTAATAGAAACAACGACAAGATAATCGATTGATGGTATCTGTGATAAGTGTTCTTGCACCTGAGCATTCAAATAAAAAATAATAGTAAAAAATGATCATCAGATTAGTTGGATCACCAACCATTCATTTAAAGTTAGAATTTTTTAAAAAAAATTTCAAAAATTAAAAAGGAAATAATCTTTTTATAATAATATTTATTTAAGTACTCTTATTGTCAATGTATGGAAAATACAAAGAAATCTAGTAATAGTCATGACGCTACTACTACCACCGAGAGTAAAATAAATATCAATGATGACATCAAAGAAAAGTACGATGTTTTATCGGAACAATTCGACTGTCTTTTGGCACTTAACAATCCACACAAAGTAGTGTTACCGTATCCCAAAGCATTGCCTCTTGACAATCTATACAAGGCGAGAGTACTATTGCCTCCTAGCGACCCAAACTATGTAGCAATCAAGACATCTACCTCATCTACAAAGCAAGCCATTACAAGTAAAGTTAAACCTGATGTCATCAATAATTCGTCTTCCAGCTTACCAAAGACAACAGTTGTTTCAACTCAATCTCTCACTTCAACTCCTACCCCCACTCCTACTCTTTCTTCCCCACCTATTCCTAATAGTATTACACAACCTTTTGCCTCTCAATTTTTTGATATTGAATCAATAACAAATAATATTCTATCATTAACATCAAATATATCGGCATCTACTACTCAGAATGTTTCTAATTCAATATTATCAACAACAACAACAACAACAATATCATCATCGTCATCATCAGTGGAAGAACTAAAGAAAAGTAGTATCAAGAAGACGGAAAGAGAGAGTCACAAGGTTTTCGATAATATTGCTAAGAGGTTCACAGATGGTCCACTATCGCTGTTGAAAAGAGCATTAGAAGGCAGAAAGAGAATCAAAGCTGTTATCAGAGGTTTAAGAGGAATAAGAGGCTGCTGTATTGGTTACATTATGGCATTTGACAAACATTACAACATAATTCTAACTGATGTAGAGGAAGAAATCATTCGAAAGGTTTACAACAATCACGATACATCAATAAATGATAAACTTAACAAAGTAGACGAAGAACAAGAAGAATATGATCCAACTAAACCTAGTATTCCACCAACAACAACAACAACAACAACATCCTACAATCGTATTAAACCAACAATAACCAAAGATAAAAGATACTATGGCCAATTATTTATCAAAGGAAATACTATTGTTTCAATATGCTTATTATGATTAACTAATTATATAAATAAATATAAACAATTGATCAATTATATCTATATTTCTCGACTTGTTGCTTGTTTTCATTCTTATTAACTATAATTACATCATAACCACTAAACTATATTCCTATACAATAAATGGTGTTTTATCTTGATTTATTATTTCTTTATATTATTATATTACTACTATATTATTAATTAAAACAATAATACAACACCCATAATGATACATGCAACAGATACCCATGGACTCAATCTTTCACCAATACGTGCAGCCTTCCAAGGTAAACCTGATATACTGTTAAATGATAATACTAATGTAAGGATAATGATACAATTGTGTGGTCACTATTAATGTTGATCGATATTTACCTATGTCTATCTCTAACCTCTAATAACTTTGGATATGAACTTCTAATATAGGTGCATGTGCAAATAAACAGTAAAATTACAACCAAAAGACTTTGAAAATTGAATATAGCTGACTGTTTTAATTTAATAATCTTGTTAGTTGATCAACTTTGTATATTTATTCAACCAATAACATCTATTTATTACCATTTTTGATTTGTACTTATTATATAATAAGATGAATAAATTACTACTTTTTTTTTTTTAAACTTTTTTTTTTTTTTTTTTTTTCAATTTCATTAAAATGACTCAATAAGTAGTTTCAATTTTTCAATATGTTTTATTTAAAGAGTTTGGTTGATAGTGCTTTATTGTAGTAGTCCAATGAATATTATCGGATTTTGATTTAGTTGTTTAATACTATGTTGTGATTGTGATTATAATACATTCTCGACAGAAGTGTTATTTTCTGATGTATCGTTAGTTGACTTTACACTATTACTATTACTATTTTCATCATCAGCACTACTGTTGTTATTGTTGTTGTTATCATTATTATTATTATTGTTATTATTGTTGTTATCGTTGGTGGTGTTATTATCGTTAGTGATGTTGCTATTTAAATTATTATTATTGTTATTATTATTATTTTTATTATTATTGATAATGATAGATCCAAAGTATGTTACATCTTTATCTTTATCCTTTTGTAATTTCTCAAGAGATTCAATAAGCTGTACATTTTTTGCGAATACCTCTTTGGTGGCAATCTTTGTAGCCAATACCTCTGCAGTCACCAAACGTACATTGGGGACTGGATCGTCTGCCAATCGAAGTAGCAAAGGTAGGAAGTGTGCTTCGAAATAATGTAAATCAATTTGGTCAACTAAATAATAACATATTCTTGTATATCTATATTGTTGTAAATGTTTAAATATATTAGTAACAGCTATTTATGCGCTAAATCATTATGAATTACAATGACATACATTTGTCTTGATGCATAAGTTTGATCGGTTGCAAATGATTTCAACTTTTCCAAGATATCATCGGACATCTTTGATATATCGTCAGCATCGACGGTGGTACCATCAGATTTTGTTGGTTGATTCTGAATCTTAGTGATTAAACTACCGACACCACTTGCAGCATAGTTTCTTACTTTACTGACTGGATCGGTCAACAATTCGATTAAAATCGGTGTAATATTTGTGAGTATAGTTTCAAGCTTGAACAATTCACATATTTTTCCTAGTTGTCTGCAGATACAGATAAAAGTGTTAGTAAGCAGCTGCTGATGGTGTCGACTCGATATTTTATGAATGTATCTCTCACACATACTTTGAAATTAATTTTCTAAATCTCCACTTGTTTGGATCTAAAATGAATTTGAGTGTAGTGATATACTCTTCTCTGAGAGATGGTTCGATAGACTCTAGAAACTCTGCGAAATGTCTGATAACACCGACCTTGACTTCCTCTAGATCCTGTAAGAATAAGTTAAATGTTGCCAAAAGTGAACGCTTTGTCTCTGCTGGTCCAAGAATTTTAGCGATTTCATGAAGTGAATGAGATAATGATCTTCTAACTTTCCACTATATTTAGTTTTTATAGAGTAAAATGAGTATATTACAAATAAATAGGCATTTGATATCATGATTTAGATCATTACATTTGTATCATTAACTAAACTGAAATAGGTCTCTGATAACTCTGACCAACGTGAACTACCAACGGTATATAAGACAGCAGGGAAATTGAATGCACAGTGTGTAACGAGGTCACTATCAGGGAATCTGATGCTGGCAGGCAAGATCATCTCTGTAAAGTATCTCAACAACTTTGGTGTTACCTGTGAACCGTCGAATGTAGCAATGAATGGTCCCAAGTTTTGGAATGCTGTACCATTAACCCATCTAGATGGCTATAAATAATATCGGATATAATTATTATTATTATTATTATTATTAGTAAACAACAAACGAACAATAATTATTGTTTCTTAATAAATAAGAAATTCATGAAGATATTTAGATAGATAGGATAGAAAGACACATACATCTTCAACAACAAACTGCTCGAAAACCTGAATTAACTTTGAATATCTTTCAATTGGCGATACATTCTGTGAAACTGATACCAAAACCTCAGCACATCCTTTTCTGACTGACCAAATTTCATCTTTTGATAGATCTACAAATATTGGTAACTGAGAAGTAATTCAATTAGTCTATATTTAACAGTGATACAATGTATGTTCGATTTTCGTTACTTACAATATGCTCGGTAGTTGCAGCAACTCCGATGGTTTCGCAAATGTTACCAAGATTACCAGCGATTGCTTTTCTAACTCTAAATGATGGATCACACGCCAACTTTGAAACGAATGGTAAGAATATCTGTTGAGTTAACGGAGTACCAAATATTGGTGCTAAATTATGACATAACTAAAGAGTGTATTGATAATTGATGATTAGTATAACTTTTTTTTATAAATAGATGTGTGCGCGATTAGTTTTTTACATTTGCAGCTTGAACACGATGTTCTTCTTCAGTAGAGTCATTCACTAGACTTCTAACGAATGGAATGAGATGTAATTCGAGATCCTCGTGTTTGATCAATCTGGCCATCTCTTGGAGTGACTCGATTGCTGACATTCTCACTTGGGGATTTCGATCGGTGGTCAGTTGTGCCACGATCGGCAAGAGTAGGGTCAAGAGTTTGGAGTAACCATGCTCAACACCTATGTCAATGAATGTTTTGGCAATCAGTGGAATCTGTTCGACCAATGCCTGTCTGATGACGGGTTCCTGATCGGTAACCACTGATTCTACAATAGGTAAAAATACATCGTCCAATACCTTGTAAGTTTCTACCTTTAATAACTCTGAAAACTCTCTAACTACATATAATCTGATATTAAAGTAGTATTACAATATATATATATATATATTAATAAATATATCTCTCTGGACAATCAATCTATCAAGTAGATTATTGCAATCCTTATGTAATTAATGTGTGTGGTCAAAAGAGTAACATACCTATGCAAGACAACGTCACTCTTTATATACTTTTGTATCTTGGCAAGGATTGGTAATGTATCATCTATATCAAACTCTTCACCTTCATCTAAATATTATTTGTTTAATATTAAAATTGGTTAAAATCATTGAATTAACTAGTTGATTGATGATCGATTGTAATATGATGATAACATACTCTCACTTCCATAATTATCAGAGTTTCTACCACTATCGTCAGAATAACCTATAAAATCTTTGATGAGAGATGGAATGTATTGTAACATTTATAAATGATTAATATCTGATTTTGTTCAAAACAATGTCTTTTGTAAATGAATAACAATATTATAAACAATTGTTTGTTTCCAAGCAAACTGTACTTTAATTAAACTGTATTAAACAAGAAAATATTTATATATATATATATTTATAGTTTTATATATATTTATAAATAAAGCTTAAAAAAGTAAATTTTAAAGTTTGTATTATAATGTAAAGTGTGATTATTTTTATGTAGGTGTGTGTTGTGTGTGGTAAGCACAAACAGACAGACAGACAGACAGACAGTCCTTAATGAATATTAATCACATATTTGTTTGTTTGTTTGTGTTATTTATTTATTTTTTTTATAAAATCGTGGTGCTATTGTTGATATTGATATTATTGTTATTGAAACTATATAATTTAATCTATCTATTTATTAAAACTCTACTACTAATTAATTAATAATATTTATTTGATATAAATAGGTATATTAATATATATATGAATTACTATTATTGTTAATATTATTGAATTCATTGATTCCAATGATTGACAACCAAGTGAAATTTAAATCTCACTGAACACAATTAATTTAAGATTAAGTTGAATGAAATTTGATGATTGATGTATTGAACTTTTAAAGAAGTGATCACTCTTGAAATAAGATAAGATTGATCGCGGTAACAATTCAATGTTGTATTGGTAAATTACCTGACATTCTATTACTTCCTTCTTCTAAAAAAATAATATGAAATCTGCTATCTCTGTATTGTAATAGGAGTATTCAAATGACACCAAAAAAAAAATATTTAAAATAAATTAAAAAAAAAGGATGTGTTTTTTTTTGTTTTTTTTTTGATTATATATTTTTTTTTTTGATAAAAACCCAAAAAAAAAAAAACAGATATTTTTAATTAAATAAAGATAAACAAACATTGATGATCTGAAATCGTGTTAAAAAGTTTTATTATTTCAATATTCTGTATTTTTGTATCTCTCTGTATTTTATTTTAAATTTATTTAGCAAGAATTTCGATGGTAATCAATTGTCCATTGAGTGTGGAAGTAGTTGGTGTAATATTGATGGTGTTGGTTGATGGTGATGAAATTTGGGCACTTCCAGTTGTAATGCTGGCAGTGTAACCATTTGGATAGTGCATAGCCTCGTTCAAATAAATAATAGTTGGTTGAGTAATTGACTAATAATTATATATAAAATAAAAATAAATATCATGATATTAGTAAAATGAAGTTCTTCTTCTTCTTCTTCTTCTTCTTCTTCTTCAAAACAATTATAACTTACAGTATCGATTTCATAACTAAATGTGAATGATGCGGTTTGAATATCGAATGTCATTTTTTGTGGGGAACCAGCAATTGCTTGTGCGTAGGTTCTGGACAAGGTCCTGACCTTGATGACGTCGAGTGATCCATCGGCGAGATAGAGTGATTCGGTTGGTCCAGAGGTGGTCAAATCGTTGTAGAATTTGAATTGCCAGTAGCACCATGATTGGAAGTAGTTGTCGGCTTCGTTCATCATGTAGGTGATGGTGTCCATTGCGTTGGTGGTGTTTGAGATGGCACCGAATTCAGTCATGAATCCACCACCACCGGTTCTTCTCAAGTCGGTCATTGCACCGTCGAGGAACACCTTGTTCTCACTGTCACACAAACCAACGTGTCTTGGATTACCACCGACATTACCACAGTAGATGTGATAACTGAGAATCTGACGATCGTTGTACTCGATACCACCTGGTGTACCAGCTGGGAACTTTGAGTCATAGAGATCGACCAAACTCTTCTCATAGAAAATAGCGTGTCTCTGGTCGATCTCTCTGATTGCCTCATTTACATTTTGATACAATGGCATTAAATTAACTCTGTCGGCATGACCTAAATCAACCAAAAGCTCTGGGTACTTGTAAATGTTACCTCCCCACTGAAAAAAATGATGATGCAAAATGTATATTAATATCCGGAATTACAAGATTATAATATAATAGTTAAATTATATTCTTACTGGTTCATTGATGATTTCATAACCGAGAACGGTTGAGACATTTTGGAAAGTTTTGGCCAATTGTTGCCAGTATTTAAGGAATCTATTTTATAAAGATAAAGACAACAATTCAATCAGTAATCTTTGATCCTAATTCAATTTCCTCTATATAACATACTCATCTTGAATACCCTCGGCATTGTCGTATAAACTTTGGAAAGTGGCTCCAACAGCATCGGAGAAATAATAAGTAGCAAATTCTTTCTATAATATTATAATTGTTGTTATGGAAATTGTTAGATTGCTTATTCAAATCGGTCGGTTCGATGATGATGATGATGATGTCAATTCTAATTTCTAAATATTTACATCTAAACATAAGCTCAAGTCTGGATATAAGGTTTCGTTGTCAACTGGATATTTATGTAAGACAGCTGGCTCTGGGAATGATAAAGTGCTCTCTGGTAAAACGACAGCCCAATCTGGGATACCTTCACCACAGAATCTTCTATTGATAATATCTTGATGGAAATCTAGATTGTTTTAGTTTTAGTTATTTTTTTGTTTTTGGTTTAAGCAAAAGTAGGTAAATAAGTAAATGATATTCCCGAATTGAGATTGCGATAAAAGCTAGCTAAACAAAGAAACATTACCAATGATTGTGTGAATACCGGCGGAACCCAATTGATTGACCATGTTATAGATGACCTCGAGATAGGTTTGGTTGAATACACCTCTCTCTGGTTCGACACCTGGCCACATTGCACCGAAACGGACGGCGTTGAAACCCCAGGCAACCATATTATCGATATCCTCCTGTACCAATGAGTTTTGTGGGTCAAACTTGTCGGTCAATGGATGCCATGGGAAAATCTTGTATACTACATTGACACCGTGGAATACACGTACACGACCATACTCATCCATCAAGTGTTGAGTGGTAGTGTTTACATTAATGAATGCATTGTTCACTCCGACATACAAACTAAAACATAATAAAACAAACAATGAATTTAATATTATTTTCATTCTTGTTTTTATATATCTATTTCTCTTAGAGTTATAAAACTAGATATAATATATATATATATAATAATAAAAATATAAATGTAACCTTAAGAGTTAACTGATAAAACGTAATAATGAAAAATAAATGTGGTGTATTGAATATTAAATTTTAAAAAGATAGATTTTTTGCAATAAAAAATTAGTGCAAAAAAACAATAAAATTTCGGGTCTTGAAAAAATACCAATGAAATGACCAGAGAAAAAACAGATTCTTTCACTAAACAGGAGGTTTTTGAAGTAATACCGAGAGATATTTTAGCATTGAAAAAAATTGTAAAACCATTTAATTTTTGAAATTTCTTTTTCTTTTTACATTTTTGTTGATGTACTTGATCTCACCATATTATTATTTGAAGTCGATTTCTACCATTTTTTATAAAAATAGTAATAAATGTTGTTGTGATTACAGAAAGATTATTGGGAAAGCTGTGAATAATCAATAGAATTTATAGTTTGTAATTAATAAGGGCTCGACTTTAATCAAAAAATAAAAATAGAAATTTAAAATGGTTCAAATTTGTTATTTAATTAATTATAATCATCAAATTCTAGTTAAAAAATCTCTTTGAAGTTTGATACTTGGAATGTTGCTGGTGTTGTGACTGTTGCAATCAAAACTAGTTATGACCGATTCTCAATGTTTGTAGATCCTTTCAAGTTGGACATGGTATAGCTCATTGTGACAACTTGTTAGCTATATCATTGTTTGGGGTAATTCTCAATGATCTTTATGTAAAGAGGGTTCGTAGTTGTAATATTGTTACTCACCTTAATGAACGACACTAATTTAGATGCATCAAGTACTTATTCATGATCAAGTGATGGTTTCTAAACAAATATACCACACCGAAACATAATAATTATACAATAGCTGAAAATCGCAATAATTTATTCTTATTGTGGTGTAAAGTGATCACATATGGTTTATATGTGTAATTATTTGTGAAATCTATTATTATTACTATTTAACCAGAGAGTCGGGAGAGTGGGAAGTGAAGTGGAGAAATCAAACCCATGTTGATAACCTCTGGACTCTTGGAAGTGAGCTTCTTATCCAATAGATTCTTAATTAGGTTGCTAGTGCCTGTACCCACAAAGAATGATTGCTCAGTCAACTTTTGATAGTGTGGTTCCACTGCCTGTACTTGTGTCTTTACAAACTCTTCCGATGAAGCTTCAATTGGGAACTTCTTCTCGATGATCGCCAAATTCAATGCATTGATAACGGCATCCGGTGAATTGGATATTTCCATCACATCAAAAATGTCTTTAGCATTCTTTAATGTGTTTCTTGCTTTATCATATGCATTTTCTTTAATAGTAATAGTAGTAGTAGTATAAAAATAAATAATGTGTTGATGATAATTAATATTAGTAAGTTTTATGATAATATAAATAACATAACATATAACATACCTGCATAATGGAAATGGCCACATTCAACTAAGATCTTTGCCCAATCTAGATGTCTTGGTTTCTTTCCGTACTTTTCAGCTTTGTTCTCCAACTTACGAAGTGCAGAGATTGCCTCTGACAATAGTAATCTACCAGATTTAATATCGCCATCCAATCTCAGTACTTGTGCTCTATTTGCCAAACATCTAACCAAATCTATATTGTTGTCCTCTCGCTTATTGATGAGCTGATAATGAGCTTTGCCATGATAGAAGCTAGCCTGTGCATATTCTTTTCTATTCTTATAGTATTCACCGAAATTCGTTAAAATCGATGAACTAAGTTGTGTACTATCATAATAATAATAAAACAATAAAAAATGTTAGTTATGAACTTTGTTCTTTTTTTTTTCATTAACAGATTAATCAATCACACATTTGTGTATTATCACTTCATATACATACATATCTTCATTTGAAGTCAATTTCTCAGCATTCTGAAGTGCTTCATAGGCATCTTCAGATTTCTTTTGTCTAACAAGAGACAAACCGAGATCGTTGAGTGCCTCTGGTAAAATATAATTCTAAACAATAAAATTATCAAAAAAGAAGCGTTAGTATAACACTTTTAATTTATTCAATTCAATATTGTTAATATAACATAACAACGACTTACTTTATATACAATATTTTCTACATTTTTACATCGATCAATAGCTAAATTAAAAAGGGTAGTTCCACTTTTAAAGTCACCTTTTCTAATTGATGCCAATCCGAGTGCGTGTGTGGGAACTGCAAAAAGTGATGATGAAAAATCTACGTCGCTAATGATGATTGACAATGATGATTATTAATTAGTTGGTTGGTTGTATTTACTATGATGATGATGATTAATCATTGTACTTACTTGTTTAATGTTTTAAAACCGTTTAATATTAACTTTTCGCCTTGTGCAAAGTTACCTCTTTCGAGATGCTCTCTGCCTTGGTAGACAGAGTGCAACGATGACAACATCACCTGTTTGATATTGAACTTCTCATTACTGGTCAACGCTTTTCCCAAATAGTCGGTTATCGATTTCGAATTTACATGATGATGATGTGATTGTCTTGCTTTCTTATTGATACTTGATGTCGATGTATTGTTTGTTGTTGTAGAATAATAGTTTCCTCTCACCAAACTGCCAGCATTACTTGATATTCCACCAATATAAGCAACTCTATTATATTTTATCAAATTTGATACTTGATACATTATTCTTATAAATATATATATATAAACAAAAAAAACCAAACAAACAAAATAAAACAAAGCAATCTATTAATCTATACCAAAGAAAATTTAAAATGTTATTCCTATAAATGAGAGAGAGAGAGAGAGTAGTAGTTGTTGTTATTTCTTTTTTAAACTAAAAATAATATTGTATTATATATAAAAAAATCTATCTATTTACAAAAAAATAAAAATAAAAATAATAAAAAATAATAATGCTAATAAAAAATTGAATGTATACAATTGAAGTATCTAATAAATATATATATGTCTAAAATGATTATGTTAAATTGAATGGGGTAATTATATAAACAAAAACTATCTTGTTCTTGTGCGAAATGGAAAAGAAAATAAATTATTTTTTTTAAAAAAATTGCATCTTATTTTTTTTTTTTTCATTTTCCAATTTGAAAAATGGGGGTGTTTACTTCGTTTTTCTTTGTGATTTCAGTGTGTGTGATATCAGTTTTTGATTATTGATTAAATAGTAGAAATAGAGTGATCGATCACTTGATCTTTAATTTAGTTCATATCGTCTTTATATATATATATATAGTCATCAGTCATACAGCATAGAAATGAATAGATTTATTAATGTAGTTGGTAGATCTGCTTTGAACAGAGGAATCATCGGTGGTGTAAGACCATCTTCATTGTTGTCGTCTTCGTCATTGGTATCATCAGTACAATCATCAACTACAGGTATCACAACACTTCTTCCAAACTTGGCAAACGAATCACTTTCATATCAAACACGTAACATTTGGGTATTCGGTAAAGACGCTGTATCAAAAGACTATGTTGATCCAAACGCTCCAACGTATGTTACATTACAATAATAATAACATCAACAACAACAACAAACAACAACAAACAACAACAAACAACAACAAACAACAACAACAAACAACAATACAATAGTTATATAGTAAAGTACAATGTTACAGATTACAAATATTAACAATGTTATTTTTAATATAAAACAAACAGTACATATCAAATAAAGACTATCTATGGAATGGATAGAGTTGTAAAGGGCAGAGCAGGTGTAAAGAGATTGAGATTCAATGGATATGTACCAGCAACTATTACCGGTGGTGGATTACCATTGAGAAACATCGTTGTAGAATGGGGTAGAATCTATGGTTTAACAAAGACTTCAAATTTTTACAAGAACAGAAAATATGTACTCGTATGTATTATATGTAAATGAATGTAGATTACCATTAAAGAATATTAGTATTAATATATTTATTATATTTGTTATTATTGTTATTTAGAATATGAATGAAAACGAAAAAGTAGTTGTTAGATTAGCACATGTCGAAGCACATGCAGTTTCTGAGCGTGCATTGTTTATTAAATTCGTTAGAACCAACGATGATCCAGCTACCATCGAATCAGATACACTCCCACACATCACATACCAACAAGCATTAGATAAGATTAAACAAGAAAGAATTCAAAAGAAGAGAGATTTCCAACAACTATTAAAGATCGATCTTACCTTTAAGCCTGCAATTCGTAAATCTGCTACTGCTTGATAATTAATCCTATCAAAAAAAAAAAAAAAAGAAGAAAAAAAGAAATAAATTATAATAATAAAAGATACTATATATACCTCAAAAAACAACAACAACAATAATAATAATAACATAACTCTACTAATTAATTAAAGATTATAATTGGTATATTTGTTAAAACTATTTTTAATTAAAAATGTAGTTTTGTAATGATGATTGATGATTTAATTGATTACAATATTATTGTAATTTAATAAAGATATCTGTAAGGAGATCGGCTGGTGCAGTGTCTGTACAATCGTTTAGGTAGTGTTCATAGGCATGGTAGTCTGGAACTGCTGTTCTCTTGTTTTGTGGCAGCCATTGTGTATAGATAAAGTCGTAGGCAGCTGATAGCCCTGTGTATGGCCCGATATAATGTACCACAGCATATTCTCCAGCTTCCCATGTAATTTGTTGTCCTCCAGCTTCCTCCATCTTGGAGCGGAGTGATTCCAACACCTCTTTGGAGACGGTAACAGCTGCAGCAGAACGCAATTCGGCAGCTGGTTTCTTGGCGGGATCATCATAGTAAACACCGACCCATTTGTTATATTTGAATACGTTTTCCTTGGTGAACTTGCCTAGTCGTCCAAAAGAGGCAGCAGCGGTCTCGCTAAAGTAAGCTCCGTTGGTAAAGAATGCGATAGCATCAATTTGTTCAAGTGTGACAATATCAACTTTAAATTCTGGTAATGATTGCATGTATATTTAAATAGGTTTGTAAGGGTTTTAAAATTAGAGAGAAATAAAAATGAGGTGTTGATTTGAGACCTGATCATAACTCTTATAACCATATCACTTACCACTTTCCAAGAAAATAAAAATTTACCTTGAAAAATTTCAATTATTCCCAACTTGTCTGTCAGGTTTTTTGGACGAAATGAAGTTTTTAAGATCAATCAAATAAGCATGGAATTGATGGGTGGAAATCGAATCAATTTGTTTTTATTTTATTTTTTTTTAAAATAGGTAATTTTATTTTATTTTTTTATTTTAATGTCAAACATAATAAAATTTTATTCATTCTATTGTTGACAATAAAAAAAAAAGGTAAGAATTATACAAACAGGGAGGAAGGAAGGAGGGAGTAACTAAATCGTTTTTAATATATAGTTTCAGGTCTTGATTTTAGTTATTGGTATATAGGTTGGTAGGTTTGGATTTGTGTAATAAAATAACAGTTTAGGGATTGGGATGTGGTGTATATTGTCTGTTTATAATATAAATAACAGTTGTTGTTGTAATTATTCTTTTTTTTTTTTTTTTTTTTTATACTATATATATTTAAAACAAAAATATTATTTATATTTTTTTTTTGGATGTTTTGTTGTTATCTTGTTGTTATTATATTAATGATATATGCGATAGGTAGTATAAATAATAGAGTAGTTGTTGGAAGGTTCTAGTTGAAATAACAAGTTTAAAATAATATGGTGGGTGTGTGGGTGCGTATATAATAGATATATATTATTATATTACTGTGATGGATATTGTCCAATCATTGAATGTGGATAGGTGTATTGTGTTGGTGAAGCAGGAGATGAAGAGGCGCTGCCATTTAGCGGGTATCCTCTTGAGTTGTTCATTGTCGTAGGATAGTATCCACCCAAAGTGTTGATGATGTGGCCATTCTGATACCCGCTGTTATAACCATTGATCATATCCATATTCTGGGAGTTTATATAGTTTCCTTTCTGATCCTTCGACATTCCTCCAAGTGATCTTCTGTCCTCTTTCTCTTGATCGTTGTTGGAGCCGTATAGCGAATCGTTGTAGGCTGCCATCAAGAGCGAGTCAGAATATTGTTGTTGGAGTTGGTTGGCTTGTTGTTGTTGAACTTGTTGTTGGACTTGTTGTTGCAATTGTTGTTGGTGTTGTTGTTGTTGAGATATCGACGACTGTCCCATCCTTGGTGGGGTGGTTGCTACTTGTAGAGATACAGGTGTGGTAGTGTTATTGGCGTTGCTATTGTTTGCGGATGAGATTAAGGGTGGTGATGTTGGTGCATCTGGAGTGTTCAGACACGATTGTATAAGATTCTTTCCTTCGGGACGAGTGATGAGTGGTTGCAACTTCGATGTTGCGAATGTATATACGTGTCCAGTCTCAGAGGCGACCAGGAGTAGCACTTGAGTGCCAGTGAGTGTGCTGAGCTCGTAGGCTTTCTTCATGATACCGGCCTTTCTCTTTGAGAAAGTTATATGTCTTCTGCTCTTGTCGTCGATGAACTCAATCTTTATCTTTCTTCTTCCGGCCTTCTTTGGGGTGTCGTTGCTTGGCGAGGTTGGTTCGCTCTCGTCGTCCTTCTTTATGAGTGGATCCTCCATTGATGTTGGGGTCAACGAAGAGGGAGTCGATGTTGGTGATGATGGGTGTGTCGAGTAGTTTTGCATAATTCCGTTAGAGTTGATTGGAGCCATGTTGTGACTCATTTTGTTGTGTTTAACTAGAATTTAAAAATAATTTATAGATACTGGTTGAATATTTTGGTTGTTGTGTGGTGGTTATTTTGTAAAGAATATGCGATGTTGTTAAAATAAAAATTAAAAAAACAATTATTAATAGATAATAATAGACTATTAATTTCAAATTATAATAATTGTTTAGATTAAAATATAAATAAATAAAATTAAAAATAATTAATTATTTTTAGTTTGGAAAAAGTGGGAAATAGAAAAAAAAAAAAAATAAAATTAATTAGTATTATTGATTTTCATTGGGTTAAAGATAGAGTGATGTTGTAAAAATAAGTAATTTAATATTGTTGTGTTGAATTGTTAATTGATGTTGTTGTTTGTTTTTTTTTAAAAATAAAAAAAGGTGGGAAAGTAAAAAAATATAATATTTACCTTTTCAGTTATTCTTTGCTTTATTTTTTTTTTTGATCTAATTTATAGGGATGATATTTAAAACTAATAAAAAAAAAAAATTAAAATTTGTTAGGAATTGATATGATATTATAACAATGATTATATTTGAAAATTTTGATTCCTTTGTGGGAAAATATTTTTTAGATTTGATAAGTAAAATTACAAAAAATTAAAACTAATTCTTTTTTTCGTCAGATAATTTAAGTTTTAATTAAATAAATAAATAGTGATGTGATGTAGATTAATAATACAAATTGGAATTGAATTTTAATAAATAAAACAATTTTTTGTTGTTTTTGAACCCAAGCAAAACAATTTTGTTGGAAGTTTATGATTTTGATTTTTTTGGTTTTGGAATTTGAATTTAAGAAGATAAAACAAAACCTTTGACTATAAAATTGTGATAAACAAAATAAGTTAAAACAAATTAAACAAATTAAATAGACACGGTGGTACTACTCCTACTAGTAGGTGTTTTGGTTGTTGATTTTTGAATTTTATTTTTTGTTGTAGCAGCTTGCATATAACAACAAAACTGGATTGATTGAACACCAACCACAAAACAAGTGCAATAGTAGACAAATACCTCTCTCTCTTTCACAATTTTGTTTTTTTTTTTTTTATATTTACTTTTAAAGAGATGAAACGATAGAGACTATGTATAGGTTTTATCCATATGTATACATAGTAATAACATTTAAAAAAAAAACAATATAGAAGCAATATAACAAACCACCACACCACGAATTGAAATGTGTTATATGATAATGTGGTTTTGGTGTGTCATATGATATATGTGTTTGTGTGTTGTTATTATAACTATTAAAAGTGAATCAACTCACAATAGTTATTTTCATTATCTGAAGGATTATAAATAAAAATTGTAGGATTTTGTATGAAAAAGTGGATGGTATTCACTTTTTTTTTTTTTTTTTTAATTTTATCAGCTGAAAAAATGAACAGTAGCTAGATAGATAGATGATGGATAATTGAATGTGTGATAAGGACATACACCAAATGTGTTAAAAGACTAAGAATTGAGAGAAGGGGGTAGTTGCTGTTAGTGTGGTGGTAGTGGTTTTGGATGTGTTGCTGTTGGTGTTGTTAGTTGTGAAGAGGGAAGTAAGTGATAGATGATATTGGGTTGTGTTGAATTCATTAATTGAGTAGTTAAATGGTAATGGAAACCAAATCATTTATATAAAAGAGGATATATTGAGGGAGTTGTTGTTTTGCTACTTTCAATTAATTTTATTGCTGCTACTTAACAGTAGTAAAAAAACAACATCTAACAAAAATTGAATTTTCATATGGTAGGTAGTTGGTGAAGGTTGTAGTTGAGTAGAGCAGGTGATGTGAATTCAAAACTAATAGGAGTAGTTGATGGTAATATTTAAATCTAACAAAAAATTAAAGAAAACAAAATTTGAGATTGATAGATTGGCAGACATTCACACGCCAATTGTTTGAAAAGATATAGTGTTAATTGTTACTATTGATAATAATAAATGGTGGTGATGATGATGTGATATAGATATGATATTAATGATTATGGTGATTAATATTTTTTTATAAATAAATGACTATAAACTTTGAACTAACAAAAAAACAGTTATTAATTGACATTACTTGGCTAACAAAGTATAAAGTATAATTAGTAGAATGATGATATTTTAAATTTATACCCAAAGGATTTGTGATGAGGAATTGAATAGTTTTGAAAGATTAAAATATACATTTAGTTATTTTTAAGATTGGCTGTAATTATTGTTAACTTTTATATCGTGGAGAGTCATTAACTATTTTGAAGTTTGAAGCTAACTATTTAAAGCTTAAAGGTGATGATCGATAAATGAATTATATAGTAATGTTTGAGCCGGTAATATATATAATGGATGATCAATAGTGGTTTTGGTAATAATAGGATTGTTGCTTTTGATGATTGTTTCTATCAATGTTGTTTTATTTTTCTGAATTAACATACATTTATCAGCTGATAATTTTTATGAAAAATAATTGAGTTGATAATTAAAATGTGTTTTCCTTTAGTTGGAAGTGATATTCAAGAGGGAGGTGATCTGATATTGTATAGGGTGGAATGTTAGAGTGCTAACTACAAAGTACTCAACAACAAATAAAAAAATGATTGTAAAAATACAACTTTTCATTATATGTTTGCAATCAACAAAAAAAAAAAAAACACTTTTTATGAAAATAATAAGTAGTACTTTTACTATTTAAGGTGGTAGCAGAGAATGATAATATTTGAATGGAATGGTTTGGTGTGAGGTGTATTAATCTCTTATTGAATGATATCTGTGACAACAAAGTGAGTTTATTTAGGAAAATATCCATTTCAACAATTCTATTTAAAATTTTAAAGATTTAATATGATAGATAAAGATAAATCATAAAAAAAGTAAATCAAAAAAAAAAAAAAAAAAAAAAGCAAACACACAAATATTGTTTTTTTGGTGTGTAAATATGTGATGAAGTGATAAGTGTTGTTGGTAATTATTGATTTTTGTTTTGAAGGATGGTGAGTTTGAATTTGAGCTGTGTGGTGATTTGAAATTGGTGATATTGAAGATATAAGATTGAAGAAAAAAATATTGTGTTGTTTTACATCTCAACTACCGGCTACTTATAATAATTGAAATGATTTAATTCATATCATAGATTTAGAAAAAGTGTTGCAAAATATAGTGTATCTGTGTGGGAGAGCTGGTAGTGAAGGTAATATTATTTTATCTCACCCATTGGTAGTGCATATTCAGATTGTTAATAAGTGCACTTATGGTAGAATATAAAAAATTGTGTAGTTGAAGAGATACTTCATTGGATGGTCAATAAAATGTGTTTTCATCCTATCACAACATTATTTATACTTGAAAATAAAATAACACCAACAATATCACAAACTAACATTTGCCAGTTTAGGCAATTGTTGTAAATGGCAATAATGGTGGATTTAAACAATATCCTTATTTTTTGAAAATATTTCTTTGGATAGCCACACTTAAATCTATATTAACAATAATATATATGGAAGAGAGCATATCTGTTGATTTGATTTTAATAAATTTATAGTGACAGAATATATTCTAATCCAAAGGTTTTGTTGAAAAGACATGTTGATGTGATAGATCATTCGATTTTGTTTTTATCTTTAGTTTTTGATCAACCCAAACTCTGCCCATTTGACATTGTTTGGAAAACTTTAAACAAAAAGATTTAAACAAAATTTTAAGTCCCCAATCTTTAATTTTATGTGATTTTTATAAATAAATAAAATAAAAATATATCTGTTTTAGGATCTACCTTATTTGAAATAAGAGATGAAAAATACTAAAAAGAATTTGAGTTTGATTATTGTTTTTTTTGGGTTGAGTAAAGTAAGTTTATATGGAAAATAGGATAGCGATTGGGAACGGAAATTGAGGATATTATTTGATTGCTTATTATTTTAAAACAAATAGAGAATTTTTTTTTTTTATCTTACCTTTTAATAAATTAATATTTAACTATTCCTATAAATAAAAATAATTTATCTTTATGTAAGTTGAAGACAGTTTAGAATGTATCTATTGTTTTTATTTATATATGATTAAATTATTATAGTTTGCTATGAGATTTTATTATTATTTTAATTTTTAAAAATTGTAATTGAAAATATCAGGTTTGGAATATTACTATTGAATTGGTCAAAAAAAACACCTATGATTGATTGATATGATGTATAGATGTAGATCAAATAGTTGATTGATTGATTGATTGATTATTATTTATCGAATCTATTTTTTTTTGTTTTTCTATATTTAAAATGAATTTGAAAAATTGAATCTACACAATTGAGTACCAAATAAAAACAAGCAAAATAAATCAATCTATAAAATAGGATGTTGTTGTCTTTATTCTTACTAATGATTCATAAATGTAATTTATTATTTTATTAATAATGAGGATGCAAAAATATATTATTATAGAAGAAATTTGTGTGTACTACAAAAATTAGCTAAATTTGTATTGATTCAAAAAAGGGAATGAAAGTGTTCCTTATTCTATTGGAGAATGTTTTGTGAACGCAAACAACAAAGTTCAATGCAACGCAAACAAATACAATTTAAAAATAATTAAAAAATTTTTTTAAATCAATAATATTAAAGAAAATAGAGAGAATTTCAGCTATTGTGTGTTTCCACTGTATATATAGGAAAAGGATGTTATATTTGCTGTGGGTATTAGGTTTGTGTTAAATATATTGTTGTTGTTTGGAATTTATTGTTATGCGTGAAATATATAATATGTGTGTGTGTGCGTGAGTGTGGTGTGTAGATGGAATTATCTAAAGATAATTATATTGGTAGAGAAGTACTATTGCCACCTTCAATTTTTTTTTTGTGTGATAGAACGTATTGGTGTGAAGTTATTTATTTGTTCGTTATAGTGTTTAAAAATAAAAATTTTATTTTTATTGTTGTCATTGATTTTTTTGTTGTAGTTGTTGATGTTAGTTATATATTAAAAAAAATGCGTTAATAACAATAGTGCTGTTTGATTAAATGTTATTAATAAGATGAATGAAAACAAATACAATGTACATTAACACAACAACCACCCACACATTTATTATTAAAAATCAACACTCCTCATGTTTTATAATTTATTTATATTTGTGTTATTTCATTTTATAGGTTGTTTTTTTTTTTTTGCACAGCTTTTTTTTTATATACTCGCATTATTTTTGCAAAATGCACACAAAAGCTGTGCAAAATTTTTTCATAAAATGAAATTACACATTTACTGATTCCACTGTGAGTGTTGTTCAACTTTGAAGCAAAGTTCGAGTCACATTCATTCATTCTTCAGAAGTGTGTGTGTGTGTGTATGCAAAAAAGTGTTGTTTTGTCAGTACATCAACCACACACACCACATATAATTAATATACCACATTTAATGAATGATACTTTTGTGGGTATATTTTCCTATTATTTATATAATATGGTTATGTTGAACTGCTTGTGTGTGGTGTGTGTGTGTGTGTGTAGTAAAGTAAAAAACATATATAAACCACCGACAACACTTTTTTCATCTCATACACAACACACATAATTACTATTGTCAATATGAACAAGACCTTAAAGATTATGAAATTTGAATGTATGAAGATTGTGTTGTGGATGTGGTGTATTCATCTCGTGTGTCTGTGTGTTTGATGCTATTTGATTGTGTGATTTTGTTATTTTTGTTGTTGCAAAAGAAGCATAGGTATAATAATAGTAGAGTGGGTGTGTTGTTATGATTATTTGATTCTAACACGGGATATATTAAACATGTCAAATCGGTCACATCTATTAAGTTTTCGATGTAATACATCAATTCATTAACTATGATGACAACTATTATTTTAAAATAAAATACAGTTAACAACAAGTTGTGAACATACAAAAACAAACAAGTAATTAATTAAATATTTCCAACAAATTAGAGAAAATCACCATGCTTGATGATTTTAGACTGTTCATCTGTAAGGGAAATACAGATTATCATTTTGATATCTATTTATAATCTAGTTTTAAGGTCTTTTGACTCTGATAATCTAGATTATTAGATGAAACAAAAACAAAAAAACAAAAAAAAACAAAAACTTCTTAAAAATAAACAAATTTGGCTGTTTTGGTTCAATTTTATTTTTAAGTTTTAAAACCACCCCTTTAAATTCTCTTGTTTGAGATTGTATGTTTTAAGGGTAGAAATGGTATTTTTAGAATAATGAAAATTACTATTTCAAAATTATATTTATATGAATAGTTTCTTTTCAATTTTAATTAATTAAAAGTGTAGAATGTTTGAAAAGATTAATCCAAAAATAAATATTAAAAACAAAAAAACAAAATTGATCGCCCAGTTTGTTAAACAAAACAAATGAATTTGAAATTTCCACAGGTGAATTGTATTTGTAAATGTAAAGTATACTATTAGGAGATGGAATTTCCAAACATAGATTTACAATTGGTCGAAATTTAAAAATAGAAATGAAAATATTGACAACATCGAACATCGGAGGAAAATCCAAAAGAGATAATTAAAATACTTATATGTCATGGTTGCCGATGATATAGATAGAATTAGTAGTACTTACTTACTATGAAAGGATGGTGGAGTTGATTTATAATAACTTGAGAGCACTCAAAAAGGAGCAATATATCCAATCTTGGTGCATAGAGTTTTGAGACAACAAACAATAATCTTTCCATTTAACAAATTAATTCTCTTCTCATTTCAAAAATAGAAATAATATTAAATTTTAATTGTTTTATAAAAATTGAAAAAAATACAATTTTCTCTACTTTCAAAAATACTTGACACCTTTCGGAACCATATTGCAAACATTTCTTTGATCCCAGTTCCCCCACCAACCAAAAAAGGAAACTCTCATTTTCAAAAAAACAAAGCACTTATTTTTTTAAAATACCACCTGAGACTTAAAGTATCAAAAAACAAACAATTTATTTTTAAATTTTCGAAAAATCGAATAAAATACTATATCACAGCAATTCATAGGTGATTTTTTATTTAGACACGTCAAGGTTCTCTAACCTTGGGATGACCTCGTACTCCTGAGTGTAATGCGTGTCCACATTTCGATATTGTCATTTGTAACCTCTAAACCATCTAACTTTCAATATCTATCAAATAATCCGGGATTTAATTTCAACACTACTTGTCCTCGGTATGATATCTCATGATTGCCTTGATCTTTCATTGATTAAGTTTAGATTTTTGACATCGAAAAACAAATGAAAATTTTGTGTTTTTGAGATCTCTTGCAACCATTTCAAATATATACCATTTGTTAGATTCTATTGATAATCGAAATAAAATTAAAAAAATAATATAATTATTAAAAAAAAATTATATTATTAAAATAATTATTAAAATTAATAAAAAATAATATAATTATATTTATAAAATGAATATTATTAATACTAATTTAACCTATATGATATGAGTTAAGTAAGGTGAAAGAAAAATTTTTAGATAATTTGATTTGAAATATATTTTTTTTATCCAAAATCGAAAAATGTGAAGTTTATCTACAATAAATCAAAGTTAGAGTTTTCGACCGTTAAATCAAGATTAACATCTTAAAGTAAAGAGTAGTTGGTTTATTCCAGTTTGTACGATATATATATCTAAAATAGAAATAAATTTTAAATCCAAAAATGAGAATACAAAGATAAATTTTTTTTAAAAAATAAAAGTAAATGACTGTCAATATGTAAAGTTTTTATTTCTATTATTTTTTGTTAAAAATATCTAAAGAGTAGTTCAAAAGTTCAATGAATGTGTTGGCTTATAAAATGAATCGCAAAGATACCCATATGCGTTTGGTTCCAAAGTATCTGAATGGTTGACGAGCCAGATTGGGAACTTTTTCGTATTAACGACACCGCAGCAATTTGTCAAGTGCTTACATTTCTCCTCTAAATCAGCTTGTGTTAGAAAGAGGAAAATCGATCTGCCTGTTAAATGCTCTGGTGAGAATGCAAATGTACTACAAATTGTATTTATTAATGTGATTTGATCACATCTCTGAGGATCGTTTGGTCTAATCTAAGGTTGACCGAGTCGAAGTCCCTTTTAAATACAACTGCTGGATCATCAGAGTTGGAAAATAATGCATTTGTAATGAAAACTAAATTCTCATCAGAAAGATGAATATTGTTACTTTCATCTTGATCGTTGAGATCTAAAAAAAACTTCTCTCTAAACACTATAGAATTAGCAAAACAATCTCAACGTCATCATCATCAAACATGAGTCAATCAATTTATAACTAAATTTTTTTCTCGTTTATCACAATTGGTAATTTCAACCAATCTTCAATAAATTTTTTTATTAATGATGGTAGAACAATAAAGGAAATAAGAACAAAATTCATGAATAGTTTATCGTCATGAGAGTATTCTGACTTTTATGATTTATATGTAGTAAGTATACCTTAATTAACGAATCATATTGATATTTCTTTGTGATTAATATTTGTTTATTTACGACTGAAATCAAAAAAAAAGTAAATTATTAAGAGAATAACAATAATTAAATCAGACTCAAAATATCAATCTGTTTTTAAAACCATTCTTTTTTTAAATTTGGAACTGAATTTGTATTCTGGTGTTATTTATGTGGGGTGAACTTCAAAATTTAATTTAATTTGAGTGGTGTTTGTTTATTTAAACTACTATTACGATATTAATATTGTTCAATTTCAATTTAATCGTTTTTATTTAAAAATCAAATACATAAAATGAGTATGCCTATAACAATCAACAATCTTGCTATTCAATCAGAGATTGAAGCATTTAAAGAAGCTGCAAAATCAAATAATCTACAAGTATGTATATACCTATAATATATATATATATATATTGATATTATATTAGTATAGTAGTATAATATCTATAGAATATGATAACTAGTTAAACATAGATAATGATCTTTGTTACTTTTTTATTTTTTCGCTATTTCTAATTTTTTTTTTTTGTTTAATTTGTTTGAATGATAAATATCTAATATTATTATCATTATTTTTATTAAAAAAAAGGATTATTTTATTGGTATTGATATCGGTGGAACCAACACAAGAGTCAATGCTGGATTCGTAAAGGGCAGAATCTATGAATTTACCAAGTTCACCGCTAACGATGTAGAGACTTTGTACGCCGGATTGCTATTGGCTGAAACCATTCTCAGAACTGTCTATGTTAACAAAGCTCCATTGGCATGTTGTATAGATATTGCTGGTCCAACCACAACCAGTGATGATGTAAGTAAATCTATATAGATACTGCGGCGCTCTATTAAAAACCAGAATACAAAATATTCATACTTTCTTTTTCATTCATTTTAGTATCACATTACCAACTATAATCATACAAACAATGGTAATGTCGTTCAAAGAAAGATGTTGCCACCGATGATCTGTCCAAAAGATTCGACCTACTTCTTAAATGATCTTGAAAGTGGTTGCTATGGATTGGTTTCCTTGATCAAAGATCGTCAAGATGACAATTACTTTACAAACATGGTTACAAGATCACAAGAGAGAACTCCAGGCTCACAAGTTTGTAAGTTTTTATTAATCAAGATTAATACCTACCTACCTACCTTTTATCGAAAGCGTATAACTAATTACTAATAACTTTTCTATTTATTGATAGTTGTTATCTTGGCAGCTGGCACTGGATTGGGTGCAGGTTTGATTCATCATATCGATAGATCAGACAAGTATTATGTGATCCCAACTGAGCTTGGACATATTAGCATCAAACCAGTAGGTCCAAATCACTCCTTATTCCAAAAGGAAATGAAATTGCTCAGTAGCATCGAACCAAACTATGAGAAGGCTCATAGCTCTGACAAAAAGAGAATGTTCTCCTTGGAGTATGAGGATATTGTAAGTGGTCGTGGTGTTGTCGATTGCTACAATTACTTCAAATCAAGTACTGATAAAGCTATTGATAATAGTGGTGAAAGTATGTAATAACTATTATTAATAATTATAATAACATGTTATTATAAACAATTAATTAATCGTTTTTTATTATTCTATAGTTGCAACCACTGCTATTTCATTGGTTGAGAATGATAGTAAATTCAATGTTGAAAGCAATCCATGTACATTGGCTATGATGACACATTATAGATATCTCTTTAGAGAGGCGCAGGAGTTGGCAGTCGGTTTGAGAGCAACCGATGTCTTCTTGATCGGTGACAACATGGTAAACAACGCACCATTCGTCAATGCCGTCAAGGACGAACTCATCACCGAGTTCTTTGACCATCCAAAGGAACACTGGTTAAAGAAGGTCACATCGCTCCATGTCCAAAGCAAAAAAGAAAACCTCAACCTTTTAGGTACAATCTACTATGCCAGAACTGTATTAGATCAATAAGATACATTTATACCTAACCAAAACTATCCTAACAATCACAAATAAATTTAATCAATCAACCAAACAAAACAATAATTAACAAAAATAAAAAAAGAATTAATAATACAAAAGCAAAAAAAACGTTACAAAAAATCAATATCAAAAATCAATTGTTGAGTGGTTTTTGGCGAATCGTTCGTTTTATTCTTTCTCTATTTTTTATTTTTTTTAAATTTATTCCCTTTTTTTTTTATTTAATTAATATCAATCAATTTTATTTAAATAAATTATATATATATAAATAAAACACGAGATGGGAGGAGGTAATAAAGCACCAACATCAGTTCAAGTTCAAAGAACTGCATTCATACACAATCCAAAGAGTAAAAAGACAGCACATATTCTTTCACTTCCAAACGAAGGTCTATGCTACACTTGTCATGAAACCATCGAATGGAGAAAGAGATACCGTAGATATAAACCATTGACTGTTGCTGCAAGATGGTAATGTTAGATTCATATCAAATTGGAAAAATATTAATATATATATATACTAATAGAAATAATTATTTTAATTAAATGTAGTTGTAGATGTGGAGAAAAGTCAGTAAAGAGAGCATATCATGAAATATGTGATGAGTGCGCTGTAGATTTGGGTGTTTGTGCTAAATGTCAAAAAGTAAAAGAAATCATTGCGTAAGTATTTATATTATAATGATTAATGTTCAAAGTGAATGTCTTTAATTAATTAAAATGTTTTATCTAATTATTATTACTATTATTATTATTATGATTCTTAAAGAGAGAGAACTGACAAGAAGAAAGAGATAGAAGAACAAAATCAAATCAGAGAATCATTAAAATACATGACAGAGAGTGACAGAAGAACCTTCTTTAGATTGGCCGAAAAGAATGATATGTCACCGGCAGAGCTAAAGAGAAAGGAGAAGGAGCAAAAGAAACGTGAGAGAGCCCTCGCTGTCAAGAGAGAAATGAACAGTGATGATGAAGACTTTGACGAAGATGAATTCGACGACAGCGACGACGATACTCAAGCTGACAAACTAAAGAAACTTCAAATCTCTAAAGACAAGAAACAAGACGAACCAAAGAAGGCATTGGTATATGTAGAGTATGATGAAGATGAAGACGACGAAGAAGAAGAAGCATCAGAAGTTTTGTACAAAAAATTAAAAGAGAAATACAAATTAGATCAATTAAAGTCTCAAAAGACACAGATAGAAAGTGACGACGATGAAGAAGAAGATGATGAAGAGGTAGAGGAGGAAGAAGAAGAAGAAGAAGAGGATGAGGAAGAAGAGGATGAAGATGAAGATGAAGAAGATCAGGATGAAGAGGAAGATGTAGATGAAATAGATATAGTTTCAATGATAAAGAATAGAAATAAAAAATAGATAAATATCAAGTTGACTATTTATTTATTATCATTTTTTTAAAAAATTAAATATATAATTTAAAGTCACCTTTTATTTTATTTGAACATTGAACACTTTGGTTGATGATAAACAATCAAAGATACTTTAGAATAAAAAATATCTTTGGTATCCAAAAGAATATAAATCCCAACAACACTTTTGATTTTTTTTTTTAAATTAAACTTGGTGTGTAGTGTGAAATCTTTCTGCCCCACTGGGAACAATATTACAAAAAGTAGTTCAAACAAAAATTATATTTACAATCTTATATATATATCAAAATAGATAGATAATTATTATGAGTATTTAAAAATGTATAATTTATTAAAATTTAAAAAAACATTAATAAGTTCTTCTTTGCTCACAATTGGTATTCTAAGTAATGGAGAAAACAAAGAAAAGATCAACAACTATTTTGATTCAATTCGAAATAAATCATCGTTGGTCACCTATTGTTTAGATGCACCTACTTCTGATAATAATAATAAACTAGGAGGTAGTGTGATACCCGACTTCCCTGTTTGGGCCTCTACATTGATGTCAGGTGACTGTTCAAAGATCTCACCAATCGAAAAGAGAGTTGCCGGTCAAGTAGCATCGAAAGAACTCATTGCTTGGAAAGAACAGAACTTGGTACCCGGTGTTACTGCATGCGTAATGGTGCGTGGTGAGACCGTTTGGCAGAGTCACCTAGGTAAAATTTGTTTTAATATAGAGGATAATAAATGATCCTTATTAACTTTAAATACCTTTAGGCTTTAGTGACATTGAAAATGGTATTCATGTGACTGAAGCTACCAAGATGCGTATTGCCAGTATATCAAAGAGTCTGACATCCGCTGCTGTCGGTATCCTTGTCGACGACAACAAACTTGACCTCGACACACCGATCTCTCAATACGAAGGTGACGAATCGAAACACCGATTCCCTGTGAATCCACATCATCCAGAGAAACCACTGACTGCACGATACTTGTCTTCTCACCTTGGTGGCATCCGTCACTACCGTGAACCACGTGGCCCAACCTCTGAGTATTTCAGTGTCGAAAAGTATGAAACCGATGACTACAGTAGTAGTAACAACAGTGCCAGGAAAAAGTTGAAACATCCACTGGAGATTTTCTCAACTGATCCATGGGTCGAACCAAAGGAAAAGAGTGAACCAGGCCACAGCTTCAACTATAGTACTTTTGGATTCACACTGCTGGGAACTGTCATTGAGCGAATTGCCAAACAAGATTATGTTTCTTTCATGAAGTCACGTGTCTTTGAAAAATGTGGAATGAATGGAATATCGGCAGACTATCATGACAGAATCATTCCGAATCGCTCTAAACAATATGATCTCGACTGTTCAGGTAAATCTTCACAACTCTTGAATGCAGAGTTTACCAACTCCTCTTACAAGTGGGCAGGTGGTGGATTCGTTGCAACATCAAAGGATATCTGTAAGTTTGGTACTGGATTACTTGCAGGTTATTTGGTAAAGCGTCAGACTCTCGATACAATGTTCACTCCCCAAACTCTAAAGTCAGGAAAACAAACGAAATATGGAATTGGTTGGTTCATTACCCCGAATCCAATCATTCCAAATCCAACTGATTCTCTTGGAGACAAAGTAATTTACCACACTGGCGCAGCAGTAGGAGGAACAACAATATTGGTAATGCTACCGGTCCAAGGAGTGGTCGTCAGTATCTTGGCAAATCGACAAGAAATCAGAGATGTCACAACAATCGGAATCAAAATTGCAAATATATTCTCTGAACACTATCAATGTACATAAATAAAGATAAAATTTTACTTAATAGATAAAATTAAAATTATTACTATAATTTTTTTATTATATTTCAACAAAGTTTGGACAATCATTTTTGTTTATCAAATAAAATCATAGTTTTGAAAAAATAAAAATAAGACAATAAAGTTGTTTTAAAATAGACTAAATAGTCAATTTATGTGAATGTAATTTTACTTTAAAATGATTATAATACTATTTTATATAAATTTAGAAGAGGGCAATCATGGCGGCGGCGGCCATAACGAGGGATGAGATGGCGAGGGTTGAAGCAGAGCTACCAGAGTCTTCAGAAGAGTGGGATGGGAGTTCACCTGGGACCAAGTTGGCACGGGTTTGGTTGAGACCGTTCAAATAAGCAGTGGTGTAGAAAGTGGTGTTACCAGCAGCGATTGAAGCCCAGTTGGCGGCGAAGTACTTGCTTCCTCCATTTCCGAAAGTGTAGGTACCGGTGATGGTGGCGTTGGTGGTGGCGGCGTTATCGATGACGGCGGTTTCGATGGCTTCATCGAACAATTGACCTTGGATTGGACCGGCAATGTGGAAAGTCAAGTTGGAACCAACAGCGTAGTTTTCGAGGGAGATGGTGTAGTTGAAGAAGAAGTTATCGGTTTGGTTGTAGACAACGAAAGTGGCGTTACCGACAGCTGGGAAAGTTGGGACAGCAGTAGTTTGGTTGACAGTCTTGGCATCGAAGACACCAGAGAAAGTGGCTGGTTGTGCGGTGGCACAGGCGATGAAAGCGAAAGCGAGGATGATAGCAGCGAACTTCATTGTGTAATAGTAAATTTATATAAATATAAGTATATGAATATTTGGATTCTACAGAATATAAGAAAAGAATGAAACAATCGAGGTACTTATGTTTCGTGTCGACGTTTCTTGAGGGAACAAAAAAAAATTAAAATAAATAAAAATAATTATTTTGTTGCAAAAAAAATGTTTAAAAAATAAAAATAAATGTTTTATAAAAAAAACCTATTTTGTTTGTATTTGGAAAAATCATATCGATTCTCTGGATTGTTTGTGTCATAACTGCATTGCATTCTTACTATTCTGAGCCTTGGTGGGGGGCAAAATGCAACAAAAAAATATCAAAATTTTAATGCATTTATAAAATATTGTCACCTTAATTCGAGATCAGGTTTGTTTTGTTTTTGTTTTTTTGTTTGTTTTTCATCTGAAAAGTTTACGCTCCCAAAATGGAAGTTTTTTTTGGGTTTTGACCAGCTCACTATAATGGTCTTGCATTAAGGCAGGTCCCCAAATCCAAAGAACTGAAAAAAATAAAATATTTAAATTTATTTAAATCTTGGTCCGCACACACACAAATCTGTTGATCAACAACGCAAACATACCTAAAACTGAAAATCTACATAATTTTTTTTTTTTTTTTTTGAAACTGAAGAATGTTAACCAGGTTGTGTAAAAATAATTTGGTGAACTTTTTTTTAGAATTCAATGACGATGCATGGAAGATGTCTTATGATTGGCGCCAAGAATTCTCTTCACTTTTGATTCGACACAGTTTTTTAGTTTTTTTTTTTTGTTTTGCGTGTGCAACGTATTTTATTTTTTGTATCATAACCGCATTACCACAGTGTCACTTGATCATGATCGAGGCGTATACAGAGTGTTAGTGGGGGATTAGTTTAAAGATTTCGAGATTTATTATAATGATCTCCAAAAAATGTGAAAGAATGGGGGTGTTCATATGACAATTGCTTTTTTTGAATCAATTTTTTCAACAAAAAAAAAAAGCTTTGTGCAGGTCGCCCAAACCATTTGCTGAATGAGTACCGGTGGTTTTTGCACGAAACTTGACTATTATAATTCATTTAAGGCATTGAGAAAAAAAAAGGTGATTCTTTTGTTATATCTCAGGATGTTGCTTTTAAAAAAATAAAATAAAATAATTATAATTATAATTTCGCAACGTTGTAATTAATTAATAACTACATTTATTTACAATTATATTAGAATAGTATCATGATAAACATAAAATATTGGATTTTTTTATTATTGTACTTTGTCAAAAATAAAAGTAAAAAGAATAATTTAGATTGATTTTTTTTTTTAAAATCCCACTGTAATCAAAGTCTCTGCTACACCTTCCACAGATTTTATGTTTTCTTGAGAGAATTTGTTTGGTTCTTTGAAAACACAAAGTAATATGGTTTGATTGTTTTTGATGACAGAGCACTTGTTTTGATTGATAACATTCCTCAGATGGATTCTTCTTCCACAGAATTGTTCGATACAATATTTTACACCATCTATTGTGATGCCTCTGAGGAATCCGTGTGTTGGGTCTTTGAATAGATTTGCAATACAAACACACTCTTCATTGTTTATTGAAACACATTTCTTACTGCTTGCCAAAGTAATACCATCTGTTCCTAAAATAATTGAGCTCTCTATAAAATCAAAACTGTCAAGTATCTCTATATAGGACTTGAAATGATAAACAAAAATTAATTAAAAATTAAATAAAAATTAAATAAAAATACAATATAATAAAATAATTACCTGCATATCTAACTATCTAAACAATTTAAGTAATTAATCACTCAAACTAAAATAAATTCTTTATAGATTTTTTTATTTACATAAAAATTATTATTGTATAAGATAGAAATAAAATCAAATAAAAATAAATAACACTGTCACAAAATAAATACAATCATTTAAAGACAATTGATAATAAATTAATATTGATTGTACAAAAATATTATGATTGACAAAAAATATTAACAACACTCAGTGATTAACCAAATCAAAAACACACACTTTTCATGACATTCACACTCACACAATTTATTTATTTGATTAAAGACTGTGTTATATATAACATTGATTAATATGAGTGATAGTAGATTAGATAAATCCGAATGTAATGTAATTAGTAATAATAATAATAATAGTAATATCAATAAAAGTAATAGCACGTTGTTAAAAGATAGAATTGCAAGATTATCAATTGATCATTATGAAAAGTTAGCAAAGAAAGGTAAACCAAATGAAAAAGAATGGACCGTCATTGCATCTATCGTCGCTATTGAGTCTATGAACAATGATATCACCAACAACAACAACAACAACAACCAAAACAACATTGATATCGACAACTCTAAAATGACCGTATTATCGATTGGCACTGGTAATAGATGTGTTGGTAAACAATCAATGTCGTTGAATGGTGATGTCATTAATGATTCACATGCTGAGATCATATGTAAACGTTCATTTCAAAGATATCTTTATAATGATATCATTGCTTTATTATCAAACATAGATAATAATAATAACAGCAACAAAAACAACAACAACAATAATCAATATAAGAGTATCATTCTTCAACCAATCGAAAATAATAATAACAACAACAAAAACAACAAAAACAACAGCCATACACTATTTAAATTAAAAGATAATGTATCTATACATTTCTATGTAAACCAAACTCCATGTATGTGTATTTATTTAAATATGTAGTTCAAGAGTGATTGAGAATCTAATATATTTGTTGTTTTTATTTATTAGGTGGAGATTGTTCAATATATCCAACCAACAATGAAAATAACGATACATCTAGTGGTGATGTTACTGCTTCTGCTGCTGCTGCTGGTGAAAAGAGAAAAAGATATGATAATGATGATAATAGTAAAGTTGAAGATTTAGAGGAAAACAAAGTTGAAACAACCAAAAAGATAAAATGCAATGCCAATGTGGTGGTTGATGATATTCAAAGGACTGGAGCCAAACCAGTTCCAGGAGAGCCAGAGGATAAGAGATTGGACGGCTCAGAGTATCATCAGACAGGTATACTGAGAATAAAGCCAGGTAGAGGTGATCCTACGCTATCGATGTCCTGCAGTGATAAGATTGCTCGTTGGAACATCTTAGGTATACAAGGTTCACTTCTTTCACACTTTGTAGAGCCAATCTATCTTTCATCTATAACAATAACCGATCTCTTCAATCCCGACAGTTGTAAACGTGCATTATACGATCGTGTAAATATTGACTTGAACAACAACAACAATCATAATATTAATAATAATAATAATAATAATAATTGTAATAGTAGTAATGATAATAGTAACGATATATCAACAACGACAATAACAACAAATGATAATCAAAGTAAATTTACATTCAACAAGGAATTCAAGATTTTTAATACAGATATAGAGTTTCAGTGCTCAAAAAAACAATTAGAGTTAAAATTCAGTTCTCCTATTTCATCTGGATTCGGTATGTATATATAATACAGTTAGACATTCAACAGTCGATAGTTAATATTAACTTCAAGTATGTATTGCAGCAATTAGTTATTGCTATCCGAATTTACATGAAGTAATTATATCTGCGAATGGCAAAAAGATGGGTACCATTGCAAAGAACTTTAACCAACCATCGCAAAGATCTGCTCTTTGTAAATTGAATCTATTTAAATTGTTTAACGATACATTGAATTCAATCAAAAGTATCAAGTGTAAAAAAGAAGAAGATTCATTTCATTTCGATTTAACTTTATTGTAAGTATTTGATTTGTATTTAAATTTATCAGACTTTAACTAATGCTTTTTTAAAACTATTCTATTATGCAATATTATAAATTAAATCATTCTTTAATCTAAAGTCAAAACAGTAAGAGCTACCATGATTTTAAGCATTTAGCAAAAGATTACTTTATTGTGTATCAACAACTTAAAGACCAAAAGTTTTCAAATTGGTTGACCAATGATCACTCCTATGAGCAGTTTCAGCAAGAATCAATTTCACAATCATACAAAAAAAAAAAAAGATAATCTAAAACAATCATAATCTAATAAATAATATGATTTAAATCATTGAAGAATATCGAACAGTGACAAAAAAAAAAACTTTATTGTTTGTTAGTTTTTTTTATTTTTTTTATAAAAAAAATCATTAATATTTTTTAATTTTGTAATTTATATATATATTTAGAGATAAAAGATGGTAAGTCTAGGCTTTTACTTTCAGACATATTGATATCCAGCTACATAATACTAATATCTATTAAATCTATTGAATATGTTTTAGAATAAAGTAGAATCACTATCACCTAAACCATTTCTATATGAATTAAAAGGAAAGAAGGTTGCTGTTCGTCTAAAGTGGGGTGGTATGGAATATCGTGGAATTCTTGCATCTGTCGACAACTATATGAATTTACAAGTATGAACATCATCAAATATTACTTGAAAAACAATCATTGATTTACATTTATATACTAACTAATCACTTTCGTTCATTTTTATAGTTGGCCGCTACTGAAGAATGGATTGATGGTGCTATTATAGATACTTTGGGTGAAGTTTTAATTAGGTTAGTTTACAATACAAAACAATACAAAACAATACAATAATCACAAAAGATATTATAATAATCGGTATTAACTCTTTTTTTTTTTAATTTCTCATAATAATAGATGTAATAATGTTTTATATGTTAGAGGTGTGGAACAGGATGCAATGGAACAATAAAAAAAGAAAAGAAAAAAGAAAAAAAGACTATAATTATAATTTAAACCAACATTCATTGGTATTGTTTTATTCGTTCAATAGTATTTGATAATTATATCTCAAAAAATGGTGTTGTTTAATTTACAGCGTGGACATAAACAATCAAATTTGATCAGAAGAACAATCATAAGATACAGTCAGTCGACTATGTCAATACGATATTATATTATAAATCTATGTTTGCCCTATAGAAATCGCTTTTAAGTTTGTCAATCAAACCACAACAATTTAATTTATTTTTGTTTTTGGTGATTTTTTTGTTGTTCATTTTGATCACCTTTTATTTTATTTTTTGCTTTTTTAACATTAATCGATATTAAATTAAGAGATACTAAAAATACTATAATGGTAAAGCAAGCAATAATTTAATGAAAGATAGATCGAATATATATTAAATGATTTAATTAGGGATTAGATATTAAAGTTATTAAAGAAGGTAATGGTGTTAAACCAGTAAAGGGAAATGTAGTTGCTGTTCAATATAAAGGCTCATTGACCAACGGTTATGTCTTTGATCAATCGTTTCACCCATTCAAATTCAAACTTGGTGTAGGTGAAGTAATTGATGGTTGGGATCTTGGTATCCTTAAAATGAGTGTTGGAGAAAAAGCTATTCTTACAATGACTGGTGGTAAGTTAAAAGATTTAAATATGATCTGTGATATCAAAGAAACAAACTAATCAATGTAATCAAACTATAGATCTTGCCTATGGTGAAGAAGGAAGTGGTAGGCTATCAAAACTATTAAATAACCAAAAAAAAAAACTATTGCATATTAATACTAACTATTATATTGTAATTATAAATATTTAGAGCCAGACATTCCTCCCAACAGCACTCTCATTTTCGAAGTAGAACTACTTTCATTTAACTAAGAAAAGTTGTGATACGATATCACTCAGTACAATATTGTTTATTAAATCTTTAACATAATAATATTTGTTTGTAAAAAAAAAAAAGATCTTTATTTTAAACATAACAATTAATTAATAAATTATTAATAATGTGGTAATTTATATCTTTGTATTTTTAGAAATCAATAACTTCACAACCTGTTAGTTGGACCGGTTTTTTTAAAGTTGGAGTTGTAAGGTTCCACAAAATGATTCTACAAGTGTGGTTTTGCTTTAAGCAACAACCACAACAACCATTTTTTTTCATATGAGTCATCACAAATCATGAGTGAGTGCACAGAGCGAAAATAGAATGATTGGTGACTTTAAAGATAGGTAATCATTTTTCATCGACTTGAAGAATACTGGTTTTCATTTTAGAAACACTCTCTCTGTCTGAATTTGATTTATTCCCATGTTTAAATATTTGCAAATTCCTTTGGGGTTATCGTGACAGAATGCCACTACTCAAAAAACAAAATCTGACTATTGTTCAGATTGCTTCCCTCACACACCCCTTCAACTTTTTCACAAAATTAATGGAACAAATCCGATTTAATTATTTAGTTTTTTTTTTTTTTTTTTTCATAATTATTTGTTTTTGGTTTTTTTTGCTTTTGGGATTCTCGAAACTTGTTGCTGCATCATGATGGTTGTGCCCACTAAAAAACGAAATAGATTCAATGACTGTGAAAGATAACAAAAATAAAAAAAAAACATAATTCTTTTGATTATGTTATGGAAGGAAAAGACAGATTCTTTTTGTAATGTTTCTTTTTTTAAACTGGTTTCATACGCCCCAATAACAGAATTAATATTAGTTTGATTTGTTTTTAATTGAAAATTAATACAAAAGCTTTGACAAGTCGAAACTTCAAGTAAACAACCCAAAAACAAACAAAAAAAGAATCATACATACATCGATATATAAATTTAAATTTTGATTCAATTTCAAATCATTAAATCATTTTTATTAAATATATATAACAAACATCAAATTATAAATATATTTTTATTTATTTATACATACACACACTTTTTATTTTAAAGTTAAAAGAATTTATAATACGATAAAGGTAAAAAAAAAAATTAGTTAGTTCAATCGTCACAAGATACTTTTACAAAAAAAAATTCGGAAAAAAAAAGATTTTTGAAATATATTATTACATTCAAATATCAAATATAATTTTTTAAGAAGTGTATTTATAACAAATCATTGAACTTCGATCTTATTTTTTAGTTCATTTGTTGTTGTTTTATTCTTTGTTGTTTATTTTCAACAAAAGGGGTAGAACTGCACCCATAATGGGGCAATGTTTTCTTACCCACACCCAACACTTCTAATATCTCAATAGGTTTTTTCATTTTCTTTGTTTTTGTCTTTTAATGAGTTATAGCAGGTATAATATCTTTTAAAAAAGACTAAGCAAAAGTAAAATAATAACAATAGAGCTAAAAATATTCTGTAAACAAACACATCATTATCCCCCCTTTCGCAATAAAACTATCTTTAATTTGTTTGTTCTTTCTACCACTTAATCTCTAGATTAACACTCTTTACACACACACACCTTCACTCATTGGAAATAATTACAATTAAACTACTTCATAATTAAAAAAAAAAAAAAAAAAAAGAGATAAACAATAGTAAAATAACAACAAGTTTTGCTACCAACCAAACATTAAAATAGAATATTCTTTGTGCTGTACAATGTAAATAACACACTCTCTGCATTTAATTCATATCCACAATTAAGTTTAATAAATAACCGTTCACATCTCCCACATACCACTAAATAAATGATATATTTTATTCTAACCCACATCACTACATTACCACTAATTTGACAGAAGACGACTTCTTTTTTCTTTTCTATGCATCCAAGACATTCTATGTTCTCTCTTTGAATTTCTTTTTTTTTTTTGTTTTTGTTTGAAATACATAATTCACTACTTTGAGTAATAACATTATTACTCTGTTTATCTTCTTCATTTAGTATATAATTCATATTCAATCAAACAATATTCATATACTATTTAAAAATATCAACAAGCAAAACAATTTATTTTTAAAACTAAAGGTGTTAAGATAACTACTTATTGTTTTGTCAAAATTTTTTAAAAAAAAACACTAGCCTGTATCAATACACACACCTGTTCGGTTGACATTTTGTATTTTATTTCATTCAATCATTTATTATTATTTTTGTTATAATTATCGTGTAAACAAAGTTAAAAATATAACTTTTCTAACATTTCATCTTTTAGATAGATATTTTTTTTCTCAGTCTCTTTATCATAGTTAGTTATTGTAGATAGATTATTTTATTAGATTATCATTATATTTTGTTTTATTAGATCAGATTAAGAAAAAAAAATGGGATTCATTGCTGAAGGAAACACATTAGTTTGGGAAGATGCCCAAAAGTACGCTGAATATATTCGTCAACATGGTATTATACAATTAATTAATATTTGGAATGCCAACAAAGATCGTATGAATGACGGATTTAAATGGGGTGACGAAGTTGAATATATTTTATTGAATATCGACGAGTCTACCAAGCAAGTTAAATTATCACTTCGTGGTCATGAAGTTTTACACGATCTAATGCAAAAAGAAAAGATGGACCCAAAGTATGTAGTTTTACAAAAAAAAAAAAAGATTTAAACCAAATCATTAACATTTTAATAATAATTTTAGTAATGTAGATTTCTTGTGGAGACCAGAATACGGTAGATTCATGATTGAAGGTACACCGGGACAACCATACCAAGGATTGGGTAGACAATTATTATCGATCGAAGATAGTTTAGTCAAGAGACGTCAAGAAATTACAGCAAACCTCAAACCAAACGAACGAATTGTAACATTATCAGCATATCCAAGAATGGGTACATTAGATTTCACAGTGCCAGATGCACATCCAAAGGGCGTTGTTGCCGAGTCACAATTCCTTCCAGATCAAGTGATCAATCCACATTTCAGATTCAGTACACTCACAGCCAACATTAGAAAGAGACGTGGTAAGAATGTATCGATCAATATTCCAATGTTTAAAGATATCAATACACCAGCCCACTTGGATCAAATGACTTTTATTTCACCATCAAAGGGTCTCACCGATCCGTATAACCAGCCATATAATATCTATATGGATGCAATGGGCTTTGGCATGGGTAACTGTTGTCTGCAGACGACGTTCCAACTCTCCAATATCGAAGAAGCCAGAAGTGTATACGATCACCTCGCTGTCATGGCACCAATCATGCTGTCACTCACCGCATCAAGTGCAATCTTTAAGGGATACCTCTCGGACATCGACGCCAGATGGACCGTCATTTCACAATCGGTAGATGATCGTACTGAAGAGGAGTACGGATTCAGGCCACTCCAAAACAGCAAATATGTAATCAATAAGTCCAGATACGACTCGATCGACAGTTTCTTGTCAAGAGGAACAACATTGCGTCCAGAGTACAACGATCTACCATTGGTTTACGATAAGGACAGTTATAACACTTTGATTGCCTCTGGTATGGACGAGATTCTCGCCAGACATTTCGCTCATTTGTTTATTCGTGATCCATTGGTAATCTACTCTGACAAGATCGAGATTGACGACCAAAAGAACAGTGACCACTTTGAGAACATTCAATCGACCAATTGGCAAACCGTACGTTTCAAACCACCTCCCCCAAGCTCATCGATTGGTTGGCGTGTAGAGTTCCGTCCAATGGAAGTCCAACTTACAGATTTCGAAAATGCTGCCTATATTGTATTTGTTTCCATTCTCTTGCGTGCCATCTCTGACCTTAAACTGAACTTTTATGTTCCAATCACAAAGGTTGATGAGAATATGAAAACTGCTCACAAACGTGGATCAGTTACAAATGAAAAGTTCTATTTCCGTAAAAATATAATTAGTATGTAATTAATAATTCATCAATGATTGATTTTATCGATATTAACATTAGTATTTATCTTTAGATTCATCACCAAACGGACCAGTTGATAGTGAATATGAAATGATGACAATCGACGAGATCTTTAATGGCAAGAAGAATGGTGAATTTGAAGGTGTTCTTAGTATATTGAAGAGATACGTTTCCAAGTTAAACTTTGATTTCGAAACAACTACTTTGGTCAACAAGTACATTTCATTCATATCAAAGCGTGCCTCTGGTGAATTGCAAACAATGTCAACATGGACTCGTGAGTTTGTGCAGAATCACAAGGCCTACAAGCATGACTCTGTTGTTTCACAAGAGATACAAGATGATCTCATTCAACGTTGTATTGCTATTTCTGAAGGTGTCGTTCAAGAGCCAAAGCTTTTGGGTGATTTCTACTAGAAAGTAATTAGCAATACCAACAAAACAACTATTTAATTTAAGCAATCAATTGTTATATCTAAAGATATCAACACATCACACAAAATAAAATATAAAACTATTTTTTATTTATTGGTTTGGTTCTGCCGTGGTGTAAATAATATTCTTTATTCACTTGAGATATATAAAGTTGATAGATTAGTTTTTTTAATTCTCAAAGTTTAAGTATTTCGTGAACTATTAATACTACTATCACTAACACAACTAAAAAAAAAAAAAAAAAAAAAACAGTTTTATATATCTCTTGAATAAGAATACTTATTATTGGAACCAAACCAATTTATTAGAATATTAATAATATAGGTAATATTATTAATATAACTCTAGAGTAATCAAATCAAAAAAAAATAGATCTCTCTCTTATGCTTATGAAAAAAAACTATTATTATAACTATTGTTCATTGAATTAATTTATTTGAACAAAAATTTTAATATCTGTTGATGTGAAAAATTAATAATTATTAATTAAAAATAATTTCTTGTTTTTTTTTTTTATAAAGTATAAAGGGGGAAAATTAATTTTTTCTTATTTGTAAAACAAGCAAACAAACAAACAAACACTTTAAATATTATATTATTTACAACTTTTGTTTTATTTATAAATAGATTTATTTTTATCATTTTAATTATTAGTTTCGTCAGGCTAGTTTAGTTTTTGAAAGATAACAAAAATGCCTACAGTACAGCATCAAACATTGAATGATCAAGAAAGAGGCAAAGTCTCTTTTATCTATGGAAGCAGTTGTGATGTAATCTGTATTTCAGTTGCCAGATTATACCAAGGAAATCAAGGAAGATGGGATTACACAGGTATTGAAGGTGCAGTTTCAATACTATTAAATCGTGTCGAAAAAACCTATTATATTAGAGTTATTGATCTACTCGTATGTATTTTATTGTTATATTATTCATTTATTTTATTTTATTTTATTTTTCACATTGTTTGTTCATTACAACCTAAACATGTCCAACATCGAATTCGACCAACCAATTTTGTTTTTTCATTTTTTTAATGAAATTAAAAAAATAAATAATTAATTAAAAAATAAAAATTGAAAATCTAGACAACCAAAACTATATTTGAACAAGAGATTTATGAGAATTTCGAATACTCGAGACAAAGAGATTTTTTCCATACTTTTGAAGGTGACAATGCTGTGTATGGACTGTCCTTTGTAAGTCTAGATGAAGCCTATGAATTTCAAGTATCAATACAAAATGTGATACCCTTAATTAAAAGTATGTATACATATCGATTCAATTTTACTATTATCCCCATATACTATATTATTATAAAATAAAAATTGTGTATATACAAAAAATAAAAAAATAAATTAATAATAATAATAATAAATAAAAAAGCAACAATAAATCATGAAATTATTTCATCACCATCATGGTGATAAAAAACAAAGTAATACATATGATTCTAACCAAGAACCTTCCTATCGATTCGAATCTATAGAGGCAGAGAAAGATAATGCAAAGGCAGGAAAGAGAAGAGGTGGATTCCTTTCAAAGATTCTTCATGGCAGCTCGCAGCCCGAAGAGAAAGGAATGGTTATATCCAATCCAACTGGATTCCAGCATGGTATGCATATGGGATACGGAGAGAATGGTTTCGAGGTAAGAAACATTCCACCAGAGTGGCAAGAGTTGTTTGCAAAGGCAGGTGTCAGAAAGAAGGATCTCAAGGATCCAGAGACTGCCCAGTATATCTACAGTGTCATTGGCGCGCAACTATCCAATCCACCAATGTCATCTGGCAACGTCCCTCAATACTCTGATCTACCACCACCTCCTCCAACTCAAAAGGCACCAATGAAACCCGCAAGATCGTCTGCTGCTCCTCCTCCTCCACCCACTCAGCACAAGATGGAGAATTCAATAAAGACACCACCACAAAGAGCATTGGAGCAACCACTCACACCAATTCCATCAACTTACAACTATCCAAGCAAACCACAACAACCTCAGCAAGTCAGACAATCTCAATCTCAACCTCAATCGCAATTCCAAGAGTTCCAATCTGGACAGGATGCAATTACTTATGTATACAATGGAGGTGGACCAATTCAACAACATCCTCAATCCATTACTATGCAGCCAGCTCAACAACAACAGCAACAACAACAACAACAACCAGCTCAACAGGTCACTTATCAACAACAGCCAGTTCAACAACAACAAAGACAACCAGTTTCTTATCAACAGCAACCGGTGCAACAACAACAACAGGAATATCAACAACAGCAACCGGCATATCAGTCAGTTGTTCAACAGGTTCAACAAAAGCAAACTGTATATCCAGAGGTACAACAGAAACCAGTTCTGCCACCACCAAGAGAGGATGTTATGCACCCAACCAAGTATCAGCCACCTGCTCAAGAAGACTTTGCATTCGAGCAACACCAAGTCATTCAGACTCAAGATGGAACGCAATATTCGCAAGACTATTCCTATGAGATTGATACTAATTCAATGGCAGCACCACCAATACCACCAAATCATCCACCACTTCCAAAGGATTACCAAGGACATCCTCCTCAAAGAGATAGAACACCTCCAGCCATCTCTCCAAGAACACTTCCCACTCCACCAAGCAAGGGACCAACGCCAATTGGTCAATCGCCAAGCAAGGGACCAACACCAGTCAGTCAATCTCCAAAAGCAGCACCAGTGTCAGCACCACCCCCACCTCCACCCCCAGCTGCCAGACCTCCAACAGCACCAAGAGCACAAGCTCCAGCTCCAGCCTCGGCCAATGCAGCTGCACTTCCTGCCGCCGGTGGACGTGATGCACTTCTCGACTCGATCAGACAAGGTAAAGCACTCAAACCAGTCGATATTAGCCAACCACTTCCAAGTATCAAGGATCTTGGTGAACCCGCCAACAGATCTATGGTTGACACTCTGATTGAGGCCATGGCTGTGAGAAGAGGTCGTCTTGGTGAAAATGAGTACATAGAAGATGATGAAGATGACGATGACTGGGAATTTTAATCAATATTTGATTAGAATCAACTTGTATCTCTAATTTTACTGTTTTTTTTTTCTTCACTAAATATTTTATAATTATTCATATTTTAAATAAAGCAATTTTCAAACAAAAATATTTTTTCAAATAAAAATAAATTTGGTTTTTTTTTGGGTTTTTTTTTTTTTTTTTTTTGACCTGTTTAGGGTGTTGAGGGTAAAATTCATTGTCTCATTAATTTGATCATTTTTATTAATAACTAATCATTTTAAATAAATAAATTACAACAATCATGTCTGACACTTGTCCAACCTGTGAAAAAAAAGTATACGCTGCTGAGGTAAATATATTTACAATTAGATTAAGATTTTTCATTCAAGTGCGCTAATACTAATACATACCTTTAAAGTGGGTACATGCTTTGGAAAAGCACTACCACAAATTATGCTTTAAATGTGTTCACTGTTCAAAGCAACTCGACAAGAGTAAGTGGTAGCAATCTATACATATATAGAAAATATCAAATATTAGTTACTAATAAAATAAAAATATAGGTACCTACTCTGAGCGTGATGGACAACCATACTGCAAAACTGTAATTATGACCTATAATGGAATAACAAACAGTTCATATTGAAACTAACATGTTCACTTATTATTTATAGGATTACGACAGATTGTTTAGATTGAAAGGTTATGGACATGGTGGTGTCACTGATAGTTTCGACCCACAACAAAAGACTGATGTTGCACCAACAGTCGAACCAGTTGTTGAATCATTCTCCAAGCCAGTCTTCGAAGAAACAATCGAATTATTCCCAAATAACTGTCCAAGATGTGGAAAGAAAGCTTATGAGAATGAGAAGAAGGTTTTCAACTCAAGAGATTGGCACAAAAGGTATTTCAATATACATTGAGAGTTAGAATAAGAGTTGGATAGAGAAAGGAGAGGTGAAAGAGTCAATTTTATGATTAATGTTGGTACAGAGTGGATAGAGAGAGTGTGTGGAGAAGGTAGCAAGTGTGGTTTTATTACAGCAGGAAAGTATAAAAATAATCATTCATATTAATCATTTTCTATCTAAATAGCTGTTTCAGTTGCTTCAAGTGCAAGAAATCACTTGTTTCTGGACAATATTCAGAGCGTAATGGTTTAGTGTTCTGTCCACGTTGTTATGATTCCAACTTTGGTGCTAAAGGGTAAAGAATTCCATTAATATCAAAATATATATAAAGAATTAACGTGTTTATTATTATTTTTAGATTTGGATTCGGTGGAGCAACTGTATTACATTAAATTAATTTCAAGAAGCAGTGTCAGATTTGTGTTATTATTATTATTATAATCTAAATAAATAATAAAAAAAAATAATTGTATTGATAAACAGAATTAAAGGTATATATGTTAATATTACAATTTAGATTTATTTATACTTTATTATTATTTTGAATTTGTTGTTGTTCTAGTTGTGCAGATTTACGCAATTTAATTTCCATTTTCTTTTTATGTAGATCTATCTTTCTCTTTTGTTTATAGTACATTACAGAACCGACCAAAGCAGAAACCATAAATAGTCCACCAGCAACAGCAATGGCAATAATTTTCCAGGTACTGAATTTGTTATTGACCGGTTGTTTTGTTCCACAAAGTTTATTCGGGTCGTCATCTTTTTCAACATCAAGAATATTTGTAAAATCAGGGTCGATCAGTACTTTCTCCTCGAAATAGGGAACAACAATTCCGATTTTGGATGATATATATTGGCTGGTATCGTTCTTGGTAGGCTCTAATAAGACATTGTTGATTGTTTCCATACGTCCATCTACCAATGCCATCGATAGGAATTTACCGTACAATGCTTTGTCATCAATGTTCAGCTTTATCCACTTTACATTGCTCCCACTTTGACCTATCGATTTGTAAGAACATTCATTCTCACCTCCAAGTACATAGGATTCCATGACCACTTGGAGATAGTTGGTTCTCTCTTTGAAGTCAAATCTGGACAATTCGATGGAGAACTTGATTGTGGATGGAGATATCTTTATATCATGAGCACCAAAGGTAATATTGACCTCTTGTGTAAAGAATTCAATAGTCACATTAATCTCGGTTTCTCTTCCTTCCAAGGTCGATTGGTACAAGTATGTCGGTCTGGTTGAGTTTACTGTTGTTTCCGATGAGTTCCAAGATCGAATTTTGAAACTACTGATTGGTTGTTGAAGACTGTCCAATTCAATCACCTCAACAACTTTAATATTGGACGAGAATATTTTATCACCATCAGTGATATCGACACCGGTGGCTGGCTCTGGATTGGCATTGGGATTTGGAACGATAATGACTTGTGACTGGCATGCTGGTCCATCCCATGGCATATTACATTGACATCCGTCGCTAGTACATCTTCCACGGTTATTACAAGGTGGGTTTCCAGGACAAACAGGTGGTGGAGTGACCGTTGGTTCAGGTGTAGATGGTGTTGATGTGACAGTTGGTGTTGGTGTAGGAGTTGAGATGACATCACCAATGACTGGATAAATGGTTTGAGTATTAGAGGTGACACCATTCACTTCTATTTTCATTTCAATGAATGTCTTTACGGGTCGTAAGTTTTTGAATTGCAATATGATACCAGAATGGAAGCTAATATTAATTGGAGCAAAGCCATTACCATCTTGGTAATCGATATAGGCAGTGGTATCAGATGGGTTGACACCGAAAGATCTACCGTAGAGTGTGACTGTACTTCGAATGTTACTGAGACCAGAGGCAGATTCGATGATAGGAGTGGTCAGAGAAAATTGTCTTTTAATAGTATATTTAAATTTATCCTTCTTCAAAGCATTGGCAGAATAACCTACATAGTTCATATGGTTATCTACAATACCATAGATGGAAAGAGTAAATGTAGATCCCATTCCCCAACCAAACGGCAAGATATAGTTTCCTTCAAAAGTAACAGAATCACCTTTTGCTGATTGAACTGTGGTGGGAATGGGAATGATTTCTAAACTCTCTGACGATAGATAAACAATAGGAGTATGTCTCTGAGAGACACCAGAGCCTTCATCTTCAGCTTCAATTACAAAATTGATAGATCTATCATCAGATCCAACGTCGACACTATTTGTGAATATTAGTTTATCGATTTCCGGGAAATCTCTTCCGATAATAGCTTTTTAACATTAGTATTTTTTAATATTTAGCAAAAAAAACTGTAATTAATAATTACTTTTACAAGTTACATTAACATATAGTTCGTCATTGGATATTCCTCCGTAGATTGTGGTCAATGGATCGAATGTACTTCTTACATTTAAAGAACCAGTATCAAAAAGAGTAATGTTTCCAATTGTAAACTCTTGCGACCTACATCCAGAGTCTACAAAAATGGTAAACAAATATTTTCCCTTATATTTGTCACCACTAACTCTGTTTGATTTATCAATAGTTGCAGTGTAGGATGCCATATCCAAGTTTGAAATTACCTCTACTATACCATTACTGAACCCATTCGGATAGTCCTCAATAGTAACATACCAACCAAATTTAATTGTAGAAGAGCTACTGTATTTAACATTGGTATCCGGGTAAGCTTGAATATCAGTTATCATCGGTGGAAAAATGTCACCAACTAATTTTATATTATTAATATCAATTTGTTACTTAGATATTGTTTTTTTAATACTTACTAGATTGAACAATCATAAGTTGAGATTGTTGTCCAAATTTTAGAGCAAGGGAGCCGGAATCAATGTGAGAGTGACCATTTAATATCTTGAATTCGAAAATTCCAGTAAGAAACTCTGGTAACAGGTAAAAGTCAATTTGGTATGCATCAAGTGAATAGTTGTAGTATCCTTGGAACTCTATACCAAATCCTGGTGTCATTATTGGTATCATAGTTGTGGCTGTAGAATTTGTGACAGTAAATATGAGAGTATTGTTGATGGGACCCGAGGTAACTGTCAAATTATTTCTTTCGAATGTAAAGCTGGTAATATTTTTGATAGTAAATACTTGAGTAAAATGGTTAGTTACGATTTCTATCAGCTTCAGATGTTAATGTAACATACTATTTTGGATTGCAGAATTACTAATAAAAGTATCAGTGCTCATTACAGACTTTTGACCAACTTCGTCTGTAATTGAAACACTATATGGTAGTGGAGAATTAAATTGACAATTTAATTCATAAACCCCATTATAAGAATCTCCCCAAATTAAGTTTGATGGACTCAATTTGAAACTTTCGATTTCAATACTACGTATATATTTAGAGGAGGATACTTCTATTCTAAAAATATAATTGTTCCAAGATGATGTGGTTAAAGACATATTCTTGATGGTAATGCTAGAAACTAAAATAATTATTATTGTAAGTAAATATTGTTTTTTTTGTTTGTTTTTAACATACATAGGTCACCATTTCCTATATTAATACTTGAAGAAGTTCCAAACTCACTTATGGAAGCAGAAATAAGACCATTTAAATTCTTGGATATAGAAAACGAAGTTTGGTAACCAAAAGTATTGTTATTAAAAATAGTAGTTGGATACCAATAATTTAAAACAAAACTTGTGTTTAGTATTCCTATATTAACAACCATATCATAGGTAGAAACATAAGACATGTATGAGGTGGCGGTTACAATAGTAGTGTCACTTGTAGAGTCATAGTTGGTAGTAAGAAATAACTTTCCTATTTTGGTAGAGTCTTTAAGAAATAAAATTAATAATCACAAGATATTAAAAACAAAATCAACTAATAAGATATCTTACCAAGTTTAGTTATTGAAGGAGTATATGTTGTTAAAGAGTCTGATGATTTATCGCATTTATACAATGATATCTTTTGATTATTTGTAGTGATAGCATCATTCTTTAAAAATGTTATGTGGGTTGAATTTCTTTTTACAATTTTAAATGTACTTAAAAGTCCATTTTTTGATTGTATTAATATAGATTGAAAAGTTGATGTTTCTACAATAGATAAAGAATGATATTTTAAAAACTGAAAGTTTTCTTCAATTGTATTGGTTGGATAGTTGGAGTACTTGATGATAGAAGAGGTAGGATTATCTTGTTTTGTTTAAAAAAAAAATATTAACAACAGTTTTTTTAATTTTGTTTTTAATTACTTACCATTTTGAATGAAAACATTGGTGATGGTAGTAGAAATTTGTGGAAAATTATCTAAAGAAAAATTAATTGGGATATTGTTTAGAATATTTGAGTAGGGTGGTGAAAGTGATATTGATACAGCAAAATAGTTGAAAATAAAATTATCAACATTAGAAATGGAACATGAAAAAGGTGATGGTGAAGTACATCTGATATTTAGTAAAAAGTTAATATCGAAATTAAATTCAACTAAGAATTGAACTATTCCTTTAGAGTCAAAATAGATAGGGTCACTCTTTCTTTTAATTGTGAAATCAATTAAAGAAAAATCTATATTTATTTATGTTAGATAATATTTTTAAAAAGTTTTATAAATAATTATTTAAATTACCTTTGCATTCATATGTTCCAATTGTAAAACGTTGAGAAGGATTCACAATAATTGTTAAATTATTGGATCCAATAATGAGAGATGTATTTAATTGGAAAATTTGGTTTTGTGGAGAAAGTTGAGAAATTAATGTTATATTATAAGAGGAATCAGATAAAAAATCTGAAATATTTAAAAAGGATTGATCAGAAAAAGTAGTAAAGATAGAGGGAGTACATCTTCCTGTTTTCGTATAAAATGTTGATGGATTGGTATATTTAGAAATAGATAAAGAGTTTATTTTATCTAATGATTTAAAATTAATAAATTAAATTGAAATTATTTTGAATTATTTATTTACTTACCAATAAAAATAAATAAAAAAACAAAGGACAAAGGAATAATTAATTTTTGCATTATTATAATATAAAAATAAAAACAAAATTTGTTTTTTTAGATAAAAAATAAAACAAAATTTATTTGGTTTTGATTTCTTGTCTTATTTAGTTTTTGGTTGTCATGTAGATTTTCTGGCATTTCAAATTATATTTACTTACTTAAATCCCAATAAACTATTGCCGAGCGACTCTGAATATGAATTTGAGTCCGACTTTTTATGGGTAATTTCACTTGTTGTTATAAATATTTTGGGCATTTTTTAGTAATACCCCTTTGCAGGTAAAGACCTTTACCTTTATTCTGTTTTTTTGTTATTTAGAATCAACCCAACTTTTTTTTTTTTTTTGTTTATCATTTTAAAAAAAAACAAAGGAACCAAAACTCCGAGTTACAACGAAAAAATCAGCTCCGAGTTACAACGAAAAAATGATCTTAGATATTTTATTTTTAGAAAATTTATTTTGGTACAGCTTAAAGTGTCGTCATATGATTTGTTTCATAACACGTGTCATTACTTCTGACAAAGAAGTCAAACAATAAAAGTTTCTAAAATATCAAATATAAGAATAAACCAAAATTTAGTATTTAATAAAAAAAAATAGTTTTTTCCTATCAATCTCTATCATAAAGATTAAATATAATTATAAAGATTTTTATCAAATGATATATTTCTAAATCAATTGATAATATTTTAAAAATTAAAATTAATTGTTGATATTCTATATTATTTGAAACATCTTCTCCAAAATAATCACTCTCCTCTTGATTCACAGAGTTTCTAATTATAGGTAATCGACTAATAAGGTCTTCTTACTCTACAATATGATTTCCCTTTCATTTATGTTGCTTTTCAACAATATTGGAAAATTATTACTAAAAGAATGTTACGAAAATTACACTGAATATAAAATAAGACTGTATATTTGTTACTGTAACAAAGAATTTTTTATAACAATTTAAATTAAAAAATATATTGTCCAATTTTCGATTTTTGTGAATGAATATTCGCCCAGTTAGCTCAGTCGGTAGAGCGCAAGGCTTTTAACCTTGTGGTCGGGGGTTCGAGCCCCCCATTGGGCGTAAATCTTTTGAAAAATTTTAGTTGACCGCATGCGGTTTGGTTAAAAGTAAAATGTAAGTTTTGAAGTAACCAAATGAGTTGCTTCTACTTAACAACAGGAATCTATTAAAGACCCATATCTTATAAGCAGCAGAACGAAGAGATAGATCCCACAAATTCAGACCACCATCATTCCAGTGAAAGCAAGACCTGTCCAAAGAAATCAAAGCGGTGAACTTTGCTTTGGCATCTTCGATTTTGAATAGATGTTGTTTGTCTCGTGGTGTCACAGTGTACAATGATTGGGAAGATGTCTGTAAAAGAAACAAATAGTTTCTGTAATTTAATCAAAAAATTGTTATTAATTTTATTTAAACATTTAATGTTGCTATTGGGAGTTGGCTACTTGAATTTTCGATAGATATTCCGAAAACTTTGAAAGTATCAATGCTTCTTTTTTAGTGTAATCTTGTTGTGATTCGTTAGTTGGTGTGTTATTATTATTATTGTTATTGTTACTATTCATGTCTAGATCTTCATCGCATTCGAGTGATACTTTTGATCGCAATTGGTTGGGAGGACTGTTGTCCACACCACCATTGTTGTAATTCTTTAGAGACATATATAGTTCGTATGAAAACTGTGATAAGTGCTGCCTGTCAATGTATCTATTGAGTACACCCTTCATTGTTTTATCATTACTTATATATATTTCATCATTAAAATTATTCTCTCTTATATTATTATTATTATTATTATTATTATTATTGATATTGTTGTTATTATTAATATCTTTGGTATTTTTATGATTATTGTCCAATAAACTATTACCTATATTTACATTATGATTCTTTCTATTTTTTCTATTATCGATTGCAGCTGTATCCATTCTATTATTCCCATTGAAATCATCTTTATTATTATTATTATTATAGTTATTATTATGAGATGATATTGGTGGTATAAATGGTGCTGGATTGATTAAAGGTGGTATGTTTGTATCCTATAACATAATAGTTAAATTAATATATAAAAATAACTAGGAAGTACATTTGATAATATTTAAACTTACAAGTTTTACCTTCTTGGAGGTTGTCGTTTGTGAGTGAGTAGATGTCGAATCCTGACGCTTATTAGGCTTTGCGGCTGTTTGTGCAGGTGGATGTTGATGATCATCTTTATTACAAGGAAGACCTTTGTTTTTGCAGTCATAGCACTTGCAGTTCTCATTACAAGGTACGCCCGCTTGGAAACATTCACAGTATTTTTTCAAACAACCACTTCTTCGACAATGACAACCTTTGAGATGTTTTTCTGCTTTTGGTTTCTCTCCATTCTTAATAATATTAGATTGGGAATTAATATGTAAATATAATCAAATTGATATTCTAAAAAGAGGGGACGGCACTTACAAATGATTGTTTGAATTTTGGTCCGAATGCATCGGGGTTTCTCTCGAGTGTGCTGGCACGTGCATTCTCTACACTCTCTATGTGATCTTCATTGTTGTGACAACCAAAGCACTGACATCCATTGCAGAGTTGTTTGCTTGCAAAACATTCACAATACATCTTGAGACATTTGGAGTTCTTGCAGTGACACATCTTGGTTGGCTGACTGGAAGTTGTAGTGGTGGTGGTGGTGTTGTTGTTGTTGTTTGTTGTAGATGCTGTACTGTTGGTCGATGATGATATACTGCCATTGGACGATGATAGAAGCGACGGTGATTGAATCGGTGAAGATGAAGTCGGTGATACCGATCTTGGTGAATTCTTTAGTGACGATTGTGAAGATGGTAATGGTGTGGCTGTAGAGGAAGGCGAAGGAATTGAAGTTGTATTTGATAATGATTTTCTTTTTTGTAATGCTGGTATTTGTGTTTGTTGATGAGATATTGATGGCAGTGATGTTTGTTTGATCGGAAGTGTATAGTTTATATTCTGATTATTATTTTTATTCGTAATATCCAAGTTACTATTATTATTATTTTCATCGACATTATTGAAATTGTTATTATTGTTATTATTGTTATTATTGTTATTATTATTATCGGACTTTCCTTTGATAATTAAAGGATAATCTAGTGTATTCAATTTGGAAGTAGTTGATTTAAAAAAGTTTGATTGTGGTGGAGATGGTTGTTTGTTTTGTTGGTTTGGTGGACTAGGTATTTGAGTTGTTGATGATGATGATGATGTCAAAGGAGGTGTTGATAACGTTCCATTATTAATGGTTGTTGGTAAATTGCTATTGTTATTATTATTATTATTGTTGTTGTTGTTGTTGTTGGTTACATGTGATCTAGTTGGTAGACTAGGTAAAGTTGTTGTGTTATTGGTGGTGGTGGTGGTGGTGGTGGTGAAGGCTGGGGATGACGGAAGTGGAGCTGTAGCTTTTGGCATCTGTATCTGAATATGTTGTTGCTGCTCTGTATTGCCAGTACTAAAGTGAATATCTGTATCTGTAGCTGGCATATCATACGGAGTGTTTAAAGGTGCAACAGAACCTTGAGAAGGTGTCAAAGAAGTAGATAGATCAGCATCGGAATGCGATGATGATGATTTATCTATATTACTATCCATTTAATCTAGCATCATGTATTGACAATATAGTTAGTACGATTGTAAAGAAATCATAATCTAAAAGTTGCATTGCAATAATGATCATTAGGTTGTCGAGATGAAAACAATACCTTTTATCATTAACTTAAGAACAAGTATAGCTTCATTATAACTTTAACTATAGATCTGCTAATTTAAACTCAACTCGTTATTCAATATGATATGATTCACTATTAAAAAAAAAGTTAAATATTAAAAATAATTAAATATGTAATATAAATGAAACAACAACAACGATCAATCATTTTCAAATTTTTGAATTTAAATATTTAAATTTTTTTTTTGAACTTCAATTTCGTATGCATGTTGACTCAAGCTTGACTTGTCAATAGAGATGAAAGTGGAATAAACAATGAGTTTGTTGTTTAATTATATTTCAATTTTACAATTATTTTATTATTGTTATTAATTTAAAAAAGGTTGTTGCAATAAATTTATTTGACTTGCCATTTGATGAATTTCAATGATAGAGCAGCACCTATCATAAAGATCAGGTAGAAACCAATGGTAATTGGAATATCAATGTATCTCATCCACCAGTGGAATCCATAACTTTGAATCCATTGAATACCGTCTGTGATTGGACAGTAGTATTTGACGGAACCGTCTATCAGTGGAATCGGGATTGCACCCTTGTTGTTGGTGCAATAGAATGTCGATCCATCAAACTCATTGACGGCAATCGCCTCGAAAGGATACCGAATGATATCCATATAGTGCATGAACCACCAACCTTTCGCCATGTTGGGTTTGGAAATCATGAAACCGGCAAACAACGACGACAACGAGAGACACACACCCATAATGAGAGTCGCCACAACATCGTTCGGAAGGAAACACGCCAGGAAGAACGCCAATGAATCGTATACCAGATACACCAAGAAGAACATGAAGAAACAGAACCAGAACTTGCCAGAGTGATCACCGCTATCCAATCCAGAGATGAAAAACACTGGTACCACGTAGAATACCACAGTGAAAAAGAGTAGTGGATAGCCAGAGATGATGTAGGAGAGCATGTACGATGAAACCGTGTAGAAACCAGATGCCCGTTCACGATAGAATACCGACCGCTCCAAACAGGTCGTTGGAATCGTCGAGATTGCTGCCATACCACCAAACAAGAGCGAGAAGAAAATCAATGAGACACGTGCACGCGCATCACGCTGCTCATGCTTCATACGCACAAACAGAGTACCAAGAACGGTGGCCAATAATAACGAACGGAAGAGATTGGCAATGATGTTGATTGGACGACGAACTCTGCTTTGTGCAGCACGCTTCTGTAGCACACCAAACTGGTGCGACCAAGACGCCGCATACTGGTGGTCATACTGAGGAGCAGTGAAATCTTTGGGAACGATTCCCTGAGCACTTTGGTCTTTGGTAATCAAATAGATATCGGATTTCCTGTATTCACCGGGACCGTCGAATGGCAGTTTATTTCCATGCTCGTCCAACGGTTGTCTGGTGCCATCGGCAATCTCAAGAACGAAATCGGCAGGGTTATAGTGCGGTTTGATCTCCATATTGAATTGTGAGATGTATCGTAATACATCTTCACTGTGGTGACCGAGTGGACCGAAATAGATTGTTTTTCCACCCTTTTGGAGGAGGAGAAGCGAGTCGAATTTCTCAAAGATCGTTGACGACGGCTGATGGATTGTACAGATCACCGTTCTGTTCAGCTTCTTGGTGACTCTTGAAACTACATTGATAACTTTGTAGGCAGCACCAGAATCCAGACCACTGGTTGGTTCGTCGAGGAACAGGATTTGCGGTCCACTTGCTAGCTCCACTCCGATATTGACACGCTTTCTCTGTGACAGTGAAATACCATCGCCAAGCACACCAATAGGCATGTTTTCAATTTTCTTGAGGTTGAGTAGCTCGATGATCTTATCGACAGTCTCGAGCTTTTGTTCTTTGGAGACTGACTTGTCGAGACGACACTCTGCACTGAAATGGATTGCCTCACGAACAGTCTGTGTTGGTGGAAGAACGTCCTGTTGCTCGACATAAGCAGCAATACGATTGAAAAACTTGTTCTTTGGCTTGCCATTGACAAGAATATCACCGGTGATATAACCACCGGTCTTTCTTCCGGCGATTACATCGAGAAGTGTTGACTTTCCAGCACCGGACGGACCCATGAGCGCCAACATAGTTCCAGGCTTACAAAATCCACTGACATTATCGAGTAGTTGAAGTTTGATTTTCTTCTTGATCTTTGGATTGTCGGGATCAGCTTGTTTGTAGTCGACGGAATAGCAGAGATCTTTGAACTCGAGGTACGAACCATCGGTAATAAGATTAGATCTGTCCTCGGGTATTATATGCTCGTCCTTGACCTTCTTCTTTCGTTTCTTCAAACGTTGGTGTACTGCCTCCTCTTCGTTCTGTCGCTGCACCTTTGCTTCACTGTATAGAGATGCGTTGGCGATGGTGGGGCCACTGGATCCGACATCGGTGAACGCACTTCCACTCGAAGAAGCTGCCCTAGTGATAACAGACTCTGACTGAGATTGTGAATACACCTTTTGTTTTCCAGTGGAGGTTCCACGTGAGAAGATATTCAAGAATGAGTTCTTGTTGTTGTCGATCGCCTTGGTCTTATGCTTTGGATAGAAACGCAAGAATGTCAGAGCAAGGAAAGCAACATTGAAGAAGAACAGAGTGTAAAACAAGATGAAAACAATACAAAGATATTTGAATCCATCGTTGGTATGCATTCCAAATTGTCGGAGAAAGTCTTCACCCTGGGTCATTGGACATACCTGACTTCCACCATAACCACCAAACTCGACTGGAACATTCAGTAGCGGATCGGACTGCGGAGGAACCAACTCTACGTCCCGACAATAATAAGCCTGATTAGAGAATTCATTAATTGCTAAACCTTCGAACGCCCACGTATACGGCGATATAAAGTATAGCCAAATCCACCAGCCACCAGTGATATTTCTTGGCGCCATGAAACCAGACATCAGCAAAAGTATACCAAGAACTGCAGACGATATGATATTAGCTAAACCAATCGTTGGTGATAAACTAGAAACCATCTTTACAAAACCATTTGACATTTGGTCAACCCTAAAATGTTTAATAATTAAAAGATAAATTAATAAAATGAATGATTTAAAACTAGAGGAAGTATTTCTATATCTTACAGAATCAACATGAATAGGAAATAACCAAACCGAACCAGTGTAGCTCTTAATCCACACATCCAATACAAAATGGAACTGAATATAATGATTTCCAGAAATGCTGCTGGCATATCACAAATAGTATTGGCAATAAAATATGGTGTAGTTCCATAGAATTTTTGCTATACATATTTTATAAATAAAATAGAATAAATAAATACAATTTTAAAGCAAATAATAAGAAAATAAATTACTTACTGATCTTTGTACATAAAAGATTTGTCTTTGTGCAAAGAATTGTTGAATGGAACCAAAAGATGAAAAGATAATAAAAGTCATTGCAAAGAATAGTAAACCAAATCTATCGTTACCACCCTTTTGATCATGGTCCAATTGGAAGAAAAGACCACCTAGAATCAGACCCATTACGACACCCTTTGTTACTCTCACAGCAGCACCGGCATAGTCACGAGCAATCATTCTAAATCCTCTAACAACAGTATACACAACTTGTCTTGGCATGGAATGACTAAACTTTGGTTGATCCGACGAATCTATCATCGCCTCTGGAGCTTGATCTCCCATAATACCATTTGGATGTTCTTCCAAAGATCTCATTAAATCTTGATAAACTATTATTATTTCCAATAAAAAGAAATTAGCATATTAAATAAGAATAATAGTAAAACTACTACTACATACCAGTTGATTCTCGATATGCTTTAACGAAATCATCTGAAGTTTGACATTTTGGTGGATGTAAATATGAATATCTTTCAGGATCATCAACAATCTCCTCTGTTTAAAATACAAAAATAATAATTGGTTAACAATTTAAATTGTTTGGAAATAAAGAAATTGTAAAGAGATAACTTACGAAAGAATTCAGATGGATTATTATGTTTTGGACATACGAAACCAAGCTTTTCAAAATAATCAAGTGCATCTGCCAGTGGACCGAAATAAATAATTTGACCAAGCGATAGAATCATAAGATTATCAAAGAGCGACGTTAGTTGTGCACTCGGTTGCAAGAGAGTGATTAATGCAGGTGAACTTGATTCAGTTACGATTCTTCTCAATCTACCGATGATATCGAGTGATGTCGAACTGTCCAGACCAGTGGTTGGCTCATCCATCAAAATCAAATTACTTCCACCGATGACGTTGACTCCTATGGTGACACGCTTCTTCTGACCACCACTGATACCTCTGACCAACTCGTCACCAACCAAAGTATTTCTAGATTCATAGAGTCCAAGTGATTTCATACAGAGATCGACTTTATCTTTCTTTTGTTGCTTGGTCAACGACGATGGAGCTTGGCAATCCAAGGCAAATGCAAGTGTTTCCTTCACCGTTAGCAATGGCATGTGATAGTCCTCCTGGGTGACAAACGCTACATCCCTATGGTGATTCTTATGGTTGATAGGATGTCCGTTGAACAAAAGACTACCTTCAAGTTTGGCATCTTTAACTTGACCGGCCAACACTTTGAATAGAGAGGACTTTCCACAACCTGGAGAACCAAGAATCAGTGTCATTTCGCGAGGTTTCAAATAGAACGACATGTCGTGGAGCAAATCCAATCTCTCTTTGTGGTTACTCTCATTCTTTACGGTGTATGTCAAATTCTTGGCGTAGACGTACATTCCTGTTTTCTCTGTCATACCAGGTCCCTCCATAATCTGTGCTGCTAATTCATCACCGTGATGACCTAGTGTCTCCTCCTCAGATATCGGGAAATAAGACGACGCCTTTTGCGATGCTCTCATCATGTAGAAATCCGATGTATTCTTGGATTCGCCTCTAGTCTCTGGGTATTGTGAACCTCCACCATTCGTTCCTCTTGAGAAAGAAACATTACTGTTCGTAGACGATGACATTCTTATATTACTCAAATCTCCTCCACCACCTTGAGAAGGTAAATTCATATTTGAAACATTACCATCATTTCCTCCACCTCCACCTCCACCAAACTCATTTGCAACAAAGTTATTATTATTACTATTATAATTATTATTATTAATATTATTAATATTATTATTATTATTATTATTATTATTTATGTTATTATTTATTGAAGACCCACTTCCTGCTAAATTTCTCCGACTTAATCCAGTCGAATCTGAAAAACCTGTTCTTCTGTGTGACGAATTATTATTATTATTATTGTTGATCATTTTTTGATCATTTTATTTTTATTTTATTTTTTCAAAATTAATTAATAAAATTTTATAGAGATCTATTAAATATTTATATTTATTATTAGTTAGTTATATAATTTAAATAAACTCTATAACTATTTCAAACAATTGTTGTTGGAATGTGAAATGTATTTGTTGACAATGATTAGATGTGGAATTCGTACTCAACAACAACAACAGATCTATCTATCTATTAAAATTAAAATAATGATAATAAATGGTAATGAACTATTTATTGTTAATTGCTAATAATTTGTTGCTTTTTTCACATTTGGATCAGTTTCAATAAATCATGCTCATTGCTCTACACATAGATAGATAGCAGATATTCAATATGTGATTATTTCCAAAAAAGAACAACTTGTTCTTTGTGTATGAGTATGTTGTGATGATCACACACTATCTCCCACAGCTAGCTCGTTGTTTTGACCAAAAAAACGATTCACAATGTATAGTTGTCAATAGAAGTTGCTGAAAAGTATCTTTTATCTACAATTATCATCATCATCATCATCTATTCCCATTGTGGTATTTTGGTTACATTTGTTTATATTGTACTATTAGTGTTGTGCAAGAATTATTTTCGAAGGAGAGTTTGGATGTTTATTCAAACTAAATTACAAACTCTAATTTCATAACTAAAATAGTAAATTTACATTTGGTGGAATACCACTATCATCTTTCAATTTAATACATTTGCATTGTACCCCCCACACAAACACCATGATATATTAACAATCCAAACCACACATAACAAAATAATGATTTTAATCATATTTATCACTCAGACACACGCACTCACAACCAATATGAATTCATTTTAAAATTCATTAGATGAATGAATGAGATAATAATACGATCATATGTCTCTGTTCAAAATAATTATCTATCAATAAAAATAATAATAAAAATGTAAAAAAATATTTATTATTATAAAATAATAAATAAAAAGATAATCATGATTGATTGCAATACATACTCTTACATTTACAACTTAATATCTATATTAACCGAGTCATAATTCATTACATTTCAAAACAAATTAAAATTGAAATTCGATAACAGGATATAGAATAATTGTTCATATAAAAATTTAAAGGTCAAAACAATCTTTAATTGGCGTTGTTTGATTGGTGATAATTGTGATATTGATGTCTGTCTGCTGTTTAATGAAATAGCCCATCCACTATACATATACCACTAATAATACAATCTAAACGACATTTAGTTTTTCAAGACTATTTTGTTGTCCACTCATATATTATAGTTGCAGGGGCATAAGGAAAGAGAAACTTGAAAAACAAAGGGAAATCTTGTATTTAATACGTTCTGTTGATTTCAATTTAATAACTGTGGTATTGGTGGTAGTGTGGTAGTAATTAATAGTTTGGTGAGTGTACATTCACTTTTGATTTCTCATTTAATCACATATATAAGAAGTGGTTGTCATTTTTTTTATTTATTTCTGGAAAGTAAACAAAAATAAAACAATAAAATTTGATAAATAAATATCTTGTTTGATTTATGATTACTGTATATATATAAGTATAGATTTATTGTTGCACCACTAACATTAAACAACACTTACAGACACATAAACACACACCTCTTCTTATGTACCTATTTTAGAATACTATAAAATCAAGAAGTGAAGATAGTAATGAATTTAAATATTTCAAAAGAGTTTAGTTAGACACGACCCCACTACACTCTATTTGATGATGCTGTATTTTATTTTCGAAAAACAACAATAACAACAACACAAAAACAACATATGAAAATAAAATCCATCTGATAAGGAGTGAGTGTTGTTGGTGTGGTAGATATGTGTAAACAAATAAATACTACACAATTTTTTAATATTGTTTTAGGTGGTGTGGTTGTTTGATTGGATTTGATTTGTTTTGTTTGGGTTTTGGTATTTTAATTTACTCTTATTTGTTTCAGGATATCATGATTGTAACAAATTCGATACTCTGCTATCAAATTTCAATAACCTAATGCAATATTAATATATATTTTTTAAATTTAATTTATATCTATTTTTGTTTTTTGATATCATCAATCAATCAATCAACAAATCAACAACAACATCATCATCATCATTTTTAGTAACAAACAATTTTCCCTTCAAATAAACAATCACATAAATAATTTTAACACTTCCAAAAGATTGATTTAATAGATTCTCAATTACATTATTAAATTAAAATTTAGGATAACTATAACTTTTTGGAAAATAATTATATAATTATTATTTTTATTTTTTAGATTTAATAATAATAATAATAAAATAATAATAGGAAATGGAAATTGAGACTAATTTTATGGTCTCTAGTCCGAGGGGATTAATTAGTCCTCGTGGACCAATAACATCTTCACTCAGTCCACTCAGAACAATGCCTTCTCCACCACTAAAATCAACAACAAAAAATTATAATCAATCAGATCAAATTGCAAATACCACAACTATTATGTTGGCAACTACCTCTTCACCATCGTTCAATTCCAACTCAATTGAACAATGTGAACAAGCAGGCAATTCAAATGAACGATCAAATAATTATAATAAATTGGAAACACCAATCATCAACAATGCCAACAGTAAATCAGAAAACAATAACAAAACAACAATTTCACCAACAATCAGTCATTGTGATCTATCATCTGATTTAAGTTCGTGTAGTGATCTCAGTGAGAATGATGACGAGTCAGACTCTGATAGTTGCCACATGACAACTGAAGAGGAGTTGGCATACTCAAAGAAATCATTGGCTCAAGCCAAATCCACAATTTCTTCTCTTATTGAACAGATATCAGACTATCAAACAATGGTAGAAGAAGAAAAAGAAAGAGAAAAAGAACAATTTCAACTTCAACTTGAAGAGGTAAATTAAAGATTATATAAATTTTACTATATTTTAATAATTTATTAATAATTATTTTAAAAAAATAGATGATGGAAGAACTGGATGAATTGAAAAAAGAGAAAAACAATTTAGCAAAAACAAATATTAAGAATTTGGAGACACTTATGCATGAGATCGATCAAATCGAAGAGACCAACATAGGACTGAGAGAAACCATTGAGACTGAGAAGAAGAGATACCAATCAGCGGTCGATACAATTCAGCAACTGAAGGAAGAGTTGGCCAATAGCATGAGTGGTGAGATGCCAAATCTTGGAAGCACATTGTCCATTCCAAGAAATGTATCTTCACAAGTAATGTTGGAATTCAAGGTAGACGATGGTGTTGTATCGAAAGTAAAGTTGGTTCAAGCAAAGGTAAAAGATGATTCCAATCCAAAGGAAGGTATTGGACTCTCGTTATCATCCAGTGGAATTCCAACATCAGTAATCGACATGGAAGAGGAGAGAAATGAACTTCTTAAGAAGTTACTTTTCGAAAAGGAAAATCATGGAAAAACTTTAACTGCCTTGAGAGAAGAGAAATTAAAGTCTGAATCCAACAAAACATCCGTAGATGAATTAGTTAAAAAGTAAGTTGTAAAAAAAATAACTATTTAAACTTCCTAACTTTAATTTACTAATTTAATTAATAATTAATAGGATTAAAGAATTAATTAAACTACACTCTTCAACATTGAAAGAGTTGGATGAAGAAAGGGAATTAAGTCAACAAAGAGCTGACCAAATTAATGATTTAAGATTACAAATATCAAGGGTAACTTAAACTTATATATATCATTTTTATTTGACTTATTAATTAATTGTTTCTATTTTAGCCAACTACAACAACTCAAAAACTTCAAAGAACTCATTCACAATTTATTACAATGAAGAGAACACCACCAATGAATGGAAGTAGATCCAACTCTATTTGCTCAACTGCCACTGAGATACCTCAGTTGTCACCTAGTTCATCGATTAGCAATGGTAGTTCGAAAGACGCTGCCAAGAAGTTGACACAACTGATTAGTAGTCTACCATGTCCTGCTCCTCCTGATTCTATGAAGCAGACGACACCACCTTCCAACTCATCGGATAGAGTGTCCCCAGTAACTGCGTCAAACATATCTTCTCTTACCTCTGGAATCAGTACTACCACACCTCCACCGGCCACAACTACTCCACTCTCAAACTCAATGGATGAGAATCTCCTCTCCAAAGACATTATGTTTAGAGAGAATACAACACTGCGTTGTGAATCATCGGCTGAACTAAGAGCTCTAAGAAGAAGTGCTGCCTCATTTGATTTGAATGCGTCGTCCAAACGAATGGTCAAAGTCAACTCGTTGTTGGGACACAATGAGAATATGATCAGTTGGTTGAACAACGATCCTACACCTGCACCCATTCAATGTATGGCAGAAGTTGGAAAGCATGTATGGGTCGGTTGTAGTGATGGATCGATTCGCGTCATGGACAAAGACATGCATACCACCGTTGCAACTCGTCCTGGACACTCTCCACACGGTGTATATACCTTGGTTGTAGTTGGTAAAACAGTATGGAGTTCCAGTCGTGATTCCAAGATCAAGGTTTGGAGTGCCAAGAGTGGTAAATTACTCAAAGAACTGGATGGTCATTCCAGTCACGTTACATCGCTACTGTTGGTGGGCCAAAACATCTGGTCGATCTCTGCCGATATGGCAATCCGTGTGTGGTCTATCTCTTCATATCGTTGCATCAAAAAGATAGAAACAAAGAGCTATCTTGTCAGCATGGCCAAGTTTAACAACCAAATTTGGATTGGTACTGAAAGTTCGATCCTCAGATGGGACTCCACTACTTTCGAGCAGATCGACACGCTTCAGGGTCATAAGAAGATGGTGCACTGCATGATACCCGTTGACAATTATATCTGGTCGTGCTCCAGTGATAACCTTGTGTGTCTCTGGGATCCAAACACCGGTAAACTAGTCAAGAGATTAACAGACCACAAGAGTAGAGTATTCTACCTGTTGCGAGTGAACAACCATGTTTGGTCATGTGCATGGGACCGAACCATAAAGATTCACCACGTAGAGACACTGGAGCTTGTCAAGGAGATAGAACCGGTGCATCGTGATGCGCTCAGCTGCCTCACTCTTATCAAGAAGGCAAACACTCTGACCTCACAAATCTGGTCAGGATCGTGGGATCACACCATTATCATTTGGAAGACATCCGATCCAACACCCAACTCTGCTGCTCTCAACAGCTTCAACACATTCTCTGGTGCCCATACCACACTTGATTCACAAGCATCTTCATCGTCCAGCGGAGTCAGTAGCAATCCAACACCTGTACCCTCGAGAAAGAGTAGTTCATCTAGTAATAACTTAACAAACAGCAGCAGCAGCAATAACAATAACAACAACAATAATAGTAGTAGCGCCAGTAATCAGCCAAGTAACAATACGAAATCTGAGAAGAGCACCAAGAGAGGATCAGTTAGATTGTCAATGTTCTTTGGAAATAGAGATGTCAATGCTACCACTTCAACTCCCAACCTCACTGTATATAACGAGAACAACAGGTCGATGGAGAACCTGCATCACCATCTTCCTCTGCACCAGTCGGGATCGGCCATTCCTACACCTAGCTCCTCGAGCACTTCACATCTACCCATTGTGGTACCAACACCGATCGTTTCAACGCAACCGCCAATCACCTCACCAAAGATGTCAACTTCACCACGTAGCGGAATATTCTCGCTGCTCTCGCCACGCTCACAATCGGTGGCAACTCTAGAGAAGTTAGCATCGCCACCCTCTCGAGCATTCTCACTGTCCGACTTTGAGAAACCATCGGGTGCACTCATTCCACATGATCTTATCAAAGTAAATCAAAACCATTCTGTTATGTGTAATATTTGTCAGACGTAAGTAATAATAATTTAGTTTGAAGTTTACAATCTATCTATCTATTTTTTTTTTTTTTTGATAATTCAAATTGAACCAATCTAATTTTTATATATTTACTTATTTTCAGTAAAATAACAAGTGCATGGGGTAAGAAACAAGTGTATCACTGTCGATCATGTCAGTCCAACTATCATCCAGGCGACTGTGTTGAGAAGTCTGCATCTATACAGTGCACTGGTAAAAATTAATTATTTTAATTATTTTTTTATTTAAATAAAATCAAAAAAAAAAACATCAACTTTTTTATTTACCAATTTATAGTAACATATTTAATACTCTTGTGGGCAATTTGTCTGTTTTTATTGTTTGGTGGGTCGATATATTGGGTTCTACAAAAAAAAAATAAAAAAAACAACTATCATTGATGTTCTTTATCTGATATGAAAGTTACCCAACAAAAGAATATGATTGTTCATAGTCAACTAACCTAATTATCAAGTTAAAATATAACAATTATACTATTTATTTTTAACAAAAACAAAAATATCATTGAAAAAAAATATATTTTAATCTATTAAATTTATTGTCGTGTTAAAATAGATAAATTTCATTATTCAAAAATAAATAAAGAACCGGTATGGTAACACACATACACACCCACACACTTTAAACTAAAAACTAATAATAATATTGAGATGATATTATTGATTCGTTTATTTCTTTAAAGACTGTGTCACAAGATTAAAAAAAATTTTATTTTTTTTATTTTTTTCTACAATTTTTTTTTGTTGTTTTGGCCAACACAATCAAAACACCAAAACAACTATCTACAAAATAGAATAAATTTTACTGACATTATTTTTTTTTTTTTTGAAAGTAATATGAGTTCACCAATTCAAAGACTTAGTGTTATTAATAAACACTTGACAGAAAACAATAACATGTCTGGTAAGTAAATTTAAAACTAAATAACTATATATATAACTACAATCTATTTGGAAATAGATTATAAATAATAATAAGAAAATAAAAAAGTGTTGTACTACAATCAATAATTTGTAATCTCAAGATTATATATCTCGTTTTTTTTTTGTTTTTACTTTTTTTTTTTGTAGAACATAATTATCTTATTATATACTTTATATTTTAAACTTATACAAATATATTACATTACAATTCATAAATTATAACATTTAGAATTAGAAATCAATAATGTTGGAGCAAACGGTGAAGCTGATAAGAAGAAGGAAGATTTCCAAAACTTTTTGGATATCTTACCAATCTTGACAAAAGAGATTCTCAAGGATTTACCAAGTATGGATATTCCAGCACAACAACAACAGTGGATTAGCAGATTGATTGATTCTAGTGTTGCCGGTGGTAAGATGAATCGTGGTCTCACCGTTGTCCACTCATTGCAATTGTTGGTAGAGGGTCGTCAATTGACTCGTTCAGAGGTGTTCCAAGCCAACGTTTTAGGATGGTGCGTCGAATGGCTCCAAGCTTTCTTCTTGGTCGCCGACGACATCATGGACCAGTCGATCACACGTCGTGGTCAACCATGCTGGTACCGTACACGTAACATGCTCTCGAGTGAGCCAAACGCCACCGTTGGATCGATCGCCATCAACGACGCTTTCATCTTGGAGTCATGCATCTACATTCTCGTCAAGAAGTACTTTAGAAACGAGTCGTACTATGCCGATCTTCTCGATCTCTTCCACGAGACATCGTACCAAACCGAACTCGGACAACTGCTCGATCTCACCACCCAACCAAATCGTGGTGACTTCTCGATGTACTCGCTCGACACCTACCGTCGTATCGTTAAATACAAGACCGCCTACTACTCGTTCTACTTGCCAGTTGCGTTGGCTATGTTGATGGCCGGTATCACCAGCAAGCCAGCTTTCGACACCGCCAAGGACATCCTCTTGCCAATGGGAGAGTACTTCCAAGTGCAAGACGACTACCTCGACTGCTACGGTGATCCAAAGGTCATTGGAAAGATCGGTCGTGATATCGAGGAGAACAAGTGCACCTGGCTCGTCTGTCAGGCCGTACTCAACGCCAATCCAGAGCAAATTGTTCATCTCAAGAAGGTCTACGGTCGTGAGGCACCAGCGGATGTCGCTGCCGTCAAGAAGATCTATGCTGAAATTGGAATCGAGAGAATCTTTAAGAAATACGAAGATGAAAGCCACCAAATGCTCGTCGAGAAGATCAAAAACGTTAAAATCATGCCACAAGAAGTCTTTTACAAGTTGTTGTCCAAGATCTACAAGAGAAACGTTTAAATTTAGCAACATCGATCTTTTTCACTAATTAGACTATTTCATTTATTTTCAAAACATTAAATTATATTAAATCCAATCAATCATTTTTCGCCAGTCATTCCACACATACACACATATATAATCGATACAATAATGCTAAAGAGAGTTGGTAACAGATTCGAGATGGAATTCTTTCAATCAAAACCTAATGACCCATCATTCAATCGCCTAACTTACTTTAACAATCAAACAACAAAATAAAAAAATAATAATTTATAAACTCATCTTTATTTTTGTCATCTACCTATTTGTTGTTAACTATATCGCTACTTAATTAATAATTTGGTTGGAAATCATACAAGCAAGTTGTATTGGTCTCCCATTTCTGATGCTATTCAAAACAATGAGAGATCCAGTACCTGCTTTCTGAAAATGAGTTGCTGGCAGATCATTTCTAAGAGTCTTGGAGTATTGTCGGATGAACAACACTCTTTCACTTGATAAAGTACAAAAAAATAAAATAAAAATAAAAACTTTAGATTATCTCTACAATCTATTTCACATTTAGTATGTTTTAAAAAATATTATTAAAATCAATGAAAAAACAAATATCTGATCAAAAAAAAATTAGATTTTAAATTGCAATAGGGTAAGAAACTTAGCACTGCGACAATAATAATTATTGGGCAAAAAAATTTTACTTGAATCAATTTGTGTTCTAACAAAAATTCTTTTAATTTGTTTTTTGTTGTGTGATCACCTTGGTATTATAATCCTTGTGAAATAATACGAAGAAGAAACAAAAATACTAGTAAATCAGATAAGAGGAATAGATAGAAACAAGTTTTAGTATGGTAAAAAAATAGCAAATAGCATAAAAGGTAAAGAAAATAAAATAAAAGAGCAATATTTAAAATCAGTAAAAAGAAGAAGTGTATCTTACAATATCAAGAACATCAATCATTGTTGTATTATTCGCATTATTATGTATCATAGCACACACCGTGTTATTCTCCTATTACAGTAATAATAATAATTAAAATTATTGCAGTCGTTTGTTTTTAAAAATCTAAAAAAATCTTTCATAGTATTTAACGGTTTATAATAAATGATTGTTATGACCTTCAAGTTTATTTCAATGATAATTCATACTTCTTATAAATAGTTATTTCAAATTAATTCTTGAAAAAAACAAAACAAACAAAACATAACATAACTTTGACAGATCAGATTACTAAAAGATTCATTACCATAAAAAGGTATACCTATATAGTCTAGTTTATTGTATCTTTTAAAAATATTGTTAATCATAACTTTAAAATTTTAACAACCATTGATTTTCAAACTCTTTAAAATAATAATCTTTTTATTTAAAAACATCAAAGTCTAGAGACCACACATATATTAAAATAAAAAAACAACAAAAAAGACAACAAATTTTTTTAAACCCAATTAAGTTAACCAAAATGAATACCCCACTTTGTTTTTAAATTAAAATAAAAAATTGGACTCCACACTCAATACTATCTTAAAGTTGCATCATATTTTTATTAATAAACCCATCACCATTTCAATTGATTGTTGTTGTTTTTCTTTTTATTACCACTTCAAGACTTGTTCACTGATTGCAATGGCATCACACCAACTATAAAGAACTACCCCCTCCACTTTTGCACTTTTCTTAAACAAATATACAACAGAATAGAAAAGACAAACCCTGTTGTTTTCACAAAAATTCATCACCAAACTAACCCTATCCCCACATACACCTATAGAAGAAAAAAAAAGGTCCAAAACAAATCACACATCATCATTTAGCCATAATATTAGAAAATGTCAAATTTTCTTCAAAAGGTGCTAAAATCACCTTCCACTCAAAACCTATTAAGTACTCAATCAAACAGTAGTAATAATAATAATAATAATAATAATAACAATAGTAGTAAAATAGAAGAATCTTCATCACCAACTATTGAAAATACAACAAAAGCAGCAGTGATAGAACAATCAGATGAAGCTATAAAACAACTACCTAGTCCACCATCGACCACTACCACCACCTCCTCCGATAGTTGTAATACAACTCCAACTAAAATAACACTGGAAAATTGTAGTAGCAACTCTTCCTCACCGGTTCCACTCGCAGAATCGAACCGCTCCGACTCTACAACATCATTATCCTCAGCTGTATCGTCCAACTCTAACAACAGTCACAATAGCACCTTAAACGTCAACAACAACAATCTACAACGACAATACAGTAACACTTCGATTCGCTCCGATGATTCATCTTCACTCGGAACAATGACAGCCAGTACTATAAATGAAGACTTTGACGAGAATGCCGGTCATCATATGCTTTCGAGCTCGTTGCCAGCATCTGGACATCTTCACCATCATCATGGAAGCATTTCCACTCCTACATCACCAACTCCATTCTCCTACACCGGTCAACAAGCAACACCACCACCCTCTCTCTCCAACTCTTCAAACTCGCGATTCAGCAATAAGAAGACATCGAATATCAAAGACAACAACCTCACACCCAGTGCAAGTCCATCGGCTAGATCACCAACGCCTCTCTCCGACACTGATTCACCAAGTGGTACTGGTAGTAGCAGCAGATTGGACAAGTTTATGAAAAAAGGAGCACAGATGTTACGTGGTCCCGATATTCATTTGTTTTCCTCCAACAAAAGCAAGTCGAGTTCCACATCAAAGAAAAAGAAACAACCAAAATTCGACCTGGACACAGAGATCTCTGCACCCTACAGTGTTGTCCACAAGATGCACGTCGATTTCGATCTCAAATGGACTGGACACAATGATTTTGTTTTAGACGAAAAGCTGGGTGACGGTGCCTACGGCTCCGTTTACAAGGGTACCCATAAAGATCTTGGATTCACACTGGCAATCAAAGTCATTGAGATCAAAGAATCCGAAGCACAGTCACTTCAGAACGAAATTAATATTTTAAAGAATTGCAAAAGTAGTAATATTGTATCATATTTTGGATCTTTACAAAATGAAGATAAGATTTGGGTAAGTAAAAAAAAAATGTCAACTTTTATTAATTTATTAAATAAGGAATATTTACTAAATAATATTTATGTTTAGATTTTAATGGATTTCTGTTCACTTGGATCGATTCGTGATATCATAGAGTCAACAGAGAAAACATTGAATGAATCACAGATTTCATTTGTAGTAAAGAATACACTTAAAGGATTGATCTATCTTCACAATCAAAATATTATACATCGTGATATTAAAGCTGCCAATATTCTATTGACAGACCAATCAGAGGTTAAATTGGCTGACTTTGGTGTCTCTGAGAAACTATCTGATTTCGATGATCAATCAAAAGAAATGATTGGAACACGTATGTTAATTTTATTTACTATATTATTTACTATTTTTTAACTATTTTGTTTAATAATAATTAATATATTTATGAATATAAATAATAGCATTATGGATGGCACCAGAAGTAATTCTAAAAAAGAATTATGATTACAAAGCCGATATTTGGTCACTTGGTATCACTATTATCGAAATGGCAGATGGACTTCCACCTCATATGGATATGAATCCAATGCGAGCAATGAAGGTAAATTAATGATAAACGATAATATTAAGTTGGTTGCATTTATTAATTTATAATTATATTTTACTCTTAGATGGTACCGATTTGGTCACCACCAACATTTTCAGAGCCAAAGAAATGGTCTCCACTTTTGAATGACTTTTTATCAAAGTGTTTGATGAAGGATCCAGAGAAGCGTTTGTCTCCTAAGGAATTGTTGAATCACCCATTCTTGAAAAAGACAAAGGGACCTGAAGTACTAGGTGATCTCATTCATCAAGTCCTAAGACTAAAGAAGAAGAAGCATGATGAAGCAAAGAAGAATCATGAGAATCACACAGACTCTACTTCTACCTCGGCAGCCACTGAAAAGTCGAATGAAACATCTGCCTCCTCCTCTACGGATATCAACAACCATTCCGGTGGTGGTGGCGACTCAAACGAAGAGAAGAAAGGAGGACTACTTGGTACTGCTACTAGGGGCACTATGGTATTTAAGGGTGTTTACTCGACTTGCAATGAATTCGACGAAGATGAAGATGCCGAGGGCGATGGTGAAGACGATGGCGATGGAGATGCCGACGACGACGAAGAAGTTGATCCATTCAGCACTACTGTGTTCCATGGCGAGCGTGCTCAGAACTTTGGAGAGGATGACGATGCAGAAGATGAATCAAACAACGATGACGACAGTGAGAACGACGAAGAATACTCGTCCACCGGCACCATGGTTCACAAGATTAAGAAGCCAATTCCACAGCGAGCCAATCACTCGAGGAGCAAGAGTACATCGGCAGCCATTGCACTCTCAGAGATACTCTCAATGAAGTCACAGATTCCATCTTCACAGATCCGCGGACCTGGTGGTATGCCCTTGAAACCACTTCCTCCACTCCCTCCAAACCCCACTTCCTCCAGCTTGTTACATCATAGCGGCGAGCAAACCGCTCAACTCGGTGAGTTGATTCACCAAGAGATCTCTAATTTCGAAACAAAAGTACTTAGCTACATTGACAATAAGAATAGGGATGCCGTGGAGGAGCTCAAGGAGCATGTCAACAGTGTCGAGAGAAACCTCATATCCTACGTCAACCAAGAACTGCAGAATGTTCTCAGTGTATTCACATTGAAGTTACAACCACTACTGACATCAATCGAAGAGCTAAAGGTTGCCAATCAACAGCTACTACAACAACAACAATTACAAATCAAACCACTTGTTACCAAACACTCAATGATAATTGAACAACCTAAGCGATGTACATCTCCAATTCTCTCAACTTCAACATCATCAGCATCAACAACTGTTGTTAGAAGACCACTTTCATCTTCAACAGCATCACTTGAAGAACCTAAATCAACTTCAACATCACCAACCACCACTGTATCAACATCAACATCAACTTCAACACCTGTCAATTTAACATCATCTCCAAGTCAAACACATAGTTTTAGACCGCTGTCAGCACCGGTTATCCATGAGACTTCACCAGTTCAAATCAATCAAAGAACATCGGCACCAATACCAGGTGGAAGAGCACCGATCATAAGTGCATCAACACATGCATCATCACCACCCAAACATGAATCTGTACAACAACAAACACAATCGATTTACAACAACAACAACAACAACAACAACAATATTAATCAAGCATCCAGAGTATCACCAACACTCAGAAGAATGTCATCTCTACCTAAAATCAACTCACCAGACACCTCATCGACTCAATCACCATCGAACGAAAAAAAGGCATTCTATCAAGATGATCATATCGACATCAACAAACATCTTGTTACTGAGAAACTAAAAATATTCCAACAACAACAACAATAATAATGATAACTACATACTACAACTATTTTTTTACTATTTATAATTATATTTATAATATATGTATTTAAAAGAAAATTATATCATATAATTAAATCTTGTGTAATAAACATTAATTTGTTATTTATTTATGAAACCCAAAACAAATGTCGCGATGTTAATTAAAAGGCTCCATTTTAAGGTTCCCATTTTCAAAAAAAAAAAAAAAAAAAAAAATCTTTGCAATTAAACTATCAAATTGGGGTTTCTTGGGGTTTCCTTTAGTTATAACTGTTTAAACATATAATAAAGAACTAATGAATTAGATATATAAAATCACGACATTTGAATGAACCATGTTTTTTTTTTTTTAATATAACATATAATATAATTATTTGTTCAGGTTTCTGTCAGAAAAAAAAAATGGTAGTTTTATCATAAAACCTAATCTTGACCCACAACACTTTTCAATTAAAATATTTTTTTTTGATAAATTAAAAAAAAAAAAATTAATATTTGCCTTGTTTTGATTGTGGTTGATTGCTATTAGCAATCATCAACAGTGCGCAATCAGTTACATTGTTTAAACTGAGATTCAGATATACAACATAGCAAAATATTTTAAGATTCATTTCTTTTTTTTTATTATTATTATTACAAAAAAAATAAATAGATATTATTTTTTAGAAAAAACAAGTTTATATATAAAAAGAAAAACAAAACAAAACAAAACGGTGTTACAGAAATATGACAATCGAAACATTTAAAGATAATTTTTGGGGACCTGGTGGATTCGATATTCTAGAGAAGAGAATCAATCAGGCAACAGAGAGTACGAAATATATGTTGTACTTTTTAAAGGAGCGTGCATCGATCGAGGAGAGTTATGCCAAGAATTTGCAATCGCTACTGAAGCGAACTTCCAATATAGTTGAGTACGGTACACTCAGAGATGCATGGTTTGCCGTCAGAGGTCAAGTGGAAACCACCATCTCCACACACCAGGAGCTGGCGTCGAAGCTCGACAAAGACATCGTCTCGTCGTTCCAAAAGTTCAAATCGGAACAAAAGAAAAATAAACGTAACTTTTTGCATGACGCCTGGAAACTCAGTAAGGAGCGAAGAGATCAAGAGAACAACATCGCCAAATATCGTTCGAAATACGAAGATTACTCAAAGCAATCCGAACAATTAAATAGTACTTTGGAGTCTGCAAAGAGTAGTGGTAAAGGTATAAGTGAAATTGCAAAGGTAAATACAATATAATAAATATTAAGGAGGAGGAGGATTATTATTAATATTAACTTTTGATTGATTATTAAATCTTTAGATTCAATCAAGATATACAAAAGCTATAAAGGAAAGAGATGCTTTTGAATCAGACTATAGAAATGCAGTTACAAAGCTGGCCAGTAATCAACCGGCTTGGGAGGAAAAGACTGCTTCCATCTATCAGACATTACAGGCAACCGAGGAGGAGAGAATCGATTGTATTAAGGTTCAACTCGATAAGTATGGTCAGGCAATCAATCATTCACAGAGTCAAATCAGTAGTGTAGATCTCTCTACGATCGTAAGCGATATCGATAAATACGAAGATATCAATAGTTTCATTAGAGAACACAAGACTGGTTCAGAAAGACCACCATTACCTGTATTTGTACCATATGGAAGAGTAAGTGTTAGAAAATAACTATATATATATATATATATATATAGGATAGAATTATAAATTTAAATGCCCACTAACCAAACCTTTAAAATAGAATTCATCAGAGTTTACTTCAGCGCCTAGTAAATCATTTTCATCTTCATTGTCTACATCAAATTCATCACCGGCAACTCTAACATCATCTGCATCAAGTTCATCTATTAACTCTAGTTATAAATCATCATCATCGACAGCACCCACTCTCAGTAAAGCTCCACCACCTACAGTTGTTGCAAGAAAACCACAGAAACAAGTGAAGGCATTATATGATTATGTTGGTTCTGATGCAACAGAGGTAAGTTAATAATAATAATACAACTAGTTAGTCAACTAGCTAACCAACAAACTAACTAACAACTAACTAACTAATTATTAAAAAATTATAGTTGGATTTCTATACAGGTGATATCATTACGGTGTTGGATGAAGATGAAAGTGGTTGGTGGAAAGGATCGGTCGATGGAAGAGAAGGTCTTTTCCCATCAAATTATTGTGATGTAATATAGAAGCAGTTCACATTTACAATTTAACATTTCAACTTTAGTTTAACCAACCAACAAAACAAACCAAAGTAAACCAAAACAATTCAAAAAAAAATAGATCATAACACCATCAAATCAATCAAAACGTAGTAGTATTAGTAACAGAGGTAGTTGTAGCAACGTCACCAAAGAAGAAGAAGAAGATATCGTCAACATTTTTTATTTATAGTTCAATGTAATAATAACATTCACACAACAAATTATCAATTTTTTTATTTTATTTTATTTTATTTTTTGGTAGCTTTATTTTAAACCAACTACTTTAATAATAATAAAATCTAAATAATTTAATGTAATAATAGATCTATTCTACCTAACAATCAACAAAAGTAAACTTACATTGACGCATTAGAATCATCAAAATAAGTCAGTACAATCCGAGATTTGAAATGATAATATTATTAACATTTGTAACAAAGGATCATTTAGTGATAATCATTTAAAAGAATTTTTTAAATTTTTGCTTATCAAGAAAAAAAACACAAACAAATGATAATATTTCCTTTTATGTTTATTTTATTCTTCTTGATGTTTTATAAATGTATTGGGTGGTAGTTGTGGTGGTGGTGTGAAAATAAATTTATTTAAATAAATTGGAAAATCTAAACTAAGGATAGATAAATAAAAAGATTTAGTTATAGGTTGAATAAAGTGAATGGTAGGGGTGGTCTATATGTTGAAATTGTTAATCTATGTTTGTCTGTTCAACTCAAATGTGTCAACATTTGGAAAACTAAATGTAAATGAAAGGACTTTAAACAACAACACACTACCACACACATCTCAAATAACAAAAACCTCAAATAGTAACCACAACAACACCAAAAACAACAATTAAACACAAAAACCACATCTTCCACTTTCAAAATTGTACCAACCATCTCCAAACATAAAATTAATCAGATCATTCTGATTTGTAAGAAATAAAATGTGTAATAGTAGTACCACAGACACCAATATATTGGGCAAAAAGTTGTCAAAAAAGAGTTCCAACTTCATCCCCTATATTGCGCAACCATACATTATCTTTTATACTGTTTTATTCAATAACTTCATTCCATTATAAAAAATAAAGTCATCTTCGAACATTTTTATTTAAACCAATAAAAAGAGTGTGCCAAGAAGTCAATATATACAATCTAAATTTTGAACAAAAATGGAATGTTCATCTGCACTTTAAACACTATTTTTTAAATAGTCAGTAACTGGATTTACACAATTTGGGAGATACATCTGATGATGTTTGGCTAGTTTATATTGAGATCATTGTATAGGCTTTGGTTATCAATTTTCTATAAATTAATTTAATTAATAAATAGTTCCATTCCTAAACTGAGATTTCAAAAGATTAAACAATTTTTTTTTAATTAATTTCCTAAATTCTATTATTTATTTTCTTTTTTTTTTGTACTTTTATAAATTTATGTATTTATATAATAAATTCACATAGTCTAATTATTATTAGTTCAAAATATACATTTCATTCATTGTAATAAATATAACAAATTTAACTATGAAAAACATTATTTTTTTTGTTATTCTCTATTTATTTGGAATCAGTAATGGTTTTGTTTTAAAAAGATTTTCAGATAGTTCGTGCACTGGTCAAGTACAAATGGTGGCTTATTCATCTACTTTACAATCTGACTTTGTAATGGCAAACGCTGGAGTTAATTGTAACTCACAAGGATGTACAATATCCAATTTAGATTGTACCTACAATTGCCAGCAAGTCTCAATAATCTATGGACAATGTTCAAATGGACTGATGGTTGATCAAAGCTACGATGTTTCTATCTATCAACAAAATCCTATTTATTCAGAATTCAAAATTGGGTATGTATTTTTTTTAATTCTTTAAACTTTTAATAATATCTAACAAAGTTGTTTTCATAGAATGATTTGGACATCAAGTGGATGTAGTGCTTTTTACTCTGGTTTACTTGTACTAAAAGATCAATGTATAAATAGTTTCTTTGGAACTCCTTATTTCTATCAAACCAATTCAAATCAAATCAACTTTGAACGTGGATGTAACTCTGGTTGTAGTTCATGTTCAACACAAAACCAATACTCGAAATCGATTTGTTACCACCAATTTTATGCTCAAGGTAATAAGTTTTCAAATTTCTTACTCTCATAATCCCACTTTTATAAAATTCACCTATTTATTTATATTTAATAAAATATCGACTTCCTTTTTTGTTTATTTAAATAAAATACAAAACATAAAGAATTAAAATTATTGATTAAAAAAAAACGAACAAACCTTTCCTTAAAAAGAAGAATTAAATTAAATTAATTAATTTTTGAATAATTGTCAAAAAAAACGAAAGTTTGAACTTTTATGGTAATTAATTTTCGAGTCACTCTTTTACCTAAGTAATAGAATAATGAATTTTCAAAATATAAAAAGAAAGAAGCAAAAGAGAGAAGCAGAGGAATCCTCTGAGGACTCCTATGATTTAGAGGAGTTGAAACAACAGTTTATGGCAATAGTTGCCAAGATTACCAAAGAAAACGACAGAATCGACTTTATTAGTTTCGTAAGCGAGCATCTCGATTTGAATATCGAAGACACTGAGCATGACCCAACTCAAGATGAATCACAAGACGACGTTAAACTTGCAACCATCATACAAGATCTTAAAGATCATATGCCATCAATCGATTGTATAGCTCCAAACGAAAAGACAATCATACCTAAAAATGATAATGTAAATATATATCTACATAACAATATTAATAATAATAATAATAATAACAATAACATTTGATTAATTAATATTTTTTATTTATTTATTTTTTTAGTTTAAAGGATATACAAAAGAGAATACAATCAATGTTGATTCATTTTTATATACAGATGATGAAATCGATGATCTTGTAGAGGCAGGTAAACTAAAGAACAACTATTGTCTCGATTGTAAATCATACAATGTAAAACCACTTAGTATGTATAGTAATTAAATGAGAAATAGAATGTTAACAACACACCTACTAACTAGCAAAATTTGATTAGATTTTATATCGCATTCAACATCACCTCAATTATTAAAATTTGTATTTAGTGACGGTGTTTTAAGTGGTGACCAAAGCAAGAAAGTATTCCTTGATATAGGTTCGAGATTAGGCTCAGTTTTATATACTGTAAGAAAACTAATTAGCACTTTATCATTGCATCGACGTTGATATTAATTAACTCTACTCTACTCTACTCTTTATTTAATATTATTAAAGGGTTATTTATTTAGTAACATTAAACAATTGGTTGGTATAGAATTGGATAAGTTCTTTTATGATCTACAATGTGATATGGTCAAGAAGTACGATATGAACGATCGTATCAAGCTGGTGCACGGTGACATTCTAAAGAATGAGGCGTTAATCAAGAATGCCGATATCATCTTTATGAACAATGTTTTCGAGTTTTTCGAATCCGATCTTAAGGTACACATTGGTTTCTGGAACAAGCTGAAAGAGCTGACTCTCGGCAGAAAATCGGTGCGTATCATCTCTATTCCTTCGATTCAAGACATCTTCAAGTACAACAAACTCGGACTGTCTCTCAAAGGCTGGCTCAAAGAAGTCCACTTACACCCAGAACATCTCAAGCATCTAGACGATGACGGTATCGATGAATTCAAAGATTTACATTTATACCAAGTAACAAATTAATATTAATAAAAATTTGATACCAGTTTAAGTTTAAAATAAATTAAATAAATTAAAATCAACACAAAACTAAACTAAACTTCTTTTCATCTGTTGACAATCACTTTTTTGTGCAATAGTAACACCTGCCCAACCAACCAACAACAATAAAAAAAAGTAAGTAATATTTATTCTATTGAAGATAATATCCAATCTTTTTTTTCTTATTTTTTTACTACCAACCCACCAATGATTTTGTTTAAATTTCTTGATTATCATTGACCTTGTTCTATTAAAATTCTTAATGTAACTATTTTATTCATAGATTTGTAAGAAATAAAAATAAATCAAAATGAAATTAAAACTATCAGAGAGATAGCCTCTGGGATGGAACCGAAACAACCAAAAAGGTGTTGTTGAAGGGTCATACAACCCTCGAAACATACCAATTTAATAAAATATTTGAAAACTAACCCCATTGTTAACAACTGTAACCCTTATCGATACACATTGCAATCGCCATTTATCGAAAATCAAAAAAAAAAAAAAAAAAAACAAAAAATAAATTGATAATAATATTGACAAACAGTTGTTTTTTTAGACTTTTTTTGGTTTTGTTTTTTATTGTATTTTGTTTTTTTTTTTAATTTTTTTTTTAATAATAAATAATTAATTAATTTTTGTTATTATTAAATATTAAATATTATTAGCAAAAGCAGTAATAGTTGTAAGAGTACCACCAACGACCACAATCATATCATAATCAATCATATAAAAAAAAACAAAAAAAAAAAAAAAAAAAAAAAAACAAATTAACAGATTTAGAAAATTTGTCTTTTAAATCTAATCTATCTACTTTTATTCATTAATTAATTACACATATCACTCACCATCAATCAAATTATTCAATCTAAAAAGCATCAACATCTTATCATCATTTCTCACCCATTAACCTTTTCCCAAATCGATACATCATTCACCCTCAACAACAACATTGATTAGGTCACTTATTAATTTATTCACACAACATAGCAGCAGCATTGATCAATACTCTATCCACATTGAGAAGCAGTTATTAGTTGAACAACAATTTAGTATTAATAATAAATTTAGTCTATCTATCTATCTATCTATCTAGTTAATAATAATATAATATATTTTGTAATTTTAATAGTTAATAGATTATATAATATATAAAATAGTTTTTGTGTAATATACAAAAGATAATAAAGTACTACTTAGAGAGTGAGAGAGAAAAAGCACAATCAAAAGACACATCATAAACACCTAAGGATTCTAAATTAAAAAAAAAAGAAGGTTTCGATTTAATCTTTCTTTTCTAGATTATAATTCAAAAAAAAAAAAAGAAAAACTTTAGCAAAGAACGACAATCAAGTTTGTGTCAAACATTCATATATATTTAAAACAGAAAAAAAAAAGAAAGAAAGAAAGAGAATTTAAAAAACAAAAATATAAAAATATGTCCACTTCAAGAAGTGTTGGCAAAATAATCGTTGGAATGCCAACTAGCGATGGAGGTATGTGTCGCGACGTCAGTAAACTCAAAAGATCATCGGAATATAAATAAATATCTAATCATTTATCACTACTATGACACTATAGCTGGTGTTAGACTTAGAAGAATAGTAGGTAGACCTATATCTCTATTGGACCCAATCATCATGGTCGACGAATTCAAGAGTGACGACGCCAAAGATTTTGCCGCTGGATTTCCAGATCGTAAGTTCCTCAATAGCAAATTGTTTAGATTTAATTTTCATACTAACATAACACCTACAATTTCCTAAACAATTACCTCAGATCCACATCGTCAGTATAGAAATTTTAATGAAATAGTTTAGGTTTTTCATTTTTGTCATCGGGTCCCACGATATTAATATTATATTATTTTTCAAAAATATTTTATAGGTGGATTTGAAGCTGTTACTTATATGCTGGCAGGTTTCATGGAACATCGCGATAACAATGGTAATCATACGACTATAAGTGAGGGAGATATACAGATCATGACTGCTGGTCGTGGTATTATACATTCAGAGATGCCCAGTAGCGATAGCACTGGATTACTATGGGGATTTCAAATTTGGTTCAACGCAAGTAGAAATAAGGATAACAGTTTTTCTCGGGTTTACTAATCAAATTTCCAACAACAGTTACCTCGCAGTTGCAAAATGATGGACCCCCGCTACATACCGATCAAGGCTGCCGCCGTTCCTCTGGTGATCGACCAGATCCGCGGCAGTAGAACCAAGGTTATTATGGGCGAATTTAATGGACATACAGGACCGGCACTAGGTGTCGTTGCCAACCCACAATGGCTCGATGTCGAGCTGCCAAGTGGAGCGTCTTTCCACACATCGATTCCATCGCTATACACCGCATTTGTATATGTTTATAAAGGAGTGGGCAACTTTGGTCCATTGACAAATCAAAAGGTTCTCAAAGAATCACAACTGGGTATTCTCGATTGTGCAAGCGGCGAAAACTCTGTAGAGGCATACTCTCCAGAGGGTTGTAGATTTTTATTAGTGGTTGGTGCTCCAATCAATGAAACAATAGCAAGACACGGTCCTTTGTAAGTATATTAATTAACTACAATCATATGACGATTCGCACTCATATTAGATATATTCTAACATACTTTTTGTTTTATTTATTTATTTATTTATTTAGTGTAATGAATTCTCAAGCAGAAATTAATCAAGCATTTTACGATTTTGAAACAGGAAGATTTTAAATATTTACATTATAATTACTATTATTATCAATTATCAATTATCTTTTTTTTTTTAATATTTTATTCCATTATTCTTACATTTTTCAAAGATATGGAGTGAAATTCGAATTATTATTATTTTTATTATCATTATTAAAACAAATCTATCCATGTGACCAGAATCACAAAGATCGACGACGACAACAAACAACACACAAAACAATATTTTTTTTATTTATATCCATATCAATCCAATTTAAAAATTATTCACCAAATATATTTATATATCTCTCTCTATTGAATACAATACCCCTCCCTTCCCCTCCTCCCCAATCAACTCAACTAATCAAAAAAAAAACAACCAAACAAAACCAAACCAAACCAACTTCACAGACTATTTAACATTTATTTTTATAAGAATTGCCATTAATTATCTTTTTTATAAAAAAAATCATATTTTTTGTATAATAAAAACCTAATTCTATTATTAATATATATAAAACAAAACTTAACAAAAATCCTTAGATTTCTTGAGAATTTGGTTGGCTCGATACCAGTTCGCATCAATTTATATCCAAAAAGTCAATCGTGGTCAAATTTTAAAAAAAAATTTTTTATTTTATTTTTTTTTGTTTAAATTGGTTGAGTCAAAGTGTGAACAAACAAAATAATCAGTAATATTATTATTCAACTTTTTATTATTATTGTTTTTTTATTTATAAATAAATAATGAGTAGTAATTTAAAGAAAGCTAGAATCGTGGAAAAAAGAGATAGTGATTCTAGTGGTAGCGACTCGAGTGATGACGATCAACAACAACAACAACAACAAAAACAAAAACCTGTTTTGATCGACAACGCTCATGGACACAGTCATGCTGGTGGTGCAGAGTGTGGTCACGACGGCGGCACATCGTCGTCATCGGCCGCAAAAGTACCACAATCAAAGCTAAAGACAGCGATGAAGTTCTTGCTGCTCTTCACAATGGTACCGATACTATTTTCGATGCCTTTCATATTGCGTCGTGCCGGTGAGATCGTCTCTGAGAATCGCGCACTCCTCTTCTACGTATGGGCGGTGTACGCTGTTATCTGGGCGCTTCTCGTGTACAGCAAGCGCAAGCTGATCACTCTGAACAGTTTCGTCAACCACAATCTGCTCTGGATGATCGTTGCACTCGGAACGTTCATCGTGCTCGACATTCCCAAGATGATACAACAGGTCGATCTGCGACGTGAAGTACTGCTGGTGTGGTGCACCATCACCTGGATTCCAAACATTGTGATCTTCTTCTTTGACGACAACGACCACAAAACAAAGGAGCGTCTCGAAGAGGAGAAGGAGAAGCGCAAACAAAAGAAGGACGAAGAGCGTAAGGTCAAACAGGAGGAGAAGCGAAAGAAACGTCAAAAGGAAAGAATGAACAAATACACACCGATGCAACGTTTAATGTACAACTCGTTGATCTATCTTGGTTTGGCAGTGCTCGTTGCATTACTCGCCTGGCAAACCTATCGTTGGTATCTAAAGACACAACAGAATATCATGGACAGACAGCGTAGTCAACATATCACTGTAGAGGATGATCCTGAACCAAATTATGATTAAATCAGAATTAACATTAAAATCAAAATCATCAATAATAATAATAATAACACAACTCAAAACCCAACACATTAACACAATCAATAATCAAAGAAGAACTATATTATTTCTTTTCATTTATTCTTTATTCATTGTTTTTTGATATATATATATCTCAAGATTATGAATATTTAATAATTGTTTCTAACTCACTCAACCTACCAAATTAGTAGATCGAACTTTAAGATTATATTTTGTTACTATTACTTTATCAATCAATCAATCAAATAATAATAATAATAATAATAATGTAAAATTGGAAATAGAGTAAATAATAAAATATAATTCAAACAATACAAAAAAGAAAACCACTTCTGACTTTTAATTATTATAATATCTTTGATTTCTAAAGGAAGAGGAGTGGAGTGTTCTTGACACAAAGTTGTAAACAACCTGGTTATTAAACTTACGGTTACATTCAAGTTTGATTATAGATATTATTTTTATATATTTTTAGAAAGAAAAAAAAAAAAAAACAAATGGCACCGATTTGAATGACACCCGATTAGATGGACAGCTTTGTGTAATGGTAAACAAAAAGGTTTTTTATTTGACACTTTTGATTGATTTTTTTTTGGGTTGGGTTGTAAAGATAAAAAATGATTGTGGTGGTGACATTGGGACTTGTTTGGTCCAATTAGTCAAGCCACTTATTATTCCTATGATGATCATCAAACTTTTTAACTATTAATAAATGATTAACAATTTATTAATTCTATCTTTTTTATTTGTATTTGCTCTTTGCAATCAACAACTATTTGGTGGTAGCTTTGCATTGCCTTTAGTTTTGGCTAATGTCTATCAATTCAATGAAACCGTAGATTGTTCTCTTGGTTGCCAGTTTTTTGATTCCACCATCTGGTTGAATGGATCTGCTCCGAATCCCAACTCTGTGAATGATACTATCATTATCGAGACTACAGGTGGTGGTGGTGGTTCAAATGATGTTTTCATAAGCACTACACTTACTTCCAATTACACCTGTAACAATTTTATTATTAGTGGATCTGGAAATTTGAATATCACTTGGCAGAGTGAAGACTATGAATTTACAGTGACAAACCAGCTAAACATATTTTCCTCTGGCAATCTACACTTCTTAAACACTTCATTAGTTATAAACCAACTCTCAATCAATAGCACTCTATCAAAATTGTATATAAACAATAGTTATAACTTAAATATAAATACTGTTAATTCAAGTGGATTCATATATGTAGAGAATGTTACATCCATTAGTATTGGATCATCCCAATCTGTAAACAGTACAACCATTTACAATAGCAATAATATTGACAACATTGAAATATCATCATTATCTACAACACTGCTTTTATTAAATAATAATATATCTATTCAAAATTTATATCAATCATCAAACTCTAATAATAATTTAACTATATTTACTAATTATAATGTAGAAATCAATTTTAATAATATGTTTTTAAATACTTTTATAATCATTAATAATTCATCAACTTTAAATATAAATAACAACAAAATTACAAGCTTTGATAATTCATCAATAATTGTCTATGGACAATTGAATATTCAATCTAATATAACAATACCTTTGATAAGTGGTGTTGGAAATGAATCGATCATAATTATCGGTGGTGGTGGAAATACAATTAGTGCAACCAACCTCACATTGGATGATGGTGCCATTCTATCTTGTGTATCAGGTACAACTATCATTGGTAATATTAGAATTGGAAACAACAGTATGTTATTGGTGAATAACACTAACATTGAAGAGTCTTTTGTTGTGGTGGGTCAACTTAATCTTATTACATTGAAAAGTATGCTGTCTTTACAAATCAACTCTGTTAAAAATCCAAACATTCCATTGCTACTCGTTTCATCGATGTATATCAATGATAGTTCCATAGTTGTATCGATAGTTACGGATGAAGTGATAAAATCAACACCGTTCCAGTATCTTTTGGTGAACAGTAGTCTTGACATTGACAGCCAGTCGTTTGCACCGTTCCACAGAGCTCAAGTTAGCTATTGTGACACCGACCAGAAGCAACTAGACCACTACAGCTATGAGATAAAGAATGCAGGTTACAAACTCTATCTCAATATCAACACGATCTCAAATGATCCAATGACCTCGTGGAAGATCGTCTTAATCGTCCTGACATTGTGTATCATCACAGTCGCCATTATCGTAGGAACAGTACTCTACTTTAGAAATAGAAAAAGGAGACAACAACAAATTCAATACTCTACAATCATCAATCAACCAGAAGAAGACAACGACAACAACGACAAAGACGATTAAATCATTTTAAGTAAAACACACCAAACAACCACTAATATACCAACATTTCTCCAATCATGAAAGTTAGATTAATGTTATTCTTTTCTTTGTATGATTGATTTAGATTGGTTTATATAAATAAATAAACATTTCCTTTAATGATGATGATGCTACGTTAGTGCCAACATTCACCAAATAACTAAAGTGCAAAATAAAAATATTATTTAATAAAAATCTTTTTTCCCAATTTCCGTTTATAATTTTTTAAAACAGCAAAAATAAAAAGAAGTAAAAAGAAATTTCTAACACCTTTTTGTTTTTTTCAATCAAATAATATAATTCATAAAAATAATAATAATAAACATTTGTAACTATATAGAATTGTTTCAATAATATAGATAATAGAGATAGTGAAATAATAATAAAATATTTAATATCTTTTTTTTTTTTGTTTTAAGAAAAGACACAAGATTTGCAGCTAGTCAAGACTGATATCGATCAAAGTTTGTTAAATAAAAGATATAGGATAGAATTATGTCTATTACTGCAAAAAAAGTTGGAAATAGATATGGTTGCACTGGGAGTTTCAAGGGTTTCGAAACGGCGTTGCCCGACGAACTCTATGGACAGTTTAGAGTGGACGAATACTATTCAATCATATCGGAGTTCAACAGTCATGTCAGAATACCAAAGGTTGCCGTATTTCTATTTCTTGTAATGGAAATGGTTACACTCGGTGTATTGTTCTTTGCCATCAACAAAAATCTATTATTAGTTACCTACATCGCTGTTGGTGTTTGCTCACTTCTCTCCGTCGGTCTCGTAGTATTTGCATTAGTATATCAATCATCTGTAAGCTATTGTCTACATCATACCTTAGCAACACTACAACAACAATCAAACCATTATCTAACATAACAGTAATTGCTGTTTTCACAAACTAAATAATCTAGATGACAAGAAGAATGGAAGAAACAGCTGCGAAATACTCAAAAGAAATATTTCGAAAAAGGTATTGCATTTACCATCAAACCAAAGTATCTATCTTGTTCAGGAAAGAAATTTAGATTTAGAGTATGTTATTGATAAATACGATCGTTTTAAAAGCCTAACCTGTACTAACATTGGGTTATTACAACTAAATAGTTGACAATTCAATATCCAGATCAAATTGTACAGATACCACTTCAACAAGCACAGTCTTATCAATTTTTACCACCTACACATATCTATGGTGTACCACAATTCCAACCATATATGACACAACAACAGCAACAACAGATGATGCAACAACAGCAACAACAACCACTGCTACAACAACAACAGCAACCACAATCACAACAAACAAATACATCAACACAAACACCACAACCAATGCCACCAGGTTACTTTCAACAATACTATCCACAACCAGTACAAAGCACATCGAATCCATTTTTAATTTCAATCGATCAAAGTGATGCCTAAAATTATCTCACCAAACTTAGCAGTTAACCGATTTTCATTCGACTCCAACTTACAAAACCTTATCATATCATTTTATTATTTTCAAAATTAATGTCAATATCACATTAATCAACAACAACAAACTCCTCCCTCTCTCACACAATCTATCTATTTATACAACATATTTAAATAATATATTTTTTGTACAAATAAAAAATACCTTGTATTTAATTAATTAAAACCAATTTATTTATCCATCTTTTAAATGAATGATTAGAACAGTACAAGAGATCATGTTGCAGCTTTAATGATTTTATCTCAGCAATGAAAACACACAATTAAATTTTTTTAAACACGAGTGAAGTTGAACATACTCGTAAAAAAAAAAGTATTTATTATTAAGGTGAATAGCAGTATTCATTCATTTTAATTTCAACAATGTTAAATCTTTTTAAATATAATATTAGTAAACTTAGTAATAATAGTAGTAAAAGTTTATCTTTAATTGGAAATTTTAATAATGTTACTAGTCCTTACAGTTTTATAAAACAACAATCTTTTAATACAACAACAACAACAACATTGTTGTTTGCTAATAATAATAATAAATGTTTCAATGATAATGTAGATTTCAAGTTCTACACAAAGGCAAATCATAAATATACTAGAAGAGCATCGTATACACATCAACAAGATATAAAGTCACTGAAGAAGAGAGAGGAGAAGAAGGAAGCTTCACAACAACATAGAGAACCAACAGAGTTCCCACACAATAAGAAGGCACATGAACACACCAAGCCATTATCACATCAGGATAAACTTGATCTAAAGAAGAAGTTGAAGGCACGTCGTAAGAAGGAGATCAAGGATGACAATGCTGAGCGTGTCAAGCATATCATGGAGGCGGAAGATGAATCTGCACAGGAAATCAAGTCTGCATCATCGACCTCATCACACAGAAATGCATCGACCTCGTCACTATTGAATGCTGCAGCCAGTTCTGTTTCCATAGAGAAGGGTGAAGAAGTATTGGCAGCACTCTCAAACAGCAATCAAAGACGTGTAAATAACATTCAATTGGAAGACGATGACGAAGATGATCAACATCATCAAGAGGATATTGATGATGACAATGAAGAAGATTTAATCTATCAAGATGAAGATGAAGAGTTTGAAGAGGATGAAGATAATGAAGATAATGAATTGGATGAGATCGATGAAGATGAAGATGAAGATGACGAAGAAGGCGATTATCGTGATCAATATGAAGATGACGATGCAGATTTGGAGGAGTATGAAGATGATGGTGAGCCAGAGTTTGATTTGGATTCGATCGATCCCTCAAAGATCATCGAGGTCGATGCAGAGATGTTGAAAGATCTACCGGTCGATGATGACGGTCAAATCGTTCTACCAAACTTTATTTCATTCGAAGATGCCAAATCAAAGTATGGTTTCACAGAGAGAGAGTTGAAAGATAGTGCATTCTCCTATGCCGCTGCAGAAGCCGCCAGACAAATGGAAGCGGAGAAAGCACAAGGCGAAGACAAGAAAGGTGCACCAAAGAAATCAAAGAAATCAACTAAACAATTGGAGAGAGAAGCAAAGACTGCTGCTCAATTGCCAAAGGTGGAAGAGGTAGAAGAGGAGGAGGAGGAGGTCGAAGACTCTGAGACCACAAGAAAGAAGCAACAGAAACTCGACAAATCATTGAGAAAACAAGTGTCTCAAGTCAAAGAATCAAAGAAAGAGGAATTCGAGAATATCGATCATTTCATTCGTGACAAACATCTTCAGAAGCTACAATCGGCACGTGGAGGTCAAATCGGAATGCAACCAATCGTCAAAGGTCCACCAAAGGTAGCCGAGATTATGGAGGTGTTGGCCGAAACCAAACTAGAGGATTTCTGTGTCATCGATGTATCGGACAAATGCAAGTGGACTAAATATATGATTGTTGCAAGCTCAGATTCAAACAGAGTCATATTAAATGCTGAAGAAGATTTATTAGAAAAGGTAAGGAAAAATCATGATTTATACAAACACCAACTTAATTGGTTATAGCAATCGTTTTATTAAAATTATTCATCATTACTATTATTTATTATAAATATAGTTCCAAAATAGATTATCAAAAGGACATCAACCAAGAAATCCAACTGATGACTCTGATGTTTGGAGAGTTTTGGATCTTGAAGAGTGTTTGGTTCATTTGTTTGAAACATCAACTAGAGAATATTATGATTTGGAAACACTATGGGTAACCAGAAGACCAGCCGGTAGTGAAGAACAAAGTTGGGATGATGAAAAGACAGACATGATCGCTGAAAGACATTCAAATCCAAAGAATGACTAAATGAAGCACTAATCAAATCAAAAATAACCAACCAATCAAACAAACAATTTTGAGATTTACCAATAAAATTATATAAATTTTAAATACTTTTTTAGAATACAACTTTGTCGTTATTATTATACAAAAAGAGATATAAGCGTCCCTAACAAACAACTTTTAAAGACAAGTTTGGTCAAGGAAAAGACATAAAATAATATTCATACTTTTCTAGTTTTTTTTTAATTTTTTTTTTGGAGAAAAAAATTAGATAATTGCATATTCAAATGTAATAGTTTAAATACTCTGAAACATGTTCATTATTTAAAAGCTATTAAACTATGACTACTTTAAATATCGATTTAAATTCTTACAATGATTGTATCATTGATAATTTCGAGAGTGAAACATTCAACAAAGTATGTAATTTAATTATTTTTTTTATACAACTTTAAAGTTGCAACACTCTTTTTAACATTTGGGTATTTCATTTAGCTATACAAGTTGGTTGTAGATCATCATAGAGATGATTTAAACGAATCAAATACTGTATTGGATGTTGCTGAAGGCAATTTGATATATTTAGCTTTGGCTGGTAGTCAATCATTCAATTTGCATATAAATGGGAGTGATCAAGATTTCATTGGTGTCAGAGAAGCACCTATTGATGTTGTTTTGTCGCTAGATGGACCAAAGGATACAATTCATCATTTGAAACCTGATATTTCAATATATGAGTTAAGACACTATTGCAAGTTACTTCTAATGGGTAATCCTAAGCAAATAGAGGCACTCTATACAAAAGATATGTGTTACATCTCTGAGGAATGGCAACACCTGCAGCGTATCAAAAGAAAGTTGATAACATTGGTGTCGATCGATCACTACTATAACACAATCAAGGCACTTCACTATGACTTGAAATATATGTCTAAAGAGAGATCACTGTCTTTGGATGGAAATGCAAATGAAGAATCAAATGAAAAGAAAAGGAGAAAACATCAAAAGATGGTGGAAAACAATAAGGTACAGAGTATCATCAATCAAAAGAAACAAGAGGATGCGAATCTAGAGGTTGGAAACACATTCCATAAGAAAGCATATCACTCTATTAGACTTTTGACAGAGGTGAATCGTTTGTTGGATGGATTGGATCCAATCGTGAGATTCGAAGATTCAAGTTTAGAGAGACAACTCATACTCACTATCAGAAAAGAGGAGATACCAGACAAGGAACTAATGGAGTTGATAGACAGTAAATACAGTGAATTCGAATTTAAACGACAGAGTATAGATACAAGTAGTTTACCAGAGGAAGTTGATATCGATTTAGTAAATAAGTGGTTAGTTAATATTCGTAGGAAAGCAATAGATCAAGATAAAAGCGACAGATTCAACTTTAATAGCAATCAAGGTGGTCAGAGCATAAAACAACAAGCAGATAATTTATTGTTAAAGAATGGTATTAGAGGTCAAGTTATTTATGTTGGTATCAGTGGTAGTCATCTCTTCAATCTCTCTACCAACTCTGATGAATCTCAGCTCTACGACTATGTTGGTGTTTATGCCGCTGACACTGATGATGTTGTATCATTATGTCCACCACCAATCAAGATAGATCAAGAGTCAGTCAGCAAATCTAGTGAATATATACCCAGGAATCATAAGCCTGCACCATCACCGGTCGCTACAAAGAAAGATATCACAACTCGTGGAATGATTCTTTATGAAGTTGGCTATGCAATCTCTTTATTTATCAATGGAAACTATCGATTGTTCGAACAACTGTTTGTCGATGAAAGAATAACACAACGATATACTACCGATGCCTGGTTGGAGTTGTTGTCAAACAAGTCATTCTATTCGAATAGAACAATGGCTCAGGCTAACTGGGGAGTAGGACAAGCCGAGTATATGAAAGCACGTCAACTACTTGGACTGAAAAAGATCATTACAAACAAGAGAGCTTTGAAGAAGTTGTCAGCAGATGCGACAAAGTATGAAAACGAAACTATTGGTGAGAAAGTAACAGACAACGATATCAAGTTAGCATCTCGGTGCTTATACTACTCCTTTAGATTGTTATGGGTTTCGAAACAGATATTAAACGGTAGCAAATCTCCATCGTTATATTTTGAAAATGATAGTGAAGAGAGAAATCTGTTGTTACAACTCAAAGATGGACTGATAAATAGAGAGACCATCATGACATCTATTGAAAATTGCAAGTCACTTATGGAAGAGACATCAGAATCATTGGAAATATTGAAAACTATTTGCAAATCCGATGAATTGGAATCACAAACCAAGACTCTACTCAATCCATGGTTAATAAAAATAAGAAAGTCATTATAAGTGTTATTTGTTTATATTTTTTTTTTTTATTATTTTTTTTTTAATTTTCTTTTATTTTAAATATTCAGAGAAAATGTTTGGGTCAATTTACTTCTTCTCGGTGAACTCAGCTTCGGTGGTGTTATCGTTGTTGGTGTTGTTGGTGTTGTTGGTGTTTGATGATTGGTTGTTGTTGCTGTTTTGAGCGGACATCTTGGCCTTGTAGGCTTGTTCGAAAGTTGAGGTGGTGAGATCACGCAATCTCTTGATTTCAGATTCAATGGCAGCTGGGTCCTCCTTGGAAAGGGTATCCTTGACGGAAGCAACGACCTTCTTGATCTCTTCGGTTTGTTGTGGGTTGAGGTAGTCCTTGAAGTCAATCAAGTCCTTCTCGGTTTGGTAAACGACAGACTCACCGCTGTTCTTGGCTTCGACCAACTCTCTTCTCTTCTTGTCAGCCTCGGCGTTCATCTCTGATTCCTTGATGATTCTGGCGACGTCATCCTTGCTCAAACCACCAGAGGCTTGAATACGGATTTGTTGGGCCTTACCGGTGGCCTTGTCCTTGGCGATGACGGAAAGCATACCGTTGACATCCATATCGAAAGTGACTTCAATTTGTGGGACACCCTTTGGTAATGGTGGCAAACCGAACAAAGTGAATTTACCCAACAATTTGTTGTCGGCAGCCATCTCTCTCTCTCCTTGGAATACCTTGATTTCGACTTCTTGTTGACCGTCAGAGGCAGTCGAGAAGACGTCAGTCTTGGAGGCTGGGATGTTGGTGTTCTTCTTGATCAAACGAGTGAAGACACCACCGTAGGTCTCGATACCGAGTGACAATGGGGTGACGTCAATCAAAATAATTCCTTTACCTTCACCAGACAAGATCTTACCTTGGATGGCAGCACCGACGGCAACGGCTTCATCTGGGTTGACACCCTTGAATGGCTCCTTGTTGAACAAATTCTTGGCGACCTCTTGTACCTTTGGAACACGAGTCATACCACCGACCAAAATAACTTCGTTGATGTCCTTTGGTGACATGGTGGCATCCTTGAGACAGATCTTGCATGGTTCGATGGTCTTGCTGATCAAGTTACCGACCAATTGCTCAAACTTGGAACGGGTCAACTTCATGTTGAAATGGACTGGACCGGATGGACCAGCAGAGATATATGGTAAGTTAATTTCGGTTTGGAGGGTTGAGGAGAGCTCGCACTTGGCCTTCTCGGCGGCTTCTCTGAGACGTTGCATGGCCATGCTGTCATTAGTTAAATCGATACCCTTCTCCTTCTTGAACTCGGCAACAAAGTAGTTGAGCAACTCAACATCGAAATCTTCACCACCAAGGAAAGTGTCACCATTGGTAGCTCTTACTTCGAAAACACCACCGACAATTTCGAGAATGGAAACGTCAAAGGTTCCACCACCCAAATCGTATACGGCAACAGTCTTTGGTTCGTCTTGCTTGAAACCGTAGGCCAAGGCAGCAGCAGTTGGCTCATTAATAATACGGCTGACATTCAAACCAGCAATGGTACCGGCATCTCTGGTAGCTTGACGTTGAGCGTCATCGAAATAGGCTGGAACAGTAACAACAGCATCCTTAATTGGGACACCCAAAGCAGATTCTAATAAATAAAAAAAACTGTTGTTAGTCATCTTGTGACCAAATTATGTATTCATATGTTTTATAAACAAACTTACCAGCAGTCTCCTTCATCTTGGTAAGAACCATAGCACCAGCTTCAGATGGTGAGATTTGTTTTCCCTTGACTTCCATCCAAGCGTCACCGTTTGGACCTCTAACGATTTTGTATGGTACCATTGTCATATCCTTCTTGGTCATTGGATCATCGAAACGACGACCAATCAAACGCTTGGTGGCAAACAATGTATTGGCAGCGTTGGTAACCATCTAATTAGGAGAAGAGAATATTAATATTAATTACAACTGAACAGATAATTATTCATTTGATAGTTAGTTATACATACTTGTCTCTTAGCTGGCAAACCAACGATTCTTTGACCGTCGTCAGTGAAGGCGACAACGGATGGGGTAGTACGACCACCCTCAGAGTTCTCAAGAACACGGGCATCATTACCTTCCATGACGGCAACACAAGAGTTGGTAGTACCCAAATCAATACCGATGACTGGTCCAGATACCTTTGAGTTTTGTGTGCTGTATGATCTTAATCCATTGTACTAAAAAATAGTTTATTACAAAAGAAGAAAGAATTAGAAATCAAAATAATAAATTCATATTTGAATATAATAAATATAATTAATTAATTAAGAGATATATAATTTAAATATAAATATATATTTATTATATATATATATATATATATTGATTTTAAAAGTAATTAATTAATTAATTAATTAAGAGATATATAAATCTACATACCAATGAATTTTTATTAACTTTGGTAAATTGCTTCAACATTTTTATATGTATGTTATTATGTTTATGAACACTAAAACAACAATAAATGAATTGAAATCAAGGTAATGATTATTTTTGTTGCTTCTCACTTTGTGTTGAAAAAAACCGAGGTATAAACAAACCTCGTCTTCACCATAAAAAAAAAAAATAGAAAAAAAAATCAAAATTAATTAGATTCAAAATTTTTTTTTTTTTTGTCAATTTTTAAAATAATCATTATGTCATTCAACTTCATTAAACAGACATCGAAAGGCAGTGTCAGGTACTTTATTTTGAGTAAAACAGAAGAATATATATATTACAACTAAATAACTACAAATCCGATTTAACTAAAAGAGTTAGACTTACCAGGCCAAGTTAAACCGCTTTTGGAAACATTACACATCATCATTGGAAATAGTCAAACCAAAAATGAAAAAAAATAAAAAAAATTGATATCATTTTTAAATTCTATCGAAAATTGTTTGAAACTCATGTGAAATTTCATCAAAATTTAGTTTGTTGATTTAAATACAATCTAAATTAAGGATGATAAATCGATGTTTGGCAATATATATATATTTTGTATATGCCTATTATTATTAATTAACAACTCCCAAATATAATGATCTATTTAGTTTTTTAAATGACAACAAGGAATACAATGAATCACAATACAATTTGGTTATCTATTCAAATCATTCATTTCAAATCTATGATATTAATTTCTTCATCGGACCAACAAATAATACTATCAAAAACCAAATTATGAGGTTTGGTCAACAACTACTGCACTTTTTTCATTCTTTCAGTGGCATATAATGGAACAAAGCTACATGATTGGAAGACATCTTGAGACCAATATTCTTATCTTGATTGACCTCTTTTTTTCTGTTCGTGAAGTAACACTTCACGCTATAACACAATACAAGTAAGAAATGATTAAAAGAATGTAGAATGTTAACACTTTACATTTCTATAGTTAAAAAAAAAAAAAAACAAATGAAAATATTGGAAGTTACTCAAATTAATGCATTTGTCTCAAATAAATAAATATTGTTTGGAAAAGTTTGATTTACAGAAATAGTTTATTTTATTTATTTTTGTTAAGCGATAAGATCATAGTTTTAAACCAAGTTGAAAAAAATAAAATAAATATATATACAAACACTTTGAATTACCAAAATAAATAAGACTTGAACTTGAAAAGATATATACAACAGACTACACTTGTATAATCTCTCACGGAAGAAAAAAAAGATAATGAGTCAACTTGGTTTTTAATCATTAATAAATATGATACACTTAGCCATAGAAATAAATAAAAATCATCATATAAAACAGTGGTCGAGACAAGAATAAAGATCAACCAATTTTCTGACAATTTAGTATAGACTTTTGACAATCGCCTTTGAATGACTGGACTTAAGTTGTTGTAAGAAAAAAAAGAAGATTAGTTAAGTAGTATTGCCGTTGATTGTCAGGTTGATTGTTTTTCTTTAAGTATTGTAAAATACTCCACCCTTATATATAATGACTAAAATAAAAAAGAGGTTAACAATATAGATTATATATAATACTTTTTTGATTATGTTGCATAAAGTGATAGCCAGACTATACTCTATGGGTTTTTATGTTTCTGTAAATTTGAAAAAAAATACGGTTTTAGTTGTTGCCAACAAATAATTATATAAAATAAATTGGATTCCACATTACCCGTCTCGATGCCTTCTTTGGATCATGAATTCCACATTCGACCAACAGAGGCGCGTTACAAGATGGATGAATCGGCGTCAGGCTTTGGCTTGGCTTTGACTCTGACTTGCAGTTCTTCTTCCAGCTGGTGTTATATATTACAAAAAGGTTTGGTATACTGGCAGGATCAACATCTAAGAGTTGTTCACTGGAAAAAAAAGCTATTAATAGACGACGTAATCGGATACTTGTTGTGGTTGGTATGCTGGAGCATTGATAAACTGTTGTAATTGTTGTTGGATTTGTTGTTGGAGTTGTTGGATTTCTTGGTTATCTGCTTGATTATTACTCATGGTACTGCTACTACTAATACTGTTACTGTTATTATTACTAATAAAATCTAGATTATTTAGATCTAAAATAGAATGTGAATATGAGGAATTATATAGGGGTGAAATTGGAATAATGGGAGAAGTATCAATGTGGGACTCAAAATGATTGGTGTTGTTGATGTTGTTGTTGGATGTTCCATAATTGGAATTCTGTGTTACCTGATCATTATAAATAGAAAAATCGGTTACGTTGATTGGATTGCTCATGTCACTACGGCATTGGTAGCTAATGTCAGATGCAGACATACAGCTGTTGGCAGTGGCGTTGACATTGGAGGAATCGGTGGATGGCATAGTAAAATTGTATTGGTCAGAGCTGATGGAATCTAGACCGGCATCGGCGTTGATGGTTGGATAGAATTCACTTGGCGAGGTTGGGGTCGAGTTGGCGGATGGCGACACTGGTGAGAACATAGAGTTTGGTGACGATGGTTGTGAAGCACTCTCGTTGTGGACTGTGATAAGACTGTTGAGACCGTTGGTTAGACTGTTGACTTGGTTCAACAACATGAGGTTTTGTTTGTATAGCAGAGAGATAAGTTCACGATCTTTCTTTTGTTGGGCTCTGAGCTTCTTGACTGCTCTATTTACAGTGGAATTGGCATTGTTGTTGTTGGTATTGTTATTGGATGAATTTACAGTTGCGGTTGGTACGATTGGTGAGGATGGAGTTGGTTCTGCTTGCTTTCTCTTTCCGGTGGACTTTGGTGCGGTCTGTACTGTATGTTGGTCGTCGACGAGTGACAACTCTGGCGAGTTTGGAACGACTGGTGGCGAGACGGCTGGTGTACGCTTTCTCTTGCTGTCCAATTTAGATACGCATTTGATGGAATCGGTAACTAAATGGCTATTATTAAAGTCTACAGATACACGGAAGCAGTTGTTCTCGTGTTTCGACGATAATACGTGGAGTCTGGTCTCGATGGTCATCGAACGTTCCTTCAAGTAGATGTTATAGTCTAATGGTTTGGTCTTACGGTAGGTGACACCGAGTTCAGAGCTAGAGTCATCATCATACACCAATTGTACGACAACAGCCTCCTTTGAGAACTCTGAAGACAGAAAAGAGAACACAGATTTATCAGAGGCATTTACAACGATCAAAAATGGTGTATTCTTTACGACAACATCAATATCATTGTTTTCCTCACGATTTGTATCTTGTAATTGAATTGTAAACATTTTTAAAATATATATATTGATTTATTTATAATAATTAATTATAATTATAGAAAAATAAAATTTAGATATTATTATGTGTATATAATTAAATTTAATTGTTGAAAATTATAATAAACTTTGACAAAAAGAAAAGAAAAGAAAAGAATTGAAAAAAAAAACCAACAACAAAACCAACTCTTCTTCTGTGGAATTAAAAAAAATTAATTTTTTTGATTTTTATTTTTTTAATTTTTTTGGGACTATTCTCTCATTATCCTAGCACCCCAAAAAATTATTTTTCTTTCATTTTTCTTAACTTGTAAAAGATTTCTCGTTTGGCGGGGTAATGTTTGAGTCTTATAATGTATTGATGAAATTTTAAAAAATGAACAATGGATTTTTCAGTAATTCGATTGATAGATTTATTTTAATTAAAATATTTAATATTGTTTTCAATTTAATATTTATTTATTTATTTGTTTGTTTAAAACAAACTTGATAAATTAAATGGTTGAACATTTTTTTATTTAAAATTAATTATATTATCATTCAATTCCTCTAAAAACTTATCTAATGTTAATGTTATTTGATCGGTTGAGTCACGTCTTCTTATTGTGATTGTATTGTTGTCTTGTTCTTCCTTTCCGATGACTACGAGGTAGTTGTAGCGGAGGGTGATCGCTTCTCTGAGTTTTTTGTTGATTGTCTTGTCAGAGAGATCGCTGTCGATGTGATAGCCTGCGTCGAACAAACGCTGTTTGACGGCGTTGAGGTAGTCGTTGTAGGGTCCGCCGCTGCCGTCCGAGTTGACGCTGACCGGCGCAATGAAGATCTGGCGAGGTGACAACCACAACGGCCACTTTCCTTTGGTGTGCTCAATGAGAATAGCCATCATACGTTCGGTGGAACCAAAGATGGCGCGATGAATCATAACGGGTCGTTCGGCACGCGAGTCAGCAGCGGTGTATTCCAAGCCGAATCGGATTGGCAACTGGAAATCGAGCTGAATCGTTGCGCACTGGTGACTCTTGCCGTTGGCATCTTTGATGTGGATGTCTATCTTTGGTCCGTAGAATGCACCGTCACCAGGATTGACGCGCCATTCGCGGCCAAACTCGTTGAGCACCGACTCGAGCGACGCCTCAGCGCGGTTCCACATGTCTACGTCACCGAGGAATGGCGTGGGTCTGGTAGACAGTTCCAGCGAGAAACTAAAGCCAAACTTGTCGTAGACAAACTGCATAAACTCGAGACACTTTTGAATTTCCTCGCGGATTTGGTCTGCGCGACAAAAGATGTGCGCGTCATCCTGCTGGAAGCGACGTACTCTGGTGAGTCCGGTGAGCGAGCCGTGTGTTTCGTTACGGTGAAGTACACCAAAGTCGGCGATACGCATCGGTAGATCCTTGTAGGAGTGCGACTTGTGCGCGAACATCAAACAGTGACCGGGACAATTCATCGGTTTCAGCGAGTAGCTGGTGTGGTCGCATTGGAAGCCAAACATGTTGTCTTTGTAGTTTTGCCAGTGTCCACTTGTTTCCCAGAGTTTCTGGCTGTAGATATTCGGTGTGATTACCTCTTCGAATCCACGTTTTCTGTATTCGGAGCGGAGGAACGAGTGTAGTTTGTTGTAGATACGAGTGCCGTGTGGCAAGAAGAAACAACTTCCAGGACTGTACGGATGGAAGAAGAACAACTCTTGGTCCCTGCCAATGTTTCTGTGATCCAGCTGCGCAGCTTGATGTTGCAGATCCTTCCAAACAGCTAATTGTTCCTTCTCTGGGAATGAAATACCAGAGAGTCTCTGCAGTGTTGGCAAAGCAGCTAAACTTCCAACAATACTAGAGTTCTTTGTCAATTCTATACACTTTAGCTTTCCACTTGACATCAATGTTGGAATCTTATCGACCAATGTAATGAATCCATTGAATTCAACAATCTCCACAATATCACCATCATTCTTAAAGTTATTATTTATAATATCTAAATAATACAAGTTATCCTATTATTATTATTATTATTATAAGTATTTTCAAATAAATTATTATTATCATTATCGAATCGAAAATACAAACCTTGAATATTTCTAAAGATTGTTTTTTTGTAATTGATTTTCTTGTGAATGGTTTATCGGATTGAATCAATGTTGTCATGATCTTTTGTATTGATTTGATGTCTGATTCGGTGATTGTTCTGTTCTCAGGTAGATACATGTCGACTTGGTATCCATCTTGGAGTGCATTGTTGGTGAGTAGATAGTTGTGATGGGTGATGAATGAATTGCTTCCGAAATGTTGCATTGCAGCTGCCGCAGTGACAATGGAGCTACTGAGCCAGAAGCAACGTCTAGCATCGTCATTCTCAAAGTCAAGCAACTCAACGTTTGACTCACGCTCATTCAGCGCCTCACCAATTCCATGTAGTTTACCGTTGACACGTGACAACAAAACACGATTTGCCAAACTCTTTGAGATGGTTCTTGCAACTGAGAATGGAGTGCTTACACCCTTTTGACCGTTAATCTTTCTACCATCTGGTAATATGATATCGATTGTATCACTATCACCACTATTACCACAGTAAAATCTTTGACTTGTAGTAGTAGTCACCACCTTATTTGTTAAAGATGATGTTAAAAGTGGGGTTGATCTATAATTTGTTTGACATCTAATGTTATTGTTTATATTGATACTGTTGTTGATACTATTATAATTTAAAGATAGATATGATCTACTATGATTAAATCTAACACTATTTGATATCAATAATAATCTAGATGAAGATCTAGATAATTGATAGTTCATTTTTCAATATTTGTACAACATCAAAAAAAAAAAAAAACAAGTAAAAAGTATAAACAGAGTGAAAAAAAAAAATAGATCAAAAACTTTTAAAAGCATATATTTAAAATGAAATCAATCAACATCAAAGATGATAATATAGAGTTTCATATTTTTTTTACTTATTCCTTTGTAATGTTATGCAAATAATTAAATCATCTCTTTTACCAATAATAAATGTCGAAATTTTCGATCTAATTTAATCAATGGTGAAAATTTATCTCAAAAAAAAAAGTTGTTGGGTTGATCAATTCAAATAAAAAAGTCTTGTTTTGTGTTTTGATTTTTTTGACACAAGATTTGATATTGGGTATCAAAACTTCTTTTTTTTCATGGATGGTTCTATCCTCACGGCAAAGATAATAAAATTTAAAATTAAATAAAAGTTTTTGATCAAGTCAACATTTTGTTAAAAAAATCTTTCTTAAACATTCCAATTAAATTAAAATAAAGTAAGAAGTTACTGCTTACTTATTATACAATGACAATTATTTATTCTGTATTATATTTGTTGATAGTTTTATCTTCATGTAAGATCCTAAAATTTTTTTTTCAAATTCTTTTTATTTTATAATAAACCATCTTATTAATTTCTTTTTTTTTTTTTTTTCAAATTCTTTTTACTTTATAATAAACCATAGGTTTGAATGTCATTGTTTTATCAGATGGTAACAACCAACCTAATCTCTATAATTTCGATCTGAGTGATATTGTTGAAATTGCAGGATTATCATATCACAGATTAAACTATTTCCCAGATGTAACTCCCACTCAATACACCTATTTCCCTCACCTCGAAGGTTATATGGCATTCAGTAACAAAATATTCACATTGAACAAATCGATTTCTTGGGATGTGTATAGCTCTCAACCAGACATATATCCTCCAATGACATCGAATTGTGGTATTATTACATCGAATTGTGGATTCAACTTGTTAGTCATTGAAAATGGTGGAATATTAAAATACTTTAACACAGCGAGCTCGAATATGGCCATCGTTGTAAAAGCCGGAGGTGTGATAGAGCTCGATCCTCAGAAAAATGTAAATTTTGTAACTTCAATGCTTGTTCTCTATCCTGGTTCAACATTTATATCACATCCATCGTCAACCGTGACTCATACTATTTCACCAAGTTTTCCAACATTCAGTGGACCTACCCTATGGCGAGAAAGAGATCCATTCCAAGTTTCTTCATTCCTCTGTCTTGGTTGCACAATCGATATCCTATCTTCGAGATCGGCACAAGGTGTTCCAGCTTCATTTGTTGGACTGGCCGATGGTATCAAGTCTTGTATCACCACCACCTATCCAAATTTCGATTGGACAAATCCCATTGCCAACAATGGAAAAACTGGACTTGTACCCCCAGTAATCGGTAATGATTCACTTCTTTTATTGACATCGATCCCAGGAAATTATCTATACACTCCGGCTTGTAAAGAACCTTATATTGATGATGCACCGGTTCTTCCAGCATTCACTATGTCACCGGGAAATGATCCAAATATAATGGGGGCAAATTTCATTTACACTTTTGAAAACTCGAGTAATGTAAATATAAATGGTGTCGGTATTCAGAGATCATCCATCTTTATCACAGGAAATTCAAGTGTAACAATCAGTGGTGCCACATTCGATAAGATTGGATCTACAGACACCTCACCATTCGATGACACAACTTGGGATGGAGCAACCCTCTTAGTTGGTAATAATATTCCTGATCGTTATCCAATAACGTTATTCCAAGTAACCAATTATGTTACCATTACAAACAACGTTTTTCGTGATGCTCCAGTAAATTCCACTTTATATACATCACCAAGGTAACTATTCAGTTTTTTAATAGAATTTCTTAATTGCTTTGATATTAAATATTTTATTTTAATTTTTATAGATTTATTATTGGAGTCAAGAGATCTTTTGGAACAATCAATAATAATGCTTTCTTATTGAGAACACCAGAGGCAACAGGTATTGGATTCCTCCATGGTACTGAAGAGTTTGAAGTTTCATTCAATACATTTTCAACTCCTATTCTTGGTAATATATCACAACCTGATTAGTATGTATTATTATTATTCTTTTTATATATATTTTTATGAGAATACTTATTCTTTAAAAGTGGAATATATCCAGATGTACGACCAGGAAATACTGGAGTCTATACAGTTTCTCCCTACATTACATTGAAAAACAATTCATTCCAAGGTGGATTCCAAGATGCTTCAGTTATTATCGAGCCATTGACAAACAGAGTTCAACTGACTGGCATGAATACCGAACCATTGATTGGAAAATATGCAGGTCAATTCCAAAATAATTCTCAACCAATTTATACACTTTGGAATCAATTCCTTTGGTCTGGAATGGAGGAAAACAAATTTTTTAGAACATCATTCCCAAGAATCAAGAATTATCCAGCCAGCTCTCCATCTCTCACTCTGAGATTTTACAATTCAATTTTCTACAAGATGATTGGTGCCAACTTTAGAACTACCAAGGCCACTGTTTTCAATTATGATTTGGTTTTCGATCAAAGTTATATCACTGGTTTCTTTTCAAGACTTCAGGGTATAATAAATATTGGACCAAATAATGTTTTTGTTGGAAACTATCGTGGATTATCATTAATCAATTCCAATGTTTCTATGGCATTCAATCAATTGGCAAACTCATATTTCAGAGACATCATTCACAACGAAAATTCATTATTCACTTCCAACATCTCACTACCAACACAATATCAAAATTATTCACCACAACTTGCTCTTAAGAATTCACCACTTTCATATTGTGATGACACTGGATCAACCACAGTTTCAGTTTTCAAAGTATTACCAGATCCATCAATTCCACTCACCCAACCAAACTTTACCTACACAATTATTTACGATGCATACAATACCTATAATATATCTGTGACTGTTGACGATATCCCAGTTATCACCAATGTAGTTTATAATAATACAAGAGTAGCGAACGTTGCAATTAATATCACCAATTTCACACCTGGATATCATAAAGTCATGGTTACTAGTTTCCCACTTCTAAAGAGATATGGAGGTACCACACCAAATGGATATAATTACCGTTATTCTTTGACTTACCAAGCCAACGTAGTTTCCAATTACTTGGTCGTACCTAAGCTAAACTTTTATCTGGGTATCGATATTAACCCAGACATTGACTCAAGAAAAGCTCATCTACCGATTTTCGATCAACAATGGACAAGATGCCAATGGGTTTCAGATATTTGTCAAATTTCAGGTGGAACTTATTCCAAATTCGACAATCCACTACCATCTATCACTGACGGTGTAACAACCGTCACCAACGGAACAACCATTAATATGTTGTCGACATTCTATGGAAATTCAAATGGTCAAGGATCATCGATCACAATCAACCTCCAACCTGGATACTATCAACTGTTCCTCTACTATGCCAATCCAACAAACGTTCAGCCACAATATACACAATCAACATCACTTCCAAGATTTTCAGTGACAATCAACGATCAATTCGTCACACCGTTGACAAGAACATTTGCCAACTACCAACAATATCAAAGAGCACCAGAGATCATCATCAACAACGATGGAAGTTCATCGAAATCATACAAGATTCAATGGGGATACAACGGAATTTACACTCCACTCTCTGGAATTGAAATCTATTCGTCATTATCCACTCCATATCCAATTCCAAACGATCCGGAAGATCTTAACATTGCCAACCGTAATCATCAACTATCTTTAACTTTGTTTGCTTTAGTTTTATTCTCAACTGTTTTTCTTTTCTTTGTATAAATAATAAATAATATTAGATTATATTAAAACAAAAATGTAATAAAGATTTTGTTTGCACAACCTAATAATGGTAAATATTTATTTTATTTGATTGCCAAATTATTAAATCAGAAGCTAGTTAGCTAGATTCTCGAGACTTGAACAATCCATACTATCACTCTCTTGTACGGCAACTTCCGGTATGACAACACTTTCTTGTTGATTGTCATCTTCCTCATCGTCATCGTCATCTTCCTCATCACTATAGTCATCATCATCATCAACTTCGGTAGTATTCCGAGTTTTGTCAGTTGCCATTTCTTCAGTCGATAGATTGCTAGCATCTGGCTCAGTTTCACTCTTGTCATCTTCATCATCTTCCTCGTGCATCACTGTTTGATTCGACGATGTGGCGGTGGCACTGGCAGTGGTGTCGGTCACTGACTGTGGTGTTTTCGTGCGGTCAACGGGGAGCAAAGTCTTCATTAGTTCTAATACACGACCAACAGTGCAGCCTAGTTTTTTGAGTACAAAGTCTTTGGTCTTTTCAATACCTTGGTCAAGCAGTAGACAACCAACCACCGATTCAAACAGATCACCCATACGCTTTTGATTAAAAACGATACCAGGGCAGGAACTAAGATCAACACAATCCTTGAGATTCAATTGCTGGAAGATGCATGCCAAACTATCGTTCTTAACCAAAAGAGCTCTTGCCTGAGAAAGAAATCCTTCTTGTTCATTGGGGAATGCATGGAACAAGAAATCCGATGTCACAACATCCAAGAATGCATCACCAAGGAACTCCAATCGTTGATATGACATTCTCGGATCGGAACTACAGTTCATCGCCTCTGTAAACAAACAATTATGTTTAATTTCAATATTGTTTGCAAATAAAATATTAATTTGTACATCATCTGCGGAAAAAAAAAAGAATGATTATAGGTTTGTTAGATAATGATTGATTTCAATGCTATCATTATAATTAAATTAAAAACATACTTAATGGTGTTTCATATTGATGGTGACATTTATATTCTGGGAATTTGGAATGATCGATTTTGAAGATCATCTTCATAATGAATCTAAAGGCTTCGTACATTCCTCTCTCTAGATAGACAGCACCAAACAGAGCTTCGACTACATCTGCCTTTGGTTTTTTGATATCATCTTTGTTTTGTGGCAATCTTAATACCTCATCCATTTCAAACATATCGCAAATCTCTATTAGATAGTTATTGTTTGTCATCTCACTTCTCTTGGTTGTCAATACTCCTTCCATTGCTTCTGGGAATTTATAAAATAGATAAATACTAAAAAATTAAATAAAAAAGGAATTGAATATTAGTTAACATTTTAGCTAAGATAGATAGGAGAGTTAGTTATTTATATTGTTTAAACATACGATGTACAAAACTTTAATACAGAGTCACCTAGGAATTCAATTCTTTGATTATCACCTTCATAGAACTTGTAGTTTTTGTAGATTTTCATGTTGACTGGTGGTGTCTGGTTGCTACGCTTGGTCGACGGATGTGTGAACACCTCACGTAGTAGACGTTCATTGTTGATACTGTAGATATTTCGTTTGAAAGACTCCATCTTTCTACAGAACTCAATCTCTGTGAGGAATACCAGAATGGCAATCTTGGCGGTGGAGTGCATCAACGATGTTATACCAAATACCTTCAATACCAACGGATCCTTTGGGAACAACTTTGACTTTCGAATGTAACTCTCCCATTTGATCTGTGGCATCTGATTGAACAACTTACCCGACCATTTGGCAGGATCCTCCAAATCACCTTGCTCACTGTAGAACGACAGTGATTTCAACTTCCAATAGTCGTTGGAAATCGATGCCTTTGAGTGTGTCACCATGAGCGATGGACAGACGCCACTCTTCAGACTGACCTTGTTGCCATTGAAGTCTTTGATCGGTGGGAAGTTGTTGTCTTTATACTCAAAGTGTTGTTTGTAATCGATTTGACGAACCACGTTGAAGTCGACATACGGTGTCATAACGACTTTGTTTAGGAACTTCTGCTCAAAGAACTGGTTGAATTCCTTGCCTTTGAGTGGAGGCGGTTGGTAGGTCGGCTCCTCGTAGGTGATCAGCTCCATGAGCGTGGTGGTGAGCGGCCGCGTCGGATTGTCGACCAGCATAACATTGGGAACGAAATACATCTGCTCTGGTGAGCTGCGAGTCATCGACTTTTGATCCAACACCTGCTGGTAGAAGAAACTGTGGAACGTTACCAACTTTGCGAATTCCTCTTTGGTCAGTGTTTCGCGACCGTACTCAACGATCGACATTGCAAAGTGATCGCCACCGCTATTCGCAATGTGAATGACAGGCTTCGGTATGATCACCGGACTGTAGAGAATGAATCCACTGAAGTGATAGCGCTGTCCGAGATGCAGGTAGTCCTCGCCGTGAAAGCCGTGACTGAAGACCGAGAGATATCGGTAGAACGATACTTTGCTTGGGATCGAAGAGTCGAGTGACTGCAGCTGTATGGTCGATCTCCGTGAGTTTACGAGACCGTCTAGCGAGCAGCTACCGCTACCACTGCCGCCACTGCCACCGCCACCACTTCCCGACAGCTGATTTTGCTTCCTGGTGTCACCAGTGGACATGATCACAGTGACCGGTTGCACACGATCGTTCTTTCTCGCTTTTTTCCGTAGCTGTTTCTCGATGTACTCTCTATTCTCGGTGTGTTTCGACTCGACGTTGTACCGGAGATCTCTAACGACTTTCTCCAACTCAACAATACGCTCTACAGCAGATTCCAACTGTCTCTGAAGCTTGAGATTATCGGTTCTAAGACTAAGTTCTACACTATTCACATATGTAAGAGTAGCAATATCACTAGGTATATTTACAGTGATATTCGATTGATTCGTTGCAGATTGACTATTGTTATTATTGCTATGTTGATGGTGATGGTTTTGAATAGGTGTATTTGTTGTAGCTGTAGGAACACGAGCATTATTATAACCCTGATTACTAGATGATGTGGTTCTACTTGAATTTCCATAGATATTACCTCCAAAGTAATAAGATGGTTTCTTATCTACTGACATTGTATCATTATGACCATGATTACCATTATGATTATTTAAACTTCCAAATGCATTGTTCAAATAGAAAGGATCACCTACATCTTGTGAATGATGATGTTGGTATTGATTTTGATGTTGATAATAATCAGATGAAGATGACGATGGTGTTATTGGAGATGGTATAGAAGATGAAGCTGATGAAAATGAAGTTGATGATGATGAGGATGAGGAGGAGGAAAACGATGATAATGGTGAAACTGATGAATTTGTTGGTGTAATAAATGATTTATTAGTTGGTGTGGAAATATTAGAAGTCGTATTCGTATTGGTATTAATATTCGTCGTAGTATTCGTAGTAGTAGAAGTTATTATTCTCTGTTGTTCATCTGCTTTTATTAAAGCTAATACATCACGCGCAGCATATCTCTCTGCTTCCTTCTTTGCTTTAGCTCTTCCCTCTGCTCTATATACTTTTCCACCATACTTTACGACTACCTCTGTTATAAAGTTGTTTCCGGTGTTATCGGATACATAGATTGCATCTGAATATTGTGGTAATGACTGTGGATCATTCCTCTGGCACAACTCTTGTAACAATCCTTTATAATTCTCATGTGACATATTAAAAACAATAATATCTATCTGTCATTCATTAGCATAAGAAATAATAAAAAATATTGTGTGTATATGTGTGTGTATGTATGTTTTAAAAGATTGAAAACAATCAAAAATGAACTTAACTTGTTTTAGTGAGTTTTTAAGCACATTTTTGGAATGATTAACAAAACAACTAAAAACAAAATAAATTAAATTAAAAATGAAAGAGTGTTGTTTGTGAAAACACACATTTTTTGGGTTGTTGTTGTTGTTTTTGTTTTGTTTTGTTTTGTTTATTATTAATGTCTTGGTGGCTTGTATCCGTCGACACTCATATTTCTAGTTGCAGAGGGAAGTGTAACTTCCATACCGGATAACTCTTTTGTTACAATAACTTGACATCCTAATCTAGAGCTAAACAAAGTAAATTTGTGAGTTTGATGTTAATATATTATAATTATTATAATGTGTGGTATTGTATTTTAATGATTTATATTTACTTTGTCTTTAAATCGAAAGCTAAATCCAACATATCATTCTCTTCGTCGGTTGGTTGTTCGAGCTTTTCGTAAAACTTTGGTTCAATATAACAATGACATGTAGAGCATGCAACGGAACCTTCACAGGCACCTTCCAAATCGATATCGTTATCGTGTGCAATGTCCAACAATGAAGTACCCTCTGGTACTTTCAAATCAATACGTTGACCTTCTTTATCTATAAATGTAATTGGTACCCTGCAATAAATAGTAACATCAAATGTTGTTAATGAATGTGATATGTATAGGATTAATAATATCATTATCACAATTGAAATAGATGTGTGAATTGTGAAGCTATTGAGGTACATACAATTCAGCATTGGGTGATGCCTTTGAATGCGATGAAAAATATTGTACTGAAAAACATGGTTTGTACACACTGCAAGACAATGTCGCTGAAAATGATTTATTAAAACTATTTAAACTATTGATACTATTACTACTACTACTATTATAGGTGCTTTTACTACTGTACAAAGATGATCTCAATGTTGCATTTCTTGATGATGATGATGATTTAACTAAACTGTTTAATGTATATCTAATCATTTCTTTTCTTTACTATTTATCATATATATAATATTAAAAACACACTTTCTATTCAATATTAAATTATAAATAATAATTAATCAATTAATCAATTTCGAAATGAATGAATGAACAATATCAACAACACATAATTATGCTGTTGCATTTCGTTTTTTAAATTTTGGGTTCAAAAATTTCAAAAATTTTCTAAAATAGTTTTAAGGGAAGGTCCTCTGCAACCTTTTACCAAAACAACAAACAATGATTGTGTGTAAATTTAAAACTTATTCAGAACCAATGGAATACGTTAAAAGAATATTAATCAATATATTTGTAAATCAATTTTCTCCAATATCTTGGATTTTCCAACAACTTTCATAATATTATTATTCTACAATTTATTAATATTGTTGAATTCCAAATTCAAATTGTGTTATTCATACAATCTTTAATTAAAGATTCAACCTTTTTTCTTTTGTTTTTGTTTTTCCTATTCTTTTTGATCTTTCACTATTTTTATTATTATTATTATTATTATTATTTTTACTATTTACTGGAGGTTGGTGCGGTTGATGTGGTTGATGTTGTTGAAGTGGTGGTAGTGGTTGTTGATGTTTGTGATGGTGATTGTGGTGGCATTGAAAGATTGAAAATATCGTCTGGACCGGTACTCTTTGATTCACTTCCTTTCTTCTCAAAGATTTGACCGATCAGCTTGATTGCTTCGACTCTGAGTTTTCGCTCTTTCGAGGCCACTTTCTTCTTGTTCATAACTTCCTCGCAGACTTCACGCACAGCCGTGTCGATATCGAGTCGACCGACCTTCCAAATCAACTTTAGACCTTCCTTGAGCAGACCTTCGGGTGGTGCATTCTCATCCATCGTATTGACCTGACTCTGCATCTTGACGGCGGCCTTCACCATCGAGAACATCTCTCCCATTCTGTGACTCTTCTCTGAAAGTTCGTGAATGAATCCAAAGGTAGTATGTTGTTTCGCTTCCTGAATATAAATATAACCCAACAACGAAAGAAGTTCTGATCCTCCCGGTGCCTGTGCCATATCCACTGCTCTATTTGTTATCTATAAATAGATGATGATTGTTGTTTTGTTTTGTTTTGTTTTGTTTTGTTTTGTTTTATATCAAACATTTAGTTAGTTGGTTGTTTCCGTTGTTACACTTGTTATCAATTCAAATAAAAACACCTTACCATTTCAGTGAATTCCTTCTTGTTACCCTGTGTATATGGCTCGATGAGTATAATGAGTTGTTTGCAAAGTTCATCGATTCTTGCACGATGTTTCTTTTCCATTTCTTCGGGAGTTGGTTGTTTGATTTGTGATGGGTCGGTCTCTGCCTGTGCAAACATCTCGTAGAATGAGAGGTCACCAAAGAAATCTTGGAACTGACCACCTCCGAATATCAATCTGAACAAATCGATCGGATCAATCATATTCTCATTCATACCATCGAATCCAAACTGATCGTATTTCTTTCTCTTGTCTGCATCTGACAACACTTGATATGCCTCACTAATTCTCTTAAACATTTCCTCTGCATATTGATCATTTCTATTCTTATCCTAAAAAAATATAATAAACACCAATCATTTTATTAATCTTCTCTGTACATCTTTTGTTTGATAAATAACTAACTAACGAACCAACTTACAGGATGAAATTCAGTTGCTAATTTATAATATGCTTTTCTAATTTCGGAATGAGTTGCAGTCTTACTGACACCCAGTACTTCGTAGTAGTCTGCTTTCTCCAATTTGATGGGTGCTGTCGAAGGTGATAACGCTTGATTGTTGTGTGGTGCAGGTACTATTTGTCTTAGCTATTATATATATATATATATATATATATATATATATATATATATATATATATAGTTGAAATGATATCGATAGTAATTTGTTAGATAATATGATAATAATATGATGACAATATATTGTTAGTTCTCTATGGAAACAATTACAATACCTTTATTGCAGTCTCAACGAAATCTTCTTTCTCATAGCAACCGTCTACCTTTCCACCGGCATCCAATATGAGTTGTTTCAACTCGACAGCTCTCAACTGTCTCAATTCCTCTTCTTTGTATTCAGTAATATGCATATTTCCTGTATTCTCTCTCTATTATATTCTCTCTATTCTGTTTACTCTTTACACATTACTCTAAACTACTTTAAGATTACTAATATTTTGTAACAATATTATTATAATAACAATTATAATATTATAATTATTTTTGGTTTTTCTTTTAATTATTTAAAAAAATATCAAACGAATAATAAATTTTAGTTTATTTTATTTTTTTCAATTGGCAATACACACCCATTGTGTAAATTGAATTTTTAATTAAAAATTAATTTTTTTTATCATATTTTATTTGTTTGTTTTTATTGTTATAAAAAAATGAAATAAATTAAATAACAGATAATGACTCTACCTTAAAAACAAAGAAAATTATAACTGTTTTTTAATTTATTTAATTTTTTTTATGTTTTTATATTATATTATATATCATTTTTGATCTAAAAAAAAAAAAGATAATAATTATTTTAAAATTACATTTGAATTACAAATCGTAAAGAATCAATCGACCAACAATTATATTTTATTAGATTATTTAATGTACTAATTAATAAATAAGTTTCTATTATTATTTTTGAACCTTAAAATGATAATTAACATTTTAGGTTATGTTTTTTTTTTTTGTTTAGTTATTGGGGGAGGTTTGGAGATGGTTGTTGAAAATTATAGTTGATTGATTTGTTGAAAGGACATATCCTCAGATGAGAGGACTTGCCAAAATAAAAAAAAAATTATTGTTTATTATTTATTTTTTTTGATTTTGTTATTATTGTTTTTTATTATTATTTTAATTTCTATTATTTCAATTTTATAACTATTCACAAGATGTTTGTTCAGCAAAGAAAGAATGATTATTTGACATGTGTAATTATAATATTGTTGTATATTACATAATAAATATATATTTTGGGTTTTAAAAGTAAGTTTGTTTGTTTTTTGTTTTGTTTTGGATATTATTATTTTCAAAAGTAAAGAAAAAAAAAATAATTATAATTATGTGAAAAATAGTTTTGTAGATGTTGGATGATGTGCGAGGTATGTGTACAATACAAGATCGGTGTATTTCGATTCTATTTATAATAATTGATTATTATAAAATATTAAAAAAAAAATATTATAGATATGATGGGTGAAAAAAAAGAATAGAATAGAATAGATATAGATATAGTTATAGTTATTAATATTATTATATCTCAATGGATACAGTGGGTGGCGTGTTCATGTCAGAGAAAGTAATGAGAGCTTCCTCCAATCTTGGAATAATAGTGTCAAAGGTAGGTCTTTCATCTGGTTCACCTCTCCAGCACTCTTCAATTAGTTGTCTGATGGTTGGTGGTGCCAGTTCAAGTCCCTTCGTAGGTCTTTGACCATCGAGAATGAAACGTGGAATTTCTTTAAAATTGAAATGAATTAAATTAGTTAGTTAGTTTGATTGCTATGTTTTGTATTTCAATTAGTTGTGTTTGATCAAACTTACCCCAGTTTGCTCTTAAATCATCGAATGGAATTTCGCCAATTACCAACTCATACAACATGATACCGAATGAATAAACATCTGCTTGAGTACCATATGGTTTCTTTAAGAGAATTTCCTAAAGGTGATTCATTGATTAAAAAGATTGGTTAGAAACAAATGATTGGTTGGAGTTGGAATTTCAAATTAGAATTTGGTTGTGCACTTACTGGTGCCATATAAACAGGGGTACCAATACCAGAGGTTGCATTTTCACTGGCCATAGAATTTACTTCTTTACTTGTACCGAAATCAGTCAATTTGATGCAAACTGGTGAGTCAAGTGAGAGACTGACCACTAGTAGATTGTCAGGTTTGAGATCACGATGCATAATTCCGGATTGATGAAGGAAATTACAACCCTTGGCAGTGTCAAGACATACTCTGATGATTTCGTTCATTGCCAATCTTCTTGGTGGTTCAGAGTTGTAGATGACGTTGGCAACACTACCGAGTGGAACGTACTCACTAACCAAATAGTGATCTCCGTCGTGGAGCGCTGTTCCAAAGTAATTCACAACGTTTGGATGACGTAGACGATTCATAAGATCACACTCACGCTCCACCTCTTTAACAACGTCCGCCGAACAATGCTTGGTTCTGATAACCTTGACGGCAACCTCCAATCCACGCCACTTACTTCTGAATACCGATCCATATCCACCGCTTCCAATTGGATCACCGATTTGAATTTCCTCATAATCGAGATAGGTCGACAACATACTCTCCAAATGCATGTACAAGAAAGTGTGTCCATAGTCCTTAATTAAAACACCGAATTTCTCCATCAATTTGGTCGTACAGAGAAGAGTGACATCGACATCGATAGTAACAATCTTTCCACGCTTGAGAACCAGCTCAGTTTGTTGACATTCTACGATTCTACCAGAGTTGGAAGGTGGGAAGAACAATGTGATATACTGAGTTTGATCGGATTTGTTAGTGATGATAATGGTATCTCTCATCTTCTGATTGATCTGTGACTTGGCATCACCGATTCCGAAATCCAAACGAGTGGTTGAGAATGTGAGTGGGAATGTTTCGTGCTCCGGTGAATAGTAGTTGGTTTGTTGGACACCGTGGAATACCTCTGAGTGAAGATTGTACTTGTTGTCATTGATGAAACCTTTGCTGATATTCAATTGTGAACGTGTTTGCGATTGCATTTCAATGTCCATACGAATGGATCTCGCTCTTCTCTTCTTTCTAATCAAGATGAACAATGCCACTAAAAGTACGGCTCCTGCGATTGGCAAAACGATTTTGAGTGGCAACAACTTGTCGGACGACGAATTTCCACCGCCACTGCTGCTGTCTGGTCCTTTGGTTGGCTTGGGTGTTGGAATGTTGATGAAATCAGAGTGTAACGACAACGCTGTCAAGAAGATTCCTTGAGTGGATTGCCAACTGATTTGCATCACTCCATTGTCAGAGTCCAACACTCGCACATTGATCTCTTGAGATTTCACTTTGAATTGATATTTGTCACCTGTTCCTACGGCACCAATCGATGTTATCTGAGTTGAGGAAGTCGATGCTTTGGCGCTGTACGAGCCTGGCATAGTGAGAACTGTACTCTGATTAAAACTGTTGAGATAGTAAACAAAGTAGAGTGTCACCTTGTAGAATGCTGGAGGAATGTTGTTCAGTGTAATCTTTGGTGCGACTGATGGGTCAGTTGGATAGAATCCGTAATCAAAGAGAGCAAAATTTGGATCGTCGAAAGAATATTGTGGAATCGATTCTTTGGAGACTCCTGTAGGCTGGCAATTCGGTGCTAAACATCCGACTTGCCATGTGTAGTTGTACGCGGTTCTTGTGGAATTGACTGGATCCTCTGCAATAATGTATCCAAGGAAATAACGTAGATTGACTTGATCTACAACGTTGATTGGCGCGAGTTGAATGGCTTGAATCGATGCGTCCGATGTTGTGTTAACCAAAGTTACCAAATAATTGTACACTCCAAATACGGTGCCATTGAATAAAGTAGTACATGTGCCATTGATGACCTCTGCTGTTGTCTTAATATCTGGTCGGCTGAGATCCTCAAACTTACATTCTACATCGTTTCCATTGAAAGCTGTACCATTCTTTAGTGTTATTGTGACACCGATCGGAAGGGTAGAGTTGACACGAATTGTTGTGTTTGGTTGGTAGGCTGAAATCGCCAAGTCGCTGGCGGAAAACTGGTAGATGGGCTGGTATGGTTCGACATAACTACTGCTATCCAATGATCCGATATCAGGTGCATTGATAACCGTATTAACCATTGAAATCGATCCAATATTGGTATTTGAGGAACTGAATACTTTGCCGGTGGTCTGTAAAGTTGAACCTGAAATTTCCAAATAACCTACGGTTCCTTCGAAAATATCATTATTTTTGGTCTTTATGTTAAGGTTTTGAAGGATGACACCTCCATTCGGCACGTTGAAGTAAATTGGTTGGGTGATGACCAGGTTGGAAAGAGTGATAATGGTTCCTGGCACATTAGATACGATGGTATAGAAATAGCATTTGTCGGTTTGCGCCAAATAAGAACGGCTGTTTGAAATATTCATGGCTCCACTGGCAATTGGAAAAGTGGAGGGTATCCACGATTGCAGTGAGAGATGGTAATCGAAATTAAAACCGGTGATATCCGGTCTGTTTGGCAGTCCAACGATGTTGTAGATCGATTTGAGAGTATTTGGCACACTGTAGAAGCTGTCGTTTATCGAGGAGAATGAGTTGGAGAGAACTGAGAAAATGTGTCCTTGGTTTCCGAAATTCATCGATGAAAGATCATCTGGATCGACAAGAGTATTGTTAAAAAAGCTGAAATAAACGTTGTTCTGAGAGTCCACAACCTCAGTACCCCAATCGGCAAGCACTAAACTGGCGGCATTGGAAATCACGAAACTGTTCTGCATAAGAAGAGTGGCCTGGTGAACAGAGATGGCCGCCTTTGGTAGCACATTGGGGGTCGTTGCAACGATGATACTGTCTTGAATTTCAACGGTACTACCAAACATTACGTCGATACCATTTCTAGAGCGAGCGTTGGGATTTGGTGTGGTGGCGTTGATAATGTATTCCGAAAACGGTGCGGTAGTTGTCAGGGGATCGGTGAATAGCACTACGTTTTGAATGGTTACTTTGCTGCCATTGGAGAAGTGGTAGCGACCACCATAGATCATGTTGGCTCCCTCCGCTCCAATAACGTAGAATTTGTCGACACTCATGGGGTTGCTCACTACGAAGCAGGTTTTGCCGGGACTTGGCGAAGTCGATGAGACAACTACCATGTCATTGCGTGTACTTGGGTCGATGACTGAGGGCGACACAAGTGTGGTTTGTGCACAGATCGTGGTGGAATTCAATGGCTTGGTTGCCACTGGCTTGACCGATGACGTCAATTGGACTTCTCCGTTGAGTGCCAATATACCGTTTCCATATCCGAACCGTCCTGCAGTATTTCCGATCCTGACTAGATTGGCTACGAATTTACCACCCAACACTATAAACAAAGTGGGTTGAGTAGTAGATTGGGCACGATCGTACGTAAAAGTACCAAAGATACAAATATATTCAACAGTGTTAGGTATGAATATACCTGAAGAATATGTAATTGTTATTCCTACAATAATAATAATTATTATTATTATGATTATTAATATTTGAGCTCATAATGGTTTTATATAGAGTTTGTTTGTTTGTTATTTTTTCTTAGTTACCTTTTTGTATTACGATAATCTTTGCATTGAAGGGTATAGGTTCTGATTCCAGAGGATAGTATGCAGTGGGATCGAAGCATGGATACGGATAGTATGTGTAGCTATTTGAAAAATAAGTTGTTGGTTGTCTTAGTGTGTCGAACGGAGCCAACAAGCCCAACGGCAAACCATCTGTTGACATATTTGCCTGGAGGTATGTTGTGGCTCCATCACCACTACCGATTGTATCCCATGCCAAGGTAAGTAGGCACTGATTTATTAAAATCAATAATACTACTACGAACTTATACATAAATATATTATATTAAAATAAATAAATAAAAAAATAAATAAAGTTTTTTTAGGTCCTTTTTTTTTTTTTTGGACCTTTTTTTTTTTTTTCTATCGATCGATCACTAATTCCTTATCGAGATTAACTAAATATCTCTTCTCCTTCTCTCTTTCTCTCTTTCTTTTGTTATTATTATTTATTATCTTTATTATTTATTTCTTCTATAATTATCTTTTTTTTTTGTAATCTTAACTTTTATGATTATTCGTTTTTTTAAATTTTCTTTAATTGCTTATTTTTATTTTGATTTAAGTACAAACAACAGTGTTATAATTGACCAACCAATCAAACATTATTATAATAATAAGTCAGTTGAAAAAAAAAAACCACACAAGCAGTGTAAGTGATTCGAAAAAATTTTTGTCGATAGATCTTTATAAAAAATAAAAAATAAAATATTTTATGATTTTTTTTTTTTGCTCAAATCATTTATGATAAATGAGCACATTTTTGAGATTTTTCAATTAGCACAAGGGAATTTTTTTTCGAGGGTTTCAAAAAACTTTTTATAGTCACAAAATTCATAGGTTTGATCTTCTCTCTTTAGAGGTACAAAAGTTGGATCGTTTCGAGATACCATCTCAAAAAGTTTTGTGTAGTGCAACCATTTCAATGCTTGAACTTCTTCCTCCTGTAACTTGAATTCACTCAATTCCATATGTTTTGAAAAGGTATATAAGTAGACATCGGCCAATTCATTATCTATATATTTTCCTATTATTAGCGTCATTGACATATATTGTATTTTGTTTGTTAGTTTTTGATTTTGCAATAAGTACAACCGATCTTATTACCATTATGCAATATATATTGTTTTTTACATGTAAAGAGATATTCTAATTTGGAGGCATCCGTAATGTGTAGACCTAATTCTTCATCGAGTTCTTTTATTGCTGTATCGATGCTGTTCATTCCAGCTTCGATGTGACCTAAGCAGTTGTTAAAGTAGTAGTACAGCAACAGCAGAAGCAGATTAATAAATTTGCAAAATTAACTATTATATTAAAAATATTATTTAGATCATCGATCTCATACCCGCACAAGAGATGTCCCAGTAGGATGCAAACGACTCTTTATTGGCACTTCTCTGTTGAATCAAGAGATTTCCTTCGGTATCGACCAACCATACATGCACAACACGATGCCACATGCCTTTACTGTGTATCTCTGATCTTGGTAGTGAATAGCCTGCTGGACTACCATCCTCATTGATTACATCGATATATTCAACCATTGTAAAATAAAAATCTATCTTGTTTCAATATATTTATTGACGATATCAATATTGTTGTTTTGAAAAAAACATAAATGTTTCGACACACACAACACACACTCACTCATGTTGCAAATTTGACAACATTATAAATTAATTAAAAATTTAAATTATTAATTGAATTAGCAAGTTTTTTGAAAAATAGTGTATGAATGAAAAATTTTGAAAATTATTCCCAATTCTTTAAAAAGGTGAGTTTTTTTTGGTTTTTTTTTATTTTTGTTTCACTTTTTTTTTTAATTAAATCAAAAGATAATTAATTAGAGATAAATAAGATAAAGATTTATTATTATTATATTATTGCTTGTTAGTTTAAAAAATACATAAATTATATTTTAAATTTTGTTGTTGAATCATTGATTTTTTTTTTTTTTTTAGTTTTTGGTAGTTAGCGAGGTGAAATCAATCGTATGGGAATAAAGGAATCTCTTTTTGGTGTGTGGAACAAGTTTGTAGAGGGTACAACCAATGGGTTGTATCAATTGTCTCTGGCACCACAACAAAGATTCATTCGATTCCTCATCAACAATAGCATCAAACAGTATCTGCTGAATCCCATACAGAAAGATGAATTCGACACCAAGTTCAATATGGGAAGTGGCATCATCTCAATGAAAGATGTCGTCCTCGATCGCAAGGTTCTCAATGAACGATTCGTAGCTGGATTGCCATTCAAATTCGAACAGGTCACCATTGAGAGTATCGACTTTGAGATCCCGCTACTCAATATCAATAGCATGCCAATACGTGTTAGAGTCAAAGGAATTGAAGTAATCTTGACAGCAAACAACAGTAGCAGCAGCAACAACAACGATAGATCAGAAACAGATACCGAAAACAACAGCAATAACAATAATAATGGTGGTTATTCTAGTATTTCACTAAGTAATAGCTCTTCAGATGAACAACTCTCGATGATGTCATCGACGATACGACAGCTGATGGTGAGCGACGATCAATCAACTATGGATAGTAGCATCACTTCTGACAACTTCAGACCGGAAGACAATGACGAAGTATTCGACAGCATGCAATCGAAAATCTTTGACATCTTGTCGAATGGCATTGTAGAGATTGAGAATCTTTCGATATTCATCCAGACACCTAGCTCCACCTCCACTTTGGAGTTGAACATTCTCTCTGCTATCTTTTCCTACGAGAAACCAAGTGCAGGTCAAGATCAAACAATGGAAGAGACACCATTCGGTGGCGGTAGTGATTCAAATACTACTGGTGCTACTAGTGCTTCGGACTTGAAACCAAAGCTAGAGTTTAATCAGTTATCGATGATGATTCACAAGAAAGATGAGTCGGTCAACGCCGAGTTGAACAAACAGTATTTCTTTGGGTCAAGAGTGATAAAGGAAGGCGGTGCACTGAACTCATTGTTTATCTCCCAATCCACCGAGAATGAGTTGATAGTGGACATCAAGTTTAACTCTAGTATCAATGGATCGTTTGGACAGGAGCAGCTCAATGAGCTGCTGGATCTTATCAATCGACTATCCGATGCTCTTACCATAGTGGATGATATGACAACAACGACAACAACGACAACTAGCAATAGTCAATCAAAACTAAAACAAAAGACACAACCCAAAGATGTTTCAGTTAGAGTTTCAATTCCGCGACTGGACTATCTCGTCAGTCTTCCACTTCTTCGTGATACAGTCTGCACAAAGCCAGATTTTAAAATACATTTCATCGGTGAAAACACATTGATTCAGTATTCCAAGAGATACCTTCCAGGAACTGATGACTCGATCACTGTTGCAGAGTTGTCATTCGATTCGATTGAAGTCAACTTGCTACCGACCGGAGATATTCAATCAAAGTATCGTTGCCTCTATTTACATGGAAGTGACGGTGACGACTTGACCGAATCTACGAACCATACGGATCGCATTCTTCCCAAGATAACCATTGTACAGAAACCTCATGGCTACATCATCGACGACATTGACGAATCGAAATATGTCGACAATCCATTCTTAACTTTCAAATCACCTGTATCTCTTTCAAACCATTCCATCGAGCAAGCCAACAGACTTTCATCAGTGTTAATAGATTGCCAACTACCAGATTGTCTACTTAGCTTATACAAATCAGACTATGAGTGTTTACTAAATGCATTCTCATTTACCTCTGATCAGCCTCAAACCTCTACAATGCTATTTACCCTATCAACTAAAGGTATGTTCATATTATATATATATGCAAGCGAATCACTTCAATATTCATATTAACTTAATATCATTATAATTAGTTACAATCGAATTGAAATTTGATAAACATTTAATTGCCAATTCAAACGATCCAGATAAAGTTCAAGTATTTAAATTGTTGACTGGTGACTTGAATCTTTTGGTGGCAATGGGATATCCATCCGATTTAAAACAAAAGGATCTCTACGACTCAATGTTTATCTACCTATCACTTAGTTCCCTTGATACGATTGCATCTTGTATCTCAAGAGAACAACTTTTCTTTAGTAGTAGAAGTGTATGTTTTGTTTAATCATTTTTCATCAATTCAATACTAATTGCTACAATCAAATTATTTACTAAATTATTTACTAAATAGGATTTAGATGGAATTGAGCTGATGATTGCTTCACATGGAGTTACCATCAATAATCAATTTGAACTTTCAATCTCTGAGATTTGTTTTGTTCCTTCAATGAGATTGATTACTGATTTCTTGGACTGGATCAAAGTTGAAAAGATAAATAATGAAAATACAGACATTGAAGCATCAGTCATTTATAACCCCAACAATAACAACAACAACAATAATAATAATAACAATCAAAAAACAACAACTCTTAGTCCCTATCATATTGAACTGGTGAATTGTACAGCAAAATTCTTCACCAGAGAAACAAAATCACAAATTATGTTGTTATATGAAAAACTAAGTGTATGTAACAAACAAACATTTATAATTATAACTACATAGATTTTAATATGTTTTTTTATTATTTAGATTTTGGTTGCACCAGAAGGTAAAGAGGATGATCTTTGTTTGGTTTTCCAACCAGTCCAGATATTATTTAGAGATGCATCGGATGATATCTACTCTTTTGAACGTATTCAAAATTTCCAAACTATTGGATTCAGCACCAAAGAGCTCATGATCTATCTAAAGAATGTTACTGCCTCTGAAAAAGGAATCAAGGTAGAGATTCTATCGAATACTTACCAATTGGAGGTCGATAAGAATACCTATCATAAAGTCACCAAAACAATACCTATTTTCCTACAAAAGGTATTTGAAAGAATAGTGTAAGTTTTTAATTAATATTATTGGACAATTTTCAATCAATAAGCTAATTAATTTTGTTTATTGTGTATGTGTAATAGAATATCCAATCAAGATGCTTTGATAAATGATAATATTGCCAAGTTTATGAAAAGTCAGATCAATACAACACCCAACATGATTGATGACTATGGTGCCAGTAAGATTGCACCATCTTCAACATCAACATCAACACCCATTTCAGTTAGAAACAAGTTTGATAATGATGAAATCGATGAGTTGGAGGATTTCGAGATGATACAGTCAGAGCTTGATCTAAAGCGAACGATGGAGATTGTAATGTTGGACGTGAATCTCAAATGTAAATTATTCGATAACCAAAGAAAAGATCATATCATTGTGGAGGTAGCGATATCTGAGCTTTTGCTTCAAAACTATGAAACCCAAAATGAATCGACCTACAGCAGCTCCATCAGATTAAACATTTCAGAGTTGTTCATTCGTGACTGTATCAATCAATCTCCATACCAAAACCTTTTCGGTCCACTCTCTTTCTACAACAAAAAGAAAAACAACCAATATCTAATATCACTGGTGCTTTACTCGAGAAAGGATAGTTTCGAAAGAGATCACTACAACGTCAAGGTTTTCGTTGATCCACTCTTTATTCAAGCATTCCAATCATCGGTTGACTTTATATTGGATTTCTTTTTACATAGCAACAACCCCAACAGCAATAATAATAATAACAACAATGAAGAAGATAAACCAAACCCAAATAATAATAACATTGATAATAGTAACAAAGAAGATACAGTTATATTTGATGGAGTTGAGATTTTCCCACTTTCAGTAAGAATAGATTACAAACCAAAATCATTACATCACCCAGACAGTGAGGAAAACTTTTCCTCATTCACAAGTGGCGAATATGTTTGGATGTTCAGTATGATTCCTCTCAACGAAGCCATGTTTACTTTCCCAAAGGTCGAACTTGAGAATATCCCACAGTCAAAGTTGGTCGAGTGTATACTCGGAATCTATTATCCCAATATTTTAAATACCAATGTCTTCCAATACTTGACGGGTGTGGCTCCAGTGAAAATTCTATTCAATGTTGGATCTGGAATTACTGCTCTTGTTCGCCAACCGATTAAAAGAGCAAGAGGTCCCGAGGGTGTTATCGTTGGAGTTGGAAAAGGAGTCGGAATGGGTATCACAACTTTGACAGTCGAGCTTCTATCTGCATCTGCTTCTGTTGTAAAAGCAGGTTCATCATTACTCAAAGCCTTTACTAGCAGTTCTCAAGAGAAAAGCTTGACCAGACAACAACAACCCGATTCCATCTCACAAGGCGCACAAAGAGCTGTCAGTCAAGTGTTTGGTGGTTTTAGAAATGCAGCGATGGGTATCTTGTACAAACCTATTGAAAACTATAAATCTGACGGTGCCAAGGGATTCCTCTCTGCATTGCTGTGGGGTGTTCCTCGAGTGGTTGTAGATCCAGTGGTTGGTGTCGCCGAAGGTTTCACCACATTTTCAACCAGTATCCGAAATTCCCTAGACTCTTCACGAATCATCAATGAAAGGAAGAAATATAAAAATGTGAAACAATAATATTTACTGAGAAAAGTGCTAAGTGGCTTTTTTGCTAAAACATTCGCACAAGTCGATTGTATGTATTTTATTAAAATAAAATAAATATCAAGTCTTTATTGTTTTATATATAATTAAGATAAAAAGTTAGCCATTTTACAAATAATATTCCTTTGTTTTCTGATTGTTAAGAACAATATTAATCAGTCTCAGAATCAAGTAAATAACAACTCAAACTATAGATTCAATTTCTCTTTTGTTATATTGAAAAAAGAATCTTTTGTTCAACTAACTCACAATTAAATAGAGATTAAATTCAAAAAATAAAATTTTTATTTATTACAGTTTCGGAAATCATAAATTATTTACATTAAAATTAATAAAGCAAAAGCTGATAAAATGATTGATATAATGTTGGTTGAGAATATACTTGAGGCAGTACTGTGGTGTGTTGTGATTGACGATACAGTGAAAATAAACTCGTTGTTATTTCCTGTGGTTGTGGATGTGGTGGAGGTTGAAACGCCGGCACCGGTAGATTGTCCTGATGCGGTGTTTGTAGCTGTGGCTGTGGCTGTGGCGGTGGTGGTGGTCGATGGAATTGGATCGTTTGGAATTGGGTATGGAGTGGTCAATGACGAATAGATTTCGACTCCAGAGAGTGGAGTGTACATTCCATTGTATCCCCATTGAATCTTGTATGATTTCATTGAACTTCCACTGTTATCGATAAGATACTCTGATGTTCTTTGATATTGTTGGTAGTTGGCAAATGTTCTTGTCAACGGTGTGACGAATTGATCGTTGATAGTCACTGAAAATCTTGGAAGTGATGTTGATTGTGTATATTGAGGTTGAACGTTTGTTGGATTGGCATAGTAGAGGAACAATTGATAGTATCCAGGTTGGAGGTTGATTGTGATCGAGGATCCCTGACCAGTTGAATTTCCATAGTATGTTGTTAGCATATCTATAGTATCAGAGTCGGATACCACTATACTACCATTGGTGATGGTTGAAGGTTTGGTGTCGAATTTGGAGTAGGATCCACCTGAGATTTGACAAATATCTGAAACCCATTGGCATCTTGTCCATTGTTGTCCAAAAATGGGCAATGGAGTTTTTCTGGTTGTAAAGTTGCCGTTCAAGTCGATACCCAAATAGAAATTGTAGTTGAATTGGACATTGTAGTTGGTAACAACACCGGCTTTGTGACTCAATGAATATCTGTAAAAATATCCGTTGTAGTTCTTTATGGTTGGAGAGCTCGACATTTCAATCTTATGGAGACCTGGTGTGAAATTGGGGATGGTGATTGGAACGGTAATTGAAATACAATTGCTGAAAGTTTGGTTGGTGATAACTGGAACTCCATCAACTGAAATATTTACCAAGTATGTGTTGTATTGATCGTAAATGACAGTGTAGGCAAAGCTTGCTTGGGTGATTGGAATGGATGGATCTGGTAATACTTTGAAAACAGAAACTGTATTATATCCAGAGGCATCACCATATGAAAGTGGAGAGTTCTTATATACGACTTGTGGTGAATAATTTTGTATTTGGGCTGTGGTTGAGATGTTGGAAGTGAATAGGGAGTTTTCGACGTGAATAAGATCTCTGAAATAAGAGTTGGTAAGTTGGTTGAATGACATTGTCATATTAGAGTTGACAAATGTTAATCCACGATAACTTCCAACAAAAACATTATTTGAATCAACCAAAGACAATCCCATGAGTCTTGTAAAGAAACCAGTGATTAAACTTTGATCGAAAACCAATTCATAATTGAAAAAGGTATTCGCTTTTGTTTTAAAATTGAAGCTCTGACACTTATAAAATACGGATTTGGACAATCTCAGAGTGAGAGGTGGAGGGTTGTTTTGGTAGTTGTTGATGGCAGGCAAAGCAGTTCTATAGAATCTATTCTCTTCCATTCCTGACCAAAGGAATTTATTCCAGGTCATGTATACAGGCTGCGAGTTGTTTTGGAATTGGCCGGCATTTTTTCCAATCAATGGTTCGATACTGATACCGGTCAGTTGAGCTCTATTTGGCAATGGATCAATAATAATTGGGGCACCTTGGAATGCACCTTGGAATGAATTGTTTGTTAAAGAGACATACGGTGAGACTGTATAGATTCCAGTATTTCCTGGTCGTACATCTGGATACACTCCGCTATAAAAAAATATTAGAATTTAAATTTTACGAATATTCGGAAAGTAATAAGAGAATACATACAAACTCGATTGGTTAAGAACACCTTTGTATGGAGTAGTGAATGTATTGAATGAAACATCAAACTCTTCAGTACCGTAGAGGAATCCAATACCTGTTGACTCTGGTCTTCTCAATAAGAAAGCATTATTATTGATTGTTCCAAATGATCTCTTGGCTCCAATAAGAAATCTATAAAATAAAAAATAAAAAATTATTAGAAAATGATTCAAGCTAGAGTACGGGTTGGAAGTGGAAACTTTACCTTGAACCAGTAAAACCATAATAAGCACTAGTAGATACTGGGGAGTCTTTGAATACATTGTTAATAATTGTAACGTAGTTGGTGACATGCAAAAGTGTGATTGGATAAAGATCTGGAATATTGTTACCAATCTTAAGAGTTGTACCGTCCCAGGTTGTATCATCCAATACAGAGTTATTTGTTGTTCCGAGCTTATCAAACACTGCACCATTCAATAAAACTGTTGCATTGCCAACGAAGACCAACTGTGCTTGTTGTGCGTTATAACCGTAGATATTGACATTACTGGAAGTTTCAAGACTATAAATGAAATTGACTCCTTGGACATTTGTTGGATCATAATCGACAGGACCTGAAAAAGCTGGGATACTAGCAACTGGACTAGGGAAATAGTACTCTTGACATTGAGGGGCATATTTAACATTATATGAAATGTTGGCGACGGATAAGGAATTTAGATCTCCATTGCTGGGTAAGACCAATCCGACTTTGTCATTATTCAAGATTGGATTTGTCCAATTGAAAGTTGGATATGTCTTTGAAATACAATACTGTACACCATCGGTCTGGGAAGCGAATGAAGCGGGAATGTTGGCAGCACCTCTCGATGATACAATGCTGATGTTACATCCAACGCAAAGGAAGGAAGCTACGTGGAAGGGATCGAACTCTCTATATTGGAAATATCCTGTATAGAATGGATAGCTGGGTGTGATAATGTGGTTTACATTTGGTTGAGGATTGGAAATGAAGGTGGAGCCTGGATACAAAACAATCATTGCGGTTTGAAACTCTACATTAAGTGTTGGGTCAAGCTCAAAAACACCACCATCTTGGACGATAATGGCCATAAATGTTTTCACAGGGTAGGGCGAGTTATTGAACTTGACTCTACCACCTCTCTCGATAATTAACAAATTTCTAGCGCAAAAATCTAAACTACCGGCGCACGAAGTATACGCGGGTCTAGTAGCGGTTGTGGGTTCCCACAAATTCCAAGTAATCGATTTGTTTAGTCGAAATATAAACTTATAATGTGAGTATTGTTCCAAATTTGGGAAGTAGAAATAGTCTGGAGGTGTTACACCCGGGAAAAAATTAATTCTGTGGTGTGGTAATCCTGTGATATTTACAATATCGGTAAGGTCAATGTTATATAAACTTGGTTGTGGTGGCACCTGTGAATAAACACATGACCCTAGAAAATAAATTAATAATAATCAATTAATTATTGAACTTTACAAGGTTTATTTTTAAACTACTTACACCAACAAAATAAAATTACTATTGATACAAAATAATTCATAGCTGACAAATTGAGAAGGGGTCAAGACAATTTATCAATCGGAATCTGAGTTTAATATTACAAGTCACAATTATCTCTATGAAAATAGAATTGTGTATGTGTGGGTGTGTTGTGAATAGTGGTGATATAAATAAATATAATGATACACAAATGTTAGTATATGTTGTTGAAGGACTAATGGGTGAATGAATTAAGATTCTACTGTACTGCTTGTATATAAAGAAAACTGTTTGGGTGAAAAAACATTCTGAGTTAAAAAAAAATTAAAAAATTGTGTTGGAATCAAATCTATGATTGAATTTGATCTTTTGGGTAAAAATTTTGCTGATTTTGATTTTGATGCATCTATATTAAGAGTTTTGCGGTTTATTTACAATTTATTTTTTTTTTGGTCATTTGGTTTTTTTTTTAGTGTTATTTTGTCCAAACCGTTTTGCTTCAAGACTGAAAGTCATTTTTGTAATGTGGATTTATGCAATATTGTATGCGTAATGGCAATGAATTTTTGATATTTTTTGATGAAACTCATTAAATCGGATTTATACACCTTGTCGGGTGGTGAGTTCAGCTTCATCAAAACTTAGTTTTATCAAGTCAAGATATATATGATTGGTTTAAAAAATTTATTGATTTACACAATTGCAGGTCTTTAGACAATGTACCAAACTTGAAACAAAAAAAAGAAAAAACCTGGAGATAAATCCCAAAAAATAAAATTCATATTTGCGCATACTTTGCACCAAGAAATATCAATGTAACCCGTCTAAAGTTGTTTAATCACTCATCAATAATCATCATCATCATCATTTATTAATGAACAATCAAAGATTTATGAAAACTGTTAAAAGTTCTAATCAGGTAAATGATTGGGTAATTAATGATTGTGTGTTGTTCACACCAAACAAGTTGGATTGTGGTGAAATAAATTTATTGATTTGACTGATCATGCATGATCACTCCTAAATGTTAAAGTTTTTTTAAAACTTTTATTGATATTTTTAAAAGTTATATCTGGTCAGGTGTGATTTAAGGTCGGATGGCTTTGTTTTTTTTTTTAATATTTTATTGATGTTACTCAAAAATTCCCAAAAAAAAGGAGTAATGAAATTTCAAACATTTTACAAGAATTATTAATATTAATTGGTCATTGTTTGTGTGTGTGTGAACATATTAAATTGTTAACTTGATGGTAACAAATGAGAATTCTCAATTCACCACCCATTTATTATCCTACTTTAATCTGAGAACTGTTTATTGAGTCTCCAATGCATGTCTTGTTTGTGTGTGTGGGGGTGTTGCAACGATCCTATAGGTAAAGATTAGATTACATAAAAACATTCCATCCTATAGTTTAAATGTACATGATGATACTTAATATTATCTTTCAGTTGCAAAGCTTCTTTGTTGTTTGGTATCCGTTTAGAGAATCAGTATTTCAAGTTGTAGTTGTTGAGATCACGATTGATTCACATCATCTCTAGTAGGTAACATGTCTTGATTTTTATTTACACGTTCTTCGAAGGTGTGTGTCCATGGACAAACTCCTTCAACCCCCCGGTTGTAATCATTTGAACTTTGCACACATGCACGGATTACAACAGATAAACTTAAACATACAGTTTCGAGGACAAAGACTTTACTCTATATGGTAGAACGGAAATCATATTAGCCCTGGAGAAAAAAGAAATATCAAAGTTTGTAACAAGTTTTTTATTTTTAATTCAAATTTTAAGTTGTTTAATTATTAAACCACACAAGTTTGATTTGATTGATTTTCCACTGGCTGATCAAAAGATTGATTTTTACCTTGTGGAGGCTCAATCAGAATGCATAAGTCATTTATGTCGGCAGTTGAAAAAAGAAAAAAAAAACCTAAAAAAAACGTTCCATTTGACTTCATTAATGATCAGACGGTTCGGTAGGTTCCCAAAAAAGAATTCATAAATAGTTGTTTTGCATATTCATTCATTCAGTCAGAATGATTTCTGATTCTGAATTGATTTGATTTGAGATTTTGAAACTTTAATTGTTTTGTTGTTGTAATACATAAATGTTTGTTGTTTTATTTGTTTTGATTAAGATTTTAGTTATTATTATTATTATTTCATTTGATGTTTTTTTTTTTTTTTTATTATCTATCTATTCTATTCTATTCTATCTATATATATATATTATTATTATTATTATATTTTCAATTTTTTAGATGGATCTATTAATAATGGATAGTTTGTTGATTCTATTGGTTGTCTCCAACCACTTTGCATTGCTTTCTGTAGCTGTGAAGGTAGAGGGTCTGGCGATAGTTCGTCGGGTTCGAAAGACTCTAGCAGTTTCTTAATTTGAATGAGGTTGAGTTTTTGGAAGATCGGTTTGATTGCCTCAATATCAACAAATACAGATTTATCGATGACAAACAAGTTCGATGCCTCCAACGATGAGTCCAACTGCTCACTGACCGATTTGAAGTTGGTTTGAGAACACCATTCCTTTAATCTCGACACACCCATCTTTACCTTGAATCCAAGAGTTGCTCTGCATACACTTGCGTTCTGAAGGAAATAGTTGGTGATTTGTGCATTGATAAAATAGAATGTTTGACTATAATAACAATAATAGTTAGATTAATTAAGTAACAACAGACTACTCATTAAAAAGTAAGAAATACTAACGTTAAAAGTTGATTCGAGAGTTTATGACAAACTTTACCCTCGTCAAGGAAATAGAGTACAGAGTCTAAAATCAATAGTAAGTTATTGATTGAAATAGTATTGGCTTTACCGGTGGCATGTGGTTTGATGCTTGACTTTTGATCTAGAATAATACTATCTGGGTTAAATATAGAGGCAATCAATACCTTATCTAATTTCTACAGTAATAAAAGATTATTGTTAGCAAAATAAAGATATTTCGGTAAAAGAATCGTAGAATCAACTTACAGTTTCAATGATTGAAATAAGCTTGCTATAAATATTGAGTACCAATGATTGAAGATCTCTAATAAACGATCCACCTGCCTCTGGTGATGGAGGAACAAATGATGAAACATAAATTTCGATTCCCGAGAGTGTTGGATCTGCTGATTGTGGACTTAGTGCCTATTTAATGAGATGATAATTATTGATTAATACAAAAAGATATTTAAATGAATAGAGTTAAAAATATTTACATTTTGATGTAGTTTTTGAAGTAAATAAACAACAGTTGAGAACCAATAACAAATAACTTTACAGTCACTTCCTGATCTCTGTTCAAATAAAAAGTATAAATTGATTGATAATTAGTAATAGAATTAAAAAAAGATATATTATACAATAGGTATAGATATATTTACCAAGAATGATTTCTCTAATGCAAATACAATCTTTGATAGCATCTTTTGATTCTGTGTCTTTGAAACACCACCGATGGAATCGATCATCTGCCAAATACTCGAACCACAATAGGGGATGTTGTTTCTATCGAAATCGAGCTCTGGCCAATAGACACAGTTCTCAATGTTCTTTAGATCTTCCAACTCCAATCTTGTCTCCTCGGACACACCGTTTCCAACGTGTGTTGGCTGTGGTGACTTTGAAAGTTGTTGTTTGGCTTGCTCTGACTCCTTAACGACCTCGGCATACTTCTTACCGAGTGATTCGATTTGCTCCTTCAATTCAATGTTGTTCTTTCTCTCTGAATCTCTCTCTTGCTTGAGTGCACTGACTTTCTCTTTGAGATTGTCAATCTCACCAGAGTGATCGTTGGCAGCAGCAGCAGCAACCACTGGAACTGGTACCGGTACGGCTGTGGTTGCGGTGTCTTTGAGTTGTTGGTTTTCAGTCTCCAACTCCTCAATCTTAACAGTGGATTCGGCGATCTCATCTTCCTTTTGCTCGAGCTCTTCCTTCAAATCTCTGATCTTCTCTTTGTACTTATCGATCTTTGCCTTGAGTTCATCGACATCCTCCTCTTCGTCGCTGCTATCGTGTCTTCCTTTGTTGGCGTTGTTGCTCTCTTCGACCTGCTCCTCAAGTGAGGTGATTTGAGTGTTGGCTTTCTGAAGTTTGTCGCTAATGGAGTGCTTCTCGGCTGTCAAATCCTCTACTTCCTTCTGGAGTTGCTCTACCATCACCTGATAGTCGTTGAGGGTGGTTGTTTTATTGGCAGCATCATTCTTGTAGTCTGTCAGCTGCTCTTTGTAACCATCAACCTCTGATTTGTAGATCTCTGCTTCCTTCTGAAGGAACTCCACCTTCTTCTCCAGTTGATCGATCAATGCCTGTTGATCTTCCTTCTCGCCGTCACTCTCTTCCTCCTTGTGTGAATTGGCGGCAAGTTTGTTTCGCTCGATCTGCGCCTCCAAGTCGATCTCCAACTCGCTGACCTTGTCTTTGAGTGATTCGATCTCCTCAATAGCAGCAACCTTCTTGAGCTTACTCTTATCGATCTTTTCTTTCATACCACGAATCTCTGCTTGCAGCTCTGTTATCAATACTTGTAGAGCACCGGCATCTTGGCTGGTGGATTGCGATGTCTCTAGCTGTTGCTTCAAGTCTTCAATGGTTTTAAGGAAATGCTCCTTCTTCTCCTCGGTCTCCTGGTAGAGTTTAGTGTAGTTCTCACCCAAATCTTGAATCTTTGATTCATATTTGGCCTCGAGCTCCTTCAATCCTAGAGTCTCGCCACTGAGGTCACGAACTGACTTTTCTAGCTTCTCCACCTGTGAGTGAGAGTCTTGCTGTGATTTCTCCAACTCCTCCTTGGTTCTCTTCAATTCCTCAACCATTGAATTGAACTCACTACGACTAGACTCCAAATCCTCCGATGCTTTGTCCATGCCACTCTTGAACTGCTGTGATTCACTCTTAGAAGTTTCAAGCTGTTCGCCAAGTGAAGCCGACTGCTGCTCTGCGTCTTTGAGCTTCTCCTCCAACTCTTTGATTTTCTCCTGGAGGTTCTCTGCTTCAGAGTTGTCGTTTGACTTTGATTGTAAATCGGCGACCTGAGTATTGAGAGACTGGATGTTAAGCTTCTGAGTTTCCACTTCCTCGACCAACTTTGTCTTTTCATCGGTGAGAGCCTTTAGCTTTTCTTGCAAAGTGTTCAACTCTGCCTCTTGTTGATTTACATTGTGAACGGCTTCGGCATTTGCCTCCATCTCTCTTTGCATATGCTTCAACTGTTCCTCGAGATTCTTCTTCTCCACTTCCAATCTGCTTGTTGTTCCCTCGAATGAAGTGGTCTTCAAACGCTCGTCCTCCAACAACAAAAAGTTATTTCTACTCTCTGCCTGCACCTGTGCCAGTGCATCCTTGGCAACTCTGACCTCTTCGTTCATTCTCTCGACCTGCTGGAGTGCTTGGTTCAACTCGCTGGAGGCAGCCTTGTTATCGGCGGCACTTGCCAGCTGCGTTTCAGCCACTCTCAACTTCTCAACAAGCTGGTTACTCTCTGCCTGCAGCTTTTCATAACTTGAATTCGCGCTAATGATTTGATTCTGTAGAGTTGAGATATCGCCGATATTCTTTGCGTTGTTGTTTCTCTCGATTTGCAGTTGCTCTAGGACGTCACGCTTCTCCTTGTTTGATTTATCAAGATCGATCTTTAGTGCTTCGATTTGCGTTGTGTATTCACCGATGACATTGTTACCGATCGATTTCGAACGCTCCTTGATTGTCTCCATCTCGCTGAGCATCTGCTTTATCTCCTGGACACGATCGTCACGATCCTTTGTTAGACGGGTCATCGTTCCATTCGACTTCTCGAGGTCGGCCTTCAACGTCTTTACCTTCTTCTTGTACTTTTTCAACTTGGAGTCGGCAGACTCTGCAGGTTTCGATCCATCCTTGTCTACCTTTGAAGCGGCAGCAACAACACCGGTGGTTGCAACCGTCGAAGTAACAGTAGTTGAATCTCTTTTGTTTGACGACGACGTCGATTCCTTTCCACTATCGACGGAGGTCGACGACAGATTACTATCCTTTCTACTCAATTGTGAACTACTACTATTACTATGAGTATCGCTATGATTCTTCAATGATCCAGTTGATACTGCTGATACTAAAGTTGAATCGTCTTCAAAACTAACTTCTTCTTCTCCCTGTTTTTCAATAATTAAGATAGTTAGTAACCATTATATCTAAATCTTAATCAATCTACATACATCAGAATCATGTTCAGAAGTTGGATTTAAATCGGTTTCATCTGGTTCACTCATGTCAGTCTCTGTCTTTAGGAAATACTCTTGTCCATCCAATTGAACCGATTGTTTACCAAGTCCTGTCAAGATCTCCTTTTGCATAGGATCATCCGCTTTAACTATTGATTTTCCATTTAATTTCAACCATGTCGATTGGAATGATAACTAAGTAGTTAAATAAAATAATAATAATAATAATAATAAAGTAAAATTAATATTTAAATCAAACGATAGAAATACAATCACACTTACAACAAGATTAGCAGTAGCTTTAGATTTATCGTTGATTGGGAATGTTCTTGATCTCTCTGTTTTACTCTCGGCATATTGTGATAGATCAACTTCGATCGTTCCAACTGTAGATTGACTCTTTTTACCTTTATCTTTTTCTTTTTCCTTTTTTGTTTATAAAATGAAATATAAATAATATTATTGTTAAAAAATGTTATTTTGTCTATATATATATATATATATTTGTATGTAATATTTATATATTTACTTCAGTAATTGTAAATTTAATCTTTTTTGGTTGATAACCTTTCTTGTCTTTTACTAAAGAGGCATCCAAATTGAAGAGATGTTCGATGTTGGCCAAACCATCCTTTGGAGTGACTCGCTTAGTTTCACCTTGATTCTCAGGCTTCTTTCCACGTTTCCATGATACAAACAACGGTGAATTCGATGATTTTGGTAAGCCTTCAATACGATTAACCTTTATTTGATATTGAATCTTCACCGTATCCTTTGAAGATGATTTCGATTTGAAAAGAGATGAAGATCCCTTTTGCATCTTTTCACTTTATTATTACTATTAATTAATAATACTAACGAACTATATTTTACTTTCTATTACTATTAATAATAATTATTCTATTTATCTATCTATCTAATCTATTAAACTATTTTATTTTATTTTTTTTAAAAAAAAAATAATTTTTTTAATCTTTGAAATAATAAAAATATCTATATATATTACAAAATAGATAAAGATATATATCTTTATTACTAGTTTATTTAGAATAAAAATATTAATGATTAAAATTACCTTCTAATTTTAATGATAATAGTCTGGCACTTCACCACACACCCACTCAAAACCACCACTTATCACCTATTTAATTAATTGTTTTTTTTTTTTTTTTTTTTCAAAACTAAAATGGAGTCTATTTCACCCAGGTTTGAGATTTAAAGATCAAAAAATGAATATATTTGTCAATTTTAGGATAATTAAATTCAAATAAATTTAAATAGATACATATTATTTTAAAGTGTTTGAGTTTTTTAGGTAATCGAATAGAATAAGGGTGATATACTTTATTATTAATTTACCAACAATATGTGTGTTTGGGGAATGGTTTTTGTTTTTTGTTTTGTTTTGTTATTATTACTGTGATTTCAAAAACAATAATTAAACTTGTTTGTTTAATTAAAAGATACCCAAGAACTTCTTCTTCTTTGGTTTCTTATCTTTGTCCGATTTGTCATTGTTATTATTATTGTTATTATTATTGTTGTTATTGATGTTCTTTTTGTTGGGAGGTGTTGTTGGTTCACATATGATTATTCCCTTCTGTACCATCGACCAAGATTCATAGTCTTCGATTTCGTCGGATTCCAAACACGACGCGGCATACTCCATATACTCCCTTAGCAATTCCTCTTCCTCCTCAATGTGAGCTCTGTAGCCAAGTGTATGAAGAAGTCTCAGTTGTTGTTGTCTGATTTCCAGTGGATCTATTATTACATCTCTTCTATCCCATGCTGGGAAGTGCAATTTGAACTTGAAAGGTTCATTAAATTGTGTTATTTTCTTTATGGTTGGCGGTTTTGATTCATATTTACAATAATCCTAAAGAGTTTATTATAGATTAGATTATTGTTACTTATTATTAACAACAAAAATTTACTTACATTTACAAATATATTTGATATATTTATCAAAGTATCAGTTGCACGATGTCCAATCCAGAAATAAAGTTTATCTTTTGTTTCTAGAAGTGCACATTGGTCATCTTTCAGGTCGGAGGGATGCCATCTCGACACCTTCTCGACTTTGAATTCCGACTCGCTCGAGAAATAGAATCTAAAGTATTTATCTCTCAAATAATTTACATCGACAACCTCTCTCTTTAAACCTGGTAAAGATCTCCAGAAATCTCTGTCGTTCTCTGCTTTACGTTGTCTCATTACTGCAATATGGAAATGCTGTAAAAACCAAATAAATAGATTGGTTGTTAGTTATATATATATATATATATCTTTTTGTATAATAATAATTCTCAAACTTACTTCATCTAAATAAGAAGCATACAATTCCAATTCTTCATCGTCAATGAAATTCTGAGTGCCTTTCCAGACGACGATGTTCTCTTTGAGTGGCGAAATGGTACAGTACGCGCAGAAACTGTTGAGCAGCGTGGTGTTTTGATCCAACTGCTGAAGATAAACAGTCTCTGGATAGTATATAACCTGATAGATCTTATCAGAGATGTCGGGCTCATTGAATCTCGATCCCTTGTGAATGATGATTTTGTTGTGGAACAAATTCAAGAAATGGATTGGTTCCTTGCGCTGGTGGATTCGCACCAGTCGTGGAGCCTGCTGACCTTTCTCTTGAAATTTCATAGAGATAATTGGGAACAAACCATGTACGAAAGCCGCATATCCCTTGGTATCCGATTGAACACCCTCCCACCAGTAGATAGTCGATTGTGGTTTCGCCTTGACCTTCTTCCTGTTGAGAGTATTCAATCCTCTTCTAGACGATGCAATCACCATATAAGTGTTCATCTCATAGAAATGTGATTTCTCTTTTACATCCAATTTATGAAATTCTAAATCTGGTGTTGTAATTGCATATACCTGTAAAAAAAAACAAACAACAGCAGCAACAACAGTAATAATAAACAAATTAGTTCTACTAATCTTCATTTCTGCATTAGAAATCTAATCTACCTACATCTACAATATCCTTTTCATTATAAGGTAAAATTGGTTCAATAACTTCTTCTTTAATATTTGAGAATAACTTATTGTAACTATAACGTATTGGTTTCTTACATGATCTGTCAACTTTGTGTTTAAAGAAAAAGAAAGAAAGAAGAATAAAGTTAGATTAACCTAGGATTTGTGTGTGTATAGGTGAAATGGATATATCGGCGATATTTACTTGTAGATGGCTGTTGAGTTGGTAAAACGGGTGGTTTAGTTGGCCAATTCTTAAATTGTTGTTTGAAAAGTGGATGTTCTTTGTGTTGGAAACAAAGGATTACTTGTGACCATTTCGGTCTCTCGTATTCCTGGTAGAACATTTTGGCACATTCTTTGCCGGCGGTGAGTTTCTTCAGAGAGATATTCTCAGGTGCCCAAATAAATATATCGGTTGTACAATCGAGGATAAACACTTCGTCGTTGGTGAGAACAGAGTAGTCGATCGGATAGCTCTCTGCAATACAGTCCAGATCCAACTTACCGTTGGGACGTGCCACCGTCTTGTAGAGATTGACAATGGTGGGATCGTCGTCCTCCGGCAGGAAGTCATTGTCTTTGTCCTCCTTGGTTTTGTTATCCTTGAGGTAGCGGTAGAACTCCTTGTCGGTAGCCGAGTCTGTGACTTCGATAAGCTTGACTTGCTTGTCGTAGAACTGCGCGTAGTCTCTGGCGACGCGTCTCGCCAACGACTTTGTGTGGATCGACGACTTGGTACCCATTTTCAGGTAGACGCGACTGTCGTTCTCCAACACCCATGCCACATCGTGACTGGCGTGATGCTTCACTAGCTTTCCAGAGACACCGAATCGTCGGACGTTCAGCCGACCACTGCGCTCACCAATCAGTGGGATATCGATCTTGAGCAGTGTCGTCGGTCCAATATCCTTCTCTTCGTCGATGGCATTGAAGTCCGAGCCGGCACCACCAGACTTGTACTTGATTCCATTGAATTCATCGTAGAAATAGTCCAAAAACAACTCACTTTCATCGCCCTGATACTCGTGATAGTGATGCACCTTTCCACCCAAATGTGTAGCCAATTGAATAGCCAACATCGCTGCCGATCCCGATCTATCAATGGGTGATTGTTCACCCGTCCAAATATGAATATTATACATTGAATCTTTTTGATTCTCATTTGACTAAAGTTATGAGTTATTTGGAGAAATAGAACAAACAAATTAATATATATATATATATTAAACAAATTCAAGTTCAATTCCAACATTAATTCATTTCAATCAAAAAATATTAGGACTTACATTTAAAACAATATATGAATCTTTTGTATAGAATACAGGATAGTCATCGAAATCTCTTTCCTCCACGCCAAAAGATGTTACATTCCACATGATGAAACCTTTGAGATCTTCTGCCTCACCGAATATCAGTGAGAAATCAATGTCGAGCGAACCATACTTGAAAATATTCACCATATCGGGTGGTCTACATGTTGATTTTGCAATCTCTTCGCTCAAAACACTGCTACTCGGTGCTACCTTTGAAACAACGGGATTCGGTTTCTTGAGGAGTGCATCGATGATGATGTTTCCATCGGAGATTGCTTTTGGATCGACAGTTGGAACCTGTGGTATTAAATCCTCTTTTGTTATTACATCGTCTGCCGGTTCCTTTGAAACCGAAGACTCCTCTCCGGTGGTTGCCTTCTCCTCGGTTGCCACCTTTGTCTCCAGCTTTTCCGCTGTCGCTGTTGTTGTCTCTGCTTTCTCAGTGATACCTTTCTCTTGCATCTCCAATTGTCTCTGTCTTTCCAACTCTGCCTGTCTCTCAATCTCTGCCAATCTATCTATTTCCAATTGTTTAGCATGCTCCGCTTCCAAAGTTGTTACATATTCTGGTGGTGGTGAAATAATAATAGATATAGAAATAGTAGTTAATATCATTTGCTGTTTTTCTTTCTACTTATATATAATAATATTACCTTCCCATTTCTTGTGTAATTCACGATTGAGATTGTTCTCCTCTAGATGTCTAATACTGGATGAAGTTAAACCAAACATCGAGGGTTTTCTTGAGGTCTGTGAAAGTGGACGTTTTGCGATGGTTCCCTCGGTGGGTGGACTCTTTAGATCAACTATTCCATTAGTACTATTGCTGCCGCTGGTACTGTTGCTCAGATTGCCATTTGCCTTTAGGAACATCTCCTGTAGACTGGTAAGACTGGTCTGTGTCCTCGAAACTCGCGGTACAGAGATGGTTTTAAAGAGGTTGGAAGCAGCCTTCTTTCCGAGTGAATTCGACGATGCATACTTTCTCAGCGTTCCCGAATCCGGTTTATTGAAGAGGTTCGAAAGACCACGAGAGATGGTGCCACTGCCCATCGAATTGCCTTTGACATGGCTGCCAGAAGTCGATCTGTGTAATGTGTCATATTTATTGTTGATGCTGCCGTTTAACGGTCCTTTAACAGTGCCTCGCAGTGTTCCAGTTCCACTGAAATTTCCACCCATTTTCTCTGCCATAATCATATTGAATTCCTCAGTCTCTTTCTTTCCCTCCTGTCTCTGTTTCTCCAACAATCGTTTCTTCTCTTCGTCCTCTTGTTTCAGTTTTTTCTCCATCTCCTGTTTCTTCTTTAGTGTCTCATTCAACAGTTTCTTTCTCTCCTCTTCCAACCTTTGTTTTTCCTTTCTATTTGCAAATGCTTCATCCTTATTAATAGTTATTAAAAAAATACAACCAGCCAAAGAAATATTAGAACAAACTTAAACCATTATAAACTAAATCTTAAACATAAACTTACCTCTTGTTGTGATTTCAAATCCAATATAGTTTTATTGAGATTCAACTTGTCTAGCTTTGAGAGATGATCTTCATTCTCCTGAGGCGCGGACGGAGGTGATGCATCTTTTGTAATCGGTTCACTACTCGCAACAGCGGCAGTCAGTGAATGATTCATTGATGTTGGTGATGCCGAATGTATATGTTTTACTTGTTTACTCTTATTCTTTTGTTTCTGTCTGTTATTCTTTTTTTGCTGCTGCTGCTGGTGTAGTTGTTGCTGTGTTGAATTATTTCCGCTGTTTCTGGTACCAGCCTTTTTTGTCGACATTCTTCTTTTTGGCTCCATATTCTGACAAAATCTTTTTTTTTTTTTCAGAAAAAAAATTAAAAAAAATTAAAAATAATTCAATTTAGTATAATTTTCAAAAAATAAAAAAGTAAGTTATTTCAAAAAAGTTGGTTTGGTTTGTTTGGAGGGTGTTTGTTGTTTTTTTTTTTTTGTTTTGAATCTATTATTATAATTTCTCTGCAAAAACAAAAACAAAAACAAAAAAATAATAATTATTTATATATTCTATTATTATTATTAAAAGTTGGAAGTGAAGAAGTGAGAGTGTATGACAATTGGTTAAATATCCAAATATTAATCTATCAAAAACAACACTAGTATTGATTATTTATTTGTTTGTTATATATAATATAGTTTTATTTCAGAGTATATAATCAAAAAATCAAATCAAAATCAAATTCTTTTGGTTGGTTGAGTGTGAATGATGATGAAAATAAGTAAACATAACTGGTATTTGTTTTGCTACTGCTGTTTGCGAGAAAATATATGATATATGGGTTGATGTTGTTGTGTATGATATATGACACACCAACTTTAATTGTATTCACACACCTCCACAAAACAAAATAGCAACAACAGATTGATGAGAGTGTGTTTGTGTTTGTGTGGTTGGTGTGTGTTTGAAGGTTATAGCAATGTAATTTATTTATTTATTTTATAAACACACTCATATATAAAATATTTGATAATTCTTTTCGTTAGTGTTGGTTGATAGGTGCGTCAATGTCAATAATTAATTATTGGTATAGTTGCAGTTAAATTAAGGTCATGGGAATATATTTATTTGTATATATTTATAATGTGATGATAAATGATAAGAGTTGGTGATGGCGATGGCGACAAAAATAAAATACTAAAACACTTAATGATAATTAATAGTAATCAGTATTAATATATTACCTTGATTTGGATTGATTTTAATTTCGTGATAAAGTTTGATTAGATTTGTAGCAATCCTGTCTCTGGTGATGCTGTTGATAAATCTTGTGTTGGTGATCTATGAACTCTGATATTCCAATGTAACCAAAAAAAAAATAAAACAAAAACCAAATGATGATTCTATTATCTATTTTTCTTTTTCTATTATTGTATAGTTATTATTTATCAATGCTAATTTGTTGTTTTGTTTTGTTTTGAATTGAATTGAATTGAAATTTGATTCGATTTGGTTACTGACTTTGATTATATTGTGTGTTTATTATTAAAAATGATGATTGATGATTGATGATGATGATGATCTTGTAATAAATAAATAAAATAAATAAATAAATAAATAAATTATAATAGATTCATTTAATTTAAAATTATAATTAAAAAGTGAAACAAAAACTATCGTTTGAAATTTTATTTGTGATTGCCAAACAATTCAATTTGTAAATATATTATTTATGATTTTTAAAATAATAATAATATAAAAATAAAATTAAAAATTGAACAAGCAAAATAAACCAAAATTGGTTTTGATTTGTTTCAACAAAACTCTTAATTTGTATGTGAGTCGACTTACATTAATGTAATTTGTTTTTTGCACCACACTAAAATATTAGTGGCTTTTTTTTTAATTTTTAATAAAAAAAATGTGGGAATTCTTTTTTTTATTATAAACAAATCTTTGCTTCTTTTTCAATAATTCACATTTTTTTTTGAAAATCATTTTCACCTTTTTCTTTTTACTTTTTTTTTAATTAATTATTTAATTAAATATACTTAACTTTATAAAACACAAGAACAACACGATAGATAAGAGATGTCGAGCGACGATGAAGAATTCAGTGATGTAGACGAAGATGAAGATTACTACGATCCTGATGATACCGCTTTTGAGAATGAAGATGATATCGACGAGGACGATGACTATGATGATGACTATGAGGATGATGACTATGAATATGTTGGCAGTGAAAACTATGGCGGCGGAGGTATCTATTTACAAACTAATGCTCCAACCACCGGTGGTTTAACAATTACCGATATCTTAACTATATATCTGTATGTAGATTATTATTATTATTTTTATTATCTCTGTCATTGTTAATGACTAATTTTAAAAATTTAATTAGTCAAAGATCAAGAATGCAAGGAACAAACATGTCGAGAGCACCACCCGAAAACGATGGATCTGCACCACCTCCTAAAATCGATTTAGATGTATGTATTTGTATAGATGTTGAGCAGAACGATTCTACTTACATACTTACTAACATGATTATATAATGTAGCTACATACTGATTTACCAAGATCAACTGATTTATCGACAAATAGATACTTATTCAATGTAAGAATTATCATATTTATAATCATAAAACAGACATTTATATCAACAAATATATATGTTTATAGAGAGAAATACTGGGAAAGAAAAACAATTCCGTCGATATTTCATCACATTTCCTTCCAGCCAATAGCTTTAAGAATATTGCAAAGCTTTCATCTAAAATATTCTGTTGTCAATATTTAAATCAAGGAAATACTTTTATGAGTGCAAGTCAAGGTAAATCAAAAATGATTATATTAGTATAAATACATCAGTCAGACATGTTACTTAATTGTTTATTCTTTGAATATATATATATATATATAACTATAACAGACAGGATAATAAGATTTTATGATACATCGAATTGGGAGATCAAGAAGATGATACAAGCACAAGATATAAATTGGTCGATTATCGATGTCGATGTTTCACCCAATCAACAGTCAATGATTTACTCATCGTGGAGTCCGTATATCTATTTGGTAGATCTGACAAAGGATGACGACGACGACGACAATATTCATCCGAATCAGAGACCACTCGATCTCTTCCCAGATGTCGATCGGTTCTGTGTGTTCGGTTTGAAGTTCTCACACAACAGTACAGAGATACTGGCGGGTGCGTCGAATGGCTTGTTCTACTTGTACGATTTGATAGCGGGAAGTCGTGTCGCTCAGATCTATGGACATGCCGACGATGTAAATAGCGTGTGTTTTCTCGATGCGCATAGCGACAGCAACACCCTGGTGACGGCAAGCGACGACTACTACATTAAGATTTGGGATAAGCGAACGATGCGCTCCCAACACGAGACCAATCCAAACCGACGTGTCTCCAAGCCGGAGGGCTATCTCTCGGGACACAGGCGTGGCTTGACCTTTGTAGAGTCGAAGGGTGACAGTCGATACCTGCTGAGCAACGGTAAAGACAGGAAGGCCAAGCTGTGGGACATCAGAAAAATGGCGACAAGCATCAATCAGATATCGACTTCGCGATCGGAATATCACAACGATCAGGACTACCGATTTGGTTCCAGTGGCGGTTCGACACTGGGACCTACCAACAACGAAAAGGATCTTTCCATCATGACCTACTCACGCCACTCTGTATTCCAGACTTTGATTCGATGCCATTTCTCACCATTAGCAACAACATCTCAAAAATATATCTACACTGGATCAGCAACTGGTGAAGTATTTAGTAAGTATTTGGATATGAAAAGAAAAAAAAACAATATTCTAAATAACTCACCATTCCTTTTTTTTTTTTTTAGTTTATGATTTACTATCTGGTGAATTGGTAGATACATTAAATCAAGGTCATGGTTTAATTAGAGATCTATCGTGGGCACCGTACTCACCTCAACTAATTTCCACTTCTGTAAGTTACATAATGTGTTAAAACATTGTCATAGGAATATATGCTTACTATCTTTTATTTATTCTCTATAGTGGGAAGGATATATTACAAAATGGGATGATTGGTACGATCATAGATACAACGATGGATTATCAGTCGCAAATTGAGATTGAAATAACCAATATTTTTTTAATAATAAATAAATGTACATAGGTTTTTTTTTTTTTTATTTTGTATTCGCTATGATTGGAGCATTTAATAGCTCAATCATTTTCTTTTTAATATCCTCCATCTCTTCCACTACCATTGATGTTGATGGTGATGTATTTATAGGTTGACTGTTGTTGTTGCTATTGTTGATCTCTGTTGTTTTGTTTGTTAAACTATCGTTGTATTTCTCTATAAACTCTTTCATTGTCATTGATCGAATCGATTGTGGAATCTTTATTAAATCTATAGCAAATTGATTTCTAATGGTTGTACAAATTAACTCTGCTTCCTCTCTCATTCTATGACATCTAATATCGACTACAACATATTGTATATTAATAACTAACTAATGAGCTACTACAAAATGTAAATCTTCATACCTTCATTATCAAAGTCTTCTAAATAAGCTTCTAATATTTCTTTATTATATTTATTCATGTCTCTTTCTTTTTTTTTGTTTGTTTGCTTAATAATTTAAATGATCAGTAAATATATCGTGATCAATTTAATCAGATAAGGCTTTGGCGCCAAAATCAAAAAAAAAATAAAAGTGGGAGAAGAAATGATAATTTTTTTGAATTTAAAAAATTGGTTACAGTTATGTTATTTATAAACAAACAATAATATTTTATTATAAATAGTTATGTCAATGTTTTGTTTGTCAAGGTTGGGTTGATGTTGTTGTTGTTGTTTGCTATTTGTCAATGATGTTGGTTTGGTTTGGCTGGTAGTTTGTTGTAATATTACAAGTTACATGACTTGATTGGTTGGTTGTTTTTTTTTTCTTTTGGTTTTAAAATAAAAATTACAAAGAATTAATCGATTAAATATAATAAATAAAAAGCTTTGCCTATGAGTTGTCGGTCGGAATGGTACACTGGTGTTCTACTACTACTACTACTTGTTCAGGGAACTCATAAACGAAGAAATGGAGAACTCTTTCTTAAGATTTCCACTTGAACCCTGTTGTGATGAAACCGACTCTGACGAAGAGCTACGCTGCTCTCTTGGTTCACAAATCTGACTGTATTTGTAAAGTGCCTTTTCTGTAAGACCTGGAATATTTTTTACATAACGCGAGGTTGCATCCTCCACTCTGAAGTGATAAGGTGTCTGTTGATACTGCTTGATTTCACGAATGACAACCGAAATTCTTCTACGCTTCTCAAAGTTAATTATGTCATCACAGTTGTTCAATGTATTCTTTGTACCATCTTCAATAAAAGTTAAATCTGTTAAATATACACCCTATTTGATTAATGCATTAATTATGTTAGTACTCACAATTGAATTATTGTTGTTGTTATTTGTTTGTTTGTTACTTACAAGGTATGGAATACAAGGAGGATGTACAGAGTGAAGTGCAGCTCTATAGTCTTTAAAGTTATTCTTTTGTGCCATTAGAACGAGTAGCTCATCGTAGATGTTCTTGAGCAATGGTTTAGATTCGATCTTCTCCCAGGTCTTGGAAAGACGGTAGACGGAGGCATTTTGCAAACCAGAGAGAATCTCCATACAACCATTGAAATTACCAATGTCACGACACTTTTGTGCGATAATGATGAATCTCTTGACGACTGAGACACGCTCCTTTAGTTTCTCGGTTCTGACGATTTCGGTTGCGACCCAGTTGGAAACGGCGTTGAATCTTCTGATGAATGCAACGATGTTGGGTGCCAACTCGTCTTTGTTTTGCTTGTTCCAGCTCTGTCCCAAACACTCTTTCGATTCGATCTTACGATAGAGCTCCGACTCGATCAGAGTGAGTTGACGAGCAATCTCAGTGGTATCCAAATCAATAAAGTTTGGATCACGCACTTTGGGTGCGATGACGGCGGGTGGATCTTCGTTGAACACCGGGATCGGTGCCATACGTTCATTGTTGAGCAGCTTTTTTAGATTTCGACCGATACCCTCGAGATCGATATTGATATGATTGTTAATGAAATGATCGACTTTGGCAACCAGTGCAGCATCGTCGCTGAAATCGTGGAAATGCTTGTCCAACCACATCTTGATGACGTTGGCGACACGAAGACGAACGATACGACGCTTCTTATCGAGCTGTGCCGACGGCATTGAACTGTCATCGGTTATATTGTATGATTTAATTAACATGTCCATCAGCTCGATGGGTGTGGTGAAAGAACGATAGGTCAAGAGGAATGCAGAAGCAAAATCGGTGTCATGTGACTTGTCATATGACAGACGCTGTACAAGACGCTCCAGTGTTCCACCCTTGACCAGATAGGCACCAGTCTCACTCTTGATCAATACCAAGTTTGGATCATCGAGATTCTCTGGTTCTTCAAAGGCATCGTCCTCGGCGGCCGCCAGCAGTGTCGGGGTCGAAGGACGTCCGGCACTGGTCGACAGTCCGACTGGCTTTGGCGCGACCGACGATGTTCTGACGAGCGATGGATTGCTCATTGGTGCCGGTGTGTTTGAGGGGAATGGTGATGTTTTACTACGACGATCGTTGGGAATGGGTGGAAGTGGTTGTGGTGGAATTTTACGACGCTCTTTGAAGCCGTCGGCCGACGAAGCAGACGAGCCAAGTGAGTCGGGTGAAGCAAGAGGTGGCGAGCTAGAGTATGAAAATGAGTTTATCGATGAACCCGACGATACCAAGGAGATTGGTGACGATGGGTGGTAGACTGGCGATGATGTTGGGTTGGTAAATACAGGGGTAGATGACGAGAGTTGGTTCGACGAGGTGGAGTTGGAGTTGATGATGCGGCCGTTTGGCAATGAAGCTGCTGGGTTGGCAGAGATGGAGAGTGGAGGTGGTGATTGTGGAATATTGTTGCTGCCGCTCAATGGAGTTGCAGGGAATCTTAAGAAAGAATCTTTTGTTGAGGCGATCGAGTCGGAACGTACTTTGGCAGCGGACCAGTTCTTGTTGGCGTTGTTGCCGTTGCTGCTGCTGCCGGTCAAAGACGATACCGATGACGAATGACTATGTTGAACACGCTCCTCATTTGGAGGAGAATTATTTCCAGCGACATCGCCATCGGCAATGTCGGGTGATTGCTGTAAGTAGGTCTCAGATGTGCTTCTGATCAAGATTGGCTTTCGCAGTGCACTGTTTGGCACGCCCAGAGGGGTGACATTATTGCTGGTTCTTGGTGATACCATCGGTGCTTGAACGTTGTGACTATTGACATTTGGTGTTGGACGAACTGTTTTCATACTGCTGTTGGGTACTGTCTGTGCTGGGTAGGTGGGTGGCGACGATGACAGCTGACTGTCTTTGCTCATACTCTCATAGATATCCGATAGACAATTGGAGAGATCACGATCCTCATTGAAACTTCTCTCCAACAATTTAGTCTGAAAGTATTCCAACTGCTCCTTTAAATGTCCATTCACTGCTTCCAACTCCATTACCCTATATTGAAGTCTTGAATTCTCTTCCTAAAAAAAAAAATAATAAAATAATATTTATAATTATTATTATTTTCTTTGTTTTTTTCTATGTCTTTACATGTTTGAAGATTACCTCTAATTCATTGATTCTATATAGGAATGTTTCATTGTTGAGTACACCATTCTTACTGCTATGAAAATTGTTGCTGCTGTTGATATTGTTGTTGTTGTTATTATTGATATTATTATAATTATTCATTTCTACGCGTTTATCTATTTTTGTATGTGTGGAGTGATTTCTAGTGGCTGCCACCACCAAATAATAAACAATCTTAACTTGACCTTTGTTTTTAAAACTGTACTATTTATATATAATAATATTCTGAAAATTCAAAATAAAATGTCTGCGAAAGGTCAGAGTAAAAAAATTATTATGAAAAAATAGGGGGTTAATTAATCTGTTATTCTGTCTTTTTTAAAAAGAAAAGCTAAATAAAAAGATAAAAAAAGATTAAATTTGATTTTTTACAATGATCTCTCTGCTTTGAATATCTTTTAATATTTATTTGGTGATATTGTACTGTATGTTTCAAAACAAATAGATAGTAGATATAGAGATAGATGATAATTACAATATTTATGACAATGAACAAATCTGTTTATTGCTATGGGTTTTTTTTTTTTTTAAATTGTTGTTTTTTTTTTTTGTAGATGTAGTTGTTGTAGTTGAGTTACTTTTAATAAAATTATTGTAGTTGTGTTGTGTTGTTTTGTGTGTGTATACAAAGTTGGTTAAAAAATGGATAAATTGTTACTTATAATAATAATTTTGTTGTGATTGTAATATTGTGTAAAAACAGCAGTTAGGGCTGAATTTGTTTGATGTTTTTTATTTTTTAATAAAATTGGAGTTAAATGGTGATGATGGAGATAAAAAATGTGGGTGATGAGGAGGACAATTGTTTTTTTAAAAAAATGTTTAAAAATGATATGGGTTTGAAAATTTTTTAAAAAAATACCAACCCAAATCACAACAAAAGCTGACTTTTGGAATGTCAAAAAAGTTTATGTGCGATGACAAACAAAAAATAGAATGAATGACAATGAATTTGGTTGTTGGTATTGTGGCTGTTGTTTGTTTATTTTTTAATAATAGATCGTTGACCATTTATCCAGAAATGTACATCGTTTAATTAATTAATTGTACAAACAAACAAACAAAAAAAACATTTATGATTATCAATCAATATAAATTCCTTATTCTTACTCGACTTGACTTTGAAGGTTGTTGTTATTATTTAATTTATATTTTCTGAATCTATTTGCTAACTTTTTTGTCGAATGAGGTCTGATTATTGATTATTGCCTTTTGAAATATAGATAAATTAGGATTTGAAACCAAATTCAAAAAAAAAAATAATTAAAATAAAAATAAAGATAACAAATAGGAGTTGTTGACGCTATGTACTGAATTTTTATTAAATGATTTAGTTTTTACAAAAAAAAAAAAAAAAAAAAAAGAAATTGATTAAAAAAAAATTATTTAATGTAAAAAAGATAAAAAAAAAAACAAAAAAAAAAACATGCTCATTCAGAGAAAGTAGGAGGTCGATTTAAAACCCAACAATATTTGCATTTTTGAAAAAAATCCTAATAAAAAAAAAAAAACTCAAATCCAATGGAGAGACAGTCTATATGATTTGTGGTTGTGGTGTGAATTGTTTGTTGAGCTGTGAAGTAACATTCGAATATTTACCATTAATTAAAACAGGGTTTGAATTCAAAAGAGTTGTGATGAAAAACCATCAAGTCACATCCGTGCTTGGTTGAGACTTTTTTGCAAATTTGTATAGACTATTTATACGTGATCGATTATGTGGAGAATAATACAAAAGAAAGATGATTTATATTAAATAGAATAGATAGACGATAGATGGATTGGATAAGGGTTTAAATAGAGAGTAGTCCATAGCAAAGATAAAAAAAAAAAAACAAAAATAAGTTAAATAATTTGCAAAAAAAAAAAAAACAACACTTACTTTAAAGTGTTATAGATAACTTCTATAACAACAAATAAAACAAAACAAAACTATTTTGTTTGAGAGCAAATAAACAACAACACCAACATTAAAAATCAACATCAACTTCCGAATCAAATCAAGACCTCCTCATTCGACCTCCGAAAAATAATAAAAAAAAAATATAAGAAATGGTGAAAAAAAATAATAAAACACAAAAAAAACAATAAAAACCCACATTTTATTGATAAATAATCGGACCGCTAAGAAATATCCAAACCTTTTTCGAGGCATTTTATGAACAGGTTATATAAATGAGAATTTCTAAAAAAAAAAATTGTGTTTGTGTGTGTGAAACTATTTATTTTGGATATTTATCTATTCTTGGTGTGTTGTTAAAGAATTAACGGTATTATCTATACTTGATTCTTTTTCTTTTTCTTGTTGTTGTTTTGCAGTTATTGTTTGGTTATTATTGACCTTATCTTGTTGTTGGTTATGGTGGTGGTGGTGGTGGACAGCCAAAGGTGGTGGGGTGTTTGTCTCGATTGGCTGCAATTCAACATAAATTTCAATTTCATTATTAATTGATTTATGATCACCACCAACACCACAAAGATCATTGTTACCACAATTGTTATTATTGTTATTGCTACTATTTAATTTGTTGTTTAGAGGATCGCCATTATTCGCATGGTTATTAAATTTATGGTGCATCATCATCTTTTTCTGATTGTTATTATCAAGATATTGTTCGATTTTCTTTGGAATTTTGGGAACTAGCTGACCCAGTATCAATCTTTTCCAAATTGCCAGTGCCCACATCGACGTAACAAATGGAAATGTCAAGGTTGTGAAGTTCTTCGAGGCAAGGAATATATAAAAGATGGTTGCAACACCCACTGTCACCAGCATGTAAAGTCCATCGGCTACATCGTTGCCGGCACTTGCAATTCCACTGAGTACCGCATTGAATGAGAACAATCCTGCATTGATAACTGCCAGTTCTGCATCTGTTTTATACATCTGAGTGTAGACAATCGATATTTGTGATCCAACCACTCCATAGAGCGCGCCAATCGGTGAGGAAATAAAGATTCCCACTATCATGAGAATTCCACTGATCGAATCGCCCTGGAACATCACTTGGCCAAATGCATGTGCCGGTACTCTTATGAAATCCAATGACTTATAATCAATATTTGGACCTGGCACTCGAGAGTCTGCAAGATTGGCGTGTTCTAAAATCGCTTTTATCACCCAGGTGACCCCAATAAATGGGAAGGTATACGCTGGCAACTGGAAATGGAGGAAGAGATGCATGAAAAAAGTGGATGCAACCGAACCCACCACCAGGGCCACTATCACCGAGAGATTGACATGAAAATAGAAGATCAGAGCACAGCCTATCAGAGCAGCATTGAAACCGTAGAGTCCATCCATCACATTTTTAGTTGGCAGTCTCGAAATCCTGGCAGTCAAACTAGAAATAACGACGGCAACAATCATTATATAGGTCATCTCTGGATTTCCATAGAACATTGCCACCAAAAAGAAAATACCTGTAATAGCGTTGGACTGTAAAAATATCTGTCCAATACCCCTTAGCACTACCAGAACGCAACACCACAAAATCTCAATAGCACATCCTAAAATCAAAACATTTTTATATCTACAATAGCTGTTTTCGTTCATTTCAAATAACTATAGATCTTTAAAATGTTTTTCAATTGTGTTAGATTGTACTAAATCAATAGGAAACTCTAATGCTGCTCTACATACTTTTTGGTGTGGTATTAATTTTTCTCTTTCACTTTTAAATAAAAATTAATTTATATCTTTTTTGCATAGTATTTTATTATTGGTAATAGATGGTAGATCCTCCTGCCACCACTACTATTATTATTATATTTGATATATATTTTTATATATAAAAATATTATTTATGATTGTTATTTTTTTTTATAAAAAAAAATATATATATATATATAATAATTTCTTCCAATAATTTCTAACCTTTTAAAATTTAATAATAAATTAAATTAATAAATATTAATATTTTTATTAAATATTTAACTGATGATAGCAAAGGTTTGATTGAAGGTGAAGGTGGTTTAGTTGAATTGTATTGGGGTAGATTTTAGGTGACAATAGTAATTTAAAAAAATAATAAAAAATTAATAAAAACAACAAAAATTACAAATTAATATTTTACAAAAAAAATTGATAGCTATCACCATCATACACATTGTTATATAACACTACGACGACGATTCACAAAAAAAATACCGTTTCACAATCCCCACCCATCAAAATACCTCTAAAGGCATTTTTGGAATTAAAAAATTGTAAATTTTTGTTTTTTTTTGTTGAAATTTAGATCTTTTTTGATATGAGGTAACAAGATCTTAATCAAGACTTTAAAAATGTTGACATTTTATTGTAGGTCTTTACTAATTTATTATTTATTTATTGTTTTTTTTTTTAAAAGAGATTATAAAAAATTAATTTAAAGATAAATGTGATTTTCATTTCTTGGATTGTTGAATTAAATTTGACCGAAATCATAAATTAAACGATTCTTCTTTTAAACTTTTTCTTCATTGTTCATTATTTACTTTCTCTATCTATATCATTTTATAGTCAAGTGTCTATATCAAACCATTTTTCTCTTCCGTATTATGTTCTTATCATCAATTGAAAGATCAAATAAAATATCTTGAGTTTAGTAAAGACGTTGACTAAAGTTGGTCTTAAACACAGTGATCAAAATACCTCATTATAACACGTTTCATTAATTATCTTTGATTTATAATTAAAAACTAACTTAAATTATAGATTTTACAAAATTAATTTTACATTCAAAAAGAAGGATTTAATATTGCATTGCTAAAAGATCAACTGGAGAGATCGAATATCAAGGAAATTTGTTTACCTACTAGGATTGATCCATTGACTTCTGGATCCTTACCTTCAAATTTAGAAAGTCTTACACTACGAAAGTATAAACATCAATTGAAGGAAGGTGTCCTTCCGGCCTCAAAGTGTTGACCTTGGAAGGGAATTTGCCTGTTCTTACCAGTGAAATACTTCCACCGAATCTCCAACAAATTAGAATCAAGAGTTGCTATGGAACACCATCAATAGACATAAGTGTGGTTCCCAAAATTACATCTATTGAAAACTGCCCATACCAATGGATCAAGTTCTTTAAACATCTCCCATGTTTGAAATCGTTTTCAACGGAAGATCCAATTCCCGAGGATTTCTTAGAGCCAGGCGATTTTCCAAACAGCTTGACGAGATTGGATCTCAAGAATTTCGATTCTAAATTGAAGCCAAATGTAATACCGTCAACAATCAAACATTTAAGTCTTGGCTATTTCGATTGGGAACTAACCTCAGAATCAATACCAAAGGATGCCCAATTTGAACATCTTTGTGTTTGTGACACCACCTCCAAGATACTCCCCGACCAACTGCCACCAAATATCAAAAGTCTAGAACTGAGAAAGTACAATCAACTATTGGAACCAGGAAGTATACCATTTGGAATTGAAACTTTGAAACTACCAAGTATGAATGTAGAGCATATCATTAAAGATGTCATTCCATCCTCTATCAAACTCTTAAATTGTTTCAAAATCCAACGATGGACGATAATATTTTAGATACTGAATCAATTCCCAACTCAGTGGAGAGTCTTTATCTTGGTCAAGGTATATCCAAGTTCGATCCAACAAAGCTGCCAGATTCAATCAGAACAATAAAAGTTAGAACTGAGGATTTGGTTAAACATGGTATCGATTCATTCAACCCAAAGATTAACTCTATCAAGTTTAGTGATTGACTCTATCGTATCGATAACAATAATTACATTGCTCGTATTCACTCATTCATAAATTCTAACGCTGCCAAAAAACTGTTGGTAAAGATTAAAAGCTGGGAATCAAATCTTTCTCGTAATGAATTTGTAGCATTCATGAAAATAGAAGACTAAGTACATTAATAATAATATCCATACAATAAATAATATCTTTGTTGTAAATTGCATTAATTACTATTATTATGTTATCTTTATTTTACTTTACTTTTCTTCATTCTCTTGGATTTTAGAATTAACTAGTTGACGGAAATCGGATATCAAACGATTCTCCTTCTTTGCTTTCTCTTCTTTGTTCATCATTGCGAATTGACGTTTCTCTTCGGCACTGTAGACTTGTCCTTCCTTTCTTATACGAACGGCATTCATACGTCTGTGTCGGGAACCACTCATTACGTAACCGGCATCTTCAAAACCTTGAATCTGATCACTGGAGAGACCGACCTCACCTCTACGTGGGATACGCTTATTCTGTTGTACAAACTGAGCGATTGCATCGGCTTCACCGGGCATCATAGCACCACCGTAGCTACCGACGGCAACCTGAGGCAGTGGTTTTGGACCGACCTGAGTGTCAACCAATGGTTGTTCCTCTGCCTTTTCCATCCACATCGATGAGTCTTCCTCTGAATTATCTTCATCATCAGATCTTCTCTTACTTTTACTCTTACTCTTACTCTTTCTACTCTTTTTCTTTTTACTACTTGAGTGATGTTTCTTTTTACTCTTCTTTTTACTTCTTCTATCGTCTTTGTCGTCGTCGTCATTTGAAGAATCGCTATAACTGTTGTCACTATCACTATAGTCCGATGAAGAATTGTCGGAATCTGAAGTTGAAAGTGATCTACTTCTTTTTTTCTTTTTATGTGATTTGGATGATTTAGTTGGTGATCTTGATCTAGACCTTGATTTTGATCTTGATCTCTGTTTATCTTTTGATGATGATGAGCTGGAAGTTGATGTAGTCGATGAAGTTGAGGTTGATTTAGATTTGTTGTTGGATGTTGGTGAAGGTGATCTCGATTTTGATTTTGATCTTGATCTTGACCTTGACGATGCTCTTTTCAAAGATTTCGATTCGGATCCCTTATTTTTGTCTTTCTTCCTGTCTTTTGGTGGTGAAGGTGATCTAGCGAATATAGAATTACCTTTTGTGTTATCTCTCATCTCTCTTCTGTGTTCCAAATATTCTTCGGATGGTTTTCCATAGCTCTTATAGCCACCACCTCCACCGCCATTTCTCTTTGTAGAGCTACCACCATCTTCATCGTTTGTCTTGTATTTATTATCTTTTGAGTAATCATATCTCTCTTTTTCATTATCTTTATTTCTATCTCTATCTCTATCTCTATTTCTATCAGCATCTCTGTCTCTTTCATTATATTCTCTATCTCTATCTCTATTTCTATCTATATTTCTGTCTCTATGATAACTATCTCTATCTCTGTCTCTATCCCTTCCTCTTTCAGAGGTTCTATCGTTGTCTCTCTCTCTCTCTCTTTCTCTATCTCTATTTCTATCAGCATCTCTGTCTCTTTCATTGTATTCTCTATCTCCATTTCTCTCACTATCTTTATATCTGTCAGTTACTTCCCTATCTCTATCTCTATTTCTATCATCATTTCTATCTCTTTTGGTGTAGTCTCTGTCTCTATCATTTTCTCTATCTCTGTCTCTCTCATTGTAGTTTCTATCTCTATCTCTGTCTCTATCTCTATCTCTATCCCTATCTCTATCCCTGTCTCTATCTCTGTCTCTATCCCTATCCCTATCTCTGTCTCTTTCATTGTCTCTATCTCTCTGTCTATAATCTCTATTTCTATCCATCTCTCTTCTCCAGTACTAATTATTAAGATCTTTTTTGTATCAAATAACAATTATGTTGTGTTTAACAAAGATGTTTAATAATATTTATCAAGTAACAGATAAAATAAAAAAATGTTCAATACATGGATTGTCTAAAATTTTTCAATCGATTTAAAATTTCATTGAAAATCATCATTAAGAAACCAAACTAAATTTTCGAAATAATGAGTTGTCTCAATCTAGGTTATTTTATTTAATTAATATTTTATTGTATGAATCAGTGAAATTAAATGAATCCTTTGATTATAAAAAGTTTGGAAGTCGATCACTAAATACGATTGATAACAATAATAAATAGTTCATATATCTAATAAATAATTAAAACTAATATTCTAACCAAACTTATTTTTTTTTTGTAAACATTTAAAATTAAATCAATCAAGATTTATTCTTTTAAAAAGATAGAATGATTCCAATCGACATCATTGATCGTCATGCTAATGTTCATAACCAGGAAAAAAACATTTTTTTTTTTTTTTTAATATAACCTTTGGGTAAATGTGTGTTTATGTAAAAAGTTTTATGACCAAGTTTTTTAGATTTTTGTTATTAATAATATTAAAGTAGTAGTAGTACAGATATTAAATAGATTAAAGTAGATAGAGATAATATTAATTTAAAATAAAATAAATAAAATAATGTTTAAAAAAATAAAAGATAAAACAACGACCATTGCTACCAATGTAAAAGATAAGGTGTCAGAGAAAGTCACTTCGAAAGACGAGAAAGAAAAGATACACTATGTAGTCATGCCAACAGAGGTATCTAAAGTTAAAGGTGGTTTCGTTGTTGGATTCGGTAGTAATCACGAGAATCAATTTGCACTTGGACCGAAACAACCGGCATTCATCAAGACACTCACCGGATTAGAGTGTACCTATCCACTTGATATCTCATATGTATCTGCTGGTGCCGATAATATCATGTTCATAACCAGTAAGTAAGGAACAAAACAAAACAAAATAGCAAAGCAAAAACAAGTATACATTTTATTTACATTTGTTATTGTTTGTTTTTTTTTTTAGAGGATAATAAATATTATTATACTGGATCAAATAAAGTAGGACAATCGGGATCGATGAATGCAAGTAGTCCAGACAATGCAGTGCAGAATACCAGTTCAAAGATATCGAATAGCAAGAGAATTTTCTGTGGACCTTATCACACTGCTTTCCTGAGTGACAAGGGTGAGTTACAGATCAGTGGAAAGGGTGACTTGAATGGACAACCCACCGATGATAACAAAGCAACGCCACATCCTATCCCGGCACTGAAGAACAAGAAGATTGCACTGTACTCGACCGGTCCACGTCATTCGATGGTTGTCGACGAGCTCGGCACTGTTTTCGCATGGGGACGTGCCGACCTCCTCGGACTCGGACAGTTTGTCGTCGTCAAGAAGATCGCAACCATCAAGCATGAGCCAACCATTGTTGATTGTGGGCCATTCTTGAGTCGTCGTGTTCGTCAGATCGCATGTGGTGACGAGCATACTCTGGCGCTGTTGGACAATGGTGTTGTCTATGGTTGGGGTCGTGGCGAAGACGGTCAACTCGGTCACGGTGTCTCGGAGACACGTCAATCGCCCATCCTGATAGAACCACTAAAGTCAATGAAAATCACTCGTCTCTCGTGCGGTATGAACAACTCTGCCGCTATCACAACGACCAACGACTGTTACATATGGGGATTGTATCACACCGCCAAGATGGTGCCAGAGAAGCTGACAGTCGGTGGCGCACCACTGCAAAACGTGCAACAAATTTCACAAAATTCATTCTACAACATCGTGCTGGCTAACAATCATGCCTATACATTCGGTGCCGACTACAAACAATCTACCGAAGCACAGTGGAATCCTGTAAAAGTTCACATAGATGATCCTTTCCTACTAACTAAAAAGATAACTCAAGTCGTTGCATCACCAACAGGTTTCTATTGTATGTATAAACTAAACATGTGTATATAATATAATTATCATTACTAAATATATATATACTTTTACTAACTCAAACTTATTAGTGATGGTATTTGAAGGAAGTAATATGGATGAGAAATTAGAAGGTTTAAAGTATGGTGAAGCAGCAGATAAATCAGTAGTACCACAATATGAATCACAACAACAAAAGAATCTTAATGCACTATTGGGACCACCTCGTCCCAAGACATCGACAACAACCACAACCACAACAACAGCATCTTCATCACTTTTCGCTAAAACTGCACCAAAACCAAGTAGCAGTACTACTAGTAACAACACAACATCAATATCAAAAGGAATATCAAATGTTAAATTAGATAGCGATAGTGATAATGATAGTGATGACGACGAAGAAGATGAAGAAGAAGAAAGTGTTTTATAAGATCTTATAAAAAGTAAAAAGAAAATAAAAAAAGAAAATTATAATTATAAAAAAAATATATATATATATTAAAATAATCATTATTTCTTTAGTTTAGTATAGTTTAGTTTTGTTTGTTATTGAATTCAATAGATTATTATTATTTTTAATTTATTTTATAAATATATTATATAAAGATATAATCTAAAGTTATTTAAGATTTCTTTGAAGAGATGGTTGAATAAATCTTATTTAAATCCTTAAAGAATAGAGACTCAACAAATACACCGTTGACATCAAAATAGTTATTGATTGGTTTAGATACGGTTTGTTCAATCTTTCCATAGTCGATCTTCATTGTATATTTTGGATCGAATCTTGGGAGGTTTGTACTGATTTGTAGATCGACATTATCTTTTGAGGCAAAGAGGATCACTTCCTTTTGAACATACAATGCAATATAATAGAGTGCCAAAGTAATTAATGAATACCTATGTGATGATTATAGTTTTTGATATGCAAATTAATTATTTAATCAATCAATCAGTAAATCAATCAGTCAGTCATGTGTTCTTGTGAAATAGAAAAGTTGTGAAGTGATGATGTGATGTGATGCGATGACATACAAAAATACACAAACGATTAGAATTGGTTTGTTCTTTGGGAATGGTTCTGGATAGAATTGAGAAACAGCCGCTAGAATACAACCTACAAGTCCTAGTGCTACTTTAATATAATTGACTGTTTGATTTTGGTTAAACTTTAATTCCTCTGTAAAATACTATTTGTATAGGAGAATCAATAAAGCATTAATTATAATCTGATCAAATATCAATATTGATTATTTCTTTATGAAAACATAACATACTTTAACAATGGAGTCATCCAAAGCTTGTTTTTGCGCCATATTATCATAGAGAGTTACTTTTACAGGTGGTGTAGTTGGTTTTTGTTGCTGTTGTTGATCAACAACATTGTTGTTATTTTCATTTTCATTTGATTTATCTCTTTTGTGTATCATTCTTTTTTTTAATTTATCTATCTATCTATATTCTTTTCTTCTTAAATTAATAACTGTTGTTTAAAGGAATGTTACCAACAAATCAGTGTTAATTAATTAATATTTTTTTATCACAACAATTTTTGAACATTCAAAATTAAATGACTCACCCACAATAAATTTTTTTTTTGATTTTGAAAATTTTCAAAATAGTTTGACAAAAAAAAAAAAAAAACAAGCGAATAATTAATTCAAACAAATAACAGTTTTTGTTTAGTTTAGATTTTTTTAAATACTATATTCCACACATATATATATATATTATTGTATATTATAGATTAAAATAAATATTATATATTTATATTTATGACAAGTTTATCAAGTATATTACCTGCTCCAAAGCAAATATATAATAATGAAGAGCATCCTTTGTTTGCACCTACAAAGAAGGATAAAGAGTTGAATGATGACGCTAGTAAGATTGTAAAGGAGAAGAGACCACCACCACCTGCCTACGGTGCAAGAAGAGGTTGGAAGCCAACGGCACTCGAAGACTATGCAGATGGTGGTGCATATCCTGAGATTCATATCGCTCAATATCCGAATGATATGGGTAGAAAGAAGATCGCTGGTAAATCTGGTAGCAGTGCCGGTTCTGGTGGCAGTTCGTCAAAGGCTATTGTGGCGGCGGGCGGTGCTGGCTCTAACAAGTCGATCGTACAGCTCGGTGTCGACAGTAGCGGACGTGTAAAATACGAAGATGTTTTGGGTATCGATAAGAATAAGATTGTCTACTCGCAGTACAACGACTTGGTGCCAAAGGAGTTTGGACAGACCGAGCTGGAGAGACCGAACGAAGAGGAGGTACAGGAGATCACCAATGAAACCAAAGCTGTTTTGGACAGGTTGGTCGGTGGAAAGATCGGTGTTGCACAGCAAAAGTCATACGTAGACAAGCAGGCACCGGTATCCTATGTAAAATACACACCGTCGCAGCAGGGTGGCGGACATAACTCTGGTGCTGGCTCACGTGTCATTAGAATGGTGGAGGTGGCCAAGGATCCTTTGGAACCACCAAAGTTTAAGATCAAGAAGAATATCAGAAGAGCACCGTCGCCACCTGCGCCAGTGATGCACTCACCACCGAAAAAGTTAACCGTTCAGGAGCAACAGGAATGGAAGATTCCACCGTGCATCTCCAATTGGAAGAATCCAAAGGGTTATGCTATCGAGTTGGATAAGCGTTTGGCTGCCGACGGTAGAGGACTACAAAAGACAGAGATCAACGATAAGTTTGCACATTTCTCACAGGCTTTCTATATTGCTGAGCAGAATGCTCGTGAGGAGGTGGCTGCACGTGCAGAGTTGGAAATTAAATTGGCACAGAAAGAAAAAGAAAAGAAACAAGAGATGCTTAGAAAGATTGCAGAGAACGTTAGAAATGAGCGTGCTGGCTATCGTAATGAAGAAGAAGAGAGCGATAAGGAAGAAGATAACAGCAGTAGCAGTAGCAGCGAGAGTGAGAGTGAAAGAGAAAGAGAAAGAGATAATCATGACAATGATAGATACCGTAAGAGATCAATTTCACCAAAGAGATCATTTGAAAAGGAACGTGATTATAGAAGAAGAGATAGTAGAAGTAGATCAAGAAGCAGAAGTAGAAATAGAAATAGAAGTAGATCTAGAAGTAGAAGTAATGATAGATATAACAATAGTAGCAGCAGCAGCAGTAGTAGAAGAGATCGTAGAGATAGAACACCAAGCAGAGAAAGGGATAGAAATAGAAATGATAGAATCAACAATGACAGAAACAACGATAGAAATAGAGATAGAAATAATAATAACAACAATAGAGGTAGTGATAGTGATGACGAAAGAAAAGAAAGAGATAGAATTAGATTGGAAAAGAAGAGAGAACGTGAGAGAGAATACAGAATGGAAGCAGCAGGAAAGAAATCAAAGATGAACAGAGATGGTGATCGTGATATCAGTGAGAAGATTGCACTTGGACAGGTTCAAGCAACCAGAAGCGAAGATTCGATATTCGATCAACGTCTATTCAATCAGAGTGAGAACATGTCGAGTGGTTTCAATGGTGGTGATGATGAGTCTTACAACGTCTACTCGAAACCATTGTTTGGAGACAAAGTATCAAACTCCATCTATAGACCTCGTGTCAGCCAAGAGGACAACGAGTCGGTGGAGAATGTTTTATCAACCAGCAGATTCAAACCACAAAAAGAATTCAGTGGAGCTGATCGCACCAAAGAAAGATCTGGTCCAGTTATGTTTGAAAAAGAAAAGAAATCTGATCCATTTGGTATGGATGAGTTTATGTCACAAGCTAAAAAGAAATAAATCATCATTAATTATCAACATGTTTATAAATAATTTATTTCTCTTTTAAAAGACTAAATTTATTTGTGAGCATACTAAAAATATATATTAATAATGTTGGAAATATATAATAATAATGAAATATAATATAAGAATAGTACTATCTTACATTTTCTACATTATTTAAATAAACTAAAACTAAGTTATAAAGATAAGATAACTAAATATATGAAAATAAAAGACATTGACTCATATATATATATAATAATAAACCTACGGTTCATCTAATCTTGTTAAACATCAAAGATCACTATTATTGAAAAAATTAAACATATTTAAATATTATATATAATTTTAGTTAGTTTGTTTTTATCTTGTGTATATATATTGATTATATAGTTATTATAATACTACTGAGTATATTGATTGTTTTCTTTTATTTAAATTTAATCTACATAAAGGCTTTGCTTGATTTAATAATTCTGATAAACTCATCTACGTGAATCTGTCCATCAACTACCTTTGCATCTTTAAGTATATTATCAAACTAGAAAATGGTTATATGATGATTAGTATTAATTTACAAACAAGATGATGTAATTTGGATTTGTTTTGTTTATATACCTCTTCTTTTGTTAACTTCTCACCAATGGTTGTTAAAGTATGCTTGAGATCAGCGATTGGTGCATAACCATTTCCTTTCTTGTCAAAGGTCTTGAATGCTTGTTTAATGTCAGCCTCAGAATCAGAGTATTGTGTTTTTCTCTGTAGCAAAGATGTGAATTGTTGGAAATCGACGAGACCAGAACCATCGGTATCGATCTCCTTTATCATTTCTTTCAATTCAGCCTGTGTTATATTGGATCCAACCGATCTCATTACAGTACCTAAATCTTGTGTAGTGATCTTTCCATCTTTATCTTTATCAAATAGATTGAATGCATCTTTATAAATAGTTGTATCTTCTTTTGCCTAATAATGTAACATTATTATTTCATTCATAATAATAATAATAATAATAATAATAAATTAATATATAATTATATTCTAAGATTATTGTATTGTTCTGAACATACCATATTTTTTAATTAATTTGTAGTATAAGGTTTTTTGTGAAATGATTAACAGATTGATTGTGCATAATTTATTTTTATGATTTTAAACTATTTATTTTTTTTAATTTAATTAAATTTTAATCAAATTTTTTGATCTGATTTTAATCTGCGATCGGATCTGTTTAGTTTAAATTAATCTGATAAATAATCGATGATTTATATATATATTTATTTATTGACGAATTAGTTTTTATTATTATTTATATCTTCAGTTTTAAAGACATCTTTTAATGATTGAAAAATGACACTTATGGCACATGCTCCTGGATCTATATGATTTTTAGCTCGTTCACCAATATAGGAAGATCTGCCACATTTCGATTGCATTTCAATGGTTGAAACGGCACCTTCATGTGCTTTTTCTGAAGCTAGTTTGATAATGTCAGAGAGCGACAAGCTTCTGTCGGTGCTAGACTTGACAATCGAGTCGATAGCCGGTATCAATGCGTCGAGCATCGTGCAATCACCCAGCTTGGCACCACCCAAACTCTGTATGCCTTCGTAGCCGGATTTCAAAGCGGCAGCCCATGCAGTGAGATCTTGCTTTTCACTCTTGAACAGCGTGTCTGACATTCTCAAAAAGAAAATCGAATAGAATGGTCCTGACGAGCCACCCAACGATTCTTGGAACACAACAGACAACTTTCTCAGAGTATAGCATGGTCTTTCAAATGGAATGAGATCGATCAGTTTCAATACATTATTTGCAGCTCTCTCCAGAGTCAATCCAAGATCACCATCACCAACCTTTGAATCCAAATCCGTCAGTATGTTTGCATTCTCTATCAACGAATGACAACCTTTCTTCAACATCTCCTTAAATAGCAATGCATCATCTGCACTAATTGTAACACTCTTTAGATTATCATCTGAAAATTAAACAAACATTAATAATAAAATTAAATTAAAACATAACATAACATAAAATAACTAAACATACAAATATGTTGATTTGGATCGATATGTGAGTCAAGTTCAGCAGCAACTTGATTTGGTTTTACTGGTGGGTTGGTGACACTGTTGGTAGGCCAATATTGTGCTGTGGTTGGATAGTCTATACAGCCAATAATATCTACTGTATTAGTAGTAGTAGTATCATCGATATTGGATGGTAATAGAGTAATACTAAATCCAGACATTTCCAATGCAGTCATCAATGCTCCGACAATCAAACGATCTACCTGATATCCAAGTGAATGTAAGAGTTTAACAGTTTCTCCTGCTACTATAGTCATTTCCATTGCTGTCGTTGAACCCAAATTATTGATAAGAACAACCAATTTCTTATTTCTATTGCAAGCGGGATCAGATTTCTCCAAAATAAGATTGACTAACGAATGAACGATTTCATTGACAGGTTTCATCTTTTCTCTCTTGATTCCTGGCTCACCGTGAATACCAAGACCAAGCTCCATTTCATCGTCCGGTAGTTCAAACGACGGTCTTCCAACAGCAGGAATGGTGCAGCCAGACAATGCCACACCAATAGTATTAAGATTGCCGACCAATTTCCGACCGATACTTAAGAGTTGTTCGAGTGGAGTATCCTGTTCAGCGAGAGCACCCAGAATCTTGTGTACCAACACAGTTCCTGCTATTCCTCTCTTGCTACTGGGTGTAGCCAAGTCGTCGCCAACAATAAGAATCTCGACCTTGTAGTTCTCGATACGCGCCATCTCTGCGGCGATAGCAAAGTTCAATCGATCGCCAGTGTAGTTCTTTACGATCAACAGGCAACCTGCTTCACCAGTGACACCGCGAATCGCCGAGAGAACCATCGATGGTGTTGGCGAGGTAAACACATTTCCCAAAACGGCGCCACTCAGCATACCGACACCAATGAAACCGGCATGACTTGGTTCATGTCCACTTCCACCTCCACTAATCAAAGCCACCTTATTTTTCAACCTAAAAAAAAACACAAATTATTTGTCTACCAGTAAATATTGATGATCTATTATTATTATTATTGATATAACATATATAATAAAATAAACCTACGGTGCATCTAATCTTGTTAAAACATTTGAATGATTATCGTGTCGTTTCAATGATGGGTTGGTTAGAAGTAAACCATCGATCATATCATTAACTACATTATTTGGGTCATTAATCAATTTTTTCATTCTTTTCTATTCTATTCTATTCTATTCTATGTTTTTATTTGTGTTTAATCTAGATTGGCAAACAAATTAAACATTTTTGATTTTAATAATTCTGCACATATTTTTTTAATTAACAATAAAAAAACGCACAAACAAATCTTAATTAAATTTCCAAAAAAGGAAAGATCAAAGTTTAGATAAATACACAGTTTTTATTAATAGAAATAAATTCTCGTTTATAGTGATTTTGTTTTTGTTTCAATAATTTGACTAAAATATTGATCCCTATTTTCAAATCCATTGAATTTCTATTTATAACACAATAATTAATTAGTATTAACAAATATGTCAAATGATCAATCATTATATATTAAATTTACGAACATACCATCTTTTCATTTCTAATAGTGACTTGTATTCCACTGGTAAATAGAGAATTTATCTTTTTAATATCATTGACTTCTGTCCATTCATATTTTTCCTGGTTTGTATGTATAAATGATTATTAAATTCATATACTTAAACATTAGATTATTTAGGTGTTCAACAGTTGAATACTTACGGTTGATGATGTAATATGATTTTGGAAACAGAAATAATGATTGGTGATAGTAATTCTACCATACAATCCTTTTCTCATACAAGAGTAGTTGGCAATGATCTTCTCATTCTTTGGTAATTTGAATAAATTAGAGAAGAATTCATGTTCAATATCTTGACTCTTGAGTGTTATATGTGGTTCTTCAATCTTTAACTATATTATTTATATTATTTTTATATTTACCAAATGGAAGAATAAGTTTAAACAAAAAGTATTACTTTTACATTAATTATAACAATTTATACTTACAGCTTCATTAACTTTACTTGCTAATTGAATAACCGTTTTGTAGAGCTTCGATTTCTTACTATCATTGAATCCCCATAGATCATAAGACTTCTCAGATACCAATACAGTGAGAGTCTCTTTGTCTTGAATGTGTTGTTTGATTAACTTGGTCAACGATTGATATTTAATTGCTGTATTCGTTTCACTGTATGAAAGTATAGTTGAAATACATAGATGATCATCAACTAAATATAAAATAGTAGGTATACCTAATGAACTTCTACATTTAAATTCTAAACAAAAGGTAAATAAAAGTTGTTAATGAAATCATTCATTGTTTTGTTATGATTAAATACAATAGTAATCTTACTCTCTACTACATTCAATGATTTGTTTGGTAGTTCAAACTTATCGATAAGATAACGATTCTTATAGTTTTGTTTGTTGGATTTAACGTATTTGCTTGCCTCCGATTCCTTTTGACGAGATGCAAGCGGTGACATTATGTGAACTTCCGAGAGAATGAACTTGGTATCATGATTCTTGAAATCGGGCAGTCCAAATTGTTTGGGCAGTGCCGGTATCTTCTCAAAAGAGACAGTGAGATCGGTCGCACTGGTAACACTTACAGAGTTGGACATCGATCCGCTCACCAGCTGTCTGTGCAACTCGATGAGGAGCGGTGTCGGTGAGAAGTAGATAGGTAGCGTTCGGAACAGTGGTGATGCATGTGATCTCAGCAGCTCAAGTCTCATTCCATCGCCGTCAGAGTAGAAGAACGATTCCAACTGGTTGTACAGCGATAGCATCATGTAGATCTGCTTGATGATGACGTCGTCGCCAACCTTTTGTAGTGAGCAATCCGGGAAGAGAATACGTTCACATTCCTTCCATATGCACATCCAAACACCACGAATAAATCTGCTGAATGTAGGTTGATAGAGATTACTGCTGAGCAGCGAGAGTTCATTAGTCAAGTAGCTAAACAATGGCTGCAGAAGTTCCGATACCATTGCTTCGTCACAAACATTGGCATCACCACCTCCGCCACCGCCGCCGCCGCCGCCACGCGGAGATGTAGTCTTGCTACTGCTACTGGCTGACTTTGAAATGATGTCGCCAATACACATGTTGACAAACGATCCAATCTTTCCGATGACAAGATCAGTGAGATATTCAATCTGTCGCTTTGCATTCGATATGGATTTGGCGAATGCATCTTCGATTGGGGTTTGAAGCGACTGGAATTTCGAGGTGAGATTCTCTATAAAGTCATCGAGAAGTTGACGTGATGTCTCAATGCAGTTTAACTTTACACAAATCGATAGACTGATCGAGGTGTTCTTGGTGACCGATGAGGAACGCTCTCTCGATGGGGAGTTACTTCCACCGATGTCCTTAAAGATCGAGAGGAACTTGGCGACGGCAGAAACATCCCTTTGATACCTCTGGAAGTAATCATCATCTCCCAACTCTATTAAAACCACATCCATGATCGAATCTAAATAGTCTTGATAGCATTGTATCACCAACTGATTGAAAGTCATCAGCTGCTTATCGACATTCAGATTCAGACCGATCAAATGATTCTTGCCAATCTCAAACATGTGGAACAGATCCATAACACTATTGGAATGTAATATCTTATTCTTGGCATCGATCGATCGCCATTGTTCATTATGAATACTTCTAGTCATCCAAGTATTGAATTGAGTTTTAGCTTCCTCAACCCACATATCAACAAATGGCGAAAATACACTATTTAAATTAATGATATTGATTCTATTTGTATTGTTTTGTTTTTGATTTGGTTAATATTTAAAAGATATACACAGTGTGATAAGCTATCAATTAATTTAAAGACATACCCATTGATATATGGTTTCAAAGTGGTAGTATGCAACTTTTGTATCTTTTTCAACAAAGTGAAAGATTCCATGCAGACACCAGTCTCTTTTGAGAGAATATAAATGGTTTCCTCTTTCAAAAGATTATAATAGGCAACAGCGGATTTCTTTGACAACTCTGAACCAAAGTATTTCGAATAGATATCAATGTCATTCGATATCTGTAATTCAATGGCATCGTAAACATCCAACAATCCAACTATATTCTGGAAATCTTTAGAATCTTCAATTGATACCTCTGAATTTTCTTTTACCATACCAAAGAATATTTTGAAATAATCCTATTAATAATTATTTGATTAATAACAATACATTTCTATCACCGTTATCTCAAATAAATATCTATCAAAACATACCATAACATATTTATCGATTTTCAATTTAAACTTTGATGAATCATCGACTTCTCCTTTTTGGAAACTTCTGATGGAGTGGATTTGATTTAATATCTTTATGGAGAGTGTCAGTAGCTTACCATTCTCCTCAGTAATTCCAGTGATTTCACCTCTTTCATTCATATTGACTGGAAAACTTAAACCATATCTTGAAATCACATTCTTAAAGATTTGTTTCAATGCTTTAATAGAAATAGTCAACTTGTTATTCTTTAATTAAACCAATTAGTTATTTAAATTACAACCAACCACTAAATAATAATAAAAGTTAATACTTACAATTTCATTTGTTAAATTAATTGATTTATCTTCTATTAAATCTTTTTGTAACAATGATAAAGTTGAACTAATTAAATTCAATTGTTGCATTGATATCAAAAATATTTGAACTGTATGATCGATAATACTAAACAAATAAATAAAAAGGTTAGAAAAATGTATACAAAACAATAATAACATAATTAATTACCATGTTAATCTTGTTATTGAAGATATTCCAACTCTTTGCTCGAAATCCTTTAACATTGAATGAAGTTCCTCTGGGAAGATATAATTTGATTTAAACGATGGTATTGATACAATGTAATCGATCAACTCTGTCATGTGTTGATCATGATTGATTTTGATCATCTTTTTTATCTCCTCTGGAACGATATCGAACGAATCGTTTCTCTCGAGATCTCGCTTTACATAGTAATACGACAATTTAATGGAACCAAGACTCTGATCGCTATTGAGATGCGCTTCGAATTCCTCTTTCCTGTTGGCGTCTTTATGCGCCAATCGACTGAAGAATCCAGGTTTCTTTTCTTTTGGCTGTAGGAAATATTCGCTGGTGATCGAATTCAGTGGTAGTATTGCTGCATCTGAAATTGGAATATGAATAGTTCCCATAAAGTCATCTTTGGTAACGAGATCGCTATCGAATACCGAGAGAATCAAAGTATTTTCTTCCGGTTTGTTTGATTTAATTACAAAAGTTTCATCCCAAACTGGATTCAACTCTGCTTTCTTGGTGGACGTTCGATTCTGATGCGACGACTTTGATTTGTGACAGTCGTCCTCGTGAGGCGCGAGATGTACACAAACATAGGGATCAGATGATCCCGATGCTTTGTCCTTAATTTTCAGGTTCGATGCACTGTTCACCGTTGCAATCAACATCGATTGATAGGTCGGCAGTGATTGCACCGCTTTCTGGCGCGATCTCAACTGCGATTGTCTCGGTGACTTTGGCTCTGCCACTGTGAGGGGTGGCAGTGTCGAAAGATTGTAAGACAACTCTGCCGGGTGATAGTGAGTCAGTAGCAACGCCTGGCCGACAAACGGGATGTGATCGGCATCGTTGACAATCGCAAAACTTCGTGATAAAACAGTGAGTTGTGAACGAATTTTCCGCTCATCCGGCTGCAGCATGGCGCCACTCAGCAAGTAAGTATACATCGTTGATACCGTTGGATTGAGTACCAACGGTTTGTTTTTATCGATCGATCGTTTCAGTGAGAGTACCGGTGTGACACGATTGGCAGTCTGCAACACCGCACTGAGAATGGCACGTGATTTCTCTTTGGTGAGAACAGCTGGTTGTTGGAATTGCTGCTGTTGCTGTTTCTGGTCCATAACAACTGCAGCAGTAGGAGTGAGAGCAGCTGCAACATGACTGGTATTTCCAGTTGCGAAACTACCAGTGACCTCTAAATTTCCACCGGAAGGATTCGACAGGAACACAGTGAAATCGTGTTTCTGTATTACATTCTTTAGAGCACCGCCAATCGCCATCGGTGACTGATCTCTTGGCACCTGCTGAGCCACTGACTTTGACTGTGCTTGTTCCTGACCATGATCATGGCTGTCGGCATCATTATCACCATCATCATGATGATCCTGATAAATATTTAATCTACTAAATAATTGATTATTTACAAGATTTAATTTCTTATGATTGTTGTTGTTTGACATTAAAAATATATATATTTATTACAATACATATCAATCAAATATAAGAAAAAATGAAATTGATTTTTCAATCAATCAAAAACAAAAATTTAAAAATATCTTTTTTTTTTTTTTAAAAGTAAAATTAAATTATTCGAAAATGATTGGGTTTTTGATTGATTAAAAATTTAAGGTTGGTTTGCAATGATCCAATTGGAGCACCAAATAGTTCTGTGCAAACTACTGAAGTTGAAACTTTTGTAGACAAAAAATTAACTTTTTCTTATATTAATTGTTTTTTTTTTATTTGTTTGAATATGAAACAATGAAATTGATGTGTTATTCCCATTCCAATTGTCCCCAATAAATAAACATGATCTTTCTTTTCCTGTACACATTTAAATGGATGTATTAAGTTTCTGTTGATTGGTTTTGAAAATCGTCAAATGATTGTGCTATAAATTGTGAGATATATATTAGTTGATTTGATTTGATTGATTGATAAACAAAGATGGTTATCGATAAATAGAACATACCTAAAAATGATTCATCTGTATAAAGTTCTGATATACCTTCAGAGTCAATAACACTGTCGAAATAGGTTTCATCGGTGGTTTGATCGAAAATTGGGTCAGAAAAGTATTGTGAAGCGAGTTGGTTGTTATAGGTGTGAAGTTTATAGGGTGATTGGTGCAATGGTTGCTGCTGCTGTTGTTGTTGATATTGATCAAATGGTGAGTATGACGATACTGTGGAGTGCGGCTCCCAATAGGTTGTTGGAATTTGGAGGTTGTGTGAATTGGAAATCTGTACAGTTGAGAGTTGTGGTTGGTTTGTGGTTGTAGTCGTAGTAGTTGTGGTGCTGGTGGTATTTGAGTTGTTGTTGTTGTTGTTTGACTGCGATTGCGGTGATATAGATGGTCGAATTGGTGATCCAATTGCAGGAATGAACATATCCGATTGTTGTTGCTGCTGTTGTTGTTGTTGAACAAGTTGTTGTTGTTGTTGATGTTGTTGATGTTGTTGATGTATATGTTGTGGCAACTGTTCGTATGCTGTTGTAGCCAAATGATTTGGTGCCATCATTTGTTGTTGCTGCTGTTGATCAACCACACCCGTTGAATAATCAATACTTCCACTACTATTATTTTGTTGATGATGTTGTTGTTGTTGTTGAGAGTCGTCACTGCTGGCAACTTGATTCTGTTGACTAAGAAGGAAAACATCTATGGGCATACCTTTTTCATTGTTCAAGTAGATTTGGTAGCGTCTATTGGGTGGCTCCATTCCTTCGTCTGGATCGGGTACCTCCAACTTTGTTCCCTCCGGTGCCTTTATAGCTATGAGTGTATCGTTTTTCAATTGTTCGATATCTCTAAGATCGTTATATGTTACAAAAAATAGTCTATTATTATTATTATTATCATTAAGGAAATTAGATAGTTAGTAACCACCAACAGTAACGTGATTCACCTGTTGAAAAAATCTATAATACGAACTTTGATGTAGCAGCATTACTAACTAGTTGCTTAATATCTTGTTGTAGTGTCTTGAGAGTATTATCAAGATTCGCTTCTTTCTCAGAGAGCTTCTTAATCTCTTGTTTCAGCGCTTCGTTTGTGCTGCTGTTGATTAGGCTGGTCTGAGTGTTTTGATTGTTAACGTGTGAATCAACGCCTCTCCATTGAACCTGATTCTTTGAGCTCTTTTCGATCAGTCCTACACCCTCCAACACGCAGGTAACATCGTAGATTCTACGCTTTGTGATCTCGATAGTTTCCGCTGCAACCTTTAAATCGAGAATTCCATACGGTGATTTCTGTACCAATTCAACAAATTTCTTGGTAAGTTGAACCAATGAATTATCGAATCTTGATTTATCTATAAATATATATATGGATTATTAATAGATCAATCGATGTTAACAAAACAAAACAAAATAATAATAATGAATAAGCTAAAGTTTTAACTTACTATCTTTTGATCTCTTTGAATCGCCATCTTCTTCATCATCGTCATCGTCTTCCTCTTCTACGACAGCAGCAGCCTTTCGTTTTGGCGCTGGTTTTGCAGCAGATTTCCTGGTGCGTTTGCTGGTTGGTGGTGGAGGTGGTGCAGGCTGATCAGGTTCACTTGTCTCCTTCTTTTTCCTCTTGCTTTTTCTTGTGTTGTTAGGTGCACCAGCTGCTGACGAAGCTGATTCCTGTGAATTACTATAGGTTGCCTGTTCTTGTGATGACGATGGTGTTGAACCTTGTGATGACGGTGCAACTGGACTTCGTGCACCCGAACGTAACTCTCTAAGTTGTTGCAATGATTGTTGAATCTTTTTGTCTGTAGATGAATTGGAACCATTCATACCAGAGTTACTATTTGCATTATTATTATTGTTACTATTGCTATTGTTATTGTTAACAAAATTTGGTGGTGATTGTAACGATGCCAAAGATTGAATCTGTGATAATGAATTACTTAAATGATTATTATTACCATTATTATTATTATTATTATTCTGTTGTTGAAATAATTGATAGAAATCATTTAAAACATTATTATTATGAGCACCATTATTATTTATCATTATTGGGTGTTGTTGTTGTTGATGATGCTGTTGATGCGGGTGAACTAATGGTGGTGGTTGTGCTGCTGCCGCTGCCGCTGCTGCTTTGCTTCTTGTAATCATTGTTGTTGGTGAATGTTGTAACTGTTGTTGAATTGGATGACCATTATGATTAATATTACCGGTGGTTGTTGTTGTTGTTGTAGTTGTGGTTGAAGTATTAGAGTGAGCTCCACCTCCGCTAACACCTGAACTCTTCATCGAGCGGACAAAACAATAGAGTCTGCAAAGTATTTATATTATATGTTCCAAAGTGTTTGGAAATATTTGCCAAAGTAAGTAAGTATTACTTTTGTTTCTCTTGCACATAAAGACACTGCTCCAAACTAGATATCTATTGTTGCTTGCTGTTGTGCAACAACAATTCAATTCAATTCAAGTAAACAAAACCAATGTGCAAATTGTAACACCCGTGTTTTGAATTGTTTTTTTTTTCTTTCTTAGTTTTGTATTTTTTTGTGCACTGTTATTGATTTGCGCCAAATGAAAAGTATGATAAATTTAAAAATAAAATGGCAATGATTTGAGTGAAAGTTATTAGTATTAGTATTATTATACTTTTAGTTTTAGTTTAATTATTAAATTTGCTCTTGTATTATTATTATTATTATTATTATTATTATTATTGTTGTTGTTGCTGTTGTTGCTGTTTGTCACTGTTGATTTGCATTTGATCAATGTTATTATCTACAAAGAAGAGAGAAGTTCTTATTTTATTTTGTTTTTATATTTTTTTTAATTTGCACAGCATTTGATCAAACATTGGAGTTGCATGAATAAGTTTAGTGCTGGTGTGTGTATATAGCTGAATGTTCGGTGGTTGCTGATTGATTCGAAAAAGGAGGGAGGGGGTGAGATAATTATATTTTTATGATTTACTGCAAAACAAGTCACAAACAAACTGACAACAACAACATAACATAGCTAATTTATAATAATTAATGTCGACTCTTCATCTCTCTTTCTACAAATTATCTTTTTATCTATAGATTCATTCCCTATAAATAGTCTTTAACTAAAGATAGAATTGAGTCAAACACATACCTTCAAATTTTATTTTACTTTGAGCTTTCTTCTTCTTCTTCTTCTTTTCAAGCTTGACTAACTAAATAAATATTTCCAGATGTAGGATTAAAAATGATTGAATAAAAAAACACTATTCTTATATTTTCAAGTTTTAAGACTTTGAAATACAAATTTTATCAAAATGTTATTGAAAAGTTATTAAATTGTTCTTTTATTCTATCTTGTACAATTATTTATTTATAAAAAGAATATATATACAATTATATGTTCGATCTTGAATAAAAAATAAAGTTGGCGGTTTTTTTTAAATTTTTTCATATGTTATTTTTCTTAACACACAACAAAATGAATTAATTCGCAAAAAAAAAAAAAAAAAAAAAAATTAATTGTTTATTATTAGCATTATTATTGAAGTTGTTACTGTGTTCTTATAAGAAAGAATAGTGATCTTTTAAAATATATTTAGTTAAACTGGGGTTGTACTTTTTATATATATAAAATTTATAATCACATTGTTGTTGTTTTTTTATTTGTTTTTTCTTTTTGATATTGAAGGTGTTAACAAACATTAGGCAGCATTACCGATCTGGTATTTTTTAAAATTTGGATAAAGTGTTTGTTGTTATGTTGTTGTTGTTGGGTTATTATTATTTATATTGAAAATTGTTATTATTTATCTAAAATTGTTGTTAATTGATTATTATTATTATTTTGGTTTATGTTGTAGATTATGAACTATTGATTCTAATTTATCAACGTATTCTCTGATTTGTTTGATCTTCTGGTGTAACAAAGTCATTGATTTTGCTTGTTCGTTGAGTTCTATACATTTGTTGATTAGTTTCTCTGTTTGGCCTACACCACCACCAATTGTAAAACAAACCATATCGTTTGACATCTTTAAGTTATTAAAGAGTTCCACTGACATTCTTGACATCTAAATAATATATTGTTATATTATTAAAAAAATGGTTGTTGTTAATATAATTAATTATATAAATATTCAAGTTATTATATAAACTACTTACAACCATAAGACTATAATTTAAATTTCTTGTAAGAGTGACCACCGATTCTGCACATCTTAGTGAATCCATCTCCACCGATTTTAGTGTGTTGAATCCAACGTTACTCAGATACGGTATCGATTCCTTTTCAAAAAATAAAATCTGTTGTTGCATGAGCATCTGTTGCAGACGTTGTTGGTCTGGACTTAGTTGTTTTGCTGGTGTATTGTTTTCATTGTTGCTATCCTCTGTTGATGTAGTTGATGTAGTTGTAGTTGTTGTAGTAGTCTCTGATTTATCTATGTTCTCACTCAATAGATTATCCTCTTGACCACCACCACCACCATCATCCAAATTCAATTTATTCTTTTTCTTCTTTCCTTTGCTTGACGACGATGATGGTAAAATTGGAACTTGATTGAAATTTGGTTGATCACCACCACCACCATTGTTATTATTATCTATTATCAATGTTGATTCATTCGTATTGTTATTGTTATTTAAAATGTTATTATTATTGTTGTTGTTTAGTGATAGGTTATTGTTGTGTACAGCTGAATAGGATGGATCGTTCGATGACATTATTGGCGAGTAGACGGGTGATGACGAACCACTGGAGAGCGATGTCGGCGTGGTAGAGAGTATAGAGTTGACATCGGACAGAATACTCTGGTATTGATCCTGATACTTTTTCATTTGCTCCGCTAGCAAATCTTTCTTTCGGGTGTTGTTGGCGGCTCTTCTCTGCTTGGCGGCGGCACTCAGTAGATCGTCATCATCTTCGTCTATCAGAGAGTCGGATTGGCCAGCACCCAATCCACCGTTATCGGAGCCATCGACACCAGTTCCACTAGTCTCGCTGTACTTCTTGTGATAGTGTGACATCATCGATGCCAATCGTTCTTCTCTCTCCTTTTGTTTCTTATTCAACGTTTCATCTATATTTATACCTTTTACCAACGATTCTGATTCTACACTTAATTTATATTGTTCATTATTATTATTATTTCCATTTCCATTTACATTTCCAACTGTAGTTGTAGTTGTTGTTGTTGGTTGTGGTTGTTGTATATTTGATGGTGGTACTATTTGATCAGTCTCTTTATTTTCATTTTTTTCATTATCATTATCATTATTATTATTATTATCTTCAGATATGATTGTAGATTCTTTATTATCTTCCATCATCTATTGTAAAAAAAACAAAAACAAAAAAAGTAATTAAACTCTTACAAAAGTTCAATTGAAAAGTTGTTAGGAGAACTTTGCTGTTTCAATCCATTTTTTTTCATTTTTTATTTTTTCATTTTTTGTTTTTTCATTTTTTGTTTTTAGACCAGCATTAACCTATTAAAGCTTGAGCATTTATTGGTCAAAACAACCAGTTTTGTTAGTAATACATACCCTGTTATTATTATTTTGAATATTTAAAACAATTTAAATTTCTCTTGAGAAAAAACAAAAAACTAAAGGAAACATTAAGACCAAATCCAATCATTTTACATTTTTAACAGAAAGTTTTGATGAAATTTGTCGATGATTCATTCTTTGATGCTTCAAAGAGCATCGATTGGAAGCAAAAATAAATAAAAAAAATAGGGGGAAGAGTTGGAGATAGACAAAAGATTTTTTTTATTATTGGTAATGTAATTCAACAAATTTTAAATGGGTAAAACACTCACACTTTTCTCTATGAGAAGCAAAGAAACTAAAATAACGGATTTTAATTAGGTTTAATTTAATTCTAAATATTTTTTACTCTTGTTAAATTGTTTGGTGCTCTTAATTAAATCTAGTTTTGACACTAAATTAAATAAGATATATTATATATAAATAAATATTTTAAGTTAAATTATATATTGATAAAATATGTTGGGAAATAAAACAGTTGCAATTATTGGTGGTGGACCTTCTGGTCTGGTTAGTTGTAAGTCTGCTTTGGAGTCAAGATTGATTCCAACGGTATTCGAAAAGAATAGTGATATTGGAGGAGTATGGAGTCTGTCCAATGGCAAGGTTTGGGATTCGCTGAAGACCAATCTATCTGTGAATACAATGATGTTCTCTGACTATCCATGGGAGAGCGATTGGTATTATGGTTCAGGTGACTTCCCAACTCACTTGGAAATGACCGCCTATCTCGAGAGATATGTAGAACACTTTAAGTTGAAAGGACATATCAAATTTGGTTGTAATGTTACTTCTGTCCACCAAGAATCAAATGGTTTGAAATGGATTGTAGAATATTCTACCACATCAACAATAGCAGAGAAGAATAGAGAACCTGTAACTCAAAAACAAACATTCGATTGTATTATTGTTGCTGGTGGAATGTTTCAAAAACAAAGATCAATCGAATTGGTTGATAAAGAAAAGTTCACTGGTGAAATTACAAGCAGTGGTGACTACAGGAATCAAACAGCGTTTCTTGGCAAATCAGTATTGGTGGTAGGGGATTGCAATAGTGGCTGTGAGATAGCAGCTGAGCTAGCAGAGAATACCGTTATCAAGGTTACTCAGGTGATCAAAAAAATACCTTGGGTGTTGGACAAGTATTTGACTAAACCTTCATCCAATGAAAATCCTTTGGTATTTCCTGTGGAGGTGGCATTCTTTTCTAGGGAGGGTTCTGATTTTGCAAAAAAAAATTTCAAATCTGAACAACAAAGTTTTATTGATATGAATGAATGGCTATCGAATGTGTGTAGTAAGCAACAAACTCATAAATCTCTACACAAACCAATGCCCTCAGACGTCACCCCATTTATTGTCATCTCCCAAAACTATACGGATTGTGTTATTAATGAGAAGATCACGGTAGTTCAACACCCAATAGCAAAGATACAAGGTAAAACAGTTGAGTTTGCAAATGGAGAGTCAAGAGAGATCGATCATATCTTGTGTGCAAATGGATACAGCTATGAACTACCATATTTAAGTGAAGAGATCCTTAAGGATTTAGATTACAATCCAAACAACAAAAAGATACCTATTATTCTTCATAAATCAACATTTCATCCAACTCTTCAAAATATTGGATTTGTTGGTTGGTTTTTACCTGCAATGTTTCCCATCATTGAACTACAGGCTCGTTGGCTTTCTTTGGTATTCTCTGAAAATTTGGAACCACCCACCAAAGAACAGATCGTTGAAGGATTGAAAGAGGAGAGAGCTATTCTTGCAAGTCCATTCCAAAAGCAATATCCACATGTGGAAATGGTGGATATGGGTGATGAAATCGCAACAATCATTGGTGTAATGCCTGATCTTGAAAAGATAAAGTCTGAAGATCCTCACCTCTACAAATTAATTTACAATAACGCTTTCTCTACTTCATCATACAGATTAACAGGTCCACATTCAAACCAACAACTTGCTAAAAGTATTCTAAATAATATCAATAATAAATATTATTGTAAAAATAAATAAAAATCGAAGGTGTTTAAAAAAGTTATAAATCTAAATATTCAATAAAATCTAATAAATTTGAGAAATAATTAAAAATAAAGATTAAAAAAAAATTGATTGTAAATTGATAATTATCTGTTGACTTTCTTGATATATCTATAGATAATTTAGCTAAATTAATAAAGATAAAAGAGCCGAACATTTTTTTTTGATTTTTTTTTTTTTGATTTTTTTTTTTTTTTTATTCAACTTCTCTCTGATCATTTTTTTTTTCAACCTGAAAAGAGGCTTTTTTTATTTTTATACTTTTTTTTAAATAAATTAATTTCATATATATTTATATATTTATATATATATAGTTCAATTGCAATGGGAGGTCATAACGATAGCAAGACAACTTCACCAATGGAAGAGGAGGTTGAGTTACTGCGTAAGATCGCAGCCAAGAAGCAAGCAGAGGGTTTGCGTATCGTTTTCATCGGACCACCAGGTTCCGGTAAGGGTACACAGGCACCAATCATCAAGGATGAGTACTGCGTATGTCACTTGTCCACCGGTGACATCTTGCGTGCCGCCATCGAAGCTGGTACCGATGCCGGTAAGAAGGCTAAAGTCGTCATGGATCAAGGAGGTTTGGTTCCAGACGATTTGGTCGTCGACATGATCAAAGATAACTTAGAGAAACCAGCTTGTGCTAACGGTTTCATTTTAGACGGTTTCCCAAGAACCGTTGTTCAAGCTGAAAAAGTAAGCAACAAGCAACTACTCATCACACACACACCCCACACACAAACAATTGTCATCAATCATCTTCAACTATATATTGTTATATAGTTATATATAAATATTAGCATTGTATTGTATTGATTGATTAATCATATAATTCTTTTTTTTATTTATTTTTATATCTTTTTGTCTATTTTTTTTATTATTATATAAAATTTTAGCTTGATGCAATGTTGGAACAAGACAAAAAGAAGATCGATCATGTTTTGGATTTCTCTATTGATGACTCACTGCTGGTACGTAGAATCACCGGTAGATTGGTTCATCCAGCGAGTGGAAGAAGTTATCACAAGGAATTCTTCCCACCCAAGGAAGAGATGAAGGACGACATCACTGGAGAACCATTGATTCAACGTTCCGACGATAACGAGGCAGTGTTGACAAAGAGACTCGCCACATTCCACGCCAATACCACACCAGTACTCTCTTACTACAAGAAACAAGGTATTCTCTCAACAATCGACGCATCCAAATCCGCATCATTCGTTTCCAATCACATCAAGGCTATCTTTTATGGTAGCTTGCACTTTCCCATTAACTCGCCATTCCTCAGAAAGCAAACCACCACAACCACCACCAGCAACCTTGCTCATGCCACTGCTTCAAACTAAATATATTAAAAAGCAACAACAACTTTTACAACAACTACAACAACAACCATCATCATCACCAACAACAAATCAACTCTATTTACGAGACAAACCATCACAGTTTGTTAGCACACCTCCAAAACTATAATCTATATCTTGGAGAGGTTTTACCTTTATAATTTCAAATTGATAATCTCTTTAATAAAATTCATTATAATTATTTAATATTTAGGTATTTGTTGTCTATTGTTGTAATTTATTTTATTTATTCTCGGACATAAACTTTTTCATGAAATTGATAAGTATCTCTGTACCTTGTAGTGTCATAGCATTATATAAAGAAACTCTTATACCACCAACAGATCTATTGTTTCATATTATATCGATGATTGATTAGTTATTTGATCAAAATAGACATTTTTAAAAATCTAACTATCTTACCTATGTCCTTTGATATCACTGATACCGTTTTGCTCGGCTTGCTTAAAGAACTTCTCTTCGAGGTCGTTGTCACCACCCTTTATTCTGAAACATACGTTCATCTTTGATCGATATTTCTCATCGATATAACAACTACTGGATATTAGAATCATATGTTTTTTGATAGGTTTGAAATATTTTGATAATGTTGTGTTTGATATTTGTAATATTGGTAGTAGGATTGGTAGGAGTATGGTAGGTTTCATGCAAGAATATTCATTCATTTTCAATCAAACGTTTAGCAATGTCCTCCCTCTCGAACTTATTGCAAATTGCAAAACAATTATAATATAGTTATCTACTTACCAATAGAAATCGTTGGACTCATTGATTGTCTTGTAGAGCAGATCGGCCTTCTCTTGGTTTCTCTTGTCGGCTGCCTCCAAACCACCGTTCTTTATCAACCATTTCAATACCAATCCCGTAATATAAATACTATAAACAATGATCATAGTAATATTAGTATGTAGCATATTTTGATTAAACCATATATGATTTGCACGAATCATACTTAAAAGTAGGTGGAGTGTTATCAAGTGAATTCTGTTGACTCTTTTTCAAAAAGTTGAATACATTTGGTACGTTTGGTTTAGATCTTGAGATGAGATCGTGTCTTGCGATGACGATGGTGATACCTGCGATACCAGCATTCTTTTGTGCACCGGCGAATATCACACCGTACTTGGAGACGTCGACTGGCTTCGAGAGGAAGTTTGACGACATGTCACAAACGATTGGCACACCGGCTGGAGTGTACTCATAGACATTGGTTGGCATTTCGATTCCGTGTACAGTTTCGTTGTCACAGTAGTGAATGTAAGCTGGCTTCTCAGAGAACTTCCACTCGGCTGGATTCACCACCGACAAGAACTTGGATGACTCCATATCGATAACGGCATTGGCTTTAGTATAGAGTTTCGCTTCATTGTAGGCTGCCTTTGACCAAGCACCAGTAACTAAAAAGTCGATCGTATCCGATGGTCCATCACATAGATTCAAAGGAATACCTGCAAACAATGATGTTGCACCACCTTGAAGGAATAGAATATCATAATTATCTGGTACTTTACTATATATATATTTATTGTTTTGTTTGTTTATTAGTTAGTAGTAGTTCATTCATTTTGGTTTATATAAATCTATAGATATGAATAGAGAATTTGAAGATAGTTACAGTAATAGTTTCAAGTTTGCTTTTGTTTCTTCAATAACTTTGGTAAATTCTTTACCACGATGTGAAAGCTATGTATAAGTTAATAAACATATAGGATGAATCAATAATTAAATCTTAAAGATAGATCTATGTTTGTTTGAGATTATTAATAATATCATACCTCCATTATACTCTTTCCTGAACCTTGAAAGTTTAAGAGTTCATTTTGAGCGGTGATTAATACTTCCTCTGGAAGACAACCTGGACCAGCACCAAAGTTCAGTACTCTTCCTTTGGTCAATCCATTATTCCAGTCAGTCATTTTCTTTGTTTATCAAATCAATCTATTTTATATTATTTTAAAACAAAAACAAAAATAAATAAAAAAAAAGAAGTTACAGTTATAAATAAATAAATAAATTATATATATAACCTTAAAAATTTATATGTGGTAATAACAAAATTATCACACTTCATTAATAATAAATCATTTGTCATTCAAAAAAATTTTAATTAAATCCCGATAAAAATAAAAACATTCAGAATCCCATTATTTTAGACGACAAAATGAGTCATTCATTGGGTCAAACATCGATCTTCATTTTGTTTTAAACAAACGATTAATTTAAATAAAAAACTTATAATATTTTGTTTAAATAGCTACTGATTATTTATTATTATTATTATTATTATTATTATTATTATTTGAAGTACTAATATAGGTTAAACGTATTATTAAAGCTATTATTGATTCTTATATATTATATAGTACATTCATTGTTATCCGTATTATTTCTATTATGTTGTTGGATGAATAATTTACCTATACTCGAAAATTAAAACAAAGTAAATTTTGATTATTGATGATCAGTTGGAGTGGTCATCGTTGAATTAATATTAATATTGTTGTGTGTTGTGTGTTGATTATATAATTTCTTTACTCGAGAAGTTATATTTATAAAATATAAAAAGAAAAAAAAGGAGTTGAAGTTGGATTGATTATTATTATTATTATTGGGATATGATTGATTGATTGATTATTATTTATATATTTTGTAATGTTGCAGCAAAAATTGAAAGGCAAGTAAAACTAAAAAAAGTTGGTTGAGTGTTGTTTTTTTTTAAATTTTTTGGTCCTATCCTATCTTATCTATCGAGTTGATATCTCTCATCAAGAATCTTTCTTAGTTGCTCTGGGAATTGAATGTAGTACTGTGGCCAGTGATCACCGATGCTACTCTTGAAGACGTGCAACAGTTTCTTGAAGGCATCGTTGAGATCTTGCTCGAGACGATTCCAACTGGCGATGGCGTCACAAATGTAAACGAGATGCTTGACAGAGTCGGTTGGGTTGGTACTGATGATCATCCACATACCACGGAATGCAGAGTCCTTCTCTTGGTCGTCGACCTTTCCACGAATGGCCATACACCAACACTGAACAAACTCGTCAATGTGTGGAGCACAAACTTCCGGTGCTACCAAACCCATTCTACCCAGGGTGATCGATGTATTCTCACGAATGTTACGATGCAACTTGACATTCTGCATGATTGGAATCAACTTTTCCAGGATGCTCTTTACGAATGGCTTGACATCCATTGGCATTCTAACGGCGATTTCACCGAGTGCCCAACAAGCATTATTACATACTGGTACTAAGTCTACAAAGTATATATAGATTATAATATTAATTAATATATAATTTGAATTACAATAATCATTATTATTATTATTATAAAAGTAATACTTTACCTGGATATAGATTGGTAATGAGAATTGGAATATATTCAGGGATGTATGGCTTGAAGTGTAGGATACAAATCTTTGACATGTCACCGAGAAGAGCGAATGCACTTTGACGAACATCTGGTTGGTGATCTCTCATACACTCTAGCAATACAAGTGGAAGATTGGATGGTGTCACCAAACTTTCTATACTGGTTCCGACACCCTCTGCCAATCCACTGATCAAATCCAAACAACATACAACAAAATCTTTATCTGGTTCTTCGTATTCATCTGGATTCTCTTTGAAACGCTTATAGGCAGTCAAAGTATCAATGATAATTCTAACGGCTCTATTATAAAATATAACAATAATTTCATTGAGTCCAATACCAATAGATGAACAAATTGGTGTTAAACATTGTAATAATGGTAAAAGTGTCCTATTGATGATTCATTCATTATTGTAAATTAGTAACTTTCTTCCCAGTATCTTATCACTATCTATTTTTAAAATCAAGTTTAACTTACTTATTACGATCATCTATATTATTGAATTTCTCTAATAATGGTGGTAATAAAATATTGATATATTCAGGTTTGTTCAAATCCTTTCCTACAACTTTGGCCAAGGTTGAAATGGCATCGTAGAGGATCAAAAGATTCTTGGCTTGATACTTGTGGAATGCTTTGACAAAGGTCGCTAGAATGTCTGGCAAGAATGGTTTCAAGTGAGCGTCGGAATCCTCTTCGATGGTTGCAAATGCAGAGCAAGCGGCTTCCTGTACACGTTTGTTGTTATCGAGAATACGATTCAAGAGGTTGACAATCAGTGGGTAGAGGAACTCTGGTCCCTCTGTGGAGATCCAGTAGGAGTAACGACTCAGCGCCCAGCAGGTGATCGATCTGACCAATGGCTTTGGATCGTTGAGTGTGTTGATCAAGTAGGGAACGACCGCCTTGAGATGTGGAGCGAGTCCGTCGAGACAACCCTCTGCAATAGCGCCCAATGCAAGGATAGCACTCTCTCTGACAATCCAAGGATTCGACTCATTCATCTTTTGTTCGATCAAAGGCAAAGCAATAGCAAGATACTCTTGATTATCGAAAAGTGTCGAAAGAGTATCCAAAGCCAATGCTGAACTCTTTCTGAGTGACCATGAATCTTCCTCTACAAAATCATCGTCATCTTCGTCGTCCTCATCTTCCTCCTCTTGTTGTTGTTGTTGTTGTTGCTGTTGTCCAGAAAATACAAATCTACAAACATTCAAATTCATCAAAAGAGTTAATATAGTTTCAAACTCTTAATAACAATAATAACAATAATATTCTTACCCTTGAGCACCGGATGGTCCAGATGAATGTTGTTTTGAACTACCAATGAATGGTTTAATATCTTGTGGACGATCTGGAATGGCAGCATCGTCTTCAACATCCAACAATTCAAATTCATCACTTGAATATACCATACCATTTAATAGGATTGGAATCAAACTGCAAAAAAAAAAAAGATAACAAAAAATATTAGTAATTTTAATAATGTTATATATATATGGTTATTGCTATGATGATGATGGATAGTTACGTTGGTAAGAATTCTCTGAGTAGTGATTTACAATTGGGTGTCTCGGCGATGGCAGTCCAGAATTCACATGCTTCGAGTGCAACATCTTCGTTTTGGTCACGTGAAGCGTGTAGCATGTACATGATGACCTGTTTGATGTGTGGCATCAAGAATTCAATACGAATCTCAATGAGAAGTACCAAGGTTCTGCAGACTTTGACACGAACGTCTGGATTGGGATCTTCGCTCAGCGAGAAGATTCCATTGAGATAGCTGTCCATATTGATCAAGAGTGCACCTGGCATGCTTGGAATGAAATAGTGTAGCGATGCGAGTGCCCTTCTTCTGTAGACGGGATTTGGCGACTGGAAGAACATAAGTAGTTTCGGGATCAGGTGGTTCAGTGGTCTACCGATACTCTCGCTATCCAAACTATCTGTGAAATCCTCACACAACAACGAGAGAGTATAGAGTGATCCCTCCACCAAACTCTGATCTGCACTATCCAATCCTGCAATCAATGTTGGTAACAACTCTTTCCAATCCTTCAGCGTTGCAAAAGAGTGAGAGACAGAGGGAGATAAACGTTAATATTACAATCAATATCGATATGTTAAACAATGTTGAATAACTAATATAGGTTACTTACTTCGAATGAACTCTTTAAAATTAAGGTTGTAATGATATTTGCAACGGTCTGACGAACCTTTTGATTTGGATCAGAGAGAATTGGCAATACTTCAGCTTTGATAAAGTTTTGTACTTTTCTTGGCATCTTTGGGTAGTATGCCTTGATATTCTGTTTCAAGATCAAACCTGCTACACTTCTTACATAGTCTTCCAAATTGGTCAATTTAAAGATGAATGTCAAGTAATTGTTGTAATCTGGGATCTGATGAAAGTTGTTTAATTCCTATAAATTATATATATAAAAAGTAAAATATAATCATCGATGATTATTGTTGTTGTTGTGGTTATTATTGTTAGCTATCATTATGTTTCTATTGTATCATTCATTCATTCTTTCTTTCTTTCTTTCTAAACACTCACTGTATGAATATTTCTTTGTGTCTCTTGATTTGGTGAATTGGTTTGTTTGAGAATCATAATCAATTGATTCAAACCTTCTTGATTTGGTACCCAATCCATTGTGTTGCTGTTGTTGTTGTTTTGTGCTTTTTCCAATATAACAAACTAATGATGTTTCACTGTATATTCTTATTCTATCTACGTCGTTTGTAGCCTATTCTTTGTAACTCTTCTTTTCGTTAGTTGTTCTCCTATCTATATCGAATTGAATCTATTAAATAAAGTTGTGTGTAAATCTAATGTGATTGAAGATGATTCTTTTCCAGTCAACAACTCTACTCTAAAATAAAATACATTTGGGAAAAAAATTTGTTTTTTAAATTTTTTTTGTTTTTTTTTTTTGTTTTTTTTAAAGGTGAAATTATAACAATGTTAGTTGTTGCTTTTGTCTTTTATAGTTATAAAATATATGTTTATGGTGTTAGAATTTTTATGATTTTTTTTTTAATTTTTTTTGTTGGATGAGGAGTGAGTTTAGTGAAGTGGTGTGGTGGTTGAATTTAAACTATTGCGTTGTTGTTATTGTTGTTATTGTTGTTGTTGTTGTTGTTTAATTTTGTTTTGTTAATCATAAAGTAAACACAACAACTTATTTTAACTATTATTTTTTTTGTCTTTTATTATTATTATTTTTATTATTTGGTTTTCATTTCATTGCTATCACAAAAAACCGCGTAAAACTAAACAACACATAATTATATATTTGTTGATGTAATAATAACACTGGTGCTTTGTCTTGACGATTACATTTATTATTATTATTATTATTATCGATTTTGTTGTTTAAAGCTACGCTACCTACTAATATAAATCTAGAATGATTGAAATATATATTTATTTATAGAATATTTAAAAATAACAATGAACTATTTATTTTTAAAAAATAAAAATAAAAAAATAGGTTGGTTATCTGAAGTTGTTATGTCGTTTTTTTCCCAATTTGAATGATAGTGAAAAAAACCTTATAAGATCATTGTTTTAATTTAAAAAGCCAAATTGTTATGAAAAAAAAAAAAAAAAAAAAATCAAACACTCTAAAATTATTTTTTTTAAATGAGAATTTTTTTATAAAACCGAACAAAAACGTTACATTTGATTGGTCAATTAACTCGTTTCTCTTTCTCGATCAGTCGATTCGTAACATTTAATATTACTTAACGCTACCCTTTTTTTTTTTGTATTCTTTATTTTTCGTTTTTTTCATTTAATTATATTATAATAAAAGAAAAATGGCACAACAATCATTAAAAGTTAAAAAGAATACTTCAAATAAACAAACTAAACAATCAAAAGGTATTTTCCTAAAATAAATCAAATATATATATATATATATAGATATGTAATCTTTGAAAATTCTTTAGTTATTAATCTATTCTTTACTTTTTTAAAGTTGGTATCAATAAGAAGAGTAAATCAAAGTCACCATTGGAAATCGCCAAGAAGAAGATCTCAAAGAAATTGGAAATCAACATTGCTAACAAGATTGAGAGTGAAATGAAAGCACGTGTCACCAAGAACAATGGAAAGCTATCTGTTTTGAAGTCCGAACAACCAAAACAAAAGAGAGTTAAGAAGAATCATTAAGAACAAACTATACGATAAAGTATCATCAATGTTGATCAGCATAACATTAACATGTACATTTTAAGATTCACCGACATAAGAAGCAATAACTTTTATCACACTACAACTTTTTCAATAATATATATCAAATTAAATTCACCAACATTTTATTTATTTATTTTCTATCTCTTGGAGCGAATGAACAGATGGATAAACAAAAACAAACAAACAAGATTGTTTCCGAATCAATCATTACAATTACAATCACCCTAAACTGACTAAGTTTGAATAGATGGATTCCATCGATATCTAATCAAAAATTTCAAACAACTTTTGATCATTTTTTAATTAAAGATAAAATTTTTATTTCTTAAAGTTATTACTATTATTTATTTATTTATTATTTCAACAATTTATATTTCTAATAGCTATTTATTTTTATTGTTGCTTCTTCTTTCCTGGTTGTACAACCTTTCTGGTTGGAGTCTTGTTGTTCCAGTATAAAATAAATTGGATGAGCATCAAGAGATTCAAACCTGCACCAACTGAATAACTCAATAATACTATAAATTAAAAATGATTGATGAGAACAAATCCAAGATTGGTTAGAGATAAAGCTTTGCATTTTTAACATTATAATATTTATATATATTGACTTACCAATCTTGTCTGGGATTTCCTTCAAGGTGGTGAACACACGAACAAGACTACCAATAAAATTCAAAAGGGTGGTAACGAATGAGAGTTGACCAACACTCTTTTCTCTGAAATTCATAAAGAGTTGTGGGATCTTTGAGAAGATTGCTACACCAATGTTTGCTGACTATAGAATATTGATTGAAATTTTGGATTGAAATTGTCAATTAGTATTGATTATTGTGTCTCTATTAAATATTGTGGTTGTGTGTGTGATTTGATATTTACAGTGAGGATCAATAATAGTTCTCTGTTGGCAACTTGAACGACACCATAGACAACGGCGAGATAGGTGACAACACCAGCCCAGAACATGGCTCCAATCTTGTTTTTGTACAAGAACACCAAATATACAATGATAATATTTTGTGCCAAGATGAAAACACTCTCACCATAGGTAGAGAATGGATACTTTAATAATACACCACTAAGTACTGAAATAGTAAATCTAAAAAAATAAAATAAAATAAAAGAGAGTGATTGATTGATTGATTGTTTTGGTATTAGTAAGGTAATAGGTTAAAACTGATCAATTTTATTACTTACACCATAGTCTCAAGTACTACAGAGAGAAGTGAAACACCTGTTGCATCACGTGATGAGACCAACTTTTGGATTTGTGGTAACTTCAAGATCATTGAGAATACAACGATACCATATCCCAATGCCTTACTGATGACCATTGAAAGGTCCCATTGTGGACCGAGATAGGTCTTGATCAAAACATCTACTTGTGTCAAAATCGATTCCATACTTATTATTGCTATCTAAATTGTTTATTCATTTAACAAAAAAAAGGTCAACATCAATATTGCATAAAAAAAAAATTGCAAAAAAAATTAAAATAAAATCAATTTTTTTTGCTGACTGTTTAAAAAAAAAAAAAAGATAATCATGTTTCCAATTTTGGAAGTGAATAAACTACACATTAATAAATTTGTATAGATTTAATCTTTATATTTTTAGGCTATAATTCTCAATTGATTTTATCTGATACGCATCAGGATTTGTTTGATTGATTTACCATCATCAATTAGTTTTTTCTTCACAAAAAATTTTTTTCTCCCAATTAAATATCATAAAATTCATTTTCTTTTTTATTTTCGGTCAACAACAATTTCAAAGTCGTCCGCTATCATAGCAGTACTTCTGATTCTTTACACAACCCATTCTTCTTATTCTTCGACAATGACTGGTTAAATACATCCATATTTAATATTTTGGATAACCACAATCAGATTGGTTAGATGCTCAGGATGTGGATGAGTTATAAACAAATTAAATTTAGATGAAATCGATGAGAAGCAATTCCTAAATAGAACTTAGAAAACAACCTTGGAATAAATAATAGTAATAAATATCAGACCCTGTGGGGTCATCAATCAATGACGAAAGAACAAAATGTGTAACATCCCACATGATTTCCAAAGAATATGATAATCTTTCAAATTCAATGCTTTGAATCTCTCACGAACCTATTCCACTTCAAGATGGACAACGACTTATAAAGAGGTTTTGTTGTTAGTATTTACAAGTTTATTGATTGACACTTTCAGACAACAAAGAAATATTAACACTTTCCAAATGGTGAACATTTGTCAAGGATAACTCCTTAGAAAAACGAGCAAGATCTTATAATAGTTTAAAGGAAATGTTGAAGTCTCATTATTTTTATTATTGGTACTACTGATCGACTCTTAGTTTTACAGTGTTTATTTCTTTGGAGCGTTTGGTTTGTTAAATTTGAAAAAGCAAATATCACCATCTTGGACTGTGTAGTTCTTTCCTTCCATTCTATACTTTCCAGCGGCTTTACAGGCAGCCTCGGATTTTAATTCAGCGAAATCGGCATATCCCATGACCTCAGCCATAATGAAACCTTTTTCAAAGTCGTTGTGAATGACACCGGCAGCTTGTGGAGCCTTGGTACCCTTTTGAATGGTCCAACAACGAACTTCATCGGAACCACAGGTGAAGAAATGAGTCAATTGCAAGTGGTGGTAACCGGTCTTGATGATCTTTGGAAGTGCAGAGACGGCACCCTTGGTGGTTTCAAAGTTCTTCTTCTCCTCTGCGGTGGCCAAATCTGCCAAAGACTTCTCGAAAGCAACAGAGATTGGAATGAGTGGTCCACCACCGTTGGCATCGACCCAAGTCTTGATCTTGGCCAACCATTTGTTCTTCTTTCTAATAAAATCTTCCTCTGACAAATTGACCAAATAGAGTGCTGGTTTAGCAGTCAACAATCTAATAATAATGATTATTATATTAATATCCAAAAGATAACAAACAAACAAACAATTTTTGCTTACCTCAATTCTCTGATATGTTCAATTTCAGCATTTGAGTATTGTCCGAATCTAACTTGCTTTCCAGCATCCAAAAGTGCAATCAATTTGTTGTAGGTATCCAATTCAACTTGCTTTGCTTTGTCGACGGTTTTCTATAAAGTTTGATAATATCGATATTATTAGATATTATTATTCCTCCTAATTGTCATGATATTATTATTTAGATAGATATTTACATTCTTGAGTTGTCTTTGCAAAGTATCCAAAGTTTTGGCAACGAATTCCTTATCCTTGGCAATCAATTCACCGGCAATGATTTCAAGATCTCTAACTGGATCTACAGTATCTTCGACGTGAGTGATTTCATCGTTTTCAAAAGCACGAATCATATGGAAAATACCATCTACAGCTTGAATATGTGAAAGGAAACTAAATAATATAATTATATATTAGTTAGTATATTTATTGTTTCTCTACACACACAGACACAGGAGAAATAATAAACTATTGAATTTTAAGTACTTACGCATTTCCAAGACCAGCACCAGTTGATGCACCCTTTACCAAACCGGCAATATCGGTGATGGAGAGATAAGCTGGCTTCATTGAAGCTGGCTTGTGAACGCTGCACAACCAGTCGTAACGTTCGTCTGGAACGGCACAACGACTGACATTTGGATCGATGGTACAGAATGGGAAGTTTTCGGCTGGGATCGACATGTTGGTGAGAATGTTGAACAACGAACTCTTACCGACATTTGGCATACCGACGACACCCATCTGCAAGTTGTTACCGATCTTACCCAACAAAATTGGGGCTTCCTCAGTTGTAGCTGCTTTCTTTGACATGATGATGATGATTGACTGTTATATAGCTATATAATATTACAACAATTCCAACAACAAAAAAAAAAAAAAAAAAAAGCAAACAAAATTTAAATGAAGACAAAAGTGAAAATCGATTTAAAAAATTATTTTTAATTCATTTTTTTTTTTTTTAGCACCGCAATCACTTTTATGAGAGTGAGGTGGGGTGAAATTTGATAGTCTTGAGAATTTTAATGGATAGAGTAACGTAACCCCATCTTCATTCATATGACATTCAACTTTGTGATTAAGTTTAATTAAGATTAAGATATATTATTATAATTTTATTTAAAGATGTCAGAATCATCTGAAAAAAAGATAATTTGCTCGTTGATTAGTCATAAACTTGGTTGTAGTCCATTCGATTGTAAATGGGTACCGAATAGTTCGAAAGTAGTCACCGTAGGCTTCACAGGACCTAGTAATCAATCAAAAGGTGATATCAGTATTCACAAGATAGATGATCTAGATTTAAATTCAATAGATACTTTAAAGTTAAAATTAACTTCAGAAGTAAGTGTGTGCTTAAAGTTTAAACTGATGATGATGAAGCAATGACTAATGTTATCATTTCCAATCATTGTACTAATTAGTGTGAATATAGTTCAAAATTAAGATGTTGTACATTTCAGAGAAATATCCATGATAATAGCTATGAGAGCGATAGATTGCTGGCGGTCGGTGATTTCTCTGGAAATCTGACGGTTTGGGATATTGATAGATTGGGATTGCCTCTGTTCCAGTCAGGCCAGCAGAAGCATGGTGGAGCCATCAATGCCATCGATTCATATCAACATTCGGTTGCTACCGGTGGAAAAGACGGTAAAGCAATACTTTGGGACGTTAGAGCAATGAAAATGCAACATTCTTTTGACTATCAACCATCATCATCGACAACAGCAGCAGCAGCAGATGTCGCACAGAAAAAGGAGTGTGCGGCATGGTCTATCTATACCGACGATCTATATCTCTTTGTTGGCTATGAGAGTGGTGATCTCTCTTGTTTCGACTTGAGAACATCGAAATTGTTAACAACCTATCACAGCAGCGACACCATCAAAACATCTGTCAGCAGTATAGCAATCAACTCGCAACGCGACTATAACAATATTATTCTTGGAGGAAGTGAATCTAAACCGTTGTCATTTGTAAAGTTTAATAATAATAATAATAGCAACAACAATTCAATAGTAGAACAAAGTAGCAATAGTGATAGTCAACAACCAACTTTAAAGAGTAAATTAGCGTGGTGTACAAGATATTCTCCATTTTCAAAATCAATGTTTGCCGTAACAACGAGTGAGGGTTCTCTTTCTTTATACAACGGCAGAGACACTCTGATAGATAGTATTAAACTTTCAGAATATCCTGTTTTATCAGTGGATTTCAATGGATCAAAGGAAGGACTAATGGCAACTGTTTCACTGAATAGAAAGTTAAACATTTTATTCACACCATTTAAATAAAACATTATTATTATTTATTTTCTATTTCTTTTAGTTTAGTTTTAATCAAGTTCAATATTCTATATCATTACACAGTTATTTTTTTTTTTTTGTTTGAGGTGGTGAGATCTCATCAATGTTTTTGTAATTTTCTCCAATATGAACCATTTGGATATTCATATTCTTGGATCGCTTCTTTGGTTAATCCGCAACCATAACCTGGGCTACTTGGACATTGGTAATGTGAATTCTTTATCTCTGCTTTATTGATATACAACTCAACCAAATGTGGAACATACCTATAAAATAATATTAGTAAAAATTTAAAATTTGTTAACTCATTAATAATAATAATAGTTACTCTGTTATTCTATTTTCCAGTGTACCGGCAATACAAATGTAATCAACAAGACATAGTTGATTAACGTATTCACATAGTCCAATTCCACCGGCATGCATACACACCGGAACATTGAACTTGGCGCACATCAGCATGACGGTCAGTACTTCGGTTGGACCACCGAGACGACAGCTATCGGGTTGACAAAAGTGAATGGCTTTCGCTTGGAGCAGTTGTTTGAAAATCACTTTGTTCTGGCACATCTCACCGGTTGCCACTTGGAGCGGTGCAATTCCCCTGGCAATAGCGGCATGTCCGAGTACATCGTCGGGACTAGTCGGCTCTTCAATCCACCACGGTTGATACGGTTCCAACTTCTTCATATACTCAATGGCCTGAGGAACGTCCCAACGTTGATTGGCATCCACCATCAAACGTCTATTAGGACCAATGATCTCACGAATCAGCTTGCATCGACGGATGTCATCGTTGATGTCTTGACCAACTTTAATCTTGATATGAGTGAATCCTTCTTCCAGTGCTTCCTTACAGAGTCTCGATATTTTCTCGTCGCTATAGCCAAGCCATCCAGCCGAGGTAGTATAGGCAGGGAATCCTTTCTCCAACATTTCCCTCTCGCGCTTCTGTTTGGTTGGTTCCAGTGCCTTTAGCATTGCCAATGCTTCTTCTTTGGTCAGAGCATCCGATAGATATCTGAAATCAATAAGACCAACCAATGTTTCTGGAGTCATATCAGTTATTAATTTCCATAATGGTTTATCATTACATTTACTAATAATAAGTTCAAGTAAAGTTAATAATAAATTATATATCTAACAATATTAATATTTACCAATATAAATCCCAAATTGCATTTACAATGGCGGCTGTAGAGAGATGAACAACACCTTTCTCAGGACCGATCCAACGTAATTGTGGTTCCGATGTCAATAGACGGTAGAAAGATGGATAGTCATCGAAGATCTCTTTGATGGTTTTACCAATGACAAGTTCACTCTGTGTTTTAACACATTGAACGACAACATCAGTTCCTTTACCAAGAGTAAATGTTAATCCATATCCCTCTATATTATTGTTAAAACGAACGTTCATTAGTTTTACAAATTCGTTATTGTACACTTGTATATTTATAATTCAAATAAATACCTAATGTTGGATTGTCAGTTTTAACTACTACGTAAGCACAACTATAATCTGGATTAGTATGCATTGCATCTGATCCAATCTGATAGAGTGCAGTAGGGACACGTACATCAAATACTTGAATTTCACTTATTTTAACATTTGTAAATGATTGCATCTTTTGTTTTTTTTGATTATTACAAATACACAATTATTATTTGTTTATTTGTATATTAAATCTTTAAGAGAAATTTAAAATTGTTTTCTTAATATCAACTGTTGTTGATTTAAATTGACCCATTTCCTTTTTTAAACACTACCATTGGTTTACATTTGTGTGTTGTGTGTGATTAATTAAATTAAAATGGGGTCAGCTGACCAATAAAATGAAATTTTGTGTGTGTAAGTTTTAAATATTTTAATAAATAAATAAAAATTTAAAAATATAAGTTATAATATGTTTATAAGAGAAAGAGGAAATAATATTACAATTATTTATTATTATTATAGGTTGTAAGGATTCTCTTCTTCCAATTGTTCAGTCTCGTCATTTTCTTTATCTTTATATTGAATGAACCATTTCAATTCGAAATCATTCATTGTCTGCTCTGTGTTATTGGTATTATTGTTGAATTGATCTAATAGATCTTTAATATCATAGTCTATCAATGACTGATAGATTTGTGAAATAGATTCGTGTACTTTGACCAATGGTTGTTGCCAACCCGCCTTAGTGTCAAGTGATTTCTTTTGAATGATAGAATTCATCAAATGAAACAATGCAATGGTAATACTACGTTTTCCACACAATATTGATTTGATTCCTGTCGTTGTTGATGCTGTTGTTATATTATACGATTCCATGTTTGTATTCTTTACTATTGATGAACGATCTACCATCGATCTACCAAGATAACAATGTGCAAGATTGAACCACCACTCCCAAACCACTTGATTGTAGGTGATGGCACGATGATACTGTTCTATCGCCTCTTGGAATTGTCCCAATCGATGATAGCACTGTGCGAGTAGATAGATGATATTCGAGTCTTTGAAGACGATGGCTGGCGGCTCGAGAGCGGTCGACGGTCGTGGTTGTGTAGCTATCTTCTCATAGCACACCAACTTGTCTATGGCCTTCTCGTAGTGTGTCAATCGAATCAGACATCGGATTTCCACTTCGAGCACCGACAACAACTGGTGTGCATCGCCAAGATGTCTGACGAATCTCGCCAGATCATTGCAATCCTGAATGCATTCTTCATATCGATGTTTATGATAGTAGTAGTCCGAGCGATACAATAGCATTCGCATGATGTTCTTTATATCCTTTCTCTCATTCTTTGTTTCGTCGTCTTCGTTCTGGTCGTCCTTCATCTTTCTATTCTTTTTCTTTTCCGCTCTTGTTTTATGTTTCATGAAATCGGAAGAATCATCTGTATTACTATCATTATCATTATTATTATTATTATTAACTACAACTAGATCATCTAATTTTATTACAGATGGATCACAATTAAGAAACCACTAATAATGTTATAGATATGATCAAAAATGAGTGAGAAGGTTGAGATATAAAACAAAATACAAAAACATACCAAACTTGAATCAATCTTTGGAGAATAATCAACTATTGGAATTGGTTTCTTTTGCTTTGGTTGATACAATTCACAAACTAAATCATCTGTATTAAATCCAAATTCCTCCATTCCCTCTATTTTAATATAATTTTAATATAAATAAATAATAATAGTGGAAAATATCGAATGAATCATTTTTTTTTTTAATTTGTCGACAAAAATTATGTTTTTTTAAATAGATCGCAAATCTGCACCACACACATAACTCGTAGCGATTTTTATCACAAAAGAAAGATAGTACCAATTGTGTTAAGATCAATTTTACTCATTTAAGGAGATTGTACAATCTCCAGCAGGTATTGGAGATTCTCTAGATGGTGTTGCAAAAAGAAATGGTTTTGGTCATTGAAACAATTGTAATTGCTGATTTATTATAGTTTATACTTCAACATCCATATGTTCTATGTACGTTTGAAGTACAGAAGATTGGAAATCTCAACTATACGACAAGCAGTTCTTCGATCTTAGAGTCACCAGTTTTTAAGTTTCAATAACTTTTCAGCTTGTGTATCTTTGGGCATCGGAGACTTCACACAATTTGTATAAACACCTTTGTTTGTTTGTTTGGCTGTTGATCCATCCCCAGAACCATTAGCAATTAATTGTTTATATATCCCCTCGAAGATATTTAGTTGTTAATCCCTTTTTTTCTTCAGGCTAACCAATTCATTATTCTTTTCATGTTCCATTATAACTATAGGTATGTCATATTAAAAAAAAAACTACAAACCTAAGCATTTTCGTCAATACTGATTAGCCTAACATTTATAATTTAGAAACAGAAATTTCAAGTAATGGTATTGGTTTCAAGTTATCTCGCCCTAACTTCCAAAGAGATCACTTATCATATAGAAATATAGAGACTTTGATTAAAACATATTAGATAATTATAATCAAAATCTTTTCTTTTTGGAACTATCGATAGAATCTGTCAGTCTCCAGATTATGTTTGTTTGTGCCAATATATAATATATTGGCACAAACAAAAATTTAATAATAAAAAATAAAAAAAAATAAAATTCATTCATTTCTAATTACTTACAATCAATCAATCAAACTCGAGTCTTTGTATACAACCTTGGTTGGTCTTGAAAGATGGAAGTTGAAGAACAAAGAAAATCAGACCTTTTAGAGAGACAAAATCAAGTCATTACAAATCTGAATGAACTATCGCAGAGATTAAACAATCTGATACCAAGACAAGAGATAACAGAGATTCAAAAACATGTTGCAGACTATACATCTTCAATTGACTTGAAGTAAATATTTAATTATTCTTTACATTATCATAATGATAGATCTATATTGATTGTTTAGTTTTGATTAATTTAATTTTCATTGATTTATATATATTATCTATATAGATTTAAATTACAAAGAGTACCATCACCTTATTATACATGGACATTGGAGCAGAGAGCAAACTATTTAGGTGCACCATCGAAGCAATATCTATGTAAGAGTATCATCATGGAGAATACCGAGTGTGTCAATCAAGACATGTCCGATCCATTCAACAGTCGATACTATCTGGTGATCATACAGTATACCACCAAGATTCAGAATCAAAAGGTTCTGAAATTCGTAAAGTCATTGCAATCACAATCATCGTCATCGACAGCAGTCTCTGGTGCCAACTACCGATTCACATTGGCACAGTCAGAGGCATCACATGCAATGACTGGCTTCGAATACAACGCAGTCTGTCCGATTGCAACCAAAGTAAACATACCCATTGTCATATCGAAATCAATCTTTTCCTTACCAAATCCAACTGTTTGGCTGGGCGGTGGTGAAACCGATCTCAAACTTGTTGTAGACATCAACGAATTCAAAGAAAAAGTAGAAAACAATGCTAAAAATCATGTATTCATTGCAGATGTGGTTTATGATCAACAATCGACAACAACATCAAATAATAATAACAACAATGATGGAGAAGAATAAATAAATAAAGAAATAGATAGATATAGTTAGATATATATATATATATATAATTATTATTCATTTTCATTTATTTATTTTCTTGAATCATTAATTAAAGTAAACCAAATTCAAATGATAAAATATGATGAGATTGACAAAGTCCACCTGTGGATGCAGTCATTCCTATCCACGCTTCACCATTTGGTAGGTCTAAGAGCGTATCTAAATCCACTGAGACATCGGTTAGGATATTGAATGAGTCGTACCAAACTGACATGGTTTTGCTGTTGGCGTTGTAGGTGATCGCTGCATGGTGAATACGACCGTCGTTGATTGGCACATTGTCCACTGGCATTGCGTGAGCCAACGAGTGTTGATGATGACTACTGTTCTTTCGCTCGCCATTGCAGTGGATAGAGATGTGATTGCCATTGGGATCGGCACAACTATCGACCGAGGAATATGAGTCGAATTCCACTGCCAACGAGTTTTCAATGCCATCGTAACCCAGCCCACTGCCACGCTTTCCAATGACGTCGGCACTATGATTGTGTAATACAAATGCCATACCGTCGGCACCACCCATTTCATTGATAAATTTGATTCTCACTACAAATCCATCGGTCACCTTTAGTTTATCTTTTACCCAGAATGCACCGACTTGGTCATTCTGTCTCGGTGTCAACTCGATTCTATCTGACAAAATCTTACAATTTCCAATCAAGTTCAATTTGGAACGAGTAAGTAATTCATAATTATACAAAACAGTACTAATAGTTGGTGGAGATGCTTAATTAATTGATCATCAAAAGAAAGTTTAATTAGTAATGATTTTCTTCAAGTTACACTCCGAGTATATTACCTCTTTCAACTGATTTCTGTACATGTAAACGTTTAGATGAGTTGGTTAATCCTAAACCTGTTTCACCTCTTTGTGATTTCCAATCATCTGAACCAGATTGTCTTGGTAGAAGATCGTTACTAACCGATCTGTTCTGACTGTTTTCCAACTCTTTCTTCTCTGCTTGTTCTCTCTTTATCAAATGTTCTTTTCTCTCTGGTGCATATGCAGCTCTCATTCTCTGATTCAACTGTTCCAAATAGATTCTCAACCAATCTTCTTCAACCATTCCTCTTCTCTGTAGCATTTGATTTATCTGTGTTGTATATCTTCTTGAAACATCGAATATTCCATCAACTAAAAATGATTGATAATAAACCAATTATTAATAAACTATCTAGTTGAAAACTGATTAATCAATATCAATATCAATATCAATGCCAATGCTTACCTTCGAATGCAAATACATAAGTTAATTTCTTTCCCCATCCAGATTCATAGGTGAGTGGTTTATCATAGGCAGGTTCACAACTGTCGCAGTGGATCCATCGATTTTCAGAGTCACTCCAAATCTCTGTCCAAACGTGATCGGTCATATCGAGAATATATCGGGCTCTGTAGCCAAGTGCACGACAAAATAGTGTAAATGTATTGGCCCATTCTCCACAACGTCCACGCTTGGTCTCCAGAAGTTTTCCGGGGTCGTTGTATCGTGGAAATCGCGAGATGTGCTGTGACTGACAACGATACAACTCTGTGCGTCCCGCTTTGTAGTAGCTCTCGTCGGCGCTTGGCTGTGTTGCACCGACACCCACCGTTTTGTCGGCACAGTAGTCGCAAGGCGGTGCGTCGACCCACTTGAAAAAGCTCGATTTGAACCAGTTGAGCAGCTCGCGCATCTGCTCTTCGCCACGCTCCAGCTTGTCGCCCTTGCGATTGAAGCGGATAGAGTGTGGCAGCAGATCGAGTGCCTTTCGCTGTAGTGCCGGCTGCTCGTAGTTCAACACCGACTTGTAGTTGGACTCGAAGATCGAACGAATCTGATCGTACTCCTTCGAGCTCCAACGAGAGAGGAAACTCCTCACCACAGTAGTGAGTCGTGCGATCAACGCTGTCTTGGCACCCGGTGCAATTTGATCGATATCGATACGTGGTTGAAAAAGACATTCATGCTGTTGTTGACCTCCAAACTGGCCAGTACACTGACAATGAAATTGAGTTTCTCTAAGCAACTGTTGAGTTGCACCCGGTTCAAAACAAGTGGTTGAACATGCATAACAAACCAGATTACCAGTGTGATTCTCTCTGAATGCCGGTTGCAACACATTGTCTTTGTGCAAGTAGATTCTCGAGCATTCTTCCATCCAAACGTTAGAGTTTGGTGTTGACATTATTAATATTAATCAATATTATTAATTATATGAATATTTAATTATTATTTTGATAAAAATAAAAATTAATAAATTAATATTTTAATTTTAATTAAAATTGACAATTATTTAAAATATTAATTAATCATTTTGTAAATGAAAGTTCAAAAAACCATCTTTGCAAATGGTTTTTTTTGATCATCAAAATCAAACAAAAAAATAAAAAAAAGAAAAAAAAACTAAAATAAAAGTATAATTTATATAATCTCTTTTGATACCATTAAAAGAAGAAGATGTCATTTTGATTGATTCAATGAAAAAAAATAAAAAGAATAAAAATGTCATAGAATGAAATTTGGGATAATGAATAATTCATGATTTGCATTCAAATGAATTTAAAACAAACAAAATAATGAATAAAAAAAATTTCACATTTATTTTTATTTTTATTTATTTTTGATTTTGCTTGAGACATTTATATATATATATATATAAACAAACAGATAACATTAGATTCAGCTTTAAATATAAACACAATTAATCAATCAAATTAAATTAAATTTAATAAATCAACAACATTAGTATAGCTAGCAATTTAAGAAAAGGAAAGAAAATAGAATAAATAAAAAAAAGAAATATAATATTTGGAACAACAAACATTGCAACGTTGCATTAAAGAAAACAACAACAACAACAACAAACAAACAATAAACAAACAATAAACATATATAAATTAAAATAATATAATTAAAAATGGGATCATCATTATCAGTGTTTGCCAGAATATGGAATAAAATGTTTAATAATGCAGAGTATAAAGTGATTATCGTTGGTTTGAATGCAGCAGGTAAAACAACAACACTTTACAAGTTGTTACTCGACGAGGTAGTCTCTACAACACCAACCGTAGGAAGTAATCTCGAAGAGTTTGTATATAGAAATATTAGGTTGCTTATGTGGGATCTTGGTGGGCAGGATCTACTCAGATCCACTTGGAATCAATACTACATTAACACACAGGCTGTAATATTAGTAATAGATAGTACTGATAGAACGAGAGTTCCACTCATCAAAGAAGAGCTTTTCAAGATGCTCGCTCACGAAGTATGTCTTCTAAAAACAACAACAATCTTAATCAACAACATTGAAACATTCATTTAACACACCATTCATTTTCATACATTATAGAATCTAAAGAAATCAATTATACTTTTGTTTGCAAATAAACAAGATCTAAAAGGTGCAATGTCAGCTGCGGAGCTAACAAACCTATTATCACTCCATACCATCAAAGATCACCCATGGCATATTCAAGTAAGTTACTTATGTTTGTTTTATAACATTTGATTGATCAATGTCGTTTTTTATTATTATTTGATTGCTAATCACGATATTTCATTATAGGCATGCTGTGCATTGACAGGTGAAGGTTTAGAACAAGGAATGGATTGGCTAGTTTCAAATATTAACAAAGGATAATTTATTTATTAGAATTTATTGAAAAATAAATAAACGAAACTAAATCAAGAATATTTATACTTTACCAATTGGAGAGAATTTTGATTGAATTTGGTGGATATCAATAGCAATCTTGGGTTACTTAATAGTTAGTGGAAGTTCTTTTTGGAATTTTGATTATGTTGTTTTGATTGTTGTTGCTGTTGGTTTTGGAGTAATTTTATTAGAGTTGTTGAAGCTAGCTAAATACTACGATTTCAGAGCTAAGTTTCAGATTGTGTCTCAACAATACTTTGATTTTAGCTTTATTTGTTTGAGTAATATTTTTTGAGAACTTCCATTTTCATATAAGATTGAATTATGCTTTGCCCTGGTTTCATTATTTAAAATACATATTTTTGTAAGTTTGAAATTAGGAAGATATACCATATCTTATAATTAAATGTGTTTTTTTTTTTTTGTAACAAACTTTTTATTTTATTTTATTAAATTTGGGATTGTAATATTATTATTTATTGATTTATATATTATCTTCGGCGAATTGAATACTCTTGATTAGATGCTCACGTGCTCTGGCTTGTTTGTTCTTTTTATTCTTTGCACTGGTTTGTTGCTTAATGAAAATAATGAGATACTCCAAACCAATAGATAGAACAATGTTGATGGCCAATAGAATCAACAACTTGTACACCCAATTCATCCAACCTGCTGGTAGATCATGCTCCAACTGGAAGAATTTGTATAATGGTTTGTTTGGAATGACCAACAACAATGTTGTAGTGACAACATTCAAGAGGAACCAACCAAAGAGTAATTCTATTAAAACAGGTGGTAAAAGTAAAGTTAATCATCTGATGCATTGAATAAAACTTAAATCATCTGATTCCTGGTGATTAAAACTTACTATTTGTGTACATTAACTTTAGGAATGGCTTTCCGAATGAATAGATAAAGCACATAATTAAATATTGGAAGTTACCATAGAGGAATAAACTGGTTACAACGTAGCTGATAATACCATCATCAGAGCTGGGTGTATACCATTTCTCCTTTTGAACGAAAACGAAGATGATTGATTGGAATCCTGCTGTCAGCGCAACATGTACAAATAGCGATCCAATGACTGCCGGTGAAATCAATCTACTCGATGGTCTCTTTACAGATAACTTACTACATGGTTCAGTACGACCCACTAAACATTGATTGCAATCAATTTTGATTAGTAAAACAAAGATTGTTGGAAAATGAATAGCTAGCTACTTACTGAAAATTACAAGTGGGAAAATCATCCACAAATCTTGGTAGAGATATTGATAGTTTCCGAGAACATCCGATTTGAGATACAATAGAATGACAGTGGTAAATTGAATAAGCGAGTACATTCCGATGAATTGGAAGAGTTTGAATGATACGGCAAGTGAGGCACGACCTTCACGAATCAACTTGTGGGTACAGGAGACGTCGGTGACGGTCGAGGTGAATGGAGCGGCAATCGATGCCTCTGCCAACGACAGTGAAATTCCAACATGAGCAGCCTTCAAAGCACCGCAATCGTTGGCACCGTCTCCACACATACCTACGTAGAGATTGGCTGCGATGAGATCTTCGACCAAGTTTTGCTTTTGGTCTGGAGTCATACGAGCAAAGACGTGTCCTTTCTGGAGGAGACGAGTGAATGTGATGTTGGGACCGATCTTTACCTTGTCGTCGTAGAGAATCTTCCAGGCGTCACCAGTGACGGCCAGTACGAAATCTTCGTTGTCGCTGCCTTCGATTGTGAGTGAGACCGGGTCGAGCTTGTAGGGCATTGCGCTTGGATTGGAGCTGCAGTCACGCCAGCTGATAACACCGTTGCTTACCTCTGACATAAAGATGATACGATCGTCGAGAATCAAACCGCATTCGCTTGCTACCGACACACCGGTGAGCACGTTGTCACCGGTAACCATAATCAAACGGATGTTTGCCTTTTTCAATACTTGGAGAGCTGGTGGAGTCTGTGGCTTGATCTTGTTCTCCATGATGATGAATCCAAGGAAGTGAAGATCGCATTCAACTTCGTCTCTGATCTCGTCTTTGGTACGATCGTTTGGCATCTGGTAGTCTTTGTAACCGGCAGCCAAAACTCTGTAACCTTTCTTGGTGTATTGGTCGAGCACTGAATCATAGTCGGATGGAAGCGACGACGCGACAGAGAGTGCCTTGATTTTCTCTGGCGAACCCTTGACAATTGCCAAATCCTTACCTTGTAGACCGTGACCTCTGATAATAACACTCATACGTTGAAGAGCCGATTGGAACTCAAACTTTTCGACCAATCCAATCTCCAAACACTGTTCGATCTCGTTTGTTGGAATGGGGAAGTGTTTTGTCTCTGAGAATGTCTCACGCTTCACATCCAGACGAATGGCTGCTTTGTAGTGAGGATGGTTGTCGTCGAGATGTGCTTTGGTCGACTCGAAAATCTTCTCTTCCAGTGGGTCACCCGATACCTTGTCCTCGATGTAGGCGAGCGTGTGACAGGTTGCCAGTGTGAGGAAGAGCGGACCAGTCATACGACCGATATCCTTTACCATTTCACCAAAGTTCTGCGAGTAACTTGGCAGAACACCCATCAAATCGAGACCGTCTTCAGTAAGAGTTCCGGTCTTGTCGAAACAGAACACTTCGATCTTTCCACCCATGCTGACACGTGGTGGTGAGATACAAAAGATCGACTGCGCCTTGAGACGAAGAATCGAGAAACCTTGTCCGACCGACTGAGCCATTGGCAGTGCTGGAGGCACTACAATGGTAATCAAATCGAGTGAACGTACAATGACTTCGTTCACTTCGGTTCCATTCTTGATCATACGCCACACGGAAATACTGAATCCGACCAACGCAATACTGCAGAGAACCAGCAAGAATTTGATCGATTGTTGGAAGAACTTGAAGTTGGTTTCCTTTGGATACAACATACTGAGAACGAGCTCACCCTTGGTGGTTGTCCAACCGGTACGAGTTACCATAGCCAAGATACGCTCACCCGGAAGACACTGTGTCTTGACGACTTTGGTTCCACCAGAGATGGCGCAACGCTTGTTGATCTCGCCATTCACAGAGAGATTGTCACCGGCACACTCTGTCAGTGGATACTTTGTCACTGGAATCGACTCTCCCGTTAACATACTCTCATTCAATACAATGGTACCGTTGAGCAGTGTGAAATCACACGGCAAGATCAGCGAGTTTTGCAACTCGACAATGTCGCCCGGCACCAACCTGCTCGAGTTGACCAACTCTGTCGAACCGCCACGCAACACATTCACGTTGCAAGTGTAACGTGCAATCTCATTGAGTTGCTTCAGATTCTTACGGGTTTCGTGCAATGTGATACCAGCGGAAACAGTAGCGATGAAGAGAATGGCACCGGCATACACATAGTAGACCTCAGTACACCACAAGATGATAGAGTAGATCTGGAAGATAAAGAATGGATGCAGTACTTCATCCAACAACAAACGAGGAATCGACTTTAGTGGGACATCGATGACGTTCGGTCCAAAGTAGTCTTCGTTGCGGTTGTAGTGCTCGTTGGCGAGACCGGACTTCATGAAATCCTGGAGCTCCGCACGAGTGTAGTCCTGCTTGAAGACGACACGCTCATAGATTCCAGAGTCATCGTTGTAAAAGAAACGAACAAACTTGAAAGTGATCATTCGCTGTGTCTTTTCGCCCGGGATGATCAGACCTTTCGCACCGATCACCACAGGACGCACCTTGCAGAGTGTGACAGTCTTGTCCTTCTCCTTGACGTAGACGTAATCGGCAACATCTAGCTTCGACTCTCTGAATTTCAATTTATAATAGTATCGCGGGAACCAATGAAAGAATACCAAAATCGATCCCAATGAAAAACAAACACAAAGATAGTAGAATATAGTTGATACCACTGTTCTCTTGTATCCTCTCATATAATCAATAGACTATTGTTGATCGTTGATTGATTGTTGATTGTTGATCACCACAACATTTCATCATTCATTCCAAAAAAATTACGATATTTTCAAATCGATTTTAAATGAATCAATTTAATTGTAAGCGGTGTGAAAAAAAAAAAAAAAAGGTTGGTAATTCCCAAAAAAAATAAAAACAAAAATAACATTCGATTAGTCATTGGTACTTTGAAATCGCGCATGAAAAAGGATTGGTGGGTTCGCATTCCATACGATTTTCGTTTGAAATTTCCAAATCCATTTTCATTTATTATATTACTGCTAACTAACTAGCTAACTAACCAACTTACCATTGATTCATCTTTGACGTGAACATTGTAATTATTTTTTGACACCATCGATTTGGTGTTCTATACTCTATGATTGATACATTATTGTTGTTGTTAGTATTATGATTTTATTAATAACATATGCTTTTATGTATGTTTTTTGAGTGATTCATGAATGAAAATATCTGTGTGGGGTGAGTCATAAAGTCTGTTTATTTATATTATTTATATTATATATATTTTTACAAAAATAAAATAAATAACATAAATAAAAACAAAGTTCATTGTATAACTAAAATAAGTTTTGTAAATGTTTATGCAAGTGTAATGTAAATTCTGATTTTAAGTTGAATTGTATTGTTTACATTAATAGAATAGAATAGAGTAAAGCTTAAATCAAAAAATCTGAATATTTCACTATCGAGTTTGAATTATCAATTTCAACATTGTTTTAAACGTTTACAACTAACTAATCGGTAACTGTAGCAAATAAAAATAGAAATAAAATAGTTTTTTATTTTTATTTTTAACAAAAAAAACCGATGAACCTGCAATGAATGTAATAATTTGGTTGATTGACTGACTGATTGATTCACTACCTACTTTTTAAATATAAATATTATATAATATATCGAAGTACTACTGAATAATAAATAAATGTTTGTTGTTGTTTTTTTTTTTGCTGTTGTTTATTTGTTTGTTTGTTTGTTTTAAATATATACTTTGCAAAATAAAAAATAAAAAAAATAAAGTATACTTTATTGATTGATGATGGTTGTAATATAATGGAATGATGATGGTTTAAAACTAAAATAAATAAGGTAGAGAGTAGAGAGACAAACGTCACAAACAACAACAGCAAAATTAGAAAAATTATACAAAGAAATAAGAAAAAGCTTTGATTTTTGTTAATCCCTATTGAAACTCAGAAAAAACAAAAAAAAAAAAAAATTATAAAAATTGAAAAATTGACAAATTTATAAAAAAAGTATGGGGGTTTGTTGGTTATCATAGTTTAAAAACAATTTAAATCTCGAAATTTTTAGTTGGAAAAAAGTAAATAAATATCATATGATATTGTAAAATTTCAACCAGGCCACCTTAAATTTTTGTAGGGTGTGAATGGAATCAAAGCAAAAAGGAGATGTGTTTTCCAATGTTATTATTTATTTTTTAATTTTTTTTAATTTATTTTGGTGATTTTTAATTGTCAGTTGACTTTTAAAAGGAAATTAAAAAAAACTTAGTAGTAGTATTTATATAAATCAAATTTTTGTTTTATTTTTTTAATAATCAAACTTTTGTCAAATTCTCTAGAAGAATGAATTATATCAAACATTTAAGTTTTGGTTGATGTGAATGATTGATTGCTTGATGTTCAATCATTTTGTTACTCTACACCCTGTATCTATCTTTGTCTATGAATAGAAAATATATATATTTTTAAAAATAAAACAAAAATAAAATATAATGAGTGCTATCTATCTCAAGAAAACAAGACTTACAAAATTTTTGTCAAAGGAAATTTCTATTAGCACAAAAAAAAAAAACCAAACAAAACAAATATCATTTTTTTTTATATCCAATATGAATGGATTGTCATTATAGTTAATTTAAATAAACAATTTTCAGAACAGATATATATAATTAGATTTTAATAATAGATGTTTATAAAAATATTATTATAATTATATTATTACAATAGTTTAGTAATAATATATATATTGTTATTGTTATTATTTTTGCTCTATATTTAAGTATATTTGAGCATCAAATTTAAGAAAAGAAGAAAAGAGTAATTATTTATTTATTTTGATAGTTTGGTTAGTTAGTTGGTTACGGTTTACTTAAAAATAATAATAAGAGTTAAAAGGAGATATTATAAATAGGATGGATGGGTCATCAGTCGTTGAGAATCATGATAATAGTAATGATGATAATGAAAAGAAACCACTGTTATTTCAACAACCTTCACTAACGAAATCATCAAGTACTCTACCGAAAATGAAGAATAGTCTTGATAATAATAATAGTGAAAATAACAGTTATAATAGTAATGGTAGCAGCAGTAGTAATAGTATAGGTAATACGCAACAACAGCAGCAGCAGCAACAGCAACAGCATCATCAACAATATCAACATCAACAATCACTTAATAAAAGTATAAGTCCGACTATTCTTGCAGGTGGCAATGAATATCACTCGAGAATCAACACACTTAGAAACGATGTTAAACATTTTAATAACAACACTGAAGATGACTATGATTTTGCTACAAACAACAGTAACAATATCAATAGGAATGATACAGAACATGATCATGACTATGATGATGAAGATGATGATGATGATGATTTAGGAAGTAGTTCAAGTAATAATAACAATAATAGTAATAATAATAACAATAATAACCTTAATAATAGTAATAATCAAAATCAATCTATGATGATGAATAAAAGTTATAATAGTCAATTGATGAGTTCTTATCATTCCAATTCGAGTAGTACTAGTGGTCATATCATTATTGTAACGGACACTGATAATAGTAGTAACAATCGATACAATAGGAATCTGAGTAACAATAGTAATAATATGTATAATAGCAATTTGGTCAGTAGTTACAACAGTGATTACAATTACAATTACAACCTGGCAAACTACGAAGCGAAACCACCCGAGAAGATATCGTTACCGTTTACATTTCATCGTGCGATGGTCGTTGTCATTCTGGTGGTGATCTATCTGATGTTGATCACAACGTTCTTCATTGAGTATCGGTTCATCGATCAGTCTGGCGCTGCGTACTACGCGTACCTGGTGACTCGTCCGCTGCCCATGATCCCGCTGCTCCTAATCATCCCACTCTACGGTATAAACGACGCGAAAACAACGCGATACTCTTTGTTCATCGCGATAGCGCTGGTGTGCAACATCGTCTCGGACTCGATATTCTCGGCGGACGTCAGTGTCACCTCGAGTCGCCAGGGCACCGCGCCACCGGCCGACGCCTCTGTCAACTACGCCGAATACTCTGAGGTTCTCTATTATCTCTCGTTTGCATTCACTCTGCTCTCTCGACTCTTCTACACGATCGCATTCATCATTGGCATCGGCAAGAACATCAAAATCCGGCTGTTCCACGCGATCCCCTTCTACGCGTACAGCGCCACACTCGTCCTCATGATAATCTTCTCCAAACAGATTGCTCCAGTACTAATTCCACCACGTACACCTTATCTAAGATCAATCGATCAGTTACAACAACCAAATCATCAACAACAACAAAGTGGAACAACAGATGCATCTTCTTATATTGAAACATCGTCTTCAACCTATCCGAATGAATTGGATGCTACTCATTTCTCGTTGATTATTATTTATGCTGTGATAGAGGCAACTGCGCTGTGGCGAGCTTTGGCATTGACAAGTAGTTTCCCAGGTACCAATCCAACGCGTCTCTTACTCTGGCTTAGCGTGCTTGGTGCCACTATTTTCGCAATCACCGATACACTCATTGTGATCAGCAATTTCTACTATCCATTGACCGGTATCTTTTACTATAGCAACGGTGGATATTGGCTTGGACACAGTCTCATTGTGTTCTCTATACCTCGACGTATGGATCTAAGAGATTACCTATACAAGTATTTCGATCGATTTAGAGATAAAAATGATAAAGATAGTTTAGTCCCTGGAAGTAAGAGATATTTACTAGTATAATAATGATAATGATAATGATAATAGTTTAATAATGGCATCTAATAAATAATCTTCTTGCTTGTATTTATTGAAACAAAAAAAAGTAACACAAAGAATAGATTCTTTAGATTTTTAGTTTATTTATTATGTTATTCCATGATTTAGGTGGATCTATTGTTAGTGTAAGAGGTGAAAGTGTAGTTGGATGAATAAATGTTAATTTATATGCTTGTAACATCATTTCATTTTCTTGATCATCTGATGATGATGATGATGAAGATGATGACGTTGATTGTTGTTGTTGTTGAGTATTTTCACAAAGTATTTGTTGATTCTTATCTAAAAGTTGATCGATGAAATAATGGTTGTAGTAAGGATCTCCTACTATAGGAAACCCTGACTCACTAAAGTGAATTCGAAGTTGATGAGTTCTACCGGTGATTAGTGATGCTTCGAACATTGCCTTTCTATGTTCTTTCGATATTGACAGTAGCTTGTATTCAGTTTCTGCATTGCGTGCCTCGAACTTATTCTTTCCTTTCTCTGGACTACTTCCAAACAAGAGAAAAGACGACAGGAAAGGATGTCCAACCTCTCTAACTATACCTCTCTCATTACATTCCTTACATTTATATTGATTACCATCACCATTATCATTACTATTACTATCACGTTTGAACAAAGGTACAGGATGTATTCTTGGTCCAATATAGCTTTGAATTGTACCATTACCATTTACTTTTCCACTAACATCGAAAATGGGAGGATTACCTTTGATAAATGGTGAAATGAAACAACAGTTGTTGTTGTTGTTATTATTATTATTATTGCTGTTGTTAAGACAAGATGGTGTATCTGTGATTAAACGATAAGATTTATGCCATTTGTGCATTGTTTGTGACATTTGTGCACACACTGGCGATGTAATAGCGACCACCAGCAATCCACTCGTCCACTTATCTAGTCTGTTGATAAAGTATAATAATATACCCTTTGGATGATTGTTGTCAAAGAGTTTAACGAGTGTTTTCAATCTTCGTTTCGGTCTGCCTTTGAGAGGTTCATCGGCTGATGCACTATCATTTAATGCCTGTAACTCCAACATCTCTCTTCTCATTCGTTCTATCATCATTTTCTCGATTGATTGATTCTCATTCGATTGAACAGGATATCCAGCCGGTTTGTTAATAACAACAAACTTATCGCCCCATTCTCCATGAACCAATTCTATCTCTTCTACCTGATGATCACCACCAACACCACTACCACCACCGACATTCTTCTTCGACTTATTCAATCCCCAATCTATTTTCAAATATTCTTCATTATCATTGTTGTTTATCTCTATTTTTTTTGATCTTTTATGATGATTGTAATGATCTAATTTATAACTTTTATGAATATCTAATTTATATTTATCACTACTATTATTATTATTATTACTATTATTATTGCTATTTGAAAATAATCTATAATTATTGTTTAAATTAAAATTCTGAATATGAATATTATTTAAAATTGATTTATTATTTCTTATATATCTATTTAGGATCATTATAATTATGTTATGTAATATAGATTACAAGATGATAAATAAAAGTGGTTGGTGATCATATGATCAAGACGAGCGAAACATTAGTGTTTTACAAAAAATTAATGAAATTCAAAATAGGAATCTATATTAACTTTTATTTAATCTTCTATTGAAATATTTGGTTGTGATCGTTTCTTTGATGTGTGAAATAGTTGTTCTAATACATTTCTTGCAATTGATTGATATATCTATCGTTTTCGATTAATTAGTTAGAAAAAGTTAATAAAATTATAGTAGTTTTGCATTTTCTTTATAGAAATAGTTGTTAATAACAATACCTTTGATTGCTCTGAATCTGGTGATGTAACAGTTATTGGTCTACCTGAATCGGATAGCTCTCTAATCTTTAGATTCAATGGTACTTCACCCAATATATTGATACCGAGTCTCTCTGCTGTCTTCTTTGCTCCACCATCTCCGAAAATATGTGATTTATGATGACAGTTTGGACATTCGAAATGACTCATATTCTCAACAATACCTAGAATCTAACATGTCAAACCGTTTAGTATATTCGCAATACTATTATCTCTAAATATTATAATACCATAACTTACGGGTACTTGTACTTTCTGGAACATCTTTACACCACGAACAACATCGGCGAGTGCAACGTCTTGTGGAGTGGAAACAATGACCGCACCAGACAGTGGAACACGCTGACACATCGTTAGGATGGCATCACCTGTTCCGGGTGGCAGATCGACCACTAGGATGTCAAGATTGCCCCAGGCGGTGTGATTGATCAGTTTCTCGAGGCCTGACATCACCATTGGACCACGCCAAACGATGGCATCGTCCGGCTCCACCAAGAATCCCATAGACATGCACTTTACACCGTAGTTCTGCAGGGGAATCATCTTTTTCGTAGATTCTTCAATGGCTGGTTGCACATCGTTCAGGTTCATCATGATCGGCAGTGACGGTCCAAACACATCGGCATCTAGAATACCGACAGAGAGATCGAGACCCTTCAACGACGACAATGCCAACGCTAGATTGACAGACATCGTTGACTTACCGACACCTCCTTTTGCTGATGACACTGCAACAATATGTTTGATGCCTGGTATCGATAGTTTGGGTGGTACACCTTTTCCACCGACAGGACCACTGCCATGAGAATGTCCACCACCAAAACTACTATAACATCTACTACTATATGAATTTAAAAAAGCATTACTTATTGATTTTTTAGAATTACTACTACGATTTCTAGTAAATATATTTGATACAACTTTCAACATCTTAGATCAAGTTCTTACATAATTTCAAAAAAGTCTAAATTTCACCCCTTTTCACCATTTTTTATCACATTTTCCACTTTTTTTTTTTTGCACAACTAAGAAGACCATCGATTTGGAATCAAGAATTTAATTTATTTATTCTTTTATAAATTTATTTATTTTTTTTTGATAGATTAGATATTTTTAAAATTAATTTAGATTAAAAATATTTATTTGTTCATTATTCTTTTTAAGAATTTTCAAGGGTTGTCACAAATTATTTCTTTGTTTTTTCTTTTAGAATAGTAATTATTTCTTTAAAAGATTAAAAGAAAGGGTTCATCCTCTGGTTTAATTTTGTCACAATCTCCTTTGAACCCAGGTACCTAAGCTGTTCTTTTTATAATCTGAAATGTTTTTAACAATCATTTTTTCTTTCTGTTTATAAACAAACTTCACTATATAATGACTATTACCATTTAAACAATAAACAATCTATGACCAATTTTTTTTGCTCCAAATGTGAAATGTTTCAACAAGTGTGACTATTTTTTTTATTCATTTTTTCACATTCATTTTTTACATTGGATTTCACATTTGGAGCAAAAAAAAAATTGTTGTGTTCTGACAATGAATAATAATTTTTTTTCTTACCTTACAGTTATTTTTAACACACCACCAATACAAACCCAAAAAATAAAAAGTATTCTATCAACACTTGAATTAAATAGAAAATAAATCAAATCAAATCAAATTAAAATTAAACACAAAGAAGAAAATATAATTTTATCGAAACCCTGTAAACATACTAATGTATTCATAAAATACAAATATCTGGTTGATCAAATCTATTTTATGTAGAAATAATATGGTTTACTATTATTAGTGGGACAGGAGTAACAATGTTATTATCAATATCTATTTTTTAAATTGTTGTTTTCCAACAGACTGAACATGAAAAATATAATTCCATTTAGAATTTGATTATCATGTATCGTGATGCATCGGACAATTATTCCATTTAGAATAGTGATTTGAATTTGATAAATTTATTATTAATTAGTTGGAGCGAAAACAATTTAATTCTTTCTAAAACTAATTCTTTAGTTCTTATAGATTTTTTTCCTTTTTTATGTATATAAATACCAAAGAAAAACGATAATATAATTTTGATGATAATAAATAAATAGTGTATACCATTTTCTAACAATGACATGCTTTGTTTGCATTTTTCTTTTTTGTTTTCTAGGAGCAGTTATGATCTTCAGCATACTATTCACTATGTATTTAGTTAAAATAATTTGTATGGCACCAAAAAAAGTTATTTTAAAAGAACCTGTATGATTCATTGAATCTGTTATTAAAAAAATCATTCAAATTTACTAATAAAATAAAACAATTTAATTAATTAGAAATCAATTACGATAACAACAGAATATTTTAATCCTAATAATAATACTGAAAATAATAATAATAGTGAATTTGAATCCAAGAATATAGAAATGTCTAAAAAAAAAAATAGTGATTAAAAACGAAAAAAACATTAAAATATTTAAATATTAGATACCTTTGTAGTTTTTATTGGAGGGTGTTCATCTTTGTTACAAAAACTCATAAAGAACATGTAAATTCAATTTTTATTGGCCGTCTTAATAATTTGGATAATGGATTTAATATAAATAGTGTATAAAATAAATAAAAATTTTTCTCTGTTGATAAATTTATTGTCTTTTATTTAGCTGATTGTTTAATTTTATGATTTATCATCCAACCTAACAAATTTGTTGGTTTCCTCCTTATTTTCATTGTAATCAGTATTGGACATCTTCCGCTTTAGACTGATATTAGTATCATTGTTATTATTGTTATCATCCGAGTCGGAGCTTTCACTAACGAATGAATCTTCAAATTGTTGTCTATAGAGATACAGAGGATATGCTTTGTCATCGAGTGACTTTGGTTCAACGTTTGGTGGTATTAAATTTAGAATAAATTGTTGTTGTATTCTCGCTAAAAAGAATATATATAGCTCTATTTGACCATGTTGGATAGCCATCTTTATGAACTCAACCATTATGATTAGATTTGGCTGAATCATCTTAGATCGAACCAAGTTAAGACGTACCAACTCTAGATTTCCAGAGAATATAGTATCATCCCAATACACTTTGCTATAGGATGGGTATTCATTGTATAGCGATTTAATGAATTGAGTTTGACCGTTTAACGATGCCATTTTATGAACCAGTCTAATATTGAAATCATTGAATTGACCGAGTAGCAATGGTTCGCCCAGCAATAGCTGCATACTTGAGAAACTACCAACCGAACCGACCAATTCGAAATTCTCTGTATTAGTCTTGGCACCATATTGAACTACAAGATATTCCAAGACATTGAGTTTCTCATTAATTATCGATAGTTTGATGAGTTCATCTGTGTAGCTAGCTTTTACTCGCTTGGTGTGACTGACGGTCATGAGATTCTTTAGTTTCTCCACGTCGCCCTTCCAAGCTGCACGCTTTGCACTTCGAAACCAATGATGATCTGTCATCTCTTTGAAACTCTTGGTTGACTGTTCATCTGGTAAACGGAAATGGTATGCTACAATGATGGAATCTGTTGCGTCAGTGATGCCACCAAGCTTTTCATAGAAAGCAGTTCTCTTTTCACTCGCGACAAAAACATGGTCTATCAGGAATGGAATGATATATGAATGGCCAGTCGATCTAATGATTATATTCTCGATATCGGTATCGTATATAGTTGGAGTTTGGTCTTTATTAATTGTGCGTATCAACATTATCGTCTGAATAAAGTAATTCATTTGTTGGAGATTCGGTGTGAATTGAGGTTGATACCTAATCTCATTGATTGTATTAAAGTTGTTGAGAGTATCGATGCTATTGGCTATAGATTGTTGTAGGAGTTCATCACATTTACTTTTGAATCGGTCGACATCCTCAAGAAATCCAAACACATTACAAGTACAATAGAGTTGTTCTAAATGGCTTTGAATAGGTTCCCTATAGTTTCCAACTATCACCGACAAGTGATATCCTGCATGAAACAATTGCGTAGAAAAAGAGTTTTGTGTGAAATACACTTGGAATTGCTTGAGAATGAATTCAAGTCTTGACAATGGCTGATTTCTTGTTGCTTTGAAGATTAGTTCCATTTCTGAATTTTGGTGATCGGCAACTGGTTTACCTATGGATGTTTCTTTGGCTTTGGCGTCGAATAGCTGTTGAAGAGATGGATGTCGGTCGTCTGGTTCTCGAGCGTACAATTCATCGATTAGGAATTCCACCATTTCATATTGATAGCTTGATACAGCCTTTTCGATAAGATATTCATGGTCGTACAAATTGGAAATCTCAACTGGATAGCGTTGTTTCAATAGAATTCTGGTGGCTGCAATATTACCAGAGCCGATTGCGGTTAGTAAGCACTCGGGATTGGTGAAGTAGATAATCTTGTGATTGTAGACCACTGTAAATATATCGATATCTCTGACCTGTTGACAGAGCAAATCTGCATCGTCTGTATCGAATCGAAGAGAATGACCCGATTTGATTCTATCGGACAACAGGTGATACCAGCCATTGTTGATGATACGCGAATCAGTAAACTGATCGTACCGATGTAAATAATAATATTTGTAATCATTCAGAGGACAATCATTATCACGCAGTTCTCTGAGAAGTGTTGAGATATGTCTTAATAGATATTTATTACAAAGTACTGAAATGATAGGTGACTTCATATTGATAGTATGTTTTGATTCTATTTATCTATCTTTTTAAAGGAAAATTTAAATGTTTTTACAAAAAAAAAACAGCAAAGAATATATATATAATGTTACATATATAGTATGTTTTGATTCTATCTGTTTAAAGGAAAAATTTAAATGTTTTTACAAAAAAACAAACTGCTAAGAATATCAAAAAGATATTTGCAAAGATGCTCATTTTCATCCATTATTTACAAATTTAATTAAACTTTCTAATTTGAATAAAACTTAATTCAATAAAGTTTAAATTCCTGTTATCAAAGATAGTTCATTGTTTAGATGATCATTTAGATAAGATTGTTTTACATAGGTTTGTAAAAGATGGTTCAATGAAAGACATAGAATTCTATATTTTAATACTGATCATCATTCAACCATCATCGATGAAAGTAACAACCATTTTATTCATTTAAATTCATACAAATCAATAGTCATCAAAATCTGTTGTTTATCCTATGATTTACAATATTTACTTATTTTATTATTAAAAAAAAATATGTTGTTCTCTTTTTTTTTTGGCGGGAAAGATTAAAAGTGTTTTAAAACCAACTTCAATAAATAGTTCTCTCGTCATGTTTTGAATACAAAGTTTGTCAAAAGATTTATAAACAGATAGTGATGAATTTGGATCCAAATAATAATAATAAATTTGTTAATTTATCACAACTATTGGTATCAAAGATAGTTCATTGTTTAGATGATCATTTAGATAAGATTGTTTTTACATTGGTTTGTAAAAGATGGTTCAATGAAAGACATAGAATTCTATATTTTAATACTGATCATCATTTAAGAATCATAGATGAAAGATACAAACCTTTTATTCATTTAAATTCATACAAATCAACAATCATTGATCAGATCAATAGAAAGAATAACTGTAATGCCATTTATAGTTGTGTATCACAGAGACATCATGACTATCTAATAAATCCAGGTAACTATATTAATATTAATATTCTGAAGAATTTAAATAATCTAAATCAATTAACATATTTTTCTACTTTTTTTCAGAAAAACTTGATGATATCGATATCGATAGATATAAATCGTTAAACATTGATGAACTTACTATTGGTGTAGTTCCAGACAATTTGGATGAAGTGAAGAAGCTATATCAATTGGTGTCCGATATTAACATACCAAAGTTAACTCGAGTCCCAACCTATCGTCTATTGCCAGAGAATGTTCGATCGATATCATTCTATGATCAGTTTGACGTCCAATTAGAACCTGGATGTTTTCCACCGAATTTGGAAAAAATCATCTTTAGTAACAATTTTAATCAACCAATCAGAGCAGGTGTTCTTCCAAATGGATTGATTAAATTGGTTTTCCAAGAGTCATTCGATCAACCAATTGAACCAGGTGTATTACCGGCATCTCTGAAAGTTCTAAGATTGGTTAAAACAGGAACTCTCTACAATCACACATTTATAGTTGGATCACTGCCACCAAATCTCAAAGAACTAGAGCTGGGGGGAAACGATTCACCGATAGATAATGGAGTATTACCACTATCACTTCAAACTCTGAGAAATGTACCGCTTTCTTGGATGCCAGCAATTAAATCACTTACAAATCTAAAGACATTATCATTCTATGAATTCAAGTATGAAGATGACGATGATGAACAATTAGAAGAAGTTGTCCAAGTGGTTGGTCAATTAGATCTGAGTTGTCTCCCACCTTCACTCACCAGTTTAACAGTCTTTGGTGATGCTAAATTGATCAATGTGCTTCCAACTTCCACTAGATACCTTGATTTGGATGGATGCGAATATGATATCAATTCAATATTCAAAGATCGATCACAATATCAACTCGATTATCTAAAGTTAAATATTAGCAGAGCATCATCACTCCGTGGCTTGAACATCAAACATTTGGAAATCGATATGCAACCAGAAATTGAAAAGGAAGTTGAAGAAGGGACAGAAGCAAAGAGTAATGCTGGTTTACCATCATTGGATATTCCACTTAGCGTTGAAACACTATCTATTCATTTGAATAAGAAAATAGAACTTAAACAACAGATACCAAGTTCTGTTAAAAAGTTGATTGTTTATGGTGATATCGATGGTATCAAGGATCTTCAGCACAATAATGACATGTCAATTCAAGAGTTGGTCGTCAACTTTAATGTTAGTAGATTTGATCGTAGGAGACAATCAAATGCTATTCCAGAGATCAACTATCCATCAAACACTCTATTTATACTCAGTTGCCTTGGAGATGAAAAGATCTTTATTCGAATGATAGATGATTTACACTACCTTGTATTCAGTCAAACACCGATCATGACAGCCATTGTTCATCAATCACAACTTCAAAAATACCTATTGAACACTATTGGAAAGTACCAAAGATTTAGAGAACCAACATTTGCATTCTCTGCTTTAAGAAGAGATTTCAATGTACCATTTTTATAAAGGTCCAAAATAAAAAAATTAATCATAGATTAAATGATTTCAAAACATATTATCTTTATGTGTTGATTATCTATCATTTGTTTTTTATTATTATTTATTTTTAATCATCTTTGAATATATATTTATTTAAGATTTCGATCTAAATATTATAGACTTGTAAACAAAAAATTGATGCTAAACAAAAATCAGAAAAAACTAAAAAAAAAATTCTCTTTGCAAAAAATTTTCTTGATAAAAGTTTCGATGAAAAAATTAATCAAAAAATTAAACACCCCACCACTATCCACAATTCTTTAATTAGCTTCAAACTTTAAAGAGTCAGACATCTGACACAATTATAAATACCATTTGATTAGTAGTTAAAAATGTATCATCAAATAATAAATAATAATAAATATAAATATAAATTTAAATTAAAAACAAATAGTTTAAATATTTTATTTAAAAATAACAATAGTTAAATAAAAAATAATATTTAGTTTTTTTCTTCATAACAATATATATAACTAAATAAATAATAAACAAAATGCAACATATTAAAGTAGTAGTAGTTGGAGATGGTGCCGTCGGAAAGACTTCAATGCTTATTAGCTATACAACAAATGGATTGCCAACAGACTATCAACCAACCGTTTTCGATAACTACAGTGCATTGGTGATGCACGAGAAGAAGCCTTACAACCTTGGTTTGTGGGACACTGCCGGACAAGAGGATTTCGATAAGCTGCGTCATCTCAGCTATCCACACACCGACGTCTTCTTGGTGTGCTACAGTGTCATCAATCCGGCATCCTATTCCAACTGCTGGGATAAGTGGTACCACGAAATCAAATCGCACTGTCCCAACGTGCCAATCGTGTTGGTCGGTGCCCAGTCAGATCTCAGAACCAACAATGTCATTCTCGAGCGTCTATCGGATCGCAAGCAACAGCCGATCACCACGGAACAAGGTGAACTCATGGCCAAGCGAATCGGAGCAGCTTACTTTATGGAATGCTCTGCACTCACACAGAAAGGATTACACGAAGTATTCGAACGCACAATCGATTCATTCCACGGAAAGAACATGAATTCCAAGCCATCTAAATTTTCATCAAAACAAAAGCAACAACAAGAATTGAAATCAAAGAAATCAACATCAAATTTAACAACATCATCATCAACAAAGAAGATTAAATCTTGTTCTATAATGTAAATAATATAATATAATAATAATATAATAACAATATAATAAAACCTTTTTGTACATAGTTTAAATATATATATTTATAAATAATATATATAAACAATTTAAAAAATAATCTTGTTCTTTTTCTTTATATTTTTAATTACTATTATTATTATTATTATTGTTTTGTACTACTATCTAACATTTCACTCTTTTGTTTCTCAATTAATCTTTTCTTTATAAAATATTCTTTCTATAATATTGATTTTAAAATTTGATGTATTAGAGTTGAGTAATCTCTCTAAAGATAAGAATATTATTACGTACCCAACTACTCAAACAAGAACTACTAAATTCATCATAAAACTGTTTACATATCGATTGATTCTCATTGTTTGCATCGAGACAAGCAAAGTATTTATCACGAGCACTCCAGCATTGCGATCTAGAAGTCGATAGAACTTTATCGTCTGTACCATGATAGTCAGGTGCTCTCAACAGTGAGTATTTAGTTCTCTCTTCTGGTGTCATCGCTGAAAGATCCACTGGTACTCCTCCAGTAGCTCTCTGTTGTTGTTGTTGTTGCTGCTGACTCATTTCTTCTTCTCTTCTTCTACTTCTTCTTATAAAATAATAATAATAATAAGAATTATCTTATTTCTCAACAAAAAATTAATAAAACTAAACAAATCAAATCAAAGAAAATCAAATCATCAGATTTCAATGATCAGAATCATAATTCATTCGTCAAATGAAAAAAATTTAAAAAAAAAGTAAAAACAACTTAATTAAATTTTGCAAATAAGGATATTAGAATTATTAATACTTATAACATTGTTTCTTTTATTTTTTTTAAAAAATAAAACATTTTATTTTATTCCATTTTATTTTAATATTATCATAGAACAAAATAGAATAGAAAGAAAAGAATGGAGAAGAAGTTCAATTTCTTTGTCTTGTCATTCAAATTTTAACCGTTAAAAAGTTGCCTGCAATTTGAATTTTATTTTTTTTAAAAAATTGTTTGATGAGTAGGTTTATGTGTGGGGGTTCTTTGGTGTGGTTAAAAAAATTTTCATTTTTCAAAAATTTGTTTTTTTAATTTTTTTTAGTTATTATTTTTTGCTCTTCTTCCTCATATAAAAAAAATTAGTACGCGCTTCTCACAATTATTAAAATTTTAACTCACTCTCAGAAGAAATTCAAGCTTTCAAAACAGGTCGGGTTATTTGTTTTACAAAAGAAAAAGGTGTAATTAATTTCACCAAAAAAATAAAAATCACCAATATCTTTTTGTCCATCGGAGGCAAACATTCATCTTAAGATCTATTTTATAATATTATTTATATAATTATATAATATAATTATTTATATAAAAAAAAAAGAAAAAGAAAAGAAAAAAAAAGAAAACAAAACAAAACAAACTTCATAATCAAAAGTACCAAGGTACCTTTTTAATAGATATTTTAGTTATATATATATATATATATATATACAATTAGTTTAGTATACAATAGTTTTTTTTTCTATGTTATCTATTCTATATAAATAATAAATAATAAATAAAACAAAACAAAACAAACAAAACAAATAAACAAAACAATTACTATATAAATATATTTATATAATAATTGTAGTAGATAGATTGTAATCTAAAGAGTTTACTAGTTCGTTTACATTCACTCATTCATTTTTAATTAATTGCAATTAATTAATTAATCTGACTTTTTGTTTTTGTTTGCTATCTTCAAAATCTATTTTAAAATTTATTTTTATACTATTTTGTATTACTCACAATGTCACCGAGTTTAGCAGATGAATCTATAGGTAATTATTTAAAAATCGAATCAAAAACACAACAAATACACAAAACATATAACAAATATTAATATTTATTTTTTTAAATCTGTTTTTAGATAATCATCAAAATGATGTAGATATAAATAGTAATGGCAGTGTCAATGGCAACAATGTAATATTAAAACAAATTATAAATAATAGTAGTAATAATAATAATCATCTATTAAATAATAATAATAATAATAATAGTAATAAAGATGACATTGTTTTAAATCAATTCTTGAATACTTTGATAAAGTTAAAGGAGAATGGTATCGATGAAACCGACACTCGATTCAAATCATTGTTGCAGCTAGCTCAGCTATATTATAATAGTAGATCGTTGAATAATGCCGATCACTACGATAACGGTTTATCTCAACCTCCACAGACTATAACCACTACAATTACAACGGTAGTCACAACAAAAGATAATAATATTAATAATAATAATAATAATAAAGATAAATTAGTGGAATTGGACAGTAGCGATAAACAAGCGGAAGCTGAAGAGGATGTCGAAATGTTGAATATAACAGAGAATGGTGGTGATGATGATGTTAATGAAAAAGATAAACAGAATGAAAAGGATAAAGAGAACGAACCAAAAGAGAATGGTAATCATACACCTTCTTCTTCTACATCTACAACGACAACAACTACAACGACAGCTTCAAGTGGCGCTAATGATTCGATTATGACTGATTTGGCATCGTCGTCAATGTCCACCACAACGACAACAACTACAAACACTAGTAACTCAACGACTACCACTACAACCACTGTCGATAGCATCGAAGTAGAACCAATGAGCACCGAACAGATTGGTGTTTTCAAAGCAGAGCTCGATTCATTTAAATATCTCTCCAGAAATCTACCAATGTCGACCAGATCGATCTATGAAATCGCCAGTAATCTACCATATGTATGTATATCAATCAAATTCATTAATATTGAATCGTTTAACCAACTAACTTATACGTTTTTGTTTCAATTCAAAAGGATTCACAACAAACACATGATATCAAATTCCATCCAAAAGGTTTGATTAAACTTGATTCACGTATGTTATATATTCCAATATTTTACTTTTCTTCTTTCTTTTTTTTTTTTTTTACTTATTCAATTCAATTCAATTCAAACCTAATATATATATATATAGTTCAACAACCAAATCCAGATATACCAGAAACAAATAAAGGATTGTATGAAGCGGTTCAATCGATTCATGAAAGAGAGGACCGAATCAACTCGAAAATACACTACAGATTGGAGGAGTTGAAAGAGTTGCCAGCCAATATCTTGCCAGAGTTGAAGACTAGCTCGCTCATTGAGATGAAGCAACTCAAGGTGTTGAGTGTACAGAAGAAGGTGAGAAGCGATATCGTCAGTGAGCTTGCCAGTGAGATCTATCTCAACTCGGTGCACCAAGAGATCGATATGTTTGTTCGACCGATCCCACGTGCCGGCAGCAAGCAGCCGTCCGACCTCATGTACGACGTCAACAACACCCAACTCCTTCCGGACTCTGTGTTTAGCGGTGTCCAACAACGCAAGAAGTTCTTCAATGCACTGTTTGCACACCACAAGGACTTCAAGGAGTTCCACATCTGGAGAGAGAAGTGCTTGAAGAACGTGCTCAAATCGATCGCCAGATATCACAAGGAGAAGGAGAGACGTGAGCAAGAACGTCTCGCACAGATTCGTATTCGTCTGTTGCGTGAGGGTGACAACGAAGGTTACAGAGAGCTTCTAGCCAGAACCAAGAATGAAAGACTCGAGGTGCTACTCAGTCAGACCGACACCCTATTGGAAAAGATTGACTTTTTGGTTCAGAAGGAAAAGATTGACCAAGAGGAGAAAGCACTCAAGGAGCGTGAACGTACCGAGAAGGAGGAGGAAGAGAATGCTAGAAAAGAAGGCGGTAATCTCAATGGAACATCATCAGCTGATTTATCCACCACATCAACACCACCAACAACAACAACAGATGAATCTGAAAAGGATAAAGATAATGTAGATACTAATAATAATAATAATAATAATAATAATGGTGATTCCACTACAACTTCCACTACCACTACTACTACTGCCACACCAACCACTCCAGCAACTACAACTACTTCACAACCAAGCGGAACAGTTTCTACAACTATTACAAAGAGAGCTAATATCAACAAGATTGAAATTGTCAAGGAACAACCAGAGGTTATGTCTGGTGGCAAGTTGAAGGAGTATCAAATCACCGGTTTGCAATGGCTTGTCAATCTCTATAATAACAAGTTGAATGGTATTCTGGCAGATGAGATGGGTCTTGGAAAGACAGTACAGACCATCTCTTTGATTTGCTACTTGTTTGAGCGTAAAGTTTTGGAGCCCTATCTCATTGTGGCACCACTCTCTACCATTTCCAATTGGGAGTCAGAGTTTGCGCGTTGGGCACCGAAGCTACCGGTCATCATCTACCGTGGTAAGCCAGACGAACGTAAATTACTGGCCAAGCGAATTCCACGTAATGGATTCATCGTTGTCATCACATCGTTCGAGTATATCATTGCGGACAAGCAGATTCTCAGTCGTCATACCTGGTGTTACATCATCATTGACGAAGGTCATCGTATCAAGAACAAATCTGCCAAGCTCTCGGTACAACTCCGTCAGTATCACAGCAAGAATCGTCTGCTTCTCACCGGTACACCATTGCAGAACGATCTCGGTGAGTTGTGGTCGTTGTTGAATTTCCTGTTGCCAAACATCTTCAATTCGCTCGACACTTTTGAGCAGTGGTTCAATGCACCATTCGCCAACACCAAGTCTGCCAAAGCCAACTCACTCATCAAGGTCAACGAAGAAGAATCGCTGATTATTATCAATCGTTTGCATCAGGTTCTCCGTTATTTCTTGCTGCGTCGTCTCAAGAAGGACGTAGAGTCGCAGTTGCCAGAGAAGAAAGAGCGTGTCATCAAATGCAATTTGTCGGCCATGCAAATCTGTATGTATCGTTCCATTGCAGAGTACGGACAGCTTCCAATGGATCCAAACTCTGAGATCTACAAAAAATCGAAAACCAAGATGCGTGGATTCAACAATGTCGTCAAACAACTCCAAAAGGTATCGAATCATCCATATCTCTTCTTGACAGAGTGGGATATCAACGAAGATTTGATCCGTGCCAGTGGTAAGTTTGATATGATGGATCAGATCCTGATAAAGATGAAGGCAAGCGGTCATCGTGTGCTTATCTTCACTCAGATGACAGAGATTATCAATATCATGGTAGAGTACTTCTCGATACGTGATTGGGGCTACTTGCGTCTCGACGGTTCCACCAAGCCCGAAGAACGTTCGCGTCTCGTCGTCGAGTGGAACAGAAAGGATTCGCCATACTTTATCTTTGTACTGTCGACACATGCCGGTGGTTTGGGTATGAATCTTCAGACTGCAGACACCGTAATTATCTTTGATTCCGATTGGAATCCACAGATGGATCTTCAGGCACAGGATCGTTGTCATCGTGTCGGTCAAGTCAACCGTGTCAATGTCTTCCGTTTGATCTCAGCCAGCACCATTGAAGAGCGTATTTTGGAGCGTGCAACCGACAAGCTCGATCTCGACGCCAAGATCATTCAGGCCGGTATGTTCAACACCTACTCCAATGACCAGGAGCGTCGTGCCAAGCTAGAGGAGTTCCTTCATGGATTCCCCAACAACACCACCGACGAAGTACCAACCGATTTAGAGGAGGTCAACCGTTTGATTTCCAGAGATGACGAGGAGTTCCAGCAGTTCCAAGAGATGGATGCTGAGCTGGCGAAAAACGAAAAGAAATCGCCAAAGAAGAAGTCACACAAGTCGCGTCTCATGTCGGAGCAAGAGTTGCCAGAGTGGATGCTACGTAATCCGGTGGAAGAGGAAGAGGTAACTCCAGCTCATCGTCGTCGTTCCATCATCAATGCGGATGCTGTCGATGACTTGACGGAGATTCAGTTTGCACAGATGGTAGAGATGGGTATGAGCATCCCAGAGTACAAGGATTATATCAACAATCGTAAGATAAGAAACAAGAAGAAGAAGGAAATGAGAAGAAAACGTGGACGTCCATCGACTCGTGGAGAAGGAGAAGGCGAGGGTGAGGAAGAAGAAGACGATGACGATGATGACGACGATGAGGACGACGACGACGAAGAGGAAGAAGAAGTAGTCATCGAAGAGGAGAACTCAGAACCCGAGGTCAAAGTACCAAGAAAGAGAGGTAGACCACCAAAGAGAGCACACAAAGAAATTGTCCAGCAATCGGCACGTGACGATGAGAACACTGGCGACGAAGAAAAGGCTGGTGACGATGACTCTGGAAACACTGTTGTCGACGAAACAGCTGTCAAAGAAGAAGGTGAAGCCACACATACACCTGGCCGTAGAGGTAGAAAGAAGTTGAAGCCCGACACTCCAAATGGCGGTAGTCCAACAACAATCCCACGTTACCCACCGGCACCAACCCCGAAATCCGGTCGTGGAAGAGGACGTCCACCCAAGGTTGACAGAGGAGAACACAACGTTGTCATCAGTCACAGTCCATCGATCGATCAGGACAAGTCTGACAATCACGTTGTCGAAGAGAACGCCAGTCCACTTTCACCTACCAGATCCAATCGTAAACTCACATTTACCATTAATAATAGTAATAAGAGTGGTAATACTATTGATCAACCAATTTCACCAGGTTCACCAACTTCCACCACCACCACCACCAATAATAACAAGATGGATGTTGTCACACCTGACAATGGTACACCCTATAAACCAAGACGTGCATCTGCCGCTTCAAACAACACCCCACTATCACCAAGAGAATCATCCAATAGCAGCAGCAAACCTACAGCTGTAGTCGACCCAAGTACTCTCGATGACCAAGGCAAGATGCAGTTGGTTTGGGACAGAGTAAGACACGCAAAAGAACGTACCAGAAAGCTTTCCACTATATTTTTGGAGTTACCAGGCCGTGACGACTATCCCGACTACTACAAGGAGATCAGTAACCCCATCTCAATGTCGGAAATCAAAGAAAAGAAATACTCAACACCAAAAGAGTTTGCACAAGACTGGAAACTAATGTTTGACAATGCATTGATTTACAACGATCCTTCCTCACAGGTCTACAAAGATGCTCTAACTCTTTATAATAATATTTTCGCTTCATCAATGAAAGAGTTGTTTAACGATATAGTTATAGAAGATCTAAACAAAATATAAAGTTTGACAAAAAAAAGAAAAAATTAAAAAAAAAAAATATAAAAAAAATAAAATATACAAAAAAAAAACAAATAAATGTTTTATATATTAATTTAATTTAATTAATCACTTTTCATTTCAATTTATTAGTTGAAATATAATATATACATATATAATAAGATGTCAAAGAGAAAATCAAAACAAAAGATTGAAGAGTTGGATGAAGAAGATGATGATGATGTTAATATTGAAGAGGATGATATTTTAGATGATGAAGATGATGAAAATGAAGATGATGATGATGATTTAGATACAAATAACAACAATAATAATAACAATGATGATGATGATGGTTATTATGATGATGAAGATGATGATGATGAAATGGTAGATGACGATGAAGATGATGCGGAATCAGGAAGTCGGAGATTAACATCAAGACAAAGAGATTTAAAGAGAACCGGTGGTACAGGACCATCTTTAGCTGCAATTCCTGATTTATTTGGTAAATCATGTATGTATTCATTTGTGTATTCTATAGTTAACTAAAATGATATTATTCTGCTGACACACAAAGATCATATGATATCATATTCATTCAATCAAGCCGAAAAGAAAGAATTAACAGAGGAAAAACTACAGAGAAAACATGAACTAGCACAACAAAGAAGAATCAAAAAGATATCAGAGACCGAAGCAGAGATGAGAGATGTAGTAAATCAACTGTTAAATCGTAAAGAAAAAGTAGAAACAAAAGAACTTATTTCAAAACCAACTAAACGTGTATGTTTATTTATATTATTATCATCATTATTAATGATTAACAAACTTATTTGTAATGAATGGTGATATTTAGGAAATGCTTTTAAAATCGATGGGAGATGTAATTGAGTTTCATGACGGCGAGAATAAATCTAAAACAGTAACATTCCCAGAATCATATTACGCCGATAATGTCGATTTTCTTAAACCTTTAAATCATTCACCGGTAACAAAGCAACAACCAATGCGATGTTCTGCCCCCGGTTGTAATAATATCAAGCGATACAGTTGTCCTAGTAATGGCAAACCTGTTTGTACATTAGAGTGCTGGAATAAAGTTAATAACACTTAGTTATTTATTTATCACTCGAACCAATAATTTATCAACAACAATCAGAGTATTTTGGAAATATCAATCTTATCATATCATTCATTTCAATCAATGCTTTTTTTTTTGCAAAATACTACTGATATTAATTTCAATCTAATTGAAATTGAAACAAACAGACTTGCCCATAATCAGATTTCATTCTTTAGGATAGATAGTCCGGATAGTTAATAAAAAAATTATTTATTTATAAATATATTTTAAATCCATTAACTTAACAGTTTAATTTTGTAAACTTATACTGTTCCAAAAAGACAATTCCAATTTATTTATTTTTAGACTCTATACCAATTCCATTTAAATTGTATCAAACCTATAGGTTGAAGTGTCAGTTGAACAATGAATACAACTAAAAAAAGTTAATTAATTAATTGGTAATGAGGATTAAACCTTTTCCTTTTCGATGATCAAAAAAAATTAAACAAAACACCTACCCTTCCTTTTGTTTTTTTGAATTGTTCTATTTATACATAAACATCTATTATGATAAACCTTAATTTATTTCTTTTTTATTATGATTTTCTATAGTATGATTAAAATCAATATTCTAATGATAACTATACAATTACAATCACAACCACAATTGTGAATCTGGATCATGATTGTACATCTCAAATTTTGTTTGTTGTTTCTTTTTTGTTTTGACATGTTCCTACTAACACCATCATGATTTCTTTTTTTTGAAGTATTGCAGCTGCAATGTAATTATTTTTCTAATAGATAACCACATTTTGTTGAATGTTGTGTTTTTGCTATTTATTTGTTTGATGGATTTGATAAACCTATGAGTTTGGTTATTTTAAAATAATGATGTTATTGCAACAAGAAAGCATTTATAACACATCAATCACCAACCTATAGTATAGTCGATTAAGAGGTGTTTAGAAATATCACCACACTAATCTGATTTGGCGGTGATGAACTACACACACACAAAACCACAACCACCTTAATCACAAAAAAACTCTCCAAAAATTATGAACCACATTAACAACACCTTTCATTCATTATTAAATCTTATAAAATAATTTTTGTTTTCTATATTTAAATACTTTTTTTTTCTTTTTTTGATATAATATATATTCAAAAATATTTATTGTGTTTTATTGTTTAATCAGTTATAATTAATTAATAAATCATTACAAATTAAATTATAAACCAACAACAATAACAATAACAACACAACAACAATCAGAAAATAGTTACAACATTGAAACAGAGAGTAGCACATCACCACTAAAATTCAATATCTTATTTTACCATATATCTTTTCATATCAATCTTTTAGCTACCACTATTTAGTGAAAAACAAAAGAAAACAAAACATTTCAAATTAAAATATCATGCTCTAACATTGGTAATGTAGTAGTGCTTAGTTCAAGACAACTGAGAATAACAACAACAACAACAGCAAACTTTTAATTTTTTGATTTGATTATCAAAACAATTATTTATTTATTTATTTATTTTCTAACTGTTTTCAAACTTGTCGATATACCCTATAATATAATATATCTGTCTATTTAATCGAAACATTAAAATTTAGTTTTATTTAATTTATTTTTATTTTTATTGTACTTTTAATCTATCTTGTCGTAACAATATATCATTAATACTATAATTAATAATTAGCTTACCATTGACTCTATACACCAATCTGATAATAAAAACAAACATAATTTCTAATTGATTATTGAATCAAAATTTGTAAGATCAATCCAAAACATTCATTCTGTCAAACCAAAAATCACTTTTACAAATTAGAAAAACACTACCACCAATTATAAAAAAGATAATCAAAGACTGATATGTATACATATAGATTGGTATAGAATTCGAATTATTATTTTTATAAAAGCAACAACTATTAGTATTTACACCATTTAATCATATTACTTTAATGAACAACAACCAACCACAATAACTAATCTATCAATTAATCATCATATCCAAAAATTTTAATTTATTAACATTTATTAAATTACTACTATTAATAGATATTTTATTAAAAAATACTTCGATATTGGATTTTTGTGAATTTAGGGATCGTAGGTGTATTAAAAACAGCGTCATCATATTCAATATCAATAAAAGGAAAAAGGAAAGGGAATTGTAGTTATATAAATTAGTTGTCTCCTAATCAAAACACAATAACATCAAAACAATTTGATTGTAATCGACAAAATACAATTGAAAATTTTATTTTATTTCATCTCATCCATCTCTCTATTATTTATTTAATATCTATTTATTTAAAATATAATTTATTATTATTTTTGTATTGTATTCATCAATTTTCATGACATCGGTAAAAGTCATCTAAAATTAATATCTTTTAGAAATTGAATCCATATTTCCAAATTTCCAATTCCCCACTCTTACATTTTTAATCACATTTCGAATTGTCTATCAATTTACCAAAAGAGTTTATTTATTTTCAGATTTCATTCTATAATTTATCATTCATATCATAAATCTATCAATTTTTTTTTTATTTTACATTTTTTTTCTCTATCGATATTTATTTATTTATTTATACTTTAAATCCTATTTATCTATAAATGTATTATAATTTCACTCTCTCTCATATATTAATTGTAATATTTTTATTAGAACATGTATACGGTAAGTAAAGAAATTATATTTTTTTCTAACATAATTTAATATTAATAAAAAATTAAAGCAAAATCCGATTTCCTGTATGGAAGTGGTGTAAAAGCAGGTTTCAATTTTGCAGCTTTAGGTTTAATTGCTGCAATTATAGTTGGAACACCTTGTTTTTTTATTATAAATAAAATATTAAAGAATTATGAAAGTAAGTAGTATTTGTTTTTATCTTTTTTCAATTTGATTAATAAAAATCATTCTTTCAAAAAAATAATTAGAAAATAGAATAGAAGAACAAGAATTAAGAGAAATTCAAAAGAAGATTATGAATAGAAAGAATAATGAAGAACTAACTACAACTGATACATATGGAACATCCAAGTTGCTAAAAGAATGTATAGATCGAACTACAATTATTCAAATTTTAAATAATGGACAACCATTAAGTCAATCACAACAGAGTCAACCGATCTCTCAATCGGATTCCTCGAGTTCTCTAGCTATTTCAACACTGACTGGAGCATTCAGTCCACCACCACAACCACAACCCAGAACAACTTCTTGTACATTTTCAAAGGTATCTTCCTCTGAATCAATCTCAGAGATGTACCACAATAATAATAATAACCACGACGATTCAGAGTGTAGTTCTCTCTCCTCCAGCACTGCAATTACCATAACAAACACTGGTGGTTCAAACGATACACAGGAAATCATCAACAAGCTGATGACTCCACCATCGCCAGTGTTAGCAACCTTTGGAAAACAGACTGGTGAATTCAATTTCAACGGTGGTTTAATCTCACCTATAAACAAGACAAAGCTGAGTATCAACATACCGCAAATGTCACCTGTAATTAAGAGAACGATTGCATTGGATCCACCAACACCATCACCACCACCAAGTGCTCGTCCTAAAAAATTTAAGAATTTCACAAAATGCAGCACTGCTCAATCTACTGAGTAGTAATACCATTCCAAAAGATCATTGGCATTGTATTGTCTATAGAGTACTGGAGATTGCAATGTCCTATTGGAGTCCACCAAAATACGATGGACAAGCATCGGTCACTTCTTTGAATCAGTTGGAATTGTCATTATCTGGATTTTCAGATCAAGAACAACTTAAAAAACATATTGAAACAATTGGTAAATATAATATATTACTTACTTTTTACTATCCATTTATTAACATTCATTATATTTTAGATGATCAGAAATATTTTAGTCCTATCATTTTTGAATTATACAATAAAATTCTACCTTTGCATGAATTCATTAGATTCAGATCCAACAAAACAGAAAAGGATATTAATAGTGTTTTTGGAGTGTTTACCATCATACTAAATAGTCTATTCAACTCTTTCAATAATTGGATTGACGATACACTTACTTCACCAGAGGCAAGACGATACACTATTAATCAATCCAAAGAGAGTATTATTTTGAAACTAGGAGAGCAAATCAATGACAAAGCATATCTTCATAAGATTACCATGAATCATTTAATTGTGGTATGTTTATAACTATTAATTAATATCTTGATGAACTTTACTAATATATATATTTCTAAACAAAAAAAAAAAAGTATATTAGAAATCTATTATTTACATCAATTAGAGATTATGATGGTGAAAGTTTATATAAGATTGTCGATCATTACCATGGTATTGCAGATGATATCGATAAGATATTGTTTGAAAACGAGAATAATGTGGATTCCGGACAGCTAAAGGGAATCAACCAACAGCCAGACATTCAGATTGTCATTGATAAGCTGCAGCTGGAACAGGAGGATGTCGAAGATTCACATCAACAACCATCAACATTGCATACATCGTCTTCTACATCGACAATAAGCCATACTCCACCTGCAGTTGGATCTCTCTGTCCTGACGAAGAGAATCTCGTAAATATTATCAGTTCCGTTACCAATAGATTCGAACAGATCGACAACTATCTTGAGAATCCAACACCGAATCCCGAAGCCAAGACAATGCTGACTCTAGAACAACAGAAAACAGTGGTTTCATCGTGTTACAATCATTTGCAGACATCGATCGATATCTTCTCGGTTGCAGACTATCCTTCGAAATTCAAAGTCGACACGGTTCCAGTGTTGCGAATGATGCTTTCCACTCTCAATACTCTGGAGGGATACATCGACAGTGGAATGTCCATCGTCAATATGAAACCAGGCGAGATCCTAGAGTGGACTGCAACATTCACAAAGATTGCAACCAGTTTGAACAATTTGATACTGAAGAATAGCTCGATACTCTCGGCAACACAAATCGTAAACTACACTAACCACGGTACACCAATACAGTCGAACAGCGGTAGCTACGGTAACTTCCCAATCCGATCGTCAGGTAAAATCAAGCCTCCAAGTTCACCGTTTGGATCACCAGCGATCATGTCATTCCTGATGGCAAACAACAGCGACCAGAGCTACAGTCCAACAAACGAAGGTTCCAAATTACTATCACCACTTCCACCACCCAGAGAAAGATGTTCACAGATGATTCAACTCTCACAAGACTCGATTATGTTATCAGTGATGTCTGCCTTTGCTCTATGTATAAAAGATCAAATGAACGGTGTATTGCCACAGTCTCTCAAAAATGTTTCGAAATTCTTCAACGATAACCTAGCAGTATTCCTAACCTCCATACGAACCAATATCTTTTGTACATATATACTTTTAAACCCTATTTATGATATGCAATCATTTACTTGAAAATAAAAGATATAAAATAAAAAAGATGTTTTAAATAATCATGAAAAGAAAATTCAACCATTAAATTGTTTAAACCAAAGATTTTTTGAAGTTCATTTAAAAAAAATTAAATTTTAAAACAAGTTTACGTAATTTGTAAGCTAAAAAACTAAAGAAATCAACTAAAACAACAAGAAATCAATTGACTATTGAATTATATCCTAAATTAATTAATTGTTTTTTTTTATTATAGTTTTTTTTTTTTAGTTTTTTTATAAATGGTCACCAATAAAAACATTTGTTTAAATATTTATTGATCCAAAGTGGCAATGTATGAACCTCTCAATCCATATAATTTGGTGTCATACCAGGTCATGAAGACAAAGGTGAAACCATCCTTGGTGATATCCTTGGCAAAGACACGGATACGAAGGCTCTTGTCTTGGGCACAATCGATTTGAGTTAAAGCACAAACAACTTCTGGAACTCTTGGGAATGGTTTGTTGAACTTGATAACATGTTCAGAGTATTTCTCACCAATTGGTTCTCCAGAGTTGAACTTTTGTGTTTCGTCAATGACGAGACCAGTCTTGGTGATGGTGTGCTTGATTGGACGGTAGAGAGCATCGAATCTCATGGTTACAAAACCTTGCCAGGTAAGTGGGTGAATGGCAATGGAACGAGCAACAATTGGTGGAGACAAAGTGTTGGTAACGATGGTGTGACGGTCAGTGTTGGCTTGGAATGTTTGACCATCAACCCAGTTAACTCCATCTTCAGTGTAACGAATCTTGTATGAGGTAACCCATTGTGATAAATCATCATCTCCTCTTCCTTTATTCGTACATTGATGGAAAAGAAAAAAATTAACTAAAATTAAATCAGAATTAGAAAAAATCTTACCTTGGGTCTGGATTTGACAGAATTCAACTGGAACTGGTGAACTCAAAGTGACCCATTGCTTGTCATCAGCAGTGAGAGCGTGCCACGAAGAGGAGGAGCTGGCAGAGGAGATATGACCCTTCTTGTAGTTGATTTGTGAGTAAACAACAGAGCAGTCTGGTGACCAGTTGGATGATGAACGAACGTTCAAGGTACCATAGGCATTTCCTGGGATTAAACCAGCAGTTGACATTTTGATGATTATTTAATTATAAATTTATAAAACTTTAAGAAGAGATAATTGTTTTTGTTTTGATTTGAAATTAAAATTCCATTTCATTCTCTCTATTTATAATAATCTTGAATGTTGTATTGCAGACTTTGAAATTGTAAACAATTTAATACTTGTACTTACTTATTCAGATTTAGACATTTTTAATGTCATACTTTAAATCAGATAAAGATAGACCAGATCATATCCACTTATTTTAACTTTTATGAATGTCTAATTACAGTGATCAAAACTCAGTGATAAATTTAAACTTTATTCGACACCAAAAAATGGGGTTGTCACAAATTATTAAAAAAATTCGAAAGCCAAATACAACTAAAACTTAATGAATAACTGGGCATTTTTAAAACTAGTCTTGTGTCAATTTAGAACTAAAAATTCCATTTTATTATTCATAAATAATTTAATTATCATTCCTTTTAATTTAAAGACTGAAGACTATTTAACTTTTGAATTATTCAGTAACAACTTTCTTTCTGCATTTATTTGATTTTTTTGATTTTTTTGATTTTTTTTTTTTTTGGTACCTTGTCATGAAACAAACATTATATTTTTAAAGAGAAATCACCAATCAAAAATTTATTCCCTTTAATTAATTGAAACAAATCTTTTATTACTTTTTTTTTTGGGCTTTTGTATGTATTCGAACCGAGAATTTAATATGTATTAGAAATGTTTGTAATTGAAACAATCAATTTTTTTACTATTTTATTGAATTTATTGATTCAGTTAATAAATTTGTTTAAATATTTATTGATCCAAAGTGGCAATGTATGAACCTCTCAATCCGTATAATTTGGTGTCGAACCAGGTCATGAAGACAAAGGTGAAACCATCCTTGGTGATATCCTTGGCAAAGACACGGATACGAAGGTTCTTGTCATTGGCACAATCGATTTGAGTCAAAGTGCAGACAACTTCTGGAACTCTTGGGAATGGTTTGTCGAACTTGACAGGGTATTCAGCGGTTTTCTCACCAATTGGAAGTCCAGTGGTGAATTTAAGGCTTTCGTCAATGACGAGACCAGTCTTGGTGATGGTGTGCTTGATTGGACGGTAGAGAGCATCGAATCTCATGGTTACAAAACCTTGCCAGGTGAGTGGGTGAATGGCAATGGAACGAGCAACAATTGGTGGAGACAAAGTGTTGGTAACGATGGTGTGACGGTCAGTGTTGGCTTGGAATGTTTGACCATCAACCCAGTTAACTCCATCCTCAGTATAACGAATCTTGTATGAGGTAACCCATTGAGACAAATCATCATCTCCTCTTCCTTAATTTATAGAAAAGCAATAGATAAATTTAGTTTAATTCACTTTTAATTTATCATATATATAATTGAATATTTACCTTGAGTTTGGATTTGACAGAATTCAACTGGAACTGGTGAACTCAAAGTGACCCATTGCTTGTCATCAGCAGTGAGAGCGTGCCATGAGGATGAAGAATTGGCGGAGGAGATATTACCTTTCTTGTAGTTGATTTGTGAGTAAACAACAGAGCAGTCTGGTGACCAGTTGGATGATGAACGAACGTTCAAGGTACCATAGGCATTTCCTGGGATTAAACCGGTATTTGACATTTTGATGATTATTTAATTACAAATATATAAAACTTTAAGAAGAGATAATTGTTTTTGTTTTGATTTGAAATTAAAATTCCATTTCATTCTCTCTATTTATAATAAGCTGGTTGTATAAATTTACCATATTACTTTTAAAAGTATCTTAACAAACTGCTGACTTGATAAACTATAATTTAATTTGTAAACTGCAAAAGCAAAAAAGATATTATCTTTTTTGGGTTTTGAGTGTTCTAATCACTCCCAATTGTTATTCATTAAGACTAATAATTATTTTAATTATTTTTGGGACTATTCATTGCTAATATTAATCATTTGAGAAGATTTAAAAAATGGGGCGATCATGATCAAATAAACACACATAATTTTTTTTCAACCAAAATTTTTAAACTTTGCAGGTTGTTTGTGGTTGTTTAAAACAATCATTTAAGTAAAATTTGTTACGGAACCTCCGCCTGATTTTCATTTCATAAAATGGTTTATCTTGTGTGTGACATATTACACTAACAATGTGTCAATGTGTTTTAGCTGAAACATAAAATTTGATCAAGATCAAAATGAACTATGAGTTCCCAAAAGGGTGTAGCTTTATGAAAAGAGTGAAGTGCAATATATCTCAACAAACTTGATTTAAAGAAAGTGGTTATATCACAACAAAACTGTAACCAAGCAGTTATTTATCTTGTACACACTACGAAATTTCAGAATAAAAAAAAATTAAAAAAAAACAAACATTTTTTCTTTTCAATTAAGCTTGTTTGTCATTTTACAATTACCATTTATAGTAAAGAAAGAAAGAGATGGCTTCTGTAGTACCCTCTAAATCATCAATCATTTCAATTTATAGACAACTACTATACTACACTGGTCTTACAGGTGCAGGTAAACAGATAAAACTAGATGAAATAAGAACGACCTTTAGAGAAAACCGTACCATTACAGACCCTCAACAAATAATAAAATGTTTTGATAGTATGTATATACATCTATGCTAATAGTATTATATCTATTGTTTAAATATAAAAGTAACAAACCTATAATGATTGATTTAAAAACTAGCTGCACAAAAGAAATTAAAGTTTTTAAAAGTTATAACACCAAGATCGCCGAGATCACATAAAGTTGCAGGTAAATATGTCTATGAAGATGGAAAGCTTATACAAGGACAAGGTGAAGCGAAATCAAAGAGCAAATACAAAGATCAAGGAATAGATATCATGGATTACAATAGACATCAACACTTACTTAAAAGACAACACTTTGGTGGTAGATAAAGAACGGAATGGTATAGCCATAATCATATATAAATAAAATACAATGTAAATATTAATATATATATATATATTGTGTTAATTTATTTATTTATTCATTCGTCACTACTACTACTACTTGATGAATCCGATTCATAATCAGACTCTTCAGATTCAGATTCAGACTCTTCTTCTCTTTTCTTTCTTTTCGATTTAGAGTTGTTGGTTGTTGCTTTGGTTATGTTTTTCTTTTGCTGTTTTAGTGGTTTGAATCGGTCCATTCTTTCGTATTTTGAAGATGCTTTTATCAGTTCATCGAGTCGCTGCTCTCTTGTCTCTTCTCGCACCGCATTCATCACGTATCGACTGGAAACCTTTTGATAGTAATCGGTTTGTTCCGTGTAGAATTTGTATGCCTCTTTTGACCGCTTGAATTTGGCTAGCAAACTACCTGTGAGCTTTCGGTTCTCTTTCTCGTAGGCCTCTTCGGCAGTGGCAACTTTTCGCTTGGCGAACGCCTCCAAACCCATCGGCTTCATTCGATTCTCCTCGATGAGTTTCTCCACCTTTTTGATATTGATAAAACTCCAGTTGCTTGTTGGACGCCTTGGTGTATAGCGATTGCAGTAACTCTCGTCGTCACAGCGACGTCTGACACCGTCGATCCACCCGAAACACAACATCACATCGAGAACCTCTTCCCATGAGATCGACTTCTTTCCGCTGTCCTTTCGGTAGAAGCAAATAAATAACTCTTTGGCGGTCTTGTGATTTTCCTCTAGCCATTTGTGTAGATCTCCGGTCGTATAGAAATGTCTGTAAATTGTATTACCCTCGATCTTTTTCACCATATTTCCGATTCTCTCGAGTTCGTCGACGTCCTCAACCACAGCCTTAGAATCACCATCGTCATTCTTTATTTTTTTATTACTCTTTGTTTTACTACTCATTTCTTTTAAAGGTATATTTATTTCACTCTTATTTATAACAATATTATTATTATAACTTAATGTACAAAAATTAAATCGGCTATTATGATTAATATTACAATTGTTATTAAAAGAATTTATTAGAGATCGAGAAGTACAATTTAAATTGTAATGAGACAAAGTTGTTTTAGGAAAATAATTGGTTTTATTAAATAAATATTTAGATATAATAATATTTGATCTATTAAACATTTACTTGTTTAAATTTGATTTGGTTTGTTTATTTTTCGAAAAATAATATAAATAGAACTGATTAATCATTTAAATTGCTTATTTTAAAATAGCATTGTTGGAGGTCGCAAAAAAAAAACTATTTTTCTTGGAAATACAATTATAACCACTCAAATTGTTAAAATAAGTGTGGTTAGAAAAATGAACATTAGCCTTAATTATTTATTTACATCTTTTTATTTATTTAATTTCGATTCGATTAGTTTTTCTAGAAATCTAGATTTAGTTTAGAGTAGTTAATTTCTATTGTTGATCAACTGATACATCGATAAAAGAGTTATCGAGTGTTTGACTGACTTCGACTGTTTTCCTTGAATTTTGTGCGGTAACAGTCAGTTCGTTGGATGTTGTAGAGTTGGATTCGATGATCTCTGGGAATCCCAGTAGAATTCTAATGCGAGTACAAAGGTATGATCTTCCCAAGATGATGGAGACGCAGTAGACATTGATGTTCTCTGCTATAAAGATTCCGAGATTCAACCAATCTTGTGGTGCTTTTTCAATACCGATGGTAAGATAGAGTACATTCAAAACCCAAATGAGAGAACCCAATATAATAGTCAATCCAACGATACCTTTGATCTTCTTTATCAAAATTTCATCCATTGCACGCTTACTATTCAATTGAATAAGTATTTTAAGTCCGAAATATGCTAATGAACTTGCCAACACTGCCACATTCACCAAAAAATAGATTCTATAATATAATAGTGTGATCACATAATCATTAAAGGATTAGTTGCTGTGTTTGTTGTTTTCTTTTTTATATGTTAGTTCATAATACTCACCTCCATACTGCATCCCACCATCTTGGAGTCAACTCTTTTGTCAAAACAGCTTGTAAGATTACAAACACAGTATAGAATAATAGAGAGATTGCAATGTTTGCGTAGACTATAATATCTATTATTCTTACTCTATTCAATGGAAGATCATCTTTTGCATAGAATACCAATGCCATCTTGATCCAGAGTAAACTGATACAGAAAAACTCTATACACATAAATTGAACGGCAAAGGCGTAGAATGCCATACTAGCTCTATCTTGATGAATTGCATCGGAATCATAATGATATGCTGTAAAACCTGCTATAATTCTCACTGGAAATATAAAATAGGTTTGTCAATACATAGCAGAATTCAAAATAAGGAGGATCGAATTACATACAAACCAATGCAATAACCATAGAAACAAATACCAGGAATGGAATTGATTTCAAATATACTCTTTTAATTGTTAAATGTTTCGATTTACTCTTTATTATTTCTATATAGACATTCGGTATCACTAATATCAATAGTGTTGGAATATAAAATATGGATTCTCCAAATAACATCCATGTTCCTCTCTGTAAATCTGGCATTTTTCAAAACAAACCAAATATATATATCTATATAATTTATATATATTTATAATAAAAATAATTATAATTTTTATGTATTCTATTCTTTTTTTGTATTACAACAAACACAACAAATGAAAATTATCGTAAATAAACTGTATGGTTGTTGTCAACTTCTATACGGTTTGTATTTCGAAAGGACTTCTGGTGGAGGATGATGGGCAACATGCTATTGCGATTCAAAAAAAACAAAATGTGGTGATCAAAAAAATATTATGCGTAAGTTTGATTGTTATATTTATAGTGTCCTTAATTTCTGTTGACAATCTAAACAAACAAACACCAATTTTCGAACCAGAACTATCGCTCTTCCTCATTCCAACACTTAAAAAACTGTTTTGCAATAAAAATCATTAAAATAATCTTCTTAAACCACCTCTTTTTGGTAATAAGTGTTATTGGTTTATGGTAGATCAACACTTATCAACCAACTGAAACAAAAAAATTCTTTACATCAAGACCAGCAAGTCTCGAATTCATCCAAACCATTGTTTTTTTAACTGCATTAATGGGCACCAAAAAAACAACAAAAAAATCTCATCTTATTTTTAAAATTTCTAGAAAGAAAGAAATAAAAAAATCATCAAAAATCGAGAAAACAAAAAACAATTGCTAGACATAATTATGGGGGTTGCTGGTGTCAAAAAAGTTTTAAAAAATCAAAAATAAAAATTATTTGAACCTTGGTATTGACTGATTCGACCTGTCATCATTCTTTTGGATACCGAGTTTAGAAATATCATGATTCACGAGGTAAAAATATATAATTTTTTTGTAAAAACAACAACAAAAATAAAAAAAATAGATCGTCTAGTCGATCGATGGTCAAAAAGACGAGATTTGCAATCCCCTTGCTCTAAAAATAATAATAAAAATAACTTTTGATTATTTTATAAATATGAATAGCAATTGATACTTTTTTTTTATTTAATTTAAACAAATTTTAGTTTTATAAACCATGGTATTTATAGTCTTAATTAATTAATGTGAGTCTGTATGTCTTTTCAGGTGAATGTTTAGAAGTTCTTTGATCCTCTGCCTTTGAATTGTTGTGGTTTTTTCGATTTTTCGGTATTGAATTGAACAACATACTCATCGGAACCTTGCTGCTGTGGTTGCTGCTGTTTACGTTGTCCACCGCCACCACCTCTCATACTTGGTGGTACATATGGAGAATAACGAGTCTTTGGTTGATCTCTTGTTTGCTTACCAGCACCAGCACCACTATTATTATTATTATTATTATTGGACTTATTATTTTGATTTTGATTATTATTGTTGTTATTATTATTATTTTTAAATGGTTGTTGATGTTGCTGCTGCTGTTTGTTTTGTTTGTTTTGTTTGTTTTGCTTGTTATTTTGTTGTTTGATACTAAAGGTGGGTGTAATATTTGCATGTAAAATGGGTGGGTTTTTCGAGAGATTCTTAATAAGTACAATTATATTTTGAGTGATTGCGAATGTTTGGTCGATCTTTGGACGCTCGGGGTCGCTCATTGGAATGACTTCCTTTGCCTTTTTCAACTTGGCGTCGGTGACACCGATCTTCTCATTCAGTGCTCTAAGTCGAGCAACAAACTCCTCGAATACCTTTGGATCCAAATCGATTGCCATATCACTTGGCTGTCCAGTGTTTGTTTTGTAACCACAGAGACTTCGCAACAAAGCAGGACTCTTATTACCCAAATTCGAGAATGACAACAGCAATGCTTCTAAAATTTGGAATTTAAATTCATATTGCTCTGGAACTGGTGATGGTATATTATCCTAAACAAAACAACAATATTTTATTAGTCATTCAATTCTCTATTACCACCATGCTTTGTTTTGCTTTACTTACTTTGATCAAACCAAATATCTTTTCAAAGAGTGGTGAAGAATCATTGACATTTGCAAGGTGTGAAATCTGAGCAAACAATGTCAACATTTCAGTTTTGTCGGCTTCGTCCAACTCATTGATACTTGGGAATATCTTATTTGAATAGAAGTTGAATATCTTGCAACTAACTGGTTCTTGTTGTGCCTGTGTATGTTGATTAGTTGATTTGTGTTGTGTTTGCGATCGCTATCGATCGATCGATCGATCGATTTATTTGTCAGAGACAAATGATTACACTTACCTTTGATCTCTTAATGAGTTGTTTGATGAGAAATACCAATTTCTTTTTGTATTGAACAAATGGTTTCGACTCAAAGAGTGGAATGACATAGTCGAGATAGTCAACTACATTCTTGATGGAGTACTCTGGAAAACATTGAAATAGCTCCAACAGTACTTCGGACTCTGCGTCGGTCGACACAGTCACCAGCTTGAGTATACGTTCTCTAAAGAACGATTGTGCTTCTGTCTCGCTCTTGTAGTCTACTTTTATCAGTGCAATAAGCTTCTCCTTTAAGAATCGCAAAATATACTCCTTCTGAGTGTCCGACTCTAACATGGTCAACACCGAATTCAAAGTGGTTGCAGAGTTCAACTTGTACAGCTCTATCAATGAATTCTTTGTATTCTCCAACTCGATAGGTGAATCTAAAACGTTAGACAAAATGAATGATTATTAATATTACTCTTAAATACTACTGATCAGTAATCGATCGATCGATCAATCATCATAATATTATTATAGTTTACCTGTGTTTAAAAGTTGACCAAGAATATCAACGAGTTTGGTGATGTAGTCGGGATTGTCTCTGCAGATCGAGGGTATCGACTTGAGTGCACCCACTCTGATTGGAATGTCGTCTTCCTCTATCAGATCGATCAGTCCATCGACTGCACGTTCTTGCAGTGCAGGGAAACGCTTAAAGTATTTCGAAAGGAACTGAGAGCTCAGTTGTTTAGTTTGTTTCGATACTTTCGACAGTTCCAGTATCTGCAAGAAGAGTTTACTGTCGTCAGCAAACGATGGATTTGCATCCAATTGGTGTGCAATATCATATAGTTGATTGACTGCTTCACTTCCACCACTAGAAGTAGCTGTAGTACTGCTGCTAGTTGTAGTAGTAGTGGTTGTTGTTGTAGAAGGTGCAGTATCCATTTTATCCATATTTTTTTTCTACTTTATAGTTATATATAAAAACTAAACTAACAAACTGATTTTTATTTTTAACAAATATAAATAAATAAAAATATAAAATATAAATAATAATAAATTAATCTACGTGTTGCTGACAATATAATTCAAGTTTTATGACAGTTAAAAGCTATATCAATCAACACCACCAACTTTCAAATGTTGTTCAAAAAAGGTTTTTTTTTTAAATTTTTTTTTTTTTGAAAAACAAATTTAAATTGTTTAGTTTTTTTTTTTTAATTTTTTAATTATATATTTATTTTTGTTATGTTTAAGATAGTGTGATAACATAAAGATAATTGTATCTCTTTGAAACTACTTTATATGAGTAATTTTTAAAAAAACTATAATTATTCTTTTTTTTTTTTAATTTAATTTTGCTTATTTGTATAAATCATGATTTCGGGTTTGATTTGTGATGTTGATGACCACTTTACTTTATTCGAAAAAATGTCTTTTGTAAATAAATTTATTAGTGAGAAAGAGATTGAAGAACAAAAAGAACTATATGATGGTGTACCAAAGAAACAAGTAGAGTATGATCCAAGAACTCTCTATGAGAAACTACAGGAACAGAAACAAAAGAAAGAAGATGAGTTGGCTTTAAAGTATAAGGATAGTAAATATCTACTACTTGTTTATTATAGAACAGGATAACATTAACTAACTACAATCGATCGATCGAATCTTATAATAGAGGCTTCAGAAGGTTTGAATGACGACGATATTTTATATTATAAAGAAAAGGAAAGAGCTGAAAGCGAGAAGAAACGAGCAGAATTGGATGAAATCAATAGAGAATTATTAATGTTTAAGGTATAGACTTTAATCAATTGTAAAATATCATCATGTGATCAACAAGTATATTAATATAGTAATTTTTATCAAATACGTATGTATCACAGAAAGAACAAGCAAGTTTATTAGTTAGCAATACAAACCAAAATAATACAAAGAAAGTGGAGGATGAAGTTATACCGGAACCAGTGAAGCCAACCAATTCAAAGAAGAATAAATTGGTGAATGTAAAGTTAGTTTCAACAACCAAAGAGACAGAAGCAGAAACACCATCATCAAAGAAACAAAAAGTCTTAACGACACCAACAACAACTGCATCCACAGATGCACCATCACCGAACAAATCATCATCTCTTTTCTCATCTTATGATAGTGACAGTGACAACGATAGCGATAGCAGTGACAACAATGAAAGTAAAGATAAATCAAAAAAAGAAGGGGGAGAGTGAAAGAAAAGAATCAATCAAACATACAAAGATAAAAATAATATATATTTTGTAAAAAAATCTGTAAAAAGACTTTTTTATTTTTTTGAAATCGATCGAGATTTGGATCGAGATGCGTTCTTTGTGACAGTTCATTTTGATTGAATTTCTTGAAAATGATGAAATCAAAATGAATCTCAAACCGAACTCATGAGAATCGTAACATAAATTCAGAATCATGATTTTAGATAAATAATCTGATCGATCAGAAAACACTTAAACAAAACGGTTTTGTGTTTTTTTTTGGGATCCATTTGTTGATATAACTTACAATCAACGATTTATTTTTATTCATAATCAATCTATCAATATATCTTTCCCAAACAAATATTATTCTATTTATCAAAACAACAAAAACACCAATATATTTCTATTTATTTGAATTTCTTATGATAAATATTTTTATCAGATGAGTTCATCAATTTCAAACTACAGGTTTATTGAAAAACCCTATTCCTTATACCAAAGTATGTTTAAACTCTGCAATACACATTAAAAAACCACACAACACTGTGTGGATTTTTCAAAAACGGTACAAAGATCATTATTTTAATTTTATCTATCAAAAAAAAAAAAGATGCAATCCATATCAAAACAAACAAAAAGGTATTCATTCATATGTTTAGTATCGATGTGACAAAGTATGGCAATGATTTCCAAGGTAGACTTTCAAGTTTTGTTCGTGATCTCGATCATCTCCATATCGTAAGGGTATACGAGATATTCGAGCATCAGCCAAATGTATTTATGGTTATCGAGTGTCGAAATGATTGGACAAGACTCTCGGATGCATTGACCAGCGATTGGAAAGCTTTGCGAGAGAGTAGACCTCTGCCGATTTTCGAAGATCTTGTTCGTCGACTCTTCCAACAGTTGGTCTCCGCACTCGACTTTTTCCACTCACACATCGTGTTGAAACACGGTGATCTGGTAGTGGCGCCAATCGTCCAAGAGAAAGAACATCGTAAACTATCCGTTGAATCGCTACTCTACGATGCCACTACACTCTCACTTGCAATCAACCCTGTTGATCTCTACATTAATACTGTCAGTATGCATCCATACGATTATGTATCTTCATGTGGAGAGATTCTCTATGAAATGGTATACCAAGAGAAATTCGATCCAAACACCAGTTTCCTATTGAAACCTCATTTAATTATTTCAAAAGAATGTGAAGATCTCATCTCAAGAATTCTTCAACCGACAACCAACCAAATTTTGACACTCGAAGATGTTCAGAAACATCCTTGGTTCAAAATTGGTTTACCAACCTACTTGTACCACAACAATAATCATATCAAACCAGGCGAGGTATCAAAGATCGAACAATTAAAGAAGAAAGCACTCATCGACTTGATTGGTGAAAAGAAATTCCAAGAAAGTCAAACTGGTTTATTGAATCCAGTAAGTACATAGTTTATTAATTAGAAATACCTTAATTATAAGTTTATTAATTTTATTTATAGAATCTTAGATTGTTTGATGAATTGAGATCACTTGATTGCTTGAAATCTATTGATTATAAATCAGTTGTGAAGAGAATCAAGAATAACCAAAGTGAATCAGTTGATAATTTCGAATACCTTTTGAGAAATCTAGAGTCAGGCAAGACCGATATCAATTGGTATCATTTGTTACAGAGAGTTGGACTATCAAATATAAGAGTTGATCATCTCAAGAGGATCTGCGAGAGTGATCCATCAAAGAAGAGGGTGGTTCAATATATTCTGGTACAAATCATCAATGCTTTTGCTTTCTTGATCGATAGCAGCGAGGAGAACCAAAAGAAATCATTGAATTTCACAAATTACTTCCTAACTATATTCGACCAACATGTAGACGTACCAACTCTTAAACATTCAATACAATCCAACTCAAACCCAAATAAGCCGAAGCTCAGTAAAGAAGAACCAGTCTTGAAATTAATTGGTGGAGCCAAGAGATTCGTTTATTCAGACTCCAAAGATGCAATGAATCAAATTGCCAATAATGTTGTTGGTAATTTAGTAAAGTTTAGAACTGGTGGTGCTAGTCAGACTCCAATTCATATTGAGAGTAATAATAAGGTATGGAGTTTAACATATATTCTTTATTTTTTATTTTAAATTATTAACAATTGATTTTAGAATGCAATTTTATTGACAGAGGCAAAGATAAATCAATGTGGTGGTTTCTGGATGGAGAATCCAGTTTTACTTAAATCAGGATTCATTTGTAGTTTTACTTTCAAAATTGAAAAGGAAGCCGGAAAAGATTCTGGTGCAGATGGTTTTGCATTTGTAATTCAACCAGAATCCAACACTGCTTACGACTCATTGAGTGTTGGTTCACAAAAGGGTTACGGTAGATTTAAGAATTGTTTTGCAGTCGAGTTTGACACTTGGCGTGAAAAACCGAATCATTTCATTTCATTACAATCCAGTTCGAAGAATAAAGACAATAGTTCAGGTATTCCAGATATATCACACTCTTTAACACCTCGTTTCATGACAAACAAGATCCAGGTCAATTTAAATGATGGAAATGATCATCAAGTTATGATTATCTATTGGCGCGAATCACTCAGTGTCTTTGTCGGCGGCAAATCGGTATTCAAGTGCTTTGACCATGATATTCACAACGATTTGATTGGTTCGCTTGAAGCTGATAAATCCAAACCAGTATTCATTGGTGTGACTGGTGCAACTGGCGGATCTTATCAAAAACAATCGATTAAATCATTTACATTCAATACCTATCAGCCTGATCTCCATATTAAATCAACTGGTTCGATTTTAGATCTACTTGATAAAGCCGAATCCAATAGTATCAGTTTTGTTGATACATTCCGTTGGATTAATTTCAAGTTGCTTGGTGATTCCACAGAGGTTCATAATGTGTTTGATCCATATGTAAAATTCTCTCGTGGTGCAATTTGGACAAAAGATCTTTATGATTTAAGAGATGGATTTGTTTCTCGATTCAAGATTGGTGTTAATGGTTCCGTCAAAGATAATCCATTTTCATTCGTTTTACAACCAACAAACTCTAAATTCATTCCAAATGAATCCCAAAGTTTTATCATTAAGTTTGCCAATGATACAATTTCACTGTATGTCAACAGTCAATTAAACCAAGAGTCACATTATCCAGCATATTCATTCAAAACTCCTGGTGGTTTGCTCATCGATGATAACAAAGATCACGAAGTGGTTTTCAAATACTCTGGAATGTATATCACACTTCAAATTGATGGATTTACAGTTGTTGATCCATTGAAATTCAATATTCAAAAGATGCTGGCTTACAATACCATTTATATTGGATTGACATCATTGGATAGTTTTGAAGGTGTTGTGATGCATGCAGTTGGAGTTGGCAAATCACATCAATTGAAATCATTCGTCAATGAGAGATTCATGATTGACAATGAGGTTGCAAAGGAAATAGTCAGTTATGAACTTTTAAATATTATACGATATTCCAATATTCATAATATTCGAAGTCATTTCACTGGAAAACACTACCAAAATACCTACTTCAAGACAATTGAACATTTGGAAACTTGGATTGGTGACAATGTAGAAGAGCTCTATGTAATGGCACAATATGGATATTTGTTTTCAGAGGAAACCAAATCACAGATCTTGGAAAAAGCATTGGAAATCCATACTGAAAGTAAATATCTTGAATTGGTTAAAATCATTCCAATTGATTCCAAAGTTACTCTTAAGCTGTTCGACCAGGTTGTCAAAAATATCAGAGTGGTTTCTACAACAATCCTTGAGATTCTAACTCGATACATTGAGACTTCTGAACGAGACAACTTCAACAAACTCTCTGTTTATTTCACCAAAATTGTATGGGATACATATTCACAAAAGGATTTATTCGATCAACCTCAGCTTTTCAATTCACTTTTGAAAACTACAAATGCAATTCTATCGACAAACTTAACTGGAATTCCAAATAATGTTGTCAAAATATTGTTTGATTCCATGAAACTATGTATCGATAATCCATCAAGTAATAAGGACTACAGAGAATCGATCACTCAGTTGATAATGCAACTTCTTCATAAGCCGTCATTGGTTGAAATGTTCAAAACATTCTTTAAATCAATGACATTCAATGAAGACAATATCAAATCAATCATTCTGGTATTCCCAAATACTCTTCCAAATGATAAAGAATCAATTCAACTCTTGGATGAATATTCTAAATTGCTTTATCATTTTGTTGGTCTGGATAGTTTGAGACGTCCCATCAATTCCAACAACTTTGCAACATCACTGACATTGTTAAAGATTATCAATCTTTATATTTGTTATGATTTCGATATTGATCAAACAATTATCAGCAAACCTCCAATCGAGTCACTACAGATTCTTTTACTTGCAATCACCAAACATTTCACTTATGATCCGAATGAAGAAAATTGATGGTGATAATGAAGAGTCTATCGATGGTCAATTGGAATTGGATCTCTTTAAATATTCTCAGATTTTGGAAGGTTTTCAATTAACAGAGGATCATCTTTGGTATTTAATTGATATTCAATTGACATTTAGATACACTCTCAAAGATTTCACTGAGATCCTCAGAATCCTGAGTGTTGAGTTGAAGTCAAAGATTGACCGACTAATTCAATTGGAAATTGTTGACACACCATTGGAATACATTCGAAAAATGTGGATCAAGTCATTAAAACCATTTTCATCTTTAGAGGATTCAGTTCTAGACCAATTGAAAACATTTAATTACCAAACATTAGATTGGTTAATTAAATGTATCACCGATGAAGCAAAATTACAAGAGTTTACCAAGTTCTTGGAGTTGTTAAGATATTATAAACTTGACCGGTTCGAGTCTGATAGTTTGATCATCAGTTCCATCAATGAAACCAACAATATTAGACAATGGAAACAATCACTTGCAGAGTATATCATCAATGGTTATTATCTAAGTATTAGTTTCGAGGAACATTCTCATTCTCAATTATTCTTGGAGGTGAAAGAGAAGATGGCAGAATTACTCTTCATTGGTGATTGGTCACTCTCATCAATTGAACCTCTCATTCGAAAGACACTGGTTGATTCAAAGACTATAGACCCAGATCTAATGAAATCTATGATTCGTATTTTACATACAATTATTGATTTCAAATTAAGTAAAGATGACTGCAACAACCGGTTCAATACAGTATCATCGTTCTTTAAATATCCAATCAACTACTTAGCAGATCGAATCGATGATTTGGTTGTCGATAAATATTTTGTGGAAAGTTATCACAAGAATATCATCCAATTGATCAAAGAGATTAAAGCTCACAATCCATCATTGTCAATACCAAAATTAATGGATCAATATCATCAATGTAGAATCAAAATTCAAACTGGTAAAGCTGTTGAAAATCAATGTTTGGATCAATCATCTTATTCCAAGTTGACTCTTCAAGATCAAATTAGTATTTTAGTACTATCATGTCAAAGATCAATGAATATAACAATCAGAGAAATTCAATTGTTATCATTGATTTTATTGATCGATAAACCACAATCAAGTGGAAGACTTCTCCAAATCAACACTGGAGAAGGTAAATCAATATTGATTGCAATGTTGGCAGTTCATCAAGCACTTCTTGGTTTGCAAGTTGATGTTATAACAACCACTGAAGAACTGGCAAAACCTCAACAGCTATTGGCAGCTCCATTGTTCAAGTCACTTGGCTTATCACCACAATCTATAACATACTCAGGAATCTGTGATTTCCAAAGATCAGTTTTGGATGAACATTTCAAGAAAGGTGAAAGTAATTTTACCAAAGGTGTTGGAAGATTTGCAATTATTGATGAAGCAGATTCAATGATGTTGGAAGGAAATGATTCCATTGTGATGTTATCAGACGCCACACCAGGAATAGACTCTCTCATGCCATTACTTGCTGCAACTTGGGCGCAGTTGGACCAGGTTGATAAAAGAATTGCATATTCAGATGAAGGTGAACTTTGTTATATTATTCCAGTGGAACATGACTCGAGTGGTAAAGTCCTACCCGAGGATAAACAAACCTATGAGTTCTATCCAATCAAAGATAAAGATCCAAAAGTTTTCATCAAAGAACTAATTGAAGAACACATTCGTAAATTAGTTAGAGATCAAACTGGTTTGGATAAAATGGATATCACTCCTGAAAGAAAAAAGATTGATAAAGATTATCCTCAACTTATGATCCCAAATCATTTACAATCATTGGTGAAGGAGAGTCTCATCAGCAAATGGATTGACAGTGCATTGACAGCAATGTATAAAATGGATGTGAATAAGCATTATATTATCGAAGACAATATCGTCAAACCAGTGGATGCACACAATACTCTTTGCAAATCACTGGTTGGAACTCAATGGCGAAATGGACTTCTCCAATTCCTTCAATTCAAACATGGATGTAAGATCACTGCTGAGAATTTGACAACCAATTTCATTTCAAACATATCATTTATCAAACGATATAACAACAACATGATTTGTCTTACTGGAACACTTGGAGGTACCAATGAAAAGAAGTTACTCGAAGACTTGTATAAAGTTGATATTCTTGTTATTCCGCCATTCAAAAACAAACAACTTATCGAACTCGAACCAGTCATTGTCCATGATAATGATGTCAATCGATGGTATAATTCAATTGTGTATCATACACATTCGAGATTATTATCGAAAAGGGCAGTGTTGATTATCACAAAATACATTTGTGATGTCGATGAATTACATAAAAGATTGGTTGGAATCGTCAATCAAGATAAAATCAAACTCTTTAAATATGGAAATGAACCTTCAATTATTGATAGAAAGATTGAACCTGGTGATGTTATCATTTCAACAACTTTTGCAAGTAGAGCTCTTGACATAAATGCCGATCAAATTGAAAAGTATGGTGGACTCCATGTATGTGTAACTTTCTTGCCTGAGAGTGAACGTGTCGAACTCCAAAGCTATGGAAGAACATCCAGAACTGGAAACAAAGGAACCTGTCAACTCATCGTTTTGGATCAAGAAGAACACAATACAATTGATCAACTCAAGTTGAATCGTTCAGAATCATATGAACAAAAGTTGAAGAGTAGTAGAGTTACAATTCAACAAATTTCAAAGAGAGATGAAATCTTTTCGAAATTCTGTAAATTCAAAATTTCAATGTCAACGAGGTATACGGCAGCCGGAGATCACATTGTTATCAGTGCTTTGGAAGAGAGATTTGCAATTTGGTTCAGAAAGTACGAAGATATGTCATTTGATTCCATTCCATATCAGGATTTTGAGAACAGGTTAAGAGAGGAGTTATCAAAAGGAAAAGTCATTACCAATCCATTCTACTATGTGAAACTTGGAAATTATTTCTCTGATTTGGGAAAACATCAAGATTCATATAATCAGTTCAGTAAAGCAATTGAAATTGAAAAGAATTTTGTTGCCAATGCATATTACAACAGAGCTCATGTCATTCTTTCAATGGATAAAGATCGTTCTTGGGAATCGAATAAGAGTAAACCAAATCCAATCGATGACTTGACTAAAGCCAAGAAAATCATTGAAGATAATTTAGAACCAATGTGGATGTTGTTGGGACAAGCATCGGAATCACCTTTGATATCAAAACAAATCAGAAATATATTGTATCTCTTTGGAATGTTAAAAGGATCAATTGAAGATATGATTGGATATCACGATTATGATAGAGATCATGCTATTCTCAAGAAAGAACTTGAGAGAAAAGGAATCACTGATAAAGATAAAGAGGAAATCAACAAACAAATCAAAGAGTTGACTGAACGTCGTGATAGAAAAGGATTGATACAATCTGGTAACGAACACATCCAGAAAGTAGAGTTGATAAGCTTCAATTCGTTACCACAAGGTGAGAATGCACAGGAGTTTAAAGATGAAACTACCCTTTTCAATACCGATGGATATATGGGATATACTCAGGTGATCAACAAACAACCAGAAAAGAAAATCCAATGGGGAAGTGTCATTGGATTGATTTTCATTGGTGTAGCACAGATTGTTGTTGGTGCTGTTATCACAGTTGTGACCGAAGGTATTGGCGCACCAGTTGGTGTGGCATTGATGGCTGAAGGTATTTCTGACATTATCACTGCTGTCCACGAAGGAATCATTGAAAGAACATTCACATGGAAGCAATGGGGAATTGAAAAAGCAATAAGTCTCACTGTTTCCGTAATCACCGCTGGAACTGGTTCGATTAAAGCTGTTGGAAAAGTCGCTTGGACAGCTGGAAAGAAAATATTTACAATGGGAGCTGGTAAGGTATTGGCAAACGCTTCAAGGAAATTTGCTGTTCGAAATCTCTTTAAGTTTGGATTCAAAGGTGTGACCACGCGTATCCTCATCAAGAAGACAATGTACAGGGCAATGAGAGATCAAGTTATCGAATATGTACTTACACAAGGACTCAACTATATCTATGATCAGCTATTCGTTCCAGAGTTGATCAAGTTCATCAAAACACAAATTCGTCCGATCATCGAAACACACTTTGGAGGAAATAGTAAACTAAAAGGTTTACTCAAGTCTCATGTAGGATTGGTATCGAGTAGAATTAATTCATTGATTCATACAGATGAAGAAAATAGTGTATTCTATCGAATTTCAACTGGAATTGCAACTGGACTCATTCACAGCAAGAGTGTCAAATTATCAATACTCTTTGATATTCTCAGAGGATTGAAGGCAGTCAATGATATTCGAACAATGTTACCAGAATTCTTAAGCAAAGCAGACAAGGAAATCGATAAGATCGCAACTGAGAAGCCAGTTGATAATTTTGTTGATAATGCAGCCAACGCCATTATTGCACATCGTTTACAAGAGCTTGTAAATGATAGTGTGAATTCGATTGCTATGGAAATATCAAACCAAGTGAAATACTACATGGTCCATCCAGTTAGCAGAAGAATTTCATCTCATATTGTGACCAGAACTTTCAAAGGTGATAATGAACGACATCAAGCAGAACTGAATGCATACTATGCAGCTCACATTCAACATAAAATTGCAAATGGAAAGCTTCCACTCACTCCAATAGAACACCTCAGCCCAACTCAATCAAAGCAATTCATTGACGAACAAATCAAGAATGTAAAGGGCAATGGTGAACTTGGAGTTGTTCACTTTGAAGCACTCAGTGGTCTTCTCCAACAACCAATCATTGTTCATGACAAGAATGGAGATGTAACAGTTTATGATAACTCTGGAAATGGAAAACCAAACAACGAACACACACCTCCAATTGAACTTCAATATATTCCACCCGACAAAAATAATAAATCAGGTCACTGGATTCCAAAGGGTGAAAGTCACGATTGGAAACTACCAGCCGACAAAGGAGGCGGTGGAAAGAATAACTGTTCACTCGATGCCATAATACATTGTAGAGAGAGATCTGGGCTCAGCAATGACCATAATCTAGCAGTTCTTCGTGACAATTTGGTTAAATATTTGGACAGTGACAAAGGAAGGAAATCTCTAGCCAATCAAGCTTACTATGTAAAACAATTGGAGGCCACGAAAAAACAATGGTTGTATCAAGGTGGAGCTCGTGTCAAGCGTGGAAAGAAAAAGAGAGTTTTGAGAACAGCAACTAAATATAATCTATCTGGTAGGACAATGAAAGTGAATCTAAAGCGTTTGAGATGGAACGAGAGATACCATAGTACTGGAATGGGTGGACTTCACGAGTTGATTCCAATGAACATGAGAGCCAAGAATGGACTTTGTGAGAAAATCATGAATCGTTGCGATACACCCGCCAAAGACCTCTTTATGAAATTCCTGATCGAAGGAAGACTCCACACAGGAGCTGTATTTTTCTTGGGTACAACAACCAACAATTTGGTGGATGGTGCCATGCATTCCAGTAATATGAAATCAGTCCACAGCACTGAATCACAAGCTGACTTCCACGATATCTTGAGAAAACCTATAATTGACCTCCACGATACAGTTGTGGTTAAAAAGAGAGTAGCTGATATCACACACGCAGAGATTCAACAAACCATTAAATCGGTGATTGATCTTCAACTTAAGAACACACTGAGTGGTGCCACCGGAAATCCAGCACAACATCTTCATCACTCTATGACAGCTGCACAACGTTTGCAACATAATTATTTTGTAGCAAAAGAACGTGATTTCTTGAAGGGCATGGCCACCAGATATGGTATTGTACTAGATAACCCAACACCAATTATTGGACCATCACCTCCACCCAATACATTTGTAATGGATTATACATTACCATAGTAATATTATTAAAAAAATAAAATAGTTTCTAATATTAAATAAAACAACATACCTTTATTTTTAACATAGTTAAAAACTTTACAAAAATTAATAATTAATAATGAAATCTTTTTTTTTTAATTTTAAAAATACAATATGATATTACTAATAATTAATAAAGTAATAAATTTACAATTAATTTCAAGTTTAAAACTAGTTACATATGATTAGTACAAACACAAGTTTTGTGTTATGGTGTGTAAAAATATTTATTTTTACCCAATCATTTTTTCTTTTCCCAAAAAAACTTAACATTACAGAATAACAAATCAATAATAGTCAAGAGTCTACGTATATCTTAATATTAGAAGTCGTCTGAAGGAAAGAAGATTAGGAAACTATTTAAAGAATGAATTTCATTACTTTTAATATCATTCAAAAAAAAGATATTTATCTAACTATAGTTATAAATAGATTTCTAAAAATAAAATATAAAATGAAGATTGCTTTGTTCTCTTTGTTATTGGTTGCTTTGACATGTTTGTCAGCAGTAAACTCAACATTTGTTGTTGGAACATGTGATTCCAGTAAATGTGGTGCCGGTCAAGTTTGTATCTGTGAAGGTGGTGTCAGTCACTGTGTCTTGTTGGATCAATGTCATGATGTTGCCATCGTTCAAAGCATTGAACGTAGTTGGGTTGAGAATGGTCAATCATTCACATTGTACCGTGTCCACATCTTCAACTATGGTCCAAGAACCTTGAAGAACATCGCCATCCAAACCGATTGCACTTTGGATCCACGTGATCAAAGTTCAGTCTGGAACATCGAATATCACAATGGATTCTTCTCACTTCCATCATACGGTCAAGGTATTGCCACCGGTAAAGAGTTTGTCTTTGGTTATATCGATCGTGGTATGCGTTCTCCAAATCTCTTCATCCGTGCCCTCCAATATTAAACATCATATAAACAAACAAAAACAATATAAATAAAATAAAATGTTTAAAAATATATTTTTTTAAATAGTTAATTACTCCTTTACTTCTTATTCACCATAAACATAAATAAATAAATATCTGGTTCAAAAAAGATTGATTGTGGTCCAAATCAATGAAATTTAAGATTTTTTTTAATTTTATTTTTTTATTATTAATTTTTTATTTTTTTTCAGATACTTATTATTATTTTGTATAATAATTTTTTGTAATTTATTTATTTATAGTTTAACAACTTAACATTATCTACATAGATAGATAGATAGATAGATAGAGATATATAGATAAATTAGATTGATTAGATTGTTTGATCAATGAAATGGGACAACAACTATCTAGAGAGATTTTGAAAGAGGAAATCGAAGGAAATCTAAAGCTTGCATTCCTCTCACAACACCAAGAGAATCAAGAATTCGATAATAATAACAATAATCTTGCTACTTGTTGTGTAAGTAATATTAACTTTTACAAAGATCATAAAAAAGTGATGAATTCTTTGATTCTAATGATATTGCTAATATAGTGTCAAAGAGGTTTAGTTGATAGATACTTTTATTATTTATCAAAGAAGAAAGAGAATAACTATATAGAACAATTGATACAATCGTTTGACAAATCAGTACTATTAAGAAAGACGCTAGATGCTGAATTAGAGGAACAACTACAAAAGAAAGAGGCATTACATTCATCAAGAGAACAATTACCATCTTTATCAAATAGTAATAATAATAATAACAATAACAATAGCAGTAATAGTAATAGTAGTAGCAATAGTAATAATGATGATCAACCATCGATATTAAATCGTATAGAATATCAACCATATTCATTGCAATCAGCACAGCTTGAAGGTGATGAAATATTCATTCATATCATTGAGAAATGCTATAATGAAATGAAATTGTAAGTAAATAATACTCGATATCGAGTCTATTTAGCTCACTATCATCTAACACTTGCCACCATTAACACTCATTATCATTTATAGTGAACCAACATTGTTTGAAAGAGTATATGTTCCACAATCAATGAATAATCAATATAAATTACAACCGAATGAAATACTTACCAGTTGGGAATACTTTGATGAGATAAACTCTACTCCGATCTTCTATCAAATCAACCCATTGTACAATATGATAAACTCTGATAACTATATAGTGCAAGAGAAGACACTAACCAAACTGAATCAATCAAACTTTGAACAAGCAACAAAAGTATGTTATATATAACTATCATCATCATCATCATATCATCGTCATTTAATGTTAGTTCAATTTACTTATTTACAATTTAATTTGTTTAGGAATATTTATTGAATATATTACAATTGTTTTCAACGTATATAAGTCCATTACCAAACTCAATACATTTCAATGATAGTAGTATTCCATCTTCTATCGATTATAGTGCACCGAACCTGCTGAAGTTACATCCTAATCTCCTGCCGATACTAGAGATCATCGAAAGCGACAAGTACTTCTTTATGGTGCATCAAAAGTATCATTACTCACTGGATAATCTGCTGCGTTATAGCAACCAGTTCTTGTTGAAGAACAGCAAGATCACAGCTTTTATACTATACCAATTGATTCAGCTCGTTAGTTTCCTTCATGACAAGGAGATTGTACACGGTGACTTGTCACCCGCTTCGATTGCACTCGACAACAACATGTGGCTCGGTCTGCACGGCTTCAAATTCCCTTCGGCGCCGCTCTACTACGAGCCTGCACCAGACTCGGCTGTCACTCTCTGGGTGCAAGGCAGCATGTCCAACTACAACTATCTGCTGCTGTTGAATCATCTGGCGCATCGGCGTCACGGCGACCACATGAAACACCCGGTACTTCCTTGGATCATCGACTTTACTCGTCATCCATTCCAGTCGCCGCCAAGCTGGCGTGACTTGACCAAGACCAAATATCGTCTCAACAAAGGTGATGAACAATTGGATTTCCAATTCCAGAATGCACATAATTCACCTCACCACATCTCTGACATCCTCTCGGAACTGACCTACTACAGCTACTTGGCAAGACGCACCTCTGTCCCAATACTGAGAAGATTCGTTCGTTCCAACTACGAACCAAATGAGTATCCCTCGACGATGGAGAGACTCTATCGTTGGACTCCCGACGAATGTATCCCGGAATTCTTTACCGATCCAACCATTTTCAAGTCGATTCACAGCGATATGCCCGATCTCGCAATACCCGAGTGGGCGTCGACACCCGAGGAGTTCATCGCCATCCACATGTCGGCACTCGAATCGGAACCGGTCTCTAAACAGCTACACAACTGGATTGACTTGACATTTGGTTATCTGCTAAGTGGCGAAGCTGCAATCGCCGCAAAGAACGTCGCACTCGTCGATACCTCGGTACCGCGCACCAGTGGAATCGTACAGCTGTTTGCCAAGCCACATCCACCCAAGAAGACATCGACCTCCACCAACTCGGATCTATTCAAACAACTCTCGAACGAGCCAATTATCAGATTCAACGAACAGCAATCTTCGTATTTGAATCAATCGTTTGGTGACAGCTCTATGAATCCACTTCAGAACAGCAGTAGTGCAGGCAACGTTTCAATAATCTCATCGATAACAGCTTCGGTTGGACCGATTTCTCTTGGACCATCGTCAACAATCACCAACTCCAACCAACTATCACAATCTGCATTCATTCAACCACAGACATCAAACGCTAACAACCGTTCATCCACAGCCATCGCCGCCAACAACAATCCCATTTCCAACTCCACCTCTTCCATGTCCAACAATCAATCCACCACCACCTATTCAAAACCTACAACCAAGAAAGAAGATAGTGCTAAAACATTTGCTAAATTCTTACCATCACTATTTAATAATAACAACAATAATAATAATAATAATAATAACAATAACACTAACAATAGCAATAATAATAATAGTAATGATCCAACTGCTGGTGGATCACCAGATTCAACACAACTTTATAATTATAATCAAAAACCGATGGTACATTCTAAATCTGAGGAAACTATCAATAAGAGATACTCTGGTATTGTTACTTCAAGACAGAATTCTGGATCACCAATGAAAGAGTTGATGGTTAATTCCGATAGTGCAATCAGCACTGTTACTACTCCACCATCACCCTCAACATTCAATCGTGGTTCTTCAGACATTGATATCACACCACCCAGTCCGATCTCACCGGATCTTCCAATAACACACATCATAGAACCGCTACCAGCAGATCTTGATTTCGATCTCTATGATTATGAAAGACTTTCAAATCAAGGCATTTGGGAATCGTCTGGCACACTCGGTACCAATAGCAACAATAGTGCAGTGGCACCTGATATCTTCCTACAGGATCTACAGATCTGTGAGAATAGCTTGTCTTTTAACCAGTCGTTTGCCAATTTGACACCGATCTACCGTCCATTGGAATTCGATCGATCGCAACAACAGCTACCTGGATTCCTCGCGTATCTCACCCACAAGAAAATGACACCCCTCGAAGTCATGAAGTCCAACGATATGTATGCCATTGGTTGTATCATTGCAGAGCTCTATCAAGGTGCACCACTCTTCACATCTTCAAGCATAGCCAGTCACTTCCAGCCAAAGTCCAACTCAACCGCAACACCATCGGGCATGTCGCACCACAGTAAATTCAACCCTCACCGACACCCATTCCAACAACATCAATCGGTTACATCGAATCTACCCACCCCGATCAGAGAACTAGTTGATCAGTTAGTTCAGCCAAATCCCGAGGATCGTGCAACTCCAAAACAGCTGCTGGCATCACCTATATTTCCATCTTACTTTAAACAGATGTATCATTTCCTTTGCCACTACCATTCTCTACACACCTACGAGGAGAAGCTAACCTTCACATTGGCAAACATTGGTATAGTAACATCATTGCCAAACGAAGCAATGGATTTGGTACTGCCGTTTATCCTTGAGCTGTTCAACCATTCAACAACCAAAGTCAGTGCACTGATCGATCTTCTCGATCCGCTATCTCAGCGGCTTGGACCACTGCTCTCACAAACCTATTTGTTACCCTGTGTTATCAACCTCTATCAGTTGCATGACGATCATCTCCTTCAGTGTCATCTCATTCAGATTCCTCTGATCGACATGATCATCTCTAGATTTGGACGTGATATCTACATACACCACATCCTACCGTTCCTTCTGGATAGTGTAAAGACTAATCCACGTGACAATCCCAACCATGAAATGCTTATCACAGCACTCATCAACATCTCCAAGGTTTTGGGTATCCCACTCACCATACGTCACATCATGTACCCACTGTTGGTTGCTCTTACCAAACCACATTTACAACATATTAGTGAAGCATTGATTGCAATCGCTTCGTTCTTGGGTGAACCGATCATTGTTAAATTCTATTTCCCAGCAATCTTTATATTGATTCAGAAGCATTCGTCCAAAGCAACAAGATCGGAATCCATTCCATGTACATTACTATCACTCCTACAAGAGCTAATCCTGCTGGTTAGACCTGGATTGGTATTAAGATCACTATTGAAAGAATCAACTCAATTGGCCAGTCTATTATTGAACCCACCAAATCCATCACTCCTCATTCCACTCTCGGAAACAATCCTTCGAATTGCACGTAGAATTGGTGTAAACAATACAAAACAATTTGTAAGTTATTAGATATATTACAATTTACAATAGTATCATTCTAACAATGTTTATTCAATTCACTTTTTTTTTTTTTAATAGATATTAAAATATTTGCAACAATTTTATTCAAACTACTCTGATCTTTATACTTTTAAAGATAATGGATTGATTTCGAATGATACCAACAAGCAGTTGCGTGCAATCTACTCACCAGAGATGACCTATCATCTCTACTTTAGAATGTCAAGAGTAATTGGTTATGATATTCTTAGAGCAGAGATCAGTGAAAATGCTCTGATTGAGCACATCATGTTGCAGTACATCAGAGAGAACAATGTAAAGCCTGAGCCACAGACTACCTCTATCATTCCACCCTATGTATCAGATGATGGTTTATTCGATGAAATCGAACCGTCAATCGATGAAAAGATCTGTACAACCTATATATTGGATGACTACCAGGACTATGATGATTTAATCACCGACCAAACCTTCTCACTTGAGGGTAACGTTGTAGCATTCTACAGAGAGCACACAGCAGCCATCAAATCGATTGCTGTCTCACCTTCAGAATCGATATTTGCTACAGGTAGCAAAGACAATCTCGTCAAAATCTGGTCACTCGATAGCACTAAATCTCTGACTACCTACAACCAACATCCGCACACAACTCATACCGTTCATTTCGTATCTTCGTTGGTTGCATCGTGCGACTCGACATCCATTCACATCTGGGATCCCGAAAGTAAGGTGAAAGTACATGTTTTCGTTGAACCGACAGGTAATTTCTCATGCTTTGAACCCATTACCAACAAGTATTTGGTTGCATCTTCTGGCGACTCAAACCTTAGCTTCCTCGATTTGAATCTTGGTTTAGAGACACACTCTTGGAATCTCCCATTCCAAGGAGGCAGTTCAATACGTTGTATTACTACTTCAAACGATCACTTCATACCAAGCAACTCCAACTCGCTCATGTCGAATCCACCCATTTCATTCCCAAGTTGGATTGCTGCAGGTTCATCCTCTGGCGTCATCAGTATCCTTGACACAAGAACTGGTTCAATTATAGACACTTGGAAAACAGATGGACCAATTATCAAAGTAAGATTATTTTTATTCATCTTGAATCCTTTAATAATCTTAATTTAACATTCTTATTCTATTATAGTTAATTGGTCAGGATTCAAGATATTTAATTTCTACTTCTGAGAAATCAGTTATTCAATGGGATTTAACAACCTCACCACCTTCAATCGCAAAGATATGGAAAGGTTTCAGAGATTCTATATCATCATTGACTCTTTGGCAAAATGATATTATCACTGCCTATGGAAGCAAGCTTTCATCAATGTCATTACTTGACGACCTACATGGAATATCTGGATCCTACAGAACTGAAGGAATCAAATTGAACACACTCAAACAATCGAATATATCTTCAACAGCCTTCCTTCCACTTCATCATTTACTTCTCTGTGGTACTGAAGATGGTCAAACAAAGATTGTACATTAAAATCAATCACAGATAAATAAATATTTTTTTATCAAGCCAAAGGCATTCTACACTGAGTCAGTTTTATTATATTTCGCTTTGGCATCAAATTAATCATAAATCTATAGAAAAAATAAGATTTAAATTGTTTAATTTTATAACTTCAACTCTTAACTTTTAAAAATAAGGAAAATAATCTTAATATTTTATTATTTGTTTATTTAATATTGGAGGGCACGGATGAAGAGATTTGGAGAACGCATACCACGATCGATATAACCAAAGACAAACTCTTTACCGGTGGCAATACCTTGACCGTATGATGGAAGTGAGAAGAATCCATTGTGATATTCGATGTTCCAGACTGAACTTTGATCACGTGGATCCAAAGTGCAATCGGTTTGGATGGCGATGTTCTTCAAGGTTCTTGGACCATAGTTGAAGATGTGGACACGGTACAATGTGAATGATTGACCATTCTCAACCCAACTACGTTCAATGCTTTGAACGATGGCAACATCATGACATTGATCCAACAAGACACAGTGACTGACACCACCTTCACAGATACAAACTTGACCGGCACCACATTTACTGGAATCACATGTTCCAACAACAAATGTTGAGTTTACTGCTGACAAACATGTCAAAGCAACCAATAACAAAGAGAACAAAGCAATCTTCATTTTATATTTTATTTTTAGAAATCTATTTATAACTATAATTATATAAATATCTTTTTTTGAATGATATTAAAAGTAATGAAATTCATTCTTTAAATAGTTTCCTAATCTTCATTGTCTCAAACCACTTCTAATATTAAGATATACGTAGACTCTTGACTTTAATTGATTTGTTATTCTGGGTTCTAATATAAATATATCAATAGATCTTTAAAATAAAAACTATTGGTTAAAAAAATTATTTATACAAATAAATGAGTGTGGTTGTGTTTTTTTTTACACATGTACTAAGTTTTATTTTTAAACTTGAAATTATTAGTGTTTATATTGTAAATTTATTACCAAGTATTAATTATGAGTAATATCTTTATTGTGATCATTGATAAAACTTTAAAATATAATAAAAAAAAAAATTAACAAAACATTGATTTTATATGAGTATTAAATATGTTAAAAATAAAGGCTATTCTATTTATTGATTGAACAAAAAGATTGAGTTGAAAATTGTATATAAAAAGTTGAATAAGTTTATAGAAATTGTTTATTTCTTGTTCTTCTTGGTAACTTTCTCTTCTGATTCCTCACCATCTCTTGATCTCTTCTCACCGGATGATTTCTTTGATTTCTTATCCTCCTTCTCCTCTTTATCTTTCTTTGATGATTTCTTCTCTTTCTTTTCTTCCTTATCGTCGGACTTCTTTGATTTCTTCTCCTTCTTGTCCTCCTTGTCTTCCTTCTTTTCCTTCTTGCCTTCGGATTTCTTTGACTTTTCTTTCTTCTCTTCCTTATCGTCTGATGATTTCTTTGATTTCTTTTCCTTCTTTTCTTCTTTTTCCTCTTTCTTTTCTTTCTTTTCCTTCTTGTCCTCCTTGTCTTCCTTCTTCTCCTTCTTCTCTTTCTTTTCCTTCTTCTCTTCCTTCTCCTCCTTCTTTTCTTTCTTTTCTTTCTTGTCTTCCTTCTCCTCCTTCTTCTCCTTCTTCTCCTTCTTTTCTTTCTTTTCTACCTTGACATCCTCCTTGGCGTCGACTTCCATTTCGTTGCTCTCCTCCTTGATATTCGATTCCTTCTTGGTGTTGATCTCAGCGTTTCTGGTTTGCAAAGAGTTGGAGTTCTTGGTGTGATCGTATTTGGTTTGTTGCTTGGCTGGCTTCTTGTTGGTGGAACGACGAACGATACCATTCTCAATGTCGATAGCACGTTGCTCAACCTTTGCCTTGTAGGAGATACCGTAGCTGTTATCGGAGACTTCGCACAAAGCGTCGAAACGAGCGGACAAAGCAGCCTTGGCAGCCAAAACTCTGGACATCTTACCCTTGTTCTTCAGGGTGGCGTCACTAACCAACTTGGCATTGTAGATCAAACCATACTTTGGAGTGTTGTTCTTTGACTTGATGGCACGGAACAACGCTTTCTCAGCACCGAGAATCTGAATGGTGGAAGCTGGATACTTGGCGAGATTCATCAACGAACCGGCCTTGCAAATCAAACGAGCACCGACGATCTCACCGACCAAGATAGTCAAGTTTGGTGCGATGGCGTTCATTCTGTTCTTGAGATACTCTGCGAGTTGAGTACGGTATTCATCGATGCTGATGTATTGATCGCAGAGTGCGTTGATGTGATCGAGATCCTCCTCAGAGATGTCGGTACCCATAGAGATTTGGGCGGCCTCTCTAACTTGCTCGGCAATCTCGTCGGGGATGATAGCAGAGAAGTCGGTGGTGGCGGCGTTCTTACGGTTACCCATGGCACGCACGCAACGAGTGTAGTTGGTCGAGTCTTGGTCTTGACCGGTGAAGATCTTTGAGAGCTCTGGGAAATGCCAACCGTACCACTCACGTGCTCTCATTCCGTAGATGTTCAACTCGGTGTTCAACTCGTCAAGCAACGAGATGGCGTGAACGATCATAGTGTCGACCTTGTCAGGCGAGAACTTCAACTTGTAACGCGAGTACGAGTGAGACAAACCAATGGACATAGCATTCATATCCTTCTCCTTCAAACCGGTGACCAATGAGTTGATTTGATTACGAATACCTCTGATCAATTCCTGTGAGGTCTCATTGCAGACGACCTTGATATTCAATGATTCCTTGATGGCATTACCAAACTTGTGATCGGCAACATACAATTGATCACTGAGCTTCTCCTTGATAATATTGTTTGTCAAGAAGGTCGAGAGTGAATCTGGAACTGAGTTTTCTGCCAAAGCAGTTGCTGCATCCAAAGCTGCTAAAGTATCTTCAAATTTATAGAATTTCTTCAATGAAACACTAAACAAAAATGATAATATATTTTTATTTTTATATTTAATATATATTAATAATTTATGAATTAAAACTTGTTTGATATTTTTATTTTAAAAACATAACAAACAACTTACACTTTAGAAGCATTCTCTGGTGTAGAGAAATATTTATGAATGTCAGTGGCAGACTTTGAGATTTTACCCTCATCTAAAACCTTGAACAAGGCAAAACCTGCTGGTGTTTCGAATAATACTAACATTTTGATATATAGATACTAATCTTTTAAGGGATAGATGATAGATAGATAGATAGATATATTTGATCCAAAAGAGATATCGGATACAAAGATACACAATTCTATGAGAAAACCGAACGAGCGACAACCCACACACGCAGAAACATAAAATTTTCATTTTTTTTAATTTTTTTAATTTTTTATTTTAAAAACTCGCTTTCATTTAGCACTAACTGCTTTCTACAAACTAAATAATGATATGTTAAGATAAGCTAAGCTAAGATTGCATTAGATAATATAAGATTATGAAATATATTTAAATAATATAAAATAGTTAGTTTTTAGTTATTATATTTATATATTTATTAAAAATTATGATTGATTTAATAATCATAATTTAAAGATAATAATAGGTGAGAGGATTGGGGGTATTGATTGATATTTTTTTTCTTTTCATTTTTCTTCAAACTATTTGTTGTAGTTGTATTATTATTATTATTATTATTATTATTATTATTATTATTATTATTGTTGTTGTTTGTTTGTTTACATTAAAGTTATACATCTGACACCACCGAAATCACCTATTCCATTCAAACTTTGACTCTTTGGACAAGCGATAAACATAAAGTTTTTGGGTATTTTGAGGAGTTTGGAGATTTTCTCGACTGTCGATGGAGTGAATTCACCTTGTACTGTGATGAGATCGATACGAATCTTTGGGTAGCAACGATCGATGATTGCGACGTTCTTGGCGAGCTCAGCGGGTGGTTCGTTTGTATAGCAGTGTACCATACGCACCCAGTTGGTCTGCTCGTTGTCACGGATGTAGAGAATCGATTTGTTGAGGTAGGCAAGGTCGGTTTTCGATGCAAAGAATACGATCGACTGTGAATTGATGACTTTGATCGCCTCGCCAATGTGCACGGTGAAGCGCTCGCGCAACGACGAGAACGGCGCCAGGATGATGCGACCAAAGAAGAGCACCATCTTGAGCAACTTGGCACGAATGAACATGAGCAGAATGACAGAGGCAGTGACGACAAAGTAGATGGCAAAGTAGCCGACCGACGAAGGGTCGCCCATGATGTTGGCGACGAGCGCAGCCAGCACGAACAGCACCGCCAAGATGACACCCCACCACGGCGAGATAATCTCGCGCTTCAAACTGGCACGCTTGTACTTTAGCAGCATATTACCCAGGCCAAACAACGACATCACTCCGAGGAATGCAATCGTGTAGACACCGGTCAACACATTGGTGTTAAAGTCGGCGAGCACAAACAACGAAGTACAAATCAAGAAGAAGAGAAGGATGATAAAGTGGTTCGTTCGACGACAGCTGTTCTCCATCAGGAGGAACTGTGGCAGACAACGATCGAGTGCCATACGACGAACCAAACCAATCACACCGACATAGCTGGTGATGACCGAACCCGAGAGTACCATCACCGCGTCGATTCCCACCCACAAACGGAACCAGTCGCCAAAGATGGCGTTGGCCAAGTTCGCCAGGACACCACCCTGTGGATCACTAACAATAAAACAAGTGTACATATAGCAGAGATTCAGCAGACCAATGAGAGGATTGAAAAAGGTGACGATCGCCCACATGTTTCTCAGAGTTTTCGGGAAGACACCGCGCTCTTGCTGCTCGATAAAGTTGGAGGAAGTCTCGAAACCGGTGACACCAAGCATGGCAGCACCAAATCCAAAGTAGATATTGTAGGCAAAGTTGTGTCCGAGATATTTCATCGACGACTCTGGCACCGCCGCGCAGCCGGTGTAGCTGTGTGGCACCACGCCATTCCAGTTGTCGCGCAACACATCGAAATTGTGATGATAGAACAACTTGATGTAACCACCAAACACTATCATAGTGAGTGTCACCATGTGGCAGATAAATATTATGGAAGCGACAATTGCACTCTCGCCAATACCGATCAGGTTGAGACATGCAAAGATCGCTAGGAGCACGATGGTCGAGTAGTGATCGCTCACCTGTGGCACCAAACCATTGAAGTAATCCATTGCAGAGTATGCCGAGACTACTGCGGTTGCCACGTACGAGATCATTGTCAATGCCGCTGCCAACGATGCGACATGCTTGCTGGTGGTGTTCAGCAGCACATTGTAGGCACCACCATTGAGTGGCAGTGCACTACCGACCTCACCATATACCTTTCTAAACAAATACAGAACAATACAGACGATTGCCAGCGAAAATGGTGCATAAATACCCGCAAACTGGGTACAACTTGCGCTTGTATAAAATATACTTGATGTAATCTATAAAATATATCATAATAATAAAGTATTATTATTATTATGTATCGAAAACACCACAAACACATTCCTACAGTTACATACATCATTGCCACAAATGGCAGTTGCCAAAACTTCACCAATCTTATGTTCATGTGTTCCATCGATTTTATTTGGTTTGACAGGTGGTGATTGACTTAGATCATAGTTTTCATTATTCGTTCCAATTAAAACAACACTATCCCTTATACTTTTATCCAAATTATTATTATTATTATTATTATTATTATTATTATTATTATTGTTATTATTGTTGTTATTGCTGTTATCACTATTATCATTAATTGATGGTCCTCCAGCTTTGGATTTGAAAAAGAATTAATTGTTGAGTGTCAAAAACAAAAAATGATTGGTCGATCAAATTTTCAGAATCAATCAGCCAATCAAAAAATATGACATACCATCTAAATCTAAAAATGATTGTGTTCCTACACCAGGGTACATAAAACTATATGGATTCTTACTGGTTGCACCTCCCAGCAGGTAAGTATCTTCATCTTCAGGTGGTCTTCCCATTTTCTATTTCGATAATATTTTTTTTTATATTTCTGGCTGATTAACTAAGCTTGATTCGATTTGAATGAGAGTGTAAAATTTAATTGTTTACCAATGTTTAAATATATAATTATATCTAATTTAAATAAATAAATAACAAAGTTGTTGTTGCTGACTCTGAATGAACATTACTTGTAAAATTCTAAATCTAAAATTGTATAAGGAAATGTATATAATTGGTGCAAAAAATATTATTGTTAGTAAATATTGGTGCAAAAGAGAGATATATATTGGGATAATATTATATATAAATGGAGTGAGTGGGTTATGATGGTTGTGCAAAATCAAATTTTTAGTTTTTTAGTTGTTTGATGATGTGTGTGTTTAATTTTATTGATAAAAGTATTAAGAAAAATAATAAAGAATTTAAATTATAATAATTTTTATTATTTTTATTAATATTTTTATAAAAAGTGTAAAAGATAAAATATATTAACACTTACATTATTATTTATTGTTAATTTATTAAAGCATAAATATTTATTATTTTTTTTTGTTTTTAGCTTTTGTGGTAGAGGTGTGACCTTTCGTTGTGTTTGTTGATCCAGCAAAATTTTGTAATATCGGAGTTGTAAATTTTTAAATTAATGTTTTTGTTTTTGTTTTTTGTTTTTTTTTTTTTGATATATGAAGGTGGTGGGTAACCTTAATACCACATTTTTGACACTATCAATAACTTTCGTTGGAGTTTTATTTTAAAAAGTTTGCTCATTCAATACAATCCAATTCATTGTCATTTTTGTTGTTGTGGAACAATATTAATAATCAGCACCGCAATAATAATTGGAGATGACACCTTTTTTGACAACCCAACACCAAATAAATTTTACTATTCCCTGGTAGATAAAATAAAAACAAAACCATTTTATCTCTAATAAATCGGATATTCATTCTTAGAGTATGGAATCTTTTAATTGATACACAATGAATTCATCCATTTTTTTTTATGGTCAAAAATAGAAATATTTAATAAGATATTTGCAAACATCTCTTTTTTCTAAGTGTTAACTTTTTTTTTTTACACTTTCGGATTAGTGTAATAATTGTTTCTTAGTTATTCCTTCTTTTTTTTTTTTTTTTTTGATCATACTTTAAACTTTGATTTTTAAGATATATGTGTAGGGTTGGTGGGTAACAATTTCATCCTGGTGAATACCTAGGTATTAATATCACCAATAATAAAGAGACCAGGTGGCCGACACTTATCAAATTGAATAATAGGAAATTAGTTCTAATACCAATCAATAACCAGGATGATCAAATTTGATGAACTTAATCTTTTGAAAATTGTGTTTAAAGTAATCTTTCTTGATTGTTCAAGAAAGAAAAATAAAAATTCTTTATTAAATAATTACAATTCCATTTCAGTGAAGGGGTTTTAATATAAATGTTATACTATAGTAGTAGTATATTAGTTATGTTACTAATAGAGGGGTAGGTTATTCTGATGATTTGATTTGATTTGATTTGATTTGATTTTGTTTGATATATATTATGTATGATTATTATGTTATTATTATTATTATTTACAATATTACGAAATCATCTATTTCTCTTTTGATATAATCGTTTAGTTCTTCTTCGCTGATGTTCTTTTTCTCTTCCTCCTGTTGTTTAATTTCATTTTCTATGTCAATGTTTGAAACGTATTGTTCGACCTGTTGAAGCTGTTCCTCAGAGAGGTCGGTATGCTCTTTGATATGCTGTTTCTCCAGTACTACCCAATCTAGTAGTTCCTCTTCCTTGCTGTTGTTTGCTGTACTTCCGCCACTACCTGCTACCGCTCTATAGGTTGACACCAAAACATATTTAGCACCTCCAAGTGCTGTATTTACTGCTTTTCTAACTACTAACATGCATATTGCTATTTGTTTGATAAATAAATAAATAGATAGATTGATAGATATCAATATTAGATTAATTAATTATATATTAAAAACAATCAATAAATATATATATATATATACATACTTTCTGATATCTGTACAATTACATAATATGTGATAGCGTTAATCAGTGAAGTACCACCCGTTCCCATTATAACGGCAATCGGTGCATATGAAAGCGATGTTCTCAGTACACGAACTGCACCTACAGGTATAACACCTTTGGTAGATGCATTCACTACATGATCTATCAGTTTTGGACCTTTAATATTTATATATTGTGTTTTTATATATAGAATTAGTATAATCTAATCTAGTCGATCGATATCGATATATTTGATTTTGTCTTTATGAGCTGAGTTAGCTTAATAGATTGCTTACCTATTGACAGTGCAGCATAGTTTGCCAATCTCTTTATACCGACAACTCTAAGTATACTATTTGCTAAAAATCTAACAACATAGTTATTCATTTCCATGAATATATATTTACACAAATATTATTTAAATTCTTTTCTTTTGATCTTTTCTTTTTCTTCTTCTCTCTTTCTTTTTATTTCAATCTACAGTTTTATATGTCTGTCTATTATACAAAAATATCGTTCGTTACTTCTATATTAATTTATATAAATATATCCAATGTACACTACTTTTCGTTCGTTAAATATTTAATAAATCTATTTATTACTCGATTATTATGATTCTTAATTATAATATATTATTTCAATTGAAAAACAACAAATAAAATAATAATAATAATAAAACAAATAAATACAAAAGGAATAAAATTTTTGTTGACAAAAAAAAAAATTGAAAAAAAATTGAAAAAAAAAAATTTATATCGTAGTGGGGATTTCTCTCATTATAATGAGAAATTTAGGTCAGCGGATCAGAACCTAAAAAATTAATATATTAAAAAAACAAAATTAAATTTTTTAGTTTTATTAATAACTTTGGATAGATTTCAATTTGGAATAATCAAATATTTAAAGAAAAAATCTTTGATTCTAATTTCTCAAACAAAATTATTAAGTTGTAAAAATTTAGGATTTAAGTTCCATATATTAATACAAAAAAATAATTTCTTACTCTAACTATTAAAATTTTTATTTTAATATTTTAATATTTTTAAATTTCAATAATTATAATAGTAGTCATATTAAAAAGAATATTTTAATCAAATAACAAAAATAAGATACAAAAAGGTATAGAGTAAATTGATGACTTTTTAAAACTTTACCATCTTGACAATAGGTTTTGGATTATTTAAATTTTGAATTCAAAATTCGCAAAGGTTCAATTTTTTTTATTTTATATCAAATTGATTATACATTTATCTATAATTTATCTTCTTATCTTTCAATTCATCTATAGAAAGCTATACTATAAAAGTATAAAGTGGGATTCTTTCCTTTATCAATTTTATAAAAATTGAATAAAGAATAAACAACTATGATGATTAAAAATAATATTTTAAACAGTTTTAAAATTTAGTATTGTTCTTCATAAAAGTATAGGTGTCAAAATATCAAACATTGCAATAAAAAATCTATTCGTTCTACAGCAATCCAAACAGCTACCACATAAACTCATCTTAATTTTTATTTTTAGGTGTAGTGTGTGTTTAAAAATTGAAAAGGTGTGGGAGTGTTTTTACTTTGTTTGGTGTTATTTAGTATGTGTGGTTGTCTTTCAACATCATCATATACATATTAATTAAAATATTGAGACGAATTGTTATGATAAAAAAAAATTCATACCCACTTAAAAATTCAAAGATAAGACAAACAAACATATCAAAACATTTCCAACCATAACAATGTTTAGTACAATATTCTTAAGTGTAAATAATATAAATACTATAAAAGTAATAATTATTTGTTATTATTAATTTATTGGTGACAATTTTATTAAATATCTATCTATAAAGATAATATTAATTATTATAATTAGTAATAGTAGTCATTGTTTTACACTTTATTTCAATTTCAAATATATTTGTTTAGATATCTATCTATTATTTGTTTTATTGTCAAAATATCTTTTTTGTTAAGTTCATTGTTTTTATTTATTTATTTATATTTCATTTCATTAATATATATATATTAGAATTCCAATATGAGAGATAGTAAAACAACAAACAAAATCATGGTAATCCAAAAAACAAAACTAAAATTTAAATATATTTTTAAATGTTGCCAAAGAAGAAAGATAAACAATAACCATAGCAATAGCTCAAGTGTATGGGTAAGTTACATTAATATAAAAAATATTGATTTATAGATTACTAATATTGATATTAAAAATAGTTGACTCTCTCTGTTTCATAACTATCATTTTGATATTGTTCCTTTAAACACGAGGAATACATATTAAGATGTACTTGGAATGTCGATTATCACTATTGTTAAAGATATCAAATGACAATCGTTGAAAACTGATCAAAGTCACTATTGGATGAACAAAAAGAAAGATGATTTCTTTTTCAAATTACATGCTGCTCAAGAATAGATTACAATTAGAATGTTTAGTCAATCAATATACAATCAAATAACATGATAAACTATCGAATCGAAATATTGTGATATAATTAAATATAATAAATATTTATTTCTTTTTCTGTTTAAATTCTTCTGGTACATCGCTGGTGATTTTGATACCGACAATGGTAATATCCTCGAGTGGACGATCGCTCTTGTCGGTCCTTGCATTTTCGATGGTGGAGACCGCCTCCATACCTTTGTAGACACGTCCAAACACGGTGTGTTTATTGTCGAGTCTGGTAACTGGCACCGTTGTAATGAAGAATTGAGATCCGTTTGTGCCTGGTCCGGCGTTGGCCATCGAAACAGTGAATGGACGATCGTGTCTCAGATTTCTGCTAAATTCGTCCTCAAAGTCTTTGCCCCAAATACTGGTACCACCGGTACCATCGCCCTGAGGATCACCGGTTTGCACCATGAATCCCTTGATGACACGATGGAAGATGATACCATCGTAGTAGCCATTCTTGGCGTGTGTAGTGAAGTTCTCCACGGTCTTTGGACACTCGTCTGGGAACAGCTGAACATGGACATCACCGACCGACGTATGAATGACAGCATTTCTCGGAAGTTTTCTCGCTGTATTGTGGAGCAACATCTGTTCATCCTTATTAACCTTTTCATTAAATACATCTCTACCTAAATCTGCATTATCACTATTTAATAAAACCAATTAGTTTAATGTTATTACCTTAATAATAATAATAATAATCAAACATACGTATCTTCAGGTTCTCTTCTTGAGAACATGTAAAATCTTTGTTTTTTATAAGCCAAACAGAATAGAGTTGGATCGGGTGTAGCATCTCTCTTTTTTGTTCCCATGAATAGATCTCCTTCGTTCTTACCTTGATACAATGAAATACCAAGGAATCTAGTTGAATTCTCAATCATTCCCAATACTCTTACAACCTTATTACTTATCATATTGATAACTAAATTTCATTGTAGTGGAATATTTATATTAGCAGCGCTCTTAATACAATACAATATTAAATAATCAATTGATTTGAAATGAAACAACATACTTTTTATACCAATTAAAGTTGGATACATTAAGAATGAATCGGATTCATCGAAAATGATGTTGGATGGTGGTGGAATCGATGTGGTCGGTTTCACAAGATTATCGGGATGTATCGATTGATCAAAGTTGTTTTCGATGTCACGCTCCACAGCCATACGTCTTCCAAAGTCATTGGGATCGATGTGATAGGGAGAATCCTCCTCCTTTTGAATCTGATTGAGTACGGTGTACGATTCGTCGTAGACACGATGCAGCGATCCACTCGCGTAGTTGAATACACGAATCTTTCTGTCGCGTGCCATCATCGCAAAGTACTGTCCGTTGTTACTAAAGTGCAGACTGGTCGCCACTGTCTTTTCCTTCTTCAGCACGTAGAGATCGGTGTCGAGCTTATAGCTAAACTTCAACTCGGCGGTCGGTTCGTTATACTCGTGTTCCGGTGACCAATATTCAATCATACCGGCCAAATCGACAGAGACAACCGTTCGCTTCTCCACGTTGAAACCAATGAGATGCACCGGTCTCTTGTGAATCGTCAGAGTATGGACGACCTGCGATGTCACCTCTCCACGAATATCATATACAAAAATATTTGGTGATTCTCTACTCGATATTGCCAGTAGCTGTTTTCCAGATTCCTTACTATAGATCCATTGACATGCCAACGGTAAATAATCAATTTTAAATGAATTTACAATATCTAGATTTGTGTAATCAAACTACCGTTAGATCATCATCCCCTTATTATTTGGGTGGTGTAAATCTGAATGTGTTTTGTTGATATTTACCAAAGTTATTTACATCGAATATTCTTACGTTTTTATCTTGACCTGCAGAGCACATCCATAGACCATCGTAGCTGACGGTCATTGTGAATAGACCTTGATGTGATTTGAATGTCTTTACAAAATCGATGCCATTCGGTTGTTTCTTCCAGAATTTAATGTACCCAAGTATATCACCCGTTATAATAAACTCTGTCTTTGTAACATGCATTTGATTGCAAACATCCTTATGCATATAACTTCTTTCATACATCTCTGTATTTGGTAGATTATCTAAATAAACTTGTTCAAATGGTAGATCTCCTAATTATTATAACGAAACTGTAAGTAATTATGTTGAAACATATTCTATATGTTATGTATATTAAACATACTTTTAACTTTTTTCTTTTCATGATTATCTTTATTATTACTATTACTATTATTATTATTATCAGTATCAATTTCAGATGATTCTTTTTCTTTTAATCCTGTTTCACCTTTTGTTTCAGAATGTTCATGTTTACTCTGTACATCATCACCATCATTATTTAAATCTGTTTCTATACCACGATCTCTTTTAGACATCTTTAATTAAATAATTTTTTGTTATAATAATAAAATTTGTGTTTTGAAATAAATGCAAGCAGATCAATTTCGTTTTTTAATTGTTTTCTTGATTTGATGAAAGTTCAACAAATAATATATTAATGTTTCAAATTTACTTAAAAAAGATATTGTGCTAATTAAATTAAATAATTTTATTTATTTGTTTTTTTTATTAAAAAATTAGGGGAGTGGAGTTGTAGGCTAACAAATATAATGCAGATGTTAATGTGCTTGTTGAGTAACCAATTTGATTAAAATAAATAATGTTGTTGATTGGTTTCTTTCTTTCTTTCTTTTTTTTTTTTCTTCTTCTTTTGTTGTAATTTAGTTATTATTATAATGATCTAACTTTACATTAAAATAAAATAAAAAATAAAGATTAAGTTGTTTGTTGTCTTTGTTCTGGTTTGTTCTGTTCTGTTCTGTTTTGTTTGATATGTTATGTTGTAAATTGCTGGTTGTTTAGTTGGTTGGTTGATTGTTTAGTTGATTGTATTTATAATTCTATTTAAATATGTTATGTTCATTGTACACTGTAAGTTTGACTATTATTACTATAGGTACTTAATAGACTCTGTTTCTCTTCTCTTCTTCTGATGTTTGCCTGTTCGGTATCCGAGTAGTGGTAGTTTGATTTACTACTAGAGAAATTATCGTCGACCGTTCCCATGTTGGATCCAAAGAATATCAGTGCCACCGTGACTGCTATTGCCTCTGGTAAATAGTTGAGTGCATACAGATCCCATATGTTTGATACAAACGGTGATCTTATATTGATAAAGTAATGTACAATCTTGGCATCAAGACATAATATAAATATAATCGTTACAACTCCAACCTATTATTATTATTTGTTGTTTTTAATTTTAATATTAGTTAGATAGTTAGTTAGTTAGTTATTATAGATAATAATAGAGTTAGTTAGTTAGTGTACTCACTTTGATTAAAAAGTTTTGGCGTTTGGTTGAAGATGCAATCTGAAGTGAGGAAACCATGCGGTGTAGTTTGATCCAGTAGACGATGAATGCGATCGACAGTGCAAATGAGAAACAAGAGACGATCGCTAGACCAATGCCAAACACCATGATTGCAAACTTTTGATCGATATTGACAAAGAGTTCACTGATGATAAAGATTGCGATGATCCAGATGCAAGTGAACACACAGAACACATTACGCCAGAGTCGAACTTTGTCTTCGCCATGACCGAGATGCTCAACACGAAACACCACTTCCACCCAGCTGAACAAAACGATGCCATACATACAGTAGTAGGTGATGATACCACACATCTCGAACGCTTCAAACGCCACCGAAGCATCGAAAACATTGATATCCGAGGGTGCTGTCAATAAATTTATAAAAAGTAAATCTGAAATTGTTTTTGCTAAAATTATTATTGGAAAAAAGTAAATAAAGATATTTTAGTTAATTAGTTAGTTATATTAATATTAATTAATTAATTACATACCTAAACAATGTAAAAGTATTATTGTATAAACTAATTTCGTTAATTTATTGGGTCGATACCGGTTCGACCAAAACAGAAGAAACACACTAGTTAGCAGGAGAAGGAAATGCCATGATGCAAATGCTATTTCGAATCCAGTTTGAACACGACGTGACAATCCATCTCCTTCTCCAAAATAGATTAGTCCAATAATCTCAAAGGACATTTAAATTACACTCTATAAAACGACTGCTTTTTTTTTGTTTTTAGAAATTTCTCTCTCTTTCTCTCTATGTGGTCACTCTATAAATTCACTAAATTAACTTTTACTAAATAAATATTGATGTTTGTTTTATATTTTAAGTTTATAAATAATAAATAGTTTTTTGTTTTTGATAAAAATAATATTGATTGATTGATCAAGCACGCACACTACACACTAAACACTATCTACTTTAAAAAAAAAAAAAAACTTTAGTAAAAATTAATTTTCAAACGTAAATTCTAAAAAAAAGTTTTCAAAAGAATATTTTTTGATCACTTGGTTCCCAAGATAAACAACCTTCCTCAAGTGATCGAAGTTTAGAAAATCAAAAAAATTGATATTTTCTGCTCTCAAATTGAAAATATTTCAAAGGAATCTTAAAATTGTTTAATTCATAAGATATTTAATCATTCTTGTTGGTTCTACCAACAATTCGAAACTTTTGAAAAAAAAATAAAATAATAATTATCTGATTATTATTATTTATTTGAGAATATAATTGGAAAATGAAAAAAAATAGTATAACAAACAAATTTAATTATTTTTTTTAATTTATATTTATTTATTTTATTATTATATTGTGTGAAAAAGAAAAAAAGGTTTTGTTTAAATATCAGACATTTTCGAGTCTGATTGATGTCTAATTGGTTGATTGGAAGTGGTTGTTGTGGTTGGGAATAGTTCTCTTCTGATTTCGTGGGTGATGATGTGATGTGTTTGTTGACGTAGGAGGATACGGATCGCCTCTTTTTGATCGTGTGAAATGTCGTTCTTGTAACGCTGGGCAAAGGTGAGGAGTGCGGCGTGCCACAGAACGGGCAGTTGTCTGCGTTCCTCAGTGAAGTTTACGAAATGACGAACCAAATCGCTGATGACACGATACGGCAGTGAGTATTTCTTGTCGATCAAAGTACGAATAAAGATAGAGGTGGCTCCGTTGTAGTGGTCGAGACTGGCGAGCTTGATGAGTGCCGCAGCGGAGTGGTTCACCGGAATCGAGACTTTGGCGACGACCGAAGCAATGATTTTCGCTTCGAGCAGAGTGCAGTCACCGCCCTCTGCCAGTGGCAAGAATATCGCTTTGTAGAATGCGTTTGGACGGTACAGCGACTTTTTCAGTGCCATGTAGTAGTGGAAGTTGAGCTTCTTGTGGTCGGCAATGTCGTCACGGATCTTGGGGAGAACGACGATCGAGAGGAAACGCTGAGTGATTTTCGCGTTCGTTCCCATGCAGAACAGCTTGGTGGCGACAAAGGTGGCATTGGGACTCCACTTGTCGGGACGTGTCAGGTAGAGCAGATCCTCCCAGTTGGTGAAGTTTGGCAACACACGGAAGGCACGTGGAATCTTGCCGGACTTGTAGAGGTGGAGAAGTGTTCCAACTTTAGTATATACATCGACAACCTTTGGATTGATCTTGTTGGCTGGATCCTGAGTGCGCTCCTGTTGCTCACGCAGCTTACTCTCGATCAAGTCACCGAGTGTGTAACGCACACCGGCCATACTTCCAACACTGCCCTGTCCAGTCATAAACATCGAGAGGATACGCTCGTCGTCGGCATCGATCTCCTCCACTATATCGTCGTCGAAATCCGCGTATTCCTGTGCGTCGTCACCGAATCCATCCAATTCGTCTTCATCCTCCTCGTCGTCGCCAGCTTTCAGTCCCAAGTCATCTTCTTCGTCATCTGCGAAGTCCAATAATTTTACCGATTGTCTTTCCTGTTCACCGGTAGTCAAACCGGCACCAGAGTATTGATCACGATCCTCCTCTTCGATCTCCTGTGCTTGATCTCTAATCTGTGAGAGAATCTTCTTTGATAGATTCTGTGGGATTACTTTCTCCACTTCATCTTCATAACCTTCTTCGTTGGCACGCTTCTTCTTTATCAAACCCTTTCCTGATCTAACTTTTTGAACACGATGAGCATTCTCTGAATCGACAATCTGTTTACCCAAAGGGTCATGACGTGGTGCAATCTTTTTTGTTCTCTCTATTTTTCCCATTATAATATATTATTATTTCTATCTATTAAATTTAATATATTTATATTTATACAATTAATTATGAAAAAAAACAAGAGAAAGATTTAATAAAATTAAAAATAAAATCAAACTTTTAAAAAAAAACGACTTACTCGACTTTTGAAAAAAAAAAAGAAGTGAAATTAAATTAATTTTTAAAAAATGTTTTTTGGTGGTACTTGCTTTATGAGAATGAAATGATCAGAAAAATGAATAATAAACGAAACACAAACATTATATTTTTTATATCTGAAATATAGATCTATTTTTTTAGAATTCTAGATATCTTTTATTTTCATATCTTGTGAATTTGGATTTATTTCATCATTTAAATATTGTATTGGTTTCTTTTTGATTAAAAAACATGGGTATAACAGGTCTCTCTGCATATTTATCTGAAGAACTTGGTTTTCAATCATCTACAATCAGCTCAAATAGTAATAATAATAACAATAGTAATATAGTTGATGAAAATAGTAATAACAATAATATTAATAATGGTGGTAAAAAGTTCAATACAAATAGAGCTAATGAACCTCGAAAAGCAGATCATGTATTCATCGATATGAATGGAATCATTCATAAACAAGTTCGTAGAAATTCCAATAGTGAATTGACAGTCGATCGTGTTAAGAGAGATTTAATCGATACTCTTAAAAACATCATGAAAGGTTCTGGTGTCTTTTATCATACGAAATCAATTCAATTCATTTTCGATGGTCCAGGTTCAAGATCAAAAATTCTACTTCAACGTAAACGTAGATCAAAAGTAGGTTTTTTAAAAACCATTTTTATTAAACTAAATTAATTAAATCATTGATATCACTATCCTATCATTTAGAAAATCGAAGATTTGGTAGATACAAAAGTCAATGCTAGTTTGATTACACCTGGTACCTCATTCATGGGTGAAATGAAACAGTTGCTATTGGATTACTCAAAGAAATTACTGAGAGAATCACAAAATCTCAATCTCAAGGATATTCATGTGTCTGGAAGTGATCGTTGGGGAGAAGGTGAATTCAAAATATTCGAACATATAAATTCAATGAATTGGAAAGAGAATACCAATGTATCGATATTCACCTGTGATTCAGATACAATTTTATATGGTAAACATTATAATTGGATATTCTTTTGATAAATTAGATATCTCTAAAAAAAAAAAAAACTAAATATAATTTGAAATTAAAAATAATAGCTTTATTATCAGATGCAAATATTAGAATCCATGATCTATATGATCCGAAATCCTATAAAGATATTTCTAAATTAAAGCAAGAGCTATCATTACTTGTACCACAAAGAGATAAAAGTAAGTTAAAATTAATCATTAAATGGAAATTAATCAAGCAATCAATCAACCAACCAGATTTCTAATTTTTCTTGATAATTTTTTTAATTTTTTTTTTAGAACAAGTATTTGTGGATTTTGTACTTATAAATTTATTTAGAGGAAATGATTTGTTACCTGCTTTGCAAAGTTTCAATTTTGACTCTGTTTGGCAAGCTTATGTATCATCGCCTGACAAATTAGGTGTCTATAATTTGGAGACATCTGAAATCAATTGGGAGTTACTCTTGGACCTGCTTTCCAAGAATCGTATAATCAATTCACCTCAAACTAAGATATCGATTGTCGGTGAATTTAGAACGTTGTTGGCTGTGTTGGCTCGAGACTTGAAGCGTGAGGAAAAGTTGGATTTCCAACTCAGTATGCTTGAGGTAGGCGAAAAGAATGTCGTGGATATTGTCGGTGTCTTTGACGGCCAGACTTTTAAAGAGGAACGTGTGAAATCCGATACTCAAACCAAAACTAGATTCCTCAAGAAGTTCTTTGATATCGATCACCCGTTCTGGACAAAGTACAAGCCACTGTTGACTCGGGAGCAAATCGATGGTCTGGTGCGACGTATGGCGACTTCCATGGCAAACTACGTCACCGCCAACGCTGAAGAACCGTCAATCGAGCAGTATGTAGAGGGAATAGTTTGGCAGATGAAACTGATGCGTGGACAATGCACAAACTTCCAATTCCACTATCCCTATTTCTTTGGTCCGCGAGTGGACGACATCAAACCGGTTGCCATTCCAAAGGATACCGGTGTATCGGTGCCGCCACTCTTACCGCTTCAATTCTGCTTGGCATTGACACACGCACAGGCAAAGAATAATGTTAACCAAATATTCCATCCAATGTTTGAGGAACTTCCACATTACAGTTTACTCCAACATGTCTCAACTGATGTAAGTGGATTTTAAATCTCCAATCCTATTGCACTTTTTCTAAAAACAATTTACTTACTATCCATTCTATTACATAGGCATGGAAACATCCAGAAGCATTGGACCAATTGAATCAAAGTTTCAAGAAATATGTAGATACATCAAAGTTGACAGAGTTTGAAAACAGTCAATTGTCATTCCATCCTACTTTACATCTCTCCAAGCACAACAACAGTATATTCCTACGCGAGGAAATACTAAACAGCAAACAATATACAAGTCCAAAACACTTGGAAACCATTCCCTACAAACCAAAAGCTCTTAATCAAAACATTAACAACAATAATAATTTTAATAGTAATAATAGTTATAGTAGTAATTATAAATCAAATTATAATATTAATAGAGTTTCGAAGGGTGCTATGCAATATCAATCAAGATTTGGAATTAAGGATTCAACAACTACCACTACCACAAATACCACCACCACTGATTCTCAAGTGAATCAAGGTGTTATCAATGCGGTCAGAAATTATTTTACAACAAATCGTACTCCAACAATTCAAACTACTACTAGTCTCATACCAACCATCAAATATAGCAGTAGTATAAGATCACTTCTTTTCAAACTTATAAAATAAAAGAAAATATTTAAATTGAACTAACTATTGAATGCATTTTCTTGATTTTATTGGAGTTGACCAAAAAAAGCGTTAAAACGAATTTTTCGTTTTTTATTTTTAATTCGAAATTAATATTTTTTATAATAATAATAACGATCAACCCACACACACAACAGCAAATTACACAATCATTGACACTATTCAAACTCAACAACACATCATTCATTCATTCATTCATTCATACACATAAAATATTATAAATTGACCATAACTTTTTATTGTGTGTGAACTGTATTGTTGATTTTGATCAAGTTTGTATATCAGCATCACTTTTTTTATTTTATTGTTTATTTTTGTCATAGTCAAAGGTAATATCTTCATTCTTATTGATTATAAAAGTCAATAGGTCATAAAATATTCTTTTTATTAGTAGTAGATGTTATCAAAAGTAACAAAAATATAAAATAAAAGTAGTATTTAAACTAAAAAAACAAAAAGTTAAGATATCAGATATTCAATCATGTTATCGAATAGTATCAATAGACCATTGTCATCAGTGGGCTACAAAAATGTTTCTTTCATTCTATCGTCATCGACACAAATGAATTTAACCATTGGAATGATTGGACACAAACCATATTCATCTAACAACAACATCAACAACAAAGTAAGTAACTAATGATTGAAAAAGAAATAGTCTCGATAATATGTTTATTAATATTCAAAATATCGAATTAGCAATCATCTACTTCTTTGTTTTCCAATGGTGGTGGTGGTAGTTCAGTCGATAGAATGTCGGCTTCAAGTAGCACTGCTGTCGGAGGTGCTACCAATAGCAGTTCAGTCGGTAGTAGCGGAAGTACTACTGGTAGTGCATTCCAGATTCCGGGATCACCCATTCCACCAAGTGGAAAGGTAAACTATTTCGTACAACCGAATCAACAACAGCAACAACCGAATCAACAACAACAAGCAAAACCAATGTTCCCACCATTGCCACCAAACAACAGAACATTCCCTTTGATTCCAAATCTACCACCAAAGAATAACAACAACAGTTACAATCCAAATGTAGATCAACCACAATCTAGATTTCATCCACTCTTCCACAGACAAAACAACAATAACAACAACATGAATATTCAGAATCAACCAAATAACAACAATAACAATATGAACAAATCAACTAGTCAACCTATTTTACCAAAGATGTTATTCCCTAATTCCAATTCATTTAAACCTTTTGCTAAACCTAATAATAATACTAATAATAATAATAACAACAATAGCTATAATAATAATAATTATAATAACAATAACAACTTTAAACAATATAATAATAAAATAATAATTATAATCAAAATATGAGAACTGACAACAATAATAATAATAATAATTATAATAATAGTAGAGGACAACAACAACAACAACAATATAATAGTAATAAGGTTGAATATGATTTGGATGAGGACGATGATTATGAAGAGTATAGAGCAGCAACAAAGAGAAAACAGAGTCAGAAAAAATCTAAAGCAATGAGTTCAGTTTCAGAGAAAGAGATATTATTGCCTTTGGTTCCAACACCAAAGTCAATGTCTTCACTGACAGGACGTTCAACAGTTGAGATTCTAAAGTGGATGATCAAGATGGGTGAAGCACCGACACGTTCCGACGAAGTGCTTGGTGAAGATCTCTTGAATCTCTTCTCGGAGGACATCGGTGTGAAGTTTGCTCGTGTCAAGGAGCGCAGTGAATTCCGCACTGGCAAACGTCAACAAGATGCCACCTGGAAGCGAAAGACACCGGTAGTAACGGTGGTCGGTCATATCGATCACGGAAAGACCAGTCTTCTCGACTACCTGCGTAATACATCGGTTGTCGAGAAGGAAGCCGGTCGTATCACCCAACACATCGGTGCTTTCGAAGTGGAGATTGCCGATGGCCAGAAGATCACTTTCATGGACACGCCGGGACATGCCGCCTTCTCGACGATGCGTGTGCGTGGCGTCAGCACCACCGATATCGCCATATTGATTGTGGCGGCGGACGACGGTGTTCAGGAGCAAACGATCGAAGCGATCAAAGCGATTCACGACGCCAAGGTTCCATTCATTGTGGCGATCAACAAGATTGACAAGCCCGGTGCCGACGTCGAGCTGGTGAAGCGCCAGCTGTTGGAGCAAGGCGTTGCTCTCGAGGGACACGGTGGAATGGTGCCGTACTCTGAGATCTCTGCCAAGACCGGTGAGGGAATACAACACCTCGAGGAGACCATTCTCCTGTCGTCGGAGATCTACGATCTGCAGGCGTCGTTCGAGGGCAATCCAGAGGGAGTTGTCATCGAGTCGACTTTTATCAAGAATCGTGGTGTTAGCGCCACCATCTTGGTGAAGCACGGAATACTGAAGACTGGACAATTCTTTGTTTGTGGCGATACCTATGGAAAGATCAGAGAGATGAAGAACTTCACTGGTGCCAATATCAAAGAGGCACCGCCTTCCACACCAGTGGAGATTTTCGGATTCAAGCTGGATCCACCCAGTCCCGGTGATGAAATCCATGTTGTCGAGAGCGAGCAACGCGCCAAGGAGATCATAGAAGCTAGAAATGAGAGTAAGAGTCGTAGCGAAACACTGGATCTCATTGAAAATGTTGAAGCAACAGCAGCAGCAGCCGAGAATAGCAAGTTGAGCGCAAAGAAGGGAACTTTCAAGAAATACAAGGATGAAGACGACAATGATTATTTGGATCCAGAGAAGATGGCAGAGGAAGTCAAGGCGAATCTCGGTGCCAAGCCGGTCAAGGAGAAGATTGCCCTGCACAAACTGGCAAACCTCTACTTGAAGGGAGATGTCGGTGGCTCGGTGGAAGCTTTGCAATTCGCGCTGAAAGCTCTTCCACAGGACGAGGAAATCACTTACAACGTTGTCAAGACTGCGTATGGTGAGGTGACCGATGTCGACCTGAAGGAGGTTGCTCTTCTGAAGGCACCGCTCATCTACTTTGGACCGAAACTTGACCATCGTATCTGTGAGAACGCCAAGAAGCAAGGTGTTCCATTGATCGAGGGTGATGTCATCTATCACGTAGTCGACAATCTCAAGGTTTACTTGGAGTCAACGCTGGATCCAGTCGATGTTTACACTGTCATCGGTGAGGCCAAAGTACAGCAACTCTTCAACATCGATAAAACCAATCAAATCGAAATCACTGCCGCCGGTTGTAAAGTAACCAACGGTATTTTGAAGAAAGGTTCAAAAGTCAGAGTAAAGCGTGGTGAAGAGATTATTCATGATGGCAGAATTGAAATTATTAAACATTTTAAGGAACTGTAAGTTAATAATAATTTTAGATTGTAAATATCTTTATCTATTTTCACATATTAATTAATTATCTTTATCAATCATTTCATTATAGTGTAAAAGAAGTAAATAAAGGACAAGAGTGTGGTATTTGTATAAAGAATTTCGATGAAATCGTTCAAGGTGATACTATTATTGCATACACCAAGAGTGAAGAAACAAGAAAACTTGGAGAGAAAGTAAAGATTTACCGTTAGATCATTTTTAACATGTTTGAACAAGTTCAAGTTAATTTGGATTTATTAAATTAAATAAATTGGATTGACAAATATTTATTTTTCTTAAGAAAAAAACATGTTTATTATTGTAATAGTTTATTTTTATGTGGTGATCCTGCTAGCCATTGTTTGAAGGTAATAGGCTGTCTATTACAAACGGCCTGTACAACCTCTGGAAAGATCTCTAGCTTGTGTTTATATGTACCTTTCTCCTTGGTGTCGAGCAAGCCTTTGAACATATCGGCGACCGATTTCATATATTCAATGTAACCTTGGTCATTGTCAGGATTTGCCATTGGTGAGAGTGCAAGTGTAAGGAAGTCACTCGGTGTTTTCGAGACTGCCACTATGGTTTTGTTACATACTTCACTGGCATCGATTGCCATCTTATTTAGCGAGATTGCCTCCACTGACAATTCGTAGATCTTTGAGTTGTGTTGTTCTGGACGGAGCAATACTCTTGCTGCTACTGCCGCGATATCTTCACGCGCGATCCATCCACAATTCAAATTGGTTGGTATGAAATAACTGATGTTTCCAGCTGGCGATATTACACCGTTATATCCATCGAAATTGATTCTCAACAAAGTATAGTTGATTCTATCTTTATGTAGTGACTGCAAGTATTGTTCGACCTGGCGATTCCAAAGTTCATGTCGTGGCAGTTCTTCGTCTGGCAACTCGGAATGATGTATTCCTGTATGTAGTATATGTTGAATACCCAACTCCAATGCCATATCGATCCATTGTTTTCTGCATTCTAAAAGTTTCGATGTGAATGGAGTGAGCAAGAAGAGTGTATTGACACCGGTCATAGAAGCACGAATAGAATCGAAATCCTCCCAAGCAACTAAAACAGGCTTAACAAAGCTATTCTCAGCGTGAGTCTTCACACCTATTTCCAACTGTGCAGCAGTATGATAGCCAGCTCTGATTTCAACATTCCACTCGTCTTTATTCTCCTTTACAATAGCAATTAGTTCATTGATAATGAAAGCACCAACTAAACCAATAGCATCACTAATTAATATAATATTTCTATTATTCTCCATCTTTTATTATCTAAATATATAAATAATTTAATATATAAATTTTATTGATTGATTGCACTGTTTACAAAAAAATTAATTAAATATTTTCATAAATATCTGATTTCGGAAATTGCCGATTGTTCCCACTGTTTTTTTTCGGTAATGATATTTTTAAAGATTCACAGATACATTCGAAACGTAGGTGACTTTTACATTCATTGACTCCCATATCTTTCTTTTTAATTTTGATTGTCTTGACATTGTCTTTTCCATCCATTTATCAATTATTGGTTTAATTAAATTATCATTATCATTATTATTGTTGTTATTATCAGTAGTAGTTGTTGTTGTTGTGTTTGTATTTGTAGTTGTAGTTGTTGTTGTTGTTGTTGTTGTTGTTTCACTGCCTATCGATCTTAGGAGTATTGATGGTACAGTAAAACTTTGTATTCTCTTTAAATTTTGCATTGATGATAGATTTTGAAAGTCTTTAAGTGGTTGATCGACTTGTACTTCATAGCGAGTGAGTTCAGTCATAGTTATACAGTTTGAATTCCATTTTGAGAGAGTCTCTTGAGTTTGAGGTGACGATATCTTTGAACAACCACATTCTGCACTGTTGCAATAGATAACTGGGTAATTACATAGCCAACCACTTAAAACAGGTGGATATATCTTTTTAAATATTGTTCCTACTGATTCAGTAGGTGATTCATCAAGCACCATCGACGACGACGACGATGATGATGATGATTTAAACCAATCCGAGATCATTTCACTTGGGATATCATCCTTTTTAAGTCTAACAATGATCTCTGATGCCAATGATTTTAAACAATCTTTATGATATTGAATATCTTTACAAATCTAACAAATAAAATATTTTCTTCTTGTTAATATACATAGATTTGATTTATTATAGTTCTATTCTAATATTGTTAACATAGATGTTAGAAACTTACGATTGGATTACTTAGACATGGAGATACATCTACAAATGTATAGGATGAAAAGTTTGATTCAATATCATATTCAAGTCTACTTATAAACTCTGGTTTGTCTATCAAGAAGAATTGAAATTCATTTACGACCAACAATGATAGATTCTTTAATATCTCTGGTATCTTTGGCTACATTTGAATTTGAATTAGATTTTACATTATATATTTTTTTATTCTTATTAATATTTACTTTGAACGCTTTTATGAACTTTGCTAAATCATTAAACTCTGGTACAGAGTAATCTATTAGATAACAATCTCTCATTCCCGAATTTAACTGTACTATATCATGAAAGAATTGTATCCAACTGTGAGTCAACTGACGTGGAACACCACCAACAGGAAATATCTGTTTAAATTCCTTATAATCTTTTGATAGTAAAATAGGTAAAATACCTTCTAATTTATATTTCATGATTTGTGTTATTACAATTTAATAAATGAATAGTCGAGTGAGCAAATATATTTTAAAAACGAACGAAACGATCATAATATTTTTGATTTTTTACAACTCAACTAATAAGCTAATAAGATGTATTGTAATCAATATTTTTTTTGATATTTTAATCAATGTTATATTATATATTTCCTAAATAAATACATATTTAAAAGAGATTCCCATCTGTTCACACCTGATAAATCTTAATACTATAACATTACCAGCTGGTGTCTGTTAAATTAGAGGGTTAAGGAAAAAAAAAAAAGTTTGAAAAATCAAAAAAAAAAAAAACTAAAATCATTTGAACTAAAGATTTTAATATTAGTGGACATTGATTGTGTTTTATGAGGTTATTTTTTTAATTATTATTATTTATTATAGATATTTTTTAAAACATAGATAGGATATATATATATATATATATATATAGAATAATAAACACTAATTAGCTTTAGATATTAAATGTCAGCAGCAAATCAATTGTCAGATGAGAAACTCATTCAATTCTTTTATGCGAATTGGAAGTTATCTCAACAGGATTTCTGTAAGAGCTATGGAGAGGATCCACAGGCACTAGCACGCTTCTTGAATAGACAGCCAGATCAGTCGAGTGAGCGTGTTAGAACTTCACTCAAAAAGTATTGGGAGAAATATCAGATGTCATTCACCGATCATCTCGATGAGGATGAATCAGGTGGTGGCGGTAGTGGAAGTGGTAGTGGTGGTGTTGACCAACAGCAACAACAACAACAATATACGGCACCTTCAACACCGGGCGGTGGAAAACGTTCACTTCGTAACCTGCTACAGAATTACTACGGACCGGGGATTGGTGATGGCTCCGATGGCAACGGTGGAAGTGGCGTGCTCTCGAACGACCCACTCGATATCGATAGTCCGAGCTTCGATCTCAAAGCATACTTTGAGAACACCATTAAGAAATCGACACTACAACAGCTGGTTGCCAAAGACAACGATATGGTCAGTGAGATCCGTACGTTGGACGGTGACATGAAGACGCTGGTCTACGACAACTACACCAAGTTTATCAACGCCACCGATATTATCAAGAAGATGAAGAACAACGTTGAGAACATGGAGGAAGGTATGCAGTTGCTATCAAAGAACATGGAACTGATCACCACTTGTTCCGACAAGATCAACTCTACTCTAAGTGTAAGACGTGAGAAGATTGATCAATTAAGTGGATTACATAAGTTATTACAAAAAGTAAGTTTTAAGTTATTGTTTAGATCTATAATCTTTAAAAATAAGATAGTTATTAACAACATTGTACATATATATATATATATGTTTTTGTTTTATAATAATCATTAAAGTTACAATACTTAACAGCATTACCATCAAGATTGAATCATTGTGTAGAGATGCAAGCATATTCACAAGCAGTTAAATATTATAATAGTAACAATGGTATCTTGAAGCAATACAGTCATATTCCATCATTCCAAAACATTCAAACTGAATGTGATAATATCATTAATCAAATGAAATTGAAACTACATGAAAAGATAACAAATATCGAGGTATGATATGATATGATTAGATTATTCAATTAATTAATACTTAGTTTAAAAGCTTATAAGGTTAACCTAATCATATTTTTTTTCAATTAAATCTATTATAGACACAACAAACAGAAGTTGCAGAAGCAGCAGAAATGTTATTAGAGTTGTTAGATCCAATCGATACCGTTAGATCTGCATATCTACAGGGTCGTAAACAACATACTTTTGCATTATTAAAGCATATCGAAAAGAAAGAATTGTATGTGTGCCATAATTTTACTATCTTTATTATTAATTATTGTAATTGACCAAATATTAATACTCTCAATAATAATCTACAGTACTGATGTAGTTGAATGTATTAAGGAATTAAACAAGATATTCTTGTCAGAGTTTTCATATAATCATGAATCCTATACCTCTTTGTTTGTCAATAGATTCGATGGTGTTCATTCATCAAAGAAAGAAATGATGGTATCGAAACAGCACTTGGAAGAATTCTCAAAGGATTTGTTTAACAGATATCTTGCTGTTGCGAAATTAAAGTTGGCAGTAAGTTTTTAGTTAATAGTAATAATAATAATAAGCTTTAGATATTAATATTCATATAACCGCCGCTATTATTATTACTATTATTATTATTATTCATTTTTAGATATTTAAGAGTCCAGATGAAAAGATTAAAGGTCTTGAAGTATTATGTATCGATGTAGCAAAGATTCAGAAGCAACTCGCAGATATATCATCGGTTGACGATATTATCAACTCTACTGTTTACGATCAGATTGCATACTACTTTGACAATCTTCAAAAGACTATCAAGGAGCATATCAGCACCATGAATGCAACTCTTATCAACAAGTCCTCTGCTATTCTCGAAGGTAACTCACTTGCGGAACTCTCTGAAAAGACTGCCAAGGAAATAGTCAGTGACATTCTACAACTCTTTAAAAATCTTAGAGTAAGTTAATATTAATTATTATTAACTTTACAATTGAATTGAATCAACTAACAAATATATATATATATATATATAATAACAAAATGTAGCCATTCTTTTTACCAACTGAGACATCATTCCTTACACGTCACTTTAGTACCATTTTCACAAAGATACAAGTGAATCTACAAAACTTTTTCTTATTCTTGAATATTCATTTCTTAGTATGTATTATTATATTATTAACTTGTATGATATTTATTAACAAAAAATTGTTTGTAGGATTACTTGGATATCATTATAAAGACATCAAATAAAGAACAATATGGAAGTAGATTCTTGTTGGCTTTGGCAAGTGTTTGTTTGTATTTGGAGAGCAAAGGTATCAATCAGGTGGTTCAATCGATGAATGAGTTTATCAATACCGTTAAGCAAGGAATGCATTCATCGGCAGCTGCTCACCACGATATTTTCAGTATTAATACACCGGATCTTGCCAAGCGTTTGAAGGAAGCCGCTCAACGTATTCTCACTGTCTACACCAAGATGCAGAGTAAGAGCATCGAGAAGATTCTCCGTGTCGGTTTGGATTCCACTCCCAATTGGTTGGCACTCAAAGAACCGAGAGATGTCAGACAGGTCAACGATATCCTACTGGATGAACTCCAAAAGATTGGTGCCGAGATTGGCAAGCTCTTGCCAGTGACCAACCAACAGCTCACCACTCCAACCATGTCCAGAGTCGGCGGTGGACACTCTCGTTCAATGAGTGGAAGTGGCAACAGCAATGTATCGGTCAACAACAACAACAGTGACGCTATGAGAAGAAATCAGTCCAATGCAAATCTACCATCCAACTCTAACAATCTATTCGATAAGCGTTTCGATATCTATGCACCGGTCGACTTTTATGTCAACTCTATCCTTGTGGGCATCGTTAAACTCTCTCTCAAATCATACATTGAATGTTTGCGTACCAAGACTTTCGGAACCAACGGATATCACCAGATTCAAGTGGACCTTAGATTCCTCAAGTTGTACTTTACCGATATGTTTGGAACTCAGCAATCTATCGATTCCCTCATTCAAGAGGCTGACAATACCGTAGCCGATAGATGTTCATCGGTCGACCCAATTCCACTTGAAGATAGTGTATGTATAGTTTTAACACATTTCAAATGATCAAACAACTTTAATTCTAATTATATATTTTTATTTATTAAAAGATTATGAAAATGCTCTGTGAAAACAAACTAAAGAGTAGAAAGGAAGAAGAAAGAAATAAATCAACAATGTAAAGAGTGAATGATAACAATAGTTAATCATGGTATTGGCACTCTTTATTGACATTTGTAATAAATAATAAAAATTTGATGATGTAAGAAAGAAATTTGTTTTTTTTTTAAGGATTAATATGATTAGTGTTGACAATTAATTTTTCAATGGGTGGTCGATTATCACCGGTGAAAATATTCTCAAACCACTTGAAATGACAACATCCAACTACACAGAGATTCAAGATAATTTAGCTCGTGGAATCTTTCAATTTTCGAATGGCAGCTATATAGAATCACCGGTTCTACCGATAGGATGGTGTGCATCTGCCGGTGGATTGTTTACTACCGGTCGTGACATGTCGAAATTCATGATATTCCTGCTCAATTCGCTGTACAGTAACAGCAACAACTATGTGAATGGCAGTCAGTACTATAACATTCTTGATCCATCTACGTTAAACTAAGCACAAGAAGCAATTGCTTTGATTCAAGATGGTTCATCGGCGTATGGCACTCCATTCGAGATGTACTACAAACAAGACAATCAGATATGGTCAAAGAACAAACTAGGCATTCAAAGTGGCTACACCGTCAACATGGCACCATTCCAAATCGGTCTGTTCTTTGGCGCCACTCTCAATATTGACTCTGAAGATGTATTCACCAGTGACGCCGTTGATATTCTACTGCCTGTTTATCAAAAGCTACTATTAAACAATTCTCTGTCACATAATAATAACGACAACAAAAATAAGCATAAGCATAACAAAGAAAAAGATAGAGCAAGTACAAGCTCAAAGATGTCATATATGGGATTATATAAAGATAGTAGTACAGGTATAGAATGTAGAATTGGAATGTATAAGAATCAACTTACTCTGCAATTCTCTGGCTCATTTTATAGTGTCAATGAATTCTGACTGTCGCTACCACTGATACAAAGAATATTGCTCATTGATACAGATACAATATGTAAAACTATTGAAATCGATTCATACAACAATGAACTCATCTACTTCACCACCGACACCAACAACCCTACTCGTTGCAACACCATACTGATAGCAGGACAGACTTTACAACTCATTACTGAAGATCCAGACTACATCACTGACAGAAATAAGATTGACGTAATAAATGCTGTGACTATTACAGATTCTCAAGATAGGCTAAGGGTGAAGATATTAATAAAGTACTGGAGATGATACTAAGCGATTTGTTGCATTTTAATTCGGTGTTGTGATATTCATTGTAATTGTGCTTGTGTTTGTTGTGATTGACCTTGTTGATGCACGATATATATTTAAAACAAATGGAGCTCTGCACTGTTACCACTAATTTGGATTTGGATATGTTTTTTTTTTTTGGAGATCATTTTCAAAGTTTTTGGAAAATTTTTTTTGTTAACAAAAAAAAACAAAACTGGCTCTAGTTTGTAACAAACAATCGAATAAAACCACCTGATCACATTAACCCCACTAATTTGCAATTTTTACATTTTTTTTAAAATTAATACGCAGGTGAAATTGGGAAGGAGCCAGATTTATTTTGAATTAATTAATTAATAATACTTTGGATATTTTTAGATCTATAAGTAGATCACTCGTTGAAAAAAATCTCCCTCTTCGACACAAACAAAACATCACATATTCTCCGAAACAAACATTAATAATCATTTTAACGAAGGAAATCATGCACCATTTGAAATCTATCGAATATTTAAGGTTGTCAATCTTTGTTCCTTTATCATTCATTTTATTTATCTTAGTGTTTCTCTCAAATCATAACGATGAAAATTAATTATCTATATCTATTATTTATCTTTTCACTTTTGTTGTTGACTTTGTCAGCTTCACAATTGGAGAATAATGAATTATTATCAATTACATTGACTCTTTCACCAACAACATCAGCATCGACATCATCACAACCAACTTCATCTTCGACTTCAACTTCCTCGACAACTACTACCAGCACCACTGGTACAACAACAACTTCACCAATATCAACAGGTATTTCAACATTACCAGCAACAACAATAAGTTCAACAACATCAAGTAATTTGGAATATCAACAACAATTCACAGACTGGATGATCCAAAACAATAAATCATACACAAACAATGAATTCTTGACAAGATTCAATATTTTTGTTGATAATCTGCTTTATGTAAATCAATTTAATTCGTTGACTGGAAATGATACTGACGCCATGAAGTTGGGAATGAATGTATTTGCTGATTTGACACTCGATGAATTCACCAACATATTCCTTGTGAAAGATTTATCAAATTTCTCATTAAATTCAAACACAACCACTTCTACAAGTACATCAACTTCGAGTACATCTTCAACAACAACAACAGGAGGTGGATTATTAGGAGGATTACTAACATTAACAATTGGTACTGGAGGATCTACATCTGGTGGTGGTGGATTGTTAGGTGGTCTTTTAACAGGTTCATCTCAACCATCAAAATCATCTCTCAGAACTTTAATGGACACCACTGTAGATTGGAGATATGATCTATCAGGAGTTAAAAATCAAGGATATTGTGGAAGTTGTTATGCATTTGCATCGTTAGCTCCACTTGAAGCTTTTTTAACAAGAAGAGGTCAAAGAGTATCTCTATCAGAACAAGAAATTGTTGACTGTTCAAGTATGTTGCTTTGTTTTTTTTGATTAGAAAATTTATATAATTTATTTACTTATCAGAAATATATAGCAAGCTATGGAAATCATGGTTGTAAAGGAGGTTGGATGACAGGTGTTTATGATTATATTATCAATGCGGGGGGTGTAAGTTCAGAATCATCATATCCATACAAAGATGCTGTTCAAAAATGTAGACCTGTTGGAGATAAATATGCAAGAGTGGCTAAATATATTTCAGTAACCAATCGAGCATTAATGGAAATTGTAATAAAAGACTTAGGACCAGTTGCTGTTGCTTTACAGGCCGGTGTAAGATCATTCCAAATGTACAGTGGTGGTATATATAATGATCCAGCTTGTGGAGCAGGTCAAATAGATCATGCAGTTGCACTTGTTGGTTATGGAGAAGAAAACGGAATGGAATATTATATTGTATGTATTGTCAAATTTATCAAACAATTATCTTTAATTAACAATTGTTCACTAAAATCTCAATAGATGAGAAATAGTTGGGGTTCTGGATGGGGAGAAGCAGGGTAAGTCTTATATTAAATCAAATATCTATCAAGAAATTTCTTTTATTTTCAATTTACTAAAAATAACAATTTATTTAGATATATGAGATTGGTGCGATCAACAAAGCATGTCAATAACTATGGATACGTCCCAACATTAATATATCGATAGACTTGCTAAAGTAATTGATTTACAAACATTGATATATTTAAATAAATTAAAACAAGTTTTTTTTTCAAAATAGATTATGCAATCAGAGAAAAAATATGCACAACAAATTTGTAGATAATTTTTTCATATTTTTGTTATCAAGATATCTGGCTATTATAATTATATATAATCGTTCCTCATTAGTTATTAGTCTTAAATTTACGATCATATCAGTTAATATATCAAACTTCACTAGTTATACGATCCTTTCACAATTCTTAGCAATAGATAATATCGGTGCTAAAGTAGCTAAATTCTACAAAACAAAGCATAAATATACGTATGCTACCTCACTCGGTTCAAGCAATTGATTAAGCTCAACACCCTCTATGTTAGACTTTGTTTTCCTAACTCCAAGTAAATAACTACAGCCACCAGAGACAAACTACACGACTTGTTTCAAATTGTCTACAAAGATAGTGCGTTAACCGCCAAGAAAAACAGTGTCACATAAATAAAAATTTAACTTTATCAGAGTCTCGACGCTTGCCTCTAAAGACTGTCTCGAAGCTGTAGCAAAAGAGTTCGATGAAGGTATCGAGAGAATGTTCGGTCACACCCCTCTTCACTTCAGTCATAGCTCAACCAAGTTAGTGAAAAACGATGTCAACAAACCTATCTGGAAAACGTCGTCGTGGTACTAGTTTCCCAATGACAAAATCTTCAAAGACATCGATGCCAAAGATGAGAAATCAGGTTTTAAGTGCACACTCATACCGTACAAACCACCCCTGTTAAACCTGCACCAGCTACTGTCAATGCTCTGAAACCAAACTCTGCTGTCGCAAAGACTGACTCCACTGCTGCGCCTTCTCCTACTCTCTTTGTTCTCACGATTGAGTGTTTGGCGAGAGCAATCATCGCCGACTCTCATATTGTTGGTCTACCTTGTTCTGCTCCAATCAAACTTGAGCAAAAGAGATTCCTCAACTATTACTGGAGGCCTGTACAGTTTCCATTTTTTTTTCTTCCCTTACCGCATGCGGTAAAAATTTATTTTAACTCAAAAATAAAGAACCTCCCTATCCGGGAATCGAACCCGGGGTTTCAGTGTGAAAGACTAATGTGTTACCACTACACCAATAAGGAATTTGGTTGAAATTAAATAAACAAAATAATTTTTATTAACACTAACATTTTCATAAAATGGATCATATACAAATTCACAGGGGAAACTCTGGACAGTCCAACGAACTCCAAAATTACAAGCAAAAACGGCCCCACCGAAACGTAATAGCTATCAGTCTGGATTCTCCACTGTAAAATCGCACACAACTCTCCCAAAACACCCACCACCTTCTATCGCGCAACAACCAACAACATTAACATTCTAGCTAAACTAGAATACCACAGACTAATCAGAAAATCAACACAAGACTTAGTTTGAAACATCTCAAACATTCAAGCATATCAATCCAAATGGCTTAAGTAGCTAGATGACTTCAAACTCATCTGGAACTACCAAACCTGGAACTTCCCAACGCCGTCCCACCTCACTAGCCAATAAACGAATAACAATAAAATCCATTAAAGTATTCTTCAAGATATCAGAATACTTTAAAATAAAAAAGGTTGTTGGACTTAAGGCATTTCAACCAAAGCAGGATCCAATGGTAGTGCTAACTGCTGATAGGCTGCCTTGGCTGAACTTTGGCCCTATTTCAATAGAAAATATACTCCGATATTAGGATAATTATACCCATAGGTAATAATAGAGAAATTTTTCTACTGTAATAAAGTTTGCAAAGTTTCTCTGAAAATTAATAGGTACCTGATCAGGAACAATAGGAAGTCGAATTGGATTGGGAATTTCTTTGGATGGAGACAGCACAGCTGTGAAAATAATACTAAAAAACGACAAATATCTAGCCTGTTGGCTTCGGGACAAGTTTGATCTAAGATTAATCACTATCACACCACTCTCATCCATGATTTGTCGATTTCATTGAACTCCTCCATTTGGTCGATTGTTAATAGAATTATAAGAAAGAAATATATAATATTTTTTAAAAAAACGAAAAAGAAAAATTTTATTTATTTATTTTTTAACAGATTTTTACAAAAATGTCACTTATCTTTATTAAAATGATTATTATTTTGTACCTAAAGTTGATTAAAATAAAACATTTAATACAGATTAAATTTGGATAGATAAGCTTACTTATATACTATTGTTAAAATCTAATTTAATTTTTGCTATTCTTTATTTCTGCATCCAAACTTAATCCTTTTTTTTTATAATCCCCCCTTAAGATAAATAGATAAATTGTTTTTTTGATGATCATCTCTTCCTTTTTTATATTTTTCACTAAAGATGAATAAATCATTGTTTTTATCACTTTTTAACAATATTTATATAAATAAAATAATATTTCAACAAGTTTCTCATATACATCAACATTTGAAACTTAATATCTTTAAATATGAACAAATGTTGCAATCTACAAAGGTGATGGCAGGCAATCATCAGTTGAATCTTTTGAAGCAATATTTCCAAAGCCACTCACCCTACCGTTTCTATTCCTCATCGGGCAGAGCTACTTTTATAAATGCAATACAAGTCGGTAGTTTAGAGATTGTAATATATTTGGTGGAAGAACTTCGTATGTTGTCGGAAGGTATCTATAAATGGCTTGGTGATAACGACTATATGTACTTTGCATCAAGATATGGTCGCTTTGATATCATCCAGTATCTAGAGTTATCACCAGTGCAGTGGAATTTTGCCAAGGCATTTGCAATATCGCCACGATCTGGTAACATGGATATAGTGAAATACTTTGGCCAAAAACATTGGAAGAATGAACCAGGAATAACTGAAAACTCAAGATATAATCCATTTGATAATGCAGCATTCATGGGAAGAATCGATATGATCGAATGGTTGATCGAGAACAAATCCGATTATCTATCATCAAGCTCAATGCTTCACTATGCAATCCAATCTGATCATCTACAAGTCATCCAATACTTGATCCAACACAACATCATATATTTCCAAACAATTTTCTTTGATTTCCAACTTGGATTCTATTGCTCAAAAATTTTAAACTATGCTGCCAAGTATAATAGATTCGAAATTCTAAGGTACCTTCATAATAATGGAGTTGGTGAATGTTCATCAGGTGCAATTGATTGTGCGGTAGACTCTAAAAACTTAGAGATGATACAGTGGTTCCACACAAACCGACCTGAAGTTAGATTTAAAGATGCTTTGGATAAGGCAGCGAAAAAAGGATATCTTGATATCGCTCAATGGATAAATAGGAACCGAACAGAGGGCTGTAAACTCCAGAAAACAATGGATAGTGTTGCAGAGATTGAAAACCTTGAAATGATAGGGTGGATTCATCAGAATCGTACAGAAGGTTGCTCACACAAGGCAATGGTGAAAGCTGCTACCAAAGGAAACCTCCAAATGGTTCGATGGATCCACTCAAATAGATCTGAAGGATGCACTTACGAAGCTCTAAACAATGCTGCTGCAAATGGTCATTTTGAAGTGGTACGATTTTTAAGTGAGAATAGAAGTGAAGGATGTACTGTGGCTGCAATGGACTATTCAAAAACGTTAGATATCACAAAGTACCTTCATGAAAATAGAACTGAAGGATGCTCTGCTGCCGCGTTAACGAATGCTGCAAGTAATGGCTCGTTAGATATCCTAAAGTTCCTTCATGAGAATAGAACAGAATCCTTTGATAAATCAGCATTTGACATGGCAGTTAAAAACAACCACTTGGATGTTGTGAAATTTCTATATGAAAACAGAACAGAAGGATGCAGTGATTTTGTGATGGACCTTGCAAGAAATCTCGATATGATAGAATATCTTCACTACAACCAAATTGGAAAATGTTCAGACGTAGTCATGAACAATGCAATTTTAGATAATAATCTGGACCTGGTTAAATTCCTTAGTGAAAACAGAACTGAAACATTCAAATTTTCAACTATAATTCAAGCTGTCAGAAAAGAACAAATTGAAATGGTCATCTATATACTTCAGAACAATCCGCAATGTTTAAATAGTAATTCTAAAGTTACAATGCTTACCGCATCCGCTGAAAATAATCATTATGAAATGTTTAAATGGTTGTTTAAACATTTGGATTACACTATCGAGGAAATCGCCAAAGTCAATGAAGATTTGTTCAGAAACAGCGAATTAATAATAGATCCAATCATATTAGAATATTTGAAAATAGAAATTTTAATCAAATAAATTATTTTTAAAAGTTTTTTTTTTTATTTATTTTTTTTTATTTTTTTAAAGATCTCAAAATAGATTGGCGAATCGTGAAGCTTGAGACTGTTGATCTTGTTGTTGCAAGAAAGTATTTACATATTGCGATGGAAGATTATTTGAGAGGAAGAATGCATTACTATTGTCCAAGATAGGCGAGGTTGGAATGTTGGATCTAGCGAAATGTTGATTCATTGGAGCTGAGGAGGGCATTCCAAGTTGATTGAGGTTGTTAATATTATTGTAGATATTACCATCATTCGAAACGTTTCTCTGAGTATTATTGTTGTTATTGTTGTTGGCTGTACCAAGATAGAAATTTGGAAGGTAACTACCATTGTTATTGTTGTTGCTGTTGTTGTTACTGTTATTCAGAGAATTATCCCAAGAACTACCATATCCATTCAGAGCATTATTGTTATTGCCAAGTTGATTACTATTGTATTGCATCTGTGGTGATTGTGGAGGTTGCGATAGATAATGGTTACCAGAGATAAAACTAAGTGAAGTTCCGTTGGGTGGGTGGACAGTTGTTGGTGGCGTTGTGGTTGTGATGGTAGTTGTGGTGGTAATGGTCTGTTGAGCACCATTGATTCCCATTGGGTATGTGCTTCTCTCGAAACCAGATTTGATATAATCGATTTGCTGATCGTGGAAGGCAATCGACTTTGATTTATACTGAGGCATCATGTAGGGATCAATCTTTGGACTGATAACATTGTTCATGATGTTGCCATTCTGCTTCAAGAAATACGCAGATGCAGATGACATTTCCTCATCATCGATATCAGATATATTCATTGATTTCGAAAACTTGTCCCCAATATCCAAAGAATTGGCCTGTGGCACATGAATATTATGTAGAATCGAATCGATATCATCGTCATTGTTGTCAATGTAATTGCTTTGGAAACCATTCAAGAAGCTATCGGTGGCATTCGATGGGAATAAAGGAAGACCACTCATCGGTGATGTCTTTGGTTGATTTCCATTGATTGAAGGTGACAACATTGGGAATTCACTTACAGGATTAAATATTTCCTATAAAAAAAAATAAAAGGTTAATATTAACTTGATCAATAAATGAATCAATACAAACGTTTACTTACAGGTTGGAAATTAAATGAAGTTTGTTGGATTGTAGGTGATGCTGGTGGTTTCAATAATTGATTTACTGATTGATTTGGTAGAACCATTGGGATGGGTGGTGTGTTTTGTAGATTAAGTCTTTGAATCATTGGTACAAAGTTTGGTGATTTTGGACTGAGTGTAGATTGTTTTAATTTGTTTGGTGTTGTTGGTGGCAGTGCTGATGGTGTTGGTGTTTGTTGACTTGGGATTTGTTGAACAGTCTGATTGAATTGGAACTGTGGTTGTTGTTGTTGTTGTTGATGTTGTTGAGGTTGAATGATTGTTGGTGGTGGTTGTAACTGTTGTACTTGAACTTGTTGAACCAATACCTGAGGTTGTTGGCCGACAACAATAGGTGTGGAAGGAATACTGGCTACAGACTGTTGTTGTTGTTGAGCTTGTTGAACTTGTTGCTGTTGAGCTTGTTGCTGTTGCTGAGCTGCTTGTTGTTGAGCTAGCTGCTGAGCTGCTTGTTGAGCTTGATGTTGAGCATCTGGGAGGATTACAAGTGCCTTGACAGCGGTGGTCTGTTGCTTCGATTGTTCAAGTGCCTTCTTATTTCTGTCGAGACGCTGTTGTTGTTTCTTCAGCTCTGCCTCACGGTTGGCTTGCTCTTGACGCTTCTTCTTCTCAGACTTTTCGTGAGCTTTGGGGTCAAGTTGTTTCTCGGCAGCCTTGGCTCTTTCTTCCTCACGCTTTCTGGCTTCGTCCTCCTTCTTCTTTTGTCTTTCACGTTGCTTCTCTTCCATTTTCTTTTGCTCTTCCAGCTTTTTCATTCGTAGCTCCTCTTCCTTTAACTTTTGCTTTCTCTCCTTCTCTTCCTTTTGTTTCTGTACCAATTCTTTCTGTTTCTCGATTCTCTCTTTCTTTGATCTTGCCTTTTGCTCTCTCAATAGTTTTTCTTTTCTTTCATTCTCTTCTTCCTCTTCCAACAAATGTTTTTGTCTTTCCAGTACTAATCTCTCTCTATCATGATAACAAAAAGAATATATTATTAAACAAAACAATTAGTTAAATTTACATGATGAATTTAGATGTTTCTTTTAAAACTTACTTATAAGCAGTTAATACTCTTTGTTCAAACATTTTAGAAGCGAAGACTTGGAACATTTTTCTACCTTCTTCCATTTGTTTCTCTTCATCATCTTCATCATCGTCGTCATCGTCTTCATCGTCTTCATCATCGTCATCTTCCTCATCATCATCGTCTTCATCGTCATCTTCCTCCTCTTCGTCATGAATCTCATATTCATCGCCTTTGATCTCTTCATTATCCTCATCCTCTTCATCATAGTCTTCGTCATCGTCCTCTTCATCATCATCATACTCTATATCTTCATCATCGTCGTTGGTATCTTCCGAGGAGTAACCATCGACATGCTGATGATGAATATGATTATGTTGCTGAGAGGTGTGTCCGTATACATGACCATGTTGATGTGCATGTTGTTGTTGTTGTTGATGATGATGGTGATGATGTTGATGGGAGTGTAACTGTTGCTGCTGCTGTTGTTGTTGCTGTTGCAGAGTATTGTTATTATTATTGCTATTAAGATGACTGTGACTCTGACCTAGAGTGTGATGACCATGACTCTGACCTAGAGTGTGATGATTATGAGTGGTTGTCGTTGACATTCCACCACTGTGGTGATGTCGCGTGGTTGTCGAAGTGTAGCTTCCGTTGATCATGTTGCCATTGTTCAGGTTTATGTTCATGCTGATGTGGTGCTTTCCACCGTGACCGGCATGACCATAAGCGCGTGTCTCCTCGATTCTAATGTTCATGTCATCCTCTGTCAGGATCGAAGGTGAATTGGAATCGTCAAAGATCTGCTCCGATATCTCCTCTCTTCTCACACGTCTCTCTGCCAGCTTCTCCATCAGTTCGATAAAGTGTTTACCTTCATTTTTCAGGAAATCCTCTTCCGATGATGAAGTGGAAGTAGTTCTAATGGTAGTGCCATTCTTTGACTTTATGATTTGCTTGTGAGTTGAAAAATGTATCGATGCCTTGGAGGTGGATCGAGCACCACCAAGGGTATCACTACTACTCAGATCCACCTTTAGTTGTTGATTAGGTGTTGTTGTTGTTGTTGTCAGTGGTGGTGCTTGTGCTGGTGCTGGTGAAGATAAAGTTTGTTGTTGTTGTTGTTGTTGTTGCTGTTGTTGAGGTGGTGAAGATGGTTGACCAACTTGTTGTTGTTGTTGTTGTTGCTGTTGTTGCGCTTGTTGTTGAAACTGTTGTGCTTGTTGTTGTGCTTGTTGTTGCTGACTATCTTTAAGATCGATTAAATAGGACACCTTATCGTTCATCTTTTCGTAGTACTTTAGCTTCTCGTAGTAGGAGTCGTAGAGCATCTCCAGTTCCTCTTCGATGACGACACGTCTTCGACCGCAGACACTACATGAACAAGTGTGTTTCTGTTGATCCTTCATCTTTTTCAGCAGTGATTCCTTCTCAAGACGCACTAACTCTCTACGTTCATCCTCAGTCAAACTGATCCAGAACTCACGTAACAACTGCTTGTCAACCTCTTGTGAACCAGTATTCATCTTTTTCTCTTTAGATTTTACTGATTGTTGTTGTTGTTGTTGTGCTGCAAAAGGTGGTGATTGTTTAATCTGCTGTTGTTGTTGCTGATTATTATTGTTACTATCGACATTGTTATTGATAGAAGGAGAGGTAGCAGAAGATCTCTTCTTTTTCTTCTTCTTTTTCTTTTCAATGTTACTATTATTAACAATATTAGAATGATCAACATCAAACTGTTGTTGCTGTTGTTGTTGTTGTTCGATGCTATTCTCATTTGATTGTTGTTGTTGTTGTTCAATATTGTTATTATCATCTAATTGATCAGCAACATCATCTTCCTCTTCCTCTTCTTCATCTTCGTCATCTTCAACATCATCTTCCTCCTCTTCTTCTTCATCGTCATGTTTGACTGATTTCAAAGTGTATGATGAAGATGAATTTGTAGAGTTTGTAGATTTCGTTGAGTTTCTAGATAACAACGATGAAGTGGATGGTTGTTTCAACGAGGTATTAGCAATCTGTTGCCACGTTGGTTGTTGATCTCCATCCACAACAGAGATGATCTCTTCCTCTTTATCTTCTATTTCCTGTATCTTTGGCATTTTATACACTATTTTCTTTTCAATCTACTTCTTCTTCTTCTTCTACTACAACTAACTAACTAACTACTAACTGACTAACTTCCAATCTATCTATATTCAATCTATCTATATCACTCTTTCTTTCTTTCTATCTATTTACTAATTGTATTTAGATCTAAAATATTAGTAACAATCATACACATATACAAAAATATATAAATAACAAGTTTGTTTTGTTTTGTTTTTTTTAAACATTCATTTACCTTTTTTTTTTTTTTTTTGTTTTTTTGCTATCAAAGAATGAATGGTGATTGATCGATTGAATACAAAAGTTTATATTTGCTTTTGTTTGGTTTTTGCTTTTCTCTTCCAACAATTATTAGCTTAATAATATATTTATTTGTATTATAGATTTAATTATAATAAAATAAAATGAAAACTTTTATTTCTTTCTCTCTTTACTTTTCTTTATTATTAAAATAAGTTTATTTTTATTGTTTTTTTTTTTTTTTTTTGAATTTTTTATTTTTTATTTTATTTTTTTTGAATTTTATTTTTTTTTGTTTTTGGTTGTTTTGATATGGGAATGAATGAAAATGTATTAATCTCTTTTAATATATTCCTTTAAATGATACTGTTAATAACAAATTTACAAAATAAAACTCAAGCCACTTCTGATTATCCCTCTTTTAATGTATATATTTATTTTTTCACCAACAACACCCTTTTGATTTTTGGTTGGTTGGGTGATGTGGTTTAGTTGAGTTGAGTAGTAGTTGTTGTTTTGTTACTCTCCGGAGTAGAAATAAATTAATTTTGAAAAATGAAAAAAAAAAAATAGAGATAAAAATAAAAACACACAATCACAATCACATCACAACCCAACACACCTGAAGTGTTATATTATATAATATATATTTGTTTATGAAAAAATATCATCAACAAACAAAAAAAAATAAAAAGGTATTATTTTATTTCTTTTTTTTTTTTTTTTTTTTTGAACATTCGTCTTGAAATTTTTTTTTTTTTTTTAGTGTGCCATCACACTGACACAATCGTGATTGAATTCTGATCAGATAATTGATTTCATGTTGATTTGAAATATTTATCAATAATTTTTATCAAAAACAAAGTAGAAGATGTTGAAGAATATTATAAAATATAATTCATCATCATCAGCAGCATCATCAATATTACAATCTAGTTTATATCGATCTAACAACAGTTGTATTGGGCTGTTAACACCAAAGAGATACTACCAATGGCCACAGACAATCAAAGAGATAAAGTCGGCTAACGAGGAGAAATCATCGATAAAGACAAGAGGTTGGGTAAAGAGTTTTCGTGCACAGAAAACGATTGGTTTTGTAGAGCTGAGCGATGGATCTACTGTGCAAGGCTTGCAGGTAATTGGTGATCCAGCGCAGCTCACGGGAATCACCAACGGTTGTTGCGTCGAAGTCTCGGGATCACTGACTCGCAGTCCTGGAAAGAGTCAGCAATTGGAGCTGAAGCTTGACCAGCCTGCACGTGTCATCGGTGCCAGTCCAGAGGACTACCCACTGCAGCCAAAACACCACTCCTTTGAATTTCTCAGAGAGATTGCTCACATTCGTCCGCGATCCAACACACTCGGTTCGATGATTCGCGTTAGAAATCAAGCGTCAAACTTGATTAATCAATATTTCCAGGAACGTCAATTCCAATTGGTTCACACACCCATCATCACAGCCTCCGATTGTGAAGGTGGTGGTGAACAATTTCAAGTAACAGTTCCATCAAATCAACAACAACAACAACAACAAAAACAACAGCAACAACAACAATCATCACATTTCTTTGGTGAACCAGCATTCTTGACGGTATCTGGACAATTGGAAGCAGAGATATTTGCATCTTCACACGGTCGTGTCTATACATTCGGACCAACATTTAGAGCAGAGAAATCCAACACAACAAGACATCTCTCTGAGTTTTGGATGGTTGAACCAGAGATGGCATTCATTAATCTCAATGATAACCTTTCAATTGCAGAGGATTTCATTAAGTACACTGTTAAGAATATACTTGAGAAATGTCCAGAGGAATTAGAATTCTTTAACAAGTAGGTTGATATGATATACAAACAAAACAAACAATTTATTGGAATAACTTTGACTGATAACTTTTCAATCATATCATTTATTAGGAGAATTGATACAAAACTCTTTGAAAGATTAAATTGTACACTTAATAATGAATTCATAAGATTACCATACACAGATGCAGTAAAGATATTAAACAACTCTTTTTCATCAAAGATAAAATGGGGAGACGATCTTCAGAGAGAGGATGAAAAGAACTTGATCACTCATTTCAATGGTGTACCAGTATTTGTCATCGATTGGCCAAAACAAATCAAACCATTCTATACACGTGAGAATGACGATCAAACAACAGTATCCAACATGGATCTATTGGTACCGGAAGTAGGTGAACTCATTGGTGGTAGTATAAGAGAAGAAAGGTAATTTTAAACAACATCTATCAAATATGTGATTTTGACAATTTTAGACTAACTCTTGTAAATTGATTGCAATCAATCATTTAGATATGAAAAATTGGTTCAACGAATTAAAGAATTGAAAATGGATGAGAATTCATACTCTTGGTATTTGGATTTAAGAAAGTATGGATCCGCTCCACACGGTGGATTTGGTCTTGGCTTTGAGAGATTCCTGCAATATGTAACCGGTTTACAAAATATCAGAGATGTCATTCCAATACCAAGACATCAGAACTATTGTAAATTTTAAATAAGAAGAAAGATAATCCACTGTTTAATATAGTTCACTTTTTAATTTATTCATACACTTTATAAATATTGCTCGATTGTTTTTTGTTTTTTTTTTTAATTATTATTTATCAATAATATTCTTCAGGAGATTATACTCCTCGTTGGTGAATGGAAACATATGATTCTCTTTTAAATCTTCAATGACACTGGTTCTCTCGAGTTGTTTCATTTGGTAGTTAAATTGTGACATGATATCGGTATACTTTCGCTTCGAAAAGAAATGTGGAAACTTTTCAAACATCATCCATAAAACTATTAATGAGATAGCTATTAAATGTAATTCAATTGTTTCTATTTCATTTTAAATTAAAATATTTAGTAAAAAATAAGCAAAAGATAAAGAATTATTTAGAAAAGGTTACCGGTTTGAAATTTTAAGATTATTGGTAAAATAATTTCAATGGACTCTTCTTGTAATTGTGAGAATAATTTATAATCAATATTTTCCACCAAATCCAATAACTGTTGGGACTCTAATCCCTCTTTATGATAGACATCCATAATTCTTTGATGATAAGTTAAACTACTAGGTCTTATTGTTTTTATTTTTTTAATAATCAATATATTGATTTGATTTTTTAACATTATAATAGATTTGATTACTTACATTGATAAAGGTTGTTCTTTTTTCTCAATATATTGAATGTTGTATACTTTATCATCTATTTTTCTCCTAATATTACTTTTGTTTTCAATATTTGATTTATCGGACTCTTGTTCTTCATCATCATATTGATGTTGTTGATCTTCAATGTTTGTCATGTTTTTATCTTTTGATTCGGCTCTACTTATTGACATTCGGTCAGGTAAGAGCTTTGAAGATCTATGATTGTCATTTTCAGATTTCGTTTGTTTCAGTACTGAATTCAAATTATTAAACGAAGTAATAATTTTTTTCATATTTTCATGATGCTATGTTGGTCGATTTAATGAATCAATAATAATGTGTTAGTAAGTAATTGATAACTCACCTTTCTTTTTTTTTTTTTTCTATCGATATAAAAATGTTTATACCTTTAAGTTCCATTGATAACATTGTTCTTGAAATTCAAATAACTTATTTATTTGAAGATGTATATCTTTTTAATAAGATTTTATTAATACTCAATAATCAAAATGAATAGATCAATATAATTCAAATTGTTTAAAGATACTTTGTAAATCAAGTTGTAACTCACTGATTTGCTGTAATGGGATATCTACAACTGTAGAAGAAGAAGATGATGTCGTCGTCATTTTTCTATCATTATTATTGTTACTTATCATATTATTGTTATTATTACTTTTATTTAACTTTGGTGGTGGTATTGTTGTATTTGATAAATCATTGTTGTTGTTACTATTCAATTTACCAATATTATTATTCATAGCTATTTATATATCTATTTAATCAATATAGTAATAATCTACAAACAAAGTATCTTCATATATAGGATGTCAATAAAATAAAATCAAAATGAATAAATATTTTGGCAAATATTTATAAAATAGGATTATGTTTTTTTGTTTTTTTTTGTTTTTTAATTATTTCTTTTCTTTTATGTTTTGTTTTAGTTTTAATTGATGTACAATACAATACAAGTTGATATTTTTATAATTGTGAATGAAAGTTAAAATATAATATAGGGTAAAGAAGAAAATATAGTGTAAGAATAATAATAAAAAAAAATAGATGTATCCTTAAATAAAAACATTTGTGATATGATTGATTATGATGAAGTTGAATGATGATTGCGTTTGTTTGTTTGTTTGTTTTGTTTGTATTAAAATCTATCTTATTTTAAATGTTCTGATTCAGCAACATATGTAAAACCTAATATTAAAAAAAGAAAAGAAAAAGTTAATAAATAAAAGTTGTTTGGTTGGCCAACCAGTAAATTATTATGTTGTGGAGTTCTTACCTTCGAAATCTTTTTGTTGAGTTGGTAATAGTGCACATTCACCAGCCATTGTCAAAGATGGTGTTTCATCGGTGAATACTGGGTCGATCTGAGAGGTGTCGGCGGATCCTTTGACGTTGGGGATGAATGGAGGTGGGATCTTCTTTTGGAAGAGTAACTCCCAGTCGATCGATTTAAAGAATGGATGACGCTTGATGATGTTTGGATCTGCTAAACGCTTGTCTGGGTCACGCTCGAGTAGCAACTCCAAGAGTGAACGAGCATCAGGTGAAATGTGTGCTGGGAAGGTGAGACGCTCACCCATGATCTTACGATACATCTCCTGGACGTCCTGACTGTAGAATGGCGGCAATCCAGTCAACATCTCAAAGAGCAGCGATCCGAACGACCACCAATCGACCTGCTTTCCATAGCCGTTGCCCTGTAGAACTTCCGGTGCGAGATACTCGGGCGTTCCGCAGAATGTGACGGTTTTGTCGTTGGGCGAGTTCAGTCCCTCCTTGCACAGACCGAAATCGGTCATACAAATGTGACCCTCGTTGGTGAGTAGCAGATTCTCTGGCTTGAGATCACGGTAGATCACTCCGGACAAGTGGAGATGTTCCAGTGCCAAAACAATCTCTGCACCATAGTAACGAACACGATCCTCTGAAAACTTCTTCTCGCGCTGCAAATGATAGAAGAGTTCACCACCGTTGACATAGTCGAGAATAAAGTAGAGTTTGTCCTCGGTCTGGAACGAGTAATTGAGGTTCACCAAGAACGGATGGTTGATCTTCTGGAGAATGTTTCTCTCAGAGAGTGTGTGTTCCACTTCGTTGTGCTCGACGATATGCTTCTTGGAGAGCACTTTCATTGCATAGATTTCGCCAGTGTCCTTCTTACGCACCTGAATAACCTTTCCAAACGAACCTTTTCCAACCAAATTCAACAAATCAAAGTCGTGAACTCCAACCTTTTCCGGTTTCTTTGGTTTGTCTGCGTTGTTCAAGAGATCACGCTCATGTGAAAGTACATCGATCCAACGGTGACGTTCATCGTCTGTATCGGCACTAATATAAAAGGTTCTCGATGGTGTTTGTACTTCGAATCCATTGTTCTTTTTCTTTCTATCCGAAACCTTTACATGTCCAACTGTATTTAAATGAATTACACCTAATGGAGTTGGATCCTAAAAGTATTTAGAAAAAAATAAAATTAATATCCAAAGAAAACAAAAAAAAAAAAAAAAAAAAAAAGAATAAGTGGAAATTTCCAAACACTTTATTTATACATACACCTTTGGATTTAAAATAAGATAGGTCTCCACCTCTTAAAATAAACCATCTTCTTTTCCAACTTTTGAATCCACCACCTTCTTTAGTTAGCCAACCTTCATGCTTGATAGTTGATGTTTGATTTGTCATTTTTTTTTATTTTTGTATTGTGATTATTAAATTATTTGGTTATTATTATTATTTACAGTATTTATTATTACAATGAGAATTAAGTTTTACGATTTATATATATAAATATTATTTATCTAAATCAATAGATATTGATAGCAACTTTCGAAACAGAAATTAAATTAAATAAATAAATAGATAGATAAATAGATTTCGTTAAAGTGACTCAAGCTACTATTTGTAATGTTGGTTGTTGATTGTTGAGAATTGAATTTGGTCTTTGGACTATTATTATTATTGTGTGTGGGTATTGTGTGTTGAGCTTTGATAATTTGATGTGATTGAGAGGGAGCGAGTTACCAAAATATGATCTATTGATTTATTATTGTTATTGTTGTTTTTGTTTTTATTTTATTTTTTTTTGAATAGAACAGTATTACAAGAAAAAAAAGTGAGACTCTTTTGAATTGTTGTATATGTTTTTGGTGTTGGTGCTTTGGATTATTACAAATATATTTCTACTTTTCACCTTGTTTGGGTTTGATTTTTATTGTAGGTGGTGTGTGGTGTTTGTATTGTTTTTAATTTTTAAAGAAAATAAAAAATAAACAAACAAGTGGCAAACAACGAGCAAGGTCTTTGTTGTTGAAATGAAACCAACAAACACAAGCTGCTGAATATATTTACTACTAATAAAGATAGAGGGTATCGATTAATTGTTATCTGTGTGTGTGTGTGTTGGTGTTTGATTGTGTGTGAGATGTGGGTTTGGGTATTTTGTTGTCTTTTTTTTTTTTTGATTCTAAGCTTTTGGTGAACGTTTTTTTTTTTTGATGGATTTTTATTATTAATAAAAAATATAAAAAAGGTTCGGGAGTTTTTGGAGCCACAATGACTGGGAAGGAAGAATAAAGAACAATTTTTTTTTATTATTGGTAACAAAAAAAGAAGAATATTATTATGATCTGATCCACACTTATTAATTTTATTTATTTTATTTTAATAATAAAATAAATTATTGTAATATGTGTTTTAAGTATTAATTTCTTTATTATATAGATATTTATATAATTTTAAAATTAATTTTAAAATAAAAGATAAAAAGTTGACAAGTTAAGTTATAAATATAATATTTGTTGAAAGAAGAACTTTATTAAACAAAATAAAAAAAATACAAAAACAAAAATAATAAGATTAAAAGTCTTTTTGATTCTTTTTTTTCTATCACTCTCAAGATTTTCTACTTTTGAGAAAGTTTAATTTTTGATCAGATATTATTTTTTTGCTTCCCACGAAAGACGTAAAAAAAAAAGATTATTTGAAAGAAAGTCTTTTCAAACAACGCCAAGCTCCCCACAAATAAAAATCATTGTTCTTTTGATCGTCATCAAAAAATAAAAATAAAAATAAAATCATCAACAAACTTAATTAGTTTAAATCTAATAATTGAAAAGACATTTTAAGTAATCTTTAAAGTTTAATTTGATTGTTTAATTTGTTTATTGTTACATTGTTTTTTTTTTGTTAATTATTTTTTCATATATATTAGAAAAAAAACAAATTAGTTTTTAATATTTATATATAATATCATGTACAAAGATATGTTTGTACTATTTTGAGATAAATTTGTTGATTGTTTGTTTGTTTGACTGTTTGATTTTTTGATTTGATTCTTTTTTTTTTTAATATCTTCTATTTTCAGTTGTTTCTACTTCACATGGTTTGATATCCCAAATTTGATCGGCATACTCTCTCATTGCACGATCACTGCTAAAGAAATAGGTGTTGGCAGTGTTGATGATTGATTTTCTGATCCATTCATCTTGCTTCTTCCAGAGGGCATCGACTTCCTCTTGTGCTTCGAGATAGAGTGGGAAGTCTTGCATAGTCAAGTAGAAATCGTTGTAGACCAATGAGTCAACGATTGGCTTGAAAATCTCGGGTGGACCAAAGGTACCGAGTTCAATATTCAAGAATACCTCTTGGAGACGCGAGTCAATCACGACTTCCTTGGCTTTCATCTTCTCACGTGCCTTGTCAATCTCGTGTGTACGCAGACCGAATATGAACATGTTCTCCTCACCGACTTCCTCGGCGATCTCAACGTTGGCACCGTCGAGAGTACCGATAATGAGCGATCCATTCATGGTGAACTTCATGTTACTGGTACCAGATGCCTCTGTTCCGGCGGTGGAAATCTGTTGATTGATGTCCGATGCTGGGATAATGACTTGGGCGACGGAGACATTGTAGTTGGCAATGAAAACGACCTTGAGATACTCCTCTACTTCCTTGTCGTTGTTGATTACTTCGGCGACAGAGTTGATCAACTTGATGTGACGCTTGGCCATGAAGTAACCTGGGGCAGCTTTACCGGCAAAGATGACCACTCTTGGAACAACCGATTGTCGCTCCTCCACCGACATCTTCTTGATCGAGAGATAACGGTAGATGACACCCAAGATGTTCAAGAGTTGTCTCTTGTACTCGTGAATTCTCTTTATATGCACGTCAAAGAGTGCGTTGGTGTTGACCTTGACACCGCAGTTCTTGTGGATAAAGTCTGCGAGACGCTCCTTGTTGAACTGTTTGACAGACTTCCACTCCTCGATCAACTCTGGGTTGTTGATATGCTTTTGGATGTCCTTGATCATCTCCAAATCGATAGCCCAACGTTCGGAACCCAACCACTTGGTCAAGATCTGGCTGAGACCTGGATTGGCCTGTTGGATCCAACGACGTGGAGTGACACCGTTGGTCTTGTTCTGGAACTTCTCTGGGAACAACGCAAAGAAATCTGGGAACACACGGTGCTTGACGAGCTCTGAATGCATAGCGGCGACACCATTGACGAATCGCGAACCAACAATAGCCAAATGAGCCATTCTAACCTTCTTTTCGTCACCCTCTTGGATGATCGAGAGATTTCTCATCTTATCGATGTTTCCTGGCCACTTTTGGGTGACGGTAATCAAGAATCTGTGGTTGATACCGTAGATGAGTTGCATGTGACGTGGGAGGAGATCTTCGATCAATTGGACTGGCCACATCTCGAGTGCCTCTGGAAGGATGGTGTGGTTGGTGTAGCCAAAGGTCTTGGTGACGATCGACCATGCCTCATCCCACTGTAGATGCTCTTCGTCCAACAACTTACGGAACAACTCAACGATACCGATGGTTGGATGAGTGTCATTCAACTGGATGGCAACCTTTGACGAGAAATCCTTCCATCCGGTGTGTGTCTTCTTGTAACGACGAACGACATCGCACAAAGTGGCAGCAATAAAGAAGTACTGTTGCTTCAATCTCAACTCTTTTCCACTGTAGGTATTGTCGTTTGGATAGAGTACCGATGTGATATTCTCCGAACGTTGTTTGGCTTCGACGGCACTCAAGTAGTTACCACCGTTGAAGGCATCCAAGTCAAACTCCTTGTGTGGCTTTGAACTCCAGAGACGGATGTTGTTGGTGTTGGTAGTATGATAACCTGGAACTGGGGTGTCGTAAGCGATCGCTTGGACAAGCTCTCCACCCTCCCACTCAAACTTAACACCCTCGCTAGTCTTACGCTCAACGACGTGACCGTAGAAACGCACAGTGTATTGGACATCGAGACGTTCGATCTCCCATGGATTGCCGGCTACCAACCAGTAGTCTGGCACCTCAGTTTGATAACCATCGTAGATACCCTGCTCAAACATACCGTAGTTGTAACGCAAACCGTATCCCCATGCCGGGTACTTGAGGGTGGCCAACGAGTCCATGAAACAAGCGGCCAAACGACCCAAACCACCATTACCAAGGGCGGCATCTTTCTCCTCCTCGTAGAGATCCTCCAACTCGAATCCGAGCTCCAAAAGAGCGTTGTGATATTCGTCGTTCAATCCCATATTGTAGATTGCATTCTGAAGAGTTCTACCCATGAGGAACTCCATAGATAAATAATAGACACGCTTTGGATCCTTCTCGGTATAGTATTGTTGAGTTTCGTTCCATCTCTCAATCAAACGATCTCTTACACTGTAAGCGGATCCCTGATATGCAGAGAACGAATCAAAATTATATTTGGTTCTGGCCAATGTATATTCAACATGATCTAAAATACCTTTTTGAATTGAATCTTCGTCTATTTATATAAATTAATTAAACACAAGATGATTAATAACAATAAGAACAAGAGAATATAGATAATAATGAATGATGTTAAAAGATACGTACCATTTTTCAAAAAATCTGTTTTGAGAGCAAACAATTTACTTCCTTTCTTCTTTTCAGTGGGTGGAACTACACCAGTTGTTGTTCTGGCTGTTTGTTTAAATGGAATCGACATCATCTTTGAATAGTACAATTGGTTGTTTTGGTTAATAACAAAATAATATTAATAATAATTCTTGAATAGCTATTGAAAATGTTGATATAGAATGATTCAATCAAATTTAGTTAGTTTTTTTTGTTTGTTTGTTGTTTCTTTCCAGTGGTGATGGAGATTTAGAAAAAACAGAACAAATTAAAATTAACAAACTATTGTTTAAACAATTGGATTGATTGTTGTTTGTTTGTTTTTTGATTTGATTGAATTGTGATTGATTCTGATTTCAAATATATAAATATATCTATTAAAAAAAATGATTTGATTTGATTTAAATATTTAATCAAAATATTAAAATCGATGGTACCTAGAATGATGTGATTGAAATAGAAAGTATTAAAAGTAAGAGTCAGTAATTTGTAAGAGGAGAGTGTGTCATATTCTTTATATAAAAGGTGAAAGTATTACACTCATAAGAATGTATTAGTGAGGAAAAAAACAAACACTAATTCACAACTAATCTAAACTGGTTGGTGTGTTGATAATTTATGATGACAATCAAAAACAATTATTACAACAATGTAGTTGGATGGATGGATGGATTGGTCATTATAATTTGTTTTAATTTACATGTGAAATAAAGATTTTTGTAATTTGTAGTGTGGCAACCAAATCCAATCCACTCCACTGAATAGTGTTGGTTTTCAATTCGATTTTAAAAATCAATCCAAAAAATAAACAAAATAATGACTGATTTATGTTGTTTTTAAAGATTTTTACTAAAGTGGCAGACTGATGATCATTTATTTTTTTAAACGACCATCATGGAATATTAATATCAATATTGATGTGAGGAGATAAAAAGAATAATCCTCTTTGTGGTTATTGTTATAATTAATATTAATATTACTGAATGAGTGATATTAATCAAGTTAATCAAGTGTGTTTTTAGGTTGTCTTGTCTAATAATTATTTTAGTATAATTAAATCTTGCGATTGAATTAATGGTTGAGATGGACGACTGTTTGACGTTAGAATAATAATAATAATATCATTGATTTTTAAAAAAAAGTAATTGCCATATTTTAATGTTGTTGTTGTTTTATAACTAACAATTAAAATCAAAACATACCTAGAAGTAATATTAAAAATAGTAATATGATTGATTGATTTGATTAAAAAATATATAAAAAGAAAAAAGAATGATGATAAAAGATCGAAAGATAATTTAAATTATTAATAATATATAGGTTGTTGAACAGACAAAACAACAATAATCAACAGTCAAAAAACAAAAAAAAAAAGACAACAATTAAATATTTATAAATATAATATAATAAATAAATAAATAAAATATATTATTTGTATAGATAGATTATTAATGTGAAAAAAAACACACACACACCATCCACCAGACAAACAAACAATCTGGTAATCTCTTAGCTTTGATTTAAATAGGGAAATAGTGTGGGTTGTTGCGTGCTGCCAATATGTTGTTGAGTAAGAGAATCAGCAAGTGAGTGAATGTATTATATACATATATTAAGTAAACAATAAAAAAAAAAAAAGCGAATAATATGTAGAACGGTGCTGGATTTGTAAAAAAGTGATAAAGTAGGATGAATGTTCTTTTGTTATTATTACTATAATCAAAAAAATAAATAAATAATATATTGGTGATGATGATGATGATGATGATGATCTGATTGTTGTTGTTGTTGTTGTTGTTGTTGTTGTTGTTGTTGTTGTTGTTGTTGTTGTTGTTTTTGATTGTTGGTTTATTTATATGTAGTAAAGTATTAATTGAGTAATAAACATTAAAAACAATAATTTAATATGGAAAGAGATGATTATTTTATTGTATTTATTAACATTAATGGATGTGGATTATCATTTTAGAACGAATCGTTTGGTTCATAATATATATTATATTGGAGTGTGTTGGTGGGGTAGTATTTTTGGTGGTGTGAAGTGATTTGATTGTACATATTAATAAAGAATTGATGTTGAAAAACAAACATATATTTTGTGGGGTTGATCTTATTTTCATTCACCACATTTCATGTTTTTTCAAATGATGTTACTTCAACAACTTGATAGATAGATATAAAGAAGTAGCATTTAATAGTAAGATAGGTATTGATATTGTTTGTGGTTATTGGTCACATGTAAACAACAGTCTGACTGTTTTGTTGTTTTGTCTAACTTTGCATCCACTCATTCCTGAAATATTTATAAATTCATATAAAAAAAGTGTAATTCTTGTGATGTTCAGTGTTGTTATTGGTCTTTTATGTAAATTGGTGTGGGTGTCGAAATCAACCAATATTGTTGTTGATTATCGCACAACATACTGTGTTGTTTTTGTATTGTGAACTACGTTGTGTTGTATTGTTGTGTTGACATTTTACTATGTAATAGGATTCCCTCACTTTTCGTATCAATAAAAAGTAAACAGCAACAACAACACGACAATTCTACTTTTTCTTTTAAAAGTTTTAGTGAAGTGGGTAGTGGAATAAATGGTGAAGATCACAGATTGAATTAAAAAAAAAAAAAAAAAGTAATTCTACTTTGATCAATGAGATAAAATCATTGATCAATCAACATATCTTATGATTGATGAATTAATTAATTCTATACATATATTTATTTATGATTGATTATATTATCTATGATGATGATACATGCCTACAAAAAAATTAATTAAAAATACAATATAATGATTTGACCTGCGTTTGATTTAAATTAAAAACTAAAAAATTCTTTTTTGCTTATCAATAATTCTGTTTGATCTATTTTATTTATATATATACAATCTCTTTTATCTGTTATCTTAATATTTATGATTATATTATCGATGATTAAGGTGCTGTGATTAAAAGGTAATAAAAATAAAAGATAAAAAAATTTGACTAAAGCCACAATGATTTTCGTCTTTTTTATTAAATATTTTTTTTAATATTTGTGTTTTAAAGTGTGAAGATGATCCTCTAAAAAAACCACAAAACAACCTCTACCCCTAATCACAACAAACAAAATGTCGGTTTTTTTCGTGAATCCCAAACACTGCGAATCTTTTTTTTTACTGTGTGCTTTGACTTTGAAACCAAAACAAGCTCAGAGGGAATCGGAAACCAGGGATGACGCGGGATTTTTTTAACCTCGATCATCAAAAATAAAATAATTAAAAACAAAAGAAATTAATAATTAAATCAATTAAAATAAATAATTAAGATTACGAATTAATATATTAATATAATATAAGGGTTTTTAATTATGTATATATTTAAATTGATTTGATCGTTTTGTTTTGTTTTGTTTTGTTTTGTTTTGTTTGTTACAAGGATTTGATTTTATTTATTATTTTTAATTATTATTATTATTATTGAATGGTTCAGTTGATTGTTTGGTTATTTGATTTGGTGATGAAGTGAATAAGGGTTGTTTTGTTATTTTTAAATAACTTTGTGAATCATAAACTCTCTTTGAATCAAATGGTTGGTCTTTTCAACTAAATCTAAAAGTGAGGAGATATCGGCAGCCCATCCATTCAAAACTGTACTGGAATCTTTTGGAGCGACAAAAGTTGCAATTCCAGCAGGTCTGTCGATTCTTGCGAAAATAGTTTTATTTGAAACTAAATCTGAAATGAATTTCTCAGATTCCTATATATATATAATGATTAGTAAAAAGTAAATCAATAAACTACTACTATTATCACTAGTAAACTACTTACGTCTAAAGTTAAATCTAAAAGTTCAGCAAGTCTCTTGGTAGAGATTCTCTTGTAGTAGGTGGAGACTACACGGATGTTGTGCTCGACGACACGACTACGCAAGTCGTTCCAGCAGTTCTTCTCGCCCGAGAAGATGGACTGTGTGTTCAACTCGGTCTTGAACACCTCGACAAAGCTGGTCCATCTGATGAGTTCGATCGTTTTGAAACGGGTGAGCAGATCCTTGTAGACCGCCAAGTTGTTGAGTGGTTTGTAGTCGAGTATACGATTGAGGAGATCGCTCTGTTCGCTTCCCATTGGGGTGAGCACGATGTTGATACAGGCCAGCTTGAGTGCGGCGTTCATTTGCTCGAGGTCCTTCTGGATGTAGGGGGTGTCGTAGATCTGGAGGTAGCAACGTGTGATCTCCAGGTAGTTGGCGTCGTTGGTGTAGTAACGGATCAACTGCTTGTAGAACTCGACCTTCAAGTCGTGTGATTCATCCTCGGCCAACGTCTTTCTATTGACCTTATTGGCAATGAGTTGTGCACGAATAAAGTCCTTGTTGTTCATACAGAGTCGCATCTGCTCAATGAAGAACTGAATCTTCTCACGCTTCTCCATCGAACCGTATGTCTCAACCTGGAGATCCTGCAAAATCTTGGCAGCATCCGAAATATTACCTTCATCCTCTTTGATCTTTGACAATGTTCTAGTCAATCTTGCACGTTCATTTTCAACAAAAATCTATATATATATGTAATATTGCGATTAATATATATTGTATTCTGTTTTCCTTTGAGAATTTGTATATATTATATATTATTATTACCTTTCCATCAGTGATAGTTCTAAGTGTATCAATCAATTCCAATTTCAATTTCATATCTTTAATTTCATCTACATATATCATTGCTTCTTGTACGATTGCTCTAATTGCCTAATAAAAATAATGAATGGTTTTTATGTTAATATTGATTGTTGATAGTTGATTGTCGATGTAGGTTAAAAGACATACAGCTCTTGATTGACCTCTTCTCTTTGAAAGTAAAACCAATTTCTCATTGACCAAATCCAATTTCTTTGCTTCATAACATAATTTAATGATTTCAACAGCGATCTTTGATGTTGATGTTGCATCTTCTACTTGTCTACATTGTTTCTCTGCAACCAATAGATTATCAATGGCTTCATTTAAATTTTTCTATATAAATTTGAATTTAAAATTAAATAATATTAATATCAATTAAACAAGCTCGCTAATGAGAGAAACATGAATGTCAATTTATATTTAGTTAGTAACTAACCTTGGCAACTTCTCTGTTGGTTGTAATGGCAGCCTCTGCAACATTACTTAAATCTTGTACCATTGGTTGTGTCATGATTTTACTTTTACTTTTATATTCTAGATAAAATCAAAAATAAACAAATACTTAAAAAATTGAAACAAACTAAATACTACTTTACTATCTTATTTTAACAACTATATAATATATATATATTTCTACTTATTATTTACAAATTAATTTAAAAAAAAATAAAAATAAAGTAAATAAATCAATCTTTTTATGATCATGAACATCACCACCACCATTAAATTTTAAATTTAATTTAATTTTCTTATTTTTTAAAATTTTTAAATTGGAATGGTGTAACGTTTATTTTTTTGATACTCGTTTTTCAATCATTTAATCTATCTATTTTTATGTTTAATTTTAATTGTTGCATTCGTTTTTTAATATTTGAAAAAATGAGTGATCAACAGCAGCAACAACATCAACAACAACAATCACATCAAGAAGATGTAAATCAAGATATTGTAAACATAAATAATAAAAGAATGTTATCAAGCGAAAATGAAAATGAAATTAAAAATGAAAATGATTCAAAAAATATAGATAACAATACAAATGTTTTAACTACTACAACAACAACAACAACAACAACAACTACTTCTACAAATAGTAATAATAACGATAATAATAATAATAATAATAGCGATAATAATAAAAATAATAAAAATAGTAATAATAGTTATGATCGTAAAGGAGATAGAAAGAAAAAATTGAAATTGGATAACAGAAGAAAAAATAATAAATCGAAAAAAGATGCGAAAAATAAGATTCGTGAGGAGGAAGGAAATATCACAAAGGAACTGCTGGCAGAGACTACTTATGTCGTTGAGGATGGTCTGAGAAAAGTACAACCCTATTACTTTACTTTCAAGGTTTGGGCAAAGGAACGTTGGTATGGTCGTGAACTGCTAGAGATGTTCACCAATGAGTTCTCGCAACTACCAGAGTCGATCTACCGGCTGAAGATCAAATTGGGTTGGATCAAGGTGAATGGCAAGATCGTCTCACCCAACTACAAACTTACCAATAAAGACGAGATAGAACATCGAGTGCATCGCCACGAACCACCGGTTTCTGGCGCACCAATCCACGTGGTAGCCGTTGATGACGACGTCGTCGTAGTCGACAAACCATCGTCGATTCCCATACATCCTTGTGGCCGATTCCGTCACAACACTTTGATTTACATATTGGCGGCGGAACTGGGATACAACAGGTTGTATGGAGTGCACAGATTGGACAGATTGACTTCGGGTCTGCTGATATTGGCGCGTTCGCCTGCCGCCGCCACAAAGAAGAGCGAAGCGATTATGAGCGGAAATGTGACAAAGCGATATGTTGCGCAGGTTAGAGGACGTTTTCCAGATGGCGACATCACGGTTGACCAGCCGCTAAAAGTGCAGAATCATCGTCTGGGCTTGAACCAAGTGTCGCCCGACGGCAAGCCTGCACTCACTGTGATCACGCGACTCTCCTACGACGCAGAGACTGACACCAGCGTAGTCAGCTGCCTACCGAAAACCGGAAGAACTCACCAGATTCGTTTGCATCTTCAGTGGATCGGACATCCAATTACAAACGATCCGCTCTATAATGAACATTTCAAATTGAATGCAGGCAAGATTATGACATCCGATGGATTCGAAGGTTTGGGTGGTGGTGAGTTTGACGAAGATGGTGAGCCACCAACAGAAGGAAAGCAAAATAAATTTGAAGCGATCATCAACGAGGCGGATTTCGACGAAAACTCACCAATGCCTTGTTTGGACTGTAAAATAGATTGGGGTGATCCAAATAGCTATGCATTTGGAATATACTTACATGCTTATCAGTATTCAGGCGAAGGTTGGTCTTACCAAACTGAATTGCCAGCTTGGGCAAAACAAACACCAAACGAACAAACAAGTATCACAACGACGACAACAACAAAAAAATCAGCAGAGTTGTCAACAAACCCAACTACCACCACGGAGCAAAGTGAGGTTTAATTGATTTAAATAATAAATTATTAAAGTAACAAAAACAAAATTTAGTTGGCTATTTATTTCTTAATCTTTTCTAAAAGATAAAAGTAATCATGGCGAATAGTAAAGTAAGCAAGCCGAATGGAGCCAATGAGTTTGAACCATATCTGTAACAAGTGACTACGCTACTACTGAAACAGCCACCACAAGTTACATTAATAGGATAAAAAGAACCACCCTAAGAGGAATGAGGTGGTTCTTTTTAGCGCAATCAGAGATAGAATTATAAGTTGAACCAATGTGGATTTATTGTAGAAATACATATTCCAACTGGAATAGTGACACATCTCTTGGTTCCAAGACTACCTCACAATTGGTGATTATAACCGGCGCATATACCACACATAGTCATATGATCGGCTGCGTCAAGAGTTATAAAAGTAATAATTAGAATGATCAAAGAATTAGTTTCATTCTATGTATTTTATTCTAATTTAGATTTCCTTAAACAATTAATATTTCACCTTCTCATTTTAAAGATTGTTGGTTATATATTGATCCACCATAAATTTACATTTTTTAATATTTGATTTTACAGTGATTTAAACCAAATTAAAAATATCAAGATTTTTTTTACTTTGAAATCTAGTTTTTCGGGTGTTTTGTTTTGGGTTTTGTAACCTCCAGATATTGTTTCCAATCTTAAAGGTTTATAAATTAATCTTTGGATTTCAAGAATATTATACATTCCATAAACAATTAAAAATTTGTAATTAAAAAATTATTTTTATTTATTGTAAATGTTATTCACTTTTTAAAAAAAAAATTCTTGAATCAACTTTTAAGTATTTAGTAAACTTTTGATTTTTCCTTTTCTGTTTTCCACAAGTGCAGTTTAGAAATCTATTCCTCTCATTTTTTTATTTTTGATACTCTTTTTTTCAATCAAGAAATTCAATTGAGTGCTTAAAAATAACAACAATCTCATTTAAAAGATTGAAAGTAAAATTTGATTGTGATAAATTTTAATATTTTATTTCTATTTATTTCCTAATAAATTATTAATATCTATATATTTACTCTTTAAAAGGAAAGAGTAATAATGGCAAGTAAAGAAACCAAAACTAATGAAGCCAAGGGGTATGAGGCATCATTGTTACAGGTGAATGAGGTACCATTATCACAACCTCCACAAGCCTCTAAAAACACAGTACCGTTGGTGTTTGTTTTGCAATCAGACAAAGAAGTATAAACTCCACCATAGGCTGCTCCAGTTTCAAATGTAGTAATATTAAAGTAGTATGGCATTGGTTTACCTGAACAAATATCGTTGAAAGTACTATTTAAAATATTATTAGTAGATTCATAGTTTTGCTGTAGGCGTAGAAATACTTACTGACATGTTCCCATTGGAACATTGACACATTTCATCGATCCAGGACTCTTACATGGTAGGTGTTCTGAACCAGAGCATACATCACAAAAAGTGATACTTTCAGCGGCGGCAAGAGCTACAAAGGCAAAAAATAAGATAATTGAAGTAATAATTTTCATTCTATTTTTTATATTTATTTTTTTTATATTTTACAATCCATACGATTCAACTTCCTTAAATATTAATCTATCCTAGGATCCAGAGACCCATTGGTTTTAATCGGCTTTTAAAAATAGTATTAATATATTAGCATTTCCCATTTTGTCATTGATTTGAGTACTGATCTACCTTCACACGATACAAATTTTAAGATATTCAGAAAATTTAAAAAATATCAAGATTTTAGCTTAATTTTTAAGACACCTTGCATGCAATATGCAATTCAATAAAATTTTCTTGGATTTCAAGGTGATGGTTGCAAAAAAACAAAATTTTAAAAACTCATAATAATGGGCACAAAAAATGTCGACGGTATCAACAATATCAACTAATTTTTTTTTTGAATTTTTTTGCACATAATTTATATGATGAAAAATAATCAAATAAATACAAATAAATTAAAAAAAATAATAATAAAATAATAATAATATTTTTATTCATTCATCTTAAGTCCTCTACATATAAATTGATTAATAAGCCAATACAACACCAAATTTTATGATGTTCATCCAATATTTCGTTGAAATTGTCAATTTTGCTTCTGAAATTCATGGTAGCAATTGCCCATTTCTTAATATGAGCAAAGACATTCTCTATTATGATTCTAACAGATTTAAATCTATTGTCTGCTTCCTTCCTTTCATCATCCTCTCCATCTTTTCTATCCTCTCTGTCGATAACAATAAAACGTTTGTACAAAATATGGGAACCTTGAAAACCTTTGTCACCCATTATGTACTCAAACGAATCGTCAAATTTATTTAAAAATGGTCCTACTTCATACATCATACCTTGATCATTTCTTGATCCGGGCCTAGTATGTGACATATATTGGATCTTTCCATTAGGAGAACAAAACACTAGTTTGTTGACTGATGAAAACCCTTTTTTTCCACTATAATAACATATTTTGAGATCAGAGTTCAACGGTACAACTACCCTTTGTTCAGATCCGTCCACAACTGAAGTCACTAAGCATGAATCACCATAATAATCTTTATAAATGGCACTTGATTTCTTTCTTTGTTGATCATCTGAATAAAATTGGAAAGATTCTTGAGACAATGGAAACATGAGATCTATTATTTGCTTGGTATATCTTTGTTGAGATCTTCTGGATATTTAGAAAATCACTTGTGTCACTATATGTTTCGGGTAATGCTTAAACCAAAACAAGGTAATAAAAAGCTTTCCTTTTAAAGAGTATTTACCTTTTCTGGTTATTTTTGAATGACTACGTTCTTTGATCTTGAGAAAAAGATCATTAAAATCATTCTTATTTAAGCCAATGAATAGTTTAATATCTTCATCACAATATTCTTTCAATAGACTATTTACAACTTAAAGATATAAAAAGGTTATTTTTATTAGTTATTATTTTTTAGCTTTAGAGGTTGTAGCTCTTTTTTTTTTAGGTTTATTCTTACTTGAATCTTGTTCGGATGCATCCTCTTCATTTGTTTCTTCCCTAACTGATGAGTTAGAGGTAGTTGTGGTAGTTGTGGTAGTTGTAGGAGAGCTATCGGGGTTTAAAGTTTCAAGACCTTTGAATAATTTTTCTTTTGATTGAATCTTTTCTCTCCAATTCTTTACACTAATATTTGAAACATAGGCAATCAAGTGGCCAAAACAACAAAAATAGGAAAATGAATCTGTTGTTTGTGGCAATCCGGTTGCTTTAATTCCTATTCTAGTGGTACATTTCTCGCCACATTGATCACATTTACTTGTAGAGCCTTTTTCCAAATTTAGGACACTATCTTTAGCATTATCTTGATGACTTTTAATACCAAGTTGTCTTCTAATAAGTTGAATACTTTCATAGTCGGTAAAATGAGTGCACTTGCATATAATAACGCACTTTTCTCCATTAACAACCTGAAACCTTTGACCTCCCCTAGTTGGATTGAGACAACGTATTTGACTAGATAATGAATTTGGAATAGATAAGGTTTGTGCAAGGAAACATGCGGAGTCATCCTCTACTATGTCTGCATCTATCGTATTAGATCCAAATTCAACTTTAGGTTCATCTATTTCTCTATTTCTCTGGTTTAACCTTGATAGGTTGAGCATATGAATCATAAAATGAAGTTGATGATGAACTGAGTAAAGTTGGTGAGTTTAATAAAGATTGTGGTGAACTTAATGAGATAGATTGGCTGAGTGTATTATCGTGAAGTTGATTAATCTTTCTTTTTTTTTTTTCTAACTGTGTTGTTAAACTATTGACTTTATCTTCCATTGACCTGAATTGTTTAGACATGTCCAAAAGTGATTTTACATCAGCAAGCTCTCCCAAACCAAAGTATTTCATTATCTTGGGAATACACTCCTCGATTCCATGACTTTGAAATTCCTGAACAGAAGAAAGTTGTTTATTACATAAACGACATGTAACAGAAAAGCTAATATCCATCGTATTAAATTTTTGTATTAATTTATTTATTTATTTATTGAGCTGTTCCCACATAAATTTTAAAAAAAATAGAAGAAAAAAATTTGTTGACAGTGTCAACATTGTCGACATTTTTTGTGCCCATTATTATCATTTAAATTTGAATTTTTGAAATGATTATTTTATAAATTGGAGCCACAAGGTGTTATATAATCAGAAACCACATAAATCAGAAGTCTATAACATATTTATATATGTTTACTTCAATAAATAGAGAGTTAATATCACCGTTGCACACATGAGGTCCATATTTATATTAAATATTGAAATATCACGTGCATTCACGATATATATAGTTTATATAACATTTACAAAAGCTACCTTAAAGTTTGAGTTATGTATAGTTATTTATGTACTATATATATATCGAGCAACGAGTTATCTATATACAACAGGTTATGTAAGTATAAAAGATACAGGTATGGTGAGTATTTCATCCATGTGGGAATTCAGCATGAATTAGAAAACATGTCTCATTTATATGGGGCAAAATATATAAATGAGACATGTTTTCCACGGAAACAGTTGTCTGGTCTGCTAACATGCGTAGCCAATAGTGATCATCAAATGAAGGACTAATGTTCAGACATTCTAATCGAATTTGGCTCCAAAAAATTGGTAGATACACTATCAAAAAAAAGGTGATCTGTGGCTGTTAACAGTTTCTTGAATCACCTTTTTTGGCAACATCACGTCTAGTGAACCAGTCCCAGGTAGATTTTCATATATTAGATGAACTAGATGATTTTCATTTCACCATTGTTTATTTTAAACTATTTGCTCGACCAATTTTTTTTCTATTTTTTGTAGTATTTTTTATTTATTTTCTATATTTTCCTAATTAAAATTATTGATATTTAAATTTAATAATTAAAAGACAAGGGCAATCAAGGCGAATAAAGAAACCAAGCCGAATGAAGCCAGTGAGTAAGAACTATTACCTTCGTTACAGGTGAGTGTGGTACCTTTTTGACAATCACCACAAGTCTCTGCAAGGGGTGAAGCATTGATATTAGATGAACAAGAAGCCATAGAATGATAAACATATCCAAGAGCAACACCGGTGTCAATTGAACGAATGAAATAGGTATATGGCATTGGCTGACCTGTACAAATATTCTTTGAAATTACTTGATAGAATTTTAAAAAATTCTTAGCTAAAGCTGATTTTGGATTCAGGGTTGATATACTTACTAACATGTTCCAAGTGGAACATTGACACATTTCTTCGATCCACCACTACCACATTGTAGGAGTCCTGAACCAGAGCATACACCACAAAGTGTGACACTGTCAGCGGCGGCAAGAGCTACAAAAGCAAAAATTAAGATAATTGAAGTAATAATTCTAATTATATTTTAGATATACATATATATTATTTTTAGAGTTATAAAAATTATACAAACCAAACGATTCAACTTCCATAAATATTATTTGAATCCTAGCATCCAAAGAACCAAGGATTTTATTAAAATCACCTTTTTAATAATAATAGTATTATTTAATTACACCTTTTGCATTTTTAAGATTAGGTGCTTATATATTTTGATGATGGTCTATCAACCTAAGCACGATACAAATTTTTGTTAGATTTTAGAAAATTACTCTTCAATTATCTTTAAATTTCAAGCTGATTGTACACTGTTTATTAATTTTGAAGAATTGTTGATTCGATTTTAACTCTCAAAGAGATTATTATTAAAATCATAAAATAAAATATCAAACCATGTTTGATTTTATTAAAAATTAGTTAAATTGAAAGCATTTTTATAGTAGATTTAGAATATCGAGTTTGTTTAATTCTTTAAAAAAATTTGGAATAGAGATCTTCAACCAAAAATTGGTGTTCAATTGTAATATGTGAAATTTTTTGAGAAATTTAATGATTAAAAATTGCTGAATAAATATTTAACAAGGCCCCTACTGATTAAATAAAGAACATACATCGAATAGAGTTAAATGTATATCTGAATTTTATATATTTTAGGATGACATCTATTTACAGAATTACATATTGAATAGAGTTTCAAATTCCATCATCTTTGTAAGTTATTTTGCTTTAGTTGAACGGAAACTAACTTAATTGATATCAAAATAGTAGATCCAAACATGAGCCTCTATATTCGAATAATGAATTCCATTTGGATTCTAATACATCACGTGTAGTAGTGTTGTGGATCATAAATATAGAAACACACCTTAAGTAAGGTTTGATAAAAGGATAATTCGTCTTAGTGTAACTCAAATCTACTATGAATAACCATATTGTAAAACTTATTAACATATATCCAATTTTTATAGATTGCAGCAGGTTCAAAGATAGATACTGGCAAATCAATTTCCAGTGCAAGTCAAATACAGACATTTGTTCTCTATCCTACAGTAACAAATGAACAAACAACTTGCAATCAACTTTAGTAGAAATCGATTTTTTAAATGAAATAGAATTATATAATTTTTAGAAAAAACAAGTTTCACTGATGAACAATGTATGATTGATTTATTAAATTACAATATAAAATTTTTTTTGTTAATTTATTTCAACTTTGCACCTTTTATGTCAAAAAAAAAAAAAGTCTTCTTGAAATCCAAAGATAAATTTATTTTGGTAAGTACCAACACCAAGAGTATTCCCCTTTTGATCTTAATTTTTACAATTAAAAACAAATACATTACGAGTGAAAATGTACTTGTTTTTAGTGCAGCCAAAAATTTTTATTTTGTAAGGAGAGATGACCTACCATACAATAATCTCAAGATCAATATAGGGTGGAAATGGCTAAGGTAAAAATTTTGTTTTTTTTTCTCACTTAGGTACATTTTCACTTGTTAAATATTTAAATTTCTTTTTATCAAAAACAATTTGTTCTTCTTTAAAAGAAATTCAATAATTTCTTCATTTCTAATTATTATAATAAGGGAAATCTATTTCTTGTGAATCCATATTTTGATTCTCGTTTTTAAATTTATCAGTTGAAAAGAGTAAATTATTAATGGTGTTATTTGGGCAAAATAGACACACTGAATAATAAACTAACAACTACCTTAACGAGAAACATAGATATTAGTTGAAACTACAATATTCATTAATTTATAAATAAATTTATTTATTTATAAAAAATAAAAAACTTTAAAAATGACATTGTTTGATGGTGATAAATTTAGAATTTTATTTTCTATATATTTCAAAAATAAAATTATTGATATTTATAAATTTAATCATTAAAAGACGAGAGCAATCAAGGCGAATAAGGAAATCAAACCGAATGAAGCCAATGAGTAAGAACCATTACCATCGTTACAGGTGAGTGTGGTACCTTGTTGACAATCTCCACAAGACTCCGCAAGTGGTGAGGCGTTGATCTGGGAGGAACAATCAGACATAGAAGTATAAACCGATCCAAGAGCATAACCAGTGTCAATTGAACTAATGTAATAGGTGTATGGCATTGGCAGACCTGTACAAATATCATTGAAATTACTTTAAAGAGTGAAAATATATTTTTAGTAGAAGCTTTTTGGTATTGGATTCGGGTATAAATACTTACTAACATCTTCCAACAGGAACATTAACACATTTCTTTGATCCACCACTACCACATTGAAGGAGTCCTGAACCAGAGCATACACCACAAAGTGTGACACTATCAGCGGCGACAAGGGCGACAAAAGCAAAAATTAAGATAATTGAAGTAATAATTCTCATTCTATTTATTTTATATATATATATATTATTTTTAGAGTTATAAAATCCAAACGATTCAACTTCCTTAAATATTATTAGAATCCTAGCATCCAAAGAACCAAGGATTTGATTAAAATCACCTTTTTTTAATAATAGTAATATTTAATTACAACTTTTGCATTTTTTTAGGATTTATTGGCTTTATTTTGATGATGGTCTAATCAACCTAAGAACGATACAAATTTGTGATGGATATTAGTAAATTACTCTTCAGTACAGTGATTTAAACCATTTTAAAAAATATCCTGATAGAAATTTTCACCTTGCATAATTTCGCCAATCCCTCAAACAATTTAAAAATAAAATTATCTTTGGATTTTGAGAGTGGAACGGGTGATCTTAAAACTAAATCCTAATTTGTTTCAAATTTTAATAAAAATAAAATTAAAACAAATATCTTTTAAAGATATTTATTATCAATTTTTTTCTTTTTTTTATTTTAGGAAAAACAAAAGTTTGTAGATTTAAATCAGATGATTATTGAAGAGGGAAGTGTTTTGTGATTCTTTTTATTATGTGGCCAGAGGTTGTTGTTCAATGAGTTTGTAGGAAGTTAAGGTGGACAAGATTTTAGAGGTCTTGATCATGAAATAAACTATTGTTTTAGTTATATATATTTTTGTTTTTAAATTAAAGATCAGTTAATAATAAAAGTAATAAATTGTTTTTTTTTTATAATTCATTTCAAGCATTTTATTTAAACATATGATTTATTGGGAGTTTTAGATATTCTGGTTTTTTGTGAGAGTACAGACATTTGATTGATTTTAGTTGTTTTAATTTTGATTTCTTTTTTTTTTCTTCTATCCATGAAAATGATCAAGGATTATTGATCAAGTATACGTAGATTACCAGAAACCACCTTATTTTCAAATTCCGAACCTTCGGGAATGTCAATTCTTGATCCATGATTGGCGACAACAATTACAGTACCCTTGAGTACAATTCCTGGACCAAAGGTTACGTCACCACTGACTGTGAGTTGGTCGAGCTCCAAGATATCTGGAATACCTTTGATTCTAGCTTGATAGTCTGATACCTTCTTAAAGTTATCACCGAGCTTCACTAATGGTACAGATGTAAATGGACGATTCTTGTTCATGACCAACATTCCATTCTCCAGTGAGTAGAGGTTGGATTGAACAATAAAGAGGTCAGAGGTTGACTTGACCGGTAAAAATCTGGTACGTGGAACATTGACACCACGAGCGTTGTTGAAAAATTGGATGGCGGCACCAGCGGCAATCTCAAGTTGGAGGATCGATTTGCCGTCGGCAACCTTTGGATTGATGATAATGTCCATGTCGTCCAAGAGGTTCTCCTTTAGTACACGATCGATAGCTTTCAAATTGACCCAGATGTTGTTGGTGTTGAAGATCTTGAACTTCTTGATCGATTTGAACTCCTCGACCTTGGACGATGGTACTTGTGCGATCTCTAGAAGCTTGGCTTTACCTTCGTACTCGATAAGAGTACCACCCTTTACGTCTGCTCTTGTTTTATTGGTTACCTCCATAACATACTCGCAGTTGGTCGACTCCATCATATTGAGAATATTAAAGTCGACAACAGCACCGAGATTATCAACGTTCGAAATAAATAAATACTCTTTGCCCTCGTTGATCAAAGTCTCGAGGAGTCCAGAGTTTTGTAGGGCAAAGAAGACATCACCATGTCCAGGTGGATAGTAGGCAGAGTCATCACCAAACATCTTTTCTGGCACTGGCATGAGATTGTCTTTCAGAATTCTTGGGAAACGACTTTGGTTGAAAGAGTGAATCTTTACATCTGAATATTTATACTTTTGAATGATCTTTCCAGTTTCATGATGAGTGTTGAATGAATTCATCAAAACCAAAGGTACTCTAATATTATAATGTTCATTCATTTCCTAAAATGTGTTAGAAATAAAAGAAAATAAATAGTTGATTAATATATAAATATACATTGATTTCAATATGATTTCTCTTACTTTAATTTGTTGAACTGTTAAATCCAAGAAAGTCTTGTCACCTCTAACTTCGATTGCAGACTTTGGGCCGGTGCAACCCATGGTTGTTCCAAGTCCACCATTCAATTTCAAGACTGCAAGCTTACCAGCGAGATCCGAACGACGCTCATGAGAACATGCAGGCAACTCTTTGTAGTTCAAGACCATCTCGGTTGGAGGTGGTTTGATCTTTTCCCACTCGATGACCTTCTTTCTGTTCTTGAGGAATCTAGTAAACAATTTAGTGATGGCAGGAATCTCCTTTGTGATAAACTCCTTCTTGACAGCTTCATTTGGAGCGGTGGCAGCAATCAACTCCAAACGCTTCACAAAGTTGTCCTCAGTGGCCAAATCGGAGGATCGCAATCCAAACGATTGGAGTTGAGGTGATTGAGGTAATGGACTTTGAATATGATCTGGTTTCATCATTTTTTTTTTTGAATCTTTTAGAGAATTACCAATTAACTAAAAACTAATTGACTGACTGATTGACTGATTGATTGATTGACTATTAAAAACTAATATATATTTGATAAAATTTAAATATTACAAATGACTAACTAACTAAACTAATAATATAAAATCAAAATCAAAATTAGTATCAAGATAAATATATATATTTTAATATATATTGGGTTTGGATTATTGAAATATGAAAATTAATATTAAATAAAATATTTTATCCAAAATAAAAATAATAATTTTTGTATGTCTAGTGTTGGTTTTGAGTGTAATTGTGATTGTTTTGTTGATTTGATTGAAAAATATACAAATGTATACGAGTGATGTAGTGGTGGTGTTTTTGGTTTGTAATTGTGAAGTAGAGCTGTCAAAAACAGTGATTAGTAATAAATGAATAAAATTATTTAATTATTTTTTGAGTTTTGTTGTTGTTGTTATTCTGTTTTTTGTTTGTTTTTTAATATAATAATGTCAAGAGACATGTTGGTATTGCAATATCAACACAATTAACACAGTGCTAACCAAACTTATTTTGATTTAATTAGCAATAATGACATATAACATTTTTATGTTGGTAGTTAGATAGTTTGAAATAAATATATGTTTTCTACGATTTAATCAACATTTGAAAAAAGGAAAGGGGTTGGTGTGATTGATTAAGTGAGTGAGTGTGAGCAAGATAGGGTAGCTGAATATGACTAAAGTAGTGATCGTGGTTATGAAGATGGTTGTTTTTATTCAAACATATAAAAAATATGTTATCTAGATAATAGGATAATTATTGTTGTTATTTTTTTTTTAATCATTCCATTCCTTTTTTGATTAATTATTACTATTTTTTATTTTTGATTATATTATATTTATTACCTATTAATGGTATTAATATTAAAATATTGTTAATAATAGATAGATAGATAAAATAAATATGTATGTATGTTTGATGATGATTTATTTAATTGAATTTAATTTAATTTTCACTCAGACTCAATTATTTATATTATTTTGATTGTTTGTTTGGTTGTTTTAATTAAAATTAGTTTTTTGTGGTTGGAACCAAAGGTAAAGTTATGGTGTGTGTTCGATATTATTAATTAAACTAAACTTGTTTTTAATTAAAAATAATATATATGACTGTTGATTTTTAATTAAACTTTAAACTGTTTTTTTGTTTTTTTTTTTGCTTTGATTTTTTTCTAACAAACAACAAAAATGATAAACAAGTTTTGAAATGATTTAATCCAAAAATGTATAAGTGTTTGGGCTGACTGAAAAAAGTAAAGAAGCTCATTGGTATTGCCTATTTTTTTTTTTGTTATTTTTATGTTTTAAAGTCGGGTGTGTGGGGTGGATAAGATTAAACTATCTTCATACCACATCACCCACACTTTTTGTTTTTTAAAATTAAAAAAAAAAACAAACAAGTCATTTTTTTTTTTTTTGAAATTAAATTGGTGTGTAGTAAAATGATAATTGATTTGACAAACAAAATGAATTCATTCTCTAATAATGATGATGTTGATGTTGGGATTCATGGTGCCTTTTGTCTGTGTGATGCCATTCACTTGGCTGTATCTATGAATATTGTATAGCCGAGCTTGCAAGAACACCTATTGGTAATTATGTCATTATATAATAAAACCATCGAATGGAGTTGTGATTGATTTGATTTTTAGTTGGGTATAAGCCAGTATTGATTAATTGATTGACTGATTGTTTGTAAACTATACAAACAACTCAAAAAAATAGTGTATTGTAATGTTCTAATTTAACTAATATTATACCTTAGCTGATACATACAAGGAAAAAAAATTCTATATTTTTATACTTGTAATGAGATTATGATGAATGAATGAATTGATGTGATTGAGTTTAAATTGAATTGGAAATTGAATGTTAATTTGAATGAATAGAGTGGGTTGATTGCTAGCTTGTGAGTTACAATGTTAGGGGTTCTTCTGACAGATTTCGTATGATGTGTGTTTTGTGATAAATTAAACAACAAACTAATTTAAATAATAAAAATAAAATGGTTACTTTTTAAATGTATGAGCAATATAATAAATATTCTACCTTTTCTTTAAACTAAGAATCTAATAAATAAATAAATAAGTTAAATAAATACAAAGAAAAATAATTATAGAATAAATTAAAAACTGTTAAATTAAATGAAAGTAAAAAAAAAAAAAAGGATCTTAATGTGCTTATTTATTTAGCACAGACAAGCGAAGTGAACTTAGGATACCAATGATCCCAAATATAAAATTTGCAAATTAAAAAAAAATACAAAAAAAAAATAAAAAAAATAATGATAATCATGCAAAGCAAAAAAAAAAGTTTATTTACCTTGTTTGTTGATTCTAGATTGTTTTCTTTTTGAATAATAGTTTGAATATTAAATGATATGAAATGAAATGAATTCTTTGTTTTTGTTGACCTCTTTAAATACTCCAGAAACAGAGTTAGTTAACTAACGAAGCTATCGCTTGCTGATATGACAGAGCGCGTTTACCGATTAAAATGGATGTGCAAGACGACTGTGCACTCTATCAATAGTATATTGTTGACAACCAATATAATCGACCATCTCAAATCAACACTACCAAACCAATCGACAATCAAAAGACATCATAAAAATAATAGTATTAATCCTCTTATGTTATTTGTAATAATATATACCTTTATTTTGGTTTTTAAGTGATTCGACTTTAGTATTTATGTTTGTGGTTTAGGTGTGTGGGTATATAAAAATGTATTTATAATCACATGTGTTTAGTGGTGGTGTAGTTGTTAATATTAAAGTGTTGTGTGGGCAGTTAACTTATCCAATTAAATGGATGAAGTGGAACAGCCTACATACAATCAAGATATATATATTAATGATGAAAATCAATGCAAATCATGATATCTCCTCATCTAAATAATATTCTTTTATACTGATTTCCCGATTAGAAGTTGAAAGTTTGACAAAAATCTTGTATTATACAAATAAAAAATCCATCTATAAATAATCAAATTTTAATTTTTGTAAATCAAAGTTTTTTATAACATAATAAGATAACAATAAAAAAACTTTAAACATGTTTTATTATATGGTACTTTATATAAAAAATCATATTGTAAATCGAAACAATGTCTATTTTATAATGAAAAGTCAAACTATAGTGTTTTAATATAATTTTTTACTGTTTGTAATATTATTTAATTCACATCCTTTTTTTTAAAAGATAAAATAGAGTGAAAATGATACTTTATTATTAATTACAAATGTAATTAGTTATAGTTTTGGGTTTTATTTCTTTTATTGTAGATTTATAAAATTATATTATATATTTTTTAAAAACTTTTTGTTTGAATCTATCATCTTGAAGGAATGATTGATAAAAGAAATAAAATAAACTAAAAGTTGATATCATGATATTAAATATACATACAATATTTTCTCCAATGAATTCATTTGGTTATGTTTTTCTATCTTTTCTCTTCTTTAGATTCTCTTGTAGTTTGGTTTCAATATATTGATAGAGGAACTCCAATGATTTCTCTGATCTTTGTAAATAAAATTCGAGCATCGTTTAGAATCTATTGATATACTCACTGGGATATCCTTGATCACTCTGTTCATAGAGTTTGGCAAGATACTGAACCGCTTCCAAACTACGTGATCTCGGCGAGTTTGCAAAGAGATTGACAAATGTCAAATCTACCAGCTTGCACTGTTGAAATAAATGTCTTTTCTTGATCAAACATTTAATTACCATTGTGATACAAAATATGATGTAGATTTTCATTTTAATACTGCTTTAAATGGTCGAAATAGCCATAGATGATCATCATCTTTGGTGATCTAATGACACCAAGCCATGAATAAACATTAGATTCATATCGATCATATATCTCATAAACTTGATTGAATATATATTTAATACTAAACTATTGAATACTCTTGAGTATATCTCTTTATTCATTATTATTGTTTGTAATACAGATTAAAACAAATGAACACGCGCGAATACAATATTTTTTTTTTAAAAAATCACTTTTAACAAAAAGGTGAAATCAAAAAAAAGTAATACAAAATTTTTTTTTATTTGTGCAAAGTCTGGACACAATTCCAAAAATATTATAGTAATTTTAAATACTACATGTAAATGGTTTGGTTATTGGGCTTGTTTGTCTGTATTAATATTACAATTTAATTAATTGTATGTTAAATCATGTGATTTGGTGTGATTCATATGAAATTGGTTGTTCTCTGTCACTTCTTTATGAACCTAATTTCAATGCTGAATACCAAATACTACCAATCATGTTGATAGCCAATCCGATGATATTGTATGGATGAATAACAATGTCTTTAAAGATGATGGCACCAATCACTGTGGAAGCAATGTTTTTGATCTGTCCGGTTACCGATGTGGTCAGTGCCGAATTGACAGAAGTACAAAAGAATATACAGAAATTCAGAAGGAATCCAATGAAAACAGAGAGAATGAAATATAGCTGGAACATTGGGTCGTGTATCTGTGGATAGGTCATTACATAGGGAACCTCGCCGAAAATTAGCATCAGCACCGTTATGAATGGCAGAGAGAGCGCACTATTATAGTAGAGCATGTCGTAGGTAGATAGGTCACGTGCTGTCTTTTTCACATAGACCAAGTAGGTCGCTTGAAAGAAGCAACTCGTCAGCACAAGCGAATAGCCAAGTGCATTGAAAGTCATGTCTGTCATTCCGGCAATGACCGCGCCCATCACCATCACCATCACCGACATTACAACACGTGGCGGCGATACTTTATTCAATATCAGATACTCCATCACCAAAATAATGACTGCAACCAAACGCTTTAGTGCACTATACATTGGAATATTCAGTGATTTCAAACTATCCAGTCCAAGCAATACATTTACAACATAACATACTGATAATGGCATTAACTATAATATATAAAAAAAATAATTTTAATTAGATATGATCATATATTTAATATCAAAATATCATCTGACAAAAATAGATACCTTTTTAATTATTGAATAAGTTAAATTTGTTTGTATATTCAATATTTTCATATATTTTAAAAAGTGAAGAGTGGTAATCGATACTATCATCTGGCAGAATAATAATACATTGGATGCTTCAAAATTGTAGGTGGTCATCACCTTTTTGTTAAATATAGTTTGACATAGACTGACTGACCCTGAAATAGATGTTAATTCAATGCGCTATAGGTTGTTAAGATAAGATGATTAGATGATAATTATTTACCATAGAGAATTACAGCGAATGCACTCTTTGTTGAATCTGACCATGGATTTATCTTGAATTTAAATGCTTTCGAATTATTAAAACTAAATTGTTGTTCTTTTTCTATTTTCTTTATCTTTTTCTTTGGCACTGTCTTGAATCAATGATTTATGTTCTTCAGCATGCTTATCTTTACCAGTAATACTACTTGTTATGTTGTTGTTGTTGGTGTTGTTGTCATGTTTATCATTATCATCTATCATTACAGTAGTTGTGATTGTACTGCTGCTCATTGACGGATGATGTTTGTCACTATGATGCTTATGAAGATGTTGGTGAACCTGATGAACTTGATTCATTTTATTTCTTCTTTTACCTTTTAAATCTAATTTCATTTATTTATATAAAACAATTTAATATTATGTTAAAATAAATGATTATTATTATTATTTATTTATTAATTTTATTAAAATAAGTAAATTAAACATTTAAATATAAATATATGAATATGAATATGGTAAGGTAACATTTGTTGTGATTTCAAACAACAACAACATCTTATCTTATACAACCACTCTCACTTTCATTTTACTACTACTAAACATTTTACATACCTTTTTTTGATTTCAAACAAAAACTGGCTATTCATAAAAGAAATTCTGCTGTTGTATTGTTGTGCTACTGTTTCTTTTTTAAAATGTATGTTATATTTGTGAGCAAGTGGTGTGTGTTAATAGTTTGTTCTTCAGTGCTTGAACAATAATTAAAATTACCACCGCGATGCAAACGAAAAAAGTGTCGTCTATCAAAGACACCTTTTCTCAGGTTGTTAGGGGGTATTTTTTGTTTTTCTAATTTCTATAAATTGATTAAATTGATTTATTAATAGATTTTATTTTTTTTTATTTTAAAAATATTAATTTATTTAATTTTATTTTATTTTATTTATTTTATTTATTTAGTAGTTCTTAGAACCAATTCTGAAAATGCTCTTGCCAATGATGGTATTGGATTATGATTTGGTGAATCGCTAATTGATCTTTGTGCTACCTTGTTAATCAATCTTAATAGTGATCCAATGATTGCTTTATTCTCTTCCGATAACTTCTTTATTAATTCTTTAATCGACTGTATTCTATCTTCTTGATTTTCTAATCCTATTTTTTTTTATAAATTATTAGTATATATATTTTTTAGAATTATTATTATTATTATTAAATGTAATGCATTGTTAATTTTTGATCAAACTTACTTTCTGCTAATAACCATTCTTGGAAGAGTGATTTTGAGAGGAATGGATCGACTGTTTTAAAGAAATGCTTGAGGAGTTCCGATGCCATGTAGACATCGACTTGGTCACCTCCCATTGTGTTACCATTGACCTTGAGTGAGTCAGAGTAGACCTTACCCTCGTTGCTCGCAATCTGAGCACTCTGAATAAGCTGTTCTGACGTGAGATCACTAATAGTATCGAGATAACCAGATGTTTTCATGAGGATTGGCGATGTTTGATTCTTTATATTCGCTGGGAACAACTGTTCATGATTTAGAATCATAATCTCCATTACAAATGAACCTGGTGGTTTATTGGCACTCGATGATGTTGATGTTGATGGTGGTGGTGATTTAGTAGTAGTAGTTGTTGTAGTTGTAGTTGGTTTAGAATTTATAACAGCTTGAGAAGGTGGTGTTACAACTGAGATAGCAGCTGGTTTTGGTTTAAAAGAAGATGATGAAGATGGTTGTTGTGTTTGAGCTGTTGTTGTTGTCGTTGTTGTTGGTAATTGAGTTGAAGAGGTTGTAGTTGTTGTTGATGTTTGAAGTGGTGCGACAATGGGTGCCGGTTTGATGATTGGTGATGAGATTGGTGTTGTCGTTGGTTTGACACCGCCGTTCGCCGTCAAATTGGAAGTTGGTTGTGAAATGTTCAGTGGTGAAGGTGATGTTATATTGCTATGAGTATTTACATTGTTATTGTTTTTGCCTATTGAGTTTCCGCTACCATTCATATTATTAACAACCAAACCATTGGAACTACCAATACTATTGCTCTTCTTCTCTGACTCAACATTATTAACATGTAAATTATTCAAACTTGAAGTTCTAGTATTATTCGTTAGAGGTGTAACATTATTACTACTACTATTGTTATTGTTATTATAAGTATTTGAAGGTGATGATCTTTGTTGTTGTTGTATTCCATTTGTATTAATATTTGATAAACTATTACTATTACTGTTTGGTATTATATGGTTAGAGTATTGAGGAACGGAATGTTCGTTGGTGGCGTGCAACAGGTATGACTTCTCGGTTTGTTGGTCGTGTAGCGCGTGGTAGAGCATGTGAACTTGGTGTTCTAATCCACGCACACGAGCAACATCGACCATACGCTCGTCGGTGATGAGATCGGGACCGCACTCGAGAATCTGCACGATTCCAGAGACGTAGATCTCCGAGGCGATGCGCGCAGCCTCACGTCTTGCAAGCTCACGAATCAAGTCCTGCTTGATGTAGTAGTGATCTTTGATGCGTGCACTGCACGACTGGAATACCGGGTGCAGCTTAAAGTAGTCGCTAAAGTAGCCCTCGCGAATCTTGAGGTAGAGACGCTCCAGCTCGATGTCCCACTTTGAGAGGTCACGCTCGATCGTGTTGCAGTGCTCGTAGAGTTTGGTGACTTCGTTGCACACCGACACGAAACGATCTCGCAACTCACGGACACTGCGCTTCTCGATCTTCAAGAATGCAATGGCGGCTTCGACTTGTTTCTTTTGTTTCTCGAGTTCCAGCACCTTCTTTGACTTCTCTTTCGATTTGAACTTCTTCTTCTTGGACGCCTCCTCTATGGAGAGATCTAGCATTTGATACTGCTGTGCAAGATCGGTCATGAACGTGAGAATTGTATTGCGAACGGCATCGCAGTCTGCTACGATCTGTGCGTTTTGTTTGAGTTCGGTGTTGACTTGCTTCTTTGTGATACGACGTTCGAGTATCTGGTGAATCTCTGTCGATAGATTGTGAAGACTGGATGTCAACAACACTCTATTCTTAAACTGTATTCTTTCAATACGATACTTTGCATTGTTCAACACCTCTGATATCTTTTGATTGATATCCTCTGTGATAACACTGGTCGCAGCAGTATGAAGTAGATTATTAATCGATGTATTCAATGCTGATTCTCTCTTTAACAATGATGGTGATGAGTTGTTATTATTAGCTTGTTGTTGGAATTGTTGTTGTTGTTGTTGTTGTTGTTGTTGATATTGTTGTTGAATTTGATGATTTGGTGTGATTGTAGGTGATCGCTTTCTACCAGTGTTTGGTGAGAATTCTCCACTGTTATTAATAACAGATTTAGTTGCACCACTAATAGTATTAGGTGTAGCAGTAGCAGTAGTAGTTGTGGTAGTAGTTGTTGCTGTTGTTGTATTGATGGGTGGTTTCTGACCGGTTGATTTAATAGGTGTGTTGTTGGTTGTCTTTAACAACTGAATCTTCTTTTTCTTCAACTCCAAATCACCTTTAATCTCATTGAGTTGATTATCTAGATCTACAATTACACTGGAATGATCTTTAGCGACATCCTTACTCTTCTTATACTCCTTCATAAGAGTGAGTAACTTTTCTTTGTTGATAGTAACATTATCGTTATCATGATTGTCACCATTGTTGTTGTTGTTGTTGTTACCACCATTGTTGTTATTATTATTATTATTATTACTATTACTACTGTTATAACTTGTTGTTAAATCATCTAGATCCTTCTCGATTGTCTCGTAGAAACGTGTTTCCTCTTCGGTTGGTATGAGTGTCGCCGCTGCCTTGGCACTGGACGATATCGAAGAGAGCGATAGATTACTCTTGGAATGAGGCAGATCTGTGTGGTGGTGGTGGTGGTGGTGATGATGACTACCACCATGATTCGAGTCGAGATCATCATCGAGATTGTCGTACTCCTCTGGCAGTGTGTATACTTGGTCATGCAAGATCTCGCGTGACAACGGACCAATCACAGACTTTCTCAAGACATCTCTGAGATCGGATATCTCATCGATAAGCTGACCTCTCTTGACGTCGTTCTTGTGCAATGTTTTATATTTGATAGTCCTACTGAAATCCCAACCTGTATGATCATCCTTATTGAAATCCTCTACATTGCTATCTTCTTTTAAATTAATTTTCTAAAAATAGTTGGTTGTAAAAAATAATTTATTTTAGAAATTATTATTTAATTTTTTTTTTTTTTTTCGTAGTTGCATATGATTGTTGTTCAATCAGATAGTCCATCTAATTGTATAACTTTTCTGAAACTTACTTTTCCACCATCAGACATTGGTGATTGAATTACACCACCTTTTGTTGTCATTTTTTTTTTAATCTAGAATATTTATATAAATGTTATTCCACTCCAAACTTTATTCTTTCTTTCTAATCTATATATATTATATATTTGTTGAATAATATATTTTATCTATCTATGAAATTTAAAAATATTAATATTAATAATCACTATTTTTATCTATAAAAATGTTATTTATTAAAATATTATTGTTATTATTATTTCTTCTGATTTTACAAATTATTGTTATGATTTATTTTCTATTATATAATTATAATAAATCAATATTAAATTAATTGTACAAATTGATATTATTTATTTTTGATTTGATATGATTGATTGATTGACTGATTGATTTTTGTGATGTGTGAGTGTTAATTAATATCGGATGGTGGTCCCTATCTAGAGTTATATCAGTTCTACCCAATTTTATTTTTATTTTTATTTTTATTATTTTTAAAATGGTTATACTATATGATTGATTTATGAGTTTTGGTAAGAATGATTTGTTAGGTAGAGGAGTGAATTTGATGATGGTAACTAGCTGTCCTGTTTTCAACCAAAATTATTTTTGCATTTTTAGATATTAAAGTAGGGGATGGGGATCAGATTTTTTTGAATAAAAAAAAATAAAAATAAAAATAAAAAAACTTTTTTTTTTTTAAAGGTTATCATTTTTCACAAAGTTTGATACTCTTCGATTTGTTTAGTTATGATGATATTCTTTTTCATAGGGTCTATAACACCCAGGTGAATGTGATAAAAACTAAACTATGAATATTCACTATACAATATTGTTGACTTGTCATTATTGGATTTGTACTTTTTTTTTTTTTTTTTTTCATGATTTTTCGATTTCCAAAAGGTATGCAAATATGTTGATTATTTATGTCATTGGTAATGATGATGGTAAAACATTCGAATTCGTAATTAAATAGTGGAATATACATATGATTTGTTACACACCTAGTAATGATTTATCAATACACATATTAATTTGGTATTATAACACCAGTATTTATTGATGAAGTAATATTTATGATGATTGTAATTGTAAAGATTGTTGATTTGAGTGAAAATTGACTTTGCTATTTTTTGTTTTTAACTTTGCTAAATAAAATAAATGTTCATATTGATTAATCTTGGTAATTTAAAATATTAAATATCTAAGATTGAAATAAACAGTAAAATATATCATCAAAATACTCTATCACCCATCCATAAATGATTGTTGATGAATTCTTTGAAAAGATTTGATGTTGTTTTTTTTTGAGTTACTATATTCTTACTTTATTATTATAATATATCTAACAATCCTATCTTGTAATATTTGCTAGTTGTTGATAAATAAACATAATAGATATTTTTCTAATTATATGAATGGAATTGAAAACAGCGTTGCAAAGTTATGCAAGTGGGGATCACTCCCGCTCATCTACCACAATCATTAAAAAAAAAAAAAAAAAAAAAAAATCAAATCAAAAACAAAAAAAAATGAATAACGGTAATGAGAATTGTGTTGAAGGCTTGATAGCCCCGACAAAAAAAACACCAATATAAAACAAATCAAAAAAAAAAAAAAAAAAAAAACAAAAATTTGTAAAAAGTGTTGAGTGCCTTTAAGAAACCGAACACTCATTTACATCCTCCTTTCGGGTGTTTTTTTTTTTTTGATTTGTTTGTTTGACCAATTTTTTTTTTAATTAAAAATCTCACCAAATTTCGTTGCTATTTGATTGAAGTTGGAGTGAGAGTGAATTTGAATCGGCAAAATTAACATAATTTAATGGGATGGATGTTGTCTTTCTACGGCAATATTTGCAGTGTTCTTCATCATCATGATCGACATGGGTCGTGATCTATTTATTTTTTACGATCATCAGTCAAACAACAACACAAAATGTTTTGTTATTATTATTATTGTATTTTATTTTATTATTATTGGTGAATTCCATTGATATTGAAGGAACTTCCCAGTTGAAGATCTTGGCCCAATGGCAATGGTGAGAAGTATCTGTCGATTTGACTGTCGGTGACCTCCTCAAGGGTTGCAGGTTGCCACTTTGGTTTTTGATCTTTGTCAACGACCACTGCACGCACACCTTCAAAAAAGTCGGGTGACTCCAAACATCTAATAGCAATTCTGTATTCCATTGTAAAGATTTCTTCCAGTGATCTATTACCTTCTTTAACTTGTCTAAAAGCAATCTAATGTAATTGAATAACGAAAATGTTAGACAACAAAAATTTAAAAACAAAACAGCTCAATTAAAGATGATAACATACTTTAACACTGGTCGGTGATTTAGTACGTATTAATTTGACTAAATCGGAACCCCATTTGGTTTTAGATGCTTCCAAAGCATCCAAAATCTCTTGTACATTATTGAATCGGTTAGCAAAACATTGTTGGATGAGAGGCCAGTCTTGTAACAGTTTAGATGGTTCTAAACAATTATATTTAAAAACTTAGTAATCTAATATTCTTCATTAATTCTATATATACACTTACGTTTTGGTTGAGATGCAAACTCATTGATGATTGCTTCAATTTTATTTCTGTCTTGTGAGTTGACTAGTGTAATAAGTTTTCTTTCCAACTCTGGTAGTTTCGATGACTCTACATAGTGTGTTGCAATTCCAAACTTGCTATAATAATTTAGTTGAGTAGGTTTATAGAATTGAATTAGTATTGAATGATCATGAAAACAACAAAAGCTATATCGACACTTACAGACAATCAGCACCACTTATACTCTTTCCAGTTATACCTAAATAGTTACCAAGTGAATCTGGTAATCTAGCTAAAAAGTATGATCCTCCAACATCTGGGAATAATCCAATTGCTAATTGTTTGATTGATATAGATTGAAAAAGAATTTTATTAATTAAATAGTTTGTTTGAGGATGATTGTTTTGTTTTGTTTTTAAATACATACAAACTTCAGGCATTGCCCAAACAGTTCTTTCAGTTACAATTCTAAAAGTTGAATGAATAGATACACCTAAACCTCCACCCACTGAAATGAACGGGAAAAGAAGTTAATTAGCAATCAATAAGCTTAACATTTATAATAAATATAGTAATATAGTTTTAAAAAACATACTTGAAATACCATCCCAAAATACAACGGTTGGTTTTTTCAAAGTGGCGGCAGTGTAATCCATATTATATTCATGTGTAAAGAAATATTTTGGGAAAGAATATCCTAGTTTTCTAGTTTGTGAAGTAAGTTCTATATTTATATTGTATAGATTAGATATTGAGATGAATGTTAGATTTGAAATTGTATCAAATTTGATATGAATAACTACTACTACTACTACTACGAACCTTTAATATCACCACCAGCACAATATGCTTTCTCACCGGCACCTTTTAGTACCAAGAGATGAGCATTATCATTGTTGGCATAGTTTAACAATTTCTTATTTAAATTTACAAAGATATGTGTATTTAGTACATTTAATTGCTTCAAACGGTTCAATGTAATGACAGTTGTATTATTCTCGTGTTTCTCCAACAAAACGCTATCGTTTTCATTTGATTGCTGTTGCTGTTGATTCATCTTTGATTTCAATGTTGATTGTTGTTGTTGTGAAACAGATGCAACTGATATAATATGTTCACCGATTACATTGATTCTCTTTATTGATTTCTCCATAATGGTTGTCATATTTTTAGGTATTTACTGTAGTAATATTATTATTGTATGTTAAAATATTTAATATATAAAATGAATGTGTATAGTAAATGCAATGATGATGATGAATCAAAAGTAATCAAATAAATGAGATTTCAAACTAAAAAGAAAAAGAAAACTGCTAAATTTCAACCTAAAACACAAAAAAACTGCTCATAACAATTTCTATTTTTTTTTTTTAACTTCTTCACCACATTGTTCCTTAAAAGGAAAATACTTTGTACTAAGCATCAAGATAATATCTCAATTAATTTGAATGTGTAGCTTTTTAGTGATGCAATAAAAATAATAAAAAATAATGAAGTTAATTAATCTTATTAATTTTAATATTTTATTGCAGAAGAATAAAAATATCTAAAATTAAATAAATTAAATAGAAATTAAAAAAAAGGTACTAAAAAGTCATAATTTTTGAGTTAATTTATTCATTTTTCCCAGACAACGTCATCCTCTTCTAAAAAAAGTTAAAAAAACTGTGAAAAATGTCATAAATAACTATCAACATGATGATGTTTTGGTAAAAACAGTGGTTTTAAACAAAATTTGCGAAATTTTATTTTTAATCAGAGTCGTTTGGTTCGAAAATAACAACATATTTAAATGTTAGATGAAATCAATCAAATCAATTTGAGTCTTGTTTAAACAACATTATCACAATTGTGTTTGTGTGTTTAATTTGCTATAATTATATTTATTATCGATAGAAATGACTGAAGTATTAAAATATTCACCTGCTCTAGTTGGTAGCGATATCCCGAATTTGACAAGCAAGTCAAAGAATCTCAAGGAGGAATCGAGACCTTTGGTATTATTATACGGTTGGATGGGTTCACAACCTGTCTATCTAAATAAGTACGCTCAACAATGGACCCAAAGAGGTTACAATGTATTCGCCTATTGTCCAAGTACTCTTGAAACGTATGTAGATCGCCTAAATAATTTCAAAATAATTTGTTGTTAATTATTATTAATTCATTCATTCTTGATAACAATTGTAATCAAATCAATCTAGATTCTTCCCACCATACCGTGTCAAACAAATCAATAATAAAATGCTACCAATCGTAAAAGGATACATTAAGGATCACCCACAATGCCAGGGTATCATTTTCCACTGTTTTTCGAATGGAGGTGGTTTCTACTACTCTGAAATAATTCATGAAATGGTGAATAATCCTGTATGTTATGTTATTATATTTCATAATCCAACCAATGATGATCATTACTAATAATAACAATTATTTATCTAAAAGGAATTCCAACATCTACATCAGTTTATGAAGGGAACCGTATTCGATAGTTTACCATCGTTGTCAATGAATGCCGGTTTAAGAGCTGCTCGTATCAGTGGCGGTTTACTTGTCTACCTATTTGTAAAGATATTAATGTTCCCATTGATGATATTGTTTATGGGTGATCATTGGGAAAGATATAAAAGAAATCTTTCACATGAAAAGGTAAGAATATACAAATATATATATATATTTACTTCACAATTACTAATATATCTTTTTGTTTGTACTTATATAAAGAATGTTTGGCCACACCTTGTAATATACAGTAAAGATGATTCGATTGTAACAGTAGATCAAGTTGAAATACTTATCGATTTGCTAAAGAATAAGACATTGGCAAAGAAGCCAAACTTGTATCTGGAAACATGCTTTGACAATTCTCCGCATGTCTGTCACTTGCGAACTCATCCAAAAGAATACGGTGAAAGTATGGATCAGTTAGTAGAGAGAATTTTCCAACATGCTACAGAAGCTGCCTAAATAATACAATCAATCATTAAAAAACATAAATAACATTGTAATACATTGAAATTATTGTCATTTTAACAAAAAAAAACTTTAATTTTTTTTCCTTTTTTGGTGTGCATTAATTTTAAAAAAAATTTAAAAAAGGCGGGTATAATGATGATTGTGATCAAGCAAGTTAATCATTTTTTTTAAAGGTGTTTGATTGATCAATCAATATTAAGAATATATATATATATAGAATAATATAGAATATAAATATGATTATAATTAATAAACCATCAAATGCAGATGAAGATGAGCAGAAACGTTGGTGCATTCTAGAGTTTCAAGGTTGTTTCGAAGATAGTACTCCATCAAAGTTATCGAATGAAGTATTGGGTGAATTAATTCATAAAGAAAAGGTATGATTATTAGCTATTACATGTAGTTAAAATTCATTTATTTATTAAGTCATTAATTCATTTTAAAAATAATATAATAAAGGATATATATCAATTACAAATAGGTAATCAAATGTTTGAAGGTAAAGATATAAAGTTAAAGAATCCTTTGTTAGTAATTAGAAAAGTTTCAACTGGCCCCAATAATAATAATGGAAATAGCAATGGTAGTAGTAGTACAGATGATAAAGATAGCAGTAATAATAATATAACAGAATATGAAGTGAATACATTAATTTATAGTAAGATATGTTTTACCAATCGTCCATCTACTATTATCGCACAGCAGAGTGTCAAATACGGGTCACCACAGCATAGAAAGTCACCTTCTTCATCACCATCTTCCTCTCCAATGTCAACGACACCCGAGAAGATAGACATGGCAACCGTATCACCAATGAAATCATCGCCAATACAACAACCGAAATTCACACAAGACTAAGACTCTGTAGTCTTTCTTTCTTTTTAAAAATAAAAATTGTAAATATTTATAAAACTTACTCGCTCAAACAACATATTATATATAAAACAACAAAGATAGATATTATAATATTATTTAGAATAATTTATAAAACAAAACAATTTTAAACAATTAATATTGTTCAACATGTTGAACTTGCAATATAATTTGTCAATATCAACCAACCAACCAATGAAATTATTATTATATTAATATCATCGGTGTGATGATAACAATCCTTTTTTTTTTGTTTTTTTTTCAATCATATCAATTAAATCATAAACAACGACAATAGCCATCAAATATCAAGATAATACAAGTTATTTTTATTACTATAAAGAGTATTTTTATCTTTATATATTTATATAATCTTTGTTTTGAGACAAAAAATGTTTATTATTAAACACCCCTCCATTCATCATGATGGACAAATTATTATTTAAAACACGGATATGAGGGTTAATCCTATTTATTTCAACACAACAATATTACCATCAAAATGTGTGTGTGTCAGTGTGTTTATTGTGGTGAAGTAATTGTTTAATATGAAAGTACAACCAAAAGTATACAATGTGTTTTTATATAATATAAATCTTATCCTACAATCCAATCAAATAATTTAAGCATCAAAAAAATAAATATAATAAATTAAACAATAGGCAAAATTCAAAAACAGTAAGAGCATTATTTATAAAAATTTGATTGTTATTTGTAGGTGGGAGATGTTGTTTTTGATTGATGGTTGTGGTAGTTGACCCGGCAACAGTGCCAGTCACACACACATAATCATAATCATAATAATAATGACAATTAAACAACAATTAAAGAAGGATAATAAAAAAGAGGAAAAGAAGAAAAGGAAAATAAATGATTGTTGTTGTTGAAAACGGACAATTGTTTTTGGGGATAGAGTGAGATATATGGTTGTTTTTTTATTTATTTATAAATAATATAGTAATAATAATAATATCTTTATATAAATATATATGTCTAAATTTCTAAATTAATTTTAGTTATAGTTATTTTGTTTTTTTAACATTTTCTATTTTAATAATAATTTTTATTTATTAAAATGAGAAGAAAAACAATTGCTACCTACACAGTAATATCGATTCTATTATGTTTTAGTTGTTTATTTATTGTTAGTTCCTCGCTGGAATTAAGGATTAGAGAATATTTAATATTAGTACGATTGTTTGATAATACCAATGGACATCATTGGATAAGAAAAGATGGGTGGGAGGACTTGGTGGCCGTTTTCCATCGAGCACCCAACATTCTGAATCTTCTGCCCGAAGATACGGTGCCACTCAGCCTAGCCGACGATGAATACGATCGATTGGACGAAAATCCGTTCGCTTTCGTCGATATGTTGTATACGATCAATGACTTCTGGTTACCAGAGCTATATGGAGTTAAATTTTCAAACTATACGATCAATTCGATGTAGGTATCATCATAAATAATAACAAACTAGGTTTAGTTGTCGGAGAGTTCGATCAATAGATTAATAATAGATATTTGATGTTTAAAAGTGAATTACAAAATAATAATTTAACAGGAGATTATCCAAATTATTTATACTATGTAAATAATTTATTGAAATTAGACCTTTCAAACAATTCACTCTCTGGTAAAATGGAGACAGAGGCACTTACCTATAATAATATGGCTAGTGTTAATATATCGAGAAACCATATTAGAGGACCTGTACCACGATTACAAAATACAGCAAAAACTATGTATGTTATGAAAATTGAATTTAGTATTAATAATAATATTGTTCTAATTATTGCTTTTTTCATATATTAGTGATTTAAGTTATAATAACTTTGATGGATATTTACCAAAACTTGTAAATACACCAAATTTAACTGAATTGTAAATATTTATTTTTAGAGTAGACATAGGTAAACAATACTAATAGCAACTTAAAATGTACTTCTTTCTATTATAGGAATTTAAGCCATAATAACATAACAGGAACTATACCTAAATTTCTATTTAGACAACGATTGTTAGAATCTGTAGATTTAAGCTATAACAGATTCATTGGATATATTCCATCTTTGACAGATTCAGTAATTCACACTTTGTAAGTATTGTTATTTTATTATCTTTTCAAGGTTTTCTGTTGATTATTAATTAATATATATATATATAATTGTAAAAGAATCGTAAGAAACAATTATTTAATGGATAATATTACAGGTTCAACGATATTAAGGTCACGAACATTAAAATATTTGTAAGTCTTATCTTTATCTGTTTTCCAAAATTGATTTGATTTTCAATTTGTTACTAATATTCATTATTTAGTGATGGAGATAACAATTACTTTACTGGTAGTCTATCACCTAGATTGTTTTCATTTACATTATTCACATATATATCACTGAGGAACAATGGAATCGATGGTATAATACCCAGTGTGGTGGCATGCATGGGTGACCATATAGAATTCCATACAGATATCAACGAATCATTACCTTGTGGTAAGTATCAGAACAATTTGAATTGTCTCCAATTATCTTTTATTAATTTAAAATCGATGTTTTTTTAGTTCCTAGAATAGATGAAATATCAACAGTTTCAACAAAAGGAGGAGAAATAACAATATCAGGATTTGATTTTGGATATCAATTCAATAGTTACGATATTGATATTAAATTGCAAAATAATGTAACCAGTTCATTTAAGAGATTTCTCATTAGCAATAGAAGGATAGCAGTCAATGTTCCTCCTGGACATGGAAGACATAATTTAACACTAACTTTTAGAAATGCTACCATTATCAAAGAATATTCCTATAAATGTATGTTTGAATAATAATAATAATCCAAATTCAACTAATTAACTAATTAATTAACACAACATGTTTTTATAAATAGTTCCATATATAATAGAGATTTCATCAGTTACACCAAAAGAAGGAGGAAGAATAACTATGATTGGAGATAATTTTGATAGAGAATTGGCAAAACAAGTATTACCTCAGGTGGAAATTGGTGGTGCTCGTTGTATTGATGTAGAAGTAGTTAGTGACAAAGAAGTACATTGTTCGCTTGGACCGAGCAATATTAAAACACCTGCAGCTATCAATATTACGGTGGGCGATTTATCAGCTATTTCCAAAGTACAATTCTTTTATTCTCCGATCGATGGCGATCTAGAGTGTTCATTGCCATGTAATAAACATGGATCGATCAATATCACCTCGAAAACCATCGATCTATCGAATACAACAAACGTTAGGCTGGGCGACTATTTCGAGCCTTGTGTCAATCTGACCGTAAAGAATATTGATGGAATCGTTTACGTCAACTGTATAGCACCCTATGGAAATGGACTGAAACACCCAGTCTATGTGACCACCAACTCTATCACCTACCACAATGATTGTCTGTCTTTCAATCCACCGAAGATCGAGAGAATTGCAGGCGCCGATTATTTTAAGGGTGGCATTGTCAAGATCTATGGAAAGTATTTGGAGTCGGAAGTGGATCAAGTCAATATCACAATTGGCGACCAGAATTGTAAGCCTCTGCAACACAGTACTTCCAATGAGCTACAGTGCTATCTGGAGAAGCACAGACACATGAAATGGAACGAAAAGATAACAGTGACTATTGCCAACCAATCGGATACCGCCAACTACACCGATGCCAACGATCAATGTTTTGAGTTTTGCGATCAGCACTGCAGTCATTGCCGCGACGGTCTGGCTGAGTGTCTTCCCGATTGGAATGGTCCATTCTGTGACAGCGACATCACCGAGCCCTCGTTTGAATTCTTCAGAGAGTCGCCAGCGGTTTCATTCAAATTCAAATCGATTCAACTGAGTTATCACTTCAAAGTGAATCTCTCTACAATCCTGGAAGTCACTCCGTCCGGAACGATAGTCGACCACCTGGTGGACTCAAAGTTTTGGGTGGTCAACGCAACCAAACCCGAAAAGAGTTTTATCTACACAAACAACCAGAGTAATTTAGTGGTGGAGATGAATTGTAATTCCGAGGACGACGAACTTCGTTGGTATGCCGGTGAATACCTGAGAATCCCACGGTACAGTGTGCGTTTCACCGTGAAAAGTCACAACCATACGTTCAAGTCGGCCGAAAACAAGTTGGTACTGACATTCGACATCACTTCGCCACCGCCAATCTTGACAAACCACTGTAGTGCTGCACCAGTCGTGGAGGTTTCGCAGGTTGCAGGCTTGCGATGGTGGACCTCCTACTTTTACGATGTCAAACTGTTTGGACGTGTCACACAGCGCGCCGTCCTAGACAATACGATCACTCCGGTGCAAGCAGGCATTCGTACGCCCAAGAACGACCGATTCCTCTTCCACTTTGACTATACACTCGACTCCTACGACCAGAAGCTGTATTTCGAGTCGGACTTTTCAACGCTCACCAAATTCCGACAGATTCCAGACTACTTGCCGCCCGGCTGTTTCATCGACCGCAACCCCAGGCGACATCCGTACGAGGTGATATGCGCTGTGCTTGTGATAGCGGGCACCGTTGCACTGCTGATCTATCTGACGCGAGTGGAGGCACATCACAACAAGCAGAGTATGCGACTGAACAAGATGATCATGTCGAAGGATGTCTGTACGCCGGTGATGACATCGGTATCAGCGCAGTCCTACCAGAGCTACCTCGAGAGCATCATCGACGGACTGACAATCGACAATCTTGGCAATCCTATATGTCCGCTGAACTCGACACACCTGCAGCACAGTCTGAGTAACAACAACACCGCATACAACAGTAGCAGCTCTACCCACTCCAGTGGCATAAGTAGCGAAGATCTCATCAGTGTCGAAGAGGAAAACAATCATACAATAATAAGGACTTGAAATTAATAAAACTTTATTATATTAATTACAAATATTAACCAACATATGATTGTGGCACAACAAATTATTTTAATTGTTAAAATAATTGTTTCAAAAAAAGATATCTATGAAACTTTTGAACGATAATCTGGACATAATACATTGTAACCTCTATGGATACACTTTTGAACATACAAATGTTGTGAGTCCAATCTATTAAAGGAAATTAACAATTAAATTACAAACTGTAAAAAAGAAAAATAAAAAATAATAATTTATCTTTTCATTTGATTTGTGATCAGCCTTTTTAACAAAAAAAAACTCTCAGAAGAATTTTAAAATTAATTACTTTTTTTTTGTTTTTATAAAAGACAGATAATAATATAGTTTATAGAATGTCAGATAGTAACTATATGAGCTATATTCATTCGAATTTAAACAAAACACTTATAGATGTAGTTGATGTACAATGGTCACAAGATAGTCTTCCTCCCAATGAATGTAAATACTTGCACAACTTCATTTATAATAATACTTTATACGATACTAATAAAAATTAAATCGAATTTAAAGATATTAAACCACTTTCAATTGAGACTCTATCAGATGCATTTAATGAGATGATGAACTCAAATACTTCAGGTATTTATATAAACATGTTCTTTCACAAGACAGTCATTTGATCAATCATTATTAACATTTTTTTCAAAATAGTTCAAAATCATAAAGAAGAGAAATGGAATGATTTAGGTTTAAATGATTTATCTTAGTTACAATCAATCACCAGCAGTTATGTAATATATATATCTGGTTTCCAACAAAGATTATCATTACAGATGTTGATTGATATTTGTTTAAAAGTGGATAATCGCAGTTCCGTCCCGCCAAAAATTTTCAAATTTGAAAAAAAATTTTAACCGTTTTAATTCCAAATGCAACCAAAATTCGAATCGAAATCAACAACAATTATTTATTTAAATATTTAAATTACCTTTAAATATCATAACAGACTCTAGTAATATTTATTAAAATAAAAATAATAACAGTATTGTTAAATTATTTTATATACACAGAAAAGAGAGAGATCAGGTCTAGTTGTGTTTAGTTAATTAATCAAACAAATAGAAATCTGCAAATTTTCAATTTAATATATAATTAACAAAATGATGAGATCTCCAGTGAATACATTGGATGTAAACACAAGTTTTGATGATAATGACGAGAGTCTGATATCAAAGACTGTGGTTACTCCAGAAATGTCTGATGAAAATAACGAGAAATTCATACAGAATGCAACCGACACCATAAAGTCAATCAATGAATTATTAGAAAAGAGTAGATTGGTATGTTTGAATAATAAAATAATAATAATAGTAGTATTGTTTGTTTTTTTTTTTGATTTATTAATAGATTTTCTTTTATTATTATTATCTTGTATAGGGAACATTAGGTCAAACAAATAATGAAGATCAAGATCAAGACGAGAACGAAGATGAAGATGAAGATGACAAAGAGAATAAACATAGTAATATAGATAATAAGAATAATAAAAAAGTTAAAAAATCATTAAGAAAACAAAGGAAGGACAAAGAGAAGGAGAAGAGACATAAAGAAGAGGAAGAACAAGAAGAAGAAGAAGATGATAATCAACAAGGAAATGAGGAAGAAAAGGAATCAGTTACTAAACTTTCAAAAAAGAAATCAAAGAGTGCTGATAAAGATAGTTCTGATGATGAAGATCAAGATGAAGATAAAGAAGAAGAAAGAGAAGATGACAGTGGAGATGAAGACAAAGAGGAAGATGAGAATGTAAAGAGAGTAGTAGATCCAAATGATTTCGATGAGACCTGTATAAATGAAGATGAATCAGATCAAGAGAATGATGATAACGATGAAGATTATCAAGAGGAGAAGAGAGGTAACAACAAACAGCAGCAATCATCGAAAAAAGATAAGAAGAAGGACAAGAAGAATAAGAAGAAAAAGAAAGGTACTACTAAAGATGATGGTGAATCCGAAAGACCATTGCCATCCAAAAGAACAAAGAAACCAGTGGCATCTTCAACTGCCAAGAATGACATTTCAGAGAGAAAACCATTAATGTTATTAACTTCAAGTATGTCAACTAATTAATTATTACATCTTTATTTGTTTTATTATTATTTATTATAAAATTGACTAACAAATACAAACTATTATTTCTTTTTTTTTTTTTGACGAAAACAAGAAACATTGATTCCTCCATCACCGATTGTAAAGAAAAGAAATATCTTTGAGTTCTTTGGTCAGGTTAAACCGATTGCTGTTGGTTCACCAATATTGAGAAACAACAACAACAACAACAACAACAACAACGTTGTTGATAACCGTGCAAACGATGATAATGATGACGACGACGACGATATGGATGATCAAGCCAACAATAGTTTTGGTAGCAGTATCAATGGCAGTGCTGCAGATCGCTCTTTCTCTGAGGAGAGTGTCAACGACCAGAGCAATAACTCTAGCATGCTATCGAATGGCAGTCAGAGGAATACACCATCCAAGAGTAACAACAGATCTTTAGTTGATACAACTAACAATGATTCAGATGATGAAGATACAACTACAGCAACAATAACAACAACGACATCAAATATGCTTGACCAAATCTTATCAGACAAACATATGAATGACAAAGAGGAAAGTGACAAACAATCATCTGTTAAAGATGTAGTAGTTGACAACGAAGGAGATGAAGATGATAAACAAGAACATGTTAAAAAGCAAATTTTTAAGTTACCATATGAGTCTACTTTGGTATGAATATAATTATCAATATATATATATATGGTATAGTTTATTAATGATATTTAATTTTATTGTAAATAGGAAATGGAGAATGATTTAAGACAAGAACAAAATGAAGAGAAAGAGGAAGAAGAAGAAGATCAAACTAAATCAACACCATCTAATAGTGGACAAGCAAAGATTGCATCGTTAAAGTTAAACTACGAAGATGAAGATGACGATATAATCACAGAGGATAAAGATGATGATGCTGACTTGTTTGATGATGAAGCAGAGGTTCAGATACACACTAATGAAGATGAATATAATGAAGAGGAAGAGAAGCATAGTGCAAAGATATCTATAGATAATGAGGAGGAGGAGGAGGAAGACGAGGAAGAAGAAGAATATGACGAAGAAGACGAGGAGGAAGAGGAAGAAGAAGAGGAGATTGATAACGATCAAGAAAGAATCAATAGATTAAACATAAATCGAGATTTAATGGATAAAGAGATGGAGAAGATTCAATCGGTTGCCTCTGGTGAGTGGAGAAAGCGTAAATTCGATGAAGAGGAAATAGATGACACCACGGTAACCGATGAGTACGATGCTGCTGCCTCTGCTACTGTTGTTTCAATCTCGGTGACCGAACAACAAACAACCATACAACAAAGAAAGAAGAAGAGATCAGAGTTGATGTCATCGACCAACAGCAGTGTCAGTTCAAGTCAATCCAGTCTGCTAACAACACTCTCTGCCGACGGAGACGACGATGACCTCAGTGAAGATGAACAAGAAGCAGAGAAGCGTCTACAACGTACTAAAGTCTTCAATCAACTTAGAAGAAGTACAAGTGCTGGATTACCAACAACTAACAACAACAGCAGCAGCAGCAGCAATAACAATAGTAGTAAAAATAACAATAAGAATATTGGTCATAGACATTTGGCAAAAGATCTATTTGGTAATAGTAATGAAGATAAAGAACTTCTATCAATGATTAATAAATCAAAAGCCAACAATCTTAATAATAATAATAATAATAATAACAACAATAACAATAATAACAATAATCAAATACAACCACAGACAATAGTCGCATCATCACTACCTCATACATTTAGTGATGACTATGAATATTCATATTCCAACTCAACATTTATGGTGAGCAGTGAAAAGTTAGAGTCACTAAAGAAACAAGTTGACAAACAAACCAATCAAGTACCCGTTTTCTTTTCAAAGAAGAAGTCTAATGCCAACTAAACAAAAGGTGACAGTTATCAACGCGACCAAATGTGTAATATACAAATTGTTATAAACAAACATCAATAATCAAATTGAATTATTAAGTTAATTTAAAATAAATAAAACCGTGCTTCTCATATTCAAAATTTAAGTATTTTTTTAATGATAATTTGAATAGTTAAATGATCATTTACCCCCAAAAGTTTAGAACTAAATTTAGATCTTTTTTTTACTTTTTCATTTTAATTTGTTTTTTTTTTACAACAAAGTTGTTGTCTCTCTTATAATATCATATTAATAATATTACATATATATTTATGTTTTTTTCAATAATTTTAAATAATTTTTAAATAGTTTGTGAAACAAAACAAAAATAAAATGCAAACACTTATAAGTGTTGATATATTGACACCTGCATTTCACTTTCCCTCGACTTACCAAAAGAGTGAGATATTCTCATTGTGTCGGGCAAACATTGGTACTGAAGATCTTGAGTTTATCCCTATCAATAGTCACCGTATTGGAATGGTTATCTTAGATTCTAGTAGGTAACAAAAAGAATACATACTTTTAAAGTTATAAATAATAAACAGACTCTTTTCTTGATTATTAATCTATTATCAAAATCAAAACAAAAACAAAAACAAATAGAATTTAATATGGAATCAATTGAATGGGTATATCAACAGAATTGTTCATTCGTCACACAGTTACAAAGAGCGACGGAATCACTACAGGTCTTTCAAGAGAGAATTATGAAGGACCAACAAACGATTCTCGAGTTGAAACGTGAGGTATCGTCGCTCAAGAAGATAGAGAATGACTTGATGTTGAAACTGGAGGAGCAGATCGAGTTGCATCGTGAGTCAGAGGCAAAGGCAGAGGAAATCATTTTGGACCTACAGCATCAACTGCTCAATACAATCAACTATTTGAAGATGGTACAACAGCATTCCAGTCAACATCCTATCACTGTAACAAATTATAACAACCATAGAGCGAACGACCTATTCAGACCTTCACGACTACATCTTCCTGTTCTCTTGAATTCTGTATCATTTGAAAATCTAAAAGCAAACATCAATCAACATGCTGCTGAAACTGCTGCTGCTACCGCTGCAACTGTTATGTCAAACCCTAACAACAGCAATAGTAGTAGTAGTAGTAATAATAATAATATTAATAATACTGATATTGATGAAAATATCAATATTTTCAATGAGAAGAAACAGCAACAACAAGATCAACAAAATCATCATCAACAACAACTATCTTCAAATTCTAAAAGTTATGATTCTTCAGATGATGGGGATATCGATGTTAAAGTAAATAATGAATGTATTAATAATAATAATTGTAGTAATAATAGTAGTAGCAGTAATGATAATAGTAATTGTAATAGTAATAGTAAATCATATGATAATTCAAATATACCAATGATATCAATAAATAATATAATAGTAGCAAGTAGCAGTATTAGTAGTCCAAATTTGATAAATTCATCGAGTTCATCAGTTTTTACACCACCATCAACACCAAAGACAAGTAGATCGCGAAAGAGCACACTTTTACGAAGAAACACTATTCAGAATATGCTTCCTCTAATAGAAGAGTCCGAAGAATCAAAATGTAGATATTGTGTGTGTAAAGATTTTTTGACAAAGAAGAATGCAGAGTGGCTGTGTGACTGCGGACACACAATCATCTCTCACACAAAACTAAAAGTCAACTCCAAAGAAAAACTATAGTGTATAGCCATCAATCATAACAAATTGCAAATTATTTTCAATCAACAAGAACGACATCCAACTATTTATCTGTTGTTTACAATCTCACCCCCATTCCCATTCCCATTCCCCTCCAAACCAATCACACAATAATTATTATTATATAGAAACTTCAAAGTTTTTTTTTATTATTATTAGTAATCCAACTTATTTAGATTAGAAATAAATATTTTGTTATAAAATAAGCACTTTACAAAAAAAAAAAAAGTGTATTTTTAAATTTTTTATTTTCTAAATTTTTTTTTTTTTAATTATTTTTTCTTAATTTTTAACTATATATTGAATATATATATATTAAAGGTTGTTGTTACATACAACTACTAATTTGATATATATAAGATTTAATTTTTTGTTTTTTTTTTGTTTTTTTAATTTTTACAAGAGTGTTTTGATTTGAATATTGCAATGTCAGCGGGTAAAACTAAACAGAGGAGACCAATTGAAAAAGAAATCATCAAGAGAAATGAAGTATTTAAAGCCGCCACGGAGGAAACTACTACGTTCTTACTATGTGTTGGGTATGATGGTTTGTTAATGGACATTAGACTGTTGGGTGTTTGTTGTACAAATGAATTTCTATTGATATGTTCGATATTTCCATTTATACTTTTATGTGTTTGTTCGACCCCAACCAAATTGTCATTAAATTTGCACTCACTGGGGGAATTAATATCTAAAAATTCTGTTAATTTTTTGTTTTGTAGGAATGATTTTAAATTGTAAAAATAATATTACCTTGATTTAATTTATAATATAAGACATATAAAACCAAGAGAACCAAAATATCAAATTTTAAGGATTTCATTTTTATATTTAAAGAAACTCTATTTAATTTAAATAGATGTGAAAGGGTTGTTTTAAAATGTACAATTATTACCTAATATCCTTGTAAATTGTTTTTAAAATAAAACAATTACAAAGGGTATTAATAAGATAGAAAAATATAGAGACCAGATAGATATTGGTCAAAGAAAAATAATATATTATATTATTTTTAATATAAAATTAGATAGAGATTATTATTTGTAAGATTGTTTGATTTTTTTTTATACAACAAAACTAAGAAAAAAAATGGTAAAGAATTTTATTTATACTCACTGTCTGTTGATTATGGAACGACTGTAATATGAGTTCAGTCAGTGGATTTTGGGATCGAAGAGGGGTTAAAATATGGTTCACGAATGATTATTTTTATTTCATTGGAGGTTTTGGTCGTTCACCCCTAAGCTTTGCACTGCTTGAACACTGCCAGTTTGGTGTGACATGGGTAACTTAACAGAAAGTTCGGTGGTGAAAGGGGGGACATTTTGTTTGTTTTGAGTAAAAAACAATTACATCAACATCTTTTAAAGTTAATTAATTAAAAATTCTATTGGATTTATCAACTACACGGTTTTTTAAAATCTTTTCAAATGATAACAACAACCAAAATTTTTATTAAAAAACAAACCCCGTAGACTCTCTATTTTCATTTTTGAAAAATAAAACTCTATTAAAAAATATTTAAAAATAACCCTACATTGTACTTCAAAAACCAACCATTTTTTTAAAAACTTCAAGATAAAAATTTCTATCGAGTTTTTGTGGAACTCTTTGTGACAACACACTCTCAATCTTCTAATTTTTTTTTGGCTTTCCAGTAGGGAATTTTATTTTTTATAAAAGAGTTGGAAGGTTCTGTTTTTTTCATAGGAGACCAAAACTATGACCTCATACAAGAAAAATTTTGTAACGAGAATTTAAAACAATTATTGGTTTAATATGTAACTTTAACTATAGAATCATATTCTAGAGTCATAGGAATAGAGTGGTAATGTAAACCATCAGGAACTAACTTTAATAAAATTAGAAACTTGTATATATCTTTTGAATTTTTATTTTAATATTCCACGGGTAATCTTAACACTAATTTCTAAAAATAATAAATTTAAAATTATTTATTAAAAAAAATATTAAAAAATTAAAATTTAATTTTTAAAAAATTATTGTCTAAACAAAAATAATTTAATTAATTTTTGAATTTAAAGATATATATTTATTTATTTTGGTTAACACTTCAAATTTTTTGTTAACTGTTTTTTTTTTTTTTTTTTTTCATCTATAGTTTGTTCTAAGAAACATATTAATAATCACTTTGGTACTAAATTACTAAACTAGTATCAAAAAACAAAAAAAAATTCGAACAAAAGAAGGATTTCCAAAAAAAGGAAACTTTATAAATATTAGTTGAGCAGTGATCATTTTTGAAAAAGGAATCGGTCGATTCAAAAGTCTATCAACATAAAAATTGTTCAATGGCATCAACAATGATGAATTTTGGTTCTTTAATAAGTTAGAGAATTGTTGTTCAAATAGAAATTAGTCAATTTAAACTACTTTTTTTTTTTTTTTTTTTTGAAAAACTTTGACTTTAAACAATTTAGATCTAACAGTTATTTTTTTTAAATATAACAATTTTCATGAAAAAAACCCCATTTTAAATTAAAATTTAATTTAATAAAAATTGTTTGTTCATTACGGACTATCCTATTTTGTTGTTTTTTTTTTGTTTTTTTTTTTTTGAATTTTTTTTATCCTCTATGACAAAGCAAAAAAATGGACCCAAAGTTCGATGACAATAGTAAGCCTGACAAAGGAACGATTTTCAATTCCAAAACACGTGGAAAATTTGATATAATGTATAAAACTGTATTTGTATTGGCCTTCTTGGGCTTATGTATGTTTTATTTCGCACCAACTGACGCTGTAAGTATAAAATAGATAGATAGAATAGGAATATCAAATTATTGTTGTTAGATAATCATAAAACTTACACACAGTGCGTGCAATTCTAATTATTTTATACATATTTATGTAATAATAACCTAAAGGCTAAAGGACCAGCTGTCACCAATAAAGTATATTTCGATGTAGAGATCGCAGGAGAGAAAGTCGGTAGAATCGTTATGGGTCTCTACGGTAAGACCGTTCCAAAGACTGTCGAGAACTTCAGAGCTTTGTGCACTGGTGAGAAGGGTGTAGGAAAGTCCGGTAAGGCTTTGCACTTCAAGGACAGCAAGTTCCATCGTATTATCCCAGGTTTCATGGCTCAAGGTGGTGATTTCACTCGTGGTGACGGTACCGGTGGTGAATCGATCTACGGTAACAAGTTTGACGACGAAAACTTCAAGATCAAGCACAGCAAGGGTGGTTTATTGTCGATGGCCAACGCCGGTCCAAACACAAATGGTTCTCAATTCTTCATTACTTTCACTCCAACCTCATGGTTAGATGGTAGACACACTGTATTCGGTGAAGTTCTCGTAAGATATCATAACATATGTTCTTAATCTTTTTAATTACTTTATATTTAACTAATAACTATCAAATCTATCTCATCCCTATCTCTATCTCTATTACAATACAAATAAAACTATTATAGGAAGGAATGGATATTGTTAAGCAAATGGAAGCTGTAGGTTCACAATCTGGTACCACTTCAAAGCCAGTTAGAATCATCGATTCTGGTGAATTACCATTATAAATAAACAAACAAATAACAATATATTTACTTGTTAGGTGGTGATACTTTATTATTTGTAGATACAGTTAGGAGTCTATCGATATAATTACTTTCGATGATTCCTGCTATTGGTTGATAATGACTTTGCTTATCGAAATTACTCATGAACAGATGGTGTGTTTCGGAGAGTCGTCGGAGTTGGTAGTTTCTATGGTCGATCGAGAGTGCTATTGAGTTGACGGTGGTCGGTAGTGTATGCAATGGATTGACCTGTAGAAAACTTAGATCGATGGTTAGCGATCTAACCGATCGTGGTAGTGCACAGGGTTCAAGCTTTGCATGTAGCTTTCCTTTGCTATTGAATTCAATTGACTCGAGTGTCTCTGGTAGGTTGTCTTTGGTGATCTTCTTCATAAAGTTAGCACCCAACACCAGTGATTTCAAACGCTTCGGGAGAATCTCTCTGCTCAGTGACTGACTAAAGTAACCCAACATACTCAATCTCTTGATATTCTCTGGCAACATACCAACCAACAAGACAGTCGCACCATAGTTTTGATAATATTGTAATTTTAACTCTTTTAAATCTGATGTTACTATATTAACTTTTATAATAAATAAATAAATTATTAGTCAAGACGACATTATTAATATTATTATTATTATAATTAAGTGTTTGACCGATAGTCAATAGAGTATTACCTATATTATTATAATTAAAGATTGAATTTGAACTACCGATGCTTATGTGTAATGTTAATGATTTGACTGTGCTTGGTAGCTTTGGTAGTTGCTCGTGAATGATACCTAGATCGAGTGTTGTTACATTGCCAAAGAGACTACCATCAGTAATTAGCATTTCCATTCCATATTTAAATATCAAATTGCTCAGTGACGTAGGAAATTGGTTACTAACGGACGGCCATGCTATGTTTTTACCTCCTAGCTTGAGTGTTTGTAAACTTTCTGGTAGGATACTCGTCGGTATGTTTGCAAAATCACCAATGATCACCAGCTTTTTCAATTTACCCGGCAGTCTGGTCACCGTTCCAAGAATGTCGGTGTGAATCAGCTTCAGTTTGATCAGACTCTCTGGAAACACTTGATCTGCTGTCACGCCTTCCGGTGCACGGTTCACAAACTCTAGATAGCGTAGTACCAGATACTCTAGCTTGGTGAGGTACTCCATATGGTTGAGCTCATTGAACGATGATACAACGAGCTTTCTCAGGTTGGGCAACACCCTATCGAATTGGAAGTAACTTAATCGCGGTGGAAGATACAGTTCCTCCAGAGTCAGCGGTAGAGTAGATGTTCGGAAGGGTTCGGTACCAGTGAAACTATTGGTAATTCTATATACTTTGAGCATCGAGTTGCTGTAATCTTTATCACTAACTGTGGTGCCGTCGACCTTTGTAATCTCAAGGTATTCACAGCTTTTTGGTAAACACTTGAGCCGATTCCAATCTTCTAAAAATGTTGATCAAATTGATTAGTTAAAATGATCAATTGAAATACGTCTAATAAATAATCTTACCTCCAAATAAGATAGTCTGTGAATCTGAATCTTGAACTGTCCATTTTTCTAAACCATCTACAACAAACAATGCTTTACAATTACCCAACATCAACTGTATATCGTTATCATCACTTTCTAACTGATTTTCAACTTTAGCGACAGCAGTAGGTTGATCTTCAGTATTGTCTTGGCTATTACTATTTAGAGTGTCAATATCGATACCATTATAACCATCAGTGTCGTTGTCGTCTTCATCATCAACAAGAGTATATTTTTTGACTGTTGGACAATATACATATTCATCTTCTATATTTTTATTATTTTTATTACTATTACTACTACTAATATTATCTGTGTTTCTAATGTAATCTGATTTTAATAGATAATCGAATTGATGTTGATAAGCTGGTAGTTGTAGGAGATTCAATTTCGATTGGTAGTCAGATCTTGGTATTTTCCCAAAATGAATAGATCGCTTTAGAGATAAATATTGATCTCTATTGTTAAACCATTTCTTACAAACCAAGCTGACTGATATCCTATCGATGTTTTCATCCAAATGACTAATGATTTTCTTTAGCAAAATTAATGGTATATTGTTTACTGATGAACCCAACACTTTACTATTATAAATGATATTTGAAAGTAAATCATTATTGTTTATCATCTTCTACAGATATATAGATAGATAGATATATAAATATTTGGGTCGTAATCGGAAAACTAGAAATAATCAACCCATTTTTAGAAATTTCTAACATTTGTGTACACGATTAAAATAGTGTAAAAAAGGTGCACTCCTTCACCAACCCAAAAAATAAAATAAAATAAAACAAAAGCTTTTTAATTGTTTTTTTTTTTTTAAATCTCTCTTGACATTTTTATTATTTCTTTTGAAGAGTTGTTGTAATTTAATATATATTATAATAATATAATAATCTTTTAATTATATTATTATAATATATATATATATACAATATATATATGTTTATTATAATTAGGAGTGTTTTTCTGAAGTAGTCTGATCTTTAAGAGCTTGTAATCTCATTTCTACCTTCTTGTTGAATTTCCTCGCTTTCTTCATCTTCAACTTGAATAATACTACACCAATGACAATCGATGCCAGACAAACGAAACCAACAACTACACCGACAGCAATTTTCCAGCCGTTTGAACTACTTCCACAACCACCATCGTCTGTAACCTGAACCAGTGGTGAAAAGTCTGGATCCAATAGACATTCTTGACACTGTGGGAAACTTACACCGATCGTTGCTACCGAGACATCGTCGTTGATCTTGGTTTGGTTGAGAAGCTGATTTCTCGAATAGGTTGGTCTTCCATTGGAGAGTGCATAGTTTAGGAATCTTCCAAAGAATTGGACTTTGTCTTTGATAACTCTAATCAATTGAATCGACTCTCCATTGTTATCCATTTCAAATGTTGGAATTTCGGTTTTCTCACAACCAACGGTCTGTTGATTGTTGATATAGGTTTCGAAAACAACTCTAAGATAGGTCAGAGTGGTCTGATACTCCCATCCTTGGATACCAACTGATACTTTGATGGTGTTTGACGGTTGTTGGAATTGTTTGTCACCAAAGGTATAGGTTCTCGCTACCTCGGCATAGATAATCGAAGCAGATACATTCAATGTGCCAACAGTGGTGTTCAAAGCGTAGTTGTAGTTTTGGATACCTGTTGAATTCGATGAACTGAAAATCCAGTTGTTTGTCTTTACCGATCTGACAATCGATTCATCGAAATCAATCTCTTGAATCTCTATCATTGAGAATGAAAAACTTGTATCGTTTGTCTGGAACAAAACATTTGGATCATTTGGGTCGGGTCTAAAGTTTGTATTTGGATCGATCACTAAAAGATAATAATTCAAAAATATTAATTGTTAATAATCATCATTATGTTATAGAAAATAGATATGTGTGTTTGATTTAAACTTACTGGTATCACACTTATCACCTGTATATCCTTGAGTAGTGCATACACAAACACCTGTGAATGGGTCACAATATCCGTGGTTCGAACAATTCGAGAACTTCTTTAAACATTCTTCTTCCACTTGCTTTGAAACAATATTGAAAATAGAATTCGAGTTGAATGGATATCCATCGACAACCAAATTAAAATCAGCCAAACCAATTGCGAGATTTGCAGGTGCCATAAAGATAATTTGGGTTTGTGACGCATTAACAACTGTGCAATCGATTGTATTAACTTTAACAACAGTAGAATTTAAATATGGACCAAATTCTCCATAAACAGTAACTTTACCTCCTGATGTAGTAATTTGATCAATAGAATTTACGATTGGATAGTCTTTTAAATTGGTGATAGAATAAGTATTAATATGTTATATAAAGAAAATACAAACTATTTATAAATACTTACATTGCGAATAGAATCCTTGTGAATCTTTGAAAACATAATCATTTGAAAGAGTCAACGTGTTGTTTGTCAAAGTTTTGATTACATTATTAGTGTTGTCTACTAAACATGTGTATTTGGTACCATTTACAACTGATGTCAATTCTGAGCATGGAATAGGACTTCCAGTAGCATTATTAAACTTGGCAAAAAGTGAAAGAGTTGGATCATTTATATTCGTATCGATGGTAACCAATACTTTGTGGAATGGATACTGCGCCATGGTAATGTTGAATAAATCGAATCTGGCATCAAAATAATCGACAACAAACTGAGCATTTAAGTATTGCGAGAAAACAATAGTGGATCTTTTATCTGCGAAATTCGATACTCGATAACTATAATTTCGGAATTATATTAATTAAAGTTCTAAAGTTTGAATTGAAAGATAAAACTTACATAAACTCATGATTGCTTAAAACTGGTTTTAATTTACTATCCATATCATTTGTTAAACCCCATCCTAGATTCTTTCCACGAATCGTAATGCTTCCATCTTTCGAACCATAAGTTTGAGAAGTGATTGATGCACCAGCTATAATTTATATAACATTAATATCGTGGTTTCTAAAAGAAATAAAAATTAAACTTACGACAAACAAACGAAGTGTTATATACGAATTTTGAATTTTGCGCATTTAAGAAATTTCCTACTGCACCAGGCATATTATAATAGCAACTATAACAATCAGGAAGACCGGAAATTTCAGAGTATGAAATATCTAGATAGGACCAACTACATGCACCCTCTTTCAATATAGAATTTACAGGATAATAGGCCAAACGAACTGTTGCTTTCGAATTACTGGCAAAATTATCAGAAATAGGTTGTTTCATACTCATCAAACTTCCCATTCCAATATATGTAGTGGATCTTGGTATAGTGATATTTTCGAAAGGAAATGTTGAAAAAGTTGAAGTTGATATCTCTCTGAGAACAATGAAAATATTAGTTCCTTTGAATTGGAGTAAAATTTTGATATACATACATCTCATTTAAATATGGTGGAAAAACTTTTGTAGGGAAAAAATCAACGCATTCTATACAAGACAATGTCCTATATTTCAAAACATTAGTTTATAAACCTAAATTTGAATTATAAATAGACTCTAGAAGCTTACACTAAATTTGTAAAAAGGGATAAATCCTCCATTCCTAGATAGGTTACATTTTTTAGAGAAGAGGGTACACTTTTGCTATATTTATATACAAATTAGATCATATCTAATGAGAGGATTTACAAAATACCTACAATACCTGAAGAGTAAAGGCTCCTGAGATATCAACTGTAATATTTCCAGGAGTTCTATAATTTCCAGTACCAATATGACTATTATAAAAAAAGAGTTAGAGATTTGATTTAAAATTGATCTTTTTTGAGAACTTACAATTGTTTTAATACAGTATCTTTGAGAATTACGGTTGAATTTACACCTTTGGGGGCTACATTTCTAATTTTAAAAATAAAGATATTAATACAAATATATTTGTATATAGAAGCTATCTCTTACAGTAAATATATTTGAGGGAATAATGATTGAGAGAATGAACAATAGAAATTATTTCCTACTCCAATAATAAGGGAGGTAATATTGGTCGGGTAAGTTAAATCTATTTCTTCGATTGAACCGTCTGGAATGTACCTAACAATTAAAGTTAGTAAGAATTAATCTTAAAATATATAGAAATTCTTACAGAGTAATAAAACTTGGAATTTTTGATATTAATTTAGAAGGAATCCTTTTAATATCGGTATTGTATTTTATATCTAAAAATTGAAAAATTGGAGAATTCACTGGAAAGTTTTCAGGAATGTAAAAAGTAGTCCTCTCTGCATATAATCTTAATATAAAATTAGAACAAGGTACTAAAACAATTTTTCTTAAAAAACTTACTCTAATTTAGATAATGATGGACAGTTTCGAATTCTTTCCATAATATTATATGAAGTGTTTGAAATTGATGGAGTAAAGGAAGTATTAAATCTGACCGAAATAGAATTTACCATAGGAAAATCTAAATACACATTGGGGTCAGGAGTACCATAATCAATTGTAGTAGTTCCTACAATATCTCTAGAAAATAGTAGAATAAATTTTATTATTAAAAATTTATTATAATAAAACCAAAAAAAATTTTGAAAACAAACATTGTATTTAAGTATGAACTTGTGCATCCAATTTTAACATTTCCATTGTTGAATCCACAAACTGTATTTAAATCAGATGGTAATCCAAGTTTATATTGTTTATTTAGCCAATCAAGTCCATCCACTTTAAATTTGTTTGATAAATTGATTAATTAAATAATAAAAGATTTTTGAAATAGAAAATAATAAAAATAAAAAAAATCTTACACTCAGATTGAACCAAGGCGTTGATTCCTGCAGCAAATAGTATTACTGCTATAGCAACTACAAATAAATTATGCATTTCCTTTTTTAAATGAAAATAAAATGACACGAGAAGTAGACGAATCTGATGTCAAGCCTTACTTTTGTAAAACCAACGCACAAAGTTTCAAAAAATAAACGACAAGATGAAATTAAGTTTAATGTTTTTTTGTAAAACCATCCCACACAAGGTCAAAATTAAGTGAAAAAAAGAAAAAAATCAGTAATCTTAAAAATATCTTTTGATATTTATTGCGAGCTTTATTGGTTGCTGGTATCGAAACTCTCACTGGTTTTTGGAATAAAAACAAAAAAATATAAATTTATAAAATATAACCCAGATGATTTTACAAAATCTTGTCTTATGTGTATGATTCACCATCCATTACAAATGTTTTTATTGATATTTTTTTTTTTTTTTAAAAGTTTAGTTTTAAGTATTTTATATTTGTTCAAAAGTTGTTTACAAATATATAAAATTTTTTTATTACAGTTTCTAAACCAATTAAAATGTGAAAAGAATTTAGTTCGGAATTTGAAATTTACTTATGAGAGTGGGAAATTTGTTTGTTAATTTTTTTTTTGATTTTTTTATTTTATTTTAAACAATCACTTCACACTTTTTTAAAGTGCGTGTCATATGAGAAAACAAATATTTCTTTTTTTACTCTTCAACATTTTTATTTATATTATAAATAAACACTATCCAACATTAACTAGTTTTAGTATTTATAACAATATTCAACAACAACAAAAACAATCATTTGATAAAAGTATCATCAATCAAAATAATAATAATAATAATATAGAACATAAAATGAGAATTGTAAAAAGTTTTATTGAAGTATCAGCCGATTCACACTTTTCATTCCAAAATCTACCATACGGTATTTTCAAACCAAGTGAGAGTGCTGCTCCACGTGTTGGTGTTGCCATCGGTGATTTGGTTTTGGATCTCTCTGTGTTGGTAGACAACGGATTCTTTAACGGTCCACTCTTGAACCATACAACCGTATTCCATCAGGATGCTCTCAATGCATTCATGGCACTTGGTCGTTCCGCCTGGACCGAAGCTAGATCCACTTTGAAGCGTTTGCTCGCCGTCGATGTTCCAGACTTGAGAGACAACACCACCGTTCGTAACGCCGCTTTCCACCCACAATCACAGTGCACAATGTTGTTGCCAGTGCGTATCGGTGACTACACTGATTTCTACGCTTCGAAAGAGCATGCCACCAACGTCGGTATCATGTTCCGTGGAAAGGAGAACGCTCTCATGCCAAACTGGACACACTTGCCAGTCGGATATCACGGTCGTGCATCGAGTGTCGTCGTGTCCGGTACCAATTTGCATCGTCCACAAGGTCAAACCAAGGCTGACGACGAAGCCGCTCCATCGTTTACTCCATGCAGACAGTTGGATTTCGAGTTGGAAATGGGTGCCATCATCGGAACCGGTAATAAGCTCGGACAGCCAATCACCATTCAAAACGCCAAGGAGCACATCTTTGGTTTGGTTCTTTTGAACGATTGGTCCGCCCGTGACATCCAAAAATGGGAATACGTTCCACTCGGTCCATTCTTGGCCAAGAACTTTGGTACTACAATCTCTGCCTGGGTTGTCACTTTGGATGCCTTGGAGCCATTCGCCGTTCCAGCACCAACTCAAGACCCAACCCCATTGCCATACTTGAGAGAGACCGGAAATAACACCTACGACATCAATCTCTCGGTTGCCATCAAATCAAAGGATATGGATGCACCACAGGTAGTCTCAAACACCAACTTGAAGTACATGTACTGGACTCTTACACAGCAATTGGCTCACCACACAATCAGTGGATGTAACATGAACACAGGTGATCTTTTGGGTACTGGAACTATTAGTGGACCAGTAAGTAATAATTTACAAATCATCATCGTCAGTCTATATAGATCGATTAATTAATCATTTTCCTCAAACTACTATTTCTAGACTGAAGACAGTTATGGTTCAATGTTGGAACTCGCATGGAAGGGTACCAAACCAGTTTCAATTGGTAAAGAGGAAAGAAAATTCATTTTGGATGGTGATACCGTTGTTATCAAAGGTGTTTGCAAAGGAGATGGTTACAATGTTGGTTTTGGTGACAATGTTGGTACTATTCTTCCAATCGTTCCAATCAACTTCAATTAAAGTAATTAGATAAATTTTAAATGTTAAATAATAATAATAATATTTTGCAAGTTTATTTTTTGATTATTTTTATTCTTAAAGAAGAATATCTGTAAAAAAGGTGTGTTGATTAGATATTATTATTATCTATAAATATATCTATGTTTATATCTTTTGACCAATTATATTGAAATCGATCAAATTAATCTATTCTATTGTTATTATGCTAATCGTTATCAAAGACGGTTAAGACTGTATATTAAATTGAATGCAGTGGTATTGCTGATTTATCCTCTAACATTAACTGTTGAGTTGAACTTGATAGGAATTCTCTTTTCGAAAATTTGGTATTCGATGATGAAACTGAATGGCTTTCATTCTTTGGAGTCTCTGAGTTCATCTTTTGATTCTCTTTACTGTTAAATAATATATCGTCGGATTCATTTCCAACTATTGTTGAAATAATATAACCAAAAAGTGCGTATATCATTTTTTTTTGTTTTATAAACGTGTATTTAATTAATAATATAGTATGTATTTAATATATAACTAAAAAAAATTGTTTGTTTAAATAAACAACAACAACGCAATGAAGTAGTTTTGCTCCTCTGTAAACAATGTTTACGTCGATTACAAAATACGTTCTTTTGATAAAATTAATTAAATTAAATTGACGATTTTCTTTGAGTGGTGGAGAAAAACTTGAGAAGTTTTATGTTATGTTTTCATGTTGGGCAAAATGTCGTCATCGATGATCCGAAACAACAAACAAATCAAACACTCTGATAAATAAATTATATTAAATTATTATTTTTAATTTTTTTGGTATTAAATACATGTAAGGATCAGAGTTATAAATCATTCCCTAAGAATAATTTGATAACTTTGTATTCCTGATTTATTTATTTCTAAATAATTTTGTTTAAAAATTATTGGATGGGCTGATAATAATGGAACTGATATGATGGCTCCGATTGTTGTTGTTGTTGTTGCTGTTGCTGTTGTGGTTGTTGTTGTTGTTGTGGTTGTTGATTTGTGTAGCGTGTATTTGTATTGTTTGATTGTTGTTGTTGTTGTTGTTGTTGTTGTAATTGTTGTGGTAATTGTATACTATGGTTGGTTGGTGAAAACAAGTCGGTAATTGGCGATTGGAATTGAGAGTAATCGGTATTTGGATTGTTTGCTAAAATGATTGGTGAAGTTGTTGGGTTTGGCAAGTTATTTGTCATCACAGTGTTGACAAAGGTGTTTGGTTGCATGCGGAATGATTGATGTGGTGAAAACATTGATAAATTAGAATTGGAATGGTAGTGAAGCATAGCATCATTAGCCTGTTGCTGCTGTTGTTGTTGTGGTTGTGGTTGTTGCTGCTGTGGTTGTTGAGGTGGAGATTTAACAATTGTTGGAAGTGTAGTTGTTGTTGTGGTAGTGGTAGTTGTTGTTTTGTTTAACATGATGTTGCTAGGTGGTGAGAGTTGTGGTGGCGATTGCAAAATATTTAGACTGTTGATTGGACTTGTATTATTACTGTTGTTGTTATTGTTGCTAATGGAAAGTGAAGATAGTGAAGAACTGGTGTTGTTACTGGAAGAGCTGCTACTGCTTGAGGAACTTGTCTTTTGGAGTTGACGGTAGTTGGACTGGTTGAGTTGATTCCACAGATTGTTTGCCATTTCCATGTTTGCGTGAATATACTTTGTGTTGGAGTGTACCAATACCAAGAGAATTGCCTCTTGACGTGTCGACAGGAATTTACCCATTTGCTTCGATGTGTCCCACATTAAACGACTGACTTTGATAAACTTTTGTTTCAAACGCTCCAAATTGAATGTGAATTCCAAAATGTCACCAATCTCTGCGGCTTCGCCATCGACATTGTCGTCCACTGGAATATTCGATTGTGCTAAAATATTTAAACGTTCGCAGTCTGGAAGGATGATAACCTTGGACATGTAGAACTTTTTAATCTTTTCGTCGAGCTCTGCCATTTCCTTGCGCAAAATAGCTTCCTCCTCAGAGAAACGTCCCCACAAATGTGTTATCTGTTCGTTTTGCTCCAAAGTCAGCTCTGCCTTTTCTGTATATCTGGGCCACCACTGAAGATGACTAGCATTCATAACGAAATCTGTCCATGGATTACTGAATGGCTTATATCCCAAAAGTGTAAGTTTAACTTGGGTGTATGGATGAACAAACTATTTATTAAATGAAAATAATAATTGTTAACAATTAAATTCTATTGAATTGCCGATTAAAAAACAACATACTCTTTCTATTTCCTTTTCATTGAGTGCAGATGCTTGATCCATTGAAGTATGCCAGTGATTTAATATGGTTCTAACAACTTGATCTGGTTCACCGTTGCGCAACGATTGATCGAGTTGAATAACAATCTTTCTGATTTGTGTCATTAAATAAACCATCTCTTGTGGGAATCTCAATAATTCAATTGGATTATTTCCAATCTTACTAAGATCTTTCTTTAATGAGTCATTTTCAAGTGTTAATTGATTGATCTGTTGATATTAAAAAAAAAGTAAATTAAAATAAAAAGTTGTTAGTCACAATAAAAAATTGTTTATCTTCAATTATAAACCAATAAACTTACTCTATCTTCCATTTCTTTAATATAAACCTTCTTTCTTTGTCTATAATTTCTACTTGCAATATTCTGGTTGGTCCTTCTTGCTTTTTGTTTCTCTGTCTTTGATTCTTTCTCTTTATCTTTCTCTTTCTTTTCTTTTTTGTGACTACTGTAATCTCTCAGATCGTCTTCTCTAAGAATCGATGATGAAGAAAGTTCATCCTTTCCGTCGTTTGGTGATGATGGTGATGAAAATGAATTTGAGGAAGAAGGTGGAGTGTTGCTACCACTGTTACTATTGCTGCTTTCATTTGGCTGTGGTGGTTGCTTCATTTTAACTACCTGTTGCTGTGTGAGACCGTTTCCATTGGTGAGTGAACTCGAATCGAAAAAAGGGTTATTATCAACCCAGCTATTACTGTTGCTGTTTCCACCGTTGCCAATTGAATAACTATCAAAAGATGACATTGTTTGAGAGTTAACTCCTGTTGGTATATTTAAAGGTGATTTATTAGCACTATATTCTTGATTACTATAAATATTATTATTATTATTGATTTCTGTAATATTATTAGAATTATTATTATTATTAATATTATTGTTGTGATGTAAAATGAATTGATTATCCATCTATCTAAGGACCAATTAAAAAAAAAAAAAAAGTTTTTTGTGCACCCAACTGCTCTTCAAAATACTTAGTTTAGCCGGAAGACGGAAAAAAAAAACAAAAAAAATTAAAAAAATTAAAATAATTTGAGATTTACAAAAACCCGAAATTGATGTGAAAATAGTTTGTAAAGATGAAAATGAACTCTTATTAACTTGCAAATGTTGTGAATGATTAGATATTTAATATATTGTTTATATAAATAGGGTGTAATAATTAAATTATTAACTTATTATCTTTTTTTTAGAATTAAAATATCTGCATATATTATTATGTTTGATTGCTTTAATTAAAGAATAAAATTATAAAAGGAATGAAGAATTTTGTTTGAATATTAATATAGATTGTGGGGTGTCAACTGTTTATTGATCGATCAACTCCTTTTTATCACCAGGCTGAATGAAGGTTTAATAAAATTAAATTAACAAACAAATGCAAGTGAAGGTTAGGATCAAAGAGGGGTGATATTCAACAATGAATAAAATAAACCAAGGGTGGGTGTGTGATGGGTTTTATAGTTGTTTTGGTATATAAATATTTATGATGAATGGGGGTGATAACTATGATTTACTGAGAGGTCGACATTGATAAAAAGTTGCTGAGAAAATGTGTCCATCAAGGAACAAATATATAAAATATTTAAAATCTTTTATAATTTTGCAAATTGGATTTGTCTTTCTACTTTTTCGTAGCTTTTGATTTTTTTTTTCTAATTTGGTTTACAATAATCCTTTCTCAACCTCATATATAGATGTAGGATTGTTGGTTACAAGAAAAAAAAAAAAAAAAAGGAGTTGCAACTATTAATTATTATTTTATTTTTTTGACTAAAACTGAAATGATTAAATGGCTTATTGTTATTGGCAAGACTGCAAGTGAGAAATTTCTTGGTATTTGGTGATGAAGATGATTTACTTTCTAAGTGTACTACTGAGTATTGTCAAAAAGGCGCAGAAACAAAATATTTGTTGATAAACAAACAAAATATAAATAATCTTTAATTGATTTGGGTTTTTTTTTAAAAAGTTAATGTTGTAACTCAAAAAAAAATTGTGGTTATATGTGATCCAAAGTTCAATGGTTATTTTTGCAATTTTTTTTTTTTTTTTTTTTGTTTCGATATTTTTTTTTTTTTTTTTTTTTTTTTTACAGTCAGTATGTTGATTAAATGGTGTCACAATGATGATTCGATAATTAAGGAAGGTCTAGTTTTTTTGCAAAGTCAAACATTGGGGTATGATTCATGAACTCGATCGAAGTAACACTTGTGATTATTATGATGATGTGCAACTGAGGTGTAATTGATTAATTACACACAGTTATTAATAAGCAACATCAACAATTGCAAATATATAAATATTTTTAACAATGTTTTGATTTTTTTAGTTAAGATCAATCTTTTGTTTGACCTTTCACCAAAGTGTTTTAAAAATAAAAACATTTAAAAATAGTGAAGAATGAGTATAATATTTACCTTTTATAATGTTTATTTCTATAATATTTTCTTTACAATTCTTTGTGTTAACTACTCGTTAAAATCTTATTTGATGATATTATTCTTCTCTTTAATATTTTCTTTTGTTTATAATTAATTCTATGGCTAATTGAAAAATAAATAAATGAATGATTGTATGGTGAAATTGTGGAAGTAGTTTGAGTGGAGTCGTTTATAAATTCTAGTCGAGATCTAACTTTAAAAAAAATAAAATAAAGAAGACTTTACAGTGCCACACTCAACCGTCTCATAAGCACTCTGAAATTTGCAAAGTTCTTTATTACTATTCTTTTCTTGGTTCATAAAATTAATTGAAAAAAAAAAATTAAAAAAATGATAAATGAGGTGCAATGTTAATTTCGGGTTGTCTTCAGGTATAGTCAAGTGTGATGCATGGTCCGAATTTAAGATATTTTTTAAATTTGTGGGTTCGTTACGTTGTACGAAAAATTGCAACGACCAGGACAATTTTTTTTTTAATTTTTTTTTTTTTTTGAAAATTCAAATTTTCTTTCAAATAGTTCATTTTTCCTAACTGTTAACTATTTATAGATAGGCAGAAAAACACAAAGTTTATAAATAGTTTAGTAAAAAGGTCCGAAATTTCATTGTATATAGATTAATCTTGGTTTTGCCGATCCGATTCTGAATCAAGTTGAATCTGTTAGTTTGTCTATCAGTTGCAAATAAAATAAAATAAAATTAAATAAAATAATAATATCAGTAATAAATAATTGAATTATTAATGAATAAGAATATCAATCGAAGAATATCGATCGTGATAAATATTTTTGAAATCAAATTAAAAAAAAAAGGTTGAGAATTTAATTATGAGAATGATCGCGGGTTTTTTTGAAATATTATCCGTTAGAAAAAAAAAGTGGATATTGAAAAGATGTGTTTTTATGAAAAAACATAATTGTGTTTGTTTTGAACAGTAATAATAACTTTTCAAAATAATATATTCCAAATATATATATAATAATTTCATTACCATTCCCAATCCAAATTAGTTGTATGGATGGATAATGATATTGTAGTAGATAGTTATATAATGTTATTTCTACCACCCAATAATGATTTGTTAAGCAGAGTCGACTCTGGCCAGAGACGTTTAAGTATTTCTCAGGGTTCAGTGTCGACAGCCACCTCATCTGCATTATCACCCATTCCAATTCCAAATAATAATAGTGCCAACATCATCAATAATAGTCATAATAATAATAATGAACAAAAACAACAACAAAAGATATCAAATAAAACAATTACCATTCCAACCATTATAGATGCACCTCCACCTGATTGGTCATCAAAGTTCAGTTCACTCTTTTCATTTGTAAAAAAGAAATCAAACTATGAGTTGGAAATTGATGCACTTAAAGATTCCAGTAAGTTACTTACTTATACGAAAAATAGATTTATAAAATTGGAAATTGTAATTGACAATATTTAATTATCTTATAGTGATTTTTATTAGACCTATCTCAGGAGAGGAAGGTATACTTGTACATAGATTAGATAAATCAAAGAAATATATACATTCTCTTGCAGAGTTGGACATTGGTTACATTTACTTGACCGAAAGAGATACACCAATAATCCGTCAGAATCAGCACGAAGTTACTTTTGCCAATAAAATTATAATTCAATGTAAATCATATAAGAAGTTTTCAATTGTAAGTATTTTTAGCACACAGTTAACTTTTGAAAGTAGAATAGAGTATTAATTTTCAAATCAAATTATAGAAAGGTATCTTACAAAGTGATGTCACTACAACCGCTCTAGAGGCATTCACCAAGAGAAAGATGACCCAAGGTATGCTTTTCCTCGAGGAGGACGGACAGCTATGCAGAATCTTTTATAGAATAAGTGATTTGGTTCTAAATACAATTTATGCAAATCACGATGATACCGTTATGCTACAGAGATTACCAAATAATGAAGTCAGAGTATGTTTCTCAAAATTATTTATTTGATCAAATTTACTAATATTTATTTTATTTTATTCTTGTTTCCAATTTATAGTTCCTATTTGAAGGACATCATTCAAAAGATGAAATTGAAGTTGCAATGCATCAATTTTCAAATCCTTCAAGCCCAAAGGATTGGAAGAGAATCTCGGTGTTGAGAGAGCAGCAGCATCACTCTAGTCAGGCCCCGCTAGCGTCAGATAACATTGCCACACGTTTCCTGAATAAATTCCAAACTAGATCCAAGTTGGAGGCAACTCAGTTGAAACAGAAGCGTGAGAATACCATTAATAAACTCAAGAGCAGAATGAAGATCGACTGGGAATGGAAGAATCCAACTGACCCATCCCAACAAGCCAATGAAAATGACGAGAACAACAAGAATGCAATCAACTCTCTAGGCTCCGTGCTCGGAAGATTCAAGAGCAGAATGTCCATCAAAAGCAATCTCAATCCAAACACTCCAATTATAAATGCAATCAAAGAGCAATCAACAAGCGGTGCCACTCCAGTCAACAGCAATGCCAGTAGCAGTTCCAATGGAGCAGAGCCAATCAGCAATGATAGCAATCTCAGTGGTGGTGATCAACCATCCAATATTCCAGCACCACCTCCTCCACCAGCACCACCAGCACCACCACCACCTCCTCCACCTGGAACCAAGTCCGGTGCCGGTTTGAAGCTCAAAAAGCAAGTCAAGAAGGAGAAGAAGATGAGACAGCTTCACTGGAATGTCATTCCAAAGGAGAAGCTAAAGGAGTCGTTCTGGGACAGTCTTTCACCAGTGAAATCCAACGATCGTGATCAAAGTCTTGTTGAACAATGGTTCAGCTTGTCACCACCACCAAAGCAACAAATCACTCGTGAGAAATCCGTAAAAACCCTTACAACCGTTAATCTTCTTGACTTGCGTCGTGCCAACAATGCTTGTATCCTACTTTCCCAATTCAAACTATCGTTCAGCGATATCAAAGAAGCCATCTTGACCTACGACGAGACTAAACTCTCGATTGAACAGTTGATTGCACTTGACGCAATGCTTCCAATCACCGACGAGGAAACCGCTCAGCTCTCTTCGTTCACCGGCGACAGATCCACGCTTGGATTGGCCGAACGTTTCTTCATGGAGATGATGGGAATCGACCGTTTGAAGCAGCGTATCCAAACCTTTTTGTTCAAAGCAGAGGTCATCCAGATGATGAGAGAGTTGACTGGCCAGTTCCAAATACTCGCTGCCGCCATCGAACAAGTCAAGTCGAGCAGTCGTTTCCGTCAGATGCTCAAGGTCATTCTACACGTCGGATCTATTCTCAACCGTGGTCAGACCTATCTCCACGGAAAGGGTTTCCGTCTCGACAGTCTTGCCAAGCTTTCAGAGACGAAATCGCGTGACGAGAAGCACACAGTCATTGACTTTGTAGAGAGATACGTACGTGACAACAAACCAGAGTTGCTCAACTTCTACGAAGATCTCTCGTTGTTGGAGTCGTCGTCGATCAACATCTCATTAGACACACTCATCGACGACGTCGAGCAGATCAACCTCAAGTTTAAGCAGGTCGACCAGGAGATCAGCGGTGAGGGTGTCGATCCCAACTACCGCGCTCTCATGAAGCCATTCTACGACACTCAATACCAGGTGTACCAGCAACTACAGGAACTGTCTGCTTCCACCTTGAAGCAGTTCACTGAGTGTGTAACATTCTTTGGTGAGGACAACACCATTACCACCAAGGATTTCTTTAGCAATATCTTTAACTTCTCACAGAGCTTCAAGAAGGTTGTTGCTCAACGCAATCAACAATTAGCAAGAGAAGAACAAAAAGAAAAAAAGAAACAACTCAAAGAGCAACAAGCCAAAGAAAATGAGCTACAACAACAACAACAACAAGCACAACTACAAGAAGATGAAATTCTATCAAAAGTAGAAGAGCTGACGATAAACGATAACGAAAGTGAAAATGATAACACCATCAATAATTAATAATTAGCATCACCTAATATCAAATAATAATAATAATTTACACACTAAGTGTTGAAAAATGAACACTTTAAATTGTTACATAAACAAATAATACTCATACCATACCAACAACTTAAAATACTAATAATACAATCAATTTGAACACCATAAAAGTGTGATTTAAAAAAATCTAACATTCCAATAGACTCTTAATGTTTGCATGATAATTCTTAACAACTTGGGAAAGCTTTGTTGAAAAAAATAAAAAAACAAAAATTTGTCATAAAAATGTAAATTTTCCAAAACAATTTGTTTTTTTTTTGCAATTTTTATTTTTATCTAATTATTTTTTATTGTACAATAGTTATAAGTTTGTAGTTTATATATATATATATCTATTTAGAGTAGAAAATGGATATAAATACAAAACTTAATACTATTATTTCGTACTTGACTCATTTGAGAGTTTATCGTGATCCACAACGTGTTAGAACTGATACAACCGATCTATTTAGATTCTTTCCAAATCTTCAACCTTACTATGGTGCTAGTATGTACAAATGATACATAGTATCATTAAAGTATAGTTTGTTGATAATACATATTAACTTTTTTTTTTTTTGCACCATCATAATCAATTTTTATTATTATTTATCATCAATCATATAATCATCTAGATAGAATTGGTAATTTAATTTATTTAAAGGGTACTATACCAATTAAGTATCAACAATTTATATATCATATTCCTATCATTGCTTGGTTACCAGAGAACTATCCTTTTGCACCACCACAAATTATATTGGATCCAACACCAGAGATGGAAATTGTCAAGGGTCATCCTCACGTCAATGAGAATGGACTGTGTCTACACCACTATCTTTCACATTGGACTTGGTCATCGAACATATCACAAGCCGTCAAGTACTTATGTGATACATACAGTGCCGCTCCACCATTGGTCACAAAGAAGAAGGTTGAAACCAACATACCAAACACAAGTCCACCACCTTATCCAATGCAACAACAACAACAACAACAACCACAGCAACAACAACTACAACAACAACCACAGAATACTAGCTGGAGTAACATGAATATGAATATGAATCAACCACCACCTACCTACGCAGAATCGATGGGCGTACAACAACAGCAACAACAAAATACACCACCTTCTCAATCGCCATCTGGTATTCCAATTGTTAATAAACCAGCAACACCTCCACAAACAACAGCGGTCTCTGCTTCACCGGTGAGTATTTCACCAGGTGCAGCGGCAGCAGCAGCATCAATGGCTCTCGCAGCACAAAAGAAGAATGAACGTGACGAAGTTCTTCAGAATTGTACAGAGAAACTACAGGAGATCATATCGTCGTTCTACGACACTACCTCTAAGGAGATCGAGAACTACATTGCACACAATGCGACACTCGAGGAGCAATCGATCAAGTTGACTCAGGAGGAAGAGATTCTCAAGTCCGATATGGATGTTTTCGAGAAGCTCATTGTATCGACAACTGAAAAGATTGAGCAAATCGACAAATGGATAAAGGAAAACGAAAAGGACGAGAAGGATTTGGATATAGACGCACTCTCTGCACCAAAAGATGCACTACAGAAGCAGTTACTATCGTTGGTCTCCGAGGATATGACCATCGAGGATGCGCTCTACTACTTGGACAAGGCACTTCACCTCAATAGAATAACACTCGATGAATATCTAAAGAATATAAGAACGTTGAGCAGAGAGCAATTCATGATTAGAGCCACTGTAAGAAAGGTACAACAACAGATACAATTGAATCTCATGGTTATCCAACAGCATCACCAACAACAACATGTACTGTAAATCATCTCCCAACATATATTGTACCTTACACACACACAAAGCATTTTAGCCACTCAAAAATCAAAACATTGTACTATTCATAATAGATAATTAAATAGCGATAAATAATTAAATACAATAAATTTGTAGTTTAGTTTATTCATTATTCATATTTTTTGATGCTACTGGTTTTGTTATTTTTCTTTTAACAATACATTTAACTTTAGACTATATAGCAATTTGATTAGTTAAGTATATAGTTGTGAAGTGGATTGTTAGATATTACTTACAGTTTTCTCAGTTGGCATGCCTGGTGTCTGTTGTCCTAAATGATTGCTGTTCTTTTCAATGATCTTTGGTTGTGGTGGTGGTGACGATGTTGGAGGGTCAGCCAGAAGACTTGGAGTAAAGTCTGGTAGTGGTGGAGTTGAAACTGTTCTACCTTCTCTTGGTTGGAAGTAGGGCACTATCTCCAGTTGGCTGGATTGAAATGAGTGTTGTCTTTGTAAAGGATGCTGTTGTTGTTCATTCAGTAAAGATAACTCTTTACATTTCTGATCAAAACATTTTTGCAATTCATCCATTTGATCCAATAGCCTTTCTTTTTCCATTTTCAATTGATTGTTTCTTTCTGACATAATATCAATTTGGTTGCTCTTCTCCTATTTATATATTAAAAAAGTAATAGTTAGTAAATAAAAGAATAGTTATATTTTTATTTAGTTACCATCAGTTTCTTGGATTGTAATTCTCTATCTCTTATAGATTTTTCCAAACTACTTTCGAGATCCTTTAGTTTGGAGACTTGCGACTGAATATTCTTTTCTTTCTCTGAGATTCTGAGTAGAAGTAGGTTCATTTCGCTATCCTGAGAGTTCTTTTCATTCATTAGTTTCTTATTCTCTTCGAATTGAACCTCGGCATCTTTCTCCAAGTATTGAATTCTCTCATCCGAGCTTTCAATCTTTTGACAAAGATAATCATTCTTCTCAGTCATTTGTTGCACCACTAACTCCAACTGATTGAAATTCGACTTGAATGAACTTAATTCTTCCTTTTCTTTCTTCAATGCTTCAATCTGAAAAAGTTGTTGACTGATAAGTTCATTTTTCCTATTATAAAACAATCAGTCTAATCTATTTAATAATTTAATTATAGTTTAACTTACTTTTCCTTTTCCAACTCAAAATCTTCTCTATCGTTTGTATATAGATTCTTTTGGTTTTCGAAATACAATTGGAGTGCAGAGAATTCTTTTGAAATGCTGCCGAATTGATCTGATTTCTCCTGTAGTTGCGATTTAAGAGAAGCTAGTTCCTTTTCAAGATCAATCTTGGATTCTTGGAGATTATGACATTCACTCGACAATTGTGATATTTGATCAGTATGACTCTCAATCTTCTTGCTCTGTTTATCCAACTCCTCATTCTTGGTAGTGAGTTCATTATCTAAACATGATTTCTTCTTCATCAAAGATTTGAAATCTGATTCTAATTGATTATAATCCAATTTGTATTTTACTTATCATAAATGTTAGATTAATTAAAATAATAAATAATTATATAATTAACTTACATATTTTATCTTGATGCTCTTTTATTTCTTTTTCATAAGATAATCTAACTTGTTCGATTTCTTTAATCAATGACTGTTCAGTTTCCATTTCTAAAAATATTTATTTGTTAATATTTTTTTTAATCTATAGGTTACTTCTTACTTACGATCTTTAATAGTATCTTCATGAGATAAAATTTGATTGGTCTGAATCTCAAGTTTCGCTTTAAAACTGTGAATAAACTCTGTTGATTGTCTATTTTGATTCTCAATCTCCTCTAGCATTTCATTTAATTTATCTCTCTTTGATTCAACTTCATTAAGTATCTCATTGGTTGTAGAAATAAGAATACCTGTTGATTTAAGATCAGCATTGATCTTACTAAATTGAATATCTACATCATTAAACTTTAACAATAGTATATGCTTCTCATTGTGAAGAGATTTGATCATATCTTCTTTTGAATTCAATTCATTCTCAATCATTTTGATTCTCTTGCTCAATTGTTCAATACAACTCTCACTCTTTATATGTTCAACCTCTAAATCTTCTATTATTTTTTTAAAAAAGCAGAATGTTAGTAATAATTTATAAAGATTACCTATATCTTTATAAATACCAATAGAACTCAAAAGCTTCTTAAAAGATCTCAGTGGCGCTTCTATTTCATCCTGATTCAATGGTTCCTTATCAGTGAATGATTCTTGATTAGGTAGTACCTTTTGATGAGAAGTTGAATGATGATTTGTATTTATATAGGGTGTATTGTTGTTTGTCTTGTCAAATGAAAACTGAGTGACACTCATAGATCTAGAATCGAGTATTGGTGATATAGGATCTTTACTAAGATTCAATTCTGGAAAAGGTGAGTAACTAAAAATGCTACTGTTTAGTTGTGGAGTGATTGGTTTAAAAGCAGAGTTGTCACTGGTAACTTGTTTAAAGTTACTGTGTAATTGGTGTTGTTGTGGTTGTTGCTGGTGCTGTTGTTGCGGCTGATGTTGTTGTTGTTGTTGTTGTTGTTGTTGTTGTTGTTGTTGTTGATTTTGATTATGTTGGTTGTGCTGTAATTGATTTCCATTTGTATTCAATAAATTTGAAGATGTTTGGACACTTGTAATATTATTACTTTGATTGGCAGGATTGACTGGTTGTTTTTCTTTCGCACTATTTGAGTTATTATTTATATTGGAAATCGGTGTGGTTGGAGTTGAGAAAAATGAGGTTTTTGCAAAGGTTGGAGGAAAGAATTGATGTAAATTCAACTTCTTGTTGGTTGAAGAATGTTCAATGTTTGGTGTGGGAGTAGTGTCATAGTTTGAAGATTTATTCAAATTTTTTGGAAAACTAAAAGTTTGGTTTGCGCTGATATTGTTGGTGTTATTATTCATTTTATTTTATTATTGTTACCAATAGATTTAATAAACAAACAATGAAATAATATTTGAAACAACAATATTATCTTTGACTCATTAGTTTTATTTTAATAAAATATTTTCAGAAATATTACAACAACTATAAAATATTTATATGAATTAAATTAAATAATAATATTTTTAATTAAAATTTGCACTTCAACTGTGTTGTTTGACTGATAAACTAAAAGGTATTTTCAAATTCGGTAATCCAATAACTATAAAAATAAAATAATTTCCAATGGATATTCCACATTTGGTGGTGGTGTTTTCAACAAAATAGGTATTTTTTGAATGTACATAATTTATACTTTTGTTTATTACTCAAAATTGAGATTATTTTTGTTTCTAATTTTTTTTCAATTATTTTTATTTGTTATGAGTTGGTTTATTATTTGATTTTTTTTTGATTTTTTTTTTTTGATTTTGTTTTTTTGAATTACAATTCTGGTGCCAGTCCATTGACAACTGTAACATGTTGAGTAGGTAGCGATGATGGTGTCTGATGTTCACTGTTGGTAGATTCAGATGATGGTTTATAAAAATTGTTATTTTTTAAATTATTATTATTATTATTATTATTGTGTGAAGCTAAAAACATATTATTTACATTGTTATTTACAATGTTATTATTGTTTTCATTTGTACTTGTTGTTGTAGTAGTTGTTGTTTGAGGTGGTGATTGTATATTAGATGAGATTGTATTTTGAGTGGGTGTTGGTGTTTGATTTGGAGATTGATTCATTAGAGGTGAAGAAATCATAGAGTTTGGAGGTGGAGGTAGGCTTGTCACACTAACCATGTTGTTGTTGTTGTTGTTGTTGGTGGGTGGAGGTGATGTCAGCTGGTTTACGTTGTTGTTGTTGTTGTTTGGTATCAGTGGTGCGACCTGTGGGCTTTGTAGGTTGGACGGTGTCATTATGGTTGTGGTTGCCGATGTAGGTGTTGTACTCGTTACCGTTGTTGTGCTGGCAATGTTATTGGGTGTCGATGGTGTTGTATGTGCATGTGGAGATACTATGGTTGGTGGATGTGGTGAGTTTTGTAATGATAGCAAAGTTGGTTGTTGTTGTTGTTGCTGTTGATGTTGTAGATGATGGTGTTGTTGTGGCGATAGCAATGGTGTGCCTTGATGTTGCTGTTGTTGTTGTTGTTGTTGTTGATGTTGATGTTGTAATTGTTGTTGTTGTTGTTGATGTTGTAGCTGTAGTTGTTGCTGTTGTTGTAGTTGTAGTTGTGCTTGTTGTTTCATATAGACATGCTGCTGAAACAGTCTTTGATTCCTATGATGTATATACTCTGGTATATCTTTGAGTATCAGTCGATCGAGAATCAAATGGTCTTCTCTATAGCCAGGCATACACTTTAGCTGACGTTCTGACAGCTTGTGTATTGACTTTATCAACTTATCGACATTCTGAAGTGTTTCCACTTGCATATCATTACATTTTTCCTCTGTGACTATGAAAATAAATGTGTAAAAAAAAAAAAAAACAAACATTAATAAGATGATATCAAAATTAAAATGAATCAAATAGAAATTAAAATAAACATACTTGAATTAACTTCCAATTCAGTAAATATTTGAAAACAACTCAGTCTGTTCTTTGCATCTTCAAATGATTGGAATGGAGTTTTGTAGTCTGGTTCTGTGGCCAACTTTCTTGTATGAGTAACTTCTAAAAACTTCTTTTTGTACATCTCGATCTCACTGTTGTCTTTACTGTTACTACTAGTACTAATGTTGTTGTTGTTGTTATTGTTGGTAGAACTACTGCTACTGCTACTGTTATTGTTACTACTGCTACTGCTGCTGCTACTACTGCTAGAAGTATGACTCTTTTTCTTTTCTTTCTTTTCGATCTTATCACTCTTTCTCTTCTTTTTCTTGTCATTTTCGTCTACAGGTGTTTGAGGAGCTGTTAGAGTGGATGCTGTGGGTAGTGGTGGTGGCGGATGTGTAACAGTGACGTTTGGAGGTGGTTGATTAACAACGTTGTGATGGCTAGTTTGAAATGGATGACTAAGTTGTGGAGGTGGTGGATTGATAGATGTTGGTTGAGGATGTGGAATGGGCATTGGTTTCGCTTGAATTTGTGGGTTTGGCAATCCTGTTGTTGAAAGTGTTGGTGTCGGTGTAGTGGTAGTGCTAAGTGTTGAAGTAATCGGTTGTGCTCCTAATGCAGATGTTGTTGTTGTTGTTATTGTCGATGAATTTGTTCCTTGTGTCAGTGATGATGGTAATGGAAGTGTTGAAGGTGCTTGAGTAATGGTAGTATAAGTTGGTTGTGGTTGTGATTGCGAATGAATTTGTTTGTTAAATTGTTGTTGCTGTTGTTGTAGTAGCTGTAGTTGTGTCTGTTGTGCCTGTTGTTGTTGTTGTTGTGCCTGTTGTTGTTGATAGTTGGGTGGAGTTGATGTCTGAAAGCCAAAGGGTTGTGATGAAAGAGTAGGTGGAATCTGGCTCTGTTGAAACTGTTGGAGCTGCGGTGGTAGCTGTGAGATTGGTGCAGCTGACGATACTGCTGCTGGTGGTGGTACTGTTGCCCTAGGTTTCTGCTGTAGTGGCAGAGTTGATTGAGGCATAGGTAACTGTGGTGGTGGCGTAACAATTGTTTGATATGGTTGTGGTTGTTGATTCGGAGTTGTTGGTGTAGTTGGCTTCTGTTGTTGTTGTTGAGCAAACTGGTTATACAATGTCGAGGAATCGGATGTTTGTTGTGGTTGTTGCTGTGGTGTAGTAGTAGTAGTAGTTGTGGTAGTAGTTTGTTGTGGAGATTGATTATTATAGATATGTGTTTGAACGGGTGATATTTGAGCCATTGACAGTGTTTGTGGCATCGAAGGTGGTGTCGTAGCCATTGGTGAAACTGGGTGCGGTGATAAATTACTAATATTATTATTATTATTATTGTTGTTGTTACTGCCTAGAATAGGTGTTGTCTGCTTCAACATTTGTTGTGGTTGTTGTTGTATAAAATTAGGTGAATGTGTTGCCTGTATATTACTATTATTACTATTACTATCATGACTTGTTGTTGTCGTTGTTGCTATGCTTGGTGGCTGTGTAACAGTAGTTAGAGGTGAATGTTGTTGTTGTGGAGTATGATACTGCTGTTGCTGTGGAGTATGTTGTTGCTGTTGTTGTTGTTGTTGTGGAGTATGATATTGCTGATTTGCAACAGGTGGTGACTGTGGATGATAAGGACTATTTAATGGTTGTTGTGGGGTATGATACTGTTGTTGTTGTTGTTGATTTACAACAGAATCATTTAATTGTTGTTGTGTATACATATTTGGTGGTGTGCTATGATATGAAGAAACAGCAGTGGTAGTAGTAGTTGGTGTTGTATATTGTTTTTCATCGATTTGTTGTTGTTGTTGTTGTTGTTGTTGATCATTTGTAATAGTAGTATTTTCGCTCATGATGTCATCTTCTTTGCTACCGATATTATTTATAAATTCATTTTCGACGTCAGAGAAACTCTCAAAGTCGACATCCTCAAGAGCAGTATCATCGTCGTCGTTGTTCTTACTCTTGAACGAAAGAAATTCGTTGGGATCATTTTGATCACTATATGTATTATTATTACTATTGTTGTTGTTGTTGTTGTTGCTGGTACCATTATCACTATCCACCATCATACCATTGTTACTACTACTACCATTATTATTACTATTCAATATTAATGAAGTAGTTGATGATACTCCGCTACCATTTTCATTGAAATGATGTAACATTGAATGATGATTATTATTATTTGTGTCGCCACTACTACTACTATTATTATTATTATTATTATTATTATTGTTGTTGTTGTTGTTGTTTGTAGGTGAATCTGTTGTCATTGATAACTGTTGAGTGTTATAGTTTATATATTGTTGTTGCTGCTGCTGTTGTTGTTGTTTAATTAGATTATTATCGTTGATATTGTTATTGTTATTGTTATTGTTATTGGCTATAGTGACATTGTCATGAGATACAAGACCATTGATCATTGCTGTTACTACTACTGAAGTCATAAACGACAAACCATTCCCAATGTATCACTTAATCCTAAGTTATATGTGACCCTATGTTAGTCGACTCTTGTGCGAATACAGATTCAAAACTAGTTTTGAAAAAGAAAGTACCTACTCAGCTCAAGAACACTCTATAAATTATATATTTATATTGAAAATGATATGATAACCTTGGTTTAACAACTACTACTACAAATCAACTCTTTAAATTTTATATTTAGATTGTAGATTTTTGTAGGATTGTTGTTGATTTTTGTTATTGTTATTGTTTATTTTTGTAGGTTGTTATTACTGACGAGATTTTTAAAAAAAAAAAAAACAATAATTAATAATATGTTGGTGATGATGATGTACGATGATGATGATGTTGTTGTTGTTGTTTTAAAAATAACAATTATTGAAAATTTAAAAATATATATTTATATTTAAAATAGATAATTAATTAATCAAACTGTTATTGTTTTTTTTTTTTAAAAAAGTTGTTTGAATTTTAAATTATAAGATGATATGTTGATTGATATCCTCTGTAATTAAGAAATTAGTTGTTGTTGTTGTTGTTGTGATGGCGGTTAAATCATATAATATAGGTGTTTTTTTTTTGTTTTTTGTTTTTTTTTTTTTTTTTTTTTTTTTATGACTAATTTTGTTATTTAAGAAAAATGTGATGAAAAAAAAATTTCAAAAATTCAAAAAATAAAAAAATAAAAATAATTTAAATTTTTTTTAAAAAAAAAAACAATTTAACTGTTAAAAAAAAAAATGGTGTGTTACTAATCACAATAAATAATATAACTCTCATATTAATTTTCATACGATGAAATCGATTCATATGATGAAAAGAAAGTTGTTGTTTCAAAAATAAGATGAATGATTGTTTCTTATACTGAAATAAATGGGAAGTTGTTGTTTTGTTTTGATTCGAATCGGTTTAGTTAGTGGTCATAAATCGATCATTGTAAATTAAAATTAAATAGGAATTTGATTTGTGTAAACAAAAAAAATCAAATCAAAAAAAAACAATGATTTATTTGGTCCATTGTTTTATTATTATCATCAACATCATCTCATCACGATGATATTTAAATTTAAATTTAAATTTGTTCGTAGATTGTTGTGAAAGGTGGGAGGTGCGTGGTTATGAAAATATGAAGTGAATGCAAAATAGTAAAGCAGAGTAAACCCCAAACAATCCTAATTGTATTTCATGGGTGATGTGTTGGTTCGATCAACATATAATCGATCATCAACAATAAACTATCTTTAACATCATCAATACTGTAAAAAAAAAACAACACACCTCATCGTTTCAAAAACAATCATAAAGAAAAATGTTCTATTTAAAATAAATTAAAATAAAATAACCCACTCCTTTTACTCTCTGGTGAAAATATTACGATCACTCATTTTTGTTCTATTCTATGTTTGCACGCAACAACATTCATAAAAAACACCATAACATACGAATTCTCCCACACACCAAATCCATTGAAGATCCCTAAAGAAATCTCATTGACGTTCCTAATTTAAACAAAAACAAAAAACAACACCATGGATCGATCCGGGTTTATAAAAAAAAATAAAATAAAAAAATTTGTTTACAAAAAAAAAATCAAATAAGCTTAAAATGTAAATATTAATAATAACAATTTTTGCTTCTAACAATTACAAAAAAAAAAGGATAGCTGTTTATTATTTTTTCTTGTTTGTACAATTTTACAATAGTTTACAATTTTCTATTATTTTTTGAAAAGTGAAAATAGATCGATTCTATCTGAATCATTCATATCGGATTGATTGATCTAAACATTTGTTTAGATTGGGTGAAAGAACTTATTTTTGATGTTTTTAAAGTAATTCCTCTGGGAAATTAATAAATCTTGTCGTTCTATCCCAAATCAGATTGTTTTGGTATTTGAATGATTTCACTCTATGCAAAGGAATGGCACCTAATTCAAACTCGATGTAAGGTACTTCCTTCAAACCAATAAATCTATCTTCATATAAAATCGAGAAATCTTCAATGTTTGCGTTAATTGCGCAACTCCACTATAAAAAAAAAATGAAATGAAAATAAAAAAAGTTAGAAAATTATTGTAAAACCTTCCATCGTTGAATGTTGTTGGTATTATTACTAACCTTGATTCTATTATAAATCTCTTCAGATGATGGTAATCTTGATTTTCTATCTTCGATTAAAACTTCTTCTTCTGACTTTGGACTTTTTATTTTCTTTGATTTCTCTTTAATAATCTTTTCATCTAAGGTCGCTGCCTCTGACGCAAAGTACTCTTGTCTCTTCTTATACTCTTCATTGTCCATCATATCTCTGTGGAAATGATTAATATTGATTTGTAATTTAGCCATGATTGTTTAAACTTCTTTCTTTAAATATAACTGTTTTGTTTTCTCTTTTTTTTTTTTAAATTGTGTTTAATAAATAAATGATGTATTTGTTGATTCAAGTTCACTGATCAGTGAACTATATATAGTAAATTTTTTTGAGATCGAATTTCTTTGTTTTCGCAATTTTCTTGATTTTTTCGTAAAAGTCATTATTTTTGAGAAGATAGAAAAATTCTCTTTTTTTATTTTTGGTAAAAGGTTGGGAATTCGAAGGATTTAAAAATTAATAGATTAAACAATAAGATTAACAGAATTTTAGTTATTTTATATATAATATTTTAATTTCACTCATTTTTTATTTTGAGTTTATTATTCACGATTATGTGAAATAATAATTCTTTAGAAATATAAAAAATGTTTAGTTAATGTGAATTAAAAATATCTTTTTTTTTTTAGATTATTTAAATTGGTTTAATAAAAGAAAAAGTGGTAGTTTTTATGATACAATGTAATTGCAAAAGAAATTTCATTATTCTTTTTTTAGAAAATATCTTTTTAAAAAGTTCTTTTTTTTTTTTTTTTTTGGCTTTTTTTTTTTGATTATAATTTAAACTTTTAAAAAATCAATTATAATAACGGTTCCTTATTTAGATTATTTAATGATATCCAATTATCTAATTAGATATATTTATATTATAACAATCTAGTAAATATATCTATTATCTATAGATATTAAAAAATGAATAGATATATAAGTATATTAGTATTTGCGATACTGTCGATAGTATCAATTACCAGTGTTAGAGGACAACAATTAATCTCACCGTCCAATGAAAATCTATTATATATGGGTAGAGTTGACAGCTCCTCGAATGATGTCTACTATTTTGATTGGTCAGGTGTCGGAATTTCGATGATTATCACTGGCACGGCAACTCTAAAAGTTTTGATGGATACAAACACACCAACACCCGTAAGTGTTAATAAAATTTCATTTGAAAATGTTGAAATGAAATTAATAATAATAATAATAATAATCATGATGATATTATAATAAATAGTCAACCAACAATATAAATATGTTCACTGTTTTGATAAACAATGCTGTATATCCACCTCTGAACATCACATCGACAGAGATGGAGTCGTACGATCTCGTTAGCTATGGAACATTGGTGCCTACAGAGAGCTACATTATCACTTTGATCAAAAGAACCGAAGCATCACTTGGAGTTATCGGATTCTACGGATTCATGGTTGACCAGGCTGCAGTCATTGTTTTACCACCTTCATTCCCCAGAAAACTAGAGTTCTTTGGTGACAGTATTACCTGTGGATATGGAATTGATGCTCTTGCACCATGTCCATTCACTCCACAAACTGAAAACAACTTTGAGTAACTATCAAATTCGACATGATATCAAGACTGTGATGATAAAACAGATTTTAGATTAATATTGTTAATTTTTTTTTATAGTACATATGAATATATTATTTCAAGACAATTAAGTACTCAATTACATACAGCATGTTGGAGTGGAAAAGGATTGGTTCGTAACTATGATTCTCCAAATATCACATCGACCAATCCAATGCCGATTTATCTTCCACGTACTCTCGCCAACAACGCATCGTTAGAATGGGACTTTGCCAACTACGTTCCCGATGCAGTGGTCATCAATTTAGGTACCAATGACTACTCTACTCAACCTTCACCACCCGAAAACCTTTTTGAGCAAACTTACATCAACCTGATACAGACCATCAACAATTGGTATCCAAATAAACCAAAGATCTTCTTGGTTTGTGGTCCAATGATCAGCGGTGCCGTTTGTGATTACGTAGAGTCAGTGAGTGAAACTGTCGAGTCTGCGACCTACATCGATCTTCAAAACATTCTTGATGATTCTGACTATGGTTGCAATGGACACCCCAACCAGAGTGGTCATGCCAAGATGGCTGAAATAGCTTATCCAATCATCCAGAAAGTGATGCAATGGTAAATAATAAAAGTTTAATCTATTGTATATAATATAAATATATATATGTTTTTTTTTCAACTTTGAATTGTTTAATATTAAAAATAATAAAATTCTTAATCTATTTATTTTTACCAAAAAAGAAATTGAAAAAAACTTATTTCAAAAAAAATCAATCAGATCAGAAACATTCTCATTTTTTTTAAATATATAATGTATAGAGTAGCAACTAGAAACCTTTTTAAATTTAATTGGTTTGGATTTGGAAATAAGAATGTTAATAACAACAATAATAGTAACAATATAAAACAAAATAAGAGAAATAATGAAGTGGAGGATAACGATGATGATGAAGATGGTCTGGATAAGCTGATAGCTTCAACTCAGTCACTCATTGATAAGAGTAGGAAAGTCACAGAACTAGGTGATAAATATAAAGATACAATGCTAATGAATTCAAAGTTGACCGATGAAATCAAATTGCAGAATCAGAAGAACATACAAGAGACGATCGATAATTCAATGAAAGAGTTAGAGGATCGTTTCAACAATATCGAATTCGACGCCAATATGAATATAGTACGAAAGGATGTAGGCAAGGCAAAGGTAGTCAACGAGCAGATCGACTCATTCCAGAAACGACTAGATCAACTCTTTGTCATTGCTAAAGAACACATCATAAACACAACAGCAAACACAGCACCACATCACAGAGAAGACTTTAGAGATAAGATTAAGAAACTGACGCAAGAGATTGATGAAAGTACTTATTTATCTGAAGATTTAAAATCTCATTTTAAAAATACAGCAAAAGGTTTAGAAGAATTAGATGAAGAAAGTAAATAATTAATAAAATATAATATATATATATACAATATAACAGAAAATAGTATTATTTTATTTATTTATTTACTTGACTCTATGGACAAACTACAACAAATACTTGTTTGTTTCAAGAAAACAAAAAAAAGAAAATGACATTATTCCTAAAACGTTGAATCAAATTGGAAATTAATTTAATTAATTTATTCATTTTAATAAATAGTCGATTGTTTAACTTATGGATTTTATTGCTATTAGCATAAAGACATTGATTTACATATTGTCAATACATCTCTATGATCTTTAAGTTGGTCGATTATATCTTGGGCATAGTTTACAATGATATCTTCACATTGCTCCATTGGTTGGACGTTCGGACAACAATTATGAACTAAGAAGTCGATATCAACTGGTTCTATATCTACGTAGTTTGACACTTCAGAAACTGTTTGATTGCAGACTCTACAGAAACCTGGATATACCGCGGCAACATTTTCAACTTGAAGGATGAAAAATAAACTGAATACCAAAGTTATAAATAAAATAATATTTAACTTAAACATTTATTTATTAAATAATTTGGAATAGTTCAATAAAAAATATAAAACAATTATATATATGTTACAATTATAAATTTAAATTTTTTTAAAAAAAAAAACCGTTGCTTTTAAATCCATTTATAAAGTGTAATGGATAATGTTGTTAATAATTTTTTTATATTAAAAAAAATAATAATAAAGGTTATTCTACTTTTATTCAATTGAATCTTAAGGATTAGAATTTTCAATTTTAGATGAGGGGTAAGATCATCTAACCCTTTATAAAAAATAAAAAAAAAGTAAGTGAACCTGAAAAGTTACATGAAAGATATACTTTCCAAAAATTCCTTATTTGAAAAAATCTAATTTTGGAAAATATCTTATTATTTCTACTTAACAATGCCTACTTTGAAAGTTCAAAACCTAAATCCAAAATAAACAACCTCTTAAAATTTGTAGATTCTATTAATTAAAGGATATTAATAAACATTTTCATTGATATTCCGTTTTGTTTAGAATCCACTCGACAGATTTTAAATGATAGTTGTGACGATTTTTTCTTTTTTTTTTCTTTTTTTTTTTGAATTTAAATTTATTTACAATAACAACAAATGGTAACATTATCACAGGGCACGTCGTCTTTCTTACAGAGTCGTAGTGATTCTTTTGCCAAATGGTTAGCTATCGCCTGTGCAGTTTCCTTTGGGTGTTTGGTGAGGTAGTTTGCAATTGCCTGGTGATCCATGGCATTCCAAAGTCCGTCGCTTGCGACAATCAAAATGTCGTGTTGACGTAAATCCGAGTGTTGTAGACTAGGCTCCGATGTGACTCCGAACCGACTGAGAATATGGTGACCAAGCGCACGACTCATGTTCAATGCCAATCGTCGCTTGGCGATCTCAGCCTCTGAGAATTCGCCACTCGGAATTACACGCCAACTGCTATTCTTGTGAATGACTCTACCGTTGGATTGAAGGATACGCTGCTTCTCGGAACGAGACTCTGGACGATGATCCGACGTCAGTGGATGCGCACGATAGCTACGTGAAACACTGCACAGTCGAAACAGAACTGCTTGCGAATCGCCAACCCATCCAATTGAAACACGATCACGTCCAACCACCGCAACAGTCGCAGTCGTTCCATTATCAATATCAGAGACACGTGCCTCTTCAATCAAAGCATCACTCGACAACTTAAAAGAATCTATTATACATTGGTCTATTATTATTTATTAATTCAGAAAATTGGTTAGAAAATTTTGGCCAACTTTTGAAAACAATCGATTTTTACTTACTTATATTATTACAGCTATTATTTACAATTATATTATTTGAAAGATAATTATTTATTGATTCATTGGCGAGTGTTGATGCTACTTCTCCTTGTTCACCATGACTAACATATGATAAAATAAAAGAAATAATAAATAATTAATAATTTTTCTTTTTCTCTTTAATAAAATTAGTAAATTTATAATTATAGTTACCCATCCAATACACCTATCAGTAATACTTCATTATCTTCCATTTCATTTAGGAAAAAACTATCTTGGTTCTCAGTTCTGTCACCAACGACCGTGCTGGAACCAACTCTCTCTACAAGATTTAATGCTGATTTCTTGTGATGTGATGTCGATGTTGTTGTTGTTGACACTACAGTATTGTCGGCTCCATCTATCATGATATCATTGTGAAATCTAAGATTTATTACTTCTGATGACATGTTATCACTTTTGCTGCTACCACTTTTTTTGGCACTGATCGAATTTTGGTCGGTTGGTGTGTCGTTTGCCAAAAAATTCAAACTTTTTAACTTTTTATTTGGTGATGACAATTTTAGTGCACTGAATGATTTTGTTGGAGAATATATTGCTGATGTTGTAGTTGTTGTAGTTGTAGTTATTGTCGTACTATCTGATTCATTATCAATGTCAACCAAGTTATTTTCATCACTACTGCTACTTGTTGAATCTTCTGAATTGTTATTATTGTTATTGTTATGATCTACTTGTATCCGATCGATGACAGCTGCAGTCATCATCATTGTATGAAGTAACACTTCTTCCTTTCGTTTCTTCTTTTCCTTCTCTTTTGGGTGACGTATTATCAAATCTTTTGCATCCGTCTCTTGGTTCTCATTCTCGACCTGTTCCTTCAACAATTGCTGTTGTTTTTTAATTACAAACTTTAAATAATCCTCCGAAACCCATTTTATTTCGTAACCATCCAAAGTCTCCATTTTAAAACTATCTTTGATATATAACTATACTATACTATACTATAGATAAAGATATGTGATTTGTATTGAATGTGGAATGATTAATTGTTTGATTGTTTGATTTAATTTAGACTAAGAATTGCTTTTGGTATTAAATTAGATGATTATTTATTAATTTATTATTATTTATTATTTTAATCTTTTTATCTATATTACATATTATTCTTATATAATATATATATATAAATAAATATTTAATAAATCCACACCCTACCTATCTTTATCTATCTCTTCCACTCTGTTTCTTACTATTTTCAGTTCTTTTTTTTTTTTTTTGTTGATTGGTTGACTGATTGAATGATATCAAAATGGTGTGTATAAAAAATAATTAATAATTATTATAAATCTTGTTATAATTAACTATGTTTGTTATCCAACACGAAAAAAAAACAAAACAAAACACAACACAACACAGACTGATCAACTCTGTCTGTGACACTTGATTTCTATCTAAATAATACGACAAAACAAACACAACACTACTTAGAGTATAAATATATAAAAATAAAACTCTATTAACAAACTTTTCTCTCTTTCTTTATTTTTGATATGGTCTAAGTGTAATCTCTTTTGATCAAAACTTACCCACAACCTTTTTTTTTTTTTTTTTTTTTATTCTTGATTTGGAATCAAAGTTCTTTGATTTAAATAAAAAAAGATAGCATAATCTATAGATCTCAATCAAACATTCAAAGACGAGTAGATATATTAACTTTTAAATCATTTATTTATTAATTTGTTCTTAAAAATAATTAAAAAAAAATAACAGTCAATCAGTTAACTACAGGTAGATAGAAGTTGTAGTGCAATTTTTCTTTCCTATAAAGCTACCTTTTTGTTTTTATTTTTTCGAGGACTTGGTAGTAGAACATATAAACAAAAATAAATATTTTCTCAAGGTAGGAACCTAAAAATTATTTAAATAGTTTTAAACTAAAATAGTATGTGCATCCCCACAACTATTAGATAATAATCAAATTATGAATAAATATGTACTCAAATGAATAAATGAGTGCATTGATAATGAAGAAAAGTTTATTAATCTGAATATTCACACTAATCATTTCTCAAATTTTTGAGACATTTTTTAAAATCTTTGAAAAAACATTTTTGTTTTTATTTTTATTTTTATTTTTTTTTAGTTTATAAAGTGAGCAAGGGAATATTTATATTAATTTAATTAATACTGTTTTGTATAACTATTATTATTATTATTATTATTATTATTTTAAATCTCAAAGAGAGAAAATCACTAAACTAAAAGATGAATAATATATTTGGTGGAGGTAAACCGGACCCAAAGAGTATGTTGAGTTGTTGTGACACACCTATGGTTAAGTGAAAACATGTTAGCTATTGATATTAACATTTTCAAAAACAAATAGAACAATTAAAAGAATCGAAAAGAGATTTGAATAAATCACAGCGTGAACTAGATAGACAGATATTTCAGTTGGATCAACAGGAGAAAGCAACTATAATACAAGTGAAAGCGTTGGCAAAGAAAGGACAAGAAGCAAATGCAAGAACCCTAGCTAAAGAGATTGTACGAATAAGAGAACAAAAAGATAAACTGAGAGCAATGAAGACTACAATGATGGGTGTATCTACAAAGACAACTGTATGTAAAATGCAATAATACATTACCTCATTTAGGTGACATAATAATAATAACTGAGTAATCAACTAACAAACAATCTCTTTTTTGTTTTCTTTAGACAATGGCAACAAATCAATCAATGATGAAGGCAATGGGAACAGCAACAAAGGCAATGACAATAGCAAACAATCAATATAATGTAGCTGCAGTACAGAAAACAATGATGGAATATCAAAAACAAGTACATCATGCTGAAGTATCAGATGAGTAAGTTTTCAGCAACTCTTTCTTTTTTCTTTTGGTTTAACCAAACCAACAATCGATTTATATTGATTCTAATCAATTATCATTTGATCTATTCTATAGGATGTTACAAGATATGTTTGAAGATGATGAAGTAGATGAAGAAGCAGACAGTGTATTAACAAAGATTGTAGATGAAATTTCACTGGATAACTATTCAAAGATGCCCGGTGTTTCAAGAGATTATCTATCAACAGAGCGCGAACCTGTTAATAAAGTTACGGATGCCGATATAGATGCACTCTTACAAGGATTGTAAATAATAATAATAAAATATAAATTAACAAAAACAAAACATAAAAACTTTTAAATCAATTATCTTATCTATTATCTTTTATAAGAAAGATATAATTAATGAATGATTAAAAAAAAAAAAAAAAATTTTAAAAAGAAACAATGTTTTTTTTTTTTGTTTTTGATGACATCCAAAAAAGGAGCAGAATTTATTGCGAGGTCAAATAAATAAATAACAGAAGTGCTTTGACATATCGTTAAGTAGTTTATTCGTCTTCTTCGAGAGCCTCTGGGTCGGCAACTTGGAAGTAACGCAATTCGTAGGTGTTCTTGGTGGTGGCGACGACACGGAGGAAATCTCTGATCTTCTTCTTCTTCAAGAACTTCTTGGTGAGGTACTTCAAGTATCTCTTTGAGAAGGCAATGGTGGTTTGGACAACAATCTTGGACTTGTCACGGGTGATGGTGACAGCGCTACCGAGATTACCGGCCTTACCGTTGACCTTGATCTTGTCGTGGAGGAACTTCTCGAACAAGGCAACGTCGAGGATCTTACCACCTGGGGCGGAACAGTCGATGGTGAACTTGAAGTTGGTCTTTCTTCTGAGACCAGACTTTGGTGATGTTTTGGCTCTCTATAAAATGATTAAAAAGAGAAAAACAAAGTTAGAATATTTATATTCTTTATGTAATAGACTTTATATTATTCCATTTGAATAATAATTTGTAGATATACTCTTAGATATAGTTATAAATCATCTCTATATTTAAAGATATCTAATAGATAGTATCTTTTGTTTTCAATTGAGAATAATAAAAACATTGAACTCTAAGAGTAAAATCCATAAGATATACTACAAAAATGGATAAAATATATTTGATATATTTTTAGAGATAGTTATAAAACTAAACTACAACTTATTGAAATTATATATAACTAAAATAGTACTACTACTATAATATACATTGTCTATTAAATAAATATTACCATTTTATCTTTTTATAATATAATATATTATAAATTGTGCTGTAGTTGTTATTTTTGAAAATCTAAAAAAAAACAAACCTATTTTTGAAAATATTCAAAAACAGTTTTTGTTTTAATAGATAAATAAAACTTCAAACACATTATTTGTAAAAATGATAATAGATAAGCTAATAACACATATAATAATAAATATAAATTAAATATTTCTAAATAACTATATTGTAAATTTATAAAATAACTATAATAATAATAATTATAATAATACTGCTATAATATGTATAATGATATATAATAACAATAAATTGTAGTTGTAACTAGTTAAAACTTTGCTCTATGTACATACTGGAACGGCAGGCATTATTGGATGTCAACGAGTATGCGCACAAAAAAACTACTAAACTAAAATAATGCCACGAGCTCTTTCGTAGCTTGGTTGTCGACAAACCTGAAAAAAAAAATAATCAAAAAAAAAATTTAAAAAAATAGAAAAAAAAAAAAAAAAACTAGAAAAAAATAATATTTTTTTGCCCAAGTCGACAGAACTTCAGAATGGTATTCCAACATTATGAGGAATCATATTCAAACGAATGTTACTGTATGTGAATACATATGAATGAAGCACAAGAATGATATTAATATTTATATAGTGAGTGAACATCAATCTATTATTTAATTAATTCTCTTTTTTAAATGAAAACAAAAAACATTAAAAAAAATAGATGCAAGGATTTAAAATAAAATGATATAATCTATTCAAACAAAGAAAAAAAAAAAAAAAAAAAAAAATAATGATAAATAATAAACTTATTATTAAATAAATTGAAGAAAAGAGATTGTTTTGTTTTGTTTGTTTTTGTTTGCTATTTTTTTTTTGTTATTTACAAAAAGTAAAGTTTATTTGGGGAGTTGGGGATTGGGTATGCACCGTCTGAGTAAGCCTCATTGAGTTGAGTGCTTTGACGACAAGAACTTCTTTACGAGGAACCATCGTGTACAAGAGCACTTAATTGTATTATTCTATTACTATGACCAAGGTAACGACGACATTCGGCACTTGTGAACTCCAGTCTAGCTGGCGACCTTCTCCGTTGAAACGAATGACATGAAATTCGAAGTTACAATGCAATCACTGCTGATAATTTCTATCGTAGGGTCTGAGGAATTTTCCCAAAGCACTATACTGTGTTATAGTCTGTTAGCTATATACCTATCGTTTGTCTTATGAACGATCCATTTGTGAGCTTTGATTACAATTCTATAGGTGCATCCAAAGTTCAAAATGTGTTACTCATTCAAATTTTCAGCAGTGTTTGTTCGAACAATCGTGTTGAAAATCCAAAAAATAACAAAATTAAATTTAATCATTATTTTTTTTTTGCCAAAATGACCAAAATTATTAACGTTACAAATATTTTTAGGAATGAGAAAATTAACTTTGTTTATCAATAAAATTTTATTCAACAATAATAACGTTGATGTGATTATTGATCATCCCAAAGTTTGTTTAAATTCTTAATCAAAATATTTTGTAAATTTTTTAATTTATTTGATCAATATTAAAATCAAAAAAAAAAAAAAAAAAAAAAAAAAAAACGTTTGAACTATTTTAAAAGGAATACAATAAAAAAAGGTGACAAACAAAGTTGTAAAACAGGGAATTATATTTTTGCGCATAATCATACATAAAAGGTTATGATGAATCTTGGTTTTCCAAGGGGGATTCTTGAAAAAATTTTTTTTTTTTATTTTTTCATTTTTTAATTTTTGATTATTAACAATATTATTCGCAAAAAACTCAATTCCTAAATTTGTTTTTATTTAAATTATATTAATAATATAAATATCTTTTATATATTATTTTTATTATAAATAGATAAAATAAGAATATGGGTAATTTAGATGATGATGTACCAGTTTCTGGTAATAATCAGTCTTACCAACAACTACAGCAGCCACCAGCTCAACAACAACCATACGATCCGCAACAACCAATGGTAGGAAATCCATACAATGGTAATCCGATTTACAATAGCTATTTCCCGCCACCCCAACAGCAACAACAACAACCACAACAAGGATATCAACAACCAATCTATCAACCACCACAACAACAGCAACAACAACAACCAGCACCATACCAACACAACTACTATGCTGCACCAAATAACGGTGCCTATAATGTTGCACCAACCTATCAGAATCAACAGTATGATGCCAATCAACCATTGCTCGGACAACAACAACAAGCACCACCACAACAAATGCCTGGTGCCGCTCCAGGAATGGTGCCAATCATGATTCCACCACAGCAATTCGTCTACCATGAGACCGAAGCAAAGTTCCCAGTCGCACCAAAGCGTCAGGACGTTCTCTATACCGTCTTATTTGTTGTTCATCTCACTGTTTTCGCTATTATTTTCTTTATCTCTCTCGGTAGACATCCATACTACTACTACTACAACTACAATTATTCCTACAGCTACGGCGGTGGATACGGTCAGTTGATTTTGAGTTTATTTGTCAGTGTCGTTGTTTCTGCACTCTATATTTACGGTTGGTTGAAGCTGGCTCAAAACCATGCTCGTCCACTGATTCTCTACACCTTTATCGCCAACATCGTCTTGACAGCCGTTATGATGATCGTCGCATTCGCACTCGGTAACATCTTCCTCGGCATCATCTTGGTGATTAGTGTCGTCGTCTTGTTTGTCTTTTTCCTCGTGTGGCGTAAGAGAATCGACTTTACCGCCGCTCTCCTCACCACCTCTGTCCAGTTGCTACAACGTTTCCCAGCCGCCTTTAGAATCGGATTCTACTCGATGGCATTCAATTTCGTTTGGCTGATCCTCTGGACTGCCGCCGTCTCTAGAATCTACTGGACATTCTCCGATGCCGGCTACTACTTCCTCTCGATCTACATGGTGTTCTCCTTCTACTGGGTGACCAACGTCATCAAGAACGTCGTACACACCACCGTTTCCGGTTTGTTTGCATCGTGGTACTTCCTCGACGGCTCTGTCGGAATGGGACCAAATCCAACACTCGGTTCGTTCCGTCGTGCCATGACTACCTCGTTCGGATCGATCTGCTTTGGATCGTTGTTGATCGCCATCATCTCGACCATGCGTTACATGGCCAACCAATTGCAATCCTCGGACAACGGTCTCCTCAAGTTTGTCGGTTGCATCCTCTCCTGTATTCTCTCGATCATGCAATCGGTCGTCCAATTCATCAATGTCTACGCCTACACCCAAGTCGCCATCTACGGAAAGTCGTACTGCGACGCAGCCAAGGACACCTTTGAGCTCTTCAAGAACCGTGGTGCCGACTTGGTCGTCAACGACAACTTTATCAGCACTGCTCTCTCAATGTCTGTCTTCCTTGCAGGTATGATCGGTTGTATCTTTGGTGTGATCGTTTCGCAAATCGGATACAGCTCTGCCTACGGTGGTGTATTTGCCTTCTTCACCACCCTCTCATTTGTCTTGGTCGCCCTCGAAGTCGTCTACTCTGGTGTCGTCACCACCTTTGTTTGTTTCATGATGGAACCAAACATCCTCGCTCAAAACCAACCAGAGATTTACAACCTCTACACCACCACCTACAACAAGTTAATTCTTTAAATCAACAAAGCAAAAAAGAAATCAAACCACCACTTTTTATTTTTATTTTATTTAATCAATCAATTATCATCAAACACACATTTTCTTTTCTCAATCATCATCATCACTCATATTAATATTAATGTGTTAGCAATCAATAATAGTAATAATGGTCGACCAATCATTAAAAGCTAATTTAATAAATTTAACAATAATTATTTTGCTTATTAAAAAAACAAAATTTATAGATATTTTTTTATTCTCGGTTTATATTAATTTAGAAATATTTATTTTATTGATCCATTCATTTAATAGGAATTTGCATGTTTTTTATTTTTTCCGTTAATCATTTAAAAACTTTCATGTTTTTTGATATTTTCAAAAAAAATATGGGTGACTTGAGTGAAGAAGATGGGCTGTTCAGTTTTGACCAACACACACATTATATGACTTTTTTAACAACATTATTTATAATTTAAAAAAAAACAAAACAAAAAAAACAAACATCAATAAATAATTATCTTCATAATGTAGTGTAAATAAAGATAGTTTTACATATTCATATTATTTATAAATATTTTTATATCAAATTAAAAAAATATTAAATAATTACTTTTCAGTTTTTAACCAGATATTTTTTTTTTAAAAAACAAAGATTATCTTTTAGAAGTTATCATCATTCATTTATAAGAAAGAACTATAGGATAAAAAGAAAAAAAAATAGAGAAATGACTCTATTTTCATGGTTATTGAATGGTGGTAGTGGTACTACTATTTCAGATCAATCATCATCATCATCATCTAAACATTTGACAAAATCATCATCAAAACATGTTTCAAATCAAGTTGTTTTAGATAGTGATATTCAAGATGAAAGTGAAAGTGAAAGTGAAAGTGATAGTGATAGTTCATCTCTAGAGGACAACGATTACAATGACAATGATAGTATATATAGGGTGAAGCTATTGGAATCGATATCGGTATCACCTTTAAAGCTACAGAATTACATGACAATACCGAGAGACAACAGTACGATTCCTCTGGAGATGGTATTCTCATTCGATACCACCGGCAGAATGTTTAAGTTTTTCGAACGAATGAAAACTACGCCATTCAAAGACAGTTTGTTTCGTCTGTTTGAGATGATACCACTTCTGCGGATAGCGATCATCGCTCACGGCGACTATTGTGACGACAACACTGAAACCAGTCATCCCTACAAATGCGCTATCTCCATTCTCCCGTTCACCAACGATTGCAACGAAATCATCGAGTTTATCAACAAAGTTGAAAAGACCGACGGTGGCGACGCACCAGAGTCCTATGAATACGTACTGAGAAAGTCACGTGAACTTCCATGGTCTACAAATTCAAAAAAAGTAAGTAGAAAAAAAAATAACAAAAATTTGAAGAAACAACAATTTGAAAATATCGGTTACTAAACTTTCAAATCAATCAATCAATCAACCAATCAAGGCAATTGTGTTGTTTGGAGACGATGTTCCACATCCACCAAGTTATACCGATCAACATTTGTATTGGAGAAACGAGTTGCATTTCCTGACAAAGATTGGTGTGAGAATGTATGGAGTGCAATGTATGCACAATATGCACTCACAGTTGTTCTACGAGGAGTTGGCAAGCTTGTCCGGTGGTCGATATATCCATCTTTTGCAGCCAACCGACATCGATCCACTGCTGACACTGATATGTTTGCGCGAGAATGGATCGATGTGGCTGAATCGCTACCTTGAGAAGCACAACAACTTGCAGACCAACAAGGCATTCATCCAGCTCTTCTCCGATACATTTGTGCGTGAACGCGAGACACTCAATGTCAGATTCTCATGGTGGGATATCTCCAATGATACCGATCCCAACCCGAAATTCATATGGAACGATCGCTACAAACGCTTCGAAGTGAATCTCACCAATTTCATTGCACCCAAATTGAATTCACTCATACCAACAAACTCAAACACAACATCATCCTCATCAACATTTTCAACAACAACAATTCCAACCATTACAACAAAAACAACTATTTCCAATCGTCAACAACAACAACAACAACAAAGTTCAAACATGTTTTTATTTGATACAACACCATTAATATTTAATACATCTTCCATTGATTCAACACCCGCTTCCACACCTATGACACCTTATGCCAGCTATCGTCAATATCCACAGCTAAACTCAGTTCGTAGACAACCAATTTCAACACCAATCGCATCTAATATCTCACGACCGAATATCAACATCAGCAACAATCCACTCATTCGTCGTCAGCTAAAGATTGGTGTAGTAGCATCGCCCAAACAAAATTTAACAACAACAACAACAGCAGCAGCATCTAAAACAACAGCAAACAAAATAACAACACCCAACAAACAAACAAACTCGAGTAAAAAGAGAAAGTCATTTGAATCTGAAGAGGATGAGCAAGAGGAGGAAGACAACTCTTCAATCTCCACACAGTCATCCGATGAATTCATAACAAGAGATCTATTTGGACAATCGACAGCAACACTGGTGGATTCCAACAGCAGCAGCGTCGACAATTTAAATCAACAAGGATCACTACTGGCGAATCATCAACATACAAAAGAATTATTATTTTTAGAGAAACCACCGAAGCCAATCATTTCTCAAGCACGCCAATCACCATCTTCATCATCTTCACCTTCATCAGCAGCATCAACATCATCATTGATGGCAACACAGCCAACAACAGCAGCAGCTGTCACATCAACTACAACCACATCGACAACCACCACCACTTCACTTTTCACTGTAAATAACAATCATAACAACAACCACCAACATCATCATCAGATACAACAACAACAACAACATCAGAGTCCAACAAAGAACCGTGGTGCACCACTCGAACTGTCACCACCAAAAATCGGAAATTTCATTGCACTGAGAACGGCAACAGGTCATGACTTTGTTGTTGGTAAAGTACTGGGTTACTCTAGCAAAGATCCATCGGATCCAAAGCTAAAGTCAGTGGATGTCGTTCGATACCAATGTGTAGAGGATGATGACGATCGCTATTACATCGAGGGCAAAAAGCAAACCTATCAAATCGATGCAATACTTGGTAACATCACAATGAAAAACGACACAGCATCGAATCAATACCGATTAATCCTACCGAATCCAACTGCTCCTTCAAATACAACTCAATCTACTTTATCAATGTGAAAAAAATGATTGTCTTATTATTTAATTTTTAAAATAAAATAAAAAAAAATTATATATTAATTTGTAATGTTTCAATTGATATCAATATTTATATTAAGAGTTTCAAATATATTTCCATATCTTTTCTTGTTAGCTATTATAAATGATTCGGCAGGTTAATATTTTTTATCATTGGAATTTGACCAGCAATTTTTACCAAACAAATCTTTGGAACATTCTTTATCGGTTAATTTTTTATGCTTTTTTTGTTTAAAATCTAAAAGCTGGGTATTGGTATGTGGGTGTCCAGTACTTTTTTTTTTTTTCAATTTGATTTTTTTAAAAAAAAAACAACGATGACAATGCACCTGATATTTTCTTTAATTTGATTCATACAGGTTTTAAATATTTTTGATTTGATTTTCAAATTTTATTTTGTTGTATAATTAATTTGTTTAAAATATTTATAATATAGATATATAATATATATAGAAGAAAAATGATGAAACTATTATTTGTTACCATCGTATTGGGATTGTTATTCCAAGTCTCATTCGGTACTGAAACTGCAAAGTAAGATTGAACTGAAACACAAAAACAAATGAACATGATTAAAATGATACTAACTGTCAAATTAAAGGTTCAATGGTACAGTTGAGGAAAGAGTTAGAAAGGAATTGGAAGTTTGGGAGAATAATTGGAGTGGATTCCCAATCAATTGTAGACGTATGGTTGATACACTCTCGGCTGACGGTGTCATTGAGTACCCAGCCGGAAAGAACGTCATCGGTGGTGGTCACAAGAGAATCTTTTCGCGTTGTGAGAAGTTCATCATTGAGAACTTTAACCAAATGCAAACCTACATCACTGGACCAGCCCATGTCGTTGGTTACAACGCTGCCTTTGAGCGTACCACCCTCTTTATGACCAAGAACAACTGCCGTCTCTACTCCAGAGGTATCGTCACCATCCAATACGACAAGGATTTCAAGATCAAGGTTTTGAAGGACTTCTTTGACGCCGACGAATTGGTTGCCAAATACCAATCATGCCAATTCCCAGACACTCCATTGCCAGATCACATGGCCGGTGCCGAAGACACCAAGGTCGAAGAGGTCAAGGTTGAAGAAGTCAAGGTTATTAAGAACGAAGAAAAGTCTGTCAAGGATGAGTTATAAATAATATAAATCAAAACTATATAATATAATAATAAAATAAAATAATATTTATTAAAAAAAATTACTTAAAAAAAAGTAGTGTTTTTAGTCATAAACAACACTTAAGTGTGTGATCAATCAACAAATTAATATATTAGGAAATCGGATTGATCAAGATATATATAATATCTATTTATAATGAGTAACAGTGATAATGATGAAGTTATAAATTTTAATATTTTTAGAGAGAATAAAGTTAATAATTTTGTAAAGGGTATAAAGTGGTCTCCCGATGGTTCTTGCCTACTTTCAGCAACTGAAGATAGACAATTAAGATTATATGAATTAAAGTATGTAAATCTAATTACTAAATTACATATAATAATAATTATTTTATTAATGTTAATCTTTCTTAAAGTACAGATGTTCAAAATGGTAAACATTCATTAAGGCATGTGTTTGATGTTAGGGAGTATGATACTATTTATGACTTTTGTTGGTATCCATACATGAATTCAACGTTACCAGAAACATGTCTATTCGCTTCGTCAAGTAGAGACTCTGCTATTCATCTATGGAATGCATTCAATGGTAGTCTACTATGTTCATACATACCATGGCAAGATGTAGATGATATAGAGTCACCTATATCAATACAATTTAGTAATGATGGTAAAAAGTAAGTTGTATTTACCAGTTTCGAGTATAGTGTAATACAAGTAGCATATTAACAATCAACAAATAGAATATATGGTGGTTTTAAAAAGAGTATAAAGATATTTGATATTGAAAGACCTGGATCAGAGTATGACGAGTTTCCAACATGTATAAAACGTGGACATAGACAATCAAAGAAAGATTACTTCCCAGGTTTACCTGGAATTGTCAGTTGTATAGAGTTTGACCGATCGAATCAAAGTGGTTTCTACGCAGTTGCGACATACAATGGAAATATAGGGCTGTTTGATGCCGCAAGTGACCAGCTTGTCGATATCTTGCCTTATCCTCGTGGTGCACCCGTTCGTGGAATTACACAGTTGAAGTTCTCACCGGATGGCACTCATCTTTATGCTGGCTACCGAAGGTCAGAGTATATCATTGGATGGGATCTGCGACAGACCGTCGCAGTAGAGACACACCAATTGTTGAGAACAGTCGATAGCAATCAAAGGTATCAATTCGACATTGGATTCGGTGGTCGATATCTCATCACCGGTACACAAGACGGACATCTAATGACATATGATCTTCATTCCTCTCCAACCTCATCGACATCCTCTACACTTGTACACAATCAACAACTTTCACAACAGCAGTGTATCAATTCTGCTTCTTTTCATCCATCATTATCAATCATTGCAACTTCATTTGGTGAGAGACAATTTGAATTTGAGTCAACAAACACCAATAGCAATAATAATCACAATAACAATGGTAACCAAGATAATTCAATTTACAATGATATTAGTTTAATACCAGCAATAACTCTCTATAGTAATACCCATTGTTTTAATTTTCTCATTCAAAACATAACTAGTATTGATAATAATCATAGTTCTTTCTATAGTAATAATAATAATAGTGATATAACTATGAGCACAGATAATAATAGCATAACACAATTACAAGAGCAAGTTCAAATAGTTGATCAAAAACATGTTGAAAAAGTAGAATCTTCTAGTTCTGATAATATAGTAATACAACTAGATCATCAACAAAAAGAACAAGAACAAGAACAACAACAAATAGAATCAATAAACAATAATAATAATAGTTGTTAATTAAGTAATAGGTTATACTTTTGTTTACATATTAATAAACATCTTATTTATTTATATAAATAGATAATAAATATTAATTAAAGTTATTCTGTAAAATAATAATGATTTTGTACAATGTTTCTATAATTTAAGGTCAAAGTCTAGTGTTCTAAATAAATCATCGTAAGTTTCAGCACGACGAATACACTTGATTTGATCACCCAATAGGATATACTCTGCAGAACGTAGTTTACCGTTGTAGTTGAAACCCATTGAATGACCATGTGCACCAGTGTCGTGGATAATGATGACGTCGTCACGACTGATCACTGGGAGCTCACGATCCACTGCAAACTTATCGTTGTTCTCACAGAGTGATCCGACTATATCGTATTTCTTGGTGGTTTGATCATCTCTCTTCTCAGAGTCCAACACCGACATATAGTGATAAGCATTGTACATTCCAGGTCTCATCAAGTTGGCCATACAAGCATCGACACCAATATACTCACGATAGATCGACTTTGAATGAATTGCTTTGGTGACCAATACACCATATGGTCCGGTAACGACACGTCCACACTCTGTAACGATGCTTGGAAGTTGCTTCAACTGAGCTGGCACCACGATCTTTTGGAATTGGCCATCGATCAATTGAGCGAGTCTGTAAAAGTCGACGGCAGTCTGGTCGAGACGATAGGGAATACCGATTCCACCACCGAGATTCACCATTTCAAAGCCGATATCTAGTTTCTTGGCGACCGCTACCAGTGTCTCAAAGAGAAGAACGGCAGTCTCCTCGAAATACTCCAATTTCAACTCGTTGGAGGCAACCATGCAGTGCAATCCGAATCTGCTAACACCAAGACTCTTGAGTTTGGCGTAGGCTTCAAAGAGTTGTTCTCCAGTCAATCCGAATTTGGCTTCCTGTGGCTTACCGATGAAGCAATTGCCATTCTTGAGTGGACCTGGATTGTATCGGAGTGACACCATCTCTGGCATCTTTCCACCCAATGCATCGTGCAAGTAATCGATCTGTGTAATATCATCCAAATTAATGGTTGCACCCAATTCATATGCCTTTATATATTCTGACTTTGGTGTATTGTTACTGGTGAACATAATTTCATTTCCTTTGAGTCCGACTATAAATAATATTTGGGCAAAAAACATTAATATTTTATGTTATTTTTTTTGTGGGGAAAAATGAAATTGTGTGGTGATTGGTGATGACCTACCTTTTTCAGCTAACAATAACTCTGCAAGTGAGCTACAGTCGACACCCATGCCAATGGATTTCAAAAGTGAGAGAATATGTGGATTTGGTGTAGCCTTCACTGCGAAAAAGTTGGTATAACTCGGAAAATATTGTCTGAAGGCACTTAGCATTTTCTTTCCATTCTCTAATATTCTATCACCGTGATACAAGTGGAACGGAGTAATATTGTCAGCTGTCACAATCGATTTCTTGATCTCCTCTGATGAGAATATACATTGTTTTTCAGAAATTGGTTGCATTTCTTTGTTTTTTTTTTTTGTTTTTAAAAGAGTATTTATTAAAGATAAGTATATACTAATAATTATAAATAGAACAAAAAAAAAAAACAAAGTTATTTAAAACAACGTTTAAGATGATTGTACACAAATGATGAAAAGTCTTATCGTTGACAATTTATACATGCTTAAAATTTTGTACAAAAAAAAAAACAAAAAAAAAATTAAAAAATCTAAAAATCTTTTGATGAGTTTTTAAAACAGCTGCAAATTTAACCTGATCTTATCAGACACTTTTTTAAAATTTTTTTAAAATTTTTTTTGCAATTCTAATTCCGGTCATTTTGATGACTGATCCTAACCTAAGATGAACATTTTTTTAATTCCTCTCGAACAACCCAATGAAAATTCCAATTAATTATAATCGGTATTTTAAACTTTAATAACTTAACAATAGTAAGATCCCAAAAGTGAGCACAATGATCATCTAAAAACACCATTATTTATTTTTATTTTTTTTTGTTCCTGAGATTCCCCAAAAAAATAAGCATCCATCTTTTCTTTTTGTTAGTTCCTGGTCAAAAAATTTAAATAAATAGAAGAGTTTAAACTTCTCGAATTGAATTATCACTTTAATTTTGACACCATAATGTAATTACAATATAAATAGAATTGAAAAATTATTTATTTTTAATTCAATAAATTGATATTATTTTATGTAGATTTTTTGATGATCTCGAATATAAATTTATGTTTCTATTGAAATAATAAACCTAGATATATCTGGATATCTTTTAAATTGGCGTATTCCAAATTAACATTTGTTCATCATCGATTGGTTTGTACTTTCTTCTCTTTTCTTTTCGGAGAGTGATTACCCAAACAATGATAATGCCGATAAGATTGAGGAATCCACAAATGGTGATGACTACCCATCCTGTGTAAGGTTGCCAACCAACAGTCTCTAAGGTGGGCTCAGCGAATGAATCACTAGTACTATTACTATTCTTTCTTATGAATCCTTTGTCATCCGGCAAAAGATCACATCGCAAAGGTATCTTGTCTGATTTTGCTTTGCAATCCTATAATTTAATAATAATTAAAAATTTATCAATTGAAATCAATCAATCAATCAAAAAAAAAGTTAATAAAGTAAATAAAATGTGAAATAAATTATAAAGATATACTTACATCTTCAATGGTATGCATGATTCTTGTGAAATAAATAATCGATACAGAGACAGAGATGAACGAAGCCACAGAGAATAGACGTGATGTACGTGGAACGAGTGACGACGACTTCTTAAAACCGAGCAATAGGATACTATGGAGAAGAATGATGACGACTACACACACTAAAGACAGAGTCATCAATGCAATACACAGCTGCAACAAACTGAGTGTTTTCTCCATGTTATCAAATGATTCAACACTGGACATTGTTGAATTTATATTCTTAAAATCATTGTAATAGAAATAGGTCTTATTGCCTCCACCCCAAAAAATCCTGAACCAATAGACTTTAATAATAAGAAAAAATATAGTATCATAAGTATAATATCATTCATTATAATTATAAAGTTATATTACCTTGATAGCTTGCAATATAGAGACAAAGTATCATTAAGAATACAAACAAAGGAAGTAAATTAAAGTATCTATTCATTTCTTTATAAATATATATATATTATTCTCAAATGATAATGATGTATATGTTTAAGAGATTTGAAGAGATGTAATTTTTGATTTGATAAACTGAAAGAAGGGTGAGAATTATAAAGATTAATAGGTGTTATTAAATAGATAAAGTGCTGATTGTTATATAGATGATAGATATTTAATTGTTATTATTTTATTTTTTGATATTATTATTATTATAGATTGATAATGATGAAACGTTATAAAGTCACCCTTCTTTTTTGTTAAGGTAGGTTAGTGGATTGACAGCTTGTCTTTGAAATGGCATGAAGAATAGGCAAACAAAGAATCGTTATTCAACGGTTGAACTTCTCAGTTTGCAATGATAGGAATGCTTTTGAGTAGTAGCTCCTTGATATGGTGGTGTTTAAAATAAAAATTTAAAACTTGGTGTGTTTGTTTTGATTTGTTGTGTGATGAGAGATGAAATGATTGCTATCAATGATATTTATTCAACAACTGTTAATTTTAACAAAAGAGTTCTGTCAAAATAGGAATAAGAGTACAATACAAAAATAAAAATAATAAAAATAAAAGTTAAATAAAATATTTTAGATATTAATAGTCTTGATTGTAAATAAATATATAATAAAGAATGATTAAACAAAGTAAAAAGATATTTTAACAATGCCAAAAATCAGTTTTTATTGGCGATCTATTTTTTTTTTTATTCAAATTTCATATTTATTTGCACAATATTGTTCAAACTATTTTTGTGGTCAACATCTCATAAAGTAAATAGGATAAAAATCGGATACAAATATTTAAAAAAATAAAAAATTGGATTTTAAATAGTTAGGTTATAATGTTAGGTAGTACTTATCATCTCTAATTGCCAAGAAATAAATATAATTTGTATTAAAGATATTTATATAGTTAATTAAAATATATTATTATTTTATTTGATAATGTTCATAAGAAAAATAAAGAAATGTCTGTATTGGTTCGAAGGTTGAAATTTGATATATATTAAGACATTACAACTAAACTTCAATGCTTTTCACAACATAGCTAGCTTACTGATGAAAAAGTGATCTTATACAATTATTTATCGCTGATCATGAATACTCATTCTAATTTTAACACACTCTCTAACAAAAATCACTGTGTTTTATAGTAAAAAACAAACATTTTGTTTGAGTACATAAACTTGAAAAAAAAAACAACAACCATATACCTATCACTAAACAAATAACTATAGTTGATTACATACCACATGTAGTGTTTTTTTCATTTATTTGTTTTTTTTTGTTTTTTTTTGTTTTTTTTTTTATCATACTTTTATTGTTACCTCTATCACTACTACTACTACTATGAAGTGAATAAGATAAAATGTAATCAAAACTCATTGAGTTAAAAAATAAAATACATTTGTTGGTGATCACTTCATTACTGTACCTAACTTTTTTAATCGAAATTCCACCACTCATCATCATTCAAAACACATTCATTTCATTTACAACAATCAGTTTTCTGATTAACATATTTTAATTTCACAATGCGGTCAATCCTTATTTTGTTGAATGAAAATTAAGTTGCAATAGTATTTATAGTGAAACAGCTGTTACCATTTGATGAAAAGAATTGTATTTCTGCTATATATATGTGTGTGTGAATGAGTGTTGTTTTTACATGCTACAATAATTGAACAAGTAACACATTATTCATATGAATTTTAATATCATTATAGTACAAACAAAGGGTTATTATTAATATAAAAGGTTTGGTCTTAATGCGAGTGATTGTTCAGCAAAATTTTCATTTCCAAACAATATAAACAAGTTGTTGAATCATATTTTATTTCTATCTATCTGCTTTTTTTTTTTTTTTTTTAATTGGAAAATATTCTACTAAATCAAACAAGGTAATCTAAACCAAGTTTAGAGTTTACTTATCCAAGTCAATCCTTAAACAACAACAACAACCCAACACCGTTAAAATTCTTCAAACAAAGAATCCGATTCAAAAATGAAGATTATACTTGTCATTTTCGCATTGATCTGTCTGACAATGGTAATGGCCGATGTCATCATACCGACTTGCTCAAACACATGTCAGACCGGTGTATACCAACAGATGTACAATTTCTGCTATTCGCTGACCAACCCTAGTAGTGCGCGTGACTACTGTATGAGTGGTCTTCCTTTCCTTAAATCTATCGAAAGCTCTCCAAGATCCTACAGAGCCAATTGTAATGACCTGTGTGAAACCTTGTAATCTTTTACTAGGGATACATGAAAAAGACACAACAACAATTAAACCACAACAACCTAAATATTTCCATCTTTATTATTATCGATATCTAAAATTAAAAAATTAAATAAAGTAGTATTTGTTCAAAACAATAGTTTTGAAATTTAAATAAAAGAAAATAAATTATAAGTTATTTATGTTTTTGTTTTAGAAAACTTTACAAACATTTTACTTCTTCCGTACCTCTATCTTCCCAATGTTTAGGATAAAAAAGTGTGGATCGCAAGATGTCTTCGAATCTCTCCAAATCAATTCAGTGAATTTTACTTTTACTATCTGTTTATGAAAGTTCTAATCAGATAGATGCTATAGAATTCTAATGGTAATTATCCTTTCTTTCAATTGGTTTTTTCGTCAACTTCCTTTTTCTTATTTTCTTTTCTTTCTTTTTTTTTCTTTTCCATTCCTAATTCATAAAATAAGGAGAGGATGAATTTTTCGACTTTATAGATACCTACTTGATTAGCAGATCCAGTACCTCTGGTATGCAGCCAACAGATCCTTTGAATAGTTTAGAAACCTGCCTTAAACAATTCAAGAAGAAGTGTATATTGGAGTCAGCAACTAAAACTTCTAACTTCTCGAAGATCTCCTTAAAACCAAATCTGTTAATCTAGCGGTGAATTCTTTTTTATTATTTTCATTTACATTATTAATTCTACTAGAGAATAGAAACTTATAAATTATGGTTCACTATAAAAGAATAGTATAATTGATATGAATAAGGGCTTAAACAAATAAATAAGATAAAACACATACCAAACAGAATCAAAATTTGGAGAATATTAAACTAAAAGAATCAACTACTAAATTAAAAGTTCTATTCGAAGCCATACTAAAGTAATATAATGAGATAAATACCTTCTACTAAATTATATATCCTATATAAAGGAATATGATAAGATTTTATTCAAATTAATATTAATTTATAAGATAAAAGTTTTAGATCAATGGTAAATGATTTCGAATGTTTCCTTGCATCTTATTGTCTTTCCTATATTTAATTTATTATTTCAACCGTTACCTCAGATTATGTTTGGAGTATTCTAAACTTATCTATATTCTTCAAGGGATCAATAAAAATAATTTATCAATATAATATTTCATTGATTATTATTAGTTCTTATTCTTCTTAAAAGGATAGATATGCTTTAAAAAAACTAATACTTACTCTTTTATGAAAACAATAGTTTTTATTAAAAATAAATTATTTCGTTGTCAATAGAGAAAGTTAATTGTTGATATATCTTCACTCAAAACTAATATTTTATCTTCTACTATCAGAAATAACTTTCTTAGGTTAAATCAAAAAATTTCATAAATATATCTTCATCAAATAAAAATAGAAAATAATTGTAAAAACAATTCTATAATTAATTTATTTATATTCTTTTTATATTCTTTAGAAATAAATAATTGGATAGATTGATATGGAACTAATTTTTATACTTCGTACCTATCAACGTGTGAAGTTTCCTATTTAAATTCAGCTTCATGGAATTAAATAAATACGTTGTCAAATATCATTAAATCTTTGATTTTAGAAGATACCATTTTACTTTTACAATAAAAATATTACGATTTGATTCAACTCTAATTTTATTTTTTTATTTTCTTTTCTGTTGTACATCAATCACCTTCCACCATTAAAAATTTAATTATTTTTTGTATTTTTTTAAAACTACTATTGATTCCTTTTAATTTTTTTTTTGGAGATTTTTCTTTTCTTTTTAGTGAAAAACAAAAAAATAGACTGGTTCCTTCATCAATTCCATTTTTAGAGGTTCACATCATTCATATTTTCTCTTGATAAAGATTTCTGGTATCGACGTAGACATCACATTTTTAGTTAAAATAATGAATAAATATAATAATGAATAACTAAAAATGTGATGTCTACGTCAATACCAGAAATCTTTATAAAGAGAAAATACTTTATAGAAATTCAGTTCTAAAATATTTTTATTCTTCTATCTATCAAAATTATTACTTTTATATTTTTAATTTTCTTTGTAAATTAATTATTATTCTATCAAAAATATGTATATACTATCCTCTAAAAAATATCAAAATAAATTAATTTTATTATTTATTTTATGCTTTCTATCTTTAATTTTATTCTCTAATATAAATAGTTTATCTCCAACCAATAAAACATTGGATCATCCTGTAACACATCTATATAATATTACTAGTTATTCACCCATTACCATTCTTGTTCTTACTTCAGATTCTAAAAAAGATAGTAGAACTAAATTAATTCGACATACATGGGGAGGTAAAGCCAAACTTCGAGGATGGAAAGTGTATTATTATTCTGAGAGCGACCAGGAGTATCCTTCGGATACTATTGCTTTAGGATGTAGCCAAAACGAAGATACTAAAAAGTGGAGAGCTCTTTTACATGCCAGGGATTGCTCTGTTCAACCATCCAATTTCTATATTCTAGTGAACGATACCGTAACTTTAAATATTGGAGAATTATCCAAAAAGATAGAGGAACTCTCGGAAAAGCAACCATTGGTTTATGGACAATGTATTACTGTCGATTGGAAAACGAAACCATATTGTGGAGGTGGTGATCTAACTATTTTTAACAGAAAAGGATTAGAATTAATAATGAAAATGTTTTTAAGTGGAGAATGTAGAGAGTATAATAGTAGATCAGATTGCTTCTATGAAACTAATATAAAGTATGATTTAGGATTCGGTACTTTTCCAGAATCACCTACAACTTTAAAACACTTTTTAAATAATAATTTATCTTTTCAAATATTAAATATTGAAAATCTTATTTATTAATTAATAAATAATATATTATATTTCAAATTGGATAACAATTATAAAATTTTTATTAGTTAAACTTCTTGTACTTTTTGTTCCTTTGATTTTTTTAGATGATCTCTATTTGGCCCATATCACTACAATTTCAGTTTGACCATTTTTTTAAAAGTGCTTACGTAGAACATATAAAATTATGATAAAGATCTCCTTGGTTGAAATAAGTTACATTGTTTCAATCTTAATTAACATGTTTTTAAATCGTATAATAATTATTGTTTTTTCAGATCAAACCATCCCACTTTTATCTGAAAAATTGTGAAACGTTGTTTTTTTTTTTTGTAAAAGAAACACTTTTTTTCCATTGTACCAAATCATTAATGATTTATTAAGTTCTTAATCTTTCAAGAAATGATACTTAAAATAAAATATATTCACTTTGAAATCTCTACAATTTCGATAAAACAAAAAATCATATCAATAAAAGGTTATATATGTTAAAACGTAGCTTTTCGTAAAAAAAAAAAAAAAAAAAATAACTATTAGATGATTTATCTTCATTATCATAAAAATGAATACAGGAAATAGATGAACCAAATCTATGATTTATCTAACTTTGAATCGAATAGTTGAGGTTGTATACATTTTAGATATATTGTTGGTGTTTGTTGTCTGAGGAAATTATATAATTTCTAAGTTTCAATAGATATACACTCAATTCTTTTATCAATTATATTAACATATTATTTCAATTTTGTTTGGAATAATCGTCAGTGTCAAGGAAGTTCAAAAAAAAATGAAAAAAAAATAATTTGATTTTTTTAATTTTTATTTTTGAGTGTAATTACGTTTGGTGATAGTTTTTTTGTGAATTTTTTTACATATTTTTTGATCAAATCATATTTTTAATATCAATTAAATAAATAAATAATAATGGCAGGTCAATATTGGAGATTCGCTGGTCTTACATACCTTGAATATATCAACCTTTCTGGTTCACATCTTCGTAACTGTTTGAAGGAGCCATTCAAGGCTGCCGCCAAGAACAGAGAACAAATGTTTTCAACTTACACCACCTACCAAAACGGAAAGGAACTTAGCTCCAGTATGTCTTTGTTTTTGACTCTACTTCGCTTCACTTCACTACACTTCACTACACTATCTATTCAGCTCAGTCAACACCTTTATATCTATTACGATCATATTCTTTGAATGATTAACCAGCAATATTATAAAAAGAATGTTTATATTTGCGAACAAACAGCTGCAAAACCACACATTATTCTATCAAATAATATTTAGATTTACATTAGCTATAGATTTGGAATTATCATATTATTTAGACAAGATGTTAAGTGTATTGATTATCACTTTAATAGATTATTAGAAGATTTATATCATATATATATAAACAATTTAAAATTATTATCTTAACATCAAGAATACTAATATGTTTACTTTAACTATAGTTACCCTTTCAATGCCAGATCTTGCTGCCCCAAAGAAATAAATTATTAATTCATCATACCGTTATAGATAGTTATAGTTATAGTTAACCAACCAACAAACAAACAAACAACAAAAAAAAAAAAAGAAACGACGACATATCGATATGTGAATTCATTCATTTTTATTATAAATAGTGAATAAAGTTTATTGTAAAATCATTAAAGACAAACTTAGATAGAAACAGATTAACAACTATAATCAATAGATCTCTTTATTTTGGTTATTTAACTATTTATTTATTTATTAAAAATAATAGATATTCAATTACAATATTGTATTGTTGATTTATTTATATATTGTTTTTTTTTACAGAGTTTTATTATAATTTAAATTATGACTAATGATTTCAAAAGTTAAGTTGACTTATAGTAGTAGTGGTAGTTGGTAGTCAACAAGTTGGTAGGGAGGTGGTTGATTACATTTTCACTCGTTATGTTGTGAATTTGGGAAATACTTTTGTATTAGCGATACGACGGTTGGGTACATTGTGATGTGAGCATCTAATGCCCAGACATAATCGAGGTGTGCGTAGTCGGCAATCTTTTGCCAGTAGATCAGTGACTCTGCAGGCAATACATTGACAAGATCCTGGACGTCTACAGGGTCAGCAAGCTCATCGAGACCACCAGAGAACAGAGCGATCTTCACATTGGTTGGGAAGTTTGAGACGTTGTAGATAGGTGGGTAAAGCTGATGATAGTGCTCCATGTTTCCAACGGGGCCATGGTCGAACATCTGTAGTTGTTTGTTACGAACATCCTGTGCCCAGTGTCTGATGTTCTGCACCGACGTTCCGGCTGGCTCGTGTCCAGCAACCACCGGCATTCTACTGTCGTTGAAGGCACCACGGTGTTTTCCACAGAGGAATTCCACAACGGTTGCGCAACACTCGTCGCACTCCACACAAAAGTCGATAAAGATTTCACGCAGCTTCTCGGGTGTTGGCAGGAATCGGTTCTCGCCAAACACCTCCAGTAGTGTATCGATGTGAAGTTTCGCCAGTTCGGCCAGCCCGTTGTTAGTGATGTGTGTCACGTTTCCGACTGGTCCGACGCCGATAAAGAGTGGCGCCCACTCGGCCAGCGACGAATTGACGGTGTATCCGATGAATGCTTGGATCGTGCCTTCGGAGTGGCCAACATATGGCAGTGTAGCAAACCCGGTAAACTCACGGATATAGTTGATGGTGGCAGGCATGTCGAACCATCCCATCTCATCGAATGAGAATCGCCAAAACTCTGGCGATGTTATTGGGAGGCTGGTGTGGTTGGTGCTGTAGGTGTTTCCACGATTGTTTCCTAGCCAGACGTCATAGCCTGCATCAGCGAGGATATAGGCGAGTGACTCTGATGGCTCGTTGATAATCCATGTGATTGAACTGTCGAGAAGACCGTGCTGAAGCAACACCGGTTGTTTCGGAGTGGTCGGCGAAGCATTGGATCTACCATTTCGAATTCTGAAAACCTGCAGAATATATCCATCTACTGTTGTCACGAAATGATTTTCACACGGATAACCATGAGCATTTACAATTTCCATGAACGATCTATTCTCATCGGGATCGCCTCCAATCGATGGAATCGAATCCGAAATTGCTACATCTGCAATTATTAAAAATAATAATAATATTAAAACATTGATTAATTTTATCATTTGTTTTAAAAATTATTTATTTAATATTATTATATATTTCTATCAAGTTATATATATTTATTTATAACAATTATAATACTTATAATAGAATAAAGTAAAAATACAAATTACACAAAATTGGTGAGAAATTAAAGTGTGGTAATTAACTTTTGACTTTTTTGCAATTCCCAATTTTTTTTATGCGCAAGCACACAGAACCTGTATGGAAAATTTCAATTTTTTTAAATTTCAAAAAATCTTTTTGTTATTTTTCAATCACACCAATAATCAATAACCAAATCATTTTGAAAATCTTTGCATATCTTTTATCATCAAAATAAAAAATATTATATATTATGTTTTAACAAAAATTGACTAAATTCTATTTATTTTATTAAAAAAATAAAAGATTGTTTTAAATATTAAAGGTATTTGTATTTATTACTATTTTAAGCAGTTGGTGGAATCGGTTTATTATTTGGAGATGGTGTGTTTGTTGTTTCAGGGTAGTTGAAAGGATTGTCTTTTGATGAATAGTCAGTCTTTTCTAACTCAGCAGCACTCTCGGCATCCTTTTGATGCTTTTCGCTTGAAGTTGGTTTTGGAGTTGAACAAGCATGGAATATAATAACCATTAAAAATACACCCAAGAATATACAATCTATAATTCCATCAGCTCTCAACAATGAGTGAAACAATGAAGTATTTCCCTATATATTATATATTATTAGAAAAATCAAAAAGATAATTGTTTAATTTTTGTTTAGCAAAAAAAAATAAAAAAATATACTTACACATGATTTAGACTCCTTTAACAACTCGGAAATCATAAATAATGTAATAGAGACAGCATAAAATATAATTAATGATGCATATAATATTGTCTTTTTCTTTTCCAATCTATTAAAATAAATTATTAGATCCAATGTTAATTGGTTTCTATAAAAGTATACACTTACATATTTTTCTTAAACTTATAATGGAATACGAATCCATAGACAAAATTACCAATGAATAGGATCAAATAAAAAATTAAAAATATCAAAGATTGCGCACAATCTGATGTCCAGTGAACCGCCAACAACACTATGGTAATAACAAAAATAAAACTATTACATAAAATAGTCCAAACTGGTATCCATGGAAAATTCTTCCATCTTTTTTTTATTTTCAAAATATAATAAAATTAATAAATATTGCTTTACTGTATCTTTATATTTATAAAATAATATTACCTTTCATTGTCGAAATTAAATGCCATTTTTTATATAAATAAATTAAAGTTATAAATTATAATAGAATCGTTCCTATAGTATAATAACAAATGTATTTAGTTTTTTCTTTCTATTGAAATCATAAAAATTGTTTTTTTTATTATTTCTTTTCTAAAACCTTTATAATGTCAATATTTGGATTATCTATCTTGACTTGTCAATTTTACAAAAATCAATATTCCGTTTTTCATTATATTTAATAACAAAATGATTAGATTATTTTCACACTCCATTACACAAATAATCACATACACACACCACTATGAAAAAAAAAATAATAAGTCATTATTTTTTGATAATTAATCTGATTATTTTGTTTATTACAATATTTTAGAGTAATAAGATTAATTTATCGAAAATGGATTGAATGTCATTTAATGTTGTTGTATGTTCAAGCAGTGACAACACCCACACAATTATTTTTTTCTATATCAAGATAGATTTTGTAGTTGTGATTCTGACTATTTTGTTACATTTCATTAATGTCAATAATATAACATTGATAACAATAATTAATAATCCGAGTTGAAAAGTAAAGTTGTTGAATCTGATGTGATTTCACTATATTCATTTTGTTCTACTTCATTGATGTTGTATTTGTTTGTTGTGTCAATTGTTTTTCTCTTTCTGTGTGGTACTCTGTTCTATATATTTATATACATCAATGATTTAGAATTTTTAGGTCATGTATTATTCTAATTTTTATATCTTACCTCATTAAATTTAACTAAACCAATCCAAAACTTTTGAAATCTCTCTACTATGTCATGTTGCAATCTTTTCTCTTTTGATAATCTACAAAATATTGAGTAAACAGTTCGAAGAATGACCACCTTTTGAATGTACTCATTTCCATCGAACCAATGTTGTCTAAACCATTCTCTGACAAGTGGTTTCTTTTGATGAGTCTCTGATTCAATAGTATCAATATCATGAACACTCAGAACAAGCAAACACTATTAAAATATTAAGATACAAAAAATCATTAAAAAAGAAAATTAAATAAATTTAATACAAACCTTTTCAGTAATATCTTTAAGTTCACTGATGGATGGTATCAACTTTGGTGGAGAATGAACATTCTTTCCAGTGTTGATGTTTGTAGTAGTGTTTGGTTGAGGATCGGTGTCTGGTGTAAACAAAGCAAACAACCGTTGGGAAGATGTATCTTTCTTCAAACTGGAGTAAGGTGTTTGATATTCATTATCATTATTGTTGTTTCTTGGTGTGAGATAATATGGTGTTTTATAAATTGCAGTATTAACACTAGAGACAGAAGAGTGTACAAGTGAGTCTGTAGAAGGTGTTACAACTGATGATTGTTGTTGCGGCAATTGCTGAACTCTCTCAAAATTTGAATGATAAGGTGTGGAGGGTGTAGATGGGTGTTGATATCTCTTCATAAAAGGATGAGGAGTATCCTTTCTAAATTTATTTGGTATACTCTCTTTCTCATTCTCTTTATTGCTATCCATATTTAAACAAAACTTACCAACAACAATCTTTATTTGAAGATATATCTATATTTATATATGTATATATCGAATCTAAAGATTAGTAGAATGTGGTTATCATTGTGTTTTAACATAAATGTAACAATAAAACTAAAAGAAATAAATTAAATTAAATAAATAAAAAAAGAACAACATGTTGTTCTTCTATTTTCTACGAAATATATCCTTAAAAGGAAAATGTGGTAACCAATGTTGTAGTGGTGGTGAGTGGGAAGTGAAGTGTGGGGTGAATTATTATTCTTATTTTTGGCGCGGTCAACAGTAATAAATATATTTAATTAATTAATTATTAAAAAAGAAAACAAGAATTTGTTTATTATTTCTTGATATAAATAAATAGTTAATGGTTTAGTGGGTGGCGTATTATTATAACAAAGTTTGTTTTGGATAGATCGTTCACTTTTTTACTTTTGGTCGTTTGGAAGTGAATTTGGTTTTTGATTGTTCATTTGATAACGAATGTCGACCCTCGAGAATGAAGGATTGAATCGAATGGTTTTACGTGTACCTGCTTTCATTGTTGTTATCGATGCAGGTATATTTAAATTATTAGTTTCATTTGGTAATGGAATTGAAATTATATTATTATTATTATTACTATTATTATTTGATGATGCGTTATTATTATTATTGTTATTATTATTATTATTATTATTATTATTATTATTATTATTATTATTATGATGACGGAATGATGTTTGAGGAGTTGATGGTGGTGAAAATTTGAATGGTAAAATACTGGAACCTCTAGTTGTGTTGGAAAGATGTGATTGGTCGGTACCCAGGAACGAGGAGTCTGAGCTTTGACGTTTGGCATGCACTCTGATCTTGGACTTGCGAATGTCGTCGGCGCGATTCGTCTTGGATGGAATCTGGTCGAGATAGAGGTCGGGTGTGCCGTGCGAGCCAATATCGAGAGCGGGCGATATAAACAAACTGCTGCCACTGTGGTTTCTGCGGAGTCCGCGAACCGATGCCTTGGCTTTCTGCTCGTTGAGCTCGTGTTGCATCAGCATGTGATTCAACTGATGTATGATCTGGTCGAACTGTGGACGCTTCTCTGCCGATTCATCCCAGCACTGGCGCATCAGTGTGGAATACTCGTCGGGACACTCCAACGGTACCTCTGGACGTCGGCCATTGAGAACCTGTCGTTCGATCTCACAGTTGAAGGTGATGTCGTCGTATGGCAGTTTTCGCGTGATCATCTCCCATAGAATGATTCCGTAGGAGTAGACGTCGCATTTCTCAGAGTAAACGGAGCCGTTGATTACTTCAGGTGCCATCCAGAGTGTCGTTCCCTTCTTGGCGTCTTTCACATCGGATCCGCCAGCGGGACCAAAGATTCCAGTGAGACGCGACCTGTTGATACAAGTGTTGAAATCCGCTACTTTGATGTGTACGCTGGCTTTCAGTGAGAGCGAAGCCACTAGAAGGTTGGGTGACTTCAAGTCGAGATGCCAGATGCCAAGTGAATGGAGATAGTGTAGTCCTTGTGCAATGTCCAGTGCCATTCTCAACACCAATTTGTAGGGAATGTCGACAATGCGATCGGCAAGCACGTCCATTAGATTTCCACCTGGAAGATACTCCATTACGATTGCCCAGTTTCCAATCTTTGTACAACCACCGACATACTTGACAATGTTGGGGTGATTCAACATACTGAGAACTTTGATTTCACTGTAGAAATCTTGGATCATCTCGGCCGATGGCTCAACGAATTGATGAAGTTTCTTCACTGCAACCATAATGTTGGAATCCGAAGGATTACGACGCAACCAATTACCCTTTTCATAGCTAACACGTGTCAAGTGACTCTTTAAGTTGTTAGTGGAAATGAGTGCACGGTAGACATCACCGGCAGCACCAGTTCCTAGCATATCTTGCACAGTCAACTCTGCATCCAAATCGATCTCTTTGTTTCCAGGATGTATATTCTCACACTTGATTCTCACCAATATGAAATGAACTTCACGTTGATTGATAATGAGTTGAATTACCTCTTGAATCTCAACCTGTTCGAAAACGGTGAGTGAACACTTGACGTAGAACCATTCGCCTTTGGCAAGTGTTCCATTCGTGGGAACCAGTGAGAGTTGGAATTGGTTGGGACGGCAATTCGATTGGTGAAAGTGGAAACGGATGTCGGTCTGACCGGAATTTGAGATGAGAAACTTCTCGGTCAGCAGTTGGTAGATGTTCGCGGACTGGTCGGCTTGACGTCCGAATGTCAAGGCGTACTTGGACACTTTGACGCCAGAGTGTATGTATCGCGGGATCGAGTCGTTATTGATCTTTGGATTGAGGTTCTGCCCACTGGAGATCATGGTGTGTGCCATCTCCTGGAGTCGCTTCATAATGGCGGGCTTCTCACGGATCAGATCATACATTGTCGCTTGCTCCGAGTCATTCAGACCCATGCCATTGCAAGCGCGTAAAAACAATGGAAGATAAGGATCAGAGTCGACCCTGCAGAACAACGTGAAATCACCGCCACCTTTAACATGAACGGTACTATAGATGTCGGTCTGTACCGGTTCGTACACTAACAACTCTACCGAAATCGTTAGAACCTCTCCAATTGCAATGGTTCCATTCGATGGTATGAAATTGAGTGTATAACTAATATCGAAAGGTGACAATATTTCAAAAGCAATAGGACATTCACCTAAATTTGAAATTTGGAAAGAATCTTTCGCTAAATGATGTACTAATATCTTTGGTTGTTTTGGATTATTATTATTATTATTACTGTTGCTGTTATTGTTAAATTTATTATTATTATTATTATTATTACTTATTAAAACAGGTGAAATAGGTGGTGATTCAGGTGATTGATGTTGACTGATGGCAGTTGGTGAATTGGAATTGGATGTAGAATTTGAGGAGGACGAAGAAGAGGATGTCGATGATAAAGAAGAAGTTGGTGATAAATGTGTCACCGGTGAATAGAATGGAGATGATGTCGCTTTTCTCATATTCAAGGCTGCATTTGGTGGAGAATCTACAAAAGATAACTCTGGAACATTTAAATTGCCATGAGTAAAGAAGAATTTACGTTTAGAAAGTGAAACTTTTATCATATTATTAACTGATTCCATTGAGAATCTCCTATTTAATAAAGTTGGTGATTGTGTAAATGAATCCCTAAAATAATAATTAATAATAATAATAATAATAATAAGTTTAATAAACAATCATAATAAATTAATAATTATAATAACTTACTTTCTTTTCCAACCAGTTGCCATATCTTTCAAAGAATTATTGATTTGATCAGAGATTGGTTTTCTGTAGATCGGTTGTGGTTGTGTGTTGTTCGAGTTGGAATTTGAGTGGTTGGCAATGGTTTCTCTGATCTTTTCGATCCATTTCTTCTGATCGAATATGGTTTGTGCGGAAATGTAGTAGATTCTGTTTTGTGGTGGCGATGGCAGTGCCGATGAAGTTGGCAGACAGCCGTAATGACCGACGTCGTCGTCGGCATAGTCGTATCTTCGAACGGGACTGGTCGACATCAGCTGTGCCAATCCAGCAGAGTTAGTCGATTGCGGTGGCGAAGTGGAGAGTGGTGATGACGATCCACTGCTACCGGTAGAACTCTTTAAATCTAGATGAGGGTTGATCGCAAAGCAATACTTTCTATTCTTAACGTCGATCTCTGTAATCTCTATGTCCTTATTCAAATAGATGACACCACGTGGCCGTTGTTTCTCCCAATTGACATTGGTAACATAATACGACAGTGTATCTTTTTTCAAAATGAACCATCTTATTTTCCCTGCAATAGTTAGTTTAGGTAATTAGTAAACTACCCACTTTTTTTTTGTTTTCACATTCAGCTTAGCTTGAATAATCCAATCTGTTAACACCTTACAATTATGAACAGTTCCACCTTGTTTAGTAAGAAAACCACTATATAATACTTTATCTGTTGTTGTCACTGTTGTTGTCGTTGTTGTTATTGTATTATTTTCATCCATTTCTTTTTATATTATAATAAATAATAATAAAAAATATATTCAAAAATATAAATAGAAATAATACACTACTTTTAAAAGAAAAGTGAGATGAGTGACAGCAAACTTTTGAGAGATTGTGAGGTGAGTGAGTGTGTGATGTATATTAATTAATTAATGTTGATGAAGTTGATGTCTGTTGTATGAAGTAAGGTGATGATTTAATTAAATATTATAATATTATAATTTTTTGTGAGAAAGTAGCGATTGGCGAATGAGAGTGCAATGTTTGTTTGTTGGATGGACTAACTAAAAAGAAAGAAAGATCGATAAAGCGAAATCGAGTGTTGAATTGTTAGGAGAGGTTCATCAATTAAGAAGATAGAATTAACACCAGAGTACTGTGTATGCTATTTTTATCTAATTATCTAATTCTAATGGATGGATGCAAAAGAAAAAAAAAAAAAAAACTAACTATAGATATGAAGGTGGATGTGTGCAAACAAATGCAACTCTACTCAAAAACCTAAACTACAACAACAATACAATGCTTGTTCTATCTTTTTCTTTTTCTTTTCTTTTAATTTGAAAAGAATGAAAGGTGTTGATTGATAATGTTAGATGGTTGCAATAAGAATGGTTGTTTTTTTTTTTTTTTGTTTTTTCTGATTCTTTTTTTGATGATTTTGTCAAATCGAATGGAATGAACTATGGCTATAATGGGTTGGAGGGAGGTTTTTTTTGTTTTTAATTAAACATTATTGGGATTAACAAAACTAATACTAAATGATTTCGAAATTTGGTAAAAACATGATCAAAAAAAAAGATCTTTGATTTTTGTTCAATTTTTTTTTTTTTTTTTGAAATATGATCAAAAAATTAATTGTTAAAAAATTTTTTTTTATTTTTATTTTGAAAGATGCTTTTTTATTTAATTTTGTTTTATTTATGCTATTAAATATTATTGATATAATTATTTTATTATGATTTTGGTCTACTTGCTTCATAACGAATTTGACTGTACCAAATGACACCAATAATGGCAATACCACAACCGATTGCGTTGAGGAAATTGACCTCGTTCTTGAAGATCAAAATGGAAATGGTGATACTGAGAACCACTTTAAGATTTCCACTTACGGTGTAGGTCAGTGGCGAGGTGTATTTGATCACCAGGAAAGTAAAGACGTTGAGGAGGAATGCAATGATTCCACTGGCAATCAAAATCAACAGAGGTCTAACCGTTCCATAGCCATCCCAACCCTCTTGAATCAACGGGAATTCGTGCATCAGTGCTATTGGGGTGAGTAACATCAGTGAGTATGGCGCCATATAGTAGAGCAGGTTGATAGCATTCATCTGTGAGGACATCGACAGTCCCGAGACGATGGCGAACAACGCCGAGATGACACTGGCCAGCAGCGCCGCGTAGAATCCGGTGGCGTTGTAGTTCACCTCGGAGAAAGACGCCAAGCAGACACCGCCAACAATTGGAATCATCGAGAGGTAGGTGTTGCGTGAGAATCGCTTCGAGAAGAACACGGTTTGCAGAGTGACGGTGAAGAGCGGCACCGACGACTTGACGGTCTGCATGAAACTTACGGGCACCCAACGCAAACTAACGTTGCCCAGAACGATATTGGTTGCAAAGATTGCTGCCAGCGGCAATATGTTCTTCAGCTGTTCCTTCCATGAGACTTGCACGAGCGGTGTCATCTCAAAGACACGCAACACCATGAACGAACCAATACTGCACACCAACATATGGATGGCAGTCAGAGACACTGGATAATTAAAATGTAGTACTACATAAATATATTTATTGAGAATCAATGTACTGATATTCAATATGAACCAAGTTGCCAATGAAATTATTGCCAAATTTGAATTTGATATATTTCTAACCGAGTTTTTTATCCAATGACATATTTCATGCATTTTATTTATTTTTTTTGTTTCCAAAATCACTAATAACTAAACTATCTAATTTTTATTATCTTTTATCTATATATATATATATTAAAATATCTAAATTATTTATTTAATTATATATTCGGACAGTAAAAAAATAAAAAATAATAATAAAAATAAAAAAATAGAATAGTATTGTACAATTATAGATATTAATTGTTTTTTGTATTAACTTGATGATTTATTTATTTAATCTATCTAATAATAAATAATTTAATCGAATAAACTAATTAATCAAATAGGCAGAGCAACCAAAACAGTGAGTTCAACTTTATTGGTAATGTAATATTGATTAGTGATTGATGGTCTGATTCATTGTATAATTAATTTGTATATACTATTTTTTTGTAAAATAACAATGGATATGTTGATAGAATTTAGTAATATAAGATCATTTTTCAATACTTTTCACTAAAACTACTCAAAACAAATTATATTTGTATATTTACTAAACAAATTAGAGAATATCTGATGTATTTTTTTCTGTCTAACCACACTCCCACTCATCAAAAATTCACACATTAAAATATCAAATTATAAATATACACACACACACATCAATCAAATAAATAAGAATTACCACATAATCTGTTGTACATATTTATAATTCATTAATAAAAAAAAAACAATAAATAAAAATAATAAAAACTAAAATAAAAAAAAAGAAATTAGTTATTGTTATTAATTATTGTAATTATTATTATTTGTTTGTTTGGTTTATTTTGGTTTTACATATAACAATTCTGAAATCAACGTGTTTTTGGTCGATAATTTTAAATCGCTTAAACCAATTTTTTTCTTTTTTTTTTTGTTTAGCACTGTTTTGCAAATGGGTTGATGTTTTTACCTTTTTCTGTACCGACATCTCATTTTTATATGACATGATCTTTATGTTTTTTTGATTTTTTATTTAATTATTTGAAAAAAAAAAGGAGCGAGATCTTTTTTGTGATGGGCACATAATCAAATTAAAAACAACCCTAAGTCTAAAATAAACAACAAAATATATATTACTTTTAAAAATAGTTTTGTTATAACAGGTAGGTTACAATGTCCTTTGCTTTAAAGATAATCAAATATATATTTATATATATAATCAAATTTAGTTTTTAAAAAAATAAAATAAAATAAAAATAATAATTTTTATCCAAAAGTGGTAATTGACAGTTTTTATTTTACTGATGTTGTTTGACATACAGTAGTTAATTTGGTATTGTCATTAAAAGCAAAACACTTTTTTTTTTTTGTTGTTTATTTTATATATCCAATTATCATTCACCACAACAGATAATTATACATTATACTGTTTAAATTTAAACAGTAACTTTTTTATTTTATAAAATTCAACTTAATATATATTAATAACATAAAGTTTCAAACATTTGTAAATTAACATTATTTTTTATTTTCTAAAAAACTAACTAAAACAAAATAATAGAAATTTAAAAAAATTATGAAGATTCAGACAATAATTGTATTGTTGTTTGGACTTTTGGTTGTTACAAGTGGACGACATGTAAAATCAGACCACAACAACAATGCTTTAGTTTTCAGTTTGAAGGGATCACCCTATACCGTTTCCAATGTTACCGATTGCTCTGATTGTGCAGCGATCGACAATAGCTATTGGTGTGACGACAGATCTCTTTGTTTGATCGATGTCGATGGCAATGCAACCATCTCAAGCTTACCGCTTTGTAAGAATGGTTACTGCAGCGGCGATTCATGTCGTTGTGAAACCGAGTGTCTCAATTCGATCTGGCCATGCAGTGGTACTGTCGTCGGTATGTTGATTCTGATGGCCGGTTATGGTGTCATCTTGGCGTACGGTGCCAAGCTTATTTCCGACGGTTCCGAATTGCTACTGGAGATTCTCGATCCCGGTATCATTGGTGGTCTGCTTCTCCCGTTGCTCTCTGCATTCCCTGATGCCGCTATCATCGTTGTTTCCGGTGCTTTCAGTTCGCAAGCAATGGCACAGGCACAGTTGAGTGTTGGTCTAGGTACTCTGGCCGGTTCGACAGTGATGTTGCTTACCATCCCTTATTCGGCAAGTTTGTTGCTGGCTCGTTGTGATTTGCGCAATGGCTATGCAGTCGATGGTGTCTGTACTTCTAGAAGTTTGACAAAGACCGGTGTCACTGTCGACGATGATACTCCACTGAATGCAAAGATTATGATGCTAACATCAGTCAGTTATCTCATTGTACAAGGAATTGCATTTGCCTATCTCAAAGATCCAGATTCAGGTAAGCACGTCGAGAAATGGTTTGCGTTGGTTGGATTCATTGTGTGTCTTGTATTCTTGGTTCTCTACTGTACCTATCAAGTGGTATCTCCAAAGTTACAAGAGAAAAAGATGGCTGAAGCCAAGCGTAAATACATGCTCAACCAAACCATACATCATTTCCTTCATAATCTCACAAAGAGAAGATTCCCATCGGCATCAACAGCAGCAGCAGCAGCAGCAACATCAAGTAACAACAATAACAACAGTGAATCAAATGCTGAATCCGGTGAACAATCACCATTGCTTCATTCAGAGCATCAACATTTACCAGTGGATGTCAAGGGTATTGGATTAAAGTGGAAGGCAAAAGCCAAGGCAAAGGTTGCAGAACGTGAAGAAGTCACTTCAATTCAGGTCGAAGAGAAGAAGGATGAAGACGATGAAGAAGAGGAGAATCAGGGACCAGTCACACCGGAGGAACGCAAGAAGATTGCCTTAAAGGCAGCCGTTCTTTTGGCAATCGGTTCGGTGATGGTATCTGTTTTCTCAGATCCAATGGTTGATGTTATTACCGATTTCGGTAACAAACTCAATATCAAACTCTTCTACATCTCATTCATTGTGACACCATTCTGTTCGAATGCCTCTGAGCTTATCAGTTCGCTTATTTTCGCATCAAAGAAGCGTAAAGCCAACTCATCCCTTACATTCTCTGCACTCTACGGTTCCGCCACAATGAACAACACAATGTGTTTGGGTATCTTCTTTGCACTCGTATTCTTCCGTAATTTAACTTGGGAGTTCAGTGCCGAGACAGTTACAATCCTATTCGTAACATTGTCAGTTGGTATTATTGGTGCAACTCGTAAAACAATGAGTAAGTAACATTATCATTATAATTATTAGTTTAGCGCTAACTTTGTTTATTTTTTTTTTTTAGAATTTTTCTGGGCACCAACCATCCTTTGTTTGTACCCATTATCATTATTATTGGTATACCTCTTAGAACAGTACGCTCATTGGCAATAGATTTATAAGTTTCCAATATTTAATAATAATAATAAACCGAAATACTCCCCTCCCCTCTTTTTTTTAATAAATTACCTATGAGCATTCATGATTATTTAACTTTTAAAATATACACAAGAGATAAATTTTGATATTAGTTGTTCAAATTCTTTTTACAATATTCTTTATTATATATATTATTGAAGTAATTTTTCAACTATTTCTCTTTTTACATCATTTGAATAGACTTTTCTTGTAAAGTATTTGTCGTGTCCTTTAACAAGTAGATCAACTTCTTCACTTGATACTTCCAATCTCTGTTTATTCCATGGTATAAATCTATAGTTATATCCTAAGTTTTGATAATCATTTCATTAGTACTTGATTGTTCTTATTGCTAATTGTAATTAGTTTTGTTGTACTTACTGAACCATAACATGTTATTATCGATCCATTCTGATTTAGCGATTTGGAAGTAACTTTCGTCTGGAATAAAAGAGAACTTCATAGAGAAAAGACGTTCCAGAGGTTTAACATTGGAGATGATATACTTTGCAAACTGTCGAGTAATGAAATGCCATTGAGAACCTTCTTCATATCCTTTTCTATTGATACTATTCATGAGATCGTTGGCATCTCCACAAGTAGCATTATGATCACCTTTATTAACATAAAATTTAATTTCTCCAACTGATTTTCCACATTGAACAAATGTTCTCTATTTTAATTACCAATTAATTAGTTAATTAAAATTAAATCTATTATAATAGTAGTAGTATTTTTCTTACATTTAATCTATTATATCTTGGAAAATCATTCTCTATATAATTTGAAATCAAATTATCTTTTGTATGCAAGAAATTCTCTAGTTTGGAAATGTTTCTTATTGGAAAGTCATTTAAACTTAAATTGATGACATGCGAGAATATTGATTTGCTCTCAGTTGTTGATTCTTTCTCAAGCATCATATCGAACAATTTGGTGATGCCAGCGATCTCTGAATAAACCAATCCAATAGAACCCCAACCATTCTTGAATCTGTTCTTCAGTATTGCAATATTCATATAGTCTCTACCAACTATGTCCTCAACCAAATAGAATAAATCTTCTAATTTCTCTTCATTTTCATAACTTCCATCAACTATAAATTAAAAAAAAAGAATATTAATTAATTTTAGAAATTATCTATTGTAATTATTATAAAAAAACACACATACCATGAATAACATAATAATTATGAGGTTGATAAATATTTTCCAATAGTAGTTGTATGGAGATTAAATCGATATCGTGCACCAGAATTACGAAAGCAAGAGAATTTCCAATGGCTTCGTTAAACTTATGGTAGGAATGATGGTTGTATTTCAAAAGATATTCACCTTGATTGTTTTTGAACAGATAGTTGAGCAAGACAGCATCGTTGGTGTCCCACGGTCCGTAGGTCTTGAGTAGTTCACTAACTATTTTATCATCGCTATAGTTGAGTTGTTGTTGTTGTGATCTCTCAGAGATCTTCATGTACAATTGGTTGTTGGAACGGTAGCTACTCCAACTACACAGTGCCTGAGGATAGTTTTCCGGTGCACACTTTTCGATATCGGTCATCTTGAAATCGTTCTCTTTATATTGGTAGGCAATGGAGACCTTTGATGATTGGCGACTCGAATCGGCTGCTGGTTGTGGCTGTGAAGGTGGCGAGTCACTGTCATTCTCGAGACTGACAAACTCACTGTATATATGATCGTCTTCGGTGAACTTCTCACAGTGTGGGCCAATAAAATTCGGTGGACATATACAACCTTCAATCTTGGAAAATATTCCACCATTCACACATTTATTCGAGAAAAGTGGTGAGATCTGAGGTGATGACAATGTTGATAATGACAATAATGATGAACATGATACTATTGTTACAAATATTAATGATAATAGTAAAAAATATTAATATATTCATGGTAGTTGTTGTTTGTTTGTTTGTTTGTATTTTATTTATTTTTTGTAATGTTAATTTATCGATATTATAAAAATAAAATAAAAAACTATTATTATTATTTATTTATTTATTTTTTTACAAAAAATGTATAATAATAAAATAAAGATAGATGGTTGTCTACTGAATTCGTTTCCTATCTATTGAAATGAATGAAATGATGTAATAGTTTACTTACATATTCATAGTCAATAGATTACAATTCCTTTTTATACCAAGTCATTAACAATTCACACCACCAATCAATCAATCAATCAGACTACAAACCATTAATTATCATTAACAAAATATTTTGTTTTTTATTTTTATTTTTTTGTGTGTGTATGATTGTGGTAACAATATAAACATTAACACAAAAAAAAATTCAAAATAAATAAATTAAATGATAAAACAAAAATATCATTTTTTTTTATTCAGTCAGATGTTGAAGTTAAAGTATTATTCTATTTTTAGAATGGTTTATGATTTGTGTATTCTAATTTAGAATTTTTTGAAATAGGAGAACCATTATTAATTCGATTTGTTTAATTAGATAAGATAATAACGGTAAGAAAACAGAGAAAGTTCTATTATGATTGAAGAGGAACATACCTATCACAATTCTAGATAAATCTTATTTAATATAATTATAACTAATATGATCATAACTGTCTTTTTTTCTTTTGAAAATGGTGTGATCCCTATGATTTTTTTAAAAATAAAAAACATTAATCAAAGGAACAAAATTAATCATATATAATTAAAAAAAATGGTTAAATCATTTGCACAAGCATTGGATCTAAAGAATGATGCAGAGTTGATCGAAGAGTATAAAAAGTATCATAAGAGTGTTTGGGTAGAAGTAAAGAATGCTTTGAAATCAATAGGTATTACAAAGGTATGATTTATACTGAACTACTTATTATTAGCACTATGTTAATCAAACATATTTGAATTAATCAATAGATGAAGATATTCTTGGTTGGAAATCATTTGTTTATGTATTATGAAGCTGAAGATGATTTTAGTCCTGAGCGTGATTTCCAACGTTACACTGATCTAACACCACGTGCCAATGAATGGGATCTCTTAATGAGGTAATAATCAATCTAGTATAGTATGAATTCAGATCTCTATTAACATCATCTATTTAATATTGTTATCTAAACAACAACAACAACAACACTGTAGAAAATTCCAACAAAAGATATCAGAGGCTAAAGAAAGTGATTGGTGGGCACCAATGGAAGAGGTGTTCGATTTAAATTGGTAGATTTAAACAATAATACTGTTGAATACTGCTCTCTGTACCCTGTAATAATTAAAACACAAACCTATCAATCAATCAATATGTATTAATAAAGAAATAATAATGTGTGTAATTGTATCTTTTATGAACAAATAAAAAATAATAATAAAGTATAACAGTGAATCATTACTCATAATAATTAGCTAACACAACAATACCATAATAATAAAATAACAAAACAGCTTGCAATGATAATGATTAGTCATGATTTAAGCAAAAAAAATAAAATAAAAATAAAAATAAAATAATAATTATAAACACTTTTTACAATTTATTTGTAATTATTAAAAATTTAATATATTTTATTTTTCATCATATGTAATATTAGTTAGTTGTATATATATATATATGTAAATATAAATAAAATAGTATAAATATAATTAATATAAGTAACTTTTAAATGATGTCAGATATTTCTCATAATTTTGTAAATAATAATAATAATAATAATATAGACGATGAGATAATAAATGATATAAAAGAAGTAGAAGAGGAAAAAGAGGAAGTAAAAGATGATAATAAAATAAAGGTTGAAAGCGGAGGAAAACGAGGTGATATTGGTGATGATATAAATGTGGAAGAATATGAAAATAGTTTGATTGATGACGGTGGTTATACATCAACGCCATCACCATCACATTCAAGTGCAAACAGTTTTCAATATAGTGGTGTACCTATACCACCTTTCAACAACAGCAATAACAACAACAACAACAAATCTAATTCCCCACCTACACGACCTTCTGCCACACCTACAGTAGACACTAGCATCAATTTCGAATTGCCATCCTCTGCAACTGTATTGCATTCACCTTTTACAAATTCAACAAGTAAGTAATAATTACATTATACCTGTATTTGAATCAATCGGGATTGAATCGACTAACCAAACCATTATTTAGTTATATTAGTGGGATCAGTACATGTACATCAATCTAGTTCCGATGAGGTGTCGGATATCATCAGTAAATGGAGACCGGAAACAGTCTTTATAGAACTTTGTAGAAGTCGTGCTGGATTGGTGTTGAATAGTATGGATTCATCAAAGATGACATATTACAATAATCAGCAGCAATCGGACCACAAGTCACCTCAGCGATATGTAGAGACATTTGAGCCGAGTAACATCTATAGTAATAGGAATTTTAGTAATAGCAGTTTGAACAAAGGAATAGATAATGATACCGATGGAAATGAAGAAGAAGATGATGATGATGAAGACGATGATGACGAACAATATGAAGATGTAGAGGGTGACGATGAGAATGAAGAGACAACAACAACCGATAGCAATCCATATCAAGATTCAAGTCAAGATGATAATAAAATTAATAGTAAAAATAGAAACACAAATAATCAGATATTATATTATAGACATAAATTAGCACAAATACAACAACAACAACAACAACAGAATAAACAATTACAGCCACAGCAACAGCAACAACAAGATGGAAATAATAGTACTACAAGTTCGAATAGTGTAAATAATAATGATACAGATGCAGATGATGAATATTCAAATGAAGATGATTATTCAACACCGAATACTACTACACCTCCAACACCTGTTGATCATGATCAGAGTGAGAAGGGACCGTCTTTCCAGGATATCATAAAGACGATCAAGCAAGAGGGACTGCCAGGTCTGTTGCACGTCCTCATGGCAGAGATGATCAGGAAGGCCGGAAATCAGAGCAAGGTCGGTCCGGGTGCAGAGTTTATCACCGCCTTTATCGAGTCGAAAAAGATTGGCGCGAAAATAGTACTTGGCGATCGCCTGGTGGAGATCACGCTGCAGCGTGTCTGGAACTCACTGACGCGTTGGGAAAAGATCAAATTTGTATTCTGTTTGTGCATGGCGTCATTCAGTGAAGTCACTCAGCAAGATATCGACGCACTGAAAAACAGCGACGATCGACTGGTGATGGAGTTGCTCGATGAGTTCAAAGAGAAGTTCCCGTCGGTCGTACAGACCATTGTTACCGAGCGTGACCAGTACATGGCTGCACGACTCAGACTGTGTCCTGGCAAGAAGATTGTTGCCGTCGTTGGAAAAGGTCATGTCAATGGCATCATTCGTGAGTGGAACAACTACCAGATCAATTTACACGAGTTGGAGTCACCACATGTCATCAGAAAAGAACCACAACCATCAAATTCACTTTGGATTGCTAAATGGGCAACTTTAATATTAATACCAATAGCATCTGCACTATATCTACTAAATAAGAGATATTGGCATTTCCCAACAACCTATTAATAATAACAAACATAAATAACATTGGATATAATAATAATAGATAAAAAAAAAAACCAACCAACTTGATTTATAAAAACAAACAAACAAACCAAATCAAATCAAATCACACACTAAATATTTTTAGTAATAAATAATATATAATTATGTAAATATATTTAACAAATTAAAAATTATTATGAAACAAATGAGATATAGGATTTGGTTTAATACTGTTCTTAACTCTTTTTCAAAACCAAACTTTAGGCTATTTACAAAAAAGAAGATTGTATTCTTCTAATTATTATACATCTTGATTCAAACTAGATGGATTAATTTTCAAACCTCTTGATATTTGTAATGAAATTGATCTCGATTGATCTGATTACACGAGTATAAAATAATCATTCTACTATTCACTTCTCTGATAAAATATCCAACACTTTTTAAGATTTCTCTTTACAAAAATTAAATAAAAAATCTTATCTATTGTGTAAATGACCTTTTTTTGCATACTCTCCGAATTTCTAAAATATCTTCAATGATTAGAAAGAGCAAAGATATTTGCAAATATCTTTCTAATAATTTGCAAAATCATAAAAATCTCCCCAAAAAATTTGATTAATTTTTTTATTATTATAAATAACATTTTTGAATTAAGATCTTAAAGTATCTTTTTCTATTGTTTTTTTGTAAAGTGATCCTTAAAATGAAAATTCATAAATTTATAAATATTACTATTTGTACATTTTTTTTGTTGGGTAAATATTAATTAAATAATAAAATTCTAATAGATTCTAAATTAATACAATTTAAAAAATAAATAAAGATATAATAAATGGTGCTGTCCTATTAGAATATAGTATTGGACGTCCAATCCCAATAAAAGATGAACAAAATAAATGTTTTTTTACATTCTCTGTTCTAGTATCTCATCCAGAACCATTAGGTGCTACTGATTTCACAATAAATTTACCTTCATATTCTCAATTGTTCTCAACTCTAGTTTCATGGGGTATCAATAGTACAATTCAGTTGTTTAATTTTCACACATTTCAAGATTATGTTGCAACAGTTGATCTTGGTCTCATCATAAATACATCGTCAGGTCCAGTTCCGATTACAGTTCCTGGTTTTAAATGTTTAGGTATGTTATATTTAAAGAAAACTACTATATTATATATTCTTTTATTAATAAAAGAAAACACTCTTTTAGATTTCGATATAAATAGTTTTACTCTTAAGAAAATAGGTAGTCCACAAATGCACTCAACCAAAAATATTTTTGTATTTTTGGAATATGATTTTTCCCAAGCATCACTTCTTATTAATAGTTACATTGAAATCTCGTGCACAACAATAACTCCATTTGTTTGTTACTTGGCACCTGTTAATCAATATCCAAATGTACAAATTTTGTATATTAGTATAAACAAGGATTTTTTGACACTTCCTGAAGAAATACCTATAACTTTAACTCTTCGAGGCCAAGATTTAAAATTTAATGTTTCAAATATATTCCCATATAATGGTAAGTATAATTAAAATAAATCAAATTAATGATTTTAATTGAATTAAAATATATTTTTTTTAGTTACTAGAACTTCAGTTGTTATAAAAGAGATTGAATACCCTCCATCCGGTGCAAATCTAACTCAAGATTTTCAATTATTATATTATGATTTGGTTAGTTATTTATTCATAGAGAATTCCAATTCATTTTTTTATATAATGAATTTTGGCTATGGTCAACCAGTATTTCAACCATATATTCTTTTACAACAAAATCAAACTCATTCAACCTATTTCCAAAAAATGTCCTTCCAAACTATTGCTACCGGTACATTAATTCCAGTGATGCTTGATAATAGGATTACCAATATATCTAGTGATTATAATTCAACAAACCAAAATACATGTAAGATAGATTTTTTTTCGATTGTATTGTGTTATTTCATTTAATAGGTTGGGTTTTGTTTTTGCAGCTTTTTTTGAATTCTCGCATTATTTTTGCAAAAGCACACAAAAGCTACGCAAAATTTTTTCATTTTTTGGGGGATGGATAAAATGAAATTCCACATTTAATTTATATTTGAATAACAAATATTAATAATTTTTTTTTTTTAGATATAAATTTACCCCTTAATTCATCAATTGGTTATGTTCCGAATTTAGATTGTTACTTAGGATATTCTTCTTTTGAAATGCCAATGATTTCAAAACCAGTTATTAGTACACCTTATTCTTTCAATACCTATTTATATTTTCAAAATCCATACCCATACGCTTATTCGAATGGTTCTTTTACATACTCTGGTGTTTTTCCTCTTAGCATGGAATTTCAAACTGATTCAGTTTTTATAACATATACCCCAGGAGGAATATCAACCATAAATATATCTAAAATCAGAAAAAGTAAATAGTACAAAACAAAATATTGATCAACATTAGTTAACATTTTTTTTTTTTTCGGTTTTATTTTAGCGAGTAATATAGTGTTATATGATGTTACATATGGCAAAGCACAATGGTATTCTTTCATGGCTAGACTTAATATCTCTTCAGTGTGTCAAGTTACTGCTATACAAATAGGTGGTTCTAGCTTTATGCTTACACCACTTATTTATGGAGATTATTATAATGGTATCTATGAATTTGAAGTAGCTCCCAGCACTACTTTAAATGAGTATAAAATTACCATTAATGATGCTTGCTCTAGGCAGTCTATATTCACCAGCTCCTTGTTATATGTACCTGTTCAAGGACAGAGTTCACTTTTGTATTTTCCAGAAAATGTTGAATGTAAGTAAATCAATAAATTTGAGTGGTTTATCTTTTGTTATTAATATAAAATATCATTTTATTCTAGTTCATATTGACATAAGGAACATTACTTATTTCAAACTATCGAGAAATGTGTTTGATTTAAGCAATGGTGATGTAAATGGAACACTCTATTTTAATTTGAGCCACCCAGTCAAGGAAATGGAGCCTATGTTTGTCATTTCTTACCTTTCTTCTACCTTTTATGGAAAGTATGATTCCAACTTGAATTTATATATAATCGACTTTACAATTCCCAAAGGAATGATGCCTGGTAAAATGTACTATGGTATTGATGTACTAGTTACAGTTATAGAATCAACAATGTTGGAATCATACTTTAATGATAGTGTTGCAATAACAGTTACAAATTCAGGTAAATATAAAATATTAAAGATTAAAAATTAATGAACAAAGACAATAACCAACCAATTTTATTATTTAATAGCCGGTGATTTTATGGATCCAATTCTAGAAGAGATTCATGCATTCCCAAATAACAATTACAGTATTGGTGAATCAGTTGTCGAAGATATCGGATGGAATTTAAGAATCACAGACTTCCCAAATGGATTTTCATTTGGAACTTTGGATATCATTTCAGATCATGATTTATTACCAATTAAAGTAAACTTTAGTGGACAATCATCTCGTATTTCAGGAAATGAATTTGATGGTGTTTATGCCATTAGATTTTCAGTGAATGGTACATGTCGAACCCAAACCTATACAATTGCAAATGTTCTATTATATGATAATTTTGCCTATAAAAGTGAATATCTCTCAAACATGAACCCATTGACATCGATTTTCGGTTCACAATATGCTGATCAACTAAAGTTACAACTCAATTGTTTGACAAGTAAGTTTAATTTATCCACTTTATTCTACAAATAATATTTATTCTAATAATATTATAATTTTTTATTAAAGGTATGATTGATAATGATGCACCAATTATGACAACATTTGACTTTTCACCAATCTCAGTTGATGTTGGTTCACTCAACAGAAATATTAAATTTTCAATGAAAATTAAAGATGTTGGACCATCTGGATTGTCACTGAGACACTCTCCAATAATTCAATTGGCATCAGATAATGCAGATTTAGTTCAAGTTACAATGAATTATATATCTTCGATAAATGGAGAATATGTTTTCGAATCTCAATATCAATTACCATATGGTTTTGGAATGAATGTGATCACCGTTAGTATCTTTGGATTGGTTGACAATTTCAAAAACTATCGAGGATACAACACTTTTGACTTGATGAACAGTACATCTTTATGGCCATATTCAATTCAAAGAACAATGACTTTAACCAATCCAATTTTGGAAAGAGCCTTGAAATTGACAAACAAAGGTGGAGTTTTATATGTATATGGAAGAAATTTTGGATTGGATTCATCTGGATTTTCGACTACCATCAACTTCCAAGATGGGAAAGGATTTTTAAATGTTGAATTCGATTCTTTCTTTGCAACCATGTTAAAGTTTAATAATATTCCACCAATTTCATCAAATAATATATCAATGATTGTCACAAAGAATGGAATCAGTTCGAATGAATTAATCATACCAATTGAGAATGCAAATCCAAACCCAAGCAACACACCTACACCTACGGCCACTCCATCAACAACACCACAACCACAAAAATGTCCAGGAACACCAGAATGTAACAACAATGGACAATGTATCAACTCAATTTGTAAATGTTATGATTCTTGGTATGGTCCATCATGTTCTTCAAGTATGTATAACTTATCTTTTTACACTTAATTGTAAATTAATTTTAATTAAATATCTATTATTTTTAGAAATAATAATAGTACCGATTCCACCAGCATATCCAGAACCAATAACAGGAATAAATATAACAGAATCTGGAAGTTTAATCACAACATCGATCGAAATCATTGGAGTCAGAGAATTGGATGCAACAATGAATGTTGTTCAATCATTCAACATCAGTAAATGGAATTTCACAGATCTCAGCACAACATCGAGCAATCCAAAGTATTTCTATTCAACTCAACTCAACCAAAGATCAACATTATTGAATGTATCGATTGAATACTTCAAAAACTCAGGTAATATCACATTTGCAGGCGAACAACTCTTCATTCCAGCTTCGACAATCAAATTCTCAATGAATATGAGTCATTATGATTTCAAAGACCAAACGAATCTCATTCAAATATTGATGAAATCATCGATTCAAACCGATAACTCTGATGCTTGCTCATCGGCTGGTGTTGGTATTGTCGATAAGAATGTTCAATGGATCAAATTGAATGTTGATGAAAGTAGTCTTTATGGAAGATTTTTGTCGAAAGGTGTCATAGACAACAGAGTCAGTACCATTCAGAATGTCATTATTGAAGATGAAGACGAAGATCAAACCAAACAAATGAGATCGGTAATCGTTGGTATCATTTGTTCATCATTTGAAGATTCTATCAATTTAGACCCTGATTTCTCGAATCTCATTGATGTCGGATCTTCAGACACCTCTGATTTCATTTGTTCATCTTCAAACAAGTTAAGTAATGGTGCAATTGCTGGTATTGTTGTTGGTGTTATTGTTTTAATCTCCATCGTTGTTGGCTCTGTTCTTTACATCAGAAAAAGAAAGAAGTTCAAAGAACAAGAATTAAGAATGAAGCAAAGATTATCAAACTTAAATAAAGATCTCTAAATAAAATAATCATTAATATTCTTATTCATCGCTAACGTTTTATTTTGTTACGAAATCAGATCGATCGAGCAGTTTTTTTATTTTACAAAATTTGAATAAATTATTTATCATTCTGATATTCGTTTCTCTTTTTAGATTTCACTTTACAAAAAAAAAAAAAAGAAACATTTAATAAATTCATTTACTTATAGGAGTAAATCTCAAAATATCTTTAAAATAGAAAGATATTTACAAATATCTTCCAAAAAAAAAATCATAAAAATCCAAACATTGAATAAATCTAATTCTCTATTTTTTTATTAAAAGATACTTTTATTTATTAGCTGTAACCTTTTTTTTATTTGATTTAATTTATTTAAAATAAATTTTGAACAAAACAAATTTTTAAGATCTTAAAGTATCTTTTTCTATCTTTTTTGTGTAAAGTTTAAGAGATCTTTAAAAATGATTATTTCTAAATTTATAAATATTATTATTTGTGCATTTTTATTTTTCGGTAAATTTAATAATTCTAAATATTTAAAAATTAATAAAATTAATAGTTCAAAAATAATAAAGGTTATATAAAAGGTGCTGTCCTCTTAGAGTATAGCATTGGTAGACCTATCCCAATAAAAGATGAACAAAATAAATGTTTATATTCCTTCTCTCTTCTTGTGTCTCATCCAGAACCTTTAGATCCAACTGATTTCACCATCAATTTACCTTCTTCTTCAATATTAGTAGCCACTTTAGTTACAAGGGGTGCCAATAGCACTATTCAGTTGTTTAATTTTCAAACATCTCGAGATTATGATATCGCCGGTACAATCGATCTTGGTTTCATTATAAATACATCATCTGGACAAGTTACAACAACAGTTCCTGGTTTTAAATGTCTTGGTAGGTCTATTTATATAATTAAAGATAAATAATATTATTTTTTATTAATAAAAGAAAACTCATTTAGATTTCGATATAAATAGTTTTACTCTTAAAAACATAGGTAGTCCGCAGATGTATTCGACCAACAATATATTTGTATATTTGGAATATAATTTTACTCAAGAACTTATCAATAGCTACGTTTCCATCACGTGCACTTCAATAACACCATTTGTTTGTTCCTTGGGACCTGTTAGTCGATCACCAAATGTACAAATGTTATTCGTTGGCATAAATAAGGATTTTTTAACACTACCTTCAGAGATACCAATCACTTTAACTCTTCGAGGTCATGAAATTAAATTTAATGTTTCAAATATATTCCCATATAATGGTTAGTATAATGAAAAGATAAAATTATAAACTTACTAATAGAATGATAAATAATCTTTTTTTCTAAACTTACTCATATTTTAGTGACTAGAACTTCAGTTGTTCTAAAAGAGATTGAATACCCTCCATCTGGTGCAAATCTAACACAAGACTATCAAGGATTATTTTATGATTTAGTTAGTATATTGATGGTCGAGAATTCCAATTCGTTGTTTTATATAAATAATATGGGTTCAGGCAGTGCTGCATTTCAACCATATATTCTTTTACAACAAAATCAAACACATTCAACCTATTTCCAAAAAATGTCCCTCCAAACTATTACATCTGGTACATTTCTTCCCGTAATGATAGATAATAGGATTACCAATATATCTAGTAACTATAATTCAACAAACCAAATTACATGTAAGTTTTTTTATACTATTGTATTTTATCAATTTTATTAAAAATAAATTGTATTTATAATATTGTTTTAGATATAAATCTTCCACTTAATACATCTATTGGTTACGATCCGATATTAGATTGTTATCTAGGATTTTCTACTTTTGATATGCCAATGATTGCCAAACCAATTATAAGTACAGTTTATTCTTTCTATACCTATTTATATTTTCAAAATCCATATCCCTACGCTTCTCCAAATGCTGGCTCTTTTACATATTCTGGTGTTTTTCCTTTGAGCAAAGAATTTCAATCAGATTCTATGTTTATCATGTACACTCCAGGAGGGTCATCATCAATTAGTTTCACTAAAACCCCAAAAAGTAAATTTTTAAAACAAACAATTGAAAATTGATCAATCACTTACTTTTATTTATTTATTTTAGCAAGTAATATTGTTTTAAATGATGTTACATACAGTAAAGTACAATATTTTTCTGTCATGGCTCGAATGAATATCTCTTCATCATGTCAAGTTGCTTCTGTATATGTAGGAGATTCTGGTACTGCTATCACAGCACTGGTGTATGGAGATAATTATAATGGTATCTATGAATTTGAGTTGGCTCCCATGACTACTCTAAATGAATATACAATCACTATAAATGATGCATGCTATAAGCAGGCTATATTCACTAGTTCCTTGCTTTATGTCGCTAAACAAGGACAGAGTGCACTATCGCATTTTCCAGCAAATGTTGAATGTAAGTAAATGAACCACTAACATCATACTTTTAGTAATTAATAATATAAAATATCATTATTATAGTGTATATTGATATTAGAAATATTACATATTTCAAACTATCGAGAAATGTGTTTGATTTAAGCAATGGTGATGTAAATGGAACACTCTATTTTAATTTGACAAATCCACTCAAGGAATTGGAACCGATGTTTGTCATTCCATACCTTTCTTCTCAAAATATAGGAAAGTATGATTCCAACTTGAATTTATATGTAATCGACTTTACAATTCCCAAAGGAATGTTACCAGGCAAGATATTATATAGTATTAATGTACTAGTTGCTCAAATAGAATCAACAATGTTGGAATCATACTTTAATGATAGTGTTGCAATAACAGTTACAAATTCAGGTAAATATAAAATATTAAAGATGAAACATTAATGAACAAAGGCAATAACCAACCAATTTTATTATTTAATAGCCGGTGATTTTATGGATCCAATTCTAGAAGAGATTCATGCATTCCCAAATAACAATTACAGTATTGGTGAATCAGTTGTCGAAGATATCGGATGGAATTTAAGAATCACAGACTTCCCAAATGGATTTTCATTTGGAACTTTGGATATCATTTCAGATCATGATTTATTACCAATTAAAGTAAACTTTAGTGGACAATCATCTCGTATTTCAGGAAATGAATTTGATGGTGTTTATGCCATTAGATTTTCAGTGAATGGTACATGTCGAACCCAAACCTATACAATTGCAAATGTTTTACTTTATGACAACTTTGCCTATAAAAGTCAATCTCTTACAAACATGAACCCATTGACATCGATTTTCGGTTCACAATATGCTGATCAACTAAAGTTACAACTCAATTGTTTGACAAGTAAGTTTAATATTATCAAATTCAATCAATCAAATACTAATATTATAATTTTTTATTAAAGGTATGATTGATAATGACTCTCCAATTATGACAACATTTGACTTTTCACCAATCTCAGTTGATGTTGGTTCACTCAACAGAAATATTAAATTTTCAATGAAAATTAAAGATGTTGGACCATCTGGATTGTCACTGAGACACTCTCCAATAATTCAATTGGCATCAGATAATGCTAATTTAGTTCAAGTTACAATGAATTATATATCTTCGATAAATGGAGAATATCTATTTGAATCACAATATCAATTACCATATGGTTTTGGAATGAATGTGATCACCGTTAGTATCTTTGGATTGGTTGACAATTTCAAAAACTATCGAGGATACAACACTTTTGACTTGATGAACAGTACATCTTTATGGCCATATTCAATTCAAAGAACAATGACCTTAACTGAACCCATCTTGGAATCTGCCAAGAAATTGACAAACAAAGGTGGAGTTTTATATGTATATGGAAGAAATTTTGGATTAGATTCAACCGGATTCTCAACTACCATCAACTTCCAAGATGGGAAAGGATTTGTAAATGTTGAATTCGATTCTTTCTTTGCAACCATGTTAAAGTTTAATAATATTCCACCAATTTCATCAACTAATATATCAATGATTGTCACAAAGAATGGAATCAGTTCGAATGAATTAATCATTCCAATTGAAAATGCAAATCCAAACCCAACTAACACACCTACGGCCACTCCATCAACAACACCACAACCACAAAAATGTCCAGGAACACCAGAATGTAACAACAATGGACAATGCATCAACTCAATTTGTAAATGTTATGATTCTTGGTATGGTCCATCATGTTCTTCAAGTATGTATAACTTTTTATCCATTTTTTCATATATCTAATTAACCAACTATCTTCTATTTTTAGAAATAATAATAGTACCGATTCCACCAGCATATCCAGAACCAATAACAGGAATAAATATAACAGAATCTGGAAGTTTAATCACAACATCGATCGAAATCATTGGAGTCAGAGAATTGGATGCAACAATGAATGTTGTTCAATCATTCAACATCAGTAAATGGAATTTCACAGATCTCAGCACAACATCGAGCAATCCAAAGTATTTCTATTCAACTCAACTCAACCAAAGATCAACATTATTGAATGTATCGATTGAATACTTCAAAAACTCAGGTAATATCACATTTGCAGGCGAACAACTCTTCATTCCAGCTTCGACAATCAAATTCTCAATGAATATGAGTCATTATGATTTCAAAGACCAAACGAATCTCATTCAAATATTGATGAAATCATCGATTCAAACCGATAACTCTGATGCTTGCTCATCGGCTGGTGTTGGTATTGTCGATAAGAATGTTCAATGGATCAAATTGAATGTTGATGAAAGTAGTCTTTATGGAAGATTTTTGTCGAAAGGTGTCATAGACAACAGAGTCAGTACCATTCAGAATGTCATTATTGAAGATGAAGACGAAGATCAAACCAAACAAATGAGATCAGTTATTGTTGGTATCATTTGTTCATCTTTTGAAGATTCTATCAATTTAGACCCTGATTTCTCGAATCTCATTGATGTCGGATCTTCGGACACCTCTGATTTCATTTGTTCATCTTCAAAAAAGTTAAGTAATGGTGCAATTGCTGGTATTGTTGTTGGTGTTGTTGTTTTAATCTCCATCGTTATTGGCTCTGTTCTTTACATCAGAAAAAGAAAGAAGTTCAAAGAACAAGAATTAAGAATGAAGCAAAGATTATCAAACTTAAATAAAGATCTCTAAATAAAAAAATCATTAATATTCATGTTGGTTTTTATAAAGATTGAAAGAAAATAAAAGAGAGATCTCTTTTTTTTTTGTTTTTTTTTATCAAATTTTAAATATTATTAATAATATAAACAATGCAAACACATTTAACCTGGCAACAGTTTAAATTACAATGTGAGAGACTCATTGAGTTGGTAAATCAATATAGAGGTAGTGGTATTCAACAAAATGAAAATCAAGATAGTTTTAATTGGTATTGGTTAGAAACTGATGATCGTGGAACTGGTTGTTTGGTTTTAAAGTCTATAAAGACAATCAACACCGAACTACCACAACAAATCAATGTTTCTAATAATAAAGATATTGATATTGAAAGTGAACTGGAAGAAAATGATATTCAAACTATTAATAGTTCGAACGAAAGAGACATAACAACAAGTAAATTAAATCAAAAGTTCGTTCATTATGAATATCATATTTCATTTAGTGTATCATATCAAGTACCTGTATTATATTTAAATGTATACAATAGCGATTCTTCATTCATTAAATGGGATGATATCTGGAATCTATTACCACTTTCAAGCTACGATAAATCTAACCTTTCATCAATACCTTGGATATCACAAGTAGTATGTAAATTGATAATAATAATGATGTACATCATTTAAATAATCTATTAAACTAATAAACAAAACAATAATAATAATAAAGGATCACCCATTATTAGGTATACCATTTTATCAATTACATCCGTGTGAGACAGCAAATCTTATGAATCAAGTATTAGCTAATAATAATATAGTTGATGATGATAAATGTTCGACAACAATAACAACACAAAATCATGAAAATGACTATCTTTTAAGTTGGTTATCAATAGTTGGTCCATTAGTTGGTATTAGATTACCAAAAGAGATATTAATATTAAATAAAAATCTAAAATAAATTGATATTAAAACATACTTTGTCTATATTTGGTTTGTCATGCACGAAGTCGAGTGTTTCGTGTGTCGACAAAAATTTAAAATTAATTGATTCGTCTTTGTATATTTAATTTCTGTATTACTATTATTATTATTTACTAATAATGTATAAAACTGAAGATGATAATAGCAGTAACAGTAGTAATAAAGGTGATGGTGCATCATCGAGTAAACAACAAAAAGCACCATCAGAATATATGAAAGTACAGAGAATGTTTAGACAGCAAACAAAGAATGAATACGGTAGATCTATTCCGAAACACAAGAGAGCACCAATCGATTATTCATCGGTTCTCGACTATAGAAATATAGATTCAAATACCGAGGTTAACAAAGAGCGGATCATCGATTGTACGCAGAGTCTATTCGATTACTCTAGTGTCAGTAGTGATACCTCTTACTATTCACATCCATCGACATGGCGTGTCTACGGCTTGAAAGACTATCCTGGATTCTATTTCATCCCATCGGTATTCAATGTCAAACAACAGAGAAAATGGATAAAAGATGCATTGGAACACTACGCAGAGCCACCCAACAACACAAACCTGAACATCTTTTACGGCGAAGTCAAAGATCTTTGGAGTAATGCACAATCAGAATATATAGAGTTACACGATCAACTTGCTAAACAACTATCATTAAACGATAATGATGAGAATGTTAATGAACAACAAGGAGAGGAAGTAGATAAAAAGAAGAGACCACTTGATAAGAATGGTGAAGAACTACCAACCTATAGAACACTTTTAGATAAACTTGCATGGGCAACACTTGGTTATCAATTCCAATGGACACCAAGAATATATTCCGAGGAATTTCACGAGGCTTTCCCTCAAGGTAATGTGCAGATATTGATCATTAATCATCTACCTTCAATCTATATATAATTAACACAAAATGCTGCTTATTCTAATAGATTTACAAGATCTTGTTACACATATTGCAAAAGCTACGAAATACGATCCTTATGTACCTGAAGCTGCAACCATTAATTTTTATAGTGAAGGTTGTTATGTTTACTAGTTTGATGATACATTTGTTGTTTATAAACTATTAATTAAATATTAATATTATTATTATTATTATTATTATTTGTAATCTCTAGATTCAGTAATGGGTGGTCATCTTGATGATGCAGAAGAAGAGATGGAGAAACCGATTATATCGATAAGTTTTGGTAGTACAGCAGTATTTTTGATGGGTGCAGAGACTAGAGATGTTCCACCAATACCTATATTCATTAGAAGTGGTGATATCGTTATTATGGGTGGTAGATCACGTTATTGTTATCATGGCGTTGCTAGAATAGTAGAAGATTCATTCGATGCCGGTCTTTTAGTTGACTCTAAAGAAGACGATCAATATAGTTGGCATGTACACTGGATGAAAGAAAAGAATAGACGTATCAATATAAATACAAGACAAGTATTTAAAGTACCAAGACAAGGTGAAAAAACAACATAATAAATAAATATAATAATAAGTTAAATAATAATTTTATTTATCTTCTTTATTGACATCTTAATCTTCCTCCTCTTCTTCTTCTTCTTCATCTTGTAATGATCTATTCTTTTTAAGTTTGAATGTATCTGCATCTTCAACATCGAATACAGTGGCCACTCCATTCTCATCGACACGACACTCTACATTTAGTGTATCAACAAAGAATCCCCAACTTTCATATGTTAACTTTTTCTTTCTATAAATCGATCTTGGTTCATTAAGTAGAATCTCTATAATTAGATCTTTTACTTTGTTTAATTGTTCATCTATACTATTATTATTGGCTATTTTACTTTGTTCTATACCTAATGATTTCAAACCAACAGTTGATAATGTTTTGATTATACCATTGATTGCTTTATCGGAGAATACAATCTCTTTGATATCGCTCTTGGAGTTGACCCATTCTGGTATGGTTGCATTTGGTTCACTATCGAACTTCGGTATGTATGGTTTGATATCGACGATAGGTGTTCCATCGATCATGTCGATTCCACTCAGATAGATAGTATCGTAGTCAACTCTATCCAACTTGCACATCGTCATACCAATAGGAACCAATCTATGAGGCGTACGACTAGCTAGAACACCAACTCTTCGACCATTCAACATCGGTGGACTAACCATTACTTGTGAAGGTGGATATCTATTCTCTTTTAAATAAACATAATCTTTCTTATTATAATATTTTGATTTCGATGATAATGTTGAATTTGTTGATTGTGATTGTTGTTGTTGTTGTTGTAGTAGTTGTTGTTGTTGTTCATCTTGTGGTTGTTGTTGTTGAGATTGTCGTTGTTCTATTCTTTTATAATTGTTGTGAAACCAAAATAATATCCATACGTGACTGAAATCCGATAGACCTTTTAGCAGAGAGTCAGCATGTCTCGAGAGAATTTTGATTTTAGCAGTGCTGGTGGGTGCTAATCTTCCTTGACGTGGTGCACCATTCTTGTTTGGAAAGGTAGACTCTGCATAGCCTATCGGGTCAAATGAGATGGTATCTTGTTTCTCGTTTTGCAATGACAATTGCTCTGCCTCTCTAATATAATTCAAATTGGTATTTACATCTACTTTGAATTGCTTTTTCTTTTTTCTTTTAAATGTCAATATTTGATCTTTATTTATATTTTTATGATTACTATCGTTAATACTAGTAATATCATTGTTGCTATTATTACTCTTTGATAATGATGATATCGAATCTACTATTGTATTTGTAGTTGATACACTACAAAAAGATAAATGTGTAACTCTACATGATAAATATCTATTGTTATATACTAATAATTTAGATAGATTATTTAATTTAGTTTTAAACATATCTAATTCTCAAAAATCGAATGTCGTCAATCAAAAAAAACAGACGAATTATGCCATGGGAAATTTCTTAAAATCGATAAATATTATTATAATTGAAATTATTATTAATTAGATTATATTTATCTTCATTTGAATATATTTATTAAGTTAAAAAACTATCCTAGATTTTGAGAAATTTCAAAACTTGGTTGTTTCCAAAAAACAAAAGAATAGGATTAGCCTGTAAAAAAAAAGGTGATCATTATCTTATCATTAATATTTTTGCAATTTTATTATTTATAATTAATTATGTGTTTACATAATAAAACAAATTTAATTATTTGTAGAAATTGTTCTATTACAATATGTGATGATTGTGTTAAGAATGATCATCATGGTCATTCAATCATACAGTCGTTAGATTACAAACAAAGATTGAATGATCTTTGGAATGCTTTGAATCTACAATCGGATGCATATCAATACTCTGTGGAAAAGGAAAAGGAAATAACTTCACACTATGAGAATCTACATCGCTTACTGGCAACCGAAGAACATAACCTAAAGAAACCAATAGTAGAACAAAAACAACAATCAGAACAAAAGATAGATAACATACTCTCAGAGATTCAAACAATAAATCATTTGATCGCTTCGACAACAACAACAACAAGTCTATCACCTACCACTATCACTACACAAACTTCTCCGGATATAGATCAATTAGAATCAGATTTTTCAGATTCAAATAATCTCTATCAAAGTAGAATAGAATCTATTGTCAGTACAATCAAAGAATCGAGTGGAATCAATCAATTGCTATGTAACCGAAATTTGATAGGCGGCGGCGGTGGCAATACCAAACAATTGACGATTTCAGAGTTGCTGGAAACGATGCAACAAACAAAAACACTCGAACCTCCAATCTTTCACGAAATAAAAGTGGATATCGATAAGATGTCGTCACTAAGAAGTCAGCTAAGAGATTCAATTAGAGCTGTTCCTGTTCCATCGAAGCAGCTGTTCACTACCTTTAAACCGATGAAATTCGACGATCGTAAAGAGAAACATATGATCTTTTCGATTGGTGCTCGTGGCAATGATATCTCCATTTTTAATCCTTATATTGACATGGAAATACGATCGCTAAGTAATGTAAAGCCACCCACGACACTCCCATTGAACGACTCTCTATATTCAATGGTTAAGCTTGGAATGGATATCTATTTGTTTGGTGGTGTAGATTCCTCAAGCTTTTGTTTATACAATCCACCCACTCAGAGTTTCTTACCACTGTCTGTAAACGGTGATTATCATGTTGCTGGCAGTAAGAATCTGTCGGTATGTTACGATGGAATTAGATTTATTTATCTGGTCGGTGGACAACTCGTTGGCAACCTACTGACTAGAATCGATCGTTACGATACCCATCAAATGCAATTCGAATCGTTTGCAAATCTAGGGAATCCTACTCAACTGGCCTATACTTTTGTGCGTGGCAATCGGTTGTTTGTCGTCGGTGGCTGGGATGGATATGGTACCAACTACAAATCGATCACAACCTATAACTTGGACGATAGAGAACAGCAACCAACGGTAGTTGAAACCAACATTGGAACAACGGAAAACATCCTATCGTACTGCTACGATAACAACGATAACCTCTATTTCATCGATGCTCAATCGAAACTCTTTAGATACTCACTCACAGCGGACACCGCCGACAAACTAGTGGAATTGGCATCGCCGAAACTAAGAATGCTACACCGATACTCATTGCTTTACAACGACAATCATCTTTACTTTATGGGTGGAATCGAAAATGGTAATCTCGTCTACTCAATCGATGACAATCAATGGGTGCTAACTGACAACGACAAAGTAATCAGATCGACAACTGGTTCTGTATTTTTTACACAATATAACTAACTAATTAACAAATCAAATAACAAACCAACCATATTATTACGTAATAAAACTAGTTTCTATAATAATTTAATTCTTTATAAATTTAGATTGAATAAATATTCTATCCATTTGATTCTTTTGTTTTCTGTTTACAACTTTCTTTTCTACCAATATATTCTGATCTACTCTAAATCTATTATTCGATGTGTATAGTTTCTCCATTAATTCTAATGATAAGTAAGTTAAATTAGTTAGCTTGTTACAATATATAGTTTGTTTTGGTTTAGTTTAGTTTTAAACTTACCTAATGAAAAATAATATGCTCGTGTTCCATCATGTCTAACATGGAAGTTCTCTCCGAGTTTAGATGCGTGCTTCTCGAATCTAGACTGAGCCATGTCGTTCTCAGCGTAGTCACGAATCAGTACTTTGCCACCGGGTTTCAGCACACGATGACACATATCGACGACATTGTCAAAACTGGAGGGATCCATCGCCGACAGCACGAAAATGATCACTACTAGATCGCATTGACCGAACGGTATGTACGATGGCAGCTTATCAGAGTGTTCCGTTGCACTGAATACAAAACTGTGACAACGGTTATGATAGGCCTGATTGTTCTCTACCTCTTTGGCAAGCAAACCGACTGCATGCGACGAGAAATCAAAGCTATAGAAACAGAGTCGATCGTTCAACTCTAGCAGTGGCAGCGTTGTGTTACCAACGCCACAACCAATCTCAAAGCAATTGAGATACTCTTTTCCGTCGTCAGGCTTACTCAGAAACTCTGGAAACTCTCTGACCAACCAATGTCTATCTTTGAAAAAGTTTGCATTGTTCTTCTTATAGAATTTATTCCAATATTGATCTGCATTCTTTTCATATTTTTCTATAAATATTTATATAGGAAATAAATAAACAAATAAATGTTAATTATTATTATTATTATTATTATTATATTAATAAATGTTAGTTAATTTGTTTATTTTGTTCATACATATATTTCATTAAATTAAATTTGAATGAAGAATCAACAATGTCGATATTTTTCGATTTTTGATTAGATATTGAATTGTATTTATTTTATTTATTGTTGTTGTTGTTTTTGTTCATGTTCATATTATTATTACCAATTAGATGTGGAGATATTAAATCAGATTGATCTTTCTTTATATAACCATACAATCTTGCATATCCCAATGCATCATCTGTAATATTATATCCATCAACAATATTTTGATCTCTAATTGAAAGTTTAGAAATATCTAAATCATCTTTATTATTACTACTCATTTTATCTTAAAATAATATTACAACTACGTTTCAACTCAAAATTTCGAAACAAAAAAACGAGTGGAATGAAGTCGGTGGTTGAAAAAAATTTTACAAAAATAAAAATAAAAAAAATAGAAAATTGCTTGGTGCGAAAACTTTGCGGAATCAGAGTGATTCACTGAAGAATAGAATTAGCAAGAAAAATTTTTTGAGAAAAAAAATAGGAAAAAACAAATTAAATTTTTAATTTTAGTTTTTTGTAATTGACACAGCATCTATTTAAACACAATTTAAATTGTACTCAATCATTAATTAATTTTTTATATACAATTAACTTTTCTACAACAATATTTATTTCTGTAAATTTATTTAATCAATATTCTATTTCAACCATTTTATTTCTATAATGCAAATTTTTGTTAAAACTCTTACTGGTAAGACCATCACCTTAGAGGTTGAAGGTTCTGATACCATTGAAAATGTAAAGACCAAGATTCAAGATAAGGAAGGTATTCCACCCGACCAACAACGTCTTATTTTCGCCGGTAAACAATTAGAAGATGGAAGAACTCTCTCAGACTACAACATCCAAAAGGAGTCAACTCTACATTTAGTACTCAGACTCCGTGGTGGTATGCAAATTTTCGTCAAGACTTTGACTGGTAAGACCATCACCTTAGAGGTCGAAGGTTCTGATACCATCGAGAATGTCAAGACCAAGATTCAAGGATACCGAGCTCGAATGGTATTCCACCCGATCAACCAACGTTTGATCTTTGCCGGTAAACAATTAGAAGATGGAAGAACTCTTTCAGATTACAATATCCAGAAGGAGTCAACTCTTCACTTAGTACTCAGACTCCGTGGTGGTATGCAAATCTTCGTCAAGACTTTGACTGGTAAGACTATTACTCTCGAAGTCGAAGGTTCCGATACCATCGAGAATGTCAAGACCAAGATTCAAGACAAGGAAGGTATTCCACCCGATCAACAACGTCTCATCTTTGCCGGAAAGCAATTGGAGGATGGTCGTACTCTCTCAGACTACAACATCCAAAAGGAGTCAACTCTTCACTTAGTACTTAGACTCCGTGGTGGTATGCAAATTTTCGTCAAGACTTTGACTGGTAAGACTATTACCCTTGAGGTCGAAGGTTCCGACACCATCGAAAACGTCAAGACCAAGATTCAAGACAAGGAAGGTATCCCACCCGACCAACAACGTTTGATCTTTGCCGGAAAGCAATTAGAAGATGGTCGTACTCTCTCAGATTACAACATCCAGAAGGAGTCAACACTCCATTTGGTACTTAGACTCCGTGGTGGTATGCAAATATTCGTCAAGACTTTGACTGGTAAGACCATCACCCTCGAAGTAGAAGGTTCCGACACCATCGAGAATGTCAAGACCAAGATTCAAGACAAGGAAGGTATTCCACCCGATCAACAACGTCTTATTTTCGCCGGTAAACAATTAGAAGATGGAAGAACTCTTTCCGATTACAACATTCAGAAGGAATCAACTCTTCACTTGGTACTTCGTCTCCGTGGTGGTTCTCAATAAAACAAAAAAAAACCAAATAAAACCTTGTCATATAATTAAAATAACATGTAATTTGTGACCATTTAAAGATATATATATATATTCTTTATTTATTTCTTATTGTTGATCATTTGTTTGGTGTATTCCCACATTAAAATTGAACCGCTAACATGTACATTGAGTGAACGAATGATACCTAGCTGTGGAATCTCTATACACTTATCCAAGAGGTTGATATACTCTGTTGGTATACCTTCTTTCTCTTTACCAAGCAGTAGAACAGCTTTCTCTGGGAATTTATATTCATTGAGTTGCGAGCTAGTCGAAGTCTGTTCGACACCGAGCAGAGTGTATCCTTCTTGTTTCTTTGAGAGTAGATACTCACGTAGCTGATGTTCCTCTACCTCTGTCATTGGCAACCAACGTTCGGCAGACACAGAGATCTGTTGGAACATTGGATCGTTTGCAACCTTCTTCTTGCTCACCACCAACGACTCGACATTGAAGATCTCACTGGTACGTGCCAGACCAGCAAGATTTGGAATCTTATCGACAAAGGTTGCAACAATAATCAACTGTTGACGAGTACGTGCCATGATATTATAACGAGTTTCATCTTCAACATCGTTCCATGGTAATATCTTCTTCTGATATCCAACCACTTGGTTAGCGCCACTCGATTCGATATAGTCGTCTCCATCGATCTTTGATTCCTTTCCTTCTTCATCATCTTCTTCATCTTGAGAAGTAGATTCTGTTGTTGTTGTTGTTGCTGTTGACTCTACTCTCGACTTTAGTAGAAGGAAGTGACGAAGTTGTGCAGTGAGTGGAGAGTGTTGAACAATGTGGTCAACAAGAAACTCAAAGATACCGGGTGCAGATATTTCGCTCGACGACAACTTCTCGAGTGATGGGATATCGTAGAATAGATTAGTAAAGTCACAGGAACTCTTGAGACCCTCGTCATTCAACGAGAGATGTGCAACGTGTCGCTCCAACGATTTGGAAGTCTGTGTGTTGTTATGGATGTACCACTCCAAGTGCTTGAGATAGTCGAGTACCGATTGGTCGAGCTTGCCAACGAGATGCTTAGAATTGATAATCTTTATAACCATACCGATTGCAGCGTTTCTAACAGACAAATGATGAGAAGAGCACAACGCCATGATCTTACTGAAAATAATATTACATAGTTGGGCATCCTCTAGATACAACATCATATTACCAACAGTAATAATAATAGATGTAACAATATCACCTCTTTCATTTATTTTATCTAATAATCTGTATACATATAGTTAGTTAATAATTATTAAAGTTTTAAAAATAAAAAATAATAATAACATACGGAATGAAATGAGATGATACTAAAGATTGGAATCTTGTTACTAAATTAATAGTGAATATATTGATGTATCTTCTTGTCGATGGTAGATTATAGGTGAATATAATGTCTGTAAGTTTCTTTCCAATCTCTTTCATGCTAGTTGGTACCATATATGGTGCTAATAAGCATAGAATTTGCCATATTCTAATCTATAAATAGTAAATAAAATAAGTTATTATAATTAGTTAATATATATATATTATATATATAATATAAATAAAAGTAATTGTTTTAATTATTTGAGTTACTTACTCTCTTTCTATGTGGTTGTGTATTGATTAGATGTTCAATTTTCTTTGTGAATTCCTTGGTCAAATTGATATCGATAAGATGATTGGCAAGTGTGTTGGTGAATTCTAAATACTTTGATTTGTTACTATTCTCTACTGTTGAAAGAGTAGCCATCTTCTTGATGAATGTAGCAACAACTGCTCTACCAAAGACATCTTTCAATGGAATAGCACCAACTCCAAATCTAATTTCATCGACCTCATTTTCATATGTTGCTTCAATACCCATATCTAATACAAATGTTGAATATCCACTAATATATATATTAAATTAGTTAAATTAATATCAATATCATTACCATTACTATTTTTGATATAAAACAAACACTTACATCATTGGATCATAGAATTGAGTGGATGTCTTCTCATTGTTCTCCCATTCATCGTCTTTTCTAATTGGACCAAAGATGATCGATTGATAGATTTCATCGATGTAGTAGAGCGATATCTCTGGTTGTTCGATCCACACAGGACTGCATTTCAAGAGTAACAGATTCATCAGACCCATAATAGACTCTGAGAGGTTCAGTACCAACTTAAAGTATTTCTTTAGGATATAGTGGTGACTTGTCTCTTCGCTGGTGGGTAGGTGTGAGAGCAATGCCGGTGAGAATGTCAATTGTATGAATGCAGCCATCGATGTAAAATGTGTGTCATTGGCAGAGGCATAGGCAGACGATACGATACGCTCAACAACATCAAGATTGAAATCACCATTCTCGTCATTCTTGGCAAACACAAGCAGAATCTGTGCACAATCGAGGATTGCTTTAATACTGAATCGATTCGATCCACTGATGGCATCGATTACAACTTCTAACAATTCATTTGAATCTTCTAAATTCTTTAATTTACCGGACTATTTTAAAATTAAATATGTTTGTTTGTTTGTTAATAAACAAGTTTGATACAACAAAGCTATTATAGCTAGATAGTTACATCTTGTAAGATTGATAAGATATTTCTTATACATTTCCATTTGATCTTCATAAAGTAGGCTAATGTTGTACCCCATGATGATCTATCGATAATTTAAATAATTGTTGGTTATTAAGTTATTAAGTTATTAAGTTATAAAGATAATAATAGTATATTATACTTACGCATTTAATCCAGTATCTTCAGAGTTATCTTGTGGTCTTAATAATGTAATTGGTAGATAGATTGTTATAATCTTTTGTAAATGTTCAAATGAGTAGAGTTGATGAATCTTTCCAAATAGGCCATAGAGAGACTGGAACATATTGATTGTCTTGATTTGGTCAGACCATAATTTAGAATTGGTTGGTCTGAAGCTCTCTAACTTTTCAATATATTGATTCAAAAGTGTTTGATCAACAATGTCAACAATGAACGATACAATAGTTGCTAAAGAATCACCAAACTCTAACTTTACAATATTATTACTAATACTATTATTGTTACTTAGAATATCCTAAATATAATTATAGTTAGTTATATATAGTTTTGTTTAAAGTTTTAACTAAGCACTTACATGATTAATTATATATCTTATCAAGTTATTGGCAAAGTCGATATCGTTTGATTGAAGTAGTGTTTTAATATTGTTAGATTGTTTAGTTGATAATGAGTTGGATAGTACTGTCGCCAATAATAATAGATTATTGATTGTTTGATAATTAAGTGGTTCGTTATTGTTGTTATTTAGTTGAATATGATTTATAATGTTATTCTTGATGATTGAATCGAATCTCTCTGATGATGTATAGATTAACATTCTAGAGAGCATATAACATCTACTTTTCATTGCGACAAATGAATCACCATAACTTAATACATCTAAACTACCATCCTTACAATTCAACTCGATCTCCTTTACGATGTTATCTGATAACCAACTACCATTATGATTAACACTCGAAAATCCAGTGTTCAACCATTTTCCAATTGATTCATTACACTCTGGTACTGTATGAATCTGCATAGGAATAGAGTATAACACCTTTGTTACATTGCTAAATGATAAATCATCTTTAATTGATAAAGTAACTAATATCTCTATAGTATATTTATATATCTTTGATCTATGTAAGTGATTCCTAAAGTATATTAAACATAAACAATATTAGTTAATTATATATATATATATAATAATAATAATATTAATCAATGTATTTACATTCTTCTTGTTATCTCTAATAAATTAAGTAATTGATCGATATTCTTATCGTTAAGGAAACATAGTTGTAGGTTGTTTCTATTGGTGTTGGATTTAGAGATAAACGAGAGTATCGACATTGTGAATGCCGAAAAGTATTCGGTAGAGGAGATAACATTGAGTAGTTTGGAAAGGAACACTGATTGGAGGTCGGTGCTAAGTGAATTGTAGTAGGTTTCAAGGAAGTATTGAATCGATGGATGAATACGATCTTCGGTGATACCACGATACAAAATGGTGTTGGTGATGGCACGAATCAACGTGCCAAAGATAAACTCCATCGGTAGCTTTGGAATGTATTGTGTGGAGTTCAAAATCTCTAGAACCTGTGCTTTAATTACCGCTGGATTCTCGTGTAGCATGACACGTTGGAACAGGATGTCGAGCCATGCGAAATGCAGTGGCGACTGGTGCACGATGAGCGAGTCGATCTCACGCCAAACCGGTGCGATCAAATGAACATTGAATTCATCGAGTGTCTCGTTGATCAAGAAGAACGTATCCCATTGCTTCTGGAGTTGTTCCGATTCCTCTGCCGACCAACGGAAGTATTCAGACCAACAACGATTAGGCGCATCCACGCACGTATTTTGTGTTTCATCGATCGATCGTTTGATTGTCTTTTTCAAGAGGTAGTTCGAACGTTTTCTTATGAGTGGATCGGCGTCGATGAATCCTTGAATTAGATATCTCCAGAAATCCGGTGAGTAAGTGAGGTCGACGATGCTGGACGAGAAGAATGTATCGTATTGACGTGCGAGAATCTTAAAGGCGTCGGACTTTATTTCATGCTCGGCAATAGTAAACATCTTCATAACGGTGGATACTAACGATTGGCACTGAGCTACACTCGAACATCTGAGCAACGACGGTAACAGTGTGACAATCAACGATTGTCTTTGCTCGACATTGTCAGACATCAACAAAGGTGTCAACAATTGTTGTTCGTAAACAACATCTACAAACTTCCTAATAGATAAACTACTGGTAGTTTGGTTATTCTGGTTGAGTTGACTATCGATTAAACTACTAAGAATTGTATATAAAATATTTGAATTCTTTATATTATTTGCTGTTACTTTTGTTGTTGTTGTTGTTGTTTCTGATGATTGTTGTTGTTGTTGTTGTTGATCTAAATGATAATGATGATCATTATGCTCATTACTTGTTGTTAATGATATCAATGATTGTTGTAATTGTCGAATAAGAGAACCAGTGAATTCATCGTCCGATACTCTTAACAATGTGTTCGATAGTAAGTTAGATATCAAGACAATGATTGATTGTGAACTACTTGCTACACCACTGTTTAATTGTGCAAGTACAGTAATATAGATATCTATTACATTTGAGGATAGTTGTTTATTGCTATTGTTATCTGTTTGAGATGATGTTAATCTCTTTACAAGTGAATCTAATGAATGTAATAATAATTGAAGATAAAATGATTGTTTAACTTGTAATTCATTATTAATATTATTATTATTATTGTTATACTGTTTAAAAGTAGATAATATTGATTGTTCGATTTGATTAATATAGTTTCTTAGAGTTTCGTTTTGATGTGTAGCGGTGGTTGTGGTGAAGAGTGATGCAGAGAATAAAGATTCGATAAAACTAATAAAGATAAGATCGACACTTGCAATATCAATAATCTTTTGTTGTGAATATTGTTCTGCAATAGAATCGGAGAATCTATTCAATTGATTTAAAATAAAGCTATTTGAATTGGATATATAGATATCTGTGTCACCCATTCTTTCTTTCTTTCTAATAAAAATAATCACTCGTTTTTTTTTTTTTTGACTTTCGTTTTTTTGTTTTCATAGTTCTAAAAAAAATTGATCAATCATTGTTGTTTTTTTGTTTTTTGTTTTTCTATTTTAGATCTAAAAAATAATGATTGATTTAACTCAATTTTTTTTTATTTTTGTTTGAAGATCTAGAAAAAAATTTAAACAAATTAGAAAGTATTTATGTCGAAGACATTTTTAAGAAATTTGTACTGTACTTCCTGTAAAGAATGAGGAGACAATTTTATTTAAAGAGAATTTAACTTATATTGCAGGAGGGTGCTCTGGTTTTAGGAGGACGAATGTGGCCATCAGCAAGCTCAACAGTGAAATGTATCATACCATCATTTCCAAAGACAAATGAAGGTGTGTCTCCAACAAATGCGGTATCTTCATTCCAAAAGAAATCTCCCATTATCAATGCAAGTAAGAATTCTGTATCGAAAGTATAACCAGGGTGAGGAGTAGTTAATGACACAAGATATGTTCCTAAGGCTTCAGGATTGAATATTTCGAAATATCCGTATCCCTATATAAGAATAAATATTAATATTTAAACTTTATGAATACAATCTATATTTTAACTTACCCAATTGGAAGTAGAGGTCAAAGTGATATCATAGAAATCAAACTTCACAAATCCACAAAATCCTTTGTGATAGTTGCCAGATGATACCGGTTTAAACTTCATCGATAAAGACATTTGGAGAGAGGTATATGATTCTAGATCACCATCAAGATGGAGATCTAAAATGAAATTTGATGAAAGTTGGTATTGGTTGGAATCGTAGAGGTACACAACGTCGTTCTGAAAATCATGAACAAGTCTACTAATATTGTTAAAAGTAGGTAAAAAGGCTAATTTAGGGAAAGCCTCTATCATAATTTGACTGGCTGATGTAAACTTCAATGGAGAGTAAAGTGGTAATGAATATTTATCTAGAGAAAAAAAAACAAAAAAGAAAAAATAGTTAAATTTTTGATTTGATTTAAATAAATATAAGAAAAAAAGAATCTTACCTATTATGTAATTGAAAGATATATCGTTAAGCAGGCCATCAACTAAATCACGAATATATGGGGCATCTATCGAGTATGTATAAGTATTAACACTACTTAGTGGATTCCAAGAGACAGCATCATAGGTATAAGCGGGATACTTCATATTTCCATTTGCAAGGAAATAGGTTCTTGGCTAAATATTTGGTTAATTAGCAAATTCATAGTTTATACAGTATTTTTTCGTTATACATACGAAAGGATCTTTTAAATTACTTAGATCACTTAAATGATAACCACGGGTATATTCTTTATAAATTCCGAAACCGAATTTGGACAAATCAATGTTTCTATATGGAGGGAATAATGAATTTATAGTTTCTACATTGAAAATACTCTATTTTAAAAAAATTATTAGAATTTATTTCTTTATTATTATTAGAAAGTATATTTACATTAAAGAAACCTTCTATAGCTAAGTCGAGTACTGATTTTCTTGGTAATATGGCATCGGTATCAATAGATCTCTCTAATATATCAGATCCTCCATTCAATTTAACAATATTAAATTTCATTGTTATGTTAGTTTTTCTAAAATCAAAATCGAAATTAAAGAAAAGATTTCCAGATTCAGGATCAATTCTGGAATAATCAACAGAAACATTCTTGTATCTACCTGTATCACTACCCTCTACTGAACTTGTCAACAAATGATAGGATACTTGAATAGGGAAGAATCTAAATATGTTTTAAATTAGAAATTCTTTACATTAATTATTATTTCACAAATACATACAATCCAACATCATAAGAATTTTTTTTCATAGGTGAAACACGAAATCCCGCCAATTCAGTTTTATTTTTCAACTCTACTTTAAAATGGCATGCAAATTCTTTATCATTCACAATATCTGGGAAAGAATAATTCTCCAAACCATTTTCAATTAAACTTAAAATCTTAATTAAAATATATTAATTAAAGGATTCAATTTTTAATATCTTATATTTTATTTACTTACATTATGATCAAACCACTTTTTCATTCCTGATTTAGGGTATGATGACACTGAAAATCCAGCCAGAGTTGGCACTTCTTGAGAGTTTACCTCAATAGATAAGTATAGAATAATTACAAATATATAATATAATTTCATTTTTCTTCTAAAAATTAATAAAATATTCCCTTTGTTGATTTATTTAAGTCAATTCAATGCAATAACAGAAAAAAATAAATAAAATATAATCCTCAAAACGATTTTTATTAAGAATTTTTTTAAAAATATCCCAGGGTCTTATGTCTTTGCTAATCGGTTCTAGCATGATCCGAAGGATTGATATGAAATCTTTGAATTTGTGAATTGATATGCCTACGTGGCCATAAAACTATCTGTTATCTATTGTTTATTTTTCCCCCAAGAGTGATTAATGATAGAGATCACCCTAGTTTTATTACAATGTTGTATTTCTATGATTCCAACTTTTTTTTAAATAAAAAAATCTATCTATGTTTTTGAGAATCAATTTTGGGCAATTTCAAATTTCAATTAAACAAAACCACGTCTTACTTCAAATTTTAAAATTGTATCCTTCCAATATTACAACCATTGTCAATTTTTTTGAAAAATCGTTGGACACAACTTGAATGCCCAATAATTCTGATTTTTAAAAAATGCCAAATGTTTGTTAACAAACATGCCCATTGTATTATTAATCATCACTCTTAAATTAGAATACAAATAATGGATTGAGCATCACATATATTGATATTTATCCTAGGTTGAGAGATGTAGAATAAGAGATTTCATTTATTGATTTTTATTCTATTAAATTCGAGGGCTGGGTATAAAATTACAACACAAAAAAGTGCCAAAGAAGTTTTAAACAAAGAGAATTTTTTATCCCTCATCCAATAGATATTTTTCTTTTTAATTTTCAAAATTAATTTATATTGAATTATTTTTTTTTAAGGAATATATAATCCTATTCTCTAGAGAAGGAATCTTTAAAATTAAATATTCCAAATTAAATAATATAGAAAATAAAATGAGATATATAATTATTTTTATTTTTTTAATTCAATGTAATTTTAAATTTTAGTTATTATTCAGACTTTTTACAATATCTAACTTTTCTTTTTAACCCAATATCAAATATAGTAATTTATTTAACTAAAGGGGCTATATTACCTGGATGTAAATGCCAACAACATGATTTCAACACCTATTGTGGTTATGAAATAGAGAGTGAATGTGATGACATCATTGGAAACAATTTATATCAATGCATTACAACAGGTCACGCTCCAGTTTTACGTGAAGTTTGCCCCTACTCTGAAAGTCTTCCCGCAAGTTGTCAGAGCTCTCCAGTTAATTCTCAGTGTGTTCCAATCTCTCCGAGTTGTCTTTGTAGTGGTTCCGATGATCAGGTAAGAAAACCATTTTGTATTACTTTTCCATTTTTTTTAATTAATAATATAACATTTTTAGTGTGGATCAAGTTTTCCATCATATTGTCCTTTAAGTAGATTTCCATTGAGTCATAATCTCTACCAATGTTCTGGTGAAGGTTCTTATCCAATTCTGATGTGGTCCTGTCCAAATGGTTGCCATCATCATAAATATAATGACTCTTGCAAAAGAGAACCAAATTCGGAATTTTTAGGAAAGATAAAAAAAGTTGTCATTTTGATGCAAGAAAATAGAGCTTTCGATAATTATTATGGTAAATATAATTCAAAATAAGATAAATATTTATTAAAATATTTATTAATGTATTTTAAATTAGGAACAATGGCTGGTGTAAGAAATTATTTGGAAAAACCAAGAAATGTTTTCTATCAACCTGATCCAAAAGGAGTTAATCAATTCAATGGAATAAAATCCACTGTTCCATTTGAGATTACAGGACTGAATTCTGATTGTATTGCTGCTGGAACTATCTCTTGGGACCAATCGCATATCTCCTATAATGGAGGTTTAAATAATAATTGGGTTAATGGAAGCACTGCCTACGCAATGGGATTCTTTACAAGAACTTCAACTTTGCAGTTTTATTTCCAATTGGCGGAAAGCTTTACAATTCTTGATCAATATTATCAAGGTATAATGGCATCTACCTATCCTAATAGAATTTTCCATTGGAGTGGTACAATTGATGCAAGAGGTAAAACTCGCGTAGGACCAGTTATTCACAATGATATCATACCCCCGCCCGATTGGCCAACCTATCCTGAGATGTTGGATGCAGCAAATGTAACATGGAGATTATACCAAGATAAAAGAGATGAATTCGACTGTAACCCACTTTTTTGGTTTGAGCAATTCCAAATGGCTGAAAATGGTTCATCACTTTCAACAAATGGTTTGAAATATTGGGGAATGGAAGCTTTCTATCAACACCTTCAAAGTAATTCATTACCAAATGTAACATGGCTTGTAGCACCTCAAGAATTAATTGAACATCCAATGAATGGTCCACACGGTATGTAAATTTAAATATATTAAAATAAGTTTACACATATTAATTTCTATTTTTTAAGGTGGACAATGGTTTACTCAACAAATTATCAATTATATTGGAAATGGTTCTCAAGAAGTCTGGGGTGATATTGCATTCATTCTCAATTATGATGAGAGTGGAGGATTCTTTGATCATGTCACTCCACCAGTTGCACCACTGGGTACCATCGATGAGTGGACCTATGATATGAATGGAGAAGTTTCACCAATTGGACCAGGAGCTAGAGTTCCATCAATGATGATTTCACCATTCTCAACTGGTAATAATGTCTTTGTTGAAAACACTGATCATACATCAGTTATGATGTTCTTAGAAGAATGGTATGATTGAGTCCTATTGTTCATTTTATATTTTTTTTTTAATTATAATTTATTTTAATATATAGGACTGAAGCAGCAGGTTATGGTCGTGTTGAAAATAATCAAATTTCAAAGTACAGAAGAAACTTTATGTCTGATTACACCCACTCACTTGATTTCTCAAAGGATGTAACATTTCCTCTCCCAACTTATGTTGTTCCAACTCCTGCCTTTGATAACCATACTCGTGATGGTTGGATAGCCACAGAGCAATGTTCAGTTGTTCCAGGTGGTTTCACTAGTCCATACGTAACTCGTAATTTCCCACCAACGCAATCGATGGAAATAGGTTTTAAAAAGGTGGTTGGACATGATCCATCTATAGGTAGATCATATGTATTTGATATGAACACAAGTCCATCTGGAGGTAGTGGTGCCCTTGCAGTAATCAATGGTAATTTGGGAATAGAGCCAGTAGATCCATCTAAAACCACAACAAATCAAATATTCCAAATAGTACCATCAACAATCTATACCGTTGGATCTCAAATCAATACCACAGCCAACGGTGCCGAACAATGTATCTGTACCTCTGAATCTGTAGTATATCTTACAAGTTGCTCCAGTTGTAATCAAGTTTGGTTTGTTTGGGACCTTTACAACGGCAAAGGTCATGTGTTTGAAAATGTCAACAATCCTGGTTTCTTGTCTTTGACAGTCGACAATCAGCTAATCCTCAGTCAAACAACAGAACCAACAACATCGTTCACAATCTATTCCATAAACAACTCTCCTTAAATTAATAATAAATATAATTTTTGGTATTTGACATTTATTTTTTTTTTTAGTTAACTTATATGATTATTTTGATATTAATAGTAAAAGTTAAATAAAATAAAAAAATCAATTTAAATTCCATGATTCTATAATAATATCAACTGAAGTGTTAAAAAGAAAGAAATTAATATCACAATAAATAGAGATAGGATAAAAAACTGAATATTTCATATTTTTTTATATATTTAAATTTTAATTTTGAATAAAAAATATCTTTTGAGACTCGATTGTGGATCATGAATTTTTTGCCAACGTGGTCACCAAAATATCGGAATGTTGTTAAGAGTTTTTTGTAAATCAATTGATTAAATTTATTTCAAGCATTTTTGAAATGTTTTTTTTTTTTTTGATTCCCTCATTTGGAACATTCATTTTTCATTATATTTATTTTATTCTTTTGTGTTTTATTATTTTAATTTGTTCATCAATGGAAAAGATAATTGTTTTTTTAATATTTACATCCTTTGTTTTCGATGTGGTGAAAAGTGTAAGAAATTTTAAAAAAAAATTTCAAAATTAACTTTTTTTAATAAAATGATCTACAATTTATATAGACATTACCAACAAGTATCAATATAATTACAACTGATAATAATTTCTATTCAATTCAATTGAGTAATGGAAAACTATTGGAACAAAACCAATTTAAAGTTCCAGGTAATTGTCAAATTTTTGATATACTTCCAGGTGTTGGAAATGAATTCCAATTCTATGGTATCAATGGAACTGATCCTGCTTTTCCAATGATCTTTTTATACAATCCAACTGTAAGTTGTTCTAAGGTATATGGGAAATAAACAATAAACTAACTTTAACAATACCCTCACAATTCAATAGGAAAATGAATTATCTACACAATTTGAAATCTATAAAGCATATGATACTGGTTATGAAGGTTTTATCGGCACCAATGGTTATGATAAAACCAACAATATTGTTTATCAATGTGTTTATGGTCAATCATCAAATGATCTTGGTGATTTAGTTTTAATTGGAAGTGATTTCAAGAATCAAAATCAGTATGTATTTAATATTATTGATCAATTTCTATATAAATCAATTTTTCTTAACTATTTTTAAATGCTATAAAGGTTTCAATTTATTCTAAATGAACCATCTAATATTGTTGGATGCTATTATGACCCGATTTCCAATGTAAATTACTTTACCACACAGGGTAGAGATCAGATTCCAGTCAATAATATCACTGTTTATGCATATAACTTGACCAGTTCAAAGATTATTCAAAGTGTAGAGTTTACAATTCCCAACCTTCAAATTTATGTAGGATTAAGTGATGTAATATATTACAAAGGTTCCGTTTACATTGCTACTGGTGCTCTTGGTTATCCATCAGTCATTTTCCAACTCAATATGGAAACTAACTCAGTGACAACAGTACTCTCAGTTGAGACACCATATCACTCTGGATACCTAGAACCATTTGTATTTGACCAAGTCAATGAATACATGGCATACATCAACATAGTTGGTGATAAATTATACCTCTACATGCTCGATCTCATAACATTATCAAATTCACTCATCAAGATTCCGAATTATGTTCCATACAATGATTATTCTTACTTTATCAGTTTTAGATAAATAATAACCAACAAACACTTTTTAGACTCAACCACCCAAAATTATCAATAAAAACACTAATTTATTAATTTCAATTATTTTGTGTTTAGACTAACACCATGGTAAAAATCAAGCAAACAAAAAGATCTATTCTCATATTTAGAAAGATTTCAATTATTAAAAACAGTTTTTAAGAGTTTCTAAAAAATAAATATACAATACTAATACACTAATGTTTTAAAGTTTGTATAGTTGAAATTATTTTTGTAGCTATTATTATTTGTGTTGAGATTTTATACAAATTCAATAATGTCGAGGTTTTCATCAAAAGAAGTTTGAATTGATATAGGAAAAAAAAGTGAAAATTACGATGATCATATTCACTCATTAAGATTCAGAATTAAATCGATGATTTTGTAACTCTTGGATAAAATAAAAAAATTAAAAAGAGTTTTTTCAACCTCTATCTGTTTTAATGTTAAAAATTTTAATATTTTGAAATGGAAAATTAAAAATTTTGAATTAAATTATATATAGTAAATAATTTAATTTAAATGAATTGGATTGTTACCAATACCTCATTTTCTTTTCTGAAAGGTTCAAGTTTACTCATTTGAATGAATCTTGTAAAACCATAGCCATCCAATCGTGAAGGGACGTTACCATTCAATTCCATAAAGTGTTTTTCACTACTTTGCTCCACATCAATGATTTTAAATTTCCAAGCTACTTTGATTGGTTCTTTGAATTCTGAAAGGTGTAGGAACAATGATAACCATTCGATTTTATCAGGACTCTTATGTATTCCCATTACCAAAAACCTATAAAAATACATTTTAATAAAAAGGTGGTTTTAATTTTATAATAAATTAATATTACCATGTATTATCATTAAAATTAAAACTTTCACTCTTTGTGTATTTCTCCTTTGGTAAAGACATTTTAAAAGAAAATTTGGAATACATGATACTCTCTATAACTTTGTGGAATTCTTTCTTAAGATTTAGTTCTGGAAATGAATTTGGTGACTCATATTTTTCTGATTGGCACTTGACATAATGAGATCTAAACTCAGAGATCAAACTAAAGTTAATTGGTTTACTTTCATTATATGTAGGTGTAATCTCTTTAGTCTTGAAGTTAATAATTGGTCCAGTTGAGATATCATCTAAATTGTTATTTTTAAAGTTGTTATTATTGATGTGGCTATTATTATTAATAGTTTTTGAAAGATAAACAGTTGAATCTGTGAGTTGGATTGAACCATTTTGACCTATTCCATATTGATGTAGGTTCAAATCAATGCCTTCATTATCACCAATAATACTAGAGAGCGATTCACTCATTCTACTATTTTCATTTATGCTTTCATCTCTTCCTGGCGCAATGATTTCAATATCATCCATCCAATTATTCATTCTCCAATTGTAAATAATTTGAGAATATATTGATTTTGTGGTTTCCAATGATTTATTGACCTCCTCTTCTAGTGGTTTCCGTAGCTTATATTCCTCAGCGCTTAGCCTCTCATGGAAATAATTATATTTCTTTGTGATTGCTATTATTCTCTCTTGGTTCTTCTTTGTGGCTTCTACAGTCTCCATTAGTTTCCTAAACAATTCTTTCTGTTTATCTTCAAAATATTTATCTTTTTTTAAATGATCTTTCAATGTTCTCTCTGAGAATGTTCTATGTCCAGAATGAATATCTAATGCTTCTTCTAGTGAATGGATAGTACATTCCTTTCCACCAGATTCTAAACAATCCAAACATAGTCCACTATAATCTCTAATAATTTCTTCTACTTTAAACTCCATTTTAGCTAAAATAAAAAATGTACAATCAAAATTAAAAAAATTGATGATTCTCAATATTAATATATTTTTTAAACTTAAATCTTCAATTTATTCATAGGGTGTATTGTATTATCATAACTTTTTTAAAATAATACAATATTGTATTATTTTGTACCTTATATTATAACTCTCCTTATATCTAATTATCTTTCATTATTTACACAGAGTGCTGTTATTGCGTTTAAAAATGTTTTGTTTAATCAGTGGGGGGTATCACCCCTTTTTCAGAAAAAAAAGACAAATTATTAAATGTATACTCTATAGTCAATCATTTACTATCAAAATCACCCAAGATTTTGGACTAAAATAAATAAAATTAATAAAATTAATTTCTATTTTTTATAGGTCAATCTTTTTTTTTCTTCATGTATTCTTTCTCTAAAAACTAACTGATTTTATTAGTTTGGATTCAAAGATAGGCTGTTGTGGCCAATGTCAATAGAAAACATCCATTTTTCAAGTATTGGGGAAAAAGGTGCAGAGAAAAAAATAAAATTTTAAGTTTTTTAATAATTAAAAAACAAAAAATTAAAAAAATAAGTTTTTTGATTACTAACTAATTTTTTAAGTTGAAATGTTAAGTTTTATTAAAAAACAAAAAAATTAAAAAATAATAATGAATGACTATAAATAAACACTAAGAAAGAAAATACTTTTCATCATTTTTAATCTAATCGACTATTATTTTCAATTTAAAAACATATTTATCATTACAAATTATTACCTTTATTTATCTGTTGAAAATAATGATAAATTCCGAAAGCCTTGTATCTATTATCAACTTTCTTGGTAATCCAGGTAATTTTTAACTATAGTTAATATAATTAAAAAATAGATATTAATTTTTTATTATTTAAAGGAGGTGGAAAGAGTACGCTGTGTAATAGTGTGATTGGAAAAGTAGTATTTGAATCCGGTGTTAGTGTCGGAAAAGGTTTGACTACCAAAACTCAATCATATAAATTGGAAAATAGATTGATAGTTGATTCCCCTGGTATGTATTTAAACTAATAAATAATAAATAACAAAATTTAATTCTTGATTTTATGATTGTTTAGGATTATCCGATCCAGTAATGAGAGAAAGAGCTGCTTCTTGAAATTGAAAATTCCCTTAAACAGGTAAGAAAAGCTTTAAGATATTGCAATTCATTTTTTAAATACTGACTTTCAATGAAAGGATGGAAACTATAAAATTGTTTTTGTGGTGACATTAGATTCAGGTAGAGTCAAACTTCAAGATCTAGAGAGTCTAAACACCATTATCAGATCCATCAAGACTGAGTTTGAATATGGATTAATTATCAATAAGGTTACAAAGAAGGTAGCAATACAGTTGCAAAAAAGTCCAGAATTTTTCCTGGAATGTATCAAAATGGTTGAGAAGATGCCAATTGAAACTTTGGTCATCAAGAAAATAGAGGATCTGGATGACGAGAACAATGAAATCATTCAAGATGAATCCGTCAAGAAAGAGCTCCTCACTTTCATTGATAGTATCCCGAATCGTCTTATCAAGAAGGAACAAGTTGAAAAAGTAGAGGTTAGAGACTATGACAAGAAGGTGAGAGAAATGGAAAGTAAACTCTCGGAAATGGCCAATCAAATTGAGAGAAGAAGACAAGAGAATGAACAATTGATGAGGAATGCAGAGAATATGCAAAATCAACTCAGCAGAGAGATTGAAGTTAATGAAAAGAACACAATACAATACCAAGAAAATATGAAATTAATGAGAGAGAACAATGATAAAATTTTGGATTTAATGAACAAAAATCTCGAGGAACAAAAAATTGAAACTCAAAAGGCCAATGCAAGAGCTGAAGAAGATCGTAGAAGAGCTGAAGAAGCAAACAAAAGAGCTGACGAAGCAAGAAGAAACAGTGGTGGTGGTGGTGGAATATTAAAGAAAATATTTGGAAGTTTTTTTTTGATAGACTATCAATTAAACAAATACAAACTAACTTACTAACACATATACAATTCAAATCAACACAAGTGTTTATCTAATTTCAATAAAATATTTTCTTTAAAACACCTAAAGTAAAATTATTCCTTTAATTATATCATAATTATTTTATTTTTTTGACATGTTAATAAAAAATAAAAAAAATTTTGCTAACTGGTTATTAGTGATTTTTTTTTGGTTACATTAAATCTCACGATTTTATTGCTTGGATAAATATTTTTTTCAGATTCTTATGAAATTCTCATGTGTTAGATAAAAGACAATATAAAAGTAAGATGTTTAACTTTCTTTTACTTAAAACAAAAAGTAAGTAGTAATATTGTTTATTGTTTTTAAGTATAAAAAATGAATAGCACACTTTATCATCACCAGTTGAATAAGTTGTCATGGGAAGCAGCAACAGTTGCACACAACCGACACAAAGGCGATCAAGCAAAGCTTCTGAGAGATGGTTGGGATACATTGTTTGATGAAGAGAAGAATCTGCTTGGTGACATCAAAGGATTGGATTTACTACATCTACAGTGTAATTCAGGACAAGATTCATTGTGTTTGGCGAGACTCGGTGCAAATGTAACAGGTGTAGATATTTCCGAGGAAGCAGTTAGATTTGCAAAACAACTCTCCAAAGACAGTGGAATCGATGCTAGTTTTGAACTATCCGATATTCTAGAGTGGATGTCTGAATCGGCGAAATCCAATTCCACCAAGAAATACGATCGTATCTTTACATCGTATGGTACGATCACGTGGATTGCCGATCTCGATCTTTGGGCATCGGGTATTTCATCGCTATTGAAACCGGTCACCGGAAGGATGGTAATAGTGGATTTCCACCCGTTTGCACTCTACTTTAATGAAGAATGGAAACCTACGTTCTCCTATTTCGACAAAGGACCGATTGTCAATGACACTGGTGTAGGTGATTATGTTGCAGACTCTGGCGATGGATTGATCCCCAAACAATCTTCAGACTCTACGGCATCGCCACCCCTAGAAAAGTTTGACAATCCTCATAAATCCTATGAATTCTTCCACGGTATTGGCGATATTATTTCATCTCTCATCAAATCAGGACTTACCATTGAATCACTCCAAGAGTATCCCTATTCAAATGGTTGGAAAGGCTTTAATGAAATGAAAGATATAGGTAATAGAAGATTTACAACACCTGATCATATACCTCAGATTCCACTGATGTATTCAATATCTGTATCAAAAAAATAATGAAAATTTTAATTATTTTTAATTTTTTTGAAATTTATTTATTTTAAATTATATATATAAGTTATTACTATCTATTGTAATTGAGAAAGTAATAATAATAAAAAAATATGTAAATAAAAAAACAGTGATTATAATTAATTATTACATATATGTAAAATTTACAACAACTGCACACCTCTACACCATTTTGGTTTCTTGTTATTGTTTGTTTTTTTTTTGTTTTTTTTTTTTTTTTTGTATTGTAAGAGGTGAACTATGTTGTTTGTGTTTGGTTGAATAGCGTTTTTGTTGTTTGTTTGATTGTGTTTGTTTGTTTGTTTAATTATACTTTTTGAGTGTTCTTTCTTTTAATTTCTCTTGTTGCTTTTAATAATATCTTTTTGTTCTCCTCTAGTAGTACGGATTTAACTTCATCCCATGTAAACTTTATATCTTTTTTGTAACGTGCAGCGATGTAGTGAGTGTTTAGTGTCTTGTTGGATGGCTGCAGCTTTGCTTGAAACTGTGATTTGATAAACTCGAGAGCAACCTTTGTGTCGGGTCCACCTCTGTACTCTGGGAAGCACTTTGACAAATCGGTCTTTTGAATCATCTGCTCGAAAAGATCTTTCTTGTTCAACATCAAAAACGTTGGAGTGTCGGCAAATATCGGATTGTTACAGATCTGTCCAAATAATGTCAATGATTCTTGCATTCTATTCTGTGATGGATCTTCAAACATAACTTGATCGTAACTATAAAACATCATTATAAACATAAATACAATTGAAACTTCTAACTATATCAATAGATTAAAACATACCCTGCTAAATTAACAACGAACAACAATGCTTTTACATCGTCGAAACAATGAATCCATTTCTTTCTCTCATTTCTCTGACCACCGACATCGACCACTCTGAAATGGACCGGTCCATCATCAAACTCTGTCACCGAAATACCGGTGGTTCTAACTCTGGTCATTATACAATCTTCTTCTGTTGGTCTAAAATCTTCATCTAAAAATCTTTCAATATTTTCAAAGTAACTGTGAAGAAATATTACATATTAATATTTGGAGAATAATATTATTTTTGTTTGTTGATAATATGTTGCTGTGGTAATTACATACTATGGAGTGGCATCTAAAAACCAATACTCTGATCTTCTATCCCAAATTGTTTGAATATCTGGATCCTTCCACAATTCCTCTATATCTAAACCAATATTTGCTGGCATCTGCTTTACATCTTGTTCAAATTGAAATGATCTAATATTATTTGCTCTTCTCTATATTTTTTTTTTAAAAAAATATAAAAGTTAATTATGATTGTTGTTATTATGGATTGTTTTGTTTTGTTTTGTTTTGTTTACCTTTGTTTCAGGATTTGATAATTCAATATTTAAAGTTTCACCGGCTTCCAATAAGACTTGCATACACAACACGGTATTTTTGTGAATGTTGGCTGCATAACTCTGTAATTCGGCATCGTCTACCGGTAATTTATAAATGGATTTCAATTGCTTCACTACTGTTGACTTTCCAGATTCACCAGCACCCAACAATAGAATTCTGAAATCGAGCATCGCCTCCTTATTTGCTTGTCTCAAATATGATTCGACCTCCTCATTCTGTTTGGTTTCTGGACCTGCAATTGTTGATGTATTACAACCCATTGTTTCAAACTAACTGATTATTATTTAACGATGTTTTACTAAATCTGTCTAGCTAACGATCTAACTAACTTATTAACTATCTATCTATTACTAATACAACTAAAAAAAAATAATATTTTTAAATTTAATATTAATAAAAACTCAACTGTTATTTATTTTTTTTGGTTATTTCTATAAGTACAACAACAACAACAAATGTATCTTGATAAAATAAAATATATGGATTGATTTATTATTTGATGTTTAATTGATTAGAATTTTTATTATAAAATTGGAACAAACAATATTTATATTGTATAGGTAATTTATTTATATATAAATTGAAAATAATGAAATTAATCATTCAATTTTAAGGTGGGTAAAACTCTTTTTCTCTATGTTAATATGTGAAGGGAGCAATGTGTAGTGATTTTGATTAATGTGAAAATCCCTTATCAAATAAATATCAGAAAATATAACAAATTTAAAAGATTAATCTTTGTGAGTAATTGTCTGTCTGTTTGTGCCTGTTGTGATGGTGTGTAATGTGTGAGTGTGAGAGTGAGTGTGTGCTAGTGATGATATTTAAAAATATTGTTATTATTTCTATTTATGTCTGGCCTTTTTTTTTGATGAATAAATTATTACTGTTAAATCAAAATTAAAAAATAAAATATTATTTATTTATTTAAATTGATTTTTGTTATAGATTGATTGAGTGAGTTAAGATATATATAATTATACTTATTTATTGTTTATTTGTTGTGATTGTGATTTTAATTAATATGTATTAGTTGTGGTGAGAACAAAAAAAGAAAGAAAGAGAGAGAGATATGAATGTGGTTTGATGTTGATCAACCACTACTTGTAGTAGTACTGGTGGTGATATGTAATCAACAAAGCGATGTTAGTTTAGATGATAGAATATGAAGAAGGTATTTGGGTGATGTTTGTAAAACGATAAAGGAGATTAAAATATTGTAAAATTGTAACTGGTTTGGTTTTTTTTTGTTGACTTGATATTAAGGTTTGTTTGATTGATCTTTATTTCATTAACTCTCTTTATTTTGAAGATGAAATGAAATGGAAAATAGATAGGTACTTGAAAAACAAAAAATGTTGAACTATCTCTGCGTTCTCTTTCTTCTCTTTTCTAAACTTTTGTCGAGGTGTTCGAAGATCAATCTGTATGTTTATCTATCTATCTATTTATTCTATTACAATTAATTTAATTGAAATTGATTTGATTGTGATGTTGGCTTCTTTTGATCTTTTACTTTTACTATTCTTGTTTTGATTGTTATATGATAGTTTTTGATGATGATTGTTGTTTTTTTTTTTAAATGTGTTTGTTTTGGTTGTTTAAAATATAATTATTAAAAGAGCAAAGGAAAGAAAGAAAAGAATTAAATTAAAAAAAAAAAAAAAAAAGAGATAAAAAAAAAAACAATTTTTGGGTGTTACTAATGATTGATCGATTGTTTGTGGTGTGGGGGTAGAGTGTTTAAATTTATCTGGCTGTTATTTGTTGGGGAGCCAGAACACTTTAATTTGAATTACTTTATGTTTTGTGTTGTGTAAGTTACTATGATATGTTTGTTAATGATGGACAAAATAAGAAAGTTTGTTTAATTTCAACTATATTTGTAAAGTTGAGGTGGTAGTGAGTGGCTGATCCTGTTATTTTTTTTTTCTACAAACCTTCACACAAGTTGATGTTGTAGACAATGCAATTGTGTTGCTGCTAATTAATTTATTAAATACGAAACTAGAGCTAATTTTAGAGAAGGAACCAATCAATAACAATACATCAGTCTGTGAAAATAATAATTATTTAAACAAATTAGCATTGAAATTATTAGAATTCTATTTCCAGATCAATCACAAGTGATCATCTTAAAAAGATGTATGTATTTCATTTCTCTTTAATATATTGATTGATTGATTATGCTATGATCATCGCTTAAAGTATAGTTTAAAAAAAACAACACTAACTAACTTACTATCTATCGTTGATATTCGTTTAACTGCTATTAAAATAAATAAAAAAGCTATTATTTGTAAACAATTAATGATTTAAAGTATGTAAATAAATAAAAATAAAACTAAACTGTCCGATTAATCACCAAGTGGGTCCACACATTTTTTTTTTTTTTGATAATTTTTCATAGTATTTTTTTTTTTTTTTGATCGTAATGAAAAACAATTCAATGAAGAAAAAAGTGGTACTCAAAATGGGGGAAATTTTTCAAAAAAAAATTGGCGGGAGGCTTATAAAGGGTGGCATTTATTTTATTTTATTTTTAATTTAATTTTACAAATTTATAAAAATTTTCAAAATTTTTTTTTTTGCAAAACAAAATAAGTGCACCTTTTTTTAATCATCTAATTGTTTTTTTAAAATTTTTTTAATTTATTTTTAAATGAATAATGGATAGTTGGTCATTACATCAATTATTATTTATTCATTAATATATTAACAGAATGACAACAAATTAGGATATTATTATCATATTATGTGACAGTCATTAAAATTTGTGCCAACCAGAAAACCTGATATTTATTTAAACATTTAGATTTAAAATCTATATTTAATACCCTCTTGATATAATTTATTTCCTTTGGAGGTCTAAAATACATAATATTGTGAGAGGCGTGTCCTATAAATATGTATTATACTGATTTTTTTTTTGATATTCAACGATTATGTAATCTGCAACAACAACCAATTTTAATGCTTTTTTAACAATACACTTTTTTTTAAAAATTATTATAAATTTTTAGCTATTAATAAGCATAGCCCAATTCCTATGAGACCTCCCAGTTTAAGATTTTACTTTTTTTTGAATATATTTAGGCTAATAAATATCTTTGTATATAAATTTAGACATCTTTGGCTTGAAAATTTCACGCAATATGGTTTTCTTTAACCAATATATATCTAATGGTTAAAAAAAAAAGATTTCGACAATTGTAAGTGTTTTGTGGTTTTATGAAGATAATTTTTGATCGATTTAAAAACAACTTACCGTTTTGATTAAATGATTGGTCAAAAAAAGAAAAAAAAAAAAGTAAAAAAAAAACACAAAATCTGGATTGGGATGATTCTTTTGAGATTGGATGATAAGCCAAAAACCTGCTTAAACCACTCCATTAATCAGCTATCTTTGTGTTGTCTTTCAACAACAACATTCATTCTTTTTATTTATTATTTTTTTTATTAATAAAAAATATATTATATATTTAGTTGAAGGAGGCAAATCTTTGCCAATAAAAAAGAGCAAACAACATTCTCACAAGCAGTAGCACTAATAGTTATTGATGATTCAAACACAACCTTAATACTTACCACCCCATAAATCACCATCAACACTCTGAGTTGTATCCAATAATAAAATATTTAGATTTCGATAGTATACATAAAACAAAATAATAACAACAAACCGATTACAAAGCACCGATTTATAATATATATTACATAATAATCTAATTTTATAATAAAAAAAAGACAAACAAAAATAAAAAGAGGGTTAGTCTTTAACTGTTATTTTATTTTTTTGTTTGTTTGTTTCTTCATTGTTGTTTAGCAGAGAGTGCAGTACATATAAATCGTTAGTTATAGTATAAATAGTATAATAGTCGTAATAGTGATTGTCAAAGTCATTTCACACAATCACACACTTTTTGATCAATCAAAACACACCACTCTTCTGAACAAGCATCTTACTTTAACTTTTTGATCATAAAAATAAAACTCACCACTACACATTACACAGTAACATTACAGCAGTAACAAAATTCTATAACTTATAATTACTCATTTTTTTAAAATCAACTTTGGAATATCCATCATCAATAATCATTATTATTAGAAAAAAACGCTAAATATATCTACATATTAAGATTCAATATTTATATATATTACTTTATTTATTTTATGTATATTAAAAATTAATAAGTTTAATTTCAAAACTTGGTAATTATCGTCAATTCATTAAAATAATATTGTTAAATAATAAAATTACTAATGTTTCTTGAAATAGTAAAGGAAGAAAAGATGAAATTAGCAAATAAATTAAAGTTTAGTGGTGGCAGTATCAAAAGAGTTTCAGATTTCGATGGTGTCTTTGATTATTTACAGCTACTGTTGAAACATCATCCAGTTACACTGAAAAAGCGATGCTTTGTTTCGATCATTAGCAATACTGCACAGTCCGAGGAAACCAGACGTCAGTTGGCATATTTACCGTTGGAATTGAAGGAGGAGTTGATTCATTTCATGTTGGAATACAGACTTTTCAATGTTAAGATCGCAGCAATGACAGAGCTAATAGAGGTGCTTCTCGATCCACGTATCAAATCTTTAGATTTCAGTGTGGTTCCAAGCAAGATATCGCAGTTGGACTCCACCAAAGAACTGCTTCGCGCGGCACACCGAATTCAAAAGCTAGATTTTTCATATTGCTACGAAATCAACGATCAAATTTTAAAGTTAATTTTACAGAATTGCTATCATGGCGCACCCAATGGCATAGCTTCACGAAGCTCAACCATTAGTGGACCAGACTCTGGCAGTCTCAATGGCAGTGGAAATAGTTTGCCAACAACGTCGTCGCCAATTGGATCGCCAATGATAACACCCACATCAACACCACCCTCCACACCAACCAAAAACAAATTACACCGTCTACAACGACTCAAAGAGAAAATACTCAAGAAGCGTAAGAATACAATGGATCCTTTCAAACTGTCGTTGAGTGATTCTTCAGAGGCGGACAATCTTCCACCGCATGCCGTTGTGATACCATTTGACCAAGAGTCGACTTCCAGCGGTGGAAACGGCACCTCCAGTAATGGACATTCCCGAGTAACAGGTGACTACGAAGAGTCAGGAATCGAGTCACTCTCCATTCGCCATTGTACATTGTTTAGCGATACCATTCTACGTCGACTTTTGCGGGCGTCTTCATCTCTCACCTACCTCGACGCTACCGGAACCAAACTCAGTGGAAAATCACTCCAGACTATTACCAACCATTGTTTCAAACTCCGAACACTCTCGATCGGTTCACTTTCAGAATCCATTGTTATGCCAGCCATTACAACATCGTTTTGTAATCTTGTAAATCTCACTAGTCTCGATTTAAGCTACAACAGTAAAATCGATCACTCCGTATTAGTATCGATTTTAACGAATCACCATCAACAACAACAACAACACCACAACCAATCGAATCACCTATCAATTTCAACATCGTCATCGTCTTTGCCATCACCTATGCACTCACCAACATTGACACCAGGCACACAACCACCCAACTTACTATTCAACTCGGCAGTATCATCGTCATCCGCATCGATTTCATCGATCTCCTCGTTTGGTATCGATCATTCAATGTCACATCAATCACTTTCATCGATGATATCGAATGGATCGACACTTTCAATTAACACCAACCGGCTAGACGAGGCAAACAACATCATTGTTGCTTATCCTTCGATGTTGCAATGTCTGAACTTGGCACAGTTGGAGATCGAGGATGAATCACTAGCGATGCTACCAAAGAAATGTCCACTACTTCATACACTGGACATCTCTTATTGCACTAGGATTTGCGATGATTCACTCATCGACATGACAGCCAACGGACTGATAACACTCCAATCACTCACCGCCAAAGTAGTAAAAGTTTCACATGGATTGGTCAATATATTCAAAACCAATCCACTACTCACCAAACTAGACATTAGATTCACACAAGTCAAAGAAGAACACTTAAATCAAATCCCAATCTGTTTGAATAATCTAAGAGTAATACGTTTAGATGGTACACCAATAACAGACAATACATTTAGAGTAAATATTTACATTGACAAGCTATATAATTTTTTTGAACAAATGTTAACCAATAATTATATTTTTTCATCACATTTTAACAGTTAATATCATCAAGTAATAGATGTTTAGAAGAAGTAGGATTGTCACAATGTAAGAATATTACATTCGAGATGTTCAATGTTTTGGCAGAGAATTGTAAACTACTGAGGAAGCTCTATCTTTCACATTGTCGCATGGGACCGGTGAACCTCGATTCAGCTACCAACTTTTTCAATCAATCCGATCAACTTTCGACGCTGGACGTCAGTTTCTCTCCGATGGCATCGGACGACTTCTTGATGGTAATGGCCAACTCTAATTGTGCAGCGAATCTCGAGTCGTTGTTTGTCGGTGGTGGATTCCAGCATCTTGAAGGTGTCACTGTGACGCGCCTAGTTGATCGCTGTCCGATGATAAGAATATTCTCTTGTCTCTCTTGCTACAAGCTCAAAGACAGTGTTATTATCGATGCCATGAAACGTTGGTTGATGTTGGAGGCAATCGAACTCACCGACTGTACAGCATTGACACCGAACACCATCAACTTCCTCACGCTCGACACACACCTACACTATCACCTTCGTTTCATATTCTTTGGTAGCGCAATCTCTGAGGAAGTCGACGAGCAAACTATACTCAACAAAATCGATGGTAGAACGACAGTCGAGGTATTGGAGACACAACAGCAGGTGACACTCGAAGATATCATAGAGCAGTGTTGGATAACTGTTTAAATATGGTATTCACTTATTATGTTTTATTATCTATTTTTATATATAGCTATTGGAGAATAATAATTAAAATAATAAAATTTTAATGATGTCATCATAATTTTGCTGAAATGAAGCTTCTCTAATGTCAATTGATCTTGAAAACAGTATAAATAGTGATATCGTTCTGACTAATAGATTTATTGAAATGTTTCAATGAATGTAATAGGAATAGTTATATATAGAAAATACAACATGATAAATAACTGACTATTTGATTACGCAAAAATTAAAACAATATCAAATTAAAATAATACAGGTGTTTGTGTAATAGTGAATACAGACGATATAATTTTTAAAAAAAAGAAAAAAAAAAAGCAAATGTATTATTTTTTCTTTACTCTTCTTCACCTTTATCTTTGTTATCTTCATTATTATTGTTGTTGTTTTCTTGTTTGTTTGATTCTTGTTCGTTGTTATCTTCTTCCTCATCATCATCATCATCTTCTTCTTCTTCTTCTTTATCTTCTTTCTCTTGATTATTATTATTATTATTAGTATTGTTGTCGGTTGTTGTTGTTTTTGTTGAAGATACACCATAATAAGCCTGTGAATATTGTTGTATCTGTTGTTTTTGTTCATCTGTCAATTGAGTATAGTCAAAGCCATAATATTGATAATAATTCTTAAGATATTCATCGTACTGTTTCTTTTGATCGTTGCTCATATTCATTTCATTAGGTGTATGACCATAATAGTTTCCTACTTGATTACTCAGTGGTTGGACATCGGCAGCATCACCTTGTTTCTGTCTCTCTTGAAGTTGTTGATTATATCTCCTAGCATAAGGATGCATTTCATATCGTTGACTAGTTGCATATTGATACTGATACATTTGTTGTTGTTGTTGTTGTTGTTCTATTAATTCAATAAAAGAAAAAATAATATGGTTATTATGATATGTTTTGTTTGTTAACATTTTTTCATATAATAGTATATAATAAACACAAACAACATACGTAATAAATTTGGATCATATTGACCATCGGTGTTAGGATATACACCAGACATTTGGAATTGAAGAGCAGCTTGATCGTCGTTGGCCATCTCTCTTAGTCTTTTATTGACAACCTCTGTTGCTACACGATGTAAGTTTCTCTCGTCGGCTTGCTTTGCCAATGGATTGCTATCTTCGGTTGCCCATCTAACATTCAGCAGTTCACCATTGTCGAGTGTCTGATCGGCCATTGCCTCCTTTGCAAACTCAGCGGTGGATCTATACATATATCGAACAAAAGCAATCGATTTATTAAGAATAACTCTTACGTACTCGATGGAACCCCACTCTTCGAAACCACGTCTAATCATATCCTCCAATTGATTAAGATTTTGATTCGATTTCAATCCACCAATATATAATGCTAAATAGTAATAAAAATAATGGTTAAGTTAGAATATTGAATCAATACTTATGATTATATTGTAGCTTTTTACATACTTCTATTATCTCTACTGAAACTACCGACACCACCCATATCTTCACGATCATCTCTGAATCTTTCACGGCCAAAGATGTCGTGTGTCAGTACTAGACGTTTGTCGTCGTTCGGTGTTGGTACACGGTGTAGGTAGGTACATTCGACACCGTTGACACATCGACCACGTGCAAAATGCAGACAGAAATAAGAGTCTTTCGAGGCACGAGTTTTTCCACAGTCTTTGAGTACGTTGCATCTCGCATCACTAACGTCTCTGTCTCGCCAGTTTCTCTTTCCAAGCTTCTTGTGATACCATATATTATATTCCTGTGTATCTGTATCGTGATCTTCATAACGTGAGTTCAAATTACTAGACTGCTTTCGAGCGGGTCTACTCAACAACGATGCTTGTAACGCAACTATATCATTACCAATAGAAACGACACCACCGCCACCGCCGCCACCACCACCATTTCCATCATTGGTATTATTGTTATTACCACCACTCTTCTGTTGACTATCTGATTTTCTTTTTAAAGACATCTATAAATATATATATATTTGCAAGATATATAAAAATAATGTTCAACAAAACTACTACTAATAAATAAAAATAAAAATAAAATTCAAAAAAAATAAAATAAAAAATAAAAAAAACAAAAAGAAGGGTATTTATAAAAAGTTCAATAATCAATCAATTAATATATGAAGGTTGGTTGATTGATTTATAATCGTGTTGATTCAAATCTGTTTTTCATTTCAATGAATTCATCATATTTAATGTTCAAATGTAATGCTTGTTGTTTTTTGTTTCGTATTCTATAATTATCATATATATAAGGTTGTTTTTGTTTGTATTGTTTATTGTTTTGGTGTATTTTCATTCTTTTCTTTAAATAATTTCTCCATTTGAACCTTCTTTTGTTTCTTCTCGGCAATCTTTTGATCAATCTTTTCTTTGAATGCATCGATTTGCATTGTTACCATACTTTGTTCTGCGATGACTTCTTTCTTCAATTCGTTGATAATATTCTCTCTGTTTGCTCTAACTGTTTGCCATTTCATTTGTTTTGGTGTTACTGGTGCTGGTCTACCATCTAATGATTGATTATATATTATATTATATTAGTTAATTCATTCTAACCTAAATATTCAACAATAACGACTGATTGATGTTCTTTGTTGTTTATTCTTATATATAAGAATCATTCATACCTGCATAATGAAAATCTGGTAAATCATGTAATGGACCATCTGTAATATAGATTAATGTCAAAAATGATAAGTAAACTGTTTGTCGATCTGTCAAGTAAAAATGACTGAAGTCATAATCATACCTTCATTTCCACTTCTCATTCTATTATTATCGATTCTAAACTTTTCACCGGCTCTGGTGATACATGAACTTCTCAAAAGAAGTGATCTTCTGATCATCAAACTATTCATTCTATAGCGATAGTGTTTATATATATATTTGTTACAATTAATGAAATTAAAATAATCTGATTAGATTTCGTTTTTTCATTTTAATTTTTTAAAAAGTTTTTTATGTTTTTTTTTTTTTGAACAAAATTAAATATTTTCTTTTCTGATTAACAATAAAAACGTTCCTATATATATATAATAACTAAAGAATAACTAATTTAATACTATAAGTAATGCTAATGATGATAAAATATAACAATGTTCTTTATTTTGTTTGTTTAGTTGATAAATACATATTTTAATTGATTTAAATTGATTATTTTATATATATTAAAGTGTTACTATTTAACACTCTGCTCTACTTAAAGATTTACTTCTTCTTCTTTGATTGGATTTGTTGTTTCTTGTTGTTTTCATATTCTTTAATAAGATCTTTAGCATGATCCATGTTCTTTGAGTATTGCCATGTAGCTTTGTCTAAAGGATAGCCAAGCCATTTGATTTGATACTGCTTCTTCTTTCTGTACATTCGATCTCCAATGATTTGTTCTATTTCAAACTCTTCTTCATTGTCAATGATATCTGGTTCAATACCTTTAACTAATGATTCATTGTCTTTGTTTAACTTGAACTGTACTAATTGATTAATATTGAAAACTTTGTGTCGCTTTGTTGTGTAATCCAATTCTAGTTCTACGTTGATACCATTATTGAATATCTTGGTGATCTTGAACGGTCCACGATTCTTATTATTAATTGATCCTGTGTTTGTGTTCCAATCAACTTCTAAATTGATAAATTCATCTTTGACAAACATCCAATCTCCAATCTGATAAGTCGGTTTGTTCTTGATGGTTCCATCTGCTTCCAACATATCTAATTGTTTATCCAACAAACTGTCTTTGACCATCTCTCTGATCCATTCTCTATTCGATGTATTATTGTTTCTAAACATGTTAATTGGCGATACAGGAATGTATCCCAGCACTACTTCGAAAGGTGATAGTTTGATTGTTGAATTATAGGTTGAATTGATCGCGAATTGAATATTCTTAATTTCTTCATCCCACTTGTCTTTGAACTCCAACGATAGCTTCCTGAGCATAGATCTGATTCTCCTATTAGTGCGCTCGCTCTGGCCATCTGATTGCGGATGTCTAGGTACGGACATTCTTAGTTTTGATCCTACTTTCTTAAAGAGTTCTAACCACAGTTCACTTGTAAAGCGAGTATCACGATCGCTTACAATTGATAACGGCAATCCAAACAATGAGAACACATGTTGATGAATTAACTTTGCTGTACCCAATGCTGTGATTTCCTTCGTAGTTGGAATGATAGTTGTATATTTCGAAAATCGATCCACCACTACCAAAACATAATCATAACCATTAACGCTCTTTGGTAATTCCATGAAATCCATCGAAATATCCACACCAACTCCTTCTGCTATCTCCAAAGGTTGTATGTTAACCTTCCTTTTCAATTCCACTCGATTCTGTTGACATTCCACGCAATGTTCACAGTAATCCTTCACCTTGTCATATAGATTGCGAGCATAGTAATTCGACTTCAACCTAACCCACGTTCTTAAAGTATCTCCATGACCACAGTAAGTACTTCCATGAGCTTCCGTTATTACTTCTTTAATATGCTTTTCATCTACCAAAAGTAATCTTTCATTGAAATTCTTATCCAAGATAAAAATTAATCCATTACTTTCTCTCCATGATTCCTTGTGACGTAACTTTACCAATTCGACATCCTTACTTGACTTATAACTGTTCTTAATCTCGTCCAAGTAACTGAAATCCAATGGTATCTGGTAACACTGAAGTCTAGACAGCACATCTGCTCCCACGTTGTTCTTTCCTTCAATGTGATTGATTTCATAGTTGAATTGCGACAACACTTCCAATGCCTTGAGCTGATCCTTCGTCAAGATTGCTTGATCTTTCAAATACAAGAGATTGAAATGATCTGTGTATATATTTAACTTTGGTCCTAACAAAATATCTGAATGTTTCTTCAAAAAGTATTTGATTGCCAACAGTTCACGTGCGCCAATCGACTTGATCTGCTCTCCTGGTTTCAGCCTTCTTCCACTGAACAACACTGGTTTCAACACTCCTTTCTCATCTTTCTGACAGATCACCACGCTTATACCGATATCGCTTGCATCTGTATAAACAAAGTACTCCTTTGTTGGATCCGGCAACATTAGATCTACTGTATTTTTCAACTCTTTTCGCAATAAATCGAATTCTCTCTTTGCTTCGTCATTTATTTCGAAATCTGTCTTGAAAACTCTAAGTTCTTCTAAGTGTTTGGTCTTTTCAACAAACTTGTCAACAAACTTTCGATAATAATTAAAAAATCCCAAAGTTCGCTGTACTTGTTTTGGTGTTGTTGGATACTCCATTCTATCCAGTATCTCTGTCTTCTTACTACTACTATTAATGATATTCTCTCTTATTGTTCTACCTAATATTTCTATCTCTAATCTAAATAACTTTAACTTCTTTCTACTTAAATATATTTGTCTCTCTACATCTAATCAACATTCTGATTACTCTAACTACATTCTCTTCTAACGTCACATCGCCACTAATGAGATCATCGAAATAATTTTTTACTATGTCACTAAAATTCTCTTCGATAAACTCTGCGAATCTTGCTGGTGCTCCATTCAAACCCATAGCCATACGTAAATACCAGTAAATGCCTTTACGGGTCCTGAATGCTGTATATTTCCTTGACTCCAAATCCATCTTAACATGAAAGTAACCTTTTACGACGTCTCCGATGCTAAAATATTTACATCCTCTCAAACTATTGATTACTTCATCCACAACTGGAATCTTGTACTCTAATTCTACTGTCGCATCATTTAACTTCTTAAAATGATTTACTAATCTATCAAACACATTATTCTTATAAACTGCAAATATTGGTGATTCTACTACTTGATCTAAAAACTCTTCTGGTACTTTCTCTACTATTCCTAACTCTTCTAACTCGTCTACTTTCATCTGTATATCCATCTCTTCCTTGTAAGATCGTCTGAACTGATGTTGTTTCTTCACCACAGCATCTTTCTTCAACACAATCTTATGAATGATATCATTATCTCTTTCCATGATTTTGAAGTTTGGCGGTTTCTCTACTATAACATCACTAAAGATTTCCACCATCCTCTTCTCCAATCCCTCTAAATCTTCTTTAACTATTAACTCTCTTACTTCCTCTAATATCTCTTTCTCATTATTATTATTTACTTTACTATCTACTACTATTTCTTTATCTACTTTCTGATTTACTACTACTATCTCTACTCCATTGAACTCTAAATACCACTTCTTATTTCTTATTTCTATCTTCATCTCTAACTCTTGAAGTATATCTGATCCGAAAATGATCTCGATATCTTCTTCTATATCTATTATGTTTAATTCTACATTATATGTTTTTTTATTTATTATTTCTGCTGATACGGCTTTATTTATTATTTTATTTTTATCTTCTAATGGAATTTTTATTATTTTATTTTTTATATTTTTTATTTTATCTATTTTATTTATATATTTATTATTTAAGAGTGATTTTGTTGCGCCTGTATCAATTATTATTTTTCTTTTTATTTTATTTATTTCTAATTCTATTATTAAATGATTATTATTTATTTCTAACATTAAAATTTCTTCTTCTATCTTTTCTTTTTCTTTTTCACCTTCCACCACTTCCTTCACCTCCGACAACCCCACGCAACTCTCCTTATTCTCGATTCATTTCGAACTTTTCACCGTCTCCCCCGCTGATGTACAGTTCTTACTGATATGCGATAGATGGTTGATGAAAAGACAAAATCTCTTCATCACCAAATTAATCAAAAGAGCTGTATTTAAATAGATATAAAACAACTAAATTTGTACAAATATTTTTAAAAAAAATGTATAATACTAAATTAATTTTATCATTATTGGTCACTTTATATGCTGTGATCCAAGTCACTATTGCTGACGATAATTGTTTTTTGACAACTAGCACTCAAATCTATAATTTCAATGTATTGTATGTTATCTATCTATTTAATTACTCAAATACAATAATATTCATATTTCACTTTTTTTATTCTCAAGAAAAAATCAAACATTCACCTTCACAGATTCAGGTAAGAACATCTACTATTTCAACATTTGTGGAATCAATCAAAGATGTACTGCGGTCAATCCTAACAGTGGTGCCTGTCAAACTGGATATGAAAGCCAAATGCTTTCCAACTGTGGTATAGCAAACCAATATGTTCGTCCATTGGGTAAGTTTAGTTTAGATTATTCTTATCTCGTCAAATTAATTATTAACTCTTTTTAAATGTTTTATAAAATATTAGCAAATGGAGCCGCTGGTGGTTCTCTTCTATACACTGGTGGAACTTCCTGTAAGTCAGGTACCATTTCCAGATCGACAACCATCGAAATGGTATGTTCTACTGGATCGACCAGAGTTGTTTCTGCTGTTGAAACTTCTACCTGTAAATATGTCATCACACTTGACAGTCCATTGGCATGTGGAACACCAGTTCCAATTACCACCACTACCACCACCACCACATCGACCACCGGTTCACAAACCACTGGATCTCAAGTCACTACCACTGGAGGAAGTACCACCGATAAGAACATCATCACCACCACCGGTAGTATCACCAATCAAGCGGTCTCAACTACCGGTAGCATTGGTACCAGCACCGGTCGTATCTCAACCTCTGGAAGTCTTTCTTCGGCCACCGCTCAACCTCCACAACAACAAGAATAAATAACATTAAATAATTATCACTTTATTAATTTATTTATTAATATTCATTTATATTATTATTTAACTAATTAAAGTTAAATAAAAATATCATTTTACAAAATTTTTATTATCGGTATCTTTACTACCTGGAGGTTCAAGTTTGAACTTGACATCGCCAACCTCTACATTTGAACTGTAGTCTCTTAAGAGACTCCAAATGTCGATTGCACCTTGTTCATTTGTCACAAACAAATCATAGCTTTCCTTGCCACGGTATAGAAGAAAAGGTTGTTGGCTTGCTCATATTAGAGTTGGCCTCGATTGCCTCTCGAAGTTTCTCAAACATAGTTTCCTGCTTTTACTGTGTAATGTTGGAGTTGCAAAGCGTCATTTTAATAAAGAATAGTTATTGTGGAAGAAAAAAGGGGTTTCTGCAGAGAAATTATGAAAAATACACAGCTGGTATGTCTAGACCAAAATCAAAAATCAAAAAAATTTGGAATCTAAAATAAAACGTTACATACATTTAATAAAAAATGTTCCTTATCAAAGTAAAAAAAAATAATAAAAAAAATACAATATGGATCACACACATTTTGACTGTTTTGATAAAAATAAAAATCTAATATAGAAAATAAAAAAAAAACTAAGTTATTAACAAACTTGCTCCAATAAGATATTGTATTTTATTATTTTAAAAAAATGATAAAAGTTAAACAATCATTTATTTAGATATAAAAAAGTGTGATGTTATCATACTGATAGAGCGATGTGGTGCTCGATAGATTTGGTATGAGCTGATCAATTGTAAAAAGTACATCTTCTCGCTTTGAGGATTTAGTTTTCTCTATATCTACTAGATATGATCTACATAGTGTTCTACTGATATACTTGAACCACTCTCTACACACCAACGAATAATCTACAATACCGATCTTTTCTGAATACAACTTTTTAAATCTATCATTTACAACAGTTATTCTAAACTGTTTTTCTGCCCAATTCAATCGTTTACCTATTAGGTGATCAATTATTTGGTAATGAATAGCATGTATTTGTATTGTCATTTTCAATAAAAGAATATGAATAACTAAAAAAATAAAAATGTATATCTTTTACAAAAAATCAAATTTCATTGCTCACAACTAGTTTTTATAATCACTAACTCATCTCTAAATTATCAAAAAACAATCATCTTTTCTAATTTAGTGGTATTGAAAAAAATAACATTAGAAAGTTTCTTGTCAATCAAAAATAGAAAAACTATTTATTAATTATTATTATTTTTTGTTTTTAATATTAAAAAATCTTATACAACCATCACAAATTCACTATCTTTTATTTATTCATTCTTTATCAAACATAATTCTCTCAACTTATTATTATAAACTTTTTATTCAAATATTTTTTTTTTTTAGAACTATTGTTTTTTTAAATTTATATTTATAGTTCATAGTCACTCTTTTCTATAGATTTAATTTTGTTTTATTATAAAATCTTTATATTACTTTCTAGATTTTTTTATATTTTTCATTAAATACTACTTTTTATTTTTATTATTTATATAATTTATAAAATGTCATTCACAACAGAATTTATAAATAAAAATAAAGTCATATCAAATCAAGAGCTGATTAAGACTTTACAATCAAACAGTATAATAGCTCGTGATTTACAATCACTTTTTATGTTATTTCTATCTCGTTTTTTAATTATGTTTAATCATCTCATTGGCAGAGATTCAATAGATGATTTTAAGTTTTATATTGATAGTAGTCCTAAAGATTCTATATATTTAAAAGATAATTATTCTCCTAAAAAATATTTAATATTAGATTATTCTACTATATTTTATTGTTTAAATCGTTTTTTAAGAAAAAAAGAAAAACCAATAGATAAATTAAAATTCACATTAGATAATAGTAGCAAATATGAGAAATCCTATTATTTTGTACTTCAACATGAATTGAATAGGAAAAAATCACAGTAAGTAGACTTTAATTTATAAATCGTTTTTTTTATACCTTTAAAATAAATAAATAAATTACAATGATATTTTAAATATAATTTTATTTTAAAGTTTATAGTTGTTTTTTGTTGTTAATCATATTTAGATATATTCTATATATACTATAATTGAATATGCTATTATATATTTTTATAATAAACTTAAAAACAAATCATATTTACTTTTATTTTTGTAAAACAAACTAGGAAATTATTTAAAGAAGAAATTGAAAAGTTTATTAATTCAAATGATAATATAAAAAATGAATTACAAAGACAACCCAACTTCTTTACATCAACACTCAACCAAATAGTGAGCGAGATAGCAACTTCAACAATGAACCATTTTAATACTCACATTCAACTACTTTTAAAAAATATCATGAAAGCTCTTAATATTATATTCAAACAAATATTAATAAATAATAATATTAATAATATTAGCAACTATGAAATTTTCTCATTTCTTATCGAAAAGCGCTTAGTAAGATTTCATTATTTTCTAAATAGTTTGTTTGATCTATAGTTAACATTTTAAAAATTTTGTAGATTGGTTTTTTTAGTGTTAAACAATATCGTCAAATTGTAAAGTTGTACAACAAGCATCGAAAACTTTCAATTTCAATCCAACTAGGTATAGACCACGATATTTTAAAACGTATTTGTTTAGACATTGATTCAGAATTAGTGGTTGCATTAAATGATCTTGATTGGGATTTTAGTAAGTAAATCAAATATTCTTTATTTCATTTTTTAATAAAAATGTTTATATTAATTTTTAAATATATAAATATTAGCTTCGATTCAATACTTTCGTGAATACGATTTTGGACAACTATCAGATTTGAAAATAACATCGAAACATTATGAGTGCAGAATCGATTTCCTATATAGATGTTGTTTGGACATAGTAAAAAGGACCACCAATAGCAAAATGAATGATTTAACTGAACCATATTTTATGTATAGATTTTTGTTGGAGATTGATTCTGGTATTTATTTATTTTTTAATTAATTTCTATATATATATTCCAAGTTATTAACAAATTTTTTTTTTAGAATTAAAAAACTTGCATCGACTTGAAGGTCAAATAGATCATATAGGAATTTTACAGAGACTAGTTGATTTTAATATCTATCAGACATTTCCTAAAATGTATAATAATGGGTTTTATGGCGTGGATTCATTTTTCAAGATTAGTCAAATGTTGGAATCAAACCAAACACCACTCGAATACTTTCTATTAAAGGATCCAACTCTCATGAATTCTAATTTTTTATCAGGTTGGGCAGGGGTCAACAAAGATCATTCTGATGGTAGTGTTTCGGATGGCACTGATTCTGAAATGGGTACTCTGCCCATTTCCCAAGATACCGATGCTGGTGGTACTGTGTCTGTAGCTGATGATTCTGTAATGGATACTCTGCCCATTTCCCAAGATACCGATACTGGTGGTACTGAGTTTGTAGCTGATGATTCTGTAATGGATACTCTACCCATTCCTCAAGATACCGATGCTGGTAGTACAATTCCCCTTCCTATAGATAATGAATGTAAATATTTACTAATATTTTTTTTAACCAAATTTTTTTTTTAAATTTAAAACTAATATTTTTTTTTAATAAAACAAAACAAAAGTTGTACCATCACTTCTATCTAGATTAAATAATGCAATAAAGAATATAATTAAAAAGTCATCTATATATAAAGATCTAACCAATGATTTATTGTTTCTTTTCAAACAACTTGTGGAGTTCAAATGCGATGCAATACAGTTTATAATATTAGCAGTTCAAGAGCTAATAAAGCATTTGGAATCCTTCACCACAGCATATATACCATTGTTTTATGATCATTTTACCAACATCACCAATCTATTTATTCATCAAATCATTCAATTAATAACTAGCAAATTCATCGATAATCACTATTGGTTTATAGATCCAACGAATGGTAATCCCGTGAACCCAACTGGAAACGATGTATTGATCGTCACACATAATCCTTTGTCATCGGTCGACCGTCAATGGAAACCTACTCAAGAGTCATCAAGTTCTACTATTCCACCCAAGGTTGTTCCACCAAGGTTGTTCATCAGCTTAAACCACCAACAACCGTTAAGGAAACACTCCTTTTAAATGTGAGACAAAGAGAGCTGGTTGCACAGATGAAATCAAGGCGCGAGGTTAGAAATCAAGATGGAGTCGTATATACTAGCTACCTCGAATCACCGATGGATCAATACAAGCAAGAGTATGACTTTGGTAATGCAGAAACATCCATATTGACTGGCGATTATTCGTACGATTGGCGAGAATGTTGGGAGAGAATGGAGGAAGAATGTTTCAATCAAAATTTCATTAATGACCGGATCGAGAAAGAAGATGACGATGAGGAGGAAGATTCAATGAATGATGATCAAGTATTGACTGGCGATTATTCGTACGATTGGCGAGAATGTTGGGAGAGAATGGAGGAAGAAAGTTTCAATCAAAATTTCATTAATGAACTGATCAAGCAAGACAAAGATAATGTAGAGTATACAATGGTTGGTAATCATTTAGATTCAATGCAATTTAATCCACCGTCAATCAAAATCAATCATCAATTGTATCCCACACCTCGTTCAACTTTACCAACTGTTGATTCCGAAATCTTCTCTACGGATGATTCCGATCTCTCCTCTTTGAATGATTCCGATCTCTCTTCTGTAGATGACATGGATCTTGAACCGATAGATAACACAGATAGCTCCGCAACTCTATATCCGTCATGGTATATTCTAAAGAACTACAGCAACGCTGCTTTGAATCTATCGGCACTGGCATGGCGGACTAAAACTCGATTCACATTAGTTTGGACAGAGTTGTGTCCAATCGTATTAAGTTCAATCAATTGTATTTCTTTTGTTTTGGATCCTATTCTAGAGAATCACTTGATCTGGCTCTTGGAGACTGGACCAAGCAAAATAATTTTGACTGGAAAGAGAGACCAAATAATCTTTGGTAACATAGTTAAGAAATTTAACATTCCAGTGCATCTCGTATTTCAAACACTCGGGTTCTTCAAAGTGCTCATCTTTATTGGTGGAAAGGTAAAGAAAGTTTACTTTATCGAACATCCTTATAGAATGAGTCAGTTTTTAGTTCATACATTTGTTGAATTAGGAATTCAAGAACCATTGGAATATCCATCACCAATTGTAGAAACAACAACAACAACAACAAGAACTGCAGAGGTATCATCAGCATCAGCAGCATCAGCAACAACAACAACAACAACAACAACAACAACAACAACAACACCAGCATCGACCAACAAAAGAATGAGAAATCTATTTCTCCAAAGAGACAAACAGTGGATGGAAAAGGAACCACCGACCAACTCTGAACAAGAATGCAAGAGGAGTTACATTGAGAAACCATTTCGAAAGAAATTGGAAGATCAATGTAATTCTTACAACTATTCCTTGTTACCAATTTTTAAAGGGTAAGAATAATTATTTATTTATTCATTATTTAAATATTAATTTCTAATTTATTTTTTTTTTTTTCAATAGTTTGGAACCAGCTAATTTACTTTACAAGCCAGATGAGATCCATCAATATGAACCCGATATAGAGAAAAAGATAAAAAAGATTTTTGGTAAGAAATCTATTTATCTGAACCATTATATGACGGATAGTCTTACACTTTATGTTTCTTTTAAAGGTAATATATAATTTAAATATATATAAACAATTGAATCAATAGTTTACTAATTGAAATTATTTATTTTTTCATACATAAACAGTTCCAACGGAATCTGCTGCTAAAGGTAAAAAGAACAAATTAAACTGCGACATATCATTGAAATGTCCAATGGGTATCGATCCATCACCATTCAAGAATCTGTACCTCAATCGCCCTTTGGATTTTGAGTTTAACGATAAAGATGAAAACGATGAGCCTGTCAAACACTGTAAAGACCTACTGGATTCTGTCATGGTTCTAAATAGTGGTAGTCACAAGTACCAGATTCGTTCTTCTTTTTATGAGTATAAAAGAAAGCAAGTTTTGGGTAAAGATTTTATAGAGTATGAAACGAAATCTCCATCTTTAAAGTGTAAAGTATTCAATAGTTTAGGATTATAATTATTAAAAAAAAAAAAAAAAACAAAAACTAATATTTTTTTTTAAAAAAAAAATAATAATTATAGCTATAATTCCCAAACCAATCATATTCTAACACTAGCTCCATATGATAATCTTATCGCTTTCAGATACACAGATCAATATGAAACGTTTTTAGAGTACAGAAACCAAAAGAGGTGTTCAAGAATTGCAAATATTGAATCTTCGCTCTTTGCAAGGCAAGAAGAGATCGAAAAATTGGAGAGCTGCCAAAATCTTTACCCATGCCATTAGAGAAGTTGATAGAAGAATTGGTGAAGAGACGTCAACACCAAATAATAATAGTAGTAGTAATAGATTTAGTATTCTCAGTATTGATGACGATGATGATGACATTGATGACGACGACGACGACGATGATAACGATGATAATGATAATAACAACAATAACAATAACAATAATAATAATATACAAACAACTAAATTAAGAGGAAAATCAAATAATATTTATAAACAACATGACATTAATTATCACAACTATCAACATGCATTGTCAATCATAATAAAAGAAATAGGTTTAAATCTAGCTAGTACACCAAATCAGCTGCCACATAGACATAGAAATAATAGTAAAATCAATATAGACCAATCAGAATTAATTATAATAGAACAGTATATTAAAGAACTAGAGGCTATTGGTACAGACAATTGGAAAAAGAGATATAGCAAATTAGTTAAACAACTTTTTCCAATAATTGAATACAGAAGCAACAGTGGTAATACAGTGATGGAATCACTATTGAAGGATCTAATCAAATGGTTTCATACTTTTAAGAATCGTAAAGGATGGGAGAAGATTATCGGAACCATCTTGGCACGGAAATCAATCAAATTATTTCCATCACCACCAACTACAACAGCAACAGCAACAGACAATACAACGACAGACAATACAACAACAGACAGTACAACAACAGACAATACAACAACAACAACAACAACAACAACAACAACAACAACAACAACAACAACAACAACAACAACAACAACAACAACAACAACAACAGCTACTACAACTCCAACTAAGATATGTATTGATAAAGATCACCATAAGTGCAAAGCAAAGGTACCCAACTTTTCTAATGGACGAGGAAAAGAAACTTTAAGATGTAGAGAATGCCTAGATCGAAAAAAGGCAGAGAGAGACGATAAGAAAAAGAAGGAATTGGAAGAGAGGATCAAGAAGAGAAGGAAAGAGAAGAGAAAGAGAAAGAAAGAAAGAAAGAGAAAGAGAAGAGAAGAGGAAGACGACGATGACGATGACGATAACAATGACGATGACGACAACGATGACGACAACGACAGTGACGATGACGACAATGACGACAATGACGAAGACGACAACGACAATGACGATGACGATGACGATGACGATGACGATGACGATGACGATGACGATGACGATGACGAAGACAATGACGAAGACGAAGACGATGACGATTCGGACGACGATGACGATAACAACTCACCAATTCCGAATAGAAGTAAGTAGTAAATTATTTTTAAACATGAAATGTTAAAAACTAATGAATTACTTTTTTTATTTTAATAGGATGCAAGTGGAAATGCAGCAATTGTAATATTTTAAATAACTATCGTCGAGACAAAATGTTTCAAGACCGAGGTCGAGTATGTTTGGCCAAGTGCAAGCATTGTAAAACAACTAAACCAATATTTTATAGCAAATCAGTTGCTAAACAATATGCCTTGAGATTGTTATTTTGTAAGTATCAATTTTTAAATTATTTTTATATTTTGTTAAACAAAACTAATACTTTTTTATTTATTTAGTCTTTGGAAATGGTCCTGGCCACCAAGGATATGTCTCAGGGATGAAAGGTGTAAAACATGCACCCTACGTCGCCAGAGACATGCAAGCTCTCAAACAATATATTTTTACTGTAACCGGTGTGATGGTGGATCAATTCGTAGTAGATGAATATAATACTTCTCAGGTATGTCATTGTTTATTAAAATATTATTTTTTTTTTTGCTTAAAAACTAATGATGAATCTTTTTTTTTTTTTAATAATTTTATTATAGATGTTTTCACCAAAACTAATAGAGAACGAAGAGATATATTTAAAGAATAGATCACACTATGAAAAGTCCAAGGTGGAAGCATATATTAAAGATCCATCCTGGGATCCGCATAGTCGACAATCCGAATCTAAACTGCGTTACACTCGTAAGATGTACCAGGTGAATGACCAACCGGTCTATATCAATCGTGACGTAAATGGTGCTAACAACATTCTGTTGGCAGGTATGCGTCAGTTCGAACGTCCATTGAACAAAAATGGACGAAGATTCACTCTACTCATGAAAAAACGAGGTGAATTAACTACGGCTGAGGAATGCGACGATAGTAATTTGGTGGCTGATGAATAGCTTTCATCAGGTAAGTTTAAGTTTTTTTTTTTTTTTTTTTTTTTGCAAAAATAGCAAATCACTAATTTTTTCTATCAACAGAACACATTCATTTGAGTATTATTAAGAGGTTCTTGTGTTGTGTAGATGTTGATGCTGTTCCAATCTTATATATATCTGTCTTAAAAAAATTTTTATTTAAGAGAACTGTTGACAAATTGTTCTATTTAATTGAAACTTACAATTGGATTTCATTTTGTATAAGTTAAATTAAGAACTCCTGAACCCTCCTTTTTTCAAACTCACTCTAATTACAAAGAAATAATTATGACTGAAGTGTACCATGGATATTCTAGTAAGCCAATAACTAGATCAAAATCAATAATCTTTGTCTTATTGTTGTAATTACACAACAGAAAGTTATTGATTCAGGTAAATTTCCAATAGAAGAGCTATAGAATAGTACTTAGTCGTTTTACTATCCTGCAGTTACTATAGATCTTGTGGATCTCAAGTCTCTGCAGACATTAGGAGTTATTTAAGTAATGGTTTATAGTACTATGAAGTTTATAGATACTCGTAAATCTCTTGGTAGTTCAATTCTATGGCTTTTCAATTGAAAAAATTTAACATTTTTTTTTCTCTGTCACTACATGGAATTAATCATATTACTAATATAATTCATCGTCTTATTTCGAGAGGTAAAACATAATTATACACAATAAAAAAAGAATAAATCAAAATTTTGTTTCATTTTATAGTATATATATCTTGATTTTTATTTGATTTGAATTTGAATTTTAAACATATTTATATAGATGCAAGTAATTATTAAAAATATAGGATTTAAGTCAATCCCCAAGTAATTAAATAAAATGTATATATATTTGAATTATTACGGTGATGATCCAAGAAATGTTTCCACTGATAGATCTATCCTTGATTTCTGGAGATTGGTGATTCGTTTTATGAGCCTGTTTTTTTCTTTTTTTCTTTTTCTTTTTTCTTTTTTTTTTGTTTGTTTTTTTATGGATCTATGGAGCCATATACTTTGTTGTTTCCAATAATGTATAGATATTGTGATGATCGGTGATTTTAGTTTCAGGAGAGAACGACTTTGATAGTGGTGAGTTGTGGAATGGATTGAGAACGTGAGTGAATGAGTTGTGGTTGTCAGCAGAGAGCTGAGGAATAGCTGGAAGCGATTGTGAATGTGCGTGTGGTGGTGGGAATGTATGGTGATTCAATGTTGGGAATTGAATCGAGGGAATTGATGAGTTATAAAAGTTTGATTGGTTGTTGTTGTTGTTGTTACTGTTGTTACTGTTAAAGTCTATTGGATGAAAAGCGTGATTTGGTGTTGGTGGAAATCCGCTTGACATGTGGCCATTTGGTGAATTTCCAGTGGCTCGTTGAGAATTGAAGAAAATGAGTTCTTCTTCGGGTGGGGCACCTCCACTACTTCCAAGTGGATTGAGGTGGTTGTGGCTGTGACTGTGACTGTGACTGTGTTGGTGGTCAAACGATGTTTTGTATCGTTTGTCTTTTGGAGCTTGTGATGCATACAAAGTCTGGTCCAATGGGAATAGTATCGACTTTTGAAGGCTGATGTCATGGTTACTATTGCTACCGTTGACTCTCATGTCATTGACAGAGCTGCTACGTTTGGGAGTAGTTGACTTGTTGCTATAGTTGTTGTTGTTGCTGTTGTTGTTGTTGTGGTTGGAAGATTGTTGTCCTTTGGCGTTTGTTGGTGAAGATGCAATTACAAAGGAATTGGTACTTGGGAATGAGAGTGAGTGATTAAGTGGTGGAGGTGGATGTTGGTGAGTATTGGTGTTGTGAAGAAGTATAAAGTTATTGGCGTTGGTTTGGCTGTTGGCGTTGGTTGCGTTGGTGTTTGGAGATGGAAGGATTTGGTGACTGTAGGCAGCGGTGTGTGGGAATTGCATTGAATTTCCAGTGTTGCTGGTGATACAGGTTGGACAACACCATTCATTGAGATGATTAGGTTTGGGTTGGAGTTGTGGGTGGTATTCGATGAGACAGTCCTGGCAGAATGATTTTGGACAGTAGGGCATCGAACATTTAAACAATGAGTTCTTTGTCTTTTTGCAATAGGCACACTCCATTCCTTCAGATTTCTTGTAGGATGAAGATGATGACGAAGACGACGATGAAGACAAAGAATTTAAAGAGTTACCAAATAGATTGGATGGGTACATAACTGGGTGGTTAGAGGAAGATAGATTAGAGGTTGAGTTGTTTGGATGGAAATTAGGTGATGGATAGAAAAAGTTGGGTGAGTTATTAAGTAGAGGTGTAGTAGATGAGCTATCTGGACTTAACTTTGGTGAATTGTTTGAGATTGAATTCAAACTTGGATTGTTATTGTTATTGTTGGTATTTCCATTGTTGTTACTGCTGTTAAAGTATGGTGATTCAATGATGGGTGACATGATAAAGTTGTTGGGTGAGGAGGAAGATGATGTGCAAGTTGGAGTCGATGGAATTTGACGTGGTTTAACAAGAGGGGTGGAAGAAGGTGATTTCTGAATAGTGAATTCAGAGATCGATGCTTCACCACCATTGGATGCTGCTGATCTCTTCTTTCCAGAAGCAGAGGGTGAGGAAATTGCTTTGGAATTCTTCTTTTCAGTGGACTTTCCTGCAGCAGCTCCGACTTCCTCATCAGATTCCTCATCTTCACATTCCAATTCCTTCATATTCTCGTCGCCATCTCTCCAATTTGACCACATTCCAGTGTATCTTCCAATGGATGTGAATGATTTCTTATATCTTGATAATACAGTGCTCAATCTATTCTTAATATTATCTATAAAAAAATATTTTAAATTAATTTCAATAAAAATAATAGTATAATTTAATAAATCTTACCAATTTCTCTATTAAATGCAAATGATTCTGGATGCTCTTTAACATAGGTTGCAATTTCAATTTGATGAGAGAATCTGTATTTCTTCTCACGCTCCAAATTGTACAGTGCGGTATGAGCAACCTCTTTCCACGACTTGGATTGGTGAGAAAGTGTTGGACGTTTATTGTTTGAACATAGATCACATGTAAATTCAAATCTATTATCTGCTGGACCAGGAATAACAGATGAACCACATAATTCAGACAATTCTGTAAAAAAAAACAAAAGAAAAAATATTAATAACTTTCTAATTTGAAATTAATTTAATTATTATTTATAAATACATACCGAATGAAACCAATTTAGTACATTCTTTACATTCCAATTTGAAATAATAGGTTTCTTTACTCTTTATCTCTGCTTCGAATGTATTTTCCAAGAGGATGAGTAAACCTCTGTCGTCTTCGTAGACTTTGTCGCCGGGTCGCCAGTTGGACCACATTCCAGAGTCACGAGCAAACGAAACGAATAGCTTACGGTTGTATGATAATGTAGCTGTGATAACATTCTTCATTTTGCCAGTCTCTTTCTCGCGGTCCGATAGCAGGAATTGCGGGTGTTTGCGGATGTAGGAGATCACCTCTCTGTAGTGCGAGAAACGATAGTTCTTATCACGCTCCAAGTTAAAGAGAGAAGTGTGTATCATTTCCTTCCAAGTCTTTGGCGAGTGCTTAAAGAAGAATGTAGATCCATTGTTACATTCACTACATTTGAACTCGTAGCTCTTGTCATCAGGACCTGGTAAAACATTGATTCCGCTCTCCATGAGCTTCAATACTTCAATATTAATAGTACAATTACATTTGATGCAACTGAGAGTCAACATTGTTAGGTAATTATCATAGTTGAACATATTAATTTCATTGTTGTTGTTGATGTTGCCATTGTTATTATTATTATTATTATTATTCGATGATGATGTTGATGATTGTGGTGAATTGGAATTTCCATTAATTGTTGAAGTGGTTGTGGAAGTTGTCGTAGTATTATTATTATTACTGTTGTTATTATTGTTATTATTGTTATTGTTACTCGGTGTTATGTATATATTATTTAGGTTATTGACGATGCTACTATTACTGCTGCTTAGATCGGTGCTAGATCTCAACAAACTACTGTGACCACTGTGATTTGGACCGTTGGAATTACCACCTCCACTTCCGCTCAGGTGAAATGTAATATTTGGATTTGCTGGGAAAAATGGAAAGTTATTAGTAGTATTATTACTGTTGTTGATTGGATGATGATGTGTTGATAAAAGATATCCATTACCAATATTACTTGGAAGGAAATTATCTTTTTTGCTATTGTTGTTGTTGTTGTTGTTATTGTTGATGATATTTAAATTGTTGGTATTTTTTTGAAAGTCGGATGTTGTGAATGATGGTGTTAGGGAGAGAAGTGATCCATTTCCAGTTGATTCAATTTGTACTAGTCCTCCATAGTTATTATTACTATTGTTGTTATTATTGTTGTTGTTGTTGGAGGAAGTTGTAGAAGGATTGAATAATCTTGGAATGGAGTGTGGGTAGATATGATGATCTTCTGGATTTTCGAGAGTTATATGGTGGTGGTTATGATGTTGCTGTTGTTGTTGGTGCTGAGGAAAAAAAGATTTAATATCGGTCATTGTTATTGATTATTTGATGTTATTATTATTTCTTTTTTGTTTTTTTTTTTTTATTTATTTTCTTTTTAGGAGAAAATTTTTCTTGAAGTCGGAGAAGAGTTGTTGGATATGTTATGTTGAATATATTAATCAATTAAAATAGGTTTTAAGATTTGATATTTGGTAATATAACTAAGGTTTAGTTAGTCCACAAACACTTTTTCCGAGTCTATTTGATTTGGTACTGTGGTTTGTCAATGGGTTATTGAAATTACCAAAGTAAATGATTAAATTGATTGATTGGCTGGTTGGTAGGTAGAATTACCAGAAAGTGAAGATCGTTCGACGATATTATCTATCGTCTTTCTTTTATGATAAGAATTAGTTAATATTTTTTGTAAAATGATAAAAAAATAATTAAAATGTTTGGTGAAAATTAGAAAGTTATTTGCAAATTTTATGGTGATGATGATCACTACAATAAATAAATTTTATGAATTTAATTGGTAAGAAAATATTGACTTTGAATAGTATTAAAAGTTTGTTTTTGATTTTAAAATCGTTGAATTTACAACTCTTGGAAATATAATTATTTTCCAAAAAGAAAAAACAAAAACAGGAAGGAGCGTGGTAATAATGATAATTGGTAAATTTTAAAACACCGACATCAACAAATAAAATTTATGTTAAAAAATTAAAATTTATAAATTTAAAACAACAAATGAGTTATCATTAATAATATATTAAGGCATGCCTCCTTTTAACTCATCTCCAGGCAAAATATATATGTAGATAAATAACAAAATTGGAGTATGTATATAAATATAGTAGGTAGATAGGTAGGAGAATTAAATAACCACACACAAACAACTATAATTAATTAATAGACCAACTATTTCAATTAATAATAGTTGGATAAATTATTTGATTTGGATTTAGTTGAGAAGAAAGAATTTTTTTTTTTGCTTTAGATATTGGGTGAAAATATAAAAATGCTAATATTTAGGTGTTGGTTATTAAATTGTTGTTGGTCGGTTGGTTATTAGGTTATGGATCAATGCTTTGAATTGTTATAGTGGAAAACAAAAAAAATGAAGTATGTTTGTTCTTTGGTATTTTTTTTAGGAATGGGAGAAAATTTTAGTTATTGAAAATGATTAATGAAAATTATTTCTAATATCTTTTGGATAGTGATCCTCCTTTCTATAACTTTTATATTTATTTTTTGTTGGTGTTGATGTTTAATTAATTTATTCCAGCACTGGAATAACCAACAGCAACAAACTTTATCTCTTCAAAAATTTCCAACACCATCAACTATTAATTTAATAGTTGTTAAGATATATACATTTACACTCTTATAAATACATTTTAAATATAATAGATTAAGATGTGGCGGTAACAATATCGACAATAAAATATGTTTTATAAAAACAGCAACAACAACAGTATCATTAAAGTAAATGTTAATGAATAGAAGTGCTAGTTGATCCTCCCTAAAGATGATTTGATATGGATTTATTTGGAAATAATGATTGAAAGGTTTAAGCATTTATTTCTGCATGCTTCCAAAAAAAACTAAGAGGTTATTGAGTGGTTGGTGCTAATGAATTAGTTGGGTGAATCCATCAATCAATATATTCAAATCATTTTTGAATAGTATAACAGCAAAATCATAAAGAAAATAATATTGATTCAACATCACTCAATTTATTTTGCTTTTAAAACAGAAAAAATTAAAATAAAATATAAAAAAACTTTAACTTCTACACTGTATCTATTCTTCTTCACTAAAGTCACACACCACTAATACATAACAAAAACAATAATAATCCAAACCATATGGTATATAAAACCTAAACCACAAAAAAAAAACATTTAAATATCAATGATCACTCACCACTATTTTAATAGTGATCCTTCACCCTTTTTTAATATTTATAAATAAACATATATATGTATATAGAATATTCCAAATTATAAGATAGTTGATGCACAACTCTTTTTTTGATAAATTTCTTTGGTTGGTTTTGTTGTCACACACAGAAATTGTGTTAACAGATAGGATTTTTAAAACACACAAATTAACACCATCCAAAAAAAACAACGATAACTTTTTTAAAAAGTACCCACCATCTTATCCTACCATAAACAATTTTGGAGAAAGTGGATTTCATATGTAGGAGTGTGAAAATATATGAATTCACGGTGAGTGAGCACCAAGTTTGCGTGTTTAATTAATAAAAATAAAAATAAAATTGTGTGGGGTGGTAGTGGTAATGACTTTCACAATCAATTGATTGTTGGTAGTGGTGATGGTGGTGGTGGTGTTGATTGAGATTAATGTGTCTCGGGTTTAATATACTAACTAGAAAACAGAGATATATGTGATTTTAACATTTGTCGACACTAATTTTAATAATTATGGAAACTCCTACGAATACTATTTGACTGAAATATAATAGAGTTTTGAGGGTAAAAAGATGATCAGAATCATACTATTTCCACAATTTTGGTTGTTTAGTTGAGATTCCATTAAAAAAAATGATGTGGATCGAAAACAAGATATATATATATCTTTACATAAAAATTATATTTGAAATGGTAGGTTATATTTTTAATTTAATATGTTACCCATTAATGGAATTGAATTATTTTTAATAATTTCAATGTTGTTTTGATAATTACTTTTTTGTTTATTGACTTTTGAAGTCTTTTGAAACAATCAATTTTTTTTTATAAATAAATAAATTTGATAGATAGGTCTTTAATAAAATTGTGCAACAATTTGGATGAATAAATATTATTATATAATTAATTAAAGTTTTTTCAAAAAAAAAACAATTAATAATAATAAAAAACATCAATAAGAGATTATTGATTTTTGGCAATGATTTAGAAATAAATTATCTTTAAATATTATTAATTAATTGTTAAAAACTACATAATTAACAGCAAAATTAATGTTGGTTTATCACTATCAGCACAACAGGTTCATTGAACCGATCGATGTTTATAAAATGTTGATTTTTATTTTGTTTGGAAAAATTTAATCGATAAAATATTTACATTTTTAAACTATAATGATGTATATATTGAGATATGATAGAGGTTGGAGGTGAAATTTTTTTGAAAATGTGACTTTGTAGACAGTATATATCTTTCGAATTTAGTAGAACCATTAATCACCTAACAACAAGTGAGTTTTAATTTTAAATCACAAATAATTTTATTTTGAAAATATGGATCTCATGAACTTCTGACTATATTTTAATATGGTTGTTTGAATGGATAAAAACATATATATATGGAAATGTAAAAAGTTATAGAGGTGGTAATGAACGAACTGTCATTTCAAACCACTTATATGTATATTTTAGTTGACAAATTTATTTGATATTCATTGGTGAAAATATGATCATGAGTTAGTGCACCAATAAAAATTGAACTTAACATAGTGTGAGCTATTGATCAATCATTTTATATGTGGTAATTTAATGTATAATACTAAATTTAAATCATTTGTTCACACAACAACAACAACAACAAAACCACTTAAAGTATTTTGTATCTTGAGTTATTGACTAAGGAGTAACAATGTGGTTAAAATAATAATAATGATAATAGTGGTGATAAAAATTGTATTGATGTTGTACTAGTAGAGATGCAATATATGAAATGGAAGGAGGAAAATTCACGATGACAAATATGAAGTGGTTTTGAGGATGAAGCAAATAATATAACAAATAGATATGTGTGTTGCGAATCTTATTTTATAAGTGTTGTTGTTTTTCTGTTGTAACAACCGATAAGATATAGATTTAAAGTTGTGTGATATATTTGTACATGGTAGAGATTTGGCGAGTTTATTGATGGTTAGATAATAGTAATGATGGTGAGTGAGTGTAGTGTTATTTTATTTTTTTAATAGAATTATTTATACAAAAAAATAATTTTTTATTTATATATAAACATGCACACTTATATATATGTATTATTTATATATTTGTATGGTGTGAGAATGGAATGTGTTAATTAATATTTTAGGAAAAAAGGGTGAAAGTTGTTGTTGATTTGAACTGTTTTTAAAACATATGATCAGAGTGTGAATTTAATGAGAGAGTGTGAATAGTAATGAGTGTGTTGCTGTTCGATGACGAAACGACACGCTATTAATACCTATTGTATTAATATGGAAATTAACTAAATAAGTAAATATTTCAATAACATCAAACACACTAATCATTCATTCCAAGTGAATCACTGGAAAATCGACCATCGAAAGTCGAATGGTCATTTGAACAAAAATGTGCCACTTTGAACAAAAAGAGTTTTTTTGATATTATTATAGCAGTTGATGTACTTTTGTTTCTCTTTGAAGGAAATTTTAGCTGCGGAGAGTGAATCTAACTTGTTAACAATATAATTAATGCTTTACTTTTTTTTTTTTGTTTTTTTTTAGTTTTTATTTACTAAAAGTACAAGCTGTTAAACACTGAACGTAAAGTTCAAGTGATAGATACTAGATTTGATGGTTTTCAATTACTTTTAGTTAGTATAGTTTTTAGTTGAAATTGAATTGATTTGATTCTGTGTAAATTTTGAATTAGGTTTGAGTATAAGTTGCTGGACTTTGATTGAAGAAGTAATTGATATTGTATATGTTGATTGTTAATGATTAAATATTGGAAAAGAATAAGGAAATTGTTGAAGTCGAGGTCAAACTTTCGGAAAGAAACAAATTGATGATAAAAATAGTGAAGCAATTTTTAATTAAGAGATTAGAAATAGAGAAAATAGGATTGAAATTGAGAGTTGAAAGGTATCTTGTGTTTAGAGAGTTCCACAATTAAAACTTTTTATTTTGAGTGGATTATTGGAACAACCAACTATGATTAAATGAGTTTTGCGCTCACACCCAGACTACCAAAACAAATAAAAATAACAATATCAACAACAACTAATAAATAGCAATTGCCAATAAAAAACAAATAATTAAAATAAATAAATAAAAAACAACAACAACAGCACAACAATAACTACAACAGAAACATCAATATAAAACTTCATATCTTCATTCCTTACTCACTCCACTCAAACACAACAACAAACTTAAATCAAAACTGATCATATTTTGTGATGATATTGATGTCCTCATTCTATTTATCTCACTATCATACTCTCTTATAATCAGTACATCTATATTTCTCACAACTCTGGTACCAGCCAACTCAGAGTGTGAGGGAGTGAAAAAAAAAGTGAGAAACAGAGATAAAATCTTTAAAACTTTAGTGCAGCTGACAATAAAGGATGATGCTCATAAGAACAATAGTGCTAGTGATATGGACTAACAAGTGAGTGCGATTATGTAATTTAGTAATATATATATATAAATCATACAGATATAAATAAAATATATACATATAAGTCAATGTGGTGAGTAGCTGTATACATACATGTATGTATATAAGTGTGTATATCAATAGTAACAACAAAAATTAATTTTAAATTTGAATCTTTTTGGATATGCTAATAGATTTATGTAATATGGATCAAAGAGAATATACAACCACAATATCAATAACCTTTATAAATATTATTAAAATAGGATAATGAATGATCATATTCATTCATCTTGTGCTAGTGCCATACTATACGAAAAGGTAATTTTGATTGAGGAAGAAGAACGATTGTAGTACTAGAAAATCACTATTCAACTTAACTTAACATCATCATCAAAGTTAACATTGGTGGGTGTGGGTGTGAAGTTTCATTCAAATATGATTTTTTTTTGATTCGGGGAGAAAAATGTAAGTATGTGTGAAATGAATAAAATAAAGGTGATCACTAACTGTGGTAAGCAGCGATGCATCAATAAATTAAACAATATTGTTTAATTCCAAATAATTTTAAAATGAGAGAGAGCTTTATAATTTAAAGTTTATACAAAGATAAGATAACCATCGTCCATTGATAATATTGATTGATTAATCAATACTATCAACAACAGTAACAAGTAGTAGTGATGTGTGTGTTTATTGAACAACAAAATCAAAAACCCACACCATCACTCACACCACAATCCCACTAAAGGTGGTGTGGAAATGAGACATACAGAACTATTTTGATTTCAAAAAAAGTGAATTCGACTATCAACACTACCTACTACTACAACTACTACTATAAACACAGATAATTTAGTGAATGTGACTAGATATATTAGGTGCGTATAAAGGAGCTTTTCATTTAGAATGAGGCGTGCTGAACTTGCTACTTGGTTGAACAACTGTCATAATAATCAGAAAACAGGATATTACTGTTGTTTTTATTTATTGACGTGGTGTGGTCTCTCATTCCCACTTGACAATACAAACTGTACTATCAAATTATTATTATTTAATAGCTTATTGATTTAATTGTGAAACGTCGCTTTTAATTAATCGGTTTCGAGAGATTATGCTATCTTATCAAACAGTGTTGTGTTGATGTTAGATTATATAATAGTAAATGCTTTTCCAAAAGCTTAACCATATCAACTATGTTGCTCAAGACAACAATTAAACAATAAAGGAAGGTGAGTGACCTTTCATTTCATACATTCATTTTGATTGATTGAAGTGGAAAGATAGAAACAACAAAACAGAATTCATTCATAAAAATAATATATGTATTTATATATATATATATATATATTTTCTGTCATTGTTGACAATAAAAATATGTGTTATTGTTACTATAATTGTTATTAATATTGTTGTTTTTGTATGTTTTTGTTATGATATGTCATTCATACTATACTATGTTACTATTTTTAAATTTTTATTGAAAAAATAAATATTTATTGTATTTTGTTTACGAAACATCAATAAGCTACATTAGTTTAACTGTTATCGTGTTTTGTGTATGTGTGTAGTGAAAGAATTAAATTATTTCAACTCTGATTCGAATCCAAGAACCACAAATCTGAATGTTATTACCAATTCACCAAAACATTTTATTATACCAATTCAATGCAATTGCTGATTTGAAATATGTTGTGATACAGATTTGATAGATACTTTAAATATTTGATATACTCATTACTTTCACTTTTTTATTTATCTACTTCGACAAACAACAATTAAATTTATTTCAGGCAAACTTTAACTTCACACCAGTCCTGTCCACCCAACAAGACAAGACAAAACAAAACAACTAAAAAAATTAAAAACAAAAAAAAATAACAGTTGGTGTGATCGTTGTTGTTATTATTATTATAATCAAAACTGTTTGGCTGGTTCCTCTCTTTCTTTTCAATAAGGCTAATTCCTTCATCTTAACAAAAACAAATGTTGATTGGTTTGATTTAGTTTTTTGTGTTTGATTAAATTAAATATTATCTTACTTCCACTGAAACACTCAACAATGGATGACATGTGATGTGATATGATATAATGTAAAATGAAATAAAAAGGTATAGACAATATATATAAACAAACTTGTTTTCACCATATTGCATATCATTGCTATTGAAAATAGAGTGTGGTGTTATGATGACTAACATTAATCTGTACAGTGCTACTTTTATAGTAATACACTAATCGTGTACAAACTATTTATGCAGTGTATGATGATGCATATATCGAAAATAGTAATATCAATAATCATACATCCATAATCATAACCATATTCGTACAATGGAAACTTGCACATTCATTCAATCACATTTACAAACTGTATATAAAAGTAAATTGTTCTTTTTGGTATATACACATAATTGGAAATATTATTTTATAATGTGTGTCTGAGTGTATGTATCTGTGTGCTTGTGTGATGCACAAATCTGAAACAATCACCAATTCCGATAATGTTATTGTCTATATATGTTTTTAAACTTACCTTTACTTAATTTACTTTATTGCAATAATAATATGATGATAATACCTAACTGAACATGACAATAATCAACAAGTTCTCTCTATCTCTCTCTCTCTCTCTCCTATTTTTATCTAATCAATATCTAAATTTTAATATAAAGCTATTTCCAATTATCTTTTTTATACTTACAATAACAATAACAATAGCAATAACAATAACAATAACAACAATGGCATATTTCATTGTTGTTATTTATGGCTGTAAGAAATAACAAACAACAATCAAATTAAAAGATTTCTCATTTTGAAGATCGAGAAATAACAATAACTTGACATCATTGTTGTTGCTAACACTATTGGTTGATAATTTGTTTAGAAAAGACCTATCCTATCATCATTATTGTGTTGTTGTTACTGTTGTTGCTATTAAAGTCAAATGAGGTTTAATTAGAACTGAACAATGTAAACAAACAATTGTCAATCAAAAAAAAAAAAAAACAATAGTGAAAAAAATAACAATAAACTTTTATTAATTATGATCATCATAGCAACAAAAAAGTTTATTGTTATTTTTTTATTTTAATTAATTACCAATCAATCAATCAAATCTATCTATCAATCAAATCTATCTATCAGCCAACCCCTATCATGTGATATAGATAGATAGATATATATAATAATCAAATGATCTATTTTAAAGATAATAATATTTACATTTATTCGATTTTGTATTTAACAACATATTTGGAATGAATACAACATCTTCTTCTTCTTCGGTCGTTGAATGAGGTTCAATTGATGTACAAATCTTTATTAACATTCCTTTGAACCTTTCAGCGCTCTGCAACTATAGTACTTTGGTAAAGACAATCGAACTACCACCATTCCTCTTCAACTTGCTTAACGGCATAAATCACAAACTTAATAATAATCTATCTAGATGGTCGGTAGCATAGCAAAAATACAAATAATTGTAAAACTTTGTAACTCACCTATAATTAGTTTCAAAAATATAAGTATGGATATAGACTGCTGTATCAGCTGAATACAACAAAGTTCTTATAAGTTAACCATGGTATGGGGGTGGTCAGTTCAGGGAAAAGCAACAGGTGCCTTTTCATAGATTATCATCTCTCTCTTTTGTATGCCTCTTGCAGGTGGTTGTTAACATACAAAAGATCATATTATTATTTCAAACAACAAGTTGACCAAACTAAAATTTCTTATCTAATAATATTGATCAGTTTTCGAAATAATTGATCTGATATATATTTATTAATTTTATTAAAAAAAAATAACAATTTATTTTTAATTGAATGGGGCAAAAAACCCCCACCCATGATTATTATAAATTTTTTTTCTTTGCAAAACCAACAACAACTTTATTAATATTTTTATTTTTTTAATATTAAAACATCAAAATAAAATCCATAATGATCAATCATTTAACATCATCATATTGTAATAAATAATAACAAGATAAGAAACAATACTAGTAATTCATAAAAACTCGAAAATATCTTTATTTGTACAAATTATCTGTATTATTATATTTGTAAATAATCAAATCAAATCAAATCAAATCATATCATATCATATCATATCATATCTAGTGTAGTTTAAATAATATCATATCAAAACAAATCATTTTGTTTTAAAAATAGAAAGTTGAAAATAAATAAATATCTTTTTTTAGATCTAAAAAGCTAAATTAAAAATAGTGAAAAACAAAATATGGATATTTTAACAGTTGTAGAAAGAAGTAAATATATATTTGAAATTGAATTGAATTTTTATAAAAACAACAATAAAAAAATAACTATTAAATTTAAAAAAAAAAACAACAATAGAAAATATAGATATTGTTTTAAATCAAAGGAATGAAGAAGAGAATCTACTACAGAAAATAGATGTCAAAGGCAAGAAAGCGAGAAAGCTATTCTTCTTGATTGGCAACAAGCGAATTCTGTTCTTCAAGGTCGGTGGAAAGTTGGAGATGGAATCGCATTTCTTGGATGTGTTGGAGGTGAAATCCGACAATCCAAAGGAGGTGCAAATCAAGTTTAGAAACGATCAGGGCAAGGAACCACTGGTTTTCGGCGTCGACTCATCCAACGACTCGGCAGAGATCATACTGGCCATGGACTACCTGTTCACTCTCAACTTCCCGGGAATGAAGACCAACCGCATGAAGATAACGGTGACACCCGACACCCGAGTCGCAGAGATCTACTCGTCGCCAAACGCTGTCACACCAGAGATTGGACCGTGTGGCGGACTCTCGCTCACCTACTACTCTATGTGCGACTACATGAACGTCCAGCCAATCTCCGAGGTATCTTGGCAAATCGAATACATTCTGGCCGGTACCGATTGCAAGGAGTTTGACTATGGATTCTTCTTCAAGAAAGACAGACTCATCACTGGAGATGCCAGACCACTGATGGCTGCGCTAGCCATAAACTCATGGTTTACCTCATTCATCATAAAAGGCATTAAACTAACAAATGAATGGTAACTATTTTCTCTAAAGATAATTAACAATCTGAAAACAATTTTGCAAACTAACTCTTCATTTCATTTCTTTGTAGTATTGGATCGATTATAAGTTTATTACAACAATCTACATCATTTGAGAAAGTGGTGCTAAATGGAATTGGAATGGATCGTTCAGCTTGTGAGAAACTAATTGATGCAATCGTTGGAAACAAAACATTACCATTGAAGGAATTGGATCTTGGAAATAATCAAATTGAAGTATGAATTAGTATTTTAATCCAAATTTAAACAATTCAAACAATTTGACTAATCTTTTAATATATATTTATATAGGATAAAGGTATGATTGCAATTGCAGATATGTTAAAGAATATGCAGTTTCCTTTGACCTCTTTGATATTGGGTGGTTGTTCGGTTGGACGATCTGCAATGTCGTCGCTGGGAGATGCGCTTGGTGTAAGTGAGTCTGCCATTCAGCATCTCAGATATTTGGATATTGGTGGAAACAAGTTGGAATCAGAGGGATCCAGTGCAATTTCAAACTTTCTGGTGAAATCAAAGTCATTGCGAACTCTGATGATTGGCAGTACTCAACCGCTGTTCCACCAATTGAAAAAGTGCACTACACTGTCTGCCTTTGACAACAGTGGAAATCGTATCGTCAAGAAGGATTCACTGCATCTCGATATGGTGCGTTTCCTCAATAACTCACTGCACCTCTCCAACTTGAACCTGTCGCGTTGTCAGATCCCAATTGAAGTGCTCCAAGAGATCTTTGGCGAGGGCAATCTTTCGAAGCTCGAGGTTCTCAATATCTCTGACAACGACCTGGGAGACGAGGGAATCGCTGCCATTTGTGACCTACTCTCTAACCACAGCTCACTAAAGACACTGAATCTCTCAAACAATTTCAACAGACGCAGTAAAACTAGATCGACCGCAATCGAATCGATTATCAACCTGATCGAGAAGAAGTCGCGTACCTACAATGCCATCAAGACACTCGTCCTGCAGGGTGGATCCAAGTCACAACTCAAGGGTGATTTACTGCCCATTATCTGCTCGCTATTCTACAACTCAACGCTGAAAGAACTCGATATCAGTGGACACTCAATTGGCGACGTCGGTGCCGCCGCACTCGGAAAGCTACTCCAATCGAATTTCGCACTGGAGAAACTCGAGTGGGACGACAACTCGACGACACTATACGGACTCAATCTCTTCAAGGTCGGATTGTCGCGTAACAATACACTCTCAAACATGCCGATTCCAATGAGAGATATTGCTGCACACGTAAAGAGCGATGCTCAATCGATCACACGGATCAGCGATCTCGTTGGTGAAATTCAACAGATCCTACTCGACAACACAACCAAATCGGCAACCGCTGCTGCTGCGGCATCGGCATCGACCACTCCGCGCCACTCTGTTTCCTCCGGCACACTATCACCCACCAAGTCAAGAACTTCATCAACCCCACCATTTACAATCGATCCAAAGACAACCACTGCAACATGTGCAGGTCTTACATCATATAATATCATAAACGACTCTGAATTGGTTGAGCCACTTGCAAATCTTGTTGTAAAATAAAAAATAAAGAATTAAAATTCTAAGATATTTTTTTTTTTTCATGAAAATGGGTGTATGTTTTTTGCTATGCAATTCACACACCAGATCAATCAGCAAGATTCATACAATATTTTTCTCAAATTTCACACATCCATTCCATTTTCTTTCACACAAGCTTTTGAGAATTTGATGATAAAAAAATAATAATTTTGTTTTTTTAATTTGTTTTTAAATTGCAATTTTTGCATAAGCTCGATACTAAAAAGCATCTTCTTTTCAAAAAAAAAAAAAAATCATTTGTTTATTAATTATTTAATTATATACTTTTTTTAAAAAATATATTTATTTAATAATTCAAATAATATTGTTTTTTCTTCTTTTAACTTTTTTACAATTTGTTGGATTCACTCACCCTTTTTCGGATTGAATGAATTTTGATGATAGATATAGAGAATTAAACTTTATACAATCAAATAATGAGGGGACTTTAAATAACAACAACAGTAACAGAAGTAGTAGTAATAATAATAATAACAATAAAGAATATTCACTTTGTGCATTATTCTCTATTTTATATCCATTCAACAGTAACTTTCAACAACAACAAAATGACAACAACAATGGAAATAACAACAGTAATGGTTCGGTAGTAGAATCATTCATACCGGATCCGCTACCAAAGGATCACCAGGTGATGTGGAGTGACTTTGAAGTAGAAGCTGAATCCTCGATATCCGATCTTTCATCGCAAGCCAGCGATATTGCAATGACCTCTGACGTCGAAGACAACGACTCGACTACTGGCAACAAAAACCACCGAAAATCAACCAAATCCTCTGGTGCCAACAAGAGTGACAAAATCAAAAAGAGAATCTTCATCGGTGGTATCAAACTAGACGATCTCGAACACAATGAACCGCTCAAGCGCCTTAGAATCGAGAAACTTCTCCATCTTTTCTCTTCTTGTGGAAAGATTGAATCTGTAGAACCACATTGGAATAAAGGGTAAATACAATACAATCCAATCCAATAGAATTATAATATTCAGTAAAAGAATAAGTTATTAAAACCGATATCAATCTTCTATATTTCAGATTTTGTTTTATCAATTTCCAACAAGGTGGAATTGCTCTTCGCACAGTCAAACAATTTGAAAACAGCGCAAAGAAAATCAAAATGATTGAAAACATCAAGAAATCACTGTCATTCGAAACACAACAAGCAGCACCTAACCCTGGTTTCTATGTAAGATTAGCAAATGCCACAACCAAAAACAACAACAACAAAAATAATGAAAATAATAATACCAAAAAAATTAGAAAATAATAAATTATTTTATTTTTATTAAACATTTTTTTAAATAATAATTTATATTATCTTAAACAATATCTATCTATTTTTAATCAATTATTTATTTATATAACTTTTTTCATTCCATTCCAACTACCATTACATTAACACTATACAAAATTACATTCCCCATTTTGAATAATTTTGTTGGTCAGTAAGGATCATTATAATTAATTGATTACATTATCGTTAAAAAACCAACAACCACACAATTCTTAAATTTTTTTTTTTTTTTTTTTAATTTCCATTTTTTTTTTTTTTATATTTTTTTTTTTACCCCAATATCTAAATTTACCCATTTTTTTTTAATTCAATTATTTCTTTTTTTTTGAAAGAAAAACCCATTTGCCAAACCAATTTTAAATGAATTTTGATTTTTTCAAACAACACTGTCATGCGATATGATTTATATAAAAAAAAAATTAGCAAAAACTAAAAAAAGAAAAAACAATTTTTTTGATTTATTTTTTTTAATTTTTCAGTCAGTATCAGGTGCCATTTTCCTTTTCATTCCACTGCTGTTGGTTAATAAAAATATTTTCTCTTACTCTACCTTTGTTGTAACAATAAACAAAATCAATCATTATTTTTTAATTGTATATCTATATATAAAATTACATTAAGAAATATTATTTTTTTTCTCCTCCATTCAATCAATCACCTGTATTATTTATTTATAAAATATAACATTATATAATATATTTTTTTTTTACTTTTCAATAAAACAAACTTATAATTAAAGAAAGAAATGGCCTCAAACGATCAAATCGCTGAATGTTTTGCTATCTACGATAAAGACAACGATGGAAAGGTTATCATTGATGAACTCGGTCCATGTTTAAGATCGCTCGGTAAGAGTCCAACCAACGCCGATCTCGAAGCCATCAAGGCCGACCTCGGTAACCCAAGAGACTTTGATATCCCAACCATCAAGTCAATTCTCGCTAAGAAATCAGTCAGAGCCCCAGCCGACCAACAAAAGGAGATGTTGGATGCCTTCAAGGCTTTGGATAAGGAAGGTCATGGTTCCATTCAAGAGGCTGAGCTCCGTCAAATTTTAACTACTTTGGGTGATTATCTTACCACTGCCGAAGTATGTATCAATCAAGCAAATCAAAAAGCAAAACAATATTAAATATTCGATTCTAATCATTATCTTTTTTTTTTTTTAACTCAATCCAATTTTTAGGTTGAAGAAGTTATGAAGGAAGTCAACGTTAACACTGATGGTGGTATCGATTACTCAAAGTTTGTTGAAATGCTTGTAAATGGTTACGCATTATCAGGATTCTAAACTATTTAAAACAAAAGAATAGAAAAAAATAAAACAAAAAAAGATAATAAATTGTGTTATAATATAAAACCAAAACAAACAAACAAAAATGTTTAATTTATCTATCAGTTATATATCTTTTGATTGTTGATTTATTTATTCAAAAAAGTTGTTTTTTGATTTTTTAATTTGATAACTTTTTGAACCGATACCCTAAAAAAAGAGTATACTCTTTTTTCATTTTGATCATAATTTTTTTGTAAAAACCACATTATCACGATGTAAAGTTTTTTTTCACAAAACAAAAAAAGGATGGAGGTTAAAATTATTTTTTTTTAATTAAATATTATTTCTCTATTTTTTTTGTTTATCGTTTTTATTGTAATAGAGAAAAAAAATTTAAAAAATTAGAAAAGTAAAAAAAAACGGTTCCAACCAATTTAGGAAATAGTGATGGTTAGTTAATTTTATTTAATTTGGATTTTTTGAATTTTTTTCATTATTTCGTAATTTTTTAGATCCTTTGCATTAAACTTATTGATATACAATAGGAATCTTATTTTTACTTTATCATCTTTAATCTATATATTATATTGTTTATTTTTATTTTTTGTTATCCTGTTATTTGTATTTAATTTATTTTGTTGTAAAATAAAAATGAAAATTTTGTCTACTTTAAATTTATTATCTTTTTTAATTTTACTAGTTACTCTGGTATCTTGCCAAAATGGTAAGTTTTTAATCAATTTTTAAAAAGTTTTTTTATATATCTAATTTTATTTTGTTTCCTTCTTATTAAAGTCGAGGAGCATTATTTTAAAGGTGATTTTTCAACTTCAAGCCTGGAAAATAATGTTGCTCAAAATGGAGTGTCTGGAAATATTACCTGTCAATTCTCAAAAGTTGGTCCAACATTTGTAATCACCTATTCAATTAATGTAAAAGGTTTGGAAGGAATGTCCATTGAAGGAAATTCCATTAGATTAGAAGGTCCTGCCATTGCTGGTCAAACTTCCAATGATATTAGAGTTGTTTTAAATGTCGCCAATGCTACCAAAACCTCGTCAGAATTGTATGGACCAGGAATGACTACATTTGCACCATTATCTAAAGAGGCAGCAGCTATCAATACAATCATCCCAATCGTTGCCAACACCATTTCAACCAAACAACTATACGTTGTCATTCAACCACATGGTGAGAGTGCACCCGTTAGCAGAGCTCAATTACAATTTATCAACTCTATTACAAACAAAGATGGAGGTGGTGAAGTTCCACCCCCACCAACTAACGAACCAGGTGCTGCCTCTCACCTAAAACTCAGCATGATTTTAATTCTCTTAATATCATTCCTGTCTACACTTTTAATTTAAATTAAAACTATTAAATAAATTAGAATTTAGTTTGTTATTTTATTTTGTCAATAAATAAGATTTGGAGATTTATTATTGGGAATATATTTGATGTGTTTAATAGACCAATGGGTATTTGTATTCTGGACAGACTTGGAGGTCGGCACCACAGAGTTGATCGGAGGTGATCGAACCGTTCTTGTTCATGATTTCGGACATCTTCATACAGTAGTGAGTGTTGAATGATTCGCACTCTGAGGCCATCGATGAGTTCCATGGAACTGGCCAGAATTCACCGACCTCGCACATACCAACCATACCCATGCAAACAACTTCGGCTGGGAGACCCATTTGTACTTCTCCGAGCATACCTTGGTAGAAGAGTCCACACATTTCACAGGCGTATGGGCTGTTGTCCTTGACTCTAAGGCTCAAAGCAGAGATAACAGTGGCAGCGAAAATAACTGCCAAAATAATAGAAATTGATTTATTCATTTTTTATTTATCTAAATATTTATTTATATGTATGTTTTTTGAAAAGTGATTTGAAGTAAAATGCAAATGGTTTTAAAAGTATAAATTCCAATGATGATGTTTAGATTTTTTTTTAAAAAAAAATTGTAAAAAAAATGGAATCAGAATCTATCTTGTTGGATATTAGGTATCGAGAAATTTCGAAACCAAAATTAAGCGGGGGGATTGCTGGTAATTACCAAATTATCTAAAAAAGTTTTTTGCATAGTTTTCAAGTAGGAAATTCATAGTAAGAATTGATCCGATCCCCCCTTTTGAAGCGTTGGTTGCCCACAAAAAAAGTAGATGAATTTTTCAAACAAAAAAAAAATTAATTAATAATATTATATTTGAATGGGTTAAACAACATAAAAAATTTGCAATATTTATTTGATAATTGATTGTTCAAAATTGAACAGATTATTTAGAAACACATTTAAACAAAACAAACTTCATCCCACTTGAGTATTTATAATAATATTTCTTTTTTTTATCAAAATTTTTAGTAAAAACATTAATTTATTTATTTATTGAAAGAAAGAAAGAAAGGAGGATAAGAATATCTATTCTTTTTGTGGATAATGGCATTAGTAAAGGTGAAAGAGTTGTTAAAGGTGATGGTAAAGGTAATGGTAATTAAGTTGATACTACTGCAGTAGGTTGTGGTGTTATTGCTGTTGGTGTTAGGCACATATGAGTTATTGTTATATTGTTATTTTAATGTGGTTAAGAAAAGACCAACATTCCATCATTAATAGTATTATTAATCAAGATCTCAACGATCTTGAATCAAAATCTGATTGTCACCAAAATTGGATAAATCGAACAATTCAACTTTCTTAATCACCTATTTTGTTTTCCAATAAGATGGTTAAATATTCCCAAAATTCATAAAAATATCTATTATTTCATATTGGATTTGAAAAACTAGTTTCAACAATAAAATGGAAAATGAAATCAATAGATATAAGTTCAACTTTCAAAACTAAATATAAATAAAACTTATTCCATGCTTTTTTTAAAATCTTTTGTCTGTAATTTTTGAGAATATCAAAAAAAAAGATTAATAAAAATATACTTTTCCTTGAGTTTTGATAAAAATATTTCATATTGGTTGACCTAATTTCTGCACATCAAAGAATTATTCTTTGTTACTGAGGCAAAATTCCTTAGTTTTCGAGAAAATTGCTATGACATCTTTAAAATTTGAAAAAAATGAAAAATGAAAAATAAATTCACAAACTTTTTTTTTAATTTTAAATCTTTTGTTTTTTTATAAATAAATTAACTTAAATTTTTGATTAAAGTTGATTAAGTGTGACACACCAATAACAACAATAATATTTTATTTTGTTTTATTTTATTTTTTTAATAAAATTATTTAGGTTTTTTTCATTGTCACTTTCTGTATTTCTTTTTTTTTTTTTCGATTTTATATAGGATAGTTGTAGTAGTAGTTAATAACTAATAGTAATAAGTAATAAAAAATGTCACGGGACTTTACAGATGAAGAATCAAAGATGATATTTGCATTGTCAGATATCTTTTCGGATTTCGATATAACTGATGTTGCCAATTGCCTTGTCAAGCACAAGTTCAATGGTGAGGCCGCTGCCGATGACTTGTCCATTCAACAGAGTAAACTGGCACAGGCACAGGCGCAACCACCATCACCTTCACACTCACAGGTTCAAGCAGGCTTAGCACCGCAACAACAACAACAACAACAACCATCGCCACCACAATCATTACAAGCCAAGCCAGCTGCTGCACCACAACCATCCGCACCACAAGTACATAATATCTACCAACCACCACAGCAACTTCAACAACAACAACAACAGCAACAACAAAGACCAATGTCACCACAACAACCATTAGTACAACAACAACAACAACAACAACAACAACCACAGCAACAACAGCCACAACAACCACCACAAAATTTTTATTATCCACAACTTCCACAGTCACAATCGCCAGTACAACAACAACCATCTACTTCATCACATATCCATCAACATCAACCACCAGTATCGCAACCAAGCAATGCATCACAGATTCATCCACACGCTCAAGTTCCACCACATCCTCAAGCCCATCCACAAAATCAATACACCCTTTCCCAACCACAACTCTTCAATGGAATCTATACAAATGTACCACAACCATATAATCCAGTACCAATCGTAGCACATTTCCCAATGGACCAATATGTACCTTTGAAAGATCACAAATTGGTAAGTACATCAAGATTTCTTATAATTCTATAAACTAAGTTTGTATGAACATCTTTGCTTACTCTTTTTTATTTTTATTTTTTACCTTTTTCTCAGGCATTGAACCAAATTACTGCACTAAACGAAAAGATTGCAGAGATGGAGAAGACTATCAGGGAGAGAGACCAACAATTGAAGGATAAAGAGCATTCTTTGAAGGAAAAGAATGACCAACTTACACGGATGGAGGAGAGAACAGTTCAGATAATGTTAAAGAATGAAGAAACAACCGCAACAATCAAATCTAGTTTATTAGAGAATTTTTCAAAATTCTTAGACCAATCATTCACAGTCAATAACCAACCACAATAATTCAATATGATAATTATAATTTTATTTTATTGTATTTTTTTTTTCTATTTCTTGGAGCTTATTTATTAAAGTATTCTTATCATTTTCTTTAAATAAATTTCGAGTTGTATTATTCTTATCAGACAAGAATACTTTATTACTCAATAATTAATTACCAAAGAATCTATTAATACATTACTCTTGACTGGTTTAGTGTTAGAATCACTAACTGACAATATTTCTAATTTTTGTTAAAATAGATTTTCATGAATAGAGTTATACTGATTTATTTTCTCCTTTTATTTCTATTTATAAATTTTCTCCTTTTTTGGTGTCCTCAGTTAGTTTGCAATTGTTTAAATCGCAAAGTGGATGGTACCGTTTGTCTGGATGCGGAATATTTGGATTTGAATGATTCTTCCTTCACGTTCATAGCTACAGTCTGTGTGTCCACATGGAAACTCAGTATTCATTGTAAAGATATATGAAATGCATATTAATGGCTGGGTTGGAGAATATGACCATAGTAGTTTAATTTATTATAGTATGATCCTTAAATTGTTTACCATTAATATTGGTGTCAATCAAGCCTCTGTGTGCGAATGTACGAGTGAAGAAGGTGTTAAAGTTGTGATATGATAAAACGAATAAGAATTGATTGATCTTGAATTTTTTTCTATCTTTCTTTTTTTGAAAATCTTCAATTACTGATTTATCTACAATACGATTGGTAACCAGGAAATAAACAGTGTTTGCGGATATAGAATCGTCAAGCTTACTGAAAAAATGACCAGCAAGTTCAATTACTTCACTATTGGATATCTGGTATATCTTCTTATTTTTAAAATTGTCTGAGAACTTGCATTGGACAAAAATACTGGTTATACCTTGCCTGCCTGTTAATTTAAAGATGTGGTCAATTGTCTCGGTGTTTCTTTTACAAACATGAATGGCAGTGTCTTCAAAATTTGGTGCATTAAATGGGTTTGTTTCTTCATCAAATATAACCTGTTGTAAATTATTAATATTGAGTTCGATTATCAATTGAATTCTTAATTTAATTACCTTTTTTGGAAAGGAAGTCAGTATATCGTTAGTAATTTCCTCGATACCATATACACCTTTTAATAATAATTGAATAGTGAGGTTATGTTTAAGCTTAACATGAGCATTGATTTTGGCAATACAGATTCTTGGGAACAACTCTTCAAAATCCTTCCATGTCCAGAATTTGGTGGGAGACGGGAAAAATAGTAATTCTGAAGGAAATAATCTCTTGTCAACCAGTAATGAATTGAGAACCACCATGTTATAGAAACTAATAAATATGGTGTATTGAGTAGAATCTCTTTCCTCGACTGAATTTGATGATGAGGCAGATGATGTTGATGATGATGAATCTGTAGATGAATCTGTAGATGAAGTGGAAAGTCTTGAAGGTAATGATGATGAATATGACTTTTGAGACTTTTGTGGAGTTAAGTCAAACAATTTGCTCTTTCTCTTGTGGTCAACATGAGCAGATTCCTCAGAATCTGTACTAACAGTATCTATCTGTTCCAAATATAAGTTTCCGCACATTCTTATTTGGTTCACTGTAATTTGATTGCCATCCAATTCACCAAGTTTAGTTGATAATGTTACTGGTGTTTGTGTGATTGCCAATAAAAGAATTTTTTTCACTACTTTTAAATTGGTAATGGATGACATGCTTAACCTGCTAATCTTATCATAGCACCTTTTAGAAAACTCAAACAAATAACTATTACAACATCTTAAATAAAAACTGATTTCTCTAGGAATGAATCCAGTGTCACCAAGACCAGTTTCAAACAAACCATGATATTTGATCAGAATCTGTGAAAGATATTCTTTTTTATCTCTGTTTGGATGCTTGTAGTGCTCAATAAATGGTTCGAGTGACTCTCTACGACTTAGAGGGTTGAAGCCAATACATATCCTTTGGTAATTCGACTTTAAATTTACTATATCGATTGAAGATGTTCCGGTGCAAACTGGTATTAAAAAAATATCTTTTCTTTTAACCATTATTTCACCAATGGCATCTAATAATAGTTTAAAACTCTCACTTTTATGATTATTGTCAGATTGTGGTAATGATTTAATATATTGTTGAAATTCGTCCAAATGTAAAATGATGGTAAGTGGATTGGATTGAGTAATTGGGCTACCATTTTGTTGAACAGATATAATTAAATCGTCTATTACTTGATTAATTGTAAATCTGCTTGAAGAAGCGATTAGATGATCAATAACTTTGCAACCATAAATCCCAGATGATATTGCAAGACGCATGCCAATGCGAATATCAGCAGACAAACTATCCAGCTGGGGGTGATAACTTGAACCATTCAAGAAATTGATCTCGATATATATGGCTGATTGTAGTGATCTTCTTAAAATTTGATCTATTCCAATGAGCTTGGCCTCTGGTATACGTGATAATTCATAGGCCGCTCTACTTTTACCAGTTCCAGATCCACCTGCTATCAAGAAAAAAACTTGCTTTTGTTTTTCTACGGTACCTCTATAGTTGAATCCTTCCGAAAGGTTTGAAACAATTATGTCGAAAAATGAATCTCTCTCTACGAATTCGATATCGTAATCATTGTATTCTCTATAAAGAATTTGTCCTACTTTGAACTCTATAATATAATGTGATTAGTATACTTTGATTGATGTAGTTGGAAGGTGTTGATAGTGATTATGTGAAATAGCAAGATGCAACTTGTTTGTCCTATATACTTTAAAGTATGGAGATTTGTATATAACATCGACAATGAAGGTGATCATCGGTATGTGATGATGAAGAAAAAATACTGATGTAGTGTAGGTTGCATATAGCAACAATCATGTAACAAAGCGGTGATGTAATACAATTTATAGCAACCCTTAAGGTCGTTAACCTGAGACTATATTTGTTGATATTGAGGTGTGTAATTGATATGTGTAGTCTCACGAGGGAAAATAGTAGATGTAGTTTATCTGAAATGATATATATAGATATAACAATGACAATGATGTATTATAATGTATGATTTGATAATAGCAAATGATAAATGTGTATAAAAGGCTAAATGATGATGATTGTTTATTTGATTGTTTGATTGTAGTAATAATGGTTGTGTTGTTGTTGTTTCTGATTATTTGATCATTGTGTATGATCGATTTGATGAGTAGATTTAGTAACAATAATGTGATATTTAAGAGGATAAGATATTTGCTTTTGTTTTATATATATAACAACTAAATATAAAGATGTTTGGTTGAGTACGATAAATATTAGGTAGTTTGTGTTGTTTTCTACTCTGTGATGATTGATCAGAGATGAATAATATGGTATTGTGTTGGATTGTAATATTTACCTTGTTGTTGAGTTGTTTGATTAAATGAAAGAGAGGGAGTTAGCACAGTATAATAAATATCCAAAGGAGTTGGGTGAATATTTGCTCTAACATCTAGAGGTTGAATATTATTATTATTTGTTGGATCAAGTGAATACAGATTAACATTTCCTGGTGTTTCTTTAATGCTGTATTCTCTGATAATTGTTTTTTTCATGTCTTCGTAATCTTTGACATCTTTGAATAATAATTTAGATGGAGGGAGTTGATTCTCATGAACCCAACATTCAAATGTAATAGGTTGATGAGACATATAGTTGTTAAAACGAAAGTAATGTAATTGCAAGAGTAATAAAGAAATAATGATTAAAAACAAATAAATATTCTATTGAAATAAAATAATAATAATAATTCTAGTATTTTTTTCATTTTATCCTTTATTTTTATAAATTAATTCGAGTGTGTTCTTTAACATAGTTTTATGTTGCATACCAACTCGTAAGTTATTAACAATTTAATTTATTTCATTGTTTTTAAGACTGACCAATATTATTGAAAAAATAAAATTTAGTTTCAGTGAATTGGAAGCATATGAAACTTTATTTTGAAAGAATAGTTGATTGTGAAACTTGGTTACTTGATTTCTATAGGTGTTAAGTGACTTGTGGTATGGTCCCCTTGAAAGCTTATCCTTGTTGATGATCATTCATTTTTCAACAATACCCTTAGTTTAGTTTCTCAAGAATTTCCTCAGTCTTGTACCAACATTACAAGTATATTATTACAAATCATGTGAACCAATCAAAAAAATGTACTAGCTAACTGTGATGTCTGTACTCAAAATTCCAGATCGGCTGATGTATTTTATTTCAATAGAATATTTTTTTTTTTTCTTTCAAAAACAAATAAATATAAAATTTTAAAGATAATTCTTTTTTTTTTTATCTTCTTGTTCACATTCTTTATAAAATCTAACAGTAGACATTTTTGATAGGTATTGTGTTCAAAGATCTGGAATGTGGGAAAAGAAAAAACGAATCTAATCACACAATTGTGGTAAAATATTTTGAAATAAATATCAATGAAAAAAAATAATTCAAAAAAAAAAAACATACAATATTTTTGATTATTAAAAAGAGAGATATAAAAAAAAAAAGAATAACACTTTGTTTGAATATGTATTTATATTATAAATTATAATCAAAGGATTATTAATAAATAAAATTAAAAAAAACAAAAATGACTAGAGCAAAACCATTTAGCGGTAAACAAAAGAAAGATCAATTGAAAGCAAAGAAAGAGAGAAAGAGAATTGAGAATTCATTGGAGGAGAATGACGATCAACTTTCACTTCATGAGAAGAGAAAGATGGCCAGAGAGATTCTAGATTCACATTCCTATAAATCAAATAAGAACAGTGGATCAAGTGGAAGTAGTAGTGCCATATTTCAGAGTACAGCAACAAAAAGTAATAACAACAGAACTCATCATCATCATCATATAAATAGACATAGTAATAATAGAAACGATCGTTCAAATAATAAGAGATCTAGTAGTAATATCGGATCTGATAATGAGCAAGATGATGATGATGATGACGAGGAAGATGAAATCCATTCACAATCATCTGAATCAGAGTTCGACTCCAATAGTAATAGTGATGTTCAAAGTCAAGCAGATACTACAACAGAGGATGAAACAACAACAAAGAATAGATTCATGGAAAGAGGTGGAAGAGGTAGACCAAAGTAAGTTAATCAAACAAACCTTATACTTAGTGTTTCACTCATAACTAATTTCTTTTGCTATTTTATCAAGTTTAATTACAATATTTGAAAAAGAATCAAGAGAAGAAATAGAAGCAAGAAAAGAAGCTGCTAAATTACCTGTTGATCTTAAATTTAGAGATACTGTATGTAAAAACAAATAAATATTAATTAATATTTAATAGAGTAACGTTTATATTAATTATGTTTTGATTTTTAATATTAAAGCCATGGAGTGTTTTAGATGAACATTTGGGTGATGATTCAGAATATATCGATATACCAAAGAGACCGTCATGGTCATTCGAATACTCGGCAGAGAGAGTAAAGAATAGAGAACGTGAGATGTTCAATCAATGGTTGGATGGCATCGTTTCGCGTTACGATAGGAGTAGATTGAATTACTTTGAGCAGAATCTCGAGGTTTGGAGACAACTCTGGCGTGTATCTGAGCGATCGGATCTCATTCTATTGATTACCGATGCCCGGTATCCTTTGTTCCACTTCCCTCCTGCTTTGTATCATTATATCACACAGGATCTCAAGAAACCAATGGTCTTGGTTCTCAACAAGATTGATTTGGTCGATTCGAGAATCATCGAAGCTTGGAAACAATACTTTTTCAAGAAGTATCCACACTTGAAAATCATTTGTTTCAGTTCATTCAAGGCGATACGTGATGACCATCCACACTCTGATCCAACCGATGTCAATAAACTAAGGAAATTCAACAAAGGAAGAAAGAGATACGAGAATGCAGAAGGAAAACAACAGTTGGTAGATTTAATTACATCATTTAACATTGAAAAGAATGGAAATTCTTCATCCAACAATCATGATAGTTATGAAGAAGAGGATGTCGAAAGTGAAGAAGAAGAAGAGGAGGAAGAAGAAGAAGAATATAATCAAAATGATGATAATAATGTAGATTCAAAATATAAACCTGAAACACCAAACGATAGTTTTATTACGGTTGGAATGGTTGGACATCCAAATGTCGGTAAATCCAGTTTGATCAATGGTTTGATGGGAAGAAAGGTTGTTAGTACCTCGCGAACACCAGGTCATACCAAGCATTTCCAGACTATCTTTTTGACCAGTGAGATCCGTTTGTGTGACTGTCCAGGTCTAGTATTCCCTGCTCTCGACCGACCGAAATCACTGCAGATCCTCTGTGGATTGTTCCCGATAGCACAGGTACGTGAGCCATTCTCTGCCATCCGCTATCTAGCCGAGAGAGTTGCAGTCGAGAAAGTATATGGATTGACCAACCCAGATGATGATCATCGGAACGATACTACCTCCACCAGCACATATAACAAAGAGGCAAAGGAGAAGCCAACTCCACAGCCATGGACACCTCTTACAATCTGCGAGGCATTTGCACTCAAACGTGGATATCTCATTGCCAAGAGTGGAAGAGCCGACATCCATAGAGCCGGTCTTGAAATACTTAGGGATTGTGTCGATGGAAACGTTGTTATTTCATGGCCACCACCTGGATTATCGAAAGATCAATACATGGAGATAATGAACACTACAACTATCAATCAAAAATCATTGGTATCCAAATCCAATAAAGATATTGATGCAGATGATGATAATGATGATGATGAAAGTGTTACAACTACCACAACAACAAATGACAATAATAGAGGTAGAAGATCAAGGAAATTAAAGATAAAGAAAAAGTTTGATAATATGACAATGATCAGTGATGATGATGATGAAGAGGATGAAGCTGTTCATATACATAGAGCTAGTGGTAGTAGAAAGAAGAAATCAAGTAGAAACAACAGACAACAACAACATTCTGATAAGAGTGAAGAGGATGAAGATGATGATAACGATGAACTCAATCCCAATGAAGTGATACCATCGACCATTGCAAAGCATGGTAAGAATAAAAAGCTATCGGACAAAGCGTTTGATTATCAAGAGAGACTAAGAGAGAAACAGAAAAAAGGTGGAAACAAAAGACAAGTTATTTAATTATAAACTATGTAAATAAAAGAAAATAAGAACATTGTAAATATATACAAATATTAGTTTATTAGTTTATTAGTTTATTTTGTTTTCTTGTTTTATTCTACTTTAATGGAATGATCTTCTTTTGATTTATTTTGTGGATCTAACTTGTATGCTTTCTTGTATGGCTCTGTTGTTGTTGTTGTTGTTGAAGGTGTCGATTCCGATGGTTCATTCTTCTTTGAATCGGAAATGTAAGAGTTTACAATATCAACTGATTTATCAAAGATATATTCACCAGAGTTTAAATAGACGACTGCTGCATTCTTTATTTTTTCATTTTTGATCATATTTGCAACACCTCGTCTATATATGTATTGTTGTTATTGTTGATCATCATATTATTATTTATTATGAAAAGATTGATTGATTGATTAAATGATTATTATTATTAGTACTAAAATATATAAATACAATACTACTAAATATAAACTAAACATACACAGAGAATCCAGTGTAACGACGAATACCAGCAAGACCTGTTGATACAATAGCTGCATCTACACCAATCGATAATAATGAAGTGAATAATCCCATCTTTGTATATATATTAAAATGATAATTATCTTTTTAATTTACAGTTTTATATAATAATTATAATTATAATTCTAAATTAATTTTGTTTTGCTTTTGAATAATAAAACAGTATAATATCTTTAATTTTTTTTTGGTGAAGATGCAACACACAACTAACACATAATTATGATTTTACAAATCCTCTCTTTTTTTTTTTTCATTGACACACAACATACAACCAATTATTATACCTGCAAAAGTATGATATTTAATGTTTTTAATGAAGTAAGGTTGTAATAATCTTTGATTTATGAGAGAGAATCTTTAATTAAATAATGAATAAAAAAAAAGGCATAAAATCATCATTTGATGATAATTTATTTATAATATTTTTTATAGTTATTGTTGTTGTTGTTATGTTTAAGAGTCTATAAATCTAACCTTTAATTAGCATTTGATCATGTTGTAATACCTATTAATAATAGTGGTATTTGTGAACAAATTACCATAAACCAACTACTATGAAACATTTTTATGGTATCTTTCTGTTTGCCCATCGGTCTGTAGGTGGTTTGGTGTTGATACTCTCAATCTGATGTTTAGATTCTCCACTACAATGCATTAGATGCTCCAAAGATCGCATGTGAGCAGTGAATCACGGTCGGAACCAATTGTTAATGATAAACCATGATATCTGAAAAGGTTTGCAATACAAAGAGATTGAGTTGGTCATGGCACTACACAACTTTGGGATAAAAAGTATTGGCCGGTGAAAAACACAATTAGTATGAAAATGGAAAGAAGTAGATGGTCATAGTTTCTTCAGTGGTGACTTCTTAGTAGTGCAAGGCAGAACTACCAATTATTATCATTATTTGTTGATGTGGATGATGTAATAGTTGTTGCTGCAGAAGAATCCGTCATGGCATATTCATCCAGTTTTATGTACATCGATTGACATTTTAGTTGTTTGGATCTAGACTTTTTCTTTTTCCTTTTTACCAAAATCTTTTTAGAGATTTTCAAAAATAAAAAATTGTTCTTGTGTCTTTATATTATTAAATTTACACATTTTGTTTTTTTTTAGAAACTTATAAACAATATGATCTTCAATATCTTTATATTTAACAAGAGTGGAACATGTATATATTATGAAGAATGGAATAGAAAGAAAGCATCTCCGAATCTACAAGAGGAACAAAAACTATTGTTCGGTATGCTCTACTCTTTAAAATCATGTTTATCGAAACTTTCACCTTCACCGTATGTATAGATAGATAGATAGATAGATATAAGATTGATTATTTGTAATGATCAAAAATAAGATTTAAGCAAATAAATCGATCAATTGTATTATGTTAGTTATGTTTATCTTATATTTACTCTACTTTTACATTACATTATAAACCCTCAATCAAATAGTATGGATCCACAAACAGGATTTCATTGTTTAACAACATCAACCTATAAATTACATTTCTATGAAACACTGTCGTGTGTAAAGTTTATAGTATTGACCGATCCAAAGACACCAGATCTTCGAGAAGACCTCAAGAAAATATATAACTCTGCATTCGTAGAGTATGTCATCAAGAATCCTTTATACCAACTAAACTCTGTTATCAAATGTGAACTTTTCATTACTCAATTGAATCAAATCATTAAAGCAATACCATATTTCAACAATCAAGAGAAATAGAGATAGTCAACTAGATAGATAGATAGTTAATTAGTTATATATATAATTAAATCAATCAACCAGATTAATCATGTAAAGTTAAACAATCAATCAAATAACAATATATTTATTAATAATAATAAATAAATTATATCTTGTAAACTAAAAAAGTATACAATCTTTTTTTTTTTAGTTTTTAGTTTTAATAAATTTATTTATTTTATGTAACATATTGAATTACAACAAAATTTGAAATATTTAAAATGAATATTGTTATTATTATTATTATTATTCAATTCTATTCTATTCTATCTTTTTAGTTGTTTAGAATAGTTGGAACAGTATGCTTGTAGTTCCATCGGAATGAGTTCTGTTGCCGGCTGTGGCGATCGCTGCACGACACAGTGGACATGTCTTTTCAAATTCGAACCACTGTGAAACACAATCTTCACAAAAGAGATGATCGCAACGTAACACTATAGGAGAGACCATCTTCTCTTGACAGATGGCACACAGGTCACCGACGGCTGCCACCTGCTCCATGGTTGCCTTTCTGCCGTATAACACTTCACGCAGTACATATGCCTTGGCTGTTTGGAACCACTGCTTTGTCTTTTCAATCAAATTGGTCAACTTGAATGTAAAGTAGAGTCCGACCATCAGCGATCCAAAGATATGCTCACCGTCGTCATGCAGCGAGTGCAAGTACTTGAACCAAATGGTTATCGGTAGAATCGATCTATACAAATGACTGGTAACTTCAATAACAGTGTAAAGCTGTGCTCTTCTCTTATGTGGTGGTCTATGTCCAACAACTATAATACAAACTGCTTTTATAATCATTGTAATGAATCTAGCCATAAAATCTGTTGTTTATATTTTAAACCAAAAAAATAATATTAGTAATCCCCGCATGCGAATGCCTCCTAACAACAAACAACAAGTCTACTTACCATTTAAGATTGCACACCAAAATGCATTATAAATATCGATGGAAATGGATGGATAGAGTAATATCAATGATCTCCAAAGTTCGTTGTTTCCAAAGAATAGATAGGTGGTGGCGATATTACTTGATAATATTAAAATTAACCAACATAGTACTCCAATATTTCTCTTTTCCTAGATAATATTCATACAAATATATGTTAGTTTACCATTTTCTTTGTGTTTTATTAATGTTTATATCTATATTTTAGCAAACTAACATACTTGTAATGCAACTTGAGATTTTAATGCTTGATTTGCTTGGAAAAATACAATTTGTTGCCAGAGGAACATAAGGATGCCTTGGCGATGTTTATATAAAAATACAACTAATAATATAACGATGAAAGGATAGGAATGTTCCAGCCATTTCATAATAGACGGTAGATCAAGTCTTGCTGTTGAGTTTGATACTGTTTGTGGTTGTGTTTGTTGCTGTTGTTGATTGTTTGACTCGAAACCATTTACATTACCATTGTTATTGGTGTTGCTATTGCTATTGCTATTATTCGTTGTTGTTGTTGTAGTTGTTGTTGAACTATTATTCAATTGATTATTTATATCGATTCCATGATCATCCTCTATATTTATATTTACTATATTGCTATGACTGTGATTAAGACTGTGATTGTGATTATGATTATGATTATGACTGTGACTGTGACTATGACTGTTATTATTGCTATTATTGCTATTGTTATTTATAGTATTCATCAAATTGATACCATTTGAATTAAAAGATAGATGTTGGTTGTTACTGCCAAACAGTGAGTGACCACGTTGACTAATCAATTGTGACAACGATGATGTGTTGTTTGCAGCTGTTGTCAACAGTGAATTAATTCCACTACCAATGCTATTTATTGTATTACCTCCATTATTATTACCACTATTGTTATTTACAGAATTGTTACTATTATTATTGTTGTTGTTGTTGTTATTGTTATTTGTTGTAGGTATTATAGATATATCATCTTGATCATTATTATTACCACTCTGTGGATCAATTCTAATTGATACTTCCATTGTATCTTATTTTATTTTATCTTATCTTATCTATTATTATATATATCTAGTGACTGTGTGTGATCTGATTATTTAGTTAGTTTGTTTAAGTGTTTAAACAAAACTACTACTACTCTTTCTGTCTCACTATCTCTCTCTACCTTTAATGATTAACTTTATATAATGAAGATGCAAATCAAATCAATTTCTATTTCTTTTTAAAAAGCAAATACAAAACAAAATAAATAACAATTGTTGAATAATATATATAAATTAATGCAATGGTAATAAGTTATTAAACTTGTTTTTGTATAATTAAGTTTTTTTTTTTTTTTTTTTTTCATTTTTTTTCATTTTTTTTTTTTTATTTAATCAAGTAAAAACTTCTTGTTGAGGATGATCAATCGATTCTTCCAAGAATTTATAAGTTAACTAGTTTACATAAAGTTGACATCCTTCATTTTATCAATCATATAACATATTAAACAACTATTAACTATTATTACTAAACTAAAAAAAAAAACTTTTTACTATTTTTTTTTTTTTTTTAAAACATTCATTATTTATTTTTAACATACATGATTTGAAGAGATAATCAAATAAATTAGTTATAATAGATATAAACCAAATCTTAAAATAGTAGATTAAATTGGTAGCCAAATTGTTAGATTCGAATTCAATGAAAGATTAAGAGTTAACATTTATATATATATATTTTATAGTAGTTTTATATAGAGAGAAGAGATAGCTAGATAGTGACTTGGTGAAAAAGATAATAATAATAATAATAAAAATAAAAATAATAATAATAATAATATGTCTAGATTAGAAAGATTATTTACATTGCTAGAGACTGGTAGTACTCCTGCAATTAGAAAAGCAGCGGCACAGCAAATCGGTGAAGTTCAAAGACTACATCCTCACGAGTTACAATCGTTATTGGATAACCTACACTCTAGACTCTTAAGTAAAGATTGGGATACTAGAATTGCTGCTGGTCAGGCAATAGAAGCAATTGCATCACATGTTCCATTATGGAATCCACAATATAGATCATCATCATCATCAGATAATAATAATAATAACGATGATAATAACAATAATAATAATAATACATTAACAACAACAACTACAACAACAACAACTAATAATGATGATGACGAATTAATGTTTGATTTAACATTTGAAAAGTTTGATATTACCAAAGTGTTGAGTAATGGAAGTTTGTTGTTGGCATCGGGTGGACAGGAGTTTGAACCGGAACCACAGATGCAAGGTGTAGATCCAAAGGAAATACTAAAGATACAACGAAGGAAGATCAAGAAGAAGTTGGGTTTGGACGATATTACATCGAATGGCATGGAGTTGATCGACGATGAAGATCTTATCTATATAAAGAAGGAACCGACCAACAACAATAATAATAATAGCAATCAACAACAACAGCAATCATTACAACAACAGGAAGAAGATAGAAAGGATATTGGTACTGTTTTGGATACCAGTGGAATGAGTGCACGTGAGAAAAACAAAGCGAAACGCAAGGCTAAATCCACCTTGAAAGAGAGTACCTCTGGTACTACCAAGCGATACAAAGAGATGAACAGCTCAGCCGATAACCTCAAGAAGAGTAATCAGTCTGTCAAAGCGCCAACGAAACAACATATCACTGAGCAACCTCAAAACTCTGGTGTCATCGTGTTGGAATCGGTACTCGATGTTGACAAAGCATACAATCAAGATGAATGGCCATTCACCTCACTTTACGATGATCTTTTAATTGATCTCTTTAAGTAAGTAAAATATAAAAAACAATGAATATGTTGGCGATAATCACTATTCACCGTGTGACGACTTCATGCGCGCCAACTTCCAAATTCCAGAGCTCTAACAAAATTTTTTTTTTACTTTAGTCCACAATGGGAAATTAGACATGGATCAGCAGTTGGACTTAGAGAATTATGTAGAAAACATGGAAAGGGTGGTGGTGTGACTGTATATACAAAGCCAGAGAGAATTGAGCTTGTAAATACTCTTTGGTTAGAGGACTTTGCTATTAGATTACTTTGTGTTATTGCATTAGATAGATTCGGTGATTATATATCTGATCAAGTAAGTTTAGTAATTCCTTGAAAGTTATATAATCGATTGATATGCTAATTTCAAAGAATTCTTTATTATTATTATTTTAGGTTGTTGCACCAGTAAGAGAAACATGTGCACAAGTACTGGGTTTGGTTGTTAAATATATGAATGCAGATAGTGTTATGAGAGTTTTATCGGTGTTGTTGCATCTTCAGGATAATAAGCAGTGGGAGGTAAGACACGGTGGTTTGCTTGGAATCAAGTATTTAGCGGTGGTCAGACTGGATCTTATCGATTTGGTGTTACCGAGAATTTTGGATGCGATTACCAAAGGTCTGAGTGACCGTGACGACGACGTGCGTGCCACTGCCTCTGAAACATTCCAACCGCTAGCCAAGCAGCTGGTTGCCAACCACCGAGACCGAATCCAACAGATCCTAACAATTCTCTGGGATATCCTACTGGAACTCGATGATCTAGCAGTCTCGACTGCCAGTGTTTTAAATTTATTAGCTGATTTCTATTCTTTTTCAGATGTTATATTACCGACTACAACAACAACATCTAATAACAATAATAATAATGGTCATGTACAGTATCAACAACAACAACAACAACAACAATCAACAAAATTAAGTGAATTAGTACCTAGATTATATCCATTTTTCAGACATTTATTATATAGTGTAAGATTATCAGCTATTCAAACGGTGAATAGATTGATTATGGCAACTGGTTGTGGTGTCAATGGTAACCATCAGTGGTTGTTACCGATTCTGACTGATTTACTACGTTATGTTTTTCAGAATATAATATTGGAGGAGCGTCACGATATCGTTGAGATCTCACTAAAGACATGGAATCTTTTGATTCTTAGCTTTGAGCCTGCAATCATCCGACAAGCAACTCTTCCATTCTTGGTTCAGTGGATCTCGTTACTCTCGACCGTGCCCGGTACTCCAATGAATCAAGACTATCTTTTATTCTCCACGCTAAACTCACATTCCGCAAATAGTCATCATCCATCTGCTGCTGCTGCCGCTGCCGCTACACAATCCACTGTAAAAACAAAACTTGAAGTTGGACAAGTAAAGAGAGGACGTCCATCTAAAGCCAGTGTCCAAGCCAAGGCGGAAGCCGCTGCCAACACCAACAGTAATAACGGAACTGGTGTCGCCAGCTCTGCTCCGCCACGCGAAGTGGAACCAGCAAGCAGAGAACACTATTTGAATACCAGAGCAAAGGTAATGGGAACCAACGCCATTGCAATCGTTATTCGAATGTGGCCAACCGAACAGTCACAGGAAGTCATGGACATGCTACTTGGCATGGTTACATCGGCATCTGCAATTCAAAGACATCTGGCATCGATGATACTGACAGAGATCTTTTATTGCAGTGTCGTACAAACCAATGGAATGCCAACAGTTTCCATTCCACCACAACCAGTTCTGCCACCTACGATGGTCGCCACCATGTCGGAGCTGCTCAATGACTCCGACCCGACTTGGTACTACCACGAAGCCGACACCATCATCAAATCCAAGTTGGCATCAGACTCAAAGATTCTCTCTCAAAGTCTGATGAATGTTGGAATCGATTTTACAGGTGTTGCACTACTTGTCCAATGGGTACAAGACCAGCCTTTACTTCAACCAGAGACCATCCTCCCGTTGTCTTTGGAGTTGATATCCAATGTCTATGCTTATTGTCTCGAGAATATTCAACGTCTAATTCCTGCCAGTACAAAGAATGGACTGGTCGACCAGTTGGAAGCCAGAAGAAAGACGATACTCGCTACCATGGGATATATCGACAAGCTTCAAAAAGAGATGCATACTATGGTGCTTGCTGCTGTGGATGGCGCGCTCATTGCATCCAACAACATACCCGCCAAGGTAACACCGGCCATTCGTTCGTTGCTCCACTCTATTCGAAACGAAGAGGACGATATCTACCAGTTCAGAACGGCTCATTCGTTGGCGCACTTTGTGCAGTTGTGTGCAACTCGAACACCATGTCCAAACGACAAGGTTATCAAATCAATGTTTTCCGTGCTCTGTGAAGACAGAACACATACTCCTCTGGCATCAATTGGCTCTGATCTTAAGTTTGAAGAGGATAATGCCAACGGAGTATTACTATTACAACAACAACAACAGCACCAGCAACAACAGAATTTAGATTCCGAAGAATCAAAGATTGCAAGACTCGGAAGAAGAGGAGCAAACGAGTTCTTTATCAGATTGGTTGGACGGCTTGGTGAAACGCTTTTCAATGTTCTCCCTACTTTCTTCCCGATGATTTCACAAAACCTAGTAGCTTTATACCAAGAGACTACTGGACCATCTGGTTTCACTTTGGTTGTCAATGATTTTGAACGTCTTCAATTGGTGATCGACGAACTCCAGTTGTTCAAGACGGTTCTTCCCAAACTACATCCATCTTTCCATAGCCATTTGATTGACTTGATCCCGATTATTTTCCACTTTGTACAAACACCCAATCTATCGGTACAATCGATGGTATCAAAGACGATTGCACAGCTTTGCTTGACTATAACACTGCCTTCGATGCATCATCTCATTTACAATATGTTACCGCTGCTCGGTGACTCCAAGTCATCGACCAACAGATATGGTGCCATTACCACTCTACTGCAGATAATCAACGATATGTCACTCGAGATCGTTCCATACATTGTATTCTTGACGATTCCAGTACTTGGATGTATGAGTGACCAAGAGATTCCTCTGAGGAAGAAGGCATCGCTTTGTTTTGCCAAGTTGGTCAAGTTGATGCCCCTCGAACCCGGTGTTCCAAATCCAGTTGGACTGGACGAGAAACTTGTACAACAGAAACTGGAAGAGCGTAAATTCCTTGAGCAACTATTGGACGGATCGAAAGTCGAGCAGTATCCACTACCAATTCGTATCAACACCGAACTCAGAAAGTATCAACAGGACGGTGTCAACTGGCTGGCTTTCCTCAACAAATATAAACTACATGGTATTCTCTGTGATGATATGGGTCTTGGAAAGACACTACAAGCCATCTGTATCATGGCTGGTGACGACTATGACAGACGTGTCAATTTCGCTGCAAAGGGAACACCAAACTTCCAGCCACTTCCCTCGATTGTCGTGTGTCCATCTACGCTGGTCGGTCACTGGTATTATGAAATCAAGAAGTTCTGTGATACAACGATGCGTCCAATGACTTATATGGGTGCACCGGCTGAACGTGCTGCACTTCGCGCCAAATTCAAGGATCACAATGTCTTGATTATGTCGTATGACATTGTACGTAATGACATTGACCATCTGACAGAGTTGAGTTTCAACTATTGTATTCTGGACGAAGGACATATCATTAAGAATACCAAGACTAAACTGACCCAGGCTGTCAAACAACTAAAGTCGAATCATCGTTTGATTCTCTCTGGTACACCTATTCAGAACAATGTTCTCGAGCTTTGGTCACTCTTTGACTTTTTGATGCCCGGATTCCTTGGTACCGAACGTCAATTCGATGATCTCTACAGCAAGCCAATTCTCGCCAGTAAAGATCCAAAGTGTACACCAAAGGACCAAGAGGCAGGCGCTCTTGCAATGGAAGCACTTCACAGACAAGTATTACCGTTCCTCCTTCGTAGACTGAAAGAGAATGTGCTCCATGATCTACCACCAAAGATCATTCAGGATCGTTACTGCAAGCTGTCGCCACTCCAGGTGAAACTGTACGACGACTTCTCCAAGACACATTTCCGTCAGGGAATCGATCAGGAGATCATATCTGAGGATGCAGATGAAGAACCACAGGAAACAAAGAAATCGACCAAGAAAGGTGGACAAGCAACTACTCATGTATTCCAGGCACTTCAATATCTCCGTAAACTATGTAGTCATCCTCAGTTTGTATTGAATCAGAATCATCCACAGTACAATGCGATTATAAAGGAACTAAAGGCAAGCAAATCCGACATTACCGACATTGAACACTCACCGAAATTGACAACTTTGAAAGAGTTGCTATTGGAGTGTGGAATCGGTGTGCAATCTGCCAACGCCAACTCTAATAACAATGCGGATTTGAGCCAAGACGTTACCACTCAGCATCGTGTGTTGATTTTCGCCCAGATGAAATCAATGTTGGACGTTGTAGAGACTGACCTTCTCAAACACCATATGCCATCGGTAACCTATTTAAGAATGGACGGTTCAACCGATCCAATGAAAAGACATTCGATTGTCAATCAATTCAATTCCGATCCATCGATTGACTTGCTGCTACTGACCACACACGTCGGTGGTCTAGGTTTGAATCTTACCGGTGCCGATACTGTCATCTTTTTGGAACACGACTGGAATCCAATGAAGGATTTACAAGCTATGGATCGTGCGCATCGTATCGGTCAGAAGAAGGTGGTCAATGTTTACCGTCTTATTACCGCTGGTACTCTCGAGGAGAAGATCATGGGTCTGCAACGATTCAAACTCAACATTGCCAACACCATTGTCAATCAAGAGAATCAATCGATACAGACAATGTCAACGAACGAACTACTTAATCTCTTTGACTACAACGAAAGTGATTCACAGAAGAAGGAGAGTGGTGATAACGGAGCAGTCAACTCTATGGGTCAAGTAGAGAAACCTAGCAAATCTGGACTCAAGAATGTGTTGGCATCGATCGGAGAACTCTGGGACGAATCACAATATACCGAAGAATTTGATATCAATAACTTTATTGGATCATTACAATAATAACAATAAATATAACAAATAATAAAAACCATAGAATTATTTATATATATATAACATCTTTTTATTACAACATTCATATATTATTATATATGATGTATATCTTTTAAAAAAAAAACAATAACAGCTTTGCTTTAACATTATTCTATTTACAATGACTCTACTTTCTTTGATATCATATGGTTTACTACAACTTTAACTAATAATAAATATTATGTTTAAATATTTGGTGTAATTGTATATTATATAAAACACATCTATAGTTCTGCGTATAACATTGATGGTGGAACTAAAGGTGGTTTTAAAGAAATTGCATTATTGTTGCTACTATTATTATTATTGATATTATTGTTGTTACTATTAATATTATTTTGAAGTTGTTGGTTTGTAATATTTAATTTTAAAGGTTTATCTTGTCTTTGATTATGTAACATTTTAATTTTATCATCTATGTCTTCTTCATCTTCATCCTCTGTCTCTTCATCACTCTCATTATTATTATTATCTGCTAAATTTGTTTCTGCTTTTCTTTTAATAGAAAGTTTTAATGTTCTATTATTATTATTGTTGTTGTTGTTGTTGTTGTTACTATTATTATTTTGCACCTGTTGTTGATGTTGCTCGTCTAACATTCTTTGCTTATTCCTTGATTGTACTTCTTTTTGCTTCTCACAACCTCTGCAAAGGAATGGACTCTGACAATTGTGTTCGATCTCTTTCAGATGACTGCTAAGCATTTCCTTTGTTGTGAAACAACGGGTACACGATTGATGTGGACACTTAATTATCAGTAGTTTGTTGGGTGACGGCTTCTCTGTATAAATCATAGAGTCATCTGTACTATAATTATGACCATGACTATGACCACTATTACTAATATTGTTATCATTACTATTACTATTATTATTATTATAGTTGTTATAAATATCAAACTCTTGATTGTTATAGTTGTTAGAATGTACTCCTCTGGTGGATCTTGCTCCATATCGATGTTCTGGTGGTGTACCCGATGAGCTTGTTGTGTAGTAATGATAGTCAGAGTCACTACCACCACCACTAACACGTCCTCCACCACCACCGGTGGTCGTTGTTGTTTTAGGCTTTTTCTTTCTTTCTCTTGTCTCTAGATTGATAACCGATCCCTTTTCAGTCCTAAAGTGTATCTCGTTTGGACAGATGTTTTTGGCACCGGAGCACCGATGGAACTGTGAACAATGTCTAACTACATGATAGAATCGCGTGTAGGACTTGTCACATCCATCATGCTGACATTTATAAGGCTTCAATGTATTAGCATCGTCAGCCATAATTAACAATTAATGTTTACTATTACTTTGATATTCTACTATAAGGGATAAATAAGATAAGATAATAATCTATGATAAATAATATGAGATTCTATAAATCTTGAACAATATATATAATTATATATGGATATTGTTGGGATAGTTGATATAATGATATGGACTACTTTATTTAACTTTCAAATACTATACATATATGTAAGATTACAAACAAAACATAAAAAAAAATAAACTAGCTTCAGTTATAATCTAAAAAAATAAATGTTTGTAAATGTTTGAAAAAAACAAAAAAAACAGAAATGTCAAAAAAGGGATTAATAACTTGGGGATACAAGATTAGATAATAATTAAAAGAGGTAAAAAAAATAAAATAACAATTTATTTCTATCTTTTTTTAAAAATATTTAAAGTTTAATATTAAATTTTGAAGCTTGAGTTTTTGTTTTTGATGTTTGTTATTCCTCTAGTAAATTTAGATATTATTTTGATTTCCATTAAAAATTATTTATTTGATCATATAGTAATTTATATATTTTATAACTACAATGAGATTCTTTATTTATAAAGAAATATTGTTTATTTCATTTGAAAAAAAAAAAAGGTTGTCGATTTTGAAATTTGGCTTTGGTCTCAGTCATAGTAATGGCTGTAACAGACTTTAAGAGGCTGTGTGCAATTAGACTCGTGGAATATTCCGACCATTAAGTGGAAAGAGAGTTTACCAATCAAAATATAATATCCATTGGAATCGATTAAACGAAGTTTTGTCCATCCTTGACCAGTCCTAGCAGTGGTCAATATAAGCTTTGTAAAGTTGGTGGATCTACTTAACAAAAACTTGGATTCCAAAAACTGTCTAGCCTTTGTAGCAATGATTTGCTGTTGGATATACGGTAGCTCCACCATCGTTTGGTCAGCGAAAATCTTTGAAAGAGATTTCGATGAGAATTTAACCTGCTCTATTTGCGATGGTGCAATCTCCTCTTGAACATTCAGTGGGTGTTGATACTCTCTGAGATCGAGTAGCGCTATTTTCAATGTGAAAAGTGTATTGTTGAATCTGGTTGTTCCAGACAATATCAATTTATCCAATTGTCGTTGAACTCCACCACTTTCGGCTGTGAATGAATATTCACAATCAACCAAATGCAGATGCTTCACAGATAAAGGTAGTACATTTCCATTGAAACTACAATTAGATATTAATAAAGAGTAAACTCCATTCGGAATGTCACCGAATGCTAATCGAGAATCGGTATGGCCAACTAATTCCAATCGTCGTAGATTCGAAAGCACTCTAATCTTTGGTATCCATGAGAATGGCGCTATCTTTAGAGTATCCAACGACATCGGTAGATCTACATCGTCGTCCAACGGATCGAGTGGATCGAAACTAAAGAACTCTAGATTCGGTGGTAGTGATCCTTTCGTCAATTTCAGTGGAGTTGTCAGTGTCGATAACTTTACTGAACCGGTTAGCCTTCGCAATGACAAAGGCAATACTCCCGGTTCAAACGAGTTATAATTGTGTCCCGTGATGCTTAGCTCCACCAAACCATTGGGAAAACAACCAGGTACAAGCTTCTCCTTGATTGATCCAACTGTAAACTTTCTTAGTGACAGAGGTAGCACACCCACCGGAATAGATGTCACATTCCAAAGTTGAACGGTAGTGAGTCCCTCAAAGAAACTGCCAGGTTCCAACGTTTTCAATTTAAACCAAACAATCGATTTCAACTTGTGTGAGAGCGGTCCACTCTTTGTCGGTTGATAACCACTGACATCGGTGACATTCGAGTTGTACAAAGCCAAACTAAGATACTCGAGATTCTTCTCATCGATAACACTTGGCATTGTAACTGAATTACAATTACGAGGTATAACATAGTCACATAGTCTTTCTATAAATATATATATATATATATATATAGAATCGATATGAATATTAATACCTATAGGTTATTACCTTTACTTTATTTAGGACTAGATTACCATTTAATGTTACATAATCGAATACAGTTTGTCCACTCATTTTAGTTGCATATTCACGAATAATTAATTTACAATTATTTTTATTTGTCATTGAATTCAAGTAAAGCTGTTTGTATGACTTTAAAAAAAAATAACTGTGTACGTACGATGGTCGTATGACCAACCTTTCGGTATTAAATTTAAAGTATTTATCTCTATTTTGAAACCATTTCTTGCAAACTAAACTGAAACAAACTTTATCTATATTACCATTGATATAATCAAATATCTTTATAATTAAAATATATGGTAGATTTACAAGTTTATGTTCATTATTATTAATATTATCGTTCATTATTGTTTTAACAAAGTGTAATAAATTTAATGATCATGTTGTTGTTGTTTTTTAAAAAAATCAAAAAAAAGGCGCGCCAATCAATTGTTTATTTTTAAAAAAGTGTCACTTAAAATAGAATAAGATTAAGTAATTATATATTTTCGCTACAAATTGTTTTTTTTTTAATTATATATATATATATATATATAATGATACTAAAGATTTGTTTGTAAATGGATCATCTATTGAAATGTCCTATATGTTTTGATTTCTTTGATACTGCATTGATGATAATAACATGTTCACATAATTGTAAGTGGAAACCAAACAGACTATCTATAAATTAACTGTCATTATTATTTCAATTATTAATAAAACACAGTTTGTTCATTATGTATAAAGAAATACTTTTCACAACCAAATTTACATTGTCCGATTTGTAGAAAGGTAAATAATTAGAAACTTATTTTAACATAATAATATTAATAATAATTAAAACTTTTTATTGCTATAGGCTGCAAGTACTTCTGAATTGAGGAACAATAGATTATTAGATGAATTAGTGACCGCTCTAAAGCAGACTTTAGAGAAAAAGAATGGTGATTCATCTGAATTGTTGTTATCGACAGACGACAGCAGTATTTCATCGACTCAAATCATCTCGACACAACAAACAACTTATGCATCAATAGTAAAGAAGAGATCATCATCATCATCATCAATTTCATCATCATCAACTAAACATACAAATGATAAGAAATTAAAGACTGCTAATCATCATTATGATGATAATGATAATGATTTTAAGAGTAATAATAGTAATAATAGTAGTCAACAACAACAACAACAAACACCAGGTAGAATGATGACAAGATCAAGATCACAGAAAGAAGGTATTAAATATGATGATTCTATATTCTCTGATACGCTGTCAGTTGGATCGTCTTCGAACAATAAACGTAAAGGAAGATCATCGACATCACCACGTAAATCACAATCGAGTCAAGAGTTACATAAAGAAGACCGTTTAGTTGTATCGGTACCACTCTCTGACAGTAATAACTACAACAACAAATCTGCAAACAAAAATATCAATAATCACAATAATGAAGATGATGACGAAATAGAAACTTCACAACCAACAATCAATTCACAATCGATTCAACCAATTCTAAATAATAATAATAATAATAACCAACAATTGTTGATAATTCAACCAAAACGTTTGACACCTTTGGCAAAGCTATGTTATTCTATTATGAAGATTAAACAGATAAAAGATTCATTAAAGAGTTTGGGATTGAGGACGAATGGCGATCGACAAACATTGATCAATCGACACAAAGAGTATACACTTAGACATAATAGTCAGTGCGACAGTATGAATCCAAAGACAAAAGAAGAGATCATAGAGGAACTATATGAATACGAACAGCTCACTGCTAAACCAAAGACAACAGCAACCACGACCAGCAAGAAAAAACAAACAACAAACAACAAAAAATCGAATAGTAATTCTCCAGTTTTATCATTACCATCACCAGTTTTATCACCACCATCATTACTTTCACTTCCCTCACCAACATTGCAATCATCTTCACAATACCCAATTACTAATAACAATAGTAATAATAATAACGATGATGATGATGATCAAGTTAATAACAATACAACCATTTCACAAACACAAACACAAGATCAAAGTCAAGACCTTTTCGAGAAACTAAAATTACAGATTCTAAGCAGGAAGTCTGTGAATTCATTGTAAATAAACTATATCTATTTAAATCTATTTAACAGAATCTTTATTTATTAAGAAAATCTTGATATGTGTCCCTTTCATCTTCCCTCAATAAATATTCACTCATTTATTAGCTATATTATTTATAAACTAGCATAACTATCTGTTAAAAGTATCTTTACTAATTTACACATAATCTACACATGATCATTTTTTTGGTATACGAAACATCATGTTTTTTTTTTTTGTTTTTTCACCAAATTAGTTTATATAATATATTTCTGTTTAAGTTTGTAATAGTTAAAATAAATGATATCATTAAGATTAAAGAATTTAATATCTATTGCAAAACAACTACCTTTGCCATCACACAGTAAAGCAAGTCTCGAGTTGGTCAGTGAATTACAACAGTCTTTTGATCAGCTGACGTTAGAGGATTTGAATATAGATGATCAGACCGATTTGACATCAAACAAACTGTTGTATTTGAATCCTGCTTATAAAACACCGTATGGATATCCGATCTCCTACTACCCATTACTCGAAAACAAGAGTTTCACACTCTCTATATTTGCAATGCCAAGAGGTTCAACCATTCCACTACATTCACATCCACACATGCAGATACTCAGTAAGATGTTATATGGTTCAATTACAATCGATTCTTTTGAACAATTACAAGAAAATGAAAAAGATAATAATAATGAAACAAAAACAACAACAGTAGGTTCAATCAATTCAAATATAAATACAACAACACCACAATCACAATCGATAAGTGCAATCTATCGTGGAAGACAAGTAATGACAAAAGAGAATTGTAGGAGTTTTCTTTCGCCTGATTCCGTCCTGCATAGATTCCGTTCACTCGAGAGCTCTAGTGCTATTCTGGAGTTGCTATTCCCGCCATATGAGTATCCTCAGAGAAACTGTACATATTATAGAGAGATGGGTGCACCAACTTCCGATGGCAAAGTACGTTTTCAACCGTTTGAACCAGACTTTTATTGTGCCTCACACAAAGATCATCCAGTGTTGGATAAACTAAACTTTGAACTCAAAAACTTGTACAGTGATCAATGATAATGAATAAATTACATTAAAATAATCCCCAAAGTTTGCCAAAAAAAAAACAAACAAGCATTATTCTAATTATTTACTTTTACAATAATTAAATTACATTTGAAAAATCTTTTTCAAATAATATTAATTTGACACTTTTTTATTTTATTATTTTATTGATTTGTTTTGATTAGTTAGTGAAGTTGATTATTTATCATGTTGTAGGTTAGAAAAAAAAGGTTATTGGGAGCAGCACTAAAGGAGATAATTTTTTTTTCGACTTTTCATTTCAGCCAATGAAAGTTCCACATGTGACGGAAACAAAAATAAATAAAAAAATAAAAAAATAAAAAAAACCCATCTTTTCGTAAGTAGGCGGGGTGTTACAAAGAGACAGCTGTACCCAAAACACCATGTTTCCGCCCAGGAACTAAACAACACATTAATTTAATCCCTCAGTAATCAGATTTTTTATTTTTAATGATATTTTTTTGTTTTAGTTTTTACATCATCCTTTCTGTTTAAAAGTAAAAGGATGTGCATTTGATTTGATGATCAAAAGAGGTTTACAAGTTTGTAAATAATATAGATATAATAGAATTAGATAACTTGTTGTTGTTTAGTGTTTTTAGTATTTAATAATCTAATTATCAAGATAAGATAAAAGCTAAAAAAGATTCAGGAAGCAAAAAAAAAGTTCACTTCTTTTGAAAAGTAAATATAACTTCATCTATCTTTACATGTGACAAACGTTATAAACACTTCATCTTTGGTAATCTCCAATAAAGTTGATAAAAAAACAAAACAAAAAAAAAGAAAATCAAAAATAAATTAAAAATCAAAAAAAATCCATTAATATCAATCGGCATCTTCCGATGCCCAGCAACCAAATATGGGGATGATTAGTTTTTGTTTGTTGTTTTATTTTTATATACCGAAATGAATCGATACCAAGAGCAATAAATCTACAAAAAAACCAATATATTTTTGGTCTATTAAATAATTAACTATTCGTCGAGTAGAGTTTACTTTCAGATATATAAATAAATTATTATTGTTTATTTTAATTAATATATTATTTGTAACGAGTAATGATATTGCTTAACATATCATATTAGATAACAGTGAGTTGGATAAAAGTTGTTGTTTTATACATCATTTGAGAATAAATTAAATAATCATATCATAGAGCAGATCGTCATTTTTCCACACACCTATCACTATATACTACAACTACTACTATAGCATCAATTATGGAACTCACAGTAATTACTAGAAGACAAACCTAACCTATAAATCCATAGACTCTCAGTTATGGATGATGAAAAATATTTCACACGGACCGTCCGTACAAAAATCAAACAATAAATCACAAACAAACCCCACTACTCTCCAACACCATCCATTATTTTCATCATCATCACCACTCTAAAATATATGTATACTGACACTATCTATCTTCCCACTTTCCCATTTTCTCACTCATGTTTACTTTTACCACAAGATGATATGATACCAACATCAATTTTAAAACAATCATCTCAATATACTCTTTTATTTGTATCCCAACAATTCTCAAAAAACATATATATCATTGTTAATCACATATACATACAACTTTCGAAACATCATCATTTCTATTTTAATTCTCAGGGTATGTATTTATTGAATTTCCAATAGATGTTTATTTAAACATTCAAAACAATATTGAATAAAAAGAGAGAGTAACAATGACAGTAATAGATACCTACTCTCTATGTTAAAATTACAAAAACTACAGTAACAATTCAATCAAAAATCCATTTTTAACTTTTTCCATTTTTTCTTATCGAACCTAAAAACGTTTATAATTATATTAGTTTGACATTAGGTAATAAAAAAATAAATATATATAGCAAAATTAATAATCACCTTTAATTGCTAACCATAACAACATATCGATCCATAAACAAATCCAACCAAATAAAAATAAAAATAAAAATAAAAACCACTGAAAAAAATCAAATCAATCAAATCCAACCAATCAATATCACCTTTAAAAAATAATAAGATTCATTCTTTTAATGCTTTCACTTTAACAACACTTCTTTAATATTTATAAACATATTATGTTATATAAATTAAAACAATCGTGATAATTTAAAATTTGGGATATTTACATGTTCAAAATGTAGTTGTTATCATTGATGTTGATGTTAGTGGTGTTGAAGTGGTGGTTTTGATTGATCCATATGATATACATCAACAAATTATGGTAAAGTGGTGTGTTTGTTAATCAAAAGCATTTTCATAAACATATATATTTTATGTCTCGAGTTCAAATTTCAAACTCATTAGCTGAAAAATCCTATTGCTTTTTTTTTTAATTAATTATTAGCACTGCATTCATCTAAAATAACCAATTTTTTTATTTGACAGCTATCAGACCGATCACAAGAATAGATATAAATAATTATTATATCATAGTAAAGTTTTTAGGAAGATAAAAATTTAGTTGGTTCACTTGTTATTATCTCGAAATAGTTTTATTGTGAAAAGGTAGGTCAAAAATTTACCTTTTTGATATTGATGATTACAAATGGACCATAATAGTATTTAAAGGATAATAATAGACCGTTAGAAAATGTAGATTTAATTTATCTTTTTACCACTTTTAAAATTGCAAAAAATCGAATGGTAAAAAGATTTTCACTCTTTCATGTAGATAAAAACATCCAACCATAATAATCTATCTACCTTCTACTCATCAACTAATCTAACAATTTAACTATTGTTCACCATTTGCAAGTGACATCAATCATAGTTTAAAATCACTCTACATTTTTATTACAAGAGTCTTTGTTTTTTTTTTTTTTTTGCAACTTCCAATCAAATAGTTTAATTAATCATTTTTCAAAAAAAAAACAACAAGTTTGTAAGCTTACAAATCCAGTTCTACAAATTTGGTTAGTTTACCAACCAGTTAAAAACAAAAAAACATAAATCATTAAGGATATTTATTTAATTAAACAAAAACTTTTTTATTTTTATGTTTATAACGACTTTATACTTGTTTAACTTTCTTTCAAATTTATTAAAAATTTACATTAACATAAAGGTTGGTTTGTTAACAAATCCAAAATTTACGTTCAATTTCTTTATTTTAATTTTTTAATAATATATATATTTAGAAGCATATTTTATATTAAACAATCCAACTTTTAAATCGCTCAGCTCGTAATTCTAAGTATTTGTGATTGTGTTGGTATCAGCCAATGTAAATATCAAAAGAATCCTACCCTCACATCATAATCAATACAGCTCAACTATTGAATTCATCAAAGATGGTTCGGTTTCTTTTCAAGTATGAAAAAAATAGGCTTCAAAAACAAACAAATAATCTCACAACAAACATTTTTAAATCATTAATATAATCAATCCTAATTTTGTAAAATTTGTGTGTTTATGCTATTCCCCTTTAACACAAAAACACACTGCTACTAGTATCACACACATAATCATTAACTAAAACTCCACAACACACTATTAATTTAGACATCATGTGATGAACCACAATCAACCACATATACCCCATAAACCCTAACAAAAACCAAAAAACTAAACAATCATATTACCCTTTTTATGTTTTGAAAGAAATTATAGATACATACATATATTGTGTTTATGGTTGGTGTGTTTTTTCAACAACAACAACATTATTGTAGTATAGGTAGATAGTTAATGAGATAGTAGTGTCTTTTTCTTATGTTTAATATTAAACAATAAGTGATTCACATCATCAATATTAACAATACATCAAGTTAGCTAATTTCATGTGCGTACTCTAACCGACATTCTAACAGTATTATTACTTAAATTAATAATACCATATATAATCTACTTATACTACTGTTATCAAAAAAAAAAAAAAAAAAAACAAATAAATTAATTTGATAAAAAATAAAAAAATTACATACACACACCCACAATCACACACAGATATATAAAAACATCACACCCACAATCACACACAAGCAACACACACAACTATATAATAAAATATTTATAGAATTTTATCAATCAATCAAATTGTCAATAAGAAAACAAAAAAAAAAGCATCATATTATTTAAATTATTATTATTTTAGTGATGGTTAAAATAAATTTAAATATATATATTTATATATCAATTATTATTATTTAAATATTTATTCAATTTTGCACTTGTAATAAATAATCAAATTCGTGTACAATACCAATATCAACGATCAAAAACAACTATTTATATTTTCCCACTTTTTTCAATCAAACCCATCACAACACAACAAAACAGAACATATAAACACATATATACTTTCTCGAACCCAGAACAATCAATCAATCAATTAATTACCATATATTTATATTAAAATATCAAGAAGACAATCAAACCAAACAAACAAACAACTAAACCCATTCAAACAGAATCAATAATCATTACCAAAATCTTAGTAGTTACATTTCAAAATACTAAATCTCAATAATAACAACAACTACAACAACAACAACAGCAACAATAATTCAAAACACAAACCAAATAAGAACTTGTACAATTTAGAATTATATATTTCTTGTATTATTGTTTTTTATTTTGGTATTTCAATTGTATATATTATTTATTTTATTTATTTATATAGTTTAAACATTGAAAATAGACACGCTGTGACCTTTTTTGTATTTTTTATGAATTTAGTAACATTACATCAACACCATATCAACATCATCACCATCATCATTAGTCACATCAAAATCAAACCGTATGCGCATCCAAACAACCAATTTTGTAAATAAATAAATATTTTATTTATTTGTATTATTAATAAATCAATTGTTGTTAAATTCAATAGTAGTAATAGCAACCAAAAAAAAGACAGGACAATTGTATTAAAATATTATTATTTTTATATTTTATTTGTTTCCATGTCATCTTCAAAAGAGAAAAATACAAACTAATATCATCATCATCATCATCACCAGCAGCAATAACAAGAAAATAATCATTATATTTATAAATATAATTTTCGTCTTTAATATATATATAAAGTTAATAATATAAATATCATCCTTCTCTGTATAATTATAAAAATAAAAATCAAATACTAATTTTAAAATGGATTCTTCCATATCTTTAAAGGAATCACAATTAATACATCAACCACCACCTCCACAACAACCACAATTACCACTCTCACCTCAACATCAACCTCAACACCTATATAATCAAACTGAACCATTTCAAGTTCTTCCAATAGTTCAACCAACAACAACCAATTTAGATATTAATAATCAGCATAATCATCATTTAGAAAAAGATAGTAATATTAATAATTGTACGAATAATATTAATAATAGTAATAATCATTTAGTTCAATCAATAAGTAAAAGTCTGAATAGAGAAGAGTCGATCAGTTCATTTACACCGTTCTCATCATCATCGTCCTACTCTGATTTCTCAAATATATCAAGCGGAACAGGAAACTCTGAAATATTATCAATGGGTACCATATACACTGGTGACAACGGTGGTGTCGTTGTCGATTTTTCTGGTAGAGACTTTACAAAGATTCCAAACAAATTACCATGTGAAAAAGATAAAGTAGAGTCACTTGTTTGTAGTAACAATCGTATATTATCAATTCCAGATGAATTCTTTCAGAATTTTCAATTATTAACTTCATTAAATTTGGAAAAGAACAAGTAAGTTTATTTAATTACAAAAATAAATGATAATCACTCAACAAAAAAAAAAAAACTAACAATAATAATTAATATTTATTTTAGATTTAAAAAACTACCCAAATCATTTAAGAAATTACAATCATTACAAATATTAAAATTAGGTAGAAATAAGTATGTACTGCTTTATCTTTTTTAAATAGAAATCATATTAAAAATTTTTTATTTTATTTAGATTTAAAAAGTTTCCAAAATCAATTTTAAATATAAGTACTATTCAATCATTGGATTTGTCAGATAATATGATCACTTCGATTCCAAAAGAGATCAATCAAATGGTACAGCTTAAAGAACTTTATTTATCAAACAATGAAATCGATATCATTCCAGTTCAAATTTCAGAGCTGACATTGTTTATTCTCGAGTTGTATGGAAACCCAGTGGTGTTACCTCCGATGGAAGTAGTCGAGCTTGGTATCGAGGCAATCGTCGATTATCTAATGGATGAATCGAATTCACGTGCAATCAAATCGTTGGTCACTTTCGAGACTCAGAGACAACGACATCAATCTCTGCCAATTGGTGCTGGTGGAGGTAGTCTCTACCAACCAATCAGTTTAAAATCCATATCATCCGAAGATCTAGCTGGTACTGCCAATGGTTCCACTAATATTAATAACACCAATTTAATGTACACAAGAAAGAATACGATGTATACAACTACAATTTCCACCAACAACAACAGTAATAATAATAATAGTAACAGTATGAGTCTCAATGTTCCATCTTTATCAACACCAAAAAGATCGAATAGTGAATTCGTACCATTTAAATTCCCACCAAAACAACATAGCAATGAGCGTTTGTTCAACTCCAATGGCAACTCTGTAGTGATACAGGCATCGCCCACTGCTATCACCAATACTTACTATACACCCAAGAGAATCAAACCCAAGCCCAAACCACACTTAAAGCTATCGTTGAGAGATTCAACCAAGTCTATGATGGAGATTCAGTACGACGGCAAGAATAAAGTGATATCGCCAACAACCCTGTCACCACCACTCAACTCAATTTCCATACCAGCATTGGCTACTCCCACTCCAACAACTACAACAACGACATCACCTAAATCACCATTGTCAGACAGAGAAAAAGATCCATCTCCAGTTATTTCACCTCGCTGGAGTTCAATGTCATCGCTTGTTCTTGGAAACAGTTTCATCGATCAACAGAAGCGTGAGGAGAAGCAGTTGGCAAAGAAAGAAAAGGCCGATCTCAAAAAGAAGAAACGTGACGAGGAGAAGCGTGAAAAGAAAGAAAAGAAAGCCGAAAAGAAGTTGGAGAAACAACTCAAGAAGGAGTCAGCCGAGTTTACCAATGGCTCTAGAAGACACACAATTGCAACAACCACCGAAATTCCAATAATAATCGAACAACAACAGCTAAATAATGAGATGATAGTCACTGAAACCATATCAATTTCCGAAAGTTTCAATTCTCACACTGCCTACGATAGTGGTACTATGACATCAACTTCCTCCTCTATTATCAACCAACAACAATTGGCAGAGGAACAATCACAACTCTCCGATATATCTTCACACTCCAATGTATCGTCTCCTCCACTTTCACCAAACTTGGTTGCATCCTCTTCAATTGCCGCAACAACACTTACTCCAACTTCACTAACATTATCAAAACAACATAATCATCAACAACATGATTCCAATGCTGTTCCAACATTAACACATCAATCTTCACAAATGTCACTGACAAGCAGTGTAAACAAAATTAAAGTTCCACCTCAGAGACCTCATGTGCTCCAAAAGATGGCGACCGTATTGAATCTTACCAGACCACTTGTTTCCAAACCCGTTGCCACTCCACTCCAAACGATCAACAGTAAAGCTGACAATGAATCCACCACCACCAACGGTAATGATAGCCTCTCACCATCACAACAAATCTCGCCACAAAATACAATCAAAAATGATGAAAGTGTTTCGGATGTTTTTGATCAAAGTAGCGGTCGAAGAGAAAGAAGAGGAACCATCGCCTCTGAAATGGATTTGAAACAGTATCTCAAAGTTTTAAACAATTCCAAGCCACTTCCACCACTCGCTGAACTACTCCTCGACCAAGATGGCAAAGATTGTCTTCGTGCATTCCTAACAACCGAATTCTCTGTTGAGAATTTAGATTGTTGGACAAGAATCGAAAACTATAAATCTTTAGATTCCACAAGGTAAAAAGCTTTACACTTTTAATAATTTCAGACAATGATTATTAACTTTATTCTTTTTTTCAATTCTAGTAAAAATACCGAATGTCCGAAAATATTTAATCAATATATAACTGAAAGATCAAGCAATCAGGTGAATCTTCCAAGAAGTTGTGTAAAGAAAATAGAGGAATCAATGATCAACAAAGATGAGAATGGAATGATCGCCAATTTAGATACAATCTTTAATGATGCCCAGCAGCATATCTTTATATTGATGGAGACCGACAGTTATGAAAGATTCAAGAAATCTAGTTTTTCAATTAAATATCTATCCAAAATATAAATACTGCTCAATTATATTCCTATAAAATAAAATTATTTATTGATTAATTTAGAACTACACAGATCAAAAAATTGAATTACTTTTCTAAAATCTAGTTTGTTTTTTAAAAGATATTCAATAATTTCTCAATAATTGTCAACTGTAGTTTTATTCCCATAAAAAACAAAAAGTTATTTTTTTGTAATTTTCATTTCTAAGAATCGGTTGCTCTTAAGGGAATTCAAGTCCTTGTGTTTTTATAATTTATTCTTTTAAATATTATTCTTTACAATATAAATGTCATCAATGTCAATAAATAACAACTGTAAGAACAAAAATTTGATAAATTTTTACATCTTTAAAAAAATACTAATTTTATTTGTTTGATTGGTTTATATAGATATTAAAGAAATATGTCTAAGAAAAGTATTTAAAAATAAGGTACTTCTTCAAAAGATATTGAAACATGTGAGTGAAGATATCAATGGTCATTCAGTTCAAGATGAAATATTCTTGTTTTCAAAGCGAAAGTACAATCATTGGAACAAAGCATATGAAATGATTAACAACAATCATATTGGTTTGATTGTTGATAAGATTAAAACAGGTCAATATTTTGAGATCTCAAGTTATGACTTGTCAATTTTTTGTATAAAAGTTACAGATCTCAATCAATTTATGTTGGTTTACAACAAGTACAGAGATACTTTATTCTTGTCAAAAGATTTGATATCAAATGCATGTAGAGCTGGTAACATTGAAATAGTAAAGATACTTCTCAATCAAACATTTCCGATTCTATTGAAAAGAGATGGTGCATTTAAAGGTGCTTTGCTTGGTGGTCATATTGAAATTCTCGATTATCTCTTGGAAAATGGAATCGATCCTGTAAATGAATTGGATGAAAAACTAATGGATTCGATATTGCATCATACAAAGTGTCAATCAATTGATTGGTTATTCGCTAAATTTGGAGAGGATGTTATCATGTACAAGTTCAAGACTAGACTCACCCAATTACATTATAATCCAACATTAAGAGATGACAATGTTTTTGTCTATCGATTATTAAAGAAACATGGTTATACATTTGGTTCAAAATTAATAGAGCCGATATTTAACGGTAGTCTCTCTCTGAGCAATGCTATGGAACTTTTATCATATCTCATGGTTAATAAAGAGAGTAATCATCTTGGATTTGCTTCGGAAACAGACACCAATTACCTCTTATCAATGAAAGATAGTGTAATCAATCAATTTCCAATTCAAGAATCGTCACAGATTGACAATCTCTGTTATAATCTCATTCTACTCGATGTAATGCATTATCACAAATTTAATTCTATTGATATTGTTGGCAAGACAGTCTCACGTATCATTAGAATTAAACTTCAATTGGCTGAAGAATTAAATATATCAAACCAAACAATCATCGAAGACATTCTATCGAAAATCGTATCGCTCAGTATGAAGGTAGATGATCGTGGAAATGTAGAAGATGAAACCAATGTTCGAAAGACATTAACTTTGTTGTTCAATCATGGGTCACGCAATCAAATAGAGTATCTTATAAATAGAATGGATATCGATCGATCTATTTTGCAGGTACCTCTTCAAGAATGTATTTATCGATGTGTTTCATCACTTTTCGAAAGGAAAGATGGCAATCTTGCAATTGAAATGGTTGAATACATGAAGAGACTTTTCATCAAACAAGGTCTAAAGTTATTCAGAAACTTTAAAGAAGATCTTAGAAATCATGGTAATTCTTGTATAATATATGAAAGATCACATCAAAAAGCAGGATCTAAAGAATCAATTCTTTATCTCATGGATAATATTGATGGATGGCAAGTAGATATTCATGACTATGATACTACTGCGCGATTTGGTTCATTCATATTCGATCAGTTGGTAATTCGTGGAAAGGTTGTTGAACAAGATGGATCGCTTTCAAAACAAGCAGGTCAAATCATTGAAAGAGCCAATGATAAACAACAATTGGATAATATTGTGAAATATGAAGGAATCATCCAAGTAACACGGAAACAAAGAGGATGGGGAGGTGGATGGAGAAAAAATGTGCTTGGTAGTACCATTAAATATGCACCAATTCTTCATCGAATGTTTCTTGTTGATTGTTATATTGGAACTTATCTTTATTTTCAAGTACAATCAATAGAATTCCTCCATTGGTTGTCCAACAATGCCAAGGATTGTCTGAAATTCGATGCCAAGTTAATACAAGATCCAGAATTGATCTTCAATGTTTTGAAGAACGAACCCTTCTCAGATCTTAATATCACCCACTTTAATGTTGAAGAACTAATGACAAAGATACAACATCCAGGTATATTAAGATACCTATATGAAAATCACAGATTTCAATGGAATCAAGTTTTGCGAGACAAGTTGTTAGTTCTGCTTCAACGATCATCAAACGAAATTCTCGACTTAATATTTGGAATGGATTCCTATGCAATGAAATTATTAACCAAGCAAGCACAGAATTTTACACCAAATCTTCGTGATTATTCTCAAAAATTATTGTGGATTCATAGAAAAGGAATTCAACTTTCTTTAGGTGAAACCATTTCAAAGTTTGGTGATCCAACTGGTATACTTACAATGATCTCTAAAGAAATCAAAACAAACGAAAATAATCTCAAACGAAAATCAAATGAACAACTAGAAAACAATAAAAATAAAAAATAAAAAAAAAAATAGCAATGTTAACATTTTAGTGATTTATTGTTCAATATTTATGGCAATTTGAACTCGATATCCATTGTGTCTTTTGGTTTAGCTGGTCCAATAGTTGGTGATGGCTTGTCCAATGTAACTTTGTATGATCTTGCCAATTTCTTGAGGTAATCACGATTGATTGATACAAAATAATTGAATCCCAGTCTTTGAGCATTAGTCATTATGTGGTTTAGATATTTATCTGGTTTTTGCTTGCCACTATAAGTATTATCCAACTGAGTTTGCACAATAGACTTGATTGTATTTTTGATTTGAGCTATTGTGACCGTTTTGCCTTTACCCTTGGTTTCTTTTAGCAAATCTTGTAGTGGCTTCCTAAGAAGGTCATGAAATTGGGATTGGGTCTGAGTCGTAAAAATGGATTTTATATTGCTCGAATGCATGGCACCGTCAACTAATTTGTTCGCTTTGGTACCTCTGAATAGGACGGCAGCAGTGTGTATTCTTCCCTCGTTGAGGAACTTAATTAGGAGTTTACTGGCAGCCGGTTGACAATTACTCATGATTTGATCGCATACTCCATTCTTGGCTCTCATATTCATTGGGATCAATTCATGTAGTCCTCCTTTTCCTTTGCTCTGGAATCGTTTTCTCCAATCTAGTTTTGCAAAATTGACAGTCATTTTTCCTAATAGACTATACTTGATTTTGCCTTTAGCTCTAATTCTCTTGGTCTTTATTCTAGAACCTCCTTCATACAACCAGTGCTTCTTGGTCTCCTCTAGTACCTTGATATAGTAGGCTTGTTTGTTGAGTGAAGTTCTTCCGCTCGGACTCTCCATGAAAGCCACCAATTTGCTTCTGAGGAGAGTTTGGTCGAAATCATTGTGGATACCATCTCTTTCTCTACTATAGATGATTGCATCAAGTGAGCAATTGTTTTTCTTGCCTCCTCCTGGAAGTTTCCAAGAGTGATCCTCTCCTTTTGGAATCCAATGACCACTCTTGTTATCTTTGTTGGGTGGGACATATTCAAGTTCAATTGGTGGCATTTGATCCTTGTTTGTTGAACTGTTATAAACTGTAACATCTCCATTTTCATCGTGGATAACAATTGGTTGTTTGAGTATGCTGCTCAGTGCTTCAAAATGGACAATTCCAAGTTCACCTTCTTTCTTTACATTCTCGATTTGTTGGTCTACCAATTGTTTAGATTGATTTTCATCTAGATGTGTGATGGGTGCCAAAGGTGTTTTACCATTAGCAATCTTTTGTTGAATAACCGAAGAGTAGTATGCTTGCAGAGCATCTTGATGTTGCTTATTGTCACCCTTGAAAGATTTGGTAACAATATGATTTGCAACCCTTCTACTAATTGGATTGACCATATAGAATTTGATTTGATCTGACATTTGAATGGCCAATAGATTAACCATATTGTCTACCAATTGATCAATTCTTGCTTGAACAGTACTGTTTAATGGTTTAGCAGTGGTTGCCTTTTCAATTTCCTTGTCTGATTTATCCAAAAATTCTGGCAACATGGTTCTGAGATCGTTGGCCGCCTTCAAAGCTTTGAGAATATCAAATAGAATAGATATCTTGACAGATTTGCTATGTATCAATCCACTTGCGATACCTGTGGAAATCTTATAGAATATTCCTTCCTCTTCAGTTTCAATCAATGCCGATAGTCTATTAGATACCAAATGTTCATCTACTTCATTTGTCATCAAACCCTTGAGTTTTTGATTTCCATTGAAACGTTGTTGAATGATTGGATGAATCTCTGATTTGATGAATTTGATTAGAGTTGGAATAAAAAGCTGGTCACTAACATAGTTAAGTCCTTGTGTTAATGAATACTCGATAGCTTGGTCTCTTATTGCAATTGCCATTGTTTTCTTGATCAATTGTTTGGCAGTCACTGATTTTGCACCATACTTAAGCAAACCACTATATGCATACTTTCTTGAAGCATTTGCTAATATCTTGCCAGATGCTTTGGAGAATACCTTCTTTCCTGCCTGGACGGCAACCTTTCCAACAGCTTTAAGCGAACCAAGTCCTGCAGTAATCAAAGAAACAGTGACACTAATTGCCTTTTCAATTCCCCATTGTTTCCAGCTAAAGGTTCTATCAATGACTCCTTCATGTATTGCGGTAATGATATCGGAAATACCTTCTGCCATGAGAGGTACACCAACTGGTGAGCCAATTCCTTCTGTGAAAACAGTGATTACTGCACCTGCAACAAATTGAGCTGCACCAAGAAGAACCAATCCAATGACACTGAACCATTGAATACCAGGCTTCGGTAACTTGATATCCAAACGAATGCAGCCCATATAACCATCAATAGAGAACAATTTGAATTCATCTTTAAATTGTCTTTCATCTTCACCTTCAGGTAATAGTTGATTAAAGGTCAATAATTTGACAGTATCGATTGTACCTTCAGCTCCAACTTGAATGAGTCCTTTTGTGTCTCTACGCTTTTCCAAATCCAAAATTTCTTTTCTGATTTCTTCTTTATCCTTCTCTGTAAGACCTTTTCTTTCGTTCATCTCTTTGGTTAATGTTGCTTTATCTTTGTCGTAGTCTTGGTATCCAATTAAATCTTCAATGGTTCCCTTCAACATTCCGTAGAGATACATAATGTTACGAACTTGAACAGCCAAAATAGGTGAGTCTGATGCCTGAGTTAAGATAAACCACTGTGATTCAAGAGTGTCTTCGATCACACGTTTGGCAGCCTTGAGATCTTCAATTGGATTTGGTTTCGATGTGTTGGTTTCCCAAGATCGCTGCTTGTCCATTTTCAAAATAGTATGTGCACGATTGTAGTATGCATTGGCAATGAAGTTCGATTCAATTTGAATTGCTTTGGTGTATTCATTGTATGCCTCTTGGTCCTTGTTATTTACGCAAAGGTAATTTCCACGCATGATGTAAAAGTATGGATTGGTGATGACATTCGATTGATTCAACTCGTTGATTAATTTCTTTTCGAAATCTGGATATGGATCGGTAGATAAATCAATGGTGATATCTTCATACTTTTTAAACCAAATGGCAAATCTCTCATCCAGTCCTTGAAGTATGTATTCCGCTCCATTCGTTTTGTAATTGTTGGCAATTGATTCTCTGTATTTACAGTATCTGCCAAAGATGTTGTCTTTTTTGGAAATTTGTTGAATTTCTGTGACTGCACTCTTCAATTTCTTGGACTCAAGCTCTGATCTACAGAGTTTGATTTGATCGAATGAACTATTTTGCTCTTGATCCAAGAGAATGAATTGAACAGTTCCTCTATTACCGGTTCTTGATGTTCTTCCAAAGCTCTCTTGCAATACTCTTTCGCTCTTTGGGATATGTGTCATACAAATATGAAGTCCACCAAACGATTCAATTTTATCTGAATTTAAATCGATAGCTCTGCTCGCCATACTGGTAGAGATAATGACTTCACCGGGAAGAACAGGTCTATCAATGACAAATGGTTCATTTCCAAATTTATATAGTTTGATTTGGTTGGTTGGAATAACTTTGGATAGTCGAGTATTGAGTCCGTCTACTTGACATATGTATTCAGCAATGATTAATACCGCCCTTCTGGATGATATCATCGATAGAGTTTGGAACACAATAGAACTATACCATTTATCCATATTGTCTTCATGAACAACAATTGGTTTGGTTTCAACCATTTGTTTGTTCATAAATGGTGGAATGACAATAGAGTCTACATTATAGGTATTTTGAAGCAGAGTTCTTTCCTCTGGTGCGCCAAGTGTTCCACAAAGACCAAACAAGTTGTTTTTGTATAGTTTGATATAGGAAATATTGGAAATAAAGTTGGATGTGAGGTTTTCTGGAGTGATCTTGACACCATGTTTAAGCTGAAGGAATTGCTGAAGTCCATTTCTCCACTTGGTGTTGATTACAAATTTCTCTGAATTCAAAGCATCTACAGACTTGATTTCCTTGTTATCTAGAATGTAATGTTTGTTTACCTCCATCTCGAATTTCGCTGTGTACGCACTATCAATCCATTTGCTTACTAAACTCTCTTTTACAAGTGATTGTAAATGATTTGGAATGTTTTGTCGAGGATAATCGTTGGGAATGGTCTTTCTTGCTTGGGCAATATTCATTTTCGATAGACCATCAGTGTCCCTAATGATCTTTCGAATATGTTCTTCTGTAGATAGCTTTATAAACTCTTCAGGTTCACCTTGGATAGGGTAGAACTCGTAGGTTTGCTGATCCTCTGATATAAGATTTCCATTTGCGTCACGGCTAACTTCATCGACATAGCATAGTTCTCCATCATCTGAAAATGCAATCTTATTCTCTATGTGCTCCATTTGAACCCAAATCGATGCAAGGATTGGAATCAAACAATCGATACCTGGTGTTGGACCTGTCAGCATGACAACTGAATCGTTACCATCCAGAAGCATAGAGTCGACTTCATCTAGAATTGCAAATCGATTATTGGTGTTAAAGGAGTCCTCTGAATGGTTGAATCTATTCTGTAGGAGACGACTTTGATATTCACTAATTCCAGAATACTTAATCTTGAAATCCAACAATGGTATATACTCTGCCAATTTCAATTTCATAAATAATGGAATGGCTTGTGTAAAACGTGGTACTGCCAACTCTGAAGTAGTTGTAATAACATCGACAACATGTCCAAGTAGTGCCAAATGTGCTGTCAACATTGCAATGACCAATGATTTACCTTCACCAGTATTCATTTGAAGTAACCTTCCAGAGTTGTTTGGCTTACTCATCAGAAGAAGCATGGCAATAACCTGTGTCTCTCTGATTTTAATTTTCATTGTTTCTTGACATGCCTTTATAAGAATACTTAATTGCTCGTCAATTTTCAAAACAGAGTAGATCCCTTGTTGCAACATCATTGGGTCGATGAAATTGTCACCATTGTTGATTCTAACATTTACTTGATGATATTGATTGAGCAATATAAGAGTTGGGAATGTTGAATTAACAACTTTAAATTCTTTAATCAACTGGATGATATTCTTGTGATAACTTGGCACAAAGAATTTATCCAATACTAATTCCTCGAATTTCTCTGCTTGGTAGTTGATAGGATATGTAAAGAATGATGAAACAGTATCAAATCTAGAGTTACAATCATCTTTACTTAATTGATAGTTAAGAATGGTATGCAGAATTCTAATTGATGTTTTCATTAGATCTGAATTGATTGTGGTTGGATTGACGAGTGTCTTTTGAATTAGGGGTTCAATCGTTGCCAATGTCCAGTCACCAGTGAATAGTAACTCTGCCATTTTGGACTTTAGCTCCAAAAATAATTCAGAATCCGAGTATTCTTTGAAACTAACATCCATATAATATTGATTGATAACAAATTCACCAAGTGACTGTTTCCATTGATTTAGGTTGTTGTTCTCATTAAAGGAACTTGAAATAAGATAGTCCGATTCAAATCCATCGATTTCGAATTGAGAGAATAATCCAAGATAATTTGAAAACTCTTGTAGTTTTGCCTCATCTTTGATACACTCAATTAGCCAGAGTAGAGTTTGATATCCAAACTTTTTCATTTGATTTAAAGCAGGATCCTCTAGCTTGGAAAATGGATGAATTGACTTGATCCATTGGAGTCTGATGTACTCGAGAGGTGTTTCAGCTAATTCAAGTTGAACCAACCGGTTGATATCAGTGAACTTTAATTCCACATTGAGAATGGAAAGGATTTCAGTGAGACTCTTAAGAGGATATCTAAATGTAGTCTGAATATCTATCAAATAGAAAATATTCTCCTCTGATATAGTCGAAAATCTTTCCATAATCTTGGAATATTTCGAAAGATCCAATTCGATTTGACTATCAATGATTTCTTCCTCTTTTTCATCGTTTTCACTTTCGGATCCTTCGTCATCGTCAAGATAAGATGAATAGCTCTTGGTTACGACAAGTAACAACATCTGTAGTGTCTCTAAGGGTGGTCTATCAATAGTCTCCTGAGTGACTTTGATAACCAATTGGATATGAAGATGCATGATCTTTATCACAAGCACAGCTATATCGAAATCCCTCTGAGATTGAGATGATTTGATTTCCAAGAACTTAAAGAGTTTGTTGGTGTACTCTGCAAAGAGTTGAATGACATCTTCATTATTTGTAAAATGGAATGGGAACATTGAAATAATCGAGATGATTGTTTTGGTGTTGAAATCCAATGACCTAACAAAGGACTGGTACATTGCAACCAAAGATGGAGTTTGAGGTAATCTTTTAATAAGACTGGAAATGGTTTGAGAATAGGTATCATTTTGTTTCGATGGATTCGAAATGCAGAACGATAGACTATCAAAGAGAGACTGTACTACTTTTTCTGGGATATCATTGAATCCATTTGAAAGAATAACAGCGATTATATCAAGAAGTTCAGTGTAGAGACTGTGGTTTTCCATCAATTCCTTGATGTTATTTTTGGAAAATGCATTCCAAATATATTGATAGTATTTGACAAAGATGTTGCTCTTTCCATCTTTTTGATCCAAACCTGATTCATCAATTGCATTTGAGAGAATACGTATGGTTACTGGAGTAACTGTCTTGGTAGTTGACATTACATTGTGTAGAAGTAGATCGGTATCATTTTGATCTACTGGAATCATACTTAGTAAATCCAAATATTTACTATCACTCTGACCAGATGCTCTCTCAATGATCTGAGATTTTGTCTTTTGAGAGAATAAGAAATTCTGTTCCGCCATTGCATAGAGTCTATCGTATTGGCTTATATCTCCAATATTACTCTCTAATATTTCGATGGGCGTGAAAAATGTATTCATTGGTTGTTGGTCTATGAAATGACTTCTGATGTTATGTGGATTGGCCAAGAATAGTAACTCCATTATCTCATATCCAATGTGGTCATTCACAAATTTCTGGTCAATAACGAAAACCAAATTGGAAAAATATTTTAGTTGGTGTGATTTTCCATTGGAAATTGAGGCCGAAATACCAATATAGGGTGAGTTGTGGTTCAGAAACTTTTGGATGTTAAAGTCCAATTGTTCAATGATAACAACATTGTCAATGGAGAGTGTTAATCTGGAACCAGTATAACGCACAACAATATCGTGATCTTCATTATCATCGACGTTCAGACCAGGTGTCATATATGAAAAGAATGGATAGTGTGACTCTTTGTTCAAAGTGCTATGGAGATAGAGAGATACCGTATCCTTTTCAAACTTGATGACAAAACTCTGTGATTGGCTAGGAGTGTATTCAGAATTGGAGAGTGGTTGTAAAACGAATGAAAATGGATTATCAACTTGACCATTGGAAGAAGAGGATCCAATCTTGAAAGTTGAAATGAAACCATCTTTAAGTTTAAATTGGTCTTTTGACCAGATTGCACCACGAGAGAAACTGACATGTGGATTTAATTCGTTGACCTCCTTGGAATCACCAACCAACTTGAAGTCAATCCAACGGAATACATCAACAATCCTATTGCAATTGGATCCAAATTTCTCGGTTATAACAAGACTCTTATCAAGAGGTTTGATAAATAATTTATGATTGTAGGTTTGGAATGAAAATAGACTTATGAAGTGTCTTTGACAAATACCTCCAGTGGCACCCGTAACTCCAATATAGACTGGTTTTGTCTCTGTGCCAACTACAGCCTTGAGGACATCGTGATCGAAGCATTTGAATACTGTTTTTCCATCCACGAAAACAGTTATCGACTCTCTGAGATAGACGACTACCACTTGGTGATCTTTTCCATCGTTCATTTCAACTCCAATATTATTGGTGATGAAACGATCAGTAAGGGAATGTTGCTGCTCACAAACACCAGATGTATCATTTGGGTTCTTATCACTAGATTGTATTGAAATGAAATGGTTTGGATATGCTCTATATGTATCAAACTCGATGGCAACACAGTTTATAAACATTCCGTAACCCTTTTTTGAACCAAGTGCACTTGGTTGGTATGCAGTATTTGATTCCGATTGTATGACCAATGCAAATCCATCAGCACCCTTCTTCTCATTTGGCATTGGATTTAATGTGAAAATAAAACTACAAATGAATCCATCTTTAAGTTGAATTGGGCCATCCAACCAAAATCCACCACATTGATTCTGCTCAGTATCTGTTAACAGTACTATATCCTAAAGTTTAATTTAACAGATAAGGATTAATCAATTTGTTGTAAAAATAGATATCTGTCTTAATATATTTACATTATAATCTGGTAGTTTCATTGTTGTTGAATTGGTATGAACTGTGGAATAAGATAAATGTCTCTTGGCAGATCCAACTAGCTTAAGTGAGTGCGGTTTGTTTGGATCACCATGGCTATTGGTATCCGATTTGACATCTGGTGATTGAGCAGTCGATGGGGGTGGTGGAGACTTTGCCATTTCATGGTAAAGAGAAATGAAATAATTTGTAAATTCAAGTGATTTCTTTTCATTTTCAGAGCTGTCATCAACTATAAAGGTGAAAGACTTGATTATTTGTATCAAAAGATAAAAGACCAAAATCTTTGTGGACGGATCACACTCTAAGATCTTTTGCAAATGCTCTACTTTTAGAACAGACAGTCCAACTCTAGTTGCCAAGTCAATCCAATTGATATCCATCTTGATTGGCTCTGCATTTCTACAAAAGAATTGAAAGTTTTCAAGTGAGTCTAAACCTTGATTCTTTATTCTCTTTACAACTGATTTATAATCAAATGTTGTCAAGTGATCAAGTGATCTTGGTTCATCGAAAATACTTCTGCCCTAATTATAAAATCGTTATAAGTAAATAGGTTTTTATTGAAAACATTAATTATCTTACTTACTGTATTATGAGATGGTTTCAAATGGTTATTATTTTTATACAAATAGGAAGGAAGACCAATATTGAACCATGGATGAAGACGAATTTCCTTGATGGTAGTTAGCTGCTTGTTTGAAGTCTGGAGAATTCTCGAAATAAATTCTTCAACCGCCTTGGATCTTTCAACACTTTGTTTGTTGGGACTGATACCTACTTTAGGATCGTAACGATCTGGATAGAGTATCTCGTAGAGTACCTCTCCACATGAATGGACATAATCATATGGTTGCAGGCTGATTGTATTTACATAGAGATCCAGTGGGTGTATCGCCAATGACTTGGTCTGAGGGTCATAGAGAATCGAGTCAGCTGTCAAGTGTCGATGGTCCTTATCGTTAATACCGGGTGCCAGCACGATATCACCATGTTTCATCACAATGTTTGATTGGTAAAAATCGATAGCGGAAACCAGCTGTTGGAAGAGACGACGTGCCAAATCCTCGAAAGTAGCAACACTGTACTGTTTCCACTCGGTGGATGTCAATGAGTCAGAGAGTCTATTCCAGGCATTTCTAGACTCAAGAACAATGAAGAGATTTGGCTTTTCTTCAAAAATCTCATAGACCCTGACAATATGGAGATGATCGAGATCCTTTACAAAACTGGTTAATCTACCTGAAAAGTCTGATCCAACCTTTTGTTCGTCAACACTAAACATATGAATCAACACATTCCTTTTGCTTTTTATGTGAATTGCATCTTTAAAAAAAAAAAAATTAAGTTATCTTTTGATAATTATCAAAAAAAAAACAAAAATTAAAGTTATTTAATTTTTGTACAAAAAAAAAAGAGTTGATTAGCGTGGTCATTCAATCAATCGAGTTCTTTTTTCAAAATTTTATTTAATTTTCTTTTCTGAACTCCGATGTGATGACTGTTTCGGGTAACCACTATCATTCATATACATACTTTGGTAAAGTGAATGAGGACTTTCAATCAATTGATAATCAGATAAATGTGAAAACATTTAAAATAATTAATTATTACAATTTAAGATTTATATCGAAATTTATAGTATAATTTAATTTAATAAATAAATAAGATTATTTTATATTCAAATAAAATAATGAAAAGAATGAATTTGAACCATGTATTAATAATTTTAGGAAATAAATTACAAAGGCACAATAAAGGTTAAAATTTTAATTATTTAATTGGTTAGATTTAGAATCTGTTTTTTTTAAAAAAAAGATATCTCGATCATCGAACCCTTTACACATCGATCGATCGTCGCCAATTCAGATTTTTAGTTTTAAAATCATTTTCTTGGTGAAGGGTCGATTCGACAAAGTTAAAAACGACTGGTCAGAATGTGGTGTTATTGATAATGATTCTGATCTTGACCTCCAAATGCAAAGGTTGAATTATTGTTTTCATAGAATCTACAATGTTATGGTCAGTATCTGTCTATCTTTTCTTCATATCAAAATGATGCCAAAGTTAGTTACTGATTCTTTCTTAAGCACTGAACCAACGACGATGTTGTATAATAAGCAAAACCAATCAAAAACAAAAAGAACCAAACTAAATAGAATCGCTTCCAAGTTTTTTGAAATGATATCATTTCTTGTGGAATGAAATAATTATAGTTGAGATAAATATCACAAATAATTTTTATGTTGTTTGTTGTAAAAAATCTTTTTTTACCACTAAAAACATGTTACAAGAAAAGTTGTTAGAAAGTTTTGAGTGATTACTAAAATTTATGATTTTATTTGTAACTTAAAATAAATCAGATCAATCTATCATTTTATTTTCTTTGTATTTCTCATTTCTCTACGCTTATAATTACAAAGATATATATCGAATCTATATTCGTATTTGTAGGTTAAAAGTAAACATGATAATGATAGATAAAAGAGGTCAATGATGATTAAACAATGACATTGTAAATATAATTATAAAATAATGATAATAAAAAATATAATAATATTAATATTATTTATCTCTATACAAATAAAAGATATATCATCTTTAGAATTAGTTCAAAATAGAGTCGATGATATCAAGTTTGCTCAAACGCACATAGTAGCACCTGAAGGCAAAAAATGGATCAACAAGAATGATAATGTTGAGGTAAACTTGCATTTGGTTGGTGGTAGAGATACACTTCTTATGGTTAAATACTCTGGTGTTGTTGCTCTACCAAAGAATAGATTGCCATCAATTAAAGTGATCAACCAAAAGTACACCAAGGAGTTATATCTAAATGATCCGTCGCAATTCCCAGCGTCTTTAGATAACCAAATTAATCCGATGGAACAGCTAAACAGCTACTATACAGTTTTAATACCTAGAGATCTCATTGCCAATGGAGTCAAGATCGTTGTTAGCAGTCATCCCAGTGGATCTATCTCACCGAGGATCGGTAGAAATGGAATGTTCAAAGTACTTACGATACCAATGTTTCTATTTGGTGCGGCACCATCGTTGATTGCAGGAGGAGCAATAAAAGAGGTTAGATCTTACCGACCATCAGGAATTGAAGAGATGACGTTGGAGTCATTGCCAGTATCGGAAATGGAATTTCAATCTAGATTCAAACTGACATGGCCTGTTCATGTAAAGATACCTTCCAATGGTAACCAAGCACAGCTAATCAGTAGTTTCGAAACGGAACCAATGGATTTTCTGAAATCAATGACACCTTTCTTTGTTGAGCTAAGAAGAGCTTTAGGTTTTAGAAATGTAATTATCATTTGTATTGATTTTTATTATTTGTTATTTATAATTTCTTACTAATTAACATTACTAATTAATATTGTTAACTTAACAGTCAGATACATTTTTACATATTCCTATAATAGCTAATAGGAAAACAGGTGAACAAGTTCAGATTAGTATGGGAATAGAGATAGATAATGTAATGTGCACTTTAAATTATTCCGATCCTTATGTATTTCTCCATGAGTTGGCACATGCAATGGGTGCCAAGCATTACAGTGGTGATTCACCTTATCACGAGTATTTAGAAGGATCGTCTTGGGGATATAATTCTAGAATCAACAAGTTTATTCCAAATTATATTGACCATGAAGATGATCATTTCTATTGTCAAAATGGAAGTGATGGTAAATGTTATCTATATGATATAATGGTAAGAAATAATAGTAAGAAATAATAACAAGTAAAAAAAAAGATTTATATTAATAAAATTTTAATTTAATTCTAGAATTCAATTGGAAATAATGGTGCAAAAGTAATGTTTTCTGATTATGAAATCGGTGTCATTCAAAACAATCTTGAGATGGAGGAGGTAAACAAGAGGTATATGCACTACGAGAATGGAAACTACTATAAATACAACAATGAAAAGGTTGGTTATGAAAAGTATATTTATAACGATGAAAACGGTCGGTATTTAGATGGAGGTTTACCACTCGCTGCCAATAGAGATCGTCCAGTCTATGCCATCGTTATTACACACAATACAGGAAGCTTCTCTGCATGTGGACAAGATTGTAACAAGATATTTCCACTGGTAAAGATAGAGAGTGGTCATTTGTTACGGTATATCGATCCTTCCGACAGAAAACAATTAGAAATGGTGAATCCCGATCTCAATGGCGAGTACCGATCGTACTGTGTCGAGTCTGGATGTGACTATACTCTGGTGGCAACATACTCTGATGGCACCACCATAAAGAAGTTACTTCAAAGAGGAATAAGAGCTTTTAACAATCCAAGTGGTCAAGTCCAACAAACCTACTGTGATCCCTACAATCCAACCAGTATTCATTTCATCGTTGAGACGATACCTGCCGATAAACCACTCTCTCAAATCGAGCTCTATTGGACTCCATATGGATTTAGAAATTTGTTTGACAAAGACTCATCCGATTTAATTATTTCTCAGAAATTTTAGAAACTTTGACCTAATAAGTATCACTACAAAAATATAATAAAATATAATAAAAGATTATAAAAACAAGTTTATTTGTTAAATTTATAATCTTTAAAAAGCAATGGTTTTTCAAATTTAAGATCTTGATCAATTGGTGAGATATTTGTTTTCTTCTTTTTACTACTATTGTTATTATTATTATCATAATAATCATCGCCAACCACTTTTTCATCTAGATCATGTTCTCTTTTATTAAAGACAGACACTTTTGGTTGTTGTAGTTTTTCTTCTTTGAGTGTGAGATTTTCAAACTTTGTTTGGTAATTTATCTCAATTGTTTCTAACATTTTACGATCTAAATCTATGATTAGATCTAATAAAAAGAAAAAGAAAAAAAAATTATTAAATAATTATTGATAATTTAATTCCTCTAATTAGATCATTTAATTTAAGGGAATATATATTCTTACTTAATTTAGCAGTTATATTATCAGTAGATTGTTTTTTCCAAAATTGAATTACATCATTGATACGGCTACCAAAACGTGGAGACAAATCACAGAAAGTACAGTAACTATAGCTGTTAAGGTAAAATCCTTTGACTATTAATTTATCAAAGTCTGATTTGGAACTTCCAGGATGGTCTAAGATGAAATCCTCAATCCATTCTTTGGTATCTTTGATTTCCCACATATCAAGTGGTTTTAGTTTATATGACATAATTAATATAAATAATTATCAAATAATTAAAAAAGAAATAGATATTAAACAACAAATATTTATACAAAAAAGAAATAAAGATAAAATATTTATAAAATTAATACTAATATTAGCACATCAAAAAAAAAAAAAAAGTTTTTGCTTTATAAATTTTTTTAGAAAACAGATAAACCAATTCATTAGTTAATTTTTAAAGTATATATATGACTTTTTATATAAATATATGTTTTATTAAAGATAAATTTTATAGTAACTTTATTATTATTTATTAATATTATATAAATTTTATATATTAATAAAAATCTATAGAGAAAAATAAACTAATAATGTGTTTGTTAAAATTATATTTATAAACAATCAAAATCAATATCAATGTCGATATCAATGTTTGGACAACAGTGAACACCACAACAGGTTTCTGTACATGGACATGCTGGACGAGTTGGACATACAGTTGGTCTTGGTTTGGTAACTACTCCGCAGCCTGGAATGTTGATGTTCAAACAGCCTTTGACACGGTCGCAGCTATCGGTGGTGCAGATGTTGTTGTCGTTACAAACGATCGGTGTGAAAACACAGCCTGTCGATGGATTGCAGCTGTCTGTGGTACAGGCATTGCCATCGTCACAATTGATAGTGTTACCAACACAACCTTTGTTGACGTCACATTCATTCGAGAGACACTTGTTGGTTGACGAACTGCATACCACCGGAGAGTATACACAGCCTGTTGAGTTGTTGCAGTAATCGTTGGTGCATGCGTTGTTATCGGAGCAGGAGATGCCTGTGTAAACGCAGCCAGTGGATTGGTCACAACTGTTACTGGTACAAGCGTTATCGTCGTCACAAGAGATCGGGGTAGCTACGCAACCAGTGGATTGGTCACAAGAATCATCGGTACAGGCATCTCCATCGTCGCAAGAGATCGGATGATGAACGCAACCATATTTTATATCACAAACATCGTGAGTACATTCATTTCCATCATCACAAGAGATAGGAGAACTAACGCAGCCAGTGGAATTATCACAGCTATCCATAGTACATTGATTTCCATCGTCACAAGAGATCGGTGTGTAAACGCAGCCAGATGTTGAATCACAACCTTTGTTTGTACAAGCATTACCATCGTCACAAGAGATCGGTGTAGCTGCACAACCAGTGGATTGGTCACAAGAATCATCGGTACAAGCATTTCCATCATCACAAGAGATTGGTGAACTAACGCAGCCAGTCATTGGATTACAGCTGTCATCGGTACAAGCATTTCCATCATCACAAGAGATTGGAGAACTAACGCAGCCAGTGGAATTATCACAGCTATCCATTGTACATTGATTACCATCGTTACAGTCAGCTGGAGTATATACACAGCCTGTAGATTGGTCACAGCCATTTGAAGTACAAGCATTACCATCGTCACAAGAGATTGGAGTATGAACACAACCATCGGAACTACAGCTATCGGATGTACATTGATTACCGTCATCACAACTCATTGGAGAGTGAACACAACCCTGTGTTGGAGAACAACTGTCAGTGGTACACTGGTCACTATCATCACAAGAGATCGGGGTATGTACACATTGACCATCACCACCACAAGCATCATCAGTACACAGATCGTTGTCGTCACAAGAAGCTTTCACTGGACAATGTCCATCACACTCTATTTCAACGCATAATTTAATACGTTCTTCAACCTCTGCAATAATATTGCCAACCGCCAAAACCAACAATAAGATAAAAATAATTTTATTATTATTATTTCTCATATTATATGTATTTAATTATATATTTAATATATTTTGATATTTATAAAAATTTGAATTCAATGTATTTATACTCATTGATCCCATCACTTTTAAAATATATTTTAATATATAATAAATAAATTTAACTCTTTCAAGTATTTATATAAAAATGGAAATCATCTTTATTAATAAATATAGACATAACTAATATATTTATAGTTTATAGTCTAAAACTATGAAAATATATTATTTAGATGAAAATATATTATTTAGAGTATCATTGGAAAAATATTTCTCTAGTATTTTTATTTACACATACAATATTTTTCCAATTATGATAAGTGTTTTACAAAAAAATATTCACCACTTTCTTTATTATTAATTTACAACACTAATTTATCTTTGATTTTTGTGTTGTTCACTGTGTACTGTGGTACAATGACAATTATTTATAGTTTGATTAATTTAATTAATATCAAAAAGAAAAAAATAATTTATATAGTAAATCTTTACTATAATTATTTTAGATATTATAAAAAAATAATATGAAACTATTATTAATATTAATAAATATCTTTATTATTTCAATTGTAGTAGTGTTAGTAGATTCTAAACAATATGAAATCAGTTCAGATAAAGTAAAATCTGTTAAATTTGCTCAAACACATGTTTTGCCTGCATCTGGATTGTCATGGAGTAATTTTACATTCAATTTAGTACCAAATAGAGATACTTTGTTGTTGGTTCAATTTGAAACTACACCGACCAGTTCAGCCAATGATATTACTATTATGGTTGATAATGCAACTGTCGCTACTCTTACTCTTAACACTCCAGATAAGATTCCATCAAACTTTGCCAACTATCCTGCTACCAGTTACTGTGTCGATTGCTACTCTGTTATGATACCTCGAAACCATGTAAAACAAGGAATGGAAATCATAGTTAGTTCCGATACAACTACAGGCCGAGTGAAACCAACCATCATAATGGATACCAATCTAATATTCAAGAGTTTCCCATTCTATTTGTTTGGTGCCAATCCTACCAATACACTAACTTGTATTCCCAAGACACCAGCCAAAGATTCACAAGATCTCATCTTTAATACTTGGCCATTGTCATCCGTTGAATTCAAAGAAGCTCCAGGATTCACTTGGGACAGACTAGTTTGTCCACCAATTGAAAACAAAACAGAAGCAATGGTAGTCTCTTCAAAAGATGATATTTCAAATAATGATTTAGATAATGTTATTGCTGAAATCATTAATGAATACAGAAAAACAAATGGTGAATTAAAAGTAAATATAAAAAATAATTTTAATTTTTTTAATTAACTTTTTTTTTTTTTAATATATATATAGTTAAATGTTATGTATGATGTACCAATGTTACCATTGAATTCCTTAGGTTCTGTTGACCTTATCGATAGAATATATGTATCAAACAAACTTTATATTTCTGGTAACTTCCAATCTAGATCAAACTATCTAAATGGTCTTGGATTTGCTTTCGGAATTCAATCATTCGGTGCAATGTTTAAGGCTGGGAAGTATCCATATCCAAATGGATCATATAATGGTTCAAGTTGGGGTTTCAATAGTCAAATCAATAAGTTTATCTCTCCATACGTTATACCAAATGACGACAACTACGATTCCTGTTTAACCAATCCAGATTATTTACATTCAAACGATATATGTTTTAAAAAAGATTATATATCTGTAAGTTTTCAATTTAAAAAAAACAATTTTAGTTACTTTATTAATTTTAAATCTTTTTTAAGAATGTTTTAAATGATATGTATTATCCAGATTATATTTCAGGTATGATCCAAAGTGGTGTAAATAAAATGGTTCAATACGATAAGACCAATAAGAAATTCATGTCTTGGGATGCCACTCTAATGAAATCCGTTGAAATCAAACCAAACGATACCAATGGTGGATTCCTATATTTGGATGATGGTTTGCCAATGCTAGTGGATGTAGATGTCTATACCATAGTGATGGTACACAATACTGCTGCCAACTCTAAATGTGGAGGTGCTTGTTCCAACATCTATCCAATTATCAAGAGTCGTGGTAACTTGATGAGACATATCGATCCATCTGATGAAGACCAACGTGATCTCGTAGAGGAACCAAGTCTCAGAGATCTCTATGCATTCTGTGCGGAATCTGGTTGTGACTTTTCACTGAGAGCTACCTACGCCGATGGCAGCATTTTTTTGAAACTCCTACAAAAAGGCATGAGAGATTTCGATAATCCAAGAGGTCCTATACATCAAGACTATTTGAATCCACTCAATCCAAAGAGTGTAACTTATTTCGTTGAGAATATTCCAGCTGATAAAGTACTCACCAAAGTGGAATTACTCTCAACACCCTATGGATACAAAAAGTACACTGCTAATCCACCAGTTTTATTATCAAAAATAATAAGTTAAAAAAACAAAAAAAAAAAAACAAATGAATGAATTTAATTTAATTTCACAATAAATCAATCTATTTAAAGTCCTTTATTAATTTCTCTCATTCTTTTCTCCATTTTCAATTGTTGGAGTCTGAATTTCTTTTTTTTGAGGAAAAGAATTACAAGTGCAACTCCAATTGAAACAAAGACAACAACACCAACAACAATACCAGCAATTGCACCATTACTTAATTTCTTTGATGATGAACAAATGAAATCAGAGGTATCTGTTTCTCCAACATCAATTAGATTTGAGAAATCTGGATCTAAACTGATATAATCACCATAAGCTCCAACTGTCATACCAACTACAGCTGATCTAATTTGTTTGGTTTGATCTTCGTCATCTTCAATGATTATATTCTGAATGTTTCTGACCCTGTTGTCTACGACACCCTTCGAAAGGAATCTTCCATAAAGACTGTTATCTCCAACATTCAATTTGATCCATTGAACACTCTTATCGACAACACCAACACCAGATGATGAACAAACATCCGATTTATCTGTTTGAATCGATGATCTCATCAATATTTGAATGAGATTCGTTTGATCTTTGAATTGATATGAACTCATATTCATTGAGAATTTGATTGTCGATTCTGGAATGAAGAGTTGTTCATCTGCAAATGTGATATTGTCTGAATTCTTGAAATATTCAATCGATACATTTAATAATGTTGATCTATTGTCTAATTGTGTTGAATAGAAATATTTTGGATTCGTTGATATTTTGCTTAGATCTGTAAAATACCATTTACTGATATTGAATGTTTGAACAACATTCATTGTTGCATCCAATTCTCTTACTCCAATGATTTCAATCGATGTTGTGATTAAACTTCCAGATTCTGTTATATTTGTTCCTGTTACTGGATCTGGGTATGATGGAGGAACTGGAATAATTACAATTTCTATTTTGGATTTTTAAATAATTAATTAGAATTTAAAATTAATATTATTTTAATATTCTTTACAACTTACTTGAAGAACACGATGGACCATACCATGGTGATTGACAAACACAAATAGAGTTGATACACTTTCCATTATTATTACAATTTGGTATACATGTTGTAGGATCTTTTGGTGTGGGGGTTGGATTGGTTGGTGTTGGAGTTGGAGCAGGTTTATTAGAAAATGTAACTGGAAAACTATTAACTGCTGAATAGACAGATTTTTTGATTGCATATACCGAAACATATGATGCGTTGATTGGAGGAACATTATCAAACATTAATACATTTCCTAAACTTGTTATTGGATAATCAACATAACCATATCCATCGGAGAAATCAATCCTGACTTTTGTTTCATTGATAAGTTTTCCAAAACCTCGACCAAATATTGCAAAACTTCCACCTGAGCTATAAATTGTCGTAGAACTCTTCAAAATAGGAATATCCAAAGTAAAGGTTGTTTTAATTGCATATGGGAATGAATTTGTCTTTAGATCTTGAGTGGCATATCCATTATAGTTGTATAATTGGTCAGCAATTCCAAATATACCAACTGATATAGAATTCATTCCAAATCCGTAAGGCACATTGTAATTTAATATATAATTGAAATATTGACCATTGGCAACTGTGAATATAGTTGGAATCTCTATGAAATCACCATTCTCTGAACTCAGCTGAATCGTTGGTGTTATCTTTGTAGCCATTCCTGATTCACTTTCAATGAGTGTTAAATTGAAAAAAATATTTCTATCTCCGGAACTGACATCGATGGTTGTTGGTGAGAATACAAAATCAGATAACTTTGGAGCAGTTGTATCAGTAGCTATATCATCATAAAAAATATTAGAATGTAATTCTTTAAAAAAATAGAATAAAAATACATACATGGATCACATGTAACTCTAATTCTTAATTGGTTTTGATATGTTCCATAAACAGTGGTTAATGGATCATATTCTTTGGTAAATGTATTTTTCAAATCGGTGATAGAATATAGAGACACATTGTAAATACTATAAGTCTGTGATTTACAAGTTCCAGAAACTGGATAGTTTACTCTATACATTCCATTTCCAACCATACTAGAACTACCAAAATTAATTTTATATGGGAAAAAGTCGATATCAGAGATAATATTTACTTCTCCATATGAAAATCCAACACCAGATATAGTGAATATCCACCCAATATTTGTTGAAGGACCTGTAGCTGGAACATTAATAGCAGGAAAAGCTGATATTGCCTCAATCTTTGGTACATAGTAAAAAGATTCTATAAAATTTAAAAATTAATTTTAAATTTAAAGTTTTTATATCTACAACTTTCATACCTGTATTAAAAACCTTTAATGCTACTGGTGTTCCAAAATAAGATTCCATCATATATGATGTGAAAACAAAACTATCAATAAAAAGACTATAATAAAATGTACCTGGTACACTTCCTTTTGGAATGGTAATATTGATAACATATAAACCTGTATCCCAATCGAAAACACCTTTCTGTTTCACATCACTATAGTATGTTGTAACATAAGTTACTAACTCTCGATATGGTTTCGATAGACCAAACATCAAAGTTGTATAGTCATTATCATTTGTTGTATCAAAGAGAATTTTACTGAAATTGAATGAAGTAAAATCGGTATAATTGATTGATACTTTAAATAAAAATGTTAGTGATATACTTTGAATTATATCAAAAAAGATATGTAAGACTTACAGATATAGTCTGAAGGAATAGTTGGGAGTAATTTAGATTGAAGTGGTGAAAAAAGAGTTCCACTGGCATAGTTATATGATCGATAACAAGCATCTTGAATGTTAAGCATGTAATCAGAGCTTGATGGTGTATATAGAATATCAAAGATTGATAATCCAATAGTGGCATCATAGTATGATAAAATATCATTGGCACGATAAGATTTTTGTGAAATAGAAATCGATAAAATTTGGCAAGTGGAGGTAAAGTTTAACCTGAACATTATTTGAGGAAAAACTATCTGTTGAATTGTGCAATCATTAATAATTAAACTATAGGCTAATTGATAAATAATGTTATTAATTTACTGAAGAAATTCAAAATTCACCAATTTCTTACCATTTTGCTGTGGTGAAAAACTTGGAGGAACTGGAGAAGGTACCTGTGCATTTTTACCACTAGGATAAAATTCAAAATTTGGAATGGTAGATATATATTGATTTAGTGGGTAACTGTATCTGTAGTTATATCTTAAGGTAGTAGGATTCAATATCCAAGGGAATAGAGTTGGGTGTGAAATTGGAAGACTGGGGGATATTGTGGTGTTTAAAAATGGTTTGGCAATAACTGAATATTCTAACTCCACGGTTACCAAATTAAATTGATATGTAGTGTCATACTCGTATGAAGCAGTTGGGACAAATGAATAATATGAACTACTTTTTGAGATAGTGTATAGTTGGTTGATGATTGTTGAGGTTTGATCTAGAATATAGGATTTGGCTTCACCAGGTCCAATAGCATTATCGAGGCTTTGCACAGCCAAATAAAGTGAATGGGTATTATTGTATTCCACCAATGAAAAAGGTACCGCTGAGTCAAAGAATGGTGGCGAATAAAAATACCAATTAAACAATGAATTTGAATTCAATACTGTTAAAAAGCTAATCACTGAATATTGAGTCTGCTGATAGTCTGAGAACAAATTCGATCCAGAAGGTGGGTAGATTACTTCACTTACGACATTCGAAGTTCTACTATCTAATTAGAATAGAAACTATATTAATATAATTTATATTTACTTGTTTTAAAAAATCTTACCTGCCAAAGCTAATAGATTTATTATATCAACAGAGGTAGATGATCCTCGATATGAAAGAGTTACTGGAATCGTAGCTGGTTGAGAAAGGTATCCTGGGATTATAGATAATTTTATTTTCTGGAATCTTGCATAACCATCAGACAACATTTGACATTTGAATAGTGTAGTTGTACAGTTCATAGCTTCAGCAGGAAGAAAAGGTGGAAAGGCAAACTCCAAATATGAGTACTGATCAATGCTATTAACCAAAGAAGGAAATCCTTGCTTTATTACTTTAAAATCATTCATATCAATCTCTGTAGATTGGTTTTGATTTTTGTTAATAATAAATATATATATTTTTAAATTTCGAACACATTACCATAACAAGTCAAATTTGCGGTATAATCAACATTAAAAGTTGAATCTTTCATGTTGAGCTTAAAAGAAGAAGATGTAACCATTGGATCCATCTTAACTTTCATATCTATATAGAATAACTGTACACCTTCACTTTTAGAGTTCATTACCAAAGTAAACTCAGTTCCAGCCGGTTCAACAAAGCTAAATGAATATGATGGATTTGAATCTTGACTTTCTAAAGCAACTGTCAACTTGTATGAGCATGTATTCTCGAGTGACTTTATAGGAATAGTTTCTTGAATATGTGCATTTTTAATTTTAATTCCATTTGTAAAACCTTATTATATTTAATGATTTAGTTTGTGTTTTAACTAATAAAAAACAAATAAAAAAAATAAACTTACTGATTGTCAGAAAAATGGTAAAAATCAAAGATATAATACTGTTCATTCTCAAAAAAATAGAATAATGGTAAAAGTCTTAAATGATGATATGATTAAAATCTAATCCATTTCAAACTAATGAACTAGATACATGTCTTTTAAAAAAGATTTGTAGAATCAGCAAAAATCTCGATATTTTTAAATATCAAGGATTTTTTATTGATGAATAAAATTTTATCATGAGATGCATGTTTTGCAACAAAATACAGGACCCTATTTTTTGTAAAATCATAAAAAAGGTGGAAAAAAAAATAAAAAATAAGATTTTAATATTTCTAAAACCGTTGATTTTTCGTTTGCAAATTATCTTAAAACTGAAAAAATTGATCACCTGGTTAACAATTAAAAATTTACCATAATAATATTTATTTTTTTATTAAAGTCCTTTGTTATTAATTTCTCTCAATCTTTTCTTCATTTTCATTTCTTGTAGTTTATATTGCTTTCTCTTTAGAATATATATTGTAGCACCAATCGCAATTGAAACAAAGACAACAACACCAACAACAATACCAGCAATTGCACCATTACTTAATTTCTTTGATGATGAACAAATGAAATCAGAGGTATCTGTTTCTCCAACATCAATTAGATTTGAGAAATCTGGATCTAAACTAACAAATTGACTATAAGCTCCAACTGTAATACCAACGGTTACTGATCGCATTTGTTTGGTTTGATCTTCGTCATCTTCAATGATTATATTCTGAATGTTTCTGACCCCTGTTGTCTACGACACCCTTCGAAAGGAATCTTCCATAAAGACTGTTATCTCCAACATTCAATTTGATCCATTGAACACTCTTATCGACAACACCAACACCAGATGATGAACAAACATCCGATTTATCTGTTTGAATCGATGATCTCATCAATATTTGAATGAGATTCGTTTGATCTTTGAATTGATATGAACTCATATTCATTGAGAATTTGATTGTCGATTCTGGAATGAAGAGTTGTTCATCTGCAAATGTGATATTGTCTGAATTCTTGAAATATTCAATCGATACATTTAATAATGTTGATCTATTGTCTAATTGTGTTGAATAGAAATATTTTGGATTTCGTTAAAGTCGTACTTAGATCTGTAAAATACCATTTACTGATATTGAATGTTTGAACAACATTCATTGTTGCATCCAATTCTCTGATCCCAATGATTTCGATCGATGTTGTGATTAGACTTCCAGATTCTGTTATATTTGTTCCTGTTATTGGTTCTTGGTAGGCCGGAGGGATTGGGGTAATAATGGTTTCTTTTTAAAAATACAAAAATTATTAATAGAATGAAAACTAAAATTTAATATTAATTTTAAACTTACTTGAAGAACATGATGGACCATACCATGGTGATTGACATACACAACTAGAGTTGATACACTTTCCATTATTATAACATAATAAATCAATGCATTTTTGTGGTTCAGCAGTAGGAGTTGGGGAAAGAGTTGGTGTCGGGGTAGTGGTTGGTATGGGGGTAGTAGTTGGTTCAGGTATTGCCCTTATAATAGGAATAACTAGAATGTTTGATTGAATGTTATTTCTAACTACATAAACTGTAATATAGCTTGCTTGGATTTGTGGAATATTGCTAATAGTTAAAACGGTAGCGCCGATTTGAGAAAATGTTGAATTTTGATAACCTTGACCATCACGATAATCTATTTTTGCTGAAAATGTGCTCGCGTCTCTACCAAATGATCTACCATAGACAATGATTTTACCTCCTCTGGCAGTAAGTCTTGAGGATGTAGTTAAATACGGTTGATCCAGAGTTAAAGTTAGTTTAACCGAATAGGGGAAGGCTAAATCTCTTAGATCTGTAGATGTATAACCTCTTTTGTTATCATTGTTGTCTGATATTCCACTCATACTTATCAAAAGAAAATCCATTCCGAAACCAAACGGTAAGTCACATTCTGCAATATAGGAATTTACAAAACCATTACCCGAAGATAAATATGATTGAATTTCAATGTAATTTCCATTTAGAGAAACTATTTGAATCTTTGGAAGATGTCTCTCTGATATACCAGTTCCATTGGTAAATTCATTCAAGACAAAACTGAATGAAATCTTTCTATTCAAAGTACCGACGTCAATTGAATTTGTTGATACATTGAAAAAAGATAAAGTAGGTGCGTCTCCGTCATTTGCTAAATAGAGATATTATACATTAAAATGATGCAATAGCTTTTAAAGAGTATTTTACTTACATATTAATACACAATAAGTATAAACTATTAATTGATTTTCATACTGTGAACCATATATAGTAGATAAGGGGTTAAAAGGAATATCCATTATATTAAGATCAGCTCTTTCTGAGAATAAGGACATATTCTTCATGGAGTATCCTTGTTCTCTACATGTTGAATTTTTCATAAAGGTTACTCTATATACACCATTGAACTTGTCACCGGAAACAAGATTTGATATATTAAAATGGATTCTTCTAGGAACCAAGTCTAGATCAGAGATAATATCAACTTCACCATAAGAAAATCCAATCTTGTTTGAAATTGTTAAATTCCATCCAATCTCTGTTGGTTGATTAACATTCAAAGTTACAACTGTACTTGGGAAAGCAGCTATAGAATCGAGCATTGGTGTACTAAAAAGGGTAACTTGTAATTTGTCAAAAAAGTTAATAATAGTAATAAAAATATTAAACAAAATAACCTACTTGTATTGGTAACATAAAGAGAAGCACTACTTCCAAAATATGTTTCTAGTATAAAGGAATCGAAAATAAAATTCGATATAAATATTCCATAAGTAATCTTTCCAGGTGGAATTCCTTGAGGAATAGTTATATTATTAATGAAATATGATTGACTAACAGAATTAAATTCTGCTATTAGAAAATTATTTTTGTATGGTAATGTAATGAAAACCTCTGCATCTGGATAGGATTTTCTCAACTTGAATTCAAGGGATGTGATTGCTTTGTCTGTGGTGACATTGAAATTATTGTTTGAAAATTGAAAATAAACAAAATCGGTAATATTGAGGGTCACTTAAAATGAATATGTTAATAAATATTTCAAATTCCAAAGGTATCAATTAACTTACAATAAAGATTTTTTGTTAATGTTTCAAAATATACAAAAGTTGTAGAAGGAGAATAAAACAGGCCACTTGAGTATGAATATTGTTTGGCGCAGGCATCATATAGAGAAAACTCAATGGAAGCAGAAGTAGAGGGGAAAACTACTTCATATGTTCCATTGGTATAGGTTCCATCTATGAGAATATCATTTGCTTTGAAATTTGCAGATCCCATTCTTACTGATAGAATTGGACAAGTAGAAACAACACTAAATCTAGACATGATAATTGGATAGGATACAGGTGTGAATATAATGAATTGCAAAATAGCATTATAATCTAAAAAATAAATTAAATAAAATTAATAAAATAAAATACAAAATTTATGATAAATTAATCATACCATATGTCAAGACAGGAATAGGAGTATAACCATTTCCACCAGGTAAATAATTTAGGTAAGATCCTCCATATGAATAATATTTGTAAAGTGGATAGACTACTTTAAAAATATAACCTTCTGAAGAGTAGTTGTAGTAGAATGGTAACATAGCGGGTATATTTATACTATCTGATGGACTCATCATAACATTTAAATTTGGTGTAGCAATAGCACTCAATTGGAGATAAGAACTAACCAAATAACAATCGAGTTGAGAATCGAATACCTGTTCTACATTATTTAAACTACCAAAATCTTAATAGCAAAATTAATATTTTATTTAATGATTATTTTATTAATAACTTACTGTATGGGTTAAATGTTGATGAATAAGTATCGGAAATAAGAGTCGATGTTACATCTATCATATATGTTGATGCTTTTCCAGCCTCTAATGTACCAAATTGTCTACTGTCCATGTATAAAGAATGAGATTGATTAAACTCTACTAATCTAAAAGGTGTAACTTGATAATAGAATGTAAAATTATATACAGAAACAAACATTGCGCTTGAATTTTCTACCCAGAGAAAATCAAGCTTATCAATTAATGACAATTGATAATCTTGATTAACAGTTGTTCCGGACGGTGGGTAGTGTAACTCATTTTTTATAATGGAACTAGGAACTTGAAATAAATATAAAGAATTAAATTAATAAGTATTGAAATCTAATTAGGTTAAATGATTAACGCTTACTTGATGTAGGGAATACATTTGGGAAATCGAGAGAGACATTGACACCTCTAAATGAAAGTGTCAAGGGAATTGTCGAAGGTAATGAACTAATTGGGGGAACCATTGTAAACCCAACAACCAATCTGGCAAAACGAGATCCTGCTTCTGGTGCAACTGCACACGATATAGTATTATAGACTGTAGAACATGCTATTGGACCATCTACATTGGAGACTTCTGGAGGGAATTGAAACTCTACTAAAGATACCATATTTGGTCCCACATACATTGTTGGTTTAGAAAAATTATTGATAGTAAATCCCCCCATATCCAACTCTATTTTAAAGGTTAAATATATATTTAATATAAAATAGGAAATATATTTAAATTATATTATTTTACCTTGACAATTATAACCTGACAATACGAAGGTGGTTTCTATAAAATCGATAGGATCAGAAATACCAAGAGTTATAGAGGTAGTCACAACACCTGGTGGCAGAGATATAGAAAATTGGAATGTAAATAATTGTTTTATTACTGTAGAGGAATTATCGTAGGAGATTAGCACATTAAGAAAAGTATTCGGATTTGGTGAGACTATTCTAAAATTGTTTGATGTAAGCAACCCTGGATATGAAACAACAAAAGATGATCCAAAATTACAGTTATTATTAGAATCTTTAAAAGGGAAAGGTTCTTGAATCCTATATGCCAATAAATTTACTGCTACTCCATTTACAAAATCTAAATTTTAAATAAAAAATTATAAAAAAATAAATTAATTTTAACAAAAACTATAAAAAATTTAATTTAATTTGGAACATACTTAATTCAAATAAAAGAACTAAAGATATTAAAAACAAATAATTATAATTCATTTTATTTTTTTAATAGTTTTATATTATTAAAGTATAAAAAAATTAGATTTATAATAACGTAGTGAATTTTATTCAAAATTTGATTGATTTATATGTACTTACACTAAAGATTTCATATCTTCCTAAAAATCTTTCGGAAAGGAAATATCTTGATATTTAATTTTTTTCATAATAGATTTAGCATTACAAAGATTTCTTTTTTTTCTTGTTTATTACTTAAATAAAAATCTAACATTAACAAAACTAATCCTAATCTTTAAATAATTTGGGGTTGAAGATCTTTATTTAATATTTAGTTATCATGATAATGATAGTTGTAGAAAAAAAAAACAAAAAAAATAATTAATAAAAATAGATTATATTTAAAAATTATATTAAAAAATACTTACAAGTCCAGTTCACAAAATTTTTATATGGGGTTCGCATTAATTTTTTTTCCTCCCATATTAACCCCCATATAAAAATTTTCACTTGTATACAAACACTGGAAATTTGAACAAAAAAAAAACATAATTTGTTGAAAAAAAAAAGATCTTTTTTTTTGATGATGATGTATATTTGGAACATTTTTTTGAACTAACCCCATGCGCAAAGATTTTTTTTTTTTTTTGACACTAATTATTTTTATTTTTCTTTTTAGGTGGTTGATTAGTGAATGTTGTTTTATTTTTTTATATGATCACACATATTTTCACCCAATCATCAAAAATAATAATTGTTTTTTTTTGTTTATGTAAATGTAGAATAGATAAATATTTGTTTTTTGTTTTTTTGTTTTTTTATATGTTTGATGACTGTGAAAAATATTATGTTGCAGTGTAAAATAAGAGTGAACATAAGAGTGGTATGGGTGAATGAAAATTGATTGTATTTGATTTTGTTCATACATATCACTGTAATCGCTGTCATATGAGCGAGTAAGAAATGAAGAAGTTAATACAAATAAATCAACTTCAATAATTAAATTAAATATAGAACTAAAAAATAATTAACAGCAAACAGGTGTCGCTGTGTTGAATCGGTATATACATTTGAATTTAATAATAACAATAATAATAATAATAATTTGTTATCAAAACAATTTATCTTAAGTTTTTATTATTGTTATACAAATAATAATATATATTAAATAAATAAATATATTAATAATTATAATATTAAATCAGAGATATTAATCAACAATAACTTCATCTCCTATTTTTTGTATCAACAGATATTACTCTTTTTTTTTTGTTCAAATTAACCTTTTAAAATAAAATAATAACTCTTTATTTTATTTATCTATAAAAAAAAGTAAAAAGAATGAAATTTGTTAAACATAGTTTTCGTTTTGGTGGAGATGAAATAGAGTTACCATCGAGTATTATTTTCAAAGTTTTTGAATATGTTTTCAATAATGAAATGCCTTCGAAATATTATGTTACTCTAAGTTTAGTTTGCAAGTTGTGGCGGCAATATGCATTCCTCTCTGTGCAAACAATAAGATTGGTACCGAAACGTCTACAACATCTCTTAATGCCATATAAACCAGTTGCTTTGGATACTGCTCTGTCAACTATTTCCAACATGTTGATCAACTCCAGAACCATCACTGTGCTGGACCTCTCCAATTCGGAAATTGATATCACTAGAACAAGTATTATAGGAGTTGGAATTGCCCACTCTGAAAGTGTAAAACATCTAAACCTTCATTGTACCGCGCTAGACGATAAAGCTGCCAAAGAACTTGCCGATGCTTTACGTGATAACAAGACGATCCAAACCATTGACCTGTCACACAATCATATTGGTGCGGAAGGAGCTCTAGCAATTGCACAATCGCTAGAATCTAGCAAAACAATAACAACAATCGACCTCTCCAAGAATCAAATCGGTAATCAAGGTGCTCTTTCGATTGCCAAAGTATTTGGAAAGAGTAGGGTAAAGGTGAATCTAGCCTCCAATCAAATCGGAAGTGATTGTATTATCGCCATAGCCAAAGCAAGAAAATCAACAAAAACCTCGTTCCTCTACAAGAGTGGACTGAAACTTACAACGATGGATGGAAGATGTACTTTAACTGCCTCTGTAGAAACATAAAATAAACTTATCACTGTTACTCTAATAAAAAGATTACAATTTTTTTTTTAATAGAATAATAGATTTATTTATACCATATTTTTTTTAATTTTAGTTTAAACTAATGTCTTTTTTGTTTCTTTCGATTTTAGATGCCATATATATTTTCATTTGATATTTAAATTTTTTGAAAATAATTAAACCTAAAATGGAAACTAAGACCAAACCTCCGGCAACAGATCCAACTATGATGGCAATCAATCGATTTGAAGAGTTTGATTTTTTTCCACATTCAAGTTCGTCGTCATTCAATAACACAGAAAAATCAGGATCGATATCGGCCAAGACTTGGTAGGATGGAACTGTGGTGGCAATCAATACTTCCATTGAATTTGTTGTAGAACCACTTTCTTCTGCAGAGTTACTCTCGCTAATGATTGTGTTTCTAATTCTAATATTTCTACCATCTACCACAGCTGTATCTATAAATCTACCATAGATTGAAACGTCATTGATTCTCATATTGATCCATTGAAGGTTATTACCACTATCCTCTCCTTTCTCTGTTTTTGAACAGCTGTCTGACGATGACTTTGATTGGACTTTGGTCGAGATTACAACCTGAAGTGAATTGAGTAGATCTGAAAATGGGTATGGTAACAAAGTGATTGAGAATTTAACTGAATTTGGTGCCATGCTAATTGTTTTTCCTGCAAACTGATATTCGGTTTGTTTTGGGAAATAATTGACAGTTACAATGATACTAGAAATTGGTTTCGAATAAATGATTGTAGTATAACTATACGATTGATATTCATCATCTACATTGGTAATATTTTGATATTCCCATTTGGTAAGATTGTATCTTGCAGCTATTTCCATTGTTGGATTGATCTCTCTAAGCTCGACAATTGATACTCCAGAAGAGAAATTATCTAAATTATCAGTGATAATAGTTGGAGATGTTTCATCCGGTTGATTTGGTACTCCAATGGTTTCTAAATAATTAATAGTTAATATTTTAATTCTTTAAAATCAATGAAAAAAATACAAAATAAAACTTACGTGAATTACAATTTGGTCCCCAATATGGTGGTTTACATATACATTGATTATTTTGACAAACACCATTATTATAACATTGCATGGTACATGGAGTGGTAGTCGTTGTAGATGTAGGTGAAGGAGTTGGAAGTGATTGTGATGGTTTTGATTGGATATTCTCTGCTAAAACTTCATTTGATGTCAGGTCTCCTGACACAACTGATCTGATCACCCTTACTTGCAACCTAGAATTCGATTGTAGATCACCTGAATATCGACAAACAATAACTGGGGCAGAGATAAATAGTAGTGGACATTGTTTGTATCCACTTCCATTGTTAACGAAAACCTGAGTGCTATTTGATATTCCTAAGATTCCCAATCTATATCCATAGATTGTAATGTTCTTACTGAAACTTTCATAGGTTACACGGCTGACAATTGGAGTGGGTTGTAGATTATATGTGGGCTTGACAAAGTTTTGTTTGTCCTTCAAATCTTTGGCATTCATACCAGAGTAATAATTAAAGGTGTTTGTAATTCCAAAAATTGAAATAAAACAACCTCCAACCGATCCGAAACCATAGGGTAGTGTACCATTTACATAATACCAAACATCCAGATCTTCAGATGAAGAGTTGTAAAAAAACCGAATTAAATGATGCGATGTGTTGATTAATTGTTTGGAAATATACTACTGGTTGGTAGAAGGTACTCATTGGATGTGTATATTTGACATTGAAATATAGCTCGATATTTGCTGTTTGTAGAACATCGATTGTAGGGCTTCTGATGCTCAAAGAGCTGATCCAATTGAATTGTAAAGAAGGAAATGGTTGATAACAAAATACTTGAATGGTCCTCTGTTGATAGACCATTGAACTAAGTAAATTAAAGAATGGATTGACAAAATTGGATTTGTCTGTAAAATCTTCAAAGGAAGTAGCCATATTTCCAAGAATATCATAGAGGACAAAGTCAATTCTAAATGTAGAATTACCAAACGGATAAGGAATGCTAAAATCTATACCATAGGTAGATGAAAAGGCATCACCGGAAATGAAATATCTGCCATTTGGTGAAAATGAAAAATTGGTGGGTCTGTGCATTTCATCAGACTGTACTCTGGCAACTCCATAATCAAAACCAGTATGATCTTCAACTGTAAATTTCCATCCGATTACAGTAACTGATTTTAAAATTAATGGGGAAGGAACTGTTGATTTAATATCACTAATCATTGGTCCCATATTATCAGAAACTAAATTGAAAAAAAAATATATATAAATAAATATTAATAATTATTTGGAAATATAAATTTTTAAACTTTTTTTAACTTACAATTTGATGTTACATTTAAAAGTGATTGATTTTTAATTGAGTATATAGAATAGAGCAATGAATTGGGGATTGGATTTGGATAGGAAAACAATGTATATTTAATGGATCCAGAGAAAAGTCTTGCTCTTATTCTAATGGGAATAACAAACTTGTTCAATGATCTATCGTAACTACCCTCAAAGATATATTTTTCGTCGGCATAGTGTTCATGAAAGTAAATTTGAATTTTGGGCTTTTGATATTTATCTAAATCTGACATATCAGAGAGATTGAAATAGAGTACAGTATCCTGATAACCATCGCTAATATCTAGATTATTTGGTTGAAAGTAGAATTCACTAATTTTGAAAGGGTCAATAGAAACTACCAAAAAGAAAGAATTTAACCATTTGTTAATGAAAACAATATTAGATTGTTTCTAAAAAATATATACATACATAAAGGTGGACTTGGAAGAGGTGGCAAATCGGCTCTATATAATGCATTTTCAATAAATAGTGAACTTGTTGATGTGATATCAATGATTTGGTATGTTTTTTGGGCACTTAACTGAGGCGTTGGTTTCATCTTTACCAAAATTTCGTATGTACCAAAAGTGAAATTGCCATCTGTTAGATATTTATAATCGATAATATCTCCATCTGATGTGATCGCTTGATAGAAATCTGCTTGAGATTGAATCTGTAGCTGAAGAACATATGAATAGGAATCAAATTGCTCCATTCTAATACTATTTAATTTGGGTGGAGATGAAGCTGGTATGGGGACTTTAAAGAAAATAAGTTATAGGCACTAAAAATATTTATAATTGATTCAGCTCAATTACTTAACATACATGTATAATTATCCCATTGGCTATATGTAAACTGGACATCCATATTTAAAACTCTATTGTATAAGATTTGGGAAATTCTGGATGAAGATAAATATGGTGGATAAATTGTAACACAAATAAAACTTGATCCATTAAATTGATAGCCAAAAGGAAATGCCGGTAACATTTTATCATTGAGTCTAATCGGAAAAGAAGTGTCAAAATAGTCTACTGAATACAATAATAAACTTGCTAATATTGGTGATGAGATTTGTTGTAAAAAAGGGGCATTAATAGCGAGTGGTGAGATGTTATATTGAAGAGAAAGGTAGCTGTTGTTGTTGTTGTTGCTGTTGCTGTTGTTTCCAAAATCCCATGACTCTAAAGTGTAAGTTGAATTGGTTAGAGGGAAACCAGTTGAATATTGTATCAATGCACTCTGCAGATTTCCTTGAAGCGGAATTATTTTGCTGGAAAAAGGTGAGACATTGGTACTTCCGAAATAGAGTCTATCCGATAGCAGAACAGTTGGGACTTGGATATTGATACTGCCTAGCGGATTATTTATATTTAAAAGGGAGTCGGTAGTTTGGATCCTTGGTGTGAGAATAGAACCTTTCGGGGAGAGTGTTGATCTAATTGACAAAGTAAGGGGTACCTGTGGACTACCATTGAAATTCAAGAGCACTAACAGAGTTGTGGGAATACTTGATTTTAATAGAGGTGTTAACTTTATGAGGTAGGTGCAATCTTTCGTAGTCGCCTTCACCGGGTAGATTGCACATGAATAGGTATCACAAGCACAACCTGTAGGCTGGTTAGCACTCGAGGGAAGTCTTACTCCACCGTGCAAAATATAATTGAAAGGCGTGGAAAGAAGCCCCTGGGATAGAGAATTCACTCTGACCGTGGGTATGGTGCACCCCAGAGTGTGTGGAATCGAATAATAAGTGGAACCAATCGTAAAGGAAATATTTACTGTAGTGTTTTTGGTATACTGTAAATCAAAGTACGCCAGTTGAGTGCCGGATCCTAATGAAGGTATTAACTTTTGTTCGATAACCGTATAGTTTATTTTTAGGTTACTAACAATCGTTGAATCTTCGATGGCAACTGTAAGTCTGGCATTGTTGGTAGCTCCACAAAAACCACTTGGTGGTGTTAAATAAACATGGATATCTGAATTATTTAAATGAACTGTTGCAATGTAAAAAATTTTGATTAATATTTAAAAATTAAAAAAAAAAAAAATCTTTTTGATTACCTTGAAATAATAAAAAAATAAATAGTATAAAATATCTATTTAATGTGAATGATATCATTTGATATTTGTATGGTAGATATTTATCTACTTTTTCGTTTTTGTGATCTTTTGTTCTGATTCTTGCAACTTAGTTCAATAAAAAGTTTGCTTGCAAGAAGAAATCAAGATGAAAAAATAAAAAATCTAAAAGTTTTTTTTTTAAAGTCGCAAACCATCGTGTTATTGAGAAAAGCTATAAGAATTGCGAGGGTTTCATTAAAAAAAAAAAATAAAAATAAATAAATACCTCAAACACATTAAATTTTGTTTTGTTTCGCTGCTCTATATTCATTTGCAGACGCTTGATCGATTATTTAAGTAAATAATTAAATACTTGTAAAAATAAAAGTTTTTTTCTGTATTTTATTTTTAAGACTTTATTCGTATCGTTTGTTTTATATTGTCTTTACTTTTTAAGAACAATTTTGAATGATTTGAACATACAATATTTATTTTGAACAATTAACTTTGTAACTCTATTTTCTTAATAATCAAATTGAAAACAGAAGCAAAATAAAAATAAAAATAAAAAAATACGATTTTTAATTTAATATCTGATAGTTGGTGAATCGTATTAACAATGTTGATTTTTATCAATTTTTTTTTAACTGATTTTTTATTTCAAAAAAATTATTTTTTCAATTTTGACACTTTTTTTTTTTTTTATTTTATCAAAAACTGGGAATCAATAACAACTTTTTCAGTCATATATTTTTATTTCCTATTTCTTTTTTTTTTTTTTTTTTTTATATATTTTTTATTTTTCAGATACCACACGCAAAACTCTGCCGGTAACAACCAGCTAGCAAACAACAAAATCGGTTCACATTCACACCACCACCAACAATATATATACAGTGTTCAATATTCAAACCATCATATAAATATATAGAACAAAAATGGAATTCGACGAAGATACTTCATTCAAGCCAGACCCAACCTTTACAAACTCTAGACCAAAGTGGGTCGACGATGACAAAGTTAACAAGTAAGTAGAGTCTACACATTGGAATGCATCACAACAGGATTAAATTAATCAATTCTTTCTTTATTTATCAAACAATAGCTGTACTAAATGCAAAGTTAATTTCACATTATTAAATAGAAGAGTATGTAATATATACAGTTGCATAATCAAGCAACAAACCAATCTATTCTATTCTATTCTATACTACTACTACTTGAGAAGTAGAGTCGTCTTAGTTCTAGTCAGCAAATCAAACAAAAGAATCATCATTCAGTCAATCGTTTCTAAAAAATCAAGATCAAAAGCTTGACCAACAGATAATTAGTTATTTAGGATGAGAAAACAACAGAAAAACAAAACAGCAGTAGTGAGATGATTGATTGGCATAAGTGATTGATGATAGATGAACGAACTAACGACTAAACAAATGTTATCATTTGAATCAAATCGATCAATTTTATTAATATATTGATTTTCTTTTTTCTGTGTTACTTTTAATAGCATCATTGCAGGAGATGTGGATTGGTATTTTGTCAAAAGTGCTCTGCTAACAGTTGTAAGATTCCCCAGTTGAACTATAATTTCGTTCCAGTTCGTGTCTGTGATGGATGCTTCCGTATGGTTTCAATGTAAAATTATTATAACAACAACAAAAGAAAACAAAAAAAAAAAAAAAAAAACAAAAATCATTAGATAAAACTATTATATTTTTATTTTAAAACAATCAAACAAATTACTACTTCATTTCACAGATCAGAATCAGTCAGCATACTACTGTCATACTTTTAGATATCAATATTCAATTCTTCATCTACCCTTTAGTTTTTTTTATTATTTATCTTTGTAAGAGAATCATCATCATCATTAGATTTAAAACAAATATTTAGCCCAGGTTTAAACCAACTTTAAAAACAGAATACAGAAAATATTAGCAAAGAATAGAAGTGAATTCATTAAACAAAAGAATAGATATTTTTTTTTAAAAAAAAAGATATTTTTTTTTTTTTTCAAAAGGTGCACTTATTTTTATGGTATCGGAAATTAATGGATTTACTTAATTTGAGCATGGATTTTTATTTATTCAAATTTTAATAATGAAAGTGAGAGTGCTTTGTTTAGGAGTGTGTTTGTAAAGTTGTCGTCGCGAATCGAGAGTGATTGATGATAGTAATCGATTGCTTCGTCAAAGTTACCTTGAAGGTGATGAGTGAAGCCCAGTGCGCTGTAGATCGATGAGTTACCTGGTGAGAGTGTGTGTGCTATTTGATAGTACTTCAAAGCTTCGTTGAACTGTCTGCACTTTCTATAGCAGTGTGCCAAGTTAAAGAGTGTTGGCTCGTATGCAGCATTGAACAATGTTGGAAATTGACTCTTAATTATGCTACTACTTGTATTATTACTTTTAAATAAAATATTACTATTGCTATTGCTGTTGTTATTAGATGATTGTTGTTGGTTAAAATTAGCAATATCTAATGCTTTTAAGAAGAATTGAATTGCTTGTTTAAAATCATGAGCTTTGTAAGCGATTACACCCAATTCATTATAGATTAACGGATCGTATGGACATATGTCTAATGCCTGCTGAAGATACTGTTCCGCCAAGTTGAAGTTATGTATTCCAATCAACTCCATTCCAATACAAAGTAAAGGTAAATGTAATCTTATTGTGTTAGATAGATAATATGGATGTTATAATATTAGTATATATTGGTTATAGTTTGTTGATTGATAGAAAAGAGATATGTTACCCAGTTAATAATCTTGATGCAGTTCTGTAGGCAGACATTGCTTGGTCGTGTTCACCTTTGTTGGCAAAGTAGTGTCCAAAACCGAGCCATGACGCACCGAGTTTCGAGTCGTAGGTTGTCGATTTTGTAAATGCTTTCTGTGTCATATCGATGTTCTGTATCAGGTGATAGTAACATGCAATTCCATACCATGCGATGGCCGGTTGTATCTGACTATCGATCAACTGATGACATTGATAGTGTAGTTCATTCTTCATGCCAAGCTCGTACATCGACGATAGATTCACCATCAAACATGTCTTATTATTATAATATTTATCATCTTTTAATATAACTAAAAAAAATATAATATAATAAATAAAATGTTAATAACTAAAACTAAATTTTAAGAAGAAACTCTTTTTTTTCAATTCTATAACAACTTTACCTTTTAGTTATTTCATATGCATCTCTATATTGATAGTGATAGAAATAGTACTCTGCCATTGCCGATTTAAAGTCATTACTGTTGATAAGTGATTGGTTAATAGATTGATCGCCACAATCTATATTTATAAATCTTTTCTTGTTATCTTTCTTTGTTATATTATAATACTTTTGTTTGTTTGATAATTAGCAACTATAGTCAACTAATGGAAATGTTTATAAAGCTACATACTTTCTTTAATAATGTAGAGTATAACTCTTCTAACCATTTATCTTGTGCTGAGAAATTCAATAGAGATATCAATTCTAATTCCTCTGTATAATTTAATATATGATTATTAACCAATGATTCAAATGACTATAATTATATAATAATTAATTATATTAATATTAAACAACAACAATTAATTAAAGTTATTAATTAATTATTACTTACTTCATGATTCTTATAATCTTGTTTAAGTGATTTTATATACCAATACTTTGCTTTCTTCAAGTTATCCAATCCTTCAAATGCTTTTGCTCTTAAAAGTGATATCATTGATGAAATCTTGAATATGAATATATTATTATTAGTATACAAATAATTTAGATATTAATAGTAATTTTTATAATTACATTTATAGATTGATTTGTATCATTTTGTTGTTGTTGTTGTTGATTATCTACGATATTATAATATTGTAACATTTGCTGATCGTCATCACCCAATATCTTTAATACATTTTCCCAATTTTGTAACTCTAGTTTCGCTCTACCAGCCAAATAGATGTGCTTCTTATAGACAATCGAATTCGGTTGTTCAATATATTTCTGTAGAAGAAACGATGTTCTTTGATATTGTTTATCTCTAAATAAACAATCACAATATAAATATATATTATCACTATATTCTATAAATATTACAACATAATAACAATAAATAAAATGTTAATTCATTTTTTTTTCTTTTTGTTTGTATTGAATTGAATTGATTGTAATTATATAAACAAAGATTATTATTACCTTTAGAAGGATTGGGAGTTGATAATTGGAGTAGTTTATCACAATAAAATATTGAAGCAGAGTATGAATGTCTGTCAAGTGAATCCGTAACTAATTTACAAAGTTGAACTTTTAATTTATCTATATCCATTCTATTCTATTCTATTCTAATATTACAACATAATTATCACAAATATTTTGATCAAACAAAATTTTCATTTCAAAGCACTGTTTCTTGAAGTTCCCTCCAAAATTTTAAAAAAAAAATCATGATCATACTTTTTTTTTTTTGAGCACTAATAAGAACACTTTTAAAATAAATTAAATATAGATTTATGAGATCGGTTGTGTGCAAAAAAAAAGCCAAAAGTGTAAAAGGAGTGGTTACCTTTATCGATGGTTACATTTTCATTAAAAATATGTGTTAAATTTTAGATTTAGTTTATTTTTTTTCTGTCTTTTTTTTTTATATGTTGAAAATATTATAACTTATAAATATATTAATTATGAAAACAAATAATAATAATATATTGATATACTTGGTTGGTATAGGTTTTGTATTTATTGCTATTTTGATTTCGTCCAACTATATTACACCACCGGATTTCGTCAAGAAACAAATATTGTTGAGTGTCGACTACACAAAAGCTGGATGTAACAACAAGAATGGAGAGAGCAACTGTAGTGTAACAAACGTTGTTTCATCACCACCCGACCATTTCATATACTTTGGCTTTGGCGAATATTTGGCGAGTCAGGCAAAGCTATCGTTGGAGGAGCATCGTCATCAACAGCAGCAACACAAGCACGACTACCACTATTTGCGTGTCGACTCGAATCCCTATACACTGACAGCCGACAACAGTATCGATCATGTCAAATTCCTCATGCTTACGAACCAGAGTTTTGAACTGCCGGCCGTTGGCAGAGAGTTGGTCTGTCGCTACAATGTCCGGCTGCAGACATTCAACACTGACAAACATCCATTCGGCAGCAGTGTCCACAATCCCGAGCAAGATCTTCGTTTGGCAGCGGCCGCCGTCAACTCTCTCGATTTCGCCACCAACATTGTCGCCGACTTTCTCATCACCAACAACCAAATCTACGTGGTCTACGAACGTCTGCCATTCGCCGGACCAGAATATGCAGCGTTCACATTTGCCATTCCGATTCGCACGAGACAGCCCAACGAATTTGTAGAGTTGGCAATAGCGTGGGACGCCGAACATCAGATCGTTCGATGGCTAATCGACAACCGTGAGGTCTACCGTGTTTCAACCGTTGGATACTTGATTTCACGTGAGTATTTAATAGTGGATCGTGGAGGTCGCGAAGAGTTGGTATTCCCCAAGTCTGTGCAATGTGGTGCTGGAACATTCACACTGCTCGACGGATCAGCACCATGTCTGGAAAGAGAAACCACCGTTGGAGGTGGATCTGGATGTATCAGCAACGAGCAATTGTCCCAAGGATTGGTACAACTTGATCACCCACCCGCCAGAAACTACCTGACATCAAGAACAGGTCGAACCAACCAAACATTCTTTGATGCAACCTCCCAACAAAAAAATCGTATATTTGGTCAGGGTGCAATATTAGACATCAAATATATTGAAGTCTATACACAATCGAATAAACATAACATTTAAATGAATGATTCATTTTTACAATATTTTTGGTGACAGTTTGTTTTATGTAAAAAAAACCACCCAGGGAGTAAAAATATCTTTCTATGATTTGTGGGAATTTTTGTGCCTCTTCCAAATATGATTTGCTAAAATAAAAGAGGAAAGAATGTAACTGCAATGATTGTCTCGATAAATTAATAATTATACTATTGTTATTATTTATTTATTTATTTATTTATTTATTTAAAAGATAATTTATATCAAGAACTGGGAATGGATAGAAGTTCATTCCTATTAAATAGTGTAGAGTTTGGTAGTGATGAAATAAGTAATAGCGGGACTATATTAGTATTAGATCATGATAGTAAACAAATAGAATTAGAAGAGTATGAAGGTGATTCAGCTATTTTAATAAATAATAATAATAATAATAATAGCAATGTTGATGATAATAATTATAATGATGATAAAGGACTGTTAGATAGTAATATTCAACAATTACAAAGTAGTGGTAGTGGTGGTGATACAAATACAACTACTTATGAAGATATAAATATTGGAGATGATAAAGATGGAGATCAAGATGTACTGCCTCTTGACATTGAGCGAAGAGTATCATTATATATGTTGGCATCTCATCTAATAACGAGAATGGGTGATAAGATGTGGGATTTCATGATACCCTTGACTCTGATAGTAATATCACCTACATCTCTAATACCTTCATCTTTATATGGTCTTTCTATCACATTTATCGGTATAATATTATCACCTTCAGTCGGGAGAATGGTTGACATTAAAAAGAAATTACCAAGTAAGTTAATAGATCAATGATCATTGTTACAACCAACAACAAACTTATTAACATTATTACAAATAAAATAAGTGATTAGAACAGCTATTAGTTGTCAAGTATGTGCATTAGGTACTTCTGCAGTGTTGCTGTATCTTCTCATGCGATACTCTGAGAGTAGTGACAATATTAAATCAAACATATTCTCTCACGTTGGTACTGCACTATGTTTCTTTGCTCTATTGATATCTGCATCAATTCACTCTGTTGCATCAAGTATAATGAATATCTCTGTTGAAAGAGTATGTATATATCTATATATAATATACATAAATGTTTAATTAACTTTTTATTTTCTTTAAAATAAAGAAATGGGTACCAAAGTTGATAAAGAGAGATTCAAGTTTAACTAAAATGAATACTAGAATGAGACAGATCGATTTAGTAACAGAGGTATCCGCACCGTTCATTGCCGGATTGCTTACTACCATACCTCATATCAATGAATTACGTGCGTTCATGATAGTGGCATTGTTTAACTTTGCTTCATTCTTTCCACAGTTTTACTTTCTTCAATTAGTTCACAATTCAGCATCTTTACAATTAGAGAGACAAGAGCAACAAGTAGAAGAAGAAGAATGTGTTCAACTAACTGAACATCAGCAAGCTGAACAACTACAACAACAACAACAAAAGAAATCATATACTCTTTATAATCCATTCAAAGATTTAATTCGTGGATGGAAGTTATTTATTAGACAATCGGTATTCTTGGTTGTAATATCATTTGTATTGCTTTGGTTTACTATTCTAAGTCCACACGACCCGCTGCTCACTGCTTACCTGTCGTCTAGCGGCTATACTAATCTGCAGCTAGCGATATTCCGTGGTGTAGGTGCACTGTTTGGTTTGCTATCGACATTCTCATTCGAACCGATGGTTAAGAGATTCGGTCTGGCCAACACAACCACCATCTATATCGCCGAAGAAGGTCTAATGGTATTACTTGCCGGTCTCGTCTTCACGGTACTCCCACTGACCACAGCAACTCGCTACATCTTCCTCATACTGATAGTAGTGTCACGTGTCGGACTCTACGGATTCGAACTTGGCGAGATTCACTTTGTACAGCGAGCAGTTCAAGATTCAATACGTGGCAATATCAGCGGTGTCGAAACTTCACTGACCAGTCTGGCGATGCTAGCGGTGTACATCGGTGGTCTGGCAGTTCACTCGACCGCCAATTTCTCCATACTCATTTGGCTCTCAATTGGATTCATCAACATCGGTGTAATAACTCTTCTCTTTTGGAGATTCACCAAACCAATCGATATAAAACTACATAAATTACAAAACTAACTACAAACAGAACACAGTGTTTAAAACAAAGTAGTAAACTAGTAGTTCAATGAATGAATGTCAAACAATGTAAAATATAATAATAAAAACAACTGACTTTTGTTATTTAGATTTATAATTTAATTTAATTTATACTAATGTTGCAATGTATTGTTTCTTTTTTCTTTGTTTTTTTTGCTGTTTTTTTTTTTGTCATCTTAATGTTTATAACATTCCTCTTTCAATTCACCCAAGTATGGAAGTTCACGATATCTCTCTGCAAAATCGAGACCGTAACCAATGATGAATACCATTGGGATGTCGAATCCGATGTACTTGACGGGTACCTCTACTTTGAGACCCTCTTTCTTACGCAGGAGCACCGAGGTGGCCAATGACTTTGGTTTACGTGATTGCAACAACTCCAAGAGATGCTTCAGAGTGAGACCACTATCAACGATATCCTCTACGACGATGACGTCTTTACCTTCGATGGCTTCCTTCAAATCCATATTGATCTTGACGACACCACTGCTTGTAGTGGATGCACCATACGATGAGATCGACATGAAATCCAAGGTGACCAATGTATCTGGTAGATCGATTGCTCTAACCAAATCCGACATGAACATGAACGATCCCTTTAAGATACCAATTAAAACCAACTCTTTTGAACCTTGGTAATCCTATATATAATGAATGATCATATATATATTAACCATACCAAACACAAGCCAATGAGTATAATTCAATCAAAAGAAAAGTAAACATATGTTTTTTTTTTTTTGAAATAGACAATCTAATTAATATCATATAAACAAAGTGTGCGTTGTTGTATATTAAAACTATTCTATTTACCTTGGTGATCTCACGACCTATCTGTTGAACACGTTCCTTAATTTCATTCTCTGAGAAGAGCAAAGTCTTTACATTTGGATGTAAGTTGGTGTTTGAATTCATATTTCTATTATTATAAATGAAAGAAAAGATATAAATATAAAAAAAGATATTTTAAATTAAAAATAAGATATATTAAAATAAATAAAATAACAATTGAATCAATAAAAATAACAAAAACAATTAACCAACAACAACAATACTCAGCAAATCAACCAGAGTAGCACCGATAATCATCTGTCAATAATTCGAATATGATGGTTTGTCGTCTTAAAATCAAACCACACAAACATTCACACAACATTTTGCCGAATATTTATTTCGAATTTTTTAAATTTTTTTTCAAGCACTAAGTGATTTGAGTGTTGTGCATCCACTTAAAAAAAAAAGAACTTCCATTTTTAATTAAATGAAAAAAATAAACACAAAAAAAAAAAAATGAAAATATAAATAATTAAAAATATTTTTATTAATTTCACTCTTATCATATTTGCATTGTGTTGTTGTTGTTTTGATTTTATAATATATATATTTAGTAATTGAGCAGATATTATTAGTTTAGTTTGTTAATATTTATATGTTATTATGTCGTCAAGTTCATCAATTAATTTAGGTAGTAGTGTTAACAGTACTAGTAGTAGCAATAATAATAATATTGATGAAAATACAAATAATAATAAATTGATTGAATATATATGTGTGGTTGGATTTCATCATCAATTCGGTAATCGATTGGAACATATTTATCCAGAGATTTCAGATGTGAATAAGAGTCGATTCGAATGGAATCTACTGCCGTTCTTATCATTGCCGGACGGTGTTCACAACTCACAAGAAGACTACTGCTTCTTCACACTGAATGAAGTCAACCCAATTGTACAGCCACCACGTAGACTCTACGGTCTCTCTCAATTCAAACAGGTGAACAGACAAGATCTACCACCTCATGCACTCTCAGAGTCTGACACACGTCAATCCGTACAGAAATCAATTTGTATATTATCTTCATTTGTAAGTTGTTGTTGTTGTTGTTGTTGTTGTTGTTGTTGTTGTTGTTAATAAAAAAGATTGAATCTAGATTAATTATTATTTCTAACATTACTATTAGCCAATATTCTATACATTTAAAACACAATTATCAGTTGCAAGTTATTGTTATTTCAATCAAGGTGATTTTAATAATATTGAATTATTAAAGAATTGGTATATACAACAGAATGCAGAGTTTGATACGAAATGTCAAAAGTATATTCAGTCCACTATGAATGGATCAACTACCACTGCTAGCGATTCTTCTGGTTCATCATTATCTATGAATTCATCACTATCTGGATTTGAAAATATAATATTGTCAAATTCCTCTGTTATACCAAAGATACCGATTCCTTCTGATTTCTTTTTAGGCTCACTCTCTTTGAAAATGTTTATCTCTCACTTTGGTAGGAACAGTCTGACGTTGTTCAAGTTGATCATGTTGGAGAAGGGTGTCATCGTTTTCAATCCACAGCCAATCAATGCGGTCTGTGAATCTATATTGGCAGTGGTTTCGTTGTTTCCCAGGCTGTTTGATGATTTCCTTTCACAGAATGCACTGATCAACCGTAGCTATAAAATCGACTGGAAACGCAAGGAAAAGTCGAATGCCAACGTGATCACCACAGCACAGCTAGAGGAATACGCGCTGCCATTGCATTTGTTCTCCTCCAAGTGTCTGCTCCACCCTTATCTCTCACTGCATCAGATTGCACTACTCTCGCCATCAACACCTGCACCCATCACACAACCATCGTCACCTACGTCACTCACCGGCAGTGGAGGAAGACTAATCAACAACTACAAAGGATTCCTAGTTGGAACCAGTAATAGTCTATTCTTAAAAGCACCTCCACAAACTACTCACGCAATTGTTGATGTAAGATCATAAGTTAAGTGATGATAGCTTAATTATCCATAAATTAATATTTCTTTTTTAATAGATTCAAAGTTCAGAGATTATATTTAGAGATGAATCATTACATAGAATAATGGAGTTGACATCTTCCGATAGAAGATTTATCGATAATATTATTAGTTGTGCTAGGGATCATCAAGGAAGTCAATATGTTGGTAGTGACCAGTGGATTCGTGATCAATTCGAACAGTATATTCTTTATTTGGTCGCTCACATGGCTACTCTCTTAAAGATAGAGGCTGGTAAGACAATGATCACCAATCTCGATACTGTACAGCAATATAACGAGTGGTGGATAAGATCATGGGCAACCACCCGTAATTTCAATCTTTGGAGAAATCAATTGTTTAAAGTTAACCCAACACCTTCAATACCATCAAAATACCCAATGTAAATATATAATCTACAACTACATTAAGTTAAAGGTTATTTTTAATTATTAATTTTTTTTTATCTAAAAATTAGTCATCCATCAGGACCACCCAGTGATATTTTAGATAATATTCAAGATAAACTTACAAATTCAATTAAAGATTTGGAACCTTTGACATCTGGAATTTCAAAAGCATTGTTTGGTGCATCTTCTTTTCTTTTTTCAAGTGGACAATCTATTATTAGTAAAGTAATGGATGAAGATATGACATCACCAACACCACCAAATACTTCAAGATCTACTTGGATACCAATTACTTCTACAACAACATCAACAACAACAACAACAACAACAACTTCAAATAATAATAATAATAATAATAATAATAATAATAATAATACAACTGTAAATAAAACAACAACAAATAATAATAATAATAATAGTAATATAGTGGAGGGAGAAGTAGAAGAAATAATGAAAGATGGTTGGAGTAAAGTTCAAGAGAATAGTTATTATGCTGCTTCTAAAGCAGCCAATGCAATGGTAAGTAAAGTTTATTATCAAATAAATTTTGTAATTAATTATTAATTATTTACCAAAATTTCCAAAAGAAACCATTGGTATCAAGTGGAAAAGTTATAGCAAAACAATTATCATCATCATTGATACAGATTGTGGCACCGGATCCATCAGGTAATCAAGAACAATCAACAAACAATAATTCATCTACATCATCAACAACAACAAATTCAACTTCAAATAATAATAGTAATAGTAATAGTACAAAGCCAACCTCAAGTGGTTTTGATGAAATTGAAGTAGATTTGAATTCACCCAACACATTGACACAAATATTCCAACAGAAGCAGCATGGTAATATCATTGAAGACTCATTTTCAAAGATGGAATTACTGGAGGAGATTGACAGTGAAGACATTTATGAGTTATAATTTAATTTTAATAAAATATATATTTTTATTTAAAAGTACACAATGATTTCATCAAATTTAGTAAAAATTTTTTTTTTTTTTTTTTTTTCGTATGATTAGATTAAAAGAAAGTATATTGATTAATCATAAAGTACAGCAGCATATCCCAAGTAAATGGGTGAATCAAAATAATGGAACAGCAATTAATACAAAGCATAGATCAGAATCCAAATAATGGTGTTGATTATTATAATTTGGCTCTGATTATTTCAGATGAAAATCGATCGTCAGCCATTCTTTTATCAGGTGAATCAATGACAATACAACAACTATACTTGAAAGCAATAGAGTGTGACTCATCACATTCAGAATCATACCATAAACTTGGATTCCTAATGACAAACAAAGATAAAATTATCACATTGAATAATGGACAAACAATGACCGAACAACAATTATACATGAAAGCAATAGAGTGTAATCCAAATAGATATGAGTCATACTATAATCTAGCGACAGCAATTGAAGGTGACGATACAATTACACTGAACAATGGACAATCAATGACAGATCGACAACTATTCTTGAAAGTAATAGAGTGCGAACCATACCATTCAGATTCCTATCATAATCTTGCTACTATTCTATTGAAGAGTGACGATACAATCACACTGAATAACGGACAAACAATGACACAACGACAACTATACTTTAAAGCAATAGAGTGTAATCCTTATAATACAGAGTCATATTATAATCTTGCTAGGACTCTTGTTCAAGGTGAGATGATCACACTGAATAATGGGCAGACAATGACCGAACAACAACTATACATGAAAGCAATAGAGTGCGATCCAAACGATACATTCTCCTATATTAGTCTATCAAGCTTATTATCACCATATGAAACAATCATTCTTCACGATGGTCAGGTGATGACAAGGATACAATTATTGGTGAGAGCAATAGATTGTGATCCAAACTACCCACTTACATATTCGTTACTTGCAAACTCATTACCTGGAACAATCCATACAGCAATAACACTTTTAGATGGTCAGCTAATGAGTCATAAACAACTCTATTTAAAATCTTTAGCTCTAGATCAAACATACTATGATGCACATGTTAATCTTGCAAATTTACTCGAACCAACTGAATCAATAGTCTTGCCATCTGGTGACACATTGACAAAGAAGCAATTATACCAAAGGGCAATTCAACTTAAACCAAACTTCCATCATTCATTCATAGGTTTAGCGTTGTGTATGAACTCAAATGAAACAATCACTCTTCATAATGGTGTATCAAAGACAAAACAACAAATATTCATTGAAGCCTTGAAGAAAGATTCTACTCTGACATTTATCTACAAATATATAGGACTAACGCTTTCAAACAACAAACAAACGATGATACTTTCAAATAGGTGAGCAAATGTCAAGGAGACAACTACTTCAAAAAGCAAGAAACCAATCAGACCAATAAATAAACTTAGAGAGAATTTGATTGTTCAATATAGATATTCAAATCGAAAAAAAACAAAAATTTATAAATTTTTTGACAATATTTTAAAAAATGAAGTTGCAATTCATTCACTCATCATTGTACTCTTGGCCGAGTTGGTCTAAGGCGTCAGTTTAAGGCACTGATTTCTTCGGAAGCGTGGGTTCAAATCCCACAGAGTACACTATAAAAATCCATGTCCGCTTGCGGTGATGATCTTTGTAACTATAACAAGATGGATTTTTCTATATAAATCAAAGTAGTCGAAGGACGTAGTTAGTGAAATGGTTCATTCGTGGGCCTTCACTACTTCGACCCGGGTTCGAGGCTCGGTAATGACTAAGTTTCCCCGCTACCGGAACGTATATAATAAAACTGATGTCCTAAGAGCCCATGGGGCAATACATTGACACCAACTCGTGAGGAGGTGATAAAAAACACCTCCTTAGTGCAATGGACCTAAAAAAAAAAAAAAAAAAAAAAAAAAAAAAAAAAATATAAATCAAAGTATTGTATATAATAACCCAAGCCTCTTTGGCCAAGTTGTTCCATTAGTAAGCCTTAGAGGACTTGGGTCGTGGGATCGATCCCGGGTTTTTACAAAATTTTCCCGACTTGAAAGGAGCGCGCCAAGTACTAATCTAGTATCTTAAATACTATCTTGAACCCCATGAAGTTGACACCGACAATAACTAGCAGGCTTATCACAGGTGAACACCGAGTGGTTTGCAAACGTACCCGCTTAGAATTCTAAGTGGCTTAAATACTCTGTCTGCCAAACCATATCAATGGGAACATCATCCCTTACTCAAAATGATGGCCATCTCAGCCGGCCTGTGGCTGAACTGTTCCAACAATAAATAAACACGAACTGTAGGGTAATATCAAGCTCTAGACCTTGACTATCAGTAATGGTAGTACAAGGATAATTTAAAAAAAAAAAAAAAAAATGTATATAATACAATCAGAGAGAACACTTGAGAGTTCTGATTAATAATTGTGACTCTAAAGGTTTGGTAAATTGTTTAAATAGTTCGCTATTCTGTTTTCTTGGAATTGCTGATTATTTCCTGGATATGGATTCTTTACAGTAACTAAGAGGTTTGCAATGGTTTATGGTTTGATCACTCTGTTTGATATCATAAAATCTTTTGTGCCTGTGGCTGAACTGCTCCAACAATAAATAAACACTGTACAGTAAGTATAAGTTAATACTCTTAAAGCGAAATCAACTATCATTAAATCTTATGTACTTCCCATGCTCTTCTATCACTTTTATCTTGAATCACCCACACCTGATCAAATCAAGCTTGTCAACAGACTTATTGCTTAGTTCTTCACCTGTGCACCTGATACCAAAGAAAAGTTCACAGCTTTGATGTCTTTGGAGAGGTCTTGCTTCCCCTGGAATGATGGTGGTCTGAATTTGTGGGATTTATCTTCGCTCTGCTTACAAGATATGGGTCTTTATTAGATTCTTGTTGTTAAGTAGAAACAACTCATTTGGTTTCTTCAAAATATAGATTTATTTTTATAGAAGTAAGAAATATATACTAAGATAGATCTTTGTAAATGATTAATAATTAAAAAAAAATGAATCATTTATCTTGTTAAAAAAAAATAAAAAAAATAAAAGATAAAATTAATTTGTGCAATATTTCTGAAGAAATAAAATATTTGTTATTATAGTACTTTTAAATTTATTTTGAAATATTGAATTATATCAAATATAAGAATGATACCAGTAAAATGTTAAAAGTAAGATAAAATATTTTTGGAATACTTGATTTGGATTACTGAATGGCAAGAAGTTATTGGTTTATAATACAATTCTAATTTTTAACAGTTCAAGACTAAAGAAAAACTAAACAAAAAAAACTCAACACAGAACACAAATAATATTTGTATAAAAAGAGTATATTTAAAAGATTACAATTATATTTAAATTTTAAAACAATTTTTAAAAAACAATTAAATCATTGAAAAAAAAAGGATATCAATACATTTTTAAAAAGATTAATCAATAACATTATTAGAAGAATAATAAAGGATTAAGGAATTATTTTCAGAAAAAATAGAAAAAAAAACTTTTTATACTCTTGTTCATTTAAAAAGTAAAGGTTTTTAACTGATTTTACATAAACAAAGATATTGTTTTTTTAGAAAAGTAGTTTAACAGATGAAACGAAAATAAAACAAGGAGAGTATAGTATTGTACAGTTGTCGGATATACTAAAATTAGTTAAACAAAATTATTTATTACTATAGACATCTCACTTATCATCAATATTCGAAAACACATAATATGAATTTAAATATTACTTAACTAAATTTGATATACAAACAACCTGTCAGGACCTGAATGTTTTTTAAAATTCTTAGGAATTCATGAGATAAATATATTTACTAGATGCCATTCATTCTAAACTCATTAGAGCTCTTAAAAACTGTTAATAATGGGGATATGAAATGACACCTTTTTACTGACAAAAACCCAATGAATCTTTATGAAATAATTTGAATCAAATAATCATTAACTATATATATCTTAATCCTATTAATTGATTTTTAAGAAAAGTAAATTTATATCTATAAAAACAAAAATATTTTATTTCTTCAGAAATATTGCACAAACAAATTTTTTTTTTTTTTTATAAAAAGTTAAATGTCTCAATTTTTTATAAATACAAATCATTTTCAAAGATCTATATTTCAATATATTTGTTACTTTCTAAAACAAATAAATGAATATATGTCTGATGATTTGATACCTCTGTCCTGTTTCTCAGATTTTTGATCTATCTTCAAGAAGGGCGATTTCTATGATCCAGCCAATAGAAGACCTAATACATTGCTTAATTGTGATTATAAAATATTAAATGAAACCTGAGGCTGAGAATTTTTTTTTTTTTTTTTTTTTTTTTGAAAAGTTTTGTTGACTCATGATCAGTCAACAAATTGCTGGTATTGATATTAACCTCCCAGTTTGCGTTTTATATTATATATACATTCTCACACAGGCCGTGAGAAATAGCCAATAAAATATTATTATTATTATTATTATTATTGTTTATAGTTATTATTAATTAATAAGTTGAGTAGCATTAGGACAGAATAGATCTAACAGTAGTAGAGTGTTAATGAACAACAGTATAAAGCGGTGGCACGTAGTTGGAAGGATTTAGATTCCAATTAGATTTAAATTTACGAGTTATTGCAGAGCAATCGACAATGACTCCTTGGGAGATAGAATTAGCTATTGTGAAGTTAAGCTTGTGGTAATTGGCATCGATTAATTTGGTGTAATGGGTGACTGCTCTCTTGACGGTATTTTCCAGCTTGTAATTGGTACCATCACCAAACATTTTACAGGACAGCGCCTGCCGTAACGAATGTACGATAGCAGCAGTAAGGTGGGTGAAGTGGACAGTAATACGAATAGGACCGTCGAACTTGATGCACGAGTGCTTCCAATTACTAAGTCTATAGATACAATACTTGTAGTATATATGTTTGATAAAGGAAAGGAACTGCTGTGAAACTACATTCCTGCATTTGAAGAAGAAATGCTCATGTGGGTTGCAGAGTTCAGTGAAGGTGTCACCACAGAACTCACAGACATGACAAGTGCGCTAGTGGTTGATGGGGAAGGTGTGAGAGTACAGCCTGAATATGCTGTTACGTAGCATAGGCGTTTTGACCTTGGATATGTGCAGGAACTGAGATTGGGGAACCAAAGAGTGACCAATCTGGATAGTTTGTTGACCTTCAGTACGGCGGATACGGGGGTACTTGTGGTTGAATAGAACAGAATAGATTTCCTTCAGAGTTAGGAGTGAGTGACTCTGAGATGTTGAGAAAGTCGTTAGAATCTATCAAACTTTTGTAAAGTAGTATTACTAATGAGTAGTACAGCTTTAACAAAAGGTTGGAAAGATATGTAGAAAAGAATAATAAACTTAACTCGATATTAATATATTTTATAAATCAATATGAATATGAATATCGACCTAAGGATTTGTTTGGTGTATTTATAGTTTCGGCTACTTTTCTACAAAACTGGATTTGTCAAAAACCGTTACAAAACTTTTGGTTTTTTTTTTTTTTAATTTATTAAAACCGCAAGCGGACATGGATTTTTATAATGTACTCTGTGGGATTTGAACCCACGCTTCCGAAGAAATCAGTGCCTTAAACTGACGCCTTAGACCAACTCGGCCAAGAGTACAATGATGAAAACAACTAAAATTTTTTTTATTATTGTTTTTTTGCCAACTCACTAACTATATTTTTATTGATAAAATATCACATATCGCAAGAAGTTACTGGCAAATTATAATTTTATCAATACAAATATAGTTAGTGAGATGGAAAAAAAAGAGAACCATTTAAATTAAATAAATAAAATTCATTATTTCGAGTTAAAAAAATGACACTAATCAAATCTTTATCTTAAAGTTTATTTTTTGATTGAAGAGAGAGGTGATATTTTTGTTCTTATATTAATTCTTTGTTCTACTAAAAAAAAATCGTACCAGGAATTTTTAGATTTTTAGCAACGAAAGATTTTTTTTGTGTGAATTCCCTCATTTAAAGATAATCACCCAAAAACTAAAGATTGGATTTTTGAAAAAAAAACTTTAATTTAAAAATAAATCAAATTTCGTCACCAAATAAAAATAACTTGATTTAAAAAGTTTCACTTTAGGTGACTACTTTTTTTATATTATTATACAAATCACTCTTTTAATCTTATACACAAATATATTATATATTTAATAAATTTATATTATAACACAATGGCACAAGAAGACCAATCATTAAACCAACAATCACAACCAACTCAAGTTGAGAACCAAACATACAATCAAAATGCTTACCCAGCATACAATCAAAACGCTGCTTATCCACCAGGATATATGCCACAACAAGCTTATTATCAAGGTAAAGATTAATTAATTAATTAATTTAAACATATATTAAATTTAATATATGTTTAAAAAAAATTAAAAAACATAAAAACCATTTTAATTAATATGTATTTTATTTAATTTGTAGGATACCAACAACCAGCTCAACCATATTACGGAGGTGCTGTTCTTCAACAACCAACTACAGTTGTTGTAAGCCAAACCCATACCTCTTCATACTGCCATGATGACGATCACCACACCACCGGTGCTTTAATTGTTTTCTTGGTAGGATGGTGTTTCCCAATCATATGGGTAGGTGGATTTTTTTATATAAGATCTCGCAACTCGACTGCCAAAGGACTTGGTATTGCCTCGATTGTTTTATTCTTCTTGGGTATCATTGCAACCATCATCGCCGTAGCTGTTATTCTTAGTATTGCCGCAGAGACTGCAAACGAGATCAATAACAACACCTACAATTACAACTAAACATCTCTTTTCCATCACACCCACCATATAATCAATCCACTTTCTTCTTTATGTCAATATTTCATTTCTATAATCATTTTTATATCTAATAAAATCAATTTTTAAAAATTGGTTCTATTCACTCTCAGTTCAACTATATTACAAAAACAAGTCATACATAAGATATATGATGAATAGATTGTAATATAGTAGCATTAAATGTATAAAACAATAAACAATATAACAATAAATTTAATCATTTAAACATTACATGTAACAAATTTATTTGAGATGTTTTCACAGCATTTTTACCTGCGCAGAATCCCATTTTTCATATTTTTTTTGTCTACTAACGAGAAAAGGATGTAGTAATCGAGTTTGATGGAGAGAATAAGATCATTACCATTCCTCATAATCATAAAGATTACAGTTCTTGGATCGACTCTACTCCAAACAAAAAATTACAACAACATTGTTTTCAAAATTAAAATCTGTTTTATCTTCTACATTTTATTTAGAAGTAAAAAAATTATTTAAAAATTAAAAGCTATAGCTATCGAGTTATGTTTATTTTTAATGTAGGTGTTGTTGTTGGTCTGCGGTAATACTAAGAATGACAGCTACGGCGATGATGGTTGCAATGACACCCAAGAAGAATAAAACAATCGAGGCAATACCAAGTCCTTTGGACGTCTAATTGCAAATCATTATTTAAAAAAATCCAATATAATATTATAATAATTCTATTTCATACAAATTTGAAACTTTTTTTTTTTTAACAATATTATATGTTCAAAATATATGTGCCAACCCATTATGTTTATTATTTGAATAGTTATTTAATTGATTGTCATCTTCCAATCTAGATCATCTTCATTTTGTGATTCTGGTAATTTAGATGACCATGTAATCGATATTAAATAATCACAATCCTTTGAAACAGTCTCTGCATCAGCAGGATTTCTAATTGGGAATGTTATATCATTTGTCTTTGGTATATTTACATCTAATTGACCTAGTTTATTATAATGATATCATATTAAAGTTAAAATGTTAATAAAAAATAAAAAAATAATAATAATAAATAAATATTTGTTAATTTTTAGAGTTACTTACAATAGATTTGATATTGTACATTGATTCTAATGATATCTTTTTCAATTGTTGTATTGATAAAGGCAATCTTGCAATCATTGAATTTAGCTTGATAAGCAATACGCTTGTGAGTATAGAACAAGTCACGTACATACAAAAGATTGTTCAAACCTAACGATCCTGAAGCAATGCTTTCGAGTGCACTCATATCATTATTCGATGCCATTTCAAACATTTTAAATACTGATACTGTTGAATCTGAAAAGTAATGAAAGAGAGTGTGTTAATATGTTATATATATTATAGTGTATGTATCTATTTATCAAATAATTAATTAACTTACTAACAATGAAATCATCATAGTTTATCCATTTTGGGAAATCTTTGTTGTATAACCATGGCATTAGAGAGTAGAGGAACACAGAGAAACTAGGTCTGATCGACATGTATGCAAATGGTGTCAACGATTGCATCGGTAGGCTTCTACCACGTGAGAAAATGAGTGCATGTATAAGATATCTTGGTATTTCCGCTGCATCATTCGATTCTGTTTTATAATTCTTTAATACCTCGCTATTCAAATCACCTTCACTCTCTATTGTTTGAATATCTTTTAAACTTGGTACATTTCTAAAGATATAAAAAAATAAATAAATAAATAAATAATAAAGTGAATGAATTATTATAATTATATTTAGAACAAATCATACCTAATTAGAGCTATATATTTATTATCTAAAGTTGTCTCCTCAGTAGCATTATCTTCATTTTCTTGTTTATTATCAGGTGATGATGTTGTTGATGTTGATGTATCGATCTTTGATTCTACTTCTTCTTTGGTTGTTTCAGAAGCATCAGTTTGAATCTTCTCTTCTTTATTTTCAATTTTTTCTGTTGGTTGTTGTTGTTGTTTGTTTTCTTCTTTTACTGCTGCTGCTTGTTGTGTTTCATTGTTATCTTTTGTTGTTGAGTAGTTATATATATTACCGATGTTATTATAATTATTATTTCTTTGATAGTTTGAAAATAATACAGTATTATATCTATTACATAATGAACTTTGTTGAAAAGTAGATCTGAAAACTGATGATGATGATGATGATGATGATGATGATGAAAATGATCTACTACTCTTTATATTTAAAGATAATCTATTATAAATTGCTCGAGTAATCATTTTTTATGACAAATAATTAAAATATCAATCAATGTTCAATTATTGAATAATTTAAGTGGTTAAAAAACTATGCAATGAACTTCATTCTGATCATGAGAAAAAAATAAAATTTGTTTTAAATATTTTAATAATTGTTAAATTTTGGTTATGAATGTATATCAATAAATTTTTATTTTTATTAAAATTCATCGATAAAGAGCAAAAAGAACTTCAATATCCTAAAGAATTGAGTAACCATCGTAAGCATATGGGCTATGTCGATATAAACAACAAAGACATATCAAACAACGCAATCGAAAATCGGTAAGTGGTGGTTAAATATATTCAATTATCTAGTGATATTCATTTTGAATGCTTATGTTATTTACAGTCAAAAAAACAAAATTTCATACAACATGAAATCCGTGTGGCTTGGTTTAAGCTCAAAGAACATTTTTTTTTTTCTAGTAAATGATGTATTTCTTTAAACTGATAAAAAAAAAAAATGTAAATTGACAGTAACAAAGCAAAAACAAAACTGTCAAAAGTCATTCATATTAGAAACTGAGCAGTTTATTAAATTCTTATATTAAGATCCCATTTTCAGCTTAATTTCTTGTTAATAAAACTAGTATTTCAAAATAAAAGATTTATTCAGGTTATCTATTTTTAATCACAAGTGGTCTAATTACCACATTTTAAATTTTATACAAAGTTTTTAAACTTTTTGCATGACCACTTTAACAATATTTTAATTGGTTTAATTTATATCAAAACAAAATTTATTAAATAAATTTATACAATTCATAAAAAATCAATAATTATTTTGTACAAGTAGATAAAATGGAAGAAGATATTGGGGTAGTGGTAATTGATAACGGTTCTGGAGTGTGTAAGGCTGGTCTTTCTAGCAGTGAAGGTCCGAGTGTTTTATTTCCATCAATGGTTGGTCGCCCAAGAAACACTGACATCACCAGTCAAAAGGACTTTTACGTTGGAGATGAAGCACAATCCAATAGAGATATCCTAAACTTGACCTACCCAATTGAGCATGGTATCATCACCAATTGGGACGATATGGAGAAGATATGGTCTCATATATTCTACAATGCTCTCAAAACTAAACCAGAGGAACATTCAGTTTTCCTAACTCAAATCGTAAACTCTCCAGAATCCATTAATGCTAGAATGAGTGGTTACATGTTTGAGACCCTCAGTGTCCCTGCCTTGTATATTTCCAGTACACCGGTTCTTTCTTTGTATGCCTCTGGTCAAACCAGTGGTTTGGTCATCGAGTCTGGTTATGGTGTATCACACACTGTTCCAATCTATGAAGGAAGTTTGATCGCAAAAGGAGTCAAAAGATTAAATCTTGCTGGCGATGGTTTGACTGAATATATGAAGAAACTCTTGGAAGATCGTGATATAACCTTGGATATGGACACCGCTCTTGACATCAAGGAGAAGTTTGCCTACATTTCTTTGGACAATAATGAATCTGATAAGCAAAATGATCATTCATCCTATGAATTACCAGATGGTCAAGTTATTACCATTGGTGAAGAACGTTATCGATGTCCAGAAGGGATCTTCCAACCATCACTCTTGGGAGATGAATCTGATGCTGGTATTCACCAGATGGCTCACAGCTCGCTCATGGAGTGTGATGTTGATATATGTAGAGATTTGTCAAGTAAAGTTGTCCTCTCTGGTGGTTCCACTTTGTTTCCAGGTTTTTCTGAACGTATTTCAAAAGAATTAAAAACCTTGTGCCCTTCTACAATGGAGATTAATATCTTTGCACCACCAGAACGTAAAAACTCTGCTTGGATTGGTGGTTCAGTTATGTCATCTCTCTCCTCTTTTGGTCAATTGTGTGTCACCAAAGTAGAGTTCGAAGAAATTGGTCCGTCCATTATCAAAAAAACATTTACATAAACTCATTTTGAATTCTTTTTAAGAAAGTATCTACTGATACAATTATCCAAATGATAAAAATAAATAAATTTCATTCACTATACAATCTTTCTTTGAATATTGAAAAAATATGAATATAGATATTATTGTTTGTATGGGGTTTGAGTAAGTCAAAGTCTGTACCGAAAAAGAATCAGTATTATAAAATAAACTTGTTCTAAGTGTATTTAAAAAAAATAAACTAAATCTTTGTAAATATAATTTACATGAAAAAAATATGTTTGTTTTCTTTTTGATTAATCAAAAACTATGTTTAAGTTTAAAAAATAGTTAAATTTATGTAACTACTTTTCTGATAAAGAGATTGTTTACTATGGAAATGTAAATAAGTGTATCTTTTGTGAAAGTAATCTAGTTTTAAAAGTATCAGGAAGATTTCAATTTTAATAGTTTAAAGTTCTTACGCTAACTTAGAATAGGTACGATTAATTAATATTAATAAACAAAAAAAAAGTTCTTACACTAATCTGTGTTGAATAATTAATAAATACACATAATCAACTACTGTAGCACGTTAATATCAATACCTGAAATTTGTTGACTAATAATGAGTCAACAAATCGTTTTTTTGCAAAAAAAAAAAAAAAACACTTGAGACCCTTTGGTTTCAGAACTTAAAAACTGTAAACAATGGGTTTTCCCGCTATGCCAAAAGGTAAGTTATCTAATTATGATCTGTTCCTTGGAACATTTTTAATAAATATACAGTAGTTCGTGTTTTATATTTTATATAAATTCTCACACAGGCCTTGAGAAATATCCACTCAAGTGTTTTCTCTCTGATTGTATTACATACAATACTTTGATTTGTAACGACAATACCACTTTTTCAAAATTCAAATTATTTTTCATTTTTAAAAACTCAACGACTATTCAAAAAAACGAACGATCAACTTTACCATTCAAGTTCTTACACTAACTCTGAATAGGTATGATCAATTTATATTTAATAAACATGATTCAAGTTCTTACACTAACTCTGAATAGTCTTTAAATTATTTGAGTTGATTATTAATAAATAAATAGACTGATCATCTATCCTATTTATTAAACTTTTTTAAATCTTTTTTTTATCTTTATATATAATATCTATTTAGGATATACCTCAATCTCCCCGGGGAGGATATCAATTAATTATATTTATATATTATCTTTATATACTTTAAAATAACATTTACAATGTCAGATAAAACTACATTAGAAAGAATTCTCGACGGTGATACGTCAATAGATTATACCAAGCTCAAGAACGTCAGCGGTATGACACTCAAGGCTCTCGCTGACTTGGCAAGAAAGAGAATATACGAGCAAGTGCCTGACATGGAGAAACTACTTAATGAATACGAACGTCTTAAGAGCGAGTATCAATTGATCAATATGAGATACGAGTCAGCAGAAAGCATTATCAGAGTTCTGAACACGACCGTTGATACTCAAGCAGGTTTCATCAACAGCTTAAAAGACCAAGTAAAACAACAATCAACATTCCTTCAACACTCAACACCTCGTTCCAACTCTCTTACGAGCGACAGTTCACAAAACCACGACGACGATGAAAACAACAACAATCGTCAGTCTTCATCAAACCACCATGATGAAAATAACAACAATCGACAATCTCCACCCACTGAATCATCTACAATGAGATTATCACAATTACATTCAACAGGTACCTCAACTAGCTCCCAGTTAAAATACAACGATGCCGAACTTAGGTTACTCAGACTATCTATCAGCGATATCAATAACAGGTCAATCAAGACAACAAGAGATAACTTGACCTTTAGAGCTAAGCTCCACCACGACTGTTCACCAGAACGAGTCGAAATAGCGATTTCCACCATCTCCCAGATCGAAGCAGTTCATTCCAGACTAAGTTTCAAATCAGTTGAAGAATTGCGTGACATTACTGATACATGGGAACACTTCTTAAATTGGCTAGAATCCGCTCTGCATGTCAGAAGTACTATGTTGGGTAACCTCAAGGGTGTCGTTACAAACTACGTATTGGACAAGAATCTATCCAATTACTCAAGGTTCATGGAGTTGGTTACCGAATACCACAAGACAGGAGTAGCGGATGACACCCTAATCGTTGCATTCGCTAAAGCGCTCAACAGGTATGCACCCTACCTCGAGCGTAACTTCGCATCACTCGCCCATCTAGGTGATGCTGCTATCCATACATTCAACAATACCGGAAAGAAGATCACCAGACGTCACCTGGAGACCTGGGATCTATACCTTAAAGATCTGTCAGTGTCCTCAAGAGTACTCTCTAATGACGACACAGAGACCCAAAGAATAAGAATGGGAAGAAGCAGTTTCACCAAGAGAAGAAATCACAGGATGACAAGAAAGTCGCGAGCGACGCTCCAAAAGAAGCTGCCGACAAGCCAACCTACTACACCAAAAACAAAGGATCAGGAGGCGGTCACCACAAAGGTACTGGAGGTGGTCACTACCACCAAAAGAAAGCCGACAAGCCAGATTCAAATTAACGGCCTGGTATGGCACTCATCTGGTTACTACATCAAGGTAGTGATTGGTGACCAGACATTCGATGCTATGGTGGATCTAGGATCACAAGCATCATTAATCGATCCGGACCTACTACCTACATTAGGACTGGAGTCATCACCGTGCAACGAGTACCTTAAGCCGGTTGCACAAGTTAAGGGTTTCTACGCCAAGGCACTCGTAGACACCAAAGTCACCATTCCAGGATCAATCGACGACAAAGACTACAATATATCCGTGAGATCTAAGTTATTTGTCGTGAAAAATCAACACAAGTTGATCATTGGTAACAATCTATTTGGATTGATTTCACCAATTGCACATCTTTTTGCAGACACTCCTCACCTCATCATTCCCGTGAAGTTAGGAAAACAAATCGTTTCTGCCAAAGTACTGGTTACATCTTTGAACAAGCGCGCACCAAAGTCAATGATGCTTACCAACTTGAATAAACTTGACTTGACCAAGGTCAGTAGGACTGCTGTGAAGGCAGTGGCATCCGTGCCATTGCCTAATAACAGCTCCGATGCCACTGCCACAACATCGGTTCCTACTACGCCTGACGTCAAGGACAGTTTACCAAGTGAACCTGTAGCTACAGTTGCTACAGAAGAGCCACCGATTACCGAACAACAATCCGAGTGTGCTACATCTGATGCAGTCGACAATATCGACGGTGTAGATCTCCCTGTACAAGAGATCGATGACGACACAGACGATGACGACGAAGAAGAAGAAGATGAAGACGAACCTGTACTCTCGTCATCCGACGCCGCATTAGACGCCATGGCCGCCACTATTCTCTCAGCTTACAAGCGTATAATAGTAGACGCGTTGCCTGAAAATCACTCACCCGACAGGGGCAAGTTTAATATGAATATTCTACTCAAGGGTGATGCCAGTGCTTTCAACATTAAGCATGGACGACGGTCCATTGAACTGGAGAGTAAGATCTCCGCTGAAGTTGCTAAACTACTGGAAATTGGAGTTATAGAGGAAGCTCCACCCAATACAGAATTCTGCTCACCTGCTTTCTTTGTCAACAAAGGTACAAGCAAAGAAAGAATGGTTGTAGATTTTAAACATCTGAATTCCATGACCGTGGACGACGTATTCCCAATGGAAAGACTAGACGAAATCATTGAATCGATTGGCGGTGCAAAGATCTTCTCCGTCATCGATGCCAAATCTGGTTTCTATCAGATGTTACTCAATCCTGGTTCTAGGCGATTCACCACATTCGCTGCGAACAAAAGATTGTACATGTTCACACGACCTTGCTTCGGTTTGAAAAACAGTCCTGCATATTTCAACCGCTGGCTACAACACGTCCTTGATCCTCTAGTCAAGAAAGGTTTCGTAAGAGTATACGTTGATGACATTCTCATCTTCTCGAAATCCGTGGCTGAACATGAACAACATCTCAAACAAGTATTTGAGCTGCTTGACAAAAACGATGTATACGTCGCCAAGTCAAAATGCCACTTGTTCAAATACTCTGTATCCTACGCCGGTCACATGTTGTCCGACAAAGGAATCAAACCGTTGTACAACAAGGTAAACGCGATTCTCAACAGATCGGTACCAACTACTGTGAAAGAAATGAGATCTTTCATTGGTGCAATTAACCATTACAGAAGGTATCTCAATCACATGGGTCCACAACTGGCTAGATTGACAAGTACAATCAGTACCAAGTACAGAAAAATCAACCTCACCGATCAGGAGATTGCAGACTTCAATGATATTAAAACGGAGTTATGCTCATCCAGATGTCTTATGTCGCCACGCTATGACCGAACATTCCACGTCTACACTGATGCGTCGGATGTCGGATCTGGTCTCATGATTGCCCAGTATGATGACAACAACAATCTCCGTCCTGTTCTATTCGACGCAAGGAAATTTGATTCTGCCCAACGGAACTACAGTGCACGTGATCGCGAGTTGCTAGCTTTCATCCATGCTGTCACCAGATATGGCTACCTACTAAGTAGACCATTTGTGTTTCACACCGATCACAAGAACCTAATCTATAATTCTCAGAATGACATGGACAACCCACGACTCGTCAGATGGAGTGAAATCCTTTCTAGATTCTCTTTCCAGACATCGTACATCCCTGGAAAGGAGAACTGCATGGCCGACTACTTGTCCCGTGCTCCTGATTTCTACACTCCTTGGGACAACGATCTCCTGAATGACATCCTTGCTTCTTATTCTTCAGAACTCCCCAAAGCAACTAGAGATTGGTTCAATTCATTCAAACGTAGACAGGACATCACCGTTATCAATGATCTTTACTACTGGATCGACGGTGATAATATGCGATTGGTAGTGCTCGATCCAGCGTCGATCACATCAATCATAAACGAAGCGCACTCTTCACCGTATAGTGGTCACGTCGCTTATGGAAGAATGCTCACCAAACTAAACAAGTCATATGTGTGGCCAAACATGTGTGATACTATCTCTAAATTTGTAAAGAAGTGTGTTCAATGCCAACGTTCATCCATCAAGAAAATCAAAGAAGGATTCTTGGCATCACTACCTCTTCCAGACAGACCTTGGTGCGATATATCAATGGATCTGTTAGCTTTGCCTGCTGCTGATACAGGCGAAGGCAATCTGTTCGTAGTGGTCGACAGATTCACCAAAATGACTCGATTGTTCCCTTGTCACAAAGATGTCACTGCTATCCAGCTTGGTAATTGGTTTGCACGTGAGATCATTGCAGTATTCGGTGCTCCTTCATCTATAGTATCTGACAGAGATCCAAAGTTCACATCTGAATTATGGACATCTTCTATGAAAGCTATTGGAACAGAACTTAAGATGACACAACCAGGTCGTGCACAAGCAGATGGTCAAACAGAACGCACCAACAGATCCATACTTAGTCATATTAGAAAGTGGACTGATAAGAAGCACTCATGGGCGACCGACATTCGTTTCATCGAAGCATGTATCAACAACAACATCAGCTACACAACACAATTCACTCCCAATCAACTACTGTATGGTTATGAACCAAAGTTACCATGGAACGCCAACTACTTTGGAATCAGAGAATACAAAGACTGTCAAAATCAGTATCGATTGGAAGCAAAGAACAACGCGCTGGATGCTCAACTACAACAAGCAAAACAGCATGACAAGGTCATCTCTAACTTCAACACATACAACATCAATGATTTAGTTTTAGTTAGAAGATCAAGACTCAACACACACAAATCAAGCTCATCTGACGATCGCAAGCTTACACAATCATGGGGTGGACCATTCATTATTGTTAAACAAGTATCTGACATCAACTATAGAATCAGATTACAGAACAAGCGTGCTACAGAAAGAACAATTCATGTGGACGATATCAAACCATTCATTGGTGACCCAACTGGTACAGATCTACTCGATATCAACGCAATCATCGACAAACGTCAATCCAAACGTGGAACTGGTACAGCTATTGAATACTTAGTTAAATTCGATACTGACAGCGATGATCACAACAAATGGATAAATGAAAACACTCTCATTCAATACATTCCAACCATGATAGAATCATTCAACAAACAACAAAAAAAATAAGTAATCTCAACTCTGCTTATTCTATTTCCAATTCAATATTTGATGTCATGGAGGGAGATATGTAACGACAATACCACTTTTTCAAAATTCAAATTATTTTTCATTTTTAAAAACTCAACGACTATTCAAAAAAACGAACGATCAACTTTACCATTCAAGTTCTTACACTAACTCTGAATAGGTATGATCAATTTATATTTAATAAACATGATTCAAGTTCTTACACTAACTCTGAATAGTCTTTAAATTATTTGAGTTGATTATTAATAAATAAATAGACTGATCATCTATCCTATTTATTAAAGATTTATATAGATAAATTCATCTTGTTATCTGTTTACCGCAAGCGGGGTAATTAATTCCTAATAAAATAAACCTCCCTATCCGGGAATCGAACCCGGGGTTTCAGTGTGAAAGACTAATGTGTTACCACTACACCAATAAGGAATTTTGATGAGATTAAAATTAAAGTCAAGCCATTTTTTTCAAATACAAATAATTTTTCCTTTTTACCATGCCTGTTGCCTCCTTACTATGAGTGATGTCTCGTTGCTATTCCGGTTTCCTCAATTAGTTATGCCGATTTCCTCACGTAGTTATTCTGGTTTCCTCTCGTCACTCTGACAGTTGCCTCTCGTTTCTATTCCGTTTGTCTCTCATTTCTAAGACAGTCCATTTCCTTTATTTCGACCACCCATCCTCATCACGATATCTCTGTCTGCCATTCCATTCTCCAGGTACAACCAGAAAAGGTTTATTTTCCAAATTCAAAAGTTTAACCTGCTGGTTTCTACCTGTTTCAAACAAATATTTAACTCTTGTAAATAAATTCATTGTAAATACTTTTTATTTTTTAATATTAATAAAAAAAAAAAAAAAAAATATCACAATCGTCGTGCATCTATATGTATTTATTTGTATTAGGAGTCTAAAGGTGGTGGTTATTTAAATAAAGAGTATTCTTTTCTCTCACAAAGTTTTTAAATATCTTTTTTTAGTAAAGTGGTTTTTCGCAACCAAACCCACTCCTTTCTTACTTTTATTTTTGAATTTTAATCTTTTTTTCTTTTTTCTCCCCTTTTCTACCTCTTTTTCTTCCCAGGTCTGTTATGTTAAGATACGTGTACGTGTATCCAGCTTGGCCAACTGGCAGCGACGCTTCTTACTGGCAGGAGTTGTGAACCTGCTTAGACGCTAACCATGAGGAATGCTGTCTCTTCATGCCCGCGCTTGCACTCCGTTAGAAAAAAGGCTACTATATTATAATCGATTCTCCGAAATAATTTTTTAAATGTGAAATTTATAAAATCTATTACTTCATTTTCCTCTACACCAATAAGGAATTTTGATGAGAGTATTAAAAAATTTCAACAGTTGGTTTTGATTTCAAATTTCTTTTTTTTTTTTTAATCATGCTCCCTTTCATAAATACAACTTTTTTACTAAACAATTATCATAAAGATGATTGGTATAAAGCCGAAATGGTTATTAAATAGTAGAATGGCTATATCACCAATGGTAGATGTAACTGATCATCCCTTTCGTCAATTGGTATCACTTTATTCTAAATCAAAAGATCAATCATCATCGAAATCATCATTTATAACATGGACAGAATTTGTATCGGTAGACGGTTTATTGGCTAATCCAAATCGTTTCAAATCTCTATTGGATTACTCAGAGATACAGAGACCGATTGTTTGTCAATTGTTTGGTAGTGATCCTGACAAGTTCAATCGTGCAACCAAGATCGTCGCGGACCTGGGATTCGACGGTGTCGACATCAATATGGGATGTCCCGTTAGAAAAGTAGTAGAAAGACAATCGAGTGGATCGGCATTGATCGTTGACAAACCGACTGCAGTATCTATCATCAATGCTACAAAACAGGCGGTTGCCGGCACCGACATGTCGGTGTCAGTCAAGACACGAATAGGATTCGATGAAATCGAAATCGAACAATGGATACCGACTTTACTACAAACGAATCCTGATCTCCTAACACTACATCTTCGTACCAAGAAAGAGCTATCTAATTGTCCTGCACATTGGGAGAATGAAGTAATGGGTAGAGTAACAGAGTTATTGAAACAACATAGAGATGAACATCAACAACAAAAAAGTAATAATAATAACAATAACAAGACAACGACAACAAGATTATTTGGAAATGGTGATATTGAATCCAGATTACAAATAGATGAAATGTTTCGACGATATTCATTGTTGGATGGTATAATGGTTGGTAGAGGTATCTATGGTAAACCTTGGTTCTTTAGCGACGAGAATCAACATGACGATGGAATAGATTTAAAGTGTAGACTTGTTGCTTTGGTCGAGCATGCATTACTCATTGAACAACATAAAGAAAAGTACGATCTACAACACAATCTATCTAGTTTGAATCTACATTTAAAGTCATATACACAGCCACTGTGTCATCTTGGTGAAGTAACACAACTACGTACAGCACTACCGAAAGCAAACAACTCGAAAGTCATAGCCGACATACTAAATCGATATTTACAACAAAAGAATCAATCATTTCAATTAGATTATAATAAGATAAAATTAGATTTATATATAAAACAACAACAACAACAATTTTAATAAATGTAAATAAATATAGTATTTGTTTATGTTTTACTTTTTTCTTTTAACAATCATAACAACATTCTTTATTTTGTATTGGTTCTTGTGATGGATCTAAACCGATTTGTTTCATTTTAACAGCGATTTCAAAGAGATAGTCATAACACTCGGTCATTGTCTTTGCTTTGACCCAGTCTGATCCCCACACGTAGACACCGTGACGTCTAACCAAGACGGCCGATGCATCGGGGTATGCTTGCATTGCACGTTCCATTCGGTCTTTGAGATCACGCTCGTGTGGAGTGTTCTCAATGATTGGAACGACGAGACGGTCGTGATACTCTAGGTGTTTGGCAGCAGCACCGAATCCCTTAACGATTCCCTTGATCATCTCTTGATGTGTGATAACAAACTCCTTCTCATACATGAGTGTCACCATTACGGCGTGTTGCGAATGTGTATGAATGACAGAGCCTGCACCACGCAATCTGTAGGCATTGAAAAACAGTGGAGTACACTGACTTGGTCGCAATGCCTTGCTTGGTGGCGGTGCCGATATCTCCTTCTCGTTCTCATCCATCACAAAGATATCCTCTCCCAAGATACGTTCTTTCTGTACACCCGATGCTGCAATATATATTTCATTACTAATAGTAATATAGATTATATAGATTAAGATTGTTATATATATTTTGTTAGTTCTCTTTGTTTTATTTTGTTTGTTTAAGAGTATTATAATTTCTTTCAAACACTTACTTATACTTTATACTGATACCACCACCTGTACCAGTTACCCAACCGAGTTTATAAAATAATTTACATAACTCTGGTATCAATATTCTTGGATGATTCTGATTCTGCTGGTCCATCTTTCTAAATTAAATTAAAATTAATTTTGTTGTTGGAAAAAAAGTAGGGTTTAGAGAAAGAAAATTAGTGAAGATGAATTATTTTTTTTTTTAATCACAACCTTTCATATGATCTTCAAACCACTAATAATAATGATTTATATTTTATTATAAATAAAACATATTCAAAAAATGGAGATAGATAATAATGAAAATATATTTGTTAATTTATCACATTTATTACTAAAGAATATAATCTCATTTATAAATGATTTTGAAGATATAATTAGATTTACACTTGTTTGTAAAAGATGGTTTCAAGAGAGGAATAGTTATTTAGTTTTTCTACGAGACGGTGTTTTCGTGGATACACATAAATTGAAATCATATCATCCAATAATACAACTAAAGCATAATGAAGATCTTTACCTCGTTAGTGAAGCACAAACAGTTAATCAAATTACACCAAGTATGTAGTTAACTCTTTATAACAGATTAACTCTTTGATACAATACTAATAAATCAATCAATCAAGATGAAATAATAGAGAAATTAACATGTGTCGATTTTCTAGAATTTAGAAGATTAATTGTGAAGATAGATGGATTCGATATTTCAAATGTAAGAGATCAACTCGAGAAATCAAAGATTAAGGAGATTAGATTACCATACAATGTTCCACGATTGTCAGCTGGATGTTTACCAGAGAATTTAGAAAATCTTACCATTGACAGCTATTCATATCCGTTAGAGGAAGGTGATCTTCCAGCTTCATTGAAAGTATTGTCTTTATATCAGTATAATCATCCACTTATAAATGGGTCACTTCCACCTAAACTTGAAAAGTTACTCATCACAGTTTTTAGTAAAACTCCTTGTCTCCAGGTGAATGTTTTTCCAACAACTTTGACATCGATTGAAAACTGTCCATACCAATTGATCAAATTTGTTAAATACTTGCCATGTCTGGAATCATTTGAATGTAATAGTATAAGTATTCCCGATGATTTCTTAGAGCCCGGTGATTTCCCAGACACTCTAACAAGCTTGTCACTCCGATTTTATACATCAACACTCCAACCCAAAGTAATACCTTCATCAATCAAATATTTAACACTTAGCTGCTATATTTGGGATCTGACAAACAACTCAATTCCAAATGAATCACACTATAAATATATATGCGTTTCCGATATTTCATCAGACATTCAACCAAATCATTTACCACCAAATATCGAGAATCTTGAAATCTTGAATTACAACAAACCTCTATTACCAGGAAGTTTACCATATGGAGTCACAACATTGTCACTCCCAAAAATTAGCCCAAAGCATATCACCGAAGGTGTTTTTCCTTCCTCCATCAAAACTCTTTATCTTTTCACATACGAAGATTCAGAGAGTAACCAATCAGAAAGACGTTTCAACTCGAAATCAATTCCAAATTCAGTTGAAGCACTATATCTTGGTCATGGGTACTCAGAGATTGATCCAACGATGCTACCCGATTCAATTAGAACATTAAAAATCAAAATAAGAGATTTGGCTCGACATGGAATTGCATCATTCAAACCAACGATCACCCTACTAAAAATAGGTACAAATTCTCAAATCTATCGTATTGATAACAATAATTTCATTATCAACTCCAACTCAAAATTATTTTTTGTCAATGTCAAAGAATTTGAACAAATATCAGAAATGATTAAGAAGTATGATATTATCCTAGACTATGGTCTAGATGATATTTTCTGACAATAATACAAAAAATAAATTTAAATAAAATAATTAAAACTATGATATTACTAAAGAATATAATCTCTTTTCTTAAATGTTAGCCTTTTTGAATTTGGTATTTGATTGTAACAAACAACCTCAGCCTAAATCTCAATTTGTAACTCTCAAAGTGTAGACGACTCAATCATGATTAATTTTTAACCAAACAATATTTTTTTTTTTTGTAAAAATGGAAATAATTAATAAAGATAATTTGTTTGTTAATCTATCACATTTACTATTAAAGAAAATCATTTCAAATTTAGATGAAATAGCAGAGCGAATTATATTTACACTTGTTTGTAAAAGATGGTTTCGAGAGAGGAATAGTTATTTATTTTTTAATAATCTATTTGATAAGAGTTTCGATGATGATTATATGTTGACAAGGTTACAATCATACCAATCAATATTAAAGTTAGAGTATAAAGAAGAACTATTCCTCGTTGAAGAAGCAACACAAAACTCATATCAAATTACACCAAGTATGTTAGTTAACATCTACAAATAACAATCATTAATACTACAGAATACTAATAAACTTTTATTTGATCAAAAACAAAGATGAAATTTTAGAGACAGATAATTTTTTCGAATTTAAATATCTAACTGTTAAATTAAATCAATATGATATTTCAAAGTTAAAAGATCGACTTGAGTTATCGAATATAACATATTTACGTCTACCACCGACTACTCCTCGACTGTCAGCCGGAAGTTTACCTGAGAATCTAGAGAACTTGATGCTTAGTGACTATGGTTATCTATTGGAGTTTGGTGATCTTCCAGTTTCGCTGAAAGTATTGTCGCTATATAATTATAATCGTACACTTGTAAATGGATCACTCCCACCTAGACTCAAACGATTGCGATTGATTCAATGCTATAACAATTGTGATTTACAATTGAATACGATCAGCCAAGATGTTTTTACATCGACATTGACATCGATTGAAAACAGCCCATATCAATGGATCAAGTATTTTAAGTACCTACCACTGCTGGAATCATTTTCATCGGATGGCGATATTCCATCGGGTTTTTTGGAGCCTGGCGACTTCCCTGACACTCTTACAAGGTTGAAACTACAAAGCTATAAATCATATATCCGACCAGGAGTAATACCATCGTCAATCAAACACTTAACACTCAATAGCTATTGTTGGAATCCATTACAAGATTCAATACCAAAGGATGCACATTATGAACATCTTTGTGTTTTCGACTCACCCGCTATCGAACCAAATCAGCTGCCACTCAATATTAAAAGTCTAGAAATGTTAAGGTACGATCAACCGATAGTACCAGGAAGTTTACCACTGGGAATCGAAACTTTGTCACTTCCAAGAATTAGCCCAAACTATATCATTGAGGGTGTGATACCTTCCACAACCAAATCACTTTATCTGTTTACGAATATGGTGGGTATAACTAGAAACACTCAGCGATTAGACTCAAGATCAATTCCAAATTCAGTTGAAAATCTTTATCTAGGCGATGGTTACACTGAATTCGATTCTAAATTACTACCAGATTCAATTAGAACCTTAAAATTAAGAGCAAAAGATATCTTTAGAAATGGTATTGATTCATTTAAACCATCGATCACTTGTCTACAGGTTGGTAGCTATACTAAACTCAATCGTATCGATAATAATAATTTCATTGCTCATACACCTGGTGGTATATTTTTTGTAAACTCTAAAGATATAATTGATATGTTGGATTGAATATAATAGAAACTTTTAATGTAATAAAAAAGATTATTTTTGATGTTAAAATAGAGATTGTTGTTAATATTGTATTGATTTTCATTGAACTATGTTGTCAGATAACAATAATTTAAAAATGATTAATGCCTTCATGATAATAATCAAAATATTGAATTAAAGAGAACTTTTTGAAATGATTGAAACCTTATTAATTATTATCTTTCGTATTTGATTATTTATAATCAATTAACTAACTAATTAACTAAGTAATGCTAACTTTTGATTTTATTGCAAGGTCCTTTTTAGGAAGACAAAAAAAAAAAAGTTTTTGAAGTTCAAAAAAAATTAAGTTTTAAATTATTTTTTCTGATTAAATCAATCAATCAGTTAATAATCAACTATATTAGTTAACTATTAATAATTATTAAATAATGATAGTCAGTAAAAAGATATCAATACTATTTTTATCACTGATATCAATATCTTTGGTATATTCTATATATCCAGAAGAGATTGGTGTAAAAGATTGGTAAATATAACATATATATTGATTGATTAATATAGATTCTATTTGTTATACTAACTAAAGATTATTTATTATTATTAATTATTATTATTATTATTATTATTATCATATATTTAAAGGAGAATTAAAAATATAGGTTTAGTAGAAAGATCAATTATATACGATAAAGATGTTAAACCAACTATACTTGTACAGTCATCTGTACCTTCATTAGATAACTATCATAACAATTACCTATTGTCTTTATTGAATTTAAATGATGGTTCTATAAGTATGTTTGTTTGTTTTAATAAATCAATTGATTTATATAGAGATTATAGTTACATTACTAATTAACTATTATTTATTTAGTTTGGAGACAATTATTACCAAGACAAGAACATTCTTTTGAATCTATTATTAGTATATCAAATTCACGTATGTATATATATCTATAAGATAGATTATATTAGGTAGAGTTGTTTATTAATTATATATATATATTTTTTTTTAGAAATTGTTACATTATCAAATGCAAATAAATTAAGACTTTGGAATAGATTGAGTGGATCTGTAGTTTGGTCAACTTCATTGACAAATACCGATGCCTCCAATGAGATGTGTAGTCGTGTCGTTCAGGTGTCAGAGAATGAATTGATGGTAATTTGCGAATCGATGATACATACAGTCAGTGTAAAGTCTGGAATGCTTACAAAGTCATCGCCGATCACCGATTCTCAGTCGGTGACCGTCATCGACAACCACAACCGTTTCAACTATGATAAGAATACATTCAATGGTCTGCCATTGCCTGGTAACACTGGTGGTGTCAGTAACAGCAACAATCAGCTAACAGGTTCGTTCTTAAAGGTTAGCAGCAGCAGTGAATCCAACAAGAAACTGGTGGTCATTGCTAATTCCAACACTCTCTACTTTGGCAGCGAGAAACAATCGTTGGAATCATTCAAGGTTGAAGGTGCCTATTTTATCGAGTTGTTGGCTGCCTATGATGATGCTGGTCAGTTTGCCATCAGGGTGAATGAGAAGTTCATTCATATCTACCAGTTTGCGGACGATGGAAAGTCGTTGGCACTCGTCAAGAAGTTGGAGCATGTCGGTGGTGTCGCCGCTGCCAGTGGATCCAAGTCGGCCGACTACATCGTCAAAGAGGAGAGTGGCTCCGATGCTGCGTTTATCATATCCGGTAGATTTGCTACCAAACTGACAGAGAAATCCAATGGACGTCCAGTTTATTTGATTACCAGTGGTGGTGGATACTCGGTTGTCGTCACCAAAGACTGGACACTGACAGTGTATCTACGTGACCAACTCCTCTGGCAAAGAGAGGAATCGTTGGCTGCCATCCTACAGACAGAGATAACGGATTCACTGCCGTCGAATATCGGAAAGTTGTCGCAGTTGGAATACGAATTCACAGAGTCGTCGAGCGATAATTTCATGTCGCACCTGACCAGAAGATTGTGGGCACAGTTGAACTCTGTAGTTGGAAAGTCGTTGGGTGTTGCTGTCGATGATCAAGCTGCCGCCGGTGTTCATGGAGTTGAACACGCTTGGTCCGAGGAATTCAACAAGCTTGTCATTGTCAGTACTGCTGCCGGTAAGATTCACTGTTTGTCGTCGAGCGACCGTGGTTTCATCTCGTGGTCAATCTTCTACCCAGAGTACAATGGTGAATCGCTACGTCTTTACATCAGTGGAAGACAGCCAGATATCAAAGCGATCGTTGTCTATTCGACTGGTCGAGACGGCGCCGTGTCGAACATCGTCAGCACCGTCAACATCAACAAGGGTGTAGAAGTGGCCAGTAAGATTATCAATCAGAGAATCTTGCACTCCAGTATCATCCCATTGGCAAGCGATAAATCTGGCAACGACAGTAGCGTTGAACATTTGTTTATGGCTGCTCTCGACTATCCTGCCGGACACCCACCAAGCGTTATGATTCACCCATGGACTGGATCGGCACGTGCCAACTGGGAGTCATTCAAATCCATTCACTTTTACATTGCCGACAGAGATCGAAGTGTTGTTCGTGGCTACTCGATCGAGTCGATGGCTGGACAAGGTCAGTTGAAATCACATCTCGATTGGAATCTCAACTTTGGATCGCAACAAAAGATCGTAGCGATCGGCGCAAGCAATCCACACGAAGTCATTGGAACACCAGCTATCATCTTGGGTAACCGTGATCTTCTCCCGAAATACATCAATCGTAATCTCATCTCTATAGCAACTGTCGACGCCAAGACATCGATGCTCACCATGCACCTCGTTGATTCCATCACCGGTGAAATCATCAAAACATTCCTCCACCAAAACGTCGGTGGTAAAATCTCGATTGTCCACATTGAAAACTCGGTTATCTATTCCTATTTCGATATTACCATTCAAAAACAATTCATAACTTCAATCGATCTTTTTGAAGATGGTGTAAATTGGAACAAGTAAGTAATGAAAATATTAAATACTATATATTGATTTCTATTTATTTACTAATTACAAATTATTATATTCAAAATAATAATAATAGACAAGTTTTCTCATCATATGACTCCAATAGAAATATTATTATTAAACAAAAGAGTTTTGTATTCCCATCGCATATTCAGACATTGTCGGAATCGGTATCGAGTAAAGGTATTACATCCAAGTTTATTTTGGTAGGAACAATCTCTGGACAGGTATTACCGATTGAAAAGAAATGGATCGATGCACGTCGTCCATATCCATCAGAGGCAACTCCATTCGATCAAGAAGAAGGTTTAATTCCATACCATCCAAATTTGAATTTCCCACCTTACCTTTATATTACTTATAATACAACTGTAAGTTTTAATAATAATATAAATCCATTTATTACAACATTAAATAGATCGTATTAACATTTGTCATTTCAATATAACAGATTCCATTATTAAATTCAATGACAACAGCAGGAACTGGAAAGGAATCAACCTCAATAATTGTATCGACAGGTATTGATTTCTTTGTTGCACTGATTGCACCATCCAGCGGTTACGATGTTCTCAGTCATAATTTCAATCATTTCGCTTTGATCTCTACTTCCATGTTGTTGGCAGCATTAACATATATTACAAGAATGTTGAGAAAGAATAAGATATTGAATAGAAAATGGAAATAAATAAATAAATTATATATAATTAGTTAGATATGAATAAAAATAAAAAAAGCAAACAATAAAAAAAGATAGAATTATTAATTATTGTTATTTTATTTTTGAGATTATTTGACCTATACATTATCATCCCATGTTTAAGAGAAAGCTGATCCCCATTTTGCTTTCTTTTGTTGATTAGAGTTATTGTTGTTGTTATTGTTTAGACTACTGCTACCTCTTGAACCTTTGTGTGAAACAGAATTCCTACTCTCGACATCTTGTTGTGAAGATTTAGTATATGGTTGATATCGTTGTGGTGTTGAGATGTTTGATGATCCGTTGATTGCCGATGTTACACTCTTGAAATTCTTATGATAGTTGGTGACCGATTGTTTCTTCTGATCGACACTTAACATAGTATCAAGTTTATTCTTTGTAAGAGAGTCTGGTGTTTGATTCTTTTTATCATCTGATGATTCTGATTTCTTATTATTACTGTTTTTGTTGTTGCTATTTGTTTTTGATGATTTATCTTTTTTATCTAATATATCAAATGGTGAATAACTTTGTTTTAACAGAGGATTGATCAATTGATTCGTAGAAGGAGTATCGATTTGAAGGTATTTATCTAGTTTCTCATTGCTATTATCTTCATTGTAGTCTTTTAGATAGTTTGAAGTTGATAACCATGAACCAATTAGATCTGAAACATCTGATTTTAATGTTACAATAGCAATTTCTTCATTCTTTTTATTAGATTTTTCTTTTTCTTCTATACTTTTATTATTATTATCATTATTATTGTTGTTGCTATGATTACTACTACTACTATTATTGTTATTATCTATATTTTCATTTTTAATTTCGTTTATGTTACAATTTATATTATTTGAATCAATCATCGTATTATTATTAATATTATTCTTTTTTTTATTCTTTTTCTTCTTTTTTGAAGTTGGTGTGTTGTTTACAACACTCACATCATTAATAATTTCTTTCATTCTTTGTCGTTGTTTATTATTTAAATATTTATGAGATAATTAATATGAAACGAGTGGTTTTTATTGATTTCTGCCAAAAAATTTGTTTACAAATAAAATTTTTTATTATTAAAATATGAAAAAACTATTTTATATATCTATTGTAGATGTCTGGACATTGACCAAGTGTGATTCTTGTGGATGTTTTTGTGGTTGAGTAAAGTTTATTAAATTGGGATATCTTCTTTAAATTTGCTGAGTTGGTATTTCAAGTGGTACTAAGTTCAATGTTCTCTTAGTTCTCACATTGACAGAGACTGAACTCAACTATAAAAAAAAAAACATTAGTAAAATAAAATAAATCACAAATAATTGAATATTTACCTTGGACTCTCTTATAACCGTGGCGATTAGATATGATAAGACGAAAAATTCACAGTTACATTGATATTTATTTTATTGTACCAATGTTATAGTCAATCTACAACAAATACTAGATTAAAGCTAGAAAAGAATCACTTCATTGATCTTTCACACCTACGATCGATGACAATAGTAGTAGATCAATCACCACACAAAAGTAATAATCATTCATTTTTTTTTTTTAATTGTTTGCAACCAAAAAAAAATACCAATAATCAATAATTTAATTTAATATTTATTTGCACATTTTTTTTAAGTAATGAACAATCACAATAATAATAACAATAAAAAGAACTTGATTATTGGTTTCACTGGAAGTGTTGCAACCATCAAATATAATCAATTAATTGAACAATTACTTCCTTATTTTAATGTAAATTAAATTGTTGTTACATATGTTTATAAATATAAAGTTTATATTAATTTATTGACAAAAACAAAAATAGATAAAAGTAATTCTTACAAATAATGCTTTGCATTTCTGTAAGGATATTAAACAAGATTCGACATACAGTGTACATACAGATTCAGATGAATGGTCATCTTGGTCAAAGAGAGACGACCCAGTATTACACATTGAACTTAGAAAGTGGGCAGATTCAATGTTGATTGCTCCTCTATCTGCAAATACACTTGCTAAGATTGCAAATGGAATGGCTGATAATTTATTAGTATGTAAACACTTTGTTTTGTTATGTTATATTTATTATTATAACTATTATTAATTTTGTTTGATTGATGAACAAATGAAATGAAATGAAATCAACAATATAATTAGACATCTGTAGTTAGAGCATGGGATTACAAGACAAAGGAATTGATATTGGCACCTGCTATGAACACGATGATGTGGGAGAATCCATTCACAGAGCAACATTTGAATACAATGAAATCAATCTCTGTAAGAGTAAACATTATACCACCAATCTCAAAACTATTGATCTGTGGAGACACTGGAATAGGTGCAATGGAAGAGGTATCAAAGATAGTAGAAATAACAAAGAATATTCATTTAAAACAACATATTCATTATGATTAATTAATCAATCATATGTGTGAACTTCATACCATCCATTCTTGTACAGCTATCATACAAGTTTTCACAAAGATATAAAAAACTTTACATATCTATCTAACTATATATATTTTAATAAAAACTTTTTGTACATATGTATTTAACAACAAATTAATAATAAAAAAACAAAGATGTTATATAATATAATGTCTCTTATTTTAGTATTACAAAGTTTATTGTTGTTATTGTTATAAAACGTTGTTGAACCAAAAAAGGTTATTTAAAAATATATACAATTTGATAACTAACGCCGTTATCTATTAATCTTAATTCTATATGATCATATAAAAGCTTATTCATCTGAATCTTTCTTTTTCTTTTGTTGTTGTCTTGTTGGGTATAATATCTTTCCAACACTGCTACCAAATGAACTGTATTTATATAGTTAATAATTAAAGTTATTAATATTTTAATTTATATTTTGTTTTAATTATTATTATTATTATTAACTTACTTGGCACTTGGTATTGGTGCTTCTTTAAAATAAGGATGATCCAATGCTTCCTGTGCAGAGATTCTCTTTGATGGATCGTATTGTATCATTTTCATCAATAAATCAAATGCTAAACTAGATTCTTCAATTCCTAAACACTTTGCCAATGTATTGGTGTATGGCTCACAGTTGGCAATCTTTTTCCACTCTGGTAGATGCTTGGCGTCTGGCCACATCTCGAGTGTCGGCTTACCCAGTACTCTCATAATCTTCTCGACCTGGTCATCTTGAAACAACGATGGTATCTTTGGATCCTTCTCACGTCCAGGAAACAAAGGTTTAGTTGTTATTAACTCTGCGAAAATACATCCAATTGCCCAAATATCTATATTATTATTATTATTATTTTAAAAATGATATTAAAATATTATAAAGTTTTAACTAACTAACTAACTAACTAAATAACTAGTTATAATTATTATTACTTACCAACTGCACTAGTATAATGTTTTGAACCAAGTAACAGCTCTGGAGATCTATACCAAATGGTTACGACTACACCGTTTTCGTGTAGCGGTCTGAGTGGCGATTGAAAGATACGCGCCAGACCGAAATCACCGATCTTCACGGTGCCATACTCTTTGCCTTCACCCATGACCAAGATATTCGATGGTTTCAAATCACGGTGAATCACCCAATTGCTGTGTAAATAGTGAATGCCATTGAGAATTTGCCAGACCAACGATTTAATGGTGTGGTCTGGACAAGGCGTCGATGGATGATCTCTATGGAATTTGATAATACCAAACAAATCAAACTCTGCATAATCGAAAACTAGATTCAATGATTTATCTTTTGGATTCAAACATATATCTTGTAATTTAATTATATTTTCATGTGATAATTCTTTTAATAACTAGATAATCATTATTTATATTTAATATTTGATCAAAGTAAAATATCTATCACATCTGTATACAGATAATCTATAATACATACACCAATTTCACGACATGCAGTCAGTGATAAACCTTCACCTTCTTTTGTACTTCTGAATTTCTTGATTGCAACTCTCATGTTGTGTCTTTTCTTATCGTCTGCTTTATACACCATACCATAGGTACCCGAACCCACTTCATAACTAAATGTATACTTTTCACTTACATCAACTCTAGATGTAGATGTAAGAACAATTGGATGATGAGAATGGTGTGAATGTTGTTGTTGCTGTTGCTGTTGTTGCATTTGTTGATGCTGTTGTTGTTGTTGTTGCATTTGTAAATGATGTTGCTGCTGCTGTTGTTGCATAGGATAATGCTGTTGCTGTTGTATATGATGATGTTGTTGTTGTATATGTTGTTGATGCTGCTGATGCTGCTGCTGATGATGATGCTGCTGTTGCTGATGCTGCTGCTGATGTTGATATTGCTGTTGCTGATGATACCCACTCATACTTCCAAATGTTAAACGTTATTAAAACTTCAGTGAAATAAACAAACTTCCAAACTATTACTACTACTACTACTACTACTACTACTAACTAACTACTACTACTACTACTACTACTACTACTACTACTACTACTACTACTTTGTAAGATCTTCTTCTTCTTATAAATTTTAATTATTATTATTATTAGATTATAAATAAATAATAATAATAATAATTAATGATGATGACAATGATTGTCTTTGATATTGAAATGTTAGAAAAAGAAGAAGAAGAAGAAGAAGAAGAAGTCAAAGTAAATTGCTGACCATCCGACAATCGCAATCCCTAACTTTGGAAATCTGAAATTTTAATAACGTTATTAATTTAATTTAAAATTAAATTTTGGATCACTCACCAACTTATGTTGTGTTTTTTCAAATTTTTAAATTAATTTGAAAAAAGTGACCGTTTAAAATGTTCCCTCCAAAATTATTAGTTTTTTTTTTATTCATACATGCATCTGATTAAACTTAACTGTGACTTGATTTGATTAATTGTTATCTTTTTTTTTAGATAAATATTTCTCCCTTGCAAAAAAAATAAATTAAGTTTTATTTTATTTATTTATTATTTAATAATAAAAAGTTAAATCTTTTATATAAGAATATTAAGATTAACTTTTGAATTTTGTATAGATTAAAATAATAATAATAATAGTATTATAATTATAAAGTTAATAATAAATAAAAATGGCAGATAAACAAAGAATCAAGTATTTAGAGGATGAAGTTGAGGTCCTCACAAAACAGAAACGGTCGAAACAAACTCAACTCGATCAACTAACTAAATCTTTGGAACAATCAAATAATGATTTAACAAAGATAACTGCTGATAATATTAAATTAAAGCAATCAGTATGTTTTATTTGTCGAAAATAATATCTAATTAATTTAGAAAATTAATTTTTTATTCTAACTTTTTTAATTTTTTTTTAATATTTTCTTTAAGCTTACAACATTAGAAGAGAAAGAAAAAAAGAATAATGAAACTATTAAGACATTGAGAACCGATTTAAAGACTGCAATGGAAAAGGCAGGTCCTCCAACCAGTGGAATACCAATTCCAAGTCATAGATCTGGTATTGCCGCTCGATCGGCAGGAACTTCACACCTAAACTCTACAACCCCTGCTTCCGCCGGTGCCACCGGAAGTTCAACTGTCAGCTCTGAACAAATTCAAATTCTCAAACTACAGATTGATTATTATGAAAAGGAAAGAAAAACAATTCAGTTTGACAAAGAGAATTTAAATACAAAATATAAAGAGCAAGAGGTTTGTTATTTAAAAATTAATATTTATTAACTTTGTTTTTATTTATTGACTTTTTATTTCTTTCTATTAGAAACAACTCAAAATATCAGAATGTAATGTTGAACAATTACGTATTAATATAAAAAAGTTGGAACAAGAAAAGAATGCACTGGAGGTTGAAAATGCAGAGTTGAAGGAAATTGAGAACAATCTAAAGCTTAGCCTTCAAGAGCAGACGAATAGCATTGAAGAAAAGTCTAAACAGATAGATACTTTAAATGAAGAGAAACAAAAGGTAATTATTTCATTTTCTATTATTTATATGATAGTTATTAATTGTATACTAATTTATTTAATTTAATATAATATCAGTTGGAAATAGATTTAAATAATAAGATTGATTTGGTGGATAAGAATGCCATTGTCATTGAAAGTCAAGCTCAAGAGTTGAATCGAATTACGCTAAAAAATCAAGAATGCGCAAATCTCTTAAACGAGTGTGATAATGCAATAGAAAAATTGCATCACGAAAAAAACTCTTTAGAGGAAGACAACAAACAATTAACGAATGAAAACAATGATCTTAGAAATGTAAGTAAAATTAAAATTATTTTTCAAAGTGTTTACTTTTTTACTAACAAGTTAATTGATTAATTTTTTTTTTAGAATTTGGAAATGGAATCATTGGAAGTTGCTAGATTGAATAACAAGTTGACTGGTGAGAATACAGAATGGATGATGCGTAGCAATGACAAGGATGAATTGATCCAAAGGTTAAATGACGAGTTGGAAGCCAAGTCCATTGAATGTACGAAGCTTGAAGAGCAATTGGCTACTGAAAAGAGTAAGTTTGACGATTTGACCGCAAAGTACAATGCTCTGCAAGCTGACAAGGATGAACAAGAGCGTTTGCTACGCGAAGAGATCGAAGAACTCAAGAGCCAGTTGGCCCATTTGACTTTGAAGTTGAACGAGCGTGACTCACAAGTTGCCGAGCGTGATTCCCAAGTTGCCGAGCTCCAACAGAAACTGGTAGATGCCGATGTAAAGATGGAGGATATCACTCGTGAGATATCCGATCAACAATCACTCCTGGAGGAATCCAACTTGAAGAACCAGCAATTGGAGGAGAAAATCGTCAGTGTTGAGACATCAAAGCAAGAGAGTGAGAACCAACTCCAACAAAAGTTGGAGCAAATGGAATCCGAGTTTGCAGAGCAACGCCAAAAGTTGGAATCCGAATTGGAGGAGAGACGTGCCGCTATCCAGCAATTGGAGCAGTCGAATCAAGAGGGTGTCACTTCACTTACCAGTCAGAAGGACCAGTTGAACTCCACCATTGTGACAGTTAGAGCTGAGGCAGAGCAACTGAGGGGTGAGTGTCTGGCGCTCTCTGAAAAGATCACTCAGAGTGAATCTACTATTGCCAACCTCAAGAAGAGTCGTAAGCAACTAAAGTCCAATATGGAGTCAAAGAGCAAAGCCATCTCACAGTTGGAGAGTGAGATCGTCGAGTTGAACCAACAACGTCAGACCTTGGAGGATCGACTGGCTGAAGCCAACCAAGCTGGCGAAGAGTTGAGCAATTCACTCTCAGAGAAGGATTCGCTCGTTTCTCAGAAAGAGCTGTTCATCTCTGACCTAAAATCAAAGATTGAGCAGTTGAAGCTTGTGGCGCTTGACAAGGAGAAGGAATTGGAGTGTGCACAATTCTCAATTGCCGAACTTGAACAGTTGTCCATCCAGAAGTCCAAGGAAATTGAATCACTCAAGATTGATATTAATGAATTGACCAGCCAATCCAATGGCATCAAGTCAGAGTATGAAGAGTTGCTTGTCAAGTTCAATGCTACTACTGGCCAGCTTGATAGTCTTCAAGAGAGATACGATCAACTCCAACTGGAAAATGAGAGACAGATTCAATTGTCAGATGAACTGAGAGAGTTGAACGAGAGTCAAGCCAGTGAGATCGAGTCACTCCAAATGTCGTCGAACGAGCGAATCGCCAAACACAAAGAGAGACATGGTGAGAATCAAAAGCAAGTCAGTGGTTTGAAATCAAAGATTTCTCAACTCTCTGAGGAGTTGGAACATTCCTCCAAGTTGCGTGACGAAGCTCAACAATCCATTCGACCAACTCAACGAACAAACCGAGCAACTCAATAGTCAAATCGTTGACCAATCCAAGAAGATCGACCAATTATCACAGCAGTTGGAGGAGAGTGTTGCCGAATACCAATTGTTAGTTTCAAAGGTGGAGAGTAAGGATCTCGAGATCTCAGACCAACACTCCGTCATTGAATCAAAAGAGCGTGAGAATGAACGATTGAAATTGGTTGTCAATGACATTGACAGACAAAAAGTTCAATTGGATTCAGAGTTGACTGAACTCAAGACACTCTATAGCAATGCCATGTCAGAGAAGACCATTGTTGTTGAAGAGTTGGCCGAAGCAAAAGAACTCCATGCCGAGACACAAGTCAAATTGGAAAAGATGCGCTCTATGTACGAAGAAGCCAACTCTCAAAGTGAAACACTCAGCCAACAGAGTGAAGAGGAAGTTGAAGAGCTGAAACAACAGATTGTCGAGTTGGAACAACAAAAAGTCGAGTTGGAGCAAGTGATTGAAGAGTTGAATGAAAAGAATGTTGCGTTGGAACAACAAAAAGTAGATTTGGAGCAACAGAAAGTCGATTTGGAGCAAGTGATTGAAGAGTTGAATGAAAAGAATGTTTCACTTCAAGAGTCGGCAGAGGAGTATGAGAAACAATTGGAGTGTGCAATCAACGATTTGGATGTAAAGTCACAGGAGTACGAAGCTCTTGCCGCCGAGAACGAAGTTCTTTCCACTGAGAAGGAAGCTCTTGACATTGAGAAGCAAAAGTTGGAGAAGGACCTCGAGGAAGTACTTGGAATTTGTGATACTGCCGAGAGTGAATCCACCGCCAAGAGTGTCCGTATCAAAGAGTTGGAGGAGAATGTCGCCATTTTGGAGGAGACCATCGAAGAGAAATCCATTGAGTGCATGGAGATTGAGGAGAAACTCAATGAAGAGAATCAGAGACGTGAAGCATTGTCACAAGAGTTGCAATCAAAGTTGGAGGAGAACAATCTTTTGGAACAAGAAAAAGAGAGTTATCAACAAGCTTTGACTGAACTCAATTTTGAAATCAACCAAAAGTCACACCAATTGGATCAACTCAAACTCCAATTACAACACCGTGACTCTGACTACAACCAACTGCTGGAAAGCAAGTCTGGTGAGCTTGATAGTGCTAGTGTCGAGGTGTGCGTTCTCAAGACCAAGATCTCGGAGCTTACCACCGCCATCCAGACATTGGAAGACGAGAAGATCAGAGCTAATCATCTGATAGAAGAACTCGAAGCCAAAATTGAATCATCCGAAAAAGAGAAGGAGGAATTGGCATTGAGCTGTTTAGAGTTGAAGGATCAACTCGATGCATCTGAGCTCGAAAAGGAACAGTTCCGCAAAGAGAAAGAAGAAGAGTTTAGTCAGATCGCAGAGGCTGCCGAACAATTGGATACCAAAAATCAATCATTGGTAGAAGAGATTGATATTCTCAATTTGGAAAAACAAGAGAAGAACGAAGAGATCGAAATTCTCAATTTGGAAAAACAAGAGCTTGAACAGACCAACTTGGAGTTGAAGGAGCAAGTAGAGGATAAGAGTTTACAAATCAAAGCAATGATTGAAGAGCTTGATATCAAGAAGCAACAGATCGTCGATATTCTTCATGAGAAAGAAGATGTTGAGCAACAACTGGAAGATTGTAAATCGCAATTAGAGAATTCCAGGGAATCAGAATCAAATCTATTGGATACTGAGAAGCAATATCAAGTATTGTCTAAGGAGTTGGCCTTTAAGAATCAACAATATGACCAGTTATCATTGGAGAAGGAATCATTGGATGAGAAGATCGCCAGCTACAAGTCCCAATTAGAGAGTCTGGAAATGGCAAGCACCGAGTCCAACGACCGTTTGGAAGCTGAAGAGCAACAGAAACAATCATTGATATCAGAGTTAGCTGTCAAGAATCAACAAATCGATGAACTTGTTTTGGAGAATGAGGAGTTGAATGAAAAGTTAGGAGATTTCAAATCTCAATTTGAAAATTCCGATTCATTTACTTCCGAATTAGCAAAGAAGCTGGATTCTGAGAAACAACACAACCAAGAATTGACTATTGAATTGTCTGGTAAGAATCAACAATTGGACCAAATCGCGATGGAGAAACAAGAGTTGGATGGAAAGGTCACCGAATTCAAATCGAAACTTGAGAGTCTTGAAACATCGATGTCCAAAGCCACCCAACAATTGGAATCCGAGAAGCAAGATAAGCAATTGCTTCATTCTAAATTGGCCGAGAAGGATCAACAGCTTGAACAACTCTCCGTTGAGAAGCAAGATTTGAATGAAGAAATCGATTCATTCAAAGTGAGAATCGAGGAGTTAGAGGAATCGAATATGGAAGTCAAGGAACAACTGGAATCCGAGAAACAATCTCACCAATTGCTCGTTCTGGAGGTCACCACCAAAAACCAACAGATCGATCAACTCACTTTGGAGAAGGAAGAATTGAATCAAAAGTTGCTTGACGTCAAATCACAGTTGGAATGCAATGATTCGTCGAGCACTGAGCAATTGGAAGACTTGCAAAGCCAGGTTAAACAGCAAGAACAGACCATTAAGGAAGAGAGAAAGTCAAACATGCAGTTGGCAGAAGATGTTGTTGCATTGACAGGAGAACGTGACACTGCCAAGAATGCTCTCGAAATCAAGACTGCCGATCTCAACAAACTCCAAGAGGAACACGATCTTTTGATAGAGAAATTGGATTTCATTCAAGCTCAGAACAATAGTGAAGCTGCCAAAGCCATCGATGAGAAATCGATTGCCGAATCAAAGAATGTTGAACTTTCAAAACAAAATACCGATCTTGAATCATTGGTTGCCAAGCTACAATCCATGTTGGAATCAAAGGACGATGAATTGTTAAAGTTGAAGGAATTCAATGAACAAATTGCCCGTGACAAGCTCCAATTAGAGAACGATCATAAAGATGATATCTTTGAATTGGATCAACAAAAGAGTGCTGCCTCTGCTGCCGAAGAAGAGTACGAGAAGCAATTGGTTGCCAAAGGTGAAGAGAAAGAGTTGTTGGTGCGTCGTTGCAACGAATTGAGCCAAGAATTAGCCAAGAGCCAATCGGAATTGTCAGAAATCCAAGAGAAATACAAATCAGAGTTATCTAGCAAGGAGTCTGTACCCGATAATTCCGAACTGGTGGAAGAACTCAAGTCGCAATTGGAACAAGAGAAATCAAACCATGAAGAATACGTCAAGAGGTTGAACAATGATTACGAGCTGGTTATGATGGACAAGGAGACATTGGAGAGCAATGAGCATGCCATGTCCGAGCAAATCAAATCACTCCAAGAGCAACTGGAAAATGTCAAATCCTCCGACAAGTTGGTGGAACTCGAGAAAGAGATTGCCGAACTCAAGATGCTCAATACCGAGCAAGAGGAGAAGATTGCAGAGCTCGCTGCCGAGGAAGATGGTTATCTTGCCAAGATCGAAACACATATCACCAGAAGCAAAGAGTTGGAAAAGAAGAACAAAGAACTCGAAAAGAAATTGGCATCGATCGCCAACAATACTTCATTGTCTTCCTCACTCGACGGTAAACCAGTACTCGAAGATTCGACTAGCCACCACAACAATGTAAATAATATCCTTTCACCGACACAATCAACCAAACAACCAGTTCAACAAATCAACAAACTCTTTGTAAAGATTCCACCCGTCATTCAATTCAAGCGAAAAGCCAACGCCATCGTCAGTAACAATCAACAACATTCCAACGAAAACGAAAATGTTTTAAAGAAGAGTAGATCTTCTCCATAAAACAAATCAAATATATATTAAAACAAATTGTAAACTAATAATAAATAAAATAAATTTATATAAAACAATAAATTATTTGTTATTAAATATTTTTTTAAAAATGATATTTTATTCTTTTTTCTAAACATTGTTGGCACCAGCTTGTTCCAAGAATTTTTGTGGTCTTTGCATTCTGGCGGCAACAACTGTGAAGAAATCGGGTGGTTCCATACCATATGGAAGATCCATATCATCTCCTGGTTTACAACAAACAAAGAATGGAACAAACAAACAACATACACAGAATAATAAACTAAATAAAAAAAAATGGATTATTATTAATTAATAACGTTATTGAACTGAACAATGATTTGATTAGAACTTACCCTAAAACAATGAAAATTGGAATGAAAACTGATGCCATTGAATAACTTTTACCGTCGAGATGTGAAACTAACAATGCAATGAAAATTACCAGTGGTATCAAGAGGAAACAGTAACAGCACAAGAAGAAACTGTTGAGTGAAGACATATCTTTTTTGTGTACTTCATCGAGTTGGCTGTGTTTGGCGTCGGATTTCTGATCGGCAATGATAACGATGAACTTGATAAACAGTCCGACGAGCACTGGAATAGCGTTGATCCACCAACTCCAACCAACGACACCGTCGAGCTTCAACATCAAGAAGACAACGAACCACGCAAAGTGAAGATTGAACAACAATTGACGCACGATGAATCCCGGATATCCCAGGCCAAACGTTGTGTTGGTATTGAAATTGGGATCACCGTGATTGAAACGTTTCTTGTAGTTTGGATAGTAGATGCGTGGCATCGAACGCACCAAGTTCAGTGCGATTATGCAGTAGATCGGGATGAACACCTCACTCCAGAGCATGTGAGTGCGACCGTCCAAGTTGGCGGTCAACAGCCCCATAAAGACGACCAGTGCCGACAGCCTTATCAAATAGAACAAAACGTTGAGACTTCGTGTGGCAATGGTGACAATCACTGCAAATAAATAAATGACGATTCCAGCTATCCAAATCGGTGAAAACACACGCTCCCACGACCATGTTACATTTCCATTCGTTTTGAGCACCAAGAAAATCGGAACCAAAATGATGACACATACCAACAAAAACAATATACACAACAAAAACTTGGAGCCAGAAAGCATCATTCCTACTACCTCTGCACCTTCACCCAACACATCATCTTCAAATAATTTCAAACCATTCTCTCCATACTAAATTGATAAAGTTATATTAATTAGTATTTATTTGTTGGTGATATACTATAGCTATAATACTACTACTTACTTGATCATATATTTTTCTTTTCTTTTCATCCATTAAAACTTCATAGGCATCATGAATTTCTTTAAACTAAAAGATATAGATGGTATTAGTACGAATCATGATGGAATGAATAACTTGTAGATCGATTGAATCATACCATTTCAGCAGCGTTTGGGTCTGGATTTCTATCTGGATGATACTGTAGAGCAAGCTGTCTGTATGCTCGCTTAATTTCTTCGTTGGTTGCATTCGTTTCGATACCAAGCAATTGGTAATATCTAGTTGTATTGAAATTCATCGTGATGTTATTTTTCAACTTTTAAAAAACAAACTAGATATCTTTTTAATAATTATAAAAGTTGTAATAATTTACTATTAATATATATACTTGAAATGATCCTTTTTTTATAAATAAATAAAAAACACACACCACCACACAAATAAATTGATGATGAACTGAACTTTGTTTGATTGATTGATCGAAGCAAAACAAGTTTTAAAAACTTTTAATAATATGTTTGATAATTAGATATTTGACAATGTTTTTATATCTTGTGTGTGATGTAATTGTCATTGATCAAGGTTTTATTTAAAGTATTAGGTTATGTCTTGCATTACATTTTTAAAAAATGACGTTTTTTTATTCTCCCTCCAAAAAATAAAAATAAAAATAAAAACAAATCAAAGATTTTCAGACATATTCCATTATTTGAATTTTGATGAACCAAGTTTTTTTTTGTTTTTTTTCACCATAATAAACAGATAAATTATATTAGTTTTTACTTTTTGAAAAAAAAGAAAAATAATATACACTTATTCATTGTTAATAAGATTATCAATTGAAAATAGATCATGACTTAATAAGTTCATGTTTTACTATTAATGACGAAAAATAATATTACAAATATTTATTTCACTTCAACGCAACATCATTTTCGAATTCAAAATGAAAACTATGACAATAGAATATATGACAGTAATCAAGAGAATAATATGAAGTTGAGGATGAATAAATATAAAATTGTAAATTCTTTATTAATTAAATTAAAAAAACTGAAATAGTTTCATAGTTTCATTGAATTGCTTTTGACTTTCATCTTAGTTTAAACAAACCAACAAGTCAACAAACTCTTAATTTATTCATCCATAGCATTATGGACTGTATCAGACATCCTTGCTATACAAGAAACACACTTATTTAATGGTGAATCATACGAGCTCGAATCAAAACTTAACCAAAGTAAATACACACTTCATACAGATACAACCTTGGACAAACTGGAATAGACTGAACTGACATGTCTTCTTGCCAATAGTAGATTACTCTGACCCGTATGAAAGTGGAATCAACAATTTTTTTTATTTTGTATACAACATGACCAATCTTTAAATTAACTAAACAAAGTGGAATCCAGAATCAGAACAGTCTTGACAAAACAAAAATAAAAAAATTGCAAAAAAAATTCGAATTTTTAAAAATTTAACGACTATTTTTTTTTAATTTATATGCTAATTCAATTTAAACTATTTTTTGGTCCGTTCAAAGTAAAACGAAATAAAAACAAAAAGATATTATCATTTTTAATCAAATCTGTTTTTAATAAAACACACATCGTCAATCGCTCATTCATTGTAAAATATTGTATAGAAATAGATAAAGATAAAGATGTATCATCCATATTCAGGTACACCTAGAAGAGCTACTAGAGATACAACTGTCAGCTTGGGTTCATTGCAGCCAATAGAATCATTGAATCCCGACAATCTTAAAGAGCTATCAAAACATGATTTAACTGCATATCTTAGAGCTTATAGTATGTATTAATATTTAATCATATAGGTATAATAATATGTTAAAGTTTTAAAACTAATATATTTGATCGATGTATGCTATATTTTATTTTATTATTATTATTATTATAGATGTTCAACCAGGTGCATCTAAACCAGAGATGAAAAAACAGATGAGAACATTGATACATTCGATAAATAATAATACAGCGTTGCCAGCAAGTATAATGACACCACAACCGAAACCACAAGATTTGGCTAGTCTTACAGGTTTCAATCAGATGCAGACAGTTGCAACAGGTCAGCCTACATCGACAACACCAACACCTCTCACACCTCAGATGAATCCAATGATGCATATGAATATGAATATGAACATGAATATGAATATGAACATGAATATCAATCAACAAGCGATGCAGGTACCGGGTTCAATGCAATTCATGCAGGGTGCACCTATCAACCCGTATATGATGACACCGGGAATGTACTCGGCTCCACCACAGGTACCGGTGATGCCATACTTGACCACACCGGGCGGTTCGACACCGGCTTCGGCCACTCCACAATCGATTACTGCCGCACCGTCGCCAGCCATGACACCGTCAAAGGCGACGTCACTGTCGCCACCAGGCTCGCCAAGATCCAAGCAAGACAAGAAGGAACGTGGTGATGGTACGACCGGTCCCGACGAGCAAGATGTCTGCTCCGAGTGCACAAAGAAAGCAAACAAAGAGTGTAGCAACAGGCGTTGTCGTGGATGTTGTCTTCGTCACATGATTGACACCAAGGAGTTGTGTCTGGTTCACATCAAGGACGAGAGCAGACGTCCCCGTACCAAAGAGAATCCACACGCCGAAACCATACAAACGCTCATCCAACAGGCACAAGCACAGTTTCCAAACTTTTCCATCTCCACTTCGAACACCCCAACCGTTTCCACTCCGAATTTAGCGGGCACACCAGGTTTGGCAGGCATGCCCTCGGCCAGCATGGAACCGCTTAGTCTCGGTGTATCGCCAATACTCTCTGGCGTAAAGACACCGACCAAGATGAATATGCCAATTGCTATCCCACTCCACAACGTCGCAGTTCCAGTGGTACAACCGCAGCCCGCTGAGATTCCAGCGGTAGCACCGGCCGAGCCACCCAAACAAGAATACACCTCAACACACAAAGCACAATCACAATTCCAATTGGCATTCATCAATATTCAAGCAATGTACATGCAACAGATTGCCAGTCATCGTTTGGCATTGCCACGCGAAGACAAATATGCATTCTTCTCGTGTTTCAAATGCGACAAAGTCCTCTCAGTCAATGGTTCCAGTCTGTGGAAACATCTTCAAACCGATCATCCAAATGAATTGATTCCATTCCTCAAAGAAATGATTAATTCAGATAATAATATATTTAATGATAATCAAGGTAAAATTAATAAGCTAATGATTCAAATTGTTTATCATATACTAACTAGATTCATTCATTTTTTTATTACTATAGATATTTTTGTATTATCTAAATCAAAAGCAAAAGAAAGATTCGATGAAAGTTCAGAATGGTTGGAGGAATTGTTAACACCGTCGGCAGCAAATCAAATCAATGATAGTGCACATCACCAACAAAGAATCAAAAATCTAAAGGATTTCCAAAGAAAACTACAAACAATGATGAATCATTTCGAATCCTCACAATCAATCGATAACATCAAGAATGAATCAACCGTTTTCTACGATTTCTATGATAAATTATCAAGAACAAAAACATTGGAAGTAAGTATTCTAAAGTTATAAAAAAAATAATCAAATACTAAACTTCTACAACTCTCTCTCTCTCTCTCTCTCTCTCTTTACTCATTTATTAGGAATTAGAAGATATAGGTAAACAATTTGAAAAATTAAAAGATATACATTTGGTCGAACATAAATCTATTTTGACAGATCTAACACAACCACAGAGTAGCACAATTCTTTCTACAGTCGCACCATCAGATGAACCAACCTATAAATTTATTGAAAATGACAAATCATTTACAATCCAAAGTTTATAAAAATAATAATAATAAAATATTATAATTTAATATAGATGTTTTTTATTTAATTTTACAATAATAGTTTGATTGATAATGATAATAATGTAACAATCAAAGCATTTCCTATTAGTTTGGAGGAGGAAGATGATGTTCTTGTTGTTGGATTTCCAGTGGCGGTGGATGTGTTTGAAGATACAGCACCTGTTCCAGTAGTAGTTGCTGAACCAGTGGTAGTGGTGGTTGTTGTGGTGGTGGTGGTGGTGGTGGTCGAGTTAGAGCTACCAGTTGTCGAGGTTGTTGAGTTTGAACTTCCTGTAGTTGATCCATCGGTAGTTGTTGAAGTACTACTATTTGATCCACCACCTGTATTTGAATCTGTAGTATTTGTATTTCCAGTTGAATTGGTTGTGTCTACTTCAGTTATAGTATCACTTTCAGATCTAACTGAATTAGCAAAAGTAATACATAATAGCAATACTGCAATAGTTAAAAATAATAATTTATTCATTTTTTTTATTTTATTATATAAATATATATGATTTATAAGTGTGAATTGGATTGTGGTCAAATGATTGATCTAAAAAATGTTTGATTTACTCTTTGGTAATAGTTATTTTTTTTGGGTATTTTTGATCAAACCAATTCAGATTTTGGAAATCGAAAAATATGAAATCATGGCTGTATTCAGAGAAAATGGGTGATCAATCAGATTATTTTAAAAAGAACAAACGATTATTGATTTTGGAGATCAGATTTTTTTTTTTTTTTTTTTTTTTTTTTGGAACCATCTTGATTCTTTTTTGTCATTATCATTGTTTTTTTTGTTTAAATAATATTAATTAATTTTTTATTTAATTTTCCATATCATTTTGAATCTGTTGTTTTTGTTGTTGTTGTGCTTGTAACTCTTCTTCTGACAATGGTAAAACCCATTTAGGATAGACACGCTTATATAAATTGAGACAAACAGTATCGGATTGATCCATCTTTCCGTCAAACAGACATTTCATTCTACCGTGAGTACCGAGTGATTCCTTGATGTGACCGACACGACCATACTTGGTGTAGAGTTCGATCTTCTTGAACCATTCGATATCCTCGGGATAGTAAAACATATCGCGTATAGTAACAAACTTTCTACTCAGTGCTTTGGCAATGCGACCAGTCAAAATAATACGTTTACATATGATTCTATCGGGATTGACACTCAAGAGGTGACCGGTGGCGACCAGCTGCTCGCAACTAGAGTCACGGAAAACCAACAGTGGTGCAGGGGGGAATGTGATTGGCGCGAAAATCGTTGCCACTGAATTACGACCGGCAAACAAATAGGGTTCGTATTTCTGTTTATCGCAATTCGGTGCACTGATACTATAGATTGGATTGGCAGAGTACTTTCTGAAACCAATGTGGAAGAATACCTCTTCTTTCGACTTGATGACGTCGTCGTGAGAACGATGCTTCTCGACGGCAAAGTGGAGAACGGAAACCTTGTTTTCATAACGCATCAAACCCGAAAGAATCATTGGTTCTCTGAGGACGGGTGGTGCTGTGGTGATTGGACCGTTCACCAGAGTGATACGCACGTAGGTGTCTGGCTTGACTGGAGCTTTGTCTTGGATGGCAATCGATGCTTTCATCGATTGGTTGAACGAGTGGAATTGGAAGATACGTGCATAGTCGATCGGTAGGTTCTCCATGGCGTCCCAAGGCGATGAACGGAAACTCTTTAAACCACGGTACTTTGAGTATCTAACACGACATGGGAAGTTCTCTGGTGTTTGAACTTCATCTGGGAATTCAAATTCGTTTTGTTCTCTATCTTTTTCATCTACTTCGTCTTCGGATTCATCGTCGTCATCGTCGTCGCCATCCTTCATATCGTCTTGTTCCTCTTGTTCTTTAATTTTTTCGATATCCTCTTTGGTTTTTCCTTTCCATTTATCTTGATTTAATTCCAATTCTTCCAATTCCTCTTCTTCACCCGCTTCTTGAGCGGCAGTTTCTTCTTCTTCGTCACCTTCGGCCATTCCATCTTCATCGGCAGCATTCTCCATCATTTCATCATCCATAAATCCTTCACCGTCGTCACCTTCACCTTCTTCATCGAGATACCACGATGCCTGATAGCTAGAGGTACCCTTTGGCACCAGAACCTTCTTTCTATTGGCAGCCATTGCAATTTCCTCGTTGGTTGGCATAGTCTGTTCCTGTTCGTTGTAATCTGGAATGTTGTGAGTTTGCAAAGTATCACGCTCCTCTGGTGTCGATTGATCCAATATCTTTAATTCAGTATCCATTGCCATCGTTTGTCCAGCTGCTTTTGCACGTTTGTATTTGGTTTCGTGCGGATCGCATCCCTCTTCGATCTTGGCAATCTGGAAGTCACCGACACCCGGCAAATGAACGACTTGTTTCGCCGACATGTTATTTCCACGAACGAATCCAGTCACCACCAGATTACCACTGACGTCATTCTCCATCTTCTCCACCAGTAGATAGGGACGGTAGTTACGCCATTGGATATCATTGATATGCATCGATTCCACAAAACGAAGAATCTGGGCGTGCTCCTCTGGTGTGTCGGCAGCCAACACCTTTGGTTCCTCAGGGAAATGGAAATGATAGAGAGTGGTAATCTGTTTCTTCAGATCGTTCTTCTTTTTCTGTGGAACCTTATCGAGGTTCTGTAGGAGGAGCATCGACGATGGAACACCCTGTGCTTTGATCACCGAACATGTTCTCTCTGCAACTTGGTCGAGCGTTCCAGTAAAAGTCTGAGCATCGATAGCAAACAATACGATATCCGCCAACTTGATATAGTCCATTAAACGATTGACCTCTCTAAAGTCACATGCCATCACACTGGCTCTAACCTTTGAAGTCAAACAAACGGTATTCAAGAATGCTGATTGTTCCTCTGCACTCAATTCGAATTTCGACAATAAATTTGATTTCAATTTATTCATATTAACTCCTTCCGATAATGAAATGATACACTAACAAACAATGAATTAGTTATTAATTTACTAAATAATCATAATTATAATGATAGTTGATCTATACTTACAACAATTCTTGGAGCAGCCAATTCAGGTAATCCAAGTCTTGCTCTTTCTATTGATTCTGCACGTTTCGATTGCGATTGTTTAAGTTGTTTTTGACGCATTTCATGTTGACGAGAGTTGACAACAGCCGATGCTTTGACGGATTGTCTTACACCGCTGTTTGTCTCTACCTTACCGGCAGCTCTTCTCTTGATAGTTCCTTTACTGTCATGTCTACCTGCTTTGAATGATTTGTTTTGTTGTTTCAATGGACCTGATCTATGTCTGTGTTCCATTGTTTTGTTTAGCTTCTATCTTTTCTAATAATAATATTAAAATAAATCAACAAACAAAATCAATCAATAAAAAATAATTTGAAATTAAAATAAAATTATTATTTTCGTTCGTTTTTTTTTTTTGTTGTTTTTATGAAAAATTTAATAGAACTTAAAAATAAATTTGTTTTTACTCATATACCTAAAGAAATAAAAAATGAGTTTTTGGTTAAAATTTTTAAAATAAAATAGATTAAAAATAAAATTACTTAAACGAATTAAAAATAAAAGTTTTGGAAAATTTTACATCAAAGGCTCCATAGCATAGTTGGTTATTGTACTTCCCTAGTAAAGGAAGAGTTAGGAAGGGGTCACGAGTTCGAATCTCGTTGGAGCCTTTATAAAACTCATTAACCGCATGCGGTAAGATAAGAAAAAAAAATTCAATTTTTTGTGTTTGTTTGCTTAAATTTTTCAATCATCTGTCATAGAAGTGGTTGGAAAATGTGGTATTTTTCAAATTTAGGAGTGTTAAAATCATTTTTTACCTATATAAAAGTAAAATGATAAAAATTCTAAGGTTTTAAACCTAGTGAAAGTTGGTGATTGGAAACCAAGTTTGACTCCACAACTCTTTTTACTTACCTTATTAATATTGATTTTTAGGTAAACATATAGGATAATGCTAAAATATAGTTTGAAATTTTAAAATATTTTATTAATTTTATTATAGTTTCTCAAAATAAACAATAGAAAGAGAAACTCTACTACATAATACTGTATTATGAGATTTATTTTTTTTATATTTATTTATTAATATATTGATCCAATAAATCCAATGAATCAAATGATAGTGGATATTTACTATACAATTGTCTTTTGGTTTCAATAAGTTGATCTTTTGATAATTCTAACTTATTTAACCACCATTCTAGAAGTTCAAATTGATTCAATTGAATTAGATGAGAGATATAGTCTTCGGTTCTAATCGAATGAATATCAACTTGACTTTTATTTTCCAATATCCATTGAACCATAGTAGTGTAATCTTCTTTATAGATATTCTCATTTAACGCTAATATATCTTCAGTACATCCTTCAGTTCGATTATGATGCAACCATTGTATGAGATGCATGTGTCCTTGAGAAGCAGCTATATTCATTATCTCTGATGTAAAATAGAATATGTTGTCTTCACCATTTCTCTCGTGTAAATATTTCACGATTTCGAGGTGTCCTTTGGCAACCACTTTCCTGAGAATAGTTGGATCTTTCTCCAATGGTTTGTGATTTGTATTCTCAATAAACCATTCAAGTACTTGGCGATTTCCAGTCAAAGCAATATCTGATGTAATAGAAAATGAATGACCTTCAGTTCGATTCTTTAGCAACCATTTCGCCATTTCTAAATGTCCGGATTTCAAAGCACCATCCATTGCTTCCTTTGTACAACCTTCAGTTCGATTCTCATGTAGCCATTTAACTGCTTCCAGCTGATTTCTTTGTGCTGCTTCATCCATGGCTGCGGTGGAGCATCCTGCTTTAAAATTCTCATCCAACCATTTCAACATATCCATGTATCCGAAAATAGCTGCTTTATCCATCTCGTAATGAGTGCATTTCAATAAAGATTTTGAATGTAAATATTTCAAAACTTTGAGATTTCCGAAATATGCTGGATAATATGATTGATTCATATGAAACTCTGTATGTTGCATCAACAATTCAAAGATTTCAAAGGTATCTTCACACTCCATCGCTGACAACAAATAGTTTGATCCATTTTCGTAATGATCTTTATGATTTTCAAACAAGTATCTTAGGAATTCGAGTTGGTTACCTGCAATTGCATATCCAAATACCATGGAACCTTGGAAATCTTTCGGTCTATAGTTCAACAACCATTTGAAGATTTCGATATTGCCAGCGAATGCAGCGTTATTGAATGCTTCTCGCAAACTACGATCATCGAAGCGATCGTCAAACTCATTCGGATCACTTGCTTCCAGTTTGTCTACCAACATTTTCAATAGGTCTAGATCATTTGATTGCGGTACATCGTTGATAGCTCTAACGAAATCCCATTTGTAATTGGCGAATCTCTCGAATAGATACTGAATGATTTCCAGTCTACCAATTCTCGATGCGGTGATCAACAGAGTTTTGAGCATAGCATCACCAAGTCCAATTTTCAATCTTCGATCGATTCGAAAGTATTCTAAAATATATTTGAATATCTCTAGATTTCCACCTCTGATTACACGTTCGAAAAGCCTAATATAGTTGAGTCGAACATGTTTGATTCTATTGGAAAGACAAGCTTTAATCTCATTGAAATAGCCGTGTGATGCCAAGATATACGGATCTTCAATGATTTCTTGCCATTTATATAATTTCTGATTTGACTGTGTAAGTCTAGACAATATGAAATTAACTTTATTAAATATTAATTTATTCAATACTTTATTATTAAATACCGATTTAAATAATGAATTATTCATTTTAAAATTTGTTTTGCAAATGAATAATTCTTTATTTAAAATTTTTAAAATTTAATAGTGAAGTTAATGATCAATTAAATCAAAAGTTGTGGTTGTGGGGGTTTTTCAAAAAATAGTAACATTAAATTGATACAACTCAAATTTTTATTAAAATGAAAGTAATATCAATATTTGAAATAAACATTGATGTGTGTTGAACGTCTCAAACATGATTTGAGTCATCTTCTCACGTTTGGTCTTTGGATTGAGCGGGGAATCTGTCAAAAGAAAAGTGTGCTCATTTGGGAGTTCTTTGTAGAAAGTGTGATACTAGATCTTCTCCATATCATCCAAGTTGGTGATGATACTTTTTTCAATTGGGTAGTTGACTGACAATACTTCCAGTATTATTAAATATAGTAAAATTAACTAATTTTAATTTATTCAAGAACAGTCTATAATTAAAAATTTATAAAATTAAAACATTAAGGATTAATGTTTGAAAGAATATCTATATAAAGGTTTACAAAGACCCAGTATTGTCTATATCACTTAAATATTGATTGTATTTTCATTAAATTTCAAGTATAAATAGTTTAATTAATAATAATTGATAAATCATTAAATTATAATAATAAAACAAAATGAATATTATAAAGATAAATTCAATCTATTTATTTGTATTGTTGTTGGTTGGTGTTGTCTTTTGCAATGTTGAAGAACGTGTAAGAATCTGTGTTGAAGTCGATTGTCCAGATGTAGGAGATTGTCCAATGAGAGAAGCTTGCAATGACAACAACATATGTACTCTCGATTCTTGTAATGGTGGTCGTTGTGTTTATTCACCAATTCACTGTGACGATAATGATGACTGTACCACTGACAGCTGTTCTCCAACACAAGGATGTGTTCACACTCCAATCTCGTGTGATGATGGTGATCAATGTACATCAGATAGCTGTAGTTCCAATGGCTGTGTTCACACTCCAATCTCTTGTGATGATGGTAATCAATGTACATCAGATAGCTGTAGTTCCAATGGATGTGTTCATACTCCAATCACTTGTGATGATGGAAATGCCTGCACTGATGATAGCTGTAATCCAATGACTGGTTGTGTAGCTACTCCAATCTCTTGTGACGACAATAATCAATGTACATCGGACATTTGCAATCCATTTACAGGCTGTGTAGCTACTCCAATCTCATGTGATGATGGAAATGCTTGTACCAACGATGGTTGTGATGTAAACACTGGCTGCACATATCAAACCGTTGTATGTAACTCTGTCTCCAACAAATGTATCTCGAATGAATGTGATATCTACAAAGGTTGTGTTGGTTCGACTATCAACTGTGACGATGGTAATGCTTGTACATCAGACAGTTGCAATCCATCGACGGGCTGTATTTTCACACCGACCTCTTGTGATGATGGCAATCAATGTACCAACGATAGCTGCGACCGTGTCAAAGGCTGTTTGAACATCAACATCCCAGGCTGTGGAGTTGCAGTACCAAGACCAACTGTTTGTCCAACTCGTCCAGCATGTCCATGCACAGAAACTTGTTGTGGTGCTCACTGTTGTCCAAATATTGATATCGACATCGATGTTGATCTTTGTTCTAATAATTAGTATTTGTCACAATTAAATATCTTATATCTTATCTTCTTTTAATAGTGTTATATAATAAAAAAGTGATCAAATATTCAAATTGATTGATATTTTGAAAAAAAAAAAAAAGTTAAATTTAAAAAAATCAAATTTAACTGATGTGCAGCAATCTGATCTTACAACATTCACAAAAATGAATAGATTATTTGTTTCAAATTTATTAAAGATTAATAAATCTATAACTTCTTTTAATTATAAACCAATAGTTAGAACATCATTGTTTATATCATCACCCTTAAAGAATAAAACGACAATTTTCAATGTTTGTAATAATAATAATACTACTATAGTTAAAAATTATTGTAGTAGTAGTGACAGTAATAATGATAATGTTATAAAATCAAAGAATAAATACTCATTCGACGAATTATTGGATGGTGGTAGATGTGGTGTGGAAGATCCACGTATCATGGATGCCTTCTATAAGATCATGGAATTGGAGTTCCACGAGGATTTCGACGAGGCGATTTCAATAGGTGAACGAATGGTAGACAGATTTCCAAATTCATTCGATGCACACGTTACACTGGCACGGCTATTGTTGGATCACAAGAACGACGCTGCCTCTGCTTATGACCTGGCGAAGCATGCATTCGACCAAGGATTAGAGCCGTTTCATCACGCTTGTTGGACCGATGCTCTGGAGCTGATGGGTCGCTCGTTGCAAACAATGAATCGCCGACATGAAGCGATTGTTGTCTACCAAGAGTTGCTCGATTACTGTGAGCGTGAGTACGAAACGTCTGGTATCGGTCAATTGCCACTGCTGGTGCGTCGTGACATCTACAAAACGATGGCATTGGATTGGGAGAAGAATCGAGATAGTCTTCTATCGAGTCAGAGAGTACTCAAGAGCATCGAGTCGAGTGACGCAAGACAATGGGAACCAATGGATGCAATGTTTCTCGGTGTCTGTGAATTCCACTTGGGAAACAAAGAGGAATCACTTAAATATCTGAATAAAGGGCTCGACAACTATATAAAAGATGACTACGATTCGCAAACCGATCAAGAATTAGCAATATATAATACCGCACAAAAGTTAAGAGATGAACTTCAGTCAAAATGATTAAAATAAATCGATTATTATGTTTTTTTTTATAATCATGTAGAATAAATCAAATAAAACAACGTGGATCTTGATCAACATCAATATTCGCCCAATAAGTTCCCTCTTCGAGCAACGACGTTGTGTTTATCAAAAATCAAAATAAAAAAAATGAAAAATTACTTTTAGTTTAGAAAAATCCACAGAAACATCACAAAATTATGTAATAATTTGAAAATTGATAAACGATTTTTAAAATTATCAGAACTCGCGATAATTGTCTTGGATGGGTTGCAACTGATTAATCTTGTTATTTAATTTAGAATTATAACTGATAACAATAATAATAATGTTCTAACTTAGATAAAAAGAATAGAATATATGATTGACAGAATTATAGAACAAGAATTCCAAAATAAATATATTAAATTAATATATATATTTATATATGAATAAGAAAGTCAAAACAATCTTTATACATACCCCTACAACAACATAGATCCCTGACACAAATATAAATATTTACATATTATGTATGTATATGTCGTTTATTTGAAACCACACACACACACACACAAACACACAAAAATATATACCAAAAACCCCAACAATATTACAACAACACAGTATTCTTATAATATTTACAGAGTACTATGTTGCAATAAGATTGGCGCTATTTATTAGTTTGCCAATATTACTATAAATATTACATTATTAAATACATACACCATTAAAAACAAACAATAAAAGCAAACATTATAAAAAAAAGAAATAAATAACAATAATAAGTTGTAGAGGACGAGGTTTTTTCATATTCATTATTTAATGTAGTGAATAAAAGTCAAGTGAACTCAAAGTAATATCAATACCATTTTTATTATTTACATTGTAATTTTATTATTATTTTTTGTTGTTGTTGGTGTCATAACAACAACAACAGCAATGGATAGTTTTTGAATGTGTCATCATTCTCCTATTCATAAACAAACACACTCTTTTCTTCACTCTAAATAATAATAATAATATAATAATAAGATATTAATATATCTATAATCTTGTATTAACAAAATTGCTTTTTATTATTAATTTATAGATAGTTAGTTCTTTCTTCAATTTGTAATAACAGTTTATATATATTTAGATTTGATTGACTATTTTTTTAACAGCAATCACAGACAAGTGAATTTAATAATCAATCAAAATCAAAATGAAGATTATATATGCAACTATATTCTTCTTTTATCACTATGCACTCTATTTTGCATTCTCTTTTTTACACATCTTTAATTTCGCATGGAAACTTTTGTTATCCATAAAATCAACTGTAACAAATAGAGTAAGTCATCAGCAACACTGTTTAAACAACGCTTCAAAAAAAAAAACTAATATCTAATATATATAAAAAAAGGTACCAGTTGAAGATAGAAAGAGAGTAGTTATTGTTGGTGGTGGATTCTCAGGTAGTATGGTTGCCCAAAAGCTAGAGAATGACTTCCAAGTGACTCTTGTCGATACTAAAGATTACTTTGAGTTCACTCCTAGCATTTTAAGAACTATTGTAGAACCGACTCACATTAGAAGTATTCAAGTGCTACACTCTCACTACCTGAAGCATACAAACGTTGTTCAGAAGGAGGTGATTGGTGTACACCCAAGAGAAGTCGTAACCGACGACCGTACCATTCCCTTTGATTATTTGGTGATCAACTCTGGCAGTAGCTACAACTCGCCGTTCAAGGAGTCATCGGTGGTGGCATCGGCGCGTGCCAACACACTGCGTGAGAACTACTATCACATTAGAAAACTCAAAAAGATATTGATCATCGGTGGTGGTATCGTCGGAGTGGAGCTTGCCGCCGAGATTGTCAGCCACTTTAAGGGCAAGGAGGTCACTCTGATCCATTCACAATCAAAGTTGATGAATCGTTTCCCAAAGAAGGCTATTAAGTACTCCGAACAGTATCTAGTCGATCATGGTGTGCGAATTGTACACAACGAGCGTGTCATTGCTCACAAGGGCAATATCTTTATCACCGATCAAGGCAGTGAGATCATTGCCGACCAGGCATTCTTGTGTACCGGTATCGTACCGAATTCCGACATGATGAAAGCCAGCTTCCCCGATGTAATCTCAGAGTTTGGTTACATAAAGAGCAATGAATATCTTCAGATGGCTGGAACCACCTTCTATCGTAATATATATGTTTCCGGTGATGTTCTCAATGTACGTGAAGAAAAGTTGGCACAGACAGCCGAGAATACAGCGGATATAGTCGTCAACAATATTTATGCAATGGAAGCACGAAAAGAATCATCCATGAAACAGTATAAATCGTTCTCAAAGCCAATCCTGATTAGTTTAGGAAAATATTGTGCCATCTTTGTTTACAAAGATTGGGTTTTCACCGGTTTCATACCTGCTCTTTTGAAAGAGGCAGTCGAATGGAAAACAATGATTAGATATTGGTAACCATTTTTTTTTCTTAAAAAACTTGTTAAAAATAATAAAAATTATCTTTTTTATTATTATTTGTATAAATATTCTTTTTTCACATTAATTATTTATATTACAAATCTGTTGGATTATCATTATTAGTTGGTTTTAAAATTACAATGTTTATTGTTTTTTTTTTTTTAACTTTTTTAACTGATAGTTCTTAATTTAATGGATCTAATTGAAATGTTGTTCTTTTTGATGATCCAAAGCGAAAGGCATATAATGGCAGCGGCTCCTACTACGCTACAAACAACTATTACCGGTATTTTCCATGTTTGTTTTTCAGAGCAGTGAGAATCTGTTGTCGAGACGAGTGAACCAAAGTTTGGATCGATAATGGTATTCTTTTCAAAGTGTGGAACATTAATCGATACCAAGAGGTTGAACTTCTCGCTATTCAATTCTTTGTAGATTGGATCGGTAGGATCGATAACAGATACCAAACTGTTGACAATATTGGAGTCTACATAAAGACGATCGGCAAATCTTGCAGTCAGAGAGGTATCACCTGCATTCATTTGGAGATAGGAAAGTGATTGACCGTTACCTCCATTGTCTTCAGCGGTTGTCTGGTGAGTCTGGCATCCACTGGTTGTCTCTGAGTCTGTCATTGAATTATAGATAACCTGTAGAGTGTTGAGACGTGAGGCAAATGTCCAGTTGGATACTGTAATAACATATTTAATACTGTTGGCTAGAATGTCGATGGTTTCACCGGCAAACACTACACTTGTACTCTCATTGTAAATGGTCATCTGGATACTGAGAATGACCGATTCATTATGGAAGCTACCAACGATATTCATTGTTTGGTCTACTTGATTTCTATTGGTCCAAACAATGTTCTTGAGAGCGAGAGTTTTCACTGGCGCTAGAGTTTCATCCAACTCACGAAGGAATACCAATTGCACCGAGAAATTATATCCGTTTCCAATGATGGTTGTACCACCGTTAGGATCGAGAACCGGTCGATTAACACCGATCTCACCAGTATTATTGCACACCGGTTGGATATATGGTTGATTACATGAACACAAACCAGTTTCTCTATTACAAGTACCATGACCATCACATACACCATTCACAGTGGCTGGACATTCCTTTTGAGTTTTGTAATAGAAAACACCACTTGTTGTCGATAGTGTATCGGATGTCACTGTTACATTGATACCGGCATTTGTTGGTGCGGTAACATTTGCGGAGAAGTAACAATTGATTGCAGTACTATTGATAAACTTCAAATGGTCACATGGAATGTTTCCAATGGAGGCAGATAATCCTTTCTCTGCAAAATCACTACCAACAATTGTAGTATTTCCACCGGTTCCAAATATTAAAGGTGGTGCTGTGTATAAGATAGTTGGGCTTAAATAACTATGATAATTTTCTATCCAAATGACTCCCCATGTTATTTTTAATGCATAAGAACCTGATCCTGGTGGCTTTTTTAATTGAATAAAATATTAATAATCAAATAGCTATTATTATTATGGTTATTACTTTACTTACCAATAAACAAGTAATTTGATAAGGATATTTAGATGAAATCTGGGTACATGACAACTTTGTATATACATTTCCAACACCCATTTCAATAGATGTATCCAAACTACTACCTGTAAAGTTAAGTGGATTAAGGTAATTTCCAGTTATTGTGAAACTACCACCTAAAACAGATGGATGAGTTGGTTGAATGCTTTCAATGTTTGGAATGAGATTGATGCTAAATGCAGTAGAATTTACTCCTCCAGATTCAACAGCGACGAAATCATTGACTGCATTTACTGGTAATTCGAAAACCAATATGGTAGTGGTACCAGATGTTGGTTTTATGGCTTGACCATTAAAGTAAATAGTATTGGACTGAGTAATATTATCAAAGTTTCCACCAGTCAAGGTCATCGATGAAACACTTTGTCTTGCCGATGAAATAAAAGGTTGGAATACCACTAAAACAAAGTTATTCGATTGAGATCTATCACCGACGGTAAGATAGATAGTGTGATTTCCTGTTGCAAGTGGAGGGATGGTTGCAACGATTTGTCTATGATTTACAGTAATCGAGAATTGGGTGATGGGTACTGAATCAACATATATTTTAATAATTGAGGAATTGGTGTAAAAGTTGGAACCATCGATTGTAATTTTACCACCCAAAGGAGAAACAGGAGTAACACTGGAAATTGTGGGATTATCATAGTAGAAAGAAATGGGTGTCTCTATTCTCTGGCCATCAATAAGAAAATAGGTGATAAAAGTACCACCATAGTAAGGTGGAACTGTGAGAGAGATCGTAGTTGTATCCAAAAATATTGGACGAGTAATTGTCAAGTTACTCGATGGATAACTGGCTGGGAAATTGGATGTAACGCAATCGTAGGTACTGAAATAGTGTCCACATCCATTGGCGGTGAGCTTAAAACTAGCAATACCTCCTTCAGTACTGAAGGCGTTTGTGGTTGATACGGAGTCAAACGTTGGTAGTGCACCTCCATATTGCATAATTGAAGCATATCCAGTGGTCTCTGGCTGTGGTACTATGCTGAGAGTGGGCGACTCTACGTTCATGATAAATGGTGGAGTTCCAGCATAGGTAGAAATTCCACCGTATATTGTAATTGGATTGGTAGTACCGTATGCATAAATCCTGCCTCCTGAAAATGTGGCACCAATCCACAGATTCCAACCAACACTTCCTGCAAGATTCAAAGGAACAGTTTTAAAGAATCTTCCCATTATATCACCGTCGTTTGGTGGATAGTATGGTGCGGCTGGATTTTTGGCTGCCGTTGATCTTGCGGTATAGACATTAAGGTAATTTTGATAGGTAACTGCTGAAAGTGTAGCACTTATGAATCCTTTTTTTGTAACATCATCTATTGAAATGCATAAAATAAAAAGTTATTAGTTATAAATGAAATGTTAAAAGTAAAACATAAACTTACAATATCCAATTGTTTTGTATGTAACAAAAGCACCATTTAAGCTAATACCAAGTGGTAAGAGTCGATTGCTCACAGTAATATCATCCCCCAATGAACAAGTGATAACGTTTTGTGAAACTAAAATAACATTGGAACAGGTCTTTCCATTTGCATAGGTAACTTGAATGTCTTGGCCTCTAGATCCAAAATTCTGTCCTACCAGAGTGATCAATTGATTAGCAGAATAAGATGGATAGACAACATCGACCAATGGGAATCGGTAGTTAAAGGTATAGGTTGAACCATTAACGTTTCCAAGATTGAATGTATAGACACCAGGTGTAGCTGAAGTGAATTTATAGGTGGCGTTGGAATTACTGAAATCGGAAAGTGTGGCAGTGAATTCTTGGTTGAGGTAATTCAACAGGTTGATTGAGCCTGGTGGAGTACCGACATATTTCGATAAAACGAATAGATTGGAATTGAGTGGATTGGTTCCTGGTTGCAAGAGGTATGGTTCTTCCATCCCACCATACTCACAGATATAGGTTTTGGTGAGTGCACAGGAATCGAGATCCCATAGAATTTTACCTGAAGCGTCAGATCCAATAGTATTAATACAATTATCGTTAAGATTGAGATTAGGTTCATTTCCTCTCCATGGTGTATAGGAATAGGATCTATCGTTGATGAAATCATAGATTACGGTACCAGCTTCAGGACCAGAATCAAAAGCAAACGTTCCGTTCACTCCATATCCTGAAATCCACGGACGATCTGTATTAGGAAATAGATTTTTTGATGTAAAAAACTCCCTATATATTAAATATAAGTGATTAGCGGTATGTAAATTTAATTTCTAGCTAAATGCTTAACATACCATTCTTGTTTACTTGAAAAGGTTGCCAAATAACCTTTTCTACCTTCAAATGTTCTACTTGAGCATGCTTGGATGGAAACCGATTTGGCAACCGCCGTGGCAATATATTCATAGAAATGTCCAGTTCCAGGGTTGAAAATCACCACACCACCCACAAAACTGGTCTGTGGTAAAACAACGATCAAACCTATCAACAAAAACAAACTATAAAACCAATTCATTTTTAAAAAAACATAATAATATTAAATAATACTGAGTGAAACGATCGATCTTTAGGATCCTAAAGAATAAATAAATAAATAAATAAATATTATAATACAATGGTAATTAATAATCTTTTTAGATAATAATAATAAGATAATATATAAATAATGTAGATTTATTTAAAAATTGGGAAGTTTGTTATTTTGTGTGAATTGTGTTTTTGGTACTCAATGCATATAAAAGTGATTCTCTTAATCTATTATATTGGGCATACCAAAATCGATAAAAATGGCTTTTTTAACAATTAAATCAATAAATTTAAATTTCACAAAATAAAATTGAAAAAAAATCCATAGACCAATAGTGATCAGTGCCCCAATCAACTCCAATGCGACATCTTTTGCAACGATTTTTTTGTTTTTATTAAAATCTAAGAAAAATGTGTTTTTTACTTTTTGATAGATTTTTAAATCAAACCGGAGCTCGGAATCCTACAAAAAAAAAATATAAAAAATCTAAATAATTTTTTTGAAAAATATTATCATGAAATTTATTCAAAAATTAAAAAAAATCAATAATCCAAAAAAAAGAATATTTTTATATTAACATAATTACTTAAATTCAAGAATATTAAGTATTATTTGTTTCTTACTTTTAAATACAAATATTAAATTGAATTTAATAATCTATTTCTTTGTTGTGTGTCATCTTCAGATCCACTAGGAAATCGATCTTGTCCAAAATTAAATTATTTTTATTTTTATTTTTTATTTTTACACGACGACTAAATGATAAATTTTTTAGAGAATGACAACTTCAATGTTCTAGAACATAAATAAACACAATTACAACTTTCGTTTGGGTAGACAACTGCTATTTAATTTATAATAAAATAAAAACAAAAATTGTTTATTATTACGTTTGTTTGTGTTGAATCATCAAATTGAATTATTTTAGATTAGGAACAGAAATAGTGATAGTAATATAAAGATGAAGACATCACAAGGTAATATTACTATACCAGATACAAAAACAACAACAACTGTCGATCATGAATGTTGTATGATTGGAGGAGGAACAAGTAACTATAGTTCAGAGCCTATCACAGATTTACATAAGGATGCAAATTGTATCGAGGATTTAGATAGATTGCTTCAATCCAGCGACAAAGTAATCCTATTTATCTCTGCTAAATGGTGTTCTCCTTGTCGTATTCTTTCACCAATCTTTGGTGCACTCTCTGAAGATACGAGTTATAAAGATATTTTATTCATAAAAACCGATGCAGATCTCAATCCTGTATGTAAAGTTAATATAATCATTTAGATTTAGTCGGTTTTCTTACTAACTAGCTAATATCTTTTAATTTTAAACAGGATCATCCAATCGTTAAAGAAACACCAGGTGTACCTTCATTCATAACTTACTACAAACAAGTGGAGTTAGATAGATTCAGTGGTAGAGATCATCTTGAATTGAAAAGAGTTTTAGATAGATTATCAACAAAGACACAATTTATATTTTAATAAGTCAATTAATAATATATAATATAGTAATATAATAATAGTAATATCTTTTTTTATAGTAATTATTATTCTAAATCAATTCTTATAATATAATAATAAGAATTAGAATAATAATGAAATTATTATTTTATTTATTGTTTAGAGTTCAATTGTTGTTGTGAATACTCCCAAATAACTATGGATGCACTAACATGTACATTTAGAGATCTTGTTACTCCAAATTGTGGAATTTCAATACACTAAATAATAATAATAATAAATAAATAAATAATAAACAATTGTAAATAAAATTTGTAAATAGTTTTGAATAAGTTAGTTAGATATTTTCATTTTTTTTTAATTGTATTAAATAAACACTTACATAATCAACTAATTCCAAGTATTCAGCTGGTATACCATTTTGTTCTTGACCTAAAAGTAATAGACATTTCTGTGGGAATTGGAAGGTTGCTAGATTCTTACTCTGGCTGGTCTGTTCGACACCGAGAATAGAGTAACCTTTGGCTTTCTTTGCTTTCAGGTAGCTTGTCAGGTTCTGACGATTGACCTCGGTGATTGGTACCCATTTGTCAGCGGCAACACTCACACGTTGGAACTGAGGATCATTCAACAACTTGATATTTGGAATAGCAACTTCTTCGGCATTGAAGATCTCACTAGTTCTAATAAGACCAGCAACGTTCGGTGTATTCTCTATGAATGTACCAACAATAATCATTTGTTGTCTTGGTGGACGTATATTATTATTGTTATTAGTTGAATTACTACTACTATTGTTGTTGTTGTTGTTATCTACTAATTCTTCTAATGATGCCATTGATTGTTCCCATGGAATGATTCTCTTTTGGAAATCCTCAATTTCAATATCGTCACTCTTTGAAACAATATCTGCACCATCTTGTTGTGTTGTATTAGAAGTTGTTGTTGTTGTTGATGATTGTTGTTGATGTAATCTAGATTGAAATTGTGATTGGAAATCTTTAATGAGTCGTTTGGCAACGTCTAATAATGACATTGGTATAACTGATTCGTCGAGTGCCAAACCTTGAGATCCGTCGTCTTCATCCTCTTTGTTTTCAGTGGATGAACCCGATGCACCAGTATCCTCTTCATTGTCATCCTGAGCAATAACACTGGTAACATCGTTTGCTGTGAATATATTCGAGGGTAATGACTGTTTGATTGGATCATCGTTTTGAATAAACAACGATTGTTTCTCTCTCAAACGTTTCTGTAGATTATTATTATCCAAATAATGATACATAGATTGTAATATTTCATTTTGATTCAATTGTTCCAAGATTTTATATTCTAATTGTATTAATAGTATTGTTATTTAGTTAATTTAGTTGACATTTTGTTTGGTAATCAAAGTTATTCTATAGTAACTTACTTCTTGAAATGATTGTATGAATTGCTAGTTGTGTACAAGTACGTACTGCATGATGGAAATCAGTTGACCATGGAATGATAGATTTGAATAGTAGTGCTATCATTTCGGCGTTTGGATGTTCTTGGTTGAGTAGATGGTAGAGGTAGGAGGTGGAGATGATAATGATAGATGCTGCTATTTGATAGTCATAGTTGGAGTGGTTGAGTTTGGTAACTAGCAGTTGTGTTACGGTGGTAGGTGAGCCTGTTCTAATGAGAATGTTGACAATGAAGAGCTGAATGAGATATCTGACGTTGGGATGATTCTTGACTTCGAGGATACGCCACATCATCTCGGTGACAACACCGATATGTGCGATCGAGATCGGGTCGCTAGAGTAAACCCTATCGACATGAGTCAAAGAACAGAGAGTACGCCACAATCTACACTTTTGTTTGTTGGTCTTGCTTTGTTGTGAGTACTCACGTTGTGACAATTCACCTTGAATGTTCAACTCGAGCAACGACAACATCAATCTCTGAACGAATCTGACGGCACTATCGTTCTGTTGGGATGTTTGATTCAACTGACTAACGAACCATCTTACAATATAACCATGGTTACTTGCCATTTTGTAGCTATGTTGTTGTTGTTGATCATTGGTGTCAGTAGTAGTAGTCGGTAATGATTCAACTACCATCAATTGTTGGTCTGTATCTTCAGTTGTTAATAAACAAAGATTGATAATATCATCCAAGAATGTATCAAGTGTTTCCAAATGAGTTGACCAAATCGCACAGCAATGACTGAGAAGTGCACAACTGATTCTGGCGGATTCACCCCATTCGGTGAGTGTCTTTCCAAGGAACTCTTTGACAAGTGGAATGGTCGTTGGACAATGGAAATAGAGTGGATGGAATAGCAAGTTGATAAACGATGAAACGACAACTATAGACTTTCTGGAGCAATCTGAAAATGCTCTATATGCCAATTGGAATAGTCTAGTCATTTCTTCGTCGTTTGTCAGAACAGGAAGTTCTAGACGTTCAAAGTCACCGGCTTGTTCCGGTGTTACAACTATATTGCCACGTACAACAGTCAGTAGCAATGTATCGTAGATCGATGCCAACGAGTTTGGAGTAGCATTATCAAGTGTATCCAATGCATATTCAAAGACCAACTGACATATGGTTTCAATCTCTTCGATCTCCTCTTTGTCGGAAGCGTCGTCACAGTCGACCGACACCTGCAGCAACTCTAAAATACAAAGCCAACGATATTCCAATAGTTTCGGAAGAGTCAGAGTTGAACCTGCACCTCTCTCCACTCTAAGTTGAAGTAGTTGCAATAGGAAACTTCTAGATATCTCCTTGTTACTCTCTGGTGCATGACAACGTTGCCAAATTAAAAGCATCAAACTGATTTGACGAATATCGAATGATCTCTTTGATTGAGCATTGCCAGTGGTGTTGTTAGCATCTTGTAATATATCCTTACAAGATTGTGCGAGTTCACTGAATGAGCTACGTTGTCTTGCAATGAAATCAACCAACATCTCCATCTTTTTGAATTGATACTGTAGTTGATTGTCACCATCATTCGATTCAATCGCTATCTTTTGTAATTCCTCTGGTTGTTGTGAAATATAGTTGGTGAATATATTATTGATTGTCTTTATATTATCAACAGAGAATATTTCACCGAGTTGGAAGAATGTTGGATTCTCTTTAACAATCGAACCAACAAGTAATAGCGAATCCAATGTAATGCTACTGAGAATCATTGATTTAAAACTAGCTAGTTGTTCCGATTGCTTAGGAATGAATCTTAGTAATCTTGCTAAACTGGCATAGTCATCGATGGAAGTAGATTCCACTTGGTTCAAGTGTTCCACTAGATATTGGCCAATCCACTCAGGGTCATACTTATTTAGAACTGTTGAGAGTTCAATATTCCATTCGTCAACCATTGACTTTGGTAAGAGCGAGAGTATCTTTACACAATGTTGCTTGAATATCGGTGATTGATTGGTAGGATGTTCCATTTCCACTAGTAACATTAGCACTCTCTGGTAGAGATAAATATTGGATGGTGCATTGTGAATTGGATGTGTCTCTAGCAGCCATCTTAACTTCTCCATTGTTGGATCGGCAATAACAAATGTCATTGCTTTGGATTTAACAAGAGAAATCAATACTTCCAACATCATAATTACTCCATTGGTGTCATTCATCGATGATACAACCAAACCAAGTATATTATCAATGAATAGACTACCGTTGTTGCTATTGAGCTTCATTGTCTTCTCCAAGAAGGTTGTTAGCAAATCGAAAAGTTCTCGCTTTCTTAATGCTGAAGGTGTAAGTTGTTGTGTACTATCGATAACGTGTTGTTGAACGACAAAGTCGGGTGTATCGATGGATCTGAGCAGTGGAGACAACAAGGTGGATAGTTGCATCGAGCTGGATGCGGAGGAGATGGACTCTGCCAAGTCTAAAGAATAGCCAGTCAGGAGATCTACAATGACACGACGTCTAATGTTTGGATTGATATGGGTGAAACCACGGTGCAACAATACAAGAATCCAGAAACTACTTTGACGATAGTCAGATACGCTGGCGAAAGAAGTGCTGGCACTGATCAATCTTGGGAGTTGCGACCACACAGGTCTGAAAAGATGTGACTTTGTCTCGTTGAACGCTTCGTAAATCGAGAAATAGAGTGTCCATTGTTTTGGATTGAACGGTAGTAGCTGTTGCCAACAGCTAGCTGGCAATGAAATGAATGTCTTTAACAGATGAAGTGATTGTTTTCTCGGTACATTATCAGTATCTATTAAACTAATGAATAGAACATCAAAGAATTCTGATTTAGAAAGAATATTAAATGTATCTATTGGTTGTTGTTGTAATTTAGATTGTTGTTGTTGTTGTTGTTGTTGTTGTTGTTGTTTTGATTGTTTAGATGTTGGTACTGTTGGTACTAAAGAACTGATAAATAACTTGTGAAATCTAAAGAATAGCTTCAATCTTTCATTGACATCAGATTGTTGTTGTAATATTGAATTGTAAAGTTGTTCTAACCATTTTGATTGCTGCTGCTGCTGTTGTTGTTGTAATGATGGTGAGGATATAATTGTTTCTATGGCATTAAAAGAATGACTACGTATGAGTGAATTGTGTGATTTAATGTTGAAAAACAACTTTTTGTTTAACACCAGATCGAGAAACTCTGTTGATAGCAATTGGTATGTTGACTTTGATTGTAACAGTTCATTCAGTAGATTCAAACTGTAGCGTTGTAGGAATCTATTACCAACTGTCATATCGTCATCTGAAGTATTACTACTAGTGGTATCCTTTAGAATAACATCCAACAATGAAGAAGATATCACTGATGATTCACCTTCTCCACCAGAGACAACCGACATACTAACGACCAATCTGGAGAGTAGCGATACTTTTTCATCGAGCTGACCGATCTTTTCCTCCGATTTAGATGATTGTTCAATGAAATGATTAACTATTCTATTACAGATATCTATTATGAATAATGGTGTTTTTGTAGTAGTAGGTGATGATGACTGATTTAATGATACAATTTCAGATAATAATATAAATAAAAATAATATATAATCATCTCTATTATTAATAGTATTACTACCACTAATATCAAGTTGTTGTTTTAATGTATCAACTATTTCATTCAATAATAATGATTTATCTTGCTGAACTGATATCAATATCATTTGAACGATTGTATTTACAATCTGTTTAGATTGTGATAGTTCTAATACATTGCTGTTACATTGATATATAGATAATAATAAACTTTTTAAATCCATAACTTTGTTGTTTTTATCTTTTAGTAAAGAAAAAAAGATATAAAAAATTAAGAGATTTATATAATAATTAATTATATATCTATGAAAAAAATAATAATAATAATAAAAGAAATCTTGATTGAATGTGGGGTATGTTTATATTTGTAACAATAGATTAAACAACACACCCACACACCAACCACCCCAAAATGAATTCATATGAAAATAAAAAAAAACGAAAAAAAAAAAAAACGAAAGATAAAAATAAATAAATAAATAATTTTATTTATATTTCTTCTTCTTCAGGATAATCACCTATTTGAATATGTTTTGCACGTACGAAACAACCATAGTTTGTACCTTGACATTCAAAGTAGCGTTTACCTTTGAGTGATCCATCGTTCTTGCCTTGTGGGAAGTCAAGTGCAATTCCGATCCAATAGCCAGCGGCAGCACCATCGACCTTTCCGATATATGCAACAGTACCAATACGTCCTGCACTATCGGATATAATCATACAACGTTGTCCTACCTTAATATCAACAGGTTCGACATTATCATCTAAATTAGCATTCGATTTACTTGTTGTTGATGTTGCAGTTGCAGTTTTCTCTTGTTCTTGTTTCCATTTTCTATAGGTACCTTCACGTTGATCGTATTCAGCATCTGACATCTTAACGTGTGGAGTACTCTCAGTGTCTTGTAGGGTGGCAACGAATGAATTTGGATCGTTATCAATAATATGAATATTCAAACCACTCTTGATCTGTTCAATACCAGAAAGCAATTGTTGATCGTCTGAATCGAGTGTCTCTACAATAACAGTTGATTTATCCGCTTCTCTAAGTTGTAATTTCATATATTTAACATCTGTACCAACGAATCTATGTAACTAAATAATAAAAATAATAAACATTAATTACAATACATCAAACTATTAATCAAACAACAAATTGACTAGTTAAATCTTACTTTTTCTTTAAATTGTGAAATAGTTTGATCTAATTGAAAGTTCTTCCAATTGTTAGCACCAAGTAGGTCGGCAGTCAATACAGAGTGTGTAATTTCGAGTCTGACTTGACCTTCTGGTGCTTTCAAAGTTGACGAATCATCTTGACCATCACCAAGTATATAGTTTCTAAGATTATCATAATCACTACCCATCTTTTATATTATGTATAAATATGTAAACTTTTATTAAAGTTAAATCTATTAATTATTTATCTAATTTAAACAAAAAAAAAAAAAAAGTAAATCAAAAAAGGTTTTAAAAATTTTTGCAAACTTTATTTAATAAATTTTATACTTTGATGTTATTGTTTGTTATGTAATAGTTTAAAAACAGTATATCCTAATAATATTTTATTAGATTGGTAATAAACAAGTTAATTGAATTCAAATTCTTTGTTAAAATCAGGAGTTAACAAGATGATTACTATTATTATTTATTTATCTATCTTTATGATATATTACATGTTGCGAGTCTAATGATATCGACAAAAAACTTTTATTTATTTAACACAAAGTTTCAACTCCAACGAGTAACACTAACACCTTTAACTTTGATGGTTGTGATCGATGGCTTGAGTGATTCAATATTGTATTTCTTGAGATGGTGTATTGTACATTCTAATGTTTTGACAGAATCTGGAAGATTTATACCAACTATTTCATCGTCTCCAAGTTCTAGGTATTAAACTGAGTTTGGTATCGATAGAATATTAAATGCACCGTTTTTGTAGGTTTTTGACTCGTGATTAAAAAGTTGAAGTGTTTTGGTGGAGGATGGAATCACTCCTTTATCAAGATGTTTGGCGTCTAGACTTGGAAGTTTCAATGTTATGATTCCAAATGGCAGTGATTCAGGAACAAGACATTGATTATATTGTAATAATTCAAGTTGTTTGGTGGTAATTGACCAGGAAGAGTAGGTGATGTAGTATTGGACAATCTGAGAAAATCGTATTGTGCATCTCTTGGTAAAACATCGGAAGACAGATCCAATGTATTTAGAATAAATGTTTAATCGAAGATGGTATTACTCCAGGCTTAAATTTGGTATCTGACTGACGTAGTTCCAATCTTGTCAATGACTGTGGAAGATCATCTGCTTCCAAATAGCCAAACGGTATATTACAATCCGAGACAATAGTTGTAAGAGATGGTAGATTTCTTAGAAACTTGAACCATTGAGAAGGAAGTTCTCTATCGTTGTCAATGTTCTTGGCAGTACACTGTCATCTATTAAATCTATTTCATCGTTTTCATAATTTTTTTTGAATAATTTTTTTACAATATTATTACAATCTTTTGATTGGACCAATATGAAATATGATGATGATCTTGCGATAAAATAAATTGGATCAATACGATAGAAATGAGCAGCATTAACACCTCTAATCTTGATAGTTGTGATCGATGGTTTGAGTGATTCAATATTGTATTTCTTGAGATGGTGTTTTCTACATTCTAATGTTTTGATGGAATCTGGAAGATTTGGAAGATCTATATCCACTTTATCGTTACCAAGAATTAGGTGTTCAACTGAGATTGGTATCGAAAGAATATTAAATGAGTCGAAATAGGTTTTTGACTTGTGATTAAAAAGTTGAAGTGTTTTGGTGGAGGATGGAATCACTCCTTCAACAAGAAACTTGGAGTCTACACTTGGAAGATTTAATGATACGATTCCAAATGGCAGTGATCCAGAAACAAGATTTTTATTATATCTTAATAAATCGAACTCTTTGATGTTTGGTGGTAATTGACCAGGAAGAATAGGTGAAGTAGTATCACACAATCCAAGATAATCAAAGTGTGCATCTCTTGGTAATACCTCTGAAGATAGATCCACTGAATAAAGAAATAAATGTTTAATCGAAGATGGTATTACTCCAGGATTAAATTTAGTAGAGAAAAGGATATCCAATCTTGTCAATGACTGTGGAAGATCACCTGCTTCCAAATACCAAAATGGTATATTGCAATCCGAGATAATCGTTGTGAGCAATGGTAGATTTCTTAGAAACTTGAACCAATGAAATGGACAGTTCTCTATTGTTGTCAATGTTCTTGGCAGTACACTATCATTTGCCAACTCTAAATTTCTAAGAGCTGTTTTAAAATGCATTTGTTCAAGTTGTGGCGGTAGAGAACCAACCGAGAATGATGATGAATAATCATCTAAAGATAGATACTTTAACGAAGAAGGAAGATCTCCACTCTCCAAAGGGAACTGATAGTTACTCAGTGTAAGTTCTGTCAAATCCGATGGTAAACTACCTGGCATCAAATTTTGAATACTCGAGGAAAGAACCAACTTTTTTACTTTTGATCTCTCAAGTTGATCTTTTAGCTTTGAAATATCGATATTCTCCAGATATATATCTATTTGAGTAATATTATAAAAGTGATTATAGCTTAAAAATGTATCTACAGGTTTATTTAATCCATTAATAACACATTTCATTATAAAATAAAAATAGTGGATTGTTTGAATAAACAAACATACCGATTGTTATACAATTAGATCTTGGACTATTAACTACATATAAAGTTCTATTTTTTAAAATACGAAAATCATAATGCATTCGTATTGATTTAAATGACTTTAGACCAACTAGTTTAAGAAAACCAAGTCCTTTATCATCATCATCATCAGCACTAAAGATCAAATAAGATTTTCTTTCATGATACCATCTTTTACAAACAAAAGAGAATCTAATTTTATTTAGAGTATCAAGATATCTAGTAATATTATTTAATAACAAATGTGATAAATAAACTATTTTATAACTATTATTATTATCTATTTCCATTTTGAAAAAACAAAACATGATCTAATATTTTTTCACACCATACAAAACTTTTGTTTTCTGCAAAAAAAAAAACAATTATTCCAATATTGTATATTTCGCGCTTATTTTTTTTCAGATGGATAATTATATTGATAAAAGCTTAATGAAAAGACGTAGTTTAATAGAGGAAAACTTTAAAGCAGAAGGAAAGGTATGTCCTTTATGTAATAAGAAGTTAAATCATCACATTTTAAGTAAACACGATAGTAAGTATTGTATGTCGAGGTTGAATACTGCAATATTGAACGTTCCAAGTAAATTCAATTATAAACATTCGATTTTTTACAAAAAATATTTGCGATTTAAAAACGAACATCAAATCATTCGGAGGTGTGCAAAAAAATAATATTCCCCTAATTTAGAGTTATATAACTTTTATTTATAGTTAGAAGATACTTTTTCTACAATATTATTACAATCTGTTGATTTGATCAATATGAAATCTGATGGTGTTCTTGCGATAAAAAAACTTGGATCAATTCGATAGAAATGAGTAGCATTAACACCTCTTATCTTGATAGTTGTGATCGATGGTTTGAGTGATTCAATATTGTATTTCTTGAGATGGTGTTTTCTACATTCTAATGTTTTGATGGAATCTGGAAGATTTGGGAGATCTACGTCCACTTCATCAGTGCCAAGAATTAGGTGTTCAACTGAGTTTGGTATCGATGCAATGTCAAATGGAGTGTGCTGGAGGGTGTTGTAATTAAAAAGTTGAAGTGTTTTGGTGGAGGATGGAATCACTCCTTCAATGAGAAACGTGGCATCTAGACAGGGAAATTTCAATGTTACGATTCCAAATGGCAGTGATCCAGGAACAAGACGTTTACTATATTTAAATATTTCAAGCTCTTTGATGTTTGGTGGTAATTGACCAGGAAGAATAGGTGATGTAGTATCAGAAAATCCAAGATAATCAAAGTGTGCATCTTTTGGTAACACCTCTGAAGACAGATTCAATGTATTTAGAAATAGATGTTTAATCGAAGATGGTATTACTCCAGGCTTAAATTTGGTAGTTGACTTATGTAGTTCCAATCTTGTCAATGACTGTGGAAGATCACCTGCTTCCAAATAGCCAAACGGTATGTTGCAATCCGAGGTAAGAGTTGTAAGCGATGGTAGATTTCTTAGAAACTTGAACCATTGAGAAGGACAGTTCTCTATTGTTGTCAATGTTCTTGGCAGTACACTATCATTTGCCAATTCTATTTCATTTGTATTGGTTGTAAAATGTAGGTGTTCAAGTTGTGGCGGTAGTGAACCAACAGACAATGATGATGAATAATCATCTAAAGATAGAAACTTTAACGAAGAAGGAAGATCTCCACTCTCCAAAGGGAACTGATAATTAAATAATCTAAGCTCTTTCAAATTCGATGGTAAACTACCATGTGTAAAACGTTGAATTCTCGAGGGAAGAGCCAACTTTTTCACTGCTAATCTCTCAAGTTGATCTTTGAACTTTGAAATATCCATACTACCCTGAGATAACTTTAAATGTACTTGATCAATATCATTGTAGGTAACACTTCCCTCTAAAAATCGATCTATATATATACAAATTTAATCTATTAATAAGTCATTTCAATATATATATTTAAAAGTAGTAATAATTTAAACAAACAAATATACATACCGATTGTTATTTGATACGGTGATTTGTCGTGCCTATTAAAGTGACTGTTTTTATTAAATATAATTAATGTTTTATATTTTAGATTATTATGTATTTTAATTGCTTTAAATGACTTTAGTTGAACTTCTTTATAAAAGTGAAGATCATCATCAGCACCACTAGTAAAGAACAAATAAGATTCTCTTTCATGATACCATCTTTTACAAACAAATGAGAATCTAATATTATCTACATTATCAAGATATCTAGTAATATTATTCAATAATAAATGTGATAAATGAACTATTTTATAACTATTACTATTATTATTATCTATAGCCATTTTCGTGAAAAAAAAAACCAAATAATTGTGATCACTTTTGCCATGCCACTCACAACAATTGTTAAATTTTTTTCAATGATAGTGGTTGTGGCTGTTTTTTTTTATCTAAAACTGTTGTTTTGTATTTAGTTTTTCATTAATTATTTGTAATATCTCTTTCATTAAGATTACTGTATCAATTTTTGTAGTTGTTCAGTTGAGTTGATGATTCCACCTTGATTGAAATTGATTGATATAAAACTATTGTTTCCAATTCTTCTAAGTGTAGATTTTACATTAATATTATTAATAATAACAGTTTTAATACCATATGGCAGTGTTTCCAATCTATTTGTTGAAAAGAATTCAGTTCCAACCTCTATTGTTAAATGTATATTATCAATAATGTTATTGTAATTGTTATTATTGTTATTTTTGTTATTTTTAGTGGTATTGGTCATAGGAATCGAATTAAAAGGTAGCTTTGTACAATATGAATTGGAGAGTTTCAATAGTTTGAGAGATGCTGGTAATGATTTTGCTCTTAACGGTATATCTTCTTTCAGTAGCAAATACAACTCTCTGAGCTGTGGCGGAAGTACATCTGGTTCGATTGCGTCTTGATAGTGTTCACAATCAACGGAGAGAATTTCCAAAGAATGAGGAAAGACATTCTTTTTCAATTTGCCAAGGTAACCGCTGTGAAAGTATAGCTCTTCGAGAGTATTTGGTAGTTGATTCGGCTTTAAATTGATACCTTTTAGATGCTTGCCCAAATGTAGCACTCTAAGTCCATTCCGAAGTATCGATGAATCTAGTACGACTGAATTCGTAGAGAATCGACTGAAGGAAAGTGTTTTAACAGTTAAAGGAATGACACATTTACCATCATTGTTGAGAGGACCGCTGAAACTAAGTTTGGTAACCGTCGGTGGAACCATAGGAATATAGCCAATTTCATTCTCACGTCAATAGAGTGTGAGAGTTTCAACTGACGTTGGTAGCTTACTTATAGAACTAGCTGGATAGTTTATCAATACTTTGAGAATGGGTGTTTGATCGAGGTCTGGTGTGTGTAGCATTATTACATCGACTTGTCTTGGTCCCAAGTTCAAGTGAGTAAGAGTAGCTGGAAGATACTCCAATCTGTGGTATATATTACCTTGGAATACAAGATGTCTGAGATTGGTGGGAAATTGTGCTTGTCTATTGAATGCCTGTTGGAAATTACTTCCAAACTCTAATCGTTTCAGTGAATTTGGAAATAGGTGATCGGCAATTGGTTGGTTAAATCGTTGATTGAAACGCATTCCAAACGTTCAGGAAATACTCCAACCGTTAGAGGTTGTGAATATATCGATCCGAAGCGAAGTTCTTTCAAGCTGTTTGGTAACACTCCAACCTTGAGAGGTTCATCCAAAAAATTGGAAAGATACAGTTTCTCTAAAGTATTGGGAAGTGTTCCATTAGCTAACATATTACCATCTGCTCTTGATAGATCCATCTTGACAATCGGGAAATTGGCAAGTTCAACAAGTGATCTACCATAAAAATATACATCGAAAGCATGTTCGTAATATTCCTATCATTGTTTAATAGATCAACGATATCTTGATAAGCATCTTTAAAATTTGCTAGTACTAAAATAAATATAATGTATAAATTTGGTTGTTTTATTTTTATTTATTTTTGATTAGATTCAATTTTATATTACCATTTAACATGTAAATTTAAACATACCAATATAATCTTGATCATTTTTATTTATTTCTTCATTTAAAATGTGGTGGGTGACAGGATCGATTGCATTGATTTCAAGAGTATTTGCATATTGGAATGATCGATTGGTGCGAAGTAATAATGATGATTCAAAGATCGATCTATAGGATTTCAAAGACGATCTACTGTAATCTCTTACTCTTAACTCATTTGGGTTGAACAACAAGTATTTTGATCTATTTTCATATATGAATAAAACAAATACTATCTACCACTGAGAGATCATAACTAACAACTATTTTTTTGATAACTATTAATGGTAATTGATCAATCATTGTTTTATATAATTATATAAATATGTGATCATTCTTTTATTCCTTTTAAATTAATCACCATCATAAACAAACAGTGTTATTTTTGTTTTTTTTTGAAAAGAAACAACTAAAAATTCTTGGTTTTTTTTGTAAGAAATTTTTTTGATAAATTAAAGAAAAAATTAAAATAATTAAAGTTAATTAATTTTAATAAATAAATAAATCTATTCTTTGTTCTAAGATAGAACATGTTAATTTTAGTATAAATTATGTCATAGTTTTATTTAATTACTTACTTAAAAAATGACCAGGTAAAGTTTTTTTTTTTCATTAATAAAAATTTGCAATTTTACCAAAACAGGAGGGGTTACAATTAATAGTAATCTATTAAAAATGCCCAGGGTACAAAATGATTTAATTAGATCGGAATCATTATGTTTATTAGATTGATAAAAGATGAAGTTCAACTTTCCTAACTGATCTATTTTCAAATAATATCAATGACAAACCAGGATATTGAACTTTTTTTGACTTTCCAAATAATATAAATAGGAAACTTATCATTCTCCTAACTTTCATCAAAATATCAAATATCAATTCAAACTAAATTACCCAATCCAATTCAAAATTAATAAAATGCTTGCCGCCAATAGTTTAAGACAACTCCAAGTTAAAGTATTCACTTTAGCAAGACAAAATCCAAAGACAACTCTAGCTCTGGTTGGTGGTGCTACCGCTTGTGACTATTTACTTATCAAAAGCTACCTTCAATCCAACTCTGACTCCAAGCAATAGATAATTCTCATTATTCTAAATAAGAATAGAATGTATCTTAAATCTTAATGTCTAATCATACTTCAATATCCAATAAACCATTTATGTTAATTATTATTATTATAATTAATAAGTTAACATCCTTTTAATTCTAAATTAGAATTAGTTTTTAAATTTATTATTCATTTGTGGTGTGATCTGTTTAGATCTATTTTTGTTGTAAATTTCATAATCACTTATCAATTGTAACTTTTAAAAAATCTGAGTAATCCAACCTAAAAAAAATCTTAAAAGAAAACAAAATATAATTTTGATCAAAATTTTAGATATTATTATAAACCCATTTTTTGACATCTCGATTCGCCAAATGTCAAACATGTTTCGGTTAATTTCTAAAAAAAAAAACTTTAAAGTTCATTTCTTAAAATCTTAAACAAATCAGAATCATTGATAACAAATAAAATTAATGACAAGTAAGAACTTTCTTTAAATATTTTATAAACCAATTGACTAACAATTATTCTCATTGGATAGCAAAACAAAAAGGCAGAGACCCAGTTCAAAAAGTAAAATTATTAATATTATTTTATTTATATAATTTTAAACAAAAATATTAAAATACATGTATAACTAATAATTTCTTTTTTGTTTATATAGCCAGGTAGTTCTTGGAAACCAATAACCCCACCTCTAGTGTATGTACCGAATAATCCTCCACCCCATGATTTCAACAAAGGAGTCCATGAATTCAGACCTTAAACCAAGCTATCTTGTTGTTTTCTAAACAAAATAAAATCAAAGAGATTTTGTTCAAAGCTAAATTCTTTTTTATAAAGTGATATGAAATTCCAAATTTATTAACCTAATTTAATTTTGAGAGTTTCCACACCAAAACAATTTAATGGACTATTGTTGAAGTTTATAGCCTATTAAGTTTTATAGTAAATACAAAATATATATATATAATAGTTGATTTGTTGTTGTTGTTATGATTTGATTAAATTATTATTATTATTATTATTATTTGGTGCGGTCAATCGAAAATTTGATTATAATTCTCTAGTATATGAGTGATAACCTGACTACTTGAATCCAACATTATAGACAATACGTTTTCCTCTGGTGATTTCATCAGACTCGGACCAAACATCAAACCTAAATTGTGCGCGTGCATCATATTGCTTGAACTATGCTTGGTTACATCCACCAAAAATCTCATCAACTCTTTGATTAAACATTGATTATACTCTGGTAATCCCAAAACCAACTGTTTAATAGCACCTGATTTCTCATTATCATTTAATTCTAAACAATAAGATATTCGATTAATATTATTATTCCAATATATTTGTATCTATAATAATAGTTATACTTACTTTGTGTCTTTATAAAATCATTATGATATTTAAATGTAAATACAGGCACCGATAGTTGTCTTAAAAACTTTTTAAGTGTGCTAGAAACTACGTGAACACAACAATCCGCCGGTATATCGAATCCATGTTGGAGCAATGATTTCATCAAAGTTTCAACTTCCGATTGATTTCCACCAACTCTAAATAGACCTTCTGTATCTAAAGCTATAGAAATGATTTGAAACATTAATAACTTATATATAAAAATTAATTAATTTTAAATATAAATACCTTTATCAACCCATAAAAAGTCAATACACTTTGTAACTAACAATGGTATCTTTCTGTTGGTTGCATCTCTATTATTTTCACGTGAAATAACAGCCTCCAGAGTCATACCCATCGGTGTCTTTGGTGCTGTACTCATATCTATAGGTTGACTATAACTTCTATTTCTTTGTATTTTTCTATCTTTTGTAACTTCTTTTGGTTTCTATAGAAATAAATAAAGAAAATAAACAGATATATTATTAATAAACTAATTCTAATATAAATATTATGAAAATAAATAAAACTTACAAGTTGAGCTGCAGGTTTTACAGTTAAATTATTAAATGAAATCGGACCACTACTTCTTGTTGTTGTCAACTCTATACTATAGTTTTTAATTAAATCTGATTTATATTTTTCTACATTGTCGTGAATAGCCGACAACTTTTCTTCAATAAACTGTTTGTAAAATTTCGATTTCATTTGAGTACCAGATGATGGATGAAAATTAGCAATATCTAAAAATATATAATAATGAAAGATGATGATGATGATGATGATGATTAATAAAAGAATATAAATAGAGATTGATTGATTCTTTGCTTTGCTTACCTTCTTTTGTAAAAAATTTCGATTTTCTTTGTTTTAATTTCTGTGCTCTAAATTCCTCGGGGTTGTCCAACATCTTTTTGTATTCCGATGAGATTGTTTCTTTGAATTGAGTTGCCTTCTCGTTGGACTTTAGTGATCCTGTTGCATTTGAAGAATCTTTCTGTTTGCTCGGTGATTTGAGTGAGCCTGTCGATGTAACGCGAGCGACGACTTGCGCGCCACTGCCACTGGCACTTCCAACCGTGTTGATATTGATCGTTGGAGGTTTGATATCGGGGTGAATGATTGTTGATTCCGAACGTTCGTGTCTACTTAGTATAATCGATGATCTATTTATTGCACTACCGCTGTTGTTGTTATTGTTGCTTGGACTGTTGCTCAGTTCCACTTCAGGTTTTGCAGAGGCGATTGTGTAGCTGTAGGCGCGGCCTGTCGAAGGTGATTTCAACTCCTCTTCTTCCTCCTCGATGATACTGCTGTTTGTACTGCTGGAATCGTCTGGAACCACGCCGTTGCCTTCGTCTTCATCGTCCTCGTATGACTCATCGTAACTCTCAGTGTCTTCCTCGCCAAACAAGACGTCCTCCTCCGAGACGTCCTTGATGATGACTTCTCCGTCAAACTCATAGTCCACCAGAGTATCGCGTAGTTGTTCATACGATGATTTCAATGGATTGTTACTAGCGAAATTAGTAATACTATTAATCGGTGAAAGTGGTGATGTTGGTGTTGTACTTGGTGTAGTCGATCCACTTGTTGATGCATTTACATTATTATTATTGTTATTACTATTGTTATTACTATTATTATTATTATTAACTACACCAATTGGTAGTAGAGGTGGTGGTTGTAATGGTGCTGGTGTTGATATGGGAGGTGATGAAGTTGACCTCTGATGATGTGTAGATGTTAAATGTTGACTCTTTAAATAATTGATTTGTGATGTTGTTGTTGGTAATTTACTATTATTATTATTATTATTATTACTGCTATTTGTTGATGTATTATTTACACCATTAAAACTTTTTATGTTACTCATTATTTATAAAAATATTATTACAAATTATAATTTTGAAAAAAAAACTAAATTATAATTAAAAATATCTAAAAACTATTAATATTATTATTACTATTATTACAACAAAAACTAACTAACTAAAATTTTACTTGATAGATAGATCTTCTTAATATCTATTATATTATGTTATTGTTATTGGTTATTTTATCTATATATGTAAGTAAGTAAGTACTAGATAGGTGAAGTAATGGTTGGTATGGATGATGATGATGATGTTGTTGATATTGATGATGAAGTTGTTGTGGAGAGGAGGTGTGTGGTTGGTTGGTTTGTAGTCGTTGGCATAAAAATAGATCAACTACTCCTGTTTTGTGCACTTTTTTGTTTTTTGTTTGAAAAAAAAATTAAAAACCAAATAACCTTTCTTTTCTTTTGCTTTTCTTTGCTACTCCTAATTGCTCTTCTCTTCTGTCTATATTTAATTTGAAATTAATTAGTTGGTTAATATTAACCTTAATTTAGATATTAACTACAAATTTAATTGATATGATTTCAATTGAATTGATTTTTCAATTGAATTACTGATTTGAATTGAATTAAAAACAAAAACAAATGCTAACAACAACATTATTATTATATTTTAATATTTATTTGAAACCAATATAATATAGTTCCTTACTACTCATGTCTATCTTTATCATTAAATCTTTCTCACTCTTTCTCCCACTCACTATATATACATTGTTTTATTATATTTTATATTTTATGATGTGTTTACTTGAGCGTGTGTGTGAGTGTCAATACCAGTGTGTGAGCGTGTGTGCTTGTTGAAATGATTGTTTGTTTAGCAAGTTGCGTGAGAGAGTAACGTGAGCTTACTTGTTAATATACGTGTTTATTTGATTGAATCTCATATATAGTTGTAATATATATAGATTTATTTATTCATCAATTTGTTTATTATTTTTATTTGACTTGACTAAGAGTTGAATTGGAGTTGTATAGAATAGAATGGATAACACATGTTTTTTATTGTAGCTACAACATATATAAATACATATAACAATGATCGATAATTAGTGATTATGATGATAATGGTAATGATGTTGTTAATAAAATCCAACAAAACAAAATGAAAATGCAATTCAATTTATAACATAGATATAATTTACTTTATATTTGATATATAATATATACTGATGTCTGTCTTGACCTGTAATGTTTGTTTCCAACAAACTAATTTATTAAAAGATCAGATAATAGATAAGCTAATGCCTTAGGTAGTACTACTTTTTCAATAAAAAATTATAATATTGTTTTGTTTGCTTGCTTGTTACTATTATTAAGATCTGATTGCTTTAGTGTTGATATAAATTTATATCTTATCGTTGGGTGTGTGGTTGGTAAAATAATATTATTTTCTGTGTTATTATTATTATTAATACTGTATTGTTTTATAAATTATTATGTGAAAGGAAATAATTATAATTATATGAGTCGAATTTAAGTTTACTGAAAAAATTGATATTTATATTTATGAATGATTTTGATTAAATCAATGTTTTTTTAATTTAATTTTTTTTTTGAAAAATTAATTATAGTTTTTTTTAAATTTTTTTTTAAAAAAAATAATAATAAACCTGGTCTAATTCTAATAATTTATTATTATTTTTTTATAATTACAAAAGATTATTTATATATATATTTTTATCGTTATTTCTTTTATTTTTGATATAAAATAAAATAAAAATAAAGTTTTACCCCAACAGATTTTTTTCATAAAAACAAACACCTTATGAGAAAAGATTTGATTTCGATTTCGGGTGCACATTTTTGCAGTAAAAAAATAAATTTTTTTTTTTTTTTTTATATAATCAATTATGGATTCTTAAAAACAAAAAAATTATTTATTCTAAAGTAAAAAAAAAAGTAAAAACTGCTTGGTCGATTTTTAAATCTCTACTTTTTGATTTTCTGAATCTCTTTCTTCCAACAAAACGAAATTTAGTAACTCTTTTCTACAGATAGGGCAAGTTGAATTGTTAAGTAACCATGTTCTAAGGCAATCGAAATGAAAAGTATGATAACATGGTGTGATAAATATATCGTTGGTAATCTCTTCTAAACAGATTGAATCTAATACCCCAAACAACTTTAAGTGCTTGTCTTTACCTTTGATATTCTTAACGAACGCAGAGTAGATACGATCCATCTCTGTCATTCCTTTCAAATTGAAGAATCGAACGATACACTCAAGGAGATGTTTCAATTTACAAACTTTAAGTTCCATCATAGATTCTTGTAATCTATGCTGGTAAATTAACTTTAGAAGTTTGGATTTGGTAGTTGCTCTTCTTGGATAGAAACCTCTATCGATACCATTATCCACATCTTGGATGAATGTACCAACTACAAAACGATTCGGTCCAAACTTTTGAAGCAACTGTGTGAATCCAGCATGCTGGATTATGAGGCAATCTATAATAGGTCTCTTCACTAACAGAGGGCTGATCATTATGAGTAATTAATAGTAATGATCTCGAATAGAAATCTTTGCCAAAGACAGTTTCATAGAGTTTGAAAAGTTGTTTCTCTTCTTCACTAAATCTATTGTGTGCCATCACAACAATGATTAAAGAGAATCCAATTCTATAGTTAAAGAGTACTTCGTAAATTCCAGAAATCTTTTGTTCGATGGTGAATCTTGGATCAGTGAAACCAATAGTGTCGAGAAGGATATGATTTCCATTGTAGTATGCATAAACATTATCAGTGCATCCATCCACAAGATTAATATCACCAACTTTGGCTGGACCTTCAAGATCTTTCTTGGAAACACCGTCTCTCAACAAAGCATTGATAGCTGAGCTCTTTCCAACCTTTGAACCACCAACAACAATAATTCTTTGTTTTTCCTTAATATCTCCAATTGATAAAAGTAGTGGATTATTATTGTTAATATTTGTATTATTATTGTTGATACTAACACTGTTATTATTATTGTTGTTAATATTGTTGATATTAATTTCTTGGTTTAATAGTGCACGACTGTTTGAATTACCCATTCTAATATTTATCTCTATGACATATAAAATTAATTATAAAATAAAAACAATACAATTATTTTAGAGTCTTTGCAAAAAATTTGTATTCAACTTAAATTTTCACTTTGGGTTTTTTGTAAGATTTTAAAATTAGACATCTGTTATTTTTTATAAGCTCTTTTAATTTTAGCCAACTTCTTTGCGTAAATTTAGTGAAATTAAATTTTAGTCCTAAAGCAAATGACTTAAAATTGAAACATTAAAGACAACTTATTTTAGGTAAAGTAACACAACACCCCCAAAAAAATTGAATTTATTCTAAAAATAATTGAGATACTCTGAAATAATGATTGAAATTTGATTTGTGAATGATTTTCGCAACTCTTTTATCTTGATAATTATCTTTAAATAGCCAGCCAACCAATAGATAATAATTTGAATCTATCTTTCTGATATGACACTTATCTTTACTCAAACCCAAATATTTAAATATGATATTGGTGAGAGTTGGTGGAATGTAAAGTGGATATTGGAATGAAAAGTTAATGATTAATGTTCGCACAAAATTTGGAATCACATAGAATGGTAATTTTTTTATAGTTCCAGTTCTATCTCTTATTTCAAGAGTTTCAACTGATGTTGGAATTGTTACTGTATTGAAAAAAAGTTCTTCGAAACTGATACTAAGATATTTGATTCCATATGGAAGTGTTTGTAAATTCAAACGACCTTTGATAATTCTCTGTTCGATTCCTTCTTTCATTATTTTGACTTCCAAATGATCGATATTTAGAGTTGTATATGGAAAGTTTGAATGGGTGAGTTTGTCAATCTTGAGGTTTGGCAAAACTGATTCTGGTAAGCTGCTGACTGATAACTCTTCCAGGTGATATTGTATTGTCTCTGGAAACATCTCTTTGAAGTCATATAAATTTACGCTATTGATTTGTGAATGATAGAGCGATAGATATTTGATTGCTGGTGATAATGCTGATTTCAAATGATATCTAGAACTAAGTGCTAGACTTGTCAATGTTGGTGGAAGATCTGACAGGTTTAAAGCATTCTCATTGCTAAAACCTAGAATTAGAGTTGTTAAATTTGGTAGAGATTTCATAAAAGGAATCCAACTTGAAGGTACAAATTGAAGAGTTTGGAGAGTCTGTGGTAAATAATGTTCGTTTATAATTGTAGGTGGGAAGCCAAGAAATCGTAGAGACTCAAGATTCGGCGGAAGTACTCCAGCTTTGGCGAGTTGATTGGGCTTGGCTCTGCTTAAAGTTAGACTCCTGAGAGATAAAGGTAGAACACCTGGCTCTATTGGTTGATCTTTTCGAAGTCCAAAGAATATGCTCTTCAAACCATCTGGTAGCATACCTTTAGTGAGGTGATTACTTAAAAGTGATCTGATGGTCAGCTCCTCTAAACCAGATGGAAAGCAATCTTTAGTGAAATCTTCAATTGATGAACCACTGAAATGTAGAAACTTGGTGGTTGGTGGTAGTTTCATTTTGAAGTTTTTGAGACCATTTATCTTTATGATGTTTGACGAGAGCAATGCATCATCAGGAAGATCTACTTTGGCAGATATAAAAATCTCTCTAACAGTTGTAAGTATACCGTATTGAGAAAATGTTTCTATGAAAATATATAAATATATAAATATTAATTGATAAAGATTAGAAGAGATTCTCTATTTTGTTTTTATTCAATGTAAGTAAGAATTCATTTCTTATATGGCTACTGCTTACTTACTTTGATCTAATGTTAAATCGTAAAAATCATTAATAATTTTAGTGTCATTATCTAAGATCATCATCGAAACAATCTCTTTAAACTCTAATGAAGTCGAATATACAGATTGATAGGAACCTACTGTATTTGTTGTGTTGTGAGACTGCTGATCATTGTTTATTGGTGATGGTGATGATGTTGGTATTTTTAAAGTGTTATTAACATTGAACAACAGATATTTATTTCTGTTGTCAAACCATCTCTTGCAAACTAAACTAAAACAAACTCTATCTATGTTATCAGTTATATTATTAACTATTACACTTATCAATACAAAAGGCAAATTTATAAACATAATATTATTATCTTGTGACATGAATAAATAATCGTAAAGTTTTAATTAATGTTATAATATTATAGGACAAGTTATAAGATGAAATTAAAATCAACTTCATCATTATTTATAAAAAAAACTATTTTGGTTTTTAGAATAAACATTGTGGTTTAATACCTGCTCAGTCTCTTTAAAACCATCGGTCGCCTGATTATGTATTTTTATATAAATCTTTGTCTTGTTAAAATTATATTATTATATTACACTTTTACAAAATTCTGTTCAGATAATAATTGAGATAAATATATTACTTACCACCAAACAAAAAACTATAAGATTTTTATCTTATAAAAAATGGTATCTTTTCTTGAAGAGCAAATAGAAAATTTCCAAAAAAAAAATAAAAATGGGTGGTTAATATGATTGGGGCACAATTTTTTTGTTTTTGTTTTTTTTTTTTTTTACTTTTAAGTTTTGTTATTCTTATGTTTCTATTTAATATTAATAAAACTATATCTAATTGATTTTACATATATATGATAGAAACTAAGAAGTTAAACATTTATTACTATCATCACTTTTAAGAAATATTTTTTTTACATTGTTTACTCAGTTTCTGAAGATTCATTTTTAATTTTGTGACGTTTTTAAAGTAACAAAAAAATATCTGATTATTGTTGGTAAAAGTCGACTTGTATTATTATTCATTTTATCAATATTGATATCATTCAATATATAAATATCATCTTATCATCATCATTATAATATAGAACTATTTATATTTAATATTTAGATATTATTGTTGATTGAATAATACTACTATTTTGATGGTTTAATGTAATACAAATATAAATATATCATTTCACATTATATTTTATTAGTAATAGTATATCATATAAATAGAGAGAGAGAGAGTATATAAAATAGAAATAATAATAAAAAATGAGTGACGGCATGCAAGGAAAATTATTTGTTACTGGTAAATACATACATATATTGATATTACTATTAATAATATTTGTTAATCATTAATAATTGTTTTGTTTATCTAAATCTATATTTAAATCATATTATAATAACAATAATATTATAGTTTTACAGGCACAAAACTTGGTTATTAAACAAGAAAAGTCAGCGGCACAAGAGTTTGTAGGTGCTTTGTCATCACCTTTGTTTCAGGGTATTCAAGCGATTCAGAACTTCTCTACAAACAATGTGAAAAAGTTGGCACCGATCTTCACTGTACCAGGTTCGTTGGTGGTACAGGGATTCAATACGATTGGTGATGCGATTCGTGGTGGTGCGTCTTCAGAGTCGGTACCGGTGGTCAGCAGTAGCGCCGCACCTACACAACCGTCGGTAGGTATCACTGCGTCCGTCTTCTTTGAGAACAACACCGAAGAGGTCTTTAGAACACAGCTCTCTGAGAACCTGACGGAACCAAAGTGGAATGAATCACATACGTTCAACGTTGTCGATCCATGCTCGACCGTTCGTTTCCGTATCGTCTTGAAGTCACTCTCTGAGAAGTCTGATTTTCTCATTGGAACGGCACAGATGTCGTTGATCGATGAAGTGCATCTCTGGGGACAGAAACCCGTTGCCAAATGGATCAATATCACCAAGACGGTTGCTGCCGCCAACTCTGACGACAACAACAACTCGTCGGAATTCGCCTACACCGAAGATGAAATCGTAGGAAGAATCGAGTTACAGCTGCAATACAAATATAGAAACGTTTGGGACTGTGTTTATCACGGAAAGATGCTGTTGTTGGAGAAGAAATACGACGAGGCGTTGGAAGCGTTGAACGAAGCGATCACAAACAACCCGACCAACCCGAAACTCTATGTGATGATGGTCGATTGCTATCTAGCACAGAAACAGTATGGCAAAGCGATAGAGAGTGCCGGTAAGATTATACAACACGATCGTGGTTACATCGGTCACCTGAAAGCTGCACGTGTCTTGATGGCTGCCAATCAACTGGAGAAAGCGCAAACGTTCATCGACAAAGCGAAAGCAGTCTCCGATAAATCAGAGGAGATCTACAATATACAAATGGAATTATTACATCTTTCCGAAGTTGATAAGATTAACAAGTTAATTGATCAAGGTTCAAATGATTTCTTAAGGTAAAGTTATAATAGCTAGTTAGTTAGTTAGTTAGTTTATATAATAATAATCATCATATTAATAGTTGTTATTATTATCTTATAGAGGTGAATTTATAACAGCAAGTGAACATTTTACAAAAGCAATTGAAATTAATCCACATAGTACTATCTTGTATGAAATGAGAGCGATTTGCTTTGTTTGTGCAAAGAATAACGCTGCTGCTATATTGGATACCAATAAGATATTGGAAATCGATCACAATTGGCCAAAAGTAAACAATACATTTGGTGGTTACATGATGAAAGATGGTCAAATCAATGTTATGTCAAAGAAACGTTGGTTTGGTTTGAAATCTATATTTCTTTTCTATTATAAAGATATAAATGTAAGTAAAAACAAAACAATGATAATAATTATTAATAACAACTGGACGATATTAATATTCATTTCTCTCTTATCTTAGGAATTAATACCACAAGGTGTAATTTGTTTAAATGAATTTGGATGTGCACCAAAACCAAATCAAAAGGTAAAGTTTCAACTACGTACAAAAGATCGTGAATACTACTTAAAGGTGGAGAATCCAGAGGAGTTTGACAAGTGGATCGTTACTTTGACAAAGATATCAAAGACGAAACCAAAGTTACCACCTATCAAAGAGATTCAGGATGCTATCATTTGGAGAAATATCTATCAGAGTAAGACCGATCAAAAGACATCGTTTATGTTGCCAGAGGTGATGATGCTGCCAGAGACACTGTTTGTAGAGTCTGGAAGGTTGGCATTCTCCATCGGTGACAAGATCAAAGCGAAATTGTCATCGATTCCACAGTCAGAGTGTACGGCAACCGGTTGGCTCTACAAGATGGGACAGGTCAACAAGGAGTGGCAACGTCGTTACTTTTTGCTGCACAACAACATTCTCTATTATTGCAAGCTGAACAACGGCGATGAGAAACAACCATCGATTACGCCAACCGGTACTCTCCCACTGGACGGCGCCAAACTCGATGTCAACCCGTCGTCGATCACCAAGGCGAACGCTTTCATGATTATGACTGCACTACGTAGAAACTTTGCTGTCGCCGCCGATTCCGATACCGACAAGGAACGTTGGCTCAAGGCGATAGTAGTGGCGAGTGGCGCGCAACTCCCAGTCGAAGAGGAGAAGAAACCCGAGGAAATGCCAACTTCAGAATCACTGTTTTCCAATCGTTCCAGACGTGTCAAGTCATTACGTTCCGTTCCAATGGATCCAGATTCTCAACAAACTCAACAACAACAACAACAATTTATTAATAATAACAATAACAATAGTAATAGTAATAATGATAATCAACAATCGAATCATGGTAATCAACAACAATCACCAAAAGTTACTCGTAGAATCGGATCGAATGAGATGTCTAGTTCTGAATCGAGATACTTTGCCAAGTTTGGATTGTCAGAGAATACTATTGTGATGCCAAGTGCACCAATTATTAGTAGTAAGAGTAATTTGAACTCGTCGGCCAATAGTATGCCGTTGATTCAACCGACACACACTGTATCATCACCTGCCAACCCATCACCAACATCATCAACACCATCATCACCACACAGTTCACAACGATCACTCAAATCAGTGTATCCAACTGAAATGCCAAATCCAACCGAATACGACGATGAAAACGAAGAGAGCAATGTTGGTCTCGTCAGTGGTAAAAAGAAATCCGTAAACGAGGAAACTGGTGAAGATGAAGAAAAAAGATGTTGTAAATGTACCATACAATAAAATAATAATAATCGAAAAATAATAAAATGATAAATATAATTGTTTTTTTAACATTATCATATTAAAACAAAGGATAATCTAATGTTAAAGTTGCTGTTTGTCATACTTGAATTCAAGTCTAATAAAACATGTGTAATTTAACTATGCAAATGATAATGGTGATGTACTATAATAAAGATAGGATCACAATGGTTTAATCTACTTGTTAAATTAGATATATCAAAACAAATAAATATAGATTATAATATTCATTTAAAAACTCAGATAAACGAATATTGTATCGTTCTATGATTCTGTATAAAAAAAAAACTAATAGCTGATCTATTAAAATATACATTTATCATGATCTATTAAATGTTAAATTAATAAAGAATATAATAAATAAATTTAAATTGTTTGTTAAAAAATTGATCAAAGCAAATTCTGTCTGATTATTAATAAATACAACACCAAAGATTGTTTTTGTATGAAAAAAGAAGTTCGAAAAAGTACAAGTGCAAAAATAAAAAAAAATCCAAAAAAATAAAATTTTCAATTCTCAGCGAGACGACCTCCTGTGCATAAACCCAACTAATGAGATACGCATTGACTCCCTTTTTCGTATATCCTTCACACACACGCACCATAAGATGACTGAAGTCAGTTTGTTTGGAAAATGGTAGAGTTATTGTTTCATATCACTATCACACAGCACAACACACAGGATTGATTGGAATAGTAGAAACAGGATAGAAAAAGAATGAGAAAATGAAAGAGATGGAAAGAAATGAACGAAAGATATACAAAAAGAGATTATAGATACAATCTCACCAGCAATGCATCACCCACTTTTATCTTAAAACAATTTGAGTAGTTTTTATTAATACCAAACCTTACTACTACCTACAATTAATAAAAAACAGGTCTTTCAGAGAAGTCCAATGCTCTGATATCTCCTTGCAAGATTACATCATGACCAAGAAGCAAGTCTTCTTGCCACACTCTGCTGGTCGTTACAACAAGATCCGTTTCAGAAAGGCCCAATGCCCAATCGTTGAGCGTCTTGCAAACTCAATGATGATGTTCGGTCGTAACGCTGGTAAGAAGATCATGGCTGTCCGTATCATCGAAAAGGCCTTCGAGATCATCTTCCTCTTGACTGACAAGAACCCAATCCAAGTTTTGGTTGATGCCATCATGAACTCTGGTCCACGTGAAGATTCCACCCGTATTGGTTCAGCTGGTACTGTCCGTCGTCAAGCCGTCGATGTCTCCCCAATGAGACGTGTTAACAACGCTCTCTACTTGATCACTCAAGGTGTTCGTGCCGCCGCTTTCAGAAACATCAAGACAGTTTCTGAGTGTTTGGCTGACGAATTGATCAACGCCAGCAAGGGTAGCCCAAATTCCTATGCCATTAAGCAAAAGGACGCTCTTGAGCGTACTGCCAAATCACACAGATAAGAATATTGGTTAATTACATATTCTTTTACTCTAATAATAAAAGTATTTTATTTGTAAAGGATAAATAATCATAATTATTTTTTTCTACTTATTTGTTTGTCGTGGTGACCTGTCCATAAAATTTCGCAAAAATTTAGTGTGTTGTTAAAAATGCGGAAACAAACATTGGTGTGTTGAGTATTTTTCATATTTTCATTGTGTTTGTTAGTATTACTTCTGATGTCAAACAAGTTTCTTCAAATTTATCTAAATATTTTGATTTCTGTAGTTATTTTTTGTATTTGTTAAAACCATGTAATGGTTGTTTGTTTTTGGTGATTCTTGACCAACTTGTTATTTTTGATTTAGTGGAGTGGATCGATAAATTAGTTTATCAGTCAATGATCTTTTGAATTGTTTTAATCTAAACTTAAATAAAAATCCAAATATTTCCAAAACTTACTTTTAACTCGATTTACTTTTGATATCTAATCTGTTGTACTGTTTTGAAGTTTGATTAACTGAATTTTATATTATATTTATCTAAATTGATATTCTTACCTAATTGTCTTTCTATAATTAGTATAAATACTATAAAGAAATATGGACTGATTTCAGGGTCTTGTATTGAAATAAACTTAACAGGTGGGATGATGACATACTTCTTAACTGAAGTTCTGTATTAGTTTATCAAAACTGAATTATAAATCAAATCCACTGAATAAAAATAATGATTATTAATCAACTCCAAATCACAACAAATAACTTATTAATTTTATCTTGAAGTAGTTACAACTTCCGTAGTAAATAATAACATAGTAGATTATTTATCAACTCCAAATCACAACAAATAGATTGTATTAAATATTTATTAATTCTATCTTTACATCATAAGTAGAAACACATCATATTATGATAAAAGATAACAACTACAACAAATAATATATTGTATCTCCAACCCCACGCTTGGAAAAAAACAAATTCCTGATCTTTTACGAAAAAAAAGGAAAATCAATTTGAAATTATTCTTGGTTTGGATAAACCATTAATTTTTTATATCTAATTTGTTACTAAACAATAAAATAATTATATGAATATCTTTATTTTAATAGATATTCTTTCATATGTATCAAAAATAAAAGTATTTTTTGTAAATTATTTACATAATTATCTATATCTAGTTTGTTTATAGAGGTATATAATTTTTTTTTTTTGTCTGTAGTATTATTCTTTTTTTTTTATCTTAAATTTTAATCTTCATTTTTTCATTGAAAAATTACAGTGTGATAATGATGCAAATCAAAAAGAAATAGGAAAAAATAAAATGAGAATCTTAAAATTAGTGTTTTAACTTTATAATTTAAATAAGATTCGCAATGAGTTGGTTTTATATAATAATAAAGTAAAAGTTAAATATAATAATATGGGTCCAAGATGGTCACATATCAAAAAAATTGACAACAATCAGTGTGCATTGCCTGATTTGGTTTTGCAAAAGATACTTGAATATCTAAATCATTGTTACGAGCCAGAGACAAAGCTATCACCAAAAACTACAGTTACATCAGCAAGATACCTCAAACTTGGATTGGTTTGTAGTTATTGGTTTCTCTACATTGTACCACTCACCATAAAGTCGATGGTTCTAAGTACGAATGACACCACTCTACACACCTACCCAAAGCAACTGAAACAATACAATAGTTACATAAACAAACTCAACAAACTCAACAAACACAACAATACCAGTCGTCAGCCATCTAAAATTGCACTTGAAAAGTTAGAGTTGATTTTCGACACCACCATACAACCTGATTTCACACTGTGGACACTCTTCTACCGTCCTAAACCAGCCAACACCAAGAACAACAGACAATGGTTACCAAACAATCAAATTTCACTCACCAAATACTTTACAAACTTGAAAACTATTAAAATCTATAGAATTCAAACGGCTTCCATCCGAATGGAATCGTTATTATCAACAATTCCTACACTTACGAAACTCAGTATATATCCATCACATGACCGACATCAGTGTGTAGGTGGATTAGAACAACTACTTCATAGTTGCACAAACATTGTACGATTCACATATATGCAAGAGGCAGCTGAATATCCAGTTCCATTCAACTTTCCTTGTACATTAAACAAAGTTAAAACCACAGCAATGTTCATGCCAACCTTGCCAATGATGAACCTAACTAAACTTCATTACAGCATGAACCAACCTCCAAGATCAAATGCTATTGTTGCAAGATCAAAGTTCACCGGTCAATTCGTTAACTTCTTGCCAAACCTTGTAGATCTCACACTTGTCAATACATACGCACCTGTTTATGGTCCATTCCTTGCTAGATTACAACACCTCAGATATTTAACGATCAAAGGAGTCTCTATCTTCAAGTCAAACGATGTAGATCACTACAATGAAAGTAAAAAGGTTCAACAACAAAGTGGTGGTTATGATGATGATGATATAGCTACTACTCCTACTACACCGAATGATATATTCGTAGAGACGTTAATTAAAGATTTGGATTCAATTACCGACCGACTTATTCAACTTAAACTTAAAGATCTAGATTTCGACAGTGAATCATTGTGGACAGTGTTAAACAGGATGGATTTATTGCAAAGACTTTCATTAGATACATCTAATCCAGATAATAACTATGTACTTCAATTGATTCCTCATCTCGAATTGTCAATGCCATCACTTAGACATGTGACATTCAACGTTAATTTTGACACAGAGTGGATAACAAGATTGCATGACTTTTTGATTGGTAACGATACACTCACTTCACTCAGCATTGCCAATGTAACATCAGAACAATCACATCTAATTCGCACACAATAATCAATGACAATATCGAGAAGAAACAATCATTACAACAATTAAAGATCGATCATCTTCAACAAACAGATATTCACTCTGATCACATAACAGTAATACCAAAACAACATCCAAGTTCACAAAACAATCCTATTCGTAATATCAAAGAAAAGGTTATACTAAATGAACAGTCGAGAACGCCAATAACAAAGTACTTTTGTGTTATTTTATCATAAGACAATTAATTGATGACGGTGTCTCTCCAGTAAGGTCCAGTTGGATGTCGATGACAACTAATCTCTTGTTTGTTGGTTGGTAGGTATTTGAACTCGGTTATTGGTTATGATAAAGGTCACCAGGTATCCACATACATCTCATTCTTTAGGCTGGTGTCGTTATATTATAACACTTCACATCACAACAAACGTGTCCACATCGTTTTGCATTCTCTTTTAAATTAACCTCACCCCCTTTTTAAAATCAAAAATCAAAGCCAGCAAAAGGATGCATTAGAGAGAACCGCCAAATCACACAGATAAGAATATTGGTTAAATAGATATTCTTTTACCTTAACAACAACAATAATAGTAAAAGTATTTTATTTGTAAAGGATATACATAATTATCTATATCTAGTTGTTTCTAGAGGTATATAATTATTTTTCAGTTTCTTAAATTGTGCTCTCTAAATTGGTTTTTAAAGAAAACAATGGTGGATAGGGCAGGGCAACGTGAAAGAATAAACCACCAGAATAATTTATAATTTTAGTAATTAATCAATTGGTTTTAATCTTGTACAAGATTGATTAGTTTATCATCATTTAAACTCTCTATTTTTTATCTTTAGAAGTTTAAATAATAAACTAGGCAAAAATAAATCATTCTTTTGTCAAAGATTCAAAAATACACATGTTAAGTCATTCATCTTCATTATTAATATTTTGTTACAGATAACATGAAACATTGAAAATCATGCTGGTTGTTTAAACATATTAAGATTGTTATCTAATTGCTATTAAATTTATAAAACAAAATTATTTACATTTTGTATTACATATACTTTTAAATTTATCATAAATAACAATAAAATATTTATTTCTATATACATTCTAATGGATAAGCAAATTACATTATATATATATATATACATTTACATTGCACAACGGTGTTTTGACATTGGTATTCTAGAGTTTTGTGTTAATATAACCTTTTCTTTGATACTACGAATGAGATTGTTCTTTGAATTTCGATGTTGTTTTGGTATTACTGTTATGTGATCAGAGTGAATATCTGTTTGTTGAAGATGATCGATCTTTAATTGTTGTAATGATTGTTTCTTCTCGATTATTGTCATTGATTATTGTTGCAATTAGATGTGATTGTTCTGATGTTACATTGGCAATGCTGAGTGAAGTGAGTGTATCGTTACCAATTAAAAAGTCATGCAATCTTGTTATCCACTCTGTGTCAAAATTAACATTGAATGTCACATGTCTAAGTGATGGCATTGACAATTCGAGATGAGGAATCAATTGAAGTACATAGTTATTAACTGGTTCCGATGTATCTAATGAAAGTCTTTGCAATAAATCCATCTTGTTTAACACTGTCCACAATGATTCACTGTCGAAATCTAGATCTTTAAGTTTAAGTTGAATAAGTCGGTCGGTAATTGAATCTAAATCTCTAAGTAATGTCTCTACGAATGTATCAATCGGTGTTGTAGCATCATCACCATTTTGTCGCTGTACCTTTTTACTTTTCTTGTAGCTATCTACATCGTTTGACTTGAAGATAGACACATCTCTGATTGTTAGATATCTGAGGTGTTGTAATCTAGCAAGGAATGGACCATAAACAGGTGCGTATGTATTGACAAGTGTGAGATCTACGAGGTTTGGTAAGAGGTGAATGAGTTCGCCAGTGAACTTTGAGCTTCCAGCACTAGCTCTTGATCTTTGGTTTTGATTCATGCTGTAATGAAGTTTAGTTAGATTCATCATTGGCAAGGTTGGCATGAACATTGCTGTGGTTTTGATTTTGTTTAATGTACAGGGAAAGTTGAATGCCACCGAAAAGCCTGCAGCTTTTTGCATATATGTGAATCGTACAATGTTTGTGCAACTATGAAGTAGTTGCTCAAGACCTTGTACATACTGTCTTTGGTCATGCGATGGATATATACTGAGTTTCGTAAGTGTAGGAATTGTCGATAATACCGATTCCATTCGAATTGAAGCCGTTTGAATCCGATAGATCTTAATAGTTTTCAAGTTGGTATAGTATTTGGTGAGTGAAACTTGATTGTTTGGTAACCATTGTCTGTTGTTCTTGGTGTTGGTTGGTCGAGGACGATAGAAGAGTGTCCAGAGTGTGAAATTAGGTCGTCTAATGGTATCGAAAATCAACTCTAACTTTTCAAGTGCAATTTTCGATGGTTCACGACTGGTATTGTTGTGTTTGTTGAGATTGTTGATGTAACTATTGTATTGTTTCAGTTGTTTTGGGTAGGTGTGTAGAGTGTTGCCATTCGTACTTAGAACCATCGATTTTGTGGTGAGTGGTACAATGTAGAGAAACCAATAACTACAAACCAATCCAAGTTCGAGGTATCTTGATGATGTAACTGTAGTTTTTGGTGATAGCTTTGTCTCTGGCTCATAACAATGATTTAGATACTCAAGTATCTTTCGCAACACCAAATCAGGCAATGAACACTGATTGTTGTCAATCTTTTTGATATGTGACCATCTTATACCCATTCTATTATTATATTTAACTTTTACTTTATTATAAAACTAGCTAACTCATTACTAATCTTTATTATATAAATTATAAAGTTTAAAACACTAATTTTACAATTATCTTTTTTATTTTTTTTCTTATTTCTTTTTGATTTGCATTTTGATCACACCTCAATTTTTCAACGAAACAATGAAGTTTGAAAAAAAAAAAATTGATACTAAAATCATTTATTTCTCTTACTCAATAATTAAATTAAATTTTGTAGAATTAAATAAATACATTTAGGGGGAACAGAACACTAATTAGTTCAAAGAGTTCATATTTTTGGACACATTCAAGTTGCCTGAGTATCTTGAGTAAAATATGTTTTCCCTCAATTTATAACCACTTAAAAGATAATAAGTTCAACTATAGATGTAGTTTTAAAAAAATAAATAAACCATTCTCTTTTTAAAAATAAACAATCAAACAAACTCTTTTTTTGTATAATAAAAACATGAAATTTTCCATCTTATTAATGCTTTTTCTTTTCGGTATCCTTCTAACCTTTGCTTATGCAAACTCAAGTGAAAGATGCACTAAATTAGCTAATACTTTCTTTCAACAATGTAAAACAATGAGTGAATACACAGTTGTAAGTATTTGAAATAGAATGTTACAAACTGTTAACTAATTTTAATTGTTTTTTAATAGTGCGAAGTTCTAAAAAATAGATTTCTATCAACTTGTCGTCTTCCATGAATATCATATAAATGAACTTTCTTCTTTCCATTCTCCTATATTTTCAAACGATCTTTTTTGATTTCTTTTAATTTAATTAAAAATTTAAATAAATGTTAACGATTTAGATTAAATTTCCGACATTCTGGTTAAACTTTAAAATAAATTCCTATGAATTTCGATGGTATAACATTGTTGGTAGTGTTAAATTGTTATTAATGATATATAAATAAAAGTTATAAGTTTTGTTTTATTTAATAGTATTAAATTATCGACCTGAACTTTAGTATACCTTTTTTTTGTTTAAAACCAACACGTCGAAAAATGTTTAAAATGCTATCAGTTTCTATCGATGAAAAGAAAAGGATTGTTATTGTCTGATTGATCTCGTTACATTGTATGGATCCCAAGAAAAGCTGTATTACAGTGGTTTAAAAACAAGTTATTATTATCATACATACACAAATGTTACTACCTATTTAATCAAAAATAATAATATATTTATTATAAATCGATTTATAATGATGTTCAAATTGATTTTAATTAATAATTCTATTTAATATTGAAATAGTTTTATATCATTTTTTGCATAATATAATAAAATAATCACCAACAACAGCCTAAACTAATTAAATAAATGAAACAATTTGCTATTTTATTATTGGTTGCTCTTTTGGGTATGCTTTTAACTTTGGCATCTGCAAACTCTAATGATAGATGCACTCAATTAGCTAATGCTGTCTTTGATCAATGTAGAGAAGGTCATGATTATAGAACCATATGTATTAAAATATAATAAAATAGTTTTAAATCTATTAACCAAAAGTTTAATTTTTTTTTTTCTCTATAGTGTGAAAGTCTATATGAAAGCTATTTAACAAATTGTAACTAAGAGTGAATGATTAGTTATTAATGTAAATAAACTTGCTTTTCATTTTTATGATTTAATTAAAAATAGATTGTTTTTCAAAAAAAAACCAATAACAATTCGACGAATGTGTGTGTGATTGCAAATCAAATCAAAAAGAAATAAGAAAAAAAAAATAAAAAGATAATTGTAAAATTAGTGTTTTAACTTTATAGTTTAAACCATAGGATTAGTAATGAGTTATAAACGTTTTATATAATAATAAAGTAAAAAAATGGGTATAAGATGGTCACATATCAAAAAGATTGACAACAATCAGTGTTCATTGCCTGATTTGGTGTTGCGAAAGATACTTGAGTATCTAAATCATTGTTACGACGTAGAGACCAAGGTATTCCCAAAAACTACAGTTACATCAGCAAGATACCTCGAACTTGGATTGGTTTGTAGTTATTGGTTTCTCTACATTGTACCACTCACCATAAAGTCGATGGTTCTAAGTACGAATGGCAACACTCTACACACCTACCCAAAACAACTGAAACAATACAATAGTTACATCAACAAACTCAACAAACTCAACAATACCAGTCGTGAACCATCTAAAATTGCACTCGAAAAGTTAGAGTTGATATTCGATACCATTAGACGACCTAATTTCACACTCTGGACACTCTTCTATCGTCCTCGACCAACCAACACCAAGAACAACAGACAATGGTTACCAAACAATCAAGTTTCACTCACCAAATACTATACCAACTTGAAAACTATTAAGATCTATCGGATTCAAACGGCTTCAATTCGAATGGAGTCGGTATTATCGACAATTCCTACACTCTCTAAACTCTGTATTTATCCATCACATGATAGACTTCAGTATGTCCGAGGGTTAGAACAACTACTTCATAGTTGCACAAACATTGTACGATTCACATATATGCAAAGAGCTGCTGGCTATCCAGTTCCATTCAACTTTCCTTGTACATTAAACAAAGTCAAAACCACAGCAATGTTCATGCCAACAATACCAATGATGAACCTAACTAAACTTCATTGCAACATGAACCAAAAAGCAAGAGTAACATTAGCGGCAAGTGCTAAATTCGACGGGCACTTCCTTCACCTCTTACCAAACCTTGTAGATCTCACACTTGTCAATACATACGCACCTGTTAACGGTCCATTCCTTGCTAGATTACAACACCTCAGATATCTAACAATCAAAGGTGTGTCTGTCTTTCAAAAAAACAACAATGAAGTAGATCATTACAGTAACAAAAAAGATGAATCTAGTGATGATGGTGATGTAGCTACTACCACTTCCGATTCTTTCAAAGATATACTACTTAGAGATTTAGATTCAATTACCGACCGACTTATTCAACTTAAACTTAAAGATCTAGATTTCGACAGTGAATCATTGTGGTCAGTGTTAAACAAGATGGATTTGTTGCAAAGACTTTCATTAGATACATCGGAGCCAGTTAATAACTATGTACTTCAATTGATTCCTCATCTCGAATTGTCAATGCCATCACTTAGACATGTGACATTCAACGTTAATTTTGACACAGAATGGATAACAAGATTGCATGACTTTTTAATTGGTAACGATACACTCACTTCACTCAGCATTGCCAATGTAACATCAGAACAATCACATCTAATTGCAACAATAATCAATGACAATATCGAGAAGAAACAATCATTACAACAATTAAAGATCGATCATCTTCAACAAACAGATATTCACTCTGATCACATAACAGTAATACCAAAACAACATCGAAATTCAAAGAACAATCTCATTCGTAATATCAAAGAAAAGATTATACTAAATGAACAGTCGAGAACGCCAATATCACGACATTGTGCAATGTAATATATATTCTAATAAAATACCATTTATTTTTTATTTATTTATTAAGTAACTTCTCTTAAATTTACAATAATAAGACTATATCTATTAAGTTTCCAATAGAATTAATCACCATTTTAATTCCTTGGTCAGGTTCAAAAGGTGTCATTTGAGATCTTCTAACGCTCCAAATGGTAGGACAACATGATTTAGTGTCTTAGCACCAACTCTTCTCTGATAAACACTTATCAAATAACAATCAGAGGGAATGTCTGTTTGTTAAAGATGATCTGTCTTTAAGTTTATCAATGTAGTCATGCTGGTTTTGTTTGTTTATATGGGTGTTAGGATGTCAGCAAATCGATAACCTGGGATATCTTGCTGGTAGGTCCATAAGACAGTAGTTTCTACGGGTTTTAGCGGAGGATCACCCCCTTGACAAAATGTTAGCTAACATTGATAGTTTTGTTTGAGATCGATGGTTTGTGGAGAATAAGATCCAGCTTTTCTAACTAGTGACTAGCTCATTTCTACCGATCAATGTGTGAACTGTCTGTATTTATTATTTGTTAATATGAATGATAATGCTGAAAAGTAAACAATTGACTTACGCTTAAATTAACACTCTAATTCTATCATCGATTTAATATATCTCTTTACTCTTGATCATCAATATTCTTTTTCTTTTCGCAAAACTGGCTCTTGCTTGTAACCATAAATCAAATAAAACAAAAAAAACCACTCTGATCATATTACAGTAAAATTACTATTTTTTTTACCATCTAGTACCAAACTTAAAGATTAGTTTATATCTTTTATACTTTTAATTTATAAAGTTTAAACAATATATTAACAATAAGTACAAATTAAGATGTATTCAAATATATAAGTCTTAATTTAAAAAAATAAAAATAAAAAATAAAAAAAAATAAAAAAGAAAAAAAGTTATAAATTCAAACATGACAATTATTTAGTACGGAATGGTGACAGTTGATGTTTTGAAGAAAAAATAATTTTTAAAAAAAATAATTTATTTAATATTTGGTCCATTTGCCTTTTGCCTGTATAATAGCTTCCATTCGGTTTGGAAGTGATTCATATAAATGATCAATTAATTGTTGGTCAATATCCTCCCATATCTCACAGATCACCTCCATCATATCCGCGCCAGGTGACTGTACATGTGATTCTTTACTTTCTTTTTAACTGTAACCCCTTAACCCCTCAAAAAAATTGAAACAATTGAATTCAAATCAAATGTTTAGGTTTAACACCCAGTAAAATTAAATTTTCAATATCTTTTTTGACAAATGTTTTTTCAATTTCTTTTACTCACTTATTTTTGTTCATTTTCATCTCCAAATCCGATCTAAACATATTATTATTAATTTAATGTCAATTATATTAATCATATAATAGTAACCTAACAATAACAAATTATAGTACAATCTAGTTTAAATGTACTCAATGAATGTTTGATGTCATCAACATGTTCATATTGATTCGGATGATTAGGACAATCTTTGTATACATTTTCAACATTGATGATAATAATAACACCACAACAGCCAATAATGAAATTAATGATAGTAGTAAATAGTAATTAATAATATCAAACTTAAATGATATGGGAAGCATGAAGATCATTATTCAACAACAGAGAATGATATCAAACAACACTTTGATAATTATATTAATATCTATTAGAGAGCAACAAAAGTACCAAGAGATATTATCAATGATAAAGATATACAGTCAATGTTCATTCCAACAAACTCTCAGTCTGATGATATACTCCTCTCACAAATGGGCAATGAATACAAGGTTAATGTTTCAATTATTTTTGAAATAAATAGATAAATATTATACGTTTATACCCTACATTGACACTATCAAGTGGTGATCAATTACACAATAGCTACTATACTTGAATAATATTTTAGTCTTGCAGTAATATTTTCAATCAATAACTCAACAATCATTCATATACTTGAAATCAATAGAACCAACCTATTCCAATTCTTTAAATTACCTTGAAAATACACTTTTAAATAGTGAATCAATCACACTTAATAATGGACAATCAATGACAAAACAACATCTATACTTGAAATCAATAGAATGTGATCAAACATATTCAAATTCATATAATAACCTTGCAATGACTTTCAATTGGTGAATCAATCACACTTAATAATGGACGATCAATGACACAGAGGCAACTATATTTGACGTAGTATAAGTTATACATCAACATCAATGACTATAATAAATTTGTTTCGGTAAAACACTGTAAATTTTATCAACATCAAATTGTACTTAATAAGTAAATGTCAAACCTTTTCATTAAGCTCCAAAAGTGTATTCAACATTTTAAGATACAATAATTAAATTGGAAAACATTTGATATCAAACTTTAACTTTCTATCTCAACCATACCCTTTAGACACTGTAATATTTGATTGAATATATTGATTTAACATATGAAGTAATGATTCTATGTTCTTTGGACCCTGATCTAAAAATCGATGAATTAGGTAAATTAATTGTGTGTGATATAATATAACCAAATCCAATCATATCTGGGCATGTCTTGCTGTTAGATCAAACTTTCGAGATAAACTTTTATACTCCACCTCCTCTGTTAGTATACTCCCAATACGTGATATCAAACCACAAGTTGCTGCAAGTCGGTCCTTTATTTCGGACAATGATACGCATTCTCTTTGGCATACCCATTTCATCTATTGACATTTTTGTTATTATTATAATGTTTGAAAGACATTCTTTAAATATAGTTGATTTTTTAAAGATTTATTATTATATCAACCTATATTTAGTAATTTAAAATAAAAAATAATTAATTTTAAAAAAAATTACTAAAGGTTGATTTTCAAATAAAGATAAGAGTTTTATTTTAAAATATATTTTTATATTTATTATTGAATTATATTTGATATCTGATAATCGAACTCTGCATGTATCGTACCCTGGCCACATTATATTATCAAAACCGCGAAATTTCGTGAAAATTTTCTTTTCTAAAACTTCTTTCAATCGACCAGTAAAATTTCTATTTTTAACATCTTCACAATGAAAGTATTCTTTCAGGTCGATGATGATGCCGCTTAACCGTTCAATTGAGCATGTGTTACGGGTGGCTAACTCCATTGTTGATGACTCAAACTTCTAAAGAAGCACACTGTAGTCGTCAAGCATATCCATTTCTTTTTCATTCATGAGTAACTCTGACTGATCCAATAAAATCTGATCGATATAGACCTTTAGCTCCAAGTATCGGATGACCATTTGATATACATAGGTCCAACGGGTAGGACAGCTGAGTAGTACCTTATACTTTTTGGACTTTGTTTCCTCTGCGGTGAGTGGTGAAAAATAAAAAAAATTTTTTGGGGTTAAACAATTAAATTTTTTTATTTAATTTTTTTTATTTAATTATACATATAAGTACTCTGAGAGGACCACCATTAAGAATTCAAAATTGCATAATTTAACTACCACTTCCATATTTAATTCATGAAATGAGTAGTCAACATCTTCACCTTTTACATGAACTCCTCTGTAATGATATTTTAATATGATATCATATCTGGAAAATTCCCTCGTAGAAATACTCTAATGGATACAAAGTTCAAGATGATAACTTATTAAAAATATTTGAATAAAAAATAAATAAAAAAAATTTTCATTTTAAAAAATTTTTTTTTTTGTTTTTTTGTGATTTGTGCTTTTTTGACCGTTTTTGTCATGGAAATTAAAATGTTAGTTTTTTTTTGATTTTTTTCATATTGAATATTATTAAAATAATAAATAATAAATAAATTATAATTATTATAAATAAATAATTAATTATTATTATTTATTTGTTATAATTATAATTTTATATATTTAATAAATAAATTATATATTATTATAATATTATATAGAAAGCCAAAAAAAAAAAAATGTCAAATTTATACAACAGTTATTCATCTAGTATATTATCTATTGAAGATACCGACTACAAATGTAGTAAGCACAAACTACCGAAGGACTGCCTATGCTTGGATTGCAATTCGATCATGTGTGCAAAGTGCGCGTTCACCAAACACAAGAATCACAAATCCTACTCGATCGGGCAGATTCGTCGGAGCTTGAAGTCCTCTCTGCCCATCGATAGCAATTCATCACCGAGTCAACAAAACAAACAAGACCGAGATGCACACGCTGAATTGGGTAATGACGACTCTGACTCTGGCTCCGACTTTGACGAAGACGAAAACAACAATCTGCCGCTCATAAGTGGTCGATTCATCAAGATCTGGGAGAATTTCAAGAAAAATTCGCAAACGTACAATGCGTTGAACAAAACAATAGATGAGATCCAGGATTACTTTGGGGAGATTCACGATCTCATGATAGTACAGGAGCATCGTCTGAAGAAATCATTTGTGGACCACATCGACGTAATCCAAAATAGTATCGATGGTATGGTTAAAGAACTGCGCAATTTAATCACAATATACAACGTTGCAAATCCATCACCTCCCAACTCCAAGTCAAGCGACGATGCCAAGGTATCAATCGAAAAGATCTCGTTCGAAAAATACACCACCCGAAATATAATGGATTCTATCAGTAAATCTAGTTCTATAAGAGAGTTTATCAGTGCGAATAGCCATTCATTGTTTGCAGATACCAATCCACTGAGTCGGAACAATAACAACTCAATGGTCGATCCCGAAATACTGAAAGATGAAGATCACAGGAATTACTTTATTTTGGATCAGATCCTCAGACACCACAAGGCATTTGGAAACTCTGAAAGCGACGGCAATCAAGACACTGACATTACCACCCAGCGACTTTTAAATACGAAAATGATTCCCAACAAAGAAATAACCAAACAGATCTGCGAGTTAATTCCACAGCTAGTGAGGATAAGCGATGAACTGATGGTTCCTCATCTCTTCTGTCCGAGTCCCAACACTGTTACATTGGTGGATCTCTCGAAGGACATCATGGTATCGACCAACAGCTCGCAACAGACCTATGGCGATGGTCTGATCAACTCGATAGCAACAACACCGGACTTTGTATACATATTCGGTGGATCAGATTACCAACATTCCAACGGTTATCAGCGATATTCGATCAACGAAGAGAAGTGGGAGAAGATCACATCCCAGGAGATGGACGGTGGCAGATTGATTTCGGCGTGTTACGATCATAAGGACAGTATCTACCTATTCAACGGATTCGGTAGAAAAGATACAAAGATAGATCGATTCGATATCAATAAAAAGACCTTTCATAGACTCGGCGAGATTGCCAACACCAACAACTATCAGGTATTCTCCTATTACTACAAAGATGCAATCTACACAATGACAGCGGTGTCAAAGAAGATATTAAGATTAACCTTGACAGGAAATGGCCAGGCAGCTGCCAACAATCCAGAGAATGAAGGCAAATCGGATATTACCACTAGTTCCGGCGAACCAGATAATTATTTTACGATTACAGAACACATTGTTTCCGATAAATTGATCAATTCAACTGCGCACTGCATCGATGAGGAGAAAGGTGATATCTATATACACACGGATGACAACAAGTTTTGGGTGGTCAATCTTGGCACCAGGGAATTTAAACCACTTCAGTACATCAACACACAGATCAAATTCAAACACTATTGCTCCATGGTATTCTATAGGGATTCGATCAACCAATCATTTATTTATTTTATCGGAGGCAAATCGTATTCCAACTATCGATACAATACTTCAAAGAATCAATGGGATCAGATTCTAACTGAAGATACTATGCATAGAGGTGGATGGCCATCAACATTAATAAAAAAAACAAAAACAGAAATTTAAATTTTATAACATTTGTATGAACTTATAATACTTTTGAACAATTTTTTTTTTTTTTAACTTTTTTAATAAAAATTAAATCATATTTAAACATTGAATACAATTGTATTATTGTTGACAAACCAATTGACAGGAAACAAAGTCTTGATAAATCTGATACTGACATACAAGCTATTGGGTTTGCGGCAATATTGACTAAGTTTGACTAAAAAATTAATAGTATACTATATTCATACTCAAGAACAATAACTGTAATTTCGAGATCAAATATTATCAAAAGGAGATGTGTTACCGTAATAATTGAAATCACTAGAATTTGAAAGAGATTCAATCAAATATTGTCATAGGATGTGTTCTATTACCTAGAATTAAGATAGAATTAAGAGAAAAGTTTTGACAACTCTTAGAGTTTTATTTTGGTTTAATTGCCAACCATTACCAAAGAGTAGTTTGTTTTACTTTAAAATAGTAATGAATGGACTTTTGGTAGATTTGGAAGTGCATTAATTAACTTATTATTCTTTAATTTTATTTTATTGATATTTTTAATTTTTATAGATTGATTTTATAAGATATTTCTGTAGATTTTTTAATTATTTTACAAAATTCTTGATCACAAAAGAAAATCTATTAAATTTTATTTATAAAATCCCAAAAACATAGAACTGATGGTTTATATAAACTGTTCATTGAACAGTTGATTTTTTAGTCTGATAGATTCATTCTTGGTCGTTAACATATATAATTATTACTATATAGATAAAAGTTATAATTCAATTATTTTTTAATCATATTATATATTTTATAATCATGCAGTTAACAAAGTATCATTGCGCAGAACACGATAATAGACAACATGAGTTTATTTGTTATCAATGTAATAGTTTGATGTGTTCAAGATGCATAGTGACCCACAGCAACGAACACCCTGATCATTCACTACAATATGAACATATCGACGACATCAGACAATCTTTAAATAATTTATATCCAACAGACTCTGATAATAACAACAACACCAATAATAATAATAATAATAATGATACAGAGAGTAAATTCAATAAAAATGTAAGATTTACAATCAATTCATTGTGGAGATCATTAAAAACATCTTCATCGAAATATCAATCATTATCAACATCAGAAAGTGATATCACACAACACTTTGATCAGTTACGTCAGTATATAAATAATGAAGAGCAAAAATTAAAACAATCAATCACCAACGATAAAGATACAGTATTTAATCAAATGGATAATGATTTAAATCATTTGAAACATATTGTTAATATCGTTAGTCTAAATAATAAATTACAAAACGATAATAATAATAATCAATGTAAAGAGGAAGAAGAAGAAGAAGATGTCAATACTTCAGCAATGATCGAATCAATAGCATCCAGTTCATCAGTACAATCATTCATCAAAGACAATAGACAATCTTTACAACTGGTCAGTCAAAGTAATAATGATATCGAGGATAGTCTCAGACAAAACAATAATTCAAAATCAACATTATTATTAGATGTTATTTATAACTATAATAATCAATTCAAAACAAAAACAACAGATAACAAAAATAATAATAATAATCTAGTATCTTCATATGAAGTAACAACAAAACCAATTGATTTCGAACCATTGAATTCAATGATCGAACAATCAATCAAACTTACAAAAATAGAACCTTCAACCTATATTCTATCAACACACAGAGCAAAAGGAGCAACACTCATCAACCTATCCAATAACAGCACCGCCGAAGAAATCAAAGCCGATTTCGATTTCTTTGGTACATTCCAATCAGTGGTTACCGTTGGTGAATATATCTATATATTCGGTCCGGGTGACAATCCAAACAAATGGATGAAATTCTCGATTAAAACGAAATCCATTGAACATATCGGTGAAATCGAGGGAGAAGACCACTGTTTTTACAAATCGGTTTGCTACGACGGCCTAGATCATATTTATTTGATAAGTGGCCGAGAGTTCAGTGAATCCGACCAGACCTACTCTGCCAGAATGGATAGACTCAACATCAATACAATGAAAATCGAAAGATGTCCAGATCTTCCGGAGCTCTGTGGTTACCAAGTATCTTCGATGATCTACAACGGTCAGCTATACTCATTGAGTATGAAAAACAGTTGGTTGTATCAATACGATTTGGCAACCAGCAAAGCATTACCAGAGTATTATAATTATATAAAGGCATTCTCAGCATGCCACGACAACAATGGTAATTTCTATATTTTCGATGAAGAAGAAAAAAGATTCGCCAGATTCAACGTTGAAACCAAAGAAGTAACCGAACTCAGCTTTGTTGAACCCCACGATGCTTATTTGATGTACCATAGAGAATCACCAACATCAAGCTTTATCTATTCGATGGGTGGTAATCATGGTAATTTCAAATATTCGATAGAGGAGAACCGATCCGAACCATTCTATCCAAATGACAAATTAGATAGAATTTGTTGTGCGTCTGCAGTAATTAAATTTTAAACATTTATAATTAGATTGCGAAAGTTATTAAATTAATATAATATATAGTTTTAGATATTATTACACAGTACATAAAATTTTTTATTTATTGTGCAAACTACTATTCACAGTTGGAATGATTTCCTGATTCAATTGACTCTTTTTCTCCAAAAATAATCCAATTTAGACAATTTCCAAGACACGGAGATTTAGAAACTAAGGAACCAACGCACTTGCACACATAATTTAGGAATTGGTATTCAATTGGAATGCAGATATCGCTGTTGGGAAACAATAGTTTAAGTAACCCTATTGACCAATTCATGCAGTTGTTGTTCAAGGCACTGAATTTAAATGTATTACTATATCTGTCTGCAGTTTTCATGACTAATTCTAATGATTGGTTACTAGATCCTATTAATATTCTTGTTATAATATTCTTTGATGATTCATTAAACTTTTCAAAATGAAACCCCATAACACCATTCTTGTTTTTTAAATGGAATACCATTTTGATGTTTTGACTTTCCAAAAGAATTGTCCAATGGTAAATAAAATCTCCCACAATTTTTCTGGCTTGGGTACATTTTCCACAACTATTTTCTGAAAACTGTCTATATAAAACAAGGTAAAAATTATTCATAGTTATAACTATATTTGTATTTGTATCTAATTTCTATATAGAAAAATGAATTAGATGAATTTAAAGAATATATATAACTACGGGAGAAATAGAATATTTATATTATATAGAACAAGACAAAACTAAAATTCACAAGTTTTTATCATAATTATCATAAAGTTTGATATCAGGTAGATAAACTGGTGTAATTTTTACAATTTTAAATATAATTCATATTAAAACAAACTAGAATTCTAAAAGTTCCCTTACACAAATTAAAGCTAATCAAATTTTATTTTTTTAATAATGATTTTCATTACTTTTAAAATGTTTTTATTTTTTCCTAACATACTTTCAAAAAACAACTCCCCAATAATTTATAATGATAACCATTAACTGTGTAAATTAAAATTAAAGTATCTAATGATTTTATAAAAAAAACAAACAATAAAGTATTTTCTTAAATAATAAAAGTAAAAAATTCAAGATAAATAAATATTAGAGCATGATCTTTACAATTATTTTGAAAAATTTTTTTTGTTTTTTTGTTTTTGATTATTTATTATATTTTATTTATAATTCTGAAATTGTTAAAGTTCCCTAACCCCAATACCAATTTTTAAGGTATTGATTTACAAATAAGAAAAAAGATCTTCATTTACCTTTTGTTCTTTCGAATTTGACAAATGTTTAAAAAATTGTAGCTAATTATGTATATCTATGAAAAGTATTACCAATTGTTGGATTCTATTGAATATCTCCAATTTCCAAATTTAAAACCGCCGAATGAATAGATAAAACTTGAGGTTGGTGATTCTCTATGATACATCAAAAATGCGCATTCTTCGCTGGTAGAAATAAACATGCTTTGTTGATTTTCAACTTGTATGTGATGAAGTTTTGGTTATTCCGATCGAATATATAGAAAGTTCCAATGTTATCATGACATGCCGAGAAAGGAATAAAGTTTATAAAATAATTCGTTGTAGTTCATAAGATCGTATTGGAACAAAAAATTACCTTGCAATGGTAAGGAGTATAGTTGGCCGTTGTAAATCATTTACTCCTTTCGAATGATGTGCTGTGAAGATATATGTAGGATCAATTAGGATTGTTCTACTATTGCTATGAATTCATATGATAATAATCTTGAATAATCATTTTGACTCTTATTATTATTATTTTATTATTGCTGTTTGTTGGTTTGTATTTACTGTTGTATTTATATCTAATAGTAATGACGACGTAGAATTACTATGTTGTTCAGGTAGAACATCTATATTGAAACAATTATTATATTTATCATAGTTGAATAATGTTTGATTGTATTGATGAACAAGCTGATATTGATTTCTTTATTGTCTCTGTAGAATAGAGATCTGTTGTATCTGGTATAGCTGTATTATATTCTGAACTACTACTATTATATGATTGTTTATTTACTCTCATTATTATTATTATTATTATTATTATTATTATTATTATTATTATTATCATCTATTATAAATAAATTTTCGTTTAAAGATTGTTTGATGTCATCGATATGATCACCTCCACCACACCTCGAAAAAATAGCGTTTATGGACTGCTTTTTCAAAACGGAATCAATAACAAAAGATGCTCTTCCAGCATCATTGCGAACCATTACCAATGGTCTATATGAATGGATCAAAATTTGAAATATCTTCCGTGTCTGACCTCATATTCATGCTGTAGGGATAAAAAATAAATTAATAATTAAGTTGTTGTAAATAAAGATAATTTATTTGTTAATTTATCACATTTATTTTAAAAGAAGATATAATCGATAAAATGATCACTTAATAAGAGAGATTAAAAGTTAAATTAGAATAAACTTTAATATTATACTAACTATTTAAAACAAAATAAATAACTATTTCTTTTATTACATTTCAAATTAAAATTAAATAAAAATTAAATAAAATAAAATACACAAAAAAAAAAAAAAAAAACGAAATCGTGCAAATTTTTTTCTTTTTTTTTTTTTGTTGATTATATTTTTTTATTTATTACTAAATTAATCATTTATTGAAATGGCAGATAAAGTAATAGATAATAAACAAATTTTCATTAGTAATCTACCTTTTGATACAAAGAAAGAGGAGATCGAAGAGTTCTTTTCAGAGGTCGGTCCAATCAAACGTAGTTTCATCGTTACAAAGAAAGACGACAAGACCAAATGCACCGGTAACGCATTCCTCTGGTTTGCTCTTGCCGATCATGCAAAAGAAGCAATCAAATCATTCAACAACAAGAAATTTAAAAATAGATCAATCAAAGTTGAACAAGCAAAACCAAAAAGAGAAGATGAAAATAACAATAGCAGCAATCAAAGAGATAATAAAAGAAATAATAATAATAATAAAAAAGTAGATGAAAAAGTAGAAAAAGTAGAAAAAAAAGAAGAAACAAAGAAGGATAATAAAATAGTTGAAGAAATTAAAGTAAAGAAAGAAGAAGTAGTAGTAGAAGAATCAGCAACACCAAAGCCATTACAATTACAACAACAACCATTACAACAACAACAAGTAGCAATTGCAATCAATAACTTTGAAATTAAAGATAAGAATGATTTTGCAGCATCGTTAAAGGTCAAACCAGGTTTGATGCATTCAGTCAAGAGGATACCATTCTCTGACAACACCACTAGAATCTACTGTTGGAACGACAAGGGTGCCAATGAACTTCTCGCCAAACTCGCTACTTTCAAACATAACGGTAAACCACTTATCTATGCCAAAGAGACCAACATTTTATTATCACATGAATTGGTTATTAGAAATTTAAATTTCACTGTAAGTTATTAATTTATTAAACGAGCTGCTTTATTATTTATATCAGAGATATTAATATTAACAATCAATATTATTATAACGTATATAAATATATAGTCAAATATTAGTCATGTTAATGAATCATTCAAGAAATTCGGTCAAATTCTTTGGGTTAAAGTACCAACTAAACAAACAGATGCTGGTAACCAACAGGTATCGAAAGGATTTGCTTTTGTGTTGTTCTCCAGTAGAGATAGTGCACAGAATGCTATGGATCAGTTGAATGGCAAACCATTGAACGGTAGAAATATCGCTATCGATTGGGCAATTCCACAAGAGGCATACAAGTCATATCTCAAGTCAAGACAAGAGGAACAAAGATTAAAGGAAGAACAAGAGAATAAAGCAAAGAAACAATTGGAAGGTGAAGATGAAGAAGAGGATGAAGATGTTGAAGAAGAAGAAGAAGAAGATAACAAGAAAGAGAAAACAGTAGATTTCGACAGTGAAGAGGAAAAAGAGAATTTCAATATAGAATCTGACAAAGAAGGTGAAGATGAGGAAGATGCTGAAGATGAAGACGATGCTGAAGAAGGAGAAGGAGAAGATGAAGATGGTATGGAAATGGATGAAGAATTCGATGAAGATGAAATGGAAGATATGGATGACGAAGATATGGATGATGACGATATGGGTGATTTCGATGAAACTAAACAAGATAGAATCGAAAGAGAAAGAAAAGAAAGATTAGCTTCAAAAGAAAAGAATAGTAAGTTAGCATATGAAATGAAATAACAATTAACACTTTAATTATGTTAACATTTATTGTTTTCTTTACTTTTTAATAATCTATAGAAAAGGAAGTTGGAGAAGGTAAAACATTGTTTATTAGAAATGTTAGTTTTGATACAACTCAAGAGGATTTGGAAAAGAAGTTCTCAGAGTTTGGTAAGCTCAAGTTTTGTCGTTTGGTTTTGGATCCAACCACTGAGAAACCAACCGGTAAGGCTTTCGTAAAGTATCTGGCAGAGAACAGTGCCAACGCTGCCTTGGAAGCTGCCAAGGTGACCAACTTGTTCGATCCGACCAAGGATTTGTCTGACAACAAGAATGCCGAGAAACAACGTGCCAAGATGGAGAAGAAGCAAGACTTTTCGCTCTCGACACTGCTACAGGGTGGAATTATGGTTCATGGACGTAATTTGATTGTCGATGTAGCCGTCGATCACGAGAAAGCCGGTGAACTCAAGGATAACCGTGTTGCCAAAGTCGACAAGAAGAACAAGGCGTTGCTGTTGGTTGGAAAGGTGTTGCAACAATCGGAGCTCGGACAGTTATTCACCGAAAAAGATTGGAACATGAGAAGTGTTGCCGATCGTGAAGCCAACTACAAGTTGAAGGTCAATCCCAACTACTATGTTTCACCAACCCGTCTGTGCTTTAGAAATCTCCCACTGTCTGTCTCTGACAAGCAGTTGAAGTTGGCCTGTCAGAAAGCATTGAAAGCCAAGTCCAATAAATCAAAGATCTTCTTTGCCAAGGTCGCAGTCGACAAGGAGCGTGTCAACGCCAACGGAAAGGCCAAGTCAAAGGGATATGGATTCGTCGAGTTTGAAGATCACCAAGCTGCTCTGGATGTCATTCATTCGCTGAACAACAGTACCAAGGTTTTCACCGGTCAAGACAAGAAAGAGTTTAGAACATTCATTCAATTCTCGATTGAAGATGCTCGTGTCGTCAAGAAGCAAAAGGAGATTCAAGAGCGTATCGTTTCACAGAACGAGAGAAGAAAGCAACAGCTGTTTGAAGAGAAGAAAGAGAAGCGTAGACAAGACAAAGAGAGTGGAGTTGTCAAGGAGAAGGAAAAAGGTAGAGGTGCTAAGCAACGTGAAAAGAAACGTTTGATGAGAGAGAAACTGCAGGCTGCCGGAATCAACCCAGAATCAGTCAACCAAAAGAATCAACAACAACAAAAGAAAGATCAAGAAGAACAAGTTGATCTTCCACAACACGTTCAAGAGAAGATGTTGAGAAAATTAAAGAAACAATCGACAACCACTACAACCAACAACAAAACAACTCAACCAAAGAAATTCAACAACAACAAGAGAAAGAATACTGATGACGATGAAGACGACGGTGATAACAGATTGATTTCAGTTTCCAACCCAGATGTTGTACACAAAAAGAAAAAGAGATGGACTGATTATTAAATAACAGAATAACATCTATCTATTAAAACAATAAATAATAATTATATTTGAATACAAGATAACTTATTCTTTTAAAAAAAAACATGATTTTATATTAAAAAAACAACAAAATCACATTCATTTATGAACACTATTTATATTGTTTAATTTGAAATTTTGTTGTGATAGTACATGTGATAACTCCTGATTGATCAATTGATTCTTTGATGGTATTCTCTTATGTGCTGTTTTGTCACCACCTGAACTGGTATTTCGATGTAGACTCAGAAGGTTAGGTGTAGATGTATTCTCTGGTTTAAATTCCGGTGAAATATTAAAAGTTGATCCAGATTTCTTTTTCTCATGACTAATCTTTTCCAATCTCTCTTTTTCTTTCTTTTCTTTTTCGAGTTTCTCTTTTTCCTTCTTCTCTGCTTTCTTTTTCTCTTTCTTTTGTGTTTCAATTGATTTCTTTGGTAAATTAATTAATGTATCTCTTGTCATTCTCTATAATAATAATAATTTAGATAATATCTATCATGTTAATAAAGAATAATATAGATAATCTAAACAATTATTATTTACTCTTTCAATAAATCTTGGTACTAAATTATAATTTGGATAAGCTTGATAATATTCTGATTCGATTTGATCTCTCATGGCATTCCTCAGTTGAGAGACTTCCTGTGAGATGTTTTGTAAATTGACTGATCCATTCTGACCAATGTTCATAGAACTATCGATTATATACATGTAATGCATTGAACTTAGCAGAATCTCTTTATATTTTCTCTCGTATTCATCTGCTCTATCCTTTTCCTTATTTGATTCTTTTTCCAGTTCTTTTATTCTTTGTTTTAATAAATTATTCTCCATCTACAAAAAATAATAATAATAAAAATTTAAAAATTAATAAATTGTTGCTTTAACAACTATCTCTATTCTATGAATTATTAATAGCTTACGGTTAATTTCCTCAATTCTTCTGAATCTTGTGTTAAAGAGGAATTGGTAGATGATGGTCTAATTGCTATTGTATTTGATTTCTCATCGTCATCCGATGTGAAATGATGTTCATTTACATTCTCCAGATAGGAATGATGAACGTTTGGTGACGAACTCATTGGACTATTGTTATTACTACTACCGGATGCATCTCCGCTCTTTGAATTGAATGCACTGATCGTCTTTGAAATATGATCCATCACATTCGATGCTCTAGGATTCACCGATGCTCTATTCGACTTGTACTTTGCAATCCAACGATGATTAATTAATTCCTTTGCAGAAGCTCTTTCTTCAACTGATTTCACAAAACATCTATCTAAAAACTCATTTAATTCCTTTAATCAATCAATCAATCAATTAATCACCATTAGTATTAATTTTATATATATATATCAAAGATAATAAAAACAAACATACTGTTGTAATATTCTTTGGGTATGGTGGTTTTACATCTTGTACAATTCTAAACATCGCTGCCATTGGGTTGTGGTTGTAGTAGGGAGGCGAACCGGTTAGGAGTTCGATGATGGTGCAACCGACCGACCATATGTCAGAGACTTGACAGTGGCCACTGATGTCGATCACTTCCGGTGCCATCCAATAGGGTGTTCCCACGACAGAGTAACGCTTGTCCGACTCACCCAGTTGTGCAGCCACATTGAAATCCGCTAGTTTCGCATCACCAACCTTGTTTATCAGAATATTCGCTGCTTTAATATCACGATGTATGATATTCTCGCTGTGCAAATAGATCAGCCCATTGAGAACGTGCTCTATATAGTTGGATACCAACGACTCTGGAAAAGTACCAAACTGATTCATAATGCTCGAGAGTGATCCATTCTCCATATACTCCAATATCAAATAGATATAGGTATCGTTCTCATCTTTACCCAGTACACTAACAATATTATCGTGTTCAAATTTCTTCAAGAAATCCAATTCCACCTAATTTTAATTTTCAAAAGAAAAAGAAAAGGTTAGATTAGAAAACAATCTTAGATATCTTGTTAAACACTAAACACTAAACACATACCATAACACTTGTAAGTTGCTCTTTTGATATCTTTGATTTATCGAAACGCTTGATTGCTACAAAGTCACCGGATATACTGTTGAGACCTTTGAATACGGTGGCGAATCCACCTTTACCTATCATTTCACCGATAACGTATGGTCCGATCATGTTTTTCAGTGATGACGTCATCGATGCCTTTTTGTTTCTTGATTCCGATGAGAAATTGAGTGGTGGAAGGTTCGATGCTGCTGGCATATAGATACCATTCTCATAATGTTGATTATTATTATGATGGTTGGCATGTTCCTCATCACCACTAGCAATATTATCATCGATAGTCATCTGATCTAAATCTGTCTTATCAATTACACCATCACAGCTACTTCTATCACTACCACCACTTCTTCTAATCTTTGAATTTGGATTCATCGCTCTCCCCACTACTAACTTTATTTATTTATTTATAAACTAGTATCTATCTTTAGCTATATCTATATATTCTTATTAATCTATTTGAAAATAAATATATGTCATTTAATAATAATAATAATGAATGACCTGTTTTGACTAATCTAAATTAAACTATATCTGATTGTTGTTGTTGTTTAACTGATTTTACTTTTTTTCTAAATATTAATTATTAATATAATACTGTATTTATAATATATATATATATTTTTAAATCTAATCTTTTTTTTAAAGAAAAATAACAATTATGAATGATTATTAATTTAAGTTGTTGTTATTGTTGTTGTTAACACATTCAAGACATAAATAGTCAATTGACTGATTAATTAATGATGATTATTTTTAGGTTTATTGTTTTTTTTTTTTTACATTAATTATAATAGGATGGTTTGCTATTATAATAATGCATAAAGTGTCTGTTTTTATAATTTATTACAATTCAAATGAAAAAATTGTAACCACCAATTTTATGTTAATTCCTATAAAAAATAATCTTTGGATAAAAAAAAAAAAAATTTAAAAAAAAAAACCAAAGATCTTTATAAATTATGAGATGGCTGATGGATGTTAAAAAAAAAAACAAACAAAAATAATATCTCTAAATAGGTAAACATATGATCAAAAAATAATAATAAATGATTGATTGATCAACAGATATTAATGTTAATAATTGAAAAGACACAACACACACACAGATAGACATACACCCACACATAAATAAATAATATATATGTATATAACTTTTAATTAATTGATAATTATTACTAAATGTATAAATCACTTTGATTTATAACTTAAAAGTTGAATTAATTACCTATGATAAGTTTTTAGAAGTGTAGGATGAGTTTATTTTTACAAAATATAGAATTAAATTAAAGTTCATTAAGAGTGATGATGATAATGAGGGTGGTGACTGATGGTGATGGTAATTTAGAATGATAAATATAACAATGAACAAAAATGTCCACTATGATGAGGAATCAAGTGATAAAAACGGAAAACTAAAAATATGGATTAGGAAGATTTAGATTTAAAAGTTTAAATAATGGGATGGATAATCTTTTTTAAATAAATGAGATGAATAATATAAACGATATAAATAGGATCAATCAGTTGATTCAATTGTTAAAACAATAAAAAATTTAAAAGAAAAACAAAACTTTAGTTTACAATTTCCAACATTTATCTAAAAAAATGACTTTATACGGTAAGTTTATATAGTTTATCTTATTTTTAATAATATTAATATATTTTAATTGTTTTCAATAATAGGTTCATTAAAAAATTTAACATTACAACCATCTTCATTTTCAAATCATGTAAATACATCTATCCACATCGATTCAGGTAGTGTTATCTCCGTTGATCAATCCGGAAACAATACAGAATCCATTCAATCTTTCCAATCATTTTTAGAAGCCATATCAAAATTCTTTGGGTTTGCCTATGAAAAATATAATTATAATTAATAATTTGATTCAAAACAAAAAAACAATTAATTTTTATAAACTATAATATATATTTATAGTAGTATATTCCAAAACTTTAACTAATAGTTAAAAACATTTTCTTAATTAATGAAAGAAATCCTACTTTTATCAATATTAATAAAACTATTCACAATTCATTCATTCATTCTTTCTTTTCCTATTTCTCTGATTCATTAAATATCAAATGATTACTTTTTGATTTCTATTTTTAAACTTAATTAATTTGTTTTTGTTTATTTTAATATTATTATTTTTGTTGTTGCTGTTGTTGATGTGAATGAGTATGATAGCAAATCGGATGATAGGGTGTAAAGGTACCATCGAATGTCCTATAGGAAGGTGGTAAATACATAAACATCGAAGAGTCCAACTGCAGAATATTCTGACATCCTTTACATTCCTCTACAAACAAACCTCTGAACGACCAAATCCAATTCTAAAAAATGATTGATTGATTGATTAAAAGTAATAAAATTATATATTGTTTTGTTAGTTAATGATATTTTTAATCATACATAATATTAAAATGTAATACTTACTAATATATTCTTTAAAATAGAAGTACCACCTGTATTTGAAGTGTAATAGCTGATAGCTTCATAGGAGTTCTCCGATATCTTTCTGAATATATTGAATTTAGAGGTATCCCAAAATGAATCAAACTTTTCTTTTATACCAAAGAATGCAATTCTATCGATTCTATAGCATTCCGATGATTCCTCTGACATTGCAAATGATATCAAACATTTAAATACATCTGAAAATATAACCTATTATTAAAGAAACATGTTTATATTATTAATATTGCCATAGTTTATTTATAGTTATATATATCTACAGACTAACTTACAAATAAACCTTTACTAACATCTTTATAAGGATGTGATTGTATTTTATGTATTTCTAAAGCTGTTTCTTGTTTTGCTGATTGTATAATACTATCTATATTACTATTATTTAAAGTATATATAATGGTTAATCGTTATTAATTAATTAGTTTGTTTTGTTTTCTTTAGTTTAGTTTATACTTACGAATATGTATCTAATGATGTTGTAGATTTTAAAATAGGTGATAATGATGCTGATTTTGATCTTAAAATAGGTGATGATGTAGTTGATGTAGATATCGATGTGACTGTATTGGTGGTAGATGTTGATGTTGATGATAAAGGTAGTTTCTCATCAATGATCTGTTTTCTCTTTTTCATTGTATTACTATCTACATGTGATGATCTAAGTAATGTTGGATATTTCTCATTTAATTTACTTTCTAATAAACTATAGTTTATAATATAAAATATGATTTGAAGATTAATAATCATCATCATTTTAAAGTAATTATTGACAATATACTTACTTTAATGCAAATGTAGATTTCTTTGCAGTTTCATGTCTCCAAAAGTATTCTAGTTTGATTTGATTCTGTACTTTGATGTTTAGTTGATCGTAAATACCGGTGTGTTGTGCCCAGAGTTGTTCGATCGGTTGGAAGCTAGAGGTGTGTGGGAAGAAGCTGTAGGGTGCCAGCTGCTGTTGTTGCACTTCGATTTTCTTGAGTGATTGCTTGATGGTGGTCAGTGCCTGTACCAGTACCTGCTGCTTGGCTTCACGTGAGATCGATGGGTTGATAATGGGCATCGATTGATTATTTACACTCTGTTTGGCCTCTTCGATAATCGTAGAGAATATCTGATCGACATTCACTCTTAGGAATCCTATCTGCTCGATGATCTCATCATATTGCTCCAAGATGTGTTTCTGTTGGACTGTCGGTAGTTTATGTGTTTCTTCTTTTGGTGGTATAATAGATAATGGTTGTTGTTGTATACTTGTAGAGGAAGATGCTGAAGAAGTAGGTGTAGAAATTGTTGTTGTTGTAGTTGCTGCTGTTGGTATATTAGTAGCAGTAGTAGTAGTAGTATTAGGGGTTGATGTTATATTTCTATTTTGTAAATGTTGTTGTTGTTGTTGTAGTTGCTGTTGCTGCTGTTGTTGTAGTTGAAGTTGTTGTTGTTGTTGTTGTTGTAGTTGTTGCTGCTGTTGTTGAAGTTGGTGCTGTTGCTGTTGCTGCTGGTGTTGCTGCTGTTGTTGTAGTTGCTGTTGTAATTGCTGTTGTTGTATTTGTTGTTGTTGTATTTGTTGTTGATGTAGTTGTTGCTGTTGTGGATGAACTAACTGTTGTTGTTGTTGTTGTTGTTGGTGACCGATATTATAATTAGGGTTTGACATTTGTTGTTGAAAACTATTTAAAAAATAATGCTGAAAACTTCTGAAGTTTACAGATTAATATTATATGTAAAATTCAATTGTTATTTTTGGAACTATCAAAATAAAATTGGTAGTGTGATCAAGTTTTATTACTTTTTTTTTTAAGATATTGTTATTTTAATTATGTTATGATATGTTATTTAATTATTATCATATTATTACATGCTATTAGAAAGCAGGATCACCTTCGTATTCTATTCATTTAGAAATATCATCAGACTCAACAAGAAATAGAGGGAAACGATGATGTTCTACAATAGAAAACAGGTTATTAGAAAAAAAACAATTTTATTCCAAGAACATGATATCATCTGTTATTTATGTTTTATTTTATATTTTTGTTACATTAAATCTTTTAATTAGTTTATATTGAAATTAATACAGATCCACAGAAACTTCTAACGAATTTATCATCCTCAAAGAATAATTCCCAATGGTTATTTGCTATTGAGTAACGATAGTTACCATGATCTTTTCCACCAAACAAGTAGATATAACTTTCACTGTTGGATACCTGGTGATAGACCATCGATTGTTCGTTTTCGATCTGTTTTATTGAGCAGAGCGGGTAGAATTTCTTACTTGGGATATTGTAGCGAACCAGTTTATTATCGATGGAAAGTATGAAGATGTTACCTTTTTCGTCATTGGTAGCAGCCATTGTATAGGATTTCAAATGATCGTCAATGATCACCTCTGCTTTCTTTTTGATTGGATCGAAAATGTAGATTTTCCTCTCTTTAATTGGAAGACTATAAAGTAATCCATTGAAGAAGAACGAGTGGATATGGATGCTGTCTTCACACTCTAACTGATGATATCTCTCGAAACACTGTGTTTTCACATGGAATCTATCGATTCTCTTTAGACTGGTGAAACTATCGTCGTTGTAACCATTCACTAGGTAGATATAGTCTTGTCCATCGTAACAAACAGACATTGTACGACCAAACTCTATATTCTTGATATCCGATTGGTGATCAATGGTCTTTGATTTCATTGAGAGTCGACAATATTTGTTTTGACGATCACCGTTGTAGTTACCAAAGATATAGACGTGGCTATCGACTTTTACAATGGAGTTGTAGGTCAAGTGAAATCCTCCGGACCACGATGTGTTGATGGTCTCCATTGATACATTGGTACTGTCGGTCAAGTCGATCAAAGTCATCGAACCGTCTTGTTGGGTACTGACAATGTAGGTCTTCTGAACCAAACCACACAGTCTCGTAATGCTTTCCAAGAATTGGTTTTCCATTCTCTGGTTCTTCACTAACTTGTAGCTATTCGTTGTTCTTAACGATTCTAAGAATTGCACTTGTTGTTCTTTTAGCTGAATAACATTATATTTCTTATTGAATTTATAAATCAAATCCAATAAAATATGATAGAAACTATCATTATTAATTGAAGTATTTGATTGTTGTTGTTGATATTGATTTTGATGATCCCAACGCATATCATCATCGCCATGATCATCATCTTTCTCTTCATTATTACTAATACTAAATAACTCTTTATTATTATTTACAAAGCTATAAAGCGATTCATATTCATTGATGGAATGTAGCAACATTTCTATATGTTCATTACTAGCCTGTTCCATGAATTGAAATGTCATGTTTTCTCTATTATTATTATTATTATTATTACTATTCTTGTTGTTGTTATTGTATTTATTATCTTTATTGTTATTAAAGTTTATTATTGTTATTAATGATTTGATCTCTGAGAATAGATCACCGATTTGTTTCTTTATTTTATCTTGATCGTCTACGATCGGCTTGGCCACTTTGTGTTGCTGTAGTACAAGGCTCTTAATGAGACCATCGAATAGATCTACAACATCCTTACGTTTCACCTCTAACGAATGGTATCTAGATGACAGTTTCTTTAGAGTCAACCAACTACTATTTAGCTTTGTCTTAAGTAAGCAACTAGTGTTTTGATTGAAATTATTTTCATCGTTGAAGATATTCAAAAGCTCCTCTGTTATGTTGTGGATGTGTTCAGAGTTATGATTCTTATGAGCATTGAGACAACGAGAACAAAACAAAACATTACAATCAAAACATATCAATTCGCATTCCTTTTGGTGAGTTGAACAAAAAGATATAAAAATATTACTGTTTTCTGTCATCCTATTGAAAACTATTTACAATGATAATAACATCGAGATGAATAATAATGTTTGATTGAAATGTAAAAACAAAACTTTGATATCAAAGTTTAACACTACTAGTAGTAAGTGAGATGTTAATAAATTTTACTCTTTTTGAGCTCTAAATTTTCTTTTTTTAGAATTAAATTATCTCTGAAGGAAATTGACTGTAAAACAAGAAAATAATTAAAAAGATTACTCAATTTTGTACAAAATATTATTTTTATATATTTTTACTATTTATTAGCATGACAATTAATGTTTTGAAAGAATATCTTTTTACAGCATTACAAAGATCAAGTATGGTTGATATCACTTAAATATTGATTTAATCTTCATCAAATTTCAAGTATAAATAGTTTGATTAATAACTATGGATAAATCATTATATTCAATTACAAATAATAATAACAATAGTAATAAAAATGAATATTATAAAGATAAATTCAATCTGTTTATTTGTATTGTTGTTGGTTGGTGTTGTCTTTTGCGATGTTGAAGGACGTGTTAGAATCTGTGTTGAAGTCGACTGTCCAGAGGTAGGAGATTGTCCAATGAGAGAATCTTGCAATGACAATGACATGTGTACTCTCGATTCTTGTAATGGTGGTCGTTGTGTTTATTCACCAATTCACTGTGACGATAATGATGACTGTACCACTGACAGCTGTTCTCCAACACAAGGATGTGTTCACACTCCAATTCTCTTGTGATGATGGTGATCAATGTACATCAGATAGCTGTAGTTCCAATGGATGTGTTCACACTCCAATCTCTTGTGACGATGGTAATGCTTGTACTGACAACAGCTGTGATTCGAAAAGTGGTTGTTTTTATCATCAAATCGATTGCAACGATGGTAATGAATGTACTTTTGATGATTGTAATAATGCCACTGGCTGTGTTAGCTCTCCAATCTCTTGTGACGATGGAAATGCTTGTACCAACGATGGTTGTGATGTAAATACTGGCTGCACATATCAAACCGTTGTATGTAACTCTGTCTCCAACAAATGTATCTCGAATGAATGTGATGTCTACAAAGGTTTGTGTTGGTTCGACCATCAACTGTGACGATGGTAATGCTTGTACATCAGACAGCTGCAATCCATATACAGGCTGTGTTTTCACACCGACCTCTTGTGATGATGGTAATCAATGTACCAACGATAGCTGTGATCGTGTCAAAGGCTGTTTGAACATCAACATTCCAGGCTGTGGAGTTGCAGTACCAAGACCAACTGTCTGTCCAACTCGTCCAGCATGTCCATGCACAGAAACCTGTTGTGGTGTTCACTGTTGTCCAAATATTGATATCGACATCGATGTTGATCTTTGTTCTAATAATTAGTCATAATATTCAATCTAATGTTTTTATCTTATCTTATCTTCTACTCTATATTACAATTAATAAAATAAAGTTATCAAATATCAGATTGTTTCTCTTGTAGTAGTAATAATAATAATATAGCAATAAGATCTTATCTTTATTAATGTGCCAATATATGAATTGCATTGTTTAGTTGAGTTGTTTTCGTTGTCAATGATTCATAGATGAGTGCTGTGAATTTTTCACGAGCCTTTTCATCGGTAAGCTCCAGTGAGAATGACTCACGTAGATAGTTGAGATCCTCCATCGATTGGAGCTCTGGAATACCAGTGGATACCATCATGGCAAAGAGATTCATAAAGAGTCGTGCGTGACGTCTCAGAATATTGTAGGCATTACAACAGTAGTTTACAAATTGCAAAAACTTGGCGCTGTCTTTGCCACCCATCACATAGCAGAAGTCCGGTGTAAATACAAACGGTGCACGTTCTCGCTTGAATCCAAATTTCTTTTTGTAGTTTCCAAGGAAATGACCAAAATCAATGTGGAAGAGTCGACCGAGTTTCGTACACATCAAGTTATCGTTGTGACGATCACCGATTCCCAGGACGTAGGTGGCGACACAGTAACCGGCACACGACAAAATGAATGTATCAACAGCTTTTTGATATTCTTGTTCGGTTTTGTTGTGTTGTAGTAGCCAATTGGCGAGTGGATCCAGCTTGAAAGCGGCGGTGGCGCCACCAGCAGACTTTTGGATCTTGGCGGTTGTCTCTGAGTTCAAAACGACCTCGATCATTCCAATCATGTCGCCAGTTGCAATACAGCCGTATGGCGATAGCTTGAAATCCAGTCCTTCCTTCTGCCAGAGCTTGTCCATCAGTCTGATCATTTGGAGTGTCAACATATCCTGTCGGAGATCGTCACCCACCTTGAAAATAACTTCGGTGGTATCCGCTCCCATATCGATGTTGGTAAACGACAGACGCAGCGGCAACTTCTTTGAATCCATATATTTACAACGTTGATTGATAAGTCCATTCGATTCGAATTTAGGATTCAGCGTAATTTGGAATCGTTTTGGCCATTCGATTTTCTCGAGTTCCTTCAGCATTACCTCGCGACGGTCTTGATCCTTGAGTGGCTTGATCTTTCTGGCGACGGCAGTCAGACTATCGATGACTTGAAGTTGTCTTCCCATTTCCTCACGATGCGATCCACATGCCTGTAAATAGGATTCCAACAACAAGCCAAAACGCTCTGCTATATTGGTTACATGCAGGTCGGCTTTGAGATACCAGAAGAAATGGTGACCGATCGTTCTACTGAGAATGGCACGCTTCAACAGGAATCGTGAAAGTGGAGAATCGTGGAACGGTTCAGATTTCAACACCTGAATGAGCTGGAGGAGAATATCAAGTAGCTCCTCTTCACTTAGTGCATCGAGACAATGCACTGCGTATGTCCTCACGTAGTAATCGACATTCTTTGCGTCCAAGAGTGCAAGCGCATCATACGGTGTCAGTCTTGGCCATCTAGAAATCAACGAATGAATTTCATCGACAGCCGCTGGATTGGTCCATGGAACACTTAGCATTAGACGTGGAAGAATCTGTGGCACGTGAATGGCGTACTGGCGAAGTGACCAGAGTTGTTGGTATTTCTCACGCGACAAGTCACTGAGCGGATCGACACGGATAATGGAATCAAAGAAATCTTGAATGTCTTTGGTGATTGGTGGTGTCGTTGCAGAGATTGTATTGTAGAGAACAGTTGGGAAAACGACTGGCATCGAAAACTGTTCGAATTCCAAGAAGAGCGCAACGCTATTCTGTGGGTTGGAAGAGCATGGCGATAGTGGATTGGCAATATCATCTGGCCAGAGATGTAAAGTTACGGGACCGGTCCTCAGTTGACGATTGTGATCGAACAACATGATATTTACCCAGCCAATAGGGAACGATTGTTTCTGATTTTCCAACTCTGGCGCTGTGTTTGATGAGAACGACGCAGTGTTGCTGCTAGCATACAAGCTGATACACAAACGTGTTTCAATTGGCAGATTGCAATAATCGATGCTAGGGAATGTTACCTGCTCGTTGAAATTAATCGATTGTGAAGCTGGTGTACTGGCGAAATAGGAGAGTGGCAAAAGTGTTTGGATCCGAGTGGAGGTCTGTGAGATCAACTCGATTCCATGGTAGAGCGACATCGATAGGATAACAGAGATATCGTCATCCTTACTCAGATAGCTGCTAGCGATATTATAGGCAGCAAGAGCTTTGATTCTTACAGGTCGTTTTACTTCACGCGATGAAATGTGTGTCATTTGATCCCAAGTTAGTCGTGCCGATTCAATATGATATTTCAATGGGAATTCCTTTTGGAATTCGTATCTCGGTTTGAAAGGTGCGACATCCAACTCGATTGGTGGACGTTGCACATAAACCAACTGTGTTTTCACTCCTTGAACTATACATTGTCTAATATACTCAAAAGTGGTAATTACATGTGGACCATGAACATATTCAGCTCTTCCCATAACCTTTAAAATGAAATCATTCGGTGAAACATTTGGTAAGTGTTTCGAATAATTTCTAGTGAATACTCTACTAATTAAATCATCTGCTGTTTCATTAACTAAGATAAATAAATTGAGATCTGAAAATTAGTATTCTAGTTTTATGGAAATATTAGCTAATTGATAATTACCATCGATTTCAACTGTTCTTGTTACTTGTAAGATTGGTAAGAATATGGAGATTAAGATTTTGGTGGTTGTTACGGTTGCTGGCAGTGGGAGTGGCGATAATCTGACGGTTAGCGATGAATGTACAGTTCCCTTGATGTCTGGTAATAGTTCGTATCTGAGTCTTGCTGCAATCTGTCGGAAGTGATCTACTTCTTCACCGTGCCAACTTCTTACGTTTGGCAAAATCAATTTGATCACATCGTTCTCTGCTTCGTTCAACTCGGACGATGCATCGGGATCCATCAACTGATACTTTTCGATCATCTTTAGCTTTGGCAGGAGTCCACGTGCTCTCCTGTTTTGAATGTACTCTGATTTCGACAGCAGAATGTTATCGATTGGTCGATCTTTTATATCTACAATTACATAGGCATCGGCGTTCAACGAGACGCTCTGTGAACTCGTCGATTGCTGGAGATGTTGAACGAGACGATCACGAACATTCTCAATCGATTCCAGTCCTTTGCATACCAAGGTGGTGGTTGTGTGATTGGGAAGAATGCAGAGCAGTTTGAATGATGACTTGAGGACACGCATTCGTAGTGGTGTTTCTGCGTTGCTCTGGTCGGGCGAGCTTCCAGTGGTGTGTTGCTGGTAGTTGGCGACGTCGCCAACCTCATTGCCATGCACCTCGAGAATCTTCTTGAGAAAATCCTTGGTTGGCGATGAAAGTGGCTGATTGGGAGTGGCAGCTCTCAGCTGGATAGGATTGGGTGGAATATTGAGAAAGTGGTTCAAATTCATCATATTGATATCATGCTGTGAAGGAGCAACCGCATTTCTACCGCGACGACGACGATATATCTTACTTCCCTTCAAAGACAACGATGATGACGATGAGGAAGTAGATGATGTTGAATTTGGTGATAATGGTGTTTGTGGTGATGAATTGGTTGAACTATTTAATGAAGTCGAAGTTGATGATGATAATACTGTTGTTTCCTTATCATTATCTTGCTGTTGTTCTTTTATTAAATCTTGTCCGTATAATCTATCTTTTATGTTATGAGTGAGTGGCGATGAATTTAATGCTTCGACCTCGTGGTCATCCACCAACTTTATAACAGTCTCACGCTTTGTCATCTCAGTATCCTTTGTCTTCTTTTCATTCTCTTTCTTCAGATTGATGATTCGCTCCTTTATCGATATATGTGTATTTGGATTCAATCTAGTATAAGAGGCTGTATCTGGTGTTTGAAATTTTGCGCTAATTTCCTTTACCAATCCTTTTCTCTGTTTGTATTTATTTTTAGAGCGCGTGTTAATATGGAAATCCAATTTTGTTTTGTTTTATTTTGTTTTCTAAGATATTCCTTACCTCTAAGTTTAATAGTGAACCATTTCTTTTTAAATATTCCATTGATGTATGTGAATAGAAATCCTTTCTCATCTGTAATTTATTTAGATCGTCTTGTGTTATTGACATTGATGCTGCTGATGCTGCTGTTGGTGGTTGTTGTGCGTCGCTTGTTGGTGAAGATGGTGTTGATGTAGTTGATGTGGAGGATGTTGAAGAGGATGTCGATGACGATAATGAATCTTCACTGGCTGAACCTATCGATCTACTCTGCCCAGTGATAGGATCGCTTGCAGCCATTGTACTAGATAAAGATGATGATCCATTACTTGTCTTCCTACCGCTACTTGATTCCATCGATGCTGTGGTTGAAGATGTTGCAGTTGTCGTTGCTATAGATATCTCTTGTGGTATTACATTATTATTACTACTATTACTATTATTACTATTATTTATTGTAGATGTCGTTGCAGCTATTGTTGTTGTCAAAGTATTATTAGTTGTACTATTAGTTTCTAATTTTATCTCTGGTGATGCCATTGTTATTGTTGTTGTTGTTTTTTTCTTATTATATATGTATAAATTATAGATAGATAAAATAAATAAATAAATATAAAATTACTTAACTATTTAAAAAAAAATAGAATGATTAATACAATTTGTTTGTTTGTTTGTCTTTATTATTATGATTTGTTATGATTCGATTGAAATATAATTCGATTTGATTAGTTATTAGATATTGTTATAACAATAATTAATAATTACTTATATTTTAATATATAAGTAAGTGTAGTGTTTATCTATTATTATTATATCTTAGATTCATGCAATGTTTCGTTTGTTATGTAGATGTAGATTGTGGCATGTGAAAATGTTATACAATGTAAGTATGGAATGTATGTTGCTATGATTATAGGTGATAGTGAAAGTGGTGATGGTGGTAGTGTAAGATTACTTCTACTACCACTGCTACTATTGATGCTATTATATCGATATAATATAAATATAAATGGTAATATTATAAGTAATAAAATGATTGATTGATTGATTAATCTATTTAAAATTGTAGATATAACAAGCACTACAGTATACAAAATATGATATTTATTATATATTAGATATCATTATAAGTATAATATTTCATTATTAAATTGAATTGTAAAGATAATTTGATTGCTTTATTGATTGATTGCTTGATTAATTGACCTTCTTCCTTTCTTTCTTTCTTTCTTTTTTTGTGTGATCACTTTTAAATTACCAAAAAGTACATTAATTTATTTTTATATTACTATACAGTGTGCAAAAATCAATAGACATAACAAAACATACATAACATAACACACTTTCTTTCCTTTCTCTCTTATTAACAATGTTGAATGGAATGCATGCAAAATTTTGGTTGTTAAACTACTAACACATAATAATAATAGTAGTAATAATAACAATAACAATATTAGACACACACAGAGAGAGATAGATAAAAATGAGATATTATATTTCTGATAGAAGTGTTTATGGTATGGTTGTGAGTAGGTGTGGTGTCTGCTAATGAACCAACGAGCAGGGTGTGTCGTTTTTGTATTTTTTTCAATAAGAGTGCTAATGTTAATGATTTTACACCTACTAAAATTGGATGGTGTTTTTTCTGTGTGTTGTGTGTGAGTTGTGGTGTCTCTTTGTTAACAAATAATAAATAGGTTACTGATTGTATTGTATTGATGAAACACTGCAACAGCTACCTATATTGTGATCATCAACTTCCCAAGAGAAGTTTGAAATTTGAGTTAGTTGTTGAAGTTGTTTGTTTTGTTTCCTTTCCTTTCCTTTCTTCCTTTCATTCTTAACTATTATTTGAAATGAAACAATGCTCTTTTAGGCATTAAATGATGTGGTTATTGAAAATATTGATTGGAAGATGTTAGTATTGATCATGATTATTATCGATGATGATGATGATCTATTCTACTGGATAGTAAATTTAACTTTCGACGAATAATAATGTTGTTTGTTGTTTGTTGAAGATGCTGCAAATTCACCTACCTCAAGCTTCAGCCAATCAAAACCAATGCAAACTGTATTTGCTGCAAACTACCAAAATAAACAAAGTTTGTTTTGATCTGTTTTGTTCTGTTCTGCTATGTTCTGTTATTTCTACTGTTATGTGTTTTCTTTATTCACTGGAACAGAATAATAATAATAATAATGATGTTCAACTTCAAATTATATTTCTAATCATCGAACTAACTGATTGATGATTGATTTCCAGATTTTTGTAAATAAATAAATATGTGGATGAAAAAAAACAAATAATTTTGGTTTAGCTTTCAAAATTGTTGTTGATAAGAAAAAAAAAATATGACATAAAAATTTTTGGACCCACTTAAACAAAACCAAAAAAAATTCAAAATAATTGTATCCAACCAAAGGTCGATAAAAAAAAATCAAGGAACCAAAAAAAAAACCGATCAAATTTTTAAAATCCCCCTAAAAAAATCTAGATTTAATTCAAATTATATTAAATTGCAATCTTTAAAAAATCTTATTTTTTTTAACATAATTTATGATCTTCATTGTTAACAATTAATAATACCAAAAAGTTATTATACCTAATAATAATATAGAATAAATACTTGAATCAGAAGGAATGATAAAAATTTTATAAAAAAGAGAATATATCTTCATATAGAATAATAACTCTATGATCTAAGATTATGAGCCAAAAACAATAATCATAAAGTTGAAACATTTAAATTTTTTGAACTCGTTAAATTATATTAACTACTAATCTAATCTTATACATCTTTTAAAGATATAGTCTATGTTTATTTATTTTAAACAAAAAAATACATATTTAATAATTATAAAGAGGAGTGATTTATAATTTACACTAAGCATATTAGCTCTCCTTTATTTTGAAAGTTGTTTTCTCAAAGTAGGGAACCGATATCATATCTACATTGTATTCCCCAAGCATCTTGATAATATCGTGTCTGGGACCGAATTTGAAATAATACAACGTCGGTATTTTAATGGTGAATTTTGTAAAATATCCATTGGCATTTGCCTTGTGGTGTTCAAGAAGTTGACGCATATGTTTGGTGTCGTAGTCAGCGAGTAGCAGCTGCAGCGCATCAAAGAAATCTTCTTGTTGGTAGAGGATGTTGTGCTTACAGAGAACCTCCAAAGTTTCATGATGTTCTTTCTCGGCTGCCACCGTGAGGAGTGTCACTTTTTTTGTTTGTTGTTGTCAGTGATCAGCTTCTTTTCGGCCAAGAATCTGAGGATGCCAGCATATCCTTTCGAGACTGCACATTCCACACTATTATAATTGAAAATATCTTTGTGACTGAAGGAGTTGGTATTCTCAAAGATGTATCTAATGCTTTCCAGTTGACCGGCGTTTATGACCGACTTTACAATCTTGGCGGTGATCAATGAATTCAGTGGGTTACTTCGCTGCTTGGATATGAGATATTTCACAACATCCAGATAGCCTTTTTGCAGTGCTTTGACCAGCCATCCCGGAATACAATCGTTATTGGGAAGAGGATAATGCTTATAGAGATATTTCAGTGGCTCCACGTTTCCATGACTAACAGCAGCATAGTACGCGGTGAGCAGTTGATCTTCGTCCGGTTTAGTTCTGATCAATTGACGGTCGTGCAAGTAGTTCAGCGTTTCCATGTCGCCATTGGTGGCGATGCACACCACCGACAGGAAAGAGCAACCTGGCCCAGATCCCACAGTATCGATATACTTGATGACGTTCAGGTGTTTGCCATACGCAGCGCAATCCATTGTGTATTGCGCACATTTTTTGAAATGTAAAAGCAAGAATTCCACCACCGCTATATGTCCGTTTCGAGCGGCGAAATCCAAAGCATCGAGAGAACAGCCTTCCGTACGATTGGCAACAATCCATTTGACCGTTTCCAAATGACCGTTCTGCGCCGCCTGATCCCCCACATATTTATCCCACCAACCTGCATCGCGCTTTTTCTTTGTGATCCACTCCAAAACACCAGTATTTCCACTGGCAGCTGCTTTCTCAAGTACCTCCACAGTGACTTTGCATTCGGTCGAGTTTTCCATGATCGATATGAACAGTTTCTGAAGATCGACTGAACCTGCAACCAACTCCAATGTCTTGTTGTCGACCAAACCATTGAAACAACTGCTGTTGTTACTTTTATTTTCCTTTAGATGATTGTCTAGTAAATACTTTAGAATCTCCAGCTGCTTACTCTCGGTTGCAGTATCAATCATCTCCTTTGTCAGCTTGATGTTCTTCAGTTTGTTGACGATTCTAAGGTGTCCACTGCTAATCGTTTCCTTGATGAACTTACTGAGATCCAGCGGTTTTGGTACTCTCTCGTAGAGATAGCTGAATATCTCTACTTTTCCTTCGATTGCAGCGAGCGTGAGTGGCGTCATCAGATCCTTCTCTTTGCGCACTTCCACCAGGAAGCGAAGACACTCGATCTGACCGGTGGCAACGGCAAACTGCGAGTACTCTTGATTCCACATACTGCCAAACTCCTGGTAGAGATATTTCAGCATCTCGAGATAGCCATGAACGACTACACGTGGAATCTTAGCTGAGATTTTCATAAAGCTATGATCACGCATCTCCTCACGGATCGAAGGAATGTTCTTGAAGCCTTGTGATTCCTTCTGAACAAACTTTTTCAACTCCTTGAGATAACCATACTCCAAAAAGATCTTTGGAAAATATAACAAATTATCAGAACGCACATACAGATATGGTTGCCTATTTCCTAGAATACTGTGTATCTCTCTTATATTACCAATGATCTTCTTAAACAAATTTGTTTTAAACAAAACTTTTTGAAATAAAATAATATTTCATTTTTTTTTGAATAATAAAAAATAAACCAATTTAAGAATTTGCGTAAAAAAAAAAAAAAGTTTTTTTTTAACTTTAAAAACAAGCTATTTTTTTGAAAATTCAAATTTTTGAAAGTCACCCGCCTTTTTTTTTTTTGAGAAGTTAACAAAACTAGTGAATCTTTTCCATTCAATCAATCAATCGATCAATACATTATTAATTTAAACCTATAATTAAATTAACTATTTCTAATTTAAATCAAAAAAATAAATATATATTTTAAAATATGTCTAAAACAGATTCATCAGTTACCAAACGTCTACAATCTGAATTGATGGCTTTAATGGTTAGTATTGTTTATAAATGAAAATATATATAGCTATCTTTGAGTTTTTTAATTTAGTGAGAAAATTAATTTTATATTATTATTTTAGATGGCAAGTAGTCCAGGTATTTCAGCATTTCCAGATGGTGATAATATGTTTAATTGGACAGGTACTATTCAAGGAGCGGCAGGTACCGTCTACGAAGGTATGGAATTCAAGATGTCTTTGAAGTTCCCGACAGACTACCCATTCAAGCCACCCACTGTAAAGTTTGAAACAAGCTGTTTCCATCCAAACGTTGACCCACAAGGTACAATCTGTCTCGATATCCTCAAGGAGAAGTGGTCGCCCATCTACAACGTTCGTACTCTCCTATTGTCGATTCAATCGCTCCTCGGTGAACCAAATAACGATTCACCACTCAACACCTACGCTGCATCCATCTGGGAGAACCAAGAGGAATACAAGAAAGTACTAGTCAAGAAATATCATGAAGCCACTGGAATTACCATTTCCACAGCTTAAGTAAGATCAATAGAATAGAATAGAATAGAATAGAATAGAATAGAATAGAATAGAATAGAAAGAATAACAACAACCAACCTTTCAATATATAAATAATAATATGCTACAATAATAATTAATTAGAGTGGGAAGAAACATAAAACGATCGTTCAAACCTACAAACTTTCCAAATAACTGTATCTAGATTCCAACACACAAACACATCACATCACAATTACAATATATTTAAATAAGGAGATATGATTAAATTCATCATTTTTTTTATTAAATAATAAACAATAAATTTATTTTAAAATGAATCTAGTTGTATTCTTTCATTCTAATATATTTTAAGTAAATTTTCATTTGTATCAATCCATTTGAATACTTTAGTTAAATCTTTTGAGTTTACAATAGATAAAACAATCCACTTCAAAATGAAATAATTGTTATCGATACGATAGAGTGCTGAGGTTTACCGAATTGGAAACAGGTGATTGATGTTTTGAATGAATCTATTCCTTTCTAATGATATAATCCGATCTGATATGTATCGTTCTAATTGAATCTGGGAGCAATGTTGGATCGAATTCACTATAACTATCACCAACATAAAGACTCCACGGAGTTAATTGATTTGGTGTCAAAAGGAATTGATTTTCCATATTCAGATGAATAAAGGAAAAGATTTTTAGTGAAAGAAGGAATGACACGTTCAATGACAAACTTTGGTTTAATCGTTGAGAGTTCCAAAATTTCAAATGGTAAACTTCCTAGAACTAGAGGCTGATCGTATTGTATCAATTCTAGACTTTTGATATTGTGTGGCAATTGATTTGGTAGAATCGGTGATAAAGTATCGCGAATATATAAAAAATCATATTGTGCATCTTTTGGTAATACTTCATCGGTTGAAGGATCCCAAACAAAACTGTATAAAACTAGATGTTTGATCGATGATGGTATTACTTTTGGTTTGAGTGTTGAATTATAATAGAAGAGATCCAGATTTGTTAAAGTAACTTAGTTTCATGTGTAGCACCTAGGCAAAGACCTTCTAAGGTCTTTGTTTTGTTATTATTTTTAAAAATTTCCAAGTTATAAAATAAAATATCAAAAAAAAAAGCAAGAAAAGAAAAAGAAAATTAACACCGATTTTTCTTGATTTGGTGTCAAATGCAAAACCATTTTTTTCTCAAAGTGGTTTGATTTATTCATGCTTATTTTTTTATTACAAGTATTGCAAAACTTTTATTTTTTTTTTCAAAAACAATAATCAAACCAATCAAATTCATAGCAGACTATTTTTGGAAAAGATATTCTTTTTTATTAATCAAAGTGAAAATGCTAAACATAGATAATAATACAAAACATATATTTGTAAATCTACCATTTATATTGTTATCAAAGATATTAAAAGAGTTAGATGATGATTTAGATATCATTTGTTTTAGTTTAGTTTGTAAGAGATGGTTTGATCATCGTAATAGCTACCTATCATTCAACTGTGATTACTTTAATAAATCATCAAAAGATAAACTACAACAACAACTCATAGATAATAGTAAATTTTTCAAGTTGAAATCATATGTAGATATTTTTCAGTCATCATTAGATCATTTACCTAATTGTTTAATAACTTTACCCAAAAATGATTACCCATTTTCATTTCCCTCAAAAACAATGTATACTATTTATAATCATCAACATCTTGGTAAGTTTTTATTTATATATTCAATTTCAAATGAAAAAAAACTAATAATTATCTAACATTCTATATTTCAGAATCAGTTAAACAACATAAATCAGTTAGGTTATTGTGTGATTATCAACTACCAGACGATATCGATAGATTACCACTGAATGTCAAAGAAATAATGTCACATTTCTTTATCAATCCATCGATATTACCTTTGGGTTTAAAGCGTTTAGATCTTAATATGATCTATAACTTTGAAGGAAATTTAGATTTGAATGTAGCACTTTTACCTCGATCGCTCAAAGTACTAAAGTTATCAGAGAAATACACCTATTTCAACTCGAATATCGCTATCGAAATGTTACCACCCAAACTTTTGGAGATAAAGTTTGTTTTATTCGAGAATAGTCAGCCTGATAACATTGCACAGTTACCAACAAATCTCAAGATCGCTGAGATATCTTTGTGTTGGTTAAAGAACATCAAACATCTTAAATCGATTCACACTCTCAAGTTGCATACCGATATCACAGAGGAAGGAGATGATGTTTTAAACTTAGATACCAAAGATATTCCCAGGGGCGTCACACATCTAACAATTATCAGTAATTCTAGATATCAAGCAATCTCTGAAGAGACACTACCTGCAAATCTCAAGTATTTAAAGTTGATTGGACATTTCCAATTGCAAAAAGACAGTTTTACAGTGTTGAGCCGATCGATAACGATCGATTTATCCTGTGCAAAATTCAAAGCTACAATCATGCATATTCCATCGGTAAACAATACACTATCATTTCCTGACAATGTTGTCAATCTCTCATTGAAGTGTGAATATCATCCGTTTGAATTACTAAGCTTGCCAAACAAATTGGAATATCTAGATTTGGGTGGTGCCTACGGAACGGTTATTAGATTACCACAAACTATTAAAACCCTACGTCTAAGCAACAGTAGATTGGAACTAAAGAAAGAATCAATACCAGCATCATTGGAGACTATCGACTTCAAATATCATTGTTTTTCGATCGTGCAAGGGCTGTGGCCAATCAATATCAAATCGATTCAGCTCCGATCTGATAATTCACCAAAGTCCCTAAAATCTCTTGAGTACATTCCAACCAAGATTACATCGATCACCATCGTAATGAATCAACATACCTATTATTCCAGACGATTGTATGGCCAATGGTTCCTCATTCTTGGAAACAAATTAGCATCTATTGTTCATTTAAAAAACTTGGTTCATTTGTTCAATAAAATATTGAGTGGTATACAATGACAGATGGAAAAAATTAAAATTTGAGGGTGTCCATATTATAAATATTAGTTTGTAATTGGTGATTCGTTGAACTTGCAATGTTCTTTCATCATAATATATTTAATTACTAAACGGTTTATCATATCTATCTATATTATTATTTTATTATTACAGATTAGGCTTTAATTGGAGCCTATTGATAACTTCGAGTCATTAGATCAGCTGACGAAGTGCATTGAGAAGACTACAGTTAGTATAGTATTCTTCAATGGTGTCTTCATAGTGGTTTACTTTGGTGTATCGGGAATATTGATGTCCAAGTACACTTCGACCAGGCAAGCACGAATCTACTTCTCCATACTTTAAAATTGTCACCTCTAATACTACAGGTACCGCTAATGATACACAACAATAAGATCAACAACAGTAACAACAACAACAAACTAGAATGAATAGTTTTATTTGATTCATCGATTTTGGATGTTATTCTAGCGTCACCACCCGAGAGTAATTAATAACCAAACTACCAACGCTCAAACCAACAACATCAATAACAATTGTGCAATACTACACAACAATAACAATTACAATAAGACAAACAAATAAATGTTGATCCTTTATCTCTAATCAAACGATCAACATTAACAACATCAATAGCTCTATCAATTCAATGCTAAATAATGGAGTGCTGTTAACTAACAACAATTCAATATGAATTAGAACAATCATAACTTTAATAATTTAAATAAAAATCAAAACAATTTAAGAATTATAATATCAAGTGTTTAATTTTATTAAATTATATATTTAACTTTAATTATTATTAGTTGTTGTATACACGAGAGACAACCAGTATAGTAACGAGAGGAACCCAGCATAACGACGAGAGGAAACTGGCAAATCGACGAGAGGAAACCGGCATAATTACGAGAGGAAACCGGCATAACTACGAAAGGAAAACAGCATAGTGATGAGAGGCAACCGGCAAAATTACGAGAGGAAACCGGCAAAATTACGAGGAAACCGGCATAATTACGAGAGGAAACCGGCATAACTACGAGAGGAAACCGGCATAGTGACGAGAGACAACTGGCATAACTATGAGAGGAAACCGTCATAGTGACGAGAAGAAACCGGCATAACTACGAGAGGAAACCAGTATAGTAACGAGAGGCAACTGGGATAACCACGAGAGGAAATCAGCATGGTAATGAGAGGCAACTGTCATAGCAACGAGGCATCACTCATAGTAAGGGCAACAGGCAACAAGGACTTGGAAAAGAGATAAAAGGAGATAACAACGGTAACTGTTGAGCGCCAATTAAAAGTTTGAATTAATATTCAAATTTGAGATATAAATATTAAAATTAATTAAATAATTCATTTTATTATAATATAATATTCAAAAATAAAAAAAACATGCGATAATTGCCAATGAAGAAACAACAAGCATAATTTTCAAATTTATTGCTTTATTGAATTTGCAACACCCCACTTTTATTTGACAAGTTCATCTATTTTTTTTTTGTTGCAAAAATTTTGATTTTTTTTTTTTTATAATAATAGAAGAAATATTAATATTGTAAAGATATGATATTCTTGATTAGTCAACAAATAAAAATTTATTTAAAATACAGGAATAGAAAACAATTATTATTTATTTAAATTTTAAGAAGTTTATATTGTGTACTAGTAATAGATTGATTGGTAAAATCTGTTCTATTACAACTCAAAAGGAATTCTTACTATATTCGGCGAATAGAAGTGATTTACTAGTGAAAATTTAAAATTTGAATATTATATTGTTAGATATAAGTGTTGATCACGGACATGATCTGATTCATAGGAATCATGTCCGTGATCAACACTTATATCTAACAATACAGTATTCAAATTTTAAATTTTCACTAGTAAATCAATACGTTGATTCACAATTCCTGTAACCTGCTGATTTAATTAATATTATTAAGAAATCATATAGAAAGAAAAGATCGAATAAACATGAGAAAATGAGAGTGACCTAGAATATATATGTTTCTATTGATGTTTTAAATTATTAAAGATCATATTAAATGTGGTTTGTTAAAAGAATTGTGAATCAAAAAAACAAAGAATGAAATCATTAAAATTTAATTTAATTAATAATTTTATTACTATAGAAGATAAATGAAAGAATTATTGAATTTTTGATAATGGCTAACGAATGAATTATATAACGAACATATGATTTAAGATTAATAATCAATGATTAAAACATATTAAGAAGTTTTAGTTAATCAAAATATAAATGAATTTAATATTCTAAAATAGCCCTGAGATAGAAGAATATTGAATAGGTGATTTGTCTCGATAAATAAATGATCAAAGAATTTGAAAAAAAATGAACATATACATATAGTGGTGATCGACTTCAAATGAAGCACTATAAATTCTATCTTGACTATAAAATAAATCATTTTAAAGTTTTAAATCAAAATTATTTAGTTCAACATAAAAGAATGAATACTAAATTACTAAAATATTTACTTATGTTTTTGTATAATTCAAACATTATTACAAGTTGATATTTAAAAATAAAAAAATACATATCATTCAATAGGATCTAAATAGATTAATTTTAATTATTTATTTAAAAGTGACACAATTTAATTGATTTGATTCACGATTTATTGATTTATTGGAATTGAATGACAATGTCAAGTGTGGGTAATCTGAGCTGATTGTGTGTTTTTTTTATTTTTTTGCCAATCAAAAAAAACATCAACCAAATTTTTAAATTAAGACATCTATATATTTAAATATTATTCTATTTAATTAGAGCATCGGATAAAATGACGTTAATTATTTTCAAAATTTGGCGGTTTATAATAATTAATGATTATTTTAAATCTAATTTAAATATTTATATACTAGTAAATACTATTAACATATCGAATTTTACTTTTCAATAAAAGCATTATTCATATTAATTTGATATTTCTAAGTAAGTTTTATATATATCACAATAATTTCAAGAAAAATATTTATCAAAACATATCTTTAAAATTTCTATCAAATATAGTTTTAGATAGTGATCGTTGATAATAATAAAGAGATAGTTGATTTCTCATTTACTCTCTTCATTTAAAAATAAGAAATAAATTAATTTTAATTTTATTTAAAGAACTTATCTTTATTTTATTTACTTTTTCATTATTATTGATAGTTTTCAATTATTGTCATAAAATTGTTGTTTTGCCACTTACGCAATTGAAAGTGTTGAATCACTACTAGTGATTATTGAAAAATTTGAATAAACAAAAGAAATAATATCAGTATCATATCTATGTCCCTATACAATCAAAAACAATACTGTATTGAGAAAAAAAAAATTAAAAAATATATTGGGTGAAAAATTTCAAAATAAATTAGTAATATTAAATTACATATATAGATATTATAAATTTAGATATTAACTTTTAAATCGTTTTTAAATCATAATCAATATACACACTCATAAATATATTTCATTATTTTTATAAATTAAATAAATCATGCATATGACACAACAACTTAAAGATTAGATAATTTTCCAATTACCAGCTATTCGTGGGAATTAGTTGGTATTTATTTCCAAAAGAAAGCTGAGCTCGAAGATGAAAAAGATCGAATGAGTTTCTCATATTACTTTATCCATGAATTCGCTCGAGTCATAAGGGAATTCGATGAACAACAGCAGCAACACAAACAACAACAACCACAACAAGATAATAATATAGTTAATTATAAGTCGCTGGAGGAAGTTATCCAAAGCTTTCCAATCACAAGTTTATCACTGGATTTAGTAACAGTTTACCACCAAAAGAAACTCGAGATCAAAGATGA